AAGAGCTACTTTAATATCTTTTAATTTGCTTTTTAAGGTATTTAGATTAAATCTAGCTTTAATTATAGTCTTTAGGGTTCTTAAAGTTAAGAGGTTAATAGCTTAGCTGCCTTCTTAACTAATATTAATATTTATAGTTAAATATTAACTTTAAGATATAATTTCTAGATTAAGAGAAATAAATTAGCTTCTTTAAAAGCCCCCTAATATTTCTTTTTATTATAGTAGTCTTATATATTATATAAAAGGCTAGAAAGAACTTAATTTTTAAAATATAAATTATAGAATATTTAATTAATTATTTATTTCTTAACTATAAGCTTATTTTAATATATTAAAGTATTAATATTAAGAGGCTAGAGTAGATAAGAGAATAAGATAGTATATAAAGCTAGATAATCTTCTTTTTCTTATAATATCTTTAAATTTAATAGAGTAGTAATTTTTATAGCTATTAAAATTAAGAGATAATAGAAATTAATTAATTAATTAGTTATATATTAATTAAAATATTTAAGCTATTTAAAATTAGTTTTATTATTAATCTAGCTATTTTAAGTTATTATAATAGCCTAATTATCTAGAAGTTACTTTTTTAATATTAATTAGTAAGATAATATTAACTTATATTAATAATAAATAGATAAATTACTAGTTTTTATATTAATTACTTTAATAATTATAATTTATTTTTAGTTTTAGCTATATTAATTTTAACTTTAAATATCTTTTTATATCTATAATAATTATTCTACTTATAATTATATCTATAAAAAAGCAGTCTTATTAAAATTATAAATATTATTTAATTAAATATTATATTTATAATTATATTTACTATAAGCTAAAATTAATTATAAATAATAATTAGTTTTTATATTTAGCTTTTTAGTAGTTATATTTATAAAAGAAATATATCTTAAGTCTATATATTACTTAATAAATTATAAGCTTAATATATACTAATATAGTATATTATATTAGTAAGTAATTAATTAGCTATATCTTTAATATTATATAGCTAGAGGGAAATTCTTATAAATTTAAATTAAGAATAAAATAAATAAGAATCTATTCCTCTAGATTAATAGCTTATATAATTTCTAGATAATATTATATTAAGACTAGATACCTTTTACTAGTAACTTAAAGTATAATAATTAACTGTATATATCTCTATAGTATATTAGATATATAGTTTAGGTTATTTTAAAGGGCCTAAAGAGTAAGAAGTATTCTAGCCTTATAATTAGACTGTAATATACTAGGTAGTTAAGAATTAATTAATTAAATAGAGATAATATAGATTAAGGGATTTTTAGCTTACTTACTTATCTAGCTTACTTACTTATTAAATATATTATTTTAAAATTAAAAGTTATATTAAGCTTTAATAATATTTTTTAAAAACTTAACTTTTTAAATTAAAATTATTAATATTTTTAGCTAAATTATAAAATATAGCTATTTCTATTTAAATATATAAAATAAGATTATAAATAAGAATTTAAGTTTCGTATTTATTAATTTTAATTTTATTATTAAAAAGTAAATAATATTTAAAAATAGCTAATATAATTTATTAGCTTTTATTTAAATATTATAAATAGTATAATAATAACTTAAAAAGATTTTCTTTTTTAAGAAAGTTTAAAAAGAAATTTAGCTTTTATCTTTTTAATTTATCTTTTAAATTTTAAGAAAATTTAAAATTATATTAAAGTTAGAATTTATAATATAAATATAATAAATTATTTTTAAAAATAGCTACTTAAGTAAATTTACTATATTAAAAATTAGTAATAATAAAATAAATATTAAAAAAGAAGTTAATTTCTTAATAATTAGAAATAATTAATTTTTTTTATATTTTATAACTTAAAATAAGATTACTATTTTAAGGTTATTAATTATAAATAGTAAAATTAAAATTAAAAAGGTTAAATAGAAGCTTTAAGTAAAAAATTAATAAATAATAATCTTATTATTTAGCTACTATTTTTTTAGTACTAAATATAGTATTTATTATTTATTTCTATTATTTAAGATTATTATATAACTTTAATTTATTTAATAATATTAAGTAAAGCTAAAAAAACTAAATATAAAAATATATATTTCTTTTAAATTACTTTATAATAATAATTAAAGCTTTTTTAAATATAAATTAAAAGTTTATAATTAATATATTATAATTTATTTAAATATAAAAGCTTAATAATATTTAAAAAAAAAAATATTTTAAAAAAAAATTAAAAAAAATTAATAATTAAATTAATTAAATAAATAAATAATATAATTTAAATTAAAATAAACTTAATTTAAATTAAAATATCTTAAATTATAAATTATATATTTAAAATAATATTAATATATTTAGTTTTTTTATAATCTTACTTAATATTATTAAATAAATTAAAGCTATATAATAATCTTAAATAGTAAAAATAAATAATAAAAGTTATATTTAATATTAAAAAAAAATAACTAAATAATAAAATTATTACCTATTAATTTCTACTTAAAGTTTTTATTTAATTTCTTTAACTTTAATTTTATTATTTATAATTAATAATCTTATTATTTATAATTAATAATCTTAAGATAATAATTTTATTTTAAGTAATAAAATATAAAAAAAATATCTTTTATTATTAAGAAATTAACTTTTCTTTTAATATTTATTTTATTTTAATAAATTTTATTTAAATAATTTATTATTATATTAATTATTAATTATAAGATTCTTATTATATATATTTTTATATATTAAAAATATAAATTTAGATTTTAATATAATATAAAATTCTATTAGAATTTTTAAAAAAAAAATTATATATATAAGCTAAATAACTATTTAAAATTTCTTAAAAAAAAAACTTTCTAAATCTCTTATTATACTATTTAAAATACCTAAATAAAAATTAAAAAATTATATTAACTATTTTTAAATATAATTTATTTCTTAATAATAAAAATAAAGCTAATTTATAAAAAAGTTAGACTATTAATATTAATATTATATTTATCTAAATAGAAATAGCTATATTATATAACCTAGCTAATAATATTAAAAATACTAATAACAATAGAAGCTAAAAGTTTCTTGTAGAAATTAGCCGTGAAAAATACAACCCCTAGTTCCAGGAGTTATTATGCTGCGTCGGGCTGGTATGGATGCTAGCCACCTAGGGTGCTGGCTGGAGGGGGGATTCGAATGAGGATCTCGGGGCGTTAGGTCGGGTCGTGGGAGTTTTCAGTGTATTTATCAAGGTTAGACTGGGTCGAAAAAGTTAGACAGGATTCCGGCAGAGAAGAAAAAAGCAGCTTGAAACCCAAAACTTGGGCCTCGGCAACTGTAACGTGCGCGCAACGAAAATACAGTAAATTCAAACACTAGGTTCCCTTATCGAGGGAATAATACTAATATATATAATAATAAAAATACTCTATATAATACTAGTAACTCTTAATCTTAATAGTATTATATTTTATATAAATAATATCCAGTACTTCTATTTCTATATAAAAATTATTTATACTACAATTAATCTTCTAGAGTATCCGGAATATAGTAACTGTCATACCGAGAAAGGTATATAGATGCCGATTTAACAGGCAGATGCCGACCCCGCTTACAAGCGGACACCGAATCTTACGGAGGCCGAGAGGAATATCGCCGCTCTTTATCGCTAGAGGGGGACGAGAGGGCTACATCTAGAGGATCGTTATCAATCCCTCACAGGATCTTAATACGCCTTCCTAATAGTGCTTTCCATGCCTTGTATATCGCAGTCCGACCTTATCAAAGGCCGAATTACCCGTCACCAAGAAAGCTCCCCGACGTCAATTATTAACGCTGTTAAGCACCTATCGAAGGCAGCGTGTGGATTTACGCACCAGATTGCCTTTTGAAGTCGGATGCCCAGATCCTTCGGGAGGAAAATGCGACGGTTAGCAAGCGACGGAGAGCAACACCAAAAATAAAGGAGGGGGGAGGGAGCCTTACCCGGCAAGAGACAGGAAATTGGAAACTAGAAGGAAGTAGTAAATTTACTATGCCTAGGACAGTGCCCTATACTAATATTTAACCATCTCAAGGGTCTACGGCATCTTTGAATGCTGGGAACGGCTATCCGTTACGACTAGTTCGCTAGGTGGGATACATCTGCACTCCGGATTCTCGCACTCGTCACCGACAGCTCTTTAGGGAACCATTCCGCCAACTTCCCGCCCGGCCTCCCGGGAACCTCCGGCAGATCCTCCTCCCACAAATGGTAGTAGGTCGCCTGTCATGCCCAAGATTCCTGACCATACCTGCTCCACCGCCGAACCTTGGCCCCAGTTGGGCGAGAAAATGGTGATAAGCACAACGTTAACCAACCCACATTTCTCGCGTCCAAGCCCTTCCACACCCAGATTTCTACTCCGGGTAACCACTTCTTCATGCCTTGGGCATTCTGCACCGACTTCTGGAACATCTCGTTATCGAGATATAGGTCAGCGGTTTCAACCTCTCTAGCCTTGTCATCTCCGCAGGTCTCGAGTGCAGGGGCCACCACGTTGGCGATGCTACGTCAACGCGAGACGGCTTAGGTACAAGCTAGGGGATGCACTGGATACGCGGGCGGTGTCATGTCCCATGACGGCCCAGCCAGGACTGGGAGCGTATCCGGGGATCTGGCGATACCACGTCTGTGTAACGGCCCAGGTACGAGCTGGGAACACACCTCCCCCGCTGCTTTCTGGTCACGACCACGGCGCTACGGCCCACCGGCAACCCCAGGACCAACTTCCCGTTATCGCGAGTCGTCTTATTGCCTTGGACTCCACGGCTGTGCTTGTTTTCTTTTGATGTGGCAGGCTACCTGGGCCGTACAGGGTAATGTTGCGCATACCACCCTCAAGCAGGCTACGATGGCCAGTCTCCCATCTCGGAGAAATATAAAAAGAGGTAGGTTATAGTACATAGTGTGTAAGATATCTCAGTTGAAGGTAAGGTCCTTTGCGTGGAGACAAATGTGCCTATGGAAAGGTGCTAATGTCGCAAAGAAGTGCAATCCATCCTATTCTATGGTAAAAACCTCCCTTCCCGCAGCCGATCGAACGCTAGTATATAGCCCTCACCAGGCCCCAAGGTTTCCTGAAAGCCGATCTCGCGAGATGCCGTCAGGTCGAAGTCTATCCGCATCGGAAGAGACAGGCATACGCCAAGGATATCCCACTGCATGGCATCTAGAGCGTTTTCTCTGAGACCATTTTCTTGAATCCATACAGGCCACAAATCCTTTTGAGCCATGAGCCATTCAATTCCATAAAGCTCCCCTTCAGCTTTCGATGAGGGGCCGACTCCCTCGAGGCCAAAATAGTTACAGAGCACTGGCCACGTTACCTCCCACGAGACCGGGTCACCGTCTCCGATATTGAACGAGCGTCCGTCCGTCAGTTCCGCACGCATTGAAACGTGGATGTGGAAATGGGCAATCAAATCCTGCGAGGACTCAGTGCGCAGTGCTGTCCAGGACTCTTGAGATCCAGGAAACACACACTTGCTACCAGTACCGTTCTTCGAGCAAAAGTAGGATAGATAGAGCCCAAGAGACTGTGCTATATTCATAGCATTATGGTGCGGGACAAATCCAGGCTGATAAGTGAAATATTAGTCGGCATGACACAGAAAAGGCGTTAGGGACAACTGTAGGTTGCTCTGCTTTCTACAGACGGATGCACATACGAGATAAGACAGCCTGATTTCGGACCACTTCCACGAGCTTTCTGCAGCGTGTCTCGCCACCACATCGTATTGTGCATAGTAGAATATGTCAGACGCGTACGGCTCTGGCATGCGAGGGAGGTCCTCTTTCCAAGGCGCAGGCGGCCATCCGGCCCCGACTGTACCATAGCCCTGTTGAGCATTAGAAACAGTATTATCATAGTCTGAGGTTTACTAGCTTGCCTTTCCGCCGGTTTGCAATACAAAGAACTCCATCTTTGAACAGAGCTCGTTGAGTGCTATCAAAGCATTATCGACAATTGCCGCGTTTAGCTTGACAATTTCCTTTGGGTCGCCACCATGACCAGTATATGCTATTAAAGACATCATTATGTCTATCCTAGAAACAAGACCGGAAGTGGGCCTAAACTCACCAACAAAGTACACATGCGTTACATCTCCTATGTTGGGGATAGACCCTAGCTTCTCGTTGGTTTGATTTTCATCGGTGAGATCCAATCCCGAGTGGATTTCAAGTCGTGGATCATCTGGAACATGTGCTGCCTCCCGAGATAGAGGCCGATTGCTCAGGCCGATAACACGAGAAAATGTCTGTTTCGACGGATACCGCAGACATTCACGCATCAAAGCCCAGCCGGACTAGACCCTGTTAGATCATGATAATGAGAAAGGACGTGTACTTGCTATGCCAGAAGCCCCAAAAATGAGAGCAACATTTTTAGTGTTCGTGGTGAAGGTCATGGTAACTGTGCGAGGCCAGTGGCTGAGGCTGCGGGATTTGATGAGGTTGATTACAAGTTCAAGAAGGAGTGATCCTAAGAACTCGAGGGACCTAAAGATAGAAAATCCGAGGATACTGTGACGTAGTCTAAGTACTCGGCTTGGTCATGTGAGTGGTGGTGCGGCGGTGAGTCTTAGAGATCGGTCTCGCTTTCGGACTCTGTAGTCTAAGACTAGCCCGAGCCCACCATCTATCCGAGCATGCGGAGTTTGCGTAATTTATCTATCCAAGCATGCGGAGTTTGCGTAATTTATCTAGCTAGATCATGCACTCCACGTCATTTTCCCTACTTCTCCGCTCGAAGCTTACAAATCAGTCTATCTCCTCCAAAGATATATCAGGAGAGTGCAGAGAGCAGGCGCAGAAAATTTAAGCATACAGGGACAAGTTCCTCGCACATCAAGCCCTTCTTACTACATATCACAACGTAAGAACTCACTGGGGATACTGACTCCAGAAGGGATCTCTCGCTTACTAACTTAAGTTCGCTCCCTAGGGACCTTTCATCATGTCGATAGATGACCTCGAAGGCAGAACGGTGCTTGCCTCGATTAAGGAGACGATTGATGCCCCGGCAAATGAGATCTGGCCATTTCTTTCCGCTATCGGAGCGGAAAGAATCCTGATACCAGGGTGTACGAGGTCATCAGTCCTGGAAGGGTACGGAAAGGGTGCCATACGAAGAGTGTATTTCGGGGATGTCTTTTTTGACGAGCGGATCTTAGAGTGCGATTCGATACTGTATAAGTTGAAGTATGAAGTTATAGAGCCGAACCGGAGTCCAGCGACGGGTGTCGTTGCGGCGGTGCAACTGCACCCTTCCGAGTCGGAGAAAACAACCATCATTACATGGGTGTCCGGCGCCGAGATTGTCCCGCCAGAACATGCGGATATGCTCCGAGAACAGGCACTGGGATTCTGTCAAGGTCAAGCTGCATCTCTGCGAAGGTTGAGCGAAGCCGCAACTAAGACGACATGAATGTGTTATATATTTAAAGTTGCTGAAATTCTCACTTCATTCAGCTATTTACACAGACAAGCATCAGTTTCATCCGTTCTTGCTAAGTGTCACGACCCAGTTCCAGACCGGGCGGCCTTGTTATAATAGCTAGACCACTGTGCCAAAAGGAGGATGCATCCTCGAGCACAGTGGAATGCGTCTCAGATATATATCCCTTGCTCGTCTCAACGTCGCCAACGGATTTCAACGGCTCTATGCCGATCCCTGGGGCGGAGACAATCGAAAGCATTATGAAGAGCCGGCCTTGACCGAGGTGGATTTTGCCGTCGACGTGTACCGCGCGCCGTGTTCGTTGAGTCGAGCTGTTCCCTTCTCTTCGACCTCGCCGCTTTCGAAGAGGGTGCTTCAGGCTCCGCCGTCTTGTCTCGAGGCTTCGGTCGTGGCGACTGGGTTCTTACACGAGATGGAGATAGGGTCGCATGGGGTGACAGCGCCGAGATTCCTGGCCCAGACTCGCATCCTGGCATCGAACAAGACAACGAGACTTTGCGCATCGACGTCGTGAATACCGAGGTGGCGTCCTTCATTCTGAAATGGCGACAGGGTTGAGATATACTAGGTAATCTCTATTCTGGTGACACTTGCTTAGTAAACGTACATAGCGACTGACATCATATACTCCAATAGTGAAACAACCTACGGAGCGGGGCACATGGGGAAACCGACTGGGGTCTCCTATTTCACTGAAAGACTCGCGATAGTGCTCGGAGATGTCTGCATGAAAGCAAAGCCAAATACATGGAATTCACATAATCAACTATTTAAAACTATGCACTTGGCCATTCACACATTAATGAAGTCCCACAATGGCCCCATCTCCCTCGCTCCAGATGACCTTAATCTCAAGCTTCTTAATTTTCCAGATCCCCCCGTCGCTCTCATCCTTGGCCAGATCAACCCAGTACATGTTGCCCGTCAAGAAGCGAGGTGCCGTTGGGTTCCGGCCGTCGCCCTTGCGATAATGCTGCGCCAGGGCGTGGGACGTCATTGTCGCCGTGTCCGCCCCTTCCTTGACGTCGACCCGGACATTGCTCACCATGTGCGTCGTGTCGAGTCCGGCGCCGATAACCTGGAAAGTGTTTTGCAGGATGGCGTCGAGGCCTTCGACGGTGGCGATCCCGTCGAAGACGAAGACGGCGTCTTTATGCCAGGCTGACTTGAATATGGTTTCGTCGCTGGAGTCTAGGCCGACGATGCTACGGTAGAGTGCGTCCGGGATGGCTTCGCGGTCTGATAGACCCAGGTTTGCAGGGAGGGCAGACATAGTAGAGGTTGACGTGTAGGGGCTTAAGAAATATGTCTCGGTCTGTGTGAGGCTCTGGGATACAATGATGTAAATCAATTCTACCTGAACGGAGGAGGAGAGTCTGTCTTTTTATATAGTAGTCTTCTTCGTCTTGTATAACGTCGACATGGAAGAAGCTGTCGCAATTGTCGGATAGCTATCCCCGGCATATGCAATGTGCCTGACTTAAAGAGGCCTAGCTCAAGCGCAATCGACCAAGACAGGCTAGATGCGTCGTAGATACATCTAGCGCTTATTGTCGAAGGATTCAGTGTAGCATACTGTCACACACTCGGGTACTGCAGTGTCGTTTCGTACCCGAGAACCCCTTCCCTATACCCGTAGCCACTGCGCGCTGGCTTGTAAACAAATGTTGCTATTTATGAAACTCATCCTTCGCTTCACAAGCTGGCTAGCTTACACGCAGTCGAGCCAGACGGGCCAGATAAGTTGTCAATGGCGCCCGCCGTATCTGGCCTGTATATCCAACTGTTGCATTTGCTCCCGCCTAGCTGGCTTACCCCTCACCACCTCCTCTCTACCAGATCGGGCAATCGACAAGGGCTTGGCTAGACTTCCAAGTACAGACGTCACCATGTCTGGCTCGAGGACTAGAACTGGCTGCTGGACGTGCCGTTTGCGACGCAAGAAATGCGACGAAAACACACCGACATGTTCAAACTGTGTGTCACGGGGCCTGCATTGCTACGGCTATGGCGATAAGCCTGCCTGGATGCTCGACAAGCAGAATTGGCAGCAGGTTCTGGACTCAGACGAAGCAAAGTCTATTCGGAACGCCGCCGAAGGAGCCTATCGTCGACGCAGGCAGAAGAACGTGGGCACAATCCCTGGAGTGCTTGTCCAGCACCTGAATGAACCCTCCTCGGCCTTGCTCGATCTTGACCGTACGTGGTCGAACTGTACACAGCCACTCCGAGACTGTGACTATGCTCCCAACTATCAATATATCCATACATTTCTCGACGTTATCTTTCCACTCCAGTGGGGGTTTTACCGCCGCCCTAGCCGCAGGTGGCTCTTTGACACCATTGTCGCCTGCGAGCCCATGTATCATGCGTCGCGTGGCCTCTGCATCACTTTCGAAACGGGCGTTAAAGCCGGCTTTACCAACGGCCGATGCGAAGTCACACCAGAAGTTCGGTCATCGCGGCTGATGGCGTTGCGAGGACTCCAACCTTGCATTGACGAGATGCAGCAAAACAGGCTCTGCATATCATCACTCCCAAAGGCGGTCCACTCCTTTGCTACCATTCTGCAGCTCACCAGTCTGGAGATATATGGAGAAACTGAGGGTCTGTGGGAAGTTCATATGAACGGTGCTGGGACCATCTTGGATTTGATCGAAACCCAGATCGCCGGTGGCATAGGGCAGCTTCTTGCCAACCCGATCGAGACACCGGCCCTAGACTTCTTCGTCGCGACGTACGTTTGGAGTGACATTCTTGCTGAGGCTGCACATGGAATCTCATACAGCAAGCCCAGAGCCTTCAATTATCTGCCTCTCCTCCAAAGAGACCTCATCGACACGCAATGCATTATGGGCTGCCGCAACTCAGTCATGGCGATAATCAAGGAAGTTAGCATATTCGCCGCTTCTTTGAGCAATGGGCAGCAATCATCTCCGGACGAAAGAGTAAAAGCGCTCACCCTTCGGATTCAAGTCTTGATACAAGAGGAAGCTGCTGGCTTCTCACAATCAGCTGCAGGCCCCGAGGGAGACAGCAACTGGGTAACCCTTCTTCATGCACATGCCGCTCTGGTCTACCTCCAAACGGTGGCCGCCCACCAAGATCTTCCCAGGCCGCCAGATGTGCAGCAAACCGTAATGAGATGCCTTGAGCTTTTGGAGGCATTGCCATCCCGGCTGTTCATTCGGGTTTGCTGGCCATTCACAGTTGCCGGATGCACTGCAAGCGAAGGCTATGCTCCGAGGTTTCGAGCTGTCCTTCGGCGCGTGGAGGAGGATGGACAAGTGCTGGGGTTTACGTGGAAGGGGCTCATTATTATGGAAGAGTGTTGGAGGCTACGGCGTTGTAAGCCTGGGTCGACTTGGTGCTGGCGGACGACTATGGAACACATGCGATCGCGGATATTGCTGGTTTGAGACTCATGAACTGTAGTAGAAAGTGGGACACCGTTTAATCGCTTCAAAGTGACTGTTATTTGCAACTATTTATTCCTCCGCCTTTATTATATTTTAGTCCTTAGCCTCGCCATCTGCAGTCTCCTTCGTGGAACACTTATCTTTCAATGACAAAATCGCCAGCTTACTCAAATTTTTAATGGTGCCGGCACCGGCTGAGCAAATTGATAAATGTGTTGGGGAAAGTCTAGTTTCCTTGACCTAGATAGCTGACTGAGCTTGAGAGATAAGATAGAGAGGGGAAAGTTACGTATATGGAATCTACTATTAAGTTATATCTTATGTTAAGGTAAAAGAAAAAGCTAGAAAAAGAAGGAAGAAATACAAAGATATTCAGTTGCTGGCTCATACTTGAATTGATCCCGGCACATGTAAGGTAAAGCAAAGAATTGAAAATGGCGCGTCTTTGAGATTCTGTAAGTATTGAGTTCAACGAGCAACAATAAGAGCCAAAGAGTAAGTCTTCAAGTTATTATATTGAAGTACCAGGGGCTACACACTCCGCGAGAAAAGTCGTTACACGTGTGCGGGTGATTTCATTCAGGAGTGAAAAATCAGATAGATGCGTGACTGTCTTTCAGCTCAAGCACTGGAGGTCTTTGTAATGATTGATAAAGTCCGGGTCTCCAGTCTGCTTTCCGAGCCTTTTCTACCTAGAAGAGGTGCAGCATCAGAATAGAATTGCGCAGGGGCCTCAGTGGCCTGATATAGAAAGTCACCCCAGAACTCACCGCGACGGCCTTCAGAGCATGTAGAGGTTCGAATCAAAGAAGTCAAGATCTGCGCGCACGCAATATGAGCGATGGAGCAAAAGTCCCTTCATCCTAGAAAAGTCTATCTGAATGATGTTGCTGGTTCAGTGCTGATCTTAACGATATTAGTACCTTGACGCCGTTAGCGATGAGAGTGCTCTGTCCCTAGCTAGCTCACATAGAATGGAAACAGGCGGACCATAGCATTACCCAGTTTGCTATGTGAATTCTAGCAAAGGCCAATCATATAGAGTCTACATGAACTAGCACTAATCCTCGAAATGTGACATGGTCCGGTTAAAACCTTCTGCTTTTCCCCTAGCCTCGGCTTTAAGGCCTATCTGAGACTGAGTTGCACCAATCCACTTTCAGCATCCGCCGTATTATCGTAAACGTCCCCACATCCCGCGGGTGTCGGCACTGATGCTTATACCATTGATGTTGCAATATCTAAAGGCCTGTCGAGAAAGGAAAGTGGTTAATTCAAGGGCCGAAACTCAACACCAAAAGTTTCATGATATTGCCCAAAGAGGTAGGTGGGCAATTCCCGGCAGACGCGGCATCAGGCCATCGAACTGACTCCATTTTCCGTGATTTGAACACTTTCGATGAGTTGCTACATGCTTCAGTCCTGCAGGAGCATGCGATGTCCAAATGAAATGCCATAATCCGGAAATGCGGCACTTCGACATGAACTGCCTGCGGTATAGAGGATAGCGCGCAGTTGCGAAAGTCGAGCACGCAAAGGAAACACTGCCGAGCAACCGATGGGAGGTTATACAGAATCGGTATATAAATGTCGTGCAGCGCCAAGCCAAGACGACCGAAATCAGCATCAGAAGCAGCAACTGCCCAATCAACTCAGCTCTGACTTACTCCTTCTTTCACCATCACCATCAACATGAAGTTTACTCTTTTTCTCGCCCTGGCCAGCGTTGTTGCAGCCGCTCCTGGCCGCAAGCTCATCGCACGGGACACCTCTCCCATCACCCCTCGTTCTGCGCGACGATCCAGACACAGCTCTGCTCCTAACCAGAGGATCTTCTCTCTTGATTCTGCCAAGGACTCCAATGTCCAGTACTCTGGCAACTGGGGCGGAGCCGTCAAGATCGGATCAGGCTACAATCAGGTCCAAGGCACCATCACTGTTCCCGAAGTGAGCGGCGAGGATGGGTCTGCCGCCTCAGCTTGGGTTGGCATTGATGGCGACACATGCCAGACCGCCATTCTCCAGACTGGCATCTCCTTCTACGCCGATGGAACTTTTGATGCGTGGTACGAGTGGATTCCCGACTACTCGTACAGCTTCAGCAACTTTGACGTCAGTGTTGGAGATGAGATCAAGATCAGCGTAGACGCTTCCTCCAAGACCAAGGGCGTGGCAACTCTCCAGAACTTGAGCACCAACCAGAAGGTTTCTCATACCTTTACCAACACGCCCTCTACCCTCTGCGAGACCAATGCCGAGTGGATCGTTGAGGCGTTCCAGGAGAATGGCAGCCAAGTCACCCTCGTCGACTTTGGCACCGTCACTTTCACCGATGCCTCTGTCTCGGGCTCTGGAGGCACATCTGGACCCCAGGGAGCGGTTATTATTGATATTTCGCCTGACCAGGGCCAGACCGTTCTGACTGAGGGTTCTATCAGTGGGAGCTCGGTCACTGTCGAGTACGTTGGGAACTAATGTGTCCCATTGTGAGGTTTTACAGCCCGGAAAACCATGTTCAAAGTATACCAGGGAAGTTTCATATACTTAGGGAACAGTTTCCTAACACACTCGACCTTATACCGAGATGCTGGATTGAATAACTGCCTCTGTTCTAAAAAGATGACAAACATGTTGGATAGCAATGAGATTAGCTTAACACTCAGACAAGATAGATTTATCCAGAGCCTCTTTTGATATTTCGAACTGCTCAAACTCATACTATCAAGATCCTTAGCTATCCATAATTATCTATGTGACTGCCAGGAACGAAAAGTACACTATATTACTTCTACAAACACTGCTTCAAGCGCCTACTACCTCACAAATGCATCCTCGGCAAGACTGCCCAGTTTACCAGAACAGTCGAAAGTCAAGTCCCGGAACCGCTGATGTGCTTTCGGCCCCATGAAAATCATTGGATCTTTTTTATTCCTTCAATATCACTCCCATCCGACAGCTACACCAATTCCAGTTGTTTTCGTGGCACCCAAGCTCCCCCGAAAATGCTCCGCAGAGACACAGCTCGCATTCTCTGAATGCCTGATCATCAGTTCTACAATAAACCGGCGTCAGAGGCGTACTTGCACTAAGGACCATGACGACAGCGTTTCAGATTTTTCCATGAAAGCTGTACATGTCAGTGAAGACTATGAAGAGAAAAATTCTGCAAAAGGTGCGCTCTAGAGAACCCTGCTGACCTTCAAGATTATCATAAAGTAAATCATCGACAAGGGTTTTGAAGGCCTGTAGATTCGACTTGTAGTGCCAACCGGCATGTTCGTGATACTGCGGAGATAGACCAGTATGGTTGCTTCAAAGTCGCGGGAAAGTGGCTAAACTCTGAGAGGAACATACAATGATATTGGAAATCTTCGAAATTACCCATTCGTCAAGATCCTCGCCTCGCATCTAGTGCAGGCATCATGCGCCTTTGGTCCTAATCTAGTTCTTTGAAGATGATTGATAAACAGTGACTAACTACCATTATTAAACACGCGAATGCGTCACACGAACAACCTCCAATTTAGTACTCCAAAAGGAAATGGGTTCAATTTCTGCGTACAAAGAAATCCTTGAATTCGATGTTATTCTCCAGCCTTTCCAGTGTGATCTTATCGTACTGCAGCATGATCTCAAGGCCTCGGCCGTCTGCACGGCGTGGCGGCAGAATCATACAACGACCATCAGGCTTGCCCTCAGTGTCGCCGACGGTGCAACGCGTTGCCAAAGGGTAGCCAATTTCACGCCCAAAGTAGATTTCATTGAACCTATGGGCCTGGATACAGACAATGAGCATGTCGGGACCAGGATAGCGGTCAACGTTCCACGTCAGCGTTGTAGCTTTGGGCATTTGATTAAGGAGACCAACGAGACGTCTAACTGCCTTGTCGTTGACTGCAGCGATAGCTCCATGGATACGGCGCGCCGCCTCTGGGTAGATGGTGGCCCAGGCCCTTTCTGATGTCGATGATGATGATGCTGGTGACCCCTTTTGAAGGCTGGCAACGGGTAGCTTTGCTACAGCGTTTGGTTCCGCAAAGTTGCCCCAATAATTTGGTGGAACTGTTGGGTTCTCCATCCGGCCCCTACTATCAACAGTGATAGAGAGTTTGGCCTCGGGATACTTTTGAGGATCAATTTTCCTCGCTGAGACGACTTGACGCCAGAGAAATGCGCCCAAAATGTCGGTTGTACTAAGCCTGATATCAGGAACTTTGATCGAGACGCGGCTCTTGAGCAAGGCTAGCTTTTCGGCAGAGATGAAGTAAGTAGCATATTCAAATGTGGGAATTTCGCTAGCTTCGTAATCGGTGGGATTGAGAAAACTGGAGGCGTCTTCCGCAAGTTTCCAGTTGGGGAATTCTTCCAGAGTCATGCCCTGGTCGCCTTCAACCACACGGCTTCTCTCCAAGAATGGGATCGGGGAGGTAGGTTTGTTAAGTAGCCCATCGGCTATAGTCGCAAAGTGCGCGCCCATGGTCTTGTGCCACAGAAAGTTGCAGATGCCATCACCAGACACATGCTAGATGCTCATTAGTACCGAACTAAATTTGTGATTTGCAAAAAGAGGTTCCAGAGAATCAATTGACTTAAGAACCACGTCTCAGCCCAAATAAGAGAAAACAATGAAAGACAGAGCGGATACTCACGTGCAGGCAGCTTCCGAGTATGAGTCCCCCGGGTACGAAATTAGCTTGTACAATAAGCGATGGAAGAGTGACGTTCTCCTCCAGCTTGGCGGAGGTTCCAAAAACAACGTGTCTTGGCATCTTGCTGAGGGGGAAATGATCCTGCTCGAGTTGGTCGAAAGTGCCAAATTTCCATAAATCACGGAGTTTTGGTGATGTATAGTCTTTGTAATGGATCTCAACACCCTTGCTGGTGTCGAATAAAAGTTGAACCTCCTCGCGACCGTTGGAAGTATTTTTCTGCACACAGCACGCAAGCTCCGGGATATCATCTACAGTGTTGATCAAAGCCATCTCAAGAACACGGAAAATACTTCTGATATCCGCATCTGGAGACAGTTTGAAAAACAGACAGAGCGAGATGTAGTCCCTAGGTGCGATTTGATCGATCACAGAGAGCTTGACCACTTTGCCATGACTGCTTGGCTGTGGCTGTATGATTGTGACAGAAGTGGCTTCATGGCAGGCAGCTTTGACGATGTTACTCACGTTCGATGCCTCCGTTTTTCCGATGCTCATTCTTTTGGTTACTTCCATGAGGAGAATCGGTTAATGACTGAACAGTGTACACTGACTCGGAGAAGAAAATAACAAGGTATGAAACAGTGTTATGAAGTGGAGGCGGAGAGTGGGATTCCCTATTAATGTACAAGAAGCATTCTCTGATCAGTGAGTGCTGCTACTTGAATCTGTGTTCTAGGCTAATACCATGGCTAAAAGCCTCTAACCCCGATAAGTGATGAAATCTGAAGGATCGCAACGACGAGTGATCGCTGTAGTCCCTGAAGCCCGGCGACATGTAGCTCCATAGAGTAGGATCCTACTCATCAACCTGTATCAGGATCTTCCCAAGATCCTGGTCGGCATTTTTCGTAAAGCGTCCACCTTGTGTGCATGAGCGGCCCCTTAGTAAACGTCTGATGTAACTCAACCTTTCCTCTAGACTTGGTTGAGTCTACTTGGACTTGTACATTTCCTCACAAAACATCAGCTTGAATGCGGGGAAGACGGACCCTGGTAAAAGGAGAGAGTCTATTCCATCGCTTGGACATTAAATGGACGTTTCATTTAACACTACCTCGGCTGATTTCTTGCAGCTAGCATTTGAAAACGTCCGAGCACGATTCAAAGGAGGTCAGGATCGACAAGCCCTGATAACATGTGCTCATTTACAGCAACTCCCAAGAACGTCACATGCGACCTCGGATTTTCCTGGATTAGTATTAGCTTGCGAAGCGCATACGAGGTGAAACCAGTATCAGCTGCGGAGTCGAAGCCATTAGCCTTTTGTCCGCGTAACGACTCTGTAGTTTCTGTCTTAAGAGGTCTGGGCCTTCTAGGAACTGTATCACGTCCTAAGACCACCTAAGACCTCGAGTGAAGAACAGATTCGCGTGCCTGCCCTCTCACTATCAGAGGTTCTTGACTTCTCCAATGGAGCCTCCAGCAAACCTGACGATACCATCAGCCTCGTCCAGCTCTTGGGTTCAGCCTGCAGGCCCTTTACACCCTCATTTAATCACATGTTCTACTCTTGACAATTTGACGGCTCCAGTCTATCCTTCGCCATCGAAATTCTTTCCCTTAAAGCCAGACACTGATCCCCGACAACTTTACGAAGATTGCAAACGTGGTCTCGCCCGTTGTATCTACGAGCACCCGCACCTTTCTGGTATCATCATCAAAGATGAAACTGGGCGCAACTCGGTCGAAATCCGCCCGGCACCTTATGCTGGCACCAACTTTGAGTACCAAGACCACCGAGACGATGACGATATGCCTTCATATGAGGAGTTCAGAAATGCTGGCTGGCCGTTTGGGGACGGCGAGCGAGACGGTCTCAGCAAGCTGCGCCCAAAACACTTTCCGAGCACTCAGGATGGCGATCCCGTCATTGCTCCTCAGTTCAATGTCATCAGAGGCGGAATAGTGTTGACCATGTCAATTGCACATGCCATTGGAGACCTTGTGCAGTTTATGGACTTTGTCAGATCTTGGGCACAAAACACATTTGCTGTGGCCGATGCTCGCACAAGAGGCCAACCCGAGCCACCACTACCGCAACAAATCGCGGCGCATTTGATGGACCGCTCGCCGCTTTGTCCGAATGTGCAGATTGAGCAAGATCTCGACAAGTTGGTAGCTCGCGCAGCCAAACTTCCACATCTGACTTTGCTCGATCCTCGCAACCCCGACGAAATTTGCAGAATCGTGGATGAAATCTTCACAAAGGCTCGCTTAACAGACCGTGATCTAGCAAACGTGCCCGAAGATGAACTCCGCCAGCAATTGTGCTCTGTCTGGACTTTCCCGCAGTCATCTATCAAAGAGCTACAACGCGTCGTTCAGGGGGCATCGCCCAGAGACACCAGGTTATCAGCTGTCGACTGTCTGACCGCGTTCGCATGGCAGCGTTTCTTCATAGCCAAATGGGCCCCAGACATGCTGGGTCCAGATCCCGTTCCTGACACGACACGTATCATCTTCGCTGGGAGTATTCGCCGACGTCTGACGCCGCGTCTGCCTCACAACTACATGCCGGCTTGTGTTGACCTCTTTCCCGTGACTGTGAAGACAAGCAACTTCGCATCCTCATCCCCAGAGGCCTTGGCTCTGGCAGCAATGATGGTTCGCAATAGTAACAATAGTTGGAGCGAGGAGGCATTCCGCGAGATGCTTGAGATTGCTCAGGCGCATCCCATGAGCCCAGGCATAGTACCGAGAGGGCCAATCGATGCACTTGTCACCGACCATACGCGTGCAAGTGCGGCTGTGCTTGAGGATTGGGGTCCTGGCCTTGGCCGATGTGAGGGGCTGCGCGAACCATATCTCGGTCGAGTCCCCCCTCGTGGTGAACTTACTCTCTTGCCACGTTGGCATGATGGCGAAGTAGACATTCTTATCGCCGGAGAGGCTGTCGTACTACAACGATTGAGGGATGATAGGTTTATGAATGCAATGGCTTCGTGTCAGTTCGTTATGGATGATTTCGTTAAGAGAGCTGCGAAGGATCGGCTGAAGTCAAAATTATGACGGATTTATTGAGGCCAATTCAACCAGGGACTTCGTATTTAATACAATGTGAAGAATAAGAATAACAATGATCTCGATCTGTGTTTCCTCCAGTTCCCTTTCTGTAATGGCCTCGATGCCCTGGCAGGGGACGGTGCCACCGCGGGCGACGACTCTAGAGACGGATTACACGGTAACATGCTTGAATAGGCGACTCTAAAGAAGAGATGGATTGGAGTGGTGGCTATTCCACACAAGGTATTATAAGCACTGCTTATTCGGGACTGAAAGCTCCAGAGAGTCTAGAAGGGAGATTCAGTACTTGTTGAACTACAGTGATGAAGTACACTGTATATCATTCGGCTTTCACCATTCATGATGACTGAATTTCCAACAAGCCACTTCTACTGAACTCATCGCGAGTCCATTCCCACAGTTTCCTCGCCAGGTCCCCATCCCGGGCAGACGCACTAGGTGTCCCAACCTTTGTATACGGGACAATGTATGCTCCAGAATCCTTGGCCCCGAATTCGTCACTTGCGAGTGCGAATAGAGAAGACCATGCACCCTTCGCCTCCTCATCCAGAATGCCCAAGCAGCGCATGATAGGCGTGATGGCACGGAGTACGGAGCTAGGCGCTGCTCCCGTGGCTTGCTTGTTGAGGTTTCTACTCCAGTCAGTCGGTGCTATTATTGGTGAATGATACGGTCTTACGTATCTATATGGCCAGGGTGAACTGCAGCAAAACAAATAGGATTGGAGGTGCCCGGGCCAAACATGGAATGCAACTGCTTCGTGTGGAGAATATTCGCAAGCTTGCTCTGGCCATACCGGGTCATTGCCGATTCTTTTTCCAACGAGACGTCATTGAAGGCGATGCCACCCTTGGGGGGGAAACGGGCATGGCCGTCAGATGTAACGTTGACTACCCTCACGATGTCTTTGGGGGACTTGGCTGCAGTAGCTTGAAGGAGAGGCAAAAGGTGGGATGTGAGGAGCCAGTGGGAGAGGTAGTTGGTCTGATGGTAGAAAGGTCAGCTTTATTATAACGGGGTGCATTTACCCGCATTTAGCTGACCTGAAATTGCACTTCGTAGCCATCATCGGTCAAAGCAAAGGGAACGCCCATGATGCCAGCGTTATTGACAAGCCCATGCAGAGATGTTTCGTCACTGCGCAGCTTCGTCGCTGCAGACACAACACTCTGGAAACGCGACAAGTCAAGAATCAGAGGCAATATCTGAGCCGAAGGCATTTGGGCTTTGATCTCTTCAATGGCCATAGCGGCTTTGGCTTCATTGCGGGCACCGAGGTAGACTTTGGCGCCCTTGGAGGCCAGAGCGATGACGGTCGACCTGCCACTACATAAAATGTCAGACTCGAACCGCGGAAGAGAAGATGAGAGATAACGGACATTCCCGTATTTCCACCAGTGACGAGATAAACTCGCCCTGCGAGGTCAGGCAACGAGTCGGGTGAGAAGTTTGACGAAGGCATGCCGGGAATGGGCTGAGTAGAATGTTGAGGTTGTTGTGTTTGAAGATGACAATCCGAAAAACAAGCCGGAGATGAAGGCGGTATTTATGTCCATTCAGCCTATCATCGTAGAAAGGTTTCGTCGTGTTCACGCCCGCAACTTCCGGAATTGTTTGGCGTAGTGCCGTCCGCATCAGCACGATCTTCGCCCGCCTTTGTCCGCTTGAGGTCCACTTGAGGTCCGCTAGTGTCCGCACGGCGGGTGATACTACCTTCCAACGGTGGTGAGCTCATTTATGTAGGTAGCATTCAGTGCTTATCATTGCGCCTCTGGAGCCCAGACTGACATCAGCAGCTCGACAAAATCGTATCTCATGTCTCTCCCAAAAGTGGTATTGAGATGCGGACCTTGACGAATGAAGGCCGCGAGTAGTCCGTACCCACGCTGACGCCACGTAGATGGAGTTTCGGAAGCGACGGCCGACTGAAATTCACCATCAATCCATCTCTTTCATTCTCTTCCTCAACTCGGGTACCAACAGCATGCCAATTAAGCTCACATAGAAACTAGGGTTGGTGGTGCTTTTAATTAGGAGGTGAAAAAGAATCGGATCCGGCAATTTCGATGGGACTCTCCCTTGCTTCGTCACACATGTCAGCCGAATGAGCACACAGAAACAATCATTGAGAACGATTTTGAAAGCGACAGATCGAGTTAAACAGAAGACTTTTAAGACTGACACAGAGCTGAAGTGCTTAATACTAGCGGCTCGGAGCTTGCTCGGAGCGCTTTTCTGACCGACGGCCAGTGCCTTTAGTACGTCGCAGTTGGCCCCGAGGCAATCCCCCGTTTCTCATGTGAATTCATCACAGACACCATCCAGCAAAACACTTGGTCGTTAAGATTATAGACAAGGCAAAATTTGGAGACTCAACAAGGGCATGTCCTGCTCATGCCTGGCTCCCGTTCATGCGTCTCGTATACGAGTCTGCGTAAATATACCTACTATCGCCAACAAGTGGGGGAAATGTCCAAGGCATTAATTGGTCCCTCTAAAGCTGTGGTTAAATCACTGACTTACAGATTCCGGTCAGCGGCCAGCGGGCATCAAATCGACTCTAGCTCTGCCGACTGGATGCGCAATAACCATAAAGAAAAGCTTGAATATTCTACGCGCTGACTGAACCCCCATAACTTGCCACCCAATTAAGGAACCCCAGTCTCTTTTCAGCAACCGGAAGCGATTTTACTCTGGTGGCTGTCTTTAGACGCGGTCTAGGCGTCAATAGTTCAGGCGTCTAGCCTCTGGGCGGGAAACTAAGAAACCGGCTGACCTTTCACAAGCACAAAACAGAGTCAGCTCTAGCTCACTTTACTGGACTAACATCCCTTGGGTCGCCTTGGCATACCCTCGTGGCTGCTGGGAAATTGGATAAAAGAGTCTCGACCGCTGCGGCTGAGGGGCAGGAATGAAGGAAGACACCTAGGAACGTGGGAATTCTTTTTGATCGACTCCTTCTCTTCAAACTGGATAAATCGCGATAATGGCTTTTCGGTTGGCCAAATTCACCATGAAGTCGTTGCTACTACTCGGTAGCTTGTTAGCGGCTGCTCAGGGCAAGACCAGAACCAGTGACATTTCCGCCGTCTGCAGCGGACTCTACGGCGTCATCGGATGTACGAGAGAACTGGAATTCCCACTCGGATCAGGCGCAGTGTTTTGTAAGCTGTGTTAGGAAGCTGGAACAGGTTCATGTGGTCGCTAACTAGAAATCAGGCGATGTCAACGGCAGACAGGAGCAATGTGGAATCGACATTTACGTCGACACGGAAAACATCTGCAATGCGATTAATTCCGCCCTTTCTGATGACGGAAAGTTTGTCGACCAGGCCGAAGTGCACTGCGGATGCTTGCCAGCTGCCCAGAGAAATCATGATGACCATCTCAAGGACGGCGAGAATTTGGAATACGTCTGGCAGGGCTATCTGTCGTACGACATCAAAGCGGAATACATGGCAGACCTGATAAAGACCGAAGAGGTAATCCTCGCTCACGTTGAGTTAGGACTCGCAGCTGGGCATCCTGCTGATCACCATCATCATAGTGTCTCATCGACAACGGTTTTCCCTACCAGACTGGCAGAACCCGAGCAATCTCCAAGTATCTCCAGCCCAAGGATGGCTGGAAAGTCTTACGTCTTCAAGAGGTGAGGATAATCCGAGACTCCCCGGCGATTGACTGACAATATTAGGTCGACATGAACCTTTACCGAAGGCTCGTAGCAGCGACTTGGACTTGTAGCTTCGACATTGACAACTGCAACAAGGCGCGGTTGAGGGCTTTCTTCATTGACTACATCAGCAACTCCGATGGCGTAACAACCAGCGAGCTGACGCGCATGTTTCAGAGCTGGCTCACACTCTTCGATACCATCCAGAAGAGAATCACAGCTGTGAATAAAGCAGCAATGGCCGTCCAGTCTCGTCTCAAGACTGTTTCCGGCAAGGTTAGCTCGATCAAGAAGAAGGTGTGCCAAAAGAACGCATGCAAAGGCAAGACAGTATCTTCATATCTGACAAAAGGTGAGTTATTCGATCTTAGACTGGCCACAAAATTTGACGAATTGTAGCATCCAAAGCATTCACGGCAACCAAGACTCTCAACAATATTCCAGCTGCGGGCGCCAAGGCAGGCAAGAATATCCCCAGGGCCAAGCACCTGACCCAGATGTGCCTCACGTCTGCGACAACTCCTGCCAACGAAGACTATTACTACGAGCTGTTCCTGACTGCCAACTTTGGAACCACAAAGCACTTGCCCAAGGCATTCCAACTCGTCGAAGACTTTCCCATCGCAGCTTCAGAGCTCAAGGGTCTCGTTGTCCCGATGTCAGATCTCACCAAGCACTCAACTCGAGCCCGTGGCGTCCAAACACACCTCAATGGCATCCTCAGCCAAAACTGGAAGACCAACAAGGAACTCTCCAAAACTAAGGCGTCTCGCAACGTCCGTGACGGCTTCATCCAGATCCAGACCCTCGTCAAGCGAGACCTGCGTCCTCCCGTCAACGACTTGATCAAGGCACTAACGGCTCTCCATGCGGAGCTCGACAAGTTCCCGCTGCGGAGCAAGACGCTCGAGTTCAGGTACGGCGCTGTGCCGTATGAGCGCTGGAGCACACAGGAGTGGGAGGTGCCGTGTGCGCAGGATGTTTGGCGGGAGTTTGAGCAGGGAGGGTTCAAGGATGCCAGGTACTTTACTGAGATTCAAGTCTGTGACTTTGGGCCTAACCGTATTACTTTCCCGGACCACCACCTTCCTTTCATCAAGTACCGGTTTGTGTAATTTAGCAAATCACATCAAGGAAGTTTGGCTGCAGAAATGACTCGATCAGGTGTCGATCAAATGCTGCTTCGACCAATAGATCTCGCAAAAAGAAATTGTCGAAGCTGTTATCCTTCTACGTGAATTCCCTCTCGATGTCATCAAGTTCGAATTGACAGCTAGGAGGTACCATAGTATAAGTGAGTCATCATGCCTCACCACGGCAATGCATCAAGGTCTTACTGGTCCGGTTGCGTGGGAGCGGCACCACTTTCCATGACTTAGTCCCTGACAAGTACTCAAATATATAAAGGATCGACCCTTCCTGTTCAGCTACTCCTTATTGTTCAGCTGCTTACTGTTTCTTCTGGTGCTGGGTGTAGCACTTAGTGTTTATCTCGACTGTTTGAGATTACTGTATGGCTTTGATCTATCTGATGACATTGAGTAGAGCTAAAAAAACCAAATATAGAGGATCGACGCGCCACTTACCTCGGCGCCAGGAAATGCATGTTAGCGGTGATTAGCCAAGCGGTAACCAGTGCAATCGACATGATGGCATGACAGTGCATCGGAACGCAGAGCCTTCCTACAGCAGGAAAAGTACTCTACTACTCCGCTAGATGCAGAGAACGGTGCTGGCTGGATGCCATTAAATTGCATAGAAATCAAGTGCCAGCACTCTCTACGTATGGCCATTGGGCAGGGTGGCTGAGAAGTCTAATAGGATAGCCGATTGAGGCCAAGGCAGTACCAGCTCGATGGTGGTTAGGGGTTGGCAGTTCGCTTCCATTCTTGGATTTGTTTCACCATTCCATCATCCCGTTGCAAACAGATGATCTGGTAGATGTCCAGAATGTCACTTGACCAGCCTAGAATGAGCCTCGTCCATATAACCGTCTGTAATGCCCCCTAAGTCATCAGAGCAAGTTCCGGTGGCGGCCCCGATGATGATGCATGGTAGGAACGTGGCAAGGGGCGCTCAGGCAAAGCGGAAAAAGGCATTACCTCTTCAGTTTCCGGAAGCTCCATTTGTTCGAGGTTCCGTAACGGTCGGTCGTTGGCTCGCGCGATATTCGTCAAGGTTCGAAGAAGGTTCCAATGCGCCGACCGCCAAACCCCCATCTGCAGCTTCGCGCCGTAGTCCCAGCCCTAGCTCGTCTTCTTAGTCTCGACGTAGAGGGCGATCGACTGATATCGCACAGTGCAGAAGGTGTATGGTTGATCAACTGGCCAGGCAGGGAGAGTCTGGTGAGTGCTTGCGATTCTCCATGTGGTTTCGGTCGAGGATTCGTCGTTCGCTGGGTCGATGTAGGTGCAGACAGACGTCTACTTTCTTGGGTTGCGACGGGGTCAGAAGATAGCAAGGGATGATGCTCGCGGTGGTACTAATAAACGTTAGCATGTAGAACTTGTAGGTGAAGGATAGGCGCCTGACCATGGCATGTGGCCAATATCTTTACATTGTTGACGGAGGACATGCTCGATAGTAGATCTAGAATCGGTTCGTGATAGACTTGGCGCTGCTTCAAGCTTTCTCGCAGGACTAGCGATAGATCTCACGATGGCTCGGTGACCGAAATACCTACAATCCAGTCAAATATGCGATATGATCACATTTCTACTGGCTGATGAGATGTCTCGACTCCTTGTCTATCGTCTGACGCGTCAGTTGGCCTTGTTGACATGGACCTTGATTCGAGGAACGGTTTGGCGCGGAACGTCGGATGAAGGTTATTCCGTTCACACGGAATACTTGGTCATTCATTAGCTGTGTGCTTTGTTCGCAATCAATTACGAGTCGTAAAACAGTGCATTTCTTTACACATATATCCGCCGAAAGCTCAAAGTCTGTTTCCAGCCTACTCTCGTATTTGCTATTACTTGAATATATCGCAAGAGTAATTTAAAACATTTCAATCAACATTCCACCACTCGTGCAGGAGTGTCTTGTCGAAGTATTTCTTCAGTCTAGGGTAAGCCAATTGTCAAGCGACCGATGAGACTCTAAAAACAACTATGACGGATCAGGGCCGTGTATACCAGTGGAAACATCTAAGTCCGCCTTGAAAAGACAGGGTGTGTATTAATATGGGCGGGTAAGATAGTGTAGCTCTTATGTTAAATAATCATGAAGGAGTTGCGGCACGTACAAACACAACAGAAGAACTTCCCTCCAACACAACATTGCATAATTGTGATATATGATGGATCCGTTACGGCCAAATTGATCAATTGAATAGTGTTCAAATTGATGATGATGATCGTGGTGATCCTTCCTTCAGGTCATCCGGACCTTGGGGTTATCTGACCCCCCCTTACTGACTAAGGTCCGGATATCAGTCCAGATATCAATCTATTGAAGGTTTCCTAGTACAGGGTCTCTTTCCAACAATAGATATATAATTATCATTGTGGTAGTGCACCACCATTATTCAAATTAATAAAGCGAGCCAAACAGAAGATAATAACCCATCCTTTCATCATCACCTTCGCTCATTCCCAAGTGATTCGTTCTGATATACCAGTCAATGGCACAGTCTCATCGCTAGACGGCTGACCATTGGGCATACGTCTGAACCGTTCTATTTAGCTATTCCGATACTCGAGCAAAATCCAAGTACGCCGCCTTTGTCAGAAGCCGCATCTTCTTCCCCCAAACAATCAGTAGCCCGGATGCAAAAGTGATGACAAAGGCCAGAATGGCAACCATGATAAAAGTATCCTGCACCCCCATACTATCAATCCAAGGCTGAATGCCAAAGGTTAAGGCGCTACCGATGATGTTGCGGATCAGGATGACTGTCGTGACAGCCTCACCATCGATGGCAGTGTAGCAATCCACGACGAACGCCATGGTCAGGGCCGCTGCAACCGACAGGCCGAAGCCCACGAACCCCATACCGATGATAGGAGCAATCCAGGGCAGACCTTTTGCGGCGCCAACGCCGTAGAGGATGAGGCCTGCTGGCATGATGATTGCTGTTGGGAGAAAAGACCAAAGGCGGAACTCGGGTTCGCGCCAGCCGCGGTTGCGGCGAGACAGAAACATCATGAGCTGATCGTTGAGAGGACCAGCGAAGTAAGAGCTGGAGGATCCATGGTTAGCGTGTCCATGGTGAGATGGCTGAAAGACATACCCGAATAATCCACCGACCAGCGGAGATAACCAGATGAGGCCCAGGGCATCATTGCCAAAGTTGTACGGCGAAGGGCTAAGGATGACAGCAGTAGTTGTGCCCAGAACGCTAATCCAAGAGACAGAAGTACCATATTCGATTCCGCTCTGTTATAGATCAGTCCTCATGTTACATCATGTTCACAGAGGGCGAGGTGCCTACCCAGAAAATGGCTGGAAACCAAGCCAGCTGCAGCGGTCGGTAACATTGCTGGATAAAGTCCCGGAGAGTGCCAGGGAAGATGGTCCACAGGCTGAACTGGAACCTGAACGAGTTTGCTTCTAGGACTTCGCCAAGTTTGTGGACGGTGGTGTTGCTATTTCGGTGGTGAAGCCCATTCTTCTCTGCCTTGACATCTTGGTGAATTGCCTCGAGACCTTCGGAACTGGCTCTCTCAGCCGGCGGAATTGACCCGTCCAGAGGCCCCGAAACCTGCCAGGGCGGCCTAACAAACCGAGTCTCCTCGAGGGTGAAGTACATGGCCACCCAGACGACAGCGCAGAGGATGGCTCCCCATCGATACACCCACCGCCAGTGGAGGGTCTTGACCATGTATCCAGAACAGATGGGGCCCATGGAAGATCCGAATGATAGGCCAAAGGCCCAGATACCCATATTGAGGCCTATCTCATGCGCAAAGAAGACATCGGCAATGGAAATCGCCACCAAGGCTTCATACGGCGCACGGCCGAAGCCGAATAGGACATGAGCCCCGATAAAGTCGCCAGCGTTCCGGGCCTCAGCAAGCCGAATTTGACTGGCGATGGCGAGGATCAGGCTTGATAAGTAGGTGAACCTGCGACCAAACTCTGCGGGTCGTTAATTGCGGATTCCACATGCAGGACGTCGATGGGAACTCACTGTGGGAAAGAGGCGTAAAAAAGACGTTGCCAATACCGAGCATCAGTAAAGTCAAGGCTGTGCCAACGTTCATGAGAGTGACGGAAGTGCCCAGAGCTTCCGTAATGTTGAGATAGATGGACGCTTCCCAGTTGCCCAAGGCAGTCATGAGAGTGCTGTAGATGACAAGCAGGAACAAGTGATACCTCTTGCGCCAGGAAGACCAACGCAGAGGATCGTCCAAGTCATCAGCCGGCGTGGGTATCAGGATGATCTCGGCCTTCGAGTCACCATTTAAGATTGACGGCTGTTCGATGATGTAGACTGTTCCAGGGACGACATCATAGTCCTGGGAAGGAGGGCGGTCGCGTGCGGTAGTCTCCATGATAATGTTACTGCTTGCTCAAACTATGGGCAGAGGTGAAGAAAAGAGGCTTTCCGCAGCTGAACAACAACTTCTTATAACAATTACGGCACAGCGCAAAGTGAAGCTCCATGGCGTAGGAGTTGCTATCTCAACATGTTGCCGATTGAGATGCCGGTCGATGAGTCTCTTGTGATGATGGCGAAACTCTTGTAAAGTGGATAGTGAGACTAAGCTTAGAGGTCTTCCGACACGCTAAGATGGTTCGGATTGCATCGGCTGTGGAGTTTGAAGTGTCTCCGAACAGGCCGATGGCTGATAGCTAAACCAAAAAGAGTCTTCCGACACACTAAAAATCCGGGGAAGCAGAAGATACCATGGTAATCTTCGATATCGGAGAGGACCCTTTGTCTCTCCCCGCATTGCATTGCGTAATTAGTCAAGAGTCAAGCATTCCGAAGCCGAGTCCGATCAATGGATCAATAATAGAGTGAATTCTTATTAATTTCTGGGGCTGAGGACGTATAACTTGCCCCTGCCGATGACTTGCGGAAAATGGGCCCCTAGGTGGATGTGGTTATAAAGGATCAGCTGCCGTGGCCCCTTTTCTCACAGTAGTACTATCAATCAAGCCTTTTCCCCATTCGATCTCCCTCTATCATCCTCCAATAATGACGGTCAAGACTTCCTTCAAACCCAGGCTTGATGAGGTGCGGCAAACGGTTGAAGGCTACATTCGGGGTCTGTCAAACGACCTGTACACGTTAAGCAGACAGGTGAGACCAAACTCCTTTGGCCTAACGAACAGGCTTAACTGAAGAATATGACGATGCTAGATCCATGACCAGCCCGAGATCGCATTCCAAGAGTTCAAAGCCCAGAAACACATTTCCACGTTCCTCCAGTCACACGGCCACCACGTGCGACAAGGAGCATACAATCTGCCCACAGCGTTCGAGTCAAAGCATGGCTCGGGAGGTCGTTGCGTAAACTTCAATGCCGAGTACGACGCCCTGCCTGGCCTCGGTCATGCTTGTGGACATAACTTGATTGCGACGGCTGGTGTTTCGGCCTACCTGGCATTATCATTTGCCTTGGACAAGTATGGCATTCAAGGTAGGGCGCAGTTGTTGGGTACGCCGGCTGAGGAAGATGGCGGAGGAAAGATCCTTTTGCTTGAGGCGGGAGCGTACAAAGGTGTCGATGTCTCTCTCATGATGTAAGTCCTTTTGTTAGCTCAGCCTCTCTCGTGGTCCTGCTAACTTAACGTTGAAACTAGTCACCCAATCACTGAAGCCGAGTTCCGACACCAAGGCACCCTTGGCTCAACCGGCTCAAGCTCCATCGCAGTAACAGACTTGATCGCAGAGTATCGAGGCACCAGTGCCCACGCCTCAGCAAATCCATGGGATGGCGTCAATGCCCTGGATGCTCTCGTTGGGTCGTACAACAACATCTCAATGCTGCGGCAGCAGATAAAGCCCGACGAACGCATACACGGCTGTATCATGGATGCGCCAAAATTCACAAACGCTATCCCAGAATGCACAATAGTCAAGTACTCGATTCGAAGTGCTAAGATCAAGACTCTCGAAAAGCTGTCTCAGCGTGTGCGAAGTTGCATCGAAGCAGGCGCGACGGCAACGGGCTGTGAGGTTGTCGTCACAGAGGAGCTAGCGTACGCGGATCTATGGGTAAACAAGCCTCTGAGCCTGCTTTTCAAGCAACAGATGGATGCCCTAGGTGTTCCCGTATCTGTTCCAGCAGAGGGTGATACTATCGGCGGCTCGACGGATATGGGTAACGTCAGTCAAGCAGTGCCTGGGTTGCATGCCATAATCGGCATACCCGCGCCTCCAAGTACTTCTATTCACAGTCGAGCCTTTTCAGAAGCTGCCGGTACTATCAAAGCGCATGAGAGGATTATGGAGGCTGCTAAGGCAATGGCTCTGACGGCGTGGTCCATTCTTGTGGAAGAGGGTGTGTTTGCGCAGATTGAAAGGGATTTCCAAGACCGATGTTCACAGGCGTAGAAAATGGTATTACGCTTGACCATGTTCAAATCTGAAGTCTAGATACTGAAGGGACACGTATCGGTATTCAGAGAAAACGTGTAACCGTCTGTTGAGAGGGTGCCTCCTCCATGAGGAGCTGGATAAGAATACGATTTATAATATTTTTGTGCTTCAAACTCCCTGATATTCAAGTTACAGAGTACGAGAATATCAGGAGTCTTTGTTGATATACCACTGATCAAAAGCACCCTATTCTTAGAGAATCACCAGCTCTAAAAGGGAATCATCAAATAACACATCCAACCCCAGTGGCTCAACTAACAGACATCTTTCTTCCTGAGACCTGCTCATTTGTTTAATCTTCCCAGATGAAGCGCTGAATCTGTGTGCTGAATCCGCGTCCATAGTCGAGGTCGAGAAGCATACACCTCCCCATGCAGAAGAGAGGAAATTGAGGACTGACGATATCGCCCTTTCCCCCGCAAAGTGGCGCATGGCTTCGAGATGTGCAACTATCACAGACTTATCCTCGGTTGAAGTTGCTGCAATGCCAAGAACGGCAATTGCCCACAGGAGGCATGGTAAGTTCGACCGAACGAGGCGGAGATGGAGTAATGACGCCTTGAAAATGAACACGATGCTTGCATCGTCGGCTGTGATTGTTGGGCAGACAAGTTTTGCGATTAGAAGATTGGTTGCGAGAAAGTAGAGCTCTCGCATATGAAATCCCTCGCTGGTTAGACTGGCGCGAGGAAAAGACGACGTGGGGTCTGAAAGGTTGTTCGTTTCTCCATCGATCGCTGTTCCACTCCTATGGAACATCGGCTTATCGTTGGGCGAGACTCGGCTATGTCCGTTGTATGCAGATGTAATAGCTGAAACTTCTTGTTGGAGGTTGTTGAGCCGCGTCTGCAACTCATGCAGCTTGGTCTGGATGTCATTTGAAGACATGTCCTTCCGGTAATGGAGGAGATGAGATGCCTTGAAGATAATGTCAAAAGTCCATACGGGGAGCCAAGCCGACAGACCAGCTTTTATAAAGTAATCACCACCCGCAATCTCCTGTACCGCCGAGGAGCTGGACCACAGATCAATTATTCTCGAGAGATCTTGGTAGTTGGGCAAGCAGCTTGGGCGAAATGTGCTGTTGATCGCAATCTGGTATATGAAGGCTTCCAGCATCAACGCCTGATGAGAGCTTGATGGTGGTCGGTTGATGACTGAATGGAATTTGGCTGCCGCTGCCAGATGTGCTGTAGTTGAATTATTGCCGAAGTTTCCAAATCTCTACACTACTTGTTAATGTCTGTGGACAGGCAGCACTCCGATGAACGTACGCCAAAGACGTGCATTATGAGCACCGTAGCCAAGTTGGACTCGTCCTGAGCATTGAACCCCTTTCGGATGTTAATACGGAGTTCTCGTATGGCTTTTGTATATTGCCCGAGTGCATGTGTGCGCCAACCCGGCTGGAACTGTGAGATGAGGATAGCTGAGCACGAAAGCCAGGCGTGGAGCATGCTTCGGGATCTTGATAGGGACGAGAAGCCTTGGGTAAGAAATGAATATTCGTGGCCGAAATCGTGACCTGACGTAGCTTGGTCAAACACCTGTAACAAGTCCACCAAGGAACACGGTGGAAGGCCTTTGGCGCATTCTGTGAAGACGGTTGAGGGGCTGAGGCTAGAGAGTTGCAACGGAGCGGTGTCTTGAGAAAGGCGTAGGCTTTCAGCACCCGAGGTGAAGCTCCCTGCGTCGCAGCTGGGAGAGCGAGAGTCAGCAAAGCTTTGAGACGCACATGCTTGAATGCCCACTTCATGAGGGCTCGATGCATGTTCCGATTCTGTGTGAATGTTGCTCCAGCGACAATGAGCCTGGCGTGTGAAGCAACTGCCACAGATAGGGCGTGTCTCGTCACATTTCTTGCGTCGCTGACGGCCTGAACATGGTAAAGGTCAGTAGAGTCCGTCCCCTTCACCTGATTGATGCGCGATTCCAAGCCTACATGGTATACATCCCCCTCGCGAGCGTCGCCGTTTGGGCGTGTGATCAGAGCTTACCCAGCCCCCTGAGTAGAGTTCGAAGTTGGCAAACATTACCGTGTAGAGGGTAGATATGATGATCCAGTCAGCAGAGACTGGTGATGTAATTTATCTCCGCCGCTGATTTATGTATAGTATTGGTAATGTCAGAGGCTGCGACTGGGGTGAGAGATCGCGCTAGAGCCAGATCCGGGGGAACTTATATCCGGCTGCGCTATAGACACACAGAGTTTGTATAGTGATTCTAAAAGGGAGATTTTTATCTAGCTTCAGATATTAAAAATTCAAATGGTACTATTAGATAAATTAATTTTATTCTAAATATAAATAGCTAGAAAATTAATTATATAAAGCTATTAATAAGATTTTTAAAATATTATATTCTTTAAATTTATAATGTTATTTAAAAAATATAATATCACTAAAATAGCTGGTATATATTACAATATCTATTATAAGTTTTATTACTTATATATTAGTATATATAGATTTAAATGTAAATAGAAAGAAATACTCTGTCAACTTATAAAACAGCAGTCTCTTGTAATATAGTAAATTCCCTTACAGACATTGGGAGGATTATCGAGCCTGATAGATAGTCTATCTATAGCTGTAGTCCCTATGGAAGGCAGGTATACAACAAGGAGGAGGGGGAAGAAAAAAGTGATGTTGAAAGTCTCTACCATGTTGGGTGGGGGAAAGCTGTGAGATTAGCTCGTTCGGAAAGCAGACGTCTTGATTGGTTCGGAATCTAAAGGTGCCCGTCTCCATAATCCTACTTGTGCTGGTTAGCTTGGGTCTGAGACTGGACCCCCCAGCTGAGCAAGGTTGCATCCCAGCAAGGGTGGCAAAGTATGGCTGTGTTAACTAAGAAGCAGTTGCCTGCCGGAGGAAGTGCTTATAATATTGCCCGGCGAAGCTGGAACTAATGAATAGGGTTAGGGAGAAGCGGATTAGTATTGAAAAGGAAGGCAGATACGGCATGCTTGGTGGGCGAGCGGGAAAATTGGGAGGGAAGATACGTTACCCGGCCGTTGCAGGTTGAAACTCCACTCAGCGGACTTTCCCTGCCCTTGTAAATGGATCACAATCTACTGTCGGTAGACTGGGCTTAGACTCGGGCACTAATTATTAAGCTAAGGAGGCTGGTAGTGCGATTCTCATTCTCACTTTGCTGTCACAGCTCTTTGTCTTTGCTTTTCCATACTTTTCACCATTCATCCGACAAGTCGCTCAGCAAATCCAAAATATGGCACCTCCGGATCTCGAGTTTAAGTACGACGGTAGTTTCGAGCAGCATGTAGGGACTGGCAACCCTGCGCTCGTCAAGAAAACGCACAAGGTCCCGTATCTCGCCATATCGCCCTCTCGACCTGAACTGAGCCAGTCTGGAAAGACAATCCTGATCACTGGGTCGTCTGCAGGAATAGGATCTTTTATTGCACGCGGTTTCGCACAAGCGTCGGCGTCGAGAGTTATCCTCACTGGTCGACGCCAGCATGTCTTAAATGATACAGCTGCGAAACTCTCCCAAGAGTTTGGCCAGACTGAGTTCCTGCCTCTCCCTTGCGATGTTGGAAACCTTGACGAATCCACGGCTCTATGGACTTCACTCCAAGAGAAGGGAATATTCGTCGACGTTCTCGTACTCAACGCGGCGACATTTGGGGGAGAGTACTCTATTCTATCCGGTGGCATGGAGAAGACATGGCCCCTGTTCGAGACCAATGTCAGGTCTCTGTTACACTTCACCGAGCGACTCCACAAGCAGCAAGGCTATGAGGACAAGCGGAAGGTACAGTCCATACCAGCATAAATCTCAGATTGAATGCTCTCTGTTGTGAGTGTGGCAATTGACACGCAGTTTTCCTCTAGTACGTGATAAATGTATCCACCAACGCCGTTCACGACCTCGCTGCTGGTGCCACAATGCCAGCATATGTTCTTAGCAAGACCTCTGGTCACCTTCTACTTCAAAGCATCGCCAAGGAGACCGATCCAAAGAAGCTGCAAATCATCAACTTCCACCCTGGCATCATCCTTTCTGAATCTGGCAGGAGTATTGGATTGGATGAGAACAGCTTCCCATTCGATCACAGTGAGGCTTCCTGTTCTAACATAAACGAGTTTTTGGAGGGAGACTAACTTCATTCGAAGACGACCTCCCGGCTCATTTCGCCGTATGGGCAGCTACTCCTGAAGCCGAGTTTTTGCACGGTCGGTTTGCTTGGGCATCTTGGGACGTGGAGGAGATGAGATCCGGCGACGTCAATAAAAGTATTCAGGCCGATCCCGACTTCCTCACCCTTGGCTTCCGTGGGCTTTGATTCTATTAGACTGTCAGCTATGGCGCCAGCAACCTAACTTCACATGGATGCGCCTCACAAAGATTTATCTCAATTCTGCAATGCTGCTTCTTTTGTGACTGCCGCCAACGTTTGGTTTGGAGGCATTGTTTCTCTTCTTGGTTTGCATTTGGACAGCTAGCCGAAAAAGTTCATGCAATTTCTCGCTGTTCCCCCAGCTACCATGTATGAACTCATTGAGAGATATGTCGGTATTCACAGGCTTGGGGTGTCGATCTCACGACAATCCCGTTTCCTCGATGGTAGCCCCTACATCGCCAGTCATCACCGTGAGGACTTTATTGGTTTTAGGCGAGTCTCCGTACAGGGCACGTTCCAAGTCATCATACATCCTCTTGACAGGCTCGCCATTCGGAGGACGCATGTTCACGAATAGAACAGCAGCTATTCCGGCTTCGCGGCCGATCCACTAGGGTGTCTGGTGTCAGTTCTAATGGCCCGACAGGCGCAGAGTTGGTTGGTTAGCTGACCCACTGAGGAGTGCTCATCCTAGCCCAAGTCAAGGGGCCCTTTCTGCGTTTCCCCTCTATGTTTCTCATGTTGATGGCACCGCTGACCCCATGGTTTACTGGAGTCTGGTCTGGGAAAGGGAGGACCCCTCCCAGCCACGTCTTCATCATCGTGCTCTGAGCTTCATTAAGCTGCGGTCGAAACATCTCCTCGACCGACTGCTGCGCAGGTCAAACTCAGTCCGAATCGCTCTGTAATCTGAACCGCGTTCCGTCGGATGGATCCCGCATGCTACCATCTCCTCAGCGACTCGGCTGTCGTCAGCAGCAAATCTATCGAGCTTGAGTGCTCCGAGTTCTCCCACCTCTTCGTCCACCGGGAGGAGAAGGCTTAGCACAGCCTGTTGCTCCATGAGGCTTATGATCGGGTTCGCCTCGCCTTGTCTCCTACCTGTCACGTCATTTCTTCCCTAGAGATGGCCGTGACGATTGAAGTCGCTCGATAGGATTGCGTCTGTTCTTCTCCCTGTTGCGTTGCGGAACGTCGTCACCTGAGTATGCAACATCTCGATTGTGGCCCTCAGCGCCTCCTCGTGTCTTCCTGCTGGTTTATTATGTTAGATATCGAACTTATTACGGAGGGGAGGCCGCCGCTTTATCCCAGTGGCAGGAGCTTCATCGCCGAAGTCAAAGTCGAACTCGCTCCTTAAATGGGTCTTGTAAGGAGATGGTCAAGTCAACAAGACACCTTACCTTGACTACGTGACAAGGAGTTCCATTGATCTCACCCAGCTGAAGATGAATGATGTTGCCTCTCAAATGTGGACAAACCAAGACTTGAAGGTGCAGTGCTTCCTTGAGTTCAATCACCAATGCCACTGTTTAGCTGTAATTGCATGACGGAGATAACTCACAAACGGATTAATACATACTTTAGGTAGCGTTGCGCCAGCCTCATCTGACTGGTTCTCTGACAGTTTCTCCATCCAACCTAACTTGAGTCTTCGCTCCTTCGAATCATTCATCTCATAAAATGGATGAAGTCTCAGAGCAGTTAAGCAAGCTCGCCTGCACAACATGTCGAAAGCAGAAACGGAAATGCACGCGCGAACTCCCATCGTGCCACCTCTGCCGCAAGAATAACCGCTCCTGCGCGTATCCTGATGATAATGGTGGCCTACAAGCGGTGAGGCCTGCCAGCCTATTGTGGTTGGCGTCTGACTGATATCCAGCTACCCCAGACTTCATCACCTAGAAACGCCTTTCCGGCGCTCTTCTTCCTGGATTCTTACACGTTCAAACAGAGATCCACCGCCATCAAGAATCCATCAATCCTCGGCATTCCTGAAGAGTTCTTGGAGATTTTGGGCCGAGGAGAAGAGCAAGTCTCGCAGTCTTTGAAAGCTTTCTTCGACACAGTTCATCCCTTGTTCCCAGTCGGTGAGAAAGCCTCATGGAATGATATGGAGAATTCAGGATTAACGGGCCAGTCTCCGAGAGATATTTAGGAAAGCAAATATCCTCTGAAGGTTACTCAGCTGATGTCCTGTCGCTTCTGCACTGTATCGAGATATTACTGCCCCAAAGTGCTGAGGAGACGGCCAATTGCCAGCTTGCATACCACCGAGCAAGACGATGCCTTCATTTCATGGAAGACCTAGGCGTAATATCCTTTCGCTCTCTCCAGGCCGTCCTTTTGTTGGCATTCTACGAAGTCGCTCACGCCATTTACCCAGCTGCATATTTGACAATCGGACACTGCGCTCGGCTAGGTCATGCGCTGGGGATTCATGATCGACGGAACGTCTCGCAAATGTTTCCAACACCAAGTAGATATAAGTAATCCCCCTTATCGTGTGTTACTAACTATTGCAGTGTCGTGGACTGCAGTCGAAGAGATCCGCCGTACCTGGTGGGGTGTCATTGTAATAGATCGGTGAGTTGATGCTGAATTCCGGCGATTGACTAGCCTAATCGCATAGGTTTGCCAATCTTGGCCTCTCGGATCGACCATTCTCTTGCGAAGACGCTCGCCCAGAGGACCTTCTCCCCATGGACGATACATTATGGGACCTTGGTGTAATAAGATCTCTCCACAACAAGAAAATGGCTGACAGCCAGAACAGGAGCAAGCTGTGATACCGTCACTTGCAGTGTCCAGCGATACATGCTTGCCTACAACCCCGTTTTCCCGAACCTGCCAGGCTGCCCATCTTCTCTCTAGGGTACTCTCCCATATCCGAACTGGCCAAAACATGAAGAGCCCGGCAGGCTACTACTCAGAAGCACTTCAACTGCACAGCATCCTCTCTTCCTTCAGACTAGCCTTGGCACAGGAAGTTAGTAGCGAGGAACCACACGTCCTCGCTGCCTACTCGTCTGCGCTTGGACTTTGTTTCAGCGCTTTAATCACCCTGTGCGATAACCATTCATGTGCAGACTTGGATGATGTTTCTGGCGTTGGCATCCCAGAGCAGCTGAGGATGCAACAGTTGGCTTTGCAGAGTCTACATGAAATCGGTGGGTGGGTCTGGGAATTCGCTTCCCACCTTGGCCTTCTTCTTGAGGGGCCAGAGTACCAAGGCACTGTGAGCCCTTTCGCTGCCGAGAGTCTTTATTCTGCGGCGACACAGTATCAATGGTACATCCAAGAGACGGGCAAAGAGGAGCTCAGGGCAGCTGTGGACGCCATGAAGCAAACACTGAGGCTGGTTGGGCAACGGTGGAATGTTGGAGGTGAGTGCGTCTTCCGATGCGGCGGTCCTATGGCTAATACTGATATAGATAAATACTTGGCAATATTGGAAGGAGACGAGGTTTGAGGCCATAACTGCTATTCTGCCATGTTAAGGGGCCTGTTGCATCTAACAGATTGACATGATCATGCGTGCGAGAAGCTCTTCATATTCTTCCTATCTGAATGAGGGTCTTTGGATCAGGTCAGTCTTATAGACCAAGAGTGACCTCGGCTGACCTCGGACAGCCGAAACGCGCCGGATGCTTCGGGGTCTTTGGATTTATGTAGCTATTAACCTGAATGAAGAAAAAGCTTCACTTCCCCAATAGACGTTGAAATCCGATGTCCCGATATGTGACAGTTACAAAGAGATACACCTTGAAATGGCTCGATCTTCCGCAACCGTATCCAATTATCACATGCGCTATAATCGCTTTGATTACCTCGGTTGCTTGTTAGCGATAACTCGCACAAGAAGCCCAGAAGAATGCTGGCCACTGACCAGGTCATAATGAGTCAGCCAATTCCATTCTCGGGGCGTAAACTTCTCCGAGCGACCGAGTGGCGGCAGACGTGCGCTTTCCACACCCTGTCTTCTGTACCTAAGATTCCCAACGCCTCTGCTGCATAATGATCTGATCCTGTGGAGGCTGCATTTGCCACAGACCTGGTGCCGCATCTATGAGCCCGCTAGTCCGGTTGCCGATATGTCAAGAAGTATGTCTACGATCTTTTTGGGAACAGATCTTGATCCGGATATCACTGTGGGGATGACCTACCCATGAACAAAAGTCTTGTCTTCACGCTGTGTAGACCAGCAGAAGCAGTGTGACAGCTGGAACTCTCAAGAAGAATGCTGATAAAATGCTTAAGTGGCATCGCGGAGTCTCACTTGCAAAAAGTCCTTCCACTATAGCAGCCATCTCCACATCAGTGGGCTAGAACCTATGTTCACTCAGGATTCCGAGATGTTCTGGGGCATCGACTGGCGGAGATTTGGGTCGAAGATCCCCGAAAAGTTCTGCAAGAGCGCGCGGAGTTGGCGGAAATTACGGGCAAAGGAGTCGTAGCTAGTATAGTATAGCGTTGGATAGATCATGGCACATTCGGTCAAGGGATTCGTGCTCAATACGATATGGAGCCCAAGCATGATGATTGTATTTTCCAAGGATGCCTCCAGGGGACTTGACGCAACCAAGAAAAGACAACTACCCAATCAGAGGTTTCAGACAATCTAGGCTCGTGAAAGAATGAATAAAATTTATTACACCCGGGAGGACCGGACTCATAGAGCCAATAGTTAGCTACATCACTTCTGTGGAGCTACTACGTAGTAACTAGGAAGGCAGGCATCTTTCCATTTTAGTCATCTCTTTGACCGCTCCAACTCCAACTACCGAAAATCTTACTCGACATATATATCCCCTTAATAAGAGGAGTGGGCGGTGGAAAAAGGGGTGCCAGCATAGAACATCGGCATATAAATCCATCCGCACAACCCAATGCCCAGGGAACTCCATCACATCCACCGTCTTCAGCTCAGCCATACCTTACTTCGTCAACAAGATTCTCACCATGACTTTAAAACGTCAACTCGCCACGGCATTGATCTGGCAGGCCTGCATTGGCCTTGTATCTTCCTCGATTGTTTTACGAGGCGGTACTATTATTGGTTGGAATAGCACAACAGAGTCCATCGACGTCATAAGAAACGGCACGCTTGTGGTCACAAACAGTTCCATTACAGCCGTCTACGCTGCGGGCGAAGAGCCCGACAACATCGCCGTTGTATCAGAAAATCAGACCTCGCCCGAGGTTATCGATGTTACTGATAAGATCATCACTCCTGGCTTCATTGACACCCATCGACACGGCTGGCAGACAGTCTATCGTACCCTTGGCTCCAATGTCAGTCTTTGGGAGTATCTCGGCCGTTATAGCTCGTTCAGCTCCGAGGGCAGATTCACCCCAGATGACGTCTACATAAGCCAGCTCACCGGCCTCTATGAGGCTCTCAACGCTGGCGTTACTACCATGCTTGACCACGCCCATCACACGTGGTCCAACGAAACCTCCAAAGCTGGTCTACAGGCCAGCATCGACAGCGGTGCCCGAGTCTTCTGGGCGCATGCATTTCAGGATCTCCAGAATTACACTATTGAGGAACAGATTGCCAACTTTAAGGATATCGCCAAGAATGCAATCTTTGACGGGACGCCCACCACACTCGGCATAGCGTATGATGCTTTCTACTCTGACAAGGCCGACTTGATTGTTTCGTTGACGAAGTATGCCTTCCCATCCTTTAATATTCTTTCCTCCTGCTGACGCGATTACCGTTACAGGGAATACAATATCTCAGCACTGACAACTCACTTCATGGCCGGGCCGTGGGATTGTACGCTTAGTTCATCTGAGTCTCGCTGGCAACATTGCTAACTAGTTGTGTGCAGCAGGAAATGACCCCGAGGTTCTTGACAGATTGGGTCTCCTAAACACCTCTCTTCCCGTTGTCATCTCTCATGGCAGCTACATAAGTGTGAAACAGTACGAACTCCTACAACGTAACAACCAATACTTATCTATCACCCCCGAGTCCGAGATGCATTACGGCCACCTCCACCCCACCTCCCATCTCGCTCTTGAGCAGGCTGCACTTGGCATCGATGCGCATTTTACATACTCCACCGACATTCTCACCCAAGCCCGTATGTGGTTGCAACGTGTTCGCGCCGTCTTTTACGCCACCACCTCCGACGCCTGGCAGATCGCAATGAACAACCCTATGTCGGTTAACCAGGCCTTCTACCTCGCCACGCGGTCCGGCGGCCTCGCTCTACGCAGGCCAGACCTTGGAATCATCGCCCCTGGTGCGAAGGCAGACCTTGTTGTCTGGGATGGCACCAGCCCCGGGCTTCTCGGCTGGGTTGATCCCGTAGCTGCCGTTATCTTGCACGCCAGCGTAGCGGACATTGAACACGTTCTCGTTGACGGCCGCTTTGTGAAGCGAAACCGCGTATTGACCGCACCGAACTATCAGGACGTTAAGAAGCGCTTCCTCAAGAGTGCAAGGAGGATCCAAGATGTCATGATCAATACCCCTTTGCCGATATCTGAGCCAGGAGAGAAATCCATCTTCGGTGCGCCGCTAGAGTATGCGCCAGTGGCTGACGTTGAGCGCGGGAACGGAACTGGATATGGGCCCAACTGGTTGAGCCTTTAATTTGCCTTGTTTCTGGATTTAGCAGCCTAGATGTTAGCAAAGCCTTATTAGCAAAGTAAAGCTAGTCTTTATTAAGATAGGGTAGAGCTGACTTAGAAAAAGACTTTACTGAATCTGGCTTTCATTTTCACTTTGAAGAGGACGCATGCGGTTGCAGCCTCAGAAGCATTACATTAACCGTGGCGTGAAGTTGAACGTCCTCTTGACTGCATATCCTCTTGACTGCATATCCAATAATCATCAGCTACATTCACCTTGACGTACCTGAAAAGTATCCAACAGAAATCAGTTTTCTAATGCGGTCTCAGGAAGCGACCACACGGACCATTGGCGGGAGGGCGGAGATGGCGGAGATGGCGGACGAAACTACTGCGCCGGCGGTTCCTGGTCCGCCTCATCTCCGCATGCCAAGAGCCGGCCTTCCCGTGCCCCATCGTGACGTGAAGCCATGCTTCTGTCTTGGGAGTTTCCGCTTCTGCTCAGGCTCCCAATTGGTTTTGCCACGTTGTCGGGAAGCGAGGAGGCGGAAACAGTGTTGTTGTGTCGCCCAGGGATGCTGAATGCACTTGACAAAAGGTGGTTCGTGTAGTGATTGTAATCGTTCTTGGTTAACTTATTATTATCGAGATATAAGGCCCCAAAGGGTCTAATATCTTTGAGTGACCCCATCTACAACTTGGAGCTTCAATCCTGATCCTGAAGTTAACGGGAAACTCCCAGTTCCCCCAACAAACAAAAGGAGCAATCATCAGCCAACAAAACCATCCGTCAAAGTCCCTGTCCCGACGACCTGATACCCACGATCCTCAGTCCAGCTGCCCCCGCAACTGAACCTGGACGTTGGAGCGATTTCTCACAAGCTTGATACGTTCATGGACAATATATGAAACTGCCTTTCGGAAAGCGGACTGTCAGCGTACAGTTTGTTGGTCTCTTTCCGAATTCAAGGTCACAAGTTGTTCACATTCTGGAAAGGTGAAGACACGAATTTATTGCAAGGCACATTGAGGATATAGAATTCCAGAGACGAAGAAGCTGTCAGAGAGTTTTTGGATATGGTAGTGCTCGTTGCCCCCCCCCACGTATTAGAATAGAACATTTCGCTCTCCTTTCCCTTGACGCAAGGACGCCCTTTGCCTCTCTGCCACTATCCGATGCTGTGTTTATTAGAACAGGGAAAAACAGAAAGAAAATAAAGAGAAAAGCTGCGCTCAACTATAATGGCTCCTATATAGCATCCAATATCGAATTATATACCACAAGATAAGGCCAACTCACGATCCATTTACCAAGGCTGCGCCGTTATCAATGAACAATGTCCGTCCCTTCAACGATGAGACTATCCAGCTGAAGATCTTGCGGCCACCCATCTGGCCTGTGCCCTTGCTCTTGCCGATTGTGACGAAGACCATCGTCTTATCTGATGGCTTGTAATCAAGAAGACTACCAACTCTTCCCGTGAAGATAGCGTCGAGATTCTTAGCCAGGTGAGCGACCTGACGATCGATCTTTATAGCCTGCTTCGCTTCCAGGTTACCTACGTCGCCAAGACCCCAAACGTTGGTGGTACCGGTAACGCGTAGAGTCAGATCCAGTTTGACATCTCCACGGTCGTTGAGAAGTCCCACAGGTAAGTAAGAGGTATTAGGCCTTACACCGAAGAGCGGTAGGTAGACATCGGCCGGGATAGTATCTCCGTTGGAGAGAATGATCGATTTGGACGCCCCCAGGTCCTTCACCTCTGCGACAGAGGCATTGCGGATGATTTTTGTCTTCATTTTGATGAGCTCCTTCTCGGCGGCCTTGCCCACAGAAGGCAATAGGCCAGGGAGGGGGTAATCGTTCCGGACGATGAAGGTAATGCTTTTCTTGTCGCCGTACGCATGTGCCAACTCTCCGACAGTCTCAACACCGGTGACGCCGTCCCCTGCGACCACTATCGACTTCGCAGCATTGATCCTGTTTTGGAGATCGTGAAGTGCTGCCTTGGTTGCCTCTGTAGAGCCAATGTGTTTCAAGGGCAAGTTCGTCGAGACAGATGAGCCGGTCGCTAGAATCAGCTGCTCATATGGAATGGCCCGCTCGGTGCCATCAACATTGACGGTGACGACACTCCGATCAATATCGACTGTCTTCGCCTGGCCAAAGACCAACTCGAGCTGAGACGATGGGTACTTGGCGAAACCCTCCTTGATTGGGCGGAATAGCTTGTCCTCAGGGACCTGATCTGGCACCACGGCCCGGACCGCGGCCATGTTCCAATAGAAATGAGTAGACGCCGAAATGAGGATGAGTTTGGCATCTTTGACTTTGGGGATAGTGTCCTTGAGCAGTTTGTGGGCCAAAGGCAGACCGGCAAATCCGGCGCCCAGGATGACGACGTTTCTGACCATGACGGCAAGGGGACGCTTGGTTGAAGGCAAAGTTCAGTATTAAATGAGTTGAAATGTGTAAATGGATTTAATAATAATTGACGTTGAAACCTCAAAGCAAAAACTTCTTGGTCGAGCGACGAGCTGTCTTTTAAGCTGATATCGTTCCTACAGCCAACATCTCATGGTTCCATTTGCTCAATACAGGCTAATCCAAAGCCGGCTGCCGCGCGCGAAGACATACCTCCCCCTTGTCCACAATCAAAATTGTACTTCAAGGGGGGGCGTGTTTGTTGGAGACGGGATTAAGGGCGGATGAAATTGAGCCGCACCCTCCCATCCAAAGTGGACACACGAATTTTTACGGCGCCATTGATCCGCTCACCTAAGCCCCAGGCATATGTGAGAAGTATCCTCGATTGGTACCGAGTAAATATTGCGGAATGCTTAGGTTCTCCATTGGGGTGGTTGGGCTAAGAGAGTAGGGGGTAGGGGGTGTAAGTGTCCTCCATTTAGCGTGTTCTTGCTTGGGAATTTCCGCCAACTCCGCGCGCTCCCAGATCTTCTGAGAACCTACGACCCAAATCTCCGCCACTTGGTGGGGGCGGAACCTGTCAGAATCTTGCGTCAATATATAGCTTTACTGTGATTTTATATTTATTTCTACATTTATCAAGCGTCTTTCCTTTATTAAGTACAGAGTAGCTTGTTAAGCAACACTTAATAGGTGTGTTCCATTTTGAATCGTCTATTGGAGTAGACTAAATGCTCTCTATATGCTTCATCCCCGAGTGACGACCTTTCTGTTGCTTTCCCTTATCTTTCATCCCTCTCCAGCTCATCCCCTGCGGACGGGTGTGTTCTACACTAAAGGCCTCTCCCGCCAATAACATGCGTGATGCTGCCTGTATTCCTTGGTCCCAGCACCTTCGCATCTCTAACCATGTTCAGTGTCATCTTGTTGGCCTCGAGCGTGTCAAGATGCCCGAGTGAAGGGATGCAAGGATGCAACAGTAGGGCTACAGGGCTACAGCTATGTAAGGGATAGGGTCCAACCATCCAGCAGATGGATGGGCCAGGGATTAGCTTTTTCTTCATCTTTAAGTATGCGAGGCACACTGAGACAACAGACGACTACAGCAGTAATCCCGCGTCTAGTTAGCAGCTGACTAGTATAATATGGAAGAGGATGATTATGCGTTGGTGTTGCGCAGTTCGGCCGCACAGGTAACGGCTGATGCCTGTATGTCAAAATCTTAGTGGTTATAGAGACATTCAGAATAACAACAAATGAAAGAGGATTAATTTTGATCCTCCAATTTTCATCTCACGAGGTGCTATGAACATGCTATCAACCACGATTCAAATATTCCTATTTACTGTGATGAAACCATTTTCCGACTTAACGTTTAGAGACCTAACTATCGGTGTGGTAGTTGTTTAGCCCGCATCACCTTCCGATACTGTAGCGCGTGATAGAAATCTGCATTACTAGTCCACTACGGTCCCGCTGCTTGAATTGTATCCTCCGTAAACCGAAAAATATCCAAGATATCTATGCTGAGGTACCTAGAGCCAGAAAATGCCCGGCCATCTCTACCATCCACGATCACATCCAGGGACGTAGGCTTCAAACAGGCTCTGAGGGTCCGCTCCCGCCACCAGTCCACCACCCGGAATATACACCTTCCCACCCACGCCGGTGCCAGGAGAGCTGTGCTTGGGAATCTTCATCGGTTCCAGCTGAGTCCAGGTGTTGGAGAGGGTATCGTACACTTCGACCTGGTTAAACACCCCGCTCTCAGCATCCGGGTTTCCCTCTCCACCCAAGGTGTAGATCTTCTTGCCCACAACTCCAGAAGCCATCCCGCCCCTTGGGGTCGGCATAGTTGCCTTGCTAGTCTTCCAGCCAGCCTCGAGATCTCTAAAGTTCAGAATGAACACCGTGTCCCTGCGGTGGGCCGCTCCGTGGTCGAATCCGCCGATGACGTACATCTTGTCATCTATGACAGCAGTTGCAGCATGATCGCGTTTCTGTGGGAGAGCTCTCGCCTTTTGGGGAAGAAAATCCGGGAGCCATTTCAGAGTGGCCGTGTCGAAGACGGAAACAGGATCGACGGATTCGTGAGGGCCTCCTCCCGCCAAGCCCAAGGCTGTGAACCCGCCGGCGACAAAGATCTTGCCCTCGAACACGCCCAGACCCGCCATGCCCCTCGCTTCCGGCAGGGGTGGGAGGGGAGACCAGGTGTCTGCGTGGGTGTCGTACACCCACGAGTCTGGGACAGCTCGTAGGATTTTCTGCTCCTCGCCACCGTCGTCCAGCCCCCCAAACACGTAGATCTTACCATCCACGGCTGCGGCGTTGACGTGGTTGAGCCGCTTTGGGAGAGGGGCCACGGTGCGCCAGGTGTTGCGCTTGATAGAGTAGATCTGGACCAGGGTTGTGCTAAAAAAGGGGATTGGTGTGAGACTGTTGTTCGGAACGATGCCCCCCAGGATTACGATGCCATCGGGTGGGAGGTAGATGGTTGCGTGTTCCTGCCGGGGGGCCACAGTGATGTTTGGCAGTGTCTGCCATTGGGAATGAGGAGGCTTGAGAGCAAGAGAGGGTGAAATAAGGAGTGGGAGGAGCAAAGTACAAAGTAAGTTTTTGAGTGCCATTTTGAATCGGTGTCGACTTTCAATCTTTGAGGATGGACTATGTGTGGTAGTGCCGCAGCTGTCTGAGATTGTAGCATCGGCTCTACGAAAGTTGAAGCCATCTTTATATGTTTGGTTTTCCAAGTCGTCTTCTTTACTCGACCTGTTGAAGATAAGGATCCGGATGAGCCAGCACTATGCGGATGGCTCGGAGGATTTGGCTGGCGGAGATTCTGCGGAGAGCACGGGCTGTTGTCCTAGAATTGCGATCGCCACATGAGTCCTCCCTCTTGGAAGTGACGTCGGGACAATGGAAGAGTCGTACTAATTTACATAGCACCGACTTGACGGTTTGTAAAAGAACAAGGTTTGGCCACAAGGGTAGGTTAATTTCCCCGGAATCAGGAACAAAGACGGCAGATGGTCTCGAGCGAATAAGCGGCTCTACCGGCAGTTATTCCCGAGCCCTGCATCTCCGTCATAAATCTTTGCAAACTCTCTTCCTCCGCAGCAACCCCGCCTGTGAAGGGCTGGCCCTGGGTGCCGGTATGGATCTTCCCTACAATCTGGAAGAACAGGAGTGCCATGAGGGACGCGCACCCTTTCCTTAAACCTAGGTGACATGACATATTACGTAGTGATTCGACTAGCAAGGCCCCGTGGAGGGGGTACGGGCCCGAAGGCCCTAGAGCTGCAGAATCACTAGAGAGCTGCAAAGTGGTGGAGGACGCCGAGGACTCTGAGGCAGCCATAAATCGTGTATGCAACAAACCTAGCACGTCCTTTTGCCTCAGAAGGGGATCGTTTGTGTCTTTGACCTTCACGACGGAAATGAGTCAATCGATCAATTAATCGAGACAACTAAACTTCGATGGATGCAGACTCTGAACTCGCGAAATGAACGTTTTACAAAATACGGGTGCCTACCTTCAGACTCTCATGAATCACCTTGATGAGACCAACGCCTACAACATTAAGAGGACTGGGTAATGAGAAGGAATTTTATAACAGTTTATATTAGTTCTATTCAACCATACTAAGGTAGCTATCTATATAACTTAAATGTCAATATGAGAATGTCAAATGTTATAATATTCTCAATAAAATAGAGATTGTTTTATAACAACAGCTTCAATTTTGGGCGACTACCATGCAAGCAAATAAGAGTATTTTGCATGGGGAAATTTTCTTTTTGGTGTAGGGTAGGTAGTTATGACCACCCCGTAGGTGGGTACTGCATGATGATCTAGAGAACCGCCGTCTTGACAACGTATTGCATTTGTTAAACTTCATACACCAGTCTAGAAGCCACGGCCTTGTCCTGCCCCTCGTCGATTACCGCGGGGGAAAATATGAGGGAGGGATAGCGCGCGGGAGCTTAGTAACAGTTCTTCCACGCGGCCGTGGTAGCGGTGTAGTGATCACTTTTAGATGGTCGGGAAGTGTGAAGAACCCGAGCCGAAAAGACGCCTTTCCCGTCCAATCGGGAACGCAGCTGTGCGATGAGAGTACCACGTACTTTTTGACTGTGACAAATCCTCCTGCGGAGAGATTACCAAGAGGCAGCAATGCAGTGGCAAGCATTATAAATAAAATGCCCACCCAGAATGTAGAAAATGGCAGACACCAACTCCTCCACCTAAACTCCTTTGTCATACCACAACCGTTCTAATTTTATTCAAACAAGATGGGAGCCCCTCTTCAAAACATCCTACTCCTGGGAGTAAGGACAGAACCTTACCACTTTCAACCAAGGAACAAGAACTAACAGCCGGCATTAGGGCGCAGGTACTCTGGGACCTTCCATCATCACGGCTCTTGCTGCCAACGGAACTTTCAACATCTCGGTCCTCAGTCGGCCCGATTCCAAGTCTACCTTTCCATCGGGAGTCAAGAAAGTCACCAGCGACTTCACCAAGTCCTCCCTAGTTGAATCTTTCAAGGGACAGGATGCAGTCGTTGATCTGATTGCTCAAGGCTCTCTAGACGAGCGCAAGAGATTCGTCGATGCAGCTGCCGAGGCCGGTGTCAAGCGATACATTCCAGGCGAATTTAGCGGAAACATGGAAAACAAGGCCAATGTCTCCGTTTTCCCCTTGTTCGCAGACCGTGTAGCGGCGCGCGAATACGTCAAGGCAAAGGCCGCTGCCGTCCCCGGCTTTACCTTCACGATGATTTCAAACGGCCCGTTTTATGACTGGGTATGTATTCTCCAATTCAGAGCCACGTGAGTTGTGCCCAGGCTTATCGCATCTATTACACTAGGCGCTCAAGAATGGCTTTATTGGTTTCAACCTTGAAACTCAGAATGCCACCATTTATGGGGATGGCAATCAGCCAGCCAGCTGCACCACGCTGAGCTCTGTCGGCCAAGCGGTAGCAAGCATCCTGTCTAAGCCTGCCGAGACGGAAAACAAGGGCTTGTTTATCGCCTCGTTCACGCCTTCGCAAAACGAAATCTTGGCGGCCTTGGAGGAGGCAACTGGCAAGAAGTGGACAGTGAACAAGGTGGGCATCGCCGATGCCATTTCTCAGGGCTTCGAAGCCTTGGGCAAGGGTGACTTGTCCGGATTTGTGGGCGTTTTGATGGGAAGTACATACGGGCCAGGCAATGGAAACGACTTCCCCAAGAATGGTGGAGTGAGTAACGAACTACTTGGTCTTCCCAAGGAGGATCTTAAGGCGGTTACTGCAGCCATTGTGGAGGGCAAAGATGTTTAAGCCACAATAGCTAAGAGATTCTCGGTACATAGAACATCAAGCTAGAACCCGAGGTTATGTCACTAGGCTGATGCCAGTAAAAGCATTACTAGAAGTTCCGCAAACCTGTGAATTATTTATTTGAGGAGGTGTTCAGTCACATCGAGACAGTGCATGCCGTGGTACATTGACAAAGTCTCAAAAAAGTCGACGTCTAGCTTGAGAAGGCCGAGGCCATTGGGTTTCAGAAGTACCTTAATTTAGCAGTCATGTATTTGATCGAGTTTTCTCCCGTATATGCGGCCTATGTGCTTGCTGTCTGGCAGGGTGTCCATATGTATCCGAAGGGGAACTGAAGGGGGGAATCGGCGATGCTGGAGACGTTTTCATGTGAGTTGGGTCTCGTGCTGCGAGGATGGCATCAATGAATTGGCTGCCTGACAGTGTAGTGTTATCATATCCATCCTGATGGTGGAAATTGCGATTTTCCACTTCCACCACTCTTCGCTTCTTTCTCGGGGATGGTGAGACGGCGTTGAACATGGCGAGGTTATGGTCTGCCCAGACGGTTAACCGCTCCGCCACGGGGTCTTCGGTTACAAAATTATTGCATTTGGTCTATGTTAACAAATTTGTCGAGTCGAAGTAATCTTGGGCCGGACTGTCCGAAATCTAGATCCATCATGAGTTTCACCACCCCTAACGGGAAGATCAGATTCTAAAGCCATGCATGGAATGCCAGGTGGCAGGTGGACCATAGGTTCTCGGGCGTAATGAGACTGGCTCACGGAGCAGGTCCCTACACTCAAAAGTCCGCATATTTCATTATTCAAGATCATATCCTAGGGATATACCTGAACCAGCAAGTTCTCATTTGTTGCAATAAATAGCACTGAAATCGCGCCCTTGTAAATAATTAATGGAATGGTCTATGCTAATATTTCCAGGTCTATGACCCATTTCCTGAAGGAAGTAATGGCTGTTGCTCGACATATGACGACTTCCCGCTTGGCATTACACTTGCGAACGCAGAATTAATGCCCAATAGCTGCCATCAATACCCCGCGGCTTTCACGATGTTGTCGACTTCTGCAGTAATATCGATAATAGGAAAAGCGGTGCGATTACCCTCTTTGAGCTCAAGTGCCAAGTTTCCCGAGTCAGAGACAAAAAATGGGACGTAATATATCGAGTTAGACAGCTGAAGTGCGTTCACAACAATCACTCCCTGCTGAGCCAGAGGACTTGTGTTATAAACCACACCAAGATACTTAGCACTCTTCCAATTGTCTAGGCTCTGGAATACTGTCACAGCTCCACTACCGCCAAGACGGTCCACTGCACAGAGCATGATTTGCTGACCATGATAGCGCGTAGGAGTGGTGAGTGAATCGCACCCTGTCCGGTTATAGGTGCTAGGCATATTGGAGACCTTGATTATCGTAGGAGTCGACCACGAAGCGGATGTGTTGAAAGTGACAAAGGTGCCCAACTGGTGATCGTTGACGATGATTTTGTCGTGCAAGGGAATTGAGGCGAGATTTGTGTAGGTGAAACGCCCCAGAGTTGGATCCGTATCCTTTTCGGCATAGTAGAGGGCAGAGACGGAACCATTATTCCAGACCTTGGCAATGCCGTTGCCGCCATAGCCAGCTGCGACATAGGCATTCCCATATCTATCAGCAGCTGCGTATTCAAACCCTGCGATGCCATGGCCGTATAAGTTCTGGAACTCCTGCTGAAAAGGCCCAAGGTCCGCAATATAGACCACTTCTTGCTTCCTCACGTCCCATCTGACAATCTTATTTGGCCCAGAGAGGTCTTGACCATTAGAGAGAAAGCCTCTACCAGAGTTCGCAGTGAAGAACATGGAGCCGGTATGAGCATCAAAACTAACACCAGATATCTGGTAAGGGTCGGTATGAGAGATCCCAGGGAAAGTGAGAATCTGAGAATGTTTCGTGTAAGGGTCATAGACTGCCACAGTAGCGTTGAAGAGGGAGCTATAGTTCATTAGCAACTACTTGGCAAAATGAAAAGTAGAAGTCTCCCTACCCTGCATAATATTTACAGTTAATAGGATCCCAGTCTGAATTCTCAGAGTACAACTTGAAGAGGTCGATGGTGAAGGTCCCCCTTAGTGGAGGGCATGGCTTAGGAGGGTGAAATGGATGACCTCTCACTGCCTCAGCTAGGAGGGAGAGGGTGAGGCCCGCGACGGAGATGGAAGGCATGGAAAGCATGGCGACCGTGGTGAGTCGTGTAAGTGTTAAACTGATGGTACTGTAGAGCGTTTGATCTTGGAAAGACGAAATGAAATAAGCCAGTGAAACCAGTATTTATGTGCCATTTGTCTATGGAATTGTCGGCACCTCTGAGACTAAAATTTGGACTTTTCAGGGGCACGATCCCGGTGTCCAATACATGATAGCATCAACGGAGAGATGATAGTATCCGATGCCGTCAGCCAAAGTGCGGGTTTACCCAAGCAAATCCACGGCGGATCTATACCTCCCGTATATTCGCCCCCAGTAGTTTTGTGGTTGGCTCGCGAGGACAGCAAGGTTAGTGGGAAAGCATTGACTACTCAGGGCCTGCTTATACCCCGGATCTTCCTGGCCGAGACTGCTGGCCTTCGGGGACATTCCAATCTCCGCAATGCATAAGGACCTCCGAGCTGTACTCCGCTTCGGTGTTGTGCCTCTAACAGTTAGCGCCTGCTATAGAAGGTCTCAGGGAACGTGGCTGCTAAAGTCTTATGATACATCTACTTATTCCGGAGGGATGATAGGAGAAAATAATATATCGCCACTAACGAGATCTTTAATGAGTTTGACCCCGTTGTCGTAACCAGCTTGGAGGTCCATATGCACTGAGGAGATAGTGATTAGAGCATTGTTACATTAGGGATAACTGGGATGAAGTGGTTGAAGAGAAAGGGACCTTATTCATGTTGATGCGACGGAACTTGGCCCGGAAACTTTCAACGGCTCTCGGGTGGCCAATGTGAGCTTTCTGCGCGGAGCCCGCAGGACGTTTAAAGAATATTATCAAGTGAACAATGTAACAGTGTTGCCTAAGATTTTTCCGTAGTTGTGGTGCGACTCCATAAGCAAAATTACATCCGCCGGTGGCACATCCTTGATGAAGAGGAACATACTTCACTAAACCCACCGTGAACTACTCCGTAGGTATTATACTATATCTAGCTTTCATTAATACTTCGCTTCTCTCTACCTGTAACCCCACTTACTCATTAGTGCCGGATTCGCCGGGTACTGCCTGTTCGCAGACTCCGGCAGAGAACTGCTTCTCAACTAACACAGCCATGCGCAGGCTGCTCTGCTGCTCGCCATGATGGTTTGCCAGACCCCTGCTGGACTGCATCCTTGCCCGGCTGTGGGTCAAGCGATCCCCGATCTAACCAGCTCAAGTAAGGCTGTGGGAATGGAATGCTTTAAATACCGAACCAATCAAGATGTCTGCTTTCCGAGCGAGCTAATTTAGTATCGTTTCTCGTTTCTCCCCCTCCCCCCCCGAACCCGGCAGATGGCTTCAACGTTACCTTTTCCTTTCCACTCATCCCCGTTGCAAATCAGCCTTCCACCACTCAACAATCGCCGAGGTGGGAGCCGCAGCTATGGATGGACCCTCTATCGGGGTGGATTGTCCTCCGACAGCCCGTCGGGGAATCCAACGCGTCAAGACTGGCTGCCGCACTTGCAAGTGGGTTCATGAGGCACCCCTTGCTACTAGTATCCATCCCGACAAACGCTGACCCGCTGGTAACAGGGCTCGCCGAGTTAAGTGCGATGAACAGCGGCCGTCTTGTTGGCGCTGTACCTCTTCAGGCCGAGAGTGCGAAGGATACGGCGTCTGGGGCGGCGGGCATCCAAGTCGCCCCCCGGCTCAACCCCTCGATCTACACCGTCCTAACAATACGGGCCCTGTAGGCCGCCTCAACGCAGAAGACCGTCGGGTTCTTGAGTGGTTCTTGCTAGCCAGACTCCAAGGGGTATTTCCCTTTTCATTCTGGGAAAGTCTGGTTCCGCAGGCATGCTACAATGAGCCCGTCATTCTAAGTTGTGTTTTGGCACTGGGTTCTGTCCACAAAAGAGCATTCATGGACAAAGGGCCCACAAACTCACAGAGTGAGGTTAACAACCTGGAGTCGACTACCCTACGACATTACAACACGGCTATCAACTTACTGAATGGGTCACAGTCGGATGGAAGCAGGGCATCGACCCGGGTAACCCTCACTGCGTGTCTGACGTTTGTGATCATAGAGTACCTCCAAAAGCGCCAAGCGCAGGGCCTACTACATCTTCAATATGGTTTGCAGATACTGAAAAGTCAGGAGTATGACAACATGCGGCAGTCTTCACGCGATCCTGTGGATGATTGGCTCGCAGAAGCTTTCGGTCGACTAGACGTTCAGGCCAGGCTATTGTTCGATGCTACAACAGACAAGCAGTCTCACTTGAGTAATCGGGCGAGCAAGGAGCGCCCTATTACACTGAGATCACTACACGAAGCGAGGCAGCATCTGGATCTTCTTGTATCAGAAGCGTTTCGACTACAACGTCAGGGTCGTATCACCGAATCCTCAGCCAATACTAGCCGATTATTCGAGGCTCTCATTATCCAACAACAGCTTCAAAGAGACCTCGGCTCTTGGCTGCAAGCTTACCGGACTTGGCGGACGGGGCCGCCGACATCTTTACCTCAGCCGCAGTCTTCACTTCCGGAACGACTTGCTCGACGCTTACTCTTGATCTACCATACAATGGCGGGCATCATCACAGCTACGGCTTTATATTCAGGGGATGAAACAGCTTTTGACCGATACATGCCACAATTTTCTTCCATAATCGCTTCGACGAAAGACATTCTCGAGGCAACCAGACCTGTCATTGCAAGCCGCGTCTTATCACATGGTCACTGTTCCCAAACGTTCAGCTTCACTAGCGACATGGGCATAGTTCCACCTTTATACTACACAGCGCTTAAATGCCGTGATCCGCGGATGAGGCGGGATGCTTTGTCGATACTTGAGACAGAGACTCACCAAGAAGGAATCTGGGATGGGCCAACAGCAGCCCTCATCGCCGCTGAAGTCATTCGACTAGAGGAGACCCCTTATCCCGAACAAGACGAGATCCACGACGAAGATAGGGTCACGAATGGACGTCGCAATAGTACCTCGTCGGAGTCAGGTTTTCCTCGGCTATGGAGAATATCCGACATCCAGGTCGAGCCCCCTCATAGCCCTGAAATGGAATTGGTGATCGTTTGCAGACGCAAGTTGGAAGATGGCACTCGGACAGTTATGAAACGGAGACATAACGGTTTTCATTGGCATTGAGTTGAACCGGGATGTCTTTGCAAGTGATAGTTGGGTCTTATACACACTGCAATCCAACGACGAGACTTCAGACGGAGAACCAACTCTTCTATGCTGATAAAAATCCCTAATATCTTCGACTCTCGCTTATGGATCAAGGACTGGCCACTCCCGGCTTCTTTTCTGTACATTCCCATAATCCCATGCCCAATGATCTAGGTAATGGCCTCCACCAGATGCGCTGAAATACCGTCAAGGTGAGAACGCTTAATAGTACATTGTCGGCGCGTGCGCTGATAGTCTAGAACCTATTGGGAAAGCTTCCGAACCCGTTGTCAAGGGATAACAGCAAAATTCCACCCAAAAATCAAACTAAAGTACCAGCGTTAGAGCCGTCATCCTGGCCCCATCCGCTGTTATATTCACTGACGCAGCAAGAGGAAGAGATACTCCATACTGTCGCTACCATGCTAAATTCCACCGGCGCTGGCACGCAATCCAGTTGTGATACATTTATAAATTTGTGATTAACTACGTTTCTGAAATCCGATTTCGGGACAGATTCTTTATGAATGAGTTTATAAAGGTTTTAATTAGCTTGAAGTAGAGGCTTTAAGTAAAAATGTTTATAATTAAGAAATTTAATATAGGTAACTTAATTATTTATAACTTTATTTATATTTTTACTAGCTTATTGTGACAGGCGGTCAGGGACGCTTGGGCTAGCTGGTCGCTAGCGGAGATGTCTCTAGGGTGGTCCGGATCAGGTTAAAAGAAAGGGAAGGAACCTGTGCTGGAGGATATCATCGGTTTTTAATTCTTCAGAAATTCAAGCTGGACGTCAGAGAGGCCGGCAGGCCTCTAGACTGCTTGGGAGTCTGCTTTTTCTTTGCTTTTAATTTTAAGAGATTTATTTGAGTCTATCTTTGCCGTTGCTACGATCCTTGTCCAACCTCTGTCTTCGACCTCCCCCAGATATCGGGCTGCCGCAGGCCCAATTGATGCCTTGCCAGCGAACTTTCCTGCGACCGACCCGATATTCCATCTTATGAGATGCTTTCCTGCCGGGAGATACAAGCCTCAGATTGATCCGACCTTATATGCGTAATCTGATATAGCTTCGGGCTGACCGGCCAAGATGCCTGTGCGACGACCCTCTGTGTAAATCCCCTAGGGTAGGTTAATGAGTTAGGTATTACTTTTATCTCTTTCTACTACTAAATTATATATTATTTAAGCTAGTAAAAAAATTTTTTTTTAATTTTATAATTTTAATTTTACTGAATATTATAAAATAAATTTAAGTTTTATTCTTAAATAGTAATATTAAATAATATAAACTGTATTAAATATTAATAAATATAGTAGCTAAGTAATAAAGTTTAATATTTTTTATATTAAAATAAAAGTTAGAAGAAATAGTAAAAAATAATATAAAAATATTAAAATACTAATATTATTTTTATATTTTTTACTGAATTTAATTATATAATTAACTATATAATTTCTTTAATTTATTTTTTAAATAATAAAAATCTTTTTATATTTATTAAAAATTAATATCTTTTAAACCATATTTAAATTTATACTTTTTATTTAATATAAAATAATCTTAAATTTTAATTATTTAATAATAATAAATATCAAGTTAAATTAAAAAAGTTTAATTTATTTTATAACTTTTAAATTTTAAAAAAACTGAGTATATAATTTATATTATTAATTTTATTATTAGTATTTTTCTCTACTATTAAGCTTATAATCCCTCCTCTAGGTATATTTATATTAGAACACTCTAACCTCTTAAATATTTAACAATTAGAGCCTACTTAGCTAATTTAATACTGGTGCACAGACTACCTTATTCCAGTTATAGAGGTATCCCACTAGTTGGCGAGTCGTCTTCAGTCGCTTTCAGCAAGTTTCCGCAAAGTCCGCAAATCCGCATCCGCAACTCCTCTCCATTCTCCAGGTTGAAAACCCGCTCGGCCAGTCGCCATGCGCATGCAGGCAATTTCAGTAGTGATAACGCTCGACTAGCCCAGTCCATGGCTATAATGATGCCACAAACGCAAGAAAGTGACGACAGCCCATAAGCCTGGCTCTCAAATCTTATAAGACACGGGCCCTCCTCCGCCTCAAACTCTCTCGAGTGTCCATTCGCCTTGAAGCTACCATTCCGTTACACAAAGCTTGCGTACCGTCTTCACCATGGTATCATTCACTCCCGCAAACGACATCCCATCGCTCTCAGGGAAGGTGATTCTTGTCACGGGCAGCAACACCGGCTTAGGCAAACAATCCATCATCGATCTGGCCCGGCACAATCCTTCTCAGATTTGGCTAGCAGCGCGCAGCCTCGAAAAGGCTCAGGGAGCCATCACGGACATTAAGGCACAGGTTCCAACAGCCCCAATCCATCCTCTGCAACTCGATCTGGCTTCTCTAGACTCCGTCAAGGCGGCAGCCAAAACATTTCTTAACTCCGCAACACGCCTGGACATCTTAATGCTCAATGCCGGGATCATGGCAACTCCCCCGGGCACCACCAAAGACGGCTACGAAATTCAATTTGGGACGAACCACGTTGGACATGCTCTCCTCACGAAGCTGCTAATGCCTCTTCTACTCCAGACTGCCGAGGGAGCTAGTTCTGACGTCCGCGTTGTCGTTCTCAGCTCGACAGTCCACGCTCAGGCACCAGAAGGTGGTGTCCAATTCAACACATTGAAGACACGGGCCGACGCCATGGAGACCTGGACTCGTTATGGACAGAGCAAACTTGCCAACGTACTCTTCGGTCGGGAGTTGGCGAAGCGATATCCCCAGATAAAAGTTGTGTCAGTTCACCCGGGAATCGTCAACACGAACTTGACCGACTCGTACATGGACTCCAGTATGCTGCGTCGCACTATTCGTCCCTTTTTCATGCCTCTGGTAAAGATGGTTTTGACGAGCGTGGAAGATGGCGTCAAGAACCAGCTGTGGGCAGCCACTTCGAAGGACATTGTTAGTGGAGAGTACTACGAGCCCGTGGGCAAGGCTGGCAAGGCGAGCGGCTACGCTAAAGACGAAGGATTGGCAAGGAAACTCTGGGACTGGACCGAGAAGCAGTTTCAGGAATGAGACGTTTAGTTTAGTCTGCGGAGTTTGTGTTATTGTTGTTGATATTTCTTGAGCTCTCCGCAGGGGGATTAGTATAGTAGCAAATAATAAGTTTTCACGTAACGCACTCCACAAGCGAAGCGACCTCACCAGCGAAGCGATCAAAAATCCCTCGACCCCTCCTCGTTGTCGTAGATGACAAAGGTGAGAGGAAAAGTCGGAATAATTTTGGTCTGGAGATTTCAGGATGTTGATCGGGGAGAGACTGGGAGAGGAGGAAGATGGTGTTTATGCGCCTGAGATGGTCAGCCCGGGTGAGATCCTTCGATCAACGGCCCCAAAGCTCCGGCTGAAGCGGCGGGGCCGTCCGCGGTTTGCTCAGTTGTCCACGAAGCTACTACGACCGATACTGCTAGGTTAACGATCTGGCAGCTATCCATGTGGCCAGCTACGCGGTGCTTTGATGTAAGAGATCACTCCCGTCCGGCCGGAGAGGAGTAAGAATACCTCGTGAGTCCAATTATGCATGGGTATCCAGCCATGCAATCTTGGGTCATCACTGGATCATTCCTCCACTCAATTGCTTAGAGCGCCCCGGCAATGCCGTCCGCTTAGTGTTTTTCGACTCCAATTGGATGTGGTCTCTAGAAAGTAGTTTTAATTGCTGTTTCTATGGGGAGGGGGAAAGCAAGCAGGTCGCAATCTAAGCCCGACATTTGTGGACTGGCGGAGCTAGCGGACCTGAGGGCTGGCGGCGAACTGGTAGCGAACAGACGTAGGACTGACAGAAGACTTGCCGAGGACTGGCGGAGGACTGGCGGAGGACTAGCGGAGGACTAGTGGAGGGCTGGCGGAGGGCTGGCGGAGTTGCGGGAGGCGTTCTCAGCGTGTGTGCTAGGATGGATGTAATCTTTGTTTCAAATGTGCTTGATTGTGCCGAGTTTCCATTCTTAGTCTCGTTCTACACTGCAGATTCTTGCCTTGGCTCAAAGTTGGAACTCCGAAAGCTGCCGTATTTCAGCTAGCGATCGTTTTTATCCTTGTGCAGTCAGTTGCATTGGTAATCGCTGGGACCTTTCTCAGTTGTGGATTTCAGGAGAGACGACTAGCACTGGGGCTTATTGTCTTAGATAGCTTGTGTGACTACTTGATGACTCTGAACATGTGTATATATTATGTACATTCGGAACTGAACGGGGGACTAAGTTGTAAGAGCTGGCTCAACTGGGTCGGCTACCTTCCCATAGAAACGCCAAGCGTTGGCACTATTCCAATCCCAATCTGATACATGGGCATCCGGTTGGTGCCAACCTTGATTTACCCATCGCCCTGCTTGCGGATGTATACATTCGCGTTGGGCCGAAATCCTCTAGATGTGATGTCATTCATAGAAGCGGAGTGTGTCCTGCCTCCAGGGTAAGAGGCTGGTTCCTTGACGTGTTGGCGCGGCTTTTGTCATCGGGGGACGGACTTTTGAGCATTAACTCCATTCCTGCGGAAGCAGCATGGCGGATTTGTAAAGCGTTTGGATGCAGTGATTCGCAGCCATCTCGATTTCGGGTGCCGTTTCCGCGTCCGGCCCATGTTAGTGTTGAGTCTCCAGCTGGTCATGTTAGGTCTTCATAATTCCGCAAATACCGTGTCTAAGTTACGACGAGCCGACACGATTGAACTCTCAAAGTGTCGAATGCGCATTAGAGGAAATATTTCTAGGAACTAACTCGTGAGCGCCGACGAACGGAGACAGCTTCAGAAACACAATACTCACCATGGAACCTGTGGGAACTTTCCGAGCCGCAATCAACAAGACACCCCACGATGTGGTTGTTGAGGAGCGTCCTGTTCCTCAGTTAAGTGGAACCCAGGTCTTGGTCAAGATGGAGGCTGTGGGCGTCTGCGCCTCTGACCTCCACCTGACACGGAGATCGAATCCTTATCTAGTTCCCAAGGGGGACACTGGAGGCCACGAAGGTGTTGGGAGAATAGCTTCACTTGGACCAGACGTTGACACCAAAGCATGGAAGAAGGGAGACAGAGTGGCTGTGCGATGGGTCTGGTGGGTTTGCCAGAAGTGCGAGCTGTGCTTGAGCGGCTATGAGGCGCTTTGTGACAAGAGACTCCTGGGGAGTGTCGACGTTAATGGATGCTGGGCCGGTACGTGAGCCTTTTGACTTGTGGAGTGTGCTCTTGGTTGACCGCGAGCAGAGTATGCCGTTGCCGACAGCAGCTATCTATTGCGTGTGCCCGAGGGAATCTCGGCCTTGGAAGCTGCCCCGATACTATGCGCCGGCACTACCGTTTACAGGGCGCTCAAGACTGCGAATCTTGCCAACGGTTCGTGGGTTGCAATCGTTGGCGCTGGCGGTGGCCTTGGCCATTTGTAAGTCACAATCTTTTATTGCCTGCCTACCTCCCGCTGAACGTGTTATTGCTACAGGGCTGTTCAGTATGCCAAACTCAGGGGGCTACGTGTCCTGGCCATTGATGGCGGTGACGAAAAGAAGGCGTTGTGCCAAAAGTTGGGAGCCGACAGCTTCATCGATTTCACCAAAACAACGGTAATTATTAATGGGGATAATGACGAGAACTGTGTTGCAAATTCTGCCACAACACAGACGACCAGGTGAATTTACTGACTCGCGAGCAATCAGGACCTGGCGGGAGACGCCAACAAGACGACAGGAGGTGGCGCCCACGGAGTCATAGTCATGAGTTCGAGCTCCAAGGCATATGAGCAAGCCCCCTTTTACGTGCGCAAGGCCGGAGTATTGTGCTGCATCGGACTGAGTAAGCAGCCATCCCTCCGTTAGATCGCCTTGCCTGACCTTTGCTCTCCAAGCTCCTACCAAGACAAGATTTCTTGTCGGGCCCGAATACTTTGTGGGAAAGGGAGTCCGCCTGATGGGTTCGTCTTTGGGGACGCTGCAGGACGCAGAGGAGGCTTTGGCTTGCCTTGTTGATGGGAAAGTCAAAACGATTGTAGTTTCGAAACGGCTTGAAGATGTCGGGCAGTGCTTGAACTCGATTGAGCAAGGTGAGAGTGTGGGCCGGTTCGTCATCAATCTAGATGAGACTACATAGCCTGTGGGCCGCTTTGACGTCGAGGGCTTCCTCCTAGTGCATATTCAGAGCGCCTCTCGGCAGGGTTATTGAGAAACTCCGTAGTATACCGTGGTTAGTTACCTTGTTCGCAGGAAGGTCACACAACAGTGCAAAGCATGGGATGTGGGGAAAGAAGATGATCGAATCGAGCTACTGAATAAGGCCGTAAACTTATGTACTGCTACCTTAACTTAGTTGCATAGGAATTGAGCTAAGATTGGCAGGGATGCCTCACCCCCTCATCTGCACTCCATTCCAAAGCTGGGGTGGACTAACCGGCTCCGCTCCGAGCTTCCCGGAGCTCTCTAGGTAGTCATATATATATATATTGGTGTTGACGACCTAAACCGGCTCAACTTATTTTACCAAATCATCCTCCCTGGCCCATTACTGAGGTAGAGCCCGGCTTCGCCTCCGAATATCCCAATCTTGAGGATCCTGAGGCTACCTCCGTTCGCCCGTCTTTCCGAGCCATCAGATTTCCTCCTTCGGGGTTTTTGGCCTCACGTCGTTGACCTAGTTGCAAGCTACGTTCGACGGAAACACGGCGCAGACAACTCTTGACCATAATCCTATTGCCCACCTGTGACGACCCTGTCTTGCCAACTACACCCGCACACCTGTGTGGGCTGCCAAGTGACCCTGACAACATGCCTCCCCGAGAGACTCGCAAACGGCGAGCCCCTGTGGTCAATGTCGACGGTGTAGACTGTGGTCCCAAGTCAAAGCGTCGGACCGTTCCTAATGAGCTACGGAAGCGGACAAGCATGAGCTGCGATCTGTGCAAAACTCGTCGCATCAAATGCATCCGCCCAATCACCGAGGATGGCGAGAACACGCTCGCCCCATGCGAGAACTGCACCACCTTGCAAGTAGCATGCCAGTCGGCTTTGCCGAGGAAGACGCGCATATATGGGAGCCTGGAAAGCCTAAGTGCAAGATATAGAACGCTGGAAGCCTTGGTAAAAGCCTTTTTCCCTGGTAGGGAGATCAACGACGAGCAGCTGGCCGAGATCGCCCGTGAATACGGAGTCTCTGTTCCGACGGTCCAACCACCTGAAGAGTCTTCTTCTCTTGCACAGGCCTTGGACTCCGACACCCTACAAGCCTCATTACTATCTTCAGCTCCCGCCGCTGAACTCACATCCACATCTCGAGATCGCTGTGACGATAGCGCAAGCAATCATCAGCGCACAACCAGCACCTCGGCTTCACATCCTGCCATTTTTAATCACATGGACATCAACGACGAGCAGCTGGCCGAGATGGCCCGCGAATACGCTGTCTCTATTCCGGTCCTCCACCCCCCTGAAGAACCTTGTTCTTTTGCCTGGACCTTCGACTCCGACACTCTACAGGCCTCGTTACCACCTTCAACTCCCGCCGTTGAACTCATCTCCACAACCATAAATCACCGTCACGATGACGCAAGGGATCATCAGTGTGCAACTGGCGCCTCGGACTCATACTGTGGTCGAGAGGGACGCGCAACACAGATCTATCAGAAAGGAAGCCTCCATCCCGTGTCCGAATATCCCCCGAAACTTGGCCGCCCGAGTGAACGTCTATATCCAAATACGGAAGGAGTAATGTCGTACCTCGGGCCCAGTAGCAGTTTCGAATTCATGATCGTACTGCGGAGACTTGTTACGCATATTACAAAGAAGACTTCCCTTCAAGAGCCGTTTTCTTCAGGTCGGGAGAGCATGGCCATCGAAAATGGCCTCGAGGATTCGGGGCAAGACAACGATGGCCCCGTTCAGATTTCCAGTAAGAAGGGAGCGCTGGATGTTTCAACAACCCAGCCTGAAGCCGCAATGGCAGGTCCAATTTCCACCCAGAACAGAGGAAATCCTCCGTTGAGCAATGGGGCGGTAAACAGTCTGTCATCTTTGAGAGTAAATGTCCGCTCGAGGCCGTCATCCCACGCCGAGGAAGGGCTTGGCAACATTGTTACGTCGACTCAAGACAGTTTGCCATCCAGAGACGTCTCGGATATGCTTGTTAAGGCCTTCTTTGACTACGTGCACGGAAACTACGTTATCTTCCATCGAGGTCTTTTCCAGATGCAGTATGAACGTCTCTTCCTGTCGCCTGAGGATGCTGAAAGTGATTTGGACCTGCCCGACGGCTCGAACAATCAAATTGACAAGGGATGGATTTGCTGCATTTACATGGTGTTCGATTTTGGGTACCAAGCATTGAAGCATCGGCGCCCAAGACAGGCCCCGGCTTTACAGCAGAGCTATGTCAAGCTGGCACAAAATCATCTTTATGAAATCGTCAATACTACCTCACTTTCGAATGTCCAGGCTTTGCTTCTAATGCAACTACACCAACACAACTCGGGGGCTCGAAATGCCTCGTGGATGCTCCTCGGCTGCGCTTGTCGCATGGCCATCTCTATGGGTATGCACAGGGAGCGCGCACGAGGCGGTTTCGGTCCCATCGTGCGAGAACTGCGCCGCAGGGTCTGGTGGACCATGTATACTTTTGAAAAACAGGCGTCGTTGATTTTGGGTCGTCCTTCAGCGATACCGGAAGATGGCGAGGTCGACGTGAGGCTTCCCGACGAGAACTACATGGATGGGAAGACTTATTATCAGTCTGGGCTCTTGAGAAACATGCTGGCTTTGACCGACATCCTGATCAGGATCAGGAAAAGCTTGTTCGGTGCCGCAGACGCTGCTTCGGCTACTGGCCGCAGTTCTGCTGCTGCAATCTCTCGGATACCGGGCCTCGATGCAGACACGGTACGATCAATCATCTCGCAGCTTGACAATTGGTTCCGCGGGCTACCTTCCAATCATCAACCTCAGTCGAATGCCAAAGGGTCGCATGATTATCGAGCGGCACACTTGCTACACCTCGTCTACTACCACGCCAAGCAGGTTGTCACGAGATCATATCTGCTTGAGAGATTGGAAGCGGAAGTCGATTTCCAAGACGATCCAAGCAAACCGCGGGCCTCCTTGAGCGATTCAGACCAAATGGAGCTCAGTACAGTATGCATAGATGCAGCTGTATCCAGTGCTCTAGTCTTGGAGAGTTTATGGGAAAGCAATCAAGTTGACGGCGTGGCATGGCTTGATATTTACTGGGCTTACCACAGCGGCGTTATGCTGCTTATCGATCTACTGCGCGAGCAGCACCAGGCTTCCCAAAGAACAAGCAACACCACGGCAGACGAGCCGACGCGGGCTCACTCGGATACTAAGAGAAGAGAAGCCCTCAAACGACTCATCGAAATCCTGCGCAAGGTCAACCTCTGCAAGACCATGCGTGTCTTCGCCAACGTGACTCTGGCGCTCGCCAAGGTTGCCGGCGTAGGCCTTGACGAGGGAAGAGAAGACCCGAGCGATGTTATTCCCCCCCAAGCTGCGGCAGCAATGGGTGGGATCACCGCGGACACTACCGCTGCTCCTGCTGCAGATTTGAGTGTCATGAACCTCGAGCCCTTTGGGTCCCTGTCTTGCACCGACCCCTGCGCCGCTAGATATCCGTGGATGGATGGAGACCATGCCTTGCCTATGGAAATAAACGGAAATACTTCATATGAATTTGACTGGATCGATCTATAGCTACTGGCATGTATGTATGTTCAAATATATTCAAACCATCTTGAAACGTTGTCGTGCCACTGAAATGGCTGTTCTATCTGGTCAAGGCCTCGCCGTCTCATCTCAGCCCCGGTGCCTAGCTGACGAGTCGCAAAACTTTGCACCCTCGTCAATGTCTCTTCTAATCTTTTCGTCAGCCGCCCTCTGAGCTGGAAGGATCTGTAACGCGGCCTGAACCAAATCCCTTGGTATGCATATCACCCCATCAAGGTCGCCAAATATCATGTCACCAGGATTCACGACAATGTTCTGATCCAGGCCCTGAAGACGGACAGGCGCACCAACCTGGCCCCAGACGGTTTAGTTGTTGGATTCCCACTGTGCTATGAATCAACGTACGGTTCCGAGGCGCAAAGCCTGATAATATGCGGTTGTGCCTGTGTCCCGCGCAAAGACCTGAAAAACTCGCCATCAGCCACGCCAAGCCAAGTCGTCACTGAGCATCCTGGGAACTCTACCGGATAGGTTTGGTCCCGATGCTCCTGGAGATCTCGGATTCTTCCATCCACGACTGTACCAGCCGCACCGCATGATTTGGCGCGAGCCGTCATCAAACCGCCGTAAACGGAGTTGACAACATGAGGCGGAGAAGATATGAATATCACCGCCCCTGCGGGGACATTATCGATCTCAGAGATAGGTCAGCTAGTGAGCCTATGCCTTTCCGGCACTGAATTCGGATGGGCACCAACATAATGCTCTTCTTGCTTCTCCGCGCTCACCGAAGTGTGCCGTACGTACTGAACCGTATACGCTGGACCTATTATCTTTGTGGCTCCCGCCTTGAACTCGGGCGACCACATGGCCAAGCCAGAGAGAAAGCCTCCATCCGGGACATTTAGTTTGACCAGCGCATCGGCGATATCACACCTGTGACGATTTTCATCAACAATCGTGTGCGGGCAAACGCTGAGGTTGTGGAGGGAATATGGGCATCATACGCGCTGTAGGGCCGCAAGGCTTCGACGAGGGACTGGTCTGACATTTGTTCTTGCCAGCGGAGGTTGTTTGCTTTACTGAATCTGCTGGCTCACAAGCCAAGGTCTACTCACCTCTGCAGAGAGCCTAACCAGAGCGACCTCCTTTATCAGCCATTGCATCAAAGGTGGAAACTGGGTCCAATGTTTTGTGTCGTCTTCGCGCCGTAATTTTGGCATTCGCGCGTGATTTAAGTGCGAAAGAATGCTTCCGGGTGGGGAAAATATGTGTTTCCCTCGGATGGATGCAGCCGCGATAGCGTCGAGTTGAATTCGCTTAGTATATTCCAAAGAGCTTAGATATATACGCGGGTATTTCGATCTGTCGCTTACTTGAACTTGAGGGAATCGATCCCATTGCTTGGGGAGTCTGAAAGCCCAGTCACTGTCAACCAAGCACCTTCATTGCAATCACCATGACGAACACCGTCCCCAACGTAGCCATATTCGTCAATGGCAAAGACGTGCCGGCGTCGTCGTCGTTCCCAGTCCGTAGCCCACTGACACGAGAGGTCGTTTATACCTGCTCGTCAGCCACTGTTGAAAACGCTCGCCATGCAGTCTGCGCTGCTGATGAAGCATTTAAATCTTGGTCGAAAAGCAACCCTGCACAAAGAAGAAACATTCTGAACAAAGCTGCGGATATCCTACTGTCCAAGGCATCGACCGCTCATGAGCTCATGTCCAACGAGGTTAGCGCCTCCACAATATGGAGGGCTGCCAATATCCTTGGATCCGCTGCCTTTATCAGAGAGGCAGCGGCCATTGTGACTCAGGTTAAGGGCGAGGTTCTGCCCTCGGACCGGCCAGGAACCACAACCTTGATCTTTCGTGAACCAGCGGGAGTCGTCTTCTCCGTTGTTCCATGGAATGCGCCACTCAACTTGGCGCTACGGGGTATCTGCATCCCTATAGCCTGCGGCAACACCGTCATCCTGAAGCCAAGCGAATACACACCTGCCTCGCAAAGACTGGTTGTGGATGCCTTCACCGAAGCCGGACTACCACCGGGCGTGCTCAACTTCCTTCCCACATCCGCTGCCGACTCAGCGTCGGTATCAGAGTACTGCGTCAAAGCCAAACAAGTCCGGCGGGTGAACTTCACGGGATCCTCACCCGTTGGCAAGATCTTTGCGGGCTGGGCTGCGGAAGAGCTGAAACAGTGCATCTTTGAGCTCGGGGGCAAGGCCAACGTGGTGGTTTTTGAGGATGCCAGCATCGACGATGCCGCCAAGGCGGTTGTTTTCGGGGGTTTGATCAACTCTGGACAGGTCTGCATGTGAGCTTGACCCATCAACGGGCTTGAATACGCCTCTATTATGCCTGCTTGCCGACCAGATCTAACAAATGTGCTTTTGATAGGTCATCGGAAAGGATCCTGCTACACAGCTCCATCGCTGCGTCTTTTACGGAAAAGCTGCTTACCGCAATCAAGAAGCTCAAAGTTGGCAATCATCTGAAGGACAACTCGGTTCACTTGTCCGGCCTCTTTTGCGAAGCTTCAGCGCAAAGAGTGCTTGGGTTGATCAAATCGGCGGCGGCATCCGGCGCTCAGGTGCTGCTAGGAGACCAGACTATTACTGATCACACCGTACTCCAGCCTCACATTCTGTCGAATGTGAACCCGTCCATGCCGATATGGCAAGAAGAGACATTTGGGCCTGTGGTTACGCTTACGACCTTTAATTCCGAAGACGAGGCGCTTCGACTGGCACTCGATACTGACACCTCGCTCACCGCCTCCGTCTTCAGTGTAGATGTCTCGCGTGCAATGCGGTTCGGTCGCCAGCTTCACACTGGAGCCCTCCACATCAACGGACCGACGGTCTATATTGAACCCTCGTTACCCAACGGAGGCACGGGTGGTCCCAGTGGGTACGGGAGATTTGGAGGGACTACAGGCATTAGGGAGTTCACGGATGAACGGATAATTACTATCAACGAGCCTGGGCAGAAATATCCTCTAGTTCAATAGTCTATCCATACAATCAGACCCAATTGCATGAAAACTGAACCTAATTATACAAGTCTTATTCCAAGGTCGTAAAAATTCGATTTCTTTCTGCTCAAAATGTACGATAAACCATCCAAGATCTAACCGAAAGACCTAGATATGGGAAAGAGGCTACAGTCGGAGGGAATGCGAACAGCATCTGTGCCTACCGCGAAAAGCGGTGTACGCCGAGACTCAATCTGTGCGGTCATAATACAGACCATTCACTTTTCTCTATTGCGTTAGATAAACGGACATGTCAATTGGAGCAGAGGGGTAAAGATTTCGAAAGGACGGCGGAGCTGGACGCACTAATCGAAAGCATGCTTCCGAAGTCATGCAGGTCGCCGATCGCCTGCTTCCACTCCAAGGCTAGTTCGACGAGCACACGAGAAAGATTGAACCCGTTGTATTCGGCGAGGAAGTTTGCACGCGTGTGTGTGCTAATTTCCGGCCCACGATTAGTTGTGCCCCCGTGCCTGATATACTCGCGGATCTGCACTCGATCCCGAAAGTTCATCGCCTTCTTATTCCTTCATCTAATAATTTTCTATCCGCAACTACCCCCAGCTTCAATCATGGTGAGTCCTTTCTAACCTACTAAGGTCCTCTCCGATCCGGCCACTAATACCAGCGCGTGAAGCATGTTATTGTCATTGGATGCGGACTGGCAGGACTGGCCGCCGCCATCGCCATTAGACGAGGTGGCCACACAGTCGAAATAGTTGAGCAGGCCCCGGAATTATCATATATTGGCGCAGGTAAGTACTTCACCCAATATATCATGTGTTTGTGTAGTCCCTCATCCATTGTAGGAATACAAGTGTCCTCGAATTCGTCTCTCATCCTACGCAAGCTCGGCGTCGATAAATATATCTTGCCATTCACCACCGAGCCCGTCGACCTTAAAATGATGAGGTGGCAAGATGGCAAAGTTCTCGTACAATGTCCTCTTAAGAAACCCGCTCTGGAGGAGTACGGCTCGCCGTATTGGCATATTCACCGCGCAGATCTCCACCGAGGACTCCTTGAATGCGCCACTGATCTTGGAATCACACTGCACCTCGACAGCAAAGTTCTTGATGTGGATCTGGACTACGGAAGCTTGGTAACATCCAAGGGAGAAAAACTCACTGCGGATTTCATTGTTGCATCGGACGGTAGAGTACTCTTCCACATTTTCTACCTGGAGTTTAGCTGATGATTGCAGGCCTGCACTCGACGTGCAGATCCATCGTTGTAGGCAAGCCGATGCCACCTGTTCCTACGGGACAAATGGTGTTCCGCGTGACTGTGCCTGCTTCAGAATTGAAGGATGTCCAAGGCCTTGGAGACCTGGCGACTACTCCGCGAAACAATCACTGGATCGGTCCTCGAGCCACAATTCTGTCTTATCTTCTCGAAGGCATCAACGATACTCTGGTCAATTTCGTCTTCACGTGTGATGTCGACTTGGGAAGCCTCGAGGATGGAGTGAATCAGAAAAAGGGCACGAGCGAGGACGTACGAAAGGCTTTCAAGAATTGGGATCCCAGAATTGATAAGATTCTGGAACATGTCACGGAGGTCCTTGAGTGGAGAGTAAGGACTGTTGAAGAAATCCCAGGACCACAAGTTGCTGATGCTCTTTTAGTTGTATACGCACCAAGAGGCACCGTCCTGGATTCATCCTTCGAACAAGATGTGTCTCATTGGGGATGCGGCCCACGCCATGACGCCTTATCTTGCCCAAGGAGCTGCCGTGGGATTCGAAGATGCTGCGGTGCTCGGGGGCGTTCTAGAAAAGTGCTCGTTCACTAAGGACCTGCCCGCCGCGCTGCAGTTGTACCAAAGGCTTCGCTTGAAGCGCTCAGCTCGTGTTGCCACGGCCTCGATAGAGTCTAGGTGGTTCACTCAGATGGAAGACGGACCTGAGCAGGAGAAACGTGACGAATGGCTATTGGCGCATCCAGGAATCTGGCCGAATCACATCAACATCCGGTCCCGGAAAGAATTTCTCGACGAGTTGTTTGGCTACGATGCGTACAGGGAGCTGGAAGCGGCCTTTCAAGAAGGTGGCTTCGAAGATTTGCCCGAGAAACTTGACAATCATGATAGCTTGTCGACTGAACAACCCGGTTCGGCTACTACGGCTTCCGCATGAGCAAAAGCGCCGAGGGCGCGTCAGATACGTGATCCAGGTATATGGTGGAATCCGATGTCATGGGCAGTTCCCTTTGTGTTGTCTTTTTCTTTCGATATGTCTGTAGTGGAAGATTCTTTTAGATGCTATCAATGTGTTTGGAAAATTGATAGAGTGTGCCTTTCATATCTTAGTACAGTGGCAATACAGATTTAGACATGTTGTTATAGAGGTTCAGCATCATTTTTTGCAAGTGATGAAGCTCATGAAGATGTCATATTTCGTACGAGCCATTCGACACCCTAGATAATTACTTGAAAAGAAGCCTGCGCCTCAAAGCGTTCCGTGTTTTCAGCATCACCTTGCAAAATTGCATAGTACCTAGATTGCCAAGTGTATAGGGCCTCGAATGAGCACCGAAGCAACGGCATTAGAATGGTGTGACGGAGCATACTCGTCAGTTGTATTCATTCTGCGCAAAAGCCGCATTCAGAGAGCCAACAGAGCACCACTGATTCCATTGTTGTGTCACTCAATTTTTTCTAGATTCTCGGTAAATGATCACTACCTGAAACTGCCCCAGACAAGCGGCCAATTTCTACTGTCCCGCCCCACAGAATACCTCGAATTGCAACATGACTTGTCTCTGTGCCATTGACATCCCATTTCAGCGTTTCACGAATCGCTCTTCTTCGCCTCCATATTTTCCTAGTCACGAGTAGCAGCAAGCCGCAGCAAAAGGTGCTCTCTCGCAGTCAACGCATCTCTCTCCTGGAGTCCCTCCGTTTGATTGAGTATCATCGGACTTGGGACTGGGAGAAGTTTTGCATCACTGAACGGATGGCAGAAATATGCAATGGAATATCTGTCCTCGCCTCCGCGCCTTGACTCCTTGGGGAAGATGACGCGGTGAACTGTTGATTTGAGAAGGGAATTCGTCCAGTAGGACAAAAGATCACCAATGTTGACCAAGATCGGCGGCGATGCGTCTGACTCGGTCCCCGGCGGAAAGACTGGCACAGGTGCCCATTTCTTGTCGGGGGTTAGAACCTCGAGGCCAGGCTGGCCAGGGCGTTGGAAAAGCAGAGTGATGCTCCCGTAGTCAGTGTGGGCGCCCTAATACAAGGTCAGAACTTGGATCTGAGAGAATGGGATGGTAGACTTGCAGCCCGAATATCGACGTCTGGCTCGTAGTCATCGTTCTCCGCCACAGACGGATACCAAAGCAGACGCAAGGTGCACGAGGAAGTTCCAGGCTCCGGGGCGTGCCTTGCGGCGAACCAGTCTGCAGAACCATTTGTGTCGTCGATCTTGAGGCCAATGGCCAGGAGCCGAAGGAGCTTTACGCACAAGGCATGGCATAGTCGGCCAAATTGGCCAATCTCTTGCTCATGGCTGGCCAGAGACTTGGGCAAGGGTTGCTGTGCCTTGCCCTCGACGAACTCTCCCAGGTTGAAGACTTCTTTGAAGTCACCTCTCACCTGTAACTTGGGGTCCAAAGTCTCGCTCTGTACGCCGCCCCAGCCCTTGTTCTGCCAAGTGTTAGCTCGCTCTCCCATTTCCGTCATTAGAGCGTAACTTGCATCCTTCAAGGGTGTCTTTGCCTTTTCGGCGGCTGGCGAATCAAAAAACTCTTTAGACTTTGTTGTGTGAGTGCATAATGGTCTCTGATGCCATTCACGGATAAGGTCAGCTCACAATGGCAAACGCTTGGTTGATATCGCCGGTTGCGATGTCTTTCTCAAGACTTCTGATGTAAACGAATCCGTGTCTTTCAAATTTGCATGTCAGCAGATACTGATGCCCACGTAAAGCCGGGACATGAATGCGTGCTGGGATGGGAAGTCAGTCTGGCTCGCAGTTCCTCACCTCACAAAAGCGGCCACTAGTGACTCAGCCGTCTGCGGGTCATCATCCTTCAAGGATGAGATGTCGAGCACGGGGATTTCAGCGGTTCCTACAGTCATGCTGTAATTTAGTTTCGAAGAAGTTATCGATTGGGGTTCGGTCTCGAGCAATGTCCCTTTTTACACTTCTAGAGCATTGGCATCGGACCCCAGTATCTATCAGATGACAGATATTTATGGACCGTCCATGTGCTTAGGTACCCCAGAAACCTGGCAGTACATCCGCACATTAGCGTTTGATCTGGCTGGGGGCGGCTGCAACGGATGTAACGATTCGGAGCACGGCACACTCGGCTGTTACCCATGCGGAACAAGTGGGCAACCGGATGCATCGATTCGAAGCCCGCGGCTAATGGGAGGGGGTGCTCTAAACAGATGACTACTGTTTTCCTTCGCCATTTCTATTCAATCCTTTCTTGGTCCTGCTGTTTTAGCTAAAGCGACCGAGCCTGCGCATCACGTCTCAAGTTCGATTACACTTTCCACTGGGGGTATTCTCCTCCTTGAAACAGTACACAGGTATTAGTCTGACGTATCACTCATCTATTTACTCTACAACGCCACTGTACGGCACGATGTCAACGTCTACACTACTATGGTACGCAAGGTCCCGCGGTGCCCACAGCCAGGAGCCACCTCCTGCGGTTATTGAGTCCGCAACCGCTGTGTTTCACTACAAAGACACACAAGACCAGCGGGAGAGCCTCTCAGTCTACTCTCTACCTTGGTCTTATTCGCCTTCACTGCAACATCTGGCCCGAATACCAGAGGAGGGGCAGCAGCCTCACAACACCGACGCGACAATTCCCGAACTCGACCAATGCCTGTACGACTTGATGGTTGAGAGCAGCTCTGCGGACTTCAGATCTAAAGCCACGAGCTCAAGAGATTCAGCACAAGTCCCTAGGGTACTAGTTTGCCGACTCTTCACCCTGCGTTCACCCTCAACTACCAACGAAGACGAGTTGCACAACTGGTATCGACGGCAGCACATCCCTCTTCTTGCCAACGTGCCTGGCTGGCAGCGGACAAGATGCTACAAGACCTCGGGCGCAAATCTCGCCAACCACCTTTTGACTGCAAGACCCGTATATCTTGCATTACACGAATACACTCGGGAAAATGGTCTTAATGGACAAGAATATAAAACTTGCATGTCTACGTCTTGGCATAACAGGATCATGGCCGAGCTCATTGATACGCAATCAACACGCATCTATCGACTGGAGGATACTACCCACCTGTCGCCAAACAACATGATACATGCTCCTACTTCATTCCCAGAGTTCTATCCACCGCTTTGTCTTTACTCGCATCTCACGACATCTGATGGGGTTGTGTTGCCTTACCGCCTGAGCGGATCGGCAAATCCCTCGGCGCCGATCATTCTTCTCTCCAATCCTCTCTTGACCCAGTGGGAGATCTGGGATCCCTTTGTGGCTGTTTTCTTGACCAAGTATCCTCAGTTTCGTGTCCTTTGCTACAACACCCGAGGACGCTCATCACTACCTCCTGCGCCGGGTTCAACTCGTCCGCAGCCTGTGACTCTCACCTTACTCTCCGACGATATGCTCGCCCTCTTGGATGCGGTCGGCATTCCTAAACTACACGCTCTGATGGGCTGCTCCATCGGTGGTGCCTCAACCCTTGTCTTCGCGCTCCGACATCCTTCGCGTGTGGGTCGGTTCATTGCAACAGATTGTGCCCACATTTCATCAGCCGAGAACGCGGCGGCCTGGGATCAGCGCATCGAATTAGCCGAAGATTCTTCTCGAGGCATGGGTGTTCTTGCCAAGATAACAGTCGAAAGATGGCTTGCACCCCGCCAGCTCACCAAGTTAGAGATATCGTTACGGGAATGGATAGCGAATATCGTCAGCAGAAATAGCGTGCAAGGTTTTAGCGAGGAGTGCAAGGCGCTCTACGACTACGACCTCCGAAAGGAACTTCCAACCTGTACTGTGAGGGGAATGTTGGTGGTCGGCGAGAAGGATGGAATAATGCCAGGGAAAATGGAACAGTACAAGGGCATTGTAGGCCCTTCCCCAGACGGAGTTCCCCTGAGGGTCATCCCAGAGGCAGGCCATGTGCCAATGGTTGAACAGGTAGAGGCGTTTCTTACTAGTGTTGAGGAGTTCCTTACCATGGACTAGCTTCCATCTATGTTCTCCTAGAATATATGTAGACCGAGAATTCATAGGTCCAATCGTTATTGGTAGAGAGTCTCAGTCAATACACAGGCGCAAAGGCTGTACTTGCACAATTTCAAAGATTCGATGCAAGCTATTGCAATAATCTACTCTAACAGTGGGCCTGGTGTGAGAGTGATGTAAGGTGACTTGTATTCTATAACTTATTCCATAAGTGATGTGGTCGTCTGAGTCGTGTTGCTTCCTGTATTTCAGACACGCCGCAAACGCCGCTGGAATGGAAGCCAACTCGCAGTCGTAATTTGTGAACACTCACATTTTTAACTGCCAATATAGCTCGCCAACCCTAATGCTAGTAGTCATTAACCAATTCACAAAGGCTGCGAAAGCTATTACGGACCAGTTGGTTCTGCTTCGGATTTTCATAGGGTAGCGTAGGTAGTGGAGAATGTTCACTGAATGGCTCAAAGCACAAACTTATCTGGAATCCAAGGGTGATATACTGCCTTGACCAGGCGTTTGATTGAAGTATTTAGCTAGAAGGCTGGTGTACCCAGCAGGTGCCAAATCCTCCGTGAGTCAGTCAATACAGAGCAAAGAAATCGCGAATCCCGGAACCCGGGTACTTGCGTAGTTCACGATTCACTTTAAATTCAGCACTGGGACATCTTGGCAATCTGAATCTGTTAGTTTGGATGTACCTGAGATGCGACCCGTCGCAGCATTTGACTAGTCCAGCTATCCTAACCCACTGTACATATAGAATGAGTGTTGACGTATGCGAAATGAATGTTGACCTTTTGAATGGAATAAGTGTTGACGTATGCAAAATGAGAGTTGACCTCAGGCCTTGGCTCCCTCTTTCAAGTTCGGAACATCGACCCAAGAGCCCTCGACTCCATTCCACATGACAAATCTTGCCACCAACTTGAGGACATCCTCACCCAAACCCAAAAATTCGCCGTAGACCTTGACCACTTTCTCGGGAAGCTCCAATTCCGGGGATAACGAGCCCTCCACGGAGTCAAGGACCAGATGCGCCATGTTCAGCATATCATCTTCTGTCAATGGAAAGTCCGGGGTGCCCTGATACAACGGAGAAGTAGCAGACACGTTTTTGGCATTCAGGACGGCCCGGACGGTTTTGGCGACGTGGCCGTCATCCAGATGGACGATGGCGCGAGGAATGAGGCTAGACCACGGCCCAGGCTGTTGCGGCGTGTAGTTTTTGATGCGCTCAGGATAGAGTGTAGGGCATCCGTTGACCACGTAGGTGGCTAGGTCCGTCCAGCCCTTCCACTCCAAGAGTCTTGCCTTTTGCTTCAAGTTCAGCCACTCGAGCTTCATAAAGGTCGAATAGAAGAAACCCAGGTTCGTATTGTGCAGGTAGACAAAGTCGAGTCTCGGTTGCTTTCCCGGATGCTGGGCTGCCCCAAGAACATAGGTTGAGACATGCATCATCTCGGCAGTTCGGTGTGCAATGTCGGCCTCGGTGGGTTCCACGCGCCACTTGGCCAGGTATTTGGCTATCTTGACGCCAAGCCTGGGGATCAGGACTCCCCGGATGCGGTCGAATGGGTCGTCCGGCTTGATGGCGTTGCTGATTTCCGTATCAGCTTTGAGCGCGTTGATGACCGACATCATTGATGTGCTTGGCGCTTTGGGCTGAGAGGCGATGTGCTTTTCGATGGGGGCAAATATACCCATGGGAGACTCGTCGTGGGTAGCGGCTCCTGCAAGGGCTTCGGCTACGAGACACGGTTGCTTGAATTCCAGGCCGAATCCCAGATGCAGCAATGGGTGCTGGAGGTCTGATGATTGCGTCAGTTATATGATTTGGTAGACAGCGTGTTGATGATATACCGCAAAACATTCTTGCCAACAAGTCATCCGCTTCCGTATCACCTTTGAAAAGGGCTTGTTTCAAGACTTCCTCGGTCCCCTTGTCGGAGATTTGGTCTTGGAAGTATCGAAGATAGTCAATGTAGTGTTCGCTTTTCCCCAGACTTTCCTTGTAGACGGCCGGATCTCTCAATTTCATTGCCGCAGACGTAGGGTGGTGGTAATGTGGAAGTTGATACGATTTGTTGTGGTCGTACCCCGCCTGAATCTCAGAAGGGCTTGCTCCGAGAGCCCAAAGAGTGCAAAGATGATGCACAATATGGTCTGTTGCCAGTGAGTTTGGTGATGCCAAAACGGGATGTCAAGACTTACTATGCAATCCAGCCTCGCTGAACATGGTGTGGAATTTGGCATGATTCAAGGTGAGAAGATCCGAGACCCGCTCCGCACTCTCCTTCGTCAAGTCACCGACGTGCAGATTGCCCTGGGATTTGTCCACGTTGAAGTGGATGTTGTATGGAGTGGCCCATGATGCAGGCTTTTCGTTTACAACACGGGGCCTAAACGGGTTGTTGATATCTACCAAAGACATGGTGAGAAGTTGGAGAGACGAGCGAGACTATCTGAAGATGGAGTGAAGTCTAATGGAATCAACGATAATGCTCTGCAGACGTGGTTTCTCTGAACCAGCAGGATAGTAAGCTGAAGATGGAAGAAAGGTAATCGCGCTTTTGCTTATCCGGCGGCAATGATGAATAGCAGAAGGTTTTACTAGGGCACCCTCCTATCATAATATATATGGTTAGACGAATCCTAGTAAAGCATAGATCCTCCGTAATAATGATGGAGCGTACTAAACTCCGTTTCGACGGAACCAATCAGGACCCGTGGCGACTCGCGGAGACCCAAGCCGCTGAGGTTTGAAATCCTAGCTTAGCTCACGGAGTTAAGGCGATCTGCAATGCCGGGACGTGGCGTAGCTCGATTGCATAGTCACAAGGCCAATATGCGGGGTGCAAACTCAGTTGCTCGTGTCGGATGTACACAATCATAGCAGTTATGTGTCGAATGCATGCAATCATATCAGTTACGTGTCGGGTGCATGCAATCGTGTTACCCGTATTGAATCGCTCTCCTAGGCAGTATCGTTTCATCTGGCATTGTTTGGGCACAATCAGGCATGCCTCCAGTAGGCACCCATGTAGGTCAGGTAATTATTATCGTCTTTGGAATCGGCAAAGACTCAGCTCGTGGTATTTATCTGAAGCATTCTCCGATTTTCAGAGAATTCCTTCATCACTTGAACCAATTGTTTCATCACTGCCACTTCAACAAATCCATCACCGCTCACGCAAATCCACACAACAAACATGTTTGAGAAACTGACCGCTCGCCTCGACCCCTCGCTTCCCAAGGGAGTCGTTTCTCGCTTCGTCGGGCTTAATTCGCCTTCTACGGGACGATTCCCCACCGGCCAGCATCCATGCCAGGGCATGTACTACCATCTCGAAAACACGACTCCGTCGGTTGCCATCATGTTCTCCCACTATTCCGCCGACTTCACCGAGCATTATCTGGCCGGTCCCTTGGCGGCCCAGGGGTTCGGCGTCCTCGGCTGGAACACGCGATACCGCGGTTTTGAAGACATTTTCATCCTGGAGAAAGCCATTGAGGACATTGGAGTTGGCACCGAGTGGCTGAAGAAGGAAGCCGGAGTCAAGAAGATTGTCTTCATCGGCAACTCGGGCGGCGGGTCACTCATGGCTGCTTTTCATGGCACGGCCCAAAACGATCCCTCCCTGGTTGCAGCCGATGCCTTCATCTTCTTGAACGCGCATCCCGGACGACCTGGCGTCATGACCAAGATGCTTGATCCTTCCGTCATTGACGAAAATGACCTCCTGAAGAGGGATCCATCCTTGGACATGTACAACCCTGCACACAAAATTCCATATTCGCAGGAATTTATTAAACGCTATCGGGCTGCCCAGATTGAGCGCAATCACCGCATCACGGCGTGGGCTAAAGCGGAGTTGAAGCGCCTGAATGATGTTGGTATCCCCGATCGTCTCTTTTCGCTGCAACGCAGCGTGGCAGACCTTCGGTTCACAGACACGACTATAGATCCCTCGGATCGGCCGGCGAATGCTTGCTTTGTCGGGGATCCTGAGCTTGCCAATCGTGATTTTCCCCTTATTGGGCGTACGAGTTCTTTGAAGACTTGGCTGTCAATGTGGAGCTTGTCGGAGTCGAAGACCAAGCTGGAGGTTTATGCGGGAGCCTTCCGGGTTCCTACCCTAGTGGTTCAATGTTTGCACGATACAGGCGTTTACCCTTCTGATGCTCGCGACATCTTCGATATGGTGGTTTCGGAGGACAAGGAACTGAAGTTTGTGTCTGGCAGCCATTTCTTCGAGAAGGTGGAAGATCTGAAGGTCGCAGTGGCGTTGATGACCGAGTGGGTGCAGAAGAGGACCTAAATACCGTGTAGTCTCAATGAATTGAGAAGGTCTACCACAATGTCAGGCTACCTGCTACCTAAGTCGATTGGATGGAAGTTCAATCGGACCTATAGTTAAGCCTGGTCAAGTTACTAAGACCATACGGAATACTAAATCCGGTACTAGACCTGATGAATTTATGGAGACTTTACAGTACTCTCTAATTGAGTTGGTGTCGCGGATAGTAAGCAATAGGACATATTTATGAGACAGGCTGCTTTCCGTCGCTTGGTAGGCTAAGCCTATTATCTATTAAGTGAACTTCTGGATGATAGTCTGGAGATATTCTTATAATTCTGCAATACTGATTTCCGATTTTAAAATAGTCGTAGAACGAGAAGATTAGTTGCTGTTATATAGCTATTGCGGGCATCATGAATTTCCGACCAAGTAGAAGACCGTTGGATTAGTTATATCACCAAAATAGCCTTTAAAACTCACCAGTTCCACTGTTCTCCCCGTTTACTCTCCCATCTCACAGAGGAAAATAAGTGTGCCTGCATTAATATTTAGAATGGGTGGTCTGGATTATAGGACGGTCTAGGGTAGCAGAATTGGTACGTGATCACGTGACAAGACTCGTTGCTGTGCCAACACCCATCTTGGCATCAGCGTTAGTGGAAACAGACACAGATTACCCCTCCATATTACTCTTATGACGAAAACTGCAACCGACGCGACAAACATTGCGGACGCCTCAATAACAATGCCATACGTATCGATAGAGTCGGACAGTCCGCTCCTACTGATCGAGAGCTGGCTCAACAGTCTCATCCCACCGACGACCTGCGACCTGGAACTGGACCACCATTCGCCCGACTTTCGATACCTTGCCATGTCAACTCCAGAGTCTTCGCCGAGAAAACGCCTACGGACGAGGTTACAGACAATAAGCCCTTCAAATGATCCAATGGATACAGAGACGAGAGAGCAGGGGAAGGGTCTGGTTGACGCGTTTGGAGCGCAATCTCTTGCGTCGCAAATGGTGGAGGGAGACGAGGTGGAAGAGGAAGAGGAAGAGGAAGAGACACCGCGATCATCACGACAAACACTCGCACATCGCTCTGGCTCTCGACATCAACATTCATTCCACCGAGCATACGGAATGCCAACTCTCACTTCAGCAACCGGTAGTCCCCAACCGCGGAGGGCTCGATCAGATATGCCATCTCTGTCACCCGCGCGATCCGAATCGAGTACGAGCACCAACAAGACGACGACAACAACGAGCACAACTTCTCGCCGCCAAAAGAGCCCCGTGAAATCAACGGCCGACCTACATCTGGCTGCCAAGCCCTTTGAGTACAACGATGAAGCTCAGCTGCCACCAATTCTCGAGGGGCTTCGGGATATCCGAGATCATATGAATATCGTGCCAGCCATCATCAAGGTGAGTCATGTCAATTCAAGCCGTGATTCAGCTAAACGTCCTGATCCACTGGTATTCTTGGTTCTAACACGCTATCCAAGGACGAGGTTCAGAAAGCAATGAGTTCCAATGAAATCCTGCGCCCATGGATGATTGACCACGCCCATGTCCTTAATCAGCAAGAGGCTCTTCAAGAGCTAGATGAGATTCGATTGATACTCAACGAGTCGAGGTATTGTCAGCGGGAAGGAGCCTCAGAGGCAGCCTGGAACGACGGGGTAACAAGCCGAATTCTGTTTCTCGCCCTTCGCTCGAGTCGGGGTGTGAGACACCACAATATGTACGTTCCCTTCTCACCATGTCCTGTTTTCAGGCCGGTATGCCCCCCATTTTTCGATGCCTGATGCTGATATTTACTGTAAAGTACAACGGCTCGTCCGGAAAGCTGTCTCGTACCCAAAGATCTTGGCGGCGACCACTTCGACGGCAAGCTGGTTGATTATTCCATCAACCTGGCCACACACTATGATGACGGCAGAGGACAATCCGACTTTACGTCTGACAAGGAAGCCATGTCGGATGATGGCCTGGAGGATGCTATTCGGAAACTTCTCTCACACGTGCCCAGCAAGCGCAAAACCATTAATCAGACATGTTATGGACCTGTCCGATTCAACCCCGCGGCAGTGAGTATCGAAACGAAAGCAAGCGCAGCGTCAGATGGCCGCGTACAGTTGTCCGTCTGGATTGCCGCCTGGATGGAGCAGATGCGATACTTGCGCGCCGTGGCACGCAACCAGACATGCTCCAAGTTTGGAGATGTATCCGAGAGACCGCCGCATCCTGTTGAGTTGCCGATGCCCCTGGTTGTAGCGTCGGGGAGCCTCTGGAAACTGCACCTTGCGACGGACACGACGAGCAAGATCATCATCAGCTCGTTGTTTGCGATTGGAGACACAAGCTCGCTTCTAGGAATCTATTGCCTGGTGAAGTCGCTTCGCATCTTGGCCGCATGGGCAGACGGGCCGTTTCGGAAGTTTATGCGGGAAGAGATCATGGGTCTACCTGCTACAAGTGACGGTTAAACTAGCCGATAGTTACTCGGGGTCTGTCCCAACTTAAGCTCCATTAGCCAGGCTAATTCCAGAGTAATTGTCTTGTTCCTTAGGCTCTGACGAGCATCACCAAGTCTATGCATAGTGCCGAAAAGATGGGTCATTCAAGTAGCGCCTGGACAATATTCGGCAATATCCTCTATAATTGCTTGCCCAGCTAAGTACCTGCGTCTGATTTGCATCATCTATTTTCGAGACACAACCTAGAGACTTGAAAAGAGCTCGTGAATGAGCCCTTGATAATATAATGAAATTGGATTCTCTTCCATCCTAATAAAATAAAAGGGTAGTAGACGAGAACTCGCCTAAAATGTAGAGGAGCCCACTAACAAGGCCATTTTTCGACATCAATGGGACAAAAAGGTGACACAAGGGGAGGTAAGCAACCACACCGTTCCGGCTTTGTAGTAAGGCTGTGCAAAAGTGGACAGATGCAGGTGTGAAGGTGTCCTATAGCCCGAAACTGGCGCATGTTGCTAGCCGGATGGATATCCTGAAGGCATATCAGCCAGTGATATATCGTTTCTTACCGCCCGCCCACTGAGGCTGGCTCCCTCATCGAACAACATTGAAACGAGGTCCAGCTGACTCTTGACACCTGCAGAGGCTTCCAGCTGCCTCTGCGAGCACCATACGCGCAATGTCCAGGCGCTGCGTCTACCAGTTCACATCACATCGACCCGTGCCTCGCCGACAGACTCGTCGTCTAGCTAACGGGAGAACAGCATGGGGGCCTTTCTCGACAAGTGGAAGAAGAAGATCAAGCGCGATGGTTCACGATCGGCCTCGCCTCGCCGCACCACCTCCCTCGAAAACCATCGGCCCGCTATCATAGCCGAACCCTCATCGGCAAGCACCCAACGACCGATCGACAGCACAGCGGAGAATGGAAAGAGTATCGAAGTCTGTGACGGGCCTCTGTCTGCCACACTCGAGAATCAGGACCATGGTCCTATCCCGAACGCGGGCGAGATGGAGACTAATGTCGCCTCCGGACGTCCGGAAAGACTCCGAGAGAGGCTTTGGAACCAGGCGTACGACGGACTCAAAGCGGACGAACCGGGAATAGTCGATGCGTTCGAGAAGCTGCTTTCGACCGAACTCCAGAATAATAACCGTGATACCCCTCCGAGGGCAAACATCATCGCCTCCACCGCTGACGAAAGACGCCCTCAGATGGAGAGCCTCGTCCAGGTCGGGCTGGACAGGACGGCCAAGGAGGTCGCCATCAAGCAGAAGGTCAACGTCGGGATCCAGGCGGTTAGCATGGTAAAGGGAGCCATGGACAAGGCGGTTCAGGCCGCACCGCAAGCCGCTATTGCCTGGGTCGGCGTATGCTTCGTCCTTGAGGTCAGCTTACCTTCCTCGATTGCGGCCGTTTTACTAATAGCGACAGGTCCTCTCGAACCCGCTCACTGAGCCAGGTATCAATCGCGAGGGTGTCACCTACGTCGTGTCGAGGATGGACTGGTACTGGAATCTGGTCGACCTCCTACTCGATAAAGGTGCTAGCCCACCGTTAGCAGAGCTGCGAGACCAGCTCGAGAAGCACATCATCCAACTGTACCAGAAGCTTCTTCTCTACCAGATGAAGAGTGTCTGCCTTTACCACCGGAGCCGCGTTGCTGCCTTCTTCAGAGACGTGATCAAGCTCGACAATTGGCGCGGCCAGCTCGATGACATCAAAGCAGCCGAGGCGGACGTCCAACGCGACTCAGGGCAGTACAGCTCACTGCAGGCCCGGACTCATCTTCAAGACATCGCCTCTACCATTCGCCGCCAGCAACAGGTCCATTACGACGAGGAGGACAAGAAATGCCTGGACGACCTTTACGAAACAGACCCTAGCCATGATAAAACGCGCATCGAGGACACTAAGGGCGGCCTCCTTCGAGGCTCGTACGCCTGGATCCTGGAAAATCTTGACTTCAAGCAGTGGAGAGCGGATACTGAGAGCAGACTTTTCTGGATCAAGGGAGACCCTGGAAAGGGTAAGACGATGCTCTTGTGCGGAATTATCGACGAGCTAGATAAGGACCCCTTACACCGACCGTCCTACTTCTTCTGCCAGGCCACGGAGCAGAGGCTGAACAACGCGACTGCTGTGCTGCGCGGCCTGGTTTACAGCCTCGCCCGCCGTCATCCGTCACTTATATCGCACGTTCGCAAAGAATACGACGGAGGCGGCGGCAAGCAGCGCTTCGAGGGCAAGAATGCCTGGCAAGTCATGGACAGGATTCTCATGGCCATGCTGAAGGACCCAATCCTGGGTAGTGCAGTTCTGATCGTCGACGCCCTCGACGAGTGCGACGCCGGTCGAACACAGCTTCTGGATTTCATCATACGCGCGTCCGCCATCTCCCCTGCCAAATGGATCGTTTCTAGCCGTAACTGGCCGGATATCGAAGACAGACTCGGTATCGCAGCCGAGAAAGTCACTCTCTGCCTCGAGCTCAACGAAGATTCCATCGCCGACGCCGTTCACGCCTACATCCGGTATAAAGTAGACGAACTAGCGCGACTCAAGACATACGATGAAGAGACTCGCCATGCCGTTTCTCAGCACTTCACCAACAAGTCCAATAACACGTTCCTCTGGGTGGCGTTGGTCTTCCAAGAACTGGTGGCCCCGGATGTCCAGTCCTGGGAGGCACTCGATATCTTAGAGGCCCTCCCATCTGGTCTCGAGTCCCTCTACCAACGAATGATGGAGCGTATCAGCAAGTCAAGGCATGAATCGCTGTGCAGACAAATACTAGCCGTTGCGTCTGTCGTATATCGTCCCATCACGTTAAAGGAGATGACCTCTACCGTTCAGTCGCTTGCCCGTTTCGCTGATAATCTTGCCGCCCTAGGAAAACTCGTCGCATTCTGCGGCTCTTTTCTCACGGTGAGAAATGACACTATCTATTTTTTGCATCAATCAGCGAAGGATTTCTTACTAGAGAAGGCATCGGACGAAATCCTGCCGCACGGCATCGCCGACCAACACTACAATATGTTCCGAGGCTCCCTTGAGGCTTTGTCCAGCACGCTCAGACGCGACATCTACGACTTGCAACACCCCGGAATTTCCATCGACGACATCTCTCCACCGCACCCGGATCCTTTGGCCCCCGTGAGTTACGCATGTATTCACTGGGTTGATCATCTCCGCCGCTCAGGGCGAGTCGAAGACCAAACAGCGCAGTCTGTTTACGAGTTTCTCAAAGCAAAGTACCTGTACTGGCTAGAGTCGCTCAGCCTCCTGCGCAGTATGTCGACAGCAGTATTGGCGATTCAAAATCTTGAGCTTTTCATGGTATGTCCAGCATGAATCGTCCTGTGCGTTGGGACTTGTTTAATCTTCTTGTAGGGTAGGGTAGGTCACCGAGAACTTATGGAGCTACTTCATGACGCTCGCCGATTCACTTTGTCTCATAGAGCTATTGCGGAGATTGCCCCGTTGCAGCTGTACGCTTCAGCTCTCATTTTTAGCCCTACAAAGAGCTTGTTGAGGAACATTTTCCAGAATGAAGCGTCACAATTGATCAAGAGATTCCCAGTTACCGATGCAGATTGGAGCCCATGTCTGCAGACGCTGGAGCCCCACGGCGGCCCGATCTACTCGGTGGCCTTCTCGGCAGACGGCCAGCGGCTCGCGTCAGGGTCACAGAATGGTACTGTCAATGTCTGGGATAGGCTGGGCACATGTATAAAGAAGCTCAAGGGCCATAGTCACCGAGTCCGTGCTTTGGCCTTCTCGGCAGATAGCCAACGGCTCGCGTCAGGGTCGAGCGACGGTACCATCAACGTCTGGGATGCGGAAGGTGTGTGCGTACAGGCACTTGACGGTCACAAAAACTCGGTCATGTCAGTAGCTTTCTCTGCGGATAGTCAGCGGCTCGTATCAGGGTCGTGCGACGGTACCATCAAGGTCTGGGACGCATCAGGCGCGTGCATACAGACGCTCAACGGCCACAAGGACGGCATCGCATCAGTAATTTTCCTCATGGACGGTCAGCGGGTGATATCACGGTCAGAAGATAGTACCGTCAAGGTCTGGGATGCAACAGGCGCGTGCATACAGACACTCGAGGGCTACGATGGCTCGACCTCGGTGGCCTTCTCAGCAGACGGCCAGTGGCATGCGTCAGGGTCGAGTGATGGCACCGTCAAGGTCTGGGACGCAGCGGGTGCGTGTATTCAGACGCTCGAGGGCGAAGACGGCGACTCATACTCGGTGGTCTTCTCAGCGGATGGCGAGCGCCTCGCATCTGGGTCGCGTGATGGCATGGTTAGGGTCTGGGACGTGTCGACGGGCGCGTGCGTTCAAACCCTTCAGGGCCACCACATCATTGCCAACTCGATGGCTTTCTCAGCGGACGGCCAGCAGCTCGTATCCGGGTCGAGTGATGGCACCGTTAAGATCTGGGACGTGTCGACGGGCGTGGACACACAAAAAACACCCCAGGCGCACCGCGGCGTTGTGCGGTTCTTGACCTTCTTGGGAGATGGCGAGAGGCTTTTGTCAGGGTCAAACTACGACAATACCATGAAGATCTGGAACGTGGCTACGAGCGCGCGGACGCAGACCTTTGACGGCTGTTTGGTTTGGTACAACTCTACAGCCTCCTCGGTGGATGGCCAGTGGTTCGCATCTGGGTTAGGCGACGAACGCACCGTCAAGGTCTGGGAGGTGGCAACATGGACGTGTATACAAACGCTGGAGTGCCCTGGCTTCAACTATCCGGAAGGTGGCCCGTACAATGGCGTCAAATCGGTAACCTTCTCGGCGAACGGCCAGTGGCTTGCCACCGGGTCGGGCCGCTTCACCATTAAGATCTGGGACGTGGCAACAGGTACATGCTTACAGACGATCGAGACCCAAAGCTACGAGTACTCGCTAGCTTTCTCAGCGGACGGTCAGAGACTTGCATCGGGATCACTTAGTATGATCAAGATCTGGGACGTGATGACGGGCGAATGCATACAGATGCTCGAGGGTTCTCTCGAGTTGGTCGAGGGCCCTCTCGCCATGGTCCACAATCTAGCCTTCTCGGCGGACGGACAGTGGCTCGCATCGGCGTCGCGTGGGGGCATCAGAATCTGGGAGTTCATGACAGGTGCTTGTGTACAGACCCTTGGTGTCCACCGAAGAATTAATCACCTTAGATTTGATGAAACAGCTAATACGCGGCTTTCTACTAATGTTGGTACACTGGCTCTGGATCTATCATCGATTGGCACGCAACCACTAGCGAGCTCTGTACAAGGGCCCCTTTACTACGGCTACAGCATTGGACAGAATGGAGCCTGGATTATGAAGGGTTCAGACAAGTGGCTCTGGCTTCCGACAGAGTATCGTCCTGATGTGATGGATGTCGTTGGGTCAACTGTTGCGGTTGGTTGTGCCTCAGGACGTGTGTTCACAATCCAGTTTGTATGTAATGATAGCTAACGGCATTGCTGTAATGATACTGATTTATATTGGATCCGTTACGGCTAAATGGATTAATGCAATATTGTTCAAATCGATGATGATTATGTTGATGCTTCCTTGTCCCGGTCATCCTGGGACCGGCCGGAAGAGGGTTATCAGACCCCCTTCTAACCAAGGTAGTAGGGAAGGGCATCCGGGCATTGTCGCCGACTTTACTGCACACCCCCCGATTGGGAAAGATCTGATGAAATGTTAACTTACTTACTTACCCGCGCATGTTTCTGTATCACATGCCCGCAATCAATTTTGACTTCACCCTCCTCAAACTCGAGGCGGGCAGCGAGTTTAAAGGACTCTACGACTCTCTGTCGCCGAAACGCATCAAGGAAGCCGAGCAAGGCCAGCACCATATTACTGCCCGTCAGCTTGAGGCCCTTTTTGAGGTGGAACTCCCCTCCGTACCGAATCTCATCTCCAAGTATGGTAGAAGAGTTTCAGAAATTTGCTCAGACCTCAAGACATCTTCCAAGAGCTTCTCCGAGGTGAGTATATTTTCGAGCCAGGCTGGCCCTGATGGGTTGAGCATCTGGGCTGGGGCTACATCAGGCTTTGAGGCTATTGTAGCCCATTTGCTTGCCTATCTCCTTGCAAGAATTTGGAAAAGTCATGAGGCGATTTCACTCTGGGTCGAGATTGTGGAGAGAAAGAAATAGGAAATTTTAGCGACGACGACGACTTCAGCTGCCTCGGTCATGGCCGCCCAGCAAGCTATTTCACGACAACAGCTTGCGAACTGGGATGCCAGCTCCAGATATTGGCTTCAAACCGCGGACAGGGTGAGAAGGAACCAACACATCTAGCTAAACTTGATCATCAACAACCTCGCACTGTTGGTAAACACATCTCGCGACCCGTAGAAAGGTGTCATACATGTGTGGATCTCGGACTTGTAAAGCTTAGAGCTCCTTGTCCAAGGAATTCTTCAGCGAATTCAGAATTGAGACGTCCTGCTAGCAATGTCTTCATGGCACATCTATCCTGGCATGGAGGTTTTGCTCAAGAAAACGGCTGGCGTTCATCGACACGAGCTCATGAACGGGTTCGTGGTGACCATTTCTGCCTCCGGTTCGTCTTCAAACCGGTAATATGTGTTTTGGCTTGACACTTTCCCGGATCCGCTCCCATTCCCTGCCCGTAGCGGCAGAGCGCCGTTGCATTCGACACGAGCAAAAATAACAATAGGAGAGTTTTATGTTGTTGTCCTCGGTATCACCACTGGGCCCGCGAAGAAGTGGAGGTGTTGCTGGCTTAGCTGAAGATACTGCAACCTTTACCTCGATAGAGAATCACAAATCATATTCGTAAACATTTATAAAATAAAACTTAATTATATTTAAAAGTTATAAATCAAGAGGTAGGGTGCCCTAGTACACACATACCCAGAGGGGGGACTAGAAGCTCAACAGTAAAAGAAAAAACACCAACAATCGTATTAACAATATTAAAAGTTATAAATAATATCAAAATAAATTACTTTTAATTTTTCTAACTATTATTCTTTGAATAAAATAAATATATTATCTGTATTTATTGTTGATACTATTGTTGGTGTTTTTTTTATTGTTAAACTTCTAGTGCCCCCTCTGGGTATATGTGTACTAGGGCACCGTAACCTCTTGATATTATCTGTATTATTAATCTGATTATTAGTATTCTTTTTTACTCTTGAGCTTCAAGTCATCTCTCTCTACATATATTACTAGAACCTCTTCATAACAGAGAACTCCCGGCCGGGCTGCAATCGAGGCCCATGGTGAGCACTTGAATAAACCATATAGATGTCTGGATAAATGCCTGTTTCTGCTAATACTAGGGTTATGGGGCTTGAGTGAAGAATCAGTGAAACCCAATTAAGGAATGGATTCCGGAGCCATATGTAAGATTGCGGGGTTGCCAAGCCAGCTGGCAAATTCACGCGCCCGTCGATTTTCAGCTCTGCTCTTTCAGAGCGAATCAGGCGCTGTTTCAACCTGGTTATTACTAATGGCGATAACCAACACTCATTACCAGGGGCGAGAAGGAAAGCCACAGCGGCTAAACGTGTGTGCTGACTGCATGAAAGAAGACTGGTTGGATAGATGCATCAAGCAGACAGTCAGGCTCCGGAGAAAGGGTGGGATGACTGCAGGATGGCTGAATTGCGTGTCTTGGCTAATAAGAGGCATGATTGGACAAGCTCCGTCTCTATCGGCAGTTGGTGGAGGCGGGTTAGGGTGAATGTGCATCACATCAGGCTGCAACGGTCCACGAGGTGCTTCAAGACGCTCTTTGAGGCACTTGTTAGCCCCTTCGGCCAGTTCAATCACGGCAATTATGTGCCCAGATTCTTCTGACTCTTTCTTCTGCATTCTGTCGGAAAGCCACCGCCCCATAACCCCAGCATCTACATCTACGCGGCGCTTATAAAAGTGTAATCACAACGTTCCAAGGCATACATAATCCGCGGTAAACCCATTCATTCGATTGGTTGGTTGAAAAACCCCTCACCATTAAGTTATGCTCACTTTCAGATATGGACGCCCTCACTCCCCAGCATTGATCTCTTGTCTTTGGTCTCGCTTCTCTCAAGCATTTTCTGCTTCTTCTCTGCCGGCACATACAACATCTTGTCGTTTTTTGTATTGCCGCCAAACTTCACCTGTCGCCGCTCTATTCTTGACGCACCTCGTTTCTCTTCGAAGGAAGCCTGCGAGCGCCTCGTGGCGGACAATCGTGCCCGTAAGTTATACAACCATATTACGTGACCCGCCGGTGAATCACGACACATACTTCGATAATAGATAGGGTAACAATAATCCACCAGGTGATTTTTCCGTCTTTTTGAATCCTGACAAGCCGGCTACAGTCAGTTGAACACCGAAGCCCGCAACAAACCATGTCAGGAATCGAAATCTTTGGCCTGCTCGCAGGCATCGTCTCCGTCACGGAAGTCATCATCCACACGTATGACGCAATCAAAGATTTCTCGGGTCTACCCGAAGCATTTCACACAGTGGGAAAAAGACTCCCACTCATTGAGAAAACTCTTCAGGACGCGAAACGCCAAGCCAAGGAGTCCAAAGACCCTGAGGACTGGGAAGGCGAAGACCCTGAGGCGCTGAAGACTCTCGTTGAGGGCTGCGGCGAAAATATCAATGACTTGAAGAACATCTTTGAAAAGCTCTCCCGTTCGAAAGGGAAGTCTATTCGCCAAGCGTATACTACGCTTGTCATCGGAATTGGCAAAAGAGGACGGGTCGAATCATTGATGGGCGACATTCTGATGGATGTACAGACATTGACATCCTACCGCGTGTTTAAGACGGCAACGCAGGACAAGGTCGAAGAGTTGAGGAAGGCCATACAGGAGATGAATCAGGTTGATCCTTCACTTCCTGATTCGCTTTTCGAGGAGAAGACCGCAAGCAGCATCCATTACGGCCATGGTGACATCAAAAACTACAGTTTTTCTGGCTCCAGCACACAGACCAATGTTTCTGGGAACATGAGCTCGTACAATGCGAAAGGAAATATGACCATCGGTGAGAGCCCCAAATCCAAGGATTCTCGGAAGCAAGGCGATGGAGTCATCGGGCGGAAAGGGGATAGATATAATCACGGGGAAGATGAGGATAGCGACTGACCAGTGGTGAAATAGTAACCAATGATCCCCTCCAAGGTTCGTTGTATTTACAGTGATCAACTCCACGTGAATAATCGTGATTTCCCCTCCATCATTGTAGCCCGTTAATAACAAAAGACAATTTAGGTGATGGAGATAACTATCGTTTCCTTAAAGATCTGTGTGTTACGGACCCTGAAGACGACAAAGCGTGCATCGAGGATAGCAAGGGGCCCGAAGGCCGCCTCCTCCGCGACTCGTACTCTTGGATCCTCGAAAACGACGATTTCAAGAAATGGCGTGACGGAGAGAGTCGACTACTCTGGATTAATGGTGATCCCGGAAAAGGAAAGACAATGTCCATCTGCGGCATTATTGACGAAATGAGTCCTTCCACAATGCTGAAGGATCAGAATTCCAACACAGTACTGTCCTATTTCTTCTGCGACGCGAGCGACTCAAGCAAGAACACGGCGACATTGGTATTGCGCGGTATACTTTACCTCATTGCTAGGCAAAAGGAATCCTTGATCCCTCAGATCATTGGCAAATATCGGACTTCTGGACAAGAGCTTTTTGAGGGCAGGAATGCTTGGCTGGCGGTGCGCAACATGATGAGAAATGCCTTGACAGAGCTACGCTCTCAGAAAACCTACCTGATTATTGATGCGATTGACGAATGCAGGCATGAATGGGAAAAGCTTCTGCGGTTCGTCAAGGAGACATACTGTCCTCACGTTAAGTGGATTGTCTCCAGCCGTAATAAGCCAAACATCGCCGAGGTTCTCGAAACTGCTCAACACAAGGTACGGCTTTGCTTGGAGCTGAACGAAAGCGCCGTCTCTACAGCTGTCAACTCGTATATCCAGTACCAGGTGGATGGCTTGGCTAGAAAGAAAGGATACAATTGCAAACTGAAACACGCTGTCCAGCACCACTTGTCCTCAAAGGCCCAGAATACGTTTCTCTGGGTGTCCTTGGCTTGCCAGATGCTGGAAAAGACTTTCAAATTCGAGACTCTGAGGAAACTGGAAGACTTCCCACCCGGGCTCAATCCTCTTTATGGGCGGATGCTCGAACAGTTACGCAGCGACGAAGAGCACCGAGTGGACCTCTACCAAAAAGTCATTTCTCTCATGTTGACGGTTTTCCGGCCCATATCCCTCGACGAACTCGGGGCTTTGGCGGATTTTGCCGATGACGCGTGTGACGACCGCTCATTGACCGAGATCATAGGACTGTGTGGCTCGTTCCTGACGCTTAAAAGACGAACTGTTTCTTTCGTGCACGAATCGGCAAAGGATTTCCTCATGAATTCAACCGAGGACTTTCGCAATGATGGAAAAGAGCAACACCATCTCATATTCTTGAGGTCACTCCTGATCATGTCAAGGTCCCTTCGACGCGATATCTACGGCTTAGAATCAGCGAAACCGCCGGATAAGAACCCGCTGGCTCCGTTGCATTATCCATGTGTCTGCTGGGTCCTTCACTTGAAAAACTGTGCCTCCGGCGCCCAAAGCCAGGAGATTGCGGATAATGGTCCTCTTGAAAAGTTTCTACGCCAGCATTATCTTCATTGGCTCGAGGCTCTCGGCTACATGGAGGACATCCTGGCAGGGTTGGTCGGAATCACAATGCTGGAGGATATCCTTCAGGTATGCTGGGGTAAAGATTCCTATGAGCAGAGCCCTATTCACTGACACTGGTTTAGAGCCACACTTCCCAGCTTGCCAAATTAGTCCAAGATGAAGCCCAATTCCTGCGATACCATAGAGGGGCAATTAAGAGGCATCCTCTTCAAGTTTACGCTTCAGCTCTTCTCTTCAGTCCAACCCGCAGCATCACGAGGGAAATCTATCACGAGGAGAAGCCGAAATGGATTATTACAAGCTCAGCCATGGGGGAAAATTGGAGCGCATGCATCCAGACGATGGAGAGCGACAGTAGTGATATCTCGTGCATTGCATTTTCGCATGACGGCCAACTCCTGGTAGGAGCATGCAGGGATAAAACAGCAAAGATTTGGCATATGATCGGAGGGGAATGCATCCGCACCCTCAGCGGCCATACCGGCCGTCTTACCTCCATCGACTTCTCAGGAAGTGATTTCCAGATTGCCTCGGCTTCAGAGGATCACACCGTCAAGATCTGGGACGCGGAACGGGGAACATGTAAATGGACACTCCAAGGTCATACAGATGTCGTCGACTCGGTTGCCTTCTCTCAAGATGGTAGCTTGGTTGCATCCGGATCTGCCGACAAGACGATCAAGCTCTGGGACCCCAAAACGGGAACTTGCAAACACACGCTTCACAAGCATACTGAAGGCGTCAGGTTGGTTGTCTTCTCCAGAGACGGGCAATACCTTGCATCTGCATCAAACGACTTCTCTCACGTCTGGGACCTGAAGAGCGAAACCTACCGCCTAATATTTTCCCGCAGTCACGATCATTTCAATCCTCTCACATTCTCACCCGATGGCAAATTAGTCATGATTGGATCCCGGAGAGTCGAACTCCTGGATCCAGCCACAGGCAAATTGATTAATGAGATTGATATCAAGGGTGTGACACCCGTCAGTTCGATTGCATTCTCACGCGATAATAACCTGCTTGCGTCGAGTTCTTGGGCTGGCTTTATCATCGTCTTGGACACAAAGACTAAAAATTGTGTGCAGAGATTTGAGGAAGGCGCCGTATCAGTTGCCTTTTCACCAACCGGCCACTTGCTTGCATCAGCCCAAGGCCCAAGGATTAAAATCTGGGACCTCGCCATCAGTACCTCGGTTCAAGCAAAAAAGGTGCAACGATATTTCGACTTTCGTCTTTCTCACCACATCTCATGCTCTCCCAATGGTTCTTGGGTTGCGGCGTTACTTGGCGATATGACGGTGAGACTGTGGGATTCCGCGACCGGGAAATGTCGACACACATTCGACTTTGTCGCGTCTAGATCCGCAGTCTTCTCACCAGACAGTCGCTTGCTGGCTATATTCTTCTGGCAAGTCATCGAGGTCAGGGACGCAGCCACAGGCACGAAACTTCACTCGCTCAAAGACGAATATATTTCAATTAAAATGGTCGCATTCTCTTTTGACAATCGATGGCTCATATCGTTATCTATGGAAGGCATGATGAACGTCTGGGACCTAAAAAGCGGCGAACGCATTCGGAAATTCGAAGCCTTGGGTCGTAACAATCGATCGCTTGTATTCTCTCCCGATGGCCGTTACCTGGCAGTTGGCTCCGATAAAAGCATTGAATTGTGGGATCCGACCAAGTGGCAACACAAACGGACATTCAAAGGGGCGGTAGGCGCGCACGCCATGGTCTTCTCCAATGATAGTTGCTGGCTTGCATCATCAGCTTCCTACGGTTTTCATGTTCATACAGAGATCAAGATCTGGGAGGTGGAGGAGGGAAAATGCACGAACACCTTCCAGTCTGCCAGAAGTTTTGTTGTACAAGCCTTCGATCAAATATGCTTTCATATTGAAACGACGGCAGGCACATTTGAGCTCGATCGTGGCTCATCACAAATGCACCTCAAGGGTTACGGACTGGCCCCGGACTATCAGTGGATTATTTGGGGTCAAGGGCGGTCAAGTGACAGATATCAGTACGTACTGTGGCTACCACTAGAGTATCGACCGTTTCACTTTGGCTCCCATGAAACAGCGGCTATTATTTTTGGTTCCAAGCTGGCAATCTGTCGCGAGTCTGGCGAGGTGTTGATTGTTGAATTTGAGCCTGACGGTCCACTAACACGGTCAACAAGTCAGCAACAAAGAGCGCCCTTTCCAACAACTGTGCGCGGCCATTTGGAACCTTTTCACTTGCATAGAACACTCTCGCCGTCTCAGCGGCGTCTGTCTGAACCTCATTCTCTCGATTGATTATGGCATTGGACTCCAGACTCAACTGTGCAGTTGCACCACACGCAGCGTGCGTTGCCAGTGAAACAACCCCACGGGACTAAGGCCTCCCAGGTCGGCTGCAGCAGCTATCAGCTTGACCACCTGGATGTATGGATCCGTCAGAAGGGGCCGAACAATGCCGATCAAGTTTGCAGCTTTAGGTCCAAGGAAGAGACTGAAGACAACTTCCAGATAGCTGTATGACTAGAATAATAGAGACGCTAAATAAAATAAGTGACTGCTCGATTTGGTAAATTGGGAAGTCTCGCTTCTTCCTACAGCCTGACATATATGATGCGGTAGATGTTGGATCTAGCTGCGAGACGCCCTTTATCATACCTTCCGTACCTTAGTGTTAAATACATGGACAAATCCAATAGACCTCCCTTCAGTGGGGATATCTTCGAGGCATAGCTAACCTTGCTGTTATTTGAAGGCACAGCATTAGGCGATGCTCGTGAAGCAGCAGTCGATGTATCTCATGCTGTGAATAGGAACGAGGTTGAGAAGTCAAAGCTTCGAGACAAATTAACACTTAGGCATGACGCAGATGATGATACGAATACTCGTGTTGGTAATGTCTCGGGGTTTTGATGACCGAAGAGGACTTGATATTGCGCAAAGCACAGCATATCATTATTACCAGCTATGCTTTCCTTATCTGCGGTTGCTTGATTACTTCCTCAGTGACTCATCACATATACCGAATTTCAACGTGCACTCTAGATGATATTTAGCGGACACAGTACTATCAGCCTGACTGCTAAGCCCCGTTACTACAAGGGAAAAAATAGAAGTCATGGACTGGATCGTGGCAGATATAATATTCCGCGCGTTAAACACCTTGTTTAACAGTATTACCCTGAGGGCCATGTCGTTCTCAGTGCCTGTTATATCAAAAATGTCAGAGCTGTGAATCCATCGTTGCGAAAGCGAGAGGCTTTGCTTACCTTCCGCTCCCACTTCACAAGGAAGGTGAAGCCAGTGCAGTCCTCGTCTTTTCCAAAGAGGACGCGTTCTGCCTCCCTATACAAGGGCTCGTTTTCCCCTCTCCCAGCCCTGGCAGTTATCTCGTCCATGTGCGCCACTAGGGCACTGGAAATGTCTTTTAGGAACATCCCGAGTTGCTCTATTGGAGCCCCAGTCGCTTCCAAGATGAATGTCAGTCTTTCCATCCGCTCGTCTTCTGACGTCTGGACAAAGATGGTGGACAGAAAACACAGATATAAACGCTCGAAGATGGTGCCGTCCCTTTCTTCCTCCAGCATTTGCTCACACGCCTTCACGCCAACATCTCTCTCGGCGTCTCGTTGGCCGAGGTTGAAGAGGGAAGCCGTGATGGTCTTTGTTAGACTGCGATCGTATCGGATCATGGCAAGCTCAACGAGCCAGTTGAAAGCGAGCGGATGACACTGTCGTCCCGGAATCGGTTCTCCGCCATAGTGCAACAGTCCGTTCAGGATCGTGAGGAGGAAGACCCGGTGTGTTGGGGAATTTCCTTCGAAACTGCAAAGGGAGTACGCTTTCATCAGATACTCCTGACACTGGACCGTCTTGTCCAAGTTGCCGGCTGCCCATGCTGCCCAGTTGAATAGTACGGCTAGCTGGAGTTCCTTGCCATTTCGTACCTGTCGGGACTTGGAGAACAGTCCCGGCTCACTATCGCGAAGCAAATTGATGGTCGTCTGCAGAAGCACCAGCGCGTTGGCCCAGTCTTCCTCCTGTAGCGCCCCTTGGGCCAACCCGACCAGCGTCTTGACTTGCCCGTCTTCATCGCCGAGCTCTTGCAGTTTGCCGAGATTGCTAATTAGTGTGGAATCGAGAGCCATATTCATGCCGCCCAGAGGCATGGACATACTCAAGAAGTCAGTAGCGGTGCTAGGATGAACATTCTGGATTGCGGCCGAGTCCCCTTGGCTCAAGCCCATCAAGGAGGAGAAAGATGGAGCGGGCTGGCGGTAGTCCTCACGACAGGCGTCGTACAGTCTCCCTATTTCCTGGGTGTGTCTGGACAGTATTGTGACCGATTGTTCTGAAGCAGGTTGGGCACCTTGATTCGCATTGGCTAGTGAAACAAGTTCAGAGAGCATCCTAGACGTCGCCAGACCTAATTGTCCCATCGTGTCTGAAGGAGATGATGTCGAGAAGTTGTTGGTCGCTGCTTCGAGCTTCGCCGCAGCAGACTCCAGGTCAGGCCAATCTTGCCCACTGAGTGATGCCAGAGACGAGAGCAATTGGATTTGTCCTGCCATGTCGAGGACGTCCTGGTCAGTCACATCCTGCGAAAACCAGATACTGAAGCCTTTGAATAGACTCTCCGTCTTGTTCAGCTGGCGGTGGAAATCATCAGATGAGTCGCTTCTGAAAAAGTAGTACCGGCTTAGCGCCAGCGAGCCGACGACGGCCGTACGGGCAGAGAAGCAAGAGTCCCCGTTGACACGTTTCCTTTTGCCCACCAGCTCCATGTGATGTCTGTAAGTCAACTTCCAAAAGTACGTTATGGATGTCCGGTCATACTGCGCCAGATACCGCTTCACGAGGTCCACGAGGAGAAGGCGCTTCGAGTTGCTAAATCCCGGTGGAGGGAACGGTATAAGCTCGCCGGCAAATTGTATCAGGCGCCATGGCATTGCATCGTCCCAGCGCTTCGGGCCCCGGTCAATGCAAATCCTGACAGCTGAGTAGCAATTCAGGAAGTCTTCTTGCAGGACCCGGGCAGCTTTATCGGGGTAGGCTTGCGGGCTGGATCCAATACCGAGCAAGACGCTGCGCGGGTCTTCGGCCATCCACGTCTCGCTCACTGAGCGGTATTGCCCAAGGAAAGCCTCGTAGGCTCGTTCCAGACTAAGTAGAGGCTTGAATTCTGGAAGCTGTAGGATGTGGTGCAAAGTGAAGGGCAGAAGGGGATGCACCGACCAATAGACGTCATCGTGGTCGAAGATGAGCCCGTCGTTTCGAAGGCTACTGATGAGATCCATCCACTCGCGATAACCCCCGGCCTGGAAGGGTAGATTAGGTGATACCCCCGAGAACAAGGTGTTCATCAGCAAGCCCAGCTGCGTATCCCCAAACGGGGCTGGAGTCTCCGGGAGAAGACCGAGGGGAACAAGCCTCTCCCGAAGATGGTCGGAGGACTTCCGAAGGCGCCTTATGTTGGTAACCAGCGAGAGAAGGGCAATTCGCTCTCCATTCGTTCTCAGACTAGCAAGTCGAGACTTGAGATAGTCCACCAGCCTCCTTGCAGAAGGATGGGCCTGCAGCGCCTCGAAGCCCCCGCCAGACACGAGCTTGGTGAAGACAGTTTCGGTGGTGGCGTCTAGGTGTGTTCCCAGCCAATTGCCTGTCATGACCGCCAGGAGAGGGAGGTTTCCGGTGATTGCCATGCATTCCTGGAAGAAGGCTCGGTCAGAGGCCGTCTTCAGATCGAATGTCCTCCGCGACTTGGCCGTAGCCAGAGTAAGTTCGTGCGTCGCATTGTCACTGAGAGTTCGCAGTTCGAGAGGTGGGAAGTCTGCTCTTGTTAGCGGACGAGGCTTGGACTAATAGTAAATGAGTTGAGCTCACCCAAAGTAATCTCATTCCATTTGCCGAGGGCAATTACAACAAAGGACTTGTCATCAATCTGTTGGAGGAATTCGATCAAGTCTTTCTTCTCTTGTTCGTCCATGCTTGAGATCTGCTGGTCTGCCTGGTCGATGACGAGGAGGCATCTGTTTTCGTTCACCCATTTGAGTGCTCCTTGAATCAGCTGATCTGAATTGAGCTGGTCAGAGCTCGCTTTGATATTGGCCTGTTTATGGATGGTGCAAGCAACTGAAAATGGCGTCAGCTTCCCGGGCTTGTCGTGCCACAGCACAGCGTCGATGAAGTTTGTAGCCTTCCACCAACGAGACGCGTGTTGGAGAAAATGCGTCTTCCCGCAGCCCACCATGCCCGTCAACTCGATTATGTTGCTTTGCAGCGTCAAGGTCGTCTCTACCCGAAGGAGGTCAAAGTCTCTTCCAACCATTACTGTTCGGGGTTCATGTCCAAGCTTGTCTCGCGAAGTTCCGAGGGCCATAGCCGCCGCACCAGTACCCGCCGGCAGGATGGAAGACGTGTCAATTTGTATATCCTGCTCGTATAGAACAGGAATGAGGTAGTCGTCCACCTCCACTTCGACTGATAGCACTGCGGTTCTGGTTCTGATGGCGTGGAGTCGGCGCCTCGTCTGGTACATTGCTGAGAAGGGATCCATTCTCGAAAGAAAGAGATTCCTGTACAGGTGCTCCAAGAGTGGAGGTGCCGAAGAGGTTAGGAGTTTCTTCCTCATTCCCACGACATATGGTATGCCCTGTTGCAGGAGGGCGGCTGCGAGATCTGCCGAAACTCCATGACCAGCTCGGGCCGAGTCACATGCGTTCATGATGACCATAGACACGTTGTTCTGGACTAATAGTTTTCCGATCCGTTTGGAATCGACGAGTAAAAGGTGGCCGTTGTCGTCCTTTGATAGGAAGCTCAAATATGACCTTATCCGGGATTGATGTTAGTATAGAGTCCATAGCGGACAATTATCTAATATATAGCACTTACGTCTGGTTCGACACTGATCCATGACAGTCAAAATGAACTATCGTCGACGCGTCCGGGTCAGAGTTGTCCTTTAGAGCACGCTTTAAGGCATTAAAGGTGCCTGGACGGACGAGATGTAGTGTCGTTTGCGCAGAGTCGGGAAGCGCTGTGATGATGCGGGACACCACTCGCGAAACCAACGTGTAGGAGACATCCTCCTCCTCGTCTGTGATGCTTCTTGCGGTGAGCAAAAGAAGACGAATCTTCTTTCGGGCCGCAAGAGGGAAAGCAATTGGGGCGGCAGTCTGTGGGCTGCCAATTTGCCTGCGGATAAAGATCTTGGCCTCGTCTAGATACTCGAGAGACTCCCAGTGGATACGGTGCAGAGATCCTTGGCCAGGTGGTGCCGTTATCAGCAGAACGATAGGTTTGTCGACTGTCCCAGCCGGCAGGACGGCGTAGATAGACTCGCGAAGCTGCCCAAACAACTTTCGCGCGTAGTCGGCAATCTTTCCGTGAACTTTGACGGCCCTTCCCTTCTCGAAAGGCTGACTCAACGCATACTCCTCTAGAGCCCATTGGAGGTCCTCCTCATCGATGTCGGTGAATGGGTCTGTCAGCTTGGCCGTCGCCAGACTATCGCCTCTGCTTATTTTCAACTCCCATGAGCGCGTAGGTACGTTGTATGGAGGGAGATACTCGATGGTCACCCCAAAGCGATCAGGCACGGAGGACTCTTCCATTGATAGCGACATGGGATATGCCCAAAGATTCGTAGTAGATTGCAATGCAGACTCTAACAACGGACTGAACCGAGAATAGGTACTAGAGAGGAACTAACATATAGTGGACTCTCCTCAATACTAAAGCTCGGGAGGAAAAGAAACCGAAGGCTGCGGCGACTGCAACACCTTCCAACCAAGGTCAGATGTTGGCCCCTTTTCTGTGCATTGCTTTCAAGTAGATTTAGGCCTAGACTTTACGCCACACGCACCTGATTGCGTTTGATGCGTCTGATTGGCACACTCTCCCATGATTCCCGTCACACACTGAGTTTCAGTGATAGCTCCAACCTCAGCCGCACGACAAGCCAGGCCAATGATGTGCGCAGAATTAGCCGCTGCTCTTTGCTTTTCTCAGCGCCCTAACCCTTTCTCAGCTCTGATTTACCATCCCAGCGCCGACAGCCTCAAGTTTGTAGGCTGCCTCCATAATCATCTCGTTCTGAACAGGCAGCCGAAGCAGCCCGCATCGCCAACCGGTAGTTGAGAAAAGGCATATTTACTCAAGCCATGAAGAGACGAACTTGGGCTGTCTTCGACGAGGACATTGCAGCATCGCAAGGTCTGAAGCTTCTGGGCTGCGTCGTTTCAGATGTCCGCCGTCCGTTGGACAACTTTTGTCCAGCGCTCGATGCAGCGAAGACTCTGGACTACGATGCCACCTTGGACGTCAAGAGCGAGCCGAATCTGCGACTATCTCTCAGCGCCATCAAATCGAATCGTGCCGCCGCCATGCTGGCGAGCCTTCTCAACCTTGAAATCAGCGCAGAGCAGGAAGAATCCTATGAGTTGACGACGGCGCTCGCAAAGACGTTTCAAGTGCAGCAGCACCAGAATCTGTGGACGAAAACTCTCAGCGCGTATGGCGACCAGATCCGAGCCTTCGCCCGATCGCCGGCGGGCCAGAAAGGCCTCTACTTCTTGGTGGGCATCAGAACGGCGATGCGCCCAGAGATGACTCGTACAAACATAGATGGATCTGGACACCGCATCGCCGCCGACACGTCGGTTTTAGAGCAAGCTATGGGCGTTCCTGTTCCATTAGCCGGCCAGCTGGGTGTCGATCTCGGTTTCACCACCACCCAGTCTACCCTTCTCTCATCGACCCGTCGTGGCGAGCGAGCCTTTGCTGCCGAGTACTGCAAGCTGAAGTGGACTGCAAAGGGCATCGTGCTGGAGCCCAGGGGCAAGTTGCGTCTGCGCCGGGAGCTCGTGCAGGGGGATGTCGTCGCCTTTGGCAAGAGAAAGCTCGCCTTCTCGGGCGGCGCAGATGGCGATGACGAAGATGAAGAGAGTGACGAAGAGAGCGACGACGAGACGGAAGAAGACAACGAGGCTGGGAATGAGGCTGGTATTGAAAACGTACTTATGTGAGAACTGCATGCGTTTGAGCAGCTGGTCGGCATGACTTGTATTTAGACAATCCATCCAAGAGCTACGAGCGGCGGGCATGAGCGACTGCACTCCCCTTGGTAACAGTACACACTTCACATCTCAGGTCTAGACTAATTCTTTATTTTCTATCTCGTCGTGTCGGTCAACGCATCTCACGATCCGTACAAAAGTGTTATGGAGGTATGGATCTCGGGGTTGCAAAGCGTAGAGCTTCTCGTCCAAGGAATGCCTCAGCGAATCTATAGCCTGATTGTCTGTTAACATAACCCTTGTATGTATGTTGAAAAACTTACCAAATAATCTCATGAAAGACCCGGCTTTGTTATCGTTGTGCTTCACACATTCCCGCGGGCCAGCAATTGGTGAGCTCTTGGCACATGAAACAGTCAACATCGTACCACTGCCCTGGTGACGTTCCAGTAAAAATCATGTCGCTGGGCGCATTGTCGTATAGATAGCATTCGCCGGAATCCCAATAGAATGTTTGACAGTTTTGCCGCCAGAAGCAGAATCCAGCGCATACAGTGAGACTCCAATCATCGCCGCCTTTGACGGGAATCGGTGTTCCTGCATTTATTGGCGAGCTGTGTTTGCCGCAGACGAGATGTAAACTGTCCACCTTTTGTTGGCAAGTCAGCGAACAAGGGCCGGCCTGAGCAGTGGTTGCGAGCAGCGATGCGAATGCCGCGACCAAGATTTTGCGTAGTGACATGGTGTGTGAAAGCCGAATGGACCGGAAGCGCCTGAGACCTACAGGTGAAGAGGTTGCTTTGTTTGATCTGGTACATGTGAGCTACGGTTGGGGTGTGTTGCACCCTAAATATTGGTGGCTGCGCCGCTATCGACAAACTAATTACGGAGAATCCGGTGGATTAACTCAGTCCACAGTTAGTCAACGCCTCTAGGGACATTAGTTATTCAATAACCCTCTTAATCGGATTTTCCCCTGAGAATCTAAGGGTCTAGAACCCAATTAGACCAGGAAACCTGCACTAGCGCCCAGCCATTTCATTTCATCGACGTACAGAGTACAGAGTACAGGTGCAACCATAAGCTTTGAGAAAAAACCTCAAACAAGGTTACAAGGCCGTGCTACACAAAGGCTCGTCGTACGAGATGTACAAAGGACTCGCCAGCTGGTCCCCCACATGCTCTCTCACAGGATAGACCGCCAAGCTGCGAGAGACAGAGTCTGAGTCTGTTCATGCCTCTTGGACTGCCTTGTATCGTGATTTTAGATTTGGGGCTGAAACATAGCCTTACAACGCTGGGTGGCGTTGTCGGTACATAGCCTGAAGCGAGCTGAAAATTGCAACAATAGTAGGGTGGCGGGGACCTCAAGGTAGAATCACGTCCAGTAGACGCTCTTTAATGAGATTGAGAACGAAGAAAGACGCGTGGTGATGCAGAGGGAAACGATAAGGCGTCAGCAGAGGGTCTTGCGTTAAACGTGAAATATTGTGATAGGGCCAACGGCCCACCTGGGGTTTAATATAGGAGCAGAGGCCGGTAGGTAGCTTAGGAGGCCCCTAATCAAAGCGTTGAATCTGTCTGAAAACAAGACGGTATGTTTTCTTCTGTTCTTTAGTTAGTACAATACCCCTAGTCTTAATACGCTCCTTACATTATAACTATTATAACAGTACTTATGGATATTTTCTCTTCTTCTTCTTCTTCTTAGTATTTTAAGGCCATTAATTCATTGCTCTCCTGATATTCTGCCCTCAAGAGACTGCTTTTTTGGTGTTTTTCTTATCTCTTATCACTCTCTTCAGCGCCTACCCTACGGCCGGATGTGGTCTGTACTAAAGACCTCTCCCACTACCAAATTATATACTCAAGTTCTCCTTGTCGATTATAATGAGCCTGAGATCCCCTGCCGAGGAGCGAGAAATCCCGGGTCCATCAGAAATATTGACCATAATACAACAAGGCTTCACAAGGGCCACACTCGGGCTGTACTGTCCAAGTGTACGTCCATAAGAACTGTGTTTTTTTGACCTTGTGCCGGCAACTTGCTCACCTTGAGGGAGCAGACAGAAGTTAGATTAATAAGAGGTAAAGTAGAAGTTCGGAATTCGGACTGGCAGATTCGGGGCCCGAGCTACATGTACGACATCATCGTAATACCACATTATTGCCTCTCTTTGTCGTTGGAATGCAATAGCTCAGGAGGTGGCTGGGGGAGGTGACACGTAATATGGATTTCCGAAAAAAGCTTGTGCTACAAAGCACTCGCGACTCTCGTCATTGAATATACACCGAGTTCCTGCGTGCTTTTGGAGATTGCCAATTGCCAGAGTGTCATTGCTAGATGGCGATGTAGCATTGAGGCATCACGAATTAGAGCCTCTAAGCGAAATTACGCCCCGCGTCGCGCTCACGACGTGACGCGACAATACTTCTAGCGAGAACACACCACCCCTTTTCAACATGCGGCACTCAACTCGGTCACGGGAATCAATCTGTGGCGACAATGCGGAAAACCATTGGGAGCTGTCTTCTTCAGCCTCAAGTGGGGCTCAATTGAGTCCCGACTACGTGAGTGATCAATCCACATGAACATTTGAGCTATCTTGACCATTCCCCAGAGACCATGCATTGGCGGCAGCGATTCTGAAGGACAAGACAATCCTTTAGCACCACCATTCCACGAATGTGTAGGCTTGATCCATGGGCTTGTTCTACTCCCTGATCCCAAATTAGCTGACGCAAACATAGGCACCGAAAAAGAAGCGGACCGTGTTCCTGTGGACTTGTTGTGTATGTCTATGCTCTGGAATGCGAGTATCGGCCGGGTCCTGTCCAGCTTGCGGGACCGCGCGCTGCTCGTATTGTCGAGTAGAGAAGACTGTCACGAGAGAGTAAGGAAGTTGGTTTTGGGTGGGAAAGCATTCGTAGCGCCAGTCTACCAAATGCTACATGTTGGATGGAGACCCTGTACTAGGAATCCTTCGACAGAGTGATATCCGGACATTAGCCAGAAGGGGGGTTAGACAACCATCTTCCGGCCGATCCGGATGACCGCAAGGAAGGACCATTACGATCATCATAATCAATTTGAACACTATTCCATTAATCAATTTGGCGGTAACGGATCCATCACTAGATGAATCTGCCGAACCCGCTTAAACAGACTTCACGTTGGAAGATAATGAGGAGTTAAAGCACACATCAACGTTGTATACACTTTATCAGGGCTATGCAAGGGACGTAGGCCTTGCAGTGGAATTGTGTTGCTAAATCTAGATCTTCTCTCCGCGTCTTCCTCCAAACGACAATCAACTGTAAACGTAAACAGGTGCATGAAAGACCCTGAAGGCGTCAATGACCCATTCTGCTTCGCTGCAATCACCTGCTCTAGGTCCGATTCCCACTTTTTGTCTAATAATGTCCTCATCCTCACAATGTGAGTAGGTTAGCTTTTTGTCGAGGTTTCGTGATGAAAGCATGTTCGCACCAGCGCCAGAACTGTATGCCGAAATGGATTAACAAGACAAATACCAGCACCGTTCCTATCAGAACTGTCGTTAAAGCAGCAAAAGTGATTTTTGTTGGTCCCAAGAAGTGTGGAATTGCATCGGCTTGCATGGATAAAATTCCACTGGAAATCGAGAGTGGTCCGTGGAACTAGAAAAATAAATTCAGTTACTAGCTCACCACCCAAATTTGCAAGACCCGGAACAGATGGACTGACAAGTAGCATGATAATAGCAATTATGGTGCCAAACCGAGTGACTCCGGCTTGGGTTTTAGAGCCCCGATTAGCTTCCTCTTTCATATAGAGAGCAACCTATGCCACCACATGTTAGCGCACTAGTCTACACTCTGATAGACTGGATCATACCCCTTTGGAGAAGTCATCGCAGGTCCTCCGTAGACACTTCAGTTTTAGTACGCATTTTTCCAGCTCTTGGAAAGACTCATCAACGGAGGACATCTCTCGGGCCACTGAATCTTTAGAAAATGAGCCATGAGGTTTGAATTGTTTCCACTCATGTATCAATGCTTCCAAGGGTTCTCTCAGTGTCCCTAATAAGCTCCTTGCATCTCGGATCCAGGCACAATGCTGTTCGGATGTAATGCTAGGAAAGGGCCGATGGTCGAGTTGAGATGATGAAATCTACCAGGTTTGTCAGCCTCAAGGGTGCGCAAGCCAGTTCATGGTGTCTAAGGTAGTTGCGGCGGGAATGTGACTTACGTATGTTTTGATTCTGTCTTGCGTGTTCTTCACAACGATCTTCCATTCGGCTTCTGCTACCTCTATCCTGGCTTTGAATGAAGCCCAGAAATAAATCCAGGGATCTTGGATAGGAATATTAGCGTCAAAATCTCCTCTGGTCAAAGGATCAGTATTGAGCAAGTCGTCCTCCGCATAGGTATCTTCCTCCTCGCTGTCGGCGTCACTGTGTGAATCATTGTCGGAATCCAGGTTGTTGAAGTAGTCACTGGCACTCTCTCGCTTTGCGTCATTGTCAAAATATGCATCCACAAGGGCATATGCAATATTTCGGCGAGAATCTATCGCTGAGATGAGTACAGATGTGTGAGCCCCACAGAGATAGTCGGTTGGAGAAGGGCAAGCTGATGCAGGGCTATCTTTCGGAAGAAATGTCAAGTCTATGACTTTTCGAAGTGGGTCACTGCGACCTCTTACTTTCGCGTCGTCTGGTTTCGATTCGGATGGTGTAGTTCTCCAAACAAAGTAAGGAATATCAAATGCGAACTCGTAAAAGGGAAATCGATTTGACTGTGATAGTGTAAGGGTCAAGGAAAAGTGAATAACGCAAACTGAGGGCACTTACAGCAACGCTACGAACACAAATGTGGCTTTCAAACGTCAAATGTCTGTAAATCATGCGATGTACCTTCAAAGCTTCATTCTTTGATGCCGTAGAAGCCAAGGCCATGGCTCCCCAAGGGTTCAGATCAGTAATAAATCTACCAAGAAGTAAGCTTCCATATGTCATATTGGGGAGGCAGTGTTTGTTACATGACACGACGGTCAGCATTCAGACGAGGAGCAGGCCGCACTGAGTCGCTATCAACGGCAGCGGTATTGTGATCCCGAGCACCGTCCAGATTACACAGCGGGAACCTCTGCACCGAATGTTAGTAATCTCACTGACTATTAAGGTCGAACTTTGTACCTTTTCCCTTAATTCCAAGTATAGCTGGCGCACCGACAAGGGTCCAGGCCGTCGTTGTTGATCCGAGCGGCGGCCTTCAGAGGTTCGATCGTCGAGATAAGTCTTTGTCAAGGGAATCTTGTCATAACCTAACTCTAGGTTATGCAGCGTTTGGTCACCGCAGAATGAGGAGACTTCCTCCACTACCCGGTTCATGTATTGCGATGCACGTTCGGTATCTTCCGTGAAGCGCTGCAACAGTGTCTGGCCTGTAAACTCACCACCTGTACGGTCGATCCATGACGTATTTTCGAATGCCAATATACGCTTGAGCTGTTCTTCTGGTAGGGTATTCCACACAGAATGCATGGAACGTCCATGCACCCCACGAATACTGTCGACATCTTGGGGTTGGTAGCCATCGCCACCTAGCCTCCCATTTTCGCACGGACTGGTCTGGTCTCTTCGTCGTGTGTTTCCTTTTCTGTCCCTCCTTCTACCTCTTCTTCTGTCTCTCCTTTTCCCTCTTCTTCTAGCGCGTCTCCTGGACCTGGAGGAACATGATGTCTCTCTATCTCGTATGACAGCCCTGTCGTGGATTCCGGATGAGTGGTTTGACATCTGTTCAAATGGACTCCAGTAGCAGAAGTATTCGGCAGTATCATTTTCGATTCGGCGCAGAGTAAACTTGGACCTAAAGATGCAAGTAGACCATGAGGTTGGACCGACTCTGTATCAAAGAATGTTGGACATGGGTTCGCTTCGGAATATTGCATAGCTGAGCAATCATCACGCCAGGGATACGAGCGAGAACGCACTTTGCACGGATGATTGGAGCGCCAGTTTTGCGGTTGCTTTCTGGGTCAAAGACTGGGGAGAAGGTGTGGAAAGACTCTTAATATAAGAAGAGAAAATATAAGAGAATGGCAAACAGCATTCTTGATCGGATGAGATGCGTCGAGGGCCGTGGGCAAGGCCAAACCCCGCTCTGGATTAATGGCCACAGAACTCGCCATCTCCCCGAGGCGGTTGCAGTGAAATACGTGCCCGAAGCAAATCGGCCGATGCGTTGGGCTCTTTGCACTGCCCCGGTCTCAGATAAAATGAAGCTGGTGACTGAGGTGCGGGGTACTGTGCCTATGAAAGGAGAGGATATTCAGGCAACCGGTCGCCTCCTTTGAGGCCCGTCCCGTGGTGGCTTTGTCGATGACACGCAGTTGCGGGCCTTGACAACGTGGCACCTATGATTTGCAGAGCGTCGCCATATATCATTCCGCTCTTCTCCGTGAAAACCCAAAAGGTACGTACATATGTAGTCCTCGTGATTCGAAACTGCAAAATCCGAGATGTGTGCAGAGTGCAGACTCTGTAGTAGCAGTGGGAAAGTTGGATGAGTAGCCATAGCCGAGTGGCGGAGCTCAGTGAAAGGTTCCACGACGTTAGCTGCTCTGCATCCAACATATCTACCAAAAGAAATCAACCTATCGCGTTGGATATATTCTTGTTTGATTCAGGGAAGACAAGTCCACGATGCTCACATGATAGCTTGCTGACACGAAAACAGCTGCACCCAGTGTCCCGTCACACCAAAAGTGCGGCTGAGGTGACACATTCGCCTAAAAGTTGGGCCACAGCCAGTATCAACCCGGGGCTGATTGATGCCCACACCACCATGCTCATTTCGGTGCTGGCATTGGAAAATTTCCTCGGTGTAGATGGACCTATCATGACGCACAGTATTCGCTCAGCTCAACTTCTGACCTTCCATTCTCAGTAGCATCAGCTTTACTCACGTCAGCAGAAAAGAAGACATCGCCTGAGAAAGAAGACGTGGAGAGTGACGAGAGACAAAGAGATGGAGAGAGAGGAGAGGGAGAAACGACCAAGACGAAAAGTCTAGCATATCCTCAGCTGGGCCATCACCCGCATCATAGACCAGCATGTTCAGCACAGGCGAGTGTAAAATGTTGTTCCGGGCGGCCTCGTCGCTGAGCATGCAAGAGCAGTCAATCGACCGAGCCGCGATGCGCGCAGCCCGGCGCAACAGTTGCTCGCCGCTCTGCTGCTCCCTCACCACATCCTTATTTCCATCGGGAGAGAACATGTACTCGTGTATCCGGTCAAACTGGCCTGTTGACTCGAGGTGCGTTTCCAGGGCTGACTTGATACGCCGCGGCATGATGGCGTGTCGCCCCATGACGTCGTTCATGTCGCCCAGCAGGCGTCGCAACGCGGGAGACAGGTGAGTCGGAGTGGCCATACCGAGAGAGTCGTAAACGAACCGATGGCCCTCGGATCCGTAAAGGGGGAACAGCTTCTAGGGCGACTGCGAGCACCGCGATCGCTTGCTGTCGCGGGTGCTCTGAGACGAGGCCAGGCTGGGAGCGCTGCCGAGGGGGACTATGTTAGTGCTGCCGCTGGCGTCTGACATTCGGGGTCATACTAAAGGCATTTTATATATATTTAAATTATCTTGATAGCTATTGCCATAATGCTGTTGACGCTATGCATCCAGCTGGATGGTTGTTTTACTTGGTCAGTTTTGAGTAGAGTTGTATGGTTGGAGGGGTGGCGGTTGATTACGTATTTGGCCTATCGAGCCAGCTGACACCAGTGATTCATTTATACATAATTCCTGCTAGTATATCCCCCTGGAAAGCATTCTGATAACAGCTACGGATAAAACAGACTGAGTATCTCTTCTACAAATCAGCCTACTAGTCTAAGTTTTCATTATCCTCTCCGAGCTAAGAGGGCCTGCCGCTCCTCCTAACAATCACTTTAAGATTAGCATTTTAGGACGAAATATTACACCATTGCCAATACTGAGGCAGCAGGACTACTACGTACCACTGTAAGCAATCTGGGGATTGCAAGGATAAAAATATCATGACGAATCTATGGACTAGTGTCAGCTATGGCAATAGATAGTATAGCAGAATCACCGTGCAGGTCAACTCTGGTGATGCTGTTTAGTAATACTTACCCCAATAACGAGATTGGCAGCAGGGATGTCCGGGAATAGTTCTCTGAGAAAATCCACGACGATGAACTTGTGCAAGCAGTACGTGGGAATGGTATCAAGTACTATGGCCGGGCGATTCTTATGATGGCGTAGGGTTTGGCCGCGGTTGCCGGTGGCCTCATGTTCTTCCGTCAGTCCAGTCATATGGAAAGAAGCTTGTGATGAATGTGGCAGTAAAAGGTTATGATTTTGTCTCGGTCGGCAAGAGAAAAAATGAGGTCCAAGTATTGTCCTACCTCGTCAGATTTGGAATTTCGAAATGGAATTTCAAAACTGGCCAATCCGCTGCTGCCACATCCCATGTGTGCGGCTGAGCATCACGTACCAGAATTGTTATTTAGGCAGCAACACCATCCTCATAATGTGATGTCAATTTATTCAATACAATCTTTTATGCTATGGGCAACATACTCCGCGGTAGCCGCGACTGAATAAGTAAATACAGCGATGCCGGCCTCTAACGAGCTTCGTCACCTTGAAAGTCCAAGCACTCTCGCCGACTCGTCCTGTCGTGTTTTCCAAAGCTTGCTAGCGAAGCCGATAACCACTGCACAACTACAGGGGCACCCGTGTGTGTCCGAAGTTCGTCGCTGCGGAGAGTCTGGATGTGTTTCCTGTAAGTTGATGTGGGATGGCATATCGTCCATGTTTCCCGGACTCGGCACGTGGGACGAAACGACGGCCTTTGGATTCGTTCTCCGCGAAAACGACGTAGAGTGGCTCAGAATTGGAATCGTACGGGATAGTGGGGACAATGTTCGTGGTGTTCCCCGAGAATGGGTTGACTTCCACTGGATCTCTGACGAGTGTAAGTTGTGTGTTTTCTGTGCTATATGTTGCCCCAGCCCCTGGGGGAGTTTCTCCCCATCCGCCGAACATACGGATGGGATTACTAACTGCCAAGTAATAGCTTGGGTTTCTCCACCGGTGGTGGATCAGGGCAGTTCACAATCCGAGCAGGTTCCTCGCATAGTTGGACAAGTCGACAGGGTACGGGACGCCACCAATGAGACTAACAAGAGTCAATTTGCGAGCCGACCATCACCAACGGTAATGATTAGCCAAATATGTTCGTGGATGTCTGTGTGCCAATCCAGTCACAGCACATGCCGGCTTCCTAAAGAACTGTCAAGTGTCCCCACGCGTCTTATCGAAACGGATCTGGGTGACGGCACTTTGGACGTTGCCTTACGGGAGAACATTGCCGCGCCCGAGCCATACATAGCTCTGAGCTACTGCTGGGGTCGCTCCCTTCCACTGCGAACCCTTCCTTGCAACTTGGAAAGCCACAAGACTCGAATTACTTGGAGTGCCTTGCCGGTCTTGTTTCGTGACGTGGTGTTAATTGCGCGGCTTCTACGGGTGCGGTACGTATGGATTGATGCGCTCTGCATCATCCAGAAGGATAGTAGTGATTGGACCACAGAAGGGGCAAGCATGGCAGCTTATTACGGAAACGCCTTGTTGACCGTTGCGGCCGACGCCTCAGTTGAGACGACTTGCACAAGTCTTCCACGATCTGTACGCCAGCCTACAGTGCTCGCCGTAGCAGATACATCGACAAAGGTCAAGGTTTCGAAAGTCCCGGTACATGTCAGCATGAAAAGCGTCCGGTTCGACAAGAACCCACCGTCATGCATGCCTCTGTTCTCCCGTGCATGGGCATTTCAAGAGCGACTGATGTCAGCGAGAATATTGCACCTTGGACCAGAAGAAATGGTTTGGGAGTGCTCTTCTCAGCTGTGGTGCGAATGTGGCATGCCGCCGGACATTTGGAACGGGAGGCCAGAACCGTCCATCGAGCCTTTCCGTGCTTCTCACCACAATGCGTTGGCCAGTGGTACAAATCTCGCAGCATACTGGCATGATCTTCTTGAGATGTATCTCATTCGCCATATGGCTTATAGCACGGATAAACTGAAGGCAATCATGGGGTTGGCGGAGCAGATCAACAACAGCCAAGATACAAAATCGCAGGCCCTGGGCAGCTACGTCCTAGGGCTATGGTCGTCAATCTTACAGCATTCTTTGCTATGGTCCAACCTTACTCGAGGTTGTTCTCGCAACGGAAAGTTTCCAAGCTGGTCTTGGGCCTCGATTGACGGAACTTGGCTGTACCAGCGGCCGCCGCGAGTATCTCAATTTGTCCCGAAAGCAACAATCATTAAGAGGCCACCAGAGTTGTGGGATGTGGATGAAAGGGTAACTTGCCGCTATGAGTTGGTTATATCTGGCCTCGCTGTTAATGCTGTCCTTGTCGCTTCCGATTCCTTCCCCGCTCAAGGCTTGGTCCAATGGACGCTGTGCACTGGATACTCATCTGACGGCGACATGGAACTCACGGTCGACCTCGACATTGAAACCCAACATTACGGAGAAGGGTGGGACCCGGCAGTGCTGTGTTTACAGCTAGGCGTTTCGGACATTTACTCAAAGAGGAGAGCCTGGGGTCTTGTGTTACGAGCGACAAAGGATAATGGTACAGTATTTGAACGAGTCGGCGTCATGACTGCTTCAGAAGAGTGGTATAACGTAGGCGCCCAGAAAAGGGACGTAGTGGTTTATTAAATGTTTACTATATCAATAGGCTAAGACCTCTTGGTGTGGGCATCGCGATGTTCACACCTAGTCGGCCATAGTGATATGTGACCATCTGTTCTCTTCCATTCACACAAGCCAGATGACCTGCTAGGCTATGGATAATGGACCCATATGTTGGTCGTATGTGTGCTCAGCTCAAGCACAGCCCAGCCTTTTTGTAGTTGATTGGCCTGGACGGGCCTTACTGGGTCATCTTTGCAGCCCAAGAGGGGGCAGTGTACCGCCAGCCCCCCAGAGCCTGATCTGGTTTCGCCTTGATAGCGAATGAAATCCAAGTTTTCGGCTGCTCAGTAGCATAGCCACGAAGGATCTTACTTCCAAATGAGGGGGCTGTGTTGTGCACTCAATCTGCATCCGGTATTCTTCGAGTATATAAACCCTTGGGTCATGCAACAACATTGGATTCCGAGAACTATGAACTTCTGAAAGCTGAGTGCTCCTATAGGGCGTCACCAAGTCCGCACCATGTTGGCAATTATTCACCCCGTTCTCTGCTGTCCGAGTCGAGTCAGCCAAGCCTTTTCCTGAAAAGCCATCATGGCGACTTGGCAACATTGCGACCAGATGCTGAGTCGCCTCCTCTCGTTCCCGCTCTCAGGAACACAGTGAGCGTCGTCCCCTTCCAGGAGCCTCTCCCTTCGTCCCTTCGTCCTTTACGCCCTTTACATCCTGCGTACACCCTGAGGCGTCGACCCGAGTCATCAAGACTCGCTCAATAGGAATCCACGCTATCAGCCAGCGCCCGAGAGTGGAGCATGTTTGCCTCGTTCCCCGTGCTACGTCCAATCGGATCCGGCGGTGTTGAGAAGGCGACTTCTTTTTAAGGCGTCCAAGGACCGAAATGCAGCTACGAAACACGTTAACTTGATCCCGTGCTTCATTTCTCCCTGAGCGAGTCCTGCGTCCTGCAGAAATGCAGGTTTAGTTCTCATGCAGGGAGAGATGGCGTCACACGGACTCAGATTCAGGGATTCGCGTCGTCGATGCAGTGAGGCCTTTGGTGAGATATTTTGAGCGAACACACTGCTCGAGGGGACGGCCAAGACAGCTGTTGAGCGAGGAGACGCTTGCTTATCACCCGCATAACCTCAAGCCACTGACAGCGATTTCTGATGCCATCCTGACTCGTCTTAAACAGACGGCCCCCGCAGGTTTCCCGCTGTGTGCATTCACAGCTACAGCTTCGTTACCACTGCTTCTGTCGTTATCTATAGTCTCGACCGAACAACTGTGATCAACTATGGCAGTTTCGCCTACGATTCACCACGGAACTGAGTTCCTCGAGGAATCGCTTTGGTATCCGTCAGACGAGACGAGCCCCTCAGTACAATCCTGTCGCGTGCAAACGCCTCAGCTTAGTGTTGAGACGACCATCCTCCAAAAGTGTTGCTCGTAAGTGTTCATCGGCGTCAGATTCGAACCAGTGTCTCACCACCACCGCCGCAGTATCGACAAGATCTGTCCCTTGATCGAAAATTCCGAAAAGGCAAAGGTCATCGCAGCTATGGCGCTGAACCTATTCGTCTTTGACGGCAAACTTCATCATAGCCGGAACAACTGGGCGTGTCCATTCGGACATTGCAAAAACACCTCTTCTGACGCCCGAACTTTGATGCGCCATGTTCTACACTGCCATCACTTCTCTAGCGACATGGTGTATTGCAATTGCTGCGACAAAGACGACTGTTTCACAGACCAGAGCCAGAACGACGGTTTCTGCAGCGCCGAAGACAAAACTACGCCCTGCCATGACAAGGGTTCGCCGATGAAGGCCAAGACCATGCGCAAGCTCACCAACATCACGGGCTTTTTCACGCGAAGTCGTCCAGCCTCAAGATGCTCCTCGCGGGGGCTTGACCCCGTGAGTCCAACTTCGACGACAGTTCGTCGACAAAGCGTCTTTTCGGTCATGGTTCCAACGCCTAGACCTTCCAGTGCACCTCGGAAGCTGCCTGTTGTCGGTTCTCCAGAGCCATCAGGTCGGCCAGCAGGTTCGCCCGTCGATCCGTGCCACGAGATGGATGCTGTTTCGTCAGCTTTATTTGAGGTCCCTGGAACCGGTGTCATCAGAGCCCAAGAGCTTCCGGCTTCAGAGAACCGTCGCGAAGCCGGCCCGAGCAGCAAGCGGTCAGACTCAGGGTTCTCGGAGCTCTCGGGACTCTCAACGGACGGCGTCACTGCTCCAATGTTTGCCGACATGGGAGCCATGACGGAATCGCCGACAGAAGACTTGTCCATGGATGCAAGAATTCCCAGCTGGGATGTACTCCAAGAAGCCAGTGCAGCTTCCTCTCAACAGGTTCCCCACGAGATGTCGACTGCTCACTTCTCGTTCCCTTCAGCAAGCACCCATCGGCCCGTCTCACAATATCGATCAGAACAAAGTCGCCAATCATATTGGACGTTTATGCAACAACCCCTTCGCCAACCGGGCGTACCGCTGTCTTCAGAAAGTGCCCAATATGGAATGTATGCCACCGATGACATCCCCACCAGTGACCACGCCAGCTTTGCGATGCTTAACCAGAACTCTGGCTTCAAACCAGTGGCCTCTCCTTTGAGTTGGGAACCCACAACTAGTCAATATCGACAAGGTTCAGGCGACTCTGGGTTCTCTAATGGCTCTCACGACATGGTTGGACCAGGGGATCCTGACTCTTCATCCAAGCCTGGTCATGGTCGACAGTCCATATCACACGGCGCTGTACCGAGTATTATGGTAGCTGGAAAAACTCCAGACTTCTGCTCCCCGCTGGTGGAAATGGATGGTCTTCGCTGCCCGTATTGCAGTTATCGTCCCAAGGGGAAACGGCTTGGAAGGAGGGCTAACCTTAATAAACACATCAAGAACCAGCATGAGTCCGACAAGATTTCCTGTCCTGGCTGTAATAAAGAGTTCAGTCGGAAGGACAACCTCGCAACGCACCAAACAAACGCTTGCAAGAGGCGGCTCTTTGGGATGGAATTTCCGTCAGCGAGGCGATATGCGGGGTTGGAAACGGGAGGCGACTGGGTAGATGGAAGGAATCTCCATACAGCCAAGAGGGTGCGACAAGACTCTGGAGGTCTCTGGTGAGTCATATATCGTAATAAGACCTGAGGCGATAAATTTATAATAAGTTCATATAATATGTTACAAACACTTGTCATTTAATCCCTGAATGCATGGTTTTATGGTTGTCGAATGCAAAAGAAAGCCTCTCGACCACGCCAAACGTTTTGATGAAGACGACTCATCGAGACGGCTCGATCCTGATACCGGTACTAGAATGCGGGGAGTGCTGGAGACCCGGTATAATGAGGCTCAAGTCCATCGCCCCATCATGGATCATCCCCAACAAAAAAGTCCAAGTTAAAAATAGAACTATTGCTCTGGCGGGAGGTGGGGGTGTTTGTATGACGTCAAATGAGGCGGCCAGGAACAGTTCGCATTCAGGACCAGGGACCAGGGTCTCTGGTCTATCAGTGGACAATATTCCCTGACTCTTCTGCAGTCTTGGAGATATCTCAGGGCATGTCCCTTGCGAAGCCCTTTGTTTGCTCTGCATTCTTGGCCTCAAGCCACGTAGGGCTAGCCGAATGCGCTGAAAACGGTTTGGATAACACCTCTCACATTTTACGAAATCCTGCGAATGCTTACGCCTGACATGGCTTCATCTGTTCCTACATCAGGACGTAAGGGGAAGAACGCCTGCTTAAGGAACCACGGGGAGATGCAGGTGGGATTTCTCGCCTACAGCTTCAGGCACCGCCGCAGGTGGCTAGATTGCCTCTACTTGGAGTGATATAAAGGCGAAAGTTAGAAGTTCGTTTGGACAGCTACTGTTTCCTCACGGTCAATTCTTAATAGACAATCACCTTTCTTTCGCATCAGTTCTTCTACTGCTTTGGCTCCGACATGCCTTCTTCAAAGTGCGCTGAACAGTCCTCTACTAGTCCAGGATTTAATGGCGGCTTCTAACATTGACTGTCTAGTGAAGTGAACACTCAAACCTCGTCCGCATCGGCGGCTCGCACCCCTACCAACGAACATCTCGACCAACTTCCACGGACATCCAACCTCGACAATTATCTTCAGCACCAGGCCAACTTTGAGAAGGTGGTAATTGGCCTGCCTACCGCGCCGAAGGACATGGACAGGTACTGCACAGTATGGCAGACGGGATTCGACGCCTCCAAGAAATAATGGCGTTCTTTTGGATGGGTTTACGTCCACATGTGGCGGCATTTTGCAACTCGCGATAGGGACTGGCATCGGTTTTGGGTCCACTAATGGGATTATTCGTCAGGATACGGTCAATAGGTGAACAGGATACAGGGACCATCATTTAATCATGGGTAATTGAGAGGTTGAGTCTGAATATTGGTTGGAGGTGTAGGCGAGAATACAAGAGCGATATAGAATCGTCACATAAAAGCCATAATCAGAGGTCTATCGACACCATCCCCCGTGTACTAAAATGCAACGCTGAACGTTACGTGCTGCAGCGTCGTAGTTTATTTAGCCCAACAGCGCAGACCTCCCATTTCCGTATCGCACCTGTGCCCGGGTGAGTTTTGTCTAACCTATTTCTCACTTTTATATTAGTAAACAGTAGATGATGTGGAATCAAGAGTTCTGATTTTAGAAAACTCATCGCAACAAGTGGCGAGTCGCTAATCAGTTAATAGAGCTCACATGAAAGTTGGGAATCTCCATAGGCATGTACCAAGCCACAGCCGTCCTCGTTGAATGATGTGTTTTTAGTGGAAATACGGGGACGATGCTAGGACCTGATGAACTGTAGGTAGGATAATGATGACTAGGCTAGCTATGTGATGGACGGTGTGTCGCAGGGGCGATCACCTCTGTCCCGTATGCCTAGTATCTCAGGCGTAAAACGGGACAAGTCGAAACAAGGGTCCGACCTCGGGTCCACCAACAGTTTTCTGTTTGCTGTGTGGCCAGCAAAACAAAGTGGAGAATACGCGTGATGGGCCACAAAAAGAAATGATCAGCCTCACCGGGAGATTGATGAGCGCACATAGAACATCGTATGGAGACCCATAACCAAACCCGTCATCCATTTTTCTTCACTATCCTCTGATAGTCGTATAGGTTGCGTTTATGACATTCCTGCGTGACGTGTTATCTATCAGACATTTTCCCCCTGAATTTCTGCATGTTGGGTCAAGTTCAGCAACTCCGGCATCGCCACAAGTCGCGCTACGAGGCATATGACATGCGACGGGAGACAACCATCCTGTGGCAAGTGGGAGATTTCCGATTGTACCTGCGTTTACTTGACACCAAAGAGCACAAAGCCAAGACTATCACGTCATGACCGAGAATGCATTACCTCGTCATGGTTGCAGGAGAATCGCACCCCGCCGGAGTTCGATAGCTCACCTACGCCTAAATCAGAATCAAATCAACTTTTCACGCTCCAGCACCTCTCGCTCCGTGGTCACTGAGTAAATGATGCCCGCTGAGGCATACATCAGTTCTGCGTTATCGACGCCTACCTAATGAACGAACACCTCCCTCTTTCCATGATACGTTTGGACACTTTGCATCCGGAATCGTCAGATTGGTATAAGCAACCTGCCCATGAGCTAGAGCACCGAGGCCTGCGAGCATTCAACAAGTCGCTGACGGACACGACCGGTTGGAATGCTGTGCCACGGTTTCTATTCTTGTCGCTCCTTGCCCTCGATTTCCTCGTCGAAAATCTCGCGCATAAAGACTATGACCTCGATTCAACACTTCTTCTTCTGGTCGAATGTCCCCGACTTTGTCGAGGGGTACGGAGATGGGTCAAGGATGGGTCTCAGCGGTTCGACTCTCAGCCTATGATTTTGCACCTTCGGGCAACACTCGGCAACCTGTCGAGGAGACCTGATACGAGCATAACTATTTGGAAGATGTTGCACACATTCGACCTGAACCTAACGTCACTAAATGACTCCGAGGGTGCAAAACGGGCCATGTTCATCCTCGTAGTCGGCCAAGTCATCGGAGCGTCGAAGAGGGTGGATCATTCCCGTTCATTCTAAAGAACCGGACGTCGTGGTAATCCCCGCAGAAACGATGGCCTGGGAATATCTCGGTGGTGGCGGGGACCGGAACGCCCGGCTTCAACACGCGTGTTGTCTAAGCTGATATCGTTGCTGTCAATCGACAGGGCCACAACCTTCTGGGATTGGTCAATGGTGGGAATTACCCCTTGAAGCCCGAGGCCTTGGCGCCGGTGCAGGACCGAAACTGCAGCTTGTTTTCTGGAGAAGGGAAATCCCCCTCCAGCTAAGCCGGATACGAGCTTTTCCTGCGTATGCAGTCTCCTCCACCGTCGCCGTATTTCCCTTAGCTCCGGACGTGGCTGAGCAAGAGTCGCCGGTGGCCACCCAATCCTTACCTTGGGAGCCATCAAGAGATAACTCAACTCAGACACAGCAATCGGGAACCCTGCCCACTCATACTTCAGTGCGCCAAGACCTGGCGGTAATCAAAATACTCCGCTCAGTCAAAGGCAAGTTCAGTGTTAACAGTGACGCCTGTGAAGCAATCTGCTCACCAAAACCCGGAATGGGATGAGTGAGGGTCAACACAGCCCAACATGTCAAGATAACGTGAAGGACCCCGGTACGGAAGCACCGGCTGGCCCACTATGTCAACATCAAGCACTTTGATGCCATGGCTGCTCCACATCGCCTAGTGCACGACCGTGAGGGATCGACCGTTAGCCGGGATGGATTTCCCCGACAGAGAGTTGGATGATGTCAACAGCAACGCTATCTATGGATTTAACCAAAGTGACGGTACCTGTCATCCCTACACGTCAGATAACACCGGGCTTGGCGTGCTCTCAACCGCCGAGGGGAGGGCCGTGTAGACAGTATGCCTTAACGCAACATGCATCATCAGATACCTTGAACAGATATCTCGTATAACTTCTGCAAAACAACACTTTCCGACCAGTAAAGAGTGCATACGTCCTAAGCAGTCACATTCTATCAAAAATCAGTTCCTAAAATAGGAGCTTATCACCGTCAAGTGTGCGTAGCACTGCCCCGTCATAGCTTGATCCACTTGCTCTCGGTTTCGCTTTCAAGATAACCGAACGCGAGAGCGAATGCAAGAATAAGCATGAAATAACATTACGAACCTTCGTTTTTAACTCAACTTAAAACATATCATCAACATTTTCACATCTGATATCTAACAAAAGGCTTCTGGAAACCATCTAGCACAGGCACAATACACTCGTTCTTCCCTTGATGCCTCCCAAATCCGACAAGCCTCTCTATCTCCCAGCTCAACCAGAATCATGGCCGAAATTCTCCGAACTCGGTATAAAATCGCAATCCAAGCGATTCAATTACTCTTAGTTCTGACGGTTCTCGTTATATCGGTCGTCAGGATGCTTAATCGACCAGCGGGTGCGCCGGGAAGCCCGGGGGGTACAATGAGTCTAGGAATGGTAATTTCCTCAACGTCCACCCAATGCAGAAATTTCAGCAAGCTCATGTTACGACTTTAGAGTGCAAAATCTCTAGTAATCTTGCTCTATGAGATTTTGACGGAACATGTCCGGTCATTGAAAAGATTCCAGAGTCTCAAAGCTTATACAATTCTGAACGCCTTGGAGATTGTCTTCTGGGGCTCTGTTGTGTATTTGACAATCCAGTCCAACACTAAATATTGTGTTGGCACTCGTTGCGTCCTTGGCTGGGTTATAGTGGGACTCGCAATTACCCTCAGGTATTACACACGAACGGATGGCGAACCCATCGCCTCGGCCAACATGAAGCTAACGAACTGTTCAAAATAGCATTCTGGCATTCTGTATGGCTCTAGTCTGCTTTGGAAATTTCCGGAACCTTCGCGAGCAACAAGAGCAGGAGGAGTACCAAGCCGCCATGAAGGCAAAAGCCAAAGAAGCTGCTCTCGGGCCCTCACAAGGAACAGAGCAATTGTTCGAACGGGATGGAACCCATGGGAGCCACGGAAGACATGGAAGAGAGAGAGTGGAACCAGTGGCTCCACGGCGTTCAAGCCGTGGATACCATTCATTCCAAGGACACCAGACACCCTCTGGCAACGCTCATCACTACGGAAAGATGCACCCAACTCGAGGAAGACTCTCGACTTATGAGATGTATTCTTCACATGGAAACAACTCTGCCAACATTCTGCCCTCAACGAATAGTCGGCATTCCTTCCCTAGCCAACAATCAACTTATGGAATGGATCCATCTCAGGGGATGCAGAATTTTTATGCGCAACCCGGACAATGGGAGACGCATAGCCATCATAGGTTATCCACTCAAGGAGGATATCCGGTAACAGGGGGTTCTCCAACATACGTGACCTATCCGTATCAATTTGTCCAATACGGTGCTGGGCAACAAGTGGCAGGATATGCGGGACAACAAGGGGTAGTGTATGCTGGACAACAAGGGGCAGGATATGCTGACTACAATGTTGTATCACAGCCTAATGTTAGACGTAGTTCTTATCCCATCCTCAGATAGTGACTCTTGGATATCATCCTCTTATTATATGCTATTAGACTGTTAATATTAATCCAACTATTACGGAGGAATCTCCAGAGGCCATCGTTCATGTTGCTCCAGTCATCTAGGGCAGAATGAACTTGAGTCAGGAGTAAAGACTTTGCAGTGGTGCCAAAAGCGAACTCCCGACTTCAAGGCGTTGGAAGCCGCAAGACCCCAGATCCCATTTATATTCCGCTGACACCATGTTGTTGAACAGTCAATGGGGGTACTGCTAGAGACCCATGCCGGACGTCTGCGCCCCCCTCCCCTGGATAATGCATTCGCCCGAGACGAGACCGCTGGCTGAAGAGTTTGATTCGGAAATTATGGAAGGTACAATCTTTGCTTAGGAATAAGATTAAGCAAGTATAGAAAATTAAACCTAGAATTAGAATAAAATGAAGACATAAAATATATTTGGATTAGAACCCGCTCAAACATCGACCACAATACTGAGAACCCCAACCAGTGAGCCTTCAATCTTCGTAGACGAGGAGAGAAAGCCACAGAATACCGGCCATCCTCAAAACCACCTCGCTTTTCTCGCATATTCATATGCCTGGTAGGAAAAGGCATCCCAATCGGCTGCCTTCTTCCGTGGTTTATCTGAAACTTTGAATCCTCGGAACTCAACATTCCTGCCAACGTATGGAAAGTAGTCAGCTAGGCCTTCGAATCTTGCGCAACGGTCGCTCATAAAATCGAGATGGCCAGACTCGATATCGGGAAGGATTTGGCCCTCGCCAGTCTCTCGACCCCGGAGTCTGTAATACACCCGGCGAGAGAGTGAAGGCATCATCTTGCCTCTCTTGGCGTCATGACCGGCGCCACGGGCTTTCTCGTTACTCACGGCCTTCGCCAGGCGCTTCTTCCCTTTGCCTTTTTGATCTTGGTCAGGCTCTTCTTCATCGTCATCATCGTCGGGAGATCCACAGTCATCGGAGTGCGACTCAGGCTCGGCAATGTTATCCAACACCTCATCAGAGAGGCCCAACAGCATTGTTCCCTCGATGATTCCAAATTGGAAATCTGCGATAAGAGTTCCCTTTGTGCCGCGGCAGACATCAAGAGTAAACGTGATGTCACGAGTCTCCGACCAACCGTTCGATACTGGTAGGCATTGTACAATGTATGAACCTCGACATCGCTGGAGGTCGAACGATGGAGCTGGCACAGGATTAGCAGAGGTTCCTTTTTGACCCTGGGGAGTTTCACCCTGGCTTTGCTTAACGTATTGCCGGTGAGCCTCCATGGCGTTCTCCCACTTGGAGTCCTGTTGTTGCTTCCGGATCTTGGCTGCCTCGGCACTGATGCCCTCCGCCAAACTCCGAACAGCACCGAGATGCCATCCGATGCACAGAGTTCTATCCATCCCAGTCCCTCCGCTCACGGTATGGAGTCCGTCAACTCGCTCCGCGATTCTGTGAAGACTCGCTCTGTCACCAAACCCGTGTACCGCCAGTGGCTTTGTCGTCTTCGCCTGGTCAGGCTGCCCGTCAGTCAGGAAGTAATATTCTATGAAGCGATTCAGGTCCAAGCTTGCTCTTTGGCCTGGTGTTGTGCATTTGGCGAATTTGTCGTCGTCTTGGTATTTTTTCTTCGCGTCGTAGGCCCGGACGTCGCGTTCCCATGCCTGCTGTAGAGGCTCGTAGTCGCGTCGCATCGACTTTTCCAGGAGAAGCACCGCCGCCGGGACACGCTCACACTGAGAGGTAGCGCTTGAGAAACAATTCCAAGGCATGTGTGCAGCAGCCAAGCTGAAGGGATATCATGGCTAGGACTCACCCTGTCTTCGCGAACGGCAACCTCGAGCAGGTCACGAAGTTGTGACACCTTGGCAGTTGAAGCAAACTCGATTCCATAGTGCTTTAATTGCGCAACAAAAAAATCCTTCTTAAACAGTTCTTTCGCAGATTCTCGTGCTGCTTTTTGGTCTCGCTTTAGTCGAAGCGTCTCGGGGTAGAACAGCTGTTTCAGGCGCGAGCCCTCAACGCGGTCGACGCCTGACACGCTGAATGTCCCGTGGCAGACTTGAAAGCCCTTCCGTTTGAGAACTGCCGGCTCGGGACGGTTGCTGGCTTCTGCCATCTTGTATACTCCGGGCTTGTCTGATTATTGGGACAGCTATGAGAGATATTTATCAGGGTCGACTGTAGGAGGGGTAATGCTCCGAATAAAAGTATAATTGCTTATTCTTTGCCTAGCCAACAACTAGTCTGTCATGATATTGGTGGACTAATGACGATGATTAAGCGACGTCCAATTTGAACCTAAAATATAAGGCGTGAATAGCTTTGCAAATTGGCTGAGGCTGGATTCACCGCTGGTTTAGCTGGTAGCGTCTGCTACCAGGTGCCCATTCTTGCATCTGATCAATTACATAGCAGGGCCGCAAATATCCATGGGTAAGTATCCGCCCGTGGATAATCTATGTTAAACCATGGGTAGCGATGGGCCCTAAATTGCTCCCCGCAGGTAGCAATTTGCAGTCTATTACTACCCAGCAGACGAAACACTATATATATATAATGAAATAAAAATATGCAATAAGATATATAGAAGATGTTAATTGAAAAATACTTTTATTGAATTTTATTTCATTTTCTATAGTTTATAATTCTTTTCTATTTATTTTAGGAAAAAAAACCCACCTACCCTATAGAAATTTTCTCCTTTGGGCACCCACGGGCTACCCATATTTCGCCATGGGCACCCATGGGACCCCGTGGGCTAGGTAATTTATGCCCTATCAGATTAATGATGTAGGTCTCTGCTCAGCCACCGTGAATGATACTTGAATCAATCAGCCTCCGAAGGATATGACACCTCAGCTAAACCTCGACCGGCGTTGTTTCTAAACCTAGCAAGAACTGATCTCTGGAAAGAGAAATAGATTTTGGTGTGTTCGAGCTTCGCCTCTGAGTATGAGAGTATTTAACTTGAATGTCAACGTTCCAGGAATTTATTCAGTATTCTAGGTTCTTTTAATCTAGACATTATCAAAACTTCAAGGTGCCCGTCTGCCCACCCGCTGTACATTCAGCGACTGTCCTCCCCTGGTTCAAAATTGACGACTCATTAGGCGGGATGAATTGCGCACATCGCCCAAATTGATCGCATTCGCCCTCGTCGTTACCGACTGTGCATGGCGCTCCTGAATTGCCGAATAGTGCGCTTCCTCTGCCGCTAGCGAAGTCGCCGAACCCGCTATCGTCACGGGGGATTGAGGCTGTTAATTTTGTCAGTAATGAGACAGCAAAACCCATAACAGTGGGCAGGTAGTGTATATCTTACCTGCAAAAGCGTGGCCTACGGCAAAGGCGGCAATGGAAAAAAGGATGGTGGAAGGATGCATGATGGCGGAATTGTTAAGTTTGTTTAAGCTTAAAGAAAAATGTGGAACAGTCTTGTGAAGAGAAATTGTTGTTAATCGACCTGCGATGATGGCGTGATTCAAATTCTTTGGCGCAGAGCGGCTGACAGACTTTATATTCAAGTCTCCAATATGCGAAAACTTTGCTACCAGTTCTAGCTGTCAACCTTGAACAGAAGCACTTTGTTGTCATTTCTGGTACAGGTCAGGTAACAGCGCCCGAAACTAGCGTTGTGTGAGCAAGCCTTGGCAACATCAACGCCTCGCTTCAAATCAGTGCGTTCCAAAGCTGATGCGTGTCACTTGTCAGATCCACTTAGAATGGAATAAAATGAAACCCTGGAACGCAGCCCTGAGGTTTCGGGTTGAGGCAACACTGAAACCCCGGCGGACCCAGCTGGGATAGCTCGGACCCCAGGGGCAATCCTGTTAGCGCTTCAGTTCAAGACAGGCCAAGAAATTCTCCTACACTCGAGTCTTGTCTTCTATTGTTCGAATTTTCCAGGATGCGTCGAGTTCAGCTGCAACAATCCGGGGTAACCCCAGCTCTGCAAGGGTACTGGACGTTTTATTCTTCGGCGTGCCCTGGGATACTAACTCTTCTAGTGATGCCTGCGACGTTACGGATGATACCTTCAATGTATGGGTATCAAAATCAACTCAGACAGGGTTTATTGAACGTTTTTACGTAACTAGGGGCATTTGTCAATGTCCTAATACCGTGTGCCACCTTCTTGCTCAGCCTCGCAAATTCGTCCGGCGAATTCTGTCTACACGATTTAAAGCTCAATGGGAATGAGACAACTTGGATCGCAGACTATGTGCTGTTGCAAATCTTTCTAGATGTAGTTGAGCTGACCCCAGGCTTCACACCGGGTCCGTCGTGATCGATGCTGGGATGCTGGTCTCTCCTAAGCTTATCCAATATAGCAAACGATTTTACACACCTGGGGGGGAAGGGTAGTCATTTAGGTAAATTGTATAAGACTTATCCAGCTCTCGACCTGATCTTACTGCAACAGCAACGAAACAGGTGATGCGCATCGACACATCGGGCTGGTGCGATATTTCATGAACAGTCAATCATGCGACGCTTCATATGACACTGAAACTAGGGGGTGATAAGATCCACCATATTGAAGCATTCAGATTATTTGGGTTAGTCCCAACCTACTGGTCATCGGATTGATGATTTGGTGACAAAGGGCGGAGGACAGTTACAAAACATGCCTCGGGGCCATATTTGCGGGTCTGCTACCGGGAAGAAGGCAGGATTCTAGAATAATTTTAGGCGGTAATGGCTAAGTAGTTGCTGCGTCTTCTTTTTTTTTTTTTTTTTTTTTTTTTTGGAGAGCATCTCAGACCAAAGAAAGGTGAACAGAGAACGAAGGCGTAGTTAATGAAGCTCCAGTGGATCGTCGCTCAAAACGTTAGAGTATCATCGGCTAGGTTGCGGGATATGCACAATGTCGAGGTGAAGCCAAGACTTGAGCTCACAAGGATAGCGGGAGTAAAACCGGTGGCGGAGAATATCTTCAAGGCTAAATGACTAGAATAATAAGCAAACCCCAAGTGTAATATGTCAATTTCAGCTTCTGCAAGGGTTGAACTCAAGCAAACCATCTATGTCGTCAGCCCACCCCATCGTTGTCGAGTCGACGTCACAATAATGACAATGTAACAGCGCCGACATTGCCGCAACATTTGTTCGCGCGATTCACACTGGATAATTCAAGGGAATATCGAATTTCAAATCGATTCTGGCCCGTCTGAATCCGATTTACGACGATGCTGAACCGATATTCGAGCCATCCATAGTGCCGTTGTCGAAGCACACCATCAAACACTATAACCGGAAATGAAGACTCATATTACCTCCCTCAAATGACAACATTCAGCATTACTCACGGCCGGCAAGGTCTCTCGAGAAATCTTCCCAGAGTCGTGCCACAATTTCGATGACTTCTTCTCCCAGCAGGAAAGTAGGCAGTTTATTCCGAGAAGCCGATAGAATTATTGCTCGACAGCTTGACAGCAGATCTGGGAGGCGGTGGGCGATGGTAAGTAATAACTGATGCTCTTTGTTATTTATACTGGGTATATCATAATGGGTTTGTCTTGCTGAGTATTCATGTTGTAAAGACGAGACAAAATGGATAACCGGTCCTCAATAGCTTAATAGGCAATTTTATATGGTTTTTCTTTCATTTACTTACTTCCCTAGACATGCCTTTTTTCCTTAGAGAAAGAAAAAGACGGAGACATGTTTATGACTAATGCCCAACCCGAGCCTGCTGGTCAGGTTCATATCTGTTACCATGGGGCTTCGAAGAGTCAATAATCTGTCTCAGGCTTTTCTTCTCTTCTTCGGTCAAATCAATATCCCTCGAAGCCCAGTTGTTCTCCAACCGGCGAGCCTTGGTCGTGCCTGGAATAGCAATCATGCCCTGCGCAGCGACCCAAGCCAGAGCGATCTGAGACAAGGTACAGCCCTTTTTCTCAGCAAGCTTCTTTATCTCATCTACAATGTTTCGGTTCTTGTAGAAATTCTCGCCTTGGAATTTGGGGACTGCGAGTGAGTTAGTATATACGTGTCAAGATGCCCTGCTATTTATCAAGCGTGTAACGTACTCTTTCGACGGAAGTCGTTCGGTGCAAAGTCATCCGGGGTTTTGTAAGGGAAATCATCCACAAGCCACCCATGGCCTAGGGGGCTGTAAGCCACGTATGCCACATTCAGTTCCTTTGCGGTGTCGATCAAGCCATCGCTTTCGTGCAAGGTCTCAAAAGCTGAATACTCTGCCTGAACGGCATCGATCTTGGCGACTTATGCTTAATTAGTAACCGCCATTAGTGCGAAATAGAGAAAACTCACTTGAATTTGCCTTGCGCAATGTCTTCGCAGAGCACTCGGAAAGACCAATGTACTTGGTCTTGCCTTGCTTCCTAATCTCGTCTAGTGTAGAAATTGACTCCTCCAAGGGAGTATCTATCAGTAGTTGGTTAGCAGACGAATAAGATTCCGCCAAGTGGGATACACACTCGGGTCAATTCGATGAAGATAGTATAGATCAGGTGTGAATCCAAGCCTTTCGATAGTACCTTCAATGTACTCTTTAATGTGCTCAGCAGAGTTGGTCACAGATCCGTCTCCGAACGCAGCGATGCCACACTTCGAAGCAACTAACAAAGAGAAGTCTTTTTTAGTATAATTCCACAGGGTTCGTTGTACCAAACTTACTGAAAACCTTGTCGCGAACACCATGCTTCCTGATGAAGTCTCCAAGGAGCTTCTCATTCACGCCGGCTTGGTAAACAACCTGATTCACGGGAGTCAGACTACCAAGGATACTAATACCATCTCGGAGGCTTACCGCCGTATCCCAAAATGTGCACCCCAGCTCAATTGCCTTCAGGAGAACGGGTTCTGCCTCTTCAAGGCTCAGATCGCTCCCCAAGCCAAAGCTGAGACCCATGGCGCCAAAGCCGGGCGATGGGACTTGGATGTCTCCGAAAGGAAGTGTTTTGGTCATTTTGTTCAATAGGTGATGGGAAGATGAATATTTGCGTGATTGATTGTGCTTGAAACACCTCAAGAAGGAGGATGTCGGCAGTTTATACCTAGACAAGATCATCTCATGACGCACTCGTCGGTCGCAGTTTACGGACACGTTAGCGTAAGTCCGTTTGCCGCGGAGTTAAGTACCAGACAAGCCATTCACGCTTGACCCCTCCGATTGCGTCATGTAATGCACTACATCACGGAACTTTGGCTAGGTGGACCTAATTCTGGTGATTGAGACAGAGAGATTCGGTTTGTTGGAAACGAGACGGGTAGGAAAGGAGCAATCCCACAATTTAATCCTGTACTCGCCGTGATCCACCTGCAAAACAGCGCACTAGCTGAGGTTAGTGCTGCAACACCTCAATTTACGGGGCTCTCGCCGAGGATGGATCCAAAACTGTCCACTCAGAGGGCGCATGATGAATCCCCGCAGTCAGCAGGTTGCATTAGCGGCTGGAAGAATCTCGGATCAGATGCAATGGCTTGCGGAGTACAAATTCCTAAGTTCACAGTACGGTCACACATGATGGCTACTGTATTAAATGATTGCCTAGACAGGTAGAATTGACATGTACACAAGGTATCTATGTAAATCGTACAACCGGTCGCTTGTGGCAACTCCCACCTCTTCAGTGCCTAAGCATTCTAGATAAATGCCTTAAGTCTGCCAATCAGTATTAGACTGTATAAGTAGATGGTGAGACTTAACGCTCGACATGTTTTGCTGCCATTAGAATTTGGGCGGTAAAAGTAACAGGTTCGGGCAGGAATACTGGTTGAAGATCCTCGGAGCCCTGGGGACTGAGTCCAGCGTATTAAACATTTGTATAACAGTTCTTGCACAGTGCTGAAATAGTTGTAAAAGTGAATAGCAATATTTAATATTGACGAGCCCTTGTTATTCACTGCGATGGGGCTGGATGCCTCGTAGACAAAACTACCACACATAGCATTATCTCTAGGGGTGTAGGGTAGGGACCGCCAGAGTGTATTTTAGTACATTAAAAGTAATCCTTGGTACAGTAGGCGATAATCGCGATCGACAGATTTTACGTTGGCATAGAATTAGAAGCCTACGTGAATATGGTGGCTAGAAGGCCACTGTTTGGCAGCAAATTTCGACGTAATAGAAAATATTATGTGGCCAAAAGTTTTGAATTTTTTTGTCAAGAAATATTGTTAATTATTGAGAAATTAACGATAATTAGCACGTCGAATAAATAGTCGAATAAATTTTATTTACAATCTCAACTAGTATCAAGTGCAGATTGTACAACTTCGCCTTTACTCAGTGTACAGTTTCACTTGCTGCCCTGTTCGCTCTGCCTCCGCTAGCATTTTCTTATTCTCTTTCTTCAACAAAAACTTCATGAGCATTGACGCTATAATACTCAGAACAGAGAACGCCATCATAAGCAGCATGGCCATAACATAGCGCGGTCCATCGGAAGCAGGAAAGAAGTAAGGGCTCCAGATGTTGCCAAGCTGAGACAGCAGGTTGACAATAGCGGTTGCGCATGCCCTCTTCTCTGGTGTCTGGTTTAGGGAAGACGCAGCCCACGAGTATACCGTGGCGTTGGCGGCAAAAGCGCCGGCGCAGTAGAGAAATGAGGCAAAATACCGAGCCGGGATATTGAGAGTTGCGGCAGAGATGATGAAGCCGGCAATAGCCACGGCCATGGGCGCCATGATGTGGTAGCCTCGCTCGTTGTGACGGTCGCTGGAGTAGGCCACGAGGAAGGATATGGCGGCGCCGAAGAGGTACGGGGGCGCGGTGAGAACTAGAGTGACAGTCCGGGAGCCGAGGTTCATGGACTTGACGATACTGTAGTAGGTGTGAGGTTCGGAGTTTTGGCCCTCGCACAAGGTACGGAGAACTTACGTCGGGAAGAAGTTGTTGAAGCCATAGGCCGTATGGTTGGCACAAAGGATGACGACCTAGTTGAGTTGGTTAGCACAGATGACATCTACGCAATGAAACTGAATGTGGAAATGCCAACTCACAAAGATCCAAGTGCGGATGTCCCTGACAGCGAGTCCCAAGCCATGCCACACGGAGCGATCAGCCTCGGGAAGCGAGACACGGTCCAGAGCAATGCGCTGTTGAGCCAACTCTAGCTCTCCACTACTGAACAACCACTTTCCACTTCCAGTTTTGGACTCGGGAAAGTCTGGAAGCAGAGCGAAAGCGATAATGGCTGCTACAATGCTCCCGGTTCCCTCGAGGATAAAGAGCCACTGCCAGCCGTGCAGGCCTCTGACACCTGACATGCCGGCAAAGATTCCCGCCGCGATTAGGCCGGAGAATGCGGTCGCCAGGACGAGTCCGGAGTAGAGAACGGCGGTTCGGAGAGCGAGCTCTTTGCGGGTGTACCAGGCTGATAGCATGAAGAAGGCCTGGCGTCTCGTCAGCGGAAGTGCTTCCAGTACCAATAGGGTGTTCAGAAACCAAGGAAGAGCATGGGGTGATGGTGGTGTTGTAAAAGCTCTTGTGCGGGGAGTTTATGGACGGAAAATACTGACACCAGCTGTTGACGTTGTTTGTTAGCAATCTGCTCCATCAACAGCACTCTGACAGATAAGGTCACGATGAGAAACATACGAAAGAACGGGGCTTCCACAATGCCAAGGAAGAAACGGACTGCGATGAGGCCAGAGAAGCTCGTGACACCCGCGGTAGCTGCAGAAATACAGGACCAGACCATGACACAGCATGGGAGGTAGATGCTCGGACGGACTCTTGTGAGAATCATATTGGAGGGTAGTTGGGCGAGCATGTAGCCGACATTGAGGATGGATACTGCAACGTTGAACTGGTTGCCAGCGAGCCCGACGTCGGATTCAAAGTCATCGAGACGAGCTTGTCTAGTGGTCAACCCCGAATTCTAGGTTAGCACACGAGGCCAATGACTGACGGAGTGGATGTAAGGAGGAACTAACGCGATGTTGTTCCTGTCAAGATAATTGAACATGTAGAGGATCCAAACCATGGGCATCAGTGTCATGTCCAGCTTGCGGACAACTCGCCTTTCGGCTGCCTTCCACTCTGGGCTCTCATGATGACCGAAGGGGCTTTCCGAAGCTCTTTCCTTCTGTTCCTGGTCTTCGGGGTCCATCTTGGCGTGGACAGAGATGCTGTCTTCGACATCTGTCTGAGGAAGAGAATTGTTGTGCTTCTCCGCTGTCATCTTGAAGGCGAAGATGGTGGACAAGTCGATGTTTTGGTACAAAGAGATGGAAAGGCGAGATTCAAAGAGGAGAAAGAAGAACAGAGAGCGTCCTATCTATCAAGAGTGTTAGAATTGTATCCTGGGAGTTTGGGATGGTTCGTTTTATAGATGTTGCCCCAATGGCTCGATGAACGTCACCCGTCTAGACGCACCTGGTCGTTTGGCCGAGCCGGCAGATGATTGCGGGGACCCCAGACCCCGCAAGGTAAAGAGGAATTGGAAAGACGAAGATGGGGAAGCTTGCGGGGATCAACATCTTTGAGGTGCGTGTGGGACCGGAAATAGCGTCGCCGATCGGACAGAGTCGTCTCCGGTCGGCGCCGGTCCGGGGATGCTGCAACTTCAATGTCGTTTCGACGGAGCATGTTTGCCCCATGAGTGCGGTATCGGGATAGACAAACGCCTATATAAGCGGATATGGGCTACGGACTATGCACAATCCAGTTCAAGCCAACAATTTGTGCCATCTCAGCTTCTTGTTGTCATCACCAACTCAACCCCGACTCTTGTCTCTGCAAGACTCTACACACTACACCCGCATCCTTCATCACCATCATCGCTACCATGACTTACTCCAACGGCAACAGCAACGTCAACGGTAATTCGGCGCCCTCCATCTCTGCTGCTACCAAGTTGAGGCGCCTCCTTGAGACGGACGATATCGTTGTGGCCCCTGGCGTCTACGACGGCTTTAGCGCTCGCATTGCGCATGAAGTGGGATTCGACTGCATCTACATGGTGAGCCGATATACACCACCTCCTCCATCAGCAGAGTAGATGCTGACGAGATACAGACCGGTGCTGGCACATGCGCCTCCAAGCTGGGCCAGCCCGACCTGGGCTTCGCCTCGCTCAACGACATGCGCGAGCACGCCGAGATGATTGCCAATCTGAACCCGTCGGTGCCCTTGATCGCCGATGCGGACACGGGCTACGGAGGCCCCAACATGGTCGCACGCACCGTGGCGCAGTACCATCGCTCTGGTGTCGCGGGCCTACACATCGAGGACCAGATACAGACCAAGCGTTGCGGCCACCTGGGAGGCAAGTCGGTCGTTGACGTCGAGACCTTTGCACAGCGTATCGGCGCCGCTTATCAGACGCGTAAGCAACTCGGCTCGGATATCGTCATCATCGCGCGGACGGATGCCCTCCAGACACACGGCTTCGACGAGGCCGTCCGCAGGCTCAAGGCGGCCGTCGCTGCAGGCGCCGATGTAGGATTCCTCGAGGGCGTCACGACAGCAGAGGAAGCGCGTGAGGTGTGTAAGCTCATGGCTCCTACGCCTATGCTGCTCAACATGGTCGAGCACGGCGCCACGCCCTCCTGGACGCCTGCTGAGGCCAAGGAGCTCGGGTTCAAGATGATCATCTTCCCGTTCGCCTCCATTGGGCCTGCCTATCTGGCTATCAAAGATGTCTTTGTCGCGATGAAGGCGACGGGTAAGACTGGGCTAGACAAGGAGTTTACGCCCAAGAAGTTGTTCACTATCGTCGGTCTGACGGAAGCCATGGGGCTAGATGCGGCGGTCGGTGGGAGCCTGTACAGCAAAGTGTAAAGTCAATGTCTGGTTCTCAAGTGGATGCAGCCATTCGATGTTTATGACTATTATACACTAGCAAGAAAGGTTGATGAAATGAAATAAAACCGAATCCCTCGGTGATGGTGTTTTCGAGATGGCTTCCAAGTGCTAATGCTGATTTCGGTCCAAGGCCGAGTGTGAGAATTACTCCTGTGCTCACACCTGGATACCAACCTAATTAGGGGCTAGACTAGACTAATGCAGGTCATAAGTTAATTACTAAGTCACTTCTTCTCCGCATCGGAACGCCGAGCGGGCAACACTTTGGCCATTCCCTCGCCTCCCCGCCCTCGAGGAACTCGTCCTTGTTTTCTATGTAGGGAGGTTTGCACGTCCGCCTGGATCTTTGAAAATCCATACCGGATATCACACATCATTTCACCAGCATAGGCGCCTATGAATGGATGCCGACGCTGCGGCGGGCACCACCAGCCCTCCGATAGAGGCCCGGCACGGCCGCGACAACCTTGGACTGGGCCGTAACGGAGCCGGCGCCGATGATGCCGAGAAGACGTCCGGTCGGCGAAGGGCTTGTAACCAATGCAAGCAGCAAAAGGTATGCGTGACTAGGTTGCATGATGACATGAACGGCCCGGTCACTCAAGATCTTGCGTCTGAATCTGACTCTCCAAGCTCCGGTGTGATCTCGCCTCTAGCGAGGATACGGCGTCACTCGACGTCTGCAGCCGATGCAACCGACTGGGACTTGAGTGCAAGATCGACGATGGGTTTCGAAGGACGAGGAAACGAAGGTGCGAAACCCCCGAAGCCGCCCGACGCATGCTCATCAGACAATCTAGACGCTCGGTGGACTTGGAGAACGAGATTCGGGAGTTGCGGAAGCAGCTCGAGGAGAGTCGCCATGTTCCCGCCGCAACATCCCGGCTAGTACCGGTAGGGTCGACGAACACGGCGAGCTGGGCCATGGCTACGGGGACAGGAGCTCTTCCCATCATCTCACCATATGGGAATCTCGCGCAGACTGACACCAACAGAGTCGCTCCGCCCTCAATAGCTGGTACAGCTTCTATTTCTGCCCAAGGGTCTCCAGCAACGGGGACCAGCACGGCGGAACATTCCCGTATTCCGGGTCTCACAACTAGACCAGGTGTCGATGAACCCATCCCTCGTCGCCCTGTGTACAGTGCCCTTCCACGCCCCAGAGCACTTGGCAATACCGCGCTCTCTGTGGAAGAGATTGATGAATTGTTTAACACGTGAGCATTTGAACTTACCCTGTCCTATAGACCACACTACAAAGAGCATCAACGGAACAGCTTGATTTAACTCAACGATCCTAGTTATCTGACATACTACCACCCCTTTCTGCCCCTTATCGACGAGACTAAGCCCCCCCACGACTACTACCTGTTGTCTGACCTCCTCTTCTGGAGCATCATATCCGTTGCCTCGAGGCGGATGAGGTCCCGGCCGACACTGCTGCCGAGGCTCGCCCGAAACGTGACAGACCTGCTGTGGACGACGCTGCGATCGATCCCGTACTCTCTGGCGACAGTCCAGGCGTTGGCCCTTCTCTGCACTTGGCCATTCCGGACAAGCAGCAGCACGGCCGATCCGACATTTATGCTGGTGGGCATCATGTTGCAGATTGGGACGCAGATGGGGCTCCATCGTGCTCTGGATGCCCAAGACTTCGCCAAGGTCCCTACACGACTCGATGCCAGGGAGTACGCGGAATGGGTGCGGACTTGGGAGGCCTGCAATGTTGTTGCCCGAAGGTCCGTCAGCAATTAAGTCATCCTTTTGAACCCGACTTGATATTGAGCGTATCAACTAATTCAAGACCCTCAGCGTGAGCGTTGGCTGTGGGCTTCCTCTTTTTATACAGACGTATGACTGGCCTCTGCCAGTGGCTCTCGCAGAAAGCCCACTAGAGCCTCTCGCTCTCGGTGCATCATTTCGGTACCACCTACGAATAGAGCAGTTTCGACTCCGAGTGTCAACCTCCCTGGCGTCCTACGTACCTGAAACTGGGCAACTCGCCTCCATGCGGGAGAGACTGACTTTGTATCGTCTACTGAACTCGGGTCTGGCTGAGTTGAAAGCCGAGGAACATGAAACCTCAGGTATGTTCATCCCACTGGTGTCGTTCGGGTCTTGACTCGTCCAAATTAACCATTTAGCATAGCATTCACCACCTGGTATCTAGCAGCAGCCAGGCTACACCTCCACGCCTTCTATCTCTTCGATGATGCCGCCACGGACGGGTTCAACGACCGCATCATCACCCTATACCTGACAGCATCCTCCCTTATTGAGCTGAGTCTAGAGCATGACGCTCAGGAAATCGCTTTCTTCGAGTGTTGCCCCTTTTATTGCTACCAAGTCTTCGTCTGCGCGGCCTTTACCGTCCTCAAAATCCTCATGAACGGCTTCTTCCAATCGATTCTCGACGTCGGGTCGGGCACAAAGCTTCTCGAAGCTGCCATTGCGGCGCTGAGAAAGGTCAGCGTAGCAAACAACGACCTGCCCGCTCGTTTAGGCGACGTCATCGGCTTCTTCTGTGCGTTGCCAGATCCGACCGTCATCGGGGGCGCGACGATCGATGACTTGCGGCTCAAGCAGGTAAAAAGCCGGCTGAGTATGAGTGTAGTGTATGATTGTCTATGGACGTGGAGGAAGCATTTCCAGACGGAAGAAAATGAAGTAGCGAGTCGCGATAACTCCCGCCATGCTGAAGATAAGAACGAAACTTCTCACAAGGTACTTGGAGCTTTACTGACATGTTCTCCAGCACGCGAGATCCTCACACCTAATGATGTGCAGAGCATTCTAGGCGCATTTAATTTCCCAATCGGGATGACCGGTTTCCTGGACATGGACATGGACATAAACATAGCCTCTTAGGGAGGTATGCTTACAGTGTTTACTAGCCAATTTGCTTCAGGCAGCGTTTGCGCGCCTTCCGACACAATGTCTGGATGAAAGGCTTCTTCCGGGATATGGTTTGGCTCGAAATACATCGCTGCGGGGCTCTGACTTTGGGAACACAGGCAATTCTTGCCTCATGGGATTGAGGAGGATCAGGATATACTCGATCAGCGTAGCATTATATCTGAATAGGCATTGGTTATTTAAAACAGCCATCTCGGTTTGGCTATTGATGCAACGGGGGAACATGGATTGTTCTGGGTAAGGCACTTTAGGAACTTGTGTTGAGGATCCCGAGAAGAGGCCCCATTGCTGGAAGCAATGTGACAGCAATCATCTGACTTCGAGTCCACAGTGTCTTGCTGATGCTTTGGTAGGTTTTCTGATCTACGATTCCGCAAGGAATCAGGCAGTGCATTTTGGACATGAGAAACCAGGCGGCCTGCCTTTTCAACTAGGGACGAATCAACTGGGGCGATGCTCCTTTAGTTCGATCATTCAGTAGGACATGGTATAATTATCGCCATTCTCTTAACTAATGTTATCTGGTATCCACGGCGCTGCTGAGTCGTCGCTGATTCACAGCGGCGAGGCCTTGCGCCCCCATACCTATATTTGACGATCGACTTGCATGTCAGAACCGCTGTGAGCCTCTGCCAGAGCTTCCTCTGGCTTCGCCCTAAGTCCCCTATACAGGCACCAAAATTGGCCACATCCCTCCCATCCCATCACCGGGTGGTGGCAAAACATCATTGTGAGCATACATGTTATAATGCACCTCCGACTCTGCCTGTCCAGGTTGAGCTGAAGAGGCATGGCTCCAACAACTAAACCGCCCAACTGGCGGACTAAGGAAATCAATTCATAATTAAGGCTGGTTGTTGTGGGCGGGCGATGGTTGACTAGTTCTGTAGTTCTGTGTTTTTGGGTAGGTTGTCAGCGAAGTTCTTCCGTCCCCTACTGAGCACTAACTCGCCCAGTGCAAGATATCCAGGTAGTCACAAGCAGGCAGAAAGATAACTGGACTTACAAGACCCTGGATAGAGCCACCCTGTATATGGTTGGCATGCGGGGTATTACCGACAACATTTCCCACCTGGACTCCGAAATTCGGAGCATTATTATACATGACATCGCCCTGATTTATGTTGATAGTCTGTTCTCGGATTTCGCTTGTTAGTCAGGTTCAAAGGAGAACGCAAAGGCAATAATTAGTACTCGAGAGGCGAGACATAACAGACCTGTGGGTTTAACCCTCCCACTCCTCCTTTGCCCTCCGTCTTGTTCTTCTCGATATCCTTGACCCACTCCTTCAGCTTCGTAGTGACCGTCTTGTAGTCGGTTCCATAGTTGTCTTCAAACTTGGCCATGTTGACGTGATTGGCCTGGATTGACAGCGCGTCCACGCCCAGCCAGGTCGCAGACTCCCTGGGCACGACAAAGCCCGCAGTCTTGCTCATCGGGCGCTCCTCGAAGAAGCAGGCCACCTCTAGGTGAGGCAGGTCCCGCGAGCGATCTCTCGCCTTGAGGAACTTGGCAAACGCAGCGCAGATGTCTGTCAGTTTCTTTGAGCGCACCTCGAGATCCTTGACGTTGCTCCGCTGAGTCGGGATGATGCAGTTCAAGATGGCGGTGGCAATTGTGGCATACTTTGCCTTGGAAGATCCTAGAAACGGCGTTCCGAGAAAGAGGGCGCCGATGGTGTGATCGGCAATGGCTTGCTTGGCCGCGTCTGTTTGATGATCCCGAGAGAGCGCGTTAGCAACCACCAGCCCTCCCATGCTGTGCGCCACAAAGATGATGGGGCGGTCCTTTCAAAACCTGCTGTTAATGACTTACTGTAAGTCCGTGTAATTAGGCTGTGACTTACCGAGTCCTTGTCCCCTCGCAACATTTTGAGCGCCTCAAGGAGCGCTGTTGAATAATCATCGATGGTCAACTCTGGCGCAATCGTTTCGGAGCTCTCTGGGTAGAACTTGGCAAAGTCGGCGTTATAGCCGAACGAGACGATCCTTGCCGTAGGGCAGTCTGTAGGCAGAAGCTCGGGGTCTCCTGGCCAGAATGTCGTCTCATGTGGCTCCTTGCCTTTCCAGGTCCCTGCGTTTTTTTGTCAGATAACAAAGACATCATTATGGATAAGTAGGTATAATTTGGGAAGAACCGTGATTTACAGGTATTGATTCTGTCGCCGCCGAGGCCATGGACAAAGACGATGCTATAGGTGTTCAATCATCAGCTGGCGGAACTTGGTTCGGTTGTTGCTAGTCGAGGAGTAAGTCTGTGATGTGCGTACTCGACTTCGGCTTTCCCACCCTCCGGTTGATAGAGAGGATCTCTGAGACCTGCTTTGTCAGGCTTCTTGCTAGCTCTACCTTCACTAGGCATGGCGTCCAAGTATTGTTGGCGAAGATGTACTCGGAAGTAGATGTGGCGAATAGCAACCGATGCTCGCTACGTAATATCTAGTTCGCTCTCGAACAGGAATACGTAGGGGATGCACAATTAGATTTATGTATTTGAATTAGTGGGGGCGGCTTAAGTTTTCTTTAACCTGATGGCGGCAAGCCAGTCTATGTGCGGCTCTTGCTATTTGTGTATTCGGGAGATCAAGTACCGATATCTGCAAGTGCGGTGGATATAGTACCGTTATTTCCGTCTGCGGGGTTTCCCGACAAACAATATTTACAGTAAAAGAGGGGAAATATTGGGACTTTCGTTGGCTGTGTGGCACCATAGAGACTGCTATTCGTTGGCAACTTCGCACCATCTTTCAGCCAGCCATATTTCACTGCGGCCCACTTGTCATGTATTAATAAAAACCCCAAATGCAACCTTGATGCATTTTTGGGGACATATCTCGCTCCCTCGTTGGGCAAAGACTTAGACGGCTCTTCCGAATGGAACGCTGAAGTGATGTACACTGCATACACTTGTAGACCTACCTAACCTACCTTGGTTAGGTTACCGACAAGGCTGCAAATGCTTATCCGCTGCTTCCTTCGCTATTGCCGTGAAATATTGTGTACCACACTACAGTTATACTGAATATCTACTGACAAACCCAGGTGCTTCTCTCCACTAAGTATCCCTTTATCGCCTGTGCTCTTAATATCCGCAATAACAGAGCCAAACTGGTTGCGGTTTGCGTAAAGGAGCCTCGAGGACCGAAATAAGTCTAGCTAGATAAATCTGAATGTAAAGAATTAAAGCTGGACGGTGGCATACAAGACCTTTTGTTGTTTCGTTTCTCAAGATGCTGTAAGGTATTACGGTAAAGCGATCCATGAGTTCTATTTTATGTGGGCTCCAGCAACCTGTTGCAAAACCAACGAGATAAATACCGCATGGAAGCTGAGCTGCCGCGGCGGTCCTCATTATCCTAGCCGTGAAGGTCGACTGCTAAAGGGAAAGCGGCATTCGAAGTGATGCATGTACCGTAAAATCTCGATTAATTGAGAAGGTCTAGCGCCGCATTTAGTACAGTCTTGGCAGCTTGACCAGGCTGAACTATGAGTCCGATCGAACTTCCATCCAATAGTCTCAGGTAGCAGGTGGCCTGACAGCTCGCTAGACCTTCTCGAGTCTTTACGGTATACCCAAAGCTGCAGCCAACAATAGCTGTTCGGCAAACCCGCTCCCTTAGGCCGCGGAGACATCTGCCCAGGTGAGTTCTGTATCTGTACCGACTAACTCTCTGATTAGGATGGCTGACATATGTACTGCAACGACGAAGCTTGCTCTGCAAATGGTACTAGTGCTTATCCTATGTGTCAAGAGGAATAGAAATGCTAGAAAGTCGTCCTGTCTGTCAGCAATACGATTCTGCATGACGTGTTCGCCACATTCCACATGATGGCTTTTAGGCACCGTTGACGGAGCCAAGCAATGCCTAATGTGATAACGCCCGCATCACATACATGCACTAGCGATTGGGGCAAGAACACGCGTCTGCAGCTTTCATTGCCGTGACGTCTGCGGGTGATCCGGTGTATAGACTAGACCGCCGTGATAACGGCTGCAGTTACCGGCACGGATTCCCCACATGTCTTCCCTCGGTTATCGCGCAGCCAGTCGCGTTGAAGCGTCTCGTGAGGGGGAAGATAAACAAGCAGCCAAGATAGCGGGAGATTGGTAGGGGAAGGACCTGGAGGGGGAGGCCAGAGAAAGTGGGTGGGCAAAAGCACAACAGCCGGCACAACGGCCAATGTGAAGCGAAGACTAACGCAGCTGTCATATTGGCCCCTGCCAGAGGCCCCCGGAACGGGTTTAGTATCTCCTCAAGACATGGGGGCGGAAGAGCTGAAACTCTCTACCAATCAGAAAGGACAGCAAGCTGTACAAATCAGAATGAGGTCTTTAAGTTGAGGGGAGGGGGCGCAGACTTTTGTTCTCGGTGCCAACCTTTCCATTTCAATACTGCCAATAACATGTATTTTAAGACCTGAGGCAAACAAATGACTCTCTCCCGAGCCTTAAATGCCGCCATTAATTACTATATCTGAGTGAAATTATTATCATCAGTTTTGAATCTACGCTACGAATCAGACTCTGTACAAACTTACGACAAAAAAAGATCGACACATGATGTTATTAAACAGCATGCCAAAATGCCACCAGTAGAAAATCCGCCCTCTACTCCTCCGGACACCCCGCATCCTGGCAATGGAAAAAGCGGGCGAGGTGGTGGAGATCGAAACATCATACAGGGAGACGTAAAATATGAGAAAGCTACAAACTACGGAGTACAAACCGGGAATATCTTTGGGTACAATGTCATAATTGGTAGGTATATGTCATGATAAAGGGGGGCAGCCACATGCAGTTGCTGCAGCTTCAAGTTGTTTAGATTTGGCCTAATTAATCTTACGCTCTTAGGGGGGATCAACGTCGCGTTGGATGCGGCAAACAATTTGACGCACAAAATTCAAGACTTCGCAGCCAGAGTCGAGATGGTCAGTCTACGGCTCATATCTGTGGGTGAAAAAGCCGGCGCGACCGCGAACTTGATGAATACCATCAACGCCTTGGTGGTGAAACAAGCCAGGAGGGAAGGAATTACGGATAAAGATGTTACCAAAGAGGCAAAATTGCCCGAAGTCAAGGATAGAGATTGGGGGGCAGGAGAAGGAAAAGAACCCGAGTCGGAAGTTTTGAGTAGGAAATGCTTCAAGGACATAATGGAGGCCATTAGAGGGGCACGGTGTCTCTTTGAAAACGTGACCAAGAAGATTGAGGACGCCAGCGACACCCTCATTCGTCCCCAGGTATTGAGTCGAGGAGGCTACCAGTCGGGTCCGGAGGCAATGGCGCAAGACGACAAAGTAAGGCTAGACGAAGCCGACAAGAAGCGCATTTTCCTGACAGAGAAAGACATTGGATACATGGAGACGGATATCGAGAGTCGCAAGACGGAATTGAACATGATGTTTATGGTCTTTGCATTTGTCGTGTAAGCAATTTTTCCCACGCCACTCCTTTGTCTATTTACAGCAATGTGTCTCTTACTCAAGTGTCGGAATTTGCGAATATTAACATGATTACTTACCTACCTCTACTTAGCAACGACGAAAAGTACGAGCAAACAGAACAGAGGCGAAAAACTGTGGAGCGAATTGTGGTCGACAACTGGAGACTCCTAAAAAAACTAGCAGATCGTCTCCTACGAGATGGTGGCAACTCTTCACCTCAGCCAGGACTTCCTGATCCGGTTCCCCTTCCACCCAGGCCCGGGCCATTGCCAGATATGCGACCGTTGCAATTTCCTGATCTCTCTCGCCTCACATCTCTCTATATGGGCTGGGTAATTCGCAAAGCCCAGCTACCAGAAAACCCTGCCGTCGGGCTTGAACGCTCACAAAAGTACTCGTGGGCTTATGCCGTTGTCACTAGGCTGACCCTGTCAACCGAAGAGCTCTTCCTCAAAGTTTTGGCCCAAATCACGCAGAGAGCAAGCCTCGGCCGGACACTTCGGGATGACTGCGTGGCAGTGCTGGAATCAACCAGCCAGAAGCTAGTGGTTGATAGGCTGCTGAGAGACCAAAATGACGATTTACAAAGATTCCATCCACAACTGGAGTGGACTCTGGGAGGTCTGGAATGCCAGCCGAGTCATGTTACAGCCTGGTCGGGACCGGAAAGCGGTGAGAAGAGGAAGGGAAGAAAAAGGACAGTTGCTACAGACCATGGGAAAAGAAAAACGGCCGCCATCGAGGTCATCTTGAAGACGCAATGGAGAACTCCTTGGTTAGGCCAACCTCCACGAAGTTCTGTAGGCATCGGCGGCCCAGTACCCTCTGGATCGGTTGGTCCAGATCCCATCCACACCGGTCCAAGACTATGGACCAACACTGGCACGGACGGAACAACGCAATATAGACCAAATTCCGAACAGCAGCACAAACTCCCAGAGCCCCATACCCCTCACCGTCCTCGTGCTCGCCCGCGGCCGCACTCTGAGCTCAAAAAGCATAGGCCAGTCCTCGTGGTACGCGAACCAAAATTCGTTTTTTTAAAGGAAGGGGGCAAAAAGAAAGCTGAAAAAACCGGGAAGGCCAGGTCCAAAAAGAAACATCAAAAACACATCTCCATCGAGCTTCGTCGTCCCGGGAGCTACTACCGAAGGAGTCGGAGTCCTAATGATGGTTCTCCCGGACCATCGGCGTCATTTGTCCAAGCTCCGCCTGCACGTTCTCTTCCACCGCCGCCACCGCCACCGCCACCGGGATTCCGAACTGCTCATGTTCATATCCCCCCGAAGCAGACAGATCATGAACGTCAACGAGAGGAGACAGAGGTCATAGAGGAGCTATTTGAGGAGTTCGAAGAGCTGTGTGAAACAAAGGGCAAGAAGAAGAGCAAAAGGCCAAGCAGGGATCCAGAACTAAAAGCACGCCGGCAAGAGGAGGTCCGGAAGGCCGCTGAAGCTGCCGTGGGTTCTGGTTTCCCACCGGATGTCAGCTTGAATCCGGACTCGGACACCGGAATTACCAGGAGGCTAATGAGACAGGTGGAGAGGAGGAGCCAGCAACGGATGACCCTAGAGCAGGAGCACAGTGAGAATGTAAAGGTGGATGTCGTGGTAGGGAGACCGGCTCGATACAGACGCCCGCCTACACCCCCGGCGCTGATACGGATACAGACTCGAGGTCATCCACCATTCCCACCCAGCACTCCACTTGTCACACGCTTCCCTCGAGAACGCGCACGTGAGCGACACCTGGGGATACCATCGCCACTAGAAGGCCGAGACGGAGACAGTGAAGGAGCATGGGAGTACCACCGCCACCAAACCCGGGTGGAGGACGTGGCTGACTATGACGACGATGATGGGGGACGAGGAGGTCTGGAGGAGACGCAGGATTACCATATCAGAGGAGCCCCCTGATCGGACCGGCGACATTCCCACCATAACAGGGTGCATCACCCTCATCATCGCCAATAATTTTGCAAGAGAGTTGCTAACTTGTTTAGGGAGCCTTGCCGCTTTTTGATGTTGTCGTTATGGCCAGTCTGACTATATTAGTTGCTTAGTGCGTACAAACGGTATAGGGTAGGCGCGGATTGTGGGGTTCAGGTCCTAGTAGGAATCAGGACATCATAGTACTTGATGGATCCGATACGGTCAATTCAATCGTTGCAATAGTGTCCAAATTGATGATGATGATCGCGATAACCTCCCGGTCATCCGGACCGGCCGGAAGAGGGGTTATTTGACCCCCTTCATGACTAAGGTCCGGATATCAATCTACTGAAGGTTTCCTTGTACAGGGCCTCTCTCCAACAGTACTTATAAGTTATTATGGGGTCACTGTAAACAAGGGAGGCAAACCGGTTACGGGCACCACCAGCAGAGCTGGACATGGCAGTTCATCGGTCCCATCCTCGCACGAAACGAACTATACCGTCATTGCGCCAAATAACCGTGGCGCCGGGGACTCGAGTCTTCCGCCCGGCTCCGTTCTGGGACCTGTACCAAAATTGGCACCTTGTTTACTTCCAAGTCCCCGACTTGGCCGAGTTTCTCATATCTATCAAAGAAGAGGCAGTTTTTACAATGGTACTTCTTTCACGGGAGCTACCCTAGACCAGCGAGTTTTATTAAGTATACAGTGGCTCTCGACGTTGAATATTTTAGTACAGGGAGAAACATGGCACTGGAGCAGTAAAGTTGATTTTGGATTTATTGGCAGCTCCTTCTTCCAGATGAGAGAATCTCATTCTGCTCTGGCGTACACAATCCTATCTTGAATACCTAATATTAATAGGGCAACTTTCTAATACAGCGTAATAGCCCCTTAGCATTGGGCAACAACATCTTGACCAGCAGCAGTTGCGTCATCAAGAGCATTCTGCGCTTCACTAACAGCGGTGTCGGTGCTATAATGTGTAGTTAGCACATGAAAAAGTAGGCCGGTATAAGTATCGTAACGCTCTTAGAGGTACATACCTGTCGCCAGCTGCTAAAGCATCTCCCATAGCCTTTAGGCCGGCCTCAACCTCGGTGCGACCTGCGTCAGGAGGCGCCTCGCCTGCGATGATAGCGCTGGCAATCTGGGAAATCCCAGCGTTGGCCTGGTCGAGGCCAGTAGTTGCCGCAGCCGAGGTAGCCGGGTCTTGGATAGTGTTGATGGCATCTCCGGCGTCACCTAGGGCGCCCACGATGCGCACGCGGGCAAGGTTGCACTGGATGCTTCCCAATGAGCCCAAGAGCTGGCGGGGCGTGATGGCAGCTGTGTGTTGAATCAGTGTCAGTGCGTCTCAAGAACAGATGCATCAAACGGAACGAAGGTAACATACCAGCCTGGGCGACGGAGGCGACGCTGGCCAACAGAGTGGCAACAATGAATCGAGAACCCAACATATTTGATGAGGGAAACGGATTATTCTGAACTAAGAGAAATCGGTAGTTGGAAAGCGAGGGAAGTAAAAGTGAAGCGATGTAAGAGCGAAAGAAGTAACAGGGAACCAGCCCAAAGAGTGAAGAGTGACGAAGAAAAGGATTAAAGCGTGCTGAAGCTGAGATTGTGCTGTAGATAGAGAGAGAGACCAGAAAATCATCACACTTGGGATCTTGAGTTATATATAATTTTTCGAGCATATAGACCGACGCTCCAGAGTCATGTTTCACGACGCGACCAGGAGACCCTTGCAAGCAGCAACTTTTGCGATTGGATGGTAGGAAATTATCTGAAACCATTGATGAAATGCCATTCCCTCAATGCGATTGGACAAGCAAAGACAAAACATTATCCAGACACATTACCGGTAAGATCGTCACTGTGAAACGCTTCTCTAAGATCTCGCCCTTGCATGAATCGGGTTGACTCTACTCTCCCCATACAAGTCGGGTGGCGATCTTCGCTACCCGTTTCCGAAGCGGCCTCAGCCCCGCGGCTCAATTGCTCCGAAGAAACGCATAAAGTTCAGGTTCGAACAATCCCATGTTAAGTTAGGTCACCCTTGGGGCTGTGCAGCCCCCCTGGATCCCTCTGTGGGTACATGGCTATGCTTGAAGTAATGTTTGAAAAATACTTAAGGCGCGTTTAGCTCTATATCTGCGTGTCTAATATGGAGATTGAAGCTCGGGTAAATACTTGTTTGATATTTTTAGATGATACAGGTGAATCGGCCTTGAGACCTAGACTATTAAACCCTGGACTTGAAGAAATCGGCCATCTCCGCAACCGCGGGATTCACATAGTCCTCCAGATCGTAGAAGTCGATATGCCCACCATTAGGCATAATGACCTTCTTGAGATCCTTATTCTTGCCAGCGAGGACCTTGAAGAGCTTCTCCGAGTGCCACGTCGTTGCTTTCTCACCCGCGACTATAAGTACAGGCTACGTGAGATAAATATCGGCCAAGTGTCCCGGATCCAAAGTCATGAAGAATTGCATCGACCGAAGAAGCATCTTTTTTGGAGAGTTCGGATGTGGTACCCGTGGCGTTAAGTAGAATTCGTCGATGTCTCGAGCTTCTTTTGTTGCGTTGGCGTCCAAGACAGGTGGCACGATTGGAACAGTGACTGCTTCACATCCTTTCGCCTCAGCCTGCAAGGCCTGGGAGACTTGGTCTAACACAGCAACTTTCTCGGCTGGGTCGTGGTTACTATCATTTCTGAGGCGGACACCGTGACCCATGCTGACAGCGCTGATAACGGCGACGGCCTTGAAGCGGTGGTCGCCTTTAGCAGCGGCAATGGCATATCCACCCCCTCTACAAATTCTGACGATGCCAATGCGGTTGGCGTCGACGTAATAGAGTTGTTGAAGGAAGTCCGCCACAGCAGATGCACCCGTCACTCTTGCTGCTGGGTTCTCAAGATAACGAGGCAACCCCTCCAACTCGCCTTGGTCGGATGCATCGTAGCATATATAGCCCTATTGAGAAAGCCTTTTGACATACCTACTGGCAGTCTGCTCCTTCACGCCTCCAGTGGGGTGGATAATAACAACACCTGGAGCCTTGGTGGAAAGGGAGAATGGCTTGAAGACTAAGCTAGCTAGCTTGATAGATCCTTTGGTGACCGAGACGGCCGACATGATGGAAGGTTTCAGTGAGGATTGTGTTTCGGTGAGATGCAATTTTCAAGTGAATTTTGTCTAACTAATTGTATGCCAGCAATGACTTCGGCGCGTAAAGTCGACTCCAGGCCATCGGGTTCATTTAGTTAGGCACGTACAGAAGGTTGAGCGGAAAGTTTCATCCTGGCATGACGGCAATCCGCAGATTACTTATCTTGGTGTGATTTAGCCATCCAAGGAGATGGACCATTTTAGAGGAGACGCTGATATACCTGAAGGAGACGGGCTCTGTGGGACAGTGAGCCGCCGCTCGTTGACAGGATGTTGTACCGGTAGTACCGGAGAGAAATGGGACATCCACTAAAGCCAACGGATTACTGAACACCGAATTAGCGATCACCAGTTACATATTGCACAAGAGCACACAAATATACTCGAAGGGCAAACATTCATCCATGTATGCCGGACGAACGGTGTCAGAACAGTAATTACGTACTGTACGGTCCTATTAAAAGCCAAAAGAAACGGGCGACCCTCAAAATACTCTCTTTAGCGAGCGGCTAGTCTTCGTCCACGTCGTCCAAACTTTGCACTCCGCACTCTGTCAACACAAGATGGAGCTTTGGGTTGTCCATATCCCATAGTCTCTGACACAATGTATGGCCGCCACGCTCCCAGCCGGCTCGTGCCTGCTGAATCAGTCGCTTCGTCATACTTGCGTCGCTAATCTCGGCCTTGTTGGCCCATCCGAGTTTCTTATCTACGTCCGCCCTAGCACAGAGTAGAATTCATTTTATTGAATTAACTAGACTTTTTGTAAATGAACATAATAAGATTACTTTTACTATAATTAATAGAAGTATAAATTATTTAATTTCTTCCTGAAATAGGTAATATCTACTATGTATTAAACTATCTATTTTGGAGTATATAATGTTAATTAAATCTTAATAGCTTTTCAAATACTTAGCCAATCCAAATGAAATAAAACTGAATAATTTAAAATTCAAATCTAAAAAACAACTATCACTACCATATAATATCCTCTCTCATTCAAGATCACTCTCATCCTCGGCGCCTATCGGAGCACCGCCGTCGTTATCATCGTTAGAGTCCGATTCGGAACCCTGGTCCGAGTCTATGTCGTCGAGGCTCCCTTCTGAACTCGAGTCAAACTCCCAACTTCGCCGAGGAATCCATAGTCCGAAGTTGTTCCTCAAATCTTCCCATCGACCAGAGTCCAGTTGGCAGCAGAGTTCCTGGAGATCATCGTCGTTGTAGTATGGACAAAGATGCTCTTTGCCTTGCCAGAGCCGCATAAAATCTCTCGGCGTATAATCATCAGTGTATCTGGCCTGCCTGGGGAAGGATTGGCGAAATTCTGAAACATCTTCGCCCAATTCGGCAAGAACTCTATCCCAGATATCGCCCACCGCGCCAGATTCAAATTCGATGTCGGCAAGGTCCGTTTCATATGCAGCGTAGGAAAGTGTTGAGCCACGATTGTCGGTCCAAAGAAGATCCTTACTGCACTGTATCAAAAAGATGATAGCATCACGCATTGGCTCCCAGCCTTTAGCTGGCCGTAAATATCTTCCGCTGTTAGATTTAGCCCAAATATGAAGACATGTCCTGCCAAATTCATCTCGAGCATAGATATCGGCCCCTCGGTTGATGAGAAATTGTAAGCCTTCTGTGGTTATATCCCTATTGGAGCAGTACCAATGAAAGAGCGACACCTTACTGGATGTCGAAGTGTCATTGAGGTCGGTGGGTAGTCCGCTGAGTTCACAAAAGTGCTTGATGGATTGCTGCAGAGCGGTTTCGTTAATCGTTAGTCTAGCTTTGCCCACGAGAGCAGGATGGAAAATCAAGAGTCGTCGTACCAGATCACCACGCATAAAGATATCTTCAATTGGATGTGCGTCGGACGTGCAGAGGAAGGGGTCAGCCCCTGTGTCGAGGAGACGCTTCACTACTGACGCTTGACCTTCCCATCGAGAATCCTCATAAAAAAGATATTGAAAGATACCGTCTCTAAATTTGACTTACGATTAGTGGCTAAAAAAGGTCGAAGAACCAAACTACTTTGTACATACCCGCCGTGGTCGACATGGTTAACATCCGCTCCATTATCTAGCAGGAATTGAATCATGTCTACGTGCTCTGTAAGGGCGGCCTGCTGTAAAAGGACATGAGCATTTATGAAACAATTATTTGGATTTATTGAGTCAAATGAGAAGATGTATGCCCACCATTAGGAGTGACCAACCGTATTCACAGTGGTCTCGCAACGATGCTTGGCCACGAATGAGCAGTTGCTGGAGACCCTTCACGTCGCCTTCTTCCACAACTTGGAATACAGGTGATTTTAAGGGAACCACCCGATTGATATCGAGCGAAGGGATTCCGCCACCCAGATTCCAGTATTGCGTCTGTTTCAGTCTTAACATGAAACAAGAGCCTTTTGGAGCCCAGGTCACAGAATATGAAACCTCTTCGTCAATATCTGGAGGACTCGTTTGGGATCTTGGCCCGGGGTTGGCGCAGCCGGGGCGAGTCTTGTACTTTTTCGACGTGGCAACACTCATTCTCGCGTGTGGACTGTCGTAACTAGTGAATGTCGATGTCCGAAATGTTGCAGTCTTCGTTAGACCCAGGTGCCCTGTAGCTGAGCCTGTCGGTGGGATCACATCAAAATTGACACACATACCTTCCTGGTGATTTGGCGTTGGAGGATTCAGGGAAACCGCTCGCGAGTGGACAAGTGCGTGGTATAGTGGCTCAAGCTGGTACCATAGGTATTGGAGCCGGGTCTGTTGATCGGTTTGATGTATGGGCCAGCCCTCACGTCGACTATCGGCAACGGCCTGGCTGGCTTCGCACCTGATGAGCTCAAAAACCTCCAGCAAGCCATCCAGCACGTCTCTGTTCCCCGTCACGTATGAGCCTCGCCCATACATCTGCGCTAGCTCACGGTTGGCCACTTCATACAGCCTGGAAATCGTTCTCTGTAAGTTGACAGATGGGTCGTCAGGGGGATCTTGGATCACTTCTTCTACATCCTCTTCCTCTTCAGTGACGTTAACAACCCGAGTCTTGTTTTCGAGCTGAGTCGATAAGTTGTTGAGGTTCTCGATGAGAACCCTCACTAGTTGATGGGTCTCTTGATTCTCGGCCGACAATGAGCTTGTCCTTTGTTCCCAATTCATTCGAAGTCCATTAAGGATACTGTCGACGCCGGATACGCGCTGCTCAATTCTTGACAACTTGTCCCCTGTAACAGTAGCTCTCTTCTCGTTGTTGGATTCGCTTGTGTGAAGGGTTCGGGTCAGAACGCGGACTTCTTTTCGGATTTCAAACGTGGTGTCGCTATATTGTTTGCTGTGAGTAATAAGCTGATACTGATGATCTCGAAGGGAAAACGACTTACCCTTGTTTCATTTGTAAATAGAGGTTCAAATGCGCAATGTGGCTTGCAACCGACGTATGCAAAGCAGAAAAGTCTTTCCTCCCGAGCGCAGTCTTGACTTGGCTGCAAAGTCTCTCCAAGCGACTGTCGGCATTGTCAATCCTGAACTTCCCCAGCCACTTCTCAAACGTCCCTAGATCGGTCGTGCATTCTTGGAGGTGTTGGCGGAGCTCTTGTCCCCACGCCGGCTCGACCGCGCAGGTAGGTTCCAACGATTTCAAGATGGTGCTGAGGCGTTGGATGTCTTTGGCCGCTCGTGCGACGACTTCGGGACCGTCTTTGATCGCGGAAAGGGTGTCGTAGATAATCTGGGTCGACTGGATGCCGATGGTGATAAAGGCGATAAGACTCGCGGCGACATCCATGGTTGATGATGTTAGGACAGAGACATTATTATAAAACAAGAACTTGGTTTGAAACAGGGAAAAAGCCAGGTCGGATTACCCAGGCTTCCGTACCTCACCACCAGTGGTGTGATAAGATCATGTGACTCTTAGCAACACTGGTGGTGCAAATAAGATCCGTTATATAAGCAGCTAAATTTTCAGCACCTACAGCACCTACAGCGCCTTAAGCTTCTAACAGCCACAGACACCACAGCACCTCAAGCCTGTAGCAGCTACAGCAGCTATAGCACCCCCAGTTTTTAGTATCTATATTGTGACAGGCCTCAAAACTCATCAAGCAAATTATATTACTGTCCTTAAGATAAAAAAAGGAAAGCAGTTAGCGCGTATATAAAGTTAGTGGGATAAAGCAGAGCCAGCCATAGCAGTTAAGAACGAGGGAAGTGTAACGAAGAAAGAGAAAACTGGAGCGGCAACCACTCTTGAGCTCAGAGCATCCTCCCTTTTGCATCTTTGCTTGGCCCGCCACCCGCCACCCGCCACCCGCCGCCCCCACGTCCCCCTTCTTTCTTACAGTCCTTATCGCAATATGACGTTATTCTTGCGTCGCTGGGAATACTCCTCAGCTGGATAACTGAAAGAAACCGAGACAGATTAATAAGGTTAATGTATATTAGTGTTATTCGCTCACTGGGTTATGCAATAAGATATAGCCTATCCCATCAGCCCTCCCTAGACAAGGGACTTTAAAGAGTACAAGGCAACACCCACTCAGACCCAGAGCTGCAGGGTAGGAATTAGTAGTCAGACATAAGCTTACGTGGCCGGAGAATAAAGGTTTGATAATAACCTAATTTAATATTCCTACAGATCGAATTGCTACAGTCAGCTGTACTCACTATCCCGCCATATTAATGCTATGAAGCCTGGGGCGGGCCATGCACCGAGGTAGAGCCTGTTTTAGGTCAGTGCGTTGGAAGTGGAGCAAAGGCAAGAGAAGGCTCGGGCCGGCCCGGGGTACAGTGGGAAGCGAGTTTTCCTTTGTCTAGTTTCCTGTCAAGAATTCCAGATTGGAGCCAGAAAACGAGATGTACTTTGTTCAGCAGTAGTAGTAGTAGATTTATAAGTTGATCTCAGCCGAAGTTATCATCCCTGTCGAGCCTCCGATTTTTTAAGGCACCCGAATTGGGAACGTTGTCTCTCGGGCCGGCCACCTTCATTGCTCGTCGCGGACAGGCTCTGCACGTTCATTAACTGTGTTTTATATCCCAGGAGTCAGTCTCATCATTAGATGCTGAGCCTCGGTAGGGAGCCAATTGGTAAGCGCTGACGCGGTCCTCAAAAGATCGGCCCTCTCGACAGCGGAAGTTGAGAGAGCCCTGGTAACCATAAGACGAGCCCATTCCAGCTGGGGGTCAAGGTTGCTCAGCATCCCGCCATGTCCCAGAGACCACATGTCTTCCCTCAGGCGGGACTGTAAGTCTTGGTCTTGGCAAAGAAGATACTTTGAAAGGTACGTCCGGAGGCAGCCCGAGAAATCACCCTGGATATCTCTCTGCAATTGGGCCAGGTCGTCGTAAAACGTGGATGGGTCCTCCGATAGATAGATCAAGGCCTGTAGGCAGAGCGCCTCGGTATCATAGTCGCCGAGACTCTTCGCGCCGACCAGTGCGGTCTTGACTAACGGAATGAGTTCAGATACGCAATGGTGTCGCTTTACCGGGAGCCTCGGGTTTTCCGACCTCTCTGGGATATACACTGGAGGACTGAGAGAATGCCCCTGCAAAAGAAATACCCCTCTGAGGCCATCCCGTCGAACGTTCCTGATGATGATTCCTTCAGCCTCGTAGGCGTCCATAAAAGCTTTTGCCAGAATCCATCGAATGTATTGTCTCGAGTGTACAAAGTCGGGGCTGTGCTGAAGGATTGACGACACTAGACTAGTGGCCTTGTTCATCAATGGCATATCGTCCACGAGACGTAGCTGGCGTTTAGTAAAAAAAAGCGACAATGCGATATCTAAAAGCGCAATCTTGGTTGGTTCTTCATAGGCCGTGGTATCCCAATCTTCGGCGATCTTGTAAACGAGACCGGATGCAGAATCGACCTTGAATACTCTTTTCACCCATTCGATGTCGTAGTCGTAGGAGGCGAGGCTGATGCAGACGTCCCTGAAATCCCATATTCGCCCTTCTGTCAGCAGTTTGGTGTATATTGACAGGTCGAGAAGTGTCTTAACCTTGTCTGAGCTCGGATATAGACTGAATTGATCATAGAGAAGGCGCAACCTGAGGCAGAGCACCTGGAGCTGGAGATGGTCAGCCTTATTTAGTTTCTGATGATGGTTTCCAGTACCTGCGTTGACGGCACTTCTTCGTCTATCTCGTCGATGCTGTAATCGGTGTCTGACTGCTCAAAAAGACGATCAGAAGCCCCAAGCTCCCCATCGCAGTACAATCTCCCGACCGCCCTAATCAGATACCAATTGTACTGGAGAAGATCGTGATCCAAATTGGCAGTGCTTGAGATTTCCTCTATCTCGGGCGGTGTCTTGAGAGCCATCAAAGTCTTGTAATCGCCCGAGTCGAGTAGCATCTGAGCATACTGCACGAGAACATAGGGATTCCGCTTCTGGTCCATCAAGCTCTCCTTGAACTTTTGCTTAGCGGCTGTGAAATTGCCAAGGCGGCAAAGCCGGGAGAAGGCTTCCAGATCAGCGTCGATGTCGTCCGACACATCCAGCTCGAGGTGAACTGTGAGATCCGTGGCACGTGAGAGGTTACATGTGATGATGTCGTGTTGGGGCTGGAGATGAATCATCAGTTATAGTGGAAAAACTGTTGCTGGTTGATCGTCTTACCGAGTTCCTCCCTTGATGCCGTGGCGGTAGTCCCTCCCTGGCCGAAGGCGGCGTCCTTTGCCGCGAGGTTCTTGTAATCGGCGGTGATGGTGATGGTGATAGTAATGTTGACCGTGATAGTGATGTTGACTGTGATGATCCGTCACTACACACCAAGGCACCATATTAGCTCTTGCATGATTGGAACCGGAAGATTCAATGATAGGGCACATACCTGTGACTATTGTTCGCAAAACTCTGTTCAAAGCTTGGAACCACCCTCTCTGCGGGCCGATCCTGAGACAGTTCGTTGTAGATGGCCTCCCAAATAGCCGCACGGGACTTTGAATCTTCCCGGCCGCTTCGTGAATGGGTCCACGAAACTTGGTCTCCTGTCATGCTTCAGATGCTTCCATTCGCGTATGGTCGGAAGAAGACTCACCACGTGTTACCGGCATCTTGGAAATCTTATGAAAAGCCCTGCTGCTATGGCACGTACGAGATGGAGGTCTTGAAATTTTCAGTTCAATAAAGACAACCGGCAGATCTGCAATGTAAAATCTAAGGGTTCCGGCAGTAGAGAGCGATGAGGTGTTTGGAGTTTCAACCCTAATATGTAGGGGCACATTGCAGCCAATTAAGAGCAAACACGTCAGTCCGATATCTCCTGCTCCATGTTTGGATTGTTATGCATCTCTCACCCCACCAAGAAACCACGAGACTCGTTGCATGTGTACCATTATTGGCGGCATTTTATGTGGCGCAAGCCATTGGACAACCATACGAAACAGCAATCCAAAAATCTCGCGCACGGGTGGGGAACTCGTTGGCTTTCCTTGTTCGCACGATCGGATATTCTGCTTGTTCACGCCAACTCGATACGCACCAAATGGCCCAGTCACGCTCTACAAACCTCCCGTCGCTAAAGATCGACGCTCAGCGACGGCGTTGGGGCCGACAGGACCAGGGAAGATACCGAACCGTGACAGAGGATGCCAGTGTTGGAAGGGCGACAATCGGCGGCGTGAAAGTCGAATGCATTTTCCGCTTCCAGCAGACGCTGCTAGGGGTCCTCGACGACAAGCCCGGTGGTATCCTCTACATCGACTTTAAGGTCGAGCAGCCTGTTGATTGGAGATTGGATGAAACCGTCATCTCGGTGATTTTGGATGACAAACATAAAGCCGTCCGCAAATACCGAACAACCCCTCCGCAAGGTGAGACGGTAGCGATGAAAGATTACTACGGGCCATGTAGCATCCAGGGCACCGAGGCTACCGCCGAAGTCATCAAAGAGCTGAGACTCAACCCGCAATTCCAGGGTGTTGGGTGGGCGATTTCAGGGATAGATGGCGCCAGGAATCTGACGAAAACCATTTCTTCACGATGGAAGTTCCATGGCAGGACTTTCACACATCGTTCGATGCGTCCCACGAAGTTGAGATGGGTCATCACAGAGAGCAGCCTGGAGGAGCAGTCAAGCGGTCCGCCCCAAATCCATACTGCGTTCGCCTTCACCCACAATTACCAACCCTTTGTCTTGCGGATCAAGATAGAGGGGAAACTAAGGCACCTGCATCGCCAGTTCCGCAGCAAGGTTTGCGGCCTCTGGTCCAAGGCGATAGAGAGAACCGAGGCAGGCACGATTCTGTTCCCATTCGACGAGAATGTAACGTACACGCAGGGGCTCAACGAACAGGCGCAATCTCTTCGGGATAATATGAACGCTATAGCTCTCCTCCATACTGCCATCGAGACGGCATGGACCACCCAGGAGAGCGGCTCGCCCTCAAGCGCCAAGGCAACTCTCAATCCCCCTACAACAGAATCGGCTCAGACGGAGAGTACAAAAACGATGCGTTGCGTTTTCGACGCCCTTACAAAGCCGGACTCACAGGACGAGCTGCTAGGGCTTGATCTGAAAGAATTGCGGCAGACGGATGTCCCGAACGACAATAAAACTACAACAGACGACACAGATTCATCCAGCGTTGAGCTGTTGTATAGGGAAGCTGCTGGAGCTCTGCAGCAACTGTCACCTCTGGTATTATGGCTAATTGTAGTCTTTTTTAATATTTTATTCTGGGTGCTGAGTTAAATTCTAATTATTTTAGTTAGGATGTAGTAATACATACCTGCTAGTTTTATATCAAAATTTCAGTTCAGACTTTCAGGCTGTATATTGTAGCTTTTAATGTGACAGGCGATTTAGAACACTTAGGCTAGCTGGTCGCTAGCTGGGTTGTCTCCAGGGTGGCCCGGACCAGGTTAAAAGGCGTCGGTTAAAGCTATATAGGGAGAGACATTGATTTGCCTTTCTTTCAAGATACTTTCTAGAAGTCAGAAAGACTATAAGGTCTCGACATGAATAAAGAGTGTATTAATTTGCTGTCTTTAATCTTTATGAGATTTATTTGAACCCGACGTGTCGGTCATCGCGATTCTGTCCGACCTCTGTCTCCTACCTCACTTTGATATCGGCTGCCGCAGACCCAATTGATGCCTTGCCAGCGACATATCTTGCGGTCGGCCTAAAGTCTCTGTTCATGGGATCTTTCCCTATCTGAAAATGTAGAAATCAGATTGCTCCGACCTTATGTGCGAAATCTGGTACAGCTTCGGGCTGACCAGCCAAGACGCCCGTGTGACGATCTTCTGCATTTGTTTTCCCTAGGGTAGGTTAAGGAGTTGGGTGTTGTATTCGCCCCTTTTAGCTGCTAAAATAAAAGCTTGTCTGTCTAGGTCTAGAGGTATATGAATCCTGCGGTGGCACTTGCTGATCCTTGGAGGCCTTACCGGGATTACTGCAAAGGTAATGTCGAGCGTATAGACGTGAGAGAATGTGCGTTTTCGAAGCTCAATAAGGAACATGAGGATTTGGGGATCCCTCTCCAGTCGCTGATGAAGCCCACGAGCGAAGAGGGAGCTGAGGGCGCCTTTGAGCCGGCGCCAGCCACGCCTAGAAGCCTGGTAAAGTGGCGGTCAAATCATACTACTAACTTTGAGCGGGTTGGAAAGTGAGTAACTAACCTCTCTGATCTTCAAACTGAAACGAAAAACAAAAGGGTTTTGCAGATTGTGACAAAAAGGAAGCCTCAAGTCATAATAACGAAGGAGTCACGTGGTCTTGTGTCAGCGGCTTTGCCTGAGCCCCTCTTTTCTCCGCGCCTATCTACCAAAAGCCCTTTCGTTCTTTGGCACAAGGTAAGTATTTCGTCAGCGTTGTCGCAGACGAGTACGCCAGACAGGTCATCTGTGGTCTGACGGGAGAGTTCTACTCCTGGGATCTTTTGAGGATGGCCCCGAAACGATCTTCAACCACCGTCTCGGGACATCGTCAACTGTCGCCAAACTTGCTGGATCGACTCGCGACCGTGCTTGGATACACACTGGAATCGGGGGAGAGTTGCGAAACGCCCTATATCAGATACATACTCGGCCAATGGCCAGGTGAGGGAACACTGGACGAGTACGTTCGGCTCGTTGTGAATATTATTGAGTACTTCATTAGTAAGCCTACCTCCCGTGGAACCACTATGTAGACTACCTGCGTTTGAGTTGGCTAATAAAGGAAGCACACAGACAGCGAAGAAAGCCAGAGTACAAAGGGCCTAAACCTGCGACGAAAAACCAGCACAATTAAGCAATGTATTGATGGTTTAGTCGACGATTTGGCTCAGCCTTACTTCCGCCATCTTCTCCCCGACGACGGGACTCGTCGCCGCGTCGTTGTCGACACCGTTCTCCTCATTCTAGGATCATGGACGCTGATGCAAAGCTACTTCATACCTCAGCGGGGTGAACCACGGCATATTCTATTAGCTTACTGCTGGAACAATGATAAGGAATACTTGGAGACGTCGGGCTTAGAGGAGACGCTCACTGGCCTTCTAACCAAGAGTGGGCTTCTTCCTAACCCAAGCGAAAGCGTCAATCCTGAGCACATAACGAAAGGGTCTTTGATTATGAAGGTCACGGGTGATGAATCCGCTCTATCAAGCTCTAGGTCTGCACTGCACCCATCTCTTGGCTTAGTGGAATCTTTGGAAATAGCTGCGACAACATTGAACGCCTTCAAACTTGGTAATCTCGGTGCAGTGCGCATCCTATGGACTAACAACCTCTCTCGGCACATGCTGCTATCAAACCATGCAAAGAAGTTTTATTTGGAGCTCTTCGCGATTCCCAGCGCACTCCAAGATGGGCCAGACTCAGCTCTCAAGTACACGGGCATCTCCAGTGATCTAATGGACGAGATCTGCCAGTCGTATGCAAACCTCTTCAACCCAAAGGTTTCAAGTCGCTCGCATACGTACTTGGGTAGGCTGTTTGGTGCAAAATTCTGGTGCTGGTGCCTTCCTTGCTCGTCCAGGCGCCTGATGAATAACCAACTGAGGAAGCTCAAGTCAAATTCCCCTGTTCCTGGGGACATCAAGCTCACGGATTCGACGAGGCCAAAATTCGATCCCGCTTTGAAAGACTTGATGAGCAAGAATGCTAGAGGCTGGGATCAGACTGAGTTTGAATACCTCTGGCCGCGTATAGTAATACTCGATGCGCATCTATCGGGCTCGAAACCCTGGAGCTTTTGGGTTATCTTTCGAGACCGTCGCGACTCGGTGCAGTTTTGGACTTTTCTGTAGGACTACGGACGACACTGAGATCTGAAGTACACGCGGCTGATTTCATATAGATTCGGTACCATCATTTTGTTCCTTACCTTCGTCCAAGTATTTTTGGGCATTGCCCAAGTCGCTTCGGGCTTTCTATAACGAATGTCATGAATCGGCTAGCAAGTCATAATATCTACTATTCAGAACATGTTCACTTCATACGATGCGATGCTCACTTCTGAGCGTCAATGGTGCTTGAAATGCACCATAAAAGGACACATGCCCATCCTCTAAGCGGTTGTAGAATTTCCGACCTTCCATGTCAAATCTCGTGAACTCAGCCACCGGCTGTGCCCAAGATGAGAAACCGGCGACTTTTGCACACAGTACATCATCACCGGCATCCTCGTGTATACACACGGCCGTTCCACTCTGGGCTCCTGGTGCTCTCAACGCAGGATCAACTCTGTAAAGGAGTGACCGTGAGACTAGGCCTGTCCAGGTCTCACGGTCACTCCTGAGTCCGATTTTTTAAGCGCGAAAGAAAACCGAAATCTTGTTTTCTTCTCAGACTGTTCCCTTAGTTTGAAGATTGCTTGGCCCACCATCTGTTCACGCAATGAGCACTGGGACATCCTATAAGATATAGTCTCATCTTTGCTCACCTGGCATTGGCTTCCTAGAATACCAATACTTTTGGTCCGAATATCGGGGCTATCCAGTAGGAAAAGGTTCTTCGAGTTGTATCTGATGCTGTTCCAGCCCACTTGAGATAGCCAGTCTGTAGGCATTGGTGATACGATGCCAGCGACTAAGCGCATTGGCGCGGAACTGACGTCAACAAGGCTGATGTCGTGCAGAAAGCCATGGGGGAAGGTTCTTGCATGCGGGTCGAACGTCTCTGCAATCTGGCCGATCTATTCAGCTTGTCAGTATTAGACCCTTGAATATTATCAGTAAGTTGGTCTTCGTACCTCTTGACCCCCATTGCTCGCGATCACCCTCACACTATCCTTCCAGTCCTTGCCGGGAAACTGGTCAGATTTCGCCGCAGCTAATGCCTGGGTGAGTATGTGTGATGATACTGCCATGTAATACTGATCATTCGCTTCTGTTATGAGTCCAATCTTTCCTTGAAACCTATCAGTTGTTTTGGCCCCTTCTACGGCAGCCTGTACCATGCTCCCAATCTTGAGATTCATTGGATCACCACCACGTGCTGGTTTGTGAGAGGAATTGGTGCTCGAACTGCTGGTCTTCTGTGGTTGAATCACGGATTGTGTAGAGCTTTTCAAGGGGTTCGTATCGTTCTTTTGGGTTGCTGGCAATGGTGTTGTAGTTGGAGGTTCCATGACAGTTGAAGACGGCCCTCCTTGTCTCTCTGCTGTCGGTATCATGGCTTCAGGTATATAACTAACTCGGAGGCCTCCAAACCCATTTGGTTGGTGCGACAGAGCATGTTGGAAATCGAATTCGTCCGGAACAATAAGCTGCAGCATACCATTGATGAAAAGGTAGAATCCCAAAACGTGTTCAAAATTGTTAAAGATTTCGTTTACCGTATCCTCATCCAATGAGATCGATGGGTCGATAAAGCGAGGATGTGGGTCGGGAGGCGGTATGCTGAATGCAGACGCTGGGTAATAGTACGGGACAGGAATAACCACTGGGTGCCCTCCGATTGTAAGAGGGATTTTATCTACGGGCGTGTTCTTCGATGGCGTACACGTCCATACCCGTCCGCTTCCGAAAACTTGGCGAGGTTCCAGGTTGTCGGAGATGGCCTCCGGTAAATTAGGACAAGAGGTTGTCCAATCTTGCCAATCGCGGGTCTCATCGCCTCCCGCCTTTACACCCTCTAAGTCGTCAGTCTCAGAACGGTGACTCAGTGCTTCTTTTGGGGTTTCCTCCCCCAAAGTGTTCAGATCAGATTTCGAAGTTGACTTCTCTTCCATGACAGTTGACAGACCAGGCCTAGGCGGTGCCGGGCGCCGATTGCTCGACGTGTTGGAATCGGGTGTTTCGTCTATGCTTGCACTGGGTGGTTTGAGCGACTCCTTTTGCCCCGTCGGTCTGACGCGAATGAAGGGTAAGATGTCTGTTTGCATTTAGCCCTGAGAGTGTACGAGGATGCTTTGACGAGAGCTTTCCCTACCAGATAGATAGTCCTCGAATGGTAAGGTAATGTAGCCGTCCCTATCACCGTCCCAACGTTTGAATTGATCTGTCATCGTCTTCAAGTTGGCACAAGACAATACAAACGAGTCGAAGTTGAGTCCTTTCGGGTCTTTATCGTAGACATTGAACATCTTGCGCACGAAATCCCAGCTTAAGCGATATTGGAAAGCTACTATCGCAGCGTGGTATGCCTCCAGGGATATGTACCCATCCCTATCCTCATCGAACAGGTCAAAAAGTGGTTTCCACGCCGATAAGAACCCTGAAAGTTTGCAGAATTCGCTAAAGTCCAGAGACCCGGCATCAGACTCGCCGAACATGGCCAAGAGCGCCCACAGTGTATCGGCATGGAATTGGGGCCAATCGTTGTTCGCCAACGCCGCTTCCAACTCTGCGGGACCTAGGCGTCCCACACCATCCTTGTCGGCAGCTTCGAAGATTCTCCGGAGCTCATGGTTGTCTTGCGGCCGGGATGCTACTTGTGACCCCGAAGGATTCACGATGCCAGTAGGTTCTGGTGTTCCATGTAGTGAAGCAGGAGTGGGTGGTTTCTGTGGGCCATATCTGTTTTGATTGTACACGCTGGACATGGACATAGAGTAGGAGGGTGACTGGGTCGGAGTCGGCAAATGCCCGTACATCGACATCCTCTGTTGCGCTTGATAAGGGCCGGCAGTGCGATAAGAAGGTGGTGGAGTTGGCAACGTATGGCCTGGATTCATGTTCTGCTGTTGATATGAGCCATAGTTGCCCTGAGAAGGTGGCGGAGTTGGTAGCGTATGTCCCGGATTTATATTCTGCTGCTGATATGAGCCATAGCTGCCCATAGAAGATGGCGGAGTTGGCAATGTATGGCCTGGGTTTATATTCTGCTGTTGATATGAGCCATATTTGCCCACAGAAGATGGCGGCGTTGGCAGCATCTGGTTGGGGTTTCCATACTGAGGTTGATGCCAGTGGATGCCCTGGGAAGGAGGTGGAGTTGGCAGTATATGATTGGGGTGTCTTTGTTGATCTCCATGCGGTCGTCTGTCCGCAATTGGAGGTGGGGAAGAGAACGCGGATAAGTTAGTGGGCGGGGCAGTAGCTCGGCCCGCGAGACGCGAAGTTGGGTCATATCGACTATAGTCTGGAGTGGTAGACGACTCCTCTCCGAAGCTATATTCTGGAGAGGGTGGTGCGGACTTGTCTGGGGAAGTTCGTTGTTGCGCCATTTCGTTGGGGGCTGCGTGACTCTGAGTATTCTCAGCTGAAGCCGGATGAACAAATAGTATTATGCAAGTGAGAGCGAGATTATGTACAAGGCCAGGCGGTCACACGAGGCAGAATTTTATACTTATATTCCCCCGCGCTCAGTCCTATATGCTATTTAAGGAGTTTATATAGGAGAATAATTGTATAATGTAATACTTTATTATTGTTAATACTATCGTTGGTATTTTTTTTACTGTCAAGCTTTTAGTCCCCCCTCCGGGTATGTGTATTAGGGTATTCTAAAGCCTTGATTTATCGAGATCGTGAGACATTTTCAGCAGACCGGCTTGATTGGTAGAGAAACACGGCAAAAGGAAAAAACCCGACAAACACATGAGGCTTAGCGGTGATTTTATCACAAGCGTTAGATTTCCCGATATCCAAGCTCAATACAAGGCATCGATAAAAGCGGCAAAGATCAAGCAACAACGTTCACAGCTGAGGTCAAGCAGATCACTAATCTTTTAAGAGGTGAAGACTCTCATGGCTCCTTAGCGCCGGGAGATGAGTCCCGAATAGTTGAAGATCTGCCAAGACCAATATGGAATCAGTAGCTTGATGAGACTAACAACCTTGACGGATATCTAGACTCGGAGGCTTATTGAAAGGAACATACCGATATCCTAAGCCAACAACCAAGGGACTCATTTTTTAAAGCTCAAGAACAGGGACCCGTGTCAATTCAACCTGCCTACCTTACTGAATTTTCAACTCGATGGGGGGCGTGAGTTCAGTTGAGTTGTAAACCAAGACGGCTTCTGTTGCTGGACCCGGCTGTCGGACCTGCGTTCCGATGCGTCCCTTGTGATGCCTCAGATGCTAGGCACAAAGCGACAACGGTGAACGCCCCTGCGACACAGCGTCTGTCACACATAGCTAGCCAGTTATTATCACTTATTTCATTGCGGCAAGTCATAGCATCGTCCCTGTGATTCATACTAGCTTCTCCTGCCGTTAATCCACTTCCGGCGCTCTAACCTCGAACAGGCTGTACCTATTGCATAGCCCAACTCAGGCTTTATGTGATGCACATGAGGGGATATAGTGTCGTACAGCTGACCGTAGCAATTCTGCCCGCCGGGATATCAAATTAGGTTATTATTGGATCTTTCTTCTCCCGCATATGAGCTTATGTCTGACCACCCATTCATACCTTGCAGCTCTACAGCTTGAGTTAGTGTGGGCTTGCATTATCAAACGCCCCCTGTCAAGGGGGGCTGATATATCTCAACTTTTTTCAACTATCCAGATGAGCAGTATTCCTAGCGACGCCAGAATGGCGTCATATTACGGTAAGTAATACGAGAAAGAAGGGGGGGGGGGCGAAGTAAAGATGCAAAGTGTCCTTTTGGGTCTTGAAGACAGTAACGCGATTCGCTCGATAAGTTTTGAGGCCCCTACATATGCAACGTGACCACCCCCGCCACGAGAAGCGGCATTTCTCACGCATTCTCAGCCCCGAATGATGCCGAGATTTCTTCCCCTTCGACGAATTACCTCTGATCATACCATCGACCCGCGCCACTTCTTAGGCAGGATGAGGTTTTTTCTCAGCCAAGGTTGCCGGAAAGACATTGACCTATTGCTGATGCTCAAAACTGCAGCATCACCAAAACAGTCGTGCACTTTGCCATCCAAACTGCACGTTGCCTCGGTCGAGCTTAGGTGGCTTACTGGGGGGCCGCAGGGATGGGGGGACCATTCCTCGATATTGCAGCCTAACAGCTCTTGGTGTTGTGGATCATTATTGTGGATCACTCTCCGGGGTATGCTGGGCTCAGATCACAACAGCATGTGCGCGATTACTCTTTCAACCGTAGCCTGCGACATCAATATCTGGAGAACACTTATGTGTCTGTTGAACCGGCCTCCGCGCGAACTGCAAAATCGATTGCCTAACCATCCCAATGCCGACACACGATCATACGGGCCAAGGCCAGCTAAATTTCTGGCAAATTGCCTGGGACAAAGTACCGATTGAAGCGCGCAACCAGTTGCAACCCTTGATCACGCCGGAAGGCACGTCTCGTGCTGTCAATAAAAACGCAGGTAAAACCAACGAAGACATTGACGACATCATCCAGTTTGCTGCGAAACAACAAAATGAGTATGAAGCTAAAGAATGGAATGTCAAAATTGGGTCTCATGAGTGGAAAATCCGAAACGGCATGTCCAAAATCATGAACTGGGTGCAAAGGTTCAAAGAGCTGGGCGACATATTAGTTTCGATGGATCCAGTTCATGCCGCCCCCCCTTGGGCCGCCTTCCGGCTTTTGCTGCAGGTAGGTATTCCTCTTGGTAGCGATGCTTGATGGAATGGTCTGGACTCATGTTGGCATTGACCGTAGCTAACTAGTGCATTAGTTATCTATCGCAGCACGTGAGAAAATGGAAACCACTATGGCTATTCTCGAGCTTGTCAGCCGCCTTGTTCACCATGGGAGAGTCTTTGAAGAAGTGTACGACAGGGCCAAAGTCGAAGGTTCTGTCGGCCGGCAGGCTCAAAGCAACTTCCATGGAAGCTTGGTTGACGTTTACGTGCAAATTCTGCAGAGCTAGGCCTATTGTCAGTCCGAGTTCAAAAAAAGCACAACACGTCGGTCAGCAAGCGCAATCTTCAAGCCTGATGTCGCCAAGAATATTTTGAAGGGACTAGAAGATTGCTGGGGAGTTCTAGAAGGGCACGTACGGGATAATGATCGATTACAAGCGGCCCAACTATCTGAGGATCTTCGTCGCCAGCTCCCAGACTGCTTGAAAATCGTTTCTCGGATACTGGTCAAAATGGACGAGAATACGCGGGTTGAAATTCTTGACAAATTTTCCACAGTCAAGTTTAAAAGCCATCACAAATCCGTTCATGATCAGAGGACTGCAGATACGGGGAATTGGTTGCTTCAAACCTCGAAATTTCAAGAATGGCAAGCCGCCAAGAGTTCAACCATTACTTTGCTGTATGGTTCACGTACGTTGGCCACTCTCGCTAGTATTTCTAGACTCTACTAACAAATTTCAGCGGGTGCTGGAAAGACGTTTTTGACTTCACGAGTCATTGATCACGTCTCAGAGGACATTAATTGCCCAGGAAGCAACAAGGGCTTCGCATATTTCTACTGCTACCGGAACGACAAGAAACGACGCCAGCCACAGAGTATTCTATCTAGCCTGGTTCGGCAGTTTGCATCGCCTGTTGGAAGGCGAGATGAAATCCATCAAGGCGCCCGAAACCTCGCCAAGAAACTTCAAGACGAGTGTCTGGAAATGGATGTTCAAATGAGCAAAGACTTGCTGGTTGATCTTGTCACATCCTACCAATCGTCCACAATCGTTTTAGATGCGTTGGATGAATGCGATGATGAGACGAGAGGCCAATTGATGGATTGTTTGACGTTCTTGATGAGGCAGAGCCTAAACATCAAGATTTTCATCTCAAGTCGAATGGACTATGACATTGAAAGACATTTTCGTTCACAACCAATGATCATGATTCAGGCAACAGATAATAAGGGTGATATTGAGACCTTTATCAGAGAACGACTGGCCAGTGATGCCGCTTGGAAGGATGCAAAACTCGAACTGCGGGAACACATCACAATCACACTCATTCACAGGAGCAAAGGCATGTTCCAGTGGGTTGCTCTACAAGTTCAAGAAATCCTGAAAATAAAGCACCGGGACAAGGGGGCTATTAAGAAATGTCTTGACAGTCTGCCAACCACGCTCAGCGCAGCCTACGGGCAGATTTGGAAGAAAATCAATGAACAGAGTGCGCAAGACCGAGAGTTGGGCAGGCGCGCTATTCGGTGGGTTCTCTGCGCACCCCGTCCTCTATCGACAAACGAACTTGCGACAGCCATGATGATTGATTATGAAACGGAAAACCTCTATGACATTGAGGAGAAGCCGACCGCGGAAGTCATCAGAGGTGTTTGCTACAATCTCTTGGTTTTCGACAAGGAACAAAGGCGGTGGCGGTTTTGCCATTTATCGGCGGCAGAATACGTGGAATCAACGCTTATGTTTGAGCTTCAACCTCATTATTATGCTGCAGCAGGGTGCCTCAAATATCTTATTTCTCGACCAAGTGAGGACACACAATTTGGTGATCATGTCGGGCGATTCTGGCAACGGTACGTGAAAGCCCAATACGACTGCCAAGCTGAGCAGCACCTACAGCTCAAGCACCTTGTCAAGCAGTTTTTAGGTTCAGCCGACCAGAGTACCAAGGCATATCAAACGTGGATGAATACGAGCCTGAAGAAACATCGTTATTCGGTCGATTTGAAACCCTCGTCTTCGCCTCTTTTCGGGATTGCAGCCTTGGGGCTAGGGCAAGTGTTGAGGGACTGGTATGAGAATGACAATGAGCCGACCATTGACCTCAACTTGTGCAATGAGTATGGGATGTCTCTACTTGGCTTGGCAGTAAAATACCGGCATTTTGATCTCTGTGATTTCCTTGTTGAAAAGGGGGTGGACATTGAAAAGGGAACACCAAGCCCACTTCATCTTGCCTGCGGCGGGTATGGGAGCAGGGCCCAGTGGGCGGAGCAAGTCAAAGTTATGAAGCTCCTTATAGATGAGGGAGCGGATGTTGATGCTCGAGATGGAGATAAAACGGTATTGGATGTGGCGTTGGATGGAACAAATCAAGATGCGATCACATTCTTACTCAGGCACTGCGCAAAAGTGGGAGACGCACAGTGGAGCTTGGTCAATGCTGCAAGGCATGGGCATTGGGATTTGTTCAGGCCTTGTCTCGGTTTAGGTGCTGACATCGACGGATTCGGGGAACACGGCGATACCGCTTTAATCGCTGCCACAGGGGGTGGAAAAATGGAAGCAGTCAAAATTCTGCTCGAGCTTGGGGCCGACGTCAACTCGACTTCAAAACATGGAGAACGTGGTAAGATTGCGCTGGGTGAGGCGGCGAGTCTAGCAAGGCACGACATGATGGAGATTTTGATGAAGGCAGGCGCTGACCCAAACCCAAAAGGAGTGGACAGAGGCCCACTCTACCAAGCTACAGCCGCAGATGGATCACTGGCAGAAAGGAAAAAAGCCATCAAAATGCTCTTGGATGCCGGTGCCGATATAAACCCACCACACGGAGTTTCTCCTCTCACCAGTTCCAGCTGGACAGACAAAGACACTTTGGAAAACGTCAAGTTCTTGTTAGATGCAGGAGCTGATCCCAACCACGCGCATCATTTCGCATCCCCCCTTTCAAGTGCAGCTTCTCGGAATAAAGAAGTGTTGCAGCTTCTTCTTGCTGCAGGCGCAGATCCCAACAACAAAGACGGCCGCAAAAATTGCCTGTGCATCGCAGCACGGAATGAATGGCGACCTGGCCTGCGGCGGCTCATAGATATTGGAGCTGACCCCACTCTCACCTTCGATCAAGGACCTGGAAGTGCTTTGGCGTGTGCTGCATTCTCTGGCAATGACACGGCCTGCTCGTTTTTGCTGAAGCCAGAGCTTGGGGTGAACGTCAACGCACGGCTGCATGGTTGGTTCGGGAACGTTCTACTCGCCGCCATGGCACGGTCATCCCACAAAAGCTATTGGTATCGTTTGAGGGATAAGACAGAAGAACGCATCTCCAAAATTGTCTCACTCTTATTTGAAGCAGGTGTGGACATCCTTATGCCCATATACCTAACACTGGCACCTCAAGTCCCTGCTGTGAAGCTTCAGGATCAAGAGTACCTCATCACCAGCCTGCACGCTCCTTTCACCTTCTCCAAACACTGGATACGCACCATATGGGAAGTCAACTCTCTTCCCATGCCACATCCACCTCTCTGCTTTGTTCTTCGACGCTGCAAACTTCCCTATTCTATCCCACTCTCAGCCAGCGTCATTATCAAACTGACATCGAAGTCGGAGCCTCAATTCATAGAATACGCTGGTCTTTTCATTTCCCCAACTGCGTCCACCCGCTTCATATTTGTCAAAGACAGACGGAGATTTGAGCCGCTCTTTGAACCTCAAGGGACTCTCCATATTCCCACACTTGAAGATATAACAGCTCCTGGTAATGAGAGCTTTTCCAGGACTCCCTTTTTTTCTACAGCTACTTTAACTTACTCTCTTGTCATATTTCTATCTGTATGGATTATTCAATTGGCCTTCTGTCTAGGAGTCATTTTATAGAATTTGGTTTTTTTACCTTTACTCAATATTATTATGTCGATTAAAAGCCACGCAGTATTCTCAAATGGTAAAGATAAATAATAAGTACTATACTTAGTACCAGAAGAAACAGTAGCTGAATAGAGTATATATGTAACATACTTAATAAGCAAGCGCCGCAGACAAGCAAGCGCCGCACTTTTCCTTACCCTCAAAATTAAAACCTCAATAAAACCGCAACAAAGCATCAAATAAATTAAAACTAATCGCTATGCTCTTCCTCAGAGGTCTTAATTATAATCTGATAGGTCCTTGTATTATGACCGGCCTTTCTATATATTCCACAGCACCTTTCCCTCGGCAGCGCCGACCTCCTTCAACCACCACTTCTCGACGATTCAGCCACTACCTGCACATCAACGTCTCTCTAATCCATCTCATCCCTCTCCTCATCTAAAGTCATCTTCCCTCCTTTATGTAGGCGGGTTCTTTTTGCTCTGCGCTGCTTGCTAAGAGTCTCATTTACCTATTGAAGGATCTAGATCTTAGACTTTAATAATGCCATTTAATATATTATTATCTTTATTCCCTTAGTAAATAACTTAAGTACCTTAAGAATTGATACTAAAGAGCTGCTCTAATATTTTCTTACTTATCTTTTAAGGTATTTAGATTGCAAACTAGCCTTAAGTACTATTTTTAGGGTCTTTAAGACTTAAGAGTTAGAAAGGCTGATCTCTTTTATAGCTAGTATTGGAGTTTATAGCTATATATTAAGCTTTAATATAATATTTTCTAGGTTTAAGAGAATAAGTCTAGCCTCTTAAAAACTTCCTTTAATATTACTTTTTATTATAATAGCTATATAAATAGTATAAAAAACTAGAAAAAACTTAATTTTTAAAATATAAATTATAGAATATCTAATTAATTGCTTAATTACTTAATTATAAGCTATTTTAAATAGCTTAAAGTATCTAATATTAAGAGGCTAAAATAAATAAAATAAATAAAATAATATATAAAATATAATAATTTAATTCTTCTTATAATATTTCTTAAAATTAATAAAATAATAATTTTTATATTTATTAAAAATTAAAAGATAATAGCAACTAATTAATTAATTTTTTATATATTAATTAAAATACTTAAGCTACTTAAAATCTATCTTATTATTAATTTAGTTATTTTAAGTTATTATAATAGCCTAATTATCTAAGAAATTACTTTTTTAATATTAGCTAGTAAAATAATATTAGCTTATAATTATAATAAATAACTAAATTGCCTAGCCTTTTATATTAATTATTTAAATAATTATAACTTATTTTTAATTTCTAAATTATACTAATTTTAAATTTCTATATCTTTTTATATTTATAATAATTATTCTACTTATAATTATATTTATTATAAAGCCAATTTTATTAAAATTATAAATATTAGCTAAATTAATATTATATTTTATAATTATATTTTCTATAAATTAAAACTAATTATAAATAATAATTAGATTTTTATATTTAGCCCTTTAATAATTATATTTATAAAAAAAATATATCTTAAGCTTTAGTTATTACCTAATAAAATTAAAAACCTAATACTTACTAATAAATAATATATTATAATTAGCAAGTAGTTAATTAGCTATTTCTTCAATACCATATAGTCGCAGGGAAAATCCTTGCAAATCCAGGTCGAGGATAAATTGAATAATAATCTATTCCTCTAGATCGGTTAGTTAACGCAAATTGGGAATAGTATCGCGTCGACACTAAATACCCTTCTATCGGCGACGCAGCCTTCGCTCATCTACTTCGTATGTCGATACGGCGTGTCGGATACTTAGTTTTGGGTTATTTTGAAGGGCTTGAAGGGCAAGAAGGGTTTTAGCTTTATTATCTTGCTGAGGTATATTGAGTTGTTGAGATTTGCTTGATAAAGTAGAAAGTTAGGTGTAGGATGGAAAAGTGCGGCGCTTGCTTGTCTGCGGCGCTCGCTTATTAAGTACGTTATACTACTTTAGAAAGTAAATATTAAGATAAAAGTTCTAAATTATTTAAACTTTTTAATCTTATATTTTAATATTTATTTTAATAGTTACTATAATATAATTAACATCTTATTATTACTTATTCTTATAATAAAGACTTTATAATATTATAATAATTATTTAAATTATGCTATTATTTATAAATTATCTGGAGATAAAAAGTTTCGTTAAAGAATAACACGTAAAGGTTTTAGGAGGTGGCTGTTATTCTATATCAAGGTTATCTTACTTAAATTCACTTTATTGAGTAACACCACAATATAGCACAGCACCGAATTACTAGTAGGACAGTACGCATTCTTTTAACACAGAGTCAAGGAAGACAAGATTAGTTAGCGGATAATAAAGAATAAAGGGCGTCTAGAAGATACCAAGTAGAAAATCCTAGAACTGTAAATAGTCTAGCGCTCTTGCTCCATGAGATTAGTTCTCACGGGCAAGGTAAATTTCATTCAGTCAACCCTAGAGTCATATATTGGTCTTTTGCTCTCCGGGCACGGGGTATTTAGGGGATGTTCCGTCAGGTTCCAGTCTACTCTCTAGCATATGGAGATTCCAATGCTAGGGTTTAAGAATAGTTTTTGCCGCTTGTCACCGAAGCTGTAAAAATGTTGCCTGTCTCCCGGAGCCACGGGCGGACTATTGAAATTAATTAGTCGGTTACCTGAAACAAAAGGGGCCTTCTCATGTTACTACTGGCGGGATAATGTTCTCACAGACTAGTCTCTCGTATTCAAGATTCGGTAGCTAGCTGAAACAAAGACCTTGCCGCTTTCGGACAATTTCTCCCAAGCGGGTAATTAACTCCCCTTTACATCCACCAAAGGTACTGCAGTAATATCCGGGCTCCTTCATTCTGCCCGATTTTGATCTTTTTATTTAAGGTTACAGTGAGAACATTTTCGCCAAGGTTCTTGGCCGTCAACTCCTCTCGCTCGTCACTATCCTCCGCTTCGACTCTGGTCTCACTTATCGTCTCGACAATGAAGTTTACTCTCTTGCTAAGTGTGTTCACCACACTGTTGGCTTCTGCCGCCAGCCAGAAGGTTTCTGGCGCCGCTCAAGGCTTTGCCCAGGGCGTCTCCGGTGGCGGCTCGGCTTCCCCTGTGACCCCAAAGAACATCAAGGAGCTTGTTACCTATTTGACCGATAAGACACCTCGTGTCATTGTTCTCGATAAGACCTACGACTTTACTGGCTCCGAAGGCACGGTGCGAGAGAAGGGATGCGCTCCGTGGGGAACTGGCAAGGGCTGTCAGCTAGCTATCAATGCTGCTAACAACTGGTGTGGCAGCCAGACGCCAGCCGATGTTGTATATGATAAGGCTGGAACGTCGGGAATCAATGTGGCCTCTGATAAGACTATTATCGGAGTCGGAAATAAGGGTATTATCAAGGGGAAGGGCTTGCGCTTTGTGAATGTGAAGAATATTATTGTCCAGAATATTCGTAAGTCAGCCTGTTAATACCAGACACCCTCCTGTGCTAACACGCCACTTAGATGTTACAACACTGAACCCCCAGTATGTCTGGGGCGGTGATGCTTTTACCTTTTCTGGCACAAGCAAGATCTGGATTGATCACTGCACTGTAAGCTCAAGCTCCTTTACCTTTCCTGAATCGTTGCTGATTATCCCAGACATCGCTTCTCGGTCGCCAACATTACGTCTTCGGTCGCGATAAGAGCACTGGTATTACTCTATCCAATAACTACATCGACGGTCACACTCAGTGGTCAGCGGGATGTGACGGGTACCATTACTGGACTATTGAAATGGTTGGTCAAGGTGATCAGATTACTCTCCAAAGTAAGCTTTCCCCTGCATGGTTATTACCCAAATTTCTCGCTGACTTTTCCCAGACAACTACATCACTCACACAAGCGGCCGTGGCCCTGCGCTCTCTGCCACCACGCTTCTCCATGCCGTGAACAACGTCTGGTCCGACATCAAGGGACACGCCATCGAGGGTGATACAGCGGGCAAGGGTCTCTTTGAGGGCAACGTCTTCCTGAATGTGAAGGAAGTTGTTGTAAGCGACTTCAAGGGTCAATTGAACAGCTGCCCTGACACTACTGCGGCTGCTGCTACTCAGCAGTTCCTGGGTCGCGTGTGCCAAGGCAACATCTATACTTCTTCAGGTGCCTTCAGCCGTAAGGACACCGGCTTTTTGTCAGAGTTCAAAGGACTGCCTATTGCTCGGTCCACTCAGGCGAAGGTCGCCCAGAGTAAGGTTCCTGGCAGCGCTGGCTTTGGAAAGATTTAGGGACGGAGACCGCCCATTCGGAACATGGTTGATATGGTAACAAGCTAGTTAGAGTGTACAACCGTTACAGTCCAAGCCCTTGTCGTAGTCACCCATGCAGTAACCGTCACAACCTGCGTGAAGATATGGTCCGTCTCGGTCACCGTCCCCGTAGCAGAGGTGTAGTTTCTCGCCATAATTGTCTCGCCGCCGTCACTGCCGGAGTATTCTCCGCAGCAGCAGCAGCTTGAAGTCGGCGTCACGGTGGTCTCCCCGCTCGCGTATGAGTTTGCAACCTTTGACTCCTCCCACGATAATGCCCCAAACACAGTCGACACAAGGCCAGCGAGCAGGGAAAGCAGGGCCAGCAGTAGCGCCAATGCGGCGACCCAGAAGGTGGCCCAGTCACGCGTACGCCGCCGGTCGCGCCACCACTGCTTCAGCGTCCGCGGCGATGAGTCTGCGAATGCCTTCTCCAGGGCCAGCAGCCGTGGGCGCCAGTAGTTGTAGTCGGCTACGCGTCGCGAGGCCCCCGGCTGCAGCCTCGCGTGGGGATCGATACCCAACAGACGTCCTCGCCGCCGGGTGCGTTGCATTTTGCGCTGCATTTTGGCCGAATAATGTGAAAACCAATCATTGACATCAGGCTCGTGAGGTGGGAGCAGCAAGGCCAAAGTGCGCAGGGTCTCGTTTATAAAGGGGGTGGGCACGCGGTTGCTGTGGTCTTCGGGTTAGTGATGGCTCAACTACTAAGGTATACGCACTTCTTGTCGAACGGAAGACAGTGGCCACAAAAGTACGAACTCTTTTAAAACATGTCACGAGAGCCTCAATGCTGACGCGTAGAAGAAGACAAATACCGTCACCCTGAACTCCCTGCCCCGATACTTCTGTACAGACAAGTGCTGGAGGATGTTGTCCGTCGGCTGGATCACAAAGTCCCCGAGTACGTGGATATCGCGAAGGTTGAAATTGTCGGAAAACAGGCGGTCTGGCTCCAGTTCCTCCTGGTCATCTCTAGAGAGGTTGGCCACGATAGCTTCTTCGAGCTTCTGGAGCGGCCGCCAGTCGAAGATGAGCTCACCCGGCGGCCTATTCTCGCCGCCATTGTGAAAGCCAAGCAGCAGCCAGGTTTGGACGGCAAAATCTATCGAAGTGTACAACTTCTGGTCCTGAACGCCGACGTTAGTGGGGAGTCGCAAGTAGATATATCAAGTCTCAATGAGATGGCAAAATTTGGAGCAGTGACCTTCGGCTGGAAAGCTGCTAAGTGAGGAAGGAGGCTCTCGCGTTTCATTCCCCATGTGTCCTTTAGCAGTTGAACAAGATCGACTAGGTGTTGAAAGTTCCGGATTATATGCCAGGACGGGTTAAACACGCACAGCTTGTCTTCCAGTGCCAGGATGTAGCTATCTAGGCGGTCGTCTTTTCTAAGGAGGTCCGGAGTCAGCACCTGTCTGACAAGAGCATAAGAGAGACGTGACAACTTTGTGCCTGGTGGGTATTCGACTCCCCATAACTCATTCGCCAAAGTCAGACCGAAGGGATCTTGGATGTGGGCACCTTGAAGCGGTGTATTTAGGTTCATACTCGCGCAGCTATAATCACATAAGTTGTCAAACGAGGGCAGTAGGTATAAGCAACTGTGGCAATTGTAGGTACAAAGGAGAGAGACATGCCGTACGGACAGACAACGCTTAAAAACATAAAAAGCAGTACTGGACCTGCCTGTACCGTAATTAATAGGGATTTCCGTCCGTTCTGCATATTCTTGCTCGCTACAAATAACCTTCCAATTGAAGGGCGACATGTGGCTGTAGCTGATGCAGTGTAACATGATGGAGGCTTGGAAGCGATACGGTTAGGACAGGTCATTGGGATGTAACAAACGAGGCGAACCAGGTACAGCATAAAGCTGCATCCCTGGATAAGTTCATTGGTCGCCGTAGCATTAGTATCGTCTGTCCTGACACCACCTTCGGGCATCATTACCCCCGTTCCCCCCACGATTCTGCCTGACTGCCTGGGCCTGGCTGTCTAAAAGTGATATCCTATCAACACTAGCAATCATCAATGTGTGAAATGGAAGTCTTGGCACCGGTTCTAAACTACTTTGGCCTGATTCTAAGCTACTTTGGCCTAATTGACAAAATGTCCATCACTTCACACAACCCTTCGACGTTCAGAGATCGACGCGGCATCAATAACGACGGTCAGCTCCCTTCGCCACGGCGCATGGTCACTGACCTGTTTATCCCCGGATACAACGACCAACCGAGAGCGGGATTCATATTTAGGGCCGGTACCTTGTTGAAAAGATTTTCGTTTGGCAAACCGAAGAGATTTTCCCATGTCGACCTCACAGTGCGGGACGGGCGTGTCGGCTCGTTCAACGGCGAAGTCGTGTGGCGGCTACAGCCCAAGGACCACACCTCGTGGGTCGAGGTGAGGAAGGTGATAGACGCCCTGATCGCGGTACCAATTCACACCGAGAATCCTGGTGGAGGCATACAGGATCGGAAACACGACGGACACTGCGCAGCCGACGGTGCTGATTAGTTGCACTTCGCAGTCGGACGTCGACAAGACGGCGAAGAGGCTGCGGCGAAGCGGGGTATTAGAGACTGACTCAGCTACATTTCTAGTTGTGGTTCGCTCTCCAGATTATGATGTCGAAGCCTGGCTGTAATTGTGAAGGACTGGCCCCTAGGCTGCTGCAAATAGATCTGAGTAAGAGTGATGGATCCGTTATGTTCAAATTCAACAATGATAATATTGATCCTTGCTTCTTCCGATCATCCGGACCGGCCGGAAGAGGAGCTATCAGACCCCCCTTCTGACCAACGTTATAATATCAACCTATCGGATGCTTAATGATACAGAGTCTCTTTCCATCGGTACTTATATATTTTACTGTGCCAAACCTACTAACATAGATTGTCAGATTTTACTTACAGAATCACGAGATTTCATACGTCACGTGACAGCTGACTCATCTTTCAACGAGTGGTTCGTCAAGACACAGCGCCACGTAATATGGCGGCTCTCTACGAAGGAAAAAAAAAATTGGATGCGTTTCCATCCCTATGACTTCTGACTCACACACCGTTGTCCTCAGAAATTAGTCTTAGTTGCTCCTTGTGTGTAAAAACACTTGCTCCTCCTTGATAAAATTCTTTGAACACGTTGTTCCTCACTACGCTCAGCAACCGCCTCGCGCAAACTCCACTTCGACATGGAGCAGACGGAGTTACCGCCTCTCCTATGGGAGCCTCTCCCCTCTTTCACAAAGCTGCAATACCTCGTGGCAATCTGTGTCATCAAGGCCTTCCTGACAGTCGGCTGGTCTCTCCGGAGGCTACTTGTCATACTCGGTTTCGCACCCAAGTTTAGCGGCAGCCCAGCATTCTCCAAGGCCTATATTTGCAGACCGAAGCTCACACACCGGTTCTTCTACCCCAAGTCCTACCAATCCGGCGAGACTCTACCAGTATACATCAACATACATGGTGGCGGCTTCGCCTTCGGTACCCCGGAACACGACGATGAGTTCTGCGTATTCTTCTCCAACAACTTCAATCTACTTGTCATCAGCATCGACTACTCTCTCGCACCATGGAGCACCTTTCCTACACCCACAGAGGATGTAGCCGCCGTCATGCTTGCTATTCTTGCCGATAGTACTCTTCCAATTGACCACTCTCGCGTCGCCATCGGCGGCTTCAGTGCGGGTGGCAATCTCGCCCTTTCAGCATCTCAGTTACCGGCTCTTCAGGGCAAAATTAAGGCCGCAGTCATGTGGTTCGCCCCTGTCGACTGGAGTGTTGACTATGCTTACAAACTCGCCTCCCGCGCCTACAACCGTCCTGAGGATATTGATAGACTTGCGGCGGTGGCACCCATCTTCAACAACGTGTATCTGCCAACCGGCACTGATCAAAGAGACCCGCTCCTCAGTATACTCTATGCAAAGAGAGAGGTCTTACCAGAGTGGATATATGGGATTTCTGCAGAGTATGATATGCTGGGAGATGAACTCAAGAGAATGATGGTGCAGCTGGCGGGCTCCCACCAGCCACCACTGGAGAGCGAACAACAATCATTCGAGAGAGACGGAGGGAAAATAAAGTGGACGATGGCGAAAGATGCGGAACACACTTTTACGCATTGGTGGCTGAAGAGAGGTAAAGCGGCGAACTTGGCAAAGCCCGCGGCGGAGCAGTCTTTTATTGACGCAGGGCGGTGGTTGACGGAGCGAGTCTTTGCCCAATAAATTTCTGGGTTGACTCTCCAGAAGCCGAGTTGTATGAGGAGTGTTTTCTGAGTTCACCTCATACCAGGCGACCTGATCATCCAATCCGCTTCCTCTCCAGACGACCAGAGCACACTATAGAAAGTCATGCATAAGATAGAGAAGATGTTATAGAATGCGATGTTTGAACATGTCCGCCGACTATGATTGGGAGGCTACCAGCTTAAGGCCGGTGACATCCTCGCAAGCCTTGACGACGGCTTCCTGCAAATCTTGGTCCGCTGTTACTGCAAGAGGTTCGCCCATCTTCCTTTTGGGGTCAAAATAGACACCGGTGAGACTTTGATCGTAATCACCTTCGGCCAGCATGACGTATGTCTCGACACCATCCTCCAACTTGCCGGGAGCATCTTGACCTGCAAGCTTGGTAGGAACCCATCCAGGATGCACAGCCGTGACCGAGACGTCATCGAACCGCCTTGCCACTGCATTGGCAAGAAGCACAACATGAAACTTCGAATCGCAGTATGCTGAGAAATCCTGGAACTCTTTTTCCCCACGCTCCAACCAGAAAATATCCTTGACGTTCGTGTTGGCTTCTCGATGTAGGATAGAAGCGATAAAGACAAGACGCTTGGGTCGTTTGAGGAGACAAGCGAGGATATAGGGTGCGACGACGTTAACGAAGACCATGGCTGGCATGCCAGTATCCGGCGTCTTGCGGAACGGGCCGTAAAGCAATCCGGCATTGAGAATAACGGCGTCGAAGGCACCAATCGCGTTTGCTTCCTCGGCCAGCTTGTGCGTCTCTGCTATGGTTGTCAAGTCCGCAATCAGCACGCCGGCAGCTCCGGGACATTTCGCCATGGCGTCATCTGCACGCTCTTGATTTCGTGCATGAAGATAGACGGTGTGGTTGCGCTGAACTAGCTGACGGGCAGCTTCGAGGCCAAAGCCATCTGTGGAGCCTGTTATAAGGATACGGGCCATTTCGCACAAGTCGACAGAGTTGGTATGACAATAGCGGTATGGGAAGGCACAGAGATGGTGGAATAGCACAATGTATTTTCAAAGGCTTTAAGAAGGGGAGTGAGAATAGAGCTTGCCTGAGAGGAAATTGGGTAGACCACTGATGAAGAGAAATCACATCCGATTGTGTGGTGATAAATGTCTCAATGAAAAGACGGTTGAAAACTTACTGTTACTGATCGACACTAAGCCGGGAACGCTGGGAACAATGGGGGTTCCCATCCTTGGCTTAGAGAGTCGTAGAAAGTGACAGAACACAGTACTCAGCCCCGAGGATCGGCCTAAGAGTCAGGATTGAGGGGGGGAGTGACGTCGAGTGGATCTTCCCAGAAGAGCTTGATCCATTGAAGTAGGGTGAGTCAAGTCCACTCGGAATGCCACCTGAGTGATATCCGCCAACGCCAAGAAACGCTTCAACCGTTGTCTCTTTGACTGGACCCTAGAAGAATGTTTCTGCACCAATCGGCTTCCATTGCGGTGCTGCATCAAAGATCACGGCCATTGAATCCGATCCTAATTGTGGTCCATCTGCATACCGCCTAGTCCACTGTAAATCCCGCGGGTACCCGCCATGCAATCCTGGTGGCAGGGGACAACCAACACAGATAGAGGAGCAACCAGCGCAGATACAGAAGCTGTAAAGCTGTTTTTACGTAACATAAGACAGTGTGGGTCTTTTGTCCACGTCTTGAAAAGAGAGCGGAGCATCGGCCGTCTGCCATGTTCTGGTAGCCAAGTTCTGTTATCCAGGGTTGGTGATGGCCCTGGCGTACGAGGAAACGGGTTTCCTTTCAATTTGATGGACCTTTGTTTGCCCGAACATGGTCAGCCACAATCGTTGTGAGCATCTGCGCAGGGCAAGAAGTATGCAAAGGGGCGATCTCAAAGATTTGTATCGAGGAAGAAACAAGGGGAATGATGGGATAACTCACTGCGAGCTCTTCCCTATAGGGCGGCCCCTGAACCTAGTCTACCATGGCCCTATTGCCCTATCATTCCGTGCTTCCTTTCCAGAATTTTATTATGTGCCTGTGGTCAGCTTGAGCCTATAGATCACTACATTTCTGCTCGTCTGTCACAGATAATCGATCCCAACGCCCTTAACTTGAACTTTGCCAATGGGAAATAGGTTGGGATGTTCCATTCCACGAAGATAACGCAACATACCAACCCCAAGGTTATCTTGCTTATGGACCACGTGATAAGGAACAAAAGGCCCATGACTGACATTTAATTTCAGAGCAACAAGCTTCTGATGTCTTGATAATCCCAATTGTTCGACAACGAGATGCCCGGCTCGTCACGCCGGGTTACCGGTTAAGTCAAGAGAGGAGGGATTTGCTGCTAGGCTCTGACAAATATTAAGACGGGCGTGCATGGTGTACATGAAGCGTGATATATTACTTAAATGAAATGATGGAAGTGCGTCGGACGTATCTCTTCCAATCAGCTTTTGCTGTGATGGAAAATGAACTTGAAAGACGGTTTTGATGAATCAAGTTAGCGGGCCTCTGCAGGAGCTCATACGATGTCACGTCATGCAGCACGCTCTACCCACCTTCCCTGTCTGGCGTTTCTTATCGCATCATCATGTATATATTACTGCATTAACTCGCTTTTTTGACTTGGAATCTGCTGAATCGACTCCAATGCTTCCGACTTGTTGCGCTGAGACGGCCGACACCTAGAACCGCCTCCCTAACATGACCTCCATCCCGCCTCAGCCGCTTCCCCGGCTGATACCCGCAGAGAAGATTATTCCGAATACGAAAAAGATCTTGGCAGAACTCCGTGAAGTTCGTAATTCGATACCCAAAAACGTCGTCCCTTCAATCGCTTGTTTTGACAATGTTATCAAACCGCTCATTGACGTGGACAATCGCACTCAAGGCGATCTCCAAGTCATGACGATGCTGCGCTATGCCTCGCCAGACAAGGCAGCGAGGGAGGCTTCTGAAGAGGCTGTCAGGCTCATGAGTGAGTGCGACGCTGAATTCACCGCCAGAACGGACCTCTTCACACTCATCAAAGCGGTCAACGATAAGGATGAGCCCTTGGATTTTGAGGCATCCAAGTATCTAGACAAGCTAATCAAAGATTTCTCGCGCTCTGGGCACGGCTCGCTTGACGAGGGTGACATAAAGCGTTATCTAGATCGTCGAAATGAAATTGACAATCTGAGGCGCCAGTACAATCGCAACGTTCGCGAAGAGAATGGGGGCATATGGTGCTCACTCGAAGCGCTAGACGGGTTGTCCTCTCAAGATATCTCTCGTTTTGAAGAAGGCATGAATCCAGATCAAGAGACAATGAGGTTCATCCCCCATCAAAGGGCCAATTTCGAAAGCATTATGAAAAACGCCAGGAATCCTCTGACGCGCAAGAGGATGTATGTATCCGATGCCTACAAGCTGCCGGAGAATCTCGATTTGTTCAAGGACGTCATCACAAAGCGCGATCAAAATGCGCGTCTACTTGGGTATGGCAGCCATGCATCATTCAGGCTGGAGAATCGCGTTGCGAAAACTACAGATTGGGTGATCAACTTCTTCAGCCAACTCGCAGACACATTATTGCCACAAGGCGAAAGCGAGATGCAATCATTACTGGAAGTGAAAAGGAAGTACCTGACTGAGAATACCGACTATCCACAGGATTACCCAAACTCCATGCCTCCTTGGGACTTCGCATTCTACAGTCGGATTGCTCTGGAAGTCTTTCAGGTGGATCATGTCAAAATATCCGAGTACTTTCCTCTAAGTTACACGGTCACAGCAATGTTGGACCTGTTCACCTCCTGTCTCCAAATCCGTTTCATCCCAGTCCCCTCGGAGGCTCTGGATGGTTTTCGGTGGCACGAGGATGTCGAGGTATGGAGTGTTTGGGACGAGAATGAGGCGACAAAGAGTGGATTTGTTGGATATCTCTACATGGATCTGCTATGGCGACCGAATAAATATCCAGGCGCACAAAATGTCAACCTTCAATGCGTAAGTTCTTCTAACTGATAACAATCATGACTAAGGTTGTGATTACCGTGTATCAGATAATGAGACTAACCGATGTGATCAGAGTTATCTCAAAGATGATGGCACCAGAGTGTATCCTGCAACAATCCTCATGTGCGGATTCCCCCGCCCAACTGATTCAGGTTGTGCTTTACTTAAGCATCATGAGGTGGTTACTCTTTTTCACGGTAGAGACTCCATTATTGGTAAAGCGATGTGCGACCTCAGTTCGCTAACTCGGATCGTCCAGAACTTGGGCACGGCATACATGACCTTGTCTCTCGGACTTCATACGTCGCATTCCACGGCCACAGATCGCCTCCTGATTTTGCGGAAGCTCCCAGCGTGATGTTGGAGAATTGGTGCTGGATGAAGGATGCGCTTAAGCGCATGAGTTGCCATTTTACAAAACTGGACCTGGAGCTTTTGCGAAATTGGCAAAAGAATCACCCTGGCGAAGAAGTACCGCCAGAACAGATCCCCAACGAGCTATTAGATGGGTTGGTTCGTAGTCGGAAGCATAATAGAGCGCTATGGTATCTGCGCCAGTTGTGAGTGTTTCCCCCAAGCAACAGGTCGGATGCGCCTGACCAGAGGCGCTGGGCTGACATTTGGATCCAGGGCACTATCCCAATTTGATATGGCTGTTCATCATGTATCGAGCCACGAAGAATGCTACAGCCTCAATCCAGGAAGCATGTACAACGACCTGATGGAGAAATACACCTTCTTAACGAACCCCGAACCTCAAGATCGCGGGCACCCGCACACGGATTTCGGCCATCTGTTCTCTGGATACGATGCAGGATACTATTCCTATTTAGCGTGAGACCCCCATCACTCATTAATCCGATTATACGCACAGGCTGACTAGGTGTCTTCGGCAGAGCACACGTCTTTGCCGCGGACATTTTCCAGACGACATTTGCGAAGGATCCCGGCAGTCAGGCGGCCTGGGAAAAGTACCGCCGTGGAATTCTTCAATATGGCGGAAGCCGGGATGAGTTGGAAATGCTGGAGGAGTTTCTCGGTCACCCTGTTAGTACAGAGGCCTTGTTCCAGAGCTTGGAATTGTAGAAGAATCGATACTTGCGACGTTTTTCAGCCACCTCTAAGGTCTATTACTTGGCATGTTACTGACGATTTAGACCTTGCGACATCTATTCTCACTCGCTTTATGCCCCACGTACCGCAGGGTCTTCCCGTCGTCGAGCCACATAAGCCTTGGCATGCCACACTCAGGGCCATGTTCCTTGTCATACTCCATCTTAAATGATAGTCCCGCAGCTGCTTCTGGAAGTGCTACGCGGCTTCAAACGTCATCTCGTTCGGGTCTTCGGCCTCGCGAATCCTGAGGTCATTCCGAGAAGCCGGCTCGGCTCCACACCCACTCACCGCCATCTCAACCTAGCAAGGTCATAAGATGCCTTTGTGGGTTCTCATGCGTATGGAATACTACTACGTATAAACCTGTCGCCTGACTTACTAGGCCGAGAAGTAGAAGACATGCCTATGAAAGACAATCTCCCGCGTCCAAACCACTATCGTCGTCGTCATCACCACCGTCTCTGCGATAGGCTCTATACTCCTGCCACGGTCATCTATAAAGCTCACGATCGAACACAGCTCGACCCACTGTGCTTGAGTTCTCGCTCTACCCAACCGACCCGTCGCCCTGCTTGGCGCCTCGATGTCACCCAGCCACGCGGCTCGTCCGCGTGTAACTGCCTCGTGAGATATTATACAACCCGCCAGCCCAATCATAATACTGATCTATCCCTGTAGCGCGTACGCCGAGTTCCGAAATGAATGAAGTAAACTCTAAAGCTGCTTCAAATCTCAACCCCCTGACCCAAGGCGAACCTTAAACTAGAGCTCAACAGTCCAATATAACCCTGCAATTAAATCCAACTTACCCCACTGGTCTGCTCGTATAATCAGCGAGTGCCGTATCGACACCGTATAACTCCCTCATCCCGATTTGTAATAGCCGAAACTGTCAGCTCGAATCGCGAGTAATGGGGGTGGGAACAGTTATAAACCTCATCCCCTCTCTATTCTTGTGAGCACTCACTTTCTGTCCTGACTCACAACTCACCCCCCTGTTCCCTGCCCATTATGAAGGTTCTAACAATCCTTTCACTTGTCGCATCTTCTAGCGCTTTCGTCTGCAATTACGGATGGGGTAAACCGACTGGCGCTACTTGCCCTGGGGTCTATGTGAGTTTGGATCAGAAGTTCTAATTGAGATGTAGTACTGACAATTGCTTAAAGCCCAATACGTATTGTGTAAGTCTATTTCGCACTGCATTAATTTCTTTATTGACGCTAATAAATACGTAGTGCCAAGACCAACAGCAAACATCTTCACAATTCCCAATCTCTCGAATTTGTTCTTGGCCTGGGAGGTCTGGACAACCCCTTCTTCAATCATGCGGTAATGACGGAGTAAGTTACAATCTTATCAGATCTGATAACGGACAAGAAGCTAATGGTTACCTCCCACTTAGTATGTTGCTTGTGTAAGTTAGCGATAATGTATGCCTTGTAAACAACTGGCGACTAACATACTTAGTGCCCATAAATTCTTCCGCTGTTGAGATATAAAGCCACCTCTCGCAATAGGATACACGTCGCACAACAGTGTGTCGGGGCGCACGGTGGTGGAGTTCGTGTATTTTTATTGACTAGGTCCATTTTCAACAATTGGGTCAGCCGGTTCAGGATTGAAGTGGAGCTTGAGATTGACAAAATCAATTAGAAGCAGCAATAGTCTCGATTAATAAATTTGGCATATAAAGATGTCACATTTTGCGGTGAATGTAATATATCTCTGCAGACGCAAATTCGTTGACGAAGTTGAAATACTACATATGTTCAGTAACGGCGGAGAAAAAAAACAGCCACCTGAGGCAAAATTTGTCCTCCTACCGGCGAGGGAATGGTTACTCCTTGGTCCTCCGTTTGGTGCATTGTAATCTCAGGGAGAATTGGAAAACGGAGCCTGTCACTTGAAAGACAGAGGAAGCCTTGGAGTTGCTCCTAAAGCAGGGTTTGTAGATTTGCAAAGGGATGCAGCCAATACGCTGCCTCAAACCGAATCTAAGAGATCAGACGGGGAACTTGTTGTCTGCCAAATATGCTGATCCAAAGACTGATATACCTACCCTATACCCTTCAGGATGGTCGCGACCGTCACATATAAGTATCACTGGATACGTCATGCTGGCTGAGGGTGATTACGATCAAACACTCAGCCTCTCTCGCTACCATTTTCTGGATTGGGGGTCGCGGGGTGGGGATGTCGGGGACTATTCTGTACCACATCGACCACTAGAGTTCAAACTGCGCGCAGGAATAATACAGCGGCACGAGAACTGGAATTTAGTCATGGAAATATTGCTTGTACTTTCTAAACTCTACTAAAACTCCCGCCCATCGCCTTCAGCTCCTGCAAGGGCGGGATACTGTCTATCATCCCTGGCTGTAAGACCGGCCATAAAATCCCACAAGTTGGCTTCCGCACGCCCTTGACCTCAATAGTCCGAGTAGGCGTCACAACGACATCACACACGGTATCAAACACCTCAGGGTGCAGCTCTTCCTCCAGCATCTGGCAATCATGCACCACAGCCGCAGCAACCGTCTCCTGATCTACGACGCCGAGCACGTACAGCATCGCCCACTCGAGGTCGAAGAAGCCGTGGCCCTTGCCGAAACGCACGCCGCGGAAGTTGATGGCCCCCGTCCCAGTGACCATGAAGGGGATGCGCCAGCCCGTGGCGATGATATCGGCCAGGCTGACCGGCCGCCCGTGGCGCTCCATGCCGTCGAGCATGGCGGCGAAGCGATAGTCATCTCGGGGGATGCGGCGCGGGTCGAGGACCCAGAAGCCCCGTCGGATGCCGTACGTGGTCATGAGGATCGTCTTGCCGTCTCGCAGAGCCTGAAGGCGGAGGTCCTCGAGGCAGTTGTCGGGGGTGATGAATAGGACGTCGCTGTTGGTGTAGGCAGGGAGCTGGATGAGTCGAGCCGTGGCCTGGTCGGAGCCTCTGAAGTCGGTGATGAAGCTGCTAAAGTCGAAGTGGTGGCGGGAGTCGGGCCGGGCTACTTTCAGGAGTGGCTCCCAGACTCGGCGGCGGATATCGGACTTGCCTTCTGCGAGCGTCGCCATGTCCATCGATTTATTCCAGAGGACGACAAGGTAGAAGAAAAGATGGCTTGACGCGTAAGTAGCCAAGAATGTCGGGTTGTCTCTTTCAATATGTGGTAGCAACACGATGGAGAGTCTGACTGGGATTTTGTGAAGGATGGAGAGCCATGTGAACTAAGGCTCGACGTCTTCGATGACCAGAGGCAAAGCAGGATTGGATGCTCGTCTGATAATCTCAAGATAGATGACTTGGAACGAGATGCCCTATATAGACTTTGTCTGGGACGCATACCAAGTCTTCTCATTGCTTTTAGAATTTGCATCTAGCAAGCCCCCAGCGGCAGCCTTTCCACTAACGGGTGGTTAGAACCTATCTCGTTGTCCCACTCGCCCGGGCTTGTGAGACGATGATCTAGAACCCTGGATAGGCTGGAAGGTTATCGACTCGCCACCGGCGGCGCTTGCACAGTCCGAGATAGGATGTAACATGGGAGCGTAAAGGATGTCTGGATACGCCTTAATGCTTCACATTAAACCCCGGTGTTCGCCGACGTCCGTGGATTCATTCATCCGGGTAATTAACCACAGTCACTAGACCATCAACCAGGGGAGGAGAGGCGCGCGGGTTGGACCTGGGGGTTTCGACGCTTGATCCAGTTTTTGAGGGGTAAGAACTCCCAAAACGTTAAGTAGCCAGGCAGTCTGGTAATATTAAAACTGGATGCGGCCTTGGCGCCATTCAAGACGCTATTAAAACTGGATACGCTGATAAGAAGACTCTTAGACGAGGTTGGCTGAGTTCTAAACTGCTGAGGAAAACTGGATGTGCATGGTGAATACGCCAATGGAAAGCCTGTGTCCACCCCCGTGTACCAACGACTTTGCAGTCGATCCTTGGACGGCTGGAAATCACGCCCTGAAGAGAACAGGACTCTTTAGCCGAAACGGGATTGGAATCTGAAAGAAACCCCTATCTATGACTCAGACCATGGTCAGAAACATCCAGTTTTCATTTACTTATATCCAGTTTAAAAACTGGATAGATGCACGCGCCACTCGTCCATGCCCCCAACCCGGAGCAACCATTTCGACGTCTTATCTCAAGAGGCTGGCAAGACTGGATATGAAAACTGGATACGGACTCCTGCAGTTGGTTCTATCTTGGTTGCTTGACTCGTGGACCCGACGCTGTATCCAGTTTTCGTGATCCTGCGTACTCGCGTCGCTAGCCACCGGGCACCATCGCATACGCCGGATCAAAGGAGCTCAAGGCGGCGAGATGATTGTCTCCGGAGAGTAGGAACAGCTGCAGACCGCGCGCTCCGCTTGTCAGACTCTGTGGACAATCCAGTTTTTGATGCTGTGTGAGAAGCAAATGTGTCATGGAATTTGCTCAAACTTTTAGTCTAGATAAGACAGTTCGGCGCCAGGGCGATGCGCGAAACTCGGCACTTAACATCTGCGAAGAACGAGAGATAGAAACGCCTGACAGCAACCTACGCTCTGCCCAGCATATCAAATATCACTCGTATTCTACTTGAGCAATTCAACTCTTCTGTTTTCTTGACTTGTCCGTGTTTCTCAATCCATCATCCTCTTCATCTTGAGAAAATGGATGGGCCCCAAATTATCCACCTCACGGACGAGGAGCGCGACAGTGGTGTCATGGGAGACAAGAAGCTCTACGACGCCATAGAAGCCTTTTTCCAAGATGGCTTGGTTGTGATTGAAAACGCCATCGACACCGCCATCATCGACAAGCTCAATGATAGGATGCTCCGGGATACCGAACGACTGGTGCGCGCCGGTGACAACGAAGCTGGCAAGACGGTCTACAAGTCAGTCCTCATTTCTTGCCACGTCGCGTTGCAGGAAATCATGAATCCCTTTGGCACCTCCAACCCATTTTTCTTGTGCTAACTTGATCCTTCAGTCGCTTGAGCGACAACTTGACCAACGATAGCGCTGCTTTAGGGGGGAACTTGTCCCAGGTCCCTCCTCTGGAGAAAGGTACGAAGTGCCTGCGAAAGGTTACCTTGTATCCATTATACCAGGCTCTACCACCGTGTTTTCTTCTTCAGTGCGAGACACCGGTCTTGACAGACCTCGAGAGACACCATGTCGCTGACTTTGTACTGATCAATTCGTAACTAGAATGGCTCTTCCCCGAAATCTACGGGAACAAGTTTGGTACTCGGATTCTCTCCTACATTCTCGGCCCCCAGCCCGAAGCCCACTTCATCCGAACCAACACGCTCCTCGCCACCGAGGAACGCCAGCTTGTCCATGCCGACCTTCGTTGCGAGCACCCGAAGCATCCTTTTGGTGTCGTCTTCAATACTTGCCTGGTTGATGTGGGCCCCGCCAATGGCACAACAGAACTCTGGCTGGGTACACAACATACTGCCATTGATTGCCACCGCTCTCTCGGGGAGGCTATCATCGCTGAAGATCTGTTGGAGGCGAGGCGCGCCGTCAGGCGGCCATGTTATCCTACGATTAAGAAGGGCTCGATTGTTCTGCGCGACCTGAGACTTTGGTGAGTGAACCTAATTCTGGCTCTTTTTGGCACTCTGGTATCTGGTTCGTTGTTGTGCTAATCTTGTCCAAACATCAAGGCACGCTGGTATGCCCAACCCAACGCAAGAGACACGTATCATGATGGCAATTGTCTACTTCGCCGCGTATGTTAACTCTACAAGCTTGATTATATGGACAGAATTATCCTTTCTCCTTTGGTCAAAGAAGACTAACGTGGCTCTTAAATAGCTGGTATAAGAACACTCTCATCACTCGCATGCCCCGGTCCCTCCGCTCGACTATCCAGAGCCTCGAAGAATATTCCCAGTCCAAGTTCGCCGTTGAGTGGGTTCCCGACGAAGGATACGACTACTTGGATAGCTCCTTCAGCAGCAACTTCAGTTCCTCGCTGACACCGGAAGTTTGGGAGAGGATTAAAGATTTCGAACCAATACGGTCCTCCGTCTAGGCTCGTTGCTGTGCATCGGATTTTCCAGTTTGCATCCGTCGCAAGAGTGTGGCTAGAGAAAACACGTCCCTCAGCAGCTCTAGGATTTTATATTGAGAATAGCTATTGAACCAACTCATTAGGGGATGTCTCAACACGGGGGAGTGAATCAATCGAGTCCTAAGCTTCTATTTGAATAACCGATGCAAGCAAGTGAGGCACCAGTTGTAGTCGGTAATCCTCACTAATGCGTTCTCGAACCCGACGCCATGTAAGTACGCTCTACGTTCAGAAGAGTCCCATTCCACTTCCCATACAACCTCGGGGCACAGCTCGTGGCCGCCGGCGAGGGGGCGTTCGAATGGTGCCGCGGAGCCGGGCCTTGACGCCAGCAACCTGGCATTTTCCACTAATGTCGCTACACCCTCATGACTCGGTCGATAAGCTAGGGGGCCCAGGGTAAAACAAAGTCGATTTAGTAGGCTAGCGGGACCCGCCGCCGGATCATTGCTACTGGTGTATTATAGCCCTGCAAAGTCCACTGATAAGGATGTCTCCTCACAATCTCATCGCCGAGGTCACATCCCCTCAGTCGGCCCTTAGCTGTAGATAAGACATGGTACAGGGTGGTCTATATCATAGCCATGACCAGCGCCTCACCTTGACAAGATCCTTCCTGACAAACTCTTCTCCCGCTTTTGACCGATCCACTCCTGTTGAACATTTTGACCACTTTTGATCTCGCTATCCAACTGTTTTGGACAACGCCAACCTTACACCACCATGGGGGGCTTCTCTAAAAGCAACCGCCTCATGCTCGGCGTGATGTTGACAGCCATCTTCAATGGATGCGTATGAACCTCCCATCACCCACAGAAGGAATTCGACGGAACCAAGTTGTTGCTGACGCTACGTGTACTAGACAATGGGTTTCGATCAAGCCATGATGGGTTCTGTCAATGCGCTTGACCAGTATACAGAGTGTGGGTTCCTCCGTCCGGCAGATTGTATCACCATCGGCCTTCCTGACATAAATATGTCTATCAACAGATTTCTCCCTCAGCTCTGACATGATCGGCCTCAACGTTGCAATCATCAATGCTGGATCCATCATCGGCGGGCTGTTTGCCGGCCAATTCTCAGACGCCAAAGGGAGAAAATGGGGCATCGCGCTGTCCGCCATGTTCACTGCCCTTGGCGTTGCCATCCAAGCTTCGGCGGTCCACCGTATGATATCCACTCTTCTCCATGTCCCTTGCATATGATCATAATGATTGACTATCTCTCTCACAGAGGCCATGTTCTGCGTTGGACGCTTCCTTCTCGGCGTTGCCATCACTGTCAATGCTACCGCAGCGCCTATCTGGGTCATGGAGATGGCTCATCCCAAGCATAAAGGTGAGTTCTTAGAGGCGTGCATGTTCCCGCTCAAAATATCTTCATGCTGATGTGAGAATGTGGAAGGTTGGATGGGAGGGCTGTACATGGCCTCGTGGTATCTCGCAGCTACCGTGGCATCAGGCCTCAGCCTCAGGACTTCTGAGATTCCCAACACATGGGCCTGGAGAACCTTGTCTCTGGTGAGTTTGACCCGGCGAGTGTTGATGATTCCTGCGGTTCTGACTTGATGTTTGCGCTTCTCAGGCGCAAGCCGTCCCGTCTCTCCTAGCTATTAGTATCCTGCCGTTTATGCCAGAATCGCCGCGGTGGCTGGTGTATCATGGCAAATACGACGAGGCCTATCAGGTGCTCAAGGACGTCCACAGTAACGGCAGCGACTCTGAACTCATTGCGGCCGAGTTCAAGGAGATCCATGACACGATCAATTTTGAGAAGGAGAACAACGGCACATGGAGAGCTCTCATCGCGCCGAGTCAGTGGCCCCATCATGTCGTTTCTTGTACAGGGCTAACTTGGGAGAGCAGAGTCTAACGCTAGGCGGTTCATCCTGGTGGTCCTGGTAAACATTTTTGCCCAGATTGTCGGAGCCAACACCGTCTCGCTCTTTATCAGTGAAGTGCTTGATGTCGCGGGCGTTACCGAGACTCGTACACAACTCACCATCAACGTAAGTCCTGCGTTATGCAACGCGTCTCCCCTTAACTGAGCTGGCCCCTTCTGACCACCTACTGTAGCTTGGTATGAATGTGTGGAACCTCGCATGTGCTGTGGTGGGTTCGTTCCTCGCAGATGCCGTCGGTCGTAAGGCGATGCTCCTATGGGCGACTGTTAGTATGACGCTCTTCTTGAGTCTCATGGCGGTGCTCTCCGCCGTGTTCGGTCCCGAATCCAACAACCAGTCAGGCAAGATCGCCAATGTGGCAATCGCATTCCTCCTGCTGGGCTCCTATAGCATCGCTTGGACGCCACTAACCTATACGTATCCCGTCGAGGTGCTCAATTACTCTCAACGTGCTAAGGGAGTTGCGCTTGGCCACTCTATCTGCTTCGTTATCGGATTCATCAACCAGTACACCACGCCAATTGCCATTTCGGAAATCAGCTGGAAATACTACATAATCAACGCCTGTTGGAACGTGGTCGTCATCGGGCTCATTTGGTCGCTGTTTGTCGAGACGAAGGGCATGACTTTGGAGGAAGTTGACGAGATTTTTGACGGAGTGGTTCACACCGAGGGTGTTCGTATTGGGACTGGTGACCATCTGGATAAAACTACCTCCCCCAAGGGCACAGACGACAAGAAGATCCCTCTCTAGATTTCACGCTCTGGCTTCCTGATCATCGGTTGGGACTGCTCTGATGAGTTTTTATAACAGAGCTGATAGGTCGGGAAATGCCCTAGGTAGCTGACGCGAGGGTGTTGAAGGATCATAAAGAACTCGCTGCATGATTGGTGTGTCGATGACGGACAGTGGGGAGAGACGAGCCCGAGGAGGAAGGGAAGAGGCCGAAATTGGTTCATAGTACGGTGATTGGTACTCGTACTGGTGGAGTCATGGAAGAGTTGAGATGGCTATGATACAGAATATTTCAAAATCTTTATTTTTGCTAGACGACTAGGAAATGGGCGTGGATTATATCCTACACCGCGGTGCCACTGACCCTTACCCTTACTTAATCTCAGGCTTAATAACTGAAGAGGTGTTGCATGTTTTCGCAGGATGGCGGGTGAACGCGAACCCCGAGCACGAGGTCATATCTCGTCCCCTCAACTACACCGCCGGGATGGCTGCCTTACCTTAGCGTTATGGTTCACTAGGGGCAGCTACAGAAGAGCGATATGTGGAACCGTAATATTTGCTTATCTTGGATGTGCGAGCCGGATAGCGCCGACGGCCGCGGGCCATGGTTTCGGCAGCATCAGGGGACGTGGCAGAGGTTATATAACCCACTAGAACTCCCGCTTCAAGGTTTCTTCATCTAAACACAGCAACTTAAGTTTCCTAGCTATGAAAAACATAATAATCGACTGCGACCCCGGCATTGACGATGGAGTCGCCCTCTTCTTCGCCTTGTCTCACCCATCGCTGAATGTTCGAGCCATCACGACCGTATCGGGGAACCTCCCAGCCGACACTTGCTCCTACAACGCTCGCAAGATCCTTCACCTGACAGGCCGTGAAGACGCACGCCAGATCCCCGTCGCTCGGGGTACTCAAAAACCCCTCGTGAGGCCCTATCCTCGAGATCCATTCTCTCACGGTTCCGATGGTTTAGGCGATCTGGGTATCATTGACGATGGAGGCCTCAAAGAGTCTGGCCACTTTGCCCCGGATCTCATCCTTGAAATGGTCGCAAAGCACGAGCACGATGGGGAGGCCCTATCGCTCCTCTGTCTCGGACCCCTGACGAACATAGCACTGGCTTTGATGAAGGACCCGTTTCTGCCAAAGAAAGTCTCGGAGCTGCTCTTTATCGGGGGCTCATTCGGCTTCCACAACACCGGCACCGTGCGTGCGACTGGCGGCAATCCCGTGAGCGAGTGGAACGTCTACGTTGACCCCGAGGCCGCGGATCTCGTGTTCAAAGCAGGCTTCAACCTCACGGCGTTGGGACTCGACGTCGTTACTCGCCCGGATCTGGAGCTGTCATCGTCGCACCTGGAGCGACTTCGTGTTGCGAGCGGCACAAATTCAGGAGCCAAGTTCCTTCTCGACGTAGTGAACTTTGCGGCGTCGCGCAAATTTGCCTCATGGTGCTGCCTCATCGATTCCGTCGCCGTGGGCGTAGCGCTGGACTACTCCCTCGTTACATGCGACGAGATCAGCGTCCTTGTCGAGACATATAGTCCTCTGAGTCTGGGGCAGACGATTGTGGACCGAAGAGAAAGACAGGATCATCGATGGACGGTGGCAGCGAAGATCAAGGCGGCAAAGGATATTGATGTAGAGAGGTTTCTTGAATTGCTTGTACAGACTCTTACGAGTTGAGTATGTTGGAGGGTATAGTGCATTGCTGGAGGTTGCTTATTTTACTATCTGTTGATTGGGTATCATAACATGACAACTTGTTCACCTACAGCGGGTGTAAGTTAGTTTTGATCTAAAACCCCGTATTGTACTAGTTGCCCTCTAATGGAGCTAAGCAAATGAGGCACTCATTCATTGCTGCTTTGAATGGCTGGGTCTTGTGCACACTTCCTCTTGTACATCACATATCAACCATCACCTGCCATAACATCAACCAGATACCTCGATAGGGAGGCCTCTATAAGCCAATTAAGGGATTTTGTACCAACACTCTGACAATTTAGCAGTCATGATTTCTAAATTAAACCAGCATGGGACTTTCTACATAGTGGCACTGGTTTGATTTTGGCAGCTTGGGAAAATGATTTTGAATTGAAACTAAGTGACACCTTCTATACTTCTTGCCAACGACTGATGTTGGAGACCAAACCTTACTGCTGCATATTAGGTAATACTAAATTGAATCGGGATATCTTGACGCTTCTCTTGAACTCAGAGGTGCCTTACAAACAAACACATCCTTCCCCCTTGATAAATAGGCGACTTTATTGTTGCAGTTTTCGCAATAATGTTGTATTTTGTAAGACCATTTTGCAGCGTAGGGTATAGCAACGCCGGGACCGATGGTGGCGAGTAGAAAGGCAGCTTGCATACTGACCAGGTCAGTTAGACAGCCGGGCTGACCTGTGTGGAATCGACTTACTGTGTTAGATTTGAAGGCTTCCTCTTTATTGTAGTCATGGTTCGTCTTTCGCAAAAAGGGCAATCGATCCAGTCAGGCTGATCTCCGAGGAGATTTAACGGCGTCACATTTCTTGTGGATAGTTCTGGTGCTGCCACAACCTCAAGACCAGAGTATATCTCAATGTCCCGTTTATCCAGCTCGGGTGCGTCGCTGTAGTCCACTTGTGGCAGGTTATATCCAGTGACTTGATTCTCCAATCCAGCCGGCTCGGGGTCGTCCGAGACAACTACTTCGGGAAAGCAGTCGTAATCGATTTTTCGTTCGACGGGTCTGAGGCCACTCTAGCTGTTAGTGTTCTTTTGCGCTTAGGTTGGTATTCCGTACTCACCGGCCATCAGATGAGCCTGTCGAGAAATAACTTAGAGGTGAGTTAGGCCGATAGAGAGGCTCGAATCGTGACAACGCGGAGTCGGTCGGCGAAGAAACCATAGGGGATGCGGCGACGAGCATCGTGGGACTCGAAGTGTCCGTCAACGGAGAAATGGCATCGTCATGCGCAGGTCTTGGCATGCAAGAGTTAGTTAATGAGGCTGAGTCGAGGCATGTCTCAAAACTGACCTGGTATCCATCTTTGACCGGCAGTTCACAGGCTGAGGTGGGTGAAGAGGTCAAAATCGACCAAGAGCCGGAGCGAATATCTCTTGGGATGCCAGCGTTAATAATGTCGTCTTTGCCGGATTCATCAAAATCAAGAACGAGCCTGTCAAGCTTCGACCACGTTATTCGCCAGCTAAGTTTGTACTAAGGTCGCCCAAGCTCCACACAAACATGAGCGTTACTTGATTCAGTAGTCAAAGCCGATAACGAGAACGAGACAGGGGTGGCCTGTCCTTACCTGTCTCGGCTAGATGTCCTTTTTCATCATGAGAGCAAGGAAGATGGCCAAGTAGATCAAAGTAGTGAACTGTCTCGTGGCACTGAAGACTGCAAGTGAGTAGGGCGCCATGTCAGTGACGGGACCTGGCATGAGAATTATTCCTTCCCGTGGATTGACGAGCTTGTCGAGCATTTTGGGGATGTACACCCTTGTCACAGGCGAGATGCCCTTGTAGCAACGTACTTGGGCCGCTCTAGCTCTTCGTACTTGCGCCTTTCCTATTCGTCTAGCCGGATCGTCTGTGCAATTGCTGGTATTCAGCTAAAAGTTTACGGGCCATCATGAGCTCCAAGTGCCGATACGGTAGTCCACCTGGGGGGGGGGATTATGTCGCAGTGAATGGGACAAACGAAGGCAAAATTCGGACTGGACGCCGCCAAGAGCGAGAAGGACGACCAAAGACATCGATAATTGGCATCTCCCCCAGTTTGACAGATAGCAGTTCTATTTCTAGCCGCCGAGTGTAGCCACTACCCGGTGATCCACAGTAAGAATCGCAGAAGAGTCAGTGCCATTTCTCACTTTGCTGTCAGCTTCAAATGAATGCGAGAACGAAAGGCTGCAAAAGTCCTTTTGGCTAGCTGCTACGCCGCCCTTGGCTGTGCAAGCTGTACCTGCGGCATGGCAACATATACCAGAAGACCGAACAAAACGGAGAAGCTGCATCTCGCTAGTTTCAAGCACTGATGGACGATTTCTCGTAAGATCAGGCACAGCTTTGCAACTTCTATTCGGTGAAATTTATCCACTTGACTATCACAGTCAAAGTCGATCCCTTTGTCTCCACGCAGCGCGCTAGAGGAGGCGATCGAATGGTGGAGATCACCAGTGTCAGCAGTTTCCTTACAAATAAGGTGTACATCGAGACGGCAGGGGAACCTGGTTGTTACACACACTTCAGCAGATGACTGGTGCTAGCAAATAATGAGGCCATTGACATCACGCACTCGTCCAGGCCATTGCGGGGACGCTTCGCGAGTCGGGTGTGTGCTCGCTAGAGTAGAACTACGCCCCCACTAGTTACCTTTCTGGTAGTAAATGATTTGTCAAACTCTTGATGTGATTCCGTTGGTGTGACGTGTCTTGATGTGGGCGGTTCGCTGTGTACTTAATAAATAAACCCATCTTTACCTATCCTTTGAAGACGAACAAAACATCCTGCTAGGAATACCTAAGTCGATCTAACTACCGCATTGGCCCTGTTCACATCATCCACACCATGGAGCCACAATACAACCGAATTGCTGTGTATGGCCACCGCGGCTGGGCCAGCTCCAAGATAATCGAGGCTCTTGCCGCTTCCAAAGCCCCAATCAAGGTCCTGTATCGCCCAGGTTCCGATGTCTCGGGTCTTCCACCTCATGTTTCGAAAGAGGAGGTGGATGTGGACGATCAGGCGGCACTCGTCGCAGCTTTACAAAACATCGACATTGTTATGTACGTTTCTATATCGTCACGATCTCAAGATACACAGGATTGACTCTTACCTAGTTCTCTGGTCGGACATGAAGGAGTGTCGAGGCAGCATGCGTTTGTAAAAGCAATCCCTCACACCAAGGTCCAGCTTTTCTCTCCTTCCGATCTTGCAGCGCGCTATGATGAACAAGGGAATCGTGTTCCCGTGAATATGAAGAAGCTTGAGGTTGAAGTCGCCGCAAAAGTAGCTGGAATTGCTACCACCGTTGTGGTAACGGGAAACTTTGCTGAGTTTGCATTGAATACTCTGTGAGTGATTTAATTATACAGGGTAGTATATCCGATGATACTAATAATTTTACTCTAATCTAGGGCCATGGGTGTGGACCTTGCAAAAAATAGAATCATACTCAGCGGAAATAGTGGTAAGGAGAGCTTGAACTTATGGTATGTCAGACTTCTTGTTCATGGACATAATCCGTTATTTTCTTCATTATCAGTCAAGTACAAATTCGGAAGACAAGTTACTCACTCTCTTTTCCCACCCAACCTTAGCACAAGGAACTATGTCGGAGCTGCCTACGCATCAATCTTTTCTAGCACCCCAATCTCGGGCCTAAAAAATCGAGTTATCGGTCTTTCAGAATTGAAGGCGACCGGTGACGATATAATCGCTTCTTTCGAACTCAAGCATGGGAAAAAGCCGGAGATATTCAAGCACAGTTCTAAAAAGGTTGAAGATGAATTCGAATACGCAATATCGAATGGGATTCCGTTTTCTCTCGCCTGGTACTGCCGCAAGATCTGGGGTAATGGACAGCTGGAGACGATGATTGGAACTGATATTTGGGAAGTTCCAGGCTACTCGAAAGTTAGTCTCGACGACTTGATAGTCGAAGGGAAGATCGGAGCGTATCGAGAGATGCCTCCACCTGTGTTGGAGTACTTCGATGCTACTTTCTGCAACGATGAACGATAGAGGCGTGATCGTTGCAGCTATGTATATAGACTTGCTAGGTCGAGCCGCGATACAGTGAGTGGTTTATTGTCAGACTAACATGAGAAAAGCTTCCTTGTTATCATCAGTATATTTGCCTTGTAGCAGAAACTTGTCACCCTTGCTATCTAGTCAAAAAGATCATGCATGTCACATCCATCTATAGCAATCGCCGCTGGTAGATGGAGTCGTCTTGGTTGCGGTACGGGTCACTTGCTTTTTCCAAGTTCAGATGGGCAGGATGATGTTATGCGACAACCAACAGAGCTGTTCGTCTGCAATGCCTTCGTAATTAACTATCACATCGTCTTCTACAATCACGGTGCTTCCGGCCCTTAGTTAGCCAGAAATCTAGAGCCCGCATTCGCATCTTAGCATCTCCCCCAACAGATGTACTAGATCAATTGCTGTTTAAAGAGGAGTAAGTAACATAAGAGTAATGCATAACTAGAAAAATTTATTCAGTAGTAAATGTTCTAACAATTGATGACTTTCATATCGTACGCATTTAATGTTCAAACCTCATCTCTCCTTTTACCCGGCTGGGTCCATCACATAAATATTCTGTTCCACAGGAAAGTTCTTGACCAGCCCACTTTAACATGGGGATAGGCCGACTTTCCTGCAGAATTCCCGCTGATCTGCGGATTTAGAAGCTCGGCCGGACTTATCGGATTACCGGGCTCGGGAATCAATTCAGGCCGTGACATGGTTTGACGAGCACCTGCTGCAAGAAGCAGATGAAACGAAGTCGTATCAATAAACACGCCTGAAATCTATAAATCACCATCATTTGTTTCCCTGCTGCTTTTCTGATAGAGAAATATCCTAGCCAGTAGCCCCTGTTTGTACGTCGTTTTGTCGGACGCACGAGGGATCGGATTGTGGCCCGAGTTGAGCAGGTCAACTTGGTGCGCAACAACGTATATCAGGGCCTAATGCCAGGTTAGTCAATTAATCAAAAGGATGTTGTCGACCTCCGTTGAATGATCAATTTGATATGTGAGATTTTTGCCCTTCCCCTCTTTTGGAGGTCACATGCCAAGACTCTACTTAGCCTATTTGCTGGGTCCTAGTTTCGAAACGACAAAGATCTGCTCCTCGGCCCCTTCAGAGTATGATTGGCTCTCCTCTTGATGAATCTGACCTAACATTGCCGAACTTTGGAGCCGATAAGACTTCCCGGTGCTTACAAGGTTCCTCAATATAGGTGTGCCCCCCTGGCAACGATGCACCCTAGACTGAGCAGACTTCTCCGACGTGCATAAATATTGCTGCAAAGATGCCGTTTCTGGGACTCTCAACTCAAGCAACCGCAATCATGGCTCTGTTTTCACTTGCTACGGCGATCCTTGCCTTTGCGTTGTCTGGTCTAACAACTGCTCACCCTACGTGCAAATCTACGACATTCAAACACCTCACACTCAAAGACATTCAAGTCTTGCATCTAAATGTCACCGCTATGAGAAAGGTCCAAGTGACCTTGACCGCAACGCAAGTCGGCTTTGGTCCTGGAGGAAGCACAGGCGACAGAACCGCTGAAATCGACTACTGTCGGATCGCTCTTCAATACATGCACCCTGGCCAACACGACACCGTCAATACATATATCGGACTCCCTATGTTTGAGTCGGCATGGAACAACCGATTCTTGATGAATGGTGGCGGGGGCTGGAGAGCGGGTGACGATACCGTAATTCTTGCTCCCGTTGCTGCTGGTTTTGCTTCCTCATCCACCGATGGCGGACATAATATCACGACACCCACTGCGCAATGGGGCCTCGTGAGTGAAGGCAATGTCAACTGGCCTGCATTGCAAGACTTTTCTAGCGTGGCGCTGGATGAAGCTGCGACATTGGGCAAAATGGCCGCCAACATTTATTTTGGTTCTCTCCCCAAGTTTTCCTACTGGAACGGCTGCTCTACTGGCGGTCGTCAGGGCCATATGATGGCTCAGAGATATCCGAAGCAGTTTGATGGCATCGTCGCTGGTTGTCCAGCGATCAACTGGCAACGATTTATCCCGGCGGAAGTCTGGCCTGTTATCGTGGCTCAAATTCTGGGTAAGTACGTCACACACCACAAGCGTCTGTATTGCAGAGACCGCTAACTGTTATGGAAGATACTCGTCCCCCAGGCTGCGTTCTAGATGCGTTCAAAGATGCAGCCATCGGAGCGTGTGACGAGATGGACGGGGTTACGGATGGTATCATTTCCGATCCGTCGTGGTGCGATTTCGATCCCTATTCAGTCGTCGGACAAACTGTCCACTGCGAGAACCCAAAGGCCTCAATTAAAATCACCACGAAGATGGCCAGTCTCGTAGAAGAGATTTGGAGAGGGCCGACGACAAGGGACGGAAAGTTCCTATGGTACGGACTTCAACAAGACGCCAATATGACGTTGCTTCTCAACACCGCTTGCACAAGCCCGCAAGATTGCAAGATAAATCCTTTCTCCATCGCGTTCGACTGGGTGCAAGTCTTCTTGAACAAGACCAGGAACCCTTCTTTCACCCTTGATGGCGTAACCAGAAGGGAGTATGAGCGATACTTCCGCGAATCTATCCGTAAATACGGCTCCGTTATTGGAACCGACGACCCGGATCTAACCCAGTTCAAAAACGCAGGCGGAAAGATGATTACATGGCACGGCATGCAAGACCCCCTCATCATGCCAAACGGCACTGTCGACTACTACAAGCGTGTTTTGGAACATGATGTTAACGCTGCCGACTTCTACCGATTGTTTCTCGCACCAGGTGTCGGCCACTGCGGCGGTGGCGTCGGGTTTGATCCTAGCGGTACTGTGTTTGACGCCATCAGGGACTGGGTTGAAAGGGACAAAGAGCCAGAGGTGCTGACTGGCTTCGGACAAGCGGTGGGAAAGAAGCCGCAAGGCAAGACTCGAGGGGTTGAGCTGTGTGCGTATCCGAAGCAGCTCAGATACAACGGCCCGGATCCGAACAAAGCGTCGTCGTTTACTTGTCGATGAGACTATTTGCCAAAGAGGTGAACTGGCATGGGGGCTACCTGAATATGTGGTTGGCTTGACTGGGGTTTGGTAGGTTATTATTCTATTCCTATTCCCTTGATCAGTTGCCGAAGCGGGTACGGGTGGATTGGACTAAGGTTTCAACATCTCTCAAGGCCATAAGTGGATATATTAGGGGGATCTCTGGGGCTGATTTTGAAGGGCCTAACCACATCAACATCAACATCAACATCATGATCATCAGCAGCTTTCAACTTCAACAGTAGGAAGGGACGAGACCTCCCTGTTGGCCAAGTTGAGCCGGTCTTTTCAATTCTATATTTCTTTTGTCTTCTATCTATTCGGCTGTTCCAAAATTGCTTGCTGTCCCACCCTGCAATCCGAAGCCTCGAGCCCGATCTGCCGCGTCTCACACCTTCGGAAACAAGCCTTTTAGAGAACAGACGTCATATTATAGCTCGTACAGTATTAGAGTAGACCAAGCTCTATAAGTTATCTGTACCTGTAATTGTAAATATTGTGATTATAGACTTACCTTTTAGCGGTGCGGCCTCTTGGTGTAATACGAAGTACAGATCGTCACACTGCGTGTATCGAGGTATCAATAGCGGTTATTAAGGGAGACGCGGTACTTTCAACCACTAATGGATATACTGAAGCATCGATGACTATTTGATACATCGCTATCGGAATCTCAAGGCTAGTGGGTTTGGTGTCGGACTCGGGACGATAATTCCGCCGCTTGATCGGAGTCAGGCCACAGTTTGATCCTACGGAGGAATGTCAAGTGCGCATGTTGACATACGCTGTCCAATCAACCTGCTATGCTCTGTGCATTAATTATTACTGCCACGGATTTATGCAATGCCGTCTTGCTGTTTGATAACACGCTTAATGTAGCTGACAGCCAAGCATTTTACGAGAGCGGAATGGGGTTGGAGGCGGAGATCGGGACACAATTAACGTCCGACCAACGAGCAAGATGCGGACTTTGTCTTTCGAGCCGTAAATCTGGCCTGCATTTCGGAACTCCGCAATAACGTTATCAAATTAAGTCAAGGGTACCAATCATGCCGGCAGCACCAGCGACGTGCTTACAGGAACATTACATATAAAACCTCCTGCGCCCACGACTTGAACTGAACTTAACTTTCTCAACCAAATCATCTCAATCCTCATCTTTCCTCAGTACAGACATCCAAGCTTCATCCAAAAAGAAAATGACCCCTTTCCACAATGTCGCTCTTCTCGGCGTGAGTACATCCACTTCTGTTATGGACTGTGGGCTGTGGACACGCGCTAACCAGTTCAAAAGAAAGGCATGCTCGGGACAGCAGTTCTTGAACAGTTGGTCGATAACGGCTTCAACGTTACTGTCCTCAGCCGCGATCCCTCCAACGTCAAAGGCGTGCCCTCCGGCGTCCAAGTAGTCCAAGTCGACTACGCCTCCAAAGACAGCCTCGTAAACGCTTTGAAAGGGCAGGATGCCGCGGTTTCTACTGTCGCAGGAACTGGATTGTCTGATCAGAAGCTCATCATTGATGCCGCCATCGAAGCTGGGGTCAAGCGCTACATCCCATCCGACTTTGGCTCGTTCACAGCGGACCCCAACGCACGAGACCTCCCGATGATCCACGTCCTGGTGGGGATTCAGGATTATCTGATCGAAAAGGCTGATACTGGCGCTGTTGAGTACACAACCTTCTCAATCGGTACCTTTCTAGAGTATGTCCTTGCGACTCCTATGATAGCCGACTTAAAGAATCATTCCATCGAGCTTCACGATCAAGGCGTGCATGCCTTTAGCTGCACCAGTGTTGCTGGCATCGGCAAAGCCATTGCAAACGCCCTGAAAGTCCCGGACGCAACAAAGAACCGCTCTTTCCACATCCACGAGGTCGTCCTCACTCAGGCCAAGATACTAGAGTTGGCCAAGAAACATAGTCCCCCTGGGACTCAGTGGACAGTGACTGAGGTTAACGCCCAGGAAGCGCTAAGTCGGGGTCTTGAAAAGACTAAGAACGACACCAATGGCGTCAGCGTTGGCCTTTCGCTGATCAAGGCTGCCGTATTGTCTGGCAAGTATAAAACCGCGTACGACAAAGTCGACAATGAGCTTCTGGGTATCCGTCTTCTGGCAGATGACGAGATTGAAGCGAAGATTGCTGCTCTTGTTTGATTCGGCTTTAACGTAGCCGAGCGCTCATCATTATTGACGACTACCGTTAAGTTCGGCGATACGATGGAAGTTTTGAACAAGAGGAAGTGGCGACTAATTAACTCGAAGTCATCGAATATTAGTATGGAGTTCTGCTCTTAACTATGCCCTTGTACTACTAATCATTGCTTAAATATAAGGGGCTCGTTGAAGGGTAAATGCTTCTACCCATGAGTGGTTGGTGTGGGCTGTCTGGTCTCTACCTTGGTTGGTTTGGCGGTTTGGGGTGGCGGCCCGTTTTTTCATAATTCAGCAATTCATGCAAGTGTCATCAATCAAAGAGAGACAGCAAAGCAATCGAGAGCCTCCTACCGCAAGATCCAATACGTACGATGTTCTTCCTAATTATTCGCGAGCCGCTGTTAGTCGTCGTGTGCCATACGTTGAGGTTGGGCACCATTAAAATGTGCACGAAGTGTCCCTGTTGCTACTCCAGGGTGTGTGGCAGCGGTCCTGACGGCGACCCCATTCCTGACGTCCACAATGGCGTTCCGTAGGTCCTGCTCTGGATATTTTAGCAGCTGAAAGGGACAGAAACAACACCCAACTCATTAACTACCCTAGGGGAACCGCATAGAGGGTCGTCGTATAGGCGTTTTGAATGGCCAGCCCGAAGCTTCACCAGACTATACGTATATGGTCGGATTAATCTACGGCTTATATCTCCCGATAGGGAAGTATCTCATAAGATAGAATTTTAGGTAGGTCGCGGGAAACTCTGATAATGAGACTTCAATGCAGCCTGTGGCACTCATCTCTAAGGAAGCGAAAAGATAAAGGTTCGACGAGGGATTCAAATAAAAGGCAGAATATACACAAATAAATCTCTCAAAAATAAAATAACAAATTAACAGACTCTCAAGCAGCCTCAAGCTCTTTCGGCCTCTCTGACTGCCAGAAAAATCTCTGATAAATAAAAAACCCATGTCTCTCCTCCGTGCCGGCTCTAACCTTCCCTTTTAACCTCATCCGAGCCACCCTAGAGACATCCCTGCTAGCAACCAGCTAGCCCAAGCGTTCCCAACTGCCCGTCACAATATCCAGGCATTTCGGACACGGAGAAGAATGTGCAAAAGAAATTAAGTCAATTGGAGAAAAATCGATCTTGAACAATGTATCGTATGTGGTCGCGCGGATCTGACGCATGCGGCGTAGCACCTGGAGGGGGCTGACTGAGGCATCAGCCACTCCCAAAAGGTTGGTGTGAGTCATGCGGTGAGATTGACCAACATTCGTGTATAAGAACCATGACATTCCCATATTCAAAAGATGATTTCTCTCTCTTTATCTTCCATCAGAGGTAACCCAATCGTCAGTCTTCATCATGGAGAGGGTAAGAAAAACCTTTTTCGACCCTTTGGCAACGTCCAAGGCTCGCATCACAGACGTCTTGCAACAACTCCCCTCTGGTTCTGCCCATCCATTCAGCCCCGAAGGCATCCTATTATGCAAGACAGAAGCCGGAATCGAGGAGATTGACATCTCCAACTACAGTCAAGAGTATTTCTACAATGCAGTTGATCTGGGCGACATGGGCGAAACTCTTCTGAGGCGGATGTCTGGCTTCAGAGAGCATTTGAGTGAGTCCCAGCTTATCAACGCCTGGAGAACCTCCCAAAGAAGCCATCTCTAATCGGGTGCAGGCGTCTTTGACGACTTTCAGATCATGCAAGCTCCTGCCGCCACCTTCAAGATCCCCATAGTGTCAGACCAAATCACCATCCTCGCAGTTTCAGAACGCACACCAACTTACTACGACTTTTGCTTCGCCGATGCCGAATGTAACGCATGTTGCTGGCTGGCGAGAGATACTTTCTCGGGCATCACTCACAGTGGTGATCTGCTCAACCACCAGGATCTCTTGGACTACGTCAGAATAAACAAGGAGTCACTGACAGAAAAAGAAATCTGCGTCTTTATCTCTGGCTATCAGAAAACGCAGATCACCAGGTTTCTAGGAACGGATCCAGCATTGATGGTTGCGGATCATGTCGACAAGGTATTTCTAAGAGGATCCCGGCATTTGATGGCAAAGACTAAACATCTGCAGATCTTGTACATAATCCCAGTGCCCTTGGACGCGGCAACCATTGGAGATGCGACCATCTGCTGCCCTTTGGTGATTAAGCGCGATGAAGACTCCCTTGTCTGCTCGATAATCCCGACTGCGACCACGGACCGAGGGATGATGTGTCACAGTTCCCAGTTGATAAGTCCCTGCTTCCCTGAGGCTATCAAGAGAGCCAATTTCACCGTTTCTATCCCCGAGCCAGCTGTCGAACAAAGTGAGTGCTTCATTAACGAAACGAACTGATGATTGGCTTTGGTGCAAAGACTGACATGCGTACAGCCACGAGAGATGAAGTAGTTCAAGAGACCGACGCGGTCTTGGACAACCAACATGAGGCTCTGGCCAAGCGCAACGCCGTATTGACCACCAACCCATCAGCGCTACCCCATTTCCTCAAGGCGTCCGACAAACAAGTCATAAGTTTTGGCACTGGTCTTAACTTCATTCCTTGCAACACGGACCCAAATGCAGAGACCGAGCGGTCCGCTGTTGTCCTGCCCTGTATCTTTGGATCTCAGCTGCAAGGCCCAATGCTTTTGGCTACGGGAACAGTTCCATCAAACGTACCGTTTCAGGATGAGAAAGCTCTTTGCACTTACTATGAGGACCTCGAGAGCGTGGTCGTTGTTGTCGACGATAGAATGACTGACAATGCACGAAACCTGGCCACGAGTCTCCGCATGAATGCCCTGTTCATCGTACAGCTAGACCCCGACAAGAAGCCCGAGACTTCTGATCAAGTGCAGTCGGTGTTGAGTTCGGCAAACATCAACGCCGTGACGGCGCTTGCAGGGCCGCAGTCTTTGATTCTGGTCACCATCGCTGAGAGTTTCTACTTCTACAGAGGTCTGGCTAACCCGAAATATCTTGACACGTCTAAGCTAGAGTTTGGCACCAACCTCACCTCTATCGTTGAGTCTACGAGCGTGGCCTCGTTGATGCTGCCAAAAACAACTCGCCTGATCAATCTCGAGGACGACAACACTATCGTCTTGCCATTCTCTTCCCAAGTCGTTCGGCCCCGCGATCTGCAACAGATCTTTGAGCAGCTTACCATTGCCGAAATCAAGAACATGCACAACGATATCGAAGCGGCAGTGCCCCAGCTACAGGCTCTTCTCAATCATAAAGATCTGCAACAACTCTCCAAAGACTTGGTAGACCTGCTGTCTGCTAAAGTTGACAAGGTGACCTCTCCTTTGAGGCGGACGTATATCCAGTTCGTCTCTGGAGAGTTTGACATTCACAACAAGGAGTCGGTCAGAAAGAAAAACGACATGCTAGGACAGCTGAGGAAAACCACCAAGGAAACTCAAAGCGCTCTCGAGCCTGTCATATCGAGTCTGGCCAATATGATATCTTCTCAGACGACTTCCAAGAGGACGCATGATTTGAAGCGACTTGTTCGTCAAACGCAGATCCAAAACAACGTTGAGGCTGCCAAGTCGATGACGTTTGACACGCTGACTGGGCTGCTTGAGACGCACGCAGAAGAGATGGGTGTTATGTTGCTGAACATTGAAACGGAGCCATATCAACAGCTACTTTGTAACCTGAAGAATGCTGCCATTGACGCTAGGTGAGTATCTGAAGCTCGATTGTCTTGACTAAGACTAGTCTTGAAATGACCTCGCATGACTGACCTATAATAGACCATGTTGCGAACTTGACTCTCGAATCTTACATCTCGATGGCTTTGACGCCGGCATCATCGTGCAGCAATCTCAGAGCCAGCATCACGGGCCGCTTAAAAGTCAAAACGGACCGTCTCATCCCACTCTGGCCCTACCATATCTCAACCAGGCAAAGGGAACCGGCTCAATGCTGGCCTGGGTGTGCTGGGATGAGTTTGTCAATCTCAAAAGCCCATACAAAGTGAGATGGATGGAGAAGTGCAACGAGGCACACATTGCGGCGCTGAGGATCATGATGAGGGACACTCTCAGTCGCGCAGTTGCCTCGAGGGAGCACAACCTTACATCGGGCAGTATCGAAACTGGTCATCTGATGAGCTCATTGCTCATGGCTGCAATGTCGAAGCTCGCGGCCATGAGGACGACTGCCCCAGTCGTCTTGGACACGGCTGAGGACACAGTCACGAAGCTGATGCGAGGTCTCTTTGGTAATCTCATGACCATAGCTGGATCAGGAGTGCGCCCTCTGAGCATGGTCTGGCAGCTTTTCGGGTTGAACCCTCAGTATGACGTTCCTGTCACTGATGCTGACTGGGTTTGGTATGAGAATGTTGTTGAGTTGTATCCCTATACCGGGTGGCCCATCGACCAGTTCCACAGCAATCTCGCCAAGCTTCTCGATAAGATCATTCTTCGGGTGATTACAAAGAATGAGAATGTTGCTGAGACCAAAATGAGCCGCGTCGCCGACATGGTCCGGTACTGCAAGCTTCGAAACATTCAGCTTGAGCACAGTCGCACCATCATCACTGTTTTCGAGCGATTGCTCACCGCGGAGGGTTTGGACGTTCCAACGGTGGCAACACGGTTGGTGGAGATGATTCCGAGCAAACTGGAGAAGCAAACAAAGAGCTACGCCAGAATGGTGAAATACGTCAGCAATCTTGCCAAGGGATGCCAGAGACGCGCGGCAGAAGACTTGATTTACGCCAGCATCTACACCAAGCGCTCGGCTGCTTTCAAGGATCTCAAGACCAATGTTGCCAAAGCTTGCGAGGAAAGCGACTGGGCCACAGCAACGGCAGGTTGTCAAGCTATCTTGGACAAGCACCAACAAATTGCCGCCATGTGGCACGTGGAGCCTGAGAAGTTGAAGGTCCAGAACCTGAAGGTGTATCGCGAGCTCATCGATGAAGACTTGGGAGAGGACGTGGACCAAGAGACCAAGAACACGACGAACGAAACCATCAGACGCATCCTTAACGATGCCGAGAAGCAACGTGTGCCATGGCGCGTCGGAAACGAAGACGCTTCTGGTGACGAGATTGAACCTCTTGACGAGTCCTTTATTGAGGAGGTTTTGACCGGGAAAGCTCAGGATTCACAAGAGACTGCTCAAGAAGAGAAGGAAAAGGCAGTTGTGATTTCCAAGTCCACTGACCAAGCTGGCTTCGCCCAGTACAAGTCGTCTCTGGCTCCCAGTTTCATCAGCACGATGGAAAAGACTCTCTCAGCCGAGGATGTCTGCACGATTCTGAAGGTTCCTGTCGGCACTATGCAAGTCTTTGTTCATGCATTGAACCCGGGTTTCGTATGGGAGGACTTGGGCGGGCAGTTCAAGATTGTGGTGCTGGAATTGTTGAGACAGCGCTCGAATCGGATTGAGAGCCGCCCTGCTTGCAGAATGTTGATGATGGAGTAGATACGGGAGATGAAACTCCAAACAATTATGATAGATGAAAGGTTTTTTAATGACACTTTAATTCTTTAGGCCAGCACCCAGGTTAGTGACCTTCCTCTCCCCGTAGGTATGGTGGGTCGGGGCCTATGCGAAGAAACACCTCCATCACCACGGGTCCATTCCACCTGATAAACGTCATGGGAAGTCTCGTGGAATTTGGCAGTTGCACCGTATGAATTCTTAGCTTCCAGTTTTGCGCCTGCGTCGATGAGCTGGCCAGCAGGTTTCTTCTTTTTAGTTGCAGGACACGATGAGGGGCGTACGCTCCCTTTCATCTCTCCTGTCCTTGTGAGCGCCCATTTCTCATAGTTGTTGAATGACAATTCCTTTTTCGTAGAGGACAACCGAATGTCGCCCGTGGATGGCAGCATAGTGAAGTACAGTCCAGCCGCAAATGTCATTTCGATTGGGATCGTCCTTGGGCTTTGACTGCAATTGCCGTCACGTACTGACATCGGCAAGGTTGGCAATGGTCGGGAATTAGAGGATAATCACGATTTGGGTCCCAGACCAGAACATTATTCCTTTATTGTAAGTACCGCTGAATCTGGCGTGCTTCTTGCTTGTGTTGAATTGACTCCATTACCAATTAATGCCGGTTGATGTATTGTAGCTATTCCGTTTCATACAAGACAGGTCGAGAGAGGTGGGAAGTGGAAATACTTCGCTATTGATCCGTTTGCATTCAAATGCTATAGAGTACCCCGCTTTCATTTCTGACTGCCCAGGATGTAGGCTGGAACCTTTCGTGATCTCGAAGGGGCACCCAGTCCATGTTCGGTCCAATATTGCTATTAGGCCTAATGTTAGCCAGGCTAGCCCACCTCCAATCGGTGCCGTAATGTCCGAGCCATGTCCAAGATGTCGGTGCTGGACTTTCCGGAATCTCCGGCGTGGAGACTAGGGCTTCTTCCCCACCAGTTGGTCGGGTAAGTTATATAAAAGTCTTCCCCACGATTTGAGATTTGCGGGGGTGGGAAATGGATGGCTTCTTAATCTCTCCACCTCTCCTCTCCACCTCTTCTCTCCACCTCTCCACTAAATGAAAGCGAACCGTCCGAGACAATGTCCGAACAGCGGACCACCATTCGTAGGTACCAGTGTTCGCACTGCCACAGGACCTTTGGCAAAGCGGAACATCTCCACCGCCATGAACAGACCCACACCGGCTTGCGGCCTTTCGCTTGCACGCACTGCCGGAGAAGATTTGGCCGGCAAGATGCTTTGACCAGACATCAGAGACGATATGGGCATGGAGAATCTTCCACTGTGTCGACCGGCACAGCGAGATGTGAGCTTTCCATGTTGGAGACTTCGCACCCTAGCGGCAGGGATGAATCCATTACACCAGTCCAGGCACAAGGCATAAGCAGTTCCGCCACGGCAGAAGAAGGCTTAGCGATGACGGATGACCAATTTCTCGAAATCAACTGGCTGGATTCGGAGGACCTCCTCCAGACTATTCTGTCCTCTGAGTTTCCCGATGTTTCTGTTTCGCACTTTATTTCGAGTGGTCAGGCAGCCTCAGGGCAACCGGCCACACCATGGCTGGCCTCAAACGATGGTCTAAGTGAAGGACGGTATTCCGCTGTCCAAAACCTCAGCCAGATCATCACCGCCGCGTCAACAGATGTAACGAGCGAAGCACAAACGGCAGGCTTGACGACGGTTTTCCTCGATGGATGTCTTCGCATGTTCTTCACCAGATTTATCCCTTCGTTTCCGGTAGTTCACGCTCCCACATTTACTTTCAAAGATTGGACACATCCACTGCTGCTCAACGCAATAGCCTTGGGTTCGCTATTTACGGGTCAGAAAGACGACATTGACAAAGGCGAGATCCTGTGGCGACTTGCCCACACGACCGTTACCACGTCTTGGCACGATCTTATCAAGCATAAGGGCCCGTACGACAGCTGTTGTGGTGTCCAACTAGTCTTGACAGCTCTCTTGGGATAGGTCTACGCAACTCTCTCGCGAAACGTAACTCTGCGCCGGACAGCAAAAATATTTCACAGCTTAGGATTCTATTGGGCCCGAGAGACTAGAATGTACGAGATAGATTCAAGTATCTCGTTAGACCCACCGAATACTCCCACGGCCCCGGAAGACAAGTTACACACTTGGAAGCGCTGGGCGGCTCGAGAGACGCAGTTGAGAGCGCTTCTGGGTCACTATATTCTCGATGGGCTGATTGCGCACTATGCTGGAGGAACAACGTCTCAGCGTCATGCTCATAATCCTCTTCCTCCTGCGTGTGCTGAAACAGTTTTCGAAGCGAGCAATTTCGACGATTGGTTTTCTAGAATGCAAACCCCAACTCGGAAGCTGCCACCATTTCGGGAATATTTCAATTGCTTTTTTTCGCAATCAGTACTGGCACAGTCTTTCAGTTTCAAGCCGATGCCACTTTCAGGCCTGGCTGTCTTGGAAGGACTCAATTCGCTTGTTTTGGAGCGAAATAACAGCCCTCTGGTGACAGTGGGGATTCCATCTCGACTTATGATTGCCAGGGCACTAGGATCGTTCCACGAGCACATCATCACCTGCACCTCGAGTTCAGCTAATGAAAAGCTAGAAGTATTGTTGAGATGGCACACGATCTGTCTTGACGCCGCCACAGATTCTGCCATACTCTGCCGAAGCCTCTGTGACAAATATGGTATTGAGCAGAGAATCTTCGGTGGTGACAGACCCATACCAAACTTTCAACCCACGCTGTGGGCAAAGTCTCCCAATGCTAGGCAGGCATTGTTGCACGCTATTGCTATCGGCGATACCTTGCAGCTGCTTCCTATAGGCCGGTCTCACGCATTTCATGTCCCATCTGCAATCTTTGCAGCGGCAGTCACATGCTGTGGATTTCTCCTCGCAGGCATCTCGAGTATTGCTATTCCATGTCAAATTGACTGGCAGCGAATGATGTCGCTCGACCTCGCAAATGATAGTCTGTTAGACGAAGAGGTTGAAGGGCAGCTTCGGGCGTTCCTAAGCCAGGCGCCTCTCAGATCACATAAGCTTCATAATCTCAGCTCCTGTGCGAAGCTGCTGTTGAGCACTCTCCGAAGTTTCTCTCGTCCGTGAGGCGTGTCTTCAGCCATGGAACAGGTCCTTAATAAACTGCTGGTCTTCTGCTCATAAACTCGCTGAAAGGAGGCCAAACCGAATTTTCGTTTTGCTCAGGAACTTAAGCATGGTGGTATTGTCATGGAGGCGTCTTCTATGCTTGATCCTCCGCTGCAATTTCCACTCCTCATGCCGATTTTAGGGGAGCAGCTGGGGAGGTTGAGCTGGAACCGGAGAGCATGTTCGCTATGTTCATTAGGTTCCACTCCATATCATTTACCACGGTGGGAATTTAACCATGCCCGTCAAATTCAAAGGCAGCGCGGGGACTGTGGAGTGGAGGCAATCAAGGTAGATGTTGCTTAGCATAGTTGACAAGGCAATTATTAAATATACGGCCTCTAATGATAGACTCTTCTTTCTCTCCCCAATTGTCCAACCACTTTAGATTCATTTCCAATTATGGTTTTACATTTTGTTCATCTGACTCGTTTTCAAGAGGAGCGTCGACGTGCAAAAGAGAAAGTTCTCTTTTTGGGTTGATAAAGAAACACGAGGCTATATTCACAAAGAAAAATTAAATTTGACGAACACGCATTATCTTCTCCTTTGTGATAGGAAGAGAGGGAAAACACAGAAAAGAACAAAGGCGGGTTTTCCACTCACAAATTGCGGCCAGCAATGAAAATGCACCAGATACTACCCACACGTAGCGTAGAGAAGAAACATATTGCTGTCTTCAAGCCGTGGGCTCCTGCACTAATTATCTGCGGCGTGACACCTAGTATGGAGATCAGTGCAGCTTGGTCATTAGCGGAGAGTGCGGCGATGAAATCCGGCAGGACAGCCTGTTTAAGGCCCAACGGAAGTACTGCATTCGCCACGTCCCGCGGTAGGTCCTTGGAGATGTGCGAGTTGAATACAGAATTGTAAATAGGCAAGGTGATCGATCCGCCAAGAGATCGTGTAGCAATAATCAAGCCACTTGAGATGGCAATATAGTCCGGCGGCGAGCCGAGCTGAGCCGCCGTGACTATGCAAACTAAACAGCCACCTATCCCAAGACCAAGAAAGACTGGGTGTCCCCAAGCGTTGGTTGAGCTGCTCAAGTCGACGGTAGCCATGAGAACTAGTGCGGTTGTTAGTACCACAAAGGTAGATATCCCCTGATGGAAAGGTATTCGCACACTGACCGTCAAAGATTAGAAAAGCGACGAAGGACAAGACAGTTGGAGTTCTGATGTCTTTCTTCGCGGAAGCATAAGTAGCTACGCAGCTCGCGCTAAGAATGGCCGTAAAGAAGACGATGCTGAAACGAAGGCCGACTCTCACCGGATCAGTTTCAAACAGGAGAGACATTTCGAGCGCGAAAAAATTGTTGGCGGCGAAAAAGCTCATGCCCTCGACAAACATGGCCAACATCGCAAGAGCGAAATTGCGGTCTTTCTTGAAAAGAGCGTGATGAAACAGGCCATTTCGCTTGTAGAAGCCATTATGGATAGCGAGACCAAGGAGGAACGCAAGTCCCAGAACGAAAGGCGCAAGGATATGAGCATCCCCCCAAGAATAAGGGTTGTCGGACCAGGTTAGAGCCATGCCAAACAAGACTATCCCCGAGACAAGCAAGAAATATCCTACCCAGTCGAGCCGCTCGAGTTTCTCGTTCAGCGTCAAGGAGAGCTGCAAAGGCCTCGGTGAAGGATTATACAGCAGGAAACAAACCAGAGCCGAGACACCCATTAATCCGGCGCTGAGGTACCAATAGATTCGGAATCCTTCAGAGTGTTCCTTGATGATGACCGACCCGACCAGAAGACCGAAGGCCCCTGCCATGTTGATTGCCACATTCATGCCACCTTGGGCTATGGGCCTATAACGCCGTGGAAGGATCTCTGATGCGACGGTATATAGGAGAGGCTGAGTGCCAAATCCAAGGCCGCATATGGCTTCTCCGGCGATCGCCATTCCCATTGACGTAGATCGTGCGATGATGATACTCCCGGCAAAGCCGCAGAGGGCTCCAATGATAATGAATCATTTTCGACCCCAGAGGTCTGCTGCCTGTGAAAAGGGCGGGCCGAACACGCAGGTGAGGATAGCCAACACTTGGGAAAGCCAGATTTGTTCAGAAGATCCGCCCACAACGGCAGCGACGTTTGAAGCAAACTACATTATACCGGAACACGGACCAATAGTCAGCTTTAAAGGTCCATCAAACTATCAAGGAAAGGACCAAATGGATTACTTACAGCACCGGAACCGACTAGATTTAAGATCTGGGCGGCCGTGATGAGGGTGATGGACTGAAGCAGGATTAATGATAGCTTCTCAACGTGTATGTCGTTCAAGGGGGGCGACAACCTACCAGGTAAACCAGAGCAGTTCTTGCGTGCAAGCCATGATAATTGTCAGTCTCATCTGTATTCACTTCGCTGAGATCAGCTATCGGTGGGGACGAAGGTGAGGTGACGAATTCGACACGCCTAGAGCTCTCTTTGTTGGACATTTTGTTTACAGCCATCACACAAGCACGATAGAGTTGAGTGACGTTGCGACGCAAATTTTGACAGAGGAGAGGGGCGCCTTTTATCACAAGTCTTCGTTGATTCCCCCAACATGGGGTACCGAACCTTCCCTACTCTCTTCTAGACCAGTTCTTGCTTTCTCCCCATCCCGTGAGGGCCGCGGGACCTTCTTTGCCTTCCCCACACGCGTGGTGGAGATGGAGGCACACCGGTGGGGACCTTTATATAAATAGATCGCTTGATTCCTTTATCGAGTAATAGTTCTCAAGAGGCTTATCGGGTATAGCACCACTTACTTCTACTTCCCATCTTATTTAGTCTCGTTAGACCACTCACCATTAAATGGCTGAAGCTGTCTACTTACCGCCGTTGAGCGAGTACCAGCCCACCCAGCGGCCACAAGCACTACTGCTCAAGGATGCGCCGTTGCTACTGCAGCATGACTACCTACCACTAGAGGCCGGTTACGCTGTCGCGCCCGACGGCATGCATCACGTCGCTGCTTCAACCTACATGGGGGCTGTTCCGGAGAGATGATAGACTGGTGGTTCAGCTGGATGCACGACACTCAGCAGTACAAGTTATGGCATCCGAGGGACCACGTGTTTTCGGATTGGAAGGGTCCGACTGGGAACAATTCCTCCTACATTAGTAAGTTTCAGGAGTTTATTGTACGCTCTTTCGTTTTGTTGCCTTCTAACAAGAGGCTCTCCTCTGAATCACCAGGCGGCCAGCATCAAGTGCACGAATATATCGGCGGGCAATTCGCCAAGCTGGCAGTCTCATTTAAGGATCCGTCTGTATACTTCGGAGCCAGCTGGAAGGAGGACTTCAGGCGCGCCGGATACTCAACCGCTGTTTGCGCACGAACAGGCGACTTGAAAGATGACGGCTCCGTCACATATATAGGTCATCTGATCCACCTGATCAAGGAAGAACCAGATGGCTGCCGCATGCGCTCTCGTTTCTGGATGGGTGACGTTGACGGTATTACTGAGCTCGAGAAGCGAGCGGCCCTTACGCCACCAAACATGTTGGCTGGATTAGTGAAGCACGCCACGGAAGAAATGGCCATTCTAGCTACTCGTCTTCCCTCTTTGTACCTCGATTTCCGCCCTCGGGCTACAGGCTCGGCTAGAATTGGTCATGAAGGGGGCATGGCTATGTTTTGTTAATGAATTAGCCAAAGAGAAGCAGAGCCAGAAGCACCAGTCTTCAGATGGTTCTTTGTTTCGAGGAGGGACAAGCATTGCCAAGTTCTAGGTGTTACATGACGGGACAGGGAGTCGAGCAGAGTCTGTCTTTATCCCATACGTGTCAAATCTTGTGTCATGTATCGCTCACAATTTAAGCATTTTATATCCCGTCAGTACTTTACAAATTGGCTTCAACACCAAGCCACTGTCGTATCACCTAGAGCAAAGTCGTTGCAGTTTTTTGCTACCCTACGCTTCAATCTCCTCCTCTCAATAAATCTAAGCGCAGCATAACATTCCTATTATTCACAAGACTGACTTCATCGAAATCTTCAAGTCTGTCAGCCGACTTAGCCGTGTCAGTGGCTAACCAGTCAGCGCTAGGTTACTTCAGAATAAGCGAACCCCTGATCGACATGTGAATCGGATCTAATTAAAGAGTCAGCGACTAAAGTTCTGCCCTAGTAGACCGCCTCGTAGTCCTTCAGTTTAATGGTGAGTCATTTAATAGGCTCTTCGTTCGTCCTCAAGTCCTTGATCAATAATGGCAACCATGTCCCCAAGCATCTATCAACCCCTTAGCAGCGACCCCAGAAGTATGCGAGTTGTCCGTCTCGCGCCATCAAACAATTTCGGGCACATTTCCATCGCTGCACAATTGACTGAAACAACTTGGGATCATTATAATTACGAGGCTCTGAGCTACTGCTGGGGCAAGCCTGACAAAAGCAAAACTATCCTTCTAAACGGAGAACAATACCGTGTCACAGAAGATTTGCATGAGGCGTTGCTCGAGTTCAGCCTAGCGGATACCAGCAGAGCGTTATGGGTAAGCTTCTAGAGCCAGAATTACTTGTCATTCATATCTAAGTGTGAAGATCGATGCAATTTGTATCAACCAGGAAGACCAGCAAGAGAAGAGTAGTCAGGTGCAGAGAATGAAAGAAATCTATCGCAACGCCAAAGGTGTTCTTGTTTGGGTTGGCAAAGCAAAGGAGCACACCGACTTGGCGTTGAAACAAGCGAAAAGACTACTCGCCTGTGATGATTTTGACACTCAGCAAGCGATCTGGAACGAGCCGAATGAGTGGATTAAAGGCCTCAACGAAATCATCGCAAGACCAGTACGACAGATACTAAACTGAAAGTGCTTGCGGATGCTGACGAGTGCGAGTAGTACTGGTCTCGCGCCTGGACAGTGCAGGAAGTTGTGGTTTCAGAGACCGCATTGCTACGCTGCGGTTCTCACGAACTGCCATTCTTCGAATTTTCACGGTTCTTGCTTCAACAACAAACACGAAACCACGTCAAAGTCGGATATGCTATATCTAGCTATTTGGAAATGATTTCCGAAATGCGAAAGGCCTCGTATCAAGACCCACCAGCGGGTCCCTTTGGGCTTGCCTACAAACTTCGTCACCGCCAATGCACAGTTGTACATGACAGAGTCTACGCCTTCCTCGGGTTGCTGAAATCCACAGAATTTCTGAGCACGGGGGAGTTCTCAGTCGACTATACCATGGATGCTGCCGAACTGTGGATGACATTTGCCAAAGACACCATGTCCAGGTTTAACACGCTCATCCCACTCATACTCGCCGAGAATTCTCGGTCCTTGGAGGCGCGTTGGTGCTACGACTGGTCAAAAAAGGTGTACGAACCAAATTCCCACCTGCACGAAAGACTCTTGTTCTGGACAGGAGGGCTCGATAGTCCCAACTTCTATCCTCTGCAATCGCCCAGTCATTCAGCGGCAGACGGATTACCGGCACGTATTCGAGTCGACACAGGGGCACCGTCCGTCGTATCAGCTCAAGGATTCGCAATCAGCAAGATCACCAAGGTAGGAACCAGTGTGGGCTCGTTCCTGATTGGTTTTGGACGGCCCAACTACGTCCATCTTTTTAAAGAATGGGAATCTCTAGTTGGGGGTCCCTGGAAGGATCCACAAATGGCAAAGAAATTTGCGCGCACCGTCACAGGCGGCTCCTGGTCCAAGGAGCCAGAGGATTGGAGGGTATGGAATACCAAGGATTACTCGGAAAAGGCGTGGAGCTTAGGTTGGCTCGGGAATGAGTCCTTTCAAGACCACATCTCAACAACAGGCTACGAAATGAGTCGCCATCTTGAACTCCCGGACACCGACGATCATTCAAGATACAATCGCATCAGGGACGACGCTTGCGAGGGGCGAAGGATCTTCTTGCTGGAGAATGGAGACTTTGGCCTTGGCCCAGAAAGCATCCAGGTTGGGGACCATGTTGCGATTCTTCTGGGCAGTGAAGTTCCACTTGTTTTACACAGACGTGATCATGGTGACATTCTCCGGAGGTTAGTTGATTTGGAGAACAAGAGGAAGCTCTTCAAGTCTACCTGGAAACTCGTCGGCCAGGCTTACGTACATGATTCGATGAATTATGAGGGCAATCTGGAACACGATATTCGTGATGGCCGAGTAGTTCTTGAAGAGTATCTTCTCGATTAGCCCCCAGTCTTCACTTGACAGTCATGTCAGCGCTTTCAATAACCATTTTGGCCGCGACATCTTCAGTCCCTTTCCTGTCCTTAGTGTAGACTGCCTCATTTTAAATGCCTGTATTTGAGGCGATCTCTGATCCTCCGTTAATAGATCTCGTCAACCAGGTGCACCGTGCATCGCACCCAGAGTTGACCCAAGCTCCGACCGAGCTACATTACCTCTATTCAGCCCAGCTTTAAGCCATTCAATCTCCTTGCCTTTAGCCTTCCCCAGTAGTAGTCATTGTCTCCAATACTGTCTGCCTACCCTGCGGTGTTCTGTTACTGTGTACTGTGCTCGGTACTCTCGCCATGCCCTCTCGAGTACTGCGTCGCCTAGCACTATAAAACATGCTCCTTCTCCCCAAGTTTCCCAATCAATAGTAATATGTTCAATGCTCTCCTCCAGACCCCTTGGTTTGCTTCCAATATCTGGTGGCTTGAGAATGTTTTCCAACCACCGGTGGAGACCCAACAAGAGGCCCGAGGGTGAAGAACGAGTCCTTCACGGCCAGTGTAATACATTAGGGGGCATCCATATTGATGTAAACGTTCACAGCCATGAACCTCAGCTTGTGCTGGTCCCGTCGAATCAGGTGGGCGTCCGGTGGACTGTGCAGTGTACGGCCCTGTGCTGTATATTATGCATCATGCCATCATCCCGAACATTGCACCTGTGATTGTGCACGTTCTATACCTGGTCATTGCGGTATGTGAGGCGTTGTTGTCCATCGGATAATAAAGAGATCGGATGGATCTAGCAGCGTTGCGCTTCTCTCGATCTCCCATCCTCGATCTCATATCCATCCCTTTGGATGCCTCTTCGTTTCTACGTGCAGCCATTGCTTTAGTTTTACGTCGTCTTGGCTTGCACCTTGGTGATTTCAATGCAACAATATAGGGACTCACACACTGCTATGTCTGTGTCGGCTTTGATCTCCCTTGCTTCACCTGCACATGCCTCGGTATCCATGCGGGGTAGTGATGGCTTCATCACAGGTGTCGATCGCCACCGGCCTAGCCCCATGCCAAGCTTTTTTTGACCAGGTTAATAGCCAGCCAGAGCCAAAGACTCCGAAGCATCCGGAACCTCTCGGCTGTCCGAGGTCATCCGAGGTCATAGCATTTTTCTCGTCTATAAGACTGACTCAAAGACCATCATTACATAGGGAGAATGTAGAGTCTCTCGCACCTACGATCATTTTCATCTTCTAGACGCAACATAAATAGATAAGTCAATCAAATGGTGAGTAATGCTTATTGACCACAGCAAGGTTGAATACATAGTCCGATACTAGGCTGGCAGGTCCAGGAAACGTGATTGCAACCCCTGGTATAGTCGCTGACTTGTGTCAGCATAAGCACCTTTATTTGTAACTTAAACGAAAGGAGGGAGTCTGTGACAACACAATGAAACTTCAAAATTAAGAAAGCAGGGAAAGATTCACTTTGAGGTAAAACCATGATACTAGCCTGCATAGTGGTATACCTGGACCCATTGCCTCCTCCAAATGGCAGCAGCGAATGACGGCTAACTTAAAAAGACGGAGCTACTCCGGAATTCCGGTCGTTGAGTTTGAGGATGCATTCCTAGTCACTACACGCTTGCGGGGAAGAGCAGCATTGTTTCATGCCTCGGTGCCGAGGGGTGAATGATGTTCTACCCCGCATATTGAATCTAGTAAATATAAATCCCTTTGTGGGATCAGTTCGCTCACTTTTACCCTGCTCTCTCCCACCCAGTTGAAATATTGAAACATGGCATTGACTAAGCCAATCCTTTATAAGTTTTGGACTATTCTTGTCCCTATATTTGTCGCATACGTTTATGGCCCGTTAGTCTATCGCCATTTGACTGTGTTTGGTATTTTGCGGCGAACACACCCGACACTTACCAATCCCGAAGACATTATTACCATTCAAGATACCACGCACTGCGAGGATCTCCACTACTATTCACCACGTCAAATTCTCTTTACAGCATGTGAAGATACTTTTCTCACAAGGTTCTCATGGTTTCCACCGCTTGAGGTATTCGACAACCCTGCCGTCACTCATGAGGCACGTGGCTCGATACACGTTATTGATCTGGAGGCAAGTCGTACGCCCCCGACTGGAGATCAACACTGGACCATGAAGTCTCGTCGCCTTCGTTTTACGAATTTCGATGGCCCTTTCGTCACGCATGGGATTGATGTGCTCCCAGATCCCGAGTCTGCAAATGGGGATGCAGTGTACATATTTGCTGTCAACCATGTTCCAAACATGGAGCGTGTTGATGTGAATACAGACTCAACAGATCGCCTTGGATCCAAACCGCCACATCGAAAGTCTCATTCGCGGATCGAGGTTTTCCATCATACCCTCGGGTCGGATTCAGTTCACCACATCCGTTCAGTGCGGCACCCGTTAATTGCCACACCGAATGACATTTTTGCGATTGGGAAAGCATCATTTTATATCACCAATGACCATTACTATCCCGAAGGTCCCTTGCGTGCTGTTGAAATCATGTACTTTGGCGCTAAATGGTCAAACATTGTCCAAGTTCAGTTTTCTGTAAATACAGGGGCTCAAGCAGGCCTCGAAACCGGCGTCAACGCGTCTGTCGTGCTATCCGAGCTACACAACAACAACGGTTTAGGGCATGGACGATCTCCCAGCGAATTGCTCATAGGTAGCGCTGCTAGTGGAACCCTCCATTTTGCACGATTACCTGGAGACGCAGACACCGCAATTGAAGTCGTTGACTCTATTCCGTTTGACTCGACCATCGACAACCCCACCTACTTCTCCGATCCATTCGCCAATTCTACTTACGACGCTTCCGGATACGTCATTGCCGGCTTGCCGAGAGCTATAGACCTTACCGCAACCGCCAGGGATCCTGGGGGAAAGGATGGGGCAATGGTGTGGTACGTGAAGCAAAAAATACCAGATTCTAGTATTGTGAATGAGTCTAGGACTGGTAGCTGGGAGAAGCGACTCCTTTTTCAGGACGATGGAGAGAGAATCCGGAGTGCTAGTACAGCCCTACTGGTTGCCATTGATCCAAGGATTGAAGGTCCGCAGCGTAAGGCATGGCTTTTTATTACGGGTCCCTGGTCAGAAAACATGATAGCTGTCAAGATTGACATCTGAGGGATATGTCTTTTACATGGACATTAAACTTTAAGCATTAATTTGTTGAATTCGGGTCACCTATCACGTTGACTTGAATGCTTTCAATAATATCCTGTCAAACAGCTTTATCTTGCAACATTATGCAGCTTCCATCACCGTACTTAATCCAGTTGAGCAGTTCAATATTGCAATCTTGCACTCGATTAATATGTCTGGACAGTATGCATTGGAATTGGTTATATGATGATTCACAACTGACATCAGAGGTTGGGATATGAATGTTCCTGTTTTAAACGATGAACGGTCTGGCCAAATATGATCCGGAAATAACAATAACGGCTGACACAACATGACGAACCACCTAGCGTACGGCAAAACGAGAATAGCGACTCGATTGCGCCTTAATCGCTGATGTTTTCTGCCGACAGTCCGTCACTACCTTTGTGGGAAATTAGCTCCGTTGGGCAAACAATTATATCGACAAAATTGTAGAACGGATGGCAACCATTTCATGCGCCGCTTAAAGAAGGCCAGTTACTCAACAATCCCATTAATTTTAATCTCTGCAAACTTTTACACCGAGTGATTCTCAGCACGCCAATTAATTATGACCCGATCCCGCGCCGTCCTGGTGACGGGAGCAAATTAATATAACTTCTGTCTGCTCCCTCAAGGTGAGCAAGTTGCCGGCACGACAATCGTGTATTGTGAAATGCTTCACCAGGATCATGTAATATTATAGGTAAGACAAAAACAATCGCACGCTTAAGTCCTCCAATATTCTTCTTCGTATGATCATCCATACGCGTCAATTGGCTGGCCTGCAGCTGGCCCGGACCTGCGTCAATCTGGCTGACAAGCTGCAGGGCTTGGCTGTGATGATCAGCATGTTTTTATTCCTGCCAAGACTGCCACCTTGGCTGTCATGTCCAGTGGAGTGTGTCTAGGGCGACTTATTTTAGTACCTGGGGCCATAGCCACATGGACAATGCTTGGCGATGAGTCTATCCCGACCGCGTTCAATTCAGGACGGACTTTGAGACCTTTTAAGATGCACTAGCTTTGCAGCGACAAGGTCCCCATGCTTCAGTGTGATAAGACTCGATTTTCGTTGGTTGGTCATCATAGCGGGAGAATATGTGCCTAGATAATCATCGGCCAACCTCGTCATCAATCGGTTAGGTTCTACACTCTTTCTACCACCGCGTTCATCATGGACAGACCAACTCGCATCCAAGGAATGGAGCTTGGTAAAACCTGGATTGTGGTAGCGCAGCCTAGGCGCCGTGGCCCTTGCATTCGGAACATGGCGGGTTTCACAAACATTCAGCTGGGCGTTCAATATATGCGCCAATACTGGAAACCGAATGGCCTCGGCCTACCCCAGTTCGGCTTTCCAGACCCATGCTCAGTACAGGTCTCTTTTTCTGCGTGTTCTCGTGTGCCTAGACGGAAAAAGTAAGGTTGGGCCCGCACTGGAGCCCAGGCAAGGCTGAATTGCCCTTGTTTTTACGACGGCCAGCAGCAAGGACCGATGGATGTTCTCGTTGGATCAAGGACACGTGGGCCAAGAATTAGACGCTGTCACTGTCCTAGACCCGCATTCCTGCATGGCATGGACGGTTTCTCAACAGATGACCTGCACTGGAGATTTCTAATCAAGGCACAAGATAACGTCGGCAGGCAGTTGGCCTCCTTTCCCGCGCGGGGTTTTCTGCCTTGCCGTGCTGTTGCGTGCGGCTGAAGCGTGCAGCTAACGGAACGTGGCTAGTCCGACATTCGTATCCAGTTGCAAAGCTTCAGCTGCAAGGCGCCCTCTGTACTCTGTAACGCTAGCAAGGTTCTAGACCGGTCGAGCAGCGCGAGGATGAGGATGTTTATCCAGGCTCCGCTGTCGTACAATTATCCCTCTTCTCTGGGCTCCTCATCTCTCTTCTTGCTCCGTCGTCGCTGTTGTACGTGTAGCTGTGAGTGATCCAGCTACGGATATCAAGATGCCTTTCGACTTCAAGTCCTACGATGAAAAGTGCAACGGCCTCACACCCGAAGAGCTCCAGCGGGAATGGCAGCACTACACGCGCCTTATCTCCGGCGCTGCCACCTCGACAGCAGTGTCGGGTATTGCGGTCCCCTTCACCCTAGGCGTGTCGACTATCGGCGTGGCCATGGCCGCACCGGCGATCCACAACGCCCGCAAGAAGCGTGAGATCATCGAGAAGCACCTCAACAAGCACAACGCGACGCATACGACTCGGAAGCGCGATGTGCTGGGAAGCGTGGCGTTTAGCGGCACCATCGGCGTGGTGACGCTGGGCGTTGGCTCGATGGGCGCCGACGCTGTTGCTACAACCGGAGCGGAACATGGAATAAGTGCCATTATGGAAAACGACACTGCCATCAAAATCGTCACCCACGCGGCGCTGGACGGGGCGGGAATGGCGGCCGAACATGCCCACACGAAACACCTCAAGAAGAAGGACGCCTTCAAGGCATTCAAGGCCGCTGGTGTGTTCAACGCCGTCAAAGACGCCAAAGCAGCCGAGGCTGGCTATTCAATCTCACCGTACAATCCCCAAGGAGTCAGCGGCGGGAGCAGCTCCTCCAACCCGCTTCCTCCCCCGTCCGAGCCGCTTCCACCTCCTCCTTACAACGTCGCCGTTGGCCAGACGCAGTTCCAGCCGGGTTACTTTCCCAGCCAGAATGCGTATGCTCCGGATTACAAGGCGCCGATGTCTCAATCGCAGGTCGTCCAAGACCCGCAGCTGATGACACCGGCAGTCTACGGGCAGCAACCTACAACTCCGCAGCACTTTTCTCAGGTCCCACCTCCACCGACCGATCCAGCCGCGACAAGTACATTCCCGGCCGTTCCAGTTCCAGCATCGTACCAACAAACATCAAGCGGAGGATATCCCTCTTACACTGGGCAGACCGCTCAAGGCTATCAGCCCGCCGTGCCGCAACAAACGACGACGCTCTATCCACAGAGCACAGGTTCATCCACGCTCCCAGCATACAACCCAACTGCGCCGTCTGGAGTCTACGACATGAAATCAATGAATGAAGCTCTTCCAACCCAGAGCTCGGCCATGGCCACGTCATATCAGCAACCACCCCAGGGAACGCCAGCGGTTCCTCACGGACGTTCCCAGTCGATTTCCCAGCCAACTCCACAGGCTCACCCGAGCACCCCAGTGCAACCCAACCATACCGGCCAGACTGACCAATTGCCGATGGGATACCCACCGCCCGTTCAACCAATATCGCAACCGCAGTCTGCAACTCCAGTGCTGTCATCCCAGTCATATGTTTCCGGCCAGAGCTATGTTGCGGAGCCAAGCGCACCGCAAGTTCACAACCCAGTTCAGGCATCTGAGGGGCATGCTATGCAACACACGCCAGAGTATCAGACACCAGCTACACAGAGACTGCAAGGTTATCAAGACTACTCCAGCTACACATCACCGCAGCAAACAGGCACTTATCAAGGGACAAACCAGGCGCCGCCGCCGCCACCACCTGAGAGCTCGACAAGGAGGGACTCGGCCATCAGTACTTTGCAACATTCATTCACTCCTCAGCAATACGCACCTGCACCACAACAGGGGTATTCCTATTCCACCACGCCTGCTCAGCCCCAGCAACCCCAGTTTCTTCCTCCGCTTCCTCCTCCACCTGGCCCTCCTCCATCTGGTCCTGTTTCTCAACCCCCAGCGGCTTTTAATGCCACTCAAACTCAGCAATACAGTACTGGAGCATACTCTGCGCTTCAATCACCCGTGGTTCAGAATCAGCAACAGTACCAACCCATTGCTCCACCGCAGCCATACCAGCAGCAGTACCAGCAGCAGCCGAACTATCCGCCAACCCCAATCTCCTTGCCCAATCAACCTCCAGTTTCGCAGCATCAACAGCAGTACCAACCGAATGCTCCCCCACAACAATACCAGCCACAGTACCAGCAACAACCGCAATCCTACAACTACCCGCCAACCCCAGCCTCCTTGCCCAGCCAAACCCCCATGATGCATCAACACACTGGCTCGAGTTACTTCCCGCCTCCCCCAACTACGAAACAATCACAGCCGATAAACGCACCGCAGCAGGAACAACAGCCCTGGAATGGACAAGTGCCTGGGCACATGCCGTACACGCCAGCTACGAGCCCAGGAACTATGTGGCAACCACAAGCGATAAGCCAAATATATCCCCAGCATCAGCAGTAGTGTTTAGAGTACATAGATAACGGTTGCGGTCAATGAATATTTAACGATATCTTTTCAATTCTGGTATGAGAAATCTCATTTTACTCACAAATTCTACTGGTTTGGAGCTGAAGCACCGGCTCAATGGCGCAAATGAAGCCATCAGATCTGCGTATCCTTTCTTCCTTTCAGTCTCTCAAAGGGGTATTAGTACTCTATCTTACATGTATTCTATCCTTCACATCTTCATCCCGGCTTCTATCACAAGTCCACCGTATCAACCTCCACATCAGAGGTGATCAAGGAGCCCTTTGGGACACACCTCCAACGCGATCAATCTCCACTCCTCCCACTGCCGAAGCAAGAGTGGATGCACGTTGGGTTTCAATTCACTCACTGTCCAAATATCATACTTCCACGGTTTGCCAACCGCGGTAAAGTGGATAACATAGGACTGAGCGAGAAGATGATCCAAGTCTTCGGCAGACGCAGGTTGTGAGGGCTCAGGTGGCGCAGAGTCTGAGGTGGCGACTTTGGGTGTAAACCACGGGGGAAGAGTCCAGTCTTCCCAATGGTTGTTCAGTACAATGTACGAACCAGGGAGTCGAACAGCTAGATCTCCAAAAAGAGCGTTGACAACGTCCATGTCGTACTGGTGCGGTGGAAGAGTCGCGACTGTCTGCTGTATTTGGCTCCACAGCTTTGGTGTGGGCTGTATAAGCATGAGAGTGCTGCTCAGGAACGAATCGTCGAGCCAGTAAGCTCTCGGGGCGACAAGATCTGCTGGCGGCAGGTCGAAAAGGTGATCGAGATTTTTCAAAATGAGTTGATCTGCATCGAGTACGACGACACGATTTAGACTTTGGTCAATCTCGTGCATCCTGAATGCGCTGAGCTTGAGTAAACAGCCGCGGTAGTATTGACTGCTGGCGGAATGAAGAGGCATGGGATTCTCTCTGACGACCTCTGCACCCAGGGTCTTGAAAGAAGAGCGGTACTTGGAAGAGACATCCTTGGACACTAGGACAATGATGCGATGCTTTGAGTGGTGAACGGCCTTGAGCAGATGGATATTAACCAACACCGAGCAAGCATATGCGTCCTGGGCAGCGTAAAAGACGTAGGCATTAGGGCTACCTCCTGCGAGTCGTGCTCCCTCCGAGAACCCATAATCACGGGTGAGGAGAATAAAGACCAGGATCAAGCATGCCAGAAATACCCATACTTTTATAACGGGGTTAGTTCGTTGGAATCGATGGCGAAACCGCATGTCGTAATGCAGCTACTGGTTGAGATGTCGGGGAAAGGATCTCTGAATTTCCGTCATCGCGAGTGAAAGTGTCAGTTTCACCCATGTTGGTTGTTAGTCAGCTTCTCAGGGGTACTGCTCCGAACCAATCAGATACTAGGACTCATCATTCAGTCTGTTATCAATCAATTTACTGCTGCCCGGTTTATTGATGAATCCTACCACTATTTCCCTTTTTCATTTCAGTGATAGTTCTCCTAAGAATCCATACTGCTCTGCCCTACAATTATCCTTGCTATTCGACCCTGCTTCCGTACTCTCTGTGATGCTTCACCATTCCAGCAATAACACAGGCCAAGTGGGTACAATACATCAACCTGACCAGTCAGCGTCTTGCGATAAACTCCTCTGTCATTACCTTTGTTCCCTCAGACCACGTTAAAACAATGACGTAGATAACAAGTGTATCCTTGGCACGAGAAGCCGTAATAATGGCCAAGCGTCCGACATGTAAAGGCGAAAGGGACCCTGCGATGCAGCTCTCCCTTCCTGTTCGACCTGTATCTTTCTCAATCTGCCTGCTCGGGAGATAAATAGGCCAACTACGCGTGTGAACGGAATAACCATACAGCCTAACAGGCCTTGACAAATATGCTCAAAGTGCCTGCTTCTTGGCCGCGCGCGTCTAACAATGCATCTGTCTGCTTTTCGCGCCCTGGTATATTGTGCATGAAACTCGGGGCTTTTAAAATCAGCCAAGGCCAAAGCCAAGGATAAAAAGAACAAGATGACGTAAAGAATTCCAAGCTGATCGCCCCCAACTTATTTCTGTATTTTTTAGTGGATGCCTATGCAAGTCTGCAGATGGCTTTTCTTATTCTCCCTTATTTACTCGTTGCTACAGGATAATTCTTGCAGTAGAAAACCTCTACTTCGTATTATCTTACGACGCGTCGCAAAGCTAAAAATAAATGAAACATTACGCAGCCACACCTCACAGCCAAGGTAGATTCATGGGTGCTGTGGCAAGTAGCCTTATTCACCAGAGCCCGACTTTGAGGGTTATGGAGACCCCCCACACTTAGCATGAAATGACAACTCTGCTTCCTACATCACCGGGACCGGACCGCCGTCGTCTGTGAGGCGCATCACGCACAAATTACGCACCACAGCAAATCCACTTGCGTTAATCACCAAACCTTCTTGAACCTTTGTTTTAGAGAATACCCTGAAAAGGTTGCTTTTGGCTAAATAGCGACACCCACGCCTTCACTGTTCGCTTGTCAGGGCATCTGCCACTACCTCGATCAGCGGCGCAAAAGAATGTCTCAAAGTTACGACTGCGACTCGGTGTCCTCTTGTTCAGACCGAGGAGATTCACTCAGCTGCCATGAGACACTTCAAGGGGAGCTACTCGCAGACATCGATTACAACAACAGCGACGACAGTGAACAAGATGCTCACACCAAGAAGTGTGCAGACAGCCCCATGGGATCTGGCATTGACACGGGTGAACCATTCACCACCAATAAGCCTTTGCGGTCTCTCCTGCAGCAGCTTGTCTTGGACCTACTTCTAGGGTTACCAGCAATTGGCTTTTTCATCTACGCCATTTTTTTAAGCTGGAATGACGGAAAGCCTGTCGATATAGACCCTATACCGACTCTGCGGGTTGCTTCCAGTTACGGCCCCACGATTTTCCCCATCGCCTTCGCTGCCGTTGCCTCCAATTTGATGAAGGCTAGCGCTGCTTGGAAGCTGGAACGAGGCATCACAGTACTCAGCCTAGAGCTTCTAATGGGCAGTCGGACTGTCTTCAGCTCTATTACTTCGCCAATATCCCTGCGTGCCTTCAACAGCCTCACCCCGTTTATTCTAGCACTATGGGCCCTCTCTCCTCTCGGTGGCCAGGCAGCGTTACGCGTGTTTGACGTAGGGCACTCGGCTCAGGAATGGCCTTTCTGGTTTCTCAACATCCACCAAAGGTTGCCTTACATTAAGTATCAAACTGGTGTGCCATCAGCAGAGCTTGCTATATCTCTTGCAGCGTTCTCCACTGCACTTGCAAGCCCGATGCATCTCAAAACGGCAAGCCAAGACGTGTTTGGTCATGTCAAGGTACCAATGATCGAACCATATCTTGAATCAATTTCGCCAGGAAATGATGGCTGGTATGAAGTCGGGAAACTAAACAACACGACGGAAATCATTTATTCGTCCCTCTCTGGAATTCCAACGAGCCCTTCTGGTGGCTTCCAATCGCGCGCCAACTACACATTTCGATTGCAGACATCATATTTGAACACGCTATGCAGTCTGGTGGAATATTCAAATGTAACGACTTCCGAATGGAAAAAGATTATAAAGCCAGGGATATATCAGGAATGGAATCCACATACCCAGCGCAACGTCACACCTAGCAACTTCTTCAGCAACGGGAGAACACTGCTGATCGAAACCAAACCGCGCAATAATACATCGCAGAGCCCTCAGGAGTTGATTTTCACGTCTATCTCACGGGAAACAGTAACAAACGCGACATGCCAGTTGACAACAACATTTGTTGAACTGGAGGTAGCCTGTTATCGGGCGGCTTGTGCAGCTAGCTATATCCGACCCTTGAAGAGACCCGATAACGCGACCTTCCTGACGGTCCTGGATGGCTTGGATTGGTATGGTCAATCCAGTTCATCATGGCGAACTCCCATTTTCATCAGTAATTTTGTCCATGCCGGTCTCCCCCTATGGGGACCTACTCCAATGGAGCAATATTTTACAAATCCCGACTCACCATTTGAGATTGCCTATCAAAACCAACCAATATCAGTTATAGGAGATGATACTTTCTCACGACGCTTTTCCCAGCTGTTAAACACTTTCTGGATTACTAGTGTCGCTCCCTTTGATGCTATTAATAATCTTACTCTTCAAGAGCAACGCCCAATTGGCTTCGATATATCAGACACTGCTTCAGGATATCTAAAGACCAATGGTACCAGGACCTCCGACACGCCAGTGCTGAAGGTTCATAGAGTCTGGCTTGGTATTCTTGTTATGGCCTCTCTAGCTACGCTGCTCGCTGCATTCTCCGCATCAATCCTTAATGTGCTGCGACGCGGTCCAGACATCCTAGATTTCACCACCAGTCTTATAAGGGACACACCCTATATGAATGTTGATACTCCAGCTATCCCCATGCAAAATGGTGTAGAGTATACGAGGAAGCTAAGACACATCCGTATCTGCTTAGGTGATGTCAAAACTGAACAGGGCACGGAACACATTGCTATTGGGACTATGGATAAGGCAGTGCCGTTACGAGAGCGGGAATTTCGTTACCAGCAAGTCACAACATCACGCAACGGATCTCACGATACAACGCGTCACATTCGTAACGGGCTGAGTCCGGCAACCGACAGATGACAAGAATGAGGTTGTCAAGAGGAAATTTGGGGTCGTACGCACTGGATATGAGGAGCAGATACTCTGGCGCTTTGTCTTACTGTCCTTTATGCCGTTTAATTATGTTGTAAAAAGCCCAGGGCTTCGCTGGCCAGGGGCACTGTTGATCCAATCACTTTATGATAGATGCGTTGTCCCGCGATGATGTCTTCCATGTGATGTAGGGTAGTTGGGAAAGCATCTTCTCTATATTGCCTGACAATAGAATAACAGAACTTGACTAACACCGCGGCATATGAATGATAGTGGGTGAGGGAGTGAGAAGAGGACACTAAGAACACACAACCCACCCAGAGACAGAGCAGTGATGACCGTGATAGTGTTGTGGCGGAAAGGTCGGATAGGGTCAAGTTTGGAGTCCGGATAAATCGCGCAGCTGGGTAAAATAGATAGCTTTTTTAGCTGATACCGTTTGATCAAATGGACCTTCAATAGGTCCCCAAAGGATAAGTCAAATAACTGTCAATTGAATGAGATGCTAGAGGGATGATGCTGTCCTGAAGGTCCTGTCCGGGACCTTCCCTGGCCCCTACCCGGTACGGTATTTCCTGTTGAAGGAACCCACCAATCCTAGCCCTAGTGGCTGCAAGCATCCGATCAGATGACCTTTATCCCCGAAGACCGGAAAGCCCCGACTCAATAGATTGGAGCCATCAGCCTCTACTGTCACTCTGTAATGGGAGAAATGGTTAAACGATTTTTTTTTTTTTGAATAACCAATGTTTTAATTATATAGCAGTATATACCAAATAAGAAGTGCAAAGATAAGGATGCAGAATAATAATAGTCGCTATTAGAAACTTAATTCATTATTTTCCTATCTTTTGTCAATTTACATAACTTTAAAACTAACTATAAATGTATTTCATAGAAGACAGATTCTAGCCGACTGAACCCCGCAGAAACCCCCCGACTACAACGACACCATTACAACCCAGAGGGAGTTCAGGCCATACGAAGGGCAAATACACAACCTGAAAACCTGGGTAAGGCTGGTGACAAGATCAGTAGTACACACTCGATGGTAATATGTTGCCTCTAGGGGTAGCAGAGTGAAACTGCAGTAGGGTTTTATTCTATAACTACCTATACGAGGTTCAATGAGAAGAGTTAAGTTCTGTTATATATTTATTTTTCCGAGTGATTTATACCAAAGACATACCCGACAGTCATTGGAGACTTATCTGTTCTATAGTAATCAGCATTATATAAGTGCTGGCCGCTAATCCGTCGGCGATTCCGTAGCGTGACGGCTGATAGAACTTCAGCGCCGAAGACGTTCGGAGACTACGTCAAGGGATGTTGGCCTAGAACAGTATACCCTCCAAAGCGCAGGAAGATATAAACGATACTGCTAGGGCGCTTCGGGAATCGGTACAGACTGATCGCATTAGCTGACAAATAGCATGAGAAGAGGTGGAAGAATGGATGGGACCAGTAGTTCAATTGGCTAGGGATCCGTTAATAGAATTTAATGTAAGCAATCTAATTGTTTCGATTTGATGAGGCATCATAAAATCAGCTGATGTGGTCTATATTCCGAGCTTACTCGGGTGTAAACATTATCTCTCAAGCAATGTCCGTCGAATGATCGGCAATAACAGTTTCGTGGCGCGCTACTTTAGACGGCGGAATGTCTCTGCCGCTGGTCGTTATGACATAACTCCCCCGAGCCAACGCGAGGACGGAAGGATGGGGCTTCTCGGATCTTGCTTCAGCAGCGTGTACGAAAGCTGCGTGCGCAAAAACATTACAGTACACATCATCAGCTGTCCAACTCGGATTGGGAGTCATGGATTATTAATCGTAAAACCACATCCAGGATTTCGAGTACGCATTGCTTGATCATGCGCGATCATGATTACCAAGATGCCGGCTAGCTTATTTGCCCAAAGAGTCATTTGTAGTGTCAAGTTCCGTATGTGCTCGGAAGTAATATTTTTGCTTGCGGTTAAATATCGATTTTAATGCTGTCGTTATAGATCACCAGTGCCGAACAATACGACTTCTTTCACCCAGCCACCATCACACAGCTGTTACATCGCGCGCAAACAGGATATTCCGCAGAAGGCTAAAATGGCGACTTCCAACCTCGCGACAAAAATCATTGCGGGAGTTACGGTTGTTGACACGCCGGTTGTTCGAGCTGCTCAGGGGTATGCTCGTGCACACAGCGAGGACTTCGCCTTCAACCATGTGATGCGATCATGGATCCTTGGTGTCGTTGTCTACCAGGAGCTCCACGCGAAGGGCATTCTCCCGCAGATGGACCTAGAGGCGCACGCAATTAGCGCTATCTTCCACGATCTTGGCTGGGACTGCACAGGCGCGCTGGTTTCTCAAGACAAACGCTTCGAGGTGGATGGCGCGGAAGCCGCTCGTGCTTGGATTGAAGAGGAGCAACGCGGTGGAAGGGCGGAGCACTGGGACGAGCATAGGATCCAGTTAGTTTGGGATGCAATTGCTTTGCATACTACCGGGACGATTGCCATGTACAAACAAACAGTCGTCAAGGTCTGCGCCTTTGGGGTTAGGGCCGACATTCGAGGGCCCAATTTCGATAAAGCAGGCACGATCTCGTGGGACGTGTTCAACGCTGTCAACGAGATGTACCCTCGTCTGGATTTGGCCGATGGGATTCGCCGAGTTATCTGTGGCTTCTGCCGAGCCAAACCCACGACTACATATGGTCAGTATATACCCTTTCTCGCTCCGCTGGTGTGTTCCTGACCTAACCTCTGCGGATACAGACAATTTTCAGGTAGATTATGGCAGGGAATTTGTCGACGGCTATAAGCCGGAGGGAAGCAGGCTTCTCGATGCTGTTGAAAAGACGTTTAAGTAGGAAGTTATCACTAAGAAGAATATTATTCGCGTACCTCGCATTTCCAATTGGCACTTCCAGCGCGTCTATCTCCTAAGGCTGGCTGAATTATTCTTACTCTATTTTAGAGAATCTTATAACAGCCATAGTTTGTAAGGGTCTTGTTAATCGAAGCAATATATTGCCTTCTTTAGCTGTGTGTCGCGGCCTGGCCGCCTGTGGGACCTGGCCCATTCTTCCTCAGCGCTCGACGGGGATTCAATATTCAGTCCGAAATTCCTAGCGTTTTACCGCAAAACCAGCCGAAATTCCGATGACGACGACATCGTACGATTCCTGCTTAGTTACCATACAACGTCAAATTTATCACTGTACAGAGACGAATTTTCCGTAAAAGTTTTCTCTCTAGCAAGAGTATTTTAGCAACAGAGAGTTGCTTGTTCGAGTTTAACATACCCAGACTCCATATTGCCCTCGGCTTTATCATCGAATGCTTATGCTGTGCAGTATTGGCAAGAACATCGTGTAGGGCCCCAGTCACTGCCCTCATGTCCATTGGGCATTAGCCAGACAAGGCTTTGCCCGGGCTATTAGATGAAGAGTACTGGCTTTACCACGCTGAGTTCAGGTCAGTTGATAACCCTGTCTTTTCTACATCCATGGCATGACCACGTCAGTTGGTGGAGGCTGAGTAGACAACCTACATAATTAGCTGCATAATTTCCGCTAATACACTCCCCAGCTGGCTGGCTGCGCGCATAAAAATAGCCTCCCCACGCAAACATTCATTTTGAGGCCAGCTGCCCTGTAAGGCAATATACCCCCCATACGATGCCAGCTTTTCCAATGCGCCCTGCTTGACTCGGGGAAAATCCATCTATATGAGGCATTATCTTACGTTTGGGGCTCCCAGGATGCTAAAAAGTCCCTCATCTTACACGATCATGAACTCTCCGTCGGACATAACCTGCACGCGGCATTGTCGCATCTTCGGGGTGGGTTCGTCGAGCGAATCATCTGGATCGATGCCATCTGCATCAACCAAGAGGACAGAGCGGAGAAGGGACACCAAGTGCAGTCAATGGAAAAGATTTTCGCCAAAGCGAATTGCGTGATCGTTTGGCTGGGAGAGGCCCGAGGGAACACTGATGAGGCGCTGGAGGATTTGTTCCTCGCAGCCAGGGCTTTGGACGAGGATCAGAGTCCCCCCAAAGACATTAATAAACCTGGGATTGTGGAATTGCTCCAGCGGCCATGGTTTGAGCGGATCTGGGTAAGAGAACAAACGACAGTGATTTGAAGATGTCTTGCTGATGGAAATATAAAATTCCAGGTACAGCTCGGCGCATCTTGATCAAGTGTGGCTCTGCCGAGATTGACGGGCAGGTTTTCTGCTCAGGACTAGCTGCCTTGAAATTATCCTATCCAGGCAAATCTACGTCCCTAGCAGCTCTCGTCAGTTCCGCAACTTACCTCATGAGAGGTGCTGCATTTCGGCCTAGGTGGATAAACAAGGGACCGGGCAGGTTTTCGCTGGGCATACGCCCTTTGGCCGAGCTGATTGAGCTACACCACAGCCGCAAAGCCACCGAGCGCCACGACAAGATTTATGCGCTGCTTGGTATGGCTCATGATTTCAGCGATGCGCAATTACAAGTCGACTATGAGCTTCCGTGGAGCAAACTCTTCCAGAATTTTGTCAAGGCAATCACTTCCGAAGAGGTGCAAGTGGACAATTGGGACGATAAGGAGACGGCTATCATGAAAGGGCTCGGCCACGTTCTCGGCGAAGTCACGGAAGCTGAGGGAGATGCGGCTTCGACCAATTTGAAAATCCGGTGGAGCTCCTACGTCACCAAGGCCTTCAAGTTGGGAACAGCTTCAACGAGAGCTGACTGGACACTCCCGTTTGCGGCGACACCTATCCGCCGTGGAGATGTTGTATGCCTCTTTCAAGGAGCCTCGAGGCCGACAGTCATCAGGCCATACAAAGATTATTGGGCAGTTATAAGAATCTCAGTTACGGCAACTGACAGAGTCGCAATGGTGATCCCAACCATCGAGTGGCCCAGGGATCAGGCAACCCACCTTTTGCTGGTTTGGGACTGGGACATGTACCAAAAAGAACTGCAACTTGAGGACTACTGCGAAACGTATAAGAAGCGTCGGGGCTTGGAGTTTCCAAATGCAGAGCAAGAAGATTTCCTGGATAGAGTAATAAGGTTGCAGAACCTTGGGATGGGATTGCAAGACGCGGAAAGAGTTGAAGACGGGTGTAAGAGGATCGATATGATGGTGAATAAAATCGAGAAAGGGTTGGAGACCATCATTGACCCATAATCAGCTGGTGGCGGGCACACTGCGGGTGGATGAGATGATACAAAGCTGAGGGAGACATTTCATCTGCTTAGCAAGAGCAGATGGCCGATGCTCGCTTTAGCAGCGGAGAGTGCTCGCGCGATAGTTGTCAAGCTGCTGCTTGACTTCAATGAGGTTGACCCAAATCGCGACAACTTCGACGGCAACAGCGCGCTTATGTGCACGGTCATCAACAAACATGAAGCGGTCGTCAAGCTGCTGCTCAAGAGTAGCAGAGTCGACCCGAACGCTACCAACCTCGACGGCGGGTCGCCGTTTTATGGAGAATCGCCCGTATGGCGAGCGGCATATGAGGGGAATCTGTCGATTTTCACAATGCTCATCGACAGCGGCAGGATAGACATCGGCAGCCAGCAGAAATATCGGGGGTCGCCCTTGATGTACGCGGCGAAGAGGGTACATGAGGATATTGTCAAAATGCTGCTTGAAACCTGCAAGGTCGACCCCGACGCCGTGGGAGAGTGCGCGGCAACGGCGCTGTCCTGGGCTGCAGAGAGCGGGCAGGAGGCGATTGTCAAGATCCTACTTGATACCGGTAGAGTCAATCCGGACGGCAAAGACAACTTCGGATGCACGCCGCTATTTCAAGCAGCAAGCAACGGACACCACGGGGTTGCTGAGCTCTTGCTCTCCAACAGCCAGGTCAACCCGGATGCCCGAGCCAAGGATGACAAAACGCCACTGTGGACAGCGGCGGCCAACGGGCATGAAGCTGTCGTGAGGTTGCTCCTGTCCACCGGCAGGGTCAATGTAAATGCCCGCCTAAACGGCCGCTATGAGGACGGCAGAACGCCACTATGGATAGCGGCATGCCGAGGGCGCACGGCAGTGGTCGAGTTGCTGTTCAATGACCCGGGAATCGACAAGAATCCGCTAGGGCGTGACATATCGCGACCTGATAGGGGGAGGACTCAGCATATGAAACCCAAAATGCTGTGGCCGCTGCAGATAGCAAAAAAGGAGGAGCATCGGGATGTTGTCAAGCTGCTGAAAGGCTAGCCTCTCTCCAGGTTTGTTGGGGTTTTGAATTCCATGTCAATGTCAAGGGGTCAAAGTAATTAAGGGACGAGGGAGAGATAATAGCATCACAAGGTGAGGTGAAGCGGAGGCGACGATGATTTGGGCCATATGATCATGTTGATAAGCCAGAAGAATTGTGCTATATGTTTAGTACCAGAAGCACTTGAGGATCACGTTGAATCACTACACTACTACCGAAAATACTGGCACACTTCAGGGTGATAAGTGGTTAACAGCATGGACAGCTCACAAGGTTTCATGATGGATATAGACATCTTATGATGGTGCGTCAACGAATGTGTATTAATAATAGAACTATGAACTCCTCCTCCGGTACCTGTTAATGATCGTGCAAGCTATATAGTAACTTCAAGCCTTGTCCAAACTCCCATCTCCTTCCGTGTGTGTCAATGAGCGTGCAATCTATATTGTGGCCTCCAAATCGGATCCAGCCATCCGTCTCATCCTCGTGTGTGCGAATTCAGGGGTGTGTATGAGGTCTGGAGTAAAGCCATATCCCAACCTCATCGCGCCCCCATCTGTGTAACACAAGTTGAAGTAATAGTAAGGTATGGCCTTGGAACGTCAAAAAGCTGATTGCGTTCTAATCGCCCGTGGTTGGTTTCAACTTCAACTAAGCCGTGGCGGATAGTTTTGGTTGCTTTCGTTTTGGTTGCTTTCGTTTTGGTTGCTTTCGTTTTGGTTGCTTTCGTTTTGGTTGCTTTCGTTTTGGTTGCTTTCGTTTTGGTTGCTTTCGTTTTGGTTGCTTTCGTTTTGGGTGTTTTAGTTTTGGTTGGTTGCTTTAGCCTCGGGTACTTTGATTTTGTATACGTCTTTGTTACTGATGTTAAACGAAGGGTGTTTTCCAGTCATCCTTGCGGATGAGGAAAACCACCGTAGCGAATCATAGTAATATTAATGGAAATGCCGTGTTGGCAGATCCATAACCTCTGAGATTGGCTACTCATGTCGAATGAACAAAAGAGTATCCGAGTGTTTGGTCAAGACATTGCCGAAAATCTGGCTGGATATCGGCGGTCTATGTGCTGAAACGGCGTGTTCAGTCAGCCTTGGGCTCTCTACTCCTGTCTCCGTTGGCGGCGACGCTTGGAGGGAGGAGGAGGCCGGCGGGCTGAACGTCTTGGCGTGACAGATCGAAGATTCTTACATGAGTATTTCCGGTTGCGCGGCGGGGACGCTCCCAGGAGGACTCTTTTGCAACCATGTAATCTGTACAGGTTGAGAAACTTCTCCAAACTTTCAGGAGGTAGCTCGCGCTTCTGAGGCCCAAACGGAACGAAGTCGTTTGGGTCAAAAGGCTCGTGTTCCTCAAGTTTGATGTAAGTCTGTTTAGGCATTGGTGGGCCTTGGATATCAAGTTCGGCCACCTTTGGCTTTGGAATGCCATCGGTGTCAAAATTACCTTCTATGATACCCCCCAGGAAGACGTAGTGTGTCTCTGTCTGCTCCTGGTATTGATTTCTGAATTTTTCCTTTTGGGGACGAGACGTGCAGGGATGTGCCACAACGGCTGGATTGCCGTTGTGTAGTACGTTCTGCGTGACGAGATAAGGATGTTTGTCATCCCCAACCACTCTCCGGACAATTGATCCCGGATCGAGGTTCATGGGTGACTTGGCCTTAGTAGCATCTCGCCTCTTCGTGGAGCGGACAGCCTTCGAAGAGGATGGCATCGCCACGGAAGAAGGCTGCGGCCGCGGGCCAGGAGTCTCGGTCCCAGAAGCATTGTGGCTTGCTATGGACTCTGCCTTGGAGTCTCCTGGCCCAGTCACATCATCTTGTGATGAAAGGGGGACAACAGAGGCGATAGCGGAGGCTCTTTCTAGCTTCTCCGGGCTCGCGATGGGTGATGTGCTGGCATATGCCTCATCCTGGTCAAGGCTGTCAACCTCTCCCTCGCCCTCAGGGGACGCGTTAATTGACGTAGGACTGAGGTCTGCTGCCGGATCCCCATCTTCAGACTCGTCAGAGTCGGAATAGTTGTCGCCTGAATCAACGTGCACAACTTGGGGTGGACTGGTTCCGGCATTGCGGATGTTCTCCACCGGGTAGTCTTCGCTCGGGTCGGGCGGGCTGGAGCTGGGCGGAGCATCCCGATTCTCTTTCGAGTTGGGGAGCATGTCGCCGAGTTCCACCTTGACAACTTTGAGCGGAGGGCCTGCTGCTTGGCGGACATTCTCTTCTTCATCTTCTTCATCTTCTTCAGAGTCGGATGAACAGGACCTATGATCACTACATTCATCTTCGTCTGAGTCCCGTATCTGATGCGAAGAGGGAGGGCTATCATAAGAATCGCCAGCGTAATGTCCGTTCGAGTTAGAGACTGTGCTGCCGAGGTCCGCCTTGACAGATTGGAGCGGAAGGATTGTAGCTTGGCGGACAATCTCTTCTTCATCTCCATCCGAGTCGGATGAACAGGATCTAGGACCACTGCATTCGCCATCATCTGAAACCGATATCTGATACGAAGATGAAGGAGTGTCGTAAGTATTCCCAGCGTCGTCTTCGCCCGAGTCGGGTGCAGTATCGTTGAAGTCCGTATCCGATGTGGCATGCAAGGAGGGTGGAACATCAGGATAACCCTCGCCTGGATCGGCGGAGGTATGCTTTAGGCTTGTGCTCGGAACCCCCTGCGGTTCGGGCTGAGGGCCGCGGAGACTCGCGGTCGACTCTTCTTCCGAATCAGATGGGGTGACAACGTGGAGGCCCTCGTTGTGGTCTATGCCTAAACCAGACAGGGCTTCGCTGAGATCGCTATCGTAACCGTCATCCGAGTCACTCAGGGTGTCGAAGTGGTCGAAGCCTGTAGTCAGGACCCCTTGAGGTACGGGTTGAGGGTTGCGGAGACTCGCGGTCGACTCTTCTTCCGAATCAAATGAGTTGATAACGTGGAGGCTCTCATTGTGGACTATGCCTGAACCAGAGAGGGTTTCGCTGAGATCGCTATCGTAGCTGTAATCCGAATCAGATGGGGCATGGTCATGGTCATCTGAATCACCCGAGGTGTCGAAGGAGTCGACGTCTGGGTGCGGAACGCCACACCCATAGACTTGAACATGGCGGATGTCCTTATCGCCGTCGTAAAGACGAGTTGGGCGTCGCATATAGGGCCTTGTCTGGGAGTGCGGCGACTTGGGCCTCGTCGACCAGGAGGGGTCGAAGCCTGTGTGTAGAACGCCATGCCCATAGGCTCCAATATCGTCGAAGTCCTCATTGTCCTCGGACGTATGAGTTCGGCGTCGAGCATGGGACCTTGTATGGGAGTGCGGCGATCTGGGCCTCGTGGGCCTGGGGGTGGAAATGGAGGATCCGTGTGGCCACCGATGGTACGAGGCATCTCTCAGCTCTCGTCGAGATCCATGGTGGCGGCGACGGCGTCCCCTCTGCTCTGGGCTCCTTTCACGATGGGAGCGGTGTCTGTCGGGTTCGGGACGGCGTCTGTGACGGTGCGAAGGGAGTTCCGGCAGCGGTTTCCCAGGCTTCCATTCGAGAGCGGCGTATTTGACGAAGAGGATTGCCCAGTCCGCCGCTGTCAAACTCGCCTTGCGTTTTAAGGCGTCATATTTCTCCTTGAATCTCTCCTTGAACCTCCGCCTCCAGCTCTGTTCGCGGCTGTGGCGCTGCTTGTTTCGTAGTGGACTGGGTTGTCGATGGCCGTAGGACATGAGAGCTTCGTTGGTGACGGCAGTGACGGTGGAGGGATGACGTATTGTCGTGACAAGGTAGAGTGACAAGGTAGAGTGACAAGGTAGAGTGACAAAGGAGACTGACAAAGGAGAATGAATAGGAAGAGTGAAAAGTTTGGTAAATAGAATGGATAGAAGCGTGTAATGTGCCTTCTTCAGTGTGGTGATTGTGTTTGAGTCTCAAAACAGGCAAGAGAGGCAGCAGAAGAGAATACGGTCGGTTGGCGGCCCAGAACGGAAAACCTCGACAGCGCAGAATGACTCAACCTCATGAAGACTCACGTGAGGCGAGGCCTACATCGGCGGCCAGGTCGCGGCGTATCTGGATTGGTTGGTTGGTTGATTACCGCTGCACCTCCAGCTGCAGCCTCCGGATTCGGCAACCAGAGAAGAAGCAGATGGAAACAACAGTACATAGTACATGATCCGCAAGGCAGTTTCTGACGTCATGTTGCTGACGCTGTCAGTGTCCTCTCTCGAATTACAGCCCGTAAGTAGGCCTTGGCGACGCACTCAAGGCCCTGTTTGGGCTGTCTCTGCCTCCATTATCCTTGGCGTGGACGAGCTGAAAAGCACCCCTGTACGGCGAGTCACCGAGGGTCGTATGACTCGAATTACCTGCACGGAGTAGGTTCTGACTGGTAAGTGGACAAGCCACCAGTTCCGTTGGGTTCTCTAAGCGTTCTGCGGTAGTACTCGCCCATCTACAGGGGAGCCTGGCCATTGGTACAACCCCCTTGAACGTGTCTGGTGGATGACCAGGAATCAGGATAGGCCACCCACGCATGGCCTCAGCCCTACCGGCAGTAGAGCGAGCGAGTGTAACTTTAAAGGGAAGGAAAAAGCCATAATGGCGGTCGATGAGCATCCCGTCTCGTCGCTCGAGGTATCAGCCCACAGCTCCCCCATTACAGCTGCAGTCCCGCAGCCGCTCACACACAGCAGCCCAGAAGCAGCCTAGAAGCTCGAACCCATCACAGCTGTGCAAGTCAGTCGGTAATCTATCCGCCCGATACCCAGCTAATGGCAGGAATAGCTCTATCCGCAGCCGTAGCCGTAGCTGTAGCCCAGCCTCAGTAGCGGAATCGTACGGAGTATCCCAATTTGGAAGCTTTGGCACCTCTAGCACCTCCATGGCACCCTGCCAGCAGAAGGCGCCGTGCCAACTTACCATCAAAACTCTGTACATACATAGATTCAGTCGCATTAGCGTGTCAAAACATCAACTTTCTCAACAGAGCTGGAAGCTACAAGTGGTCAGTAGAAACAGGAACGAATATCGACTGCATGATCCCCAGCGCTAATGGATTAACCCTGTCTCGGGCGGGCACTCTTACGCGAGGCTCAAAAGGGAACGCTCCACAATGCAGAGCTGATAATGTGCCTTACTTACCATGTACCGTCCGGAGTAACAGGCACCTGATTAATCCGAGAATCCTAGTCACGTCGCCAACACCATGCTAGCTGTTGAAATCCGAGCAGATCTCCTCGACAAGGCTCGAGTATACACGCGGGTTTGTCATAAGATGATATATTGCTCTGGACAGGAGCGTTGCTGTAGTCTCGCTGCCGGCAACGATGAAAATAAGTGAGTTGCTATTTAAGTCTTCCGATTCTGCCTTGCTTATCTAACATCCCAGTCACCCCGGATCTCCATCTTCTCGTGTTGCAGCACTGCCCATGATGAGAAAATATTCCTCTTCTACCACGTAATCCCAATCTAACAAGCCATCTCGACTCCCCGTGTCTTGCCTGAATCCTGCACCTCGGTAGGACCGCTCAAAATGAACAACGAGGAGCCGGTACACGGTATGAACTCCCTCCCGATGCTCTTGAAGCCTTCCGGCATCCCTCCTTCTCCCGCTAACCCGCTAGGGACACTAGAAACCCACCAAGTCGGGAGGCAGAACTCTGGCTTCTCTGACGAAGACATCTCTGATACAATCTGTATCCTATACCCTCAATCCAACTCGGCCCACGAGGAGCTCCGGCGTCTCGTCAGCGAGCACTCCCCCCACATCATTGGGAAGGGCGAGGCCGACACCATCGGACCCGATTATGCCCTAGAAGACCAAGCCGGCCGTTTTCAGTTTCAGACGGAGCCCGCGATCTCCGGCAATTACGCGATTATCCTTCGACTCTCAACCCAACTCAAGAACCCGGCCGCCGGCTTTGCCTTTGGGCGCAACTCGACTCGCTGCGATGTAGTCTTTGTCAACGACCCATCCCGGCGCATTAGTAATGTTCACTTCCGCATCTATGTCAATGAGGACGGTGCTGTTGTGTTTGAAGACCAGTCAACCAACGGAACTATGGTTGACAACCAGGTCCTGGCTTCCCACCCTAAGAATAAGGGCAGGACTGACCCCCCAACAAAAAAACGTATCCTAAGCTCCGGCACTATCATCCGAATCTTCCTCCACAGAGAGGCTGAGGACTTGGCTTTCTGTATCCGAATCCCGCGCCGTGATAATGTCGGCGACCAGGCTTATACTCAGAAAGTCGAAGACTTTTTTACCCGTCACAACCTAACACGCCAGGAAGAGACCATTTCTGCTAGTCCTAGTGGTCAAGGCGACCGAATTCTTACTTGGACTGTGGTCAATCAATCGACTCGCGCCCAGACACAATCGCGAAAGATGAAGAAGACACAGCATTCCTCGAAGGAGTGGACCGGCTCGGGGAAGTACGACGTGACTGCTCTAATCAGCAGAGGAGCCTTTGCTTCCATACATAGGGTTACCTCGAAGGAAGATGGAGTGGCATATGCGGCCAAAGAAATCGACAAGAGAAGGTTTATTAAGAATGGCGTCATGGACAAGCAAGTGGAGGACGAGCTTATGATTATGCAGAAGGTTCATCATGTAAGTGTTGTCAGACCCTAACTTGACCGGCGCCCGCACTGAAGGACAATTACAGCCGAATATCGTCAAATATATCGAGCATTTCGAATGGAGTCCAGAATCTCGTATTATCATCATGGAATATATCCCTGGCGGTAACCTGGGAGATCTCATCTCAGGCGGAGGGTCGCTAAAGGAAGAAGTTGTCCGGATACTAGCACAACAGCTTCTAAGCGCTGTAGGCTACCTGCATATGAAGAACATTATCCATCGAGATATTAAGCCGGACAATATTCTCATCAACTCTTTGGATCCCATCGACGTCAAGCTTGGCGATTTTGGTCTGGCAAAACAAATCGATAATAGCGAGACATTTCAACATACCTTTTGTGGCACTCTTCTCTACTGTGCGCCCGAAGTGTACACAAAGTATGCCGACTACGACGAAAACGAGATCCTTCACCATGGCAAGAACCCCGAACGCACCCCTAAGCATATTTTCAGGAATGCTGTTGATGTTTGGTGTCTTGGTGGCGCTCTGTTCTATGCAATGGCGGGAACCCCACCGTATCCAGTTAAGGCTGGGATTCGCTACACTGAGCTATTGCATCTCATCATGACATCTCGTCTCGATACTACTCCGCTCCAAAGATCTGGGGTCTCGGGAGAAGGGGTCGAATTCCTCTGCCGGATGCTTCAAAAACGCCCCGAAAATCGGGCAGCTGTGGCTGAACTAGCTGGTCATCCCTGGCTAGCCGCACTAGGCTCGACCGTTGCGGCACCACAATCCCTTGCCGAGATCACAAACGATGGAGGTATGGCTAGCAACTTCCCCCAGCTCGAGACTCATACAATAGGGGAACCCGGGGAGGTGTATACTTCTGATGCCTCTGCTATTAGCAGCTCTCGGGCACACTCAGGAGCCTTTCTCGACCCTCACGACAGCGGACCAGGAGTCCTTGATACTCATCGACGAGCGGATCATGCTCTGTTCAGCCAAGCTGGTGAGAGCTCGAAACTCGATTCCGGTTTTGCCAGTTACGAAAGTGGCAGGAACACCAACGCCCTCAAGAATGATATCGACAACGAGACTATTTATTCTGTTGATTCCGTTCTACCAGCATCAAGAAACATGTACATCGACGAGTTCTCCGGATACCTCGCTGGAGACATTCAGAACATTCCAACTTCGAGTAAGCTGCCAAAAGAGCTCCACGAACTCCTCCCAGGCCTTCTCAAAGCCTTCGCTCGAAGGCTTCACGGAGAATCATCGACCAGAACTCAGAGAGAGGTTTCAGTCTTTCTACACAAGAACAGAAGGTAAGATCTTACGAATCACATTTTCGCTAGTTCCGTCTAACCACTCATTAGAACTGTCATGGAAGCACTCTATACAAATCCATTTCCCGCACTGTCCGGCCAAGGCAACGATACCGATGACGATGATTCCCCAGAAGGCCTGAAGCTTCGACAAACGTTCAGAATGCCTGTCTCAGATATTACAAACTGGGTTTCGTCCTTGGAGGGGATTACTCCAATGGATCTGGATGCGCCAGAGATCTCTGAGAAGGACCATCTCAACGGAATGGACTCATCACAGCAGTCGCTGGACCTACCCAACCTTGAAGACTATAAACAATTCATTAAGTCGTCGCAGTCATACCAGTGGCTACTTACAAAAATTCAAGCATACTCGCGGGTGGACAGGCTAGATCCGAGCATCATGCTGTATATTGGGGAGTCAATTCGCAGCCACATTTTGCCATTCGCACCTCTTCGCAAGGTCAGTCGCCATAGATCACCTCTGTCTGTTGAGATGTCGTTTCATCTCGACTGGGACCTCTTTCAGTTCATCCGGGACCAAGAATACGTGGGTGAGCCTGAACATATCCTCGATCACATTATATGCTTGACTGGAGTCTCGCAACAGGCCCAGGCAACAACTGTCTCGGAGTACATGGAACAGACGTGGCCAACGGCCAATCTTTCAATCCGGCTACTCCTTAAGAAATTCCTATCGCGTCCTGATTGCATTGGTAGGTTTACAAGCACAAATCCCAATTACGCCCCTCTGTACATCACTGATACTGATTTAAAATGTTGTGTAATAGTCGAGCTACCGAACGGATCTTTTCTGAAAGCTACACAAAGCCTGGCATCATGCTGTATCGTAGCTAAAGGACAAGTGGACTTTCTGTCAGATGTCGGCGAACAATTGGGGTGGTTAGGATCCGCATTGCGCTCATCTTCACTTTCTCAGGGCGTAGCAACTTGTATACCGCATCTCTCGTCCATCCATATCCGACAGGGAAATACGACATCCAAATCAGCAATTTTTGCGTCATGCCGAATGAGTTTCTTTACGAAAGCAGTGGTTGATGTCAACTCAATGTCCCGAGGTTTCTGTTGGGCCAGTCTCTTTCGAAACCCCGTCTTGGTCACTGGATACCCGATTGCTCATAGAGCTGATCCCGAGACTGGCATCGAAATCTCTCCCAGTGCAATGGCTGAACTTGTACAATCAAGACAGTTTGTCAGTCTAGGAGGGAAGATCATTCTCAAGGGTTTTTGCTCTCTTCTTGTGGCCACATCTGTTGCCGTCGACGTTGTATTGTGGCATTTCATTTTTGATCCCACCGGCAACCGGATTTCGTACTATGATTCCCGCCTAGAGGATCTCGAGTATGAAACTTCGGATGGATTGGCACTCAGGGACCTCGAAGCCCGTCGCCATGTTCTTGGGTGGTGCTGTGACGTCAAAGAGTATTCAGGTAAGCTAGCTAGGCTCAATTTCAGTTTTGTCTACTGTTACGCTAACCTATGGCGCTGCAATAGGAAACAAGGACGCAAAACTGGACATACGTTCATCGAGTCTACCACTACCGCCAAAATCAATTGTCTTTGACAAACTATACGTCGAAGGAGGCTCGAATTTGATTGGCGGGTTGTCTGTTTCAATTGGGAAGAGAGACAAGCCGATTTACCTGCAAAGAGCCAAAAGCTACTCAGGGTTACTAGATTGGGTCTCTCTCCAATCTTTCGTTTTTTATGACGTCGACGAAAGAAGGGCGTGGCTGGTCGATGGTGCCTCCGCCTTACTGCATCTAGTACGCGCATCAATCGAACAAGACCGGACCAGGCCAGCATATCGTTCCAAGTGGAAATTTGATGGATCACTTAAAGGAGACTCATTACTGAGTAGCGGGGGGACAAAGGCAGTCGAGGTGCTGGGGGATTTCGACAATCTGAACCTCCAACTCTACATCGACGATGTGCGACAAAATGAGAGTGGCCAGCTTGTGGAAATCCATTACTATTTCCGGGATAGAGTGCAAGAAATCCTCCATGATCTACAGATTCTCATTGAATACCAAGCTCAGGTTGCTGCGCAGGATGGGTACTGGTTTCGTCAGTCGAGCAAGATGCTAGTCAAGAGCCTGGTGGGATTTGACTTCTGGGACGTTGCCAAACCCAGTGGCCCAATCCAGCAACGAATCCACCACTTGCAAACAGGAGGCTATGGCTGGGTCGATTACGTTCGATATGTCAAGGCGACAACCATATTTGGGAAGAATTTTGGGGATCTACTCCAAGCCGAGAACCCAACCGTCCTTTGCGCGAACTGGAGGACGGTACCTACAGGCATGGACTACATGGGCGCATCCATCTCAACGCTGAAGACAATACAGACAGCGAGAAGTGAGGTAGATTTGGGCCCCGGCCAGATCACAACTGATATTGCATGGTCCTCACGCTGTGAGCTGTTCTCACAGTGCGAGTGTCTCGATCCACAGCCACTGAACACGACGCCTCTGCATCACGATCCCGTCCAGTTACTTCTGCCTAGAGGCCAGAGAATACATCTGAACGTCCCGAAGGTGTGCTTGAAGATCACGTTGAACGATCTGGGGGATAAGGGTGCGGTTGTGTTCGGCCACACGCCTTACAGGATTGGACTCAGGCAGAAAGATGGGAATTTGACTGGGCAGGAAGAGAGCGAGACAAGTGTTCCTCCATTTTCTGACTCTACCGGAAGCCCGGGCATGAGAAATCACTCAGATGTCACGGATGGAGGGTTGTCTGCGATGTCTGTCTCATCTCTACCAACAGAGCCTAGCTCTGGCGATGGTGATTCCTCGGAAACGGGAAACAACCGAGAGGCTAAGAAGAGGAAACGCTCATTTTTAAGCGTTTTTCGGTCGCGGGGGTGATACTTTCCTAACGTTAGGAGGAACAGTAGGAGATTTTCAAAGTATGTAAATGGTCCTTGATGGAGCTGGCGCTGGAGTTTTTGTGTTGGAGTAAACAGCCTGCGGTTCATTTTCTTCATTTACGAAGTTCGTAAAATATGTCGATGGAGGTCTCGCGGTGCACTCTTTAAACTTGGTAAACTGGACAGCTGTCCAGGTCGTTAGGTCTCCGTTTACTCTTGCTCTCGCCACTATCGCGTTGGCGAAACATTTTCGTGGCGGATAGCCCATCTTGAAGCCCATACAAACCTTGGGACAATGGCACTATGCCCTGTTGCAGCACATCCGCAATACTGGGGTGAAGGCCGCCTACGTCTTCAACCCAGGGTCCGGAGACATTCGTGTCTACCAGATCTGAAACCTGGCTCGGCAAGGAGCCCGGAATACTACCTGTTGCCAATTCGCTCGAGATTGAGTTAAATTTGTCAGCGAACTCCAGGACACGATCAATCTCACTCGGTGGAGCGAAGGGCTGGAGATACGCATACATGTCCAGCATATCGTGGCCCAAGTCGCCGAGCGAGGTGTCACACTTTCGGGTAGAGGCCCCAAGCCACCCGACCCAAATAATAAGTCATGATTATCCATCTCACCCATGGTATCCATAATATCGATCCCGGATTTGAGTGCTCCTGCCGTCTCTAATGAAGGCATGCTGTATAAGGTCGGCATCGCGGCAGATGTCATAAGTTATTTTTCCCCGTAGAAGTAGTGCGTTGGTGTGATTGCTCTTGTTCTACTACTTTCAACAGTATATATCCATTAGTTATAGTTAGTGTGTGTTCATTCTCTTAGAAAACAAGCTTATACCAATAGGGTTTTGACTGGCGTGTCAAATGACATAGAATGTCACCGGGCCCTCAGCTCCGACGATAAAATAACTAAGGGTAGACAGCCTAGATCTCTGCCATTTGATGGACAGATTGAAAGGAGTAACCCGACCCATGCGCGACCAAGGGATGTGAGCGGAATGGGACTACCTCTAATAATTAATCGCTGACTGCCCGGGGAGAGTAAAACCCGGGCATTCGTCGAGACTCTCCCGGGAGCAGAAATAGCAGTGCCCTTGAATCCGTCACTAAATAAGAAGTTTGCACCGGCGAAGCGTAACTCCACCGTACGTATTCACCAGCGTGCGCTCAATCTATTCCCCTCCCACCACACAATCACACAGGCTGGGCCTCTGGGCAGTATTCCATGGCGGCAGGGTGCCGGTTTATTCGGTGAATAAACGGGCAAAGGTATATTCTGTAGTTTACTTTGATTCGGGAGTTGATGTTAAAAGAGCCTCTAAAATATTTAATCGGTCCCCCGCGTCCAACGTCTCGTCCTTCCAGTACCTTAATAATTCTGTGACTTTAGCAACAGCGACCTTCCATTCAGCAGGAAGCATGTCGTTGAGACTAGATCGTGCCGCAGCGAGCAATAGCAATGCACTTCGCGTACAGGAACGAAGCATGAGCCAAGTCCCGTGATGGCGATGGCGGAAGCCTGGCTCGTTTTCGTTGATCCGCCGCACACAGATTTCGAATCCTTTACAGGCTAGCATCCGAGAATCGGGGTCATTCTGCAAAATGCCGTGAATTGCATCGGCCATAAAGGGCCAATACATCATCTCATAGCAGTCTAGAAGGTGGCCGTTGAGGATAAATCGCAGAGGAGCGGCTTCCGAATCATCATCAATGCTTTCGGAAAGCGAGCCGTCGAGCTTCAGTGGACTAGGGAGAGAATCAAGCCTAGAAATTGGCACTGTCAGTCAAGTTTCCCATTCGGAATGTATCACCCACCAGCTGTCGGCTTGTTGCTCAAACTCGATGATTTTAGACACTTGGCTAGGCATTGCGCTTCCTGATTTGAACTGGCACATGTGCGTCAAGATACGGTTGCCAAGCCGCCGCAATGCAATTTCAGCCAGGTAGAAATACCACGTTGCCTCGCCCTGCGACTGAAGGCTCTCTGGGGGGGCTGGGAAGAATTCGGGATACCGTAGGTTCCATATGCTATTCTCGGTGATGTTCAGTTCCAAACGTAGTTCCCTGCACCAAAGATATCAGTCAAGGTGAATAGAATGAATGGATACCTTCGATACTCACAGTTCAGACTTGAAACACGTCCAATAAATACTCCTGTACACAGGAGACACATCCTGCTGTGAATCACCAGAAGACGGATGTAATGTCTGACAGCAAGCTAACGCCTGGATGAACATTCTCCAGGCCTCGAATGGTCTCAGAGTGGTCATCAGATATACGCCAGCCAAGAAGAAAATCTGTGCTTCCATTATCCCGCTGTGGCATAATGCTGGCCCCATCCGCCTCTGTGCGGCGAGGAAAAACGACTCTGCGCGTTGGAACTGCTCTGATTCACGAAATGTCGAGGAAGTATCCGAAGAGGCTTGCGCATCGGGAATTGCAATGGTACCTAGCGCAAATATGAGGAGCTGGTCATTGTCAGCGATGTTCTCCGTCGCCCTGAATGAGGTAAGATACCGAAAGGCAAGACTCCGCATCCCACCCCAACCCGTTATAAACAGTACTCTTCACACATTCTTCGGTCTGCGCTATCTCCAAGACAGGATTGTAGATGTGGAAATTCTGGAGAAAGCGTTGCAGCAATGATACCGTATCCGCACTATCGAGGTCTGAGATTGACAACAGACGAGGGACCGGACTTGGATGGCTTAGTTGAATGACGCTTTTTAGGCTCCGCTGTGGAATATGATTTGGTAGTTGAAGAGCCGGCCATTGCAGAACTGTCTCGATGTTGATGCAATAAAGCTCGGTGGGAGCGGTCTTGACCGGGGCATCGAAACTCACAGTCTGTGATGTGGCTTCGGGCGATGTAGCTTCGGGAGATGGAGCATGAGGGATGTCTTGGGTACGTAGAGTCTCAGGATGTGCAACTCTGAAGAGATGCTCGAGCGTGTCCAGTCGTTGGAGTATGGCAAGGCTGGCAGAGTCGAAACTTAAGTGCGAACTGACTTAGCCGGCTTCCATCTCTTAAATCCCTCAGGGGAATCACTTCAACGGGATAAGCTTACCTTGACTTATCGCTCTCCTGATAGACGCACTCGATGCCTAGTTTCATGCACGAAGTACATGCTGGTCGCTCATTGTCGCATTTGGTGCGTCGTCGACGACAAGTGTGACAAGCCTGCGCGGCGCGCTTCCGAGGATACGCGGGTCGAGTAATGTCAGAACTGGGACGCGGGCGCTTCCGCGGAGTGCTGGTATCGTCTGTAGACATTCTTATCGATGCCCATGAGAGGGCCGAAGCATGATCATTCGCGTGATGAAGGATCGCGGATGGAGATGGAGCTCCGCGGAAAGCAGGAAGACAGTTGTTTTATGGAGCATTGGCGGTGGAGTTACAGTGGACCTGACTCGCATTCGAGCGTAACTTAGTTGGGCTGGCTCATTCATGCTCAGCGGAATGCCGGATGTTTGACATGGGATGTACGGAGCGGTACATGGCTTAGCCCGAAGAAGTAAACGCATGTCGTAGTACATTTCACTTATTTGTTAGTACGGCCGATTCAAGGAGAATGCTCGGAATAGAGGGAATACTGGAGGATTGAGCGCCGGTATTAAAGACGGAGATTTGAACGAGCTCAGATCCACCTAATATCCGGCTTGAGATCTTGTTCTTCCTCTTTTTTTCCCCTGCTGAACCGAGACGCCACTACTATCACCATGGGTGACATATCTCTGCCCGAGCCAGCCGACCTCCCCTCACGCACGTCTCAGCCAGGCTTCGACGTGGAGCAGGTGCTGAAAGAACTGAGCAGTAGAGAAAAGATTGGTCTGCTCTCTGGTAATTACTCCCAAGATAGGCCATAAACCTCCGCGCTCGTTGCTAATGCAGCTTAGGAATCGACTTCTGGCACACCAAGGCCGTCCCGCGACTCAATGTGCCCTCCGTCCGACTCTCAGATGGCCCCAATGGCGTCCGCGGCACCCGCTTCTTCAACGGCATCCCGGCCGCCTGTCTCCCGTGCGGTACCGGCCTCGCAGCCACTTGGGACACCGATCTGCTACAGAGTGCTGGTAGATTGATGGGCGTAGAGGCCAAGGCGAAGGGTGCTCACGCGCTTCTTGGGCCGACGGTCAATATGCAGCGAAGCCCACTGGGAGGACGAGCATTCGAAGCGTTCTCCGAGGACCCTGTTCTGTCGGGGAAATGTGCTGCATCCATCGTGAATGGCGTTCAAGAAACAGGAGTCGTGGCCTCGATCAAACACTTCGTCGCGAACGATCAAGAGCACGAGAGAATGGCTGTCGACAGCCTCGTCACGGAGCGAGCCCTCCGCGAAATATACGTCCTCCCGTTCCAAATCGCCGTCCGGGATGCCAACCCTGGGTCTTTTATGACGTCGTACAATAAGGTCAACGGGGTTCATGTCAGCGAGAACCCAAAGTTTATTCAGAAAATCGTCAGAGAGGAATGGGGATGGGAAGGGCTTGTTATGAGTGACTGGTAAGTGCTGTCTCGCTTATAATATTCTCAGATAACATTGGAAACTGCATCCACTAACTCTTTCAACAAGGTACGGAACATACTCAACAGTCGAGAGTATTAATGCTGGTCTTGACCTGGAGATGCCTGGCCCATCACGTTGGCGTGGGGAGCTTATTAGTCACGCCCTCATGGCTAAAAAGCTGGAGCAAGAGGTGGTCGATCAACGCGTACGTGAGGTTTTGAGATTCGTCCACCGAGTCAGCAAGATCGGAGTCCCGGAAAATGCCCCAGAAGAGGGAAGGGATACTCCAGAAACCGCGAGCCTATTGAGGGACCTTGCGGGTCAGTCAATCGTGCTTCTGAAGAACACAGACAAAGTACTTCCGTTTGCGAAAGAGAAATGCGTGAGTCTAATAAACACCTGGACGCAATATTAACATGCATCTAATAATTTCCCTAGGTTGCCGTTATCGGAAACAACGCCAAAACTGCCGTGTACTGTGGCGGCGGATCAGCTGCCTTGAGGCCGTATTATGCCGTATCCCCGTTCGAGGGCATTTCGCAAAAGGTCACAGATGTCCGATACTCCCTTGGATCCCAAGCTCATAAAATGCTTCCAGTTCTTGGACCGAAAATGCGAACCTCGGATGGCCGAGTGGGTGTCACTTTCAAGGCCTTCACTTCTCCCGACTCCAACCGTGATCGGAACCCGGTTGACACATTACACCTCGTAGATACTGACATGTACTTTGCGGACTACTACCACCCCGAACTCAAAGAGGATCTATGGTGGGGAGAAATCGAGGCTACTTACGAGGCAGAGGAGACGTGCGAGTTCGAGTTTGGTCTCTGCGTTTTCGGCACAGCAAGACTCTATGTCGATGACGAGCTGCTGATCGATAATGAGACTGTGCAGCGCCGGGGAGGAAGCTTCTTCAATGTGGGAACTGTGGAAGAAACCGGCGTCAAGAAATTGACGGCGGGACAGACCTACAAAGTCAAAGTTGTCTTCGCCAGCGGCGCCGCATCCAAGATCAAGGATACCGACGGCGTCGTGACCTTTGGAGGCGGCGGCGTTCGAATTGGCGGCGCCAAAGTCGTCGACCCAGATGAAGAAATAGCCAAGGCAGTTGAGCTGGCCAAGTCTGTGGACCAGGTCGTCCTCTGCGTTGGCTTGAATTCCGACTTTGAGCAAGAAGGCCACGACCGCGCGCACATGGACTTGCCCGGACGGACTGACGAGCTCATCTTCGCAGTCGCCGCGGCCAACCCTCGCACTGTCGTGGTCGTTCAATCAGGAGCCCCCGTCAGCATGCCGTGGGCAGACGCAGTCTCTGGAGTAGTGCAAGCCTGGTACGGCGGCAACGAGACAGGAAACGCCATTGCGGACGTCCTCTTTGGCGACGTCAATCCCGGCGGGAAGCTGCCTCTATCGTTCCCGGTTCGTGTGGAGGACAACCCGGCGTTTTTGAACTACCGATCAGAACATGGCCGTGTGCTCTATGGGGAGGACATTTACGTTGGGTATCGGTTCTACGAGGCCGTCAAGAAGCCAGTGCAATGGCCGTTCGGTTGGGGGCTGTCATACACGAGTTTCGTCATTTCTGATCTCTCAGTACGACTTGAGAGCACCCCCAAGGGCGGCCGTCTTGTGGTCAGCACCAGCGTGCATAATACGGGTGATGTTGGCGGCTCGGAAGTGGTTCAGGTGTACGTATCGCAACGGTCACCTTCCATCAACCGCCCGCCGAAGGAGCTGAAGGGATTCGCCAAGGTCTACGTGGATAAGGGAGAGTCAACTATGGCTCAGGTGGTGATTGACAGGAAATATGCCACTAGCTTCTGGGATGAGACGCGGCATCAGTGGACCGAGGAGAGTGGTCTTTACGATGTTCTCGTGGGAACCTGCAGCTCGGAGACCCCGTTGAAGTCCACCTTTGAGGTTAAGGAAACAACATGGTGGACCGGTCTCTAGAAGCATTGTGTCGCCATAGGAAGAGGTGGTCCTTTGATGTACCCACACGTAGACCAAATAGAAGGTTGACCCAACTTATTCGTCCACTTCATGCTGCGCCCAAGTGATCGATCGTGTTACCGGTATTTTGGCGTATAGTCACTGAATGTATCTTGAACACGCCATCTCAACCCTCGCTGCTATTCCCACCCGCCGAGACTCCGTTCATCATGCCAGCTTGACTCTATACAGTCTCCGTCATTCCGCGGGGTAATTATGTACGAGGGGCGGGGTGCAACACGTAGTAGCGTACATTGACCTTCTTACATAAGGCCAAGTGCAAGACGTGTAGGTATGTATAAGTATGACCCGTTGGCGCGGCCCACGGGATTTAATGCCACAAATACCGCTACATCTGCCTTATTCACGACATTGCCTCGAGCTCATCTGAGCATCAATTTGAGCCAACCTTCAGAGTACACAGTCATGGATCCTTCACTTCTAGACACGCAGTGGATATGGCATCCACATTGGGTTGACCATGGCAAAGGCTCAGCGGGAGGGTTTGTCCACTTCCGCAAGTCCATCATTCTCCAAGACATGCCCAGTTCGCCCCTCAAGATCCAGATCACGGCCGACACAAAGTACAAACTCTACATCAACAGCCGATTTATCCACAATGGGCCCGTCAAAGGCGACGAGCACCTTTGGTTCTACGACGAGCTCGACATCCAGCCCTTTTTGAGGCTGGGCGCCAACCACATTGCCATCCATGTCTTGCGGCTGTACCATGCTACGCCGTACGCAACTAGCTTCCCGAGGATGGAGATTCCGGGTCTTTTTGTTCGGACGCCCGATGTGCTTGAACGGCGCGCTTTTGGTGTCCAGAGCGACGACACCTGGGAGACGGCCTTTGACCCGACGCGGAAGCTGCGGGTTGATCAAAAGGAGGATGATTTCCTGCACGTCTACGAGGATGTCAACATGGATCACAATGAAAGGCTCGATTGGATGGCGGCTCAGTGCCTGGACCTCCCCAAGTCTCATGGAATCAGCCCGCCGTGGGTTCTATCGCCTCGATTAATCCCGCCCTCCAAGATCACACCTGTGGGATTCAAGGCCATCCACAACATTCGAAGCGCTGTTTCCAAGGATACCTGGGATGATATTTTAACGAAGACAAGGGACGGTCAGTCCATTGCAGCACTTCGTTTACCTGCAGGGACCTCGCATCACCTGGAGCTCGAGGCCAACCACCACTTGACGGCACTGCTTCGCTTCCGGTTTCAGCGGCCCAAGACGGCGGGGAGCGTGTTGCGAATAACATATTCAGAGTGTTACGAGGACGCTCCTGAGTTTGTCCCGTACGTCCGATGCAAAGGTGACCGCAGTGACTCAAGCAAAAAACTCTATGGACCCCAAGACCAATATTTGTTTGGAGGGCACACTGGAGCTGAGTCTGCTGCCAGCCTCAAATACGCCTCGAATCCTTTGAATGAGGAGGTTTTCTCTCCCTTTCACTTCCGCACGCTCCGATACATGGCCCTGGACATTGAAGTGGATGAGAGAAGCGACCTGGTCCTGGATGGAATTGACTTGGACATGACACATTATCCTCTCACCGTCCTTGGGGGTTTTAATGTCCCCGAAGTTCAAGAGAACGCAAGCTACCCGGCAATGTGGGACATAAGTAGCCGCACACTCATCAACTGTATGCACGACTGCTACGAGGACTGCCCATTCTACGAACAGCTTCAGTACGCCATGGACGTCAGAAGTTCCTGTTTGTTTACCTACTACGTATCCGGGGACGACCGCATGGCCCGCCAGGCAATCATTCAGCTGCACAACTCCTACCGTCCGGGCGTGGGCCTCATCGCGAGCCGAAGCCCGTCTTATCAGCTCCAGATAATTCCCAACTTTTCGCTCTTCTGGATCTGTACGGTCGTGGACCACTTTGAGCACTTTGGGGACACCGGCTTTACACGCCAATTCCTGCCCGTGTGCGATGGAATCCTCGAATCGTTTTTGAGACGGATGGACCCTAATGTCGGCCTCATTTCGTCCAAGAAGCAGGCGTTGGCAACGTTCTGGGACTTTGTTGACTGGACGAAGGAGTGGAAGCCTATGGGCATTCCACCAGCTGGCGAAGGCTCTGGCTTTCAGACCTACACGAACATGCTATATGCGTACACCCTCCAACAATTGGCTGGCATTCTAGGAGCACTCGGCAGGCCTGCTCTCGTAGACGAGTACAGGTCACGAGCGGACGCGGTTGTCGGGGCTATCAACAGCCACTGTCGGATCGGCCAGTTCTATACTGACGGACTGGCGTCTTATTCCACGCCAGATCAACCTCTCAGCCAGCACAGCCAGATCTGGGCGGTCCTCTGTGGAGCGATGAACGGCAAGACAGCCCGAGACGCGCTCACAGCCTGCGTGCCAGCGCTCCAAGCCCGCTACTCTACAGGGACAGCCAGCCAAAATGCGCTTCCAGATGCACCCGGCGAGATGGCCCAGTCCAGAGACTTCATCAAACCCTCGTTTGCAATGTCCTTTTACGCGCTCCGGGCTCTCTCGGCGGTCGGCGAAACCGTCTACGACGACGCCTTTCACGCCATCTGGCAGCCGTGGAGGGCCCAGCTGTCTCAGAACCTCACCACGTGGTGCGAAGATGATGTGACGCGACGATCGGATTGCCACGCGTGGAGCTGCGTGCCCTTGTACGAGTTCACGGCCGAAGTGGCCGGGATTCGACCGGCCGAACCTGGCTGGGCCGTCGTCGCGTTCAAGCCTCGCACGAGGCTATTCCCAACCTTCAGCGGCAGGGTTCCCCTCGGCGGAAAGCTAGCGCCCGGCGTGGCGCATGTCAGCTGGCACCGCGAGGAGGGAAGCTCCAAAATATCGGTGTCGGTCGAGCTGCATCACGTCCCAGAGGAGGAGGAGGCGGTAGAGATACGGGTGACATTTCCTGATGGGCATGTGGAGCAGCACGATGGTCCGTCTTTGCATGTGGTTTTTTAAATAAAGTCAAAGTTGTAGTCTTTGACAAGTCTCCTTGGCAGGTGTGAGACAGATTGAATCCAATTGCATGAATACAGTATTGAGGAATATGATGGCGCAGAGATGTCTTGGAGTGTATTTTTCCCCTTCTCCAATGTCGACACCATGCCCCGGAATCTAGCACAATCCTGACTCGTAGATGCCCATGATGAGGTACCTAACGCTGAGTCTACGACCAATTAAGCAATAGAACCCTTGCGTGGCTGTCCCCAATACCACCAAGAACTGAATCGTACCCGGCTTTCCGCGTTACTCGAGACTAGACAAGGGCCCATCTTTCACGCCAGCTCAATTGCCCTGACTTAGACGAATCACTCTACACTAAACAAGGCCCCATCTTTTCACTCCAGCTCAACTGACCCGGCTTTCCGCTAGCCTCGGCCTAAACCGAAGCCAACAACTCGACTCAGCATCCAATTCCACCTCCCGGCTTTCCGCCGTCCACGCCACTTCTCCCTCCAATTCGCCGCCAAGTGTCTGCTGGTGGTGTAGACTTTTCACTCTCCTCCTCATCCAGCTAGTCTACACCTCGTGGACCCCGTCTGGAACCCCAAATCCCCAGATCCGAGGCCCCCCAGACCACCATTACCCCACACGTTTTCCAGAGTCTGAGAAACCCCAGAAACGAAAACCCCGGACCCCAGGACACAGGTGATTGAATCATCATCATCTGATGGATCTCCCCATCGAGGCGAGGCTGCTACAGTAGAACGGCTTCGGTCCAAGTTGTCCCCCTCAACTCGGGTTCGTGGCAAAGGCTGCCGAGCTTTGCCTGAAAGCTCCTGACCTTTTTCAACCTGGCTTTCTATATAACACGGCGCAGATCTCTTCACAGACATTCAAGCAACAGACAAATGCAGTCATCCCCAACTACATCAAGCACATCAGTCGACACCAAGAGGACAACAGGTCAACACTGAGTAACACTTCTGCAGTCTGCTACCGCAATCATGTCAGCCGCTGGCGAACACTCCACAGCCGCTGCCATGCCTAGCACCACCGTCAACACCTCGCGCTGGTGGAAGTCGCGAAATCTGCGCACCCTGAACTTGCTGCTGATCTTCCCCATGCTGTCCATCTTCACGCAGGGGTGAGTTGCGCCCTGTTTCCCGTTGGTTCGCTACCAAGGACGCTGCTAACTTGCAATCAGCTTCGACGGTTCCATGATGAACGGCCTCCAGTCGGTCGAAAACTGGCGCGACTATTTCGGCGAGCCCAAGGGCGCGACTCTTGGCCTGTTCAACGCTGCATACCCCATCGGCGGCCTCTGTGCCATTCCTTGCGTCTCGTTCGTCAGCGATACATTCGGTCGCCGTATCGGTCTCGCCACGGGAGCTATACTGTGTTGCATAGGTGCTACTCTCCAGGCCTCCGCTCAGAATCTTCCCATGTTCGTCGTTGCACGCGGTATTCTTGGCTGCGGCACCGTCTTCCTCGGCTCATCCGGAGCTCCCCTGATTACCGAACTGGCCCATCCGGATCACAGAGCCACGGCCACGGCTCTCTTCAACACTTCGTACGCTCTCGGCTCCATTGTTGCGGCCTGGGCGACGTTTGGGACATTCAGGATCAACTCGAGCGCTTCCTGGCGTATCCCCTCAGCGCTCCAGGGAATGCCCTCGGTTATCCAGCTGATCGGCCTGTACTTTGTTCCCGAGAGTCCCCGTTGGCTTGTGTCCAAGGATCGAAACGAAGAGGCGCTCAGTTTCCTCGCCAAGTACCACGCCGAAGGAAATGAACAGGATGAACTTGTTCAATTCGAGTACAACGAGATCCGGGACGCTCTGGCCTATGAGAGAAGCATCGATCGTGGCAGCTGGATTCAAAACTACGTCGAATTCGTGCGCACCCCGGGTAACAGGAAGCGACTGTTTATCCTTCTATGGACCGCATGCATCTCTCAAATGTCTGGAAACGCCTTTATTTCGTATTACCTCGCCCCGGTGTTAACGTCCGTCGGTCTCACCACCAGCTTGGAACAAACTCTCATCAACGCCACGCAGCAAACCCTTTCCTGGTTCTCCGCGCTCTACTTTGCGACGCTTCCTCAGAAGGTCGGCCGTCGCTTCCTGTTCCTCGGCTCTGGCTGTGCCATCTTCATTTGCCTGGTTTGCATCACAGCCGGAAGTGCCGTTTTCGCCAACGACGCTTCCAACAAGGCTGCTGGCGGCGCCGTCGTTGCATTCCTCTACCTCTTCTCTCCGGCATACAACTTGGGCCTCAACGGAAATCTGGGTCTCTACATTACCGAGATCCTGCCCTTCAACATGCGCATGAGAGGTCAGGCATGCTTCCAACTGTTCGCGACCTCCTTTTCGCTCCTTTCGACCTACGCGGTCCCTGTCGGCCTGGAGAACATGGCCTGGAAGTTTTACATCATCTTTATCCCCTGGGTTGTCATTGAGTTTACGGTCCTGTACTTTGTCTACCCCGAGACCAAGGGCCCGTCGCTCGAGGAAATTGCATTTATCTTTGATGGACCGGACGCCACCATCTCGCGAGTTGAGAAGATGGATGAAGCTGGGCGCATTGAGATGGAAGAGAAAGTGTGATGCCATGTACTACTACCACAATTCAGCTCTAGAGATAGCACGCCCTCAATCAATCACACCCTCTGGCAAAAGAGCAACATAATCTAACGGAGCCTTCTCAGTCCCGTCAGCCTTCCCCTTGATGAGTAGTGTGTCGCCTTTCGAAATTTTGACATTTCGAAACGTGATGCGTGTCGCAGAATGCCCATCCAGGAAATCGCTCGGCGCGTGGCCTAGTTTATCCTCCATATCACCTTTCCACCCGCCGATCTTTCGAGCATTTATGTATAACTCCCATGTAGAACGACCTCCAATTACATCATAATAATTCACAGCAATGTTGTACCTCCCATCCTTAAACCGAAGTTTGGTCGAAGCAGTTCCCGTACCGTTGGTGATGATTGCTGTATAGTTGGAGGCTGTCTCTGCAGGCTCAACTGCAGTAATGCTATATCCGTCCAGGTCCATTGACTCGGCCTCAATTCGGTAAGGATGGTGACGCACTCGACCAGCCTTGTCAGGGATACCCGAGAGGTTGCGATAGAATTCATTGATGGCATCGCGCCAGACGATCGAATGGCCCGCCTGATAGCGCAATCGATAGAGCTCATGTTCGAAGCGTTCGCTGTCAATCTTGCCTTTGAGAGACTCCCAAACAAACTGAAAGTCCTGCACAGTTTCGGCGCCTTCATGGTGTGCATCGTAAAAGCTTTGGATGACCGTCTTGCCGCTGTGGAGTTTGAATGTATACGGAACATGATGGAACCAAAGCATCAAGTCGTCGGCTGTCGTCTCCGGACTTTCAAATTTGGCCGCCACCTCGTCTGGATACTGCCCTGCATTTCCAGTTCCATTCGAGACAGTCCTGTCCATGCCGATGCTCTGCCCATTTGCTCGTGTCCATTGTCCCCACCCATTATTGTCCTGGGACGCAGGATTCGGGCCGTAGTGCGTGTACAGAATATCCGTCAGCGTCTGGATACCAAGGTTTCCGCTGTAATTCTCGTATGCGGGCCACGATTCCATGGACATGCTGGTGATGGCTTCGAGGACTTTGCTATCAAGCCCAAACGTAAGGCGCGTCCAATCTTGGAGTATCGAAACCGAGTCGGCAGAGGGATTCCAAGCCAGACGCCCAAAGGCGTACAGGTTAGACATAGACAGGTGACTACCCAACCAAGTTTGGTTTGTGCCAACATTGACGACGCCTGCATATCCACCCAGCTTGCGGTTGAAGACTTTCCCGGTGATGATGTCTTGGACCTTGGACTCTTTCCCATCCACACGCATGTCAAAGTCGAAGATCGTTCTCCACAGCGGCGGGAGATACACCAAGTGACATTGCTGTCCAAGATACTCTTGCGTTATCTGCAATTCTATCGCCATGCTGGTTTTGCGCAAATTGGCAAACAGGGGAGAAGCGGGTTCTCGGACTTGAAAGTCGATGGGGCCGTACTTGATCTGGACGACGACATTGTCATCGAACTCGCCGTCCAAGTCGCCAAAGAATTCAACAGCGGCATTGGCGCGATCTGCATGCCAGTCATTCCAATCGAGTTTATCGTAGACAAAAGCACGGAACATGACGATGCCGCCATGAGGCTCGACTGCCTTGGCAAACAGATTCGCTCCATCAGCAAGTGTCCGGTTGTAAGTCAGTGGTCCCGGTTGACCCTCCGAGTTCGCTTTGACGAGATAACCCACAAAATCGGGTATCAGTTTGTAGATCTGGTTCGTCTTGGCAGTCCACCAAGAGATGACCGACTCATCCAAGGGATCAAATGTGTCAAGCTCTCCCAGGGATTGCGGCGATGCAAAATTGAGCGACATTCCCACTTGAACTCCCCATGGCCGGAATAAATCGGCAATTTTCCGTAAGCCCTCCAAGTTGTCTTTGTTGAGAAGTGTAGGATCCGCGTTCACGTTAGATATCACAATACCGTTTATTCGCACGGAAGCAAGCAGCCGGCCGTAAAGAGGGACACGGGATAGATCATCCTTGATATGCCCAACCCCATCGAAGAAGATGGATGGTCCGCCGTATCCACGCTCAATGCTCCCATGCGTACCGCTGGCGTTGAGATTATCCCATTGATTGGCCCATCGGATCGGAGCACTAGGGTTCGTAGCATAGGCCACTTGAGAGAAGTTCGCCTGCCCTAGCATGGACAGATATTCGAAGGCACCATAAAGAGCACCTCTTTCGTTTTGGCCCAAGATTTGCACCGAATTGGCAGTCGTCTTCAGCCAGAATCCATCTTCCTGGAGCTCCACATTGGAAGGGAGGTCGCCACAAGCCGACTCAAAAGCCTTTGCCGTTCCGATGATGATCGTGCCCTTGGCATGGCAGGCGTTGTTCTTGGAAGCGATCTTGACTTTGCGGCCCAGAATTCCATAAACTCCTTCTTGAATCTCGGACACGGCAGTATCCAGAGGCCCATCGGACGTTTTACCTAACACCACAATTCTCGACGGTATAGCGTCGGCATGTCCTTTGATCTTGTTCGAGGGCAGTGGAGCGTACCGGAGCCATCCATCAATGCCAGTCTCGCCCGACACGACTCCTAAAAAGACGGATAAGAGCAGGATTGGTTTCATGATTGCGCTGAAGCGTGGCTTGTTAGTAGCCATTCATACAGTACATGATGTTCCAAGTCATTTAAGAAAGCTCTCGGCTAATACCAACCATGACCCCATACGCACGGGCATACTGCAGATCTCTTCTGCCCCTCACATCACAGCGATCCTCGGGTTGAGAAATATCGCTTGGGTATTAATCCACGAACAGTAACAATGCATCTTTAGGCTAAATAGAAGAAGCTTCTCAAGTGAGGTGATCTGCGTGCGGGGTTCTATATGGAGTAGTTTAAGTTTCAACAAACACAATGATCATCAGGTAGAAACAATGGAAGAAGGATGATACATTAGCGGTGGCCTCCTGATTGCGGGGAAAGGTTCCTTTTCAACGCTGTGAATGAGACCAATTGGATCATCTCACCGAACCCAGCTACTGGATGAGGGCATTTTAGGTCTGTTTATGGAAATGGATGCTTTCTGGTATTGTGGGTCAGGCTCGGGCGGTTATATCCTCCCTGTCTTAGGTAGTATTGACACAACATCTGTCATCGGGTTTGACTCCGCATTGCAACGGTATAGATCGGGCCACCGGGAAGGGTCATCATTTATCCATATTTTTTTAGAGTCACTATTGTAAATGGTTGTGGTCTGATGGCGGGAAGGATTTACACAACTTTGAGCCGAGTGTTTTCTTAAGCCCCCCGCTAGATCCTTGAAGCTTGAAGGAGGGGTAACAGCCACTCCATTAGGAATGAGCTTGGGTCGGGTTTGCAATGAGTATGAAATCTTAGATAGCCAAATTACCGTACAGCAAGGCTATGTTGAAAGGGACTTTACTTCATTCACCTCAGTATAGGGTAAGCACAGTGGCGGGGCAGATTGGGCTGAGTCCAATCTTCAGCTGAACAGTAATCGCGTCGCGAAATGCTTCTGTAACGGGGATAGCGCAGGGCAGTCTTACTCGGCTCCGATTCCTTTGCATCGTGCATGCTCCTTGGCTTCTGTTAGTGAAACTCAGCTCTCGTGTAGCCACTTCGCTGGACAACTCCTTATTCGCAGTCAAGATGCGAGATGATGCGAGATGATGGTCACTGTATGCAGTGCGACCTCCCTACTTGCAGTCGCAATTGACGAGATTGCTGACTTCCCTCAGCATTGAGTTCTTTATTTATCGCTGCGATGTGGGACTTTAGGCAAAGGGAATGTCTATATAACATAAGGTCAGCTCCCGATGTTGGCTCATATCCTCATCCCTCATCTCACAATCATTCCTCTTCGCTAGCTCTGCCAAACTGCTTCCACGGCAGCCCAAACGTCAAAATGGCACCTCTTCGAGCAACCGTCTTCTCAATCCTCGCCAGCACCGCTCTGGTAATGGGCCATGGCTGCAACTCCGGCAGCTGTGTCGCCTTGACCCAACCGTACTATCCCCCCGAGGCAGACTGCTGGGAGTACAAAGTTCCCGTCACCGTTACCTCGGAGAACCTCGTGTTTAACTTCCCCGACTGGAAGGATGACTATGCCCTGCAGGATTTCCTCACAGCAGTCACCACTCGAGCCAGCGCTGGTTACCCAAGCCCTGTCATAGGAACCAAGAACGAGACTGCTTCTTATACTCTTGCGGCGTCCTTCTGCACCCCCAAGTCGGCAAATAAGAAGAAGACTGTGATTCTCGCCACTCATGGCATTGGGCAGCCTCGAAGCCACTGGAACTCTGCCTATCAGCCTGACCAGTACAACTTTGTTCAACACGCCATCAAGAACGGATACTCGGTTTGGTTCTACGATCGCCTTGGCACCGGCGAGTCTGAGAAGTAGGTTATACATCGCCCGTGAAGTTCACGAAATGCTAACATGATCCAGAGTCTCCGGGTTCACCAACCAGCTTCGCGTGCAAAAGGCGATTCTCATCGAGCTTACCAAAATAGTCAAGTCCGGCAAGTTTACCGGATCATTTGGTAAGCCGGACAAGCTGGTCGTCATGGGCTTCTCCTTTGGCTCGTTCATCACGCATTTTGCCGTGGCAGAGAATCCATCCATCGCAGACGCTGCAGTACTGACAGGCATCAACTACAACACTACCGGAGTCAATGCAAATGGATTGGTTCGCTCATTTGTGCCTCGTGTCGCCTCGCTTCAGAACCCAAGGCTGTTTGGCACGCTTGACCCTGGGTACTTGACCTGGGTGGATGCGATTGCACAAATCAACACGTGAGTCTTATTCCTCTTGGAATGACCTGCAACCCCGTTACTGATAGGTTGGGCCGCCTATAGCTACTTCAAGTACCCGTTCTATGACCTGCCTACTGCGTCTTATGGCGAGGAGTACAAGCAACCATTTGCGATTGGCGAGTTTCTCACAATTACTGATGGCGAGTTCGATGCAAGCAGCTTCAAGGGTGCTGCTCTGGTGAGTTTGGTAATTCAGGGATGCTTAGGGCAAGCGATTGACATAAGATAATAGGCAATCACCGGAAAGAATGACTACATCGTCTGCGACGGAGAGTGCGAGGGCATCTTTGAGGAGCCGGCGCGAACAATCTGGAGAAACGCCAAGTTTACGCCGTACCTGCACCCGAATTCGAGCCACAACTTTAATTTCCACCGAAACGCCACTGGTGCGTATGGGGTCATCACCAACTTCTTGAAGTCCAACGGGCTGTGAGTGAGATGGGATTGGGGTGGGGGCGAAGCATTGAGGGGACGGAGGCCGGGTGGGTGGAAGTCGTGAAGGCCATGGAATGTTAATCAGTACAATTCTTACGTTCTTTGATGATACTTTAGTCGAACTTGGATAGATTTACAATTTAGAACGATGTCGTTTTGCAAATAGATGGCTCCTGCGTGTCTTTTCGTAAAATCTGTTTCGTGTCGCGTCTGGCTGATTCGCCGAGAATGACATCAACAGACTTTACCATGTCGCGGTCTTGATCCCGCCATGTAGCCCAACGCCTTTTTACTCGCCAATTGAATGATAGACGTGACACCTTCTCTCCGAGTAGCCATTGGACACTCGCTCTACTGGCAATCTCTCCAGGGTGGGACGGGGGCTGACGTGTGAAAGATAGCGCCGTTGATTCCGACTGCCGCAGCGCTTGAAGGCTTGTAGCGCATGCATTCATACGAATAGCGCATGCATTTGTACGAATAGCGCATGCAGAATGGTGCTCAGCCCTACGGGGAGCCCGCCAGCAGAGATACAGACGCCGGGGGGCCCTGTTTCTAGCGGCCTGGGGTTCGGGCTTGCCGGCGACTTGAGCTGAATCCCACCCTCAAGGCCTCTCGCGTCAGCGGCAATTCCCAGGATTTGAGGGCATTCGGCATTTGGTGTCTTCCTTTTCACAGCCACTATTGGAATGTGACGAATTTCAGGGCTTTACAAGACCTCTCTCTAATAGATCATTTCTTACACAAAACGCCCTGACATCCCTCGCACCTGAACCGACGTATTGGAACCGTAATAAACACAGCATCGTTTCTCACCCTCCCACACGTGATTCAATTCGTGGCGCTCGCTCATCACCGGCTTCATCTTTGTCCTCGTCATCAATCAATTCGCGAGCATCAAGTCACCGACGCACTTCTCGCGAACATCACCGCAACGCCCAACCCAAGTCGTATCCTCACTCACCCCCGTCCAGCATGGTGGGCGTTCCCGGTCGCAGCAAAGGCTGCAATACCTGTCGGAAGCGACGGGTCAAATGTGGTGAGATTCAACGTCCCGCATCTGATCTGCCTCATCTTCAATTGCTGAACTGCCAGACGAGACCAAACCAACTTGTCTCCGGTGCACCAAAGGCGGCTTCGAATGTCTCGGATACGAGCGAGCGCGTCTTTGGCATCATACGTCCACCGCACCGTTCCCAGTGACGACGCCGCTAATCCCGGAGACTGAGGTCCAGCACGATGCGATTGTGCTCGCAGCGGATCGCGTGCCGTCCCCGCCTCCGGAGCTCAGCCTGATTGCGTTCCAAGGCGACTTCTGCTTCTCGTTCATGTTTTCCAACTTTGTCTGGCGCTCTTACGGCGCTCTTTGGCTTGACCAGGCTGCCCAGGGCAGGCTCGGGGGCCTCTCACTCGACGCGACAAAAGCCCTCGCGCAAGCCAACTTTGGACGACTGAACCACAAGTCAGATATTGAGCTCGAGGGAGTGGTGCAGTATGGACAGTGTCTAAAGACTCTAGCGGATGATCTCGGCAGGTGCATGACCTTGGTACAGGGTGCGGAGGACCTGCTGGTTCCAATCTTGGTGTTGCTGATGCATGCGGTGAGTGGAAGCGTGGAAGACTACGGCAATGGGGTTAACTTGGCTTAGGCATCGCACGCTGATCGCACCGGAGCCATGTTCCATCTCAAAGGAATCGCAAGGTTGTTGTACCTTTGCGGGCCAGAGGCTTTCCAACACCAACCGTATCTCAACGCATTCGAGGCTGCGAGAGCCACGCTGGTAAGGGACCGATAACAACACCGCGACTTTGAGCGTAGCTAACCAAGACACTAGCTGATTGCCGGGCTGGTTGGCAAGCAACGGCTCTTCTTCGACGACATCAAGTGGCGAACCGTGCCGTGGGCGCTGAATCCGGCCTCAAAGACACCGCAAAGCGAGCTTCTTGACATCCTCGTTGTCGTACCCGGCATACTGCAGGATCACGCAGCCTCCGAGAAGGCAGCGGCTCTCGAAGCCTTTTCGCACTTGGATATAGCGGAAAGAGTCCAGGAGCAACTAACAATACTATACCAATGGCGTTGGCGATGGCAGGCGGATTCCGGCGACCAGGTCACTGCTGATACCGGCAGAACATGGCAACCCAACGGAGCCGCCGCCGCGGTCTTGGGCTCTATCGGAACTTCTAGGCATCTGGGACGCCTCCGGTTTGGTAAATTCATCGCCGCCACTGAGATAATGCTCTACAACGCGGCCCTGATGTGGCTTCTCGCCCTCCTCTGGAAGACGGACCCCCTCGGCGCGGGCAGACGCATCGAAGCTTGTGCGACTGCTGCAATGCCCGAGGATGATGAGGCTAGATGCAGATCATTTGAGCCGTTCCGCCGCCCGGGCGCGTCACTGACAGTTCGCGATCCTGCCCTGGAGGTGTGTCTCGCGTTTGAATGGGTGAGCCGCCATCACAGCCGGAGCAAGGACCCATCATTCTTGTACTTGTTTCCAGTGGGCATGGCGATGAGCGTGCTGGATCAAGAACCGGAAATCAAGAAATGGGCGCAGGCGCTGTTGGAGAAGAGCCCGATTACGGCAAACTATGCCCAGGGCGACAACCCGGCGGGCTTTGGATTTTACCTGACTCGGCAGGCATTGGATCCTGAGGAGATCCAGGCCACGCAGCAGTTATTCTCGGTTCCGGACTTGGTGGCCGTGAATTAGGTGCTCTTCGGGCACAGTTCTCTTGTGAGGAATTGCCTATTATCGGTTAGCAATTGAGAGCTTATCAATCTTTATTCATTCCTCCCAAAGCATTTGTGAATTTCTCATGGAAGAAGAGAGGATTTAACATATTTCAGATGCGAGAATCCGGATTGAACACTTGGTGCAACTGGGGATAATAAGAGAGACAGAGTAGCGACGGTTGGTAAAAATGAAACCTACAAAATAGCCTCTATAATTATCTATACATGACAGTCTCCCATAATCTCCCTGCTAGCTTCATTGCTTCTCCCAAGTCCTCGCGGTTCCCTTCCCGTCTATCATTCGCAAAGTACCATAAGCCACTTTTCCTCGGCCAAAGACTCCTGCATCGTCACATTGTCTCCAGAACTTGACTTCTAGTCAAACCCTTGAAATAATTCGTCATCGCCAGAGAAAGAAAAGAAATCTGGAGGACAAAGACCGCCAGATGTTTGTCCCTGGTTCGGACTGTCTTGACTGGGATTCGTTGACTTGGGTTTGGATGAACCGCCCTTATTCCAAAAGTTAGACTCTTGAAGATTTCATGTTGATTTGTTCGAAACAGAGTTCTTCATACCGATTTCTTGTTCTTCTTGCCATCACTTTTCGATTGTTTCTTGTTCTTCCCTCCCCCACTCTTGTCTCTGCCTGCCTGGGGTTAGTTGTACGCCTTCAACCTAGATCGTGAATCCCTTACTGGATGATGGCATAGTCAAGGTTCAGTATGCGACGTTTCCGAGTTAAACGAGTGGCTCAGTGGTTCACAACTATCGCGATAGTTCTGGTAACTCAATATCACACTGGTGTCTGATCTGGCTTGGATATTTTCACAACCCCTCCGTCATCATCTTTCTCAAAGACCTTTATACAAATGTCCCCTTGAGGCCAACTGGTCAACGGCCGGCTCCCTCCAGCGAGTATGTGTTCAAAGGCTTAGGTCACCCCGAAAGTCTGCGGTGCTACAACATGGGACAAGTTCATACAATCCAATGATATTGTATCGCCAGGGTTGAGTAAAAATTCAGCCTTGGGGAATTGTACATTTGCCATTCCAAATACTCAGTCGTGGAAGGGACTTGCGAGCAACCGAGATACAATACAGGCAGCATTTTGCTGTCCTCAAATATGAGAGGTCGCACGGTAAACAGCAGCTGACATTCAGCAGTGAAGAGGCAACAGCTATGGGGGCTTGGTGGATGCGACCATGACGTTTCTCTTCGGCCCAAGCCTCATGGCTCCCGATTCTGCGAGCGACCGAGGGAACGGCCAGGCCAGGATCTGGTATTTGAGATAGTTTAATTCCCGGGAAATAGGGCAGCCAATCGATCCAGGCGACGTGGATACCGGCTCTCTGGGGCTGAAGCGGCTCATTCCAGCGTGTTTCGTCATGGGAGAAAGCATAAAGACAAGGTGGGACTAAGCGTAACATAGCAGCCGCGTTATTGCACGGAATCCGCCATGGTTGGCAGGGATTTAGCGGCCGTAGATGGAGCCTGTCTGATTGATTCCATTCTTCATTCTGTTGGCTGTGCAGTGGAACCCTGGAGCCCTGAAACCCCGGCGTCAGCTGTGGCTTTGCCGACGGCGTATTTACGACGCCCGCAAAGTGGGAACAGGATGTGGAATCAAGCGGTGGCTCGGTACACCAATCAGCGTCGACTTGAGAATACGACGAGCGTCTCCCAATCCGGTTAGAAAACGCGAGCTGCCTCGGTTCAACATGGGGGCTGACAAGAAGGTGAACGTCATGACGCCAACACCAAGGGTTCGGTTGCCGCTGCAGAAGCCACTCGAGATGTATATCGCCGTGATTGGCTTTTACTTGTTGCAATGCATGGGACTTTGCATCCTCCAAGAGTCCAGCTCCTTCATCATTGGCAGATCCCTTGCTGTCGTGGCTCGCAATTACCACCCTCGTTTGACGAGTATAGCGACTACCACTCTACGAAGATGACATAGCCCTATCAAGCCACGGATTGCGAGCTGGTAATATCCAAGCGTCGCAAACGGGCTGAATCCTGCCGTCACTAGCCAGTAGTAGCTCCTCACGATATCCCAGCCCTACCTCCTCCACGCCACATGATACACTGGAGTCCAATGGACCTGGATCTAGGTCCTTTTTTTCTTGGATCCTTTTTTGGAACCGTTCAGCTGGCGCTGACATGCATAATCACCATATGCATGTACTCAAAATGTGGTGGAGAGATGCCGTGCCCTCGATCTATAAGAGTCCATGTTGCGCCCGACGGTCTACTGCTTCGTTCTGCTCTGAGCAGACACAGCAGGCGCATTGATTCAAATAATACCTAGTCCTTTCTACCCAAACCTCTAAAACCCATCAATTCCACCAAAATGGCCTCCATCCTTCGAAAGCTCTTCCGCCGCAAGAAGCAGCCACCGTTGGTCTGCGCCATCACTCTCGATGACGATGGCCACCCTATCGGCGACGATCCCAACCACAGACACACATCTGCGTGTTTCATCGACTTTGAACCCCTCGCCGTTGTTGAGCTGTTCCAGTCTCAGGGCTGTCAGTCTTGCCCGCCAGCCATCCCCGGCATTCACGACGGGTCGAGCCACCCGAACCTCCTTCTCCTCACTTACGATGTCACCATCTTCGATCACTCGGGCTGGAAGGACACGTTTGCTCAGCCCGCCTGGGACCAGCGCCAACGAGCATACGTCAAGAGGTGGAATCGCAACAGCCTCTTCACTCCCCAGGTCGTCGTCAATGGTGCGTCTGACGGTTCCGGTGCGGGCGGCAAGGGCGAAGTCCAAGAGATCGTGGGCCGCTTTCGCGAGATGCAACGGGCCATGGACTGGCACGTCTACCTTGACGTCAATGACACCGATGTTCGCATCGACTCTGACAGATATGAGGTGGAGGCCCATGACATCCTTCTAGTGCTCTACAATGCCGGAGAGGAGGTCGTCAAAATAGGGAAAGGACCCAACAAGGGTAAGAAAGTCAAGCACCGCAACATTGTTACAAACGTCATCAAGATTGGGCTGTGGACTGGCGGAGATCTCACTGTGCCTCTCCCTTCGCCCAAGTCATCGATGGAGCCAGGGCAGGATGCTGTGATTCTTCTGCAACAAGGCGCTGGTGGGCCGATCGTTGCCGTCGCCAAGGTTTGATAGTAGGATGAGGAGTTGGGAGTGTATCTTGTACGCATCATAGGGATAGGACATTGCCAAATTGAACCGATGGAACCACCGCTTCAAATAGTGTTCATCAATAATATGTGAATTAACAACAATGGGGGAAGGACTTGACTAGGCCGTTTGTTCAACTTGACTAAGGAAGTTGATGACATTTCTCAAAATCTGGAAAGTAGTATTGTCATCGCCTGATTTCTCGACATCCACATCTCCAATCCGTATGTCAAATCCGTGTTCTCCATCGTCAGGAAACTCTGTGGATACCTGGACCCCAGCCGCTCGCAGCTTTTCCGCCGCTTGCATACTTGGCTCCACCGGCACAGCAGAATCGTTCTTTCCGTGGAGTAACATGGCGCGAGGGAGCTTCGTCAGGTCCCCAAATGCCAGAGGAAAAAGGTTTCTATGGTGCTGGGGGATCGCTGCAACTCCTTCCTTGGCGACAGCTTGACCAAGTCCCTCAACGCCAGTCATGTAATCTAGATACACGGCATCAATATGGAGAGCCGAAGCCAGCGTCACACGCGGAGGTTCGATGGAATTTCCTGGATCCAACGGATACCCAGACAGCACAGGCCTATCGTCGTCCTGTCTTGCCTTTGGGAAGTCGGCCAAAATCGAGGCCGTCTCCGCCACTGGTTTGCCAAAGATGTTGGTTCCGGGAGTGGTGTATCGAGAAAAAGTAGCATCCAGCATACCATAGATCAGCAAGAGTGCACTTGGTTGTTTGGTGACGGCGGCAGCTGTTGCCAATGCTAGATAGCCTCCTGCGCTCGAGCCTGCCAGCAAAACATTGTCGATGGTGCGACCAAGAATCTGCGGAAGGGACGACAAGACCCATTCATAGGCATCCACTGCATCTTCAAGAGAGCTTTGTGCGGTTGTTTCTGGCAACAGGCGATAATCTGGAGTCACAAAGATCCATTTTCGAGAGGCGCAGGCATGTAACAGCCAGTAGGGAACAAATGAATATCGATCGCCAAAAATCTAGATCCCAAAGTCAATGGAGTGACATTCGTGAGGGTACTCAGTACTGTCTGCTTACCAGGAAGCCGCCGTGATAATGCAACAGAACCGTACTCGCGGATCCATCATCTGTGAGCTCTGGATACGCGACGTCAACCTTGATGTCGCCATCACGGGTAGACTTGAAGCTAAGCGTCTTGGACTTGTAGCCGTCTAGTCCATCGAGGGGGAATGTGTCCATGTTGGGAGAGAATGTGTAGTGTGTGATATGGAGTGGGTTGGGCGTACGGAAAATGAGCACCGGTTGAGTGACTTTGAAGCCGTGAGGAGACTCAAAACGGGGCTCAGCTTGGAAATGATGGGTTTGGAAGATGACCCTGTATTACGAATCCTCCGATAGATTGATATCATGACCCTAGTAGAAGAGGGGTCTGATAACCCCTCTTCCGGCCGGTCCGGATAAACGGCACAAGCAATTATGAAAATTGTCAGACGGAGATAGGCTGTCTGACAAACATCATCACCACTGCTTTGAGCACTAACTCATCCATTTGATCGAATTGGCCGTAACGGATTCATCAATCGGCGAGCTCGGAACCTCCATTTGATTCAATACTCGGGGTGTAGAATGAATGGAGCCACTATCCAGCCGTTAGTTCGGGGTAGGTTCGGCTTCTCGGCGATACTTGTGATTTGAGCACATCGCAACTCTAGGCCCTGATGAATGTTCAAGTCGTGAGGTTGGCATGTATCGGATGGCTCCGAAGCCTACAGAAATATCAATTGGTTATTTCCACTGCTACTTTAGGTTAATATTCCTTTCATGTCACAATTTTGGTGACTGCGATTGAATTGCGTGCCCATTCACTCAAAATCATACCAAGCCATGCTTTGCTAGCATGATTGATACCTAACTTCAGCCACGGAAAGCACAAGAATCCATCTGCACTTAATATACACAGATGTGCTACACCGATGGTTTCCATAATGAGCGTGGACACCGCCCGCAGCTAAGAGCTTTTGTCGTGCTTGTCTTTGAGTGGGTATGTAATTCCGGACGACATACTACCCTACGCACGGCTCAGCGCACTATGGCACTTAGGAATACTCTAAGGGCGACTAGACGTGCAATCAATCTGCCTCAGGAAATACACACAGCGAATTGCTCCAGATTTTCTTGTCTTTGGATCACTAGAATAGACGGTAATGCGACTGCTAGTCCCGGCTTGTAATCCAAAGCACACAAGTGCTCAGCACCCTGCGTGCTGCTTGAGGACAGTCGAAGAGGGGTCTGGTCGCAAAGTGAGTTCCCACAACATTGAAGATTATTTTCCTAATCGGTCTGGGAGCGCATTTAAGATAGCTAGGTTCATACGGCGAGGCCAACAGCTAGACTACTGATTGTTGGTCTACCTTGTAGCAGACCCTCAGAGGCATGCCCATACCAATTCTCAATCGTCCTTGATCAAAACCCCTCCGTCAGCGCCCTCGGTCCCATCGCGAACTCCCAGGTACACAATGTCGTGCATGATTTGTTTCCAAACTCCAGCCTCATTATCTGACTTTTCAAGCCGCCACCAGTACTTTGCTTTGACCATAAAGCCTTTGCCATCGCCGTCGTCCATCCACATGTCAACCTTCATGCCCACCCAGTTCTCAGACTTGGCTCTACTCTGCACTTCGGTGACGGATGAGAAGCCGGCGGGAATAACATGCTCGTTTGTGCCGAAATCGGTGGCCTCAGCAGCGGTGAGGCGTCGGATGGTGTAGTAGTTGGCCTTCGTATTTGAGCCGACAGATTCACCCTCCTTCAGTTGGCCAGCTTCACGAAGGATGCGAGCGACTACCTCTCCACCTTCCCCAAGATATCGCACGATTGTTGCGCCATCACGAGCGGCGTAGGTGGGGTCTTGACGACAGATCTGAAGACATTTCTCCGAGTAGAAGGCCCCCTTCCCTTCGGGTTCTTTCGTTTGCCTGTACTTGGCGTAGAGATCACAGAGGTGGTCAAAGGGATCTGAAGAGGGATCTGAAGAGTGATCCGACGCCATGTTGGAGGTTGAATGTGAGCGAAAGGGAGAAGTGCAGCATGAGTCACGTAAATATACTGAATTAATCAGTTGGACACGGTGTCAGCTTACTTCTGTCCCAATTTAGGTAGGCCCGTTCTATACGGAGCATCTATGCTCCAAATCTTATCACGTGGTATATAGCTGGCGAACCCATCGCTTGGCTTACTGGCCTTTGCATGATGTAGTAAAGAATATTCTCATTTCTTCACCAATGGCGCTACTGTGCTGAAGGTTGAAGTGGAGGGAGGAGACGCACTTGAGGAAGGCCAGGTTACTGCCATCTCGGAAGCCATAAAGATTGAAGTTAGCGCCTTGGCTCCTCAAGGCTCCCGAAGAGCAGTACGAGCAGAGGTAATGTGCTGCAAATCGATGAACAGCGGAAAATAGGCGCCAAGCGGGTGCTTGGCGATCAGGGCATTTATTTAGAGACGCAAAGACAGGGTAGACATCCCAGTATTTAGGGGAGTTATTCGGAGCTTACAGGGGACGGTTTAGGGGGTACATGCGGAGGCGGATTCAGGTAAGACAAAAGGACAAATTTGTCACTCTGCTCCACAACATGGCGTGACGCGCCATCACAGCTTACTTTAATTTAAATGTTCGATGACGAGGCATCGACTCTATCTTCTACAAGCGTGAAACAGACTTTCTCGGGATCTGCCAAGCTTCGGAGAATTATTCCCGCCCTCATCCCAAAGTGGAATCATCGGATCACCAGAAGCCACGAATAAGTCGACCGTCAGGGCGGTACCACACATCCCAGGATGCTCGAGTTTCACCATCGGGACAAACCCGCAAAACTAAAACCCCAGCTTTACGTGCTACTCGTGTATGTTGGTCCCTCTGTTGATGGCATTCTTCTGTGGAGCCTCGGGCCCAAGACGAAACAAACCCCTGGTCCACTCTTGCAATGTTTCTTTCCACCAATCTGCGTGAGTCTGGGACGATACAAAATGTAACTCTGCCGGTGTTCTGCGTCGTTTCTCGTCGTCAGCGAAACAAGATCCTGGTGAAAAATCTTGGCGAATGGGTTGCCGCGAGCTCCGTGCCGAGTGATGGCCTCGGCGATCTGCTGGCAACATGACCTCGCTTGGATTCAAGGGGGATTAGCATGGGCCGAGGCCCGCTGCATTCGTAGATCCCTACGTCTTGAGGCTCATCGAATGCTATATAGAAGCCAGCTAGGACGCTACGAAACAAACACAGCAGACTTGGTTGAGCCATTCACTCTTTGCATTGTTTCCATTCCATTCGTTTTGATCGCCCGACAACCTGGTGTTTCGTCCGATCTCTTTTTTATAACATATACACAGATCAAGCCAATCGTTACACCACCGTCACCACCGTCACCATGAAGGCCTCCCTTGCTCTCGTCTCCGTCTTCACGGCCATCCTCAACACTGTTTCCGCCGACGGCGTCGTGGGAACTGCCGAGGGCTTCGCCTCCGAAGTCACCGGCGGCGGCACTGCCACTCCCGTGTACCCGACCACGACCGACGAGCTTGTCTCGTACCTAGCCGGCGACGAGGCGCGCGTCATTGTGCTCCAGCAGGAGTTCGACTTCACCGGTACCGAGGGCACTCTCACGGAAACGGGCTGTGCTCCTTGGGGCACCGGAAGCGCGTGCCAGCTGGCCATCAACCAGAACGGCTGGTGTGATAACTACCAGGCATCGGCTTCCAAGGTCAGCGTCACGTATGACGCGGCTGCCACCATTGGAATTACCGTCGGCAGCAACAAGTCGATTGTCGGCAAGGGTACCTCTGGTGTTATCCGGGGCAAGGGTCTGCGCATCGTCGGCGCCCAGAACGTCATTATCCAGAACATCCAAATCACTGAGCTCAACCCTAGCCTCGTCTGGGGCGGTGATGGCATCACTCTCGACTCGTCCGACCTCGTCTGGATCGACCATGTTACCACTTCTCTGATCGGCCGCCAGCACATTGTCCTCGGAACTGATGCCGACAACCGCGTCACCATCTCCAACTGCAAGATTGACGGCACTACTGAGTGGTCGCCTAACTGTGATTCGTACGCCTACTGGGGACTGTACTTTGGTGGTTCTAGCGATGTAAGTCCCTCCGTCCCCTACGACAATCAGACCGAGATACTCACAATGTCCCATAGAAAATCACCCTGAAGAACAACTACATCTACCACACCTCCGGCCGAAGCCCCAAGGTCACCGGAACCACCCTCTTGCACGCCGTCAACAACTACTTCAGCGACATCAACGGTCACGCTTTCGAGATCGACTCTAGCACCCAGGTTCTCGCCGAGGGTAACCTGTTTGAGAGCGTTGACACCATCGTCGATGGCCAGGAGGGCCAGGTCCTCGTCCCTGACACCGACGGCTCTGCCTGCTCCAGCGCCCTCAGCCGCGAGTGCCAGGCCAACGGCTACACCAGCTCTGGTACTTGGAGCGGTTCCGACTCGAGCTTCCTCTCTGGCTTCTCTGGCTACAACATTGCTTCTGCTGAGGCATACAGCTCTGTTAGCGGTCTGGCCAGCAGCGCTGGTAACACTATCTAAAGTGTGAGTGCGTAGCACAACACAGCAAGATGGTTAGCGCTGGAGACACCCAATAAGGGGCAAGGACCAGTAGGACAACCAGTACTGATCGGGATCAGCCTCTGTTTTATGTATATTTTTTGCTCGCATAGTCGAGTACTCGTACAATAGATTCTACTGTCTAAAATTTCTCTGTTACTACTTCAAGTCGTATTGCTCCGCGTAGATGCTATAAATGAGATCTAAGTACCTTGGTGACATCTTAACCATTTTCAATACCGATGAAGACTTCCAATTGGGATATTTTGCGCCGGTGGTGAGTTAAAAGATGCAAGATCAAGCCGAGTCCTTCACCTCTCTGCTCCTCAAATGCACTCGCGGTGTTGCATGTCAGACAGCCGTTACTGCATCCTATCTTCCTACTATGATATATCAGGCTGCGCTCAAATCAGACTCGGATGACATAGTTGGTGCCATGGCGAGGGACTCGGGAGACGCCCAGAGTTGGTCCAGAGCCGAGTACAACTACTATTTCTCTTCGGCGCTGGAAACTCATAGCCAAGTTCCTGTAGTACGGACCGCGTGGTCTGTGGCGCAAAACATCTCTCCTACGGAGAATACCATCGAGTTCCCCATCATGCCAGAATAAGCATGCTGGAAAGAGATCACGACATTCCGTATCCCGAATATTAATAGCACGCCTTCAGACAGTCTCAGAGTTACTTGGACTTTGTTGCCTCCTGAATTTGGGTGGACCAGCGCTGGCATGGTGTTTGAGGGTCTGTGGGCTAATAACAGGACATCCAAGGTCGTTATTGGGTGTTCGATCGATGCTCGATGGGCCAACGGAAAGGTTGATGTCTTACAAGGCTACTCAAAGGACCTTGCTTCCTCGGAGAAATGGGAGCTTCGACGCGGGCTCCGGACCCCTTTCCGACCGCCAATCGACGGTACTTGGCGTCCCATAACTCTAGATGGGAGTTGGCTTCAACTCTCATGCCCTCTCAAAGGTCAAAAAACACGTTCCAATCGATTCTTGGCCACTCTAATCTCGTCGATGATGAGTTGACTCTCGTACAAGGCGTCGTCCATCGACTATCTAGCCATGGCTGTTCTTGTCGCGCAGATCGCTCTTGCCCTTGGCCATTCTATCCATCTTCTTTACACTCACAAGACTTCAAATGCATGGGATTCAATAGCAGAAATCTTGACTCTCGCAAACAACCCACACCTAAATTCTCAGGCACTTCAACATACCTCAGCTGGCATCCGGAGCCTAGAGACGTACAAGGAGATAGAAGTCGTGCGTGTGACCGAGCCTAGGGACCAAGCTGAGAAGACTTACGGTGGCCGCATCGAGCTCGTGTTTTGCGAGAATGGTGGAAGTGGAGGTACATCAGCGTCGCAAAAGCCGGCTGCCCCCGATATCGCCAAGCATACCCCGTTGCTCTGAATACAGCAACGGCTCTTGTAGTGGGATTTCCCCATGGGTGCAGGGCAATCAGCTAACCTCACAAGACTCCAGCATCCAATCGCGGCCCTTGCAAAGACGATCAACGGCCCGGCAAGTAAAGACAGACTTGTGCTATTATTCATAGTGTTACTAGAGGATAGCTAATAAGGGGACAGTTAGCAAGTCTTGTAAATAATTTCATTTTCAAGTAGTAGTTAAATGTATTCAATTGTCAAGTATCATAAATGTTGTTCAATGTTCTGGCATCTCTATCGCCTATGTCAGCCAGCCTGAACCGGACCTGTCAGCTCATGTTGCATTGGAGGCATGCTGGAACACCAGAGCTCCAGGAAGTCATATGAGAAGTAAGGGGCCTGTCGGGGCTGACTCGGCAGGCGTTTCGGAGCCCACCCGACTTGCCTGTAATGGAACAAGGGAAATCTAACTTAGGTACTTCAAGCATTCAGGGCATAATTAAGATCTGTAATTATCGAACCGGTATTGCTAAACAGCGCCGAGGCGTACTCCGTAGATAGTGCCCAGGCCCAACGCGCCCAGCCAGCTACTCCAGGCGTACTGGATCCGCTTCGCCGCTCACCACAAGTCACCACCTTATATTTGGTTAGAGAAAATTAATACTCCTTTATGCGTCGCCGTTTAGGTGGTGTTCTTGCCTCGTATTTATCCCGTTTTAGATGGTATTGACAAGGGATCCCGGTCTAGAACCTGTACTTAGTCTAGTAGGCGTCAGGTAGGCCAAGATAGCCCACCTCGCTTGACAGGGGTATTCTTGAGACCCCATCTGAAATCTCTTTTTCGTCTATCTAGATGAGGCTAAGCATAATGTTCGGTGGTCTCGGCTCGACGGCTCGACGTCCGTGTCCTCCAACCCAGCACCTATAAAGAAACCCCTGCCAAGTTTTTCCTCGACGTTCCTCACAGGCAGGATTGCCCACGCTCGTCCTCCGAGCATCGTGTCTTTCCTTGCCCGACGTTGATCCTCTCGTTTATTCACTTCAACGCTCATTCTCTCGTTCATTCTCTCGTTCATTCGTGTCAATTGTTTCATTTGTCATTCATTCTTTTGAGTCCTCGACCCTGGCCTTTCAATTGACGCTTTATTCTTCGACTACCTAATTCAAGACTGCCCATTGCGCCCCGTTTATTGATATCTTCTCTTTCAGTTCCATTTAATAGCCAATTCATTCGAAATAATCATGGTTCGACCGACATTCGTGGCTCTAGCAGCCTTCTCATTCTCCTCCCTCACAACCGCCGCTCTGACAAGCTGCCCATCGAAAGAGACAAGTTGGACATCAGACAGCGGCGCCGAATACACCGTTTGTCCCAACACCGACTACAAATACGGAGGCAGTAGCCTCCAGGTCGTCCAGCGTGTGACATCCACTACTGCGTGTGCCAAAATCTGCAACAAGGACCCGCGATGCGTCAAGGCCGTGTACGACAAGCAACGCCGCATCTGCCACGTCAAGGACAATGCCAACGAGGCGAAGATGGACTGGGCCAAGGACACCAACTTTGACACCATTCGGGCCAGAGACATCAAAGAGGGCGTCTTCATCGCTCGGTGCCCTTCTGGAACCACCAAATACCGTGCTAGCGGCGGAAAGACATATCATGTATGCCGCAACACTGACTACGTTGGCGCTTCGGTCAAGATTATCAAGGGTTGTACTACTATCAACGCCTGTGCCGATCTCTGCTCGACCGTCAAGACGTGTAGAAAAGCCGTCTTCGACCACATAAACAACGTTTGCCACATCAAGGAGGCCGAGCCCAAGGCGTCGCTATTTTGGGTACAGAGCAAGCAGTTCAGCGTCGTCTACGTGCCATCGGATACAGCGCCTTCGAGCAAGGGCAAATGGTCCGACATCATCCGCTTGCCTGTCATTCCTGTCGCAGCTTACGTGGCTCCCCAGTTCCCCCAGTCCCAGAAGCTGCTGTTCTTCTCCTCTTGGGGCCCTGACGCCTTCGGAGGTCCATCTGGCCTGACGCAGTTCGGTACAATGGATCTTCCTACCGGGGCCATTTATAAGCGAGAGGTGGCTAACACACATCACGACATGTTCTGCCCTGGAATGAGCCAGCTTGGCGACGGCCGCATTCTGATCCAGGGAGGCTCGAATGCCGAGGCTGTGAGCATCTACAACCCCAAGACCAACGACTTCACGCGGGGACCGGATATGAAAATGCCGCGCGGCTACCAGACATCGACCATCCTGTCCAACGGCAAGGTCTTCACCATTGGAGGCGGCTACTCGGGTCCTCGCGGGGGAAAGAATGGCGAAGTCTTCGACCCAAAGTCCAACAAGTGGACTATGCTCCCTGACGCCGCCGTCAAGCCCATGCTCACCACTGACCACGAGGGTATCTGGCGCGAGGACAACCACGCCTGGCTATTTGGGTGGAAGGATGGCAGCGTCTTTCAAGCCGGTCCAAGTGCGAGACAGCATTGGTACGGCACGAACCGAACCGGCTCCGTCGTCCAAGCGGGCACGAGAGACGGAGACAACGCCATGTGTGGCATCTTCGTCATGTATGATGCTGTTGCAGGCAAGATCCTGTCGGCTGGAGGCAGCCCTGACTACACTGGAAGCGACGCCACCAAGCGAGCCCACATCACCACCATCGGCGAGCCCTTCAAGCCGGCTGTTGCAAAGCGAGTGGCCGACATGGCGTTTCCTCGCGGCTTCGCCAACGCCGTCGTGCTGCCTGATGGGACAGTGCTTGTCACGGGTGGCCAGCGCAAGTCGGTTGTCTTCACAAACACCGACGGCATCTTGATCCCTGAGCTGTTCAATCCAGCTACCAAGAAGTGGACGCAGCTCGCTCCTCACGCTGTGCCTCGCAACTACCACTCCGTCTCTATTCTTCTGCCGGATGCTACTGTCTTCATTGGCGGCGGCGGACTTTGCTATGTAGCCACCATCGGCGGCTCAACCGCCAACTGTGACAAGACGGCTGACCATGCCGACGGAGAGATTTTCCAACCGCCCTACCTCTTCAACAAAGATGGCTCCCGTGCCGTCCGTCCCATCATTAGCAATTTCGCCCAAAAGCCGGTCAAAGCCGGCAGCACGCTCAAGTTCAGTGTTACCAACGCGTCGGGCCCAGTCAAGATCTCACTCGTCCGCATGGGCAGCGTCACACACTCTGTCAACAGTGACCAGAGGCGCGTTCCGCTCGACAATTTCACGGTCAAGGATAATCAGTATTCTGTAAAGTTGCCAAAAGACAACGGGGTGTTGTTGCCCGGGTTCTACTATCTCTTTGTCATGTCGCCACAAGGCGTTCCAAGTATCTCAAAGACAGTTCAGGTCATGCTATAATCCGGCCGCCTTTGGAAGATGTACACTCATTACTGTACATTAATGTGCACTGGTTTTCTGGTGCACTCAGAAGGGACTTTATAGAAAATAGATAATAAATAATGTTGTAATTCCGAATATGTTACCGAGTATTCTTGACGCTATCAGATGAGCTTCAAAGTTGCCCCGATGCATTCTCGTAGACCTACAGGGTTGCCCGAAGCGAATATGCGGCATGTTTGCGTAGCTGATGGTGACCGCGGTCGCAGGGTCGGCTGAGCCGACAATGGTTCTTGTGGTTGCTATTTTGGTATATATGAGAGATGGTAAGGAAAGGAGTGAGGGACCGGCTTGGAGCAGCCGATAGCATTTAAATTAGTTAATAGTTGAGTTCTCCAGCCTAGAGCCAGAAAGCCTTGAGCTTGGTTATAGCATTGGGTCTCTGAATGCTAAAATTATGCTTAAAAATTGTAACCCTGAGAGGTTCTGGTGCCCTAGTACACACATTCCCAGAGGAGGGCTAGAAGCTCAAGAGGAAAAGAAAAACACCAACAATAGTATCAACAATACTTCTTCTACTTATATCTCGTTCAAAATCATATTATTCTTCCTATGATAAGACCCTTGTTTTATAATCTAGTCCCTTATCATCTTTCAATGCGGAATTAGTGATACTATTAGGCACGAGTTAGTAGCCCTGATCCTCTTTCATTCATGTTACTTTATTAGTAAAGCCTAATCTGAAGAGTTGGCACCCTGAAAAATCGCCGATAACCAGGACTTGGTAAAGCTCTCTTTAATCATATCGCGTGGGCTGGTGATAAAATCCCTATTTCATAGTGCTAATTCTCCCCAGGACTGTAGGAAGACAACCCGGCCCCTGAATCAGAACAAAACCTCATCACCAGGAATTACAATCGTGCCCTTGGATATTTCTACACCGCCTCCAATCAGTTGAACACGCACATCATGGCTATCCTCAGCGCCGGTCGAAACGGACAAGCCAACCTGTATCTTACACTCCCTTCCAACATTATATCCTTGCAGAACCTCGATACTTGCCTCTCCTTTAGTCACACTTAGGTGGCCTTCATTATATAAGTATGCGGACAGCGGTCCTGCGGCGCTGCCAGTCGCCGGGTCTTCGGTAGACATGCCTGGACTGAAGAACCTGGCCTGGTACCGATCGCTACCAGGCTCTCCAGAGTTATTTGCATCTGGCGTAAAGAGGAATAATCCAAAGGAACGCTCATCAGCTAAGCGAACTTGTTGCAGGAGAACATCCCTCTCCACGACGACTTGATTCAGAGCAGTAATGGACTTGATAGGCACCAGCAGATGGTATGTGGAAGCAGTTGACATGACTCGCGGGGCAAGTGAATCATTATCGGGCAGACCAATGTCCTTGGTCTCCAGCCCAATACTTCTAGCGAGTGCCTCCGGATCTGGATGTCGGCCATGAGCTTTTGGGGGTGCTTGCGTGATTGCCACTGAATAGAGAGGATGTTGCCCTTCGAGCTTCGTCCGTAGAATCTGGACCGGCATGACGGCATCTCCCAGCTCTTGGAAAAAAGTAAACTCGTCAGAATCGGGCGACTTGGTCACAAATTTGGTCTCGGAAAAGTCGAGAAAGCCTGCTTCGGCAAGGTACCACCAAGCGCCGAGAATATTGTGCCCGATGCCCAGAACTTCTCTGCCGTTCGGGAGGAAAGATCGCAGCCGGTAGGTGGCTTGGGCCCGGGTTGGTTTAGAGAAGAATGTCGTCTCGGAGAGATTGAACTGCCGGGTAATCAGCTTCAACTGGGTGTCGCTGAGAGTGCCGGCGAGATCATCAACGACCGCAAGAGGGTTTCCCTTGTACGCGGTTGAAGAGAAGATGTCAACGACGGCAAAGTTGACGGTCGACATCGTGGATGATGGGTTTTTCGGGATTAAGCCTGTATGTTTTTGTGGTTGAAATTGTTTTCTGCCGCGGCAGGAGTTCTCCTTTTATCCTTTTCACAAGGGCAAGAATGTCGGTGTCGACATTTGAAGGTTGTAAGGTGTATGTGTATTTGAAATCCAATCTGCTTTCATAATGGTCAAAGGATTGCTAAGCTAATATGACGCAATTGGCAGAGGTGATGTCGGTGGTGATAAACACGGGGTAATTTTCCCCCGAAATCTTGGTATAGGCTAGTAATAGCAGTATTACATTAGCCATAAAGTTTAGTCAATTCAGCAGTAATGGCTTGGAGCTTTATATCAACTACTTCAATTGTAGAAACAAGTCGCCTAGAGCTAACAGCAGTGCAGGGTAGATGATGATTCTGTTTCTTCAATTTGAGAATAAGCAATGGTTCTTATGGAAGCGACGAGTGGTAACATATGTTCACCATTCACCACATATTTCTTCCAGTCTCGACTACAGTGTGAAATCCATCCAGTTCGTCTCCAAGCTTCACAATCAAATCTAGCAGCATGTGATCACATCCAGCACCTCCGATAATTCCGATGCTCACTGGCAGCTGCTCCTCACGCATGCTCACCTTTGAGTCAAAAGAATGAGCCCCAATAGGCACTGCGTAATCTGGAAGCCCAGCTGCAGCCGCTTGAAAGGTGTTGACATACGGCGATGAAGACGTGAGGGGAGAAGTGTTGAGTGACCCGTCTCGATACAATTCAAGCCCTGGTCCAAGTGGGTATAAAACCAGGGCTTCCTCGCAAGACGGTAACAGCTGCGAGGTGAACCACTCTCTGTAGACTTGGAGATGACGAACCGCATTTTCGTAGCTCTCATCATCAATTTGAGCAGCAAAAGCAAGGCCGCTGCGAGGGACCGGGTTGACGAAGGGAAATTGCCCGAATTCCTCCTGGTAGTCGGCGATGAAGGGTTGCCCAAGGGCCCGGAACTGATCTCTGACCAAAACTAGAGGATAGTCACTGATGAAAGCAGCGATCCCTTCCTTGTTGCCCGTGTGACGAATGAAGGAATTGTTTGTATTGACATACTCAACTCTGGCTTCTAGAAGAGCAGAAAGGTCATCGATGAACTTTTCGAAGATGGGCATGGATGTTTTGTTCGGGGACGGCCAAAACTCCTGCGGCAAGATGATCCTCTGGGGAAATGTGGTGTAGTTGGCCTTTTTCTCGAGCCAACCCTCGTATGCTGTTCGTAGAAGCCTTGCATCTCGGGCGATCAAACCGGGTGTGTCCATCCTTGCCGAGACAGGGAGAATTCCATCCAGAGGCAAACTCCCATTAGTGATTCTAAGGCCGAAAAGGCCGTTCGCCATGGATGGCCCTCGAATGGATCCAGTGGTATCAGTTCCCGTACCAAGGTCTAGCCAGTCGTACGACGCCAAGGCTGCTCCTGTGCCGCAGGAAGACGAAGAGGGGCTCTGGTACCCATCACCTCTGGGGTTGAACGGCGCAAGTTGGTCCACGTAATTTGCTGTAGGCACCTCACCGGCGGCGAATTGGGCCGTTTTGAGCTTGCCAACGATGACAGCACCGAGACGGATGAGGCGCTGGAGGGAGAGGGCTGTCTCAGTTGCAGGCGGATAGAGGGCGAAGTATGCTCTGGAGCCGGCCCCCGTCTTGATCCCCTTGAGGTTGAAGACGTCCTTGACGCCAAGACGCAAGCCCGAGAGAGGCCTCTCGGGCGATGGCTTTGGGTAGTAATGGCGTGAGGGAACGGGGATACTGAGTGCCCCGTTGACGCTTTCGCCGACTGCGGCAGTAGATGGCAAATATGTTCCATCCTCGCCCTCAATCACAGCCTGACTAAAGGCCATGTTGTCGTCAACGTAGAGTCTATAGACCCGGGTCAAGTCACCAGAGGGATGCAGGAAGTATGGCCCAGATGGCAGCTTTCCGGTTGAAGTCAATATGAGTGTGGTGGTACCGGTGGACTTGAGGTAACGCTTGATGCCAGCCGACACCTTTGCTTTGGCGTGGAGAATCAGTGTCGGGAGGAAAGATTTCGACATGACGTCGTCCCCGTTTAGTAGATTGTCAAGCTGCTGTTCTAGATCTTCGACCTTCGACGGGAAGTCACTGAGATAGGTGATAGGCAAGACATCGCTGAATTTGGACTTGAGGACGTTGACGGACCCTGCAATGGTATCTGGAGAGTAGTACGTCGTATCATTGAATTGAAGAACGGTCGATGCTCCAACAAAGCCGGCGAAGGCTAAAATAGAAAATATCATTGTGATCAAGTCTTTTACAGCGGGATGTATCCTTGGATAACAGGAAAATATGTTGAACGATGGAATATCAATCATGCTGAGCAGCCAACAGGAAATGACAGAAAGAATGAAGGGACGTGGTGCGACATTTAAACTATTGACGAGTCTCTCTGTTACAAGTGAAAACTAAATGTACGACTGAACATCTGTCGGTGTATAAAATCTCGCTGTGTTTGCTTGGCGCAAGGTATTCCCTCATATTAAGCTATAGGGTTGCTACATTGACAAGGATGCCAGAGCGAAGTGAGCACTAGACCAATGCAGCTTCCCGAAATGATTAATCCAAGAGCATTATGAAACGAAACTCCACTCAGTACCGAGTTATTTACTGCCCATAGCAGCTAGACTAGATCGTTGCGAAGGTGGTTTGAACAGGGACCTTCTTTTATGCTCCTACAATCGGGTCTGGAGCAAAGCTGTGGATCCCTGAGCCCACGATTCTTCACACCTGATTATAGCTACCCACTTTGTTCTCTATCTCCCTCTCTCACGGCAAAACGACAAGTGCCTTTGTGCTGGGCGGTATCTCGACTTCCAATGTTAATTGATCCCTCTCCAAGAGCCACTCCCACCTGAACTAACCGAATGGCCCATCAAAAACAACCTTGGCGGTGGTGATGTTGACGCCGGGCACAGTCTTGACTTTGACTGCTTTCCAGCTTGGCTCCATGGGCTCTACCCCCCGACGGTGTGGTGTAGTCAATTCGCAACCGCATCGAGAGCGTAATGATTGAAGCTTGTCATAGATCTAGGGTTGGTGCTTTCGTCTGGAGGATGCTGTCTTATCGATCCCACGACGTAGTAGCTCCCATCGTGATGGGGTACAACCAGCTTCAACCCAGTAAGCTGATTCCGGGTCACTACTAACGGGCATTCCTTGCGCATAGCTTTTCAATATATAACTGCTTTCCTGCTTCAGTGTCGTGCTTGTCTACGAAGATCGAGATATACTTGCCCTGGGCGCGAGCCTACTGTATAATAGCTGCTATATTCAGGTCCCATCTATCTAGGTTTAGAGGTGTAATTGCGCTCAGTCTATTAGTAAAAGAGAGTTGGGATACTTAGTTATATAGCTGTTCTGAAACAAATCATCTTTTCACGATCTCGAGAAGCGAATTCGGATGACGGGGCCAAATATTTCCGCAAATCCTAATGTCAGTTCAGATTATGTGGCTCTGGAGACTGAAGATCAGAACGTCGTTACAGAGGATCCTTGCGCACGGTACCAGGCCGGAACTGCCTTTATTCATAGTCAATTCAAGATCAAAACTGAATTATTTTGCACCTCCGTCGGAATCCTCTCTACGTAACAAGGCCAGTCAGGCATATTTACTAGACTAGCAACGCTGATCTTAGGGGTTACTTCATTCGCACAGCTGAGACATGACAACCATAACTTCGCGTGCATTTCATAGACAAATTAATCACTCAAGTCATTTGTTTGGAAAGAATGGGCTTGGTGGGCCCAGTGAAATGGAAGTCGCCGGGAAACAGTACCACCACAAAGACACCATGTGTGCGGCCCTGGTTGCTGCGGCAACAACCGTGCTTGCTGCAGTGGAAGTTGTCAGTTGGTAGAACCTCTTATCATATATTCAAGTACCTAATGGACACTCGAGGTCCTGGATATTGCGATGACTACTATATACCCCCACAACATCGCGTTTACTTTGTATCCTTTTATTCTCAACCACTCTTAATAATGTCCGCAGCCTGTAAATCTCAAGTCAGTATGCTTTCTAAAAAATGAGATAATATCCACTTACCCTCTCGGCAACGGCATATACAGTCGTCATAGTGTGAGAAGCTGGCAACAAAGGCATCACACTAGCATCAACAATTCGGAGTCCCTGCACACCATAGACCTTGAGCTTGCCATCAACAACGCCGCCCTCCTCTCTTTTGCCCATCTTGCAGGAGCCAGCTGGGTGGAAGAGAGTCGAAGCGCTTGAACGGATGAACTGCTCCAGATCCGCATCACTCGCCACACTTGCTCCAGGTACAACCTCGAAAGGCTGGAGAGACCCAATTGCCGACGTAGCGGTAAGTGTTCGGGTGAATCTCACACCTTCTGCGAGAATTTTCACGTCCAAGGGATTTCGGAGGAGACCAGCATCGGCGATGGGAGCGTCGAAGATATTGGCGGACGATGCCTTCACGCTACCACGTGAGTAAGGATGTTGCAGGCCTAGGACAAAGACACCGTCCGCCCAGATCGCCTCGAGGATTGCCGAATCCGACTTGGGCAACTTGTCGTTCAGAACCGATTGCTGCTTTCGATAGCCCTTTACAACCTCGGCCGGAGTCCCCGCAGGGAGAAAGGTTGTGCCATCCTGGGCAACGGCTTGGGCATGAATGCTGGTGCTGTTTTTCGAGTAGGTTGAAAGAGGCAAGAAGGCCAAGAAGTCTCCAGTTGGTGAAGTGTAGGGACCTTGCCTCTGGTTGTCATACTGAGCTCGTGCCTCGGCAGCGAACGTAGCATTGCTGGTCAAATTGCTGCTTGTCAGAGGTGCGGTGACTGATGTATGGTTAGAAACTTAAACCAGCAATAGCTCGAAAGATACTTCACATACTGACGTTGACCACGGCGAGTAAAACGTGGTCCTGCAAATTCTGGCCCACGGCGGGGAGGTCGACGACAGTGGTAACGTTGATGCTAGAAAGAGTGGCTGGGTTGCCAATACCAGATACCTGCAGGATCTGAGGCGTGTGAATCGAGCCAGCTGCCAAGATGGCTTCCTTCTTGACACACACGGTCTGACGAGCACCGTTTTTAGAGGCAGCGTACTGCAATGTGTTAGTGGTTTGTTTTACCAAGGGAGGTTCACTGAGTGGCAGCTCTGACCTCTACATCAGTCACCTTCACAGCGCCGGAAATCTTCTGGGTAACGATGCGCGTTACTTGTTGCCCGGTGAGCAAGTGAAGGTTTTGGCGTTTGGTGAAGTTATTGTAGTATGCTTCTCGGGCTGAAGAGCGGGTTTCTGTCACGGGGTCTTGGTTATGAGGGCAAAAGTATCCGCCGATGGGACTGCCGTTGGCTTGGTCCTTTGCAATTGGAATCTTGAGTTCCTTCAAAGCGCCGACCATGTTTTCTGTAGAGTGCAGGAATAGGTCGTCAGATACCATATCTTGTTTAAATCTTCGCAGGTTCGGGTTTCTTACTCGTTGTCGGCCAGAAGAAAGGCGAATACGTCGAATGCATATATCCGGAAGTACCATGAGCGGCAGCGTCATATGTAATATTGTATTCGGCCGCGATGGCGGCGGTTGCGGGTGTGAATTTCTCATTCTATGCGAGCACACTGATTAGTCTCCCCGCGGGTCAAATCATTTCACCGAAGGCAAGCGGATGATACTCACTTTCTTAAAATAAGGCAACAGGGCACTCCAGTTCCAGCCGTCATTTCCAAGCGTTGCCCAGCGATCGTAATCCGACTTGGACCCTCGGTCGAAGACCATGCGGTTCAACTTGGTAGATCCTCCGACGACTTTGCCCTGCGGAATGGACACGTTTCGGCCGCCGAGTGAATCGCTTGCGACGTAAGTTAGATTCCAGTCGTATTTCGTGCCTACGGCGCCGCCGGCGAGGCCCGGGATGGTGACAAAATCCTCATTTGCGTCGCTGTGCACTGGTAAGCTGGCTGAGCTACGGGCGGTGGGACACTTCGGCTTACAGGACTCCGGCTTCGATAACTAGAACAGTCACATCTAGCGGTACTTGTAAGCAGATGATCTAGAATTCCATGAATTGATGGGCTGCCCTACCAGGATTCTCCGACAATCGGTTTGCGACTGTGAGACCGGAAGCGCCACCGCCCACCACAACATAGTCGTATGCGGTAAGTAGCTGTTGGGCTCTTGCCTTGTACTGGCCTGGGAAGGCTGGAGAGGCCAGAGCTCCTTGTGCTGAAAGAAACACGGCCACAGCGGCCAATTTAGAGATACCCATGGTTAAGGAGTGTTATTGATTCTGAATCACGAGGGATGATCATGTCGTAAAAGCGATGATCATAGCGGCCGGACAGACGTATATGTATCCCTATTGCCTCCTTCCCAATCCATCATGACACTGCGCCTCTCATGCGCTTCTGGAAGCGTCACGTCTTCTTCTGGCCGCCTACTCGGCAATGCTACTTTGCCATGTGCCGTCCCATGAACTTTGGGCTCCACAAATGACATTACAGGGGAGCTCAAGGACCGAGGTACCCGAATTGAAACGATGGCCGAGTCTAGAGAAGGTTAATACCACATTAACCGTCCATGCTCCCCGTCATTTTCAATCCGAAACAGGTAGGTAATGCTTCTGTAAGCAGCGCAAGAGGCAGTGCAGGAGCATTTACCGGAGCCTTTTGAACCAAATAGCATCATCTTTAATTCCCTTCTCTCCCCTTGCCAACTTTATTTTACCCGAGGCCAAGCTAACTGAGGGGCTATTACCAGTTCGGTCAGAGGTCAAGGGTCTTGGCGAGGGATAAGTTGCATCTTGGCCTAAATCGGACACGGCTGAATTTGAATCCCGTCCCAATTGTGGCGTGTAAAGTGGTGACCATATAGCCTGCCCTGTACAATAAGAGTTCGGGACGGTGCGTGTTAAATTGACAGTTCGGCTGGATGGATTCAGTCAGGTACCATCAATGCAGGTCCCCTTTCTCCGATTTTTTACCTCATTCGTCCGCACCGTTATGCCGTTAACGGCATCGCGTATCGTATTGACGGCAAGTGTGGGCCGTTCTTGAAGTGTAAGGATATTTCCTTGGATGTCATCGTCGACGGTGGCTATGAGGTCATCCCTGTCCTTAGCCTTGTTTTGTTGGCTCGCACCGGCTGAACGGCATGCTGAGCTTGCGCTACTAGCTATTATAGGCCATATGGTGCTGTGGACGGTGGTTTTGCCCGTTATGGGAGCTGCACAGCTTGAACAATCGAGCCAGCTTTTAGCGACAATGGTAGGACGGGAACAAACCGATCATCATATGCGTGCTACCCTCAATCCTGTGCGTCAGCTCAGACTCTAATCTAGAATACCTACCCCTGGCAGGAATTATCTTAGCCAGGCTGGTGCCTCAGTGTTGGTAGAGCTGAGCTGAAGCAGAAGCTAGCCTAGGGCGCAAAGCTAAGCCCACCACCCTCTATTTCGCACGTGTTTCGGGAGACTCTCCGCAGCCCGCGGGCTCCAATCGTATTAAAACGTTCCAATAAATGGCGTCATTATCCCAGGGACCCATCTTCAGTAACCCGGGTCGCCGGGAGTCATATCAATCCCGATGGATCGGTGTAAATGACTAAAGGAGCAGGACAATCGTCCCTTATAATGATCGTGCGCAGATACCTCCCTGACATGTCAGCCCTAACAGTTACCTGATTACGAGTCCGGGATATGTGCCTCTATGGGACACACAATACCCTGCTTTGTAACAGTCAAGTCGGTTGGGGTAATACTGTGGTTTTTGGTGGGCTTTAAGGCTTTAGGTAATGACAAGATGAGGAAGAGAGTAGGGCGGATGCTCAAAGGAAAGCAAGCCGCACTGTAGGGGAGACACGAGGAACACCGCGGCAACATCGTCGGTTATGTCCAGGGAGACGGGTGATATCGACATTAATGTCTCATTTGTCTAAGAACAGGCGGCTTTGCTTTCTTCATAGTCAATTAGAGAGAAATATCGATATTGTATTTTTCTTCAGTCTGATTAATGAATGAGTAGGTGAAGTGCAGAAATTCTAAAAATGACACCTAAAACTCCACCTTGGCCCTCCAAATGTTCCAAATAGTATGCGAAATACAAGATAAATAATCTTGTCGGGAAAATAGAAGTAAAACTCGACTTAAAACACCCACTACCCGATACAGGAATTAAGGAGAGTAAGCAATGCGAAGGCCATCGCCAGTAGTGGGGTTCCAGTTGATAGAGTCAAAGTCGTAGACTCCAACCAGCTCAAAGGCCTCCCGGGTGCCTGGCTCCTTGCAGGGCGTCTTGGCGGTAAGGTAGGTGTTATATGTCGCGTCCCAAGTGGCCTTGGACCCAGGGACAACCGAGATGCGACCCAAATGGATGTTGCGCTGGTTTCCGGGACCCCAGCCGCTGGTAGGGCCTGGCGCTGGGCTGCTGCTTCTGAAGACGTCGAGCTTCTTGCTGCCCGCAGGACTGGCAGTCGAGGGAAGGGTGAATTCGAACCAGCATTTCATGCCACGAGCGGCGGCAGGGTAGGTGAATGTCACCAACGCGGTCTGGTCCTTGCCACCATTGCCGGAGTTTTTGTAAACCTCGACGAGGCTTGTAGTAGCGGAGATGGCGCCGTTGTTGGTTGAGTACTGCCAGGTAGCTGAAGGGCTGAAGACACCCGAGCCACGGGCCTCGAGAGGGGCAGCCAGAACAGAAGTGGCAGCGACGGCGGCTGAAATGATAGATTTGAGAAGCATTTTGAAGATGGAGGGAAGAAGGAGCTCAAGTGAAACCCGTGTGTAGAGGTAGATTGGTCTGTGGTGATTGTTGTTGATTGATGTTGAGTGATGATAAAACTGTATTCCTTCTTGACACTCGGTCTTTATATATTTGGAAGAGGACGAGCAAACCTACACCGTCCGCTCAAATCCCAAGTATGGACGCTCAGCCTCAGCCATGGCGGGGCGAAGTTGGGGGCATCATAAAAATAGTGAAAATGGTTCACACAGCCTGCGAGGCTTGCTCCGGTCGACTGTCTAAGGGTTTAAGGCGTTGAGCTAAGAGGATTCGAGCTAGAAAAGTGAAGAAGCTGCGATAGGGCGGCCAATCATGGTGTAGAGGCGTCATGGCGTTGCTCGCTAGTGGGGGCTGGACAATAGACACGTCGAGTTAAGTTGCAGACTAGTCGTTAAAGTCTACAACTTTGATTCAGCTGAGAGAGGGAGACACAGCTCGGCGACCTGTGGCGTCCATACACTGCCCCGACATTGTGGTGGAGGCATCACGAGCACCAAGCCACGGTACTCCGTCAGCTTTTAGCCCTCATCCGTTTTCCGGATACTCGCTCTACCGCATCTTCCTCACCGCCGCAGCGCCAATCCAATCAATTCAGGGAATGAGTGATGCCCGTGCATCTACGGTTTTCAGCTGATTGATGAAATGGTGGGTTCAATCAAGCCCCGCGATGGTTCGTCGAATGATGATCGCGGCTGGGGTTCACCACTGCCACATCTCCGAAGAAGATATCGGCGAGGTGACATGCAAGGGATATGTCTATTCGGAACATGCCGTTCTGCAGAAAGCCTCTGTTGATTGAATGTATGATGCGTATTCGTGTGTATGCCTAGGTGGCTAGCTGAGGGTAGCAAAACGCCTGATGCAAGGGGGCTGATGCGCCAACTTAGGTACTTGTCTTATTTTTATTTTATTTTTATTGAATCAAGACACCACTTGAACGTAACACTGACATACAACCGACACTCTATCCCTCGGTAGTTAGAGCCAGGCCGACTAAAATGACAGATGAGGCTGGTAAAGGCATATTTCTTGAGCAAGGGGACTTAGTATGAGCTCTGGGTCTTCGGCCGACTCGGACTCCGAACCAAATTGCGCTAGACTGCTTTTGGACCCGAAGCCCCCGAAGTCCCAATTCCTCCATTTGCCACCCTTGAGACGAGGTTGAACTCCAACACTCGGTCGTTACGTCAAACTTTTACCATGACAACTTGAGGATCAATTATTTAGGCCATTGATTGCCCAATTCACCAAATAACTCTTTCTCGGAGCTCCAGTTGCCACGTCTCATCAGCTACGCCATGACATCACCGCCACCACCCTCAGAGCAGCAGCACAAGCACGCCTGTTCGCTCTGTGCTCGTCGCAAGGTCAAATGCGATAAAGGCGACCCCTGTTCCAACTGCCTCAAGGCGCAAGCTGATTGCTTGTATGAGGCACCTGCTCCACCTCGGCCTCGGAAGAGGGCCGCTGATGAAGACCTGCTCGCCCGGCTGGCGCTGTATGAAGATCTGATGCGGAAGCACGAGATCGATTTTACCCGCTATTCCAATACCTGGGTTCCCTCTGGGCTAGAGGCGAAGCTGGGAGAGAGCGATGGCCAAGTTCCAGTGCCCATGTCTGCAACGAGTCCCCAAGCCAAAGACTATTCTTCAGATACCAATGCGTCAAATGTGGAGCGGTAAGATGGCAACCGAGAAGAAGATCACCTCAATTGTGCATTAAACTGAGCCTATCCCAGCTGTTTATGGTCAGATTTGACCCCAGAGGTCCGTTGTCGTGAGACTCTCCAATTGCTAGACTGACACAACTACACCAACTCAAGTACCCTCTCATGCACAGCTTGCCTCACAGAGATGAACCCTGCTTGCATTCTACGCTGCCGTTTCAGCTCAGCTCTGCCGGTACTGAACCTCAGCTCCACGAGTTGCACCCAGAACCCAGACAGATTTACCAGCTGTGGCAGATTTTTGTGGAAAGCGTCAATCCACTGTCAAAGATCGTCCACGTACCGACTCTGCAGCAGCGCATCTTGAACGCAAGTTGGGACCTTTCCAATGTCTCAAAGCCCCTCACAGCAATCATGTTCGCAATATACACCCTATCTGTCACTTCCATGCCCTCGGCCGACTGCCAGGAATGCTTCGGCGAGACCAGGGGCACTTTGTTGGCCCGCTACCGAGCTGCGACTGCCCGGGCCCTTATCGAAGCCGGATTCCTTACTACGAGGGAACTTGACGTTCTCCAAGCATTTTTCCTATTTCTTCTCGCAGATACGGAGTCCGAGTTGACATCGACTTTAACTGGCGCCGCCATAAGGCTGGGCCAAAAGATGGGCCTGCATAGAGAGAATAGTGACATCAAGATCTCGTTCTTCGAGAAGGAAATGCGCATCCGTCTCTGGTGGCAAATGTGCGGCCTCGACGCTCGGCTTCGCGCTGTCTCAACTCCGGGGCTTGACCCGCTATCCGAGCTTGGAGACGTTCGCATGCCACTCAATGTCAACGACGCAGATTTGCATCCAGATATGATCGAGTCTCCTGTCGAGCACAAAGGTCCGACCGAGATGATGTGCGTCTTGATGAAGTTCGAAGTGCCCAACTGGCGTCGATCCTCGCCTACAGCTTCCAAAGTCTTTGAGAATCTCTTCAGGGGCCATGCGAGAACCAAGATATCGATGGAACTGGAAGATCAAGCCATCAATGAACTCGAGGCCATCTACCAGGAGAAGTACTTTTCCAACTGGGACAAACGCATACCCCTGCATAGCCTCACGCACACGATGGCGAACCTGGCCGTTTCTCGCATGCGGTTCAAGCTTCACCATCCACGGGGCCGAGCTGTCAGCGGTGGCGAGATACATATGACGAGTCAGGAAAGCCAAATAGTCTTCGACTCGGCCGTGACCTCGTTAGAGATGGTGAGCATTGGAATTCGCAGCAAGTTTTCCTCACAACTATTCACCCATCTGACTTCCAACTTCCTGATGGACGCCTACATCTACGTCATTAGCGACCTGCGACGGCGGTGTTCTGGAGAACGGGTTTCTCTCGCCTGGACTCTCGTTGAGGATCTTTACAACGATCACCCTGAGATAATTTCCGATGACGAAAATACTTTCTTTACTGCTCTCAATGATTTGACCTTGGAGGCTTGGGAGGCGCGCAGAAAGGAGCTCGTTTGCGGTCAAGGTGTTCGCGAATCTAACGTCACGCCGCAATTCATCCAGTTGCTACGGGATAAGAAGCAGAACAAACATAAAGAAAGCGACCAGATGCACTCTGTCTTGGACCCCTACAACCAAATTCCCTGTGTAACGGATGATGGCGATTTGTATTGGGAGTATTGTACCGACTTCTTACGATTCTGAGAATCTTAGTCGGGATACATCTGTGTACCTTAGCGATCCATATGCTAATGGCGAGCGCGATTTTCGGGTTTGCGACAAGGCCTTTGAGTATCCTGTAATCGTCGACTCCGCATCCGACGACCTCGACGATAACGTCAGTGGCTTGATGAGTACCCTCAATGGTATTCTGCTGCTCGAGCTCGTATAAGATCACGCTTCTGTTTCCTCAACATTCTCCCCTCGCTGATTCCGAGACTCGGGCACTACGACCCAATTGACAAAGTGGCGACGGGAAGTCATATCTAGGACTATGATATGGATGGGTATGGGCCAGTGAACATTCGCAAATTGTTGAATGACCCGGATGTCAGTTCAACAATTACCAACGCTAATAGTTATCGCTAGACGGCCCTAGAGTACTACTAGTCGTACTCGTGTGATAAGTCTTTCGGGGAGGCAACGAGTAACAAGGACTACCGGCAGTGTATGGGTGGTGATGATAAAGAATCCTGTGGTATGTAGCGGAGGGGCCTAAAGAGGAATGGACTTTGCATTGACTGTCAAGTACTAGTTAGCATTTGCTTTAGGGGCAATATTGTGGCCACGGGTGGCTCCGCCGGTCAAGGGGTACTGCCTGGTCCCAACAAGGTGACAGCAGGCTTGGAAATAGCTAGTCTAGGGAGTGAGAAATAGTAAGATTTCAATTTCATGGTAATAATATGCATAGTTAATCCCTCTAGCATCCGTCACATCCCCACTAACGAAGTGCCGTCGCCGCAGCGGCTGAGTGCCGAGACTGTGCGTCGGGACAGTCCAATGTGGCCATAGAGCGTGGCAAAGGCGTGCGCGATGAGCTTTTTGCTATGGGTGGAGAAATGGGATATATGGAGAAGAAAGGCCGACTAAGCTGAGGACAGTTAGCTGATTGACAAAAGCTAATCAGATTTGGTAACATGTAAGCCATGGCTTTAATTGTGGCTTGTATAAGTGACAGCTGAACCCTTGCCTGATCTCCGCTATTGAGGCAACTCGCTCTCATTGGGAGCCTCACGCCTAGTTAATTTACCAACCGGTATTTACCGAGACCGCCGTAGGCACGCTCTTCACTGATTCCCTTGAAGGGTATCCCAAAATTCAGATGAGTTCCAACCCAGCCTAGGGAAGTGCTTATTACGGCGGCCACGTACGCTTTATAGAGGCCGGACCATGTTTGCTCAGAGATGTGTGTCCTGTGGCTAGCGAAAGCGCTGACATTCTTCATTGCGGGCTCCACAGTGACACTAGAGCTCAATAGTGTCTCCAGTATGACACTAGAGGCTCAATAGTCTTGCCGATTAATCTGCAGTCTTTTCAGTACATGACGCTAACAGGCCGATTATCCATGAAATTACGTTACTGATGCTAATAGCGGTCACGTAGCAGGCCGGGAACAGAAGAAGATGCATAGTTGATACATGGTAGTTCCAGAATTATTGATGCAATTAACAAATCCGCTTTTCTCTTAGGGCCTATATATAACCTTGCAAGGCCCCCGCATTCCTGTCCTTTACTATCATTTCTTTCAAGCGTATTGATTCGAACCTGACTAAGGCGTTTGGTGCGTTATAATCATTCAATTCACAAAATGCGTTCCCGGGTCCTGTTTTCTCTGGCGCTTGGCCTCCTCGCCGCCGACTCTGCTGTTGCAGGGCTATGCAAACCTCCGCAATCGAGTAAGTTCATTCTGCGCATCGGTGTGATGCGTAAGGGAGTGTAGTCTTACTGGTTATTAAATTGATTTTCTCCAGGCTCGTCTACTGAGACCAGCTCGACTACTGAGACCATCTCGACGACCGAGGCCATCTCAACTACCAAGGCCATCTCGACTACAACTTCCGACGCAGTAGTTTCGTCATCATCGACTGAATCCTCCTCTTCGGTTGCCCCGACAGCTACCACCAATTTCCGTGTTGTTGCTAGCAATAGTCCCCTCTCCGGCTCACTCCTTACTGCCAACCCAGACACCGACACCATCCTACTTTTCAACCCTACTTCTTCGACCTACTCCGCCGTCACCTTGACTATCGAGGCCGATACCGGTCGGCTTCTTCAAGCAAAGGGCAATTATGTCTGCGCGGCCTATCGCACGACTAGCACCGATCCTGGGTTCCTCGTCACCTGCTCCGTCGAACGTATCCCAAATACTCCGTATGTCCTTTGCGGGGAGCCGACCGATGGCTCACCACTTGTGTGCACTGCGCCAGCTGGCGACTGCTCTACTTCACCTTGTACACGCAATGGCGGCACGTGGAATCAGTTTTACACGAAGCCTAACAGTATTGGATATTTCACGTATTTTGGGACGGGCAGCTACGACGCGTCGTACACGGCTGTTGATTTCAACGTTCAGGTTATATAGTAATGTTCTCGGGGGAGTGAGTCTTGACGCTGTTCGTTGAGATTTTTACGGCTATATCGTCATCCCTGATCCGCGCGGATAGGCTCAGGGCAAGGAAAGCCGCCCGAATTGCGCAAGGACTATTGAGAAGCTATGCAAAAGTTGTTTGAACAATACTCGTTAAAAAAGCACCAAACCCTGATACTTTTCTCGCATCAGATCCTCCCACCTCACAACGTCACCTTTGTTCTATCTCTGCCAAAGCTCGTCTTAGTATCACGGCCCAAAATGAACATATGCCGCCCACACTAACGGGTCACCCCCCCGCTCGAGCTGCATAATGCGCACCAAGGTTCCACCCATTCGTTTCGCGTCGCAATAGTCTCGCAGCATTATGAGCACCCAATGCTACTGCCTTGTCGTTCCACTCTTCCTCTAGCGCCCCATAAAACGACTTTGCAGCATCAACAGAATACCCGTCTTCAACTTCCCAAAGTGTTCCCACAACGTGACGAAACCCGGCAAGCTGACAGGCGCTGATGAGATGGATTGCCTCGTCGGCGAGATATACATACTTCATGGCACCAGTTGAACAAGCGGATAGATAGGCCAAGAAAAGATGATGCTCACGAAGCCAATGCTGAAAGAGATCCTCGACAGTTAGTGAAGTGGTCTCCCAGTCGGTAAGGAATAGTCGACTTTTCGATGGATCGGAGGAATTTGACTCTCCGTGGCCAGCAAAGTGAAAGCTCTTGCATGAATGCAGCTTTTCCAACACTTCACCTCGACAATTCGACGATGGTTTCACAGCTTTCAACTGTAACGAGGGGCAAAGTTTCTCGACTATTGCCACCTCGTCCGCAGCAGAAGGCAGTGTTGATAGGCCTGGGGTCTGCGGCATCCCAATCAAGAGGGCGTTTCCCGGTGCTGAGTCGGCAGACTTCGGGTTGTGCTGTCGCCGGGCGAACATCAACGTCTTGATAGAGGAGCTGTATGATGACATGACCCTGTCAATTGCCGTCTCTCCCGAAGTTTCGCAATGGCGTCCTGCTGCATGTAGTGGGAAATGGCTGAGCGCCCCGGTCGGAATCCACCACACCCGCCGCCACCGACCGCTTGAGTGAGGATGGGGTTGGTTGAATCCAAGTTGATCCAAGCAAGGGCGTACGACGACTCTCCAAAGCCAGGCCAAGGTTGTCGATAAATCGGATCCGAGAGACTTGGCGTGCTTTTCGACCTCTTTCATCTCCAGGTTGGGTAGCTCAACCACACTGATTTGGCCGTGCTGGACTAGAAACGCATCGCAACGATACTGACTAACGTCTCAACTACACGGCAACGATTAAGTACAACTCGACGTACAGGATACCCATTCTCAGCTCTTGCAAAGGAGAGCCTTGATCAGACGACGTGGTCTCTTACGCATCGTCCTGGCAGCGAGTTTGCTCAACATAACTATGAGCCAAGTATAAATATATCTGCACACCTAATTCGCCGCCAGCTATTTCTGTAGCTAGGATAACTATCAATAACCTTGAGAATGCCAGAGTAGCGCTAAAAGAGATCAGATCCTACCTCCGCGAGAACATACAATCTCGTGCGATCCAGCAAGATATCTACAACTGTATTGCACAAGGGAGACGAGACCTATGAACGGGCCAAAGCACAATGCAAGCTCTTGTCAATAAGCTTGAGGCTGAGAGGTTCTGGAATCGAATACGGTTCAACAAGGATGGTCGTGTTACAGCTGTGTTGTTTGCTCGTCCAGAATCGCTTAAATACCTTAAATTATATCCGGATATACTTATATTGGCCTACACATACCGTACAAACAAGTACGAGATGTCTCTTCTTGATATCGTTGGTGTTGACGCCTGTTAATGATCATTCTGCATTGCCTTCGCCTTCCTCAGCGGCGAAGAGGAGAAGGACTACACCTGGGCATTAGATTGGCTACGCAAGCCTCTTATGCAAGAAGAGCAGCCTCTTCAGCTGCAGCACTTCCATACGCATTGGTATCTTCAACGAGAAGGAAGCCCTCAGTTGCTGATAGAGCCTCGCCCACAATTCGATCAAGTGTTGGCTAGGCCGGCACTACCAAAGACCAGCACCCAGCGCGAGCCATTGGCATTTAAGATCGTTGAGCAAGCATCACAGGTACGGACAAGAGCTAGGCCCACATGCTCAAGATGCCATACACAAGGCCACACGATGAGCTCAAATGCATGCCCGTTGCGATATGCGCATCTTGTACCGTCGTCAACTTCTACGGCGGCCGGCTCCAAATACGCTGCCACTGCCGGAACCAAACCTCGTCCTCAGTTTCACCGCGGCAGCTAGTAGCGCCCCCAGGGGCAATCTCCGACGAAGCGCTCCAGGCGTTCTCGCCAAGTGCAGTATTACTGCTATCTTCGGGAAGTAGGGCATCGCCATGAAAGATCTTCTTTTCCCTCAATTGCCTCAGTCAGCAATAAGAAGTTTATTACACTCAGAGCTTCGCTAAAACCTTAGCAATTTTTTTTCCCCCAGCTAGGACTAATCCTGTGTACATAACCTTATGTAACAGGGATACTTATTTATATGGGACACTCATTTCTTAATTATCGGATATTTGTCCTTTTGTCTAATCCATGCTCCATGAGACAGGGATATGCGCGTTTAGTTTGATGCTGGACGATCCTGAAACAATTAGCGCAACCTCTCTGGATAAACCGGCAATGGCCGTATGATTGGAATATTAGACGGATCGGTGGATGCACGCATTTTGCATGTTAGAGCGAGATTTCCAGCTGTGAGACGAAGGCTTACGCTAACGTGGTCGCTAATGCAAAGTCTGGACCATTAGTTAGATACATCAAATGTGTTGGGGGTCACGTAGTGGCATGCTTCAGAGATGAACAGGACTAGGCCTGTTGGGTGGGAAATTACTCGGGGGTTATATAAGACTGTAGTTACTTATCTTCCAGAACGTAATTCTCCATCCATTCATTCTCCGTCCATTCATTTTCAATACAAGACATTCTTTTCAAAGCTCAATTCACTATGATTTTCGGTACATTCACTCATTTTGTCGCCCTAGTGGCCGCGGGCTCGACGGTTATCAACGCCGCAGCCGTCAGCAAGAACCCGGTTTACACCGGTCTCGGAACTCGCTATGGTGATTCTGATGGCTGCACTGAGGAGAACTGCTGGCAGAACGGTGCTTGCAGTTTCGTTGGCTACGATTTGCCTGCTGGTATTGATGGATCTACCTGTGTCTCTGAGGACATTTGGAGCAATGGTGCCAACTGTGGTGGTTGCATCCAAGTTTCCTACAAGGGCAAGTCCCTGAAGATTATGGCAAGTTCATCCCGCTAGCTATTTTAGTGTTTCTGGACCTAACTTGTACTGTAGGTCACCAATAAAACTGGAGGCGACAAGAACCATCTCGACATGACCCCCGCTACCTGGAACAAGCTCACCGGTGGCATGACAGCTGGCGGTGTCGACGGTATCAAGTGGAAGTGGATCGAGTGCCCTCTCGGCAAGGCTCCTCTCCAGGTTCACATGCACGGTGGCGCCTCCAAATACTGGTTCGCCGCTACCATTGAGAACATCACCCACCGCGTCAAGGCTGTCGAGGTCAGCAGTGACGGGGGCAAGAACTGGAAGGCTACCAGCCTCAAGGACCCCAACATGTGGGTCCTCAAGGGAACTTTGCCTAACGATGTTGCCTGGGTTCGCGTTACCAGCGTCAACAACAAAAAGGTCATAGTAAAGAACGTTGCTCTCAAGTCCGGCGTCGTTACTAAGGGTACTTCCAACTTTTAAGGAGTAGATGCAAGACGATTGCGGAAGAAAAAGCTAGATGCTTTTGGGAATTTCTCCTTCTATGTGTATTAATAGTATGACAAGCTGGCCTTATAGCTTGTACACAGTTGTGTATGAGTTCAATGGGGTGGATATGCGGAAGACCCTCTGACGGATAGGTTAATTTAGTACAATCCAATATGTCTTTTTCGCGAATCTAAATGCTTTGGTATCAGATGGGACATACTCAAGTTTAGCAAAAGTCCTTGTCTCTTTACCCACTGCACATCTTTGACGCCTCGTAGAGAAGGCCGAAGGTACGGGTACCCGAAGGCTAAGAACTCAGTATTGTAGCCGGTCAATCAGAGCGGAGGCTGGAAGTACTAAATAGGAATAACTTGACTCTACTCCTAATCGAGGACCGAAGTAATTTCTATTCGCTCATCTACTATACAGTTGAAAGGTTGCAGGTCGCTATATCAAGAGGTTAGGGTGCCCTAGTACACAGGGACATCGAAGACAACTATAGCTGGCACGAACCGCAACTGCGCTTCATCATGGGGCAATCCTTACAAATCCATTCGATGCTAAGTTAATCACGACCCCTAAGCAGACGACCTACATCTACGAACACTGTGGTTCTAGGAAGAGAAGGATGTGGGGTCTAACAAGGACACCATCATGTATCTAACAATACGTTTAAGTTGCAAATACGTAAGGTCGTCACGAGGCTTCATAGTGATTGCACATGACTAGCATGTTAACAATCAAGAGGTTAGGGTGCCCTAGTACACACATACCCAGAGGGGGGACTAGAGGCTCAACAGTATAAAAAAACACCAACAATCGTATCAACAATACAGACCATATACCCAGTCCATTCAAAGGTCAATAATATACTCAGACAGACTAAGGTTTCTAGTCCATCTGATTACTTTTTCCGATACCTTTATGAGCTGCAGGTAACAGCTGTGTCTTGAAAAATCTAGATCTGCTGGAAAAGCTAGGTCTTGGAAAAGCTAGATCTGCTGGAAAAGCTAGATCATGGAAAAGGAAAAATCCCGATGTATATAAACGCTCTGCAGTCCTCACCTCGTGCATTCCAGCCATCCTTGTATCCGAATTGATGACCACAAGAGCCCAAGGGAACCGAACGATGGATGTTGCAGAGGAGGTTTAGAAGAGGTCAAAGACTGTGCTTAGGTTCAAGATCAATAGACCAAGTCCCTCGTCAACACTTGTGCAAGCACTGACTGTACGGAATTTGAAACAGTAGTTAGAACAGTGATTTCAACAATGGCATGTTAACAATAAACTATCGATATAGCAGAACAGTTCCAAATCGTCGTGTCTGTAGGGGCCGCATGGACTCGCCACAGGGTCGGGCAAGACCCCCATCGTAATGACGGTTGGTTCGTTCATATTGGGAGCATTATGAGCTCTTCCAGTCCGGTAAAGATAAGTTGATTGCTTCCTGCCAGTCCAAGGCATGGGTCACGGGGCTTTCCGAACTTCTTGACTGCCTGTAATGTACCGCCGACTCAGCAACGGACAAGAAGAATGACGCAATAATCAACAGATCTCCCAACACTGCAAACCTGCTTGCTATTGTAGCAACATCCGCGCTGGGACCCCGCTTCGACTACCCCCACGTAAGAGAGCTGTTCCATATAAGTGCGGCTAAATGTAGCTATTTTATGTGTTTTACAAGACTGAACAATAACTCACAAAAAGGATAAATGAACAATAATACCTGTCAATTTTAAGCAACCAATTTAGGCACTGTCCATCTCTTACGGGCATACAGCATCCAAATAGCCATGACAACAACTAAAAACCCACACAGAATCACGGATACGTAATTCATTTCTCCTACTACAACAGGCTCATCGTAAGGGAAACTGTAAAACACAGTAGCAGTGACAGTCCAGCAAATAAGGCCCACGTTAGACAAGTATCCCAAAGACGGGTACCAAAATGGTCCATGAGCAATTTGAGATCGTCCTCGAATCAGCATGAGCAAGACTGGCACACAGTAGCTAAAGTACTGGAAAAGAATTCCACAGGAAATCAGAGAGCTGAACGCTGTTCGTGATCCCAAGTATACAAATCCTAGGACAGCAGTCCATGTCGCGGAGAACAGAGTTGCCCATACAGGCGATTGGAATGGACCTCCAACTATTTTACTCAGGTGCTGAGAAAACGGAAACCCTTGGTTGATGCCAATAGTCCAGGCTAAGCGGGACTGCCAAACGTGGATGTGTGCCTGGGCACTGAAGGCCGAAATGAAAATGAGTGTCTGAAATGCAATGGCGGCGCCCTCACTGTCGCCAAACGATGCGTACGCAATTTGGAAATACGCGCCCTGCGAGCTCTCAGTGCTCCTGTTGAATAAAGCAGCCAAGAGCACGAGTAGGCCGGTAACAAGACCGATGGGTATTGTCCACATAATAGCCTTGGGAATATTCCTCTCTGGATGAGGGACCTCTTCCGCGATATGGACAATGGTGTCCAGACAAGAAAAACACCAATTGGGGCTATTAAAGCCGATGAGGACAGCAAGACCTGCAGGCCAACCTGATTCATTGGAAAAGCCAGTGAAGACGGATCCGGCTGTTTGACGATGAGGAGTGGCCGCAAAAAGTGACACAATGATGACAATGAGGATGGCTGCTGTATAGAACATCATGATCTTTCCCATCTTCGGAATGACTCGTTCGAAAAGCCCTGGAATCATGGACAAAAACAAGACGGCTTGGAAGCCCAAGAAAACCTTCCAGGGCTGCACTTCAACATCGGGATTCAAAAACTGAACAACAGCGGCGACTAGCTCCGGACAAGCCAAAGTTGCCGATGCGCCTGTGCAAACGGCACCCGCCCAGCTGGTGAGTGCCGTAATGTATGAAAGAAATCGCCGATATCGAGGTGGTGAAAGCTTCGCGACCCAGATGAATTGGCCGCCTGCGTCTGGCATGGCGGACGCGAGCTCCGAGAGGCTAACAGCTGCCATGAGTCCAACAAAAGATATAGCAATGTAGCTGTAGACGGTAAAGGGAGGCCCGCCGTATGGTAGCCAGATGCTGAGGGTCAAGATGACGCCGATTGCGCTGTTGGTGGTGTTTGCGCCAATGCTCATCGCAGATAGAGTGGTGAAGGGCTTGAGGATATGGCCATGATTCGAATTGAGATTGACGGATTCGACGGCGCCAATGACATGATCTGTTTGTGTTGGTGCCCCTTCCGGCTTGCCATCAATAGTTTCCTCCATCTTCAACATCTTGGTCGTATGACGGGGGAGAAGTGTAGGTCAAAACAGTGATAGGTGATGTGGCGCGTTGCCCATAGACAATGTGTAAATGTCGTAGTGCAGAGGAGTAGGCATTGAGTCGCATGCTATATACGGAGTAATAAATAAGTCGCCTTGAAGATGGAGGTGCGCATATCTGAATAGGTAGTAGTAGCAAGGATTTATAGTGAAAGAAGCTAAATTTCCATTTTCAGATACGAAGCGAACTCGCATTCCCTATTTCGGATCACAGGCGAGCCAGCGTAAGGTCGACAATTGCAGACCGCGCGTTAGTTAGCACATGATGTGCCGTGATCCGAAACCCAGAAGCTGCGCGCTCGTATTCGCGCTGGATCTGGTTAGTTCAGACTCAGATAACGGGTCACAAACACCATAATGCAGATAGGTATCCGGTTCTGTTCCCTGACATTTCATCTACTTAAAAAAGCCCTCGAGTATTCGTAGTCTCAGCGGTCTTCTCGTACTCCATTACGTCTCTGAACAACTCTGGTCAGCTCCATAATGGAATGCGCAATCAGACATGGAACAGTTGCATTCTCCCATCAATCTATCCCTAATCATATCCAAGCCAAAACATGGTATCGCATCATTGGATCACTCGACTCCGGCATTCGGCCCCTTGTGGTGCTTCATGGAGGGCCTGGATACACTCATGCATATCTCAAGCCTGCCTTTGACCTATTCTCTAAAAAGACCTCAACGCCGGTGATATACTACGATCAACTCGGAAATGGACATAGCACGCATCTGCGGGAGAAGAGGCTGGACGAGTCTTTCTGGACCGCTGATCTCTTTGTGGAAGAACTTAATAATCTTCTCCAAAATCTCAATGTCGACCAAGATTTCAATCTTTACGGCCATAGTTGGGGCGCCATGTTAGCTGTGAAATATGCAGCGCACTATCAACCTCGTGGTTTACGCAATCTTATACTCGGCAGTGGTCCGGCAAGTTTGGAACTTTGGAAAGAGGCAGCTCGAAGCTTTATTCCATTACTTCCAGTCGAGCAACAGGAAATACTTCGGAGTCACCGAATTGATCACCCACTCTACGGCAAAGCTTTGATGGCTTTGAATGAAGCAACAACATTGATGAAGGAACCCTACCCTGCGGAGCTTCAAGAGTCGCTGGACTGGCTTGAAAAGGATGATACAGTGGTAACAAGTACTAATGGCCCCAGTGATCTAGTTGATGCAGGGTCTCTTGGATGTAAGTAGGCCTAATCCCTACTCTATATTGCGAGTGGATTTTGACAATGATATCTTAGCGCTCGACGTAACACCTGACTGTGTTCATATACATATTCCTGTTCTGATTATCAGTGGTAGTCAAGATGGCGCGACTGCAGAAACAATTCAGCCGCTTTATGACGGTATCTTGGATGTAAAGTGGATAGTAATGCAGGAGGGGTCGCACATGGTTCATTTGCAAGACCCCAACCAGTATATCGACCATATAGCAGATTTTTTAGACTGATAAAGTGGTTGCCTAGACTGTACTATGAGAAATTAAAAGGGGCTGGGAGGGGCGATGAACGAATCTGTTGTGGACAGCGATAGAACCGTCGAATACAGTCATTTGATTCATTCAAGGAAGATATAATTCTTAACTAGATATAAATTCAAGCCGTTCTGGTCTTGCACGCTTTAAGCAATTGTTTCGAAGCCAGGCTCCTAAAAGCGTATTTAGAGGTTGACAATTTAGGCTCTTCAATTTCCATGTACCCCCAGCGGCGTAAACACATATTTTAGTTAGCGCAGTGTCAGTCTGTCAGAGGTTGAGTAGTGCAGTGACGATAACGGAAGACAGGGGTTTATCAAGAGTCCAATCTCATGATCGGCCTCTACCAGCTCCCAGTATGTATGATCTCGTTTATTTACGCTGGCAAAATCTCCGGGCTGTCCTCGGCCGTGCTAATAAAGGAGGCCATACTACTCTATAACTAAACTCAATATCGCTTCAAAACATTCGATAATCTTTAGTTAAATGGGATCAGTGTTAGTAATAATAAAGATGGATTGAGCACGTGTCCGTAGCACTGGAACCGCATCAAACAAATCCAGCTATCCTCCAATATAATGCAGCCGCAAATAGTCGATAACTGGTATCATTTGCATCCGTAGCGTAATCGCAATTCACACAGTTGCTGGCGCAGCTTCGTCGAAGTCACCATCAATTATCACGCCCTCAGTTGCAGAAGATGTTGCTAAGCAACATGAAGCTAGGCTCGAGCGTTCGTATCAACCTTTGCGATATTGAGAGGCTCTTGAGAGGCATCATCGATGACAGCGTGTCAGGCTTTTTGAACTTGTTTCGAATTTTAAATATTGAGGTCGACTGCGACTACGTGGGACACGTGGGGTGGGAGCAAGAGTATATGCACGATGGCAACCCCAATGCTACTTCCCCGTCACAACTCGAATGGAGTTGCCACAGATCTATGGATTTAGTCATCCAAGCCATGTGAAGGCTTTTGATTTCACATCTAGCTATGTTCGAAGGGGGTCTATCTAATGAAGCCCATGCCGGCGGCCAAAGCGGTCTTCGGCGACCTCCGGACACGTCCCTTATCTGACGGAGCTCGCCGGAAGTCATCTATCATAGAAACAACCCATTAGCGTGGGTGTGAAGACCGACTTAGACCCCAGATGGTATGGCCTTGATGTCTTATCCAAGAAGCTGTCTTGCTTGAAAAGTAAGTTACCACAAAGGGCAGATCGCCGAACAAAACCTGCAGTCAGCTTATCAAGCGTGATACCGAGACTTTGAAGCTCTTTGAAAATGTTGAGCGGCTGGTTAAGAGCCTTAACCAGCAGGTGATGCGGTTTATTCCGTCAACATGATGTTATCTATTTGACTTTACTTTTTTTAGCTGTACATAATGTTATCAGGTAAACCGTCAGATCAAAACCATGTCGTAGTTGCAAACAATGTTGGTGCCCACTCGTGATTACGCTCAGTGTTGAGGGAGACAGTAGCTTGTAGAAAAATATCGTTGTAAAATTACCTTTACCTTCCTCCAAATATGAATTGGGGCAACTGTGACGTGCAACGAAAACCAGGAGATGCAAAATTAGACCCCCTCATCGAGGGTTGCTACTTGAACTTGGGACCAATAGATTTCAGTTTCCTAAGTGACGCGCATCCACCGCAGCACATTGGCAATCTCAAGAGAGTATCCGGGCCTAGCCCACACGACCTCACCGTACTTGCAGAAAGGAAATAGAACAATACACGCGAGGGATAGGAATGTAAGAATAGAATTGGCTAAGTGGATTCCCAGGCTACCTTCCACATGAGTCGTGACCTGGAGGACTAATATCCTGCTGAACTGTAGATACAAGCTGCTGTTTTTTTTCCTGACCAACAAACTATCTAGCCAATGAAACAAAACCATCAATCGCTTAGCTGGTGCCAGTGCAGCCAACAAAGTTGTTTCCGCTGGCACCAGTGTGGGTAATAGCACCAGCATATCCGCAGCTAGTGTTAATAACAACGCGGTCGGCGCCGGGAGATCCTGTAATGGAGCATCAATTAATCAAACTGACGCACAATGATGCAAGGACTGGGAGACATACCGCCAGTGTAAACACCGCTTGACCTGATGGGGAACTCTTGGTAAGGACCACTGACGGCAAAGTTGAAGCCCTCACGGTTGTTGTAGGTGTGAGGGTACGTGGAGCTTCCAGCAGTGTCGCCATCCTGGTAGTAGGAGCAGGCGGCGTTTGCGGCAGCACGAACTTGGGCAGCCGTGTACGAGGTTGAGCCGCATCTTGTGGCGGACTGGCGAGCTTCGATAGGGCTACCCAAGGCAACACCCAAGAGGGAAGCCAGAGGAACGAGGGCCTAAGGAAACGGTTATCATCATGGCCAATGTGGTTTTCGCTCGGTGCAATCCGAACGAACCTTGAGGACAAGCATTGTGTTGGATGGATTGAGTCAGGATTGAATGTTGGTGGATAGAGCAAAGATGGCAGTTTGGCAGGTTCCTTAGCGAGACTATATACCACGACGGCTATAGATAACAGGCAATTCAGCTACTATAGCAAACATACGGGGGTTTCGACACCGAGACCGAAAACGGCAGGACATTGCCAAGCGATGGCAGGTGGTTCACGATGCCGGTCTAATTGGCCTCAGCGATTGAGATCAGGAACTTAAATCGAAACAAGCACCTGCTGAAAAGGGCCATCAAGCCGGCTACATGAAGCTGTGGCCAGTCAAAGACGCTCGTTGCATCGTGGGGCCGGTCGGCTCCGTCGGGATCGGCAGATGGATGGGGAAGGCTGTTTCACTAGGGTGAGCCCATGTGGTTATCTTATCTCAGTTAATTGGCGACGGCTCCAAATAGCCAAGGAAGCGGCATAACAGACTAACCTCCAATGTCCACGTCCGTTGCCGTCATCCGTTCTCTCGCCTGGTCTCTCGCCTGGTCTCTCCCCCGTGTCTGCGTGCGTCTCTTTCGACGACGGTTGAATTTGTCGCTTCGACAAACACACATCACCTCCTTATCTGGCCTTTCATCTCCTCGCATCCCTTGTCACCGACATTTCTTGCCGGCCATCATGACTGATATGGCCGCCGCCCTCGCCGCCGACGGCGCAATTCCCGTCGAGGAAACCGCCCAGAACCTTGCCGCCCCTGCCCGGAGCGCCTTTGAGGAGGACGGCGACCTGGCCAAGGTTGAGGACGAGCTGGCCACCCTGTGGTCTGCTGTTCTTACCGCCGCTGAGCAGACCCCGCACCATCAGCAGGACAGACTAGTCCAGGTTGTACACGCCATCAAGGAGATGCCGCAGCCCGTCCATGAGAGCAAGAAGCTTGAGATATGGGGAGAAGAGCAGCACTGGAACCAGCTGCCGTTATTTGGCGCAAACGCCCGGGAGCGCTTGGATACTGGTATGGTCATGTCCTAAGAAAATGACGAGTCTCGGCTAAGATGCAACATGAATAGCTCGAGAAAAATCCCCTGCCGCCTTTGTCAACCTCAACGCCTTCTTCGCTCGTGCGACCGCCGCCGATGTCGACGACTTCAGCCTCTTTGCCGTCTGGATTTTCCGTGAAGCGCTCGAGGACCCCAAAAAGGATGAAATTTCAAAAGTCACGTCGCCAGAATTGCTAGAATCTGTTTCGGTATGGTTGCTTTATGCGGCTGAGCCACTGGCAAAATTGAGCAGAGAGCAGAAGCAATTCGATGGCAAGCTGGCGAAGCCGGGAAACAGTCTGGCAATGTTGAACGATAGTCCTGGCTGGAAGGGCCTCTGTCAAGAGAGGTGGAAGACTTGGTTGGATCGGCTCGCATCTTTAAACGAGACTGAGTTGACAGCACAGACTGGATCTTTGATCAGTCAGGCTTTGGGCAACGCCTCAAAGGTGTAGGAAATGTTGATAGTACGCTAGCTGGCTGAACTAATTTAGAATATTGTGCGAGTGCTTAATGTTGTCAAACAAATATCTCAGCTCTGCCTAGTAATTCTAAGTGAGATTAACACTGAGTAAGGACGTGAAACTGCTACAAGCTTGATAAAGAATGCTAAGGCCTAATAACAAGGGCAATGTATTATCGTGTCACCGAAGAATAATCTAGTGGTCTAGGGTAAGTAAAAGTCTAGGCACCGATGACGGAGTGTCATGACGTCATACGAGTGACGTGGTCTTAGCGCTCCTAGCGCTCCTGGAACTGTGACAGTGGATCCGTGGTTCTGCCGCCGGTTAAACGAGACAGTAATTTACCCGGGCTGTGACCGACGGCCCAGTTCCTGTTCCAGAAATAGCATCGGAGTTCCGTAGCTGCGATTAGGAAATGGCGACATATATATTCAGACGCCAAAATGAATAGTTGGTAGCCGATTCAGGGTGAAGGCTGTATACCTGTTTGACACAGACTGTGAGGGACACATACTCACAACAAAGATCCAGGGTGATGAGATCAAGTCACGTGACAGGATGTACGTGAATTGGAATACTTGTAATTAATATTACTGTAAGAATGCCATGTTTAAATATCCGCGATACTATCGCTCTTGTATGATTTTTAACGTCATGTTCTGTGGTCTGGCGACTTGCCCCTTCGCTGTTGAGGTACCGAAGGCCGAAGGCCGATGACAAGCTACAACGAAGGCCGAAAAATTAAGGGCCGAGCTCGCTAACAAATACCAGCGGTCAACGTCTCCTCACTCCGTTTCAGATTATCCCTTCTTCATCACATCACTTCCATTTCGGCACCATCTCCCAAGTCGGCCAAATCAGTTGCAGTGGTATTGCGACATCATTCCGAGCTACTGCGCATCCCCTGGACGAAGCTCATCCACTGGGACTTTATCCTTGCCGTACTCAGACCTAATTCCGAATCTAACCCCGCCAAAATGGCCGCCATGGTGAGCATCCCTTGCATCTATCACCAGCCAGCACGTCCAGTTTTCCTCTCCCAATTCGTTTCTCCCTTGGTCGCTCTTGATCCAAGTGGTATCTAGAGCTACCAGTCAATCACCCGCTACTATCCAGCGTTATTTGGCCTCTAACCCCCCCTGCAGGACCTCCGAGTCGGTAACAAATACCGGATTGGCCGCAAGATCGGCTCCGGATCCTTCGGCGACGTGTACCTGGGAACCAACATCATCTCCGGCGAAGAAATCGCCATCAAGCTGGAGAGCGTCAAGGCCAAGCACCCGCAGCTCGAGTACGAAGCTCGCGTCTACAAATCGCTCGCTGGCGGTGTTGGCATCCCGTTCGTTCGCTGGTTTGGCACCGAATGCGACTACAATGCCATGGTCTACGATCTTCTGGGGCCCAGCTTGGAAGACCTGTTCAACTTCTGCAACCGCAAATTCTCTCTCAAGACGGTTCTTTTGCTCGTGGATCAGCTCATTTCTCGCATCGAGTACGTCCACGCCAAGTCCTTCATCCATCGCGACATCAAGCCCGACAACTTCTTGATGGGGATTGGAAAACGCGGCAATCAGGTCAACTGCATCGACTTTGGCCTGGCCAAGAAATACCGCGACCCAAAAACCCACTTCCACATTCCGTACCGCGAGAACAAGAACCTGACCGGCACGGCACGCTACGCCTCCATCAACACGCATCTGGGCGTGGAGCAGTCCCGGCGCGATGATATGGAATCGCTTGGATACGTCATGCTGTACTTTATCCGTGGCTCGCTGCCCTGGCAGGGCTTGAAGGCTGCCACCAAGAAGCAGAAGTATGACCGCATCATGGAGAAGAAGATGACGACGCCAACTGAAGTCCTTTGCCGCGGCTTCCCCAACGAGTTCGCCATCTACCTGAACTACACTCGGTCGCTTCGATTCGACGACAAGCCCGACTATAGCTACTTGCGGAAAATCTTTCGGGATCTGTTCGTTCGTGAGGGCTTTCAGTACGACTACGTGTTTGACTGGACCGTGTACAAATACCAGAAGAATGCCGAGGCAATCGGAAAGGCAGCAGCAGCAGGCGCTGGACCGGCCAGGAAGAATCCACCTGAAAACTACTAGGCATGATGATGACGCAATGAACTGCAATGCATACACATCATGCATGCACATCATGCATCGCCCATCATGGCCATTGACGAATGGCTGCCGCCCGGTAGGAAATATACGCAGAGCAGGCGCCGCGCAGATGCTACATGACGGAGCCAACTTCATGTCGACTCCGTACGTACATCCATATCAGAGCGCCGCATCTTCCGGCTGTGGGCGATTGTCCCCAGCTACTCCAGGACGCCCGAGGGAACTCGACCTAACGCCCATGTCTAGACTCTGGACTCCAGGTGTCAAGTGTCTCGTAGTTAGCCTCAAGATTAAGGAGGACGGATAAGGTCCCAGATTGACAACGACCAGAATGCAATTCCTTTAGATAGATAATACCAATCATGCCATTTTACATCATATAACTGATGACGTCGCTTGGACTCCCACCTGACCCAAGGAGCAAATCCTCGCCCATGTCGTCGTAAAGGTATCCAGGCGAAATTTCCGTCGGCCAGAGTGGTATTTCCGGGTTTGCTAAGGTCCAATCTACAGACATCAACTGATCGTCCGGATTACCGTCTGTCCGAGTTGAGTCCTGGTGTAAGAGCTCAATTGCCGCACGCTTCTTCCTAGCCTTCTTCGCTAATCTTATCAGCGGTTTCCATAGTTCATCTTGTTGCTGCGTCGGGGATCCCCAACACCCGATCGCAAGGTCGATAGCGTTCCAAGCCTTCTGCGCAATTTCCGTCCTGCCCGAGCGAGCGCATAATTCTTCGATGATTATTGATATTGCGTGCCAGTGAACGTAACTACAGGGCTGTCGCACCCAGCGTGGCCATTCCCATGTCGTTACGAGCTCGTGAGAGCACTGGATTGTCTCGATGGATGCGTTCAGCAATCGGTCTTTGGCGGCCGCTGATAAATCTATCGAGCCGGAGGACAAAGCATGGTGATAGATGAGTAACGGTGCTTCGGCAAAGAAGAGTTGTGTGGTTAACGCCGTGAAACGGTGGAAGGAGTGGTCGTCGACACAGTTTTGCATGTATTCATCTTCCAGTTTTGTCCTACAAAGGGCCGTCATTTGTTGCATATCTTCCTGGTCGAGTGCATGTTTGCTGTCGGGTTGTGCCAATTTCTTCATCAACATTCCAATCTCGTACTTGATCAGACTCGGTGCCATGTCAGTCATGCCGGTTCTCGAGGGCGGGTATGCCACGCTGGCAGGGTCAAGGTCAGAATCGTTGATGTTGAGCGGCAGCACCGAGTCAGGAGGATCCTCAGTGATCAGGAAATTCGTCCCTTGGTCCAATGCGGTTCTTAAATCCAGCAGCCAGATGCTAAGCCAAAGTCTGAGGCTTATTTCGGTATTATAAGGAGATAAATCAGTGCCTCGGCGGACTCTGTGTATTCCGAGGCCTTGTGCTAGTCGAATGACGAGTGCGGTCATGGTCCAAGTGAACCGCGACTGATCGCTTTCGCGCAGACAAAACAGGAACAAGACAACGGCCTGTAATGTCATCAGGTCTGAAGACGACATGAACTCTGCCCTGGCAAGCGATTTCTTCGTAGCAAGCCGATATTGTGCAACCAGGGTTTCCTTGTCCTGGCCAAGAAGGTCTTGTGCCTGTTCACGTATTAGCAATGCCAGTGAGGATAACTATGAAGAGTGGGCTTACTTCGTTTGGTGTCATGGAGGTCACTGCAGCAAGGTAGATGGCGAACATCAACGCATCTTCAGCAGGGCTCAAGGATCCAATGTTGCGCTGTATTTCTCTCATCAACTGGTTCATCGACGGGACGTGAAATATCTTGACTAGAGGATCGACATTCTCCACAAATGTCTGCCAGTAGAAGGGTATCTCAGATGGTGAAGGGTGTGGACTGCTTGGGCCGTCATCAGGCGGGCCGAGTATAAAGGCTTCATGATCGATGTTGGTTGGGGTGGTCTGCAAGAGGCGGTCCACAGAGTGGTTTTCGTCGTTTTCCGAAGCAATCTCCATGTCTTCGTCCTCACTATCAGCTGGAACGGATCCCGGTGACTCTGCAAGCTACAGAGCCGTCAGTCGCACATACTGAGTACTGCAGCAAACGATGCGGGGAGCAGAAGTTCATGGCGTACCAGTCGTGTTATTGTTGCCAAACACGATGCATACACATCCCCCCCGTTATCCCTGGACGCGGCTGATGGGCTTCCAATCTGATACAGCGGTTTTGGGGGCCTCTCTCCGAAATACAAACAGCGTTCTATCCACTGCTCTTTACTAGATACGATTTCGTTGAAGCCGCGTATTGGACGGGCCCTTGGGAAAGCAACTGATGCAGAGCTTGCTCCAGCCGTATGCCCTTGAGATCCCGCAAGCCCCAGAACAGTTTCTGGATCGTTGTGCCAGGCACGCAGAACCTGTGTCAAATGCTGCGCGCCTTGTTCATGATTGAGAGATGACTTTCCAGCGTCGGACCGGCGACCGCGCGGCGTCGGCCGAGCTCGCCCGGGCGGGGGAAAAATACACGCAACTCCATTCTTAACGCAATTAGAGCATGGAGATTCCTTATTGCATCTGACTTTCCGTCGCCGGCACGTTGTACAGGATCGCTGGCTCGCTTTCTGGCCAATGTCCGCGGTGTCAACGGAGAGTTGGTTTGACACAACGATGCTTGGACTCGACGCTCGGTCGAAGAGATAGTCGGAATTCAAGGGAGGTGATGGCATTTTACATGGCAATCTGGGAAGCACGGTTATTCGCGTTGAGGGCCGTATTCTGATTGTTTGAAGCTCGCTCGTCCACCATGTTCTGATCGCGTGTCAGCGGTCAGTCGGAAGCTGACATGGGGATTTTGCGCAGTCACGTGAGAGACGGAGATGCAGCATCGCTTCCTTGGCAGAGAGGTCGTTTATACCTATCACTTTGATACTACAGTTCAAGCTGATCATTTTATAAAAGACACCAGTGTATTTATGTAAAAATGTGGTTAATCGAGTTTCAACGGTTGTTTAGCATTGGAAATTCCTCTATCTCGCCAATCACCCAAGGCAATGTTGCTCGGTGGAGGATCAACACTAGATCCGCAAATGAACACAGAAAAAAAAGTGATCCCAAGTTTAAGTCACCAGTATATTTAATGCAAGATTTCAGCTGTCACATTATTAGGTGTCGGGATATCGGATTCCGGATGTATCATGCTATTGAAGCTATCTTCCTTCATCATAGGCGTCCATCGCCACCTGCCTCGTCATCGGCCTCGTCACCGATCTCATGATAGTCCTAGCTTTTCCTTGATCTTATCAATAGCTAGCTGAAGCCAAAGACTCCGGACCATCCGGAGCCTCTCGGCCGTCCGAGGTCATCCGAGGTCATCTTCATCTATAAGACTGACCTAACAGACCTCTATTAGATAGGAAGAATAGCAAGAGCTTCTCACACATATGATCCTATCCATCTGCTAGATGCAACATCAGCCCTTATTTTTAATATTAATACAGCCCCTAATCCGCTTCATCCCCATCCATACGTTCCTTTCAAGTCATGGTCGGAGTAGTCACACAACATCCATTCCCTCAGTACTTGAGGTGAAGATCTGTCGTTTTACTATCAAAGTAGCACCTTGTGTCGTCTCCAAATATCACTTCCTTTCGTGAGTACAGACAACGCCTTCTTACGCTGTCGCGGGTTGAACAACAGTGGTCGTGAAAGTCGCGCATGTGTTTCCAGTCGTGTCGACCGTCACCTGGGCCAAGTCATCATGACCGCTGGCACAAGCTCCACCCGACGCCGTGAGCTCGCCATTGTTGAAGGTAACAAACTCAATGCCCTGTGCGTTGCAGTCCTCGGCGCGGAAAGCGGTGCCGTTGAAGCCGACGCAAGCCTCCACGTTGACGAGATCGGGACGGAATCCAGCAGTAAAGGTTCGCTGCACGCGCAGGACGTTCTGGCCGTTGAGAGTTGTGGGAGTGATCTGGCGGTCGATGGCTGTGTTGACACATGCTGCGTCAACGATTTCGCCGTTGTTGCGGAACGTCAGGCACTCGTTGCCCGGCACGCCGTTGACTTCGAAAAAGACAAGAGTCTGGCCGTCTGCCGCCGTGGTGTCACCGCCATTGGCAGCACCGTCTGTTGCTCCATTGTTGGCATTGTCTTGCGGCGTGTTGCCATTATCAACAACGTTGTCTTGCGTGTTGCCATTATCCACAACGTTGTCTTGCGTGTTGCCATTATCCACAACGTTGTCTTGCGTGTTGCCATTATCCACAACGTTGTCTTGCGTGTTGCCATTGTCAACAACGTTGTCTTGCGTGTTGCCATTATCCACAACGTTGTCTTGCGGCGTGTTGCCATTATCCACAACATTGTCTTGCGGCGTGTTGGCATCGACAGCATTGTTATTGCCATTGTTGGGGCGGTTTCCACGATGGTGCCTGGGATGAATCGACATGGCGGAGGCCGCAACCGCGAAAGAGAGGAGCTGTAAGAACTTCATGATGCCGGGAAAATGGTATGAGTGAGTGAATGGATATTGAGATAATAGAAATGAATGGTGGGCCGGCCACGAAGAGAAGCGAAAGGGGATGATGAAGAGAGAAGAGATACTGGATTGGCTGATGACTTCTTGCTAACACGGCAGGAAATTCGAATTTAAATATCTATTCGGAGTCGATTTTACCAAGCCTTTTTTTCCCCACAAGTTCCCCAGTTGGATTGTGGTTGGGCTGTCAGTTTCACATTCGTCGCAACCCTCGTCGCAACCACCCCTGCACAGAGTCGCACCAACGTCTGCGGTCGCATCTTGCGGCTAAACGACCATCTGAGACTGGGCGCTAAGCCTAAATATTAATAGATTATTGGAGGCTTTTATTGAAGATGGCTATGAATGGCGGAATTGACGTGAAACTTTGAGCTGCCATTGGGAGTTGCCAAGCAATTTCCCGCAGAACGGCACTGCATGACAGGCATATTGGCTCCACTAACCGGAACGTTCGGTTGCGCTGGGTTTCTTAATATTTGGGCTAGCCCTATTGAGGCTCGAGTGTTAGATGTACGAAACTGATCCTCGTATTAACCAGCCTTCACAGTTATGGGACGGAATCGCATTGTCGCTACGTTTATTACTGTTCTAACTCAGGGGTCAGTAATTATTTCAGATATTACAGTGCTATTGAATATAGCGCAGGATACGACGGGTGCTTCCAAAAAATTAATATAGGGTAATTGATACCATTGTTCAACGGCCTATTCCCTTAGCTCACTTTGGGTCTCTGCAATCACAGTATACCTAGAGAAATAAATTGCAAATAAATTTCCTTCGAGGAGGAATGGAAATTCGTATTCATAAATAAAAAACAATAAAAGGAAGGCTGGCAATGGTGGCAATCACAGTCTCACTTTGCAGCCTGCAAATTTGGCAGCAACCTGAACAAGGAAAACGCATCGCCTCTCTCAATCCCCAGCCCCTGAGCTAAGCCTCAATAGTCTTCTGCTTCCTTTTTAGCCACAGGTAGCAGGCGAGCTCTCTGTGTTGGACTATCCCATTATAGGCATAGTCTTTTCAACTGCCTTCCCCGGACCGTATCGGCTCAGTAAATTGGCCCTGAATCCTTCCCCCACTCATTACCTTCGGGCTTTTTCATGCCTAATGATTGAGGAAACCTAAGCCTTATATGAAAAATAAAATAAAAAAAATAATCAATTATTAAATGATCAATTAGGGTTGAATGCCTTATATACTTGTAACGCTCCTTCAATAGACTGAACCAAACCGAAAAAGACCGTCAAAATAAGAATAAGAATTGCAACCCAGAAAGTATACCACTGAACTGCGTTCCTCCGATCATTCCACCAATGTTGCAAGGTGTTCGGCCTCGCCTCGTCGAAAACTTGTTTCAGGATTACCAAGCGATCGTGCCAGTAAGTGAAGTTCTCGATCTGCCTCTGGTCCGTATCCAGATGCCCAACCTCAATGGCATACGTGTCAAGCCCGCGGAGTGAAGATTCTTGAAGATACCAAGCTCGTGTGTCGTGGTCCCACTTTGGGAAGAGAAGAGCAATCGTATTCAGTGTCTCTGTGATGAGTTCCTTTGGATAAAGGGAAGCGTCCCTGACATCCAATTAGCATCGTGAATTTGGAATGACCAGAACTTTCGAGCATACCTTTGCTGCCGCCTCAGGAATGAAGCGTGGTGAAAAATGGCAACAACCGTATCATCCTTCATCAAACGAAGGTGGTCGGCAAGGTTCGCAGTCCAAGCGACTTCAACACCTCCGATTTTCCTCAAGTTACGCGCATTGAAGATCTTTTCAAGCTTGATATTGTCGTGGCCAAGCTCTGGCTTCTTCTCGAACCTTTCCACAATGAAGTCGCGGAGGCTTCCTTGAGTCCATTCCAACTGCTTGCAGCCAGAATACACATACGGTAGGTTTCCAAACTCCACCATGAGATACAATCGAGCTGCCAGATCGATTGAGTAGTCTCGCTGGCTGTCTGCCCTGGAGGTACCAGTCAAAAGTAAAATCTCGTCGTGTGTGCGGTTGTCTTTGAATAACTGGACAATTCTCATGATATCTTGGTGCGTCTTCAGTGACACATGGGTACCGCCCTCATGCAGTGCGATAAGCTCGCATTGTTTGGCGTAGTATGTAAAGAAAAAGTGGAGACTAGCGATTTCCGATCTAGGAGTGTCCCATAGGGCAGCGGCGATCTGCTGCTTGAGCTCATGGCAGGGCTCAGTGCAGTTGATTACCTGGTCAAGCATGTTGATGAGATACTGGAATTCGTCTTGAGCCGACTAACCTCAGAAAGCAATCCACTTCGATCCTTTTATCCATGTTTGTTCTCGCGATGCTGACCCCTCACGAAATCAACCTTGCACATTAGATCCGATATGTGTCGGCTGCTGAATGGTCCGGCTTCTGCAGCCACTCGGCACTGCCTCCATTTCTGACCAGCAAATCAGAACATATACGCAAGGTTATGTCCACTACCTGTATGTGTTTTCGCGACGCTGACCCCTCACCGAATCAACCTTGCACATCAGATCCGATGCGTGTGGGCTGCTGAATGGCCCAGCTTCTGCAGCTATTTGGCACAGCCTCAATGTCTGACTAGCGTACCGTATCATCTATACAAGATTAACCCTCTCTTAGTGCAGATCGGGGATCAGGCAGAAACCTAAATATACTGAGAGAACCCCTCCAGTGAATGACGCCTTGCCCGTGAACTCCACCACCCACTCAGCTCTCCCAATGCTGGTCCTTACACCGAATGGCACATGATGCCATTTTTGAATTTTCTAAGGCACTGCACTGGAAAGTGGGAGAATCCAGTCGAATCTCTTGGTCCCTACATTGGACTGCTGAGCGCTGCGCGCTATCATTGCTGGGAAGCTAGCGGGAAGGCTCGCGAAGCCTTTCAACAGCTGAGCCCAGAGATCAAAGAGCTTCTCGAAGCATCCAACATCCCTCCTGGAGAAACCGCTACATGGTCAATTTACATGGTCGGCCGCACCGAACAGACAGCGTCTCCAAAGATACTCATATGCTCGACGGAGAAAAAAGCGAGGAAGCATATCCTAAAGTTGATCAAGGAGAGCAACATTATGAGCGAACATCCAGGGATTGGGCTCGGGGATATCTCTGTATTACCTGACCGTCAGGTTATCAGACAACTGGCTGGAGATGCTATCCAAACTCTTCTCCCTGCTGGTCACGACACAGAGAGTGCTGTTTTGGCCGAACACACTGAACCATCCATGGGAATGCGACTCTTTGTTGTCGATCCAGAAGACTACTCTCTGTACCCTATCACAGCTGGCCCACTTCTAATGCTGGGCAATGATTTCTTCCTATTGACCGCTGCCCACCCATTCAAACGTCTCGCTACTGGCGGTGAGGTCCGCGGCGATCGCGAACTTGATATCGATGATTGCAGTTTCGACGGCATGAGCGATGAGGATGATGATTTGAGAGACGAGCTTGAAACCAACGGAACAGGGAGTGACACCTCCGAGGATTTAGATTGTGATCAGACTTCCCTCACGGCCGAACTTGAAAACAGTGGCAGCGAAGGCTCCGACTCGTGGTCTGCGAGCTGTCCACAAGACTGCCTGACTGACGGCCCTGACTCCACGTTAGACACGTCAAAGCCAAGGTTTCCCAACTTCTCTCGACTTCGGTACTTTGGCCAATTGATCCACAGCTCTCTTGATGGACCTCACCAATCACTGGATTATGCTTTGATCAGTATTAAGACAACAATACCCAAGCGCTTCAACACCATACCACTGGTAAATTCTGTTGCGAATATTGGGGGAATTGGGAAAGATGATGCCAGCATCGTAGCTGCCATGCCACAACATGGCCTCGTCAGAGGGAAGCTCACGGCTACACCATCCTTCATCAGGTTTCCCGGGCAAAGCAGTTTCCAGCTCGTCTATCCCATACGACTCGATGTAGAGGTTTCGAACGGAGATTGCGGGACTGCAATCATTGATCAGCAGACTGGCAGCTTCTATGGCCATATCGTCGCAGGCGGCCCTGGATCCCGGATCGCATATCTCGTTCCATCTAGTGAGGTTGTCAAGGACGTCGAGGCTCGATTTGGCCACAGACCGGTTCTGATGGAGTCGAGTGGCTGGAATCATCTACAACCAGGTACGTAACATTTGGACCTTCGTTTAGTGTGCCAAGAACAGTAGAGAGCTAATGTGTCTAATCAGAACAATTCCTGACCTCCGAAATTGGCTTGGTTGAGCCTTCTATGATCGAGACCGAGGCGGCAAGCCAAATTGCGAATCAGGTAGAATTAGGTATGGATCCATGCCCAGAGAAGACTCTGAAAAAACTATAGTCTGGCTACTCAGCCGTCGTGGATGAAACTTTCGCCGCCCTCGATTACCGGAGAAACAAAACAGGTTTGGTTCAGTTTTTTATGGCCGAGTCTGAGTCGGTGGAACCAATCTCAACTCAGCTAGAATTAGTTCTGAAATTCTGCCCCGAGAAGACCCTGGAAGAACTACAATCTGGTTTCTCAACCATCACAGATGAAACCGTTGCTTTTCTCGATGACCGAACAAATGGTATGCAAAAGGCATTTCATAGAGAGTATCTTGGTCCTCTCACTGCATATCAACTCTGGTTGGCGATAAAAAGAAAGGTTACAATACCCATCTAAATCTCATCTAGAGTATGGAATACTGATTTTATTTAGCGATTTGAATTCAACGAACACGGATGTACAGAGACCAATGATCAGACCCGCCCGGCAAAATCACAATCAGTTCTATCGAGAGCTGACCGCCGTTCAATGTAAGAAGCCCTTGTTATTATTGACTCACGTTCTCTTGCTACCCTTATTAGATTCATTCCGGACTTAAACCGCTGGGCTATGATGGCCATCATCTCAACAGCTACGATCAATCAAAGTAGGGCGCTAAGAGATACCTTTTATCGACACTTAGCCTTCGAAAGCTTCATTAGCGCCTCGTTTTCAGTAAGATCTTTCATGGTTTTCAAATGACACTACCCAGCGCTGATACGGGTATAGCCCAATGGCCTTTGGAATTCCTCTCCGACCTTCCAGCTGGCTTTTGACCTTCCTTTCTATGTCTTGAGACGGGCGTCGCCTCACAACCCGCCACAGGATCGTCGACCAAGAGGCGACAATGACACTCTCAGAAAGGTCACAGATTTGACTTTCCTTCAAAGACCAACGGGATCTGAAACTCTGATTCTAACCGACTATCTTTGCGAGGCCCAAGTATCTGTTCTTATTACGGGATCAGATCCTCAGAGATGGATGGCATATTGTTTCATTGACACCTACTTTGACCCCGAAGAGAGAAGGGAGAGTGTCGATTCCTATCTTGATGATCTCATAATCGACGAGGACTCTCATTCAAGCTACGATCCCGATCCTTTTACCACCGGGGAAAACGATGCAAATTATCCCATGTCGACACCCAGAGAGTACTTTTTGGTTGTTTTAGACTCGAGACTACGGCACGTAAAAGATGAATGGTGTGTGCTGACGAGGGGCATGAGCGAGATGATCAAGACATGTGTAAGATATTCCTCCAGTCCATTGGCTCTCAAATTATTCCTCGACGATGATAGCCGCTAATAAGACAGATAAACACATGTCCTATCGCAATATTCAATCCGCAATCTTCTAATCTTGACATTCGTCTGGCATTCGTCCAGTCCTGTGCTTGGGCGGTCAAGGCACGAAAGCTTTTAAGCCAGTTGATCAAAACCTTGAAAGCTACAATCAAACAATTAGAAACATTCCAGGCAGATCGGAAATTTTCCACAATCACGGGGCCTGCAGCTGGGTGTGTTCGGACGATCCTCGCTAACACAGAACAGCTGGGGATCGACTTACAAAACCTCGAATGTCTTAGTCAGGATTGCCAAGATTACATTGCGACAGTAAGTAGCTACATATAATTCAAGTTGGTAAACTGACAGACTGTTAAATAGATCACCCTGTATGTCGATGTGGAAACAAGTTCCCAAGTTATCAAAGCACGATATAGACAAGCTGTGAACTTCATTCTGTTATTTGTAAGTAGTATACTATAAATCCCCTTAACTAGCCATCACTTACCTGTGGTTTGCTCCACTTTCTGCAGATTTTTACTCCAATTGTACTTGCAGCCAGTGTATTGTACAGGGTGTACAAGAATATGCCTCTGCCACTCACTTATGATAGCGCACTGCTTCTAAGCCTAGTTATGATTTTTATGGTGTCAATATGGTTGTCAGTTGGTATTATGCGGAATTGGGAGCGAATTAAGAGCGTCTCTGGTATCAGGGTATTTAAGCGTGAGGTTAGAGGGTAAGTATAATACAAAAACGATACACTGTATGCCTGGACGCACCTCTGATATTTGTTTCTTTCATTTCGGGCTTTGGAGACAGATAGAGTGCTTTAGTCATTTCATGTTGTTGATGGTAGGCGTCATTATGTCGGGAATTATTGGCATATTTAACGCTATATCTTTATCGAAGTATGATATTTCCAGTACTGTTGTGGAACACCAGCCACCCAGAGCTAGACAAATTAATCTGATCTTACAATGTGAAATTATAATTATACCCTAAAACAAAGAATTATAACCTAAAATAAATAGTTCTTACCTAAGAAGTATACTGATAAAATCAGAATACATTGCCCCTGGCTTATACTTCCCCTAATAAAGACTCTAAGCACCGTTAAATGTATTACTATCACTCAACTAGGGTGCGACTGTCTGGTTCGCGCGGCGCGCGGAGGTCTTACGAATACATTACTGCATCCACTGCTATGTTCGTAAACCGTACTCAATTATGGTGGGCTAAGCAGCTCACATCATCGCTGGCGGTGGTGCTTTCGCTACCGTTAGCGTTGGGTTCGGCGTTGGCCTGAGACTCTTGTCCAGACTCAGCTTTGACTTCAACTTCGGCTTCGGCCTCAGGCTCTTGCCCAGGCTCTGTCTCGGCCTGATCATTCCCAGGGTCCTATCCCTGAGCCTATCCATTTTTAGATCGTAGTTGTAGCCATCAGACCATCTGCGATATTAGCCACTTTCCACGGAAACAGACTGTACATATCGATTATTGCGCATACCAAAATGAAGTCTTGAAGTATCTGCAGGTTCTGTATAGTCAGTCGTGTGTCCTTCGACGAGCCCTGATCTGCAGCTAGGGAATAGAGACAGCATACATTGACTTCGGCATGCAAGCGCTTAATTCTACAATATTCAGCGCCTTCTTTCTTGACGAAGCGGTCCTCCATAGAGAATGGGATTACGTCGTTCAGAATGGACTGGCGCAGGTGTGGCGGTGGCGACGTTGGTAGAGTGAGACTTCATCAAAATATTGACACAATTCCCGGTGACGCTGTCATCACGGGACTCACGGTGGCATCGGCGCCGGCGTCGGAGGTTTCGGGGACAGAAGTCGCACAGGCTGCCGCCTCTTTCATTGAGTCAGTGACCTCGATGGTGGTTAATGTGTTTCTGTTTGAAGGACTTACATCGGTGAGGACGAAAAGGGCATCCATTTGAAGCTTGATCAGGTCACTAAGGTTGCCTTCTTCTCTGCCACTGGTAAATCACCCGTCAAAGTGAATCGGACCAGGGTTGCAAATCTGTTGATTAATTCTTACTATTTTTTTAGTGATAATTCATTAGCTAAGATTATGAATAATATCTTTGTAAATCATTAGGCTTTATTTTAAAATCATTTGACTTTAAGTTAATTATTCTATTCTTTTTAGAATTATTCCAAAGTATTTCTTTTTAAATATTTAGTATAGAATAGCCCCAAAAAAACTGGTAGTTTTTCTTGCAAGCCCGACTGGGACGGCCTTGTAGAGACTCAAATTGAGAAAATGTAGTCAACTGAAAATGCGAAATGTCATGTCGGCCTTACCAAAGGAGGAGATGTTTGAGGGTCCCAGAATACTCACGGATGGGCGGTGGTGTGGCGGCGATGGCGGTGGTGGGAAGTAACGAAGACACGTTGCAGCCAGAATCGCCTTCGGCATGCTCTTCTCTTCAGTCCGATGGCAAGAGTGCCATGCGAGCGCTTTCCACTGGAAGCCAGTGTTTTGAACCAAGATCCAAGATGTGTGTATGAACCATGTGTTTGACTGCCAATCACAAAAAGGGATTACATCGAGTTCAGCTGGGACTACAAAGAAGGCTTCGACTGGCTCCAAACATTTCTCTCCATTAGATTGTAAGTCTTTCTTCTGCATCCCATCGTTCGCGTGCCCTCACTCTCGCAACTGGAGTAGATGGTTTGCCTTTGAAAGCATCAAGGCTGGGTGATAACATTCCCAGCAACGACCCTCCGTTACCGGTTGTTTCGTCCATCAGTGTCAGGTAATGGACGCAAAACCCTGAAAAAGTATTCGTGGTCCACGGGCAGATTAATTGCGTTATAAAATTCTCTAGCCTCTAGAGGCTTGCACCGCCAGTGCATCTTCCAAATGAAAGATAGGACGGGTATCTTAGGTTCAGGATCCATGTGGGTAAACTTGCGAGTCTGTCCATCCCACATATAGCTTTCGACGTATCTGTTCTTCCCGTCGGTGAAGACATGATGATTCTCAGGTTCGCATGGAAAATTGTTGTAGACAAAGTCGGGCGTATATCGACCATCAGCCTCTCGTGAAGCTTTGTAGTTGGCTGGAAGTCCTCCACCTCGGTCGATAAGCCACATACGAGTCCATCTTGGGATGAAACCTCTCTTCCAGGCCCAGTGAGCCCGCATAGCCACGCCTCGAGGTGAAGCTTCGTGGAGAAACTTAGTAACTGACGTCGTCGTTGTGCCTAAGCCCTTGGCCCTGCTGTCGTCGAACTCCAAGGCAAGATTGATGTCGGATGCTTCAGGGAGCTGGAAGAAGGGGAGAGTTCTAAGAAGGATATCCCATCGCATGGAGACAGATGCAGTCATGTCTTCTGGCGCAAAGCGAAAACATATGATGTCGCGTTTAGATGACACCCTGACGTAGACGCGCTGCCCTTGGTGGTGTGCCATGACCACATCACTGCGCTTGGGATGCCGACTCGTAGAGGGCCGACTCGGGGCCTTGCCATGATGCTGGAGGCAAGCCGCCCTAGATTCCTTGCACGTAGTTAGGAGACCAGCATCCCACAGGTAAAGGAAACGGTTGGCCTCGGTCCAAACGCATGTTCTCCGGAATGACTTCAGTACTGGCCGTGTCCACCGTCTTCTGTTGGGCGGACCACTGAAAATCTTTCCGGGCTCATCTTCATAATAAGCACGCATCATTAGTTGCAGGTGACTCTGTCGATATCCGTCATGGTCAGTGTTGAAAAGCGAGTAGTAGTGGATTTTTGGTGTCTTGTCGGTGCAGACGACCAATTGCCAGATCGCCAAGCGTATTTCAGGCGGCAGTTTAGAGAAGAGATGAAAATGAGTCCCAAACTCTGGTCTGTCCGCCTCGCTTTCAAGAAACCTCGTCATCTTTTGGTCTTGGTGTTTCTATCGTTGGGTCAGGCGTGAAAGACGCCGCGCTTAATGCATCAGTACGGAAGACAAGTGGGCAAGGATGACGATCTGTAACGAGACTCATTTATGGGATGAGAAATTAAAATTTCACAGCAGACTTTCCAGTGGGGTGGAATAGTTGCAGGGAGGCCAATGTATAATTGATTCTTAAATACAATAATGGACTGTCTAACTTTTTCGCCCGATTTTGACCTTGATGTCTACTCACAAATCCCACGACCTAGCCTCCAGAACGCCCCAAGATCCTCATCCTCATCTGCCCTCTCGCCTAGCTGGCTATCATCCGCACCACCTCCACGCAACGCAAAAGCTCCTCGAACCAGGGATCGGACGATTCTCCGCCGATGCTGTCAGCGAACTCCTGTACTGATACTTGATGTCCCGGCACGAGAGGTTATTGAGTAACCACGGCCTTGTGCTAGCATGGTCCTGTACGGTTTGACGGATAATTGAAGCGGTCATAACGAAAGTTGAAGAAATTGGATGATTTTGCGGAGGGAAATTGGCCTCTCGACGATAGGAGACGGCTCTCTGATATCTAATTGCTCGAAATACGGGTATTATCTTCACGCTGTTACCTACAGATTTATCCCAGTGCCTATTCTTGCACACTCCTTGCCGCCATGTCAAACATACTATTAATATAGGCCGTACACCACCCAAACTTGATCCGACGGTTAGGTGTATTATTATGTTTGAAGACGTTCAGGTAATGTGTCTGACACACTGGAGGCGGTCTGGCTTTTCTTGGCGTCTTCATACATTATATCGACGCTCCTTGTGCGTACAATACCATTATATGTCATGATTTCCTCCTCAGACCCCGTTGGTGACACGCCTCGAATCTCAGTGTGTGCTTGCTTTCGTGACGGGTGTAGGTCATTGAGCATATAATTGATCGAGTTGGTCGGGCGATTGCGTGACGCTTTGGTACCACCACCATACGTTGCATTTGAGAATGCGCCGTGCCCACTGCTGGCATAAGGTTGCTCACTGGATTTTCCCGAGTTGTTGCCAAATAGTTTAGGATACCAGCGACTGAAGAGCGGTCGGAGGGCGGGTACGGAAGAGGATACGATGGCAAGATTGACTTCGACGACTGTCCAAACGTAGGCAATGTTGTGATGCTTGGCCTTTTTGCCTAAATATAGCAGCTGATAGATGTTGACCAGTCTTATGATGGCGACGACGGGGACACTGCGTCAAACCGACATTAGTATTCCGATGACGAGTGAAGGGAACGGCTCTTCCGACTTACAGAGTGCCGACGGCGAATATTCCCAGCACCGCTACCTTTGCTCCACGAGGCATCCGAAGGCCCAAGAAAATCCAAAATGGCAGTATAAGAATCATTACATCCATCAAAATAGTCAGGGACGATTGGATGATGTGGAAGCTGTTGTCGATGCACCTGGTGTCGGGGTCTTTCCGCAGCTCCGGGTGCCAATTCGCTTCTACCGGTACACACTGAAACAGAGCAGCGAAAAAGATGGCGACGGCGTGAAGGGTAGTGGCGATGATCAGTCCCCAGATCGTCCGGTAAATGGTGTTGTTATGTCCTTGGAGACGCAGGAGAAAGACCAAAATAGAGCACTTGACGAAGGCCAGGACGGGATTATAGCACAACTGCTCAAAGAAGTTCCACCAGAGACCTGCACTGGGGTCGTATTCGGGAACCTTGTCTTCCTCCCAGCCGTAGTAGTTGAGCTTGAAAACTGATAGGCGCAGGATTGTGAGCGGATGGCGGATGGTATGGGGGATTGGATTCGCGTCAGGATATGTACTTACACATGAACAAAGTTGAAGACACTAGAATAGAAGCGAACTGTGCCGGAATCAATTAGCACGGTGTTCATTGAGGTGACTGCTCTCGAATCATTAAGAGTCTTGGGCAGCCAAGTCCTTTGCGCAGTTGCTTACCAGTCCTGCCCCGCAAAGCCAATCATCTTGGGAAGAAATGTCAGCACGGAAAGCTCATGAGCAGAGACAGACGGAGTTGGGGAACACTCCAGGTCTGATGTTATGCACCGCCTTGGAATGTAGACAGAGGACGTACCTAATCCCACAGTACGCATCGTGAGGCGAGTGTAAATCCGGAGAGCGAAAACCACGATCGACAGGGCCGGGAAGAAGAAGATGACGAAGAGTCCAGTCCGCTGCAGCGGTGGTGTGGGGATCTTGGAAACATCGGGATAGGATCCAGGGCCGATGCTCCTCGGCCAAATTGTCGAGTCATCCATCCAAGAAGCACTTGAGGATCTGATGATCCGGTCTCTGGCCGTTGCCTTTCAGAATAAGGTGGAACACTGTAGGCAATACCTGAATCGAAGATCTCTGGGAGCCATGGGGTTTAAGCAATCTGAACCAAGAAAACCCCAAGTTAATCATGTGCATGAGACATCCAGATGTCAGCCCCTTATTTCTCACCCCGGACGAGCATACCCTGACTCCGTCCGTGTGCTGCAGGATCTAGCATTCAACATCGACGAGGATTGTAAAACTCTCGTTGCCGGAGGCGTTGATCAGCGCAATCCTACTGTATGGGGTTTAGAGCAGGACGAATCTGTCACACATGGTTTGCCATCAACCATTCGTCATCCGAACTAAAGCGCTGTCGCGATTGGAAAGCTTTTTTCTCACCCCTCGACATTTAGAGTCTCGTTTGAATCGCTAATCGAACCATTGCCTTGTCAGAGGACACGTAGAGTCTTGCGAGTGTAGATATGGGTTTCTTATGGAATGATACCCCGGTCGAAGGGACATCCTATTCGCATGCCTTGTAAAACACAAGATATTACATCACCTTCGACCTCTCAATAGCGTTCGGCCAGTATTCCCAGGCCTCCTACAGATGTTGAGTGGCGAGCCGTTTGAGATAAGCTAATGCTACGTTAGGCTCTATACGCGGCTTTTGACAGGAAGACCCTGACGTGTGTCAACACTAGTTGGAAAACGTAGCCCGAGCGCTCTGTGTTAGGCGAATGGTAAGGTGAGTTGCTTACTGTGTTCGCCTCCCTGCCCTGGGCCTCGTCTACGCTGGTTCTTACTTACAGGGATAAAGCTAGATATTACGAACGACTATCATTTCCAATATGGGTTAGCCTTGTCCGGGTGTCAAACGGCAGATGAAGTGAAGGTGAAAGATCTACAGTCGATCGCACGAATCTGGGGCTTCGGCAAACTGACCCCTAGCTAGCCTTAACGATCACTGCTGAATCCAACGGTTTGTCCGTTGCATCCTGGGAGCTATTTGTGGAGGCTTCCTCGTTCCCCGAATGCCACAGTACCACGTCCAGGGTTATACCGGGTTCCTGTACCCGGTAGCGCGGTTTGGGACTTTGAAGGGACTGGAAGACAGGAAAAGCTACTGCAGGGAAGGATGCGGCATTATTTTGACTGTGCGAGACAAATGAATAGGTACGGTACCCGTTTAGGCCGTTGCTTGTCTACGAAAGGCAGTCATAATAACCAATCGAGCAGTGTTCCCGATTTCCGGGAGACTACTTCCAATGTCTTGGTATTACCTCGCCGCGATGCAATGACCTCTGCGTATTCTAAAACAAAATACCTGCCTCCAGAAGATGCGAGAGTCCAAGCATCTCCTGCTCACTTGAGAGCGGATGAACATGTAGCCGGCCAGGATTAAAAAGTCCATCATCCGAGGGGTTCATGTAATGTATCCACAATTTACCCCTGTGTCTTATCCAGCTCGCGGACTATGAATTCAGCGTCTCCCTTCGACGTTCTGATTGAACAACCCCCAGGACCCGATTGAATGGTACTGTAGGGAGCCTTGGAAATCTATCTATACGGAGATTGCAGGATGTGGTTTTCGGAGTGCAACTACGTGGGGTTTGTTGGCCGAAGCTGGCAGATGCCGATAAGGTAATAGGAGGCTGACAGATGCCCCCATCGTCAAGTCGTCTCCCATGAGGAACATGAAATTGCCGATGCTGGGGAACAGTTCACCCGGGTTATGCTCAAGATTGTTCCGTATTGAAGGGACGAACGGGGGTCTTGAACGGGCGCAGAAATGAGTTCCTGCAGGCGTTGCTCCGCTGATCTACCACGTACATACGTATGTCTCTGAGCGCACTAATGCAACCGACGTTGTGTTTCCTCGAACCGCGTTTACTATCCACTGTTGTCCAAGGATTGCAGCTTTTCGATGATCAAAGTCGGTACGATTAGGTACTCGAAATGCCTTGCTGATCAAGTCAAGCCCTACTGTGAGTCCCATGGTCTGCAGCATTAGATCTGAACTTTGATTTAGTACCCTACAGGACCTTATCCAGGGGGAAGACGATGGCAATTGGAGTGCTCGTTTCACAGACCGCTGGGACATTGGTACAAGAAACCCCATGTCACGTCTGCCACACCGTAATTTGTACCGTCCTCCGTCGCCCAACTCCACGCAGCTCGACGGCAGAATAAGCATAATATCCGAGTTAAAACCGCAAATTGGACAGGCCAAGATGCTTGAGGCCACTGACTCCTGCATCAACCCATCATACCAATCGCATGGCAGAATCAGGGACAGGGGTATTGATGCATTCTTAGCTTGGCCCTCGTGGCACCAAGGAAGCGGATCCATGTCACCCAAGCCGCTTAGTCGGTGACCGGTTGCCGAATGAGATTCTCCCATAAATATTGTAGCTTTTCTGTAGCATTTGTCCATCTTTCGCGACAGGATCACTGATCTGCGGAAGGCCCAGCTGTCTCACAATGTTTATCCAGCGTTCGGGTTGGTTGGCTGCGGCCACATTGTCGCTCCTCTTATCCTCCTCCAATGCTCAAACCATCACCGTTGATGGTGAAACCATCAGTCTGTTGCCACCCTACGTTACATCCAGATTGCTTCCTTTTCTTTCTATAGAATTGCCTATTGTCAATTGGGGATTCTCTGGTTGCTATGAGAGAGCTATTTACTGACCAAAGTGTCTCTTGAACAGAAGCGGACGAGTCTAATGTCGCCCCAGCGGCGAATGTTTCTTCGGCGACATCTGAACAGAGCTTTGACAACGTCCAATTGACCGAGGACGTGTTGGCTAATCTCACGGATATCAAGCTCAGCAACGTTTCACTCTTCTACTTCGATGATGACTCTGCTGTCGAGAAACGGGCCGTCGGTTCGAAGTGCAAGACCATGCCTGGCGATCTTCTCTACCCCAGCCGCATCGTTTGGAAGGTCTTGGACATTCTCAGTGGCGGGGCGTTGATTCAGACGGTGCCTCTTGGTTCTGCCTGCTACGACGGCGAGCATTACGACGAGGCGAAGTGCAAGTTCCTCATCGACAATTGGAACAAATCTGACACTCAGTGAGCTTCTCCTCGTCTTGTTCCTTAGGTGCTGCTTCATACTGACGGGTCGCAATAGCGTCGTGGATCCCTCGTCAGTTATGTCCCCTCTCTACGAGGGAGCAACCTGTGAGCCCCAGGGCGCTTCTCTCGGCAAGAACTGCACGCTTGGAGCGTTCCCTACTTACTCCCTCAACATCACAAACGTGGCTCAGATCCAGTTGGCCATCAACTTTGCCCGGAACGCGAACCTGCGTCTCGTTGTCCGCAATACTGGCCACGATTTCCTTGGCAAGAACACTGGAGAGGGCGCTCTGTCACTCTGGACGCACCATCTTAACAAAATCGAGGTTCTTCGTGATTACAAGTCCGCTGGAGGTCGCTACAAGGGGCCAGCTTTCAAGGTTGGAGCTGGTGTCGTGGTTCACGAGCTCTACGAGGCTGCGGAGCGTGAAGGCTTCACCGCTGTTGGAGGCGAGTGTCGTGTAAGTGGAGACATTGGCTCCGTTCATTTATATCCTTGTGTAGGGACTGACTCGTTCGTTTCTAGACTGTCGGTGTAGCCGGTGGTTACGCGGTTGGCGGTGGTCACTCTCCTGTGACCCCCATGCATGGCCTTGCTTCGGACCAGATTCTCAGTGTTGACATCGTCACTCCCGATGGCCGCTTTATCACCGCCGATGAGACGCAAAACAAGGACCTCTTCTGGGCCCTCCGTGGTGGCGGTCCTGCCACCTGGGGTGTTGTCACCTCCATCACGGTCAAGGTCCACGAGAAGACGGTCTTCTCTGGCATGACCTTTGTAACAACTACCAAGGACATGAACATCACCGACGACACCTTCTGGAAGGCCATTGAAGCTTACTGGCGACGCTACCCTGAGTTCTCCGCTGCCAAGAGCTACGGCTACTGCCGAATGTCGGGACTCGTGGGTGGAGGCTATGCCTGGAGATGCTTGCCTTTCATGGTCCCCGGAATGAAGCTTACTGACTTCAAGAAGCTTGTCCAACCACTGCTGGATGAATGGACTGCACTCGGTGTCGATCCTAAGGTCGAATTCTTCGAGCATGACGGTCTTTATGATGCTTGGACTCGTCACTTTCCCACCTCCGTCGTCGGTAACGCTTATGCGCGAACGGGTTCTCGTCTCATACCTCGCAAGAACTGGGAAGACCCGGAGCTTCTCAACAAAACGATCCAAACAGTTCGCTCAATTGTCGAGGATGGCGCGTTCCTGGTTCACTACAACATCAACGCCGATGAGCCCGAGAACACGGCAGAGAGCTCTGTTAACCCGGCTTGGCGTGATGTCATGATGTTCAACATCATCGGTCTGATCTGGGATAAAGACACACCCGAGGCTGAGGTGGCTGCCCTTCACGATAAGCTCACCAACGACCTTGTCCAGAGGATGAAGGATATCAGCCCCGGTTCTGGCGCCTACCTGAACGAAGCTGACGTGATGGACCCCGAGTTTGGTCAGTCATTCTTTGGATCCAACTACGCACGTCTGTCCCAGATCAAGAAAAAGATTGACCCCAAGAATGTCTTCTGGGCTCCGACTGCTGTGGGCAGCGAGAACCTGTATATCACCGGCCAGGAAGACTATGTGACAAAGCAGACAGGCCGCCTTTGTTACAAGAACTGAGTGCCACGGCCTATACACAGCTACTAGGCAGTAGTGCACTGAAATGCCAGCCTCCGATAACTGTAATGATAGATGTTAGATGGAGACCGGATTTACGTAATCTTCTGATGTACCGATATTTTACCTGGTCAGGGAAGTGGGATTGACCTAGAAGAGCTTCTCAAAGACACGAGTAGTTAGAGGCATCCAAGACCAATACAATCACTGGACTTATGATCCACACCCGATTGAATAATCATCCCTTGGATTGAAATTGGCGTACCACATCCAACAATAGACTCTGATAGTTGTAGTAACAGGCTAACAGCCCCTTGCAATTATAAGAATAAGCATTTATAGAGATTGTGTTTGATCAGTTACGGTCAAATTGAGTCATCCGGACCGGTCGGAAGACGGGTTATCAGACCCCTTCTACCAAGGTCCAGGGTAGCAATCTATCAGAGGTTTTGTAATACAGGGTCATCTTCCAACAGATTGTACACAGTGATATCGGGGTAAAAAAGACTGATATATCTTAGCGGTAAATTATTTTCTCTGGAAAGTGTTCAATCATCTAGTCATTCTTCCAGTTCAAAATTGTCCCAACAGGACTTAATCCGGCCACGAAGAAGGCCATTCGATAATATGGATGACTCTCCGTCATCTCTGCGAATATGGCAGCGGCATCGTGACTAAGGGCAACATGCTGTATACAAAATTATCTCATATTATATAGATAAAAAAAAGCTAGTTGTCCATGGCGGGCATGATATATTTATGATGGGTGTCCAGTTAATAAATCTGCAATCATCCCCAGCAAACATCCCTGCTGTCAAACAGAAGATGGATTAGTAGGTGCCGCTTTGTGGGGTTGGAGGACCTTGATTTCTCTATCTATTGAGGGGCTATGGATCGGTCTTTAGATGAAGATAACGGCGGCCTCCGGCAGCCTCTAGGCTGAAATCCGGAGGTCTGAGACTGGAGGACCTACCTGCCGGGGGTCTGAGACCTGGTACAGACTGGATTAATAGCAGCTGATCTGGAAGCCGTTCCAGATATCGTATGATGATCCCAAAATATAAAAGCCTAAATTGCAGGCAGCTACAGCAAGGATCCGGCCCTATCAGGTTGTCTGGCACCCGGTGCTTGCCGAGGAGCCCTACCGCATGTCATGAGCCAATAATCCAAGCTGTCATTGGTATGAGGCGTTTCAAGCCTGCTTATAGCGCGGCACACATAGCCTAGTAGTTAAACCGTACCCAGCGTTGTTAACACTCAGGATGTGGATAGACAACCACAGCGATAACCGCATTAAGTGCAGGTGCTCATAATACAAGCTGAAGAGGCTCTCGGAAATTGTTTTGTGAAGCGGAGACTATGTCAGACTTGTTGAACCTGAATCAGAGGTCAAATGCCATTATGTCATGGTGAAATATCGCCCGGGGCTTCATCAATGACAGCCACAGGGCCAGTATTGAGGCTACCAGTAGGAGCAAACGTCTTCTAGAGCTGGTACGTGAGTTCCTTGATGTTGTCACTAGAATTAGGTATCTAAGACAAGAATACTCCTGAACATATGTGTTGTGCATCATGTAGGAGATGACGATGGTTAGGCAATGTAATGTCTCAACATGGCGTTGATTGACTCAAAATCGTTATCATCTCAGATTCCTCAATACGACGTGACGGAATGAGATGCGCAAACCAGTATAGCAGTACCATGACTGAGGATGGGGGATAATTTTTAAGTACAACAAAACGGCGGATACCTGTCACATGTGATCTTTCAGAATTCGAAAGAAGTGTATGGGCAGATACCGAGGTTTCTTCAAGGCATATGATCGCATATGATCGCATATGATCCTGAACTATACCAAGTTGAGCTCCGTAAAAAGGTGCCTGGCTTGACCCTGGCCTATAAGCATGATACTATTGGCTAAGGTCTTACGCTCCGTGCCGTGTTCCTTTCGGGTTTGTAGGAGCAATGCGACTCGTAACACTGGCTAGAGTAAAAGGGACAGCACAAACTTGTCGCTGTTTCGCAATTGGCTTCGTTCTCTTCTTCTTTTTATATTTAATGATAACTTTGCCTCAGAATGGAGGAATACATCGTTGATGGGTTGCTATAGAAGAGATTCTAAAACGCGAACAGCTACAGGACCCTAGTATTTCGGGAGCCCGACTGAGAACCCATCCTACCATAGACGGTCGCTAGACTTTAAACGCCGGCGATATTACCCAGAATTCACCCCATCAACCGAGTGAGAGTACGACGTTATCGCGGGGTTGTCTAGCCACTTTGAACACCTGAATGCGGGGAAGCAGGGTTCTTGGTTGCAGCAATCGCCTGATGGAGTTAAAACGAATCGGGTTGTTACTCCTTCTGGCACATGATCTATTCCGCTGTCATCGTTCACATGCAATGCCGACGATGCGAAACGAGAGTTGCATCTTGCGGCCGGTCGCCCGCTTTGGTCCCTGACTATAAACGATTTCGGAGCGGGCAGCGAGATCCGGGGCCCCATGGGGAAACAGTACCGCGTTCTACTTGTTGAGAATCAAGGAATAATCCTGGGAATGAGCTTTGGGAATGTAACGGGATGTACATTGAGATGAACCAATTGAGGAACGCCAGGTTCTTTCACTGTAGAGTACGTAATGGTACTACTGAGTCTTTCCGTGAGGGAGAAGGTATAAATATCGCCTGTGTCCTCACAATTGAAAAGGCCAACCAGACCAGTTATTCTCTACCAACAACAAGTCAAGACTCCTAGCATCATGCAGTTCTCTACTACTTTCATCATGGCTGCCCTATCTGGCATTGCCTTCGCTCTTCCTCAGGCCGCGACAACCGCATGCGCTGCGACCTCAGCTATCCCCACCTGTGGTGTAAGTTGATTCCATATCAGTGGCGTAAAATAACGTCCAGATGGAGGACCTGCTAATTGGGTTTTCCAAGGTTCCTTGCATCACCTCCGCTGCTTCAGCCGTTGGTTGCACCAATATCGCCTGCCAGTGCAGCAGCTCCGCTGCGGTTCAAGCCTCTGCTATCAACTGTGTCATCAGCAACTGCGGACTTGTAACGGCTCTGTCTGTGCAGGCCGCTGCCGCCGCTGTTTGCACAGCTTGCGCATGAATGAACTGAGATGACTCAAACAGGCAAGAGGCATGGGAGGAGGTGGTGGCGGGTGCGTGTCGATACAATCAAAGGAGATCTGTGTAGTTCAGGCTTCTACTGCATCAATTAAGGTCACACCAGTTAGCCAATCATATAGTAGTAATTAGTTATTGCAGTCATTGACGTACCCCATAAAACTTAATCTATGATTGCCTATTAATTCTGCCCATGTATCGTTTGTAGTCCGTTGCTTTCTGAGCTTGCTCACAGCTCCGAGAGGAAAAGTATCTATGAGTTCGACTCATTCGTGGAGGCGGTCGGGTTCCGTAAGTAGCCATCCACTACCTAGCCTTATGCTTTGCGTGCTCTAGGACCACATTGATGTGCATCATCAGTTGAAAATTTCAGACTGCTCAAAACTGGCCTCGATCCCACATCAATCGCCCGTCCCGTAATGGAAAACCTCATCTTGGTGATACTGAGTGGAGTTGATATTTGACATCATGAATGGTTGTAGGACACCGTATACAGTATCTTCGCTTTTCCAGCAGATCTAGCTTTTCCAAGATCTAGCTTTTCCAGCAGATCTAGCTTTTTCAAGGCACAGCTATTACCTGCAGCTCATAAAGGTATAGGGAAAGGTAACCAGTTGGACTAGAAACCTTAGTCTGTCTGAGTACATTGTTGACCTTTGAATGGACTGGGTATATGGTCTGTATTGTTGATACGATTGTTGGTATTTTTTTTTTACTGTTGAGCTTCTAGTCCCCCCTCTGGGTATGTGTGTACTAGGGCACCCTAACCTCTTGATACAGTATCTTCGTTGTAAGAGTGCTGATCAAGAGACGGCGGATCTGGATCCGGTGAGAAGTGAACGATGAATCATATCGCGAGGGCGGGGAGAGTGGACACAAATTTATGGAATGCAGACTGCTCTATCTTAAAGCTACCTTGGTCCAGATACACCAGACTATTCTCCTTGAATATGTCCTTCCTCAACATCTACCCTGAAAGACCCAACAGCTGGTCTTCGGTCAAGAGAAGCTCTAACGGTGCTTTGGCCGTGGCTAGATCGAAGGGTTCAACTGTTCTGTCAGTCGATGCACAATGTCCACCCTTGCGGGCAAACTGGTTGTCCAAAAATTCCAGCCACGCTGGTGCTGAAGCAGTTAGAGCCGCCGAATGATCGAGTCCGGGATATCGGAGCAAGTGTACTTCGTTGCCTGCTGCGACAGCCTTTTGATACGCCTCGGCAGTGTCTTCGGGGAGTACTGCGGTGTCATTCCAGCCTTGTATAAGTAGAAGTGGCCGCGAAGCCGAATCGCCCTGTGCTGGCGCATTGATCGCTTGGAATTGCTTCAGAGTCTCATCTGCCGCCGGGTTTGCGTCAGACGCAACGAGTTCCTCCCGTGTCAAGTCGAACGTCATGCCCATAAATGCAGAAGTACAGGACTGTGCAAGAATAGCAAGACCGATCCTCCTATTCATAGCTTCGCTGATCCATGGTGCTGTGTAGTTGGGAAATGCTTGCCTGACTCCGTATGCAAGCATACCCATCTCGGCAGTGATGACAAATTGATGAAAATTCGGCCGAGGAAAAATCGAATCGAAGACAACTTTCACAGTGTCGTAGAGCTTGACTGCCGGAGATACTGCAACTGTCCCAAGATATCCTGAGCTGGCATTTTGCACAAGAGGATGCTCAGAGAGCTTCCACACCGCGGTGCCTCCTTGAGAGTGACCCACGCTCATCCATTCTTTGGTGAAAACTCCAGGAAAGGCTTTGCGGGCAGCCTGTACCGAATAATACAAATCGTTTGCATGGGCGGTGAAGCTGGTATATTTGTGTGATGTGAAGTTGTTGCCAAGGCCGGCGTAGTCGGTTCCCACCATGGCGTACCCGCGGAATATGAGCGGTGCCCAACTATCATAGTTGAAGAGGCTGGGAGAAGACGATGGCGCGCAGCCACGAAAAACACCAATAGTACCGTGGGCGTACGCAATAAGAGGGATCCTTCGATGCTGGGCAGGCTTTGCGAATGGGAATGCGATGAATCCAGTCGAAGGTACAGGACTTCCATCGAGGTCCCGAGAAGTATATTGGAACCGAAAAGTAGTCATTCCAGCAGGGACATCTAGATGAGAGCTGTTGATCGGCATGAGTTTTAGCAAGTCCCCGGGAGTCGACGTGGAGAAATTATCTGCCGTTGCGTAGAAGTCAAAGTCGAATGCGGTGCCGAGCGTCTCAAGGTCGACTGCGTTGGTGATGGCCAGAATTTCTTGGCATGTCTCATTACATCCGTATGATGAAGCCACTTCTTTGGTTATGTCGAAGTTTGATGCTTGGCCTAGTCCTGTCTGAGCCTGAGCTGTCGACGCCAGGAACAGAATGGCGAGCCCGGTAGAGAGAATCATGCTGAGAATGAGACTGAGTTCCACAAAGATGTTGAGTAGATGAGTGAGAGGGTGTAATCTGAAGAGTGCCAGGGAGAAGGAGGGTGCATGCCTTTATACCTCGAAGACTGGATTGGTGCGGGTTGATCGGATGGTGCGGTGCTGAGGCCCATGAGATTGTGCAATTGATGATGTTGGATAATCAGATCGAGGGCAGCGGCAATCAGCCAGACAGCGCATGAGAGCAAGGGTCGCCTAATGTTTTCCATTTTCAGCTAGACTAAAGACTTCTGCACTTCCGTCCTTGTCCTCTCGGTTGCCGCGCATCGTGGATCGTATTATAAATGGAGCCAGGCCTCGGAAAGCCATGGTGCATTTGAGGCTTGAATTCGAGCTACGGCTAATGTAGGAGTAAGCACCATCTTGTTGTCACTCGTCCCTTGTTCGTTCTTGCAGGGATCGCATGATTTATCCTTAATCGGGATAAGTTGCGATCTGCGAAGCCCTCCGCACCTCCCGCTCGTCTCCATGGAGTCTCGGACGTACCGAAAACTCGAGGATCATTGTCCGAATTCCAACGCCGAGAGATACTTGACGTCGCTAAATCATATTTTTCGTCGTGCAAGGATCGCACAATCTATGCTTGATCTGGATACGAGCTCCCGACTATCCTTGTACACTCCACTCCCACCCACTACATTTATTTCTGCTTTCATTCAGGGTACCAGGATCTTTGATCGTCATCACTTCCGAGACAGCTGGAACCTTTTTATCTTAAAAGCTCATCCAGGTGTTCTCGAGTCTCTCTGAGCTATTGTTTCCTTCTGACCTCACCACAAGCCCACCAATCTTCTCATTCCATTGGGCTTGCTTGGATTTCTTTACGCTACTTTACGCTTCGCGCCGATATCTGTACAACTATGCCTGAGATATGCCATGGTCAGTACATGTAGGTTCGCATCTTTGAAGCTGGTTCTCTAATTTATGATCCAGCGCTCGAAGTCCACAAGACTTTGTGGGATTTCTGTCCAAATTTAGCAGCATCTTATATAATGATGGTAGTTTTCGCTCTGGCAACAGTTGCACACGTCGTCCAAGCCGTCATATACTGCAAGCCATATTGTTGGACAATTGCAATGAGCGGGCTACTCCAGGCCTTGGCATATCTCTTTCGAATTCTCAGTATTGGAAACCCGACGAGCCTTCCGCTCTATGCAACTTGGTTCGTTTTAATCCTGGTATGTATACAAGTCTCCATGGCATGTGAGTTAGCATCGCTGAATCTCGAAGATTGCGCCAATCTGGACCAATGCATTTGTATACATGATTTTAGGTCGGATGGTCTGGAATTACACAAAAGCTGGCAAGCTTTTAGGATTAAGCGCATGGAGACTCGGACAATTCTTCGTCGTTTTGGATATCATGTAAGTCATTGATAACCTTCAAAAGTGATGGGCACTGAGTTGAATACAGTGCCGCAGTGGTACAGGCTTACGGGGCAGCCACAGCTTCTGACATTACGTCAAGCACAGACGTGATATTGAGAGGTAATTGGACTCCGAATACTACATCTCACGTCGCTGACATGTTGCCAAAGGATTGCACACTTATATGGCAGGCATTGGTGTCCAACAATTCTTCATATGCGTTTTCTTCCTATTTGCAATATGCTTCCACAAAGAGATCGGGGGAAGCGCGCCAAGAAATGCACTCCTCCTACTCTATTGTTTATATTTTACTGTCATTCTTATATCTGTAGGTTGAATCGTACAGCCACACATGAGAACATAGTGTTGAGGCCACTCGCTGATATAGCCCTAGGTTCGGATTTGTTTCCGTCTTGTCGAGTATGCTGGTGGCCTCGATAGTTCGATTCCTCGACACGAAGCTTACCAGTACTGTTTTGACTCGTTGCTTATGTTGATTGCATCGTGCATTTTTAATATTGTACATCCTGGTCGGATAATGGCTGGAAAGCAAGGAGACCTTCCGAACAAATCGGCGAGAAAGCTACGTGCCATGGGCTCTGAAGTTCGTGAGGGCAGTATCTCTCTTTCCAACCCGGAAAATTCAGACGCGTAGTTTCGGGGAGTGGAAGATGAAAATATATTGAGTTACATTAAATCAATACATTTAATTAGTATGCTGTTGGCTAATGAAGCAATTCAATTGTGATAAGAGCCAGGACTTTAGCCAGTCTGACCTGGTGGCTTGCTACCTGGAATGATGACATGGGAGTCCTAGAAGTATAATTTGCAACAGGGGATAACGATAGAAGAGGAAATTGAGTAAGGCAATAATCATTCAGGTATTGTCTTCAGCAGAGATAGAGGCAGTATCGAATTGTGAGTGTTCTACTTCCATAAGAGTTGAGACTGAGTACGCCAAAATACGAACTACTTGCTAGCCAGTGATAAGACAGACAGATGGCCCAGTCTACTTTCGCCCTTCAATAGCACTGAATTCAGCACCGAGAGCGAAGCGAAATTCGCTGAGTCTTTCTTAAATCTTTACGGGTGGTGATCGCGCCAACACAGTTGAATATATCATCCTAATCAAACCGGCCGAGGTCTAGGCTGGAGGCTTAGTCAGAGAATCTAAGCTCGTGACGCTCATCTAAATTTTGGCCATTGAAATTTCCTCCACTCAACTACTGGCATTAAATACCTAACCACTCAGCCTCCCGCCCAAGTCATATGCCGCTCTGGGCTCTGCCGAGTCTTCACCTATCGTTGCGCGCTCCCGGCGGATTTGCCTACTCCAAGCGGCAATGTCTTCCCCTGACCGCAATTCCGCCAGGCGCTCCAAGCCATGTGGGCCGTGGGACAGCCGGCGAAAGGGGCATCGATGCCAGAACTGTCGAAGCTCTCGATTGGGAGTAGGCAAAGCCCCAAGATTGCTCCCTAAGTCACTCACTAACCAACTGTTGTCCATAGTGCGATGGAGGACGGCCTTGTTCACGTTGCCAGCTGCGCCTATTACCATGCCCTGAAACTAACGAGACTTCGGAAAGGGCAACGGTTGTTTTCTTGGGCCATTCCATAGGTCCTGTAATCCCTGAGGCACAGGTTTCATCCGACAGAGACGCCCCGTATATCGACTCATTCTTTGCTTTCATGGAGCTGAACTCTTCCCCGTTTACCGACCCCTTCTCGCGATCCAGACTAGCACATTTCTTGGACGAATCACTCCCGGTTCTGCTTGTCGTTTTGTCTATTGGACGAGCCAGACTACACTGTATAGAAGCCACATCATATGCTGATCCTATGAAGACAATGTCTTGGGTTCCAGCGGCGCGAAATAAGATACGTCACAACTTGCAGACGATAGCCGGTACTGTGAATCCTTCCCCCGAGACGAAATCTCTCATCCTGGCGCTTACCATGCTGAGCTGCATTTTCGAAGTAAGTAGAATCGGGTCGCAATTGTTGCATATATGGAATCTTGAAGAAATGGTTTCGCAATGATAAACTAACCCTACCTATTTTAGCTCATGATTGACAGCTCCGGCTATGGTGCCATTCTGGTCTTAGAATCGCTTCCAATGCACGTCGTCCAATCTCTCCATATTGGACCGCTTTTGTCACAGTTTGACATCGGTCTATTGGCCGGGTACCAATATATTCAGGCAGCTGTCTGCCTCGTTTGCGATCAGGACACCTTTCTCGCTGGCATACAATTCTGCGAGCCGGGTGCCAGGTCCGAGCTGAGTCAAAATCTAGACACCACCGCTGCATGCCGTTTGTCTCGGCTCCTAGTACTTCTCGCTAGATGCAATGCCCGGTTAGCATAAAAATCTTGCCATTTAGGACCCAGAGAAGCTAACCAACTCTTATAGCTCTATTCAGTGGCTTGAACAAGCACGACGTGTTGCCCAGGCCGAGCCTACAGATGTACCCAAACCTGCTTCTTTGCAGGAAATCCTAGGCCCTTCATTATTGGAATTCGGAAATGCCGTATTCGAAAACGCGATCGAGGTACTTGAGCTGGCAGACAATATCCGTCCGAGCCCCATTGTAGACCCCGTTGATCCTCAGGGATTCAGTTCGGCCCTTGCAGCCTTCTACCATTGCGCTATTATTTCTGTTGCTCGACTCTTTACAGATACTCTATGGGGAGCTGTTGGAAAGACTCCAGCAGCAGACGAGATGCCTCACCTAGAATCTCATGCACTGATTGCTCTTGCCGTCATAGAGCGGAAGCTAGTGTCTGTCGGTGCTGAATCGGTTTTCTACTTGCCGTTGATCACTACGATAGCACTAGAGATACGACAGAAAGATGACAAACGACGAGTCATGAAGATTCTAAATGATGTTGCTCTAACGGGATTTGTTGTAGCGAGAACATACAAGTCTGATATGCAACTAGCATGGGACTTAATTAAGAATTAGTGAAATCATCTGGTACGTTAGGGATAACCTTCGGAGGAATAGAACTAAGGCTCTGGACGAGCCGGGTTAAGAGAAGTAGAAGGTTAAGAAAGGGATTATCAGTTTCTAGAACTTGCAAGCGTTTTTTTTATGCCGTGGCTTGTAATTAGCATCCTTGTTCAGGAGGCAGAAGACTGTTAGATGACGTTTGAACAAGTCATAAGATATAATGTGTTGAACAGTAACTGGGGTTGCAATGACGTCTCCTGACCCAGTTACTTAATTGACTATCTGAAATAAGCACTGCTTGCCTTGACCAACCCGTTTCCATTCTCCTTCACGAACCCATTGCCATTCTCCTTGACAAATCCATTCCCATTCTCCTTAACGAATCCATTCTCTTTAACTACCCCATTCTCCCTGAGTCTCCATTGTGCCATCACGGATCTAGAAGCACGGTAGTGTCTCTCCAGCCCTTTGCAAATTGCCCTGGCTACCGGCTCGACCTCATTCGGATCGACGCCGACCGAGATTCTCATGTATGGGTCCTCGTCTCGGATGAAAGGGCACGACGGCCAAATGCGAGTGACGGAGAAGCCCAGGCCACCGCCCTTTGTCATTGCAACTCCCTCTTCCTCTGCGGCCCTGAGGACCAAGCCAGTAAATGCATCTAAACTCGGCCGCTTATTCATCTGGTCCCCAAAGAGCTTGATGGTGACGACGTTTCCGCCGTGGCCCCAGCCCATCTTGCGCCAATGGGTTGGGAAATTGAAGTCAGCGATGGTGGAGCTCCTCTTGTCTAGGATGTGATAGAGCTTCTCCGCGTTTGTGGTGAGCCAGTGCATCCGCGACTGATGAATGTTGTAATCGATGGGCGGCAAGACGTTTGCCTGACGTGAGTATAACGTCGTTCCGGTGACTTGGCGGATGAGGCCGATGGTCTCATGGTAAACCTCTGGGTAGACGACGAATCCACACATGACGATGTCCATACCCATCTGTATGTACTTGTGGGCACTCTCGTAGTAGAGGACCTTTGGGTGGCTGGGCTGATCAAACCAGTCGTATACCTGCATTCCACCCGAGATCAGCGTCCCGTCGATGATGAGAAACCGGTCTGCCCAGCCTTCCCGGCCTTCCACGAGCTGCGCAAACCGCCGTATGTCAGTAGTCTCCAAGCCGAGAGTGTTGGCCATAGGGTCGAGGTAGACTGCCTTGGCGTTGTGCTTCTCCGTCGTCGCGATGATGTCCTCGGCGTCAAACGTGTCTGAGTTGACGACGCGTACATGCGAGACCAGCCGCAAGTGCTCGAAACACTCGAAATACAGGTACGGAGAGATGACAATTGTGTCGCCCGCGGTAAGGACCTTGCTCATCAAGAACTGATGCAGCACCGTGAAAGCCGCCACACCGCTGGACGTCAATAACAGCTTGAGAGGCAGCTTTTCATTGCCTAGCCCCAGAGCCTTGAGGAGTCGGGCCTCAGATTCTCGGACATCGGGCGCCCCGTACCGATCATAGTTGAGACCGTCTGACTGGTGGTAAGAAGGGTCAAACCACCACACAGTCTGAGACTGATCGTACGCGGGACTAGCGCGCTCAAAGAACGACCCCAAACAGGACTGCAGCTGGATCAGAGCGCGGTAACGTTCCTCCATCTGCCAGGGCGTCAGGGCGAATGTCGACAACGCCGACGACGCTTGATTCTGGCCCTGGAGGTTCTGCGTAATGGCCAGCTGCATCTCCAGCTCTGAAGTAAGCTGCTCTAGACGCGTGTACGTCTGCAGGAAGATGTTTATGCACCAGTCATCGGTACGGGCGGATATCTCCTTCTCAATGCGTGCGCGGTCATCAAAGCGCTGTTTAATAGTGGCCGTCGCCGCCTTGAGGCGGGATAGCAGATGGGACCATGTTTCGACGATGGACAACTTGGGCGTTTCATATGACTTCGGATCTGTACGCCGCGACAACTGCCCATTGGGGTTGGCGACTGCGATGGGATAGGGAGGGGCCATTGAGACGACCATTGATCAGACGGGGAGACGGCAGAGAAGCAAAGTAACCCTAACCCTGGATGGTGCTGCTGTTGTCACCTAAGCGTCCCAGTTTTATAATGAGAAACGGGCCGCTGTAAACCCTAGTGACATACTAAAGCACTGCCAGGATGAGATCTGTCTGTAATTCTTATATACGAGTTTCTTGCACACGAGTGGGAGTTGTTAGGATAGCCGGGGTGGGTAAGTGCCGGGATAAGTCGCAGATGGGCCGGCCCGGTGAATTCGCAGATTGTGGAAGGATTATACCGATGAGGTAATTAGTTGTCCTATTTCTCCTCTCACTAGCGGTGTACTTACATGGAACCATGGGGTGGACAAGGAAGTGAGAGGCTCGGCCTACAGGGATCTCAACCGACCTTCCGGAACAAGAGAAGAGAGGCGGTCGGTGTTGCACGTCTACACTGTTTGACGACTTGCATCGCGGCTACAGTCTCTACGACTCCTTGGCGTGTATTGACAGGAGGCCGGAACGCTGGGATTGCTCGACGCTACCATGGCCTGTTCCCAGTCTTGCAGCGCTGGGGTTCTTCCACGCAAACATGACCTGTTCCGAATTTATCCAGAGAGTCAACAAGCCTAGTATAAATAAGCCTAGTATAAATAAGCCTAGTATGGCTTTCCGTTCAGGTCCATTAGACCTCGGCCGTATAAGAGGACTAACATCTTATCCTCACACCCTTGATGACCGAAGCTTGCACTTGATTCATTATCAAAACACGATGCCTATCGCTAACGGGAGAACCATGCCGATCGCAAACGGAAAGACCGTACCTATCGTTAACGGGCACAAGGCCGCTCATCGAAAGCCTCACATTTTAAATGTCCTCGAAAGACGCTATGATGCTCGATTCTACGAGTCCATTGCCGCCATCATGGCCCTACGCAACTCGTACCTGCAAAATAGATTCATCTTTGTCCGAGGAGAGGACATGATTCCCATCCTGGCGGGTCTCGGCGCCAGAGAAGACGACTTCGACGCCGTCAAGCAGATCAGCGACCTCACGGGACCTGATCCAACCCTCGACTACCGCTCGGTGACTTACGGACGCTACTGCATCGACCCCGAGACACGCAGCATCCGACGGCTCGAGGCGCAGCCGTACACGCTAACGGTACAGGAGGACTACAAGCGCCACGACTCTGGGATCCCAAGGATGTTTGATGAGACACCAACGGACATGCAGGGCAACACGGTCGTGCAGGCTATCATGCTCTTCAAGGCTCTCATCTTCCAGGGCGTCCCTGTCTCGCCCCGTGACGGCTTAGACTATTCCTCCCCCGCGTGGATCTGCACCATGTTCAACGCCCGCACACACACTTGCAAGGACAGTGGCATCTTCGGGGAACCGGCGCTTGAAGGAGTCCACTCGGACGGATCTGACCACACCATGACCGTCTTCCTCGGAAGCAAGAACATGCGTCCGGATAGCGCCGTTACATTCATGCACGACAACCAGGAGACGACTGGGGTTCAGACATGGGAGACGAATCCCACGCTGATCCGGGGCCGCGTTCACCACCAACACTTCTTGGACACTCTGATGTTTGTGGATCACGAATACAAGCACAGCGTTACATCAGTGCACCAACTGGATACCTCGCAGCCCACGAGTAGGGATATGCTAGTGGTGTTTACGCGGCGGCCGAAGCTAGACGGGCATGTTTCGGGTTATGCGGATACTATGGACCTCCACCGTACAGCACCGTTGCAGATGCCTATGTGGCTGCCTTGATGGCGTGAGTTTGGACAGAGAACCAATGGCCCGTCGTTGATGTAGTTTAGGATAACAGGAACTGTGTGTTGTTAATTACAGACGCAGAGCAAGTAGCATGGATGAGCGTCTTGGAATTGCAAAGCTACCTTCAATCGGAAAAGTACACTAGAATAATTTATCACTGACGTGGCCAGTTGCAGGCTTCAGTATACGTGTCTTTTAATCTAATTGACTAAGAAAAGGTGACATCTCGGCAGTTGTCGTGGTAACACCTCACACTGCATTGTTCTACCAACTGCATTGTCTACCAACTGCATGTGTCTACCAACTGCATTGTCTATGGTGGGTCCATTAGGAGAATTGCGTATGAATGCCCAATTACTACTCTTCGTGTAATATGTCGACACAAAGTTAAATCAACAACCTTGCAATATGCAGTTGATCTGCGTAAGCACGAATGGATCCTCGGCCCAAGTAGGAGAGCATTTACCTTCCGTATCAAGTAGTTCTAACTATAGTAGTAACAGGAACGAAGAGCACGTATTGATACTAAGAGATAAGGAGGCTCTCGGACTCGGCACAAATCTGAGTAAGAGAGGGGCATACGCAAAATAGCGGGGATTGATATGTAGTAAGCCAGAATGGATACTCGCGCCAAGTAGTAGAGTATTTACCTTCCGTATCAGGTCGTCCTAAGTATAATGATGAATCATAAATGGACGGCGCTTATACACTCACAGACAAGGGGTTCTCGGCCCCGAAATTTACACAAGTCCGAGCAAGAGAGGGGCAAACGCCAAGATAGCGGGGAAATCCTCTCCAACTTCCGTTGACAAATTGTTATTAATGCTATTTTCTATCTCTATCAAGCAGAATATCCGCGGCACACGCGGCCGCGGCGATGCATATGCGGCCGCTACAATGCACAGCGCCGAGGTAGGCAAACGCCGAGGGAGACAAAACCCGGTAGTGCCGAGATCAAATGTCGCTTTCAATCCCGCGCCTATGATAGACACAAGCGTGGCGATTATACGACCTCGCGCGTCGTAGGGGAAAGATCAGCACGGGCGATGTCACCCCGCCGTTCTGTAGCTACGGTAAGTCTCCGAAAACCCTTCCTTGTAGATTCTAGAGTTTTCCTGCGCGCTACGCTGACCCTGTCTGCAGCCAGTGGGCCAGGGGAGCGATAAAGAATCCTACAGGATCAACCGGCTGAAGCTACGTGGTGGATCAAGGAGATGGGAAGAGATGATATGAGAAAGAGACTTGTGGCTAAGAGTCTTCGCCATCTTGTGGCATTGGGCCAGAATTTAAAAAGAAATTTCGAGATCAATGGAGGCTTTTAGAGATTGATGATTTGAGGGACAAATTAGTTGTGTTCTGATCCAGATATCTCATCGAGAAATACTAGTCCTTATCGGTGGGGTTGAGCTTGATGTGGAGAGCCACCGCAGGAATTTTATGTATGCTTCTATACCAAACTATTGAAGGATATCGTGTCGCCATCTTACTAGGGATTCTTTTACAAGATACTTGTATGTAGAGGGACTACCACATATAAACATAGCCACGTCGCTCCAGAGATACCTTTCTGTTGACCTTTGAGAGACGCTGCATTACACATTCGCAATGTCTGACTGGGCAGGTTTGAGCCGGGTTGACTTACCTTGGACTCTGCTAAATATTCCGAGCATAGTCATCAGCACCGTTGCACTTGTGAGTAAGCCCAGCCAATACTTTGTGACATGGTACTAAAGAAGAGAGGTTGTTCTCTACTTGGTGGGATGCTGTGGCTACAATGTTTTGTTCCACCCTTTGGCAAAATACCCTGGCCCTCGACTTCGAGCGGCGAGCAAAGTGCCATACCTAGCGGCGATGTGGACGGGATACCACCACCGTGCTATGCAGGAACTGCACGAAAGATACGGCCCCGTTGTGCGGATTGCTCCGAACAATCTTTCATTCATCAACCCCCAAGCATGGAAAGACATCTATGCCCACAAGAAGACGCGCGAGCAGGAAATGATCAAGGACCCCGAGTTCTACGTAAGAAACCCCGACGCACCCACCATCGTCAACGGAAACCGCGAAGAACACGCGCGATATCGACGCCTGTACTCTCCTGGGTTTTCGGCACGCTCCCTCCGTGAGCAGGAGCCGCTGATCCAGGGCTACGTGAACATGTTCATCAACGGCCTCACTCGGGCTTGCGAGCACGGCGAGACGCCCGTAGACATGGTCCAGTGGTTCAATTTTGTCACGTTTGACATCATCGGGGACCTCGCGTTTGGGGAGCCGTTTGGATGTCTTGAGGATGGCGCGACCGACTGGCTTGCCAAGTTGAACCAGATTGAAGAGGCTCAAATGCACTTTCGCATCATACAGCATATCCCTTTGCTGGGCCGGTATGCCCGCCAGATTGTGAATACGATGCTTCCCTCGGATGCTGTGAAGGGATCAGAGGGGCATCGGAAACTCACCCAGGAAAAGGTATCGCGCCGAGTAAACAACAACGCCTCCCGCCCAGACTTTATGGAACATATCCTGCGCCAACCCCCGGGCAAAGGCTTCACATTTGAGGAGATGCTGAGCAACTCGGCCACGCTAATCCAGGCAGGGAGCGAAACCACGGCTACGCTGCTGTCCGGAGCGTTGTTTCTCCTTCTTCAACACCCGGACAAGATGCAGAAGCTGGTGGACGAGTTGACGACTGCATTTGAGAGTGACGATATGATGACGATTGATAATACCGAGCGTCTCACGTATCTTGCTGCTGTCCTCGAGGAGGGCTTGCGTTTATATTCACCGGCTGTCGCAGCATTTCCACGACAGGTCCCCAAGGGCGGAGCCACAATCGATGGCCAGTATGTTGCAGGCGGGGTACGTGTTCTTGACCCTACAGAAACTGACATGTAGTAGTACTTAGTAGTACTGACTATGATAATCCGCAATGCCTGAATTCTACTAACAATGACGGCCTGAGTAGATGTCAGTGGGCGTCAATCATTACGCCGCTTACCATTCACATCTCAACTTCAGTCGACCGCATGATTTCATCCCAGAACGATTCATCGACGTGGAAGAATTCCCGGACGACCGGCGAGAAGTATTGCAACCATTCAGCGTGGGCCCACGCAATTGCATAGGAAGAAGGTACGTAACACCATCACTGTGATTTGCTCTGGCTGACTCGACACAAGCCTAGCTTATGCCGAGGGGAGACTGATTCTAGGCCGGGCCGTGTGGAAATTCGACATGCGGTTAAGCGAAAAAGCGGATACCTGGATGAGAGACCAGAAGGGCTATGTGACGTGGTTGAGGCCGGAGATGGAGGTTTTCGTGAAGCTGCGCCACGGATGAGTTGTATACGGCGCAACGAGGCGGGGTAACCCCGTCCTGAGTACTACGTGTATGTAATTGACGTTGACGAGAGACGAGAGACGAGAGACGAGAGGCACCGTCAGCACCGTGCATTGTGCATTGCGCAATATGCCCATGCAGAAATGCGGTGGCACCCCTGCGTTGACGCTTCATTAGGAAGCTCGGGATGCGGCACAAGCATTAGTTACCCCACCGAAGGATCAGTAGGATCGACAACCTAGAGATTCAAGCGGCGAGTTATACATACTCTCATACTCATATACATAAACGCCCTTGCTCCGCCTCCAGTGTCGTGTAGTTATCTCTTTTCTTCCCGGCCTTCCTGTCCTGGTTATGCGCGCCCGCACAACACTCGCTTAAACCTTCCCCGCTCTTCGGCAAGTCTGTCTATGATATCATTGATGTGTAATTCGTAAAAACAATACGCTCCACATTTCACGGTACCAGACCGAAGCGGCAGTCCACGGCAAAGAGCCTGTCCCCGATGGTGAGTCTGAGGAGAGCCGTGGCCCAGCGCTGATCCACCAAGTGGTCGTGTCGACGGGGAGAGGGGAATTATGGCAAAACGTCCAACGACAATAGAGCTAAGTGGTTCTTTAAGATCATCTAACAAGAAAGCCACGGGAATCGGCCGCACTTCATAGCTTGGCTCTATCATTACTCGGGCCTCCTTCCTCCCACGCGTCAACGCCCCTGAATTCGAAATACTTGTTCCATTCCGGATCGTTGATCAACTGCTCCACGAGCTCAGTCTCAAACGTAACATATACTTCCATCCCCTCGTCATCCCCAGCTGGGCCCTTACGTGGCGCGTAGACAATAGCTTGGCATAGAGGCACCCCACCGAACAAGTGTCGGTAGGCAGCGGGCTCACCGAAGCCAAAGTCGAATGTGGTGATACGAGCATGCCGCCAGTCGCTGACGAGCAGAGCCATGGGCGGGAAGGAATCAAGGTTAATTGACAGGTCCTGCTTGTTACGCACACGCGCAACTTTCTGTAGAACGCTGGCCAGCGTATCGGCAGTAACACTATCAGTCATTTGATGTGCATAGTTTGCTAGCTTCGACAAAGGTGCCTCTGAGATAATCTCAGCGAGAGTTAGCTGTGGTACATTGGACGTGGCAGATGTGATGTCGATTTGTAGGTTGCCCTGCATTTTGGCAGGCATCGGAGGGTCGGTAAACAACTTCGATATGCTGACGCCTTGTGCCCAGATCGGCTTAAAATCTAGGCCGGGCTTATACAGACGCTCGCGGTTCTTAGAGAGGACACGCCACATAAGGCCGCAGACGGCATTGTATGTAGTGATCCAGGAGCCATCACTAGGCGAAGCAGCCTTTTTCAGCTCCGCAGCCTTGCTCTTGGGCAGATGAAACATTAGCGCCTGCGAGTGCCTGTGCTGCGAGTTGCGAGGGGGGCGAGGAGGCGCATTGATCTGTTGCTCCTTGGAGATCGAAGGTCTGTCGAATCCTAAGGAGCCATAGAGGCTGCGATCAAGACACTTCGGGTCAAAGGAGGGGAAGTCGGTCGCATTTGCAATGGCATAACAGTTGTCTGCCAGCTGCTTCACAAAAGCGGACCAGCCCACAATACCATTGGTATAATGGTGGGTGTGGATGTTCAAGATAAGACCGCCGGGGATAAAGTTGGCTTTGAATGATGAGAGAGCAGGGCTGTTGTCGGGGTGGGCTTCTGGCTTATTGCCGCAAGTCATTGGAGCATTGCTCAAGACATTAATATCGCCAAGTATAGGCGAGAGGAAGTGAGCTCGCTCAATCTCAGCAAAGGATGGGAATTTGTCCTCAGGGGAGTCAAGGTGCTGAATGACAAACTTGACAGTACTGGTTTTCCTCCGGACAATGGAGTGGTGGCCATCATCGTCCCTCTCAATGGTGCCAACAAGGTGTCTAACCTGGCTGAGGGTCCGCTCTAGGCCTCCCTTGAGGAATGCCGCAGCTTTGCTGTCAGAAGATTAGCAAAATTGGTTTCTAGACAAAGGTGATAATTTAGCACTTACGGCTTCTGTTCATCCTCTAGCTTGAAAAAGAGAGCTGCGTTGGTGTAGGTCGTTGTCGAAAAGTAGTCAAGGGTAGAGAGCTTGAATCGCTCCTCCTCTGGGTCATTCTCCCAGCCCAAGGGGTGAAGTTGGAATTCCTGGACCCTAGGCATAACGTCGCTTTGAGGCGGGGAATATGCGATTGGTATCTGGTATGCAGCAGAAAGATAGGAATAGACTGGCTCTAGTACTACACGCAATACTCCAGAGCCGTGAGGGATATTAGTAAAAGTATGGCATCAGTGGGGAATGGCCGGCTTTAAGGAGTAAGGATGGTCTGTGCAGCATGTGGGAAGGTTTAGGAGGGGTGGAAGTAAGCTGTAATGCGTTTGACGTTACCTTACTCAGTAGGTGATGCAGACTCGTATGACAACCCCTGCCAGCATGGATTGTTGCTCCTGAGTGTGCACTGATCTTCTTCCACGCCGTTCTAAAGATAACGCCGCCGTAAACTGTTGGGAGGGATTACTCCGGGGTTAAAGAAAGAGGGGGCGAGGGGGCGGTGTAGAGGAACCCTGTCGTTATTGTGTAGGATAGAGGATCATCTGGTGACTAAGCTTCTGTTTGCAATGAGTGAAATGGTGCAAAGATTACAGCTAATATAAATGGTGTACATATATAGTTTACATTTGGGTAAGTATGTAGGGTTCGGATATATTACAAACTAACCAGGATTCGATTCATCAAAATAATAATGGGATTTAACTTTCCATTAATTAAACTAAGAACAATAGATAATAGAATATCTGTTAGCTTTATATATATTAAAAATATTACTCACTACTCACAACTGAGCGTGAATATTTAATTCCATACCCCTGTGCCTTATAAGGTGTGATAGCAATCGCGAAGAAAAACTCTCCGATAGCAATTCCAGCAATTACCCTAGCAGAAAGCTTTGACTTCTTGTACGAAGTGGTATTGGTATGGCTTCTTTGTACTCCTCTGTGCCTGTTCAGAGTGAAATGGAAAGGGATGATGTGCTTAGCACAATCTAAGAGGTAACAGAGGTGATGGAGATTGCATCAGCCGTCTATAGATGGGGATCTTTCCAACGGATTTGCAAAGGAAGCACTACGTGCCAGTGATATGATTTGAGTTCTAGGGCCATATTTTCTGTTACAGACACTACATCAAACAGCTCATGCACAATGAGGTGTTCTGGTTGAGTCGTTTGGTGGTGGCAACGAAGTCATTTCGGGTCACGGTGAGCTTTAGTAAAAGACAAGGTAAGATAAGTAAAACAAGAATAGAATAACTGCTGTCTATATGGCAATTATTGCGACTGATTTAGCTGATTGAGACTGTAATTATATACAATATCAGGTTAGATGGAAGCCGATCTGGATAAGAATAAATAAAGAAGCTTGGATATGGCAATGTTACAAGGCTATGGACTCCACTTATCCCCAGATTCCATATGTAATTTTGGATAAAATAATAAAACGTTCATATTATAAGGCGCTAGACAGAGGTTCATTCAAACAAGCCGTCGCCATATACGATTGCCTATCGAAAGCTAAGGAACAAGAAAAAGGAGTAGCCCCTGTAGGGTAGCGATTGTGAGGTTACCGCGATGAAAACGCAGTTCGAGGATATTTCCCCGAGCAATTTATAAGCTGTCGGTGTGGTTACTCCCATTCGATGGTTGAAATTACGCTAGCAGTACAGATCACCTTGCGGAAGGCGTTCCGAAGGCTTCCTCTTGCGGGACAAGATCCGTTACTAATGCCCCACCTATCTAAGAGGAGATGCAGGTGATTGACTCAGACTTCGGGAATGCACCCGTAGTGGATTAACACTTGCCTTTGTTTTGAAGGTCGCGGGGTATCTTTGAGAGCAGCACGCTGGGAAATAATCCAGCTTTGATTAGAAATCTCAGATCGGGAGAACCGACCCGATCCGACATAGCAAGCTGTGTTGGCGAAGCTGGTCGGTTCTAGTCCCATGGTGGACTGGAAGTATCTCATGATTGGGTTGGATTTCTCAATATCGGGACGTGGATTCGGGGCTTCAGAATATAAAAAGTGGTCGTTGCCCTGCTTTCAGAGGCATCGCATTTCATAGAGAATATCCGCGATCAAAGTTTATCCAGTTCAATCACGTCGTTCCCATAACTCGATCCATACATCGAGCTTTTTTTTTTCTCCCTACCACCGAAATGCCGGCGACACGCATATTCAACACTGTCGGCGTTCACGCGGCTGGCGAAGTCTGCGATGTCGTCGTTGGCGGCGTTCTTGATGTCCCCGCCAAGAACATGTACGAGAAAATGATGCATTTCTGGGAAAAGGAAGACCACCTTCGCCAGCTATTGCTCAACGAACCTCGTGGATGTTCCGCCATGTGTCACAATCTTATCCTTCCACCGTGCAACCCAGAGGCCGATGCTGGATTCATCATCATGGAGCATGAAGAATACCCGCCCATGTCTGGGGCCAACACAATCGCTACGGCTACAGTCTTGTTAGAAACAGGCATGGTCCCGATGAAGGAGCCGGTCACCGAGGTGAAACTGGATACACCAGCTGGCTTGGTCACCGTCAAGGCAGAATGTGCAAATGGAAAATGTACAAGTGTCACTTTTCACAATGTCCCGGCATTTGTGTTTGCCCTTGACAAGGAGATCGACGTTCCTGGCATCGGTTCCGTCAAGGTCGATGTTGCTTGGGGCGGGATGATTTATGTTCTTGTTGATGCGGCCTCTGTGGGCCTCAAGATTAAGAACGTGAACGGTGCGAGCCTTGTCAGTCTTGGCGAGCGTGTTAAGCGGGCTGTTCAAGAACAGACAGACTTTGTGCATCCCGAGAACCCCAAGATCCGGGGCGTCACCGTCCTCGAGTTCACAGAGCCTCTCGCCAACGAGCGAGATGGTAAGGCGGCAGCTAACACAGTGGTTGTCTCTCCTGGAAGACTTGATCGAAGTCCCTGTGGAACAGGCACCTGTGCGCGCTTGGCCGTCCTTCACGCGAGGGGGCAGCTTGCCGATGGAGAAGCCTTTTATCATCGCAGTGTAATTGGCACTGAATTCATCGGCCGCATCCACGGCACAACCAAAGTCGGAGACTATCCTGCTGTCTACCCTGCTGTTACGGGTAGGGCGTGGATTACGAGCTACAAGCAAGTTGTTTTGGACCCAACAGATCCGTTTCCCGAAGGGTTTAGGGTGGGGGATACTTGGCATTTAGATGAAGAGCTAGATGTATGAAGAATGCGTTGATGTGTGTAGTTGAATTGAATGGATCATTGACTAATCAGCTTGCTATGTCGCCCCAACAACTACGGCGTAAAACTAGAGCATTAGATACTACTCAGCCGGTTTTCTCTCCGAATCATCGTTGATCGACCATAGGAAGACTTCAAATACTAAAATACAGCCAAATCAGAGAATTACATAGATAACTCTCAGGGATTTCAATCGGGCTCAGGTTCCACGAGGAAAAGCTCGTCCGGGATAGCACTATCATCAGCATCCCCATCATGGCCTGGAACATATCCTCTGTCCACACTGGGAGCCCCGATCTGCAGAATGAGTTGGTTATGTTTCAAGATAAACCCTTTTGTGACACTCCTCAGCTGAATAGCAAAGATCTTACTTTCGCTAGAATGGGCCTTGAAGATCTTTCCCACCGCCTTTTTGATGGATCCTGTAGCCTGTAGATTGCCGGTGCCACCGAACGGATTCGGGACAGCAAGTGCCAAACTGATTCTATCGATAGAGGCCTCAATTTGTCCAACTGCATCCTTTCTCATTGTTGCTCCCCACTTCATGTCAACATCCTCGCAACTCATGACTCCAACCACCAGGCAACCGCACTGCCTCCCATAATCATATCACAGAGCTTAATCCATTTGGGCATGCAAGCCTTGACATCGTCATCGTCTTTAACCTTATTAAAGAACGTCCAAAGCTCCTGCAGTCGCCGGTACCGGGTGAACTTGCCGTCCAAGGAGATAGCTTCATTCGTTTCGCCTTTGAACGAGACGCCAGCGAGGGAATTGAGTACGATATTTATGTCCTGCTTGTTTGTTTGACAGTTGTTCAAGATGAAATCAGTGAATTTTCCATCGAGCGTCTTTCCGTTGGTGTACTTTGTCAGATGTGACCATTCCCGGGCTCAGGTACGATCACTTCGTGGGCTGGGTCGGCATAGTTTTGATTTGAAGAAAGGCTTCAAGCATCACCTCCTTGGCGTGCGTGCTATGATTATGGACTGTGTCCGGTCAGGATGGAGTGGAGAAGCGGGTGAGGAAAGATATGAATTCCGGACTTTGAGGACCAAGCGCGGTATGCTGGTTGTGCTTGCTGGAATGACCGAGCGTGACCAACAGGACGCTGTGGAGTATCTTGCACCTTGGAAACTATTTAATGAACGCCGAGCGAAGCCTAGGAATGACTTTCAATCTGGTGTTTTTGGTGAGATTATTGGGACTCTGAGGGATCTTGAGGCTAAATTTGAGTAATAATGGAACCTGTTTAGAATACCGTGAATTTTGGTCGACTCATAATATTATTCGCTCAGTGACTCGAGAACCTGCCCGCAATTTGGCTGAGCTGGCCATATTCAAGGTTGTTCCTGCGTTGGTCGAGGAGTGTGAGATTGAAGCGTCTGCTACTGCTACCAAGATCCATGACACCTCTAATGTCCTAAGCCAAGCTATGGATGATAACCTGCAGAATCTACTACTATCATAGATAAACGGTCACGATGACCAGTTCGATGCACATTGCTAACCCAGTATCAGTTCAATCACGCTAGTGTTTCATTTGATGTGGCCGCCTCCAGCCCCGAATGGGCGAGAGCGCTTTCCAAGCACATGCTGATCCACATCTACCACAAAAGACAAACTTTGGATGAGATGGTTGCTCGGAGCTTTTTTTTAGTGGCTGTAACGGCTAACCCGAGATGATACGCTATTGATTTAGCTCAAAGTAGGAACAAGTTTGCTCAAAAAATCTCCGTCTGGCGTTAAAGTACGGTGCCGGAGACCAGCTGGCCCTACAGCTAGCAGAAGAAGGACTAGGAATCTACCCACTGTATTTTCGAGGGCCATCCCCTAAGCTTCCCCAATAGAAGCTGCCGATTCTTACGACTCTGACTTTGACGGATGCAGCGGATGCAGCTGCAGTTCAACACCTTGCGCATCCTACCCTACAGCTACTGACATAAGCGTGTCTGTCTGGATATTCACCTAACCTCACCCCAACATGGCTGCAATGATGCAATCTGTGCTGAAAGATCACTGGCTTGTTGGAAAAAAGGAGGTCGTTGGGGAACCACGAGCTGCTAACTACTTGGCACCATCATGGTCAAACGGACGACGTCTCATTGTGTGGGTAGAACATGTCACCATGCCGCTGTATGTCGCTGCGTATCGCGCCGACAGGCCCGTAGTGGGCCAGCTTGGATATAGTTTAGGGGTTGTTGAGGTGCGGTATAGGGGTCACTCCCTGAAAACTCGGCCGGCGATGGCGCTGGAAAGAGGGACGCAGAGTCTGACGGTATTGGCGAATGGATATTCTTCCCCTTTCTACGGATAACCACGCGCCCTCCACTGTCCTACGTAGTATGCAAGCCTCGTCAATTGCTACTGGAAGCCTGGATCAACACGGCGCTTGTTCGGGACCGGCGGGATCCAGACCTGCCAAGCCTGGTGGAGAAAACTGTTGGGTGAGATGGGCCGCATGGGACGCGTGTTGGTGGTGGCGATGCTCAACACGAGCTGAATGTATTGTCGAGATTGCTCAAGGGCAAACAAACTTTGCTTCATTTCATTTGCTTCTAACGTGATGAAATACATACCATGTACGAAGTACCGCGCAGTAGAGTAGACAATCCCTCTTGCAGCGGTGTAGTTATTAGATGCTCCCAGCGAAGGGTGAGTCCTTGCGGCGCTCCCCGGGCTGTCATCTCACCCCTGGCGAAGGCTAATCAGGATGAAACGTGGGGCCCGACGCGATGCGGCCCAGTGTTTAATTCTAGGAGTTAGCCGAAGTTTCAGTGTGATAGTGCCGTGGCACTGCATTTTGCGCGAGGCAAACGTGGGAGTAAGCAGGTGGTGCTTGGAGTGGAATCAATGGCAAATAGGGGAATCAACAGGTGCTCAATTCGTTCCGCCTTCTCTACTCTTCTATCTACGCATCTCGAACATCTCGAGCAGTTCCAACGCCTTTGCTCATCCAGGGACCGCTTTTGAAGCTTTAACAAACCCCGGTCGTTACCCCTGTACTACCCAAGACGGCACTAGAGGCCGGCGCTTCTAGGGTTTGCCGGGTCGCTTGCCGGAGATGAGATGGAGCGCTGCAGGAAGAATCGGTTATGTAATGAATTGGCTTGACGTTTGGCGCTTGGGGCTTCCAGCACGATGCTCGACTGCCAATCCCCGAGATGGGATGAGACAAAGTGGCCCCATCCTCCCTATCAACTTGAGGTTTTGCGGGCCGGGAACCCCCCTGCGTCTCATCGAATACCCGCCCGAGACGAGATGGGACGAAACATGCGGGCTCCGTCTTGCAATCAAATCGAAGTTTGCTGGCTGACGCTGCTGCTGGGATGGCGTCGAATGCCCACCCCAGAGATGGGATGAGATGAGACGTCTAGGCTCCGTTCCGCAATCAACTTGACGTGTGGCGTACTGCCGACCCTGGTAATCGACGCAGGCATCATGATGACCAACGGGTCCACCAGGGCTGCGAAGGAGTCGAGGTTCGACATATAATAAAGCCCGAAGCAGTCCCCCAAACACATTCTGATCTTCCACCCTCACCGCGTCTTGTCACTCCTTTCCAAGTCCATCTTCATTCCTTCCAACCCACGGCAGGAACCGTCCATTCATTCACTCACTCAATCCACTCATTTTTTACCATTTACCCCCAAGTCCCGGTGACCAATATCTCAAGATGCGTTTCTCCGCCTTCGTCGTTTCCACTCTGGCTGCCAACGCCGCAGCCTGGCGATTCCCCCACCGCCCTCACAATGTGTACACCCAGTACTACACCGAGGTTGTCACCGTCGTGGCTCCCACTGCCACCGAGGTCGCTCTCCCCGTCACCAAGGTCTCGACGACCGCTGTGGTCCCGGCCGCAACCACTCTGGTCACCAAGAAGGCTTCGTCGACCAAGACCGTTGTCGCTGTGAAGACCACTGCCGCAGCCCAGTCTACTGCTGCCGCTGCCGCCTCCAGCCTGACGACCGACCAGCAGAACGCCCTTGACGCCCACAACGCTGCCCGAAAGGCCGTCGGAAACGCTGACCTCGTCTGGGACGACGATCTGGCCGCCGGTGCCCAGGAGTGGGCCGATCACCTTGTCTCTCTCGGCACGCTGGAGCACTCTGGCACTGCCGACCTTGGTGAGAACCTGTACATGCAGTCCGGCAACGATGCGCCCTACCTCAACGCTGTCAACGCCTTCGTCTCCGAGAAGAGCCTCTACAACGGCGAGGCCATTTCCGCCACCAACTACATGAGCTTCGGCCACTACAGTAAGCAATGGCGCCTATACATAATTGCACAGTGCACCGGCTAACTCTCTATAGCCCAAGTTGTTTGGGGCACCACCACCAAGCTCGGCATGGCCGTCGCCAGCGGCAGCAGCGGTACCTACGTTGTCGCCCGCTACTCTGGCCCTGGTAACTAGTAAGTAACCATTACCACAGCACTCGCTGAACTCGCTGACCATGGATTGTAGCATTGGCGAGACTCCCTACTAAGGAGCCAACGTTACATACTAAAAGCTGGGAGGTCCCGCCCGACGAGGGACCTCTCACGGCGACAGAAGTATAGGGAGGAGTAGAGGATGAACAACAGGGGTTCATTGCCGTGTGTATAACTGTCTTGTTCTTATGTGCTTGTCGCTGCTTCTTCCATCAGTCATCATCGCCCTCGGATGACGGGAGAAGGAGACCTGTGAGACTAGTCAGTATCCATAGTTCAGTCAAACCGGTTACAACCCTATTCAAGCAGCTCACATTGTGAATGTATCACCATGAATTCCGCACTATTGAGATTGTTCATGGTTGGGTAATATTGCACTAAAACTAGTGGGCCCGTTGGCCAGGTCGGCTGCAGGGAACTCTGGTGGAAAGGCTTCAATAATACGGCCTGCAGCAGCCCGATGTTTGGTGTGGTGGAAGACAGAGGTTGGTCAGGGATCATGACGCCAGTCAAAATAGACTTGAATCAATATCTCAAAATAAAAGCAGCAAAATTATTGACTCTGACAATAAGCCTCGAGCTCTCTAGGTCTCTCTGACTTCTAGGAAACATCTCAATAAAAGAAAACGCCATGATTCCCCCTCCCTTAGCAGCAACCTCTCCCTTTAAGCCCCGAGGCCTCCCTGCTAGCGACTAACGAGCCCATGATCCCCCAACCGTGTCAGGAACCCCCCCTCTGACCGTCCTGGTCCATCTGGGCCCAAGAAATCATCATCATCATCATCCCAACATAAACACCCTGATCAAATTGACCGTAAGGGATCCATCGCAATGTGTTCTTGATGATAGGGCTCGCCTTATGTAGGACCTTGATGGAGGCGTAGCTAAACCACCATGTCCTTCAAATAATACTCAGGATCGTTACCACTGTTGCACCTGCTCGCATACATGTCCCGTAGTCTACCAGAAAACAGGTCAGCATTATACTAACGTAACGTGTTGATGAGATCAACTCACGGTTTGACTACCCTGAAGTAAAATTTCTTCAGATGAAGTTCGCGCTCACTGTCATTAGGAGATTGCGGAAACTCCTCCGTAAGGCAATACTCTACGGCGTGCTTAAAATCATCGTTGTCATTAAATGATAGCCGCTTGGCGATTGACAGCACTCGGTCTAGGGTGAAATCTTCCCATGCGTATGTGGCGGCTTGTGGCGCCTGTGCGGGCGTTCTCGTGACTAGGACAGATATCCTCTCGACCTTTTGCGCTCCGCGGGTTTGATTGTTCGGATTAGATAGTTGCGAAGGCACGATAACAGTACCCAGAGCCAACTCGATTAGCCAGAGACCAAGGCGGCGAGGGGGTTTATTCATAGAGTCCCAGTCGTAATTGGTGGAACACCACGAATTCTGACAGGCAACTGCTGTGCTGGTCGGCACAACCCCCGGCTGGGGAGCTGCGGCCTGCCCAGTTTGTGCTGCGTGGATACGAAAGGTTATGTCGAGTCCAATTTGCGAGGTTGGTCCAACCCCTGTTCCCGTTCGAACAGCACATCGACATAGGTCTCCAACCCAGCCTGTCCCCAAGAAGAGTAGTGTAGCCTGAGCTAATTCAAAGGCGGCCCGATACGTTGGAACTTCAGGTAGTAAACGGGTTGCACTGATGGGAGGAGTTGAGTTGAGATCCGTCGCCAAAGGTGGTCCCTGGTTTACAACCGTAGCCAAGCGGTCTTGGATGGTCGATTGAAGCCGTGGTCCAGATTCTTCGTGACGCACTTTCGTGAGCTCGAAATATCGAGGCGAAGGCACATCTGCCCTGAAGTAGGCTTTGTCATTATGGGGTAAAACGACCATATTGAAAGCATCTGATATCCTTGACGCAGGCGGTGGCTCCGTTCCAGCGTACCTCTCGAACTCAACCCTGACAAACTGCTCGTTTGGTTGATTTGACTCGCGTAGGAGTAAATCTACCTTCCACCGGATGTTATCCAAGTCGGCGACATATTCCAGAGCATTTTTGAGGTCGTCTCCATCAGACGGCGAAGCGGCGAGCTTGAAGATGTCGGCATCTATGACAATAGCAAGACTCTGTCGTATTCGGTCCTCCTGACCGCACCTTCGTAATTGCTCAGCGTCAGAAGAGCCGTCATGTCCAACGGCAATCTTTGCCAAACAGTGTGCCATCAGGACGTGGTATGGATGAAGGTTGCGCAGTCTCCCTATCTCATGATCTGATGCTTCGAGACTTCGGATTATTTTTCGGCTCTGCTCTTTCCATCCCTTTTTCGCTACCTCCTCGATGCGTTTCAAGGCAGACGCGAATCCTTCAACTGTGTCCGGGGAAGAGTATATAACTTTATCCCAATAGACAAATCTCTTTTTCAAATACGCCCGGCGAGTTTTGGACATCTGTTTCCAGTCATCCTCCGTCCGCCCGATGTATCGTTTTAAGTTGTGTTCCCTCCCCTCAAAGAGAGATTTTATGGTTTCGAGACGATCTTTGATAATTTCGTAATTTGCCTCGCCCCAGAGCAGTAGGAAGAACTCATCGGGTGGCCCCTTAAGTGTCGTTTCAAAAATCGGTAGTCCCTTCCTCTTCTTTCTTTTTGCATTTGTTCCTCGGGTTTCGGGTTCCGGTGCCTCGGGTTCGGGTTCTGGTATACACCACAACTTCCGCCATGCCTCAACCTTGTCTTTTTGGCTTTGAAGAGTGTCCAAATAGGTTCGTATATCCCTGCTGATGGTTCTGTGGGCAAGAAGGTCTTGGTGGATGAGTTCAAGTCCTTTCCGCCAGCTGCCATACCAACCCACGAGGCTCAGCACAAGCCAGGCAATTGAAAACCCGGCCGGGATGGCTACCTCTGCCATAGGATTTCACGGTGGCGGCGATTGAGAGATAAGCAAATAGAACGCTAAGGGAGCGCTCGGGTCGGTGTAGCTCGCTCGTCGAGCTCGAAGTTGAAAGAGTGATTCGTGGAGTTGACGAGCTGAAATTCGCCTTGCGAATAACAAATACCTCAGTGCGGGGAAATCGGAAAGCCTGACGAGTTGGGCGCCATTCACGTGATACATTTCTTACATACTTGCTCGCATTTCTTCGACTCGATTCCAACACAGCCGAGCCCAACCATCACCTATCCCACCTTTTCACTCTCAGCCACGGGGCAGAAGCAATCACAATCCTGCCAAAGGATTCGATATGTCTAAGAAAATGGACCAGACCGAAGTTTTGGTGTCGCCATTACCGGGGCGTTCGAAGCCCGACTCCGAATCGCCCCAGCCTTACGTTGACCCGCCGCCCGACCTATCCGAACCTTCGTCAGAGCTCCAGGGCGATGATACCGAGAGAAACAAACAGGAGAAAACATATACACAGTTTCTTGCAGTGATTAGCAAACTAGAGACGCTGATTGACAAGACCCGATCTATGAAACCTAGCAGTGATCAAGAAGAGCTCGTCGGAGGATCCGGGGAACCTAGAGCGAAGATACACACCACCCTGGATCATTTCCGACTTGACCTGCGCGTCTGGATAAAAGATGTATCGAGCAGCGCCGACCGTCTGCCAGACGCACTCGAAGGTTTTGCTGGCCGAGATCTGTGGTTGAATGAGACACTGCGAGAAACGCTACGTGGTATGCTCCAGCACGCAGCCTCGATGGAGGAAGCACTAGCGTCCGATATGGCAGGCTCTTCCAAGTAAGTCGGACGAAGCATTTGCCGAGTGTGAATAATGGAATTGACGTCCTGGAACAGAACGACTGGGGACAAGTGTGACGAGGTTTTGGCACTCTGTGATGAGATGGGGGCGCTTGTAAATCAGTTACAGGGTCTCAAGAGTCGTCTTCAAACGGAGCTGAGTTCTGTCGTGTTGGAAGAGAAACAACAAGACAAAACTATAGTCGACCACCCACCATCCATTCTTTGCTTGGGTAAGTTCCTGACTCCAACTATCGAATAATGTGAAGGTGGAAGCAACCTTTGACATCCAATATGTGCAATTTAGACGGAGGAGGCGTGAGAAGTTTCGTCAGTCTCCTAATTCTACGAAAACTCATGCGTTCTATTGATTCTGAACTTTCGAAAATTGGAAATTATGGAATCGGTAAGCAGATTTCCATGATGCGGGCGTTGCTCTCACTTATCTCCGCTTAACTACTCGCAGCACCTACAAGTTCACCTTTGAAGCCGTGCGAAGTCTTCGACTTCATTTTTGGATCCAGCAGCGGAGGGTAAGGCATAACCCAAGGCTAACATGCCATGGAACACGGGTCTGACACTATTTAGACTACTAGCAATCATGCTCGGTCGTCTTGAAATGAGCATGGACGAATGTTATGACAAGTTTCGTTCATATGCTAGCGAAATTTTCGGCCACCCCAGCTTGCTGGCCGTTCAATTTTTTCGACCTCTGAACGAGAAATATAGCGACAAGAGACTGATCCGGGCCATCAGGCACGTGGTAGGAGAGTTTGACCCGTCACCAGAGAGTACGAAATGGAGACACACCATTTTCAAAGACACAGGCGGACGATGCAAAACGTAAGCAGTCTATATATATATTCTGTTGTTGTAGACCACACGCGATGGTTTGCTAATACAGCACAGTGGTGTGCTAGCTTACGCAATGCCTTCCCAGAATGGGTATGAATTCGGCAAACCTTACATGGTCCGAAGCTACGACTGTGAGCCCAAGGCAAAGCCTACGAAAGAATCACAATCCGAATCCCAGGAAAACCTCCACGCAAACCCCGACGCAGATTGTTTGCAATTTCCAGCCTTGAACCCCGGACCAGCCAGCTCCTTTCACATTTGGCAGGCCGCAAGGGCGACTACGGCAGCTCCAGGATACTTCAAGCCCTTTGAAAATCAGGATGGAGTGTTCTACGATGGTGGGATTACTTCGAACAACCCCACATTGCAGGTTCTGGCAGAAATGCAGGTTTTACTATCACATGCCCCAATCAATTGTATGGTGAGCATTGGTACCGGAATTATGCCAGAGAGAGGGTCAATAGGTATCATCCCACTCCTGAGGTTCGTTAAACTGCTGCGCGGTGCTCTGGGACAGAAACGAGATACCGAGAGATTAGTTTCGGCCATCGCTGGGGGTCTCGATATTCCGTACTTCCGGTTCGATCCTGAGCTCCAGAGACGCATCCCGCTAGATGAGTGGGCTCCTAAAAGTACTGCACGTCGAACACTGGGTGATATTGAAGAGTTCACGGAGGCATTTCTGGAGAGGGGAGACGTACTCGACAACATGAGCAGATGCGCATGCATCCTTGCACGTCGAATCTCGGACAGTAGGACCACTGAGATGTCCTCGACTGACTAACTCTGCTCGTCAGTCGTCATCACGCAAGAGCTAGCTAGTAGTTTTTAGACTCGGTTGTGTTTCAGAATTAGTTTACAAGTGAAGAAGCAGACGTCTTTCTGCCTGCGTGTTCCTCATGCGGGAAAGACAATCTTGGCATCAATTGTGGTTGAGGAGTTGAGAAAACTTTCGGGAATGACGAATTCATTGGAATTGCGTTTGTCTTATTGCAGTTTTTACGAAACCCGCAAGCAGATAGTCACGGACCTCCTTGTAGGAGACCCTCCTTGAGATACTCTTCTTACCTTGGAAACTATTAGAAGCTTAAGTATCACGAGCAGCAAAGTGCACCTGTGCAGGCGGAATATGTTGACTTCCTTGCATTCATTAGCGCTTGCCGCCCGAGGTAGTCTTCTTCTCCTGACACGAGCTTGACAGACTCGGGGAATCTGGACCAACTGTTGCCAATCGAAGGACATTCAAACCGCGTTTTAAAGTAGTATGCTGATGTGATCGCTTTTTCTCCCCGTTTTGGCAATCGCCGCGTGTTCCCCTCAAGACGAGCTAAAATCGCATGCATCACCCAGTTTTGTTGGAAGCGCAAGAATTAGTGACACTGATGTCGTCAATGGATTCGCTGTCATCTCACGTCAGCTTACAATCCTTAGACTGCAAGTGCTGGGTGGGGAAAAGATCGCTGGGGATTGGATTGAGTAAGCAAATGCGCCACATTACCTGCGTATATAAGAAGTCAGAAACCCTCGGGGAAAAGATTTCTTTTCTATTCACAATTCCAGTACTGGTTCACTTGCCATCGAGACAAATCAAGCCATCATGACGACCAGCCAAACCCCCGCCGATCTCAGGAAGATCATTGGAGAAACGCTGAGAGCCTTCATATTCGCATACAAGGACGGTGGCGAACAAAACGATCCTGCCATCATCAACCGCGATGTCACCGCAGATTGCACCCGCCATCTGCTCCCAGCCTCCCTGACCACATCCCTCGGTGCTCCAGCCGACTTCGTCATAAGCAACGACGAGTACCAGAAGCTGTTTGCTGCCGACCTCAAAGCCGGCTCAGTGCAGAAGATCGTCATTTCGAACTTGACCATCGACGTTGAGGCTAGGAAAGCCGCGGCCACTACCGTCTCCGACATGGTCTTCAAGGATGGCGAGACGATTGTGATGGAGCACTCGTGGATCCTGGATTTCACCGAAGATGGTTCAAAGGTCAAGAAAGTCATCGAGTTTTGTGACCCTACTTCTGTTCATCAAATGCTGGCCAAGGTCCAGGCGGGGGATCAGGAGGCGGTGCTACAGTCAGAGCAGTGAAGAAGGCTGGCCATATTTGTCATGCCATGGGTGCTTGTCCGAATCAGTACGAGGTTGGTGTGAGATGAGACGAATAGCTCTAGATCAATCGCAACAATTAGTCAAGGTGCTTTGTCTACGTTGTTAGGTGACAGTTCACAAGTAGCTTCTGTTGAGTGATGTTGGGAGAATTTTGTTATCTGGCTCCTCCAGCTTCAATTTACAATTGAACTTGGCAATCGTTGTCGGCACAAGACGTCAAAGCATCTTGATTTCCCCGACACTGTTCTTTGTGACTAGTTGACATATTGATTCAAAAAGTCAACCTGAGCTTTGATGTTATCCCTAAAGTGGTCTCCGATATATATATCAAAGTGACCGCAGTCTTTTAAGTAATGTAACTGCTTCGGCTCCTTGGCTTTGTTGAAGGCGTCCATCTGGGACGAGGTTGATACCAAGACATCGTTGCCAGGAATAACCATTAGAATAGGTGTAGGGCAAATCCTATGAATCATACTCTGTCCCTCAAACCCGAGCATATGGAGCTGAGTTTGAGAGGTGATGTAGTTCTCCCAGCGACTACCACAGTCTTTTTGGCCAACTAGTATATTGTACGCACCTTCGGTCGGGAACATACATTGCGTCTGTTTTCGACGGATCTGCGGACTCTCGATCTGGGGCAATTAGAGGGACGATGCCACGTTCCAGATCGAATACAATACGTTTTCTGTCCTCTAGTAACTCCGGAATGCGATGCTTGAAAGCCAGAGATCGAGTTTCGCCAGACACAGGGGGGGCCTGAATGATGGCAGCCTTGATACGCTTGTCTAAGGCTGCAGCATAGATGACGTTGCCGCCAAAAAAGCTAGTTCCCCAATATACTATCTTCGTGGGGTCGACTGAAGGCAACGTCGCGTAGTTGAAAGCGTCGTAGTAGCCGGTTTGCTGCAGCGCTGGGTTTGACTCTTCTCGGGGCAAGCCATCGCTGTCCCCCCAGTTGCGGTTATCGTAGAGGAGCACAGCATATCCGGCGTTATGGAACGCAGAGGCAAACTCTGGCATCAAAAAATGGTACGTGCCACCGAGCTATGTACAGCAGGTTTCGTTAGCGTTATCAACTTCCAGAGCCAAAGGACCATTAGAAGAAGAAAGAAAGAATATGGGTGGCCTTACACCGTGAGACATTATGATGCATGGTGAAATTTCCTCTCTCGGGTAGAACCAACCACGAAGGATAGTGCCATCGCAAGCTCTGAACTCGATATCTTCGCGTGGTAGAGACATCCTTACTGCAATACGTTTGTCATGAGCGAAATAATCACCAGGGAGGTGACGGTCTTCTATCCTGGAGATAGTGGGCTATTAGTTATGATAGGCGCACGCTGCGAATGCTTTGGTACAGGTCCGGGATTCTCGGGATCTAGGATACCCAAGGAAGGCCATTTCAGACACCGGGGAGGAGTCAATGTCGGCGCCGCTGTCGGTGTTTTCACCTACAAGGCACCAAGGACAGCTAAGAGCCGAGCAGCCGATCACGAGGAACCGATCAATAATAAAAAGAGCCATGGTCGGGATTCGTCTCTGATGTGGTGACCATGGTTGAGGTTCCTTAGACCGAATGTAACACCGCTCGAGTGTGAAACCCTTGTCTGTCTAATCTGGCTGGTCACCGTCGGCCTGTTTAGATAATCCTCCGACGAGCACCAATGTGGAAGCAACGGCATAGAAGTCGCTCGCTTGGACTCACATTCTTTGGATACTCTTCATTGGGCGCTGATATAGAGAAGCCTCGGCCAAGTTGTCGATCACTCCACCTAGTCTCCACCCCCGGAAAGTCAAGCCGGACGAAGCGGGACAAAGACGGGGTGAAGCGGGGCCAACAAACAACAAGTCATAATGTGCATTTCATGGTTTCGTCTGCCCACCCACCTGATCGCTTCATGTCTCTTGTGATATCACTCTTCCCCGATGTACTACGTACACCTACATTCTGGCGAGAACTGAACAGTACGTTGATGCATTCGCCAAAATCTGCGCACCCTTCAGCAAAGTTTGTATAATTGTGCAGGCTGACGTGAGTCTGTCGGAACCGAGTTCATGTCAAAGTCAATGACTTCTTCTCGGGATTGGCTGGGTTCTGCGGCCTATCATCGCTTCAATGTTGAAGGTTTTCAGTATCTCCACCACACGGTGAGGCAAAGTAGTCCTCTTCTTGGTAGACCCCGAAACAGGTACATCTCCTATCCGGGCGTGCCGGCTCGAACAACCACTGGACGAACACGTATCAAAGCTTGGGTGTGGTTGATAGAAGGAATAATGTGGAGTGTAGATCTCTCTCGGTGAAACCAGTGGGTGACACAGGCGACTGTAACCAGCAGTCAATATGACGAACGAGCCAACACAACTCGGGAGTAGGGTCACACCTGAGCGTGACCACGAAGTGGCTAGCCAGTTACCGACGCCATTTCTGTCCATCACCATCCACCTTGGCAAGGGAAAGGGGCCCCGCTGGCCTCATTGACAATACTGTGTTAGATGGTGACCTAGGAGCCATATAAACTTGAGTCATGTCCCAAAGTCCAGAACTTCTCACGTCTGAAGCTCTGTGATCTCGCAACGCCTCGGTCAACACAGCCGACCAACTTTCACGCATTTGACTACTATACAATTACACCTGTCAAACAAACGTTGCACGCTTCCACTATGCCTCGAGTTGTCAGTCAAATTTTTGGCTCGCAGTGGGAGAAAGATGGCCCAACGACTCCCACTGGAAGATTCTTTAAGCAATATGCTGACGCGGTCGATTCGAGAGGCTATGATGGTGGCTCGGGCCTCAAGTTCTACTCTAAAGATGTCACCTTCCACAACCAAAATAATGCCGTATATCACGGGGGTGATGAGATGTGGGCCTGGATGAAGAAACTCTTTGGAGTTTTTGAACGAATCCATCACGACTGGGTCCAATTCCTCGAGATCGAACGCGACGACGGCAGGAGCCAGATCTACAGCCAGAACGTTCGAAACCTCTGGCTTCGCGGAAACAAAGGGGAGAAGCCCACTGTCAGCATCCCGGTAACTATGATTGCCATTATAGGGAAAAGCGATGATGAGAACACGCCCGAGGGATTGCATTTCAAGGAGGTGTGGCTTTATTGGGATACTGCTCTTCTCTTGCCATTTCTTCCGAAGGAAGCTGTTGTCTTTCAAACGTCGAACATTCTGCGTGCTGGAGAAGAGGAGGTTTAGTGCGGCTCGGGGAATTGAAGACGACTATACTGTCATGGTAGCATTTATTGAAAGGATCTACTTGCTTGATCATACTCGAGGTACAGACTGTCAATGCACAACGATGCTGTCATCATGTACGCTCGGTGTCCGTTATGCCGCAACGTGAGCGGATCCTCTGGTTTTGTGAATGTGAACATTTCTCTGTCGCTCTCTCACTTTAAGCGTGTCGATGTAGGGATGGTAGTATCGGGTGCCGATGTGAGTGGACCTTGTCCCGGAACTTGTCCCGGACCCCACCTCCGGAGTGGGTCCTGGTCCCGACTTGCCTCGGCTCGCTGGTGGGGCTCGGCATCTGCTCGTACGAGGAGTCTGGGAAACGACCCTTTGAGCTCAGACTTGATTACTATACAATATACTTGCGGCGGAATGAATTTGTCACTGGTACCGTTCGTCTTGCACGGCATTGGCTTGGCCGATCCCCATCTTTTGTCTCTTATTTCATCGATCCGAAGGCTCGGATTACTGAACATGCCTTCCTATCCCGAAATGGCACCCAAGATTACTACCACACATGCGAGTCTCAGCTATAATAATGCAACCCTTGACCATGCTTCACTGTGCTGATGAAATCACCACCCCAGATGCCGTCCCACATACCGCGCTTGAAAATGAGTCTTCAGTACAAAGTATTTTTCAGTAAGCGTGCTTCAGCCACGCGGACAGGGCCTGTTGGCCACGACAACCTAAAATGGGTGCCCACAACCTCTACTTTGATCTACGGTGTCAAGGACGCGGTACTTGTTGACGCTCAGTTGACATCGGAAGCGTCTAATGAGCTTTTAGACTGGGTCATTGCAAGTGGGCGCAATATCACACACGTATACGTCACTCATGCTCACGGTGATCATTTCTTCGGAAGTGCACCCATCTTGCAACGATTTCCGGACGCCGTTATGGTAGCGACGCCTGAAGTCGTGGCCAGAATGAAACTTGAAATCACGCCGGACCGTTTGACTGGCGTTTGGGAAAAGCTGTTCCCTAACCAGCTTCCCGAGACCTTCAAAGTCGCGCAGCCACTTGAGCAAGACCATTTTGAGCTGGAAGGCGAGAAGCTTGTAGTGGTCCGGACCAGTCATACAGACACCGACGACACGACAACGCTCTGGGTTCCTTCCATCAGACTTGCTGTGGTCGGCGATGCTGTCTATGCAAACACGCACCCGTACTTGGGAGAGTCGGGAGAGGCCTCGAAGAGAAACGAATGGATTGCGGCTCTGGACAAAATTGCCTCACTTGGACCTGAGCACGTAGTCGGCGGGCATAGCGATCCAAGCCAGGGGTTTGGGCCCGAGGCAGTTCAGGAAACCAAGACATACCTGCAGACATTTGAAAAGCTGAGTACTGAGACAAAGACGGCCGAGGAGCTGTATGGGCGCATGCTGGGGATATACGCAGAGCACCTGAATCCTGGGTCACTCTGGGCAGGTGCTATACTGGTCAAACAACCATAGCTTAGTCCTGGGCATCGAACGAAACAAGTCGTCTAGTCATCAAGGATCGGGATGGACTGGCTATGGAAGTAGAAGGATAGTACAACTATCTCCCGAATCTGTTCATCTCGGCTTCTGTTTGACGGCGTGAAATTGGTTCATTATTCGAGAGCATTGCAAGATGTTGATAAGAATCAAAGATTAATAGTAAATTGGGTTCACGAATTCTACAGCCGGAGAGCGTCTTTTTAGATGAGGCTTATAATTACTGGAGATTGCATCGATCGAGTTTGTAGAGGCGCTTTTTTTAGTTGATATGAATGGAGTTACAGATTGTCTAATCACAGTGACAATAGTCAGCTTAGGCGAGTTTTTAAATAGCACTTACTGTTTATCTCTACTATTTGAGCATACTGTGGGGCTTTGATCTATCTGATGATATTGAGTAGAGCTAAAAAGAAAACCAAATTATGTGCTGTGTTTTGCGTTGAACTTTCTGCCACAAGGTGGCGGTTCAAGGGGGGTAGTATACCAAGAGGTCTGATACATTTTGGTTGTAGAATTTGACTATTGTGATTTGAGGCAATGGGAAATGTCAAAAGTGCAGCACCCATAAGCTTGTGGCAGCCCTATCAATTGCCTTTCTGACACCCCCTCTGACCAAGGTCATGATATCGATCTATCAGAGGTTTCGTAATACAGGGACATTCCAACAGAAGACTAAGTCCGTAATCGAATTGGCCGTACGCGATCCGACAAGAGATCAAGTGCGTCGTGGCGTCTGCCGTGCTGTTTATATGCATGCAGCGAGCTGGATATGGGCCACGTCTACAAGGCATAGAGAAATATTGCACCACCTGTAATTGCATCGAGTTGAGCCTCAGCCGCCGATAGCTAGTTCGGTGCGGCTGATGTTCCGCCTGGATCGTCATCTCGTGTTGATGACCAGGCAGGCCTCGCAGCTCATCAACCACGACACCGGGCACTCGGCCATCATCCCGCGATGGCTGCTGCTAAGCCAGCCGGCCTCGAGTCGAGGATCGAAGCAGTCTGGGATCCCGAGGCCGAACAAACCACGCAGATCCGCACCGTCATCGGCGTCTCGGCTCGCTGCCGGAGGTTGAAGTTGGAGGATACGTGGAAGAGGAAGCGAATTCTTGGTCATGGCGCCTACAGTACTGTCTGGTTGGAGGAGTGCATCGCTAGTTCTGGGCCGCGCGATGGAGAGTCGCATCTTCGTGCCATCAAAGAGATCCATAAGCGCCCTCATGTCTCCTCCGCATCCGAGTTCCACCGAGAACTCGAGGCTATAGCCAAATTCTCCCATGACAGGTTCGCACACTGTTTCGTGAGATCCTCAGGATGGTTTCAGAATGACGAGAGCCTCTTTATCACTATGGAATATCTTAAGTATGGGGATCTACAGCAATATCTCACCAAACCATTCCCCGAACCCGAGGCCCGACAGATATCCCTACAAGTCACCGAAGCCTTGCAGCTGATGCATGAGAGCGGCTTCGCACATAGAGACCTCAAGCCCGGCAACATCCTCATCTTCCAAAAGGGCCCTGGGTGGTGGGTAAAGCTTGCAGACTTTGGTATCTCCAAGCGCGGCGTTGAATCGTCCACACTATTGCGGACTGTGGAAATTGGCACTCGCGGCTTTATGGCCTCAGAAATACTTGGCCTGTATTGCCCCGATGACTTTGACGAGGAAGCATTTGAGGCCGACGAAGCCGCTCATGACGCTTTGGCATACACACCCGTCGTTGATTTATGGGGACTCGGCTAGATTACGCACAGGATGTTGACGCAAAAGCCGGCCTTTAATACCCGTGGCAGGCTTTGGTCTTATGTCACCAAGGGCACACCTTTTCCCACGAGTGAACTGGAGGCTGTCAATACAAGTGCGCAGGGCATCAGCTTCATCCAGGAAGTCATGGCTGCATCGCCAAAGAAACGACTCACAGCGGTGACCGCCATCGGCCACGATTGGCTCGAGAACCATGAGTTTCTAGACGAGACACGGAGTCGTTCTAGCACAGAGAGGTAAGACTGGATTATCGATGAAAGGCAGGATTGTACGACTACTAATGTTGCCCTTTCAGTGTGCAGGAGCTATCTCCTGGCGTGACTTCCATTGGCTATGAGCCATCTGCACAGTGGACTGAGATATCCCAGGAGGTCGAGCCAACGGCAAAGCTCGGCGAGGACGAATCCGTGACTTTGGCAAGTCAAAGATCAGCCGTAGAGAAATTTGAAGCGATGGTATGGCAGAGTGAACAGCCCTCGGCTTCCACTACCATTGTCGCTGAGGATGGTCCAGATATGCGTGGCACTATCAGCTCTACTACTACTGCTTCTGACTCCCTCACTTCTTTTCAGCGAACGATAAAACGGCAAAGCGAAGACAGGTTTCATACGTATCGCAAACAACCGTCGTCGGACGCTTCATATACCTTTGGCAATCAAGCGTCACCAAGCACTGTGGTGGTTGATGAGACACATGCCGACTCTTTCGTATCACATCGCCAACCAGGACGTCTCCCAGGCCAAGTAGTGCACCTCCCTCGGAGTGATGCTCTACGGGGCTACAGATACGACGAGGAGCCTCGCTGGAGAGAATCTTACATCGATGCTGTGCCTCCCCGGGGCGACTCACAAAAGAGGGCCAACTCAGGCCCCATCTACCACCAAAGATCTGGATCCATGCAAATACCTAACCGCCCACCTACTCCAGTCCCAGAACTCCCCGAGAGACCTAAGTCCTCAGAAGGTAGACTATGGCTCCGAAACAGGCCCCGACGTAGTATGCGCCAGGCGGATTACTCTGACTCGGATTATTCGGAGTCGGAGTCTGAGGGATACGACGGACGCCCTGTTGGCTCCAGTCAAGGAAACCGAGGAGTGCTGCACAAGAATCGCAAACCATATACGGATGAGTACGGCCAGGACGAGTACCAAGAACACGAAAGGAAGAGTAGAACCGCAAATCGAGTTGCGGACACCTTGAGGAGACGAGAGACGGCCCGAGACGACCAGGATTGGCGAAGTAGGCAGCGTCCTTAAAAACTCGATATTCCCGACGTCTAAATATTTCAGGCTTGATGTTTTTCTTTAAGTTGGATGGAATGTCTTTTCTTGCCTTCTGGGATCATGAAAAGAACGAAAGGGGACGTAAATAAAACAATCTAGGAGTCATTCCAGGGAACAGCGATCCCCGTTTCATAACGTCAAGTGATTGTGTCGTAGATCCAGCAATATGACTTGTTTCCCTACCCATCAACAGACTATGCGGTTCTTCTTCTCACTCGGCCTTTGTAATCGGCTTTCGTCTATCTCGCCGTACAGTGTCCCTCACGTTCTAATACAGACACTGACCAGAGAATGCTACGAGCTCTACAGCACCAGACGTGAGCTTTGTTACCATATTCAATGACCCAAATGCCGAAAAGAGCTTCATCTCTCGGTAGAAACATATGGCAGAGTTCATGGGATCTCCTTTCTCGATATCGACTGCTGGTGGCCGGCCGTACAGTGACAGGTTCCTGAGAATCTTCTTCAGACTATCGTCGGTCGCTTTGTCGGAGCCTTCCAGCTCGACCATCACCGCCACTAGCCACTCTGTCCACATCCGATGATTCAAATTTTGTGAGAATACAAGGTCTCACACAGCCGCCTCTATCTCAACAGTCCTACTTGGCAAATCGGCGGCCTTTCCCGCTTCGAGAATAGCCTCTTCAACCAAGATTGGTTCTGCGACAGCAAAGCGGGAATAAGGTCGGGAACGTCTCCGCAAAGAACGAGACATCGAACGAGTTAACAAATTCATCGCTGCGAGAAACATAAATGAACCACTTATTAGAGTAGCATTCCCTCCCCGCCTTAAGTGACGCAAACGCTCCATACTGGGGTATTGCCCAGCCTGTAGGTACTCACAGGCACCTATATGCACTCATTGTATAGACATGCATACCTATAGGCAGTGGCAAAGGAGGAAAAAGGTGCCCGAGGTCCACGTGCAGCTAAGAGGCGAGCGACAAGGTGACGTATTCACCCAGTCCATCGGTTCCACAGGTTACTGGCTGCATTTCCGTGACAGCCTCTGCAAGTGCCGAGCTCATTACCCGCGGTTCTCATGAAGCTGAAAAGCCTAGTACTATTCCAGACCAAGGGCCAACAAGCGGCAATATGTCGGCCGTTCTTTTCCAACAAACAGGCATGATGGATCAGCAAGATGCTCAGAGACCCGCGACGCCGCGTGCGTGGTGGTGTGGCTACCATCGTTTGTGGAACCCCATCTCCTTTTAGCGCCATCAGCTGCTCTGTGAATCGGGTGCTCTGGAAGAAACGGTCGGTTGTTCGCAGAAACCTCGGGTGATCGGACAACCTCTTTGTAGTGTGGTGTCGGCGAAAGAGCAGCCTGTCTTTGTAAAGAGGTGATCGAATGACGTGTGGCGTTATCGCTCAACGAGGCTATTCGGAGTCCGTCGCTCCGAAATACCGCAACTGGCAACACGTCTTTCAACACACTGCGAGAATGTAAATACTTTACTATAGACATTGCTAGACTCAGTGATTCATCAACCATGCGCAATTCCCCTGTTTCTTTCACCTAATAGACCCAAGTACTCACAACAATCCCCAGACTCGTGACAGGAGCTCACCGCCTCAGCATCAGTCCGTGGCCAATTCCTCACGCATTTTTTCCTTCTTCCCCGCAATTGTCAAATGTTTAAAGGGCACCAGACCAGCGGGTCCTCAAGTCGGGGAACCCCATAAACCCCCCTGGCTCCGAGATATCCACTCCGAAGAACGGATGATCCCCGCTCAGTCTTGACCCTTCCCCCACAATCCGAGGTCCCCTCCCCCGCCAGTTTCCCACGTTGTCGACTGTTCTTAGTCTAGGCCTAGCCGCAAAGGCCGTCTATGATTTGTGAGGGAGGGCTTGACCTCCACAGAAACCAATAGTAGGCCTCCTGACCAACAACCGGACCGAATTGTCTCGGTCCGCCCGGTATGGCGACGAGAATGAGGTGAAGGGGCTTGGGAGTATCGCCGAGAACATGCCTCTTCATCGTGCGGACTTTGCAATTAGCGCTTCAACTGAGCCGTACATTATCCGAAAGGGATGTTGGAAACTGCGAATGGAGAGAGCATGAAAACGATATAAGAAGAACGGTTGATGCCGTGCTGTAATGCCTTGATCCTCAGCTCCAGGCTCTCAAGACGTGCTACTTACGAAAATCACTGTCAAGATGGCTCCCTCGTTCATCGGCGCGGGCGTTGCCCTTTTAACAGCTCTTGCAACCGTCCAGGCCCAAGATGTCATCACCGAGGACTCCTACTTCTTCGGGGAGTCCCCTCCTGTGTTCCCTTCACGTGAGTTACCACTCAGCCTTTCCATCTCATCATCGAGACCTGCTCATTGCTAACTTGCATGTCCCTCTAGCTGAGATGTCAGGTGCTGGGCCCTGGGCAACCGCATATGCCCGGGCGAGAGCACTGGTGGCGCAGATGACACTAGAAGAAAAGGCAAGCCTGACTTCTTCATCCTCGGCCATAATATCTAACATTTCTGTGCGTAGGTCAATATGACGGCAGGAACTACCGCCCCGAACGGCTGCTCCGGAACTATCCCTGCCATTGATCGGCTGGAATTTCCCGGAATGTGTGTCAGTGACGCCGGTCAAGGCCTCCGAGGTACCGACTTTGTGAGCTCTTGGCCAAGCGGCCTTCACGTCGGCGCATCGTATGTTTTCCCACTTTACCCTTGAAGAAAATTTCAGTTATGGATCATCTGACACATTCTTCTTTGTAGCTGGAACAAGGAATTGACTTACAAGAGAGGCATGGGCATGGGTGGGGAGTTTAAGAGAAAGGGAGTCAACATGCTTCTGGGCCCTGTGGTTGGTCCACTTGGTCGAGTTGTCGAAGGTGGCCGTAACTGGGAAGGTAAGTTTGAAATTTCCCAAGTAGAAAGGGCCGGGTGGCTAATATCTCACAGGTTACTCGGTTGATCCATACCTTGGCGGCGCTCTGGTTCACGAGACCGTTGTAGGAGTTCAGGGCGTCGGCGTCATAACGAGCACCAAGGTTTGTCTATCTCACGTAGTCTTGAAGAGGAAGCGAAGTACATATCACTGACACTTGGAGTAGCATTATATTGCAAACGAACAAGAGACGGACCGTATTCCAACCACGAACAACTCTGCTCAGTCCAGCAATATTGACGATGTCACGCTGCACGAACTATATCTCTGGTATGAATTTATTCCCGTCGCATAAACTCTTCCATCTAACTCTTTAACAGGCCTTTCCAAGATGCCGTGCACGCTGGCACTGGAAACATCATGTGCTCCTATCAGCGGATTAACAACTCGTATGGCTGCCAGAACAGCAAGACGCTCAACGGCGTACTGAAGGGAGAGCTCGGCTTCCAGGTAATCGATCATTCAATCCCCCACTTTCTTCTATGTAGTCTGACCAAGAATAGGGCTTTGTGGTTTCGGACTGGTTTGCGCAACACAGTGGTGTTGATGCGGCCCTGGCTGGGCTGGACGTAGCGATGCCCAACGGTGGAGTTTATTGGGGCGATAACCTCACACTGAGTGTGACCAATGGCTCTGTCTCTGAATCGAGACTCGACGATATGGCTACTCGGTAAGTTGGTATCCATCACTGAGAATAGATTATCCCGCTAACAGATATCAGCGTCATCGCCTCTTGGTATCAGATGGGCCAGGACAAATCCTTCCCCGCCCCAGGCATTGGCATGCCCGCCAACCTGTCTCTTCCGCACACCATCATCGACGGAAGAGATCCAACAGACAAGCCCATCCTGTACGCGGGCGCTGTAGAGGGCCACGTCCTGGTCAAGAACACCAACAGCGCACTGCCCCTGAAGCGGCCGAGGATGCTCTCCGTCTTCGGCTACTCGGCCAAATCCCCCGACAAGAACAACTATGGCGGCTCTACCTTTACAGCCTGGGGCCTTGGTCTCGAGGCCGGTGATGAGGGCATGTCTGCTGCCCTCACCGATGCCTTCACAGGATTATCCAAGGAGCCAGTGGCGGCCATCGCTATTAACGGCACAATCATCTCCGGTGGCGGATCAGGCGCAACTTCGCAGTCGACTTTCATCTCACCGTTCGATGCCCTCGTTTCTCGAGCTGACCAGGACAACACGCAACTCTTCTGGGACTTTAACTCACCCATCCCTGACGTCATGGGCGCAAGTGATGCTTGTCTGGTCCTGGGAAATGCTTTTGCAACTGAAGGCGTCGATCGCCCCGGTCTCCGCGACGACTATACTGACGGCCTGGTCCTCCACGTCGCAAGCCGCTGCGCAAACACAATTGTGGTCCTGCACAATGCTGGTATCAGACTCGTCGACCAGTGGATCGACCACGCCAACGTCACCGCCGTCATCTATGCACACCTGCCCGGCCAGGAGAGCGGAAAGGCACTGGTCTCGCTGCTCTACGGAGATGAAAACTTCTCTGGCAAGCTGCCGTACACAGTGGCCCGGAACGAGTCAGACTACGGAGACGTGCTGCACCCGGATCAGCCAGAAGGCCGCTTCGTCAAGTTCCCGCAGAGCAACTTCTCCGAGGGCAGATATATCGACTACCGACATTTCGACCGGGAGGCCATCGAGCCACGCTTCGAGTTCGGCTTCGGACTGAGCTACACGACCTTTGGGTATAGCAACTTGCAGGTCAGCAACATCGCGACGGCCAACACGGCTACGTACCCGACCGGCGCCATCGCCGAGGGCGGGCAGACGGATCTCTGGGACGTCGTGGCGCGCGTGAGAGCCGACGTGACGAACACGGGCAGCGTAGACGGCGCCGAGGTAGCGCAGCTCTTTGTTGGAATCCCCGGGGCCCCGGCGCGTCAGCTCCGCGGGTTTGAGAAGCCTCAAATCGTGGCAGGCGAGACGACGACGGTGACGTTTGACCTGACGCGGCGAGATCTGAGCGTGTGGGATGTTGTTGCGCAGAAGTGGGGGCTGCAGAGCGGCAGTTATCAGATTTATGTTGGTGGAAGCAGTAGGAACTTGCCACTGACGGGGAGCCTGAGCCTGTCTAATGGGAACTATACGCGAAGAAGGTGGATGAGGCGAATGGCTTAGAGATGAGGTGAAGAGTGGTGATGGGAGACGCGTTGGAGGTTAGCCAAGGGGTACGAGATGTGGCCAAGAGGTAGGAGGAGGGCCGCCTAAGGAAAAATAGGTTCTGGTAATTTAACGCACTCTTTTAACAAAGATTTTCAAAACTGTTGAAGGCTCTAGAGAGATCTATTCCCTCACATCTGCTGTAAAGGGTCCGCAACCCTACTCAAATTACGCACCGAGCCATCCAGCATATTGAATTTAACAGGCTTGTATATAGGTCTTCTTTTAGAGCTGCCGAGAGTTGTCAAGTGCTACATGAAACGTCACCATTTATAGGATTTCATCAGGGCATTTGCCGTTCGTCTCGCGTCCTGAGGATACTCTCTAGATCATACGAAAGGTTTCTAGTAGTTAAGGAGCCAGGGACTATTTTATTTTAATTTCTTTCTCTGTACCCTGTGTCTTGGCTTCTCCTTAATTGGTTCCGACAAGGGGTATCTAGTCATTACTGATTCTCTACTTATCCCATCTCAAAAGGGGAACAGCCAACCAATAATGAGCTAGGATTGTCGTTCTTCGTTTTCACCGTCCAAGAGCCCTCGCTCCTCAGCGATTGCCTTTCGTTGCTCCACAGGCGCCTTTTTCTGCAGGCTAACCCAGACGGCGGCTCCAATGATCAGGATACTTCCAAGAAGGCTTGTGAGTGGCGGCGTGGTTCCCCAAACAACACGCTCGATTATAAGCGCGAAGATCATTTGACTGTACTGTGGACCTGTTAGGTAACTGGTGGGATGCTGTATTCTGAGAAACTTACGATGAGATTTGTTGCTCTGCCCGCCTTCTCCCTCTTCAGTCCCTCTGTTAGGAAAACTTGTAGCAGAAAACCTGAGAGACCAATGGAAAGAAGAAGAGCCCTGTATACGTTAGTTCTGGGTTCTATGCCCTATCTATTATATCCGACTGCATGCTTCTTACCATTGTATAGGAGTTTGAGGGATTTCGAACTGAAGATCCGGATGAATCATAATAATGAGAAATGAGCTGACAGTAGCCAACACGGCGAAATAATTGACGCTCACTAGCGAATGGGCTCGCTTTCCGATTGTACGAATAATGGCGTAGGCCGTCGCCGCTGCAAATGATCCCAATATCGCACAAACTATCGCAATGGATCGCTCGGCAGGAGTTGCTTTGACTGGAGGAAGTAACCCTCCTTGAGGGCTGGCGTTGAAATGTGAGGAAGCCACGTCAATAGAGTGGATGGAAAGACTGCCATCATCTTGACTTGGGAATAGAAAAGCTGGGCGAGCAATAACCAATACCCCAACAAATGCGATGAAGCTGGCGGAAGCTTCCTTGAAAGTAAATGGTTCCTGAGTTCGAGAAATCAGACTCAGAGATCCACGAGCCCATACATTGATTAGTCTGACTTACGTTGAGAATAACCCAACACACGAACGTCGTCAAGGTGGGGATAAGAAACGTAATTACGGTTGCGTCGGAGATGTCGAGGTACGATAGCGAATCTGTTTCCACCTGTCAGGACACACTTTCTCAATTTGATGCGTGTGAAACCTACAGTATAAACCAAATAATCCTGTCGAGCCCGCCATGCCCCGAATAACGAGCAGTCCTCTGACGCCGCGATGACCCCAGGGAAAGTCTGGGACTTGCTGGTACCACATGTACATGGACCCAATAACAGCAGTGGTCAACATGCGCACGAAAATGATCTGAAGGGCATGGAACTTCGTCTCAAAGCCAGTCTCCAGTAGTCGGGTTGTCATGGACATCTGCCTAGTTAACGTCGGCTGTTCGCCATTGTAGATGACTGGATGACTATTCACTTACAATAGAAGCGAACACTTGGGCTACAAAAACGAAGAAAAGCCCAATATTCTTCACGTAAAACGCCTTTAGCGCTTCCCAGAAGGCGTTGTCATGGCTTTCTTGGCCGCATGCCGCTGTCGGAGTCTCATCGTCAGAGACCGGAGGAGACGGCGGGCTGGCGCCAGCTGCGCTCTGAAGCAAGGGCGCGGATAAATTCGAATGATCCGGCTTTGAGGCTGATGGCTTCACTGTTCCATACGACATTCTTGCGGTCTGTCTTAGGCTTAGATGCGATGGGAGACTTGTTGTCTTACTTTTTTCGGTAGAGATTCAGAGTTGTAAATTTCTTTCGGCTACCCCCGGCTGCGGGGATTGGTGACCGATTGGGTGGCTCTACGGTGCTAATAGTGCAGTTGGCACTGTGTTGACCGCCGTCACGGCTACTCGACATATCTGACACGGCTCGAAGACTGCTGGAATATGCTTGGGCGCATCGTCAATTGTGACGTCTGTGGTAGGAAAACACCGTCGCATATTTTTCTTTGTGACATATATGTGCAAGCAAACTTCGACATGTGTCCTGATTGCCTCTCCGAGGAAATTCACTGCATGGATAAACGGCATTCATTCTCTCCAAGAGTTTCGCAAGTCTGGAGACGCTTCAAAGGACAAATATCACTCAAGTGGGAAGGAGATCTCATCACTGCGCGGCGTTATGAGATGCAGCAATGATAGATTGTTTTAGGTATTGCTGCGCGTAGTCTTACATAACAGTGTGCTTAGTGCAACTTTAGATGGCTCGTTCTCCTTCAATATAATCAACTACAAGATTCTGCAAATGCTTTATCGCATCCAAGATCAGGCAGGAAAGAAAAACAGCCTATATCCTTTTTATCACGGTGTGAATTTAGCAGCTTAATATGAGCCCATACCTCATAGCCTCAATACCTAATATGTACATAAGCTTGTCGACGGATGAAACCAGGAAGTCCAAGTACAGAGATACTCGACGATGAATCTAGACTGTCCTGATTTCTATTTTCGCCTACAATCCTGACCTGCCACCACTTTATCCTGAGCTTGGGTGATTTTCTTATAGTTGTTCCGCACTGTAAAGCAACTGGAACCGCCGCCGCTAGAGCAGACAAGTCATTATGGATTGTCCGCAACGAATTGCTATACTTGGGAATTAGTAACATTTAATTGAGACTTCTTTAAAAGACGAGCTATGGGAATTTCTATGTTCATGCCCCTCTATCCCCGTAACGCCATAGACCCTGAGGCGAGTGTCGAACAACGCCGATTTAATCCACGCGCCGAGGAGGTGCTATGCTCTCAGCAGCATGTTCGCCGTCCTTGGCCTATAGCGTTTTGGGCGCTATCTATATCCACCAATATAAATGATATCCGACAGATCTATAAGGACTCCACTCTTCTAATTTCTTATAGTAGGGGAGGAGTTGTGACTGAAGCTAGCGAGCTAAAAGAAATTATCTACTTCCTCTATAATATCCTAGCAGTTTTTGCCTTCCTCGATATATTTGTATATAATTACAGTATATTTCTTGTATTTTAATATAGCGTGGTTAATTTTGCTGATATGGAGATTTGGCGGCTTTAATTTTATAGGTAACTTCTGGAATACTTGGCTGCTGAGCTTTAACTAGCTATAGCACTTTCTAATATGTGGGATTGATGATATTGCCTTAACTCCTGATTCTTCAGTAGATAGATGTAATTGGCGGCCTTTATTAGAAAAGGTATGAAGGTTAGCTAAAGTTTTATTTTTAGTTCTTAGGTTGGTATTTACCAGGATTGGAGTGGCTGCGATAGCGGCCTTTTGCACCGCCGTTTCTATTATCTGGAGAAGGGCAGTATTCTGGTATTCTCTCTGAGCGGCAAAGTAGTAATAGAAGTCAGGCGGCTCTGTATCTCAGAATTAAAGAAGTAAGTTAGAAAAGAAACGCCAGCTACAGAATAGATACTATAGAATACTTACTACCTTCAGGATATAGGGGCTATCCGCTCTAAACTACACCTTCTAAATATATCTATCGAGGCTACTGTTAATGCGGGAGGAGGATTTCCAGTTAATCGTAGCCGGATAAAAGGGGCATCGCCGGAGACGCGGCGTCTCGAAATCCGCAGCATAGCAACTTGGGGGGCCGGACATCCACCTATCGTCGCGGAATGGGACTGCTGCCGCTTGTGCTTGTGCCTTATTTATGACTCTGATTTCCTGTGCGCGACGAATTCGTAATATGTGTTCCTCCATAGTTGGTGTGAGGAGGAGTTGTTGTGAAGAGGAAGTGAAGGGCGTGCTCTCAACCTGGAGAGGGGCGGGGGCGGTCGATGTGTCACGTGCGCTTGTTTCAAATATAACAACCTGAGCGCCAGCCCGATCAGTCTGTCAATACCCTCCTTCTTAGCTGTTTCGACCTTAGATCCATGGGCATTCAGAAAGTAAAGCGCCCGACCCTTTTTGTGGCGATTGAGTAAATATAGCGTGCAACTAAGCAGCCTTGATTAAAAGCAGTGAGTAGTTCTATATATTGGTAGGAGAAAAATTGTCTAGATTTGTTGCGCATTATAGTAAAATACACAAGATGCAAACTCTACACTGCCAAATAGTCAAGGTGCAGGCCCATATATCGACCGAGCATCTCCAATAACCGACCAAAACTCTTCCACAAACTCTTTCTGACCTTCCGTAGCCGGTCTCACTGCAAGATATCGTCGATTATCAACTGGTGGATCCCAGTTGCCAGGGTGCCCATCAACCATGATTCCTCCAGCCTCGGATAAGATGCACCAAGCAGCCGCAACGTCCCAAGCCCAGCAGCCGCATTCCCAAAATGCATCTTGCTGTCCTGCTGCGACTCTACATATCGCGATGGCAGCAGAACCAGTACATCGAAGCGAATTGACAAATGCGCCTCCTGTAGCAGTAGTCCGAGCCAGCATCGTAAAGACCTTCAGGTTGAGCTCGAAATTGGGTCCTTCTCTGTCACTCCCCCATTCAATACCGATGCAGGCGCTTCTCAACCCATCCAAAGGTGCCGAAACAAGGGGGAGCTTCCGAATACTGCCGTCGAATTGTTGGATAAAGGCGCCTTGGCCACGAACGGCGCTCCATAACTCCTCTCGAAACGGGTTAAAAACGACCCCGACCGTTGGCTGTTTTTTGACAACGAGCCCTATCGAGACACACACCGCCGGGAATCCATGGACGAAATTCGATGTGCCATCAATAGGATCTACTATGAATGTTGGGTGATCTGTGATCTCAAGCCCGACTTTGCAGGATTCCTCGCCGACGAAATCAAAGGCAGGATATCGCTCCGTCAGACGACTTCGGATAAATATCTCCACAGCCTTATCCGTTTGCGTCACAATATCCGCAGCTAGGAAATGTTTAGTTACTGACAAGTCGAATCGGTAATGAAATACAAACTGTTTTTCTTACATGTGGTAGTAAGGGAAGTCGGTTGGGCATGCCGGATAACGTTGCCTGCTTCTCTCGCAACGACTATTAGATAGTTGCAAATATCTCGCAATTCGTCGTCTGTCATGTTGGATAATTTCTTTGAATTTCAATAACATGGAAAATGATACTAGATCGGAATGAAGTTCGAATTCCTGGCTTCTTTATACTTCTCTTGTCCGTCTACCTCGAGGTCCAGGACCAGAAAAGTGGAGTATCTAGCGCCGTCATGATCAACACGCCATTCCCCATGAGTCGGCAAGAGATAATTCACGTATACATAGCTCGCTTGGAGATAAGCCCGACGTTCAGGCCTAACGCAGAACGGTAACAATTCAGCCGTAGTGCAGCAAAACCACTCGAAAGTGGCTACACTGATACTCGCTCGATTCGAGCAGAGAGTGAAAACAGGCCCCGGCGAAGCGAGGGAGGCGATCGGCAATTCCTCGACACCTTCCTTCTTATCGTCTCCTCTCCCAGGCCATCACAGCCAACCCGGTGACTTTATCCACACAGCAACAATGCACAAGCCGATCGCTCCCAGAGCGCTCCAGCATGGATACCGTGGTCGTGTTCGGAGTGGATGTCTGACCTGTCGCTCCAGGAAGGTAAAGTGCGACGAAGCGAGACCCATTTGCAACAATTGTACAAGGCTGCAGCTGCAATGCACATACAAGCCTAGGAGAGCTCAACAGGCTCTTGCTAGCCCTCTCAATCCTAGCAGCACTACTCCCGGCCAATCATCATGCGTCAATGGGACTGCTCAATCCCCAGGGCCCCAACACGACTCTGGAGTCCATCCGAGTCCCCCATTTGAGGACGCAGACGGACTCAACGCTGGCCCTGAGGCACCATCATCCTGCAGTGCGAGCCAAGAACCTTTTCAGTATCCAGACATATCAATCGTGGATGTAACCTCGCGCTTGGAGAAAGCCCTCCAGGGTCGACGGGAAAACCCGTGGACTCCTGATGACAGTCAAGCAGAGGCTGATTCGCCGGCGACTCTGATATCACGGGACATTGAGTTGACCACCACAATGGATCTTCTCGCAGCCCGCGGCAAACCCTTGCAGCTATCTTCGGCATTCTTCCTGGAAACAATTGACTGCCCCGGGATCACCCCCTTCGACAGCGTCAACTGGCAGATCATGAAACACTGCGTTGTCGAGCTCGGGGGATCTTGCGAAGTTATTTCTTCGGCCATTACTGCCGTTTCGGCCTTATACAAGGCACAACTATACTCCTTGTCTGTAGCCAGAGCGCTGTCGCTTTATCGTTATGCGAAGGATGCTGTCCAGGAGCACCTGAACAACGACAGCCATGACTTTGGCAGCACTTTGGTTGCTACGTTCCTGCTATGCCTTTTCGAACTAATTCATTCTGGGGAGATAACCCCAACGCTGAAAGAGCCAAGCGAATTGTTCCTGAAGGGATTGAGGGACTGGGCACATTATCCCTCAACTCATTCGGAGCTGTTTATAAGACTCATCGCATGGTTCAAGATAATCAATCGGATCACTTTGCGTGGAGGGGGTATGGGTCTCATATCGGATAGTGTTTACAGTCTATTCCCCGATTACGACGGCGCCATACCCAATATCAAGCCACCGGCGAGCTTCCATTCAGATTTATCAAGTCATTTGTACCAAGAGCTCAGTGCTCCTATCTTCAACTACTACTACCGCCTCCAAATTCTGTCTGGGGAGATTGCCCAATTGACGCATTATCACCGTTCTCGAACCACAGGCATGGACCAGGAGGAGGTGGTTCGAGAAATAGCAGCCATCAAGTCCCGGCTCCACGATCTATGGCACAGTCGCTGCGCTATCCAAAGTCAAACACGAGAAAGCCTCCGCTCACAGCTTGCACCTAAAATCGCAAATCCCATCATATCCCTCATTGGCATCTGTGATGCTGCGTACCACGCGGAGATTGTTGAGATAGACCGAGTGCTGGGTGACCCAGTGTCTAAATGGACAGATTCGAGGGAATCAATACAGGCAATTAGAGATATTGTCGATGGTGATGGGACTAACGACGAAGGAGCCGACGCAGGAAAGCTCAACCCGGGCTATCTTCGCCCGTTGTTTCTATATGCAATCGAGTGTATGGACCAGGAACAGAATCAGTGGGCAGTAGAGAGAATCGCCCAGATCCAAAGCCCCATTTACCGAAGCGACTTCTTTGCAGCATTCGGTAAAGAGCTCTCGGACGCCCAGGCGCGAAAAGAAAGACGGGTGACGTCCAAATATTTCTGTGTTTGGTATTTTGGTGTGCCTCCCCCATTCATGTAGATTTTCGTTGGAAATAATGCAATTTCGATGCAGGCTTGGCAAAGTCATGATAATAGATTGTATGGATCCAAGTCTAAGATGCCACATACCTAATCAACTATCCTGCGACAACAAAGTTTCTTGGTGGGGGTAGCACTTGGTGTAGCCCGACGAGAAGACGGTTTGGGCAGGGCAATGCGCCGAAACAAGTAGCGACTGGGACGAAAAAGAAGCAGAGATTGCGCCCTTTTCCCAGTTACTAGACGGATTTTCCATTCAATAAGTATTTAGCCAAGCATCCAACTACACTAAAACTGCCCAGTGCCTATCAACACAGTCACACCAGACTCAAAGTCCCTCAATGAAGTAAATGCTATCCCTAAATTTCTCTCTTATCCCAAGAGATGCAGGACACTCTTTCAGAGTTACTGATCTAGACCGCTTTCCCCTCATCCTGCTCCCCAATTGCTTCGATCAAATCCACTGGAGTTTTGGCAAAATGGCGTGGGGCAATCTTCCTTTCGAACAGGACATCCATCTCCGCTGTCGTTCGGTCTTTCGATTCCGGAACGCAGAAGAAAGCAAAGACGGCAGAAATCATGCACCCTCCTGCCCAAAAGAAGCCGGTCTTTGCACCCCAGTTCCACGCCGTCTTGTTCAACTGATATGGCGTGAGAGAATTGGCAGCGATGCTTGTGACGGAATAGCTCCAGCGAGCTAGGACGACGGACTTGCTGCGAAGGAGGGCTGATGGGATCTCGGCGCATTGCGTGTTTGTGAGGGTCCCCATGGAGCAGTTGTAAAGGAAGTTGGAGATGATGAGGAGAGCGCCAATTGCCCACGGGTACGCAGCCTTTGGAGACTCTGCTTGTGGCACCCCAAGAGCGCCGATGAGGACCATCAGAACAAACATCATGACAAGACTCCAGAGAAGGATGCTGCGACGGCCGAAAACAGGCAAAAGAGCCCACTGAAGAATCTGTATGGTTAGTTTAAAGTTCAAGGGGAAAGATGTGTAGCCTGCTGGCGTGATGATGGTGATGCATACCGTAAAGAAACCTCCTGCTAGAGCCAACGAATAGCCGACAATCGTCATGTTAAAGGCTTGAGTAGTCGGAAGGCCAGCTTGCTGAAGAAAGTATGTGGAATAACCACGCAGAGGATTACCGCTTAGAGTCTGCATGCAGTAAATCCCAATTACGATCAACGTCCTCCGGAGATCGACACCTCTGAAGCATGCCAAGTAGGATGTCTGGGCATTGATCGTGCGTTCGTGCTCCATTGTGACCATCATTAAAGCCACTTGTTTGTCAATGTTGATGCCAACATGGCCACCAGATGTAAGTCGTGTTAGCACCGCCTTGGCGTCTTCTAGTCGACCCTGTCGAACAAGCCACCAAGGCGATTCCGGAGCAAAGTGCAGGAGCGGGATCAAGAGAACGGGCCAGACCCATCTACGCTTCAAATTAGTGGGGAAACAGAGCGGCTTGCTAACAGTGAATCTTACTGTACTGCGAAAGGGATTCTATACGCCCATTCGTCCTCTAGAGTGAGACAGCCTCGAAGAATGCCTGCGCCAATGAGATGACCGATAGCCTTTGAACTATTAGTTACATGGCACAAGTCGGCTGTCAGAGGTTTCATACCCAGCAGAAATTGACATATGATGTAAGATATGGCTGAAGGCACACAGGGGATATCTCCATGGCGTAGATGACTGGGGTTGTCTGAAATAGTCCCAGCACAATTCCTGCATAGCATGTAAGAAACGGAATAATAGCCAAAACTTCTGAATGAACTAACCGAAAAGAATCTGTCCGACTTCGAGAACTTCGAGACTAGGGGCAAAGAAAGGAATGAAGATCAAGACAGCAATCATGCTGAGGCCAACGGTCATTGTTTTGCGAAATCCAAAACGCTCACTAACATATCCGGCGAGCAAAAGACCAATTAGCTGACCACAGGCCGACCCATTGCTCAAGCCAGCTTGCCATGAGGCAGGTATTTCGTAAGTGTCTTCCCCGACAAGGCGTCCGTATTTCTTTTTGAATGCTGATTGGGCAAACAAGTTGCCAACAAGCATGGTGTCGTATCCTTCCATGATGATTGCCGTGGACATGGCGAGGCTCCAAAAGACAGCCCTGGGACGCAGCTTGAGAGCGTCGAGCAGACTCAGGTTATGCTCCTCGGCGGTGGCATCCTGTGCGTCAGTGAGCCACTCGACCATAGTGGCTTGCGGCTCTTCCGCCTGGGTTGGTGATTTGGAGTCACCCATTGCTGGTAAAATAGTAGGCAAGGCACTACAAAAGAGGAGGATGTAAAGAGGGCGAGGGTTATGAGATGAAAAGCCGCTGGTACTTGATGTCTCTAAATTGTCATATTACGGGCTGACGAGGACTTTTATATAGAATTGCCGTCCCAAAGCATCTCAAGGGTAGGGCAAGATGTTGCTGGTGTTTCCTGCCTGAGCGTTGAATGCTAGCAAACCGGTGGACCTAACCTCCACTTCACTAGTGGTGTTTCCGGTTAAATTCAACCAGTCAGAATCGTGGGGTTGACAGCGTGCTTAAGCTCAGCACCGGCCGTCGAACCTTCATGGAGCAACTAGACCATCGAGACTGGGGTCTGCTTATCTACAGCCGAGCACTTATCTCCAGGCGAGCTAGCGAGGGAAGCTAAGTTCAATTCAATTCAGATGTTGGCTTGGATGGGACCGTGAATGGTCTCATGGCTCGACTTGCTAACTGGTCGTTTACCACCGCATCATTCGATGATCATGTTCGTGAGTCGGCTACTGGTCACCGAGCTTAGCATTACCTAGGTATAGATTGGATAGCTGTCGTAAATCAGTGCCTTGCTCACCACGTTGCCTCCATTTCACTTGAAGGCCACGTGGGTGGCCCTGCCAGACAACCGAGCTTTAGGGTCTTTCAGGAAATTAAAATTATACCCCACTACCATTAGGACAGTCTGATATAAATGTAGGGTAGGAATTGGCGAATAAACGATGGGAAGATGCAAAAATGATCGTCTCATATGTCAAGCACAATTATTGATTCTCATTTAGTCGTAAAGTTTACAATGAACGCGAAAGATTCTCAGTTCAAAAGAACTCGACAGCAATAACGCAATCTATTTATGTCCTAAATCTGGTCTATAGCAAGTCCCTTAGTCCCAGCAGGTCCCTGGCGAACTAAGCCAACACTGTCTCGCAAGTTCGCAGTTCTATTCCCTCGCATCACCAAGATAGAACAGTCTAGGGTACGCACACATGTTCTCAAAGGTGCAAAACTCCACCGCTCCAAGTTCGAATTCCATGTTAACGGCAGGGAGAAGCTCTTTAAACACTTTGTTCAGCTCAGTCCTGTCTTCGCCATCAACGTGTCGCAGCCAGTAAGCAATGGTGACATGAAACTGGTACGTCAAGTGATTCGGCGCTCGGAAGCCCAGTGTATCTGCAAGCCTGTCCCTGAGCTTCCTCATTCGTTGCTGTTCCTCAAATGTAGCACCCTCCACCTCAAGCCCAACTCCGACGACGGCAGGGTCAAAGCCCCGAACACGCATTCGGTACGGCGGAGCTAGGCCTTCCTTCTCCAGCTCTGGCCCGAGTTGTCTCAGGCTCCGCGAGAACTCCTTGGTACAGGTCTCAAGGGGCTCCTTTTCCAGCCCCTGCGGCCACATTCCAGGCTCGCATTCCGTTTCACGAACGCCATCGAGAACGGTCATGTGCCATGATTCTTGAGGCACAAGACGAATCATCCGGGAGAGTGTTGGATGAGAACCCAGAGTATCGTGGACGCGATGAAGGCCGGGCAATAGAGGTGAGCCAGCCGGTATGTGGCAGACGGTTGTGTTTCCAGGGTATCGTTGGACAGCACCATCTGCTGAAAACTTGATGGGAACGCCCACAGGATAGGTTGGCCGGCTAGCAGTGGCCACGGTGGTGGTCATAGAGGGCGACATCATTTTATAAGCTCAACAAGATCAGATTGAAAGAAAAGAGTCCCAACGTGGAGGTATGTTGTCTTCCTTCTTCCCGAGAACAGGTGCATTCCCTAATTTTATACGTGACAGCAACAGCGCAACAACGCGGGGTCAGCGGGAGCCGCCAATGCTCGTGGGGCATTTCGGCAAGAGATAAGTATCGGTTAGAGATAGGCGATGACATTAGACTACGTTGGCAAACGGGTGGTGATTAATTAGCCGATCTAAGCGACCCATATCATCTAAAATAGCCTGGTGGAATAATAAAGAACCCCCTCCCAAGGACACGATCTAGCATCCCACGTGTTCATCAACGCACCGTAACGAACCAGGGTCACAAGAATCGCAAGCTCCATTTGTTTATGAAGGACCTGCAGGTAAACTTGCTCGAGGTTTATCGCCTTCTAAGATATGGAATGCAACATCGTATAGTAGGGCATCAACGATGATCGTGATTGACGATTAGGGCATTGTCTTGTCTAAGTCGGTCCTCGAACGGGTAGTTGGTAGCTTGTCCTAGGGGTTGTATTTAAGCTCGTTTTAGCTATCTATCATCTTTAAGACCGTCTATGTGCAGTATACATCTGCGGGCTAAAGTAGGACGTAATAGACAAATCACCACGCTGGTACGCAATCGTGAAATAAGTCTGCACGCCAGTATCACGTCCCAGACTGTTCCACGGTCCCAAAGCCTCCAAGCTCCGTAAGTACGGCCGTGAGTATCGGCCACGGCCCCGGTCTTTGAGGTAACTGATCAGCCCCTGTGCGGCTTGTAGATCGTTCTGAGCATAGTGCCGAACGGGGATATATGCCTTGACATCAGGAAGAGGAGATTTAGGCGCAACATCGAGGTAGAATAAAAGACCCGACGTGGGGTGGTCCACAGCTTGCAACTCTGTCTCAGGCCCGCTGTTGGGATCGAGACCAACGGTGCGCTTCCACAGATCGAAGAACTCATTCGACACGGCGTCGAGGCCCGTCCGGCGACCACCGAGGCTCATGACGTTGCGAACGAAATGAAACGAGGTCTCAGTTGACCGCGCGTAGACTTTTAGCCGTGAGGCCGTTGGGCTGATGCAATCGATCCCAAGCATGAATGGTCGCAGATTGGATCCGGCGGTGTCGTCCAGGAGGTACGACTCCAACTGGTGAACAGCCTCCAGATTCTGACAGCCTGCACTCCGGATGGCCCGCAGTATCTGGTACGCGGCACTGAGTTCGGCTGTTTCGACGGGCAAGAAATAGGCCTTGACTCCTATGCGTCCGCGTACCATTTCGAAGGCAAGGAACATGGTTGAATTGCCTGGGCTCGACGAGGAAGACAAGGCTGGCGTCCCAGGACCCAGCAGTTCTCGCGAGAAGTGGTCGAACCAAGTCAGATCGAGCCCAGGCATTGATGCCGCTAGGCTCTGCAGAAGATTTCGTGTGGCAGCTTGGTTGAATGGATCTTCCTTGGTTCCAGCCAAAGGACCGATGACCTCGATGCTGTAGCGAGCCTCAGGCTTCTTGTCGCCGAGGCCCCATTTCCAGCTGTACTCAATGGGAGAGTGGTCATCCGTCATGAAACTTTTCCATGCTGGATGGATGGACCGTGGTCTGGGGCCCATCTGGGGAACGACCCATCGGTGCAGGAACAGCAGAGCCTCGTACTGCTCGTTCAGATTGTAGTCGGCATGGTCGAGAAGAGTGATAAGGTGCCGCCCAAGAGACTTCCACCACCAGTCCTTGTCCTCAGAGATAGGTGGAAGCCACTTGTCCAAAGTCTTCCACGCAGGCTGGACTATGTCATGATTGTGCAGCACAGCTCGGGCCTGGAGAGTTTGAGGCATGATGATTGAGTGTGATGCGTACGTTGCACTCGAGGCTTGTAAGTCTGGTAAGATGCTGAATTGTGGACTGGGGAAATGGATTGATTGCTGACCATGGGTGGGCCGTCTATTATGGTTGATTTATCACAGATACTTGGCTCTTTTCGCTACTCGCAGGCCTGCCTAAATTCCAAGACGTCACTTCATGTCCCTCGAGCTCCGGGTGATTAGCCTGGCGCTCTGCAGTGCTGAGAAGCTCCCAAGCATAGCACATAGGATGAATGGGAGTTCTGAGTTCCCGAAGGTAGGAGGCTCGCTTCCTGCCCAACTACCCAACGGAGGATCACGACATGACGCACTTGGTCTTTACTTTGACGAAATTTGCGGGATGCAAAGTCTTGGGAAGTGTGCGATGCAAACGCCATTCACACGGGAATGAACGATATATTCCACGCCGCGTTCCGACTGTCAACCCCATTCCTTCCTTTCACCAAGAAAGGAAGGCCGGAAACGATATGTGTTTTCAATACGTCAGATTGAGGGCGTAGGATCTTCCGATGAGGGTTCCTCATCGTCACCTTCCTTGACTATAAACAGATGTGCTAATGCTACAAGGTACCAATGCAACTCAAACCAACGTAGACTCTGCTCTGCATCGTTCCCCGGTGATTCTCGTGTCAGCATCTAGGTGATAATTGCTCACTTCCCTATATGTCAATATTCATATAACGGTTACTGCATCCACCTGCGAGATTTCTCTTGTTGGTTCAGGGGTAAGTCACCGGATACCTACTGCCAAGTGTGGTGTCAATATGTCTGATATGTCGTGCTGCCTGGATTACCTGCCAAGGCTGACGCAGAGCGACACATCAGCGGCCTTCACTTCAATCCTTAGCATCACATCCAACCAGTCCTTGATGTTTTCTCTCGATGCGGTGTAATTTGAACTGTTACAAATTCAGAACCGGGTGCATCCTACCGCGAACGAGGCCCAACGAAGACCACACCCGCCCAGTCTCCCATCTAAGATGACCAACGCGAGCTCGGCCCATGCTACGGGCGCAAGCAGCAATGGCATCATCGCCGACGACATCATGCTGGCGCCCGGATGGGCACAGGAGGGTGCAGTCTGCGAAGACCGGGCGGACAATCCAACAGAAGCTGCAGGCTCTGGCCAACAGCGCCTTTCCAGTTTCCCTAATCTGTCCAGGGCTCGAAGTGTCCTTTTGGTCGTTACTTTGCCGAGTGCGGGACTTCTCACAGTACGTCGTTTTCCCTTCTCTGACTCGTGGGATACAAATGTACAACTGTATGGGATGATAACCAAGCAACCTGTAAGAGTAGATCCTGAACTTACAAGCAATTCTCGTCATGCTTCCCGATCTGAGCGAAGCAGTTGGGATTCCGTCCCAGCGACAGCAGCTGGTTATCTCGATATACAACGTGTCCTCGGGCTGTCTCATGCTCCTCTGGGGCCGCCTCGCCGACGTATATGGGCGCCGCCTGGTATTTCTCATTTCTTCGGCTCTCTTTACGATATCGACTCTATGCCTGGGATTCGCTACACATGAGATTCCGTTCTACATCATACGCGCTATGCAGGGCCTTAGTGGCTCTGCCATGATCCCCTCCGCGATCGGTATCATTGCCAACGCCTTTCCGCCCGGCAAATCACGAAATAGAGCCTACGTGACCACGTCGGCTGCTGCGTCGCTCGGATCGGTGTTAGGTAGTATCTCGGGTGGCGTTATCGGTGGCTTTCTGTCGTGGAAATGGGTCTTCTGGATCCCTGTGATCCTAGCTGCGGTTACGACGGTTGCCGCTTTCATTGTCACCTCTGAACCTCAGATACGGCACAATACCGTAGCCAGCTCTCAAAAGGACGAGAAAGGGTACCTTAGTATTGACTGGATAGGTGGCGGGCTGATCTCGATCGGCTTAGTACTCCTGCTCATCTCTTTGACGCAGGCTGATACACTAGGTTGGAAAACATTTTGGATTCCCCTAGTAATCGCCGTTTCAGTTCTAATACTCATTCTGTTCGTATACTGGCAATATCGTCTCGAAAAATCCTCGACTCTACAGCTCCTCATAAGGATATCGATGTTCCGAAACCTGCAGTTCTCTGCTTTGTTTGTTGTGGTCGGTTGCTTCTATGCGGCTTTTAACAGCTTTCTCGTCTTTGTGACATTCTTGTATGTCCTATACTGTTTTCCTATTCTTCTTGCTAGCCTTCCATCCTAGAGTCACTGAAAGCCTCCGCCATTAGTGACTTGTTTCTCAAAAGGCAATCACTGATAGCGACTCGTGTTAGTTACCAAGATTATCTCGGGCTTGGAGTCCTAGACACTACTCTGCGGTTTTTGCCCTCCGGCATCGCTGGACGTAGGTATTACATACCTGCCCACCCAAAAGGAATATCAAGGCCTTAACCACGTTCAAGCTTGCTCACATTTTTCTTTCCCAGTTGTCGTGTCATTTGCCGTTTCGCCCGCCCTATCTCGGATCCCGGGGTTCTATATCCTCGAGTTCGGTCTACTGTGCGGCCTTGCGTCTCCTTTACTTTTTGCGATCCCGGCAATCCCACCTCACACGACGTATTGGGCATGGAGCTTTCCTGCTATGTGCTTGTGCCTCAGTGTTGAGGTGGTTTGGCCCGTAGTAGGTCTATTCATTTCCGAGAAGCTCCCACAGGAGGATCAGGCTCTTGGCGGTGGACTGTTGCAGACGGTGAATCATATCAGCCGCTCGCTTGGCCTAGTTGTCACCACGGCAATTCAATCGGCCGTACAGGGCGAACACAAGATCAGCGATCCGCTTGGAGACTCAAACTTCTTGCGTGGGCTTCAGGCCGCCCAGTGGACGAATGTCGCGTCAGCAGGGTTTTCTGTAGTAGTTGCCGCCGTTTTCTTTCGCAATCTCGGCCGGTCTTGAGTTACAAACGTAATACACTGCGCTCGTTGCTGTAATTCCAAGACGCCATTCACATTCGTCGTGAAGGGATCGGACGGCTTTGGTCTTTAGATGTTCAGTTGCGCAAGGCAGATAGATGGCATCAAGCCGCGAGATCCTTGCCACTCCTTTTTTTTTAATCACATATCTGCTACTTGAATAGTGATGACTAAAGTATCAAGAGGTTAGGGTGCCCTAGTACACACATACCCAGATGGGGGACTAGAAGCTCAACAGTAAAAAAAAAACACCAACAATAGAATCAACAATACAGACCAGCCCAGTCCATTTAAAGATCAACAATACACTCAGACAGACTAAGGTTTCTAGTCCAACTGGTTACCTTTCTCAATACCTTTATGAGCTGCAGGTAATAGCTGTGTCTTGAAAAAGCTAGATCTGCTGGAAAATAATAAAGATAATAAATAAGAGAAATAAGAGAAATAAGAGAAATAAGAGAAATCCCTTACCAGAATTAAAGTAATTATTACACAGTTAAGTTATCAGTTACAATAAAGAAAATAAGGTTATTAAGTGAGGAAGTAAGCAGAGGATACTAAGAACATACAACCCACCTAGAGGCAGAGCTGTAATAACCTCAATAGTATTGCAACAGAAAGGTTGGATGGAGTTGGGTTTGAAGATCGGATAAATAGCTTGACTTGGCAAAATAGATGATTTTCTCAGCTGATACTATTTGATCAAATAGATTTCTGAGAGGTCTCAAAAGGATAGGTTAAAAGACTGTCAATTGAATGAGACGCCAGAAGGATGATAGCTGCTAACAGATCCCGTCTTTCATCCGATCAGATGACCTTTATCACCAAAGACCGGAAAGTCCCGACTCATTGTTATTATTCTTGATTCAATCAGGCTATTTTTGCCTTATCGGATCCTGTATTTCCCTGTGCCAAAGGCTCCTTACTCAGACTGTCAGATCCCACTTACGGGATCACCGGATCTGACAAACTGTGATATCACACGAGCAAGATCCCAATGAGCAAGATCTCAATGAGCGTGAATGTGTTCAAGGGCCATGCAGACGATTCGAGCCACTGCCAGAACTTTCTCCTCCTCAAATTTTCTTGCAACAACCTGAACTCCAACAGGGCCCCCATCATAGACTGCTGGATCATCTATTGAAGCTGTTTAGCCCGACTATTCCCAGGGAAGAAATGTGAAGACATGGTCTCAAGGTTGAAACAGCCTCCGGTCATACTCACACGATTGCCAATTGAGTTGATCCTTCTCTCCCAATGGCTTGTAATATTCGTCGAAAGCATCAATCTTCTCGTCTGCCTTTGTGACTGGGATGACAACGGCGGAGTAGTTCGTCAGGTTCATGGCTTCAGTATATGCTGCACTCAAAATCAGTTTACTGCTGTGTGATACTATTTCTTGAACTCGCCTGTGTGGTAGAATTTGCCTGGAATCACAGCTGCGTGCGGCGCCACAGGCATAATGACGGCATCGACAAGCTGGCCTAGAAGGACGTCAACTCTGGACCTGGGCTTCGGATTAGACTTCTAGTTGGCTGCAACATACCATCTGAGTCAGCGGTGGAGTTCCAGTAGTCCGAGTACTGTCGCTCGTAGTCCAGGCCTTGAAGGGACAGGTCCTGGTACTGTAACAAGTCCATTGGTGCCCTAAGCTGGAATGAATCTCTCAAGTCGGGGATCAAAGGCTCTCCTGACAGATTTAGGTGTTGATGAATGTCGTAAGCTCCATCAGCTTTGAGGAAGGATACCTAGATACAAGTGAAGTTTGTTGGCGTTATCCGTTGGGCAACGACTTGAAAGGGTTCAGCTTACATGAACACGTTTGGCCGTAGCCTGTGACGGCGGTGCCCAATCCATCATCTACTCAGGGATATTAGGGAAAAAAGATTCAGGATATTGGGATTACAGCGTGATACAGTACCTTGTGACCAGAGCACTTGAGTGCATTGTAGACCATCCGAAGGCCTCGAAGAACAGGGGGATGGGGACCAACAACACCATCTGACCAGAACACACCAATCTTCAGAGGCGCTCCCTGTGGCTTCGGACGCCCCTGAGAATCTACTCGCGACATGTATGAGTCTATGACTTCCTGGCGGAAAGGAAGCGGCACGACAGCTGGATCACGTCGCCAGGGTTCCAGGTTGAGAACGGATTTGACCAGTATTTCCAGCGCATCGATCGAGGTCCCGAGGAACCCAATAGTTGAGCGGTAGGTGTTTTGACCCGGGTTCGTGTTCGCGACGTCGCGATAGGAAAGTCGCTCCGGGGTTGGCTTGATGGAAAACACGCCGCAAAAGGCAGCGGGAATGCGAACCGATCCTCCAATATCAGTACCAACGCCAAGAGAACTTCCGCGCAATGCCATCAGTGCAGCCTCCCCTCCAGATGATCCGCCGCATGAGAGGTTCTGGTTTCGAGGATTCAGTGTTTGGCCGATGAGGTTGTTCTTCGTCTCTCCAAACAGAAGCGTTTGAGGCAGGCTTGTCTTGCAGAACAAAACTGCTCCCAGGGATAGCAGTTCCGTGACAATCTGGCTTTCGACCTTGTGGGTTTCTTTGGGGTCCGAGATACGCAGGTTACTTCCAATCCAACCCACATATCCCGTTGTGGTGTCAGTCCCCTTGACGTGGAACTGGTCCTTCAGACTGATAGGAAGACCATGAAGCGGCCCGAGGGGTTTCTTGTTCTTGGTGTAGTAGTCGTCTAGATACTTCGCTCGATCGAGTGCTTCCTCAAAGAAGATCTCGTGAAGACAGTTGTTCTAAGCGACATGAGCATCAGATTTGTACCGGAAATCACGAGACAGAGTTGTAGAGCTGAGCTTACGATCTGATGGGCAACGGCTGCCGTTTTGCAGAAAGCGGTTACAACCTCGGTCGCAGACAGTTTCTGATCCCGGATGGCTGCAAGGATCGGTAAGCTGTTCATCGACGTGATTGACACTGTGTCTGCATCCAGAAACTCCTGGATGAACAGGCCGGTGAGGTCCCGCTGGTGACGAGCTCGTTCGAGGTCCTCGGGCGCAAGTCTCCATCGTGGGTTGATTTTGGCGAGAGTCGCAGCCCGCTTCGCAGCCGCCTGGGCCTCCCACGGCAGTTGATGCATTCTCATACTAGGCAGTAGTGGAGAATGATAGAGCACGCCTAGTCGCTTTCTAGTGTTATTAGTGCCTGATTAGACAGCGAGACTTGTCGGGTTGAACGTGAATGGTAAAGCGGGGAAAGGGAACAGTTGAAGGGAAAGGCTGTGAAACCATTGTTCTCGAGAACGAGGAGGAATAACTCGCGTGATTCACCCGTTGGCACATGTGGCGGTCCTTGGTGGGGGCCAGGCCGTGAACAGCCTCTCGTGAACAGCCTCTCGTAAGTGTATTCCAGCTATCTATCTGGTCCAACAGCATCGCAACGATCCTATGCGCCACACCTGGTCAGTGGCGGAGACCAGATACTGCTCCAATCTCACTGTCACTGTCTACGAGAACTTCGCCTTGGGGCGAGTTCTTCAGCAGCCCAAAAGCTCTCCAGCTTCAGTTCCGCCGCCATGGTGGACGACGAGATGAGGGCGCGGTTCGCCGCTGCCAACGCACTCCTCAAACGCGATACGGTGCCCGATGTAGAAGATGCTCTTAAGCAATTCAGCGAGATTCTGCGGCTCCGTCGAAACGACAACCTCGGTGTACGGGACATCATTCCCCATCTTCTGCTGCGGCTCGACCGGGACCAGGAGTGCTACGATTTCCTCAAGTGGTGGGCCATTGTCGACGACGAAGATCATTACAATGGCCGTTACAACTGGGACGACACCACGCTACCATACCTCGACATTCGCGGAGCCGACGTTTTTGAGCCCACCGACATGTTCTTCTCAGGAGCGCCAAGCCTCAGTCACCTCGTGGCCCTCACCCTTCTTAAGTTGCGCCTTTATCTCGACCTAAGCGCATATGACGAGTCTCGAGGTGGGTTCGGCGAGCCTAGCTACGCGCTCGACCGACCTGTGGGAAGGCTTTCGCGACAATTCATGAGGACCATGAGACTGCGGGACATCTCAACGAAGGTTGACACACTGAAAGACCAATACCTGAAGCTCTGCCAGGTGGTGCATGAAGCAAACTCGTTCTTCTGGGAAGTTTTGGTGGAGGATGAGGCCCCCTCCCTGCCATCCTCCTTCAGCCCTGGTTCTCAAGAGGAGGCGGATTTAGTTCTTCACCAGTGCCAACGTGCCTGGCAAGACATCGAAGATGCTATCATAATGGTTGATTCGGACACTTGCGGACTTACCCGCGTGTATGAGGGTAAAGCTGCTGATGTTGGTGTGGGCAACCCGTTATCGGAAGCCCTGAGAAAGGGAACCGGAAAGGTGTTTCCATCACGATTCGAGCCTCCGCTGCCGACGTCCCACCCCGCTGAGCTCTTCCCGCCAACTCCTATGGTCCGCAGCCAGACGATTCGGTTTATCTGCCGCAACGACAGAAACAAGGTCCTCGTATACACCGACGGTGCTTGTTCAAACAACGGTCAGCTGGAACCTCGTGCAGGCTGGGCCGTCGTGTGCGGACCGCCTGGAAATGACGAAGAGAGTTACCGCGGTGTTGTGTCCGGTCGGCTCGAAGACAAGGGCCCATTTGGGGATGACAGCGTGGCGACAAGCAATCGAGCTGAGCTGCGGGCAGCCATCGGCGCCTTGCGCCTCCGTGACTGGCAGAATGAGGGCTATCACAGCATTGTCATTGCAACCGACTCATCTTATGTGGTCGATGGCGCCACCGGCTGGGCTAAAGGTTGGGTGCGCAACGGGTGGAAGACGCGTAACCGCGACAATGTCAAGAATCGAGATTTGTGGGAGGTCTTACTTGGTGAAGTGGAAAGATGGAAGGACCAGGGGATGACTGTTGATCTGTGGAAGATCCCACGGGAGCTGAATGGCGACGCCGATGCGGCGGCGAAACGGGTGGCGCAAAATGGAGGGGCCAAGGCTGAATTTGGAGATATTACGTTCGGCTTTTCGTTCGGCTCTTCGCAAATCACGACGACCGGGACCGGACCAAGCTCTCGTGTCCTTACGCTGTGCCTTGAGGGTGAATCTCTATTCGACGCTTGTTGTGGAAACCTGGTCTCGCATATCAGTTCGAAAGCGAAGATGGAGCGAGCCACGACGCCAGAAGCCGCCCTGACCATGCTTAGACATCAGCCGCCTCCGTCCGTCATCCTTGTCGTCGATGGAGCTCTCACGCGTCAGAAGAAGGTTTGGGAGTGTGTCATCGACCGCCTCCGTGAGGGGGCCACAGTTGTGCTGGCAGGTTGTTTCAGCAGCATGGTGACCGGGGGCCAGTTTAACCGCTTCTTCGCGAGGCTGGGTCTTCCCTGGCAGAGAGGATCTTATAACCGGACAGACGTGAGCTTGCGCAGCGGTGTTGTTGATGGCCACCTGACAAGTCGGCTCCCTTCGTCATACAGCCAAAAGGCGCTGTTCGTTAAAGGCATAGAGAGATCAGCGGCCTGGTACACTGAAAGGGAAACATCGAGTGAGGCTGCAGTGGTGTTCGCCAAGGTTGGGTCAGGCAGGCTCGGTTATGTCGGGGATGTAAATGGAGAAGAGGGCTCGAACATGGCGGTTTTGGCCATGTGTGGGCTTTTGAACTGACTGGGCTGATTGAATTTTGTACGTGGTCACGAGGAATAACGAAGATAATTTAGCTAGCTTTTTAACCCCTAATTTGCTATTCGAGTAAACAACTACGTGTTGCTTTAAAACAACGAAATTATTTGGTATCCATTTGGGACTTGTAGAAATACGATTATCATCGCGGGAAGGTTCGGGCACCAGAGGCCTGAGAATCAAGCGTGTTATATAGAGCTATTGACTTATGAATCTCAACAAAGTTCATGCCTTGCTAACAGAAATCGTAATAGACCCAGGTCCCAATGGAACAATCCAGCCGCCTCGGCCCTCAGACGCTCCCTCCGCCTTCACTTGCCATTTCTCACCACCAGTCGACTCTACCCAAATAACAGCCCTTGAAGCTTCCGGCGAGCCCTTCAACTGCGACAGACTAACTCCAACAGTACCCTTGGCTGAGTCGAACGTGAACTCCTCGATGGAACCGACGTCGACCGTTATTAGTACCTTGAGAGGCCCGATGAAAACTCTCTTCCGCACAGCATCTTTTGGCTGAACAGTCACACTGCCCCCATTCAGGGAAAGAATACCTCCAAAAGCGACTAAGCCCAACTCCTCATCGTCGGCGACATACGTGCCCGAGTTCAGAGCCATGCCGATGAAACCACCACCGTAGTCGCCCGTGATGCCATCCCACTTCAGCGTGTCGGGGAAAGAGTGGAAAGCAGCGCTCGGGAAGCCGTCTTGGTTGATGTTGGACAGGGGAGCAGCTGAACCAGCGTAGCCCACGCGTAAAAGATATGCGTCTGAAGGGTCATCGCGGAATGCTGATAAGAGGACTTGTGCGTTGAGACCTGAGCCGTAGTGATGAATCTGGCGCTCGATCCTCTTGAGCTTACCTCCGTAGCTTTGACTGTGAGTTTATTTTCTTGATGCGACAGAAAGTTCGCTTACACAAAGTCCCAATATCGCCGGGCGTTTCCGTTCCAGCCCCAATGCGGTACATTGGGCATGTAGCCTATCACGCTGTTGATGGTCTTTTTCTCCGACTCAGTCATGCCAAAGTGCCTAGAAATTAGCATTAGCATTAGCAACAAGCAGAGAGAGAACCACATACCTGGTCCAGTAGTAGACACCTTCTTGACCAGTAGAGTCCCAAGCCATCTCGCTTCCGTAAGGAATCTCCTGCGCATCCCATATCTCAGCTCGCTCCTTCATTGCCTTCTCCAGCTCATCGGCGGCAGTGACATTTCCCTCGCGCTGGAGATCTGCCAGAATTTCACCAAACACAGTCTCTCCCATCAGCCCGAAGTCGTTGTACCCGACATCGGCCTTGGTCATTCGGAGAATAGTCTCTCGGGCCTGACTGAGATACCAAGTCCAGTCCTTGGAGACGAGATTTGGGTACGCTCGGGCAACGCGGTACAGGGACCAGTATGCTGCTACGGGATGTACGTAGTTGTATGCGCGACCAATGTCGGAGGCGGCCGCCTTGTTCCAAGACGTCCAGCTGGTCCAGTCGATGTCCTTGCGGTATTCGTAGTCCACATCGGCTGGCTGGTAGTAAAAGAGAGACTTCTGGACCCCGTAGTCTTTCCTTTGGAGATTATCCCGGATGACCTTTTGGACAAACTCGTCGAGCTTTGCAACTTCCTCGGCGTCAGGTTGGATGACTTGCTTAATCGCTGCTGCGACGTATGCACCGGAACCACCCTCGTCACTGAGGCCGGCGATCCAAACTCGCGAGTCCTGGTCCACGATCTGTCCCTTCTCATAGTCGTATGTCATCACGGAAGGGGACCGCTTGAAGGGATCAAGCGACTGATTGAACCACGCCTTTGTAGTTAGGAATCTTCCCATATCGCCGAGGGTCTCCGTAGTAGACTTGGTCACAAAGTAGTGAACAGTCTGAACCTTCTTATCCTTATAGACGATAGTCACTCGAACTCGACCCCATGAGGAAGAGGAGGGAGTAAGTGTGTACCGGCCATTGCCATTATCCTTGACCTGGAGTGCACCCTTTGGTTCAACAGTAACAGAAGAGACCTTGCTGTCGCTCTGAAGAATCAGCTGGGCTGGCAGATCTTGTGCAGTGATGAAGCCCGGAACACCAATAGCGACAGGGCTTCCCGCCTTTCGAACGGCCTTGTCAAAGTCGCGGATGCTGTCCGCCAAGGAGAACTTGACGCCGACTTTGAGCGACTGGCCTGGCTTCAAGACCTTGGATGAAGGCGTGTTCCAGGGCTTTTGGTCCTTCCACTCGTTCTCTGCCCAAGCCTTGCTGAGGACCTGCCACTCATAAAAGCCCTCAAAGGTCTGACTTCCGTAGTACGTAGGGTCCCTGCTAGCCTCCTTGAGGTTGCGGTACGCCTCAAGGGGAGACTGTGTACCGCCTAACGGCGTTACTAAAAGAGCTTTCCCGGTACCTTTGACAGGAGCTACGCGGATTTGGCCTGCGTCCATGCCGATGTATGGATCGGAGAGAGAGCAGTGGGCTTGCATCTCGGTAGCTGCTCTGCCGCTGAAAATACTGTTGAACTCGGCTGGGAATCCGAGGCTACCGATCTCGATGGGCTGATTGCCGGTGTTCTTCAGCGTGAAGCGGAGGCCGAGATCTCCCGATACGTCAAGCCACTCACGGGCAATGCTAAGCGGGCTATTCGGAAGAGTTTTTTCCAGGCTAGACGCTGCGAGAATATTGCTTCCAGTAGTCATGTTTTTGACTGGCTGACGCTTCTGCGCTGAATCGCCATCAATCCATGTTGTGTCGTCTCCCTGTCGGTAGCGATATGTGATATCGCCCCAGTGGTACTGGCCATTCGCGGCACGATATTTGAGAAGATCGTAGGGCAAAAAGTCAAAAGAGTCGCCAGCTGGAGAGAGCGAAGCTAGGACTTGGGCATCATGAGCAATCTTGGCCTTGAAGTTGCCAATGGATACATCAATGAAGCCATTGCCAAGACCTAGATTATCTGATTGGGCGTACGCACTGCCCCCAAATAAATAGGCAAGGGCAAGAATCTTGCCGAGCTGTATGAGAGTTGGCATGGCGAATTGAGTGTCCTGCTGCTTGCTTTGCTCGTCCTAATTCAGTGCATACAGAACGGCCCCTTTTATAAGCGTGTATACCACGGTACACAATGTCCAGGCTGTTGCAATAACCATTACATCACAAAAGTCCCCCGCAATGAGAAGCGAACTCGTCAAACCGTAACTATGCAGATCCCTCAAGCACATCACCCACCCAGCTGCCATTGGAACGCATCTACTATAGCAGCAAATCATGCTTCCAGACAAGCCCTAATAGGAAATTTACGGGGAGCTTTGTTCTTGAAAGGAGGAACAGCCTCCGGACCTGCCAAATTCGTACCTAGGTCAGGTGTTGCATGCACCCTCTAATATTCTCTGCCGATCTCTTGCCCTATCCGAAACCCGCAGGTCCACCAATAATTGGAGCGCATTTAGACTAACTTACGATTCCGGGTTACGAACTCGGGGTGTTTTGCGAGAATACGAGTGTCGATGTAACGTATCCACGTTTTTCAGCATTAGTGAACACATTCGTGCGGTTAATTCGTGCACCATTGATGAGATATTTTCTGGCAGTGCGGCGGCAGTCCTCGGCGGAGTATTTTTTTTGAACTGGTAAAGACCTTTTCAGTATTCTAGGATCTCGTTCCTGCTAGCATGAATTAAAAGTCCGCCAGCTTGCAATATCGTGCGGGAGACATTCACCAGCAGAGGGTGCTGCTTGTAGTGTGCTCGCTGTTGGAAAGAAAGAGGATTCTTTCCTAGTGGTTCTAGAAATTATTAGCGGTGAAGAACTCGCTGAGTCTTTTGATGATACGTTGAGAGCGTCTCGTACGACACCGAGGGCATTGTTCAGGTCGGCTTCTTCTCCTTGCTCGTGCATCTATCCCCAAGGCGGAGCGTAAGATTGTTCAAATATATAGGCCGGTCCGAATGGGCGTCTATTGCTGCATATATGAATCCCTGTGTGATTTGAATAGACTCGGCTAGATGAGCCATTCTGCTGGTCTGAGTATATCGGCTGCCGAGCGCAGAACCAAGATTGCTCATGTACATGACTCTGTTTGGATGACCACTTGGATGACCTTTAATACTTGTCGCATAATACAAACAACGTGTTCAGGATCGGTGCTTTCTTCCCCCAGGGAAAACCTCTCCATGAGTCGCATTCCCGAGTTGGTCAATCTCCCTACCCTGTCTGGGGAGTCTACCGGTGCTATATTGACAGCTTCCCTGCTAAGTCGGATGGCTTCTTCGAGAACGACTGGGTCGATTCCTGGCAACTGGCGTCCATAACCCTTCAAAAGAACAATATCGCATGCAAACTCTTGCCTCTATTTTCGATGTCAACAGGCTGTATTATGTTGCAGCTATCTATATTTCAGGCTCGAGAATCCTTCTACGTCCAAGTGTAAGGAGTAGCCCATGTGCTAGGTAATTGAGAGCGAATATAATGCTGAACATTCACCTGGTAAGACCAATTCCACTTGCTCGCAACTGACTCAGTGCAATAAATGTGAGTGGAACGAGCAAAGAGCATTATATTAAAAAATCACCACACGACAGCGCAAACAGATTATATAAACACCAGGATGTAGGAGAAACCAAACTTAGCCCCGAATTCCCTCGAAGACAATCATGGTATCTTTTGAGGCGATTCCTCCCTGCGAATCGAGCCCAAGTTCGCCAAAAGCAGCCGCCACTTGAACACCGCCCGTCTTTCGTATCCAATTTCGCCCAACTTGAGGCTGAAAGCTTTCGCCTGTGTTCGGAACTTGATCGTATCAAGACAACCCGCCGAAGCAGCCATATCCAAAGCAGAGTGGTTCTTTGCAATCCCCTTGCAAAAGGCCGTCTTCAAAGACCGCCGCAAAACTGCACGTGGTTTCGTATGAGACTAGCCACAGCAAATAAGCTTCTACGCTCAGCGAGAGCAATGGCTCGGTCGTATCCAGTCTTGCCCGGATCACGACTGACTGCCCCAGCACTTAGTAGGAGCTGAACGACATCAAGACGGCCCTCCGAAGCAGCAAAATCCAAAGCAGAATATATGTCTTCGGTACCGTCAGTGGCATTGATAGGAGGCCGGTTAAGAATGGCGCCATGGTCAAGAAGCATAACCACAACTTCCAGATGTCCGCGAAATGCAGCGATTTCGAGCGCAGTAACTCCGTACTTGGAATAATTGATCTCAGCGCCCTCATCAATCAAGAATCGGATCAAATCCGACCTAGTGCTCAGGTCCTCAGTTGATGAGTGATCCCAGTCGCAAGCAGCCTGCAGGGCTGTCCGCCCAAAACGTCCTGAAGGTGGCTTGTTGATGTCAGCTCCCCTCTGCACCAACAGAGACACCAGCTTCAGGTTTCCTCGTGCAGCTGCGGCTTGCACGGGGGTAAATTGTAACTTGCTGTTGCGGGTTGTTGCATACGCATTGACATCGGCGCCCGCCGTCAGAAGCTCAAGCGCCAACTCGTCATGGCCTCCGACATTGATCAGGCAAGCGAGGGGTGAGCCATGAGTAACAGAAGCGCCGTGTCTTAGAAGTAGTTCAAAAAGATCCAATCGCCTGGAATAAAAACTGCCAAAGTAGTTGAGACTCTGATATCCGAGGCATGCTTCCAATAAATCTGCCTGTGAGATGGCTACGTCTCGAAGACTCATTCCAAAATGAAGGAGCACGCCAAGTATTTCGATACTTGTAGGATTAGTATTCCATGGTCTGGAGCCCAAAAGTCGAATTAAGAAGTCAATGCCATTTGAGGCGACAGGACTGGCCTGCAACTGTGCACCACGGCGAAGCATAAATTCGATCATATGGCAATTTACGCTCCTCCGCCTGTAACGTCCCCGATCAATCCAATCATCAGCTCTATCTTGGATCGCATGGGCGATCACAGTAAAAGACCCCTCAGTTGTTTCTATTTCGGCATTGATATTCACACCGGCATCGAGCAGCCATGAGGTCGCTTCATGGTTGTTCAAACGCACAGCTGTAGACAATGCCAGAACACCTCTATTCTTTATGTCAACCCCATGACAAGCAAGAATCTGCAAATGGCCGAGTCCTGTCTCCGCTACCGCCCTCTCCAGGACTTCTGAGTCTATATCTGCCCCTTCTTCAAGTAGAAGCTGCAAAATGGCTGAGAAGTCCTCGTCGTAATCAGAAGGAGTTGTATACTCCACTAGACGGGCTAAGGGATTTTGAGCTGAGCTTTTCTTCGAAAGTAGTTTTGTCTTGACCCCAAACTCGAGCAGTAATCGAATAAGCTTCAAATCAATTTCGTAGATTGGTGGGCCGATGAGCTGTTCAGCAAGCATCAATTCCAGAAAAGCAATTCCTTTCTCAGAATTCATTGGGTAGAGTAGTTTCAAGTAGCTCGATAATGCTTCTTTACCTTGCTTTGCAGCAAGGCAAACGGCGGGGCGTGTAATTTCAGATGGTGATCTTTTGCTGAATCTAACCACTTTGTCATAAACCTCTCGGTTCAAGAAAAAGATAAATTCCAACGTCGATGGCCAGTTCTCAGGTTGAATTTCATTTTGTTTATAAAACAATGAAGTTGGTGAACCCTCACGGAACTTCATTTTTGTATCGACCTCGAATCCATTGTGCAGCAAGATATCCAGAACCGCGCTCTGTTCCTTATTGCGGAGACTGAGTCGACTTTGACGTTGAATTTGCGGCATGGACTCTAACTGCCCATGCGCGAATCTCAAAAGTAGTTTCTGCCAGTCATCGTTCACACACCTATTCGCCAGGAGCATTGCACATTCCGGGTTGCCATTATAAACAGCATGAATAATAGCAGGCTCTATTAGTCGAGGGAAGAAACCAGGGGCGTGTTTCTTGCCAGGGCAAGCTTCTATCTCGAGTAGACGCTGCACAATATCAGGTGTATTCATCCACGCAGCAATGGAGATATAAAAGCCGCCATCTGAAAGGATCCAGTCTGGGTGTTGAATACCAATCTCAATAAAAAAGGTAAATTCATTCTTATAATCAAGGATGAAGGCAGCAGAAATTATGCTTTCCCATACAGCTCTTGCAGTGGGAAGATCACTCGCAAGTAGCTGGAAAAGGAGATCCCTGGATATCCGTTCAAAGAGGATCTTGAAAAGTTCTGGACGCTGGCGCGGTAAGGTGGACAGATTGTTGGATAACTCATATATAGCTCGTGCTAAGAAATGATATGTGTTGAACTCCAAGGCAACAGCTGTTGAGGCGGGGATCTCATCGCGCAGGGCGGAAGCGGCTGGACTCAATTTGAATTTGAGTATATTAAACGGGTGGAGGCAGGATCTGAGATTCAAAAACTCCATTCTCGAATCGCGTTCAAATTGAGACTGTTGCAGTTTTTCATAATTCGTAGAGAGCTGATGCGTGCTGTTTACTTTCGCTATTGTCATGTTAGTTCCTCTATTCCTCGGCGGTGATTTCAAACTACAGCACATACCTAATTGTGTGACAGTGAAATTTTTCCATGGAATAGTTTCGAGGAAGATCTTGTAGGTCATCAGACCCGGGTCGAGAAATACTGCGCTCTCGAGGTGTTGTTCCACGGGAACTCCCTCATGAAGTACTCTTGGCGCTTGCTGGCAAGTATATGCTTGAAGGTCCCGTGCAACGAAGTTCGGAGAAGGCACCATAGAACACACCGAAGCTGGTTCGTTTAATGGTGCAATATGTGGTGTTGACGGTCTTGCAGGAGATGGTGTCCGGACATCTACGCCGTCTGGGAGCGGAGGAGGTGCATTTCGGCCTAGACAAAATCTGGTAAGAGTTGGTATTCCCAAGGATAAAAGTGGCATGACTTACTACCACCAGCCGATAGGGCTCCGGATCTTCTCATCTCCTTCCAGGCTTTCTTCCACGGTATTTCCGTGCCATTGAGGTAAACGCCTGTATCTTTTCCGTCTCTCTTTCGGAAATGTTGATAAACAATCGGCCAGTCATCCTTCCTGAGCTTTTTCCGCAGCTTGAATTTGTCTCGAAGTTTTGTTTCGTACATCCACAGACTACCAAGCTGGTTAGTCACGACTATAAGGATACCAGGAACGGGCTTGACTCACGACATTTCGGGGAATGCATAGTCTTGTTCCATGATTTGCTTGACTTCCTTGAGAGTTTTCCGCTGAGTCTCATATAGCCGACGAATAACCGGCTCGTGGGTTTCCCATATGTCTCCCTCAGTGTTGGTAAGACGGGGCACAGGAAATGGCATGGTGGAAGATTCACGGGAAATGGGCTTAGAATGAGTCAATCTTGTAATAAAATGAGGATGGTTGTTGGTTGACTTGTAGGGAATGTTGAAAGATATTTAAAATGAGAACAGCCGGGAAATGTCAGTCTTTTATCATGGCATAGGATGCCGCCGCAATTTTCTCCTCAGGCATTGTCACAGAATGCCTAGCGAATGTGCAACATTGGGCTTGTCCAAAATCTGGATGCCTAACAAATGTGTAATATTGGGCTTGTCCAAAATCTAGTAGCAAATCATAACACAGCCATATGCATGTTCTTATTCGTCGAGAAAGAAGTGCACCCAATAAATAGCCTGTCGACACATGACGTAGTGTGTTGGACTACAGTGACACTCGGAGAAATTGACGAAGGCCCTGGCTAACCGGGCAAAGAAACAGATAAGGATGGTATCTCTTATAGTCATTGAACGAGGATATTTGGGTTCAATGAGGATGTAACCACACGCTCCCTTTACTCAATCAATAGCAGCTACTCTTCCTGTCGGGCAATTCCCTTCCAGGGTCGGATTTTCACAGGATGGATTGCTACATCTCAGCTACCCTAGATACCATGACATCCATCATTCACCAATGCACCAAATGTCTATTATTACAAATGCGATTTGATGAATTAAACTCGTCTACAAAAGGTAGCAGTCGTGATCAAGCATGACGTCGCGTCTTCGTCTTAGGTTATCTGAATGGCTAATCACGACCGCTTACGTATCACGCGTGCTAGTCATGTCGGAGACCCTCGTCGTCGTCGTAAAGGCGGGAATCTGCCGTGCCAAGCCAATACTACACGCCTCTAAACGAAACATTGACTCTGTTCGCGACTCTTATCTTCAGAAGTATATCATTTTGGTCGCAGACTGACATTGACGAAATCTAAGAACTTTCGGTGTGAACACAATTGCTTTGATATGGACCATCAAGAACTTTCTTCCAAATCTAGTGGCTCGCAATCAAACTGTTTACACGACTACCGCGTCTGCGACCGATTACTATGCCATCAAAGCCGCCGCTCTACCTATGAGGGCGTACATACCGAGATGAAGAACATCTACAAAGCGCCAGCAGTTCGTGCTTCATGCATTTGCCCTGCCCAGACCGGCATGTTCACGGGCATTAAATCGGTACCTAAAATGTCAACGACGACAGCGGCATATGTCGCCGAGAAAATCACAAGAGTTCCCTACAGCGGTAAGGCTCACCATAGTTTGGTGCCTGCGTTGGTAGGCTTTGCGCGTTGGGTGCGTGTTTTGCCGATTCGAATGAGAGTCTGGGCCTAAGACAATGCGGCCGTTGCTTCCAAGGACGTCAAACCCCTTGGCCCTTTTGAAAAATCAGATGAGGGAGTGAATCGGATTTTTGCATGAATATGCCGAGGAAAAAAGCCTGGTGGTTTCATGGCGACCCGGTCTGGCCGATGTGGAGATGATGAGGGAGGAAACTCGAGCTGGGCGATACGACATGCTCAAAGTATTGCAGATCCAGGGATCTAGATTTAATCCACCTGTCCTATCAAACTTCCATCTTAGGAATAGCAAGGTCTGCAGGCATTGAACAGAGAGGCCATTCATTTATAATTATTCAACTTTTAACTTCTCACCTAACTCGATGATCTGCTACCAAGGTATACGTGTCCTCTTTTCTATCTGATTGATATAGCTTGAGACCTAAGGCGATATGGATGAGGAGGAAAGACTCATACACTTCAACCCGGCACTTGCCTTGCGGGGCGTAAACTATCAATTGTGGTTCAGAACCAGATACTGGCCCCTGCGTGTTTCAAACGGTGATACCCATGTGTTTTGCTGGGAGTGCAAAGACCCGTTTACGCCCGTTGAGTCGGCGAATTCGTCCCCAGCCTGGCCAATCCCAGCTCAAGAGCCTCATCGGAAGACCACTTCAGGGCGAGCAAGCTTTCACCCTGGCCACTTAGCGGTGCAATACAACCCCTGACAATCACGGCCCGAGCCGAACTTCCAGGGGTTGTATTGTACATGCCGTGATCCGGGTCAGTTATTTCAGTCACATCGAGAGCTCAATTAGCTCAGAGGAATCTCTTCAGAGTAACTTCAGGGGCCCTATAACACTCTGCTCTTCATTACCGACACGAGGCTTCTAGAATAGAATTGCAGAGTTGGGTTGAAACGCCTCTTGTGTTTCCCCAAGTTGCGGCATTTTAGATGTTTTTTCCTAGAATCTTCATCGACAGGGGCATTCAAATCTGCCTCCATACCCATCGGGATTGGAGTCACTGACTCAGTAGGAGCACGAAGATGTGGCCAGGCCCCGAACTGTCTCTCTCCCAGTCCCCTTTTCCAACCGAACGCAGAATGGACTAGAAGAATGTCAATCCAGGATCAGATCGTATTTTAGGTTTTAAAGGTCTCTATCCTGGCCAAAGCGCAACCCAGGAGCTCAGCCGGACTGCACTGCCGAACAGGGTATTTGATTCAAACAAGGATTAGATCTCTGGGATTGTTTGACAAGGCCTGGCATTAGAGTTGTCGGTCCGACGAGTTTATCTAAATTTATCTCATCGGCCCGACGATACCCCCAAGTAGTCTTCTATCAAAAGAGCATTTTGTAACATTAAGACTATCATGACGTAGAAAATGATAGAAGTAGTTGATTGAAACTTGTCCCTTGCTATTTTAAAATATATTAAATTCATGCGTACTAGAAAATAAAAAAATAAACAAAGCCTTGGCATTTCAAGGAATGAGTCGTCTTATCAGCGACTTGATGAATATATATACTTGTGATCTGCCGTTCATTCTAAGATTCATCATCATACTCACAAGCACTTTCATTCCGCTCTCTTTTACACAATACTCGCATTCGCTCAACTTTCATTTGACTTACAAACATTCATTCACCTGCTAAAAATGATCTCTCGCTTCATTTTCAGCGCCTTCGTGGCACTCGGCCTGCTGATCGGCATCGTAAGTTGAATCCCTTGGGGAGTCTTTGGTTCTAGAATCTTTACTTACCTTTCTTCCTAGATCTCTGGCAGTCCTGCACCCAGCACTCCTCGACCGGGCTCAACTGTGACTGAAAATGATATCCTTGTATGCCATCCCTGTAAGATATTAGACTGGTGAGGTATCTAACAATCCCATGTAGCGTCGTACCGAATATAAACTGGTATATACAGTGCCTAAGTGGACGTCCTTGTGGGAGTTCGATGTTTACTCAACCGGTTACGATGGCACCAAGGGCAAGGAAAAGCCGGCCAACGGCGTCCAGGAGGGAGAAAGAAGCAAGGTTCTGGATAATTTCACGATTGACACGAAAACTAAGACCTTGACCGTCAAATCCGTCTGGAATGCATACGATAAGACCCCTAACCGTCTCAGGCTGCGACAAATCCTCCATGCGTCCTGGGAAAAGACGGGCGTCGACCCCTTGGAGCTCAAGGCTGTGCGAGGAACGATGATCCAGAACAAGGAGATGCAAGATGCTGTGGAATTCTGCCGCAAGGATTTGGGTTTAGGCCGTTATGATGATTACAGGGTAAAGCCCGACGCCAAGGGAAAGAAGTGTTGGGATCGGTTCGAGAAGACGGTCTTTTCGAAAATCATTAAAGGGGCTATCAGAGATTTTGGCCCCAGCAAGACGCTTGTTCAGATCGAGCTGGACAGACAGTTCAACGGAGACAATGTTCTCTACACCTTTAACTAAGCATCAGGGGTGGGGGGTGGGAGGTGTCTTTGTACACTTTTGACTTACGAGAAAACCGGCTGGGCGGCGCGGGGTGCGCACTCAAAGGGAAATCTGGGTTCCTAGATAGATTAGAAGGGGTGTCAAGCGGGGTTTTTCCCTCCAAGGGGAGGTTTCCTCGGAACCAATAGACACATGAATATTACTGGAAAGAATTTCCCGTTCGGCAGATCGTTTCTATCATTACGTCAAGGGTGCACTGTGATAGTCATGTGTCCCAGTGTAAAGAACTCGATTATGACTGGTTAGATCGGGAGAGTGATAGAGAGATTTTATTGAGAGTACATTTTGTCACGTCTGGTAAGCAACACTCGGTGAACCCGAGGAGATGAACGTCTTATAAGTCGCTCTGTGGTAGTAATCTGGAAATAGTTCATCTATGGCTAAGGTTATTAGCGACCCATCAGCATCAAAATATCAAGAGCTTCATATCAAAGTAGAAATGTGAGAGGGTGCCTTGGATAGGATTCGGGGTAGACGGACACGGGTGTATAATCTCTTGGAATTATTCGAAGGTGAGATTATGTCATATCTGAACTCCGAAGAAGAATCGGTTGCCGATGAGTTCGAAAGGCAGCAATCTATAAAGCAGAAAACAATTCTAAAGCACGATAACCCTCTGTTCATCAGCGTTGGCAAGATAGTAGGTTGCATAGCGCGACTTGGAGCTAGCCTAACGTAAGCTATGAGGATACGATTTGAGTCTAGGTAGGGTAAAGAGGCGAAGAGTGGTACTGATGAGGAGCCACCTCCAGCACAGCTCGGAAGGCCAACTAGGTGCATAAGACAACACATGACATATTCCATTGAGAAGAATGATTAAGCTCTTCGAATAGTACTTCTATTACATACCAAGCGTTTCAATTGAAGTATTTAGGGTACCATATGCGACTTATTACTGCCCGTTGTAACCGCACGGTCCCAAACTAGGATGTAACACCCTGCAAAATCCTGAAGATCATCTTCATACATGGCTGCTGTGGTTCAATTTCCATTGGCCAAAAACAAAAGTACACACTGACTTCGTCATCACGCCAGTCTCAAGTATTAGACTAACGTCATCCAAATCCAGAGTTTGGATTAACAACTCAGGTTATCCTCATTTACACACATTCTAAGTGGTGGAGTGCTTTGTTAGCTCCCTAAGTGCCGAGGAGGACGATCTGCCAAGGCTTACTCTCCACCAGGTATCAAAGCATCGCTTTGGCATTACGCGTACCTATGCTTGCCAGAGTGCTTCGAAAAAATACTCAGCTCAGCTACACCGTCTACCTGTACTACGCATCTAAAGAAAGTCGTCGTCACAAGGCTTGCGTACACCTTGACTGGAGTGGATTTAAAATTGCTGAGCCGTCAATGGCTATTGTGCCAAAAAAGAATCGATGCTCACCGACACAAATATAATATCTTGACAAGAGACGTAAAGAACTCCCAACTCCTCCATCATCCAGCTCGTCTACTCGGCAATCATTCTAACAATCACCATCAAAATAACTTTCACTCTTGAACATCACTTTCAATCTGTCTAAGATGCGTTTCTCTACCGTATTTGCGGCCATTCTCGTGGCTGGAGCCGCAGCCCATCCTGGCCACGACCTCAGCGAAGAGATTGCTGAACGACGCGCTTTCAAGCGTGTCACACGCCGCCATGGCCTCAGCCACTGTGCTGCCAAGCTGGAGGCTCGTGGAATTGAAAAGCGCAACCTGATGCGCCGTGCTGCCGTTGCCAACCTGAAGAAGCGCGACTTGGAGACGGATCTCGCTACGGATCACAACAACACTTCGAATGGTTACAGCATTTGTTCCCCTGCCAGCTCCCTTTTTGCCAGCAACAATTCTTGTATCTTGACCCCGGAGGTCACCAATGGTCCTTACTGTAAGAAATATTCCCATCTTGATCAATGTTGAGCTAACAATCGGTTGCCAAGATGTCTCCGGCGAGTATGTTCGCCGAGACATTGGTGAGGAGCAGACCGGTGTCGCCATCACTCTCGACTACCAAGTCGTCGACGTTGACACCTGCGAGCCTGTTCCCAACGTGTTTGTTGAGATCTGGCACTGCAATGCTACCGGAGTTTATTCCGGAGTTGGCGGTGGTCAAGGTGGTCTTGACACCACCTGGCTCCGTGGCCTTCAGGAAACAGATGAGGATGGTGTTGTACAATTTGAGAGCATTTTCCCTGGTCATTACACTGGCCGCGCCACCCACATTCACGTTATGGTCCACGCAAACGCTACTCTTTTATCCAACAACACCATCGGTCACGACAACACCGCCATGCACGTTGGCCAAGCCTTTTTTTGATCAGTCTCTAATCTCCGAGGTCGAGGCTACATCGCCCTACACTCTCAACGAACAGGAGTTGACTGAGAACGCCGACGATGATATTCTTGCAGAGGAGGCTAGCACTGATGGTGTCGATCCATTGATGTCATACACGCTTCTCGAATCATTTGTTTCTTACGGCCTCTTCGCTTGGCTATCCTTCGGCGTCAACACAACATATGCCAACCAGGCGGGAGCTGCTGCACTCTACTACGAGGGTGGAGGTGTTGCTAACGAAGACGGTCCTCCCGCCCAAGGTCCTGAGTGAGAAACACCTTCTAGTATTTTGCAGTGTACTACATGACGCTAGTCAAAATGTGCAGTTGGTGGAGGGTAGAGGTGGATTGAGAGTACTCATGTTCTAGTCGGGATTAGAGTATTGAGTTTAAGCAATGGGTGGTTACCATTTGTACTTCCTACTTAGCAGGATTATGACGTTGCACAGTTACACTTAGTAATTGTTAGTAGATGTAGTAAGCTAAATAAATAAGTTGTACTACTAGCGCAAACGATCCAGGTATCCTATTCAGTACCAGGTGATCGTATGTAGACTGAAGGCATTTACAAAGCCAGGAACATTCAGAGACTGGTACAACATGGGCTGAGTAAGGTGCCTAAGCTACAAGTACTTCTGATCGCCCTCGCGGAGCAAGGACACCGTCTATTCTAGAAAGATAGGGGTAGATTTTATGATTTGGCACATCTCGTCAATGCGTTCACATTTTCGACGACAGGACCAAGCTTCAGGGGACCAGCCATTCGTAAATCCAGCTGTGGATCCGGAGGGCTGAGATATAGCATTCTAATATAGCTTGAACGCAGACTAAATTTGTCCCAACTACAGGATATAAATCACTTAACAACTGTGTATTCAATATCTTTACCACGTGTTTTAGATGCCAGTGGTAGGGGTATGAGACAGACGACATTGCTAATCAAGGGTGCCGGATATGCAGTGCTTGGTCGCACAAAAGTACATTTATCCGGTCGGGGTTGAAATAGCGTTAGTGTATTCTCGTATAGACAGCATGAGGAGCCAATGAGGTTGAATATTTAATTAATCTCCAACTCACTCCCCACTTGGAAATTTACTATCTCCAAATGTCCAGAGATGATCTTCAGCCTCGGAGTGACGCACCGTCAGAACGGATCAATTTAGCCATATCATGAAGATGCATCGCCCGAACTGCATGGTGCCACCACTTCTCCAGTTTAACCGGTCCCCTTGACTATATACTTACTGACGCAATTCCCGGAGTTCACCTGGATCTGCACTTCCTTGCTTTTTGTGAATCACCCGCCTTCAACAACACCGCCAACATGGGTTTATTGGTGCGCCTAATATCTACGGAAAACCCCGCCGTTGTTCTTCCATTTCGTAGGTTACGAGCAGAAACGTTTGAGTAACTGCCTGTGGTATAGGAGATTAACACAATGAGAAGAGGCTTGCATGTTGCCATGTCAAGAATGCCCATATCGAACAGTAGAGGGGCTCACATTTGACATAAGATCGGAGTGCTTAATAACACAGCAGCTCGGTCGCATCTTAAGGGTCATCTTTTATTTCTGGGCGAACCGGGAGTTGATGGCTTAAGAGGTAAAAACTACGATCGTCAAGGGCAAGCCGACTAGAGTAGCTGTGCGGAAGACGATCTCTAGCTGCAACTAAACAGCCCCAGTGTGCTAGATGACGCGGTTGGAGCGGTTGAGACAAAATACCCGAAGCTGGGATAAGGGGGTCATACTGGATAATACGGCTAAGAATGGAAGATCTATATAGTTCAGTGCCATGGAAGCAGAGGAGACCAGGCGGCTATGGAAACAGCTTAGTCCCAGCGAAGGAGAGCTACCATGCCAACATATCAAGTTGATCATTGGGGCGCTAAGCACCGCCATGGTTCTGGCCATCGCGTCAGAGGAAAATGCGACCCTGGCGCCGGGTAATTGCAATAGTTTCGAAATAATTACTTACCTGAGCCAAAACTCCATCTGGTAGGAGCTCTTGCCCCTCTTTTCCCCACAAGAAGGCCCTGGAGACGAATAGTGCGACATCCCATTGAAGAACGGAGGTTTGACTCCGTGAGAAATCGTATGGTTGATAGTTCAGAAAGGAGGTGCGGCGCTGATGGAACTTGTATCGTTAATGGTTACAAAGGGTCGTGCTCTGGATGATTTATTCGCCTATTAATGGGTCAACATCCTCGGCCAATTGAGCTGTCTTTGCTGCCAAGATCATCGTTGAGTCCAACTTCTGGCAAGATCTTTTCTGCAAGCATGCTTATTCCCAAGCAACTCATGGCCGTAGCCCTCGGCTTCGCATCCTTCGTACTCGGCCAGAATTTCAACAACCCCGTACTCTGGGAGGACCTGGCCGACAATGAAATCATCCGCGTTGACAACACGTACTACTACACGGCCTCGACGATGCACTACTCGCCGGGCGCCCCCATTCTGCGCTCGTACGACCTCGTCAACTGGGAGTATCTCAGCCACGCCGTACCTAGTCTTGACTGGGGCACAAAGTACGACTTGACTGGCGGCCAGCAGGCTTATATCAAGGGCATCTACGCCTCAACCTTCAAGTATCGCAAGAGCAAAGGGCTTTGGTACTGGATCGGCTGCATCGAGTATTCGACCACCTACGTCTTCACCTCCACGTCGCCCACGGGCCCATGGTCACAGAAAGCCAAGATCGCCACGTGCTACTACGATGCGGGCCTCTTGATCGACGACGACGACACCATGTACGTGGCCTATGGAAACACCCAACTCAGCGTCGCCCAACTGTCAGCCGATGGCCTCTCCGAAGTCCGAAAGCAGACTGTGTACTCAACGCCATCCGACATTGGCACCTTGGAGGGCAGTCGGATGTACAAGAGAAACGGAAAATACTACATCTTTGTGACGAAGCCAGCTACCAGCCAGTACGTCCTGCAAGCCTCCAGCCCATGGGGTCCGTACACAGTCAAAGCCCTCGTCCAGAGCGTCTCAGCCCCTGTCTCCGGGGCTGGAAACCCGCACCAGGGCAGTCTCATCGATACACCGGACGGCAAGTGGTACTACATGGCCTTCATCGACAACTATCCAGGAGGCCGCGTCCCAGTCTTGGCCCCCGTCACCTGGGGCTCTGATGGCTTCCCGGCTGTGACGCTGGCCAGCGGCTCTTGGGGCTCGTCGTATCCCTACCCGGCGACTCCGAAAGCCGTGCAATCGACACTCGGCACCGACTCCTTCAGCGGGTCGAGCCTGGGGCCAGCGTGGGAATGGAATCACAACCCAGACACGACGAAGTTCAAGGTCGCCAACGGCCTGACTCTCAGCACCGCGACAGTTACGAGCGATCTGTACGCCGCCCGAAACACCCTGACGAAGCGTATCCATGGTCCTAATGGAGTTGGTACTGTCGTCATTGACTTTACGTCCATGGCTGACGGCGACCGCGCTGGTTTGTCCCTGCTGCGGCAAACCTCAGCCTACATCGCCGTCCAACGCTCCGGCTCTAGCTACTCCATCGTCATGTATAATGGCCTCACCATGGTACAAAGCACCTGGGCCACCGCATCGACTGGATCGCAGGCCGCAAGTGTTTCCATCTCCACGCGGAAGGTTTGGTTCCGTGCGACAGCGGATATTCACCCCGGCTCCGGGAAAAAAGGGTCATTCTCGTACAGCCTAGACGGTACAACGTTTGTGACGTTTGGGTCGGAGTTGACTCTTGACAATAGCTGGCAGTTTTATATGGGATATCGGTATGGTATCTTTAATTTTGCAACTAAGGCTATTGGTGGTTCAGTTAAGATTGAATCTTTTACCAGTGCATAAAAAAGAGGACTTATTTATCTTTTATTTTTTGTGTTCAGTTTTCATTACAAGCTGTTTATTCTCCATCATATTTCATCGTGTCTTATATTTATTCGTGAAGATAGATCAAGGCTTAATTAGGTACATTGATCTGTCTCGGATCCAGGTGGACGAGCCTGTATCTCTGTCAATACTGATTCTTATTTCAAGCGCCAGAAGACACAAACTGAGTGTTGTCCAGTAGGACGTGCAGTCGCGAATTTATGCAGTCATCAATCCCGGGGCTGCCCAAGTCCATCTTCGTCCAATGATTATCGTTGCCCATTGAAAGTCTGACGCTGCCCAAAATCTGGGTCTGTCCAAAATCTGGGCCTGTCCTAAATCTAGGCCTGTCCTAAATCTGGGCCTGTCCAAAATCTGGCCCCGAGTGGCAGTGCCAACACTGGCTGGCTTACTAGTATACCATAAAAGGGAAAGCAGTATATATTAACGGTCGAATAGCGTCCATATCAGTTACTTTCGCACTTAATCCATCACAACAATTTGACAGAAACTCCCCTCGGGCCAATCTCGAGTCAGCCCCTCAAATGACTCTTACCGCCGAAGCTATCGTCGGAATCGTCACTCTCTTCATCATGTGTCTTTCCGGAATTCCATTTCTCGTACGATTGATCTGTCGCAGACTCCGCTTCTCTAGAGTTTTACCTGCGCCTCATAACATAATGGTGCCCACGCCTTATCAGAGCTTGCTTTCGACATACCCGCCTCGCCTGACACGGGCCGCTTCTCTTCGTTGGGATGCAGAGCCAACTGGCGAACTCAACACTAATGAACTACTCCTGTTGGAGAGTGGAATCATGTACACCAATGTGAGTAACCATCTGCTTCTAATCCACTCATCACAGACACTAATCGCAAGCCCAAAGCGAACCATGATTAATGAAACCATTGTCTTTGCTGGCAATATCACCGTAGATATTTAGGAAATCCCGAACTCACATACAAGCGCGAATTTCGGGTCGCCGTGGTTGATTGTGCTATATATGACGTTGAGCTATATCCATCACTCAAATCTGAATCACAACCTTTCCAAAGTTCTTCCTCTGCCACTGGTACTCGTACGCAGCCTTAGCATCATCAAAAGCAAAGATCTTCGCATCCACAACAGGGACAATCTTTGCGGAGTCGATAGCTCGGTTCATCTCCACGAATTGCTGCTTCGAACCAACAAAGATGCCGCGGACCGTGCAGATATGGCTCAGCGCGTCCATCAGAGCTGGCTGCTTATCGCTATCGGCCGTGGTGAGAAATCCAATGATCGTGATGACTCCTTCGAACTTGATGGCCTTGAGTGACTGGGAGATACTGGCGGCACCTCCAATCTCAAGGATGTGGTCGAAACCAAGTCCATCTGGTGTCAGTCCCCGAGCAATCTCGCCCCAGTTGGACGTTGTTCGATAGTTGATAACATGGCTTGCCCCCAGCTTCTTGAGGGTAGCTGCCTTTTCGTCTGATGAAGTTGTGGCAACCACTGTGGCGCCTGCAGCTGAAGCAAACTGGATTGCAGCCAAGCTTACACCACCAGTTCCTTGCGTCAGGACCCAATCCCCTGCCTTGACGGCCTTTGATTGAAGGCCGTATAGTGCATTCCAGGCAGTCAGCGGAGCACAAGTCAGGGTGCTCGCCTCGACAGGCTTCAGCGACGAAGGTGCCTTCACAAGCCCGCGCTCATGGAAGACTGCATACTTGCGCAGAGTACCGTCAACAGCGCCACCAAGACCGCTTCCGACGGCTTCGGGGGTGATTGGATTGGTCTGATGAAATTCGTTGAAGAGCGTACAGACTTTCTCACCAACGGAGAAGTCGGTAACCTTGTGTCCAACTGCAAGCACAATGCCTGCGCTGTCGGAGCCAGCAATGACAGGAGTTTTCATGGCAAATGGGTACAGTCCCTGCCAGTGGTAGTTAGTACCTGAGATTAATAGAGAATAATTAACCGTGAATCACCTTGGGGATAGCAAGGTCTCGATAGTTCAACGAAACTGCTTCGATTTGGACCAGGACATCATGGTCGGAGATCTTGGGCACAGGGGCATCATTGATCAACTGGAGGCCGTCAAAACTGTCCTTGTAGATGCCTGTAACAGTCCAAGCTCCGGTCGAGGTAGGCGCAGACATGATGAAGTAGAGTTAAAGAGGCTGAGGTAAAGTAGAAGATGGGCTTAAAGAAGTAGCAGAGAAATGACTGTATGACAGTCGTGTAATAGGTGATGAGGACGTTTAGTGTGTCCGATAATTTGAGTGCCCATGTTGGCTCCTTTATACCCTCCGTGTTCACAGATTACAAATGATTACCCTTTGATTCTGACAAACTTGGATACGAACGACGGCGGGACTTTCACCTGTTGTAATTGTAAGCATGACGTTTGGTCGTAAAAGTCAAAGAACATAACACACAAACAAACCCAGTTTTAGAGCCCGGCCATTAGTTACACCGAACGGAGAAAGTACGAAGATGAAAATTTGCCGGCGGACATAAATCAGGACACCGGTCAGATCCGCGATAACCATGTAGCCGCTTAAGCACGGCGGAAATCATTCGGAGGGGCCCCACTTAGAACGCCGATGTAAAGCCCGGTTGCTCCACAGGGCTCCGAAGGCTCAATGTGCTTATCAATTCGTACATGTTTCTCATGAGTAAATGACACGTAGGGTGGTATGGCCCACTGCAATGAGCATCGGAATGCTTCGCCTTCTTACCGATTAACCTTCAGAAAACCACAATCTGCGATAAGGGGGAGTGCCGAGGTATACCACGCCGCACAGCTATGCACCGTATATTGGTTGGAGATGAGCCTTTGTTAATCATCTAACTACAAGTGAAGATGGTTTGAACAGTGGCCGGTATTGTCTACTTCGTTTCTCTTTGAATGACAGATACGTACAATCGCCACATCTAGAGTGATCAATGGAATACAAAATCGCCTAGACTCGGGTCCTCTGCACCATCCCAGGTTTGAGTGTTAATAGGAGGTTCGGAGCTGAGGAAATTCATGTCAATCCAGGCGGTAGAATCGAGCAAAGCAAGGTCAACAGATTTCCACCAGTCGGAAACGAACGGGTCCTGCGTATTGCCTCCGCATTCGCTGTCATCTCCAGGGCTGGCAATATTGTCAAGCTTGCACACAAAGAACTTGGAGAGTCCGATGTACAGATTTGCTGCTGAAGTGGGTGGGAGCTGGTCCGCGATCACTTCCAGATGGTCTGGAATCGCACGTACTTTGGAAGAAGCTTCCGCAACGTCCGTCGAAGTTAGGCCACCGCGTTTAACAGCCTGTAGGTCACATATTGTGTCAGCATCCAAGACTCCAATGATATTAACAGTACTCGAAAAAAGAACCCACCTGAAGGATCTCCGTGACTGCATGGCAAATCATTATGTACATGTTATTGTGGAATCCGAACATGAGCTCGCGGAACACCGGGTCGGAAAGTACAAGGTCGAGAACTCGGCTGGCCACATTAAAAGTCTTTTGAGAGACTGCTGATAGCTCTCTCGATGTCATGGTTTCATCCAGGGCAGTCATATCTCTCAAGGCCTGGGCACTAAGGACCAGGATGCTATGGTCCATGTAGAAAGCAAGTACTGGGAGAAACTCTGCTGATGCAGAACCGTCAGAGGTGCATCGGGCGGTACGGATCTGGTCCAATGTTCCGAAAGCATGTGAATGCCAGTCAAGGATAGACTTCAATGTCCGTTCTGTGCGCTTTTGTTGTTCCAAGGCGACCAACTGTGAGCCAGCAATGTTAGCCATTTGACACGAGTATTCTGGTTTCTACCACGAACCAAGAGCCTCCTTACTTCCACAATACCACAAATGACCCGATCGTGCGGGCTAGTCATCGGCCTTTTCCACCACTCGCTCACGGAGACCGGAAGTTCCTTCCAAGAGACGCTTATGGGGCGGCCAGTTATGATGCCGAAGCTCTTGTCGGCGATGAATACGTAGAGCCAAGTCCTCTCGAAATTCCGAAGGAGCCGCTCTCTATAATCGGCAGTTGCATCTGGGGCTAAGGCGTGAACTAGGTCGGCAACTGTGGAGGGTTTATGGATACCCAATTCTCTTGCGAGCTGTGCAGCCTATGCCAGGTTGTGATAAGGTTAGTATCATGTTCGCTTCGCATTCGCTAGGGCAGTTCAGGTTGATATTCTCACATGGCTCAAGTGCAGCCAACAAGGGTCGTCCGATTGCCTCTGGCAAATTGGTGCCCAGTACTGCATGTTGATGATGGCCTGGATGGTCTCGAGAGATTTGACTGAAACTGCAATGGACCACTTCATACTCCCTTCCGCTAAAGATATTAAAGCAGGGTAAAGCACTCTATCTCTGGGGCGTACCGAGACAGCGCAGCCTAGGGCACACACAACCGAGAAGAGAGTGAAGGATGCGGAGTAGACATATTCAGGAGTGTGTAAGACGGGGTCCAGCAGGCCTACAACTGGGTTGCGAATCTTGAAAAACCTACGAAGATAAGTAGTTAGCCTAGAGACACGAAGGTAGAGTGTACTCGAAGGGAGGCGAACAATTTGAAATACCACGAGACATCGCTTTGGTCAATCAGCCGCGCCGTGATAGGATCGCAAGCAGTTGTTTCCAGCTTCAAGGTGTGGTCTACCGATTGAGAGGCCAACACCTGCCAGTCCGTCTGCTGCGTTGTGTGAGGGGCTGGACAGTCAAGAATGTCAGCGTTCTATCACGGCATGATGAGAGGGGTGAGACATTACCGAAGTATTTAGCCAATCGCTCCTCGAAAACTTCCACAACCCCTCTGCGGCCGACCTGGTTTTTAAAAAAGCAACCTATTTGCGGGCGGGAGTTCTGGGGAGAGGGGACAATCTCGGCCGCGACGGCAGCGGCCATCATGTTCAAGGGAGAGACGAGGGGATGCCGGGCGTCAAACTCGGTGTCGTGGTGGTTGAAGCCCGGTTGACGGTCACTTGGACGAAGGGAATCCGCGCGGACGGCGGCGGACGTGGTTTCTTGGCCTTGTATAGGTGACAGGGCATGATTCGAGCGGTCCACGTTAGAGTTGAGCAGAGCCGCAACCACCTGGTCTCGTACGCCGCTTTCGTTGATTCGGGACAGTAGCTTCTCAACAGTCGTAGGTTTGCTAGCTTTGGTTAGCTGAGCGAACAAGATCATCCGCAGGTCATCGGTTGGAGTGAATCCCACTTCATGCTTCCCAGCTTACGGCCACGATTAGAACCAGCCGGATAACGACACTTGCGTCCCTGCGAAAGACAGCGCGAGCTACACGAGTCAGTCCTTGCCAAATCCACGCCCCGTCTCGGGATATAGATTTGAACACTCACCACGGCATGTTTCGGTCGCAGCGCTGCCGCATGGCGCGACAGTTCAAGCATGCTGTGCGGTTTTGTCCGGCACTCTCAGTGGCCGGGGTATCGTCGCGCCTACGAGAATGCGGCTGCTGCTCATCATCCTGTGACTCTTGCTGCTCTTGTCTCACCCCCGTCTGCTGATCCGGTTCGTTTGTAGACATTGCGTTGAGTGACTGAATTGCGTTGACAGTGGCTATAGCCATGGGGATGCCAACGACTTGAAGATGCCGCGGCGTCTTATTCTAGTCACCGCTTCCACGTGACTCGTTGTGAACATGTAAGCAGCTAGTCTTCCACGTTGCCACCGGGTCTTTAGGTCGCCGACCGGAATCTAAGTCGTTCAACAGACGATAAAGTTGCTCCTCACTCCGTGTCAATTACAGCAGCTAGGGAATATGGAGATAAAATTTATTAAATGCCACGAGTCACCGGGCGCTCCATTCGCGCCAAACTTAATCGAAACGCTGGGAGATCTTCACCATTGATCTGAATGTCAAGTTCCTCCGAGTGAATCCATCTTCCTCGAAGTGCGAAATAGTCTAATTGACGTAATTGAGATAACCGTGGGAAAGGCCAATGGCGGCGTACATCCTGTTCTAGGCAACTGATCAGCATAATCGCCCCTAAGGCCCTCCCAATCGGATAGTTGCGGCGTGTAAACAACTCCCTGATCAAGTGAGGGAGTTGCCGAGAGGTAGGCAAATCTGAGAGCAGGCGAGATACGTGGCCGGTCGAAAACAGCGGAACTCACGAACGGTACATACCCTAAATCTGATTTTCCAATTTCCATGCAAGTGGAAACCAAGGTCACCAAAATCGATGTGCCTTGGCTCATCTTCGTGGCCATTTCTAGCGCTGCATCTACGATGTCCCGGTGACTACATAGCGGCGTCAACACCATGGCAGCAATCCTTCCCACAACAGTTCCAGACAAGCTTAGAACGGCTAATTCGGCACCGGTAGAGAAGCCCGGCAGATGTCTGAATCCTTGGCATCTGTCAGTTGTGCCTTGCATGGCATGCATGCTTCGCGAACATTTGTTCTGCTTCTGGTCCAGGCTTGGCTGCGCGGGCCCGGGGAACGATGCAGCCCATCCCGCGTGATAGTCGCGCGCGCAACTGGGTCAAACGGGCATCGGTAGTGATTGGGAGCGGAATAGCATCCAAGATACGCGCTCGGGCCGACGAAAACAAACCACACGGCGGTGGAGTTGAGGAAGTTCTCCCCGGAGAGAATGGCGAACCTGGGGATGGCCACTTGATCTGATAGTGGAGGAGGAGGGACGGGGCGAGTTCCGATTGGAGCGGGGATGGAATGTGACGGCCGCAGCCTCGAACTTAGCATGGGATGGCCTCAATTGATCTGGTCTAGAGAGTCTGGCAAGCAGGGATGGGAATGGCCACACCGACTCCCGGGCGGGGTTGAGATTATGACGCATCGGAAGTGGTTGCAGATCAGTTTAGTTTGTCTGCACCCCTCTGGTTCTTGGAGATAACTTCAGGTGAATAGTGCATTAAACCCTTGATATTATTGATCTTGTGACATTTCAACAGGACTGTGCTGTGCTGCAAGCTGGATTGGCCTCAACCCCCCTGCCGCGGATGAAATGAACTGCCGGTCCGGCCGATGAAGGACTAGACACACAGTCTCCGGGCTATTATTATCAGGCTTACCCACCCACATGCCAGGTTTGTGCAGTTTGACAGACCATGTGATGCACGCCTTCTTCACATATTACGGGGCCGCTGGGGGGCCTCATTGCAGATATCTCCGCCCGGCCAGTCACTGCTCCACGGATTAGGCACTGATAACCACCTTGCAGACGAGGGGGTGTCCGGCAAAACGACGGCGGGTCCACTCACATTGTAGACTATTTACGGCGTAAACTTGGCGGAGTTGCGGGCCGGTCTGACAAGCCAAGCGCAAGACGCTCGAAGCGGTGACAGGAGCCTCCGCTGATTACAACCCCGAGACCCACCGTGAGGCCATTTATCTTCCTTTCCATCTATTCTTCCGCTACTTTTGCTGCGTCTTTCCAGCTTCGTCGTCCCGTTCTTCTGCCTTTCTGGAGGCGACGCGCTGGAATCCTTCGTCTCGGCTCCGTTTTGGGATTGGACTGAGACATCTGTGACGGCAGTGAAGATCCAGGGTCCAAACGACCGAAATTGCGCCAATAAAAGACGTTTGAAGGCCGCTTGGAAGAGCATCTTGATTGCCCAAGTCTAACGAGAACTTGCATGACACCCCAGCCTTGATCCCATTTCCTGCTCCTCATTGGGTTGTTGGAACCAGCCGCCGCCATGACTCAACAACGCGATCCACCAAGCATCGGGACTGCAGACGGCGTGCCGCCATTCCCCAAACGCCAGATGCTGATTTTGGGTGAGTTTGCTCCAGATAGAGCGAAAACCATGTCTCAGGCTAAGCTAGAGCACTCGATCGTGCATTTGGAGTGCATGTCGCTAACTCTCCGCTTATCTTAGCGTTGTGTCGACTGTGTGAGCCCATCGCCTTCACGTCTATTTTCCCTTACATATACTTCATGATCGAAGATTTCCATGAAACCGACGACCCGAATCAGATTTCGACCTACGCCGGCATGATGACCACCGTCTTTGCCCTTGCCGAGTTTTCGACCGGCGCAATTTGGGGTCGCGTCAGTGACAAGGTCGGCCGAAAGCCCGTCATCGTCATTGCTCTGCTTGGCACAGCCACGAGCATGCTGCTCCTAGGTCTTTCGTCAAATATTATGATGGCGTTGTGCGCTCGTGTTCTTGCGGGGCTTTTGAACGGGTTCGTGAATGACTCTCTCCCATTCAGGATCTCGGTTTCTAACTTGGCTCAAATAGGAACATCAGCGTCATGCAAACAGTCGTCGGTGAAATGGTCACCGCTAAAGAACATCAAGGCGAGTAAACCCGGCTTATTTTACCAAGACTCTTCTAATTTCCCAAAGCTCGTGCATACATGATCATGCCTCTAGTTTGGGGCATCGGGTAAGCTCACATGTACGACAGTCACATTCCACTCAACTGACAGCCTGCAGATCCATCATTGGTCCCATGGTTGGAGGAGCTCTAGCTCGGCCTTGCATCAGCTACCCGGATTATTTCCAAAAAGGCTCCATCTGGGATCGTTGGCCATATCTGCTGCCAAATTTATGCAGCGCCATTCTACTCGTTGTGGGCGCCTCATTTGGCGCATTGTTTTTCCAAGAAACAAACCCAACCATTTCACGTCCCGATCCTGCACTGAAGGTCGGTAATTGGATTTTATCACTTGGCTCGCGGCTACTCCCCAGCTCTGAGCCAGCAGACACCCAGCAAAGATCAACTGCTCAGGCTGAACCAAGTTGCCTGTCTCCAATCATACAACCAATTGAAGACAGCCTAAAATTGTCAAAGAAACCTGGGCCCGCCTTCAATCGTCAGGTTATCCTGAACATTGCTTGTTACGGAATTCTCGCATTGTGAGTGTTCGAAACCGGCCGCTCGGGATATCCGTTAACCTTGTTAGCCATACCATGACCTTCGACGTCCTATTTCCCGTCGTTCTGAGTACCGAATCACGCACCGACAGACATTTGTCTTGGCCATTCAAATTCGTCGACGGATACGGCATGGATACCAAGGAAGTGGGCTTTGTCCTTTCTATGCAAGGCATATACTCCATCTTCGCCACTGCGTTTTTATTTCCGTTCATGGTCAGCCGAACAGGCCCTTTGAAATTGTTCAAATTTCTGGCTCTCACGTACTGGCTCATGTACTTCTTCGCGCCGTATGCAGTTCTGTGTCCCGAGAGTCTGAGAATGGTCGCAGTATATGTGATTCTGATCTGGAGGTGTTCCTACTCGTCTATCGCATATCCTGCTAACGCCATCCTTTTAATCAACGCAGTTTCAGACAAGGCGAGTTTAGGAACGATCAATGGCCTCGCGGCCTCAACTGCAAGCTTTTGTCGAGCTTTCAGCCCTATAGTAGCTGGGTATCTGTATTCAGTGGGACTTGACGCGGGATACTCTGGTTTTGCCTGGTGGTTCAATGCCGCTATCACATTGGGTGGTTCAATTGTGAGCGTTTATTTGATGGACGAAAACACTGAGGACGAGGATAAGGATTGCGATGAAGAGACGGCACTACTCAGTGCCTTATAGGAGGCAAGGCAACCGAAGCGGCAGCAATGAAGAGCAAGACGGAATGAAATGGAATTACATAGACTTGTGAATGTGGGCGATTTGGCATATTGACTTGCTGGGTTGTGTGTGCTACACATTGTCGACAACATGGACAAGGGCGAATCAAGAGAAATATCAGAACATGACGCGAGCAATAATGAGGATGTGTGCTGGACGGAAATGACGGTTAGCAATGGCTAGGAAACAAGCATGGTTAATTTGGGTAGTCCATTTGCATTAAGTATAGGCAACGGTTGACATTTGTGGCAACGTAACAGAGAAACATATTATATAGGGTATTGCTATTCGCAGACACTCAAAATATTATTCGCACACTTGAGTATATAGGCCAATTTCACCAAGAAGTCTCATTAATATACCTATTAGTATATAAACCTAAGAAAATTAAATAAGCTTTACCCTAAGTATTTATCCCCTAAGTTCTCCTATTTAAATTTTATCTTTTAGTTTATTTCAGGGTAGAAACCGGAGACTATTCAGAATGAGATACCTTAAGGCGTGCAGTCCAGGTATACCTTGTACTATCTGGGTAAATTTAGGTATAAAAAGTCGTACTTATATGCGATTAGCATTTGAGCGTGTGCGAACGGCAATACTCATTATATAACAGTTTTTTGTATCTGCCAACTGGCAAGTCCAGCATGAGTGGGATGCGATTACTACAGCACAGGTCAATAACAGACTTAATGGCGACGCACATAGTTGGAGGTCTCCCGGTCCTGATGCAGGATTTAGCGGACACTCTTGACGCAATCCTTAAACCCATTCGAAAACTGGGGCTGATGGCCGACCAGGTCTTCAAGGCGTCCAAGGTCCTGCTGGAGCAAATGGCCACAACCGAGCTAATGGCATTCGGGGTCTTGATGGCTCTCCGGGCCAGCAAGGTCCACGTGGATGGAGAGGGATCTCGGGCTGTTCTGGAATCTGTCTGTGTCACTCCCATGAATGATAGTGTTTGGGTTTTTATCACGATACGGTACTGGGGTTTTGGGGTTTCTTAGTCTATAAGACAATGAAAGAAGTTATGTTTTGTTTGAAGATGTGACTTAACAGTAGTGAAACAAACCCATATGGTGCCTGAAAGATCAAGCGCAGAAAAATACTGCAAATGTTTCTTTCCCACCGACATCACCGCCACAGGTCAGTCGCTAGCCGAGTTACGATGGGTGTTGTCACCGGTGACATGTTAATCGACGGAAGACTGCGCGATGACTCCTTCCAACGGAAAACTGGCTATGTTCGGCAACAGAATCTCGACGACCTGGTAAATGCCGAATCCCCGACTTCTTAATTCCTACACGTCACTGAATATGATCAGGATTACGCCATTGCAACAAGATTAATTCTCCAGATCTATGTTTGTTCAGTTACCGGGAGAGTTGTCCGAGATATTTGTATCAATTCAATAGTAGCGATCATAGAAGAAACGTCACATACTGAAGAGAGTAGTCCAGATCAACGCTATCAAAGCGGCGGATTGATGTTATCTCCTTCAACCGAGGAACTTGGCAGAAAGTCAATCGTGCCACTAAGCAGAAGAGATTACTGAATCCCTGCCACATCGATGTAACCCAGAAGCAGCGTCCACCATACAAAAGTGAAAGAAGCCCTGCAAACCTGAACCAACAGTGCGCCACGTCACCCGAATCAGGCTATCCGGATAATTCCCTGCACCAACAAAGTGTGCCAAGGGTTACGTGTCAAAAAGCCGAACACCCCGCTCGTTCTTCGATCCCAATGTTGGGTCTCTCCTGTTGCTTCTCATTCCGAAAGGCTACAGCGTCCAGGAGATAAACATGACGTCCCATTCGCCCCGCTCGCTCAGCAAGTCTGCGTCGCCGGCCAGTGCTAACTCTCCTGGAAGCGTTGACCCCGCTGTCGATCCGTCGGCTCTTTTGGTGCGTGGGACTGCGGAACGGCCCGCTTTGCAGCAGTACTGAATCTCCTGAGCTGATACGACTCTAGGAAGCGGATGTGGGCGATAACGATTCGGCCATTGGTGTGGTGGGTAGCTCCTAACTAAGCCGTAAATATTTCAATGCGCTGACGAGTTTGTTTTATGTCGTTAAGACAGATGATGAGATTTCAACTGCGTCCTTGCGCTCAAGCATCCTCGAGTACCACATGCGGGACGGTCGTGGGTACCACCGAGATGAGAGTAGGTTGCGGCTTTTCCCACCTCATCTGCTTGCCGACAGTCTTGACTAATCACATCATCACAGAATATTTTCTCCCTAGCGATAAAGTAATGTTCTTTGTCTGGATCAATGGCAAGCAGCTCACTAACTATCTCTTGGTAGCACGAGTCTGAGAGACTAGGTAACAGCATTCTAGCTCAATGGACGGACTCGAAGCTCACAACTTATTAAGATCTTCAAAACCACCATCTTCTTTTGACATTCGGCGGTAAAAAATACTTTGCTCCCTACGCCGACACAGCCAAACGGGTACTGGATATCGGCACTGGGACTGGAGTGTGGGCGATTGACTTTGGTGCGTATCGGTCCCGAAACACATCCCTGGTTGATCTTTCAGCTCACCTTGATTTATAGCCGATGAACATCCTCATGCAGAGGTACGTAATTGATGTTTTACCTCTTTTCACGCAACTAATAGCCTATCTGACATCAGGTCTTTGGTGTTGATATCGCTGCTATCCAACCATCCTTGTGAGTAATAACTCTGGCCAGCACATTCACTCAATAGGTGTCTCATCAGTGCACAGCGTCCCGCCCAACTGCACTTTCGAGGTTGATGATGTGGAAAAGGACTGGACTTGGACCAAGCCTTTTGACTACATCTTTGTCCGCCTTATGGCGGGAAGTTTTGCCGACTGGGATACATTTACGCGTCAATGCTGGGAGTAAGTTCCTCACATCTAACCATCCTCAGAGCATTACGCTTTACCTCTTTGGACGATTTTCTTCCTTCACATGCTTCCAGGACCTAGGTCTGATGTCCGTGATATAGCTCCCTGGAACCCGGCGGTTGGATTGAAGTAATCGATCCAACTTTTCCTGCCAGGTGCGACGACGGAACCCTGGCCGCCGACTCTCCATTGAACAAATGGGACGAATTGACCGTCAAAGGCGCCGCAAATCTTGGACGTCGCTTCGATGAAGGAGTGAACCACGAAGGCCGCCTCAAAGCACAGGGCTTCGTCAACATCCAACGGCTTGTTTTCAAATGGCCTACCAACACATGGCCAAAGGATCCCAAATACAAGGAGATTGGGCTCTGGACCTTGGCAAACATTGAAGGAAACCTGGAGATTATCAGCTCAGTCCTGCTGGCGCACGGGTTGGGTATGAGCCGAGAGGAAATATTGGTGTTCCTTGCCGACGTACGAGCTGAGATGCGCAATCGAAAGGTTCATGCATATTGGGAAGTGTAAGTGCTCAGCAACTCCTTAATAACGATATTCTTTTCTTTGAGACTGTGAAGCTGATTATCAAAATTACAGAGTGGTGGTGATTGGCCAGAAACCGGAGTTGAAAGAGTAGGAAATAAGTCGTTACAGCTTAACATATAGTGCGACAATCTACTTCACAGATCAAATAAACTATCAAATCACTTCTACAACGATGCCGTTTTATTTCCAGAATCAACCAGTTCCTATAACGCCCAGCTTCCAAGGTGAATTCTCATCCGGTCACCCACCTCTCCCATTGAATGCCCTCATTCGCACCGGAGACCGTTAGCCCGTTCATCACACAGGATGCTGCCATTGCTGCCACCCAACCCAAGCCTGGAAAATACTGACGACAAGGCCGAGCGCTCCAAGTAATATGGCTATGAAAAGACCAATAAGAGTCGCCATCATGGCATACCTCGCACCGCTTTTTCTCTCGACCCACTTCTCGAAGAATCCTCGAGGGGTCGGGTTCTCAATTTCATCGTGCAGATCTAAAAGCCTGGAGCCCCAATATTGATATCTCACAGGCTCATCTAGTCCAGAAAGATCGACGATGCGCGCCATGTCGGGATCAAATTTATCTCTAGAAATGAGACTGCGGAGCATTGACTGTGACACTGAATCATCGGGAAACAACACTTCTTTTATAGTCGCAAGAGTCTCAATTGCTAATTGCGGGGGAATATTTGAGCTGTGTATATGATGCATTAGCTGTATTGATACGGAGCTATATCGATTCTATTCATTTGCCAACTTACCGAGTGTTGGTTCTCGCTGCGACTCCTTCGACTCCTTCTGAGCTGGGATGTCCGTTGCCATTAGTAAGACCTTCCTTGAGTACGCTCGTATAATGAAATATTGCCACGGTGCCTTGCTTCGCATCTAGTGATAGATGACTAGCCAAGTCGTCGGTCGGAATGATCTTCAACTTGGCGATCTTCTTTAATCGCTTAGCCATGATGGAAGAAACATGAATCTTGGTGGTCGTAGTTGCATCATTGCCCCTGGATAAGGTGGGATGTTCCCGCTTGGGGAACACCGAGCCGATAAAGGCTACGAGAGACTTGTCGTTGGACCAGAGGGCAGGTTGGCTCCCTGCCTCTAACAGCCCGTCCGACTGATTCTCGGCTGCGGGCTGGACCATTGTGATGACTCGAGCGGCTAGGTTGAAAGCCCGGTTTTGGTCGCTGAGCGGCGGCCTTTTGCTTTCCTCTGCTTCTCTTTGAGTGAAGTATTCGGTAGTGAGATGGATCCGAGGTCGCTCCAGATTCCCTCTCAGCAGGACAACAATATCCCGAAGATCGGCATGGGATCGTAGAGCGGGGTGAGAACTCCCAACCGCATCAGGGAGATAGAACGCGGTCATGTTCCGATACAAGTCGAAGAAGGGCTCAAGTCTCATTGCCTGCGAGCACGAGCAGTCTGCTGACAATTGAGGGCAGGCTTCACCTTGAACCCACCGCGAACATGGCGACCAACCCCACAACACTTTGCAGATCTCCGCAAGGTCCTGAGGCGTGGCATTTGCCAACGGATAGAAACTAGAAGTCGGTGCAACCATTTTGCTTAAATTTGGGAATAGATGTATCTCGCATTGCTGTTATTTGTTTCAGTGCCTGCATCCCAATGCCGCTTCGCGAGAATCGGGAACAGAGGCAACTACTCCATTTATGGCGCAGCATGGGATGTTCGCCTCACTTTCATCACGCTATCTCACTGGCACAATTGTTGAGAGAACCCAACAAGGAGGCGCCAATGAGAATTAGGAGGTCGGGCAGCAACGCATTTTTGAGGCGAAGCATGAGGCGTTTGGCCGCCTCACGTCCCTGGCGCTCTAGTCCGCACAGCCTGGTTGTCAAGAGGCCGCCAACGAGGCCACCAATCACAAGATGATACTCCAATTATGGTGTTGGACTTCTTCATGTGATCTTTTTCTTTTATTTCAGGACCCCGCTTTCCCATTACAACTCTCGGTTAACCTACAACACTTCATCGCTCATGTTCACGTCGTTACACATCAGCCGTGTCCACGCCGTTTGATACCTTCCACAATGGCGGCTTCGACTGCAAATATACCCGCAATCCCATGCGAAACCTCGAATAGTGTCAAAACACCTGGAAACCAGGAAGTCATCGCGTCGGACGATGGCACAGATTCTGGATATGCCACCCGGGAAGGAAGCCGTGTATCCGATGCGAACACTCCGGCCCCGAGCGACTCTGGGAAATTCCTTGGTGGCTCCGTCTCATTCCTTTTCCCTGGCAAGAAACTCGAGAAAAAGAAGAAGATTCCCTTTCTCGATCTCCCCATCGACCCTTCAGCGACTAAACGATTCGTCGGCATTCAACCTCACTTTGAGAAACTGCTCCTAGAGCATGTCTCTAAAAGCCAAAAGCGGGGTGCCAGATTGAGTCCAATGTCGACCAGACTTTTAATGATAGGTCAGTCGAAAGAGGATGCTGTGGCCGAGATTGTTGTCTTCTGTCGGCGCGAACAGTATCTTAGCATCAAGCGATTTGCCAAGCAGGAGATGATTACCGAAATGTGCCGGCCGAACATCCCTGGAGAGCTGTCTTTCAATATTACCGTCATTCCCGAAGCCCCAAGACTCAGAATCATGTTTGTCGAAGGTGAGGTGAGGGTTGTTGGCGATCAGATTCTCCTTCCGAGATGGGGTGAGGAGTCACTATGCGGAGATCGAATTTCGCTGAAAGGCCCCTCGGGTCAAACACGAAACGCGACTTTTGGGGGCGTTGTCAAGGTGGTCATGGAAAATGGCGAAATCTATTTCTATGGAATGACCGCCGGACATCTGCTTTACGATCTACGCGACGCAGATGACACCGATTACTCCGATGCAGGGACAGATAACGAAGATATCGGCGACTATGGCGTTGACGACGATGACGAACTCGAAATTGACCTAGGTCCATTCATGGCCCAGTCATTTACAAACGCTCACCCGCCAAATTCACCCACTGGATCCCATGATTGGGAGTTTGGGAAGCCACTCACGATTGGGAGGATCATGGAGCCGGCCACAGCATTGAGCGAGGTAGCCGAGTCATACGACTGGGCATTGTTCAAACTAAGCATTTTCTATGGCTCCTGGGTTAATCAACTGCCCACGGATGCGATGGCAACGATAACCATTTCAAACAATGCTCCCGGCAAAACTGGAGAACGCCCGGTGTACATGATAGTTGGACGCATCGTCAAGAAGGGTTCATTGTCATCGTCGTCTAGCAGAATTCTTGTTGGGCCTAGTCAAGTCTTCGTCGACGCCTACACAATCACTATTGAAGACGAGAATGGTATGTTATATATTCCATATTTTATTCAAATACTAACTGGCATATCAGGGATCTGTGACGGAGACTCGGGATCATGGGTGGTGGACTCAGAGACCTTTGAGCTATATGGTCACCTTGTCGCATCAGACATATTCAATTCAGGATATGTCATCCCGATTGCTCAGGTCCTCGACAACATCAAAGAACAACTTGGCGCTAGTTCGGTGGGGCTACCAACTATGGGAGACTGTTCATCAAGTCACCGAGTCAATAGACTGTTCCAAAGACGTATCGGACGCAACAAACTACCGGTAGATTCTGGTTATAACTCAAAAGAAACCAGTTTATCGACAACCAGTAATCCCTTTCGTTTGGACTTTCCTATGGGACTGGGACCGACCGACGATTCCGGCTATTATACCAACAACGGTCCTTCTCTTCATTCTCTAGCACCGAGGCTTTCCCAGATTGGGACGGAGAATCCAAACCCCGTAGAGCCTAAACGCGGTATCTTAGAGCGAGTGAAATGGGCAGGGCAGAAGTTTGTCAAGAAACTTTTAGTCCAGAGGAGAGAAGGCAAGAGGAGATAGGATTCGAATGTAAATACCCCGGGTACGCTTCGTTCTGACCCAAAGCCAAGTCGCGTGGAAGAATATCGACATGAAATGGTGACCAACCTTTTGACCACTTAAGTATTGGGTTGATGGCGGTGACACCGAATTATCAATGGTCAAGTTTGTCCGAGCTACCGAGGCCATTTTTGCCGCAAACACTTGTAACTAGCCCATTTTCTTATATCAGCATTCGAGTTGAGTTTCGGCCTCTTGAGTTGATAAAACAATTTGACTTCCACTTCTTAGTCAGTAAGACAATCCCCCGGGGATCCACCAACATGACTAGCTGGTGAGTCGATTCCTCTCGTTGCTCCGATTAAGCTCATTGTCACCAAGTCGGAGGATATTCCAGCACAACAACTAGACTCCGGAAAATAATGAGAAATGATAAATGAAGCTACCCTAGAGCTCGGCTTTCGGTTCTCGGGTTTGGACAACCTGCGGTATCTTGAAAATGGGACCCTGCAAAATCGAATTTTGAAGCTAGCACTAGCGCATCTCATGTGAACTAAGCTTGACAAGATAAGGCAAGGTCGGATTGCTTGAGTTAATACTGATTGGCTTTTCACCCGAACCGCAATCCATTCACTCCCGACGAAGGCATCGGGTTTCGGGTTTGCGTTTGAATAAATATTCCTCTCTTAAGACTGCTCGGACTTTTGCCATACCAAATTCATTCAAACATACTTGCAACAATTGCAAAAATCATCAAACGAATTATTCGCATTTGCAATTGAATTCAATTCGCTCAGATGGCTCCTTCAAGGGACGACACCACCCTTCCGGCCATTGCCGTGAAATCACACCACGAAGGACACCTTTTGCATCGATCCCTCGTTCAAAAGCCATCAATGGTAGAGTCAGCGAGCGGCATTGAGTTGAAGCTGGCCAGCGGACAAACCATTATTGATGCCTGTGGCGGTGCAGCAGTTGCCCTGATCGGCCATGGCAACGAAGAAGTCACTCAGGCCATGGTCGAACAGGCCCGAAAGGTCAGCTACGTGCACACACAGGCATATACTACTGCCCCAGCTGAGGAACTGGCCGACATCATTCTCGAAGGCAACCCCTTCGGTCTGGAGAAAGCCTTCTTCGTTGGCAGCGGAAGCGAGGCAGTTGAGTCGGCTCTGAAGCTGGCCCGTCAATACTTTTACGAGAAGAATGAACCAGAGCGCGTTCACATAATCTCAAGGCAACAATCCTACCACGGCAACACCATGGCTGCCATGTCCATTTCCACCAACAAGGCTCGCAAAGCGCCTTACCAGGGCTTTTGCTACCCCAACGTCTCCCACGTTTCGCCCGCTTATGCCTACCAATACAAGCACGAAAATGAATCTGAAGCTGAGTTTACGGGCAGGTTGCTTGCTGAGTTGGAGGCCGAGTTTCTGCGAGTCGGCCCTGAGAAGGTGGTTGCCTTCATCGCAGAGACTGTATCCGGTGCGACTCTGGGCTGTGTGGCAGCGCCGGCGGGTTACTACAAGGCAGTCAGGGCACTCTGCGACAAGTATGGAATCCTCTTGATCCTCGACGAGATCATGTGCGGCGTGGGCCGGACTGGCACGTTCTTCGCTTTTGAACAGGAGGGCGTCGTGCCGGATATCATGACGATTGCGAAAGGCCTGGGTGGTGGATACGCAGCAATTGCCGGTGTCCTGATGCACAGCCGGGTCGTTGATGTTCTCCGACAGGGCACAAATGTCTTCAACAACGGACATACTTACCAGGCTCATCCCATCTCCTGTGCTGCGGCGTTGGCCGTGCAACGGATCGTCAAGCGGGACGACCTGGTTGCGCGCTGTGCCAGCATGGGCAAGTTGCTAGAGAGGATGTTGCGCGCCGAACTGCAAAACTGCAAATCCGTCGGCGACATTCGAGGCCGAGGTCTCTTCTGGGGCATTGAATTCGTCAAGGACAGACAATCCCGCTCGCCATTCGATCCCAAGCTGGCCTTCGGGGTGCGCGTCCAGCAGGCTGCCTTTCAGAAGGGCGTTGCTCTATACCCCGGCGGCGCGACTGTTGACGGCGTCCGCGGCGACCATTTGCTACTGGCGCCGCCTTTCACCGTGACTGAGGAACAGCTGGGTCACATCTGCCGCGTGCTGCGGGAGGCCGTCCAGGAAGTGGAGGAGTTATTTTGTTGAGCGGATATGATGTGATAATGAGAGGAGGCAGGGAAAGACGTCGAATGAATATACGTCTAAACTAGATTGATTTAATCGGTGCGAATTGACAGATATTCTAAGTGTGAAATAGATAATAGATCGAGACTGCAACTCATACCTTTATTATATCTCTGCTGTCGTGCGTTGTCAATTGATGCCCATCTTCTGCGACGGGGGTACCTCGATTTACCCCGCTCATGTGACTCGGTTGCGTGAAATGAATCTGCGTGAGAGTCTCAACTCTCCCCAAGTTGCCCTCATTTTCAACATCTTCAACATCTTCAACATCTTTTACTCACAATTATCCCAAGTCGCTTCAAAATCCACAAAATCCCTCATCAATGGAGCCCAACCCCAAATCACAGCAATCTCCCGGCGCAATCGACCCCTCCGATGCGTCCTCCCGCCCCACGCATCAGCTGGACGGCGTCAAGGTGGGCGATGACGGCGTCCAGCTCCTCGTCTCAACAAAAGACCACCTATACAACGCCAAGAATGTCGAGGCCGGAGCGAACTCATGGCAGGTCATCGGTGCGTGGAACGACGCCTCGGTCCAGGAACTCGCCAAGATGATCAACCAGCGCCAGGCCTCGCTCAACCGAGAGACTTCGACCGCAGCGGGCTTTGGGAGTTACGGTACTGGTTATACTCTTAGAGCGCCCGGGGGTGCAAATGTTGGGATTGTACCGCCACAGAGGACTGAATAGATTTATTGTATTGTCGATGAACCGCCGCCGCTTGTGCTTGTGCATAGCTCGGCTGCTGTTGAACTTGTCAAGTCGTCCTCAACAGGTTGTGCCTTATTTTGAACAAAGTGTCGCTCGTTCTGCCCTCTAAGGATCTCCATAAGAATATCCGGAGGCAACGAACCCACAATTTGCAGCGAGCCATGCCCGGCTGTTGCTCTCTTCACCGACCAGAGATCCTCCACAGAAGTACAGACCTGCGCTGAATTGTTGCCCACGATAATGTCCTCCACGATATGCACCCTGCCAGACGATGCTCGGGCCGACGCCTCCTCAAAGAATGCCAAGCGCTGCTTCGTGCTGTCGACCTCACTTTGCAGCCTTTCAAGATCCCGCTCGGTCTCAGCTCCCATGTCTCGGGACGGTCTCCTGGCTTCCAAGTGTAACCTGGCTTCGGTGTTCTCTCTAAGACTCTGAAGCAAGGATATGTGGTCTGTGACTATTGTCTTGCAGCACTTGACTGTCGAAAGTGTCATGGTAGCCGCCAATGTCGGATCTTGCGGCGTGACGGACGAACTCCCCTCTGAGAGTGGCGGGGGCGGATCGATTTGAACATGTACCGTGTTGATGTGTTCTAGGAAATGGCTGCAAATCGTCAAGCACCTCTCAATACCATCCCTCTCATTCGATATTCGTTCAATGTCGGCGGTTACCGTCATGGCTTGCTCTCGACCAGAGGGTGCAAAGGATTGCAGTTTATTATTTATGTCTGACAGGTGATTTTCGAGGTCGGATTTTGTATCCTGGATCATATCTTTGTAATCGTTCAACGCCTGGAGAGTTACTTTGGCGGTACGCCTAGCACATGTTAGGCGGCTCTTTGTACAAGGTGGATAGCGTACAGGTTTGCGTCGGCCAAAGCGATGCTTATTGTCGACTTGTACCCAGCCAACATGGTGGTGAAATCGTTAATACTGCTTCTCATATAGCTCAACCTCGCCCAGTCTCTAAAACTCGTCCCAGAGCTACTGGAATGTTTGGTGCGTTTATCTATCTCATGCTTGAAGTCCTGGCAAGCTCGGCCGCATTGGCGTAGAGGAAATTCCAGCGGAAGAAAGGTCGTGCCGTCAGTTGCCACATGGTGTTTCAGAGACTCCAGGACTTTGCCAAGGGCTTTGAGTTCATTATTCAGTTGTGCGACAGTGGCCTGATGTGTCTTGAAGCTTTGGACCGTCTCATATAATATCTTGGTGGACTGCGCTGTGATTGTTACTATGGCTATCAGCGACGAAGCGACCCCCAATGCTTCGGCCATCGGTAAATCTGCCGTAGAGTTGAGGAATCAGATTATGCTACCGTTCGGGGAATTCTAAACGTCGGGTATCAAAAATATTTGCAGAGATTTGTACAACCAAATGTCTTAGTGACAGCCGAATGGTGGACGAATTTGGAAAGGGAGTGAATATCCAACCTGGTAGACACTCGACATGCGGGGTTGCGGAGGAATGGATTCATGTGGGCGGCAAATCGTCGGATATCGATGCAAGTCTAGTCTGTGTTGATACTTGCAGCTTTTCCCTCGCAATCCGTGATAGGACTGGTTTGTAGCGGACCCATATAAGAGGTCTAGAATCAGGTTTGAAGACGGTATTGTGAATGTGGAAGTGCAAAGCTATGGCGCTGTTTAAAAGTTGACTAGTGTAATATGTTGTTGGAATCTGGACACTGGGAGAAGTCTGTTATGGGATACGCGGTTCATTCTTGTCTATGATGCAGATTCTGGGTGGTCTATTACCTATAACTGACCTTGATCGAACACCTCATTATCACCCCTCTCTGCAATCTCCTTAGGACGAGCTCGTTTAGTTCCATCCTATGTAATCACCGCCGATATGTCTGTGGCGGCACAGGTGGCCAGGGTTCTCCAATTACCTCAACATCTTCCATCTCCCGGCGGCGGCGACCGTGGCTTGTTTCATCTGAAGATGAGTCTGACGACGCGTTGGCCTGCTTCCGGACGTGGTGTTGGATCCAAACACGAAGGACTATTCCGGCACTCAAAAAGAAAGGAATAAGCTGGGCCGAGGTGGTAAAATCATCGATGTCGTCGATGTGGTTCCAATTAATAGGAAGCTCAATGGCAGCAACCAAGACACCAAACACGGCAAAGCCAACCAAGGTGCGAGCCTCATGCAATAGACGAATGTGAGATCTCCTATATAGTGTGAGTCACTCCACATGCCATGGATTCCATCCAAATACCTGACTCTGCTGTAATGGCGGTCATCCACCTCGACAATGTATCGGCAGCAGGGATGAAACAACAAAAAGGCAGCGCATGCAATAAGGACGCAGATGTAAAACATGGCGCTAAAGACAATGTACCTCTTGTCCTCGAGATCTGTCTTGCCAAAGACAAACGCGTATTGGTGGCAAGCCCGGTCCAGATCCGGCAAGTAAGACGTATAGAACCAGGTCGCGACGCCGGCGTTGGTGGCGAGGAGGACAAAGGTGCAGACCTGGTAGATGAGCCCGTGCTGCTCCTTGGACAGCTGGAAGGGATCCAGGTTTGGGTTGCAGCGCGTCAGGATGCGCCACACGTGCAGCGGCATGAAGAAGAAGAAGATGCCGATGGCGAGCAGCAGGGTGATGTAGATGTCCATGGGCTGGAGGCGATCGCGGGCGAGCTGGACGACGAGGCTGGTGGTCGCGGCGGCGGAGAATAAGGCGCCGAGGAATCTGACGTCGGGCAGATCGTCCTCGTCAAAGTACTCGATGATGACGGCGGCCAGCCATTGGATGTAGAAGCCGACGCGGATGCCCAGGCCGTACATCTCGGGGCGTCCGGGGGTTGGGCATAGCGAGGGGACATCCATATAGGGGGTTGAGCCGTTGGAGAGAGTGAAGAAGAGGGGACTACGAGAATTGACGTGTTGACTGACATCTGGGGGATCTCGCATACACTTGTATCTATTATGGCATCCCGATCACGCGCCTGGGCAAGCTGGTTTCGCTGATGCGCAGGCCGCAGGCGAGTGGTCTGTCTGCCTGTCATCGACATGCGCTGTTGACGGCCCGACGCGGTGTTGCAGCGGAGCGACATGGGCGCCCAATGAAGCACTCGCTCGTGAGGGTTGCTTCAGGTTCACAGACTTGCAGACCGGTTCACAGAGGGTGGCAAGTGGCCGAGCGGACAGTGGTCAATAACAACCGGACAACTGGATGTGCCACATGCCGGCAGCAGGACGTGGGGAAGAGGGAGCCAGCCAGAGCGAGCCACAATTCTCGTCAGCGTGTCTGATGCAGAACTTGTACAGCTTGCAGTGCGTGCAGTGCGCGGAGTACTTGCAGCACTTGCAGGTCTGGTATGCGCGATTTGGACCGGTCGAGTTGGCCTCGTTGGGGGCGGCAGGCAACGCAACTTGCAGCTGAGCAACGAGGCGAGAAGGGGAATGGGGAATTGAGAGAAAACATCAACAGAGAGAAGAGAGGACAGATACTGGAGAGGACCACAGAATAAACCAGGCCACAGCAGGTTACGCATTGTTGGAGGTTGGAGTCGCCGACACTAGACATGCGGTGCCTGACACTAGACAGACCGTGTGCGTCCCATTGACCACGGGAATGTAAGAGTGAGCGAGGCGCTAGAGCATGGGACGAGATACAAGGCCATTCAGGAAGAGGGAATTGGGACGAGGTCACGGAGAGGAGATGATTCATCGGTTGAACCCGGCGCGGAAGAAGAGGGATGCGACGGAAGCAAGACGGACGGTTGGGCGCAGATAACATGCCTCATTGGGATTCCTCATTGGGATGCATCATCACAAAGCACAGGTACGTACCCTCTTATCGCCGGGTGTCTCTTATCGTTCCTTATCGCTTTCCTTATCCTGACCACTCTCTGGCTCTCCCGGGGTGGGTCGGCCCGCTCGAGCTAGATCCACTCAAAACGCTCCCTCACTGCGCACCAGAACGTCTTATCGATAAGATAACCATTTTTTTTCTTGCACTTTCCCCAGCGAAAAGCAGAACCATCCCACCAGTCGATCTCTCACTTCCAGCCACCCGCCGGAACACCCTCAACCCGCCGGACAATCGCAATCGGATCGCATTCTTCTTCTCTCCTACACACCGAAGCCATGGCCGCGACAAAACACTCCCTCGCCGAGAGCGAGGAGCGCCCCGCCAAAAAGACAAAGGTCCAGGACCCCGAAGCCGCCGCCGAAAAGGCCCGCCTGAAGAAGGAGAAGAAGGAGCGCAAGGAGAAGAAGAAGGAGAAGAAGCGCCAGCTGGCAGAGGTCAACACCTGGGATACCGACGAGGAGGCCCACGCCGAGCCCGAGAAGCCCAAGTCCAAGAAGGACAAGAAGAAGGACAAGAAGGAGAAGAAGGCCAAGGCCGAGTCTGGCGATGCTCCGAATGGGAATGAGGCCGACCATGTCTCCTCTGGCGGCGGCGCCTATGTCCAGACCATGGCCCTGTCCAACGTCGCCCAGGCCGACATCGACGAGTTCCTGACCAAGAACGAAATCACAATCACCGACCCCAAGACCGACAAGCCGTCGCTGCGCCCGATCCTCGAGTTCCACCAGCTGCCCGCCACCAACCTCCTCGAGAAGAAGCCCTCGCCGTTTGCCAACTACAAGACGCCCACGCCCATCCAGTCGGCTTCCTGGCCTTTTACTCTGTCCGCCCGCGACGCCATCGGAGTCGCCGAGACGGGCTCCGGCAAGACCATGGCCTTTGCCCTGCCCTGCGTCGAGGCCGTCATGGCCATCGGCAAGAAGGGCACCAAGGCCGTCATCGTGTCGCCGACGCGCGAGCTGGCCATGCAGACGCACGAGCAGCTGGTCAAGGTGGCGCAGCTGGTCGGCCTCAAGGCCGTGTGCCTGTACGGCGGCGCCTCCAAGGACGACCAGCGCGCGCTGCTGCGCAAGGGCGCCGACATCATCGTGGCCACGCCCGGCCGCCTCAAGGACTTCATGTCGGACGGCACCGTCGACCTGAGCGGCGCCAAGTTTGCCGTGCTGGACGAGGCCGACCGCATGCTGGACAAGGGCTTCGAGGACGACATCAAGATGATCCTGGGCGCCTGCCCGGCGCGCGAGCAGCGCCAGACGCTCATGTTCACCGCCACCTGGCCCGCGTCGGTCCAGGCCCTGGCCTCGTCCTTCATGGTCAGCCCCGTCAAGATCACCATTGGCTCCGGCGGCAAGGAGACGGTCGACGGCTCTGTCGAGCTACAGGCCAACACGCGCATCACCCAGCGCGTCGAGGTCGTCGACGGCCGCGACAAGGAGTTCCGTCTGCTACAGATCCTCAAGGAGCACACCCAGGGCAAGCAAAAGGACGACCGTATCCTGGTCTTCTGTCTCTACAAGAAGGAGGCCACTCGCGTCGAGGGCTTCTTGGCGCGCAAGGGCATCCGTGTCGCCGGTATCCACGGTGATTTGCGACAGGAGCAGCGAACGAGGAGTCTGGAGGCTTTCAAGTCTGGTGCGACGCCGGTTCTGGTCGCTACCGATGTTGCTGCCCGAGGTCTCGATATCCCCGAAGTCAAGTTGGTTATTAACGTAACAGTATGTGTCCTTTTGTCTATCCTTTTTCCATTCCTTTTCCCCTGCCGTTTCAGCTCTAACACTTCCCAGTTCCCCTTGACCATCGAAGACTACGTCCACCGTATCGGCCGAACTGGCCGTGCTGGTAAGACTGGTGAGGCCATCACCATGTTCACTGTCCAAGACAAGGCCCACTCTGGCTCGTAAGTATCGCGCCTCGAACTCAAAGACAAATCACTTACAAATGCAGCCTCATCAACATTCTCCGAGGTGCCAACCAAGAGGTCCCCGAAGATCTACTCAAGTTCGGATCCACCGTCAAGAAGAAGACGCACGACATGTACGGTGCCTTCTTCAAGGATGTCGACATGAACGCCAAGTCTACCAAAATTACGTTTGATTAGAGCGCTTGCAGCGATGTGCATCATTTCTGGGCCGTTTTGCGCCCTCGCACGTATTGGAGGCACTCGAGGATAAAATGGCGCTCGAAGAATAGGCTGTTACGAAGCGGTTAGAGCTGCGGGATTCTGTTTTCGGGTTTGTAATACGTACATAAGAAGCAACACAGGAATTGTCGTTGCGGCAACTTTGATGAGAGATTTGATCGGTCCGTCGTTTGTGTCTGGAGACTTGAGCTGGTGAAGAAGCACGGCGGCCAGCGAAGCCACCGCACCCGTAGTACCGTTGGCCAAGAACGGCAAGAAGCCAAAGTCGGCTCCATGACGGGTGAAGAATCGGTTGATGAAGACGCCGCTCCACACGATTCGGCAGAACATGTTGATCATGTTGGCAACTACCAGTCCGATGGCGCCTAGCGGGAAGATGCTCATAAAGACAAACGCCGACGTAGCAAAGACGGCGGAAAAGGCCGTCATCCAGCCCGATTGCTTGTGAACCTCTGCTTCTGTAGCGACTGATGCCACGAATGACTCGGTCAGGCCGTTGAGAGCGAGGAAGGGGATGTAGAAGCAGTACGCTTTTAGGACGTCACCCGCGCCAGAGTCAATCCAGCGCTTTCCGGCCACAATCGCAAGCAGATGAGGGGCGACAAAGGGGCCAATGCTGACGACAACGGTGGAAAGGAGGATATATAGCCGGAGGAGTATGTGGAGGTTGGTCTTGGCCTCGGTCACGGCCGGTGAAGGCTTTGCAGGTGATTTGTCGCCTGCTGGAATGGGCGCGCGTGCTTCGGGCGACGACAGAAGTCGCGAGAAGTAGCTTCGACTGCTCTCCTCGACGGGCTGGAAGAGCAGACGGGCCAAAAGTCCACCGTAGTTGTTGGCCAAGGCGTACGCGCCCTGGACTTCGGCGCTGGCGAGGAGGGAGACGAGAAAGGTGTCGCCCTGCGTCAGGAGGTGCTTCACCACGCTCTGGGCCATCATGCTTCCCGCCAGACTCATAGTCGGTCGGTCAAAGTACGCTCCCCAGAAGCGCACGTCCGCTGTCGCTGCAACGGGCTTGGGGAAGATGGAGAAGCCCATGGACGAGGCCAGGCGGTATCCAGAAACGAGGTAGACGACGAGCAGCGCGCCGCCGTACGTCATCTGGCCGAGCGCAAAGGGCAGCACACCGAGGTCTAGCTGCTGCTTGGACGCCCACACGGCGGAGCCAAAGACGACGAGGCAGCGGAGGAACGTGGCGATGGACTCGGCGGCGGCGCGGGTGCCGAACTGCAGGCGCATCGTCATGAGCACGAAGCAGGGTTCCGAGAGCAGCTCCACCATGGCGGCGAGGCCGTAGAGGTACAGCGAGTGCACGAGATAGGGCGTGGTGAGAGTTGTCTCGGTGGCGTAGGTGAGGTACATCCAGCCGAGGCCTAAACTGACGACGCTCCCGAGGGCAATGGCGAGATATCCCAGGTTGACGACAGCCTGGCTCTCCTTGCGCGCCGCCGCAGCGCCATCATCGCCATCCTTGTCCTCCCCCCCCGCGCCCTGTCGCTGGATCGCCACGCGCAGGCTCTCGCGCGCAAAGAACAGCACCGACAGGTAGTACACCTCAAGCTGTGTCGACAGGCCCAGCAGCGGCGCGGTGAGGAAGCGCAGCAGGAGCTGGTTGGCGACAAAGGTGACGAGGCGCGAGGCGAGCTGCAGGATGATGAGGAGGGATGCGCCCTTGAGCATGGACGGGGTGGCGGGAGGCCGTGGGTTGGTGGTGTCCGGAGTGGACTGCGGCGCTGGAGAGGGCGCCATTGTTGGCTGTTGGGGCTGCGAGGTGGTGATGCGGATGAGAGGCGAGTGAGGGTGGTGGTGATGTTGATGAGGTGGACACGTGTTGAGGCTGTGAGGATGTGGTTCAGTTTGTGTTTAGTGGGTGTTGGTGGGCTAGCATGGAGTTTTAGGGGAATGTCCACTACGACGATGGGCATTATGGGGGCGATGGCCACTAAATGCTCACTGAATACCCTCAGGAATGCACTAAACATGGCGCCGCATTTCGGCGAGCATGGGCTGTGATTCCACACGCATGCGAAGATGAAACACCACAGATCAGTGCACAGAGCCGTGATAGCCAGTGATAAACGCGGCTGCGGTGCTCCCAAATATCGACATATCCCAGTCCACTCTTACGTGGTGTTACGTGGGATCACCAAGACAGGCACCGCGCAGGCAAACAGCGACCGCAGAAACGTATTCGCAACCACTGCGCTTGCACCCAGCGAGTTAAAGACGTCGATAATAGTTCAACGGGCTGGAACATGGTTGTGAATCTGAGTTGGGTCAAACTTAATCCAAATAGTGGATGGCCAGTAGCTCTTGCATTCAGATGAGATTCCTAGTTACCGTTAATACGCGAAGGAATTGTATATGAACTGGCTCTGTGTTACTCACATCCAAACAACAACACCGCAGTAGAGGTAAGGGCACCGACCATCGTCGGCGCGAGTCTGGCTTTGGGGCTGACAATCGCATTAACACTTTGGCGAGATGTATCGATTTCACGCAATATGCTGCGTTCAATCGTTCGCTTAATAGATAACTTACAGGTTGGATGTTTTTGCCGTTTTGAAGGTACTCTACTTCCTCAACAACATAAGTCTAGTCTTTATGAAGTTTAGTATACTTCGGAATTTCTTTTATGAAATTTAGGTCTAATCTAAACATATTTACCTAAACTACATTCCTAAGCCTAAAACTGGCAGTGTGTTACATCCTAATATTGAACCCAGCCGATGGTCTCGTTCGGCAATATCAGCTTTCCAGCTGCTTTTCATCCGCGAGGAATGTGTCGTCTCGCGCAGCTTGGGCGTCTCGTTCGGCGTCTTCAGCTCTCTGGTCGGCGTCGGCTGCTCTCTGCTCGGCATCGGCTGCTCTTTCATCCGCGAGGACTTGGTCGCTTCGAGCAGCTTGGGCATCTCGTTCGGCATCGTCAGCCCTTATCCGAGCTGCTCTCAATTCTTCCACCAAGAAGGAACTGGCAACATCTGGGTCCAGGTGCCACGGGGAGGATACTCGATACAGCCATCTAATGGTAGAGGCAAACCAGCCACGAGGTTCAGGTTGGGCTTCAGCCCATCTAGCCAGACAGCTAGCCGCAACCGTGTTCCGTTCCCCAAGAAAAATCGTACCAAGTAGGGTCAATAGACCCAGAACAGCAATTGTACGGCACCACCCACTCCACGGGGAACCATGGCTCCACGTGATCTCGGATCGTCTCCAGGATTGGAACCATCAAGTCCAGGTCGAAGAACTGGAAGCGTGTCGGCCGCCGCCGGGGCGGCATATCTTCTCAAAACCATGGTGGTGGGTCTCGGGTCGTGCGTCGTGCGTCTCAGAGTGATGGAGTTGGGATTTGGGTTCTTGTCTTCTCTGCTTCAGTCAGCGTACGTTGTATGTTTGGCGATTCTTCCATCTGCCCGGATCGCGGTGGACTAAGAACACACAACGCACGGGAGACGCGGGTGGGATGTACACGATGCAGACGGTGCAGTCTGGGATGCGGTGGAGGATGCAATTGAGAGCGCAGATAGCAGATGCAGACGATGAAGGATGGAGATGTGGTAGGAACGCGGATCTGTCACTGATGGTTAGACACTGGAGGCAGAGAGATTCAAAGAGCGACAAAACACTCACAGAGATTCCAAGGAGCCGTAGGCAAACAGATAGATTGGCTTGACAAAGCGGGAGTAAAAGAGAGACATAATGCGAGATGGACAGTGATGTCTTGGTTATTTCTGACAGGAGGTGGATGATGCGTGTGTACAATGTGAAGGGATGATGATTGCAGTAGCTAGAGAGGAATTTCCAGTGGCAGGTACCCAGGTAGGTACGGGAGCTCGTAACTTGGGCAACTGGTGAGTGGGAAGGTGTACCTCAGCCGCCATCGGGAAGTGCTGTGGCCACAACCTCTAGGGAATTAGGTTGCCATGTAGCTTGAGAGGCAGGACAAAACCCAGGACACACTTCCCTCCTGTAACAGTCAATTGATAAAACATCAATGAGGTTTAATTTAATTTAGTAACTTGTACCGCTTACAGTTCTTCGTTGCATGTTTTGCCCTCTCGTGCCCAATTAGGTATATGAATCAACCTTTCAACGTCCCGAGGATCAGCATTTCGGACCCATGGAACCACCTTGAGATAAAATCTAATTCATGGCTGATGGACCATAAATAAGTCCAATCATCCCCTGCTAGTCATTTCACAGACCTCATTCATTTGCTGCGTTTTCTAGCCATCAACGACAAGGCCGCATAACAAGAAGGGACCCCGTCACAAAGCAATCTCCCTGTATCTCACCGCGCCCACAACTCAACATCGCCAAAGATGTCTTCTATCGTGGATTTTCTGCGCGAATTGTTTCAAGCTTTGATTGAAGTTTTCATGGGGGCCATCTTTCCGATTCGGAGTCAACCTCATTATGAACAATCAGAGCCGGCTGTGTCAAGTGCACCGATCAACGAAGTACCATCCGAACAACTAGAGCAGCCTACACGCAACACATCAGAGCCGGCTGTGTCAAGCACGCCCATTGACAAAGCATCCATTCAACAGTAGAAAATGCAAGTAAGAGGCGTACTTACTGCACTTGAAGAGACCATGGATTCTCTCGTTGCTGCATCCATGTACAACAGCTACTATAGCCCGATATATCACCTACCCCCTGAAATCTTCTTGCTGATTATTCGCCAACTCTACCATGATGAACCGACATTTTTCTGTCTTCGACAGGTTTCCCGACTCTTTCGAAAACTCATCAACAGCAAAGAGTTCCAGGGCCACATATTTCCAACTTATTATCCCTCAGGAAACGCCAAGCCTGGGTCTGGTTGGTGTGAAGAAATGGACAAGTTCAGGCGTACCATAAAGCGTACTTTAAGACTGGGCTTCAGCGGGACATATAGTACTGAGCTTGAAGAGATCTGCACTCGACTGCGCAGAGATGCGTTGTGCCTTACATGCCAAGAGAATCGCAGGTTGGGACCAAGGTGCAGATTTAATCTTTCTCACAACCTATTTTCTCTCAAGGACACCTTTCTTCATTGCTCTGGCTGCCAAGATAATCACCCAAAGTCAATGTTCTCGACAATGCATCAGAATGATGGATCTCAGGGCACTCGTATTTGCATCGGAAGAGAAGGACATATACGGCTATGTGAGCATGAGGTCATCACTTGGGCAGACGTTGAATCGCACTTAATCGAATGGAGGGCGAATCCTCGGCCCTATTCAGACATCATAGTAAAGTTCTGCGCAGATCCAGTACACAACTTCGGTTGCAAGCCTTCACCACCATTGGCTAGACTCACGGTTTATAATTCATGGTCCGCTGGGCTTGAGCTCAGCTGGGAACCACACACAGGACCTCACCCCTTTACGAGCTTCCCAGGAAACCCGATCAAAGCTTCCGAGATGCGAACACTCGCTTGAAAGTACCGCCTCAATGCGGCGGGTTTCATTATTCCTGAACAGGCCGCTGGGCATCTTCCAGAGATGGAATGCTTCTCCATTTGGAGAGTGCGATTGCCTCTGCTATCATGGACCCAACGATTGGAACTATGCGGATAGCTTTCATTGGGAACATGATTGCCCAACCCCAACGACAGACAGGAGATTGCTACCACAGCAGCATCGGAGACTTTGCGCATGTGGAGCATGGTGTGTCCCCCACCGCCGAGTGACGACGTCGTTCACGACCTTGCGTTCGCTAATTCGCATTGACCAATCTTGCGATTGGGGATCGTCATCCTGTGTCAGGATACAATACCAGAAAATTGTCTATATTTGCGGCAATGGTGATAAAAAGTATGCTCCTGGAATGAGGTGGTGCAATGCGTTAGACCCAGATTCTTTCAAGGGGGGTGGGGACTGTTATCGCCTCCCAAGGTGCAAGGATATATCCTGTGCTAATCATTACGTGGTGGATTACGAGTCCTAGGGCCATCCCAGGCGGTATTGGTTGAGGAATATAAATCGAGATATGCTCGAGTTCTTGCCCTCAAGTGGGTGCCAATGTCCACAGGAGAGATCAAATCATATCCTTAATCCCACCAATAATCATACAATATCGTCTTAGAGTAGTTTAGAAGATAATCCTTTCTAAAGACTAATATTTAGTATTTATTTTTTAAAGTCCTAATATTTTTATTTTATTTTTTTTAGTTCTAAATTAATCAGAAAGGCAGGCATTTGGTATTTTAGTCAAGCCGATGCATAGTAAAGAAGTAGACTGGAGAGACGAGTCGTTTTGAGGCACAAGAGGTTCGATACAAATATCTCCCTGCACCTATGCGACAGCTTTATTAATCCCATTGACGATCTGAAGCTGGTCCTCACAAGGGTTTAGTAGAATAGAATGCTCCGACGCAGCCGGTCCAACGGTATCCCGCTTAGCCATACAGGGAAATGATGGCCGCATTTACGCTCACGTACTGGCTGGTTCGATGCTGTCATCTCTCTGTCATCCTCTGTCAGGCGCCCTAGCAGCCTTAGTAACGTTCCATTGTGGAAAACTTTGCGGGTCCCAGTTGGGATCAAGGCCTATCAGTGCGATTTGGACGGCGATAATTGAGAATAAAGACTTACATAATCTGTTCCGCAATCACACTAGTGTTCGGTTAGAGATCAGTGGCTGCAGCGTTCGTCAAGAACGTTGCCATTGTGTGGCATAACGTCATAAATGGCAGGGAAAATGTTGAAACGAGTACGGTTTAATTTACTAACGAAACTATCATCTTATATTATATATTCGACGAACGAGACTTACTGCTTGGGGCTGAGAACCAGTTCACCGGACGAACACGCTCCCGCTGCATCGCGACTATCATGGCGTACTTCGACACCCCTCCGCAGAGAGTCCACGATGCATCGACGCTAGGCCCCCGGCGGCGCTTTAACGCTGCAGCAGACCCTGAGGCGGGCCTTCCCATGTATCGGAGTAATGTGCATCCGTTTGCTGGTCGAATTGGAGCCAACCAAAGCTTCACCCTCGACCGCAGCGATGACGGTGAATTGTTGGAAAAGGAGCCTGATGCGGCCCCTCTCATGCCCATCAAAGAGTTGATGGACTTGGGGCCTTTGCTCCATGTCAATCTTTGGAAAGCTGCATTTATTGAGGGTGTCGGTAGGAATTTTGATCGGCCTCTTCTCGTCTCCCATACTAACTGCACTACATCAGGATCGCTGATGCTCGTTTACATCACCGTCTGGGCCAGCGCCGCTCCTGCAGTGATTCCAACCAAACCCACGGCTCAGTTTGGAAACTTCAACAATGCAGCATTTCTGGGACCTCTCATCGGAGGTATCACGAACTTTGTTTTTCTTTCGCTCTTCATCTCCTCGTTTGGAGCTGTTTCTGGCGCACATTTCAACCCCCTCATCACCATCGCGACATTCTTCGCCCGCCTGTGCTCACTCCCGCGCATGATTCTATACCTCTTTTTTCAGATCGGCGGCAGTGTATTGGCCGGGTTGTTGGTGAGAGCCAGCTACGGAACAAGAGACTTTCAAGCCGGAGGCTGCTGGATTTACCCCGACGAGGTGCCAATGCAAGATGCTTTTGTGATCGAACTTGTCGCCGCGACCATCCTCCTATTCCTGGCGTTTGGAGTGGGCTTGGATCCAAGACAGAGCCAAATTGTTGGTCCAAGTTTGGCTCCATTTCTTGTTGGATTGACCTTTGGCACCTTGACCTTCGCCACGGCTTATACTAGATACGGTTATGGGGGCGCTGGCTTGAATCCGGCGAGGTGTTTAGGTGTGTTTGTGGGCAGTAGATTCCCAACCTGGCATTGGGTACATTGGTATGTCTTCCTTTACAAATTAACCGATTGGAGACTTCTGGTCGCCAGAATGCCGTGGACTGACGAATTCCTTGTAGGGTACCGGATATCTTGGCTTGCGCGATACATGGACTAATCTATTGCTTCATTCCTCCGTGGTCTAAGGACCCTATGAGCGGCCATCCTCTTAGCAGATGATGCACGCCCAATACTGCATGGGGCATTTGCTTGACAGGCTCTGCAATAGATGAGAGTGGTCTACAGGGGTCTTCCTGTGATCATGCGGCTAGGAAAGCTCGCGGTCATTTTGGCGCAATCAGGATAAATACTGGAAGGAAAACGGGTTATGCTTTATGGGCAGACAGGACGAGAAAATTAGATGGATCAGGGAAATTTTTATCCCCAATAGATTGGAGACGGCAGAACTGTGTACAAGCGCATCTTGTTGAAAATAAATTGAAGCGGTAGAGAATCCTGCCATTCCCCAGAAAAGTGACAAACTGGAGTCGTGCTAGCATTGATAATAGAAGCTCATGGAATCCATGACTGCCATAGTCTCGCTCGTCTCAATGATCGATTGTCGTTACACCAGAGCCTAATAACGAGGCTCGGGGATCTCTGTGAACATCTCAACTATTTTATTTTAAATCCTTTGAGTATAAGAAGTGTTATGAACTTCTCTATTCTTTACCCTGTACATAAAGCCTCTAACTAGCACCAGCTAGCCTCATACACCGACTTTTTCGTGGTCGGTTTTGGAATGCTTCTTCCTTGACCCGCCAAAGCCGAGAACCGAAAGCCGAGTGGGAATCCACCGCACAGTTCTCTGACTCCGTACCGTAAGCTGACCATGCAATAAATACGTCCCTCGAAGCTATCCTTTTGGATCCTTATAAAATTTTCAATATTTTTGACTGGTTTATTTAATTCAGAATGGATACGCCACCAAAAGCTGAGACGCCTGTATGGACGGAGTCCTCTAGTTCAGCCTCTGAAAAGGGCAACGAGACCGATCGCTCGCCGGATTCACTGCCTCCGACTCTGCCCCCGGCCGAAGATTTCATATTTGACGGCTTGAAAGGATGGATTACGGTCTCAGCGGCAGCATGTTCCCTGTTTGTATATCTTGGAGTCATCTACTCTTGGGGCATTATGCAAGTCAGACTCGTGGAAACAACATCTTCGTCATTAACCACCCTCACATTTGTCGGCTCCCTGGCGACGTCATTCATGATATCCATTAGCGTATTCTCCGGTATTTCTGTCCGCAAATTCGGGTATCAGAAGACCGCTTTGGCCGGTGGTGTTCTCATGGGACTGGGCGAGTTTCTTGCCAGCTGGACCACGGAATACGTTGGCGCGCTCTTTGTTCTCCACGGCATTTTTTTCGGTGTCGGAGGAGGATTGTCCATTTTTGTATGTCCCTCACAGCTCCCCCATAAATTTGCCATAGCTGACAAGTAACCCCAGGCATGCTCGACAGCACCCCTAAGATGGTTCAAGAAATATCGAGGCTTGGCAATGGGTGTCGTGTTTGGCGGCGGAAGCCTGGGATCTGCCGTCATGAGCATCGCCACCAACCTCCTCGTCAGGAAGCTGGACGTTGCCTGGACGTTCCGAATTCTAGGTTTCATGCTCTGGGCCATCTGCATTCCTGCTTCGTATTTCATTCGACAGCCGCGAGGATCCGAGAACTCCACTCTCAAGCTTCAATGGTCAGAACCTTGTGTCTTACTACTACTTTTGACGAATCCCATCTAACATTCGCGTAGGTACCGTTTTAAGGAGCTCAAGTTCCTCATCATTGTGGCCGGAACTGCCCTCTCATGCTTCCCTCTGTTCATTCCGCCATACTTCATTCCCATCTTCTCCCGGTCCATGGGCTACTCCAACCAAGTTGCTATCATCACCTTGGCTGCATGGAACTTGGCCTCAACTGTTGGTCGTGTTTTGGCCGGCTACGCGGCAGACTCGCTGCTGGGTCCAATCAACAGCTTGATAATCTGCCTCTTGTTTACGGGTATCAGCTCGCTGGTCATTTGGCCACTATCCTCGTCAATTGGCGTATTTTCGGTATTCCTAGTCCTCAATGGAATGGGATGTGGTTCCTTCTTTAGTCTGGTGCCTCCCGTTATTGGCGCCACGTTTGGTGGCGAAAACACTCTCGGCATTTTGCCTATTGTGTGGACAACATGGTTTTGCGGTTTCTTCTTCGTAAGTAATGATTTGCCATCGCCAAAATCTTAACTGATTATCTTTCAGGGTACACCGATTGCGTCGGGACTCTATTCGCTCTCAAGGGATGGTCAGGATGTGACACAGTACAGACCCGCGGCGTACTATGCTGGAGGCATGTCGATAATCGGGATCTTGTTCATTGTTTCCATTCGCTTGATACACACTAGGAGGATATTTGTCAAGGTTTAGGGGTGTATTGAGTACAAAGGCCCCTCTTGGGCCGTGTCTTTCAGTTCCGTTAGCTAGCCATAAAGGCTCCAGAAAAGTCAGCCTCCTCCAACATAGACCACCAATTTGGCCATAGCCCTTGATCATCGACGGCATTTCCCAAATCCATGAGAGGTTGAGAGCTCGAGTCTTGTGAGTTTCCATCGAGATTCGCCACCTCCCGTGTCAAAGTGTTTGCTTGGCTCGTTGCATCTTGCTCGGCTCGGTGAATTTGCTGGATGTGCTGATCAGATCTGTCGATAATCCGGAACTCGTGGACCGATTGATGAAGGGTCTCAAAGTCGAAGCGAGACTTGCCTTTATATGGCCGACTATCAGATATGGCTCGTTCATACAACAACGACGAGTTTTGAATGGTTTTGATCTATTTATGTCAGCCAATGTCTGTCGCTTGTCCACAATCACTACTTACCCAACCAGCACCGAGATCCCAAGCATGTTGAAACTCTCGAAGATACTCGAGTCCCTTTTCCATGAGCTCCTTTGCTCGCGGGCTGCGATTTAGATTCATCCGAGGGAATCGGTAGATGTAGAGATTGACAAAGCACGCCGAGAAAGCACAGAAGCCAGAGAAGGGTGTCATCACCGGTATTCCGCATTCAGAGGCTTCACTGAGTAGGCCGATGATGAGTTCAGCCGACCCAAACATTTGAAGAGCACTGTCATCCCACCACCCAGCTGGTGCTTCAGCTTCGAGCAGAGGGTGGTCGATTGGACCACGGGGCGTTAATTCCGGGGTTGGTAAAAAAGGAAGGTATTCCCGATGCAACATCATGACACTGGGCCTCATTATGTTAGTAGACATTCTGGGCCTGTTTGCAATGCAGAACGAAGTGTTCACCTCAGATAGTACACTAGGTTCAGATAAATGAACGACTCCCCAAACCCGAGGGTCATATACACGGCAACACTGTGTTTTGGGTAATGCAGTCTACTGTGCTGTCCTGCTCTCCAATTTGCTAGCCGGCTTTGGCAAACTGCCCAAGGAGAGGTTGGCACCCAAGGACAGTTTTCAGGCGCACACATGCCTGGTGCACGCCGGCCGTCATTGAACACAAATGCCATTACCTGGGCATAAATATCGAAGCCGCTTGCAATTATCTCGAAGTGGTGAGCAATGTCCAAAGTTACAGGGGGGCAATTCCCCGTGGGTATTGATTGTTGACCCTGTGCCGTGGGATGCGTTGCGGTATCTGACCCAAAGGCAAACTCGACAGATGTTGGAGGCCGGGGGACTTTCAAGGTTTCCATTTCCGACATAAGAAGCATGCGTGGATTGTAGGTCCCTGAGTTTATGGTGCAGTCCATTATAAAGCAGGCCCAGTAGGTCCTTGTCTCAGCCGCCGCAGAGAACTCGTCCAGGTCGCTCCCATGCGAGATATCGAGGGGAAAGGGGGTGACACGGGAGCTGTGAAGCGATTGCATCATCCGAATCGCGATACCTGATTGATGTAAGCTTGATTTGACGGAATTTACGAAAAGGCACCCACCACAGTGCATCCAAGCCTTGTGAAAGTCTCGAACGCCCCATTCATAAAGCGTTAAGATGAGGAGCACTTGAACCACGATCAATTTTGGTGGTTGGAGGATGCAATCCGACAGAATGCCTCGGGCGTATGATGCCAGCATCTCCTGGTCAGGCAAGTCCTTGGCCCAACAGTCATTACGCACAGATGGTTGCTTCTTCGTTGCAGCGAGTATGGTCGCCAACAACGCCTTACTTTCCATGGATCGGCTTGACTGGTATTCTGCCATGAATAGCGAAGGCTGGAGTATCCTGAGCTCGGGAAATTTGCTAGTAAAGACGTTCAAAGCCTTAAGGATGATTCCAGTCGGAAGAGTTGCTAGGTATTGGTCGAGATTGTTTTTACCGCAGGCTTCTATCGGCGGGGAGGTTACCAGGCATGGTGTGAGGTTCGATGGCCTATCTTGAGGGGCGTCTGGAAGTTGTGACGCCGATGGTCTCTCAGATACCGCAGGAGGGATAGGGCTTGGTGACCCAGTAGACACCACTCTCCTTGATCTTTTTGACGCCCTCTTAGCTGATGGAGCACGGGGTCTTGTGAGCTCACATCCCGACCTGCTCAGTCTCTCGCATTTCGCGCAGGGTGAGATGCCTGAGTTGACGCATTTGACCTTGGATTTACTAGTGGTTCCTGATTAGCCAGTTCAGATAGCCTTCATGCTCTACGTAGAGCATCTCGAGGCGCCTCTTACCGGCAGAATTCGCAAGACAAACTGGATCGCATTATCGCCGCGGACCAAATCGTGACGCGTCGGCTTTGAAATGAAGCGTTTTAGTTCCGAAAGCCGATGGTGGAGATGTCATCAAATAACTGTGGATCCTCGGCGAATTCTATTGACTGAGGTAACTTAGGAGCGCTATCTCTAACACGTGATGTGAGATCGCCCTTGAATATTACTAGGCTCACCTACGTAAGGTATTTAATGAATGGCAAAGTAAAAGGTGGTCTATTATGTTTGGGGACAAGCTCCGTAAGGGGTATCTCAAGAGGGTTTGGAATCAGTACTAATGCAAGGTATATTTGTGTTGCTCGGTGTCTAGAGACTCGCGATCATTGACTTGCACTTATAGGAACTGTCATGTAGTCAATTAAGGTCTCTCCCAAGGTAACTATTTCCCTCTTACTGTACTTCCGACGCTCAAGTTTGTCACGCATTCAGAGAATCAAGGATCGTGGTGAACTTTAGACGGATGCTAGTCTATTGCGGCATTGGCGTTGAGATGTTCAAGCTCCACGTCGATTAAACTAGAAGTAAAAATATGAAATTGGCATGATGATGCTACGTTTCTTTTAAATTGTATCTTCTTCTATACATGAAGAGAAATGAAACAAATCATTCAATGCGAAGCGAATGTTGGTCATTGCACACGGGCACTTCGAGACTATACTCCATATGCTACTAACCTGAACAGGGGTTGAGGCTATGTCGAGAGTCAAGAACAACACCATTAACAAGTCTGAATGCCACTAAGCTCACTGTCAGTCCACCATGGGGCATAAGAGAAAGATCTGCCGTATATAGCAATCACCGCTTTGCAATGAACGCACTTTGAAGGGAATCTGACATGCCTCTCATAGAGAAGGTTGAAAAGAATAAGAAACCAACATGCTGCAGAATTGGCCAAACCCTATGTCATGTTTCTACATATGAAAATGCTCACATGGTCTTATCTGCCGCCGTCTCCATCGAGTCAGAGTGAATTTGGTCAGAATACCAGGGATGACATCGCGACTGTGAGCGCTCTTGGCGAGGTAATTGACCTGGTTGGAGCAGTCAATTCAGCGAATGCCTTGCCCTGGGGCCCATTAGCCTTCTATTCGACGACTCAGGCGTCGTAATTAATTATTGTACCTAAATACTGGTCATGCTCCTTGCCCCAAAAGGGAACCTATCTCCAGAAAGCCCCCCCCTCCCCAAAAAACCACCTTGCAAGGGTAGGCTGGTTCGACGCGTCGATTGTAATCAATTACCTATTGGATGAAAAGCATGCTGTGTAACACTTTCTTATACATCATTGGCTGTCCTTGGATCCGCTTTCATCAAACGAGGCTAGATTCCCAACGCCACGACCTCAAGCAGGGGGGAGAATTCGCAGGCTTGCGATTCGGAAGACGGGCAAACACAGATCCTGCGATTCACTGGGATTTAAAAAGCACAGGTGTCCGCACAAATCGATTTCCTCTTCTTCGACAGAAAATAATCCTTCATCATCTGGGTTTCTACCTCCTGCCTTGGAAATTTTCTACGTTGCTCTCCTAGCAAACAACGCCATTCCTCCCTACCCTTGTCCGGTCCAACCTTTGCACCAACAACATCATGTTTCCATCCCACCAAAGTTCTTCAGAGAAGACGCCAGCCGGATCAGCCAGCTCGGCGCAGGCTGCCGCACGCAAGAAACCCTTCGAAGTAAGTCGACTCTGGGGAGGTTGACTGGCGCCCTGTCCAGTGGCAGTCGTCTTTAAATCGTTGCGCGCAGTTGCGATAAGAACGGACATAGACTAACGAAGCTAATCAATCTTAGTCCTCGGACGAAACCTTCGCCATCTTCGAAGAGGACATAGTACGCGGTTTCGGAAGAGTGTTTGAAGATGACACAATTGATCATCCGCTCCAAATGGATCTTGGCCCAGAATCCATGCACCCTTTCCAGCCGATGATGCCTTGGAGAGAGTCAACTGCACCTCCCTTGTCGACTGCAGGACAGTCTGATACGTCCGATACAGGAAAATCACTCTCGATGCCCACGGATCGCCTGTCGTCAGCGAACCTCTCCCAACGTCACGAAGCTGCAACCCCCGAAGCGCAGATGGTACATCCCGCCTCTCATAACCGCGCGATTCGTTCATTTTTCAGGAATTATGAATTTTCCTGGAAAGACTCTCGTCTGTTATTCGCTGGCGAGTCGTTTGATTTCGACCGAGCACCGGAGACGGCATCTTGTACGGCCGATCCGAATTCCGAGACGGCATCTACAAAAACTCCCATCGCCAATCCGAGGTCTGAATCCAACCTATCTCGTGCCCACGAGCTTCAGCCCCTCCTTGGAGCCGGCTTGTTTGGTATGGACGGTTTGGCCACGTCCTGGGCTGCGGGCGGCGTCGAATCTCATTCCGCTGCCATGACAGATCCCGACACAGAGACACCACGTCCTACACAGGCCGTCTTTGCGTATGGGAAAACCCTCGATGAGATGGTTGAGTACTTTCTCGACCACTTTCTGAGGTCCTACGCACCACAGAGATCTCAGAAACGGAACCGTGCAATACGGAACGAGCAAGATGCGTCTCTTGGAGGGCGTGATTCCGCCAGAAGAGCAACCAGAAACGGCAAATCAACTGGCCGAACAAACGGGCCACCTAGAGGCAAACTCATTGGTGGCTCCGGAGAGGACGAGGACGAAGACTCTCACGGCAAGGGGCAAAGATCGTCTGCCACCGCACACTTCGCGAGCTTACCATACCTCGCCTGCCCATTTCTCAAGTTCAAGCCGAATGCGTATACAGCCTGCGCAGTGAAGCTAACAACAATTAGTCACGTAAAAGACCATCTCAAAGGCAAGCACTATAAGCGGTACTGTACCAAGTGTTACCAGACCTTCGGGAAGAGAGACACAACAAATCACGGCTGTATTCCTAAGCCCACTGCACCAGTTGAGCTCATCACAACCCAGAAACTTGAAGCACTCGATAGGCGCGTCGATAGAACCAAGTGCCTCACAGAGAAATGGCAATACTTTTACAAAGTGCTCTTTCCAGACGCGCCGCTGTGCCGCGATCCGTTCTTGGATCTCATCAGGACGGAGCAGACGAAGGCTTTAGAGGACTACTTGCGCTCCAGAGGAGCCATGATGCTTCTACGGGCAGTGGTGAAACACTCGAAGTTTCGTGGGGAAATCGCGGCCGAATGTTACCGTCTTTATCATGAAGAGTTTTTCCCACGACTATTGGGGTTAGAATCCGCTTTCAACAGCGAAATGGACTCTGTGAGCGACATTTCGGGGGAACTAGCTGAACACGACAATCAGACACCCGATCTTGCTCACCGTGGTCAAACCCCGGTTGTCGATCCTGATGAAATTTTCACGTTTGTGTCGCGTTTTACGGAAAGCCATGGTTTGCAACGCTCTTCAGATCCAACCGAACCTATCCAGACATACCCTTTCATGGATCTGAATGGGCATTCGACGTCATTTGATGGCCAACCAAGCATCGACATTGGCGACAGGCAACGCCCGAACACGGCCGAAATGAGGAATCTGGAGCATACTGCACCTGAGTCTGATATGTGGAATCCCCCTTTTGACTTCGGCGAGTGTCAGACAGATGCTGGGTTTTCATGTCCACTGTTCGCCGAGGACGCAACGTTTGAGACGAGAAATGAGGAAGGGTTCATGTCGTGGAATGCACAATAACAGTGTTGCAGTTTTCGGATTTGATGGCTTTTTTAAATATTGAAATTCTATACAGGGGGAATTTGGAGGACCAATAGTATTATTTATGAATGAAACATGGTAGTCAATGTCCAGCGACAATGTTTGATGGTTGTAATACCATGATCCGGTCTCTCTTATTGATGCGAAGAAGAATGAAAACAAAGAGGCTTGGTCGCAAGGATACGTGCCGCCCATATCCTCGACTACTAATCAATTACTTGACCATTTAGATGGGGGAAGTTGCATGGGTGGTCCGCACTATTCTCCGTGAGGTTTGCGGGGTGGTTTGTAGACGACTCACGTCGAGGAAGCCAGCTGTTCCCAAACGTCATAGTCGCTTTTTCGTCTCCTTCACATCCATTGTTTAGTCGATTCGGTCCTCATTATCAATAATTCTTGCCATTTCCTCGTACTGGGATTCTCAAGTGTTTGTTGCTTCAGAATGCATACGCCCCAGCTCAGCACCAAATGAACCCACAACCAGTACTGTCACTCCAAATCGTTCATCGAGCATTATACTTGCATCAGATATTTTAGTCCTTTTGAACAGGTTGTAAGTAGACTTGCAAGCTAGAAATTCAGGACCGGTTATGCCGCGCAGCTCGAATTGATCCGACAGTATCTGCGGAACAAAGTCTCAACTTAACAAAGTTCACGTGGCATGTGGTACCCACGGTAGGTCAATTGGCTATTTACAAATTAATTTAGACACGTTGAACGTAATATGCAACCTTGAAATGAATCCAATGACCATGTTAATGCTCCCCAACACCTCAAATGCTTTTGCCTGTCACTCCAGTATGCAGGAACCTTTAATCGATAATTTATAGCATCAGGAGGCCAGCTGCCACGGCAACGGCCCCGGAGTAGCTGAAAGTCAAGGCGCTCGCAGCGTTTGAAGAGGTGGAAGAAGAGCTGCTAGACGTAGCTGTCGAGCTTGGCACCTCGGCCGTGGTGGCTGTGGAGGTACTGTCACCACTGGATTTCGCAGACATATTATCGTCTGTTTCAATAACGGAGTCAAGACTAGTGTGTATGTTAGCAACCCAAATTCGAGTCCATTGCGCTTTAAGCCAACAAAATTGCTGGCTGCTCAGTCGAACTCACATGTGAACCAGGCCGTTGTTGGTTAGGACATTGGCCTCGATGACTTTGGCGTTGTTGAAGTAAATATCGTTGCCCTTGATTCGGACAGTGATCTTGGTATTGTTCAGGCTGTTAAGAACCATTCCGTCCTCGAGGAAATTTGTGTATGTAACTTGCTCCAAAGTGTGGTGCCTTTCAGAAACGGTTAGTTGGTGGTGTATCAAAAAAGAAAGGACGGGAGAACTCGTTACGTACAGGACAGTTCCGGCCACTTCATTCTGGGTGCCCGAGAGCTGAGGATTTCCCGCGTTCTTGAAAGCCTCAGTCGAAGGAGCAAGGCAGGTGACATTGAAAGACGTGTTGATTTTAGGCCATAACCCGCTCTTGTTCAGCGCCTGGTCCATAGATTGAAGGGTTTGGTCCGGATAGGATTTAATTGTCAGGGAGCAATTCTTCGGCGGTACGAGAACACTACAACGCCAAATAAGTGAATAATGCATTCAGAGCCATGGTTGCAGAGTATGGGGAGACTTACCTGTCAACGACCTGGAATGTGTTCACACCCTTGGATCCCCACGTAGCATCAACCGCCGTCATGCCGACATCCTGAGCCAATCCCGCTCTGATATTTACCACAGGGCCAGCTCCTTGCCTCTTCATGCGACGGGAGCTCTTGTCCTTTTGCGTGGCAAACACGACCTGACCGGTGGCCTTCTCTCCGTACGCCTGCTCGAGCTGCGGTCCAGCGGATCGGTTGTTGTACTGGGCTCCTTGCAACAGTGTCGGCACGGTCATTCCATTCGGGGTATCGAAGTCCTTGCCCTTCAATGACGCTGCCAGGGTCTGATACGAGAAAAACGTCTGGATTTCGGCCAAAGTGAGCTCTGACACGTCTGTGAGGCCCGAATCTTTGAGGTAGGTGTTGATTGCGTCGTCGGTAGGAACCAGCACGGTGACGTTTTTCGGGTCATCTCCAACGACGTCTTCGAATGACTGGCCAACTGCGCCGAGCAGGGAGCGAAAGGTGCTGAGGTTGGGATAGCCCTCGAGCGCCGACGAGAGCTCCTCTTGAGGTTCGGCGGATTGGACGCTACCGGCGAGGCACAACAGGGCGACGCTCGCGGCGAGGGGAGACAGTGACGCGCGCATTCTGAGGTTGGATCGACAATTACCAGGAGGAAGAGATGGTCAATTGCGACCGAGAGCCACGGTGAACAGCTGTTTCTGCAGCTCCCCTTTTAATGAGCTTCCCTGGCTGCAGGTGGCGGCATGGCCAAGCCCATCTTCAAGTCCAGGGCGGAGTCGAGGCTTGTACTACGTAGTACGCTTCAGACGCCATGGACAAATAGCGGAAGGACAGCGCAGCCACTGCAGCCCCCCAATAAGCCAGTCAATGCGAGCTGTGTCAATCTGACGTGAGCTGAGACTGGATTTTAGCTGGTCGGGGACCAAAAAGGAGCCCAGCTGAAATTGAACAATCATACCGGCCGCCACTAAATTCTCACCCGCGTCTGGACCATGGGAAGCTCTGGAACCTGGTGGCTTTGCCCCGGTCTAAGCTGGCTTTGTCCAGGTCTAAGCTGGCTTAGGATTAGTCTGAACCGCCCTTACGGCTTGGAATGCACGTTGGAGAGAGTCTTCTCAGCAGTACCGAGACCCGAAGCTGACATGACGCCAAGAAACAAGGTGGCCAGAACCCTTGCAATCCGTCTCGTAATTGAGATCACCCGGCAGTCACTGCAAAAGAATGCCGTGGATACATCTGACCGGCTTCCAAGACGAAAATTAAAGTCATCGGCTTCTTCCACGCCGATGGCTGAGCTTAGTCTCCAGCCCTGCGCAGCGAGCGTTGCCTTATTTGGACGTGGCTGCAAGCCAACGGAGGCGATTCTCCTCGTTGTCCCAAGCATCCAATTCTCCGTCTCCATCCGGACGAATCCGTTCAAGCCAAAATGGAAGATAGTCTCGTTTAATGCCCGCTCGGATAGATCGCAGCAGCGCTATTAATTGTGCATCGTGGCAATACATGGTCAGGTGCTCTACCTAGTGTCCAATAGTCCAACAACTTAAATGGTAACCTTTCCACATACCCTGGTACGCATTATTCCTTACCTTCAGCCCCTCTTCACGGTCATAGTACTGAGCTGACTGTTTCTCCATACCGGGGATGTGGTGCAAATGCTTTCCTAAGCCTCGGCTAGATCCGGGCACTTCGTTGACTTGTGCCGTCGAAGGTCATATGTGAAGGCTCAGGCTGCTCTCATGACGAAATTTAACCCAATAAATAATCATCCTTGGGAGACATAAATGCAACTGATTAGTCTTGTTGTCCAGGTGCTAAAGTGCATCATTAAGAATTATTTTGAGAGTTGTAGCATGGGATTAACGATGCAAATAGCGATATACATGTGTGCGAATGAGGGCCATACGGGCCACTGCAGCTTGATTACACATAGCTATGTTCTTCTGGTTGATGGCATCTAATGAGATGCAGCTATTCTTGATAACTGTGGAGTTAATGAAGCGGGAAGTTTCGGTATCAGGTGAATATAGAATTATTCTTGCGTGGGAATATTTAACTGCCTAATATGTGCCTACACACTGTGCTAGAAGCACATGTCACCTGTAGGGTCACTTAGTCACTTTCATACGTCATCTTGATGTCTCTGTAGCTATTATTGGAGACCGGGAACAGCCACTTCCGCAACCCAGCCCCAGACCTATGACATCTAGCCCTCCGTCCTCAGCCTCAGTGGCTACAGGAGACTTCTCATCCGAGTTCATGAGACTAAGTCTTAGACTGTTCTTACATAGGAACCCGAAAACCTTTGTCCCCCATCTCCCATGACCACTTACCCTGTGGTATAAGTGCGACTACATGGCTGATTCGACGTCGACCACGATGTGATTACGTACTAGCCCTTACATCTTTCTTGTTCCACACTCTGTCGGGTTAGTCAACATACCATACATCGTTTGGGGAAACATGGGCTCTTGAAAAAAAAGCTTCATACATGGAGATATTTGCTTGCATGGTCTCGCCACTATTAGTCGAAGCAGAAACTAGGTTCGTAAAAGTTAGATAATGCCATGGAGGAAATTTTCAAGTCAACTCGTGGTGCCTATCTGCTAATATCTGTCGGAATTGCACTCGCTATGCACACATAGAAACACAGCTGATTGTTCAGGGTACCATTGGGGATAATTATCAACCATTCATCATAGTGATATATTCTGTTATGCGAAGTGTTTAATTCCGCGGTGTCTCTGATTTATTATATATTTTTTAAAGCTGCAACCTTTGTATGTCGCATTGCCAGAGCCTGAGCTGATTTAATGTGATATGTGTATAGGGTAACACAACACCGCGTGTCTCGAAACCAATTCTGGCCATCAAGGCCGGAAGTCCACGAACGTAATTTGTCCAATTTAGCCGCTGGTTTCTAATTACCAGAAGCTGCAATCATCCTGTCTGCCGTATCAAACAATGTGTCGGCAACAATACCCATCTGTCCAAATAATTTGGGGAGCGCCTCGCCCTCCAGGGCAGTAGAAGTACGATAAGCCGCTGTCAGGGACTAAATGCACAATAGGGAGTGAAGAGGGCAGACTCGCTACTAGATAGCAGCTAAAAGGTAGTAACGGGGTGGTGACTGTATTGATCTCTGGCCTCTTATCATTTCTGTGGGTGAAGACTGCTATTTATGCTTTCCATTTGGTATCCCGACTGCCGCCGAGCCGGAGGCTTGCCGGCGGCCTCGCAGCGTATTCGCCGAGGAAAGGGATGTAAGGCACGCATGAGGGGGGATCTAGCGTTCCGGACCACGCGTTTGCGTTCCAAGCGCGGCGTTGCATTCCGGCACCTGACAGCCGCACTAAACCCACAACGTTGAGGTCATTAAAGAACGAAACAATAGCAATAGAGGAACATGCATCCCACAGTTTTTGATGCAGTAAAACGCCAAACTGCGAAATCGGCTTCACGCAGCGTGCTGATGCACTGCACTCGGCAGCTCCCTCTCGATGAGCCAGTTTCTTCCACGCGTCAATTAAATACGCAATATCCTCCACGTTTTCAAAGGAGTGCAGCTCTTTGAGTCCGGCGTATGAAGGCATGGGTAAAACAGAGCCTCGAAGACTGTGAAGAAAACTACGTAGCGTCCAGACATGGAAATATACGTGTACTCACGCTCGGCCACCTCCATCCCGCAGCACCTAAGGAGCTTTGGGTGGATGCCGCGGGCGCGGAGTCGCTCGCGGAGTCATTCATGCATGGCTTCGAATAAATACCTATAGGAGACGAGCGTGCCGACAACATCAAAAACAACGTTCTTTGGTGCAGACCTGGCTGGGAGACTGGGAGATGCATCAAACTTGCGGAGAGGGTATAGGATAAGTTGGGGTTGATTAAAGATTGCTCGGGTGAAGAGCACTTGGGGGCCAGGGTCAAGGTGCTCCCTCAAATATTGACTTATCATAGGTGATGCGTAATGTCTACACTCTGCAACCATGTGACACTTTGTTGCATCATCATGTAGAGGGTCCAGCACAGCGTCCCGGGAGCTGGTCCGGTCATTGATTGAGATCCGCATCCACTGCCAAAATAGGCATTGCCTAAATAGGCATTGCCAAAATAGGTATTTTGTTTCCGGCCCTTGGTCGATTAGATGTACCTGAGGGGTAGGTGCTCCGCGATCGGACCGGCCATTATCCCTGTTTCCTGGCGCATCAATCACGGGAAATACTTGTCGTATACAGTCGTTCTTATCAGGTGGTCCGGTCGGGGCAATTGAGCATCAATGTTCCAGATAGTAACAGGCCGATCAATCAATTGTATTGAGGGGTAAGTGCTACATAACCGGCCCGGTGATTACCCCTGTTTCGTGTCATATCAATCGCCGTGATATTGTCCATATACAGCAGTTCCAAGTAGATCCTCTGAGAAGTGAAGGGTACATGATATTTTATCGAGTCAGCCTAGAACTAGGTGTAGCAAGGAGGATGTGCAATGTTTATTAACGGGCTAGTGGGTAAATGCTACCAAACCTTGTGCCATTAAATTGGCCACGGCCAGACTAGACTGAGATGGGGGGGAACCGTCTAAAGTCTACGTGGAAGCCTTTCGTAAAGTTGCATGAAGGCCCACCTGCAATAATTATCCGACCATGTTAGCAGAGAAAACGGCCACCCACGGCATGGGCTCACGGACGAGATACTGGCTTGCTTGCTGACCAAACCCTTAAGACTTGATCAGATAAGCTAAAATAGTAAGTCAAATCCCATTTAAGCTCAAAATAGTATCTGGTGTACTGATTGATAACTCGGAACGGTGGAGTCGTGCAATACTTTGACTGCCTCCGACCACCGGCCCGGGTCACTTCCTCAACCATCAAGGTGTCTGTAGCCTCAAATGAACTTAAAGCGCTGACGCGAACGTCAGTTGTCTAGTAAATCATCTCCATGTCAATTCAACGCCACGCAAATACTTGACCAGCACATCGATTTCCACAATGCCTATCCCAATTAACAACCCTACCAAGTCTTTCTGGATTGAGGGAGCTGCATCCCCTCTACGAGACTTTCGCTCCACCAATGACCTGCCAAGGGAGACAGATGTCGCCATTATCGGTAGTGGATATGCAGGAACAACTACAGCCTACTGGCTGCACAAGGTAAATAGATAGCCTCATATCAAGTTTGTGAAAAGATTCTAATTAAATGAAAGCACACGCAAAACAGCCCCGTAAAGCCCAAGATGCTGATGCTCGAGGCACGGGATATTTGCGGATCTTCAACTGGTCGAAATGGTTGGTTTCATGTTCACTCATATATCCTCAACACTAACGCAAGGTCAATCAAGGGGGGCAATTGAGACCACATGCGTACTCGCGCTACACACCATGGGCGAAGCGATTTGGCTCTGACGGGGCCATGGCGCTCATTAAGCATGAAATGGCACATCTGCCGGCCTTTAAAGAACTTGCAGCTGAGGAGGGCATTGCCGAGGAGGTTTGCCTCAAGTTTGGCGAAACATTTGACGCAGCAATGTCAGATGAAGCGTGGACGCGACTGAAGGGCGCTTATGAATTGATGAAAAAGGACCACGGAGAAGACAACGAGGTGGTCAAAGTCTGCAGGCTTATTGAAAGCTCCAAGGATGCCGAGGAGTTCACCCAAATGAAGGCATGCCTCGGGGCAGTCGTACACCCTGCCGGTCAAATGTGAGTGCGCCATGTTATTTTGTAGACATACCTGAAGATGACTGACAACTCGCAGATGGCCTTACAAATTTGTTCATGCCGTTCTTCGCATCGTACTTGAAGCAGGCAATCTGAACCTCCAAGCACACACTCCGGCTTTGAGCGTTTCGGAGCGAGACTCCGACGGCTGGATTACTGTTAAAACGCCGAGAGGAGACGTGCGAGCAAAGACGGTGGTACACACGACGAACCGATGGGCCTCCCACCTCTTGCCGGAGCTTAGCAACCTCATCGTTGCGGACAGAGCAACTCTGGCGTCTATTCCTGCTCCAGAGGGTTTCATTAGACATACTGGTGCCCAGCATTGGGACAGCGTCGTTAACGTATGTGTACTTCGGAACGCGACAAGTTCAAAAGCTAACTCTTATAGAACTACCATCTCCAGCTTCCACCGCCGTACAACAATATCATTGTTGGCGGAGCTAGATCCGTTCTTGTTCACTCTCCGGACAAGTGCTATCTTAACGATGAAGAGGACCAGCAATTCGATGGTGTTCCCGAGTTTTACCAATCTTGGCCTGCATCGGACGTGGTCGGCTGGCCAGGAAGCAATCCAGCAGAGTTGTGGAAGGGTGTTAACGAGGGCGGTTGTTGGACAGGTGGTAAGTCTTCCTGGATGTCTCATGCCGCATTAACCGTCCACTAACACTATTGCTAGTTGACTCAGTAAGTCTTGACGGCTTTCCCTTTGTCGGAACCATGCCGAGCCACTCTGGACACTTTATTGCGGCAGGATTTTCAGGTCACGGTGAGTGTTTGTTCCCGTCGCATCGATTTTATACACACTAATGCAAGTACCAGGCATGCCTCGAATACTACTCTCTACCGCTCACGTCACACCACTTATCTTGGATGCCCTGGGTTTCCAATACAGCGCCCCATCGCTTGTTGGACCATACCCACCACTGCCGAAACCGTTCTCTGCTACGTCCGAGCGAATCGACTCCCTTCAAAAAGTAGACGCTGCGGCTGTATTTGAGCAAGACACGACAGATGCTGTGGAAAGTGCAAAGAAGCCGTTTTGCATTGGCCGCAAAGTTGATTCACGCCTTTGAAGTGTTAGGCGGGGTGGCAGAGTAGCTAAACTCTAGGTGCACCTTTCGCATAGCATATGAAGCACTGTTTAATATTCCATAGCAGACCACAATCCTTAGTTCATGCCTTGAAGACCGACCCGTTCAACGCTCAGCCTGTTAATGCAATACCGGGCGACTTGCTTTGCGCATTGAACGCACTGTCACAGATGGTAGTGCTTAGGAAGAAGGGGGATCACTACCTGTTTGCAGGGACATGATGGGTTTTTGACTCACTTCTCAGAAGCAAATGTATTGTATGCATCGTTAAGGAAAAGAGGTCGAGATTATTAAGGTTCGATGACATTGACAAAATAGGTTCATTCCCTAGTCTCGTTTGTTTTTAAGCATACGAGAAAGTTGTTTGTGAAATAGTAGGCATTTGTGGCTAGGTGATGAATGGCTAAATGGCTGATACCATCATTAAGGGTGGCTAGTGTCGTGAGGTTTCCCGTCGGTCTTCAGACCTAATTTTATTGTAGAATCCTAAGAACCCCAACATATAACCAGCCGTTCTACCTTCATCACATCAGAAGAAACGTCATGAGATATACATCTCTTAACGATCCGGATCAGGTGCTAAACTCATCACAAGGAATTTAAAGAAAGATGGATGTTCAGAGCAGATAAACCCTACACTCTTCACGTCGATTTAGCCGCAGAAACAAAGTTCAACTAGCGATGGGAACTGTAATTCGCAATGCTGCACTCTCTGTTTCCAGAACCGCTCTCTGTAAATACATAGATCCCCCCCCCCCAGGAGACGACATTTCTTGATGACACATAAGGACACGAACCGTCTTCACGTCTTAGTCTCGAAAGTGTGCATGGAAACCCCTACAGTCGCCCCGGCTATCCTAATTGGCCTGGATCTGTTTCGAGGTTGGTACACCTTGTATCACTCCATCCTCGCCTACATCAATATCCGTGCTAGCAGGGGCCTCCGGCACCAATCGGATGAGGAATACCATGCAGGGGATTGCGAGAGCCAGCACCGAGCAGTTGACGTAGAACGGAATTCGGGGATCAGAGGTAGAGTTGGAGTTGATGGCGTACGAGACAGCTTGACCAGCCGTTTCGAAGGCGCGGAACAGGCCGCCCGTGCGAGAAGATGATCCGACATCGGTAGAAAAGGTGCCTAGAATCCAGTATAGAGACAGTTGAGTCCAATACCCGGTAACAAATATGATCAAGTACGGCAGGTAGGCCTCGGCCCATCTCTTGCTTGCACTTTGAGAACAAAGGGTGTCAGCACCTGGCCCAGATAATACTTGAAGATCAACTCACAGTTCGTAGTCCAGTGCGGCTGTGCCCTTTCCAAACTTGGAATATTCGATGCCAATCCAGATGAAGCAGGCCGATTGGGGAATGACCCAGAGAGAGAAAGCAAGCCATGCTCGCTTGGACTGCGCCCAGCGCTTTGTATCCAACAGTTTCCCATAGGCAATGACTGCTGGAATGGTGATTGTCGCTGAAACGGATAAGTAATATTTCAATAATGGCAGTGATGAATTTACTTACGAACAATGAGGGACGACAAGCTACGTGCGCGCACTGAAAAGTGTAGCGAAAGATATGTGCCCATAGTTCCACCATAAAAGAATGAGTAGAAGGCAGGGATAAAAACGAGCCAAGTCTAATTCCAGGGTAAGTTATATGCCGGAGCAATTCTCGATGGAAATTGGCCAACCTTTCTGTACTGCATATGCCTCCAAAGGGCTTTGAACTCTTGCTTCCAGGTGATTCTTCCAGCGATGGGGATTTTGGAGCCATCGCGACGTCGAACACGCCTGGTGGGCGACAGTAGGAAAGCCCAAATTACACCCGTGCAAGCTATGCATTCCAGTGATTAGAAACAGCTATCAGGTCGAGATGTTAAGACCTTACCAAAACCAACAAAGATGAGGTATGTAGACCATGCAATTCCTCCTGCAGAGGACTGGGTGTTGTTCGTGGAAAAGTTGATGGCGCCACCAATAACGCTGCCCGAGTTTCGCATCGCAGACCAAATGCCTGCGGAAATTTAATTAGCACAGCTCATGGATGGTACTCGGCTCTGACATACCTAAATAGAAACCTCTATCGTTCTGATACGGGTACGACAGCATTGCGGTCGTCTCTGCGACGTAGAGGAAGCCCGAGGTAAATCCTCCCAGGATCTATCAAGTTGACCATTAGATGTAAGACTGCCAAAGAGGGAGGTGTCTATAACTTGCATTTGAGAAGAGCAGGTACCAGTCAACACCGTATTTCGCGTTCACGTAGTAAGCCGAGCCTGACAGAGGCATGGCCACAGCAGCAATCATGCACGACCACTTGATACCAAATTTGTTAATCAAGGGCCCTCCAATGAGCGTGACCATACACCCAGACGCGTAATTGAGCGAGTTGGCCAAGTTGGCCAAGTAAGGGCTGGAGAGACCGCCACCTCCTAGGTTGGAGATGGCATCGGCCATAGCTGGGCCAACGAATGAGAGGCTACGCAAATATTATTAAAAACCAGATTTTGCGTCTTGGATGGCTGGTTGCTTACGCTCCAAACAGGATCATTTGAAACAGGACGCTCCTGTAGAATTTGGTGAGGGACGAAGCGCGCAGATACGCTTCGTCGATCTCACTGCCTTGGCCTCCATTGTCGGTATAGCTGGTTACAGTGGCGAGCTCAGCCCTGTCAGCAGTTTTGCTGTCGTCTTTTGGTTGTGAAGTTGCCATCAGGAACGGTAAAGCGAAGGCGACTAACAGACCACGGAGGAAATGAGAAGCACTAAAGGGAACCCAGCTTTATATCGATTACTATTTGCGAGCCTATCATTCATCTATCCTCCATTCGGCGATCGACTGATCAAGCGATATGCAAGATAGCACCTCCACGTCCGTAACCTAGATCGACCACCTGGCTTCCTTGCAACATCAACTTGGATCGATGAAACTCGATTGCTACCAGATAAGTCGAACCTTGCTCTACATCAATCCCTTCACCGGCGACCGGTATTTTTTACGCCGGTTTGAACCGGGCCGGGACTTTTGCTGGGGTAATCGGTCGTCTTTTGGTATCGAGCTGCCAAGGACCGGGTAAGAAATACCGTAATCGAAATAGTCGCATTGTGTTAGCGGCAGGCATGCCATTTTGCGATCGGCGGAACACGAGTCGCGTTATCTCCAGCTATCAAAGGCCCTGCTGGAATTCGTCAGGGATTCTTTGGTAACATCCCGGGACCGGCTATCAGTGATATACGAGGACTCGGGGCTCGTCTATTCCTAGGGTCTGGTCCGGAGCATTCCAGCGACTCAGCGGAGTCGACCAGGTCATGATATAACAGACGACGCCTAGCTTGCTACATGCCTCTCATCTCCTCCCTATTAGAAATCACCAAGTCTACGCTTTGCCTCAATCGGACTGCTATCAAGATCATGCCGCCTTCCCCGCTCCCCGTCGCAAACCCCACGACCTCCTTCTGGAGATCGTCTCCACACCCCCTGGACGATTATCGGTCTACCTCTGACGTCCCTTCACAAGTGGATATTGCTATCATTGGTGCCGGTTATGCAGGCGTGTCGACAGTTTACCACATCCTCGACATCTGCAAGCGTCGGGGCACCGTGCCTCCTAATATCGTGATTCTTGAAGCTCGGGAAGCCTGTTCTGGGGCTACCGGTCGCAATGGTATGTTATATCCCTGAACTCGCCTTTTTCAGACTCCAGTCTCAAATAATCTCGTCATAGGCGGTCATCTCAAACCCGACCCCTCAAATCGGCCGTCCAGTCTCGCCGTCACCCATGGCGTCGAGATTGCTTCCGAGTGTGCGACTTTTGAGGCGCGAAATCTTTCTGCGGTGAAGAAGACGATAGAAGATGAGAGCATTGATTGCGATTTTGTCTTGACACGCGCGGTCGACGTAATGATGTCAGATTCCGTCTACAACAAGATGAAATCCGGATTCGACATGCTCAGAAAGAATGCCTTCCCAGGGATGGAAGATGTGCACTTTGCGAAGGGCGCGGACGCGGAAAGGGTGAGCCGAATAACACGCCTGCTCATCGTAGGATGTCAAGATGCTGATCAGAACTAGTTGTCAGGCGTCAAAGGGGCCAAGGGCTGCCTTTCTTACTCTGCGGGCCATCTGTTCCCATACAAGCTCATCCTTCACTTGCTGAGCAATGCCATTGACGCTGGCGTGAATGTGCAAACACACACACCTGTCACCGGGGTTACCAAGTCGGCCGACACGGAGGGCTACTTTACGCTCACAACACCACGGGGCTTAGTCCGAGCAAAAGACATCGTGTACGCAACCAATGGCTATATTTCATCGCTACTGCCCGAGTTTACCGATACAATTATCCCATCACGGGGCATTTGCAGCCATATAAAGCCCACCAAGAATCCTGCACCCTTCCTGCCGAATTCGTACATGATTCGCTGGTCAGACACCAAGTACGAGTATTTGATCCCGAGACCTGACGGCAGCATCGTTGTCGGAGGTGCGCGGTCCGAGTTTTACCATGACCTTGAAAGCTGGTACAACAATGTCAACGATGACCTGTTGATCGACTCTGCAAAGACCTATTTTGATGGATATATGCAGCGCGTATTCCAAGGATGGGAAGACAGCGGCGCTTACACATCCCAGTTGTGGACAGGAAGTAAGTTGACGTGTCTCATTCAAGCTGTTGAAATAACTACTAACAAAATCCGCAGTAATGGGGTACTCATCTGACTCAATGCCCCATATAGGTGTCGTTCCAGGAAGAAAGAACCAGTTCATGCTTGCTGGGTTCACTGGACATGGCATGCCTCAGATATTTCTCTCGGCAAAAGGAATAGCGTCAATGGTGCTTGATAGAGTAGATTTCCCGAGTACAGGTATTCCAAGGATATATATGGCTACACAAACTAGATTGGATAATCCAAAGAACTCTATACTAGATGGCTGGAGGGAAGTACACAAGAAGCTGGACAATGCTAAACTATAAGGAGGGGGCTGCTTATATAATGATACGAAAACTGTTGTTCGTCATTCAACCAAATCGTGCTTTGTATTAACACTTCAATCCCATTGATCAAACACTTTTGCTTTATTCATTCATGTGCTTCCTCGGCTAGACCAGCTTCTCCAGGGAATAAACTTTACCTGTACTTCGGTACGCCTGTGCCCCTAGCTTGAGCTGCCTCTTACCGCCCGTCTCAAGGCCAGGTTGGCTCTTTGTCCAAGATAAAGAAGAGATAAGGGTCCCGACGAGTCATACAGTCGTATTCGCGGGATTTATTCAACACAGCTAGGTGGTGACGTAGTTTGTATCTTACAAGACGTAGCTCTTCCTGTCAATAACCAAGAAGCTACTACCACCGCAATAATGAGGCCTCATTGAGAGGTACAAGCCGTACAATCATACACTCCGAGCCTTATATACGGCGAATAGTACTGGTTCCGCTGAGTGCTTTCAGCCCGGAGAAGCTTACGGTGGACAGCTCTTATGCCGGCGAGATGTTGAATGGCCGATCTAGGATTCTGTGTAGAGATCATCCGTTGGGATTGGGAGGGTGGCAGACGGGATCAGCAGCCGTCCCGTGCGATCGGTAGAGATTTATAACTTGACGTCACTGACGGATCATATTAGGTTAATTCGGATGAAAAGGGAGGGGAAGGGGGGTGGTGACTACTTGACCAGGCCGAGACAATTATCACCCCATTCATTTGTGGCTTGTGGCTTGACATGTGAGCAAGACTGAATGGCACCAGCATAAGTATATGAACTAATGTACCCCCTCGCTTCGATTCGTCGTCCATTTGCACCGGTCTGTACCATCTCCGGGAATACATTGCTTCTGACTTATATCAGTAAACACAACCACAACCAACCCACATCCCTCAATCTCCTTCAACATGTCGCGCGACCAGATACACAGTGGCAGGTCCCACAAGGCCATTTCTGTATTCTTGCGCCTGGGTGAGCTTTCTTCCGCCGTCATTGTCTTGGGCATTCTCAGTCGCTTTGCCTATCTACTGGGAGTTGCTCAAGTTCATGCCGACGGGAGAATTGTCTACGCCATGGTGACCGCAGGGATCGGCATCCTCTTCTCTCTTCTGTTCTGCCCCCCCTTCGATAGCCTCTTCATGGCCTTCCCGTTCGATTTCATCTTGTGGATAATGTGGCTGGTGGCATTCTGCCTGCTTGAAACGGTACGACCAAACCCATCATTCCTATTCCTATGCTCCATTCTTGGCTGGACGTCGTACTTATCACCTCCATGAACAGAGAACATCCTCGGGGGTCTGCTCTGCTCGCTGGTATAACGATTATTGGGGCTACTACTGGGGCCGTTACTGGCGCGTTGGTGGCATCGGAACAGTCAACGTCAACAGGGCGGGATGTGGCGAGTGGAGAACAACACTGGCATTTTCCTTCGTCGCTTCCTTCCTGCACCTCGTCAGTGGTATTTTGGTGAGTAATGTCCCGCTTCATCTTAGATTCCGAAGATTCGTCAAAGCTCATCAAATATTCGCAGGGAATTTATGTCTTCCGTACATATGTCCACGTAGCGGCGACAATGGAAACTGTGAAACATACAACAGAAAAGCTCTCCAAGTGAGTCTATCACGGTCATTATACTACCTAGCTTCTTCAGACTAATGCTTATCCTTCTACCAGGAGCAGTAAGAAACCACCACGCGGTTCTGATCAGATTGCGGATGTTGAGAATGGAACAAGCACTACTCAACCCCCACCCAAGGACGAGACGCAGCCTGCTGGTCTTCGTAATTAATGGTGGCACTATTCCCCCATTGAACATTGACTCGACCTTCTTGCTTGTTATAATGCCACTATGTACTTGAGTGCCAGGTGAGAAGGCTGAAACGACACAGATTGGATCTCGCTGCCGTACGCGGTTGATTGGAAACACTGCAATAATACATCATGGTTTTCATTGACCGACAATGTTCTTCTGTGATAATTTCCCAATCAATGTAAAGGCTTGCGAGAGGAGGGTACACCGACGACTCCATGTGGTCAGCGGGCAGAATACTGGGGAAATCACATGCGAGCCCAATTGAAGCCCAGAGATGCACACGGAGCTATCCGCCTTCTCAGCTGAAAAACCAGGACAACTTCGGCTTGCGTCTGAATTCTCATTACTAATAGCAATCTGGAGTTTAACCTTCGCCGAGATGAGGCACCAGTCTACACCTTAAAGGATGCATACATTACGATAGCGGGGTGACACGAGTGACAGGTCAGATGTGACAGAATCCAACTAGTCGATGGATGGCATTTGGCTGCATATGTGGCGCAACTCAATATTGTTGTGGCAGAGAAACGGCCACCGTACGGTATGAACCATGGATCATGGAGATCCTCTTGTCATGCCCCGTATGTTGATCCATACAAGGTGGTTGTAGTCTACTTTGTGAGTGAATACATCTCAACAGAGGCGGTCAATACGTTTATCATTTCCACATTGCTTGAGAGCTGCTGTCTCCTTGCCGTCCCAATATGGGTATGCACTCCCGTGCCGTGCGGAATTGGTTCAACTCGTCAGCGGCTTGTGGCTGAAGTGTAATTGTGACACGTCCACGCTGAGCGTGTGGCCCAATTATGTTCAAGAGACGAGGTGCATGCCCGAAACGTCAAAGGATGGGAATTCGTGAATAGGACTAATGATGCTCCTTTGTGCAAGCCTCCCAGGCCGGACTTTTCGGCATTGTCCGAGATATTCCCATCAGCGCGACCCAATACAATTTGCCCTGTTTAGTTAACCCCCAATAATTATTTCACGTTCATAATCCGATTGAGAACAGCTTTCTGGACCGCCGACACTGCTATGTGCGCGAGGGGATGTTTTTTCGGGTCGTGATCCAAGAGTATGTCCATGGTTGCTGAAGCTGTGGCCACTGTGGCGACTTTGAATCCCTTCTTTCCAAGCCACAACCCATGATCATTCCGAATTCGGTACGCTGCCCCTACTGCCGTACTAATCGCCTTTTCTGCAGCATGCTTTTCCATAGCATATTTTTCTACAACATGCTCAATTTTGCTGCGTTCCCTTGGCGGATGTTTCTTTTTCTGATTGGTTCTGTGGCGGCCGCTCGTCCCTGGGGTGATGCTGCGTGACCGTTGACGGTGGGATTCATGAGCATGGAAACGGGCGTCGCTAGGTTTGCTCTTTGGACTCGATTTATCGCTGATGTCTCCCGAATTTCTTGATTTCTGGTACCGAGAATGGCCGGGTGGGTCGACAATCATCAATGGCAAGCCATGAGAGCGAGAGGTATTGTGCTCGTCTTCATCCCTCCAGTGATGGCGTCCGCGTCCGCGACCTCGGTGTCGTGTATGACCATCGTGTTCCATGTTTATGGATGATGACGTGAATGTATTCATGAAAAATGCCTACTATATATATTTACTACGATTCCGGGTGGGAAATGGCGCTCGTTGCTGTTCACAAGCACCACACTTTGCATGTGCATTATGCCAAAGAATGAGCCCTGTAATGGAAACGAGCAGGCCGGGAAGCCCTCACATCAATTACCAATGGCAGATGAGGCAACGGTCATTGAACCTTATCATAATTGATTCCAGTGAATATGGAGAAGCAATCCCCTCAATGTCGTCTTGCTCTAGCGTTGCCGTTGGAAGAAGCGAGGAGATTGAACGACACCTTGCGGCAAGGGTGCTAGGACTACCACTCTCCGCCAGTGCAGGGATGTCCCTTGTGACGTAATTCTGATGGTGGATTCATGACGACTTCGAAATAGGTCCAATGGACAAACAGGGGTTTTTCGAGCTAGTGATGAGACAAAATGGCCTGATCGGATCAGGCATAAAGTCCCCTCAAACTCAAACAAAGGAGGCTCAAACTCATTCGCTATGGCTACTGATCCACATGCTCGCGATCTCGATCCCAAAGCTCAAGCAGCCACGTGTTTACCCAGACCAGCATGGCTGTTCTGCATGACATCCATGTGGTAGCACTGCGGAAAATGTCTTGAACACAATGCACCACCAATTATATCCCTGAATCAGGAGCAGTTGCAGCATACAGCTGCAGGACTGTGGCTTGGGTTTGTTATTCAGAATGGATGTCGGCAGTTCGGATACGAGACTCCGTCCGTAGTGTTGTGTCCCAGAGGCTCGACTTCTGACGCCTGATGATACAAGTCAAGGAGATCGATAATCTGAGATTTTGATACCACTAAGAGGCTCGTCTTCCTGTATGATCGTCAGGGCACTCGTCGTCGTGGTTCTCAAACCACACCCACAAATGTTTAGCCTGTTGTTGATTCCCCGCACTAGGGACAAGCGGATGATCCTTTGTCTCGGCCACCCCTAGAGATCCCGAGAAGGTGGCCTGCGGCGCTATCTGGTAGAGGACATTGGCTTACAGACTCAAGGTTCTGTTAGCTACTCAATGGTAATTTTTCTTTGAATGCCGGGGTGGCATTCGCTGAGAAAGTCTACGTGGGGAGCTCCGAGCATGGCGTCGGAGGATCGCCTTGATTGGCTTCACATAAGCGACCTGAACCCTGACGCGTACAATAACAAGATCATTGGTCATGATGCAGTTTGCAGAAAACAGGCATTGTCCTTGTTGTCAAGGCACAGAGCCCTCATTAACGGCGACGGCGTTTCCCTGCCCTTGACAGCGTCCTGGAAACTTCGTCGATCAGGGCCACGTCGGTGGCGTACTTTGTGGTGTGACATCTCCGTGGCTTGTCTGGCGGTAACTGTGCCGATAGGTCAATATCGTAGCCGCAAGAGAACCTCTGCGGGGACATTCTTCACAAGTTCCTGATCAAATCAGGTTTGTTAACCTCGGCCTGATGCCGTTTCTATCAGCTACAGATTGAGTATCCATGGACTTAGAAGCTTGGGAAAATTTGCGGACCACGGCTTTGCGGGAAGTGCGAGATGTGTTGTGAGAGTCTCATGCGATGTCTGATGCACGGCGTACACCAATTCTGCCATTCACTTCCACCGAAAATGCCAGCCCAGTTTGAGTATGAATATGCCACTCTTCAATGACACGGTCTTGAAGCGTTACTTGATACTCAATCCCTATCTCTTTAATCATCCTTCGACATGATCTCCAACATGCTTCTTGATCAACACTTAGAAAGAAAAAGATAATATCATGAACCTGTGAGGCCAATATTCAGCAAACCAATTCTCTTCAAGGGACAGGGTAAATCATACATAACAAGACACATGGCCCCCTCTAGATAATCGGCCTGCCCATCACGGCATACTTCTGCGAGCAAAAGCGTTCCGAGGAAGATGGAAATTGTTTCCGGTGTTGGAAAGTGCAATGTCATAGGGGATCTCGATTGAATCGCCCACGAAAACAGGACCAGGACTGGGGCTACATACAGAGCCACGTGCATGCTTCGGCTGATTGCAAAGTCCATGGCCTTTGGCATCTTATTCTGGTAGGCAGCCACGATTGCACCCAGTCGAGATGGACCATCCGTTGCAAGGGGAAGAAGAACGAAACTCGCCATCCGATCACTGATGAAACGGGTATCTGATGCAGCGTCAAGTGTTCTAACCAGAAAGTAAGCAGACATCGAAGTCAGAGCAAGATTTCCGACGAGAAGTATTGCTTCAGCCATGCCAATCCAAAAGAGTTCTGCCATCGGTCGGTTACTCAACGCGTCAAACGGATCCATGAAAAGAGCTCTGTGCGATCTGAGTCTGTAGTGCAGATAAGTTGCGAATAGTACGAGAAGAGCTATGGACACTGAACGCGATACCCGCACGAGCGCCTCTTCACAATCATCGTCCACTCTGCATTGCGCCTCGGACAGGGCTGATGGGACAACGAGGGCACTCGATGCGACGATCATCAGGGAAGATGTCGTGGACGCATAGGATGTGCTGAAATTGGATTCTGAGTGGCGGATGCCAGCGATGAAGAAACACCATCCAATAACCTTGGCAAGTCAATAATCCCAAACGAAAGGAGAAGGAATTGAGGCTCACGAGAAGAAGGTTGGCTAATACGCTGCCAAGAATACATGACTGAATAACACGGATGGAATTGTTTTGAATAGCTGCCATGCCAACCTCATTCGTGTTAGTATATAGATCATTATGCTCTAGTAAGACTCACGATGAGTAACGGCGCATTATCGAAAAGGGCATACAACAGTCCTCCTCCCCCTGGTCCCAGAACAGCCGATAAACGGCACAACCTGCGGTTGTTTAGCTTGGACAGCGATGCGATGGCAAGGAAATTTAAATTGAAGACCAGTGCCGGGGATTTATCCAGGAAGCCAGCGGTTATTCCCAGGGGGGCAAAGACGATGAGAAGATTGGTGTAGCTGCCGGGTTTGCACATTTGCATACAACTTCGTAAACATTGCCGGCTGGGACGAGGGCTTTGGTCAGATGAGAGCAGGGGAGATCTCTCGTCTGCATGTTCGTAAGGCATGGGAAGCGCATCCATTGCGCAGCTCTTGGAATCCTTGGCGATCCGGAGTTGGTTCTGTTATTTCGGCTATGGGTTAGGAGTTTGCGCATTGCCTCTTTCGAAAGCCAAGAAGCCCCTTCGACGGTGGTGCGCTCAGTGGATAATACAATAACCCCCCATCGTGAAGATTCGAGAGATACATAGATGCCTGAGGAAGGAAAACGTCACATGCATGCTCCTACAAATTTGTCACAGTTGCATAGAATGGTCTAGACTGTGGTGTACCTCGTACACGCACTGTTGCTGTTCGGGGACCTTTGCTTTGTCTCCGCAAGCCACAGCTAGCGTCTCATTTGACGCCACCAATCTTCTATTGTAGAAGAAGCCCGAGGTGAATGCAATACCCGAGTCTATTTGAGCCATTCGGTAAGCTCGCCGAGCTGGACGGGGGGTTGACTTTCCTAGCGTAGCTCTGAGACATGGAGAAAAAACTTGGTAGGATTGAGTTCCGTGTACCTCTTACTGTGGCGTAGCTGAAATCGACATTCCTGTTACAGTGAAAATACAATACGATGAATGAATGACATACCCAGCCTGGACATAGCTACAGCAGCAGAATTATTGCGTCATTCTTGTCGGGTGACGTGTATTAGCAGCAACTCAAATTCTGAGGGCTGAGCTTTGGCTGAACCATCCCGTGAATATCGGCAAGACGGCCGGCCGGCTCCAGCCTCTGGTAGCGCGTCGATGTAGTAATGCCGTGAAGTGGAATACGACATGAAATACTATATGCACAAGAAGGAGCGCCAGGCTCGCCGGGGAAATCTTACGTCAACACCAGAACGATACACATCCAAAATCCAAATCGAAACCAAGCAGCACAAACATGGATTTCTCGGACTTTGAGGAGACAGATGACATATTTTCTGGCGATGAGCAGGACATGGCACCGGAGCCTGGGCCTAGCGCGCCATTCCGACGATGCGACCATCTACCGTGTGCTCATCTGATGGGCGGCGTGCTGCCTCCTTGGATTGGTCATGGAGGCAAGCTTGTCGGGGTTGTTGATGTCGGGAGGTGAGTTCTTGGTGTCTAATTGACCTGAATTCGGCTGATGAACTCCTAGCAATGGCATCCGATTCTCCATTTCTGAGCTCTCCTCTGCACTTGCCCGCATCCTCCCGACTGTTCTGGTCTATCGATCGTCCATCTCGCTGTACGATACCCAGTTCGACCCTCAAACCGGCAAGCGTATTCCGATTCCCGCCCATATCATTGACTCTGTCTGCACCGTTCTGGGCCGCTTTGTCGTGATATGTGAAGATATTGGTGTCAAAAAGGAGGATATCCATGTTGTGGCAACAGAAGCGACCCGTACTGCTTTGAACTCTTCTACTTTCATCAAGGCCATACACGAGAAGACAGGGCTAAGTCTGACACTCCTGCCCAAGGAAGAGGAAGGCCAGATTGGAGCGCTTGGTATTGCCAGCGGATTCTCGAACATGGCTGGGCTAGTCATGGATTTGGGAGGAGGCAGCACCCAGATATCATGGATGATCAGCCAGGGAGGCGAAATCAGGACAAGCCCACATGGAAGCTTCAGTTTCCCCTACGGAGCGGCTGCCTTGACGAAGAAACTACACGATGTCCAGCACGGCAAGAAAAAAGAGGACAAGGAAATAGCTGTGAAGCAGTTCCGGACGGAGATGATTAAGAATTTCAGGGATGCATATCATCGCCTGCAGGTCCCAAGAGAATTGGTCGAGACAGCCCAGAGAGAAGGTGGGTTCCAGATCTATCTTTCTGGAGGTGGATTCCGGGGCTGGGGCTATTTGCTGCTTTACCTGAATCAGTCGGGAGAGGAGCAATACCCTATCTCCATCATCAACGGGTATACTGCCGGACGTAAACAATTCGAGGATACCGACACCATCGAAAAGATTGCCAAGGCTGCCAAAGACGTCTTTCGAATCTCGGATCGCCGGCGCTCTCAGGTTCCCGCCGTGGCTTTTCTCGTCAACGTGCTCGCCGAAGCTATTCCCAACGGCATCAAGGAAGCACACTTCTGCCAAGGCGGTGTGCGTGAGGGATACCTCTTCAAGCAACTTCCGATTGCAGTTCGACAGCAGTCTCCGTTAGAAGTAGCCACGAGCTTCTTTGCGCCAGACTCGCGGGTCGCACTTCAAGCATTGCTCAAGACTGCCATCCCGGCCCCATCGGCGACGAAGCGCTTCCCAGAAGCGTTCGGTCTTAATGTTATTGAATCGTTTGCGAATGCAATGTATGTGCACATGTTCATGTCGAAGGAAACAGCGTCCACGACAGCATTGTATTCGACAAGCGTCGGCCTGATGTCTACCATCCACGGCGTATCACATCGAGATCGAGCCCGGCTTGCATTGATGTTGGAGTCACGATATCAGGGAGAACTGCCACCTCGCGAGCTTGCGTTCCGTGAGTTGTTGCGAAAGCTCATCACCCCAGAGGAAGTCTGGTGGGCTTCTTATCTCGGCAGAGTTGGTTACTTGGTGACCAGGCTCTATCCTGGCGGAAAGATCCACAAGGCATATCCCAGGGTGGTATTTTCATCCCAGTGGTCGTGGAGTCTTGGCAAGGATAAGGACAAGGAGGGTTTGCTGCTTACAATCTCCCTGCAAAGAACCAAGGAAGACAAGGCCAAGATCAAGGACACCCTCCATGGGCTAGTTAGAGCAGTTGAGAAGGTGGGCAAGAAGAAGAACTGGATTGAAATGCCAAAGGAAGATCCCTGGGGGTTAAAAGTAAAGGTTGAGATTGTTGAGGAAGGAATTCTGGAAGATGTGGAGATAGTTTAGTTAGCTTGAAGAGAATGGATTCTGTATATTCTCCTACGAGCAGACTATAGCAACCGCGAGGATGCAGTGGCACTCACGCTTGCATTATCGTCAACTCTGACGTGCACCGCCTCTGTGTAATCGCCGTCTTTAATGCCCTAAATATGGAGACACCGGAATCCTTTGTGAAATTTCCTCAAGACTCATCTAGAACATGCGTAGGAATAGGGGAACAAAACTTGGCTCTTCTTGGTATTTGCATCGGTTTGTCGACATGGACTGTCCCAGGGAGTTTGATCTAAGCTATGTGGCCCGGAGCTGGTATCTCCACTACATCAACGTGCTCTTCTGAATTCAACAAGATGGAAGAAAAAGATGAATTTTGCCATTCCAGTTTGACTTTAAACTAGCCGTGATCGTATCCGTAATAATATACAACGCTTTTTATGCGACTCTACCCTTACAGTCGGCTTGGCTTAATCAGGTGAACATTGACAGGTGAAATAGCCTTGCCAGTCTTCTCAAAGGACAGGATATTCTCCATGCCCAGCTTCTCGAAGCCAATGTGCGAGTCCAATGAAGCACCCGCATTGTGGGACAGAAGCTCGACGTTCTTCATCTTGACGAGCTCGGGGCTGATGTGAGGCTCGTTCTCGAAAACATCGAGACCCGCGGCAGAAAGGTGGCCGCTCTGTAGAACCTCGACTAGGTCGGCTTCATTGATGAGCTTGCCACGCGCAATATTGACCAGTCGGGCGCCCTTCTTCATCTTTGCTAGGCCGGTTTTGCTGAGGAGAGCCTCGCCGGCGAATGGAGTCGCAACCAGGACACAGTCGGCCTCGGCCAGAAGAGTGTCGGAGCTCTTGTGGAAGACAGCCTCGAGAGGAGCCTCGACGTCCTTGGGGGCCTGCACGACATCGTTGTACAGGATCTTCATGTCAAGAGCCTTGTAGGCCTTCTCGGCGATGCGGCGTCCAATACGGCCAAAGCCAATGATGCCCAGGCTGAAGCCCTGCGGGTTCCGGGACACGGGCGCCAGGTTGCGGTTAGCATCCACGAACTGGTCCTTGTCGCCTGACCTCGCGGCAACGGCGGACCAGGACAGCAGGCGGAAAGTCGAGATGATGAGCCAGATGGCGGCGTCAGCTACAGACTCGGTGCAGGCGGCGGCAGCGTTGCAGTAGACAATTCCTACGTCGATAATCAGAATGGTTCAAAAACAACAACTGAGAGCAGCAGATTTACCTCGACGGGCGAGAGCCTCAGTGTCAACCCAGTCAAAACCGGCACCGGCACTGGCGTAGATCTTGCACGACGCGGGCAGCAGCGAGACCAATTCGGTGTCCCAGTTGCCCATCTCGCCTCCCGTGTTCCAGAACGGGCGGTAGATGGCCATGAAGTCGCCAAAGGCCTTGGTCTTCAGGGCCTGGATGAACTCGGTGCGTGACATGCTGTAGGAGCGGCGCACGTCGAACTTGGCCTCGAACTCCTTGTAGAGGTCATGGTTCCAGCGGATGTCGTCGCCGAGCTGCAGGACGATGGGCTTGGCCATTGTGACGGTGTTGATGGCTATGAGACGCGTGGGAGAAGAGGCAATTGGGCCGAGATGAGTCCAGTTGAATAGTTGAACGTGGGGCAGCTTTGTAAGGGGCTACGATGAATAAATACTGATCATGCCACTCGATGAAGCCCAGCCGCTTCACCGTTGCATGCTGTACGGATTGTCTGCCGAGTCGCGGGCGCCGGATCGAGAAACCCGACGCGTGGGAAGGGCAATTCTCTCCGAACGACGCCATGATTGGCTTCAATTCCTCAACGGCCCACCCCCAGACTGTGGGGGGGACACGCTAGATTCGGGCTTCTTTCCGAGCGGAGGCGGAATGGATCGACTTTGGGCTCGTGATGATCGAATCAGCTGTAAGATTCGGGCGAGATATAGACGTCGCAGAGCCGTCCGGACGAATGGGCGTTTGGGATTTATAGTGAATACTAATTAAAGGCTTTCAGAGAGAAAGACTCCTGCGGCCTTCTCCCGAGGGGCTGGCTACGCTTTAAATAGTGTCGACTTGGTTTGCGGGGCCCTGGACGAGTGAACGCACTGATTGCCGAGATGTCGATTTTGCAGCATTATCACTTGAGATTTCCTTTCGTTCTTCTAACAAATTGAAGGTCATTATGTGCTTTGATGACCTTCTTGGCCCGTCGCATTTGCCCAAGCGGCTCAGAACTGGCCCTCGTACATCCCGGACAGAATTGACGGCCATCGCTCCAAGTTTTGTACCCCAGCACAACAACAACCAGTTACACGAAATAAATTCACTCCTCCCAAGCCGACACCAGCCAGTGAGAGCTCTTATCTGTATGTCAAGGGCCGGCGTCCCTTGATCCACTTGGTGCTACCAACAAATGTGTCACCCGCAATGCGGCTTGCGCAACACCCCAGGTGTACGACACAAGAACAAACAAGATGATGCAGCCCACTCCTGATAAAAATACCGCCTAGTCCTTCTTTTGAATCCGGGGAAAACTCAACCATACCAATCCAAGTACAACAATCAAGGCCAAGACAATAGGCTGCAGCACCGCAACACCCTTACTTGCGGCAATCGCACCAATTGCAAAGGGAAATACCGTGCCGCCGGTACCTCCCATGGCCATCGCGAACCCAATGGCACTCACATGGATATGCTTGGGGAGCAACTTGGCCGTCACCATGACCGCTCCGGGGAACATGGGGCCCAAGAAGAAGCCCAGGAACGCAACGGCAACGGCGGACACGATAAACTTGGGGACAAGCCAGAACAGAAGCTGGAGGCCGATGCAGAGGCCGAGATATATCGTGATGCACACCCGCTCGCCATACCGTTCGGTGACAAACCCGAGCACAGCGCGCCCCAGAGCCTGGCCTGCCCAGAAGCCAGAGACGGACGCTCCTGATGCATACGCGGACGCGTTTCGCACTTTAAGCATAAAAGTAACAATCCATCCCCCCAGACCAACTAAACGCGACTATCAGATTAATGTGTTCAGGCAGAGAGCTAGGAGACGTACCCTCGACGCCCATGTACGCGAAGAAGAAAAGCGAAGCCAGCCAGGTGACTTTTGACTTGAGGGCTTCTCTCGTACCAGCTCCCGAAGACTCATGTGCGTGTTCGGCATTGTAGACGGCGCCAGTCTTGTGCCAAAAATTAATACTAGTGCCGATAAACTCGACAACTGCAATGCCGACCTGTGATAATGTTAGCGCACATCTCACATGGATGGCGTAGGACTTTATTACCATGATGTAGTAGTACGTGTACCAAGGTAAATCATACGTCACCACCAGTGAAGTAGCAATAAGGGGAGCAATCAAAGCACCGATTGAATAACAAGAGTGCATGAACCCCTGGATGGTGTTGGCCTTGTCCATGTTGCCAACCCAGGCACAGAAGCACGCGTCGCACAGTCCGTTACCAAAGCCGCTGATCATGTTGCAGATGACTAGGACAGGGTATGGCGGGTGAGCGGCCAGGGCGGCAAAGGTGATGATGTGGCATATCGGGCCCATAATGGCAACTCCGCGTTGGCCGAATCTGACGTGGATGCGGGCATTGGTGAATGCGGCGATAGAGTAGCCCGCGAAGGGGGTGAGGAAGATGAGAGAAACGACGGTGTAACTCAGGTCGTAGTATTTTTCGAGCTATCAACTTATGAGTACGTATCACGGTGAGAGTCGTGAATGGGTAGCTCGTACGTATGGGATCAGAGCCTGGAGAATGTCAGTTTTGAAGTATCACAAAGATCAACGGAGTCGTCATACGCCAACAGCAGCATCGTTCATTCCAGCAACAACAAAGGTCAAAAATGCAAACCCAAGCTTTGAAGCATTGCCCTTTGGGTAATTCCATCTCTCCAGCTGGGTTTGGGCATTCAGCGGTGGCACATCGGCGAGGGCATTTTCCACGGCGGGCTGGTCGTGGACAGTCGACTCGCCGAGACCCTTGCCTGAGCTCAATGGACGGAGGTGAATAGCCTCCAGTTGAGAGATGTGCGTGCCATTCTGGGTAGTCGTTACAGTCGCCATGGCAGTTTGTGGATTGCCAGAGATAAGCAGGGAGCGGAAAACGTGGTTCTGCTCGTTGTCAACAATATATCATCCCAATCGGTGACTCGGCCCGGTGGACCGATGAGGGAGACGATCATCTCGCGGACTGTCGCTGTTAACGCTTCAGTTAAGATTGTAGGTAGATGATCACAAGAGCACCCGAGGAGACACAAGGGGATGTACACTTATTTAGCCTGCAATCCAAGTATCAGAAGCTCGTATTGGCCCCATCCATACCTTAAGCCTTATCTGAGCTACTACGGAGACGCGGGGAGCTGCTTTCCGAGGAATAGCCTATTTCTAGGGAATTGCTGTCCGAACTTATGCCCGAATATTTCCCCGGACCTACCCTACGTCAGAAGAGGGCGTAATGTATGTGGAAGGCGTCAAAAGCCAGCTTGGGCGTCGCGAGATGGATCTGCTGAACTTGGCTTTGGTTTGCAATGACGATATTTCTCTTATATTGCAAGTGGTCACTTTTATCAATGTGTAGTACCCCACCCTTTCTCTCTGCTGAGGGTTAATCTACTGACATGACAGCTGTTGTGCTACGTAGTACGAGCGGTTTGATACTAATTGGTTGGAGGATGATTCCGAAGCGTTTTAAGTTGCACCACGCCGTTCCTATTATTTTCCATTGCATCCACGTCGGCCTCGTGAAATATAGAATTTTTGCTCTTACAAGATGACACAGACAACGGCCTCTATCGTCATGTTATGCTCTCTAGATGAGCAATTCAAATGAGCAACGCAAGTGCGGGGTCGGCCATTGAATGGATCAACGAAGCATTGACGATCGCTTCAGACGGACTGCTAGACGCAGTTGTGCAATCAGGTTAAATAAGTGTATCTGCTCCAGCACTCTGGTCAATCGCATGGCTCAGCTGGGTGAGCCAGGCATTCATATAGGCCCTGATAGTGGCCTCTAATGTACGAATAGGCGTGGGAAACCGGCTGCTTCTGCTATTTTCTATTACCTAGCTGCGTACATTAGGACGCGACCGCGATGCGAAAGATTGCTTTAGCCTCGCGTGGAATAACACGCAGTCAGCTGTAGAAATGGGTTCAGCTACATCCACTAAATTTTAACCATATACCACCTTGATTGCCCCGAGCAGGGCAGTGACAGCATGTTCTGACCAAGGTCGCTTAGTGGCCAGCCTTTATTTTCAGCTCTATTTTATCATTTCGCGTGGCTGCGTCCTAGAGGACTGGCGCGCTTTGCTCAGGTGGTCAATTGTCCAACTTCCCACTGCGTAGCCTAGCTCTTAGGCCGCAAGCCGCTTGCAACATGCCGTGTTACCCGTGTGCGCCTACGAGAATGGGTTCACCGACATTCAATAAGCACTTGGGAAACGAGGCGCTATTGTGGCGTTGCCGGATCTCCAAGAGATGTCATCGCTCCGGATCACCACCTACCAACGAGATGGGCCTTTCAAGTCTAGATGGGCCCTTTTAAGTCTAGATGGGCCCTTTTAAGTCTAGACCATGAGGCTGAGATGTGGCGTCACTAAAACGCCAGCAAATGCGACAAATCTGTGTGATCACGGCCTCTGTTTAATCGTCGTCTCCTTAGTCTAATCTAGATGCGTCTTAAAGGCTAGCCGCCGGCCACCTGATTATTTTCAGGGCGGAGGATGTCGCCTTGACGAAACTCTTCAAGTCCAGCGAAACACCCATCCATCCGCGTCTTCGGTTACGCCCCTTCCAATATGCATGTCTCTCTTCTTTCCGTCTTGTCCTTCGTCGCCTTGGCGGAGGCGCAGTGGCAGAGCTGTGCAAAGCCTTGGGCCCCGGGGATTAAGCCCGGCGAAAGCTTCACCATCAAAGCTCAGTGCCACCTCTTTCCGGGCTATCCCAAGAGATTCGGCAAGACAAAGGTCACCGCTTCCTACACCGAGAAATGGATCGCATCCGGCGCCAGGCCGGAGCAAGTGGCAGCGGTGCTTGAGCAAACCCTCGACGACAGCATAACCAAGTACAGCGAGTTCGCCACGCTTCCGAAAGAGGTCGTCGTCATCGTCACACCCGCGGTCGACGGAACTACCCTCGCCGAGACCATCTACCCAGAACAAATGAAGTCGCCTTGCCAGATCCAGACGTTCAAACAATGGAGCCACGAAGCAGCAGGTGCCGACGTTCCTCGAGCCTTGCAAGCAATCGCGCACGAGCTGTACCACTGCATCCAGCTCCTTGAGCTGGGGGATGTACAGAACCCTCATTGGGTACTTGACGGATCCGCAAACTACTTTAGCAACGTCGTGTATCCAGCTACGAACCTGGAATGGCCCAAGAATGGTTTCGGCTACAAGCCTAGCTCGCCGATATACGCCCAGCCCGGATTAGACGCTTACGGGACTAGCATATTCTTCCAATCTCTGGAAGCGACAAAGGGCCTCGACTATATCAATGAGTGGGTGATGGTAACAGATCCGACGCCCGCCAAGCTGGAGAGGAGGCGTCTCTCAGAGCTACCGAGCTTTACCGATCTATTCTTATTGTTCGCCAAGCAGTATTCGCTCGAGTCTATCATAGACACTAGTGGTGTTCCCATCCCTGGCCTACCGAAGATCGAACCAACCAGTGCCAAAGTCACGTTCAACAAGGCGGGAACAACTGGTACTGCGACACTCAAAGTTGTCCCATTCACGATCCGCGTCTTTAAGCTCACGCTCAAGGCCGGCCACCCGGCAGTGATCTACTCGGCTGCCGACAGTGAGCAGCGACTGGCTTATCGGGACCCCAGCAACTCGGAGTGGACCAAGATGCCAAGTGGCCCGCCATCAGGATCCGCGGGAGAAGTGGATTGCCACGACCCAGGTTCTACCCAGACAATTCTCGTCCTATTCGTGTCCACCGCAGACGCCAAGAGTGATACAGTGAAAATCACCATCAAACGTCAACCTAAGAAAAAGTGCAAGAAGAAGGGACCTGGTGGATTTGTCCTCTATCCGCTGTTTAACGAGAAGACGTCCGGTGCTGTCTGTCCGAAGGGGACACACTTTTCTTCCGTCGCGGCCTGGTGCTGCCCTGAAGGGATGGAGTTGGATCTGACTGTCGCGTCGGAAGTCAGCATTTGCTGTCCCACTTGTAGGTTGTTCATTTTCCAGGTTCCGGGTGTGTCAGCTAACGGAAACAGCGGCGGATTGCAGTAAAGGCGTCATTCCTAATCATCTCAGGTGTGCGGATCCCGACTGGGTGCTTTGGTCGCAGGACTTCAGACAGGTTGGATGTTGCATGAAGGGCTACGTCCCGACCTCTCAACGGTACTGTGTGACGGATACCAGTCAGCGCGGACCTAGATTTTCAGTTGTGGGTTCATCTGATATATGCACTACGCGAAGAGAAGAATGTACTGACAATACATCATTAGGTCCCACAAACCTAACACGGTCAACCCTAGACGAGTGGTTGCTACCACGCAATACGACATTTGAGAATTTCGGCTGCCATCCTGGGTTCATACACTCTATTTGTTTCTATGACGTCTTCAAAGTACGAGCGTATGTGTCGGATCGACTTCTGATATCTACTTAATAGTGTTGAGCAGCTGTATCAGGGCGTTTATCACACTTTATAGCTGAGGCTCAATATGAAAATATCACTGAACTTGACTACGTAGCCATATTCTGTATTGGCAACCGTGCAAAAGCCAACATAGGCTCTCTCGATCTAAGAAGAGGTGCTGCGGGTTTTGCCCTGGAGCGGGGAAGACGCTGAGCTAGTCCCTTCGGATTTGGTGTTAAATGCATCTTGGTTCTCCCAACGTGCTTTGCTGTGATGAACCCCAGAGTTGCGCAACCCAGGGCGAACGATACACATTAAAGAGTCAATGCCGCAATTAATCGAGCCAAAAATACACATGAAAACGCAAATTGTAGGATAACAAAAATGCTTGCATCTATAGGCCAGGGTAGCTATGTAAACCGCCGTTGCCTCCAGCTATCACGCATCGAGTGTTTTGGTTCTCATATTGCCGATCATTTCGACGGCTAGTTGTAGCCATCAAGGGTGCTTGCATTTACTGAACTACCGACCGACTTAAATGACGAGGCTAAGGAATTGCCATTGGAAAACAGGAATCGGGGTTTACAGTTGACGAAGCAAGGTCGACCAAAAAGTAAAACCTGAGCACTGCCGCTTCATTAGCATGTAAGTGTCAAGGTATAAAGAAGTAAGGCTCTAGGCTACATTGATAGTAAAGGCCTAGATGTCAAACTACACCAACAGTGTCAGTACTGAAGAAGCTTCAGTCTATGACCGACCTCCCTATTATAATTAAAGTGATAATGAGTGTCAACAACGCTCAGCTCGCCGTTAAACACAAGGTCCCCGCTATTATTCTCTCTAACTCTGGTGGTCGCCAGCTCAACGGGCTCCCTCTAACCTAGAAGTTGGCTTCCAGATAATTTCCTTCATCTCTGGTAAATTTCAATGACATGCATTATTTGAACCGCCTCCGGTGCACAACTGGACTTAATTTCTCTCTTATCTGTCTCGCATATTCAATAAGAGATCTCAAACTTCTTCCTTTCAAGTAATTTGTGGGCACTGTTTGATAGAGGTTGTGGTTATCCATCGTCTCCCCTCAGCCGGCTTCTCGAGGCTACCACTCAGTACAGCAGAACCTTTTCTGTACTCCGCCAATCATACGTACCTTGCTGATACTCACCCTTTAGTCTTTCATATATCTCGCTCCCTTCCTGATTTTTTCTTGTCCCTATGTCGACTGACTTATTCTAATTGACCTGAGGACACCTGAATCTTATCTTGGCGTCGTTGGCCGGGTGAATGCCAGGAAAGCAATGATCAAGGCGGAATGAATAAACCAAAGATGCGAATAATGCAACGGGAAATTATCTCTGAAGCAAAAAGCTCGCATCTGTCGGAGAGGCCACAGATGCTGACGTGAAGCTCGGATCCCCGACTATGCCACAGGCCGTGTCTGGTCGAGATTTTGTCCTCGCCCATCAAAGCAACCCCCGGCTACGCGGGGCCATCTACACGTGCTGCGAGGTACAAGAACATCTCGGGCGGTACCCGATCACCCGTAAGTATGTCCCTCTCTCGTGGGTTTCGATACTGAGCCCTCTCTATAGATACCTGGGAGCGGTCATTTGGGTGCTTGTGGCCTCATATTTTCCAGACGGTAGGCCCTTGTCTCCGTTGCCCTTCTCCCTCCGCCCGACGGACATGCGTTAGTTTAATAGCTGGGTGCTTCAGTTGTTACCACGTACCTAAAGGGATTTCCTCAGTCTGCATTGCTCAAGTTCTCATTGTTCAGGACCTGCTCCCAACGTCGCCCACATGAGACGGGATTCTGTGACCACGCGACCGCGCGACAGAGCGACCAGCCAAACCCCCACTCACCGAGTGTCTTACAACGCCCCAACCCTTTCCATGGCTGAGGGTCATCTGTATAATCAGAAACACCTTTGCTCATTGTGGAGATAAGCTTAATGCTTAATTGGTGAGCTTATCAAGTGGCACCCCGAGCTAATTTTCAGCTGCCAGAGCTATCGATAACCACCGTTCTTGGCATTCATTTGATTGCTCCCCATGGACGCCATAGTGGCGAAGGGAACGCCATGGCGCTGACACAAAGAAATGATTGGGTGTGTTGGTCTTGGAAGGGCGGCGTAAACATTAACCCAATTTCAAGGCATGGTCATATGAAGCCCATCCCTCGCGCTGCCTCGGATGCGACGGGCTTCCTTTCTCTTGCAACACAAACACGATGAAATCATTTGCGTCATACGCCAGCTTTTTAGGTGCCGCACTATTGCAGTGCTGGCATGCTCACGCCGAAGGTAATCCCCAGACTTTGATGTTGGCAAGTTCGTTGGCTGACATGGTGCCCTTGGTAGATTGCGAGCCCGGAATAGGCTACGTCTCCCTTGAGAGCGAATCCGCCCTTGCCGAAATCTCTTCCTGTTCCACATTCAACGGCGACATCACGGTTCGGTTCGAAGGCAGCGAATGGAATAGCTCGACTGTATACCTTGGAGATATCGAGAAGATTAATGGATCCCTCACTATCTATCCAAGCTACGACTACGACGATGTAACAATTGTGGCACCAAAATTGCGAAACATTACAGATGAACTCTCGATTTATTACTACAACTCTACTTCCCAAATATCCTCGGTCAATGTCACATTTCCACGACTTGAATACATTGGATATAGTTATATTGCTCGCGTTGGAAGCGACGATCTCATTTTTGAACACTCAGACAACTGGGCTGTCGGCGGCACATTCCAGGTCTGGGATAGCATGGTGTCATATCTCGATGTACCGGGCATCGTGATTGCGACCCAGTTCAGCATTGATCAGAATCCTGTTCTTTTCAGCCTGAAAGCAAACACGTTGGAGACGGTCGAGGGTTCTGGATTTTACATCAACGACAATGCTAAACTCGATCGCTTCGAGGCCAAAAACTTGACTAGTGTGAATAGCACTGTCTTAGTCACATACAATCCGGAGCTGGAGCAGATCGACTTTCCGAAACTCGAGTACGCTCGCAACTTGGAGTTCACAAACAACGGGGGGCAAGTACAAGTTTCGCTTCCAAATTTTGCAGTGGCTGGAAGCGAAGCCAATACCGAACACGTGCAAAGCAAGTTCAGTGACGTCGTCAAGCTGGACCTGAAAAGTCTCGTCAACGTCACCGGTGGCATGACATTTACCCGCAACACATTCAGCGCATTGGTCCTGCCGTCGTTGAAGAACATGACAGGGGAGCTCACTGCTGAGGATAACCAGGTCCTCGATACCTTGGCCTTGCCGCAGATCGACCAACTCGGAGGACTCATGCTAAATGATAATGAGCTGCTGTCCAACGTGACAGCGAACAGGCTCAGGATCGTCAAATCAATCGACATGGTTGGCAATTTTACCAACGTGGAATTCTTTGGATTAGAAGAGGTCACAGGCGACTTCGTCTTACAAGGAGATCCATCTATGGACTGCTCATGGTTTGATGAGCACCTGTTCCAAAAGATTGTCAAGGGTTCGTACAGTTGCGAAGGAAACCACACGAAGCCGGCACAGGAAAGACAGCCCTCCACGGAGAGCCTGGATAGTCAAGAGGAGAAAACCAGTGGTGACCAGGGTTCAGACTCGTCGGCAGACTCATCTAAGGACACCAACACTTCTGGAGCTTCCACGGGTGGGTTATCGACTGGAGCCAAAGCTGGAATTGGCGCAGGTAGTGCTATTGGAGGAATTGCAGTGCTCGGAGCACTCCTCTATGTGTTCTGGTGGAGGCGAAGGAAGGGAACGAGTTCAGTGGCGCAGCCAGAAAACAACACTGGCAAGCCTGAGCTGGATGGGACGGTTTCGCCAGGAGCCAGGGATGACATGGTTAAAGCAGAGACGAAAGACGCTATCTCACCAGTAACTGGGCTTCCCGAAGAAGAAAAGGCCGCGCCTGCTGAATTATCGAGCGGGGTAATGGAGCTGGATGGGAGGGAAGTAAAGGCGGAAATGGATGGAAATGGGGTCAAGGATACAAAGGAAGCTTGATGGTATGAGGGATGACAGACCGGGATAGGGAGACTTGGAGATAAATTTGTGGTATAAACACCTTAATGGCAGAGTAGTGAACCGCCTTGATTTGTGTTTTGTGCTTTTTGTCTTGCCACAGCCTAGAATCGATAGCGTTAGCGGTACGGATGTGTGAGATGGACTTTTAGTTTTTATTCGTCTTAAAATGCCTTCCCTTCCGTCGTCTGGACTGTCACAGTTGGCTGTCTGCAACTGGAGGCTCTGACTCAGAGAGGACGACAATATCATGAAGCAGTACCTGCAGCTCATTGAGGTATTGTGAAAGGTAACCAGTTGGACTAGAAACCTTAGTCTGTCTGAGTGCACTGTTGATCTTTGAATGGACTGGGTATATAGTCTGTATTGTTGATACTATCGTTGGTGTTTTTTTTACTGTTGAGCTTCTAGTCCCCCCTCTGGGTATGTGTAATAGGGCACCCTAACCTCAATATCATGAAGTAGAGCTTTATTTGAAGGCTGGGACTACATTATGGATCCACGTGTTCTGCTTATCTGCGTCCTGTAGCATGAAAATGATGAGATTGGCTGCCTTACTCGCGACTTTGACGCAGCCACACAACACGTGGAACCACAAATGGGGAATGGTTTCTGCCCATTACCTACAACGCAGCCTGATTTCCCTTTCCTTCTCGGGCAAGCTTTTCACCGCGACATAATATCCCGCAACCTTCGCTGATTGAGCAGTTATCTCCGGGGGAGTCAAAGCAACAGCACTCCAACGCCGTGCCAGCCTGCTCTGATAACTCCTCGTTTCTTTGCCTGTATCAAACCCTCCGCAGCCGCCGATCATGCCGTCGAGCCCATCCGAGATACATAACGGGGGGCTGGCGAGAAGCGCCTCTGCGGATGTATCCTTCCGCAATTCTGGCTCCGGCATTCAATGCGGCAATATGGGCGACGGGCCTCAGAATGTCAATTCTGGGCTCGGCTACCAATTCAATGTACAGAGACAGTATATTGGTAAGAAAGAATGGCGTATTTTATCGATAGCGTAGCGCTAATGTCTCGTCGAGGAGTCCCAAGTTCGGAGAAACCAGACCCGCTGTAGGAGTGCCAAAAGTCGCTGGCTTTTCCTGAGATGAATAACCGAACCCACGACATTGATGACGCCGTCGACGGGACATGCGAGTGGCTGCCTCTGCACGCGACATACATAGAATGGGCTGCCTGCAATCGAGGTCTACTCTGGATCAAAGGCAAGCCAGGCTCCGGGAAGTCGACATTGCTGAAGCATGTGCTGCGGAGAGTTGAAACAAAGCCGGGTATGGGAGATGAATCCATCATTCTCTCGTTCTTCTTCCACGGTCGAGGCTCTGAACTGCAGAAAACCCCGTTGGGGCTCTTCCGGTCGCTTCTTCATCATCTTCTCACCCGGGTCCCCCACTCATTATCACTTCTCGTCGATGAGTTTCAACAACGATGCAGTACCATTGGCAGGGTGGGTGAGGAATGGCAGTGGCACGCGCGCGAGCTGAGGGCCTTTTTCGAGTCGTCGCTGCTGAAGGTCTTGGAGAGACGGTCTGTTTTGCTCTTCGTCGACGCCCTGGATGAATGTGGCGAAGAAAACGCAGTCCACCTAGTCGAGTATTTCAAGTTGCTCATCAAGAAACTTCCTCCCACCACTTCGCGATTCAGGATTTGCTTTTCATGCCGTCACTACCCTATCTTAGAGCTCGATTACGGATCGCAGATCTGCGTGGAGGATGAGAACATGCGGGATATTGCCGCTTTCGTACAAACCCAGCTGTCTACGCTTCGCATCAGCTCTGCATCCACGATTGCAGACACAATTACACGTCGAGCCCTGGGAGTCTTTATGTGGGCGCGCCTCGTCGTGGAACGCGTTCTATCGCCGGCACGTAGAGGGGGAGGGCTTAAGAAGATCAAGGCGGAAATCCGGCGTATCCCTCCAGAGTTGGATGACTCTGTACGATGAGCTCGTCCGAAGCATGGAGGATATGGCAATGTCTCAAAGAATGATCCAATGGATCTGTTTTTCGACAAAACCACTATCAACAGAGGAGTTAAGATGGGCCATGGCCATTAATCCCGACCACCCGCACAAGTCAATACAACAATGCCAGGAGTCAGAGGATTATACGTCGGACAACGAGACGATGGAGCGGAGGATCAAAACGCTTAGCTGTGGCCTTGCCGAGACGGCATGGTCGTTCGAACAGTGGAACCCCATCTCGACTGTGCAGTATATCCACCAATCGGTCAAGGACTATTTTATAAAGAAAGGCCTATCAACATTAGCGGCCTTAGACGGCAGCGTGGTTTCAAGCTCCGTGCTCCCTTTGGTGGTTTACGCCGCGACATCGTGGGTGTACCATGCGAAACAAGGAGAAGCTGAAGGAATATGCCAAGAAGATCTTTTGCAGAATATAGGCTGGCCACCAGAAGATCGTGTGAAACTCTGGGTACGCATTTACCGGAAAGTAATGCGCTTCTCCTCCGATTGCCCATCGGAAGGAACCAGCCTACTTCACGTCGTATCAAGATATGAGTTGACACAACTGTTATCAGTCATTTTGCAAAAGGCAGACAAATTGGCACTCGATATTAACTGCCGAGATAGCCATGGAAGGACCCCATTGTCATGGGCTGCTATCGAGGGCCACGAGGCCGTCGTCAAGCTGTTGCTCGCTACAGACAAAGTTGATATCGACGCAGGTGATAAGGATGACCGGACGCCGCTGTCTCATACTACCGGGCACGGACACAAGGCTATAGTCAAATTGCTGCTGGATACGGGCGAGGCCGATATCAATGCAGTGGGTTGCTTTCTCCAGACGCCGCTATTCTATGCTGCTAAGCTTGGACACGAGGCTGTTATTAAGCTGCTGCTCGCTACGGGCAAGGTTAATGTCGACGTAAGTGATTGGTATGGCCGGACACCGCTGTTATATGCTGCCAAGCATGGACATGCGGTCATCGTTAAGCTACTGCTTGATACAGGCAACGTCGACGTCAATGTGGGGGATTACTGTGGCAAGACGCCGCTTTCATATGCTGCAAAGCGTGGGAACGAGGATATTGTTAAGTTGCTGCTTGCTACAGACCAGGTAAATGTCGCTGCAAAGAACAGCTATCCGCGGACGCCGCTGTTGTACGCTGCCGAGCGTGGACATGCAGCCGTCGTCAAGCTGCTGCTGGATACAGGCAAGGTCGATGTTAATGGAGGTCGCCATTTTCGCCAGACGCCGCTGTTATATGCTGCTAAGCTTGGATGTGAGGATATTGTTAAGCTTCTGCTCGCTACAGGCAAGGTCAACGTTGACGCAAAGGACCGCTTTCGCCGGACACCGCTGTTGTATGCTGCCGATCATGGACATGCAGCCGTTGTCAAGCTGCTGTTGGATACAGGCAAGGACGACGTCGACGCAAGAGATAGATACTACAAACGGACACCACTACAGTGGGCTACCAAGAGGGGGCATGCTTCTGTGGTTGAATTATTGCAGCGTTACTCAGGTCAGGCTGTGAGTAGTTGAGCTGTGTCTGCCACGCTTAGTATACCAGTGGCAGTTATTTACGGTTAGAGGTATCAGGTATTATTATAGGATTGTACAGCGGATGAGACTTTTAGCATTGGCCTTTAGAGACTTAATTTATTATATTATTGGTGAAACTTCATCATCAGGTAGTTGCGTGTTTCGTCATGTAAGGTAATCTCGCTGAAGCCGCTAGTTGGTTGCACCTTCGGCAGCCTTTACATGTTCACTTGGTGCACAACAAGTCAATATTCCCCTGAAAATTTTCGAGAGGTCTACAGTCTTTCAGAGGACTGGCGATTCTGCATACACGAACCGAGTCGTTTTTTTTTTTTGGGCGAAGTTGACAATGTTGTTCTTTCTGATGAATAGGCTGCAAGGCTTAAAGCAGGAGGGTGCACACAATTGCATATCCAAAGAAAGGTAACATGCTGAAATGGAAAACTTGACCACTGAGAACGATGCTTAAATCATAATGTGCGGAAGGGGACAATTTTGAAATGAGAAGATAATCAAATATGTGATATTCATGATCTCATTCACCACCTAAAATTGGACCCTCAATCTTGCTGGCGTCCTGGCTACAGATGACATTTCAACGCTCATCATGGTTGTGTTGGTACATTCTCGCGCTAACTTTTCCCTTATGATTTACAACCCATCGTTGAACTCGAAGTCCTTATTCCAGCGCTAAGAAATGTCAGTCTTGGTCCGATGTGGTCAGATGTTGCACTTACCGTATCCCAACGCCGCGCCGAGTTGACAAACCGCAGGTCGGTGCCGAGTCTGATGCGGCCCTCTGGGTCATGGTTGATGGTAGACGCGTGGATCTAGAAATCTGTTAAATATATGGAACTGAATAAAATGCGTCAGACATACCATATGCGGCGTGTGGAAGACGACGTCTCCAGCCTGATAGTCGCTCACCAGCCACTTCTTGCCGTGCATTCTGCCAAAGTCCGCGGGCCCCTCGGCTAAGAAACCAGTGCTCATCATGTTGGCATTGAAAGCGTACCGCATTTCTTCATCGCTCATACCAGCCGCCTTGGCCTTGGCAGAAAAGTCCTCCTCGATTTCCTGACCAAGCTTGTCACCGCCCTGAAGGTAAATGAGTCCACCGCCCTGGATCTTCACATCCCCCATGGGAACCCACGCCGTCAGTGCGGTTGGCTCTCCATATCGCATAAAGGATTGGTCGTAATGGACACCGATTGCTCGGTTTCCGGGGGTGTTGTTTCGAAGCAGGGTTCGCCGCACAGCGAGAGTCGAATCTCCCCAACCAGTCAAACGAGCAGCGAACTCTTTCAACGCCGGATGGTTGCAGAACCCGCGGACGCTGCCATCTTCAGAGCCGGAATACCAAGGCTCGGTGTGCGCCTTGAGCGCAGCGCTGACGAATAGCGCCGATCGGTCGGTTGATCCTGGCGGCGCGTTCTTGACGCTGCCGGCTCCAATTCCAGGATAGTCGGCGGGACTGGCAGCATCATCAAAAATGCCTTGGACGGGCTTCGTGCCAGGCTTAATGACCCCGCTTGGGGCGAGGGATGTAAAGTACGCTTCGCGCGCAGCCAGAACATCCTCGCGAGGGAGCAAGCCTCTGACGAGGACGTAGCCGTTGGTGATGTATCGTTTGTAGAGGTCCTCGATAGGGTCGGTAGCGTATGAAGACACCATCTCCTCAACCTCGTTCGGTGCAAGAGGACCGTCGTTGACGTGCAGTTGCACGCCGTGGATGGTGGGCTCGACTTGAGCGTGTGGCATCTTGAATCAGGCTCGGGCGTATTGTGAGCCAAAGCTAGAAGTAGTGAGCTAATCTGGGCAATGTGATGAAGAAACTGACAATTCTGCGTACAGCTGCGAGATCAAGTCTTACAATACACACCTCTTTATAGGTTGCTTGCAGCGCAGCCCTAGCGTGGAGCAGACAGAACGCGAGTCCCGCGGCCAAATCTTCCTCTTCTGGGCGTCCCCACGCCAACCCCACAGAAAGCCGGGGGACTAGCTGTCATGTGCGCGTGGAGAAGCATGTCCGGTGAACGAATAAGCCTGAGACGTGCTTCGCGATGGAGTTGGTGTGGAAGCTTTTCCCGTCGACGTGGAGAAGGTCCGGCGAATTTACTCCCGTTTGGGAAAATAGGCAAGTCGCCACCGCGATTCTTGCGCGAGGGGGGCCTCAATTATTTCCGATGTTTCCGTATTTGGCAGCTTGATTGAAGGTTACTCCAGACTTATCCCCACAGTGAGACGAATCTCGATGAGTTCGCAGCCACTGACATCGACTCTTTTCATCAGCGGGGAAGCGGAACGCAATTCTTGGAGATTTATTTCGCAATTAAATTGAGCATCTGCATCTGCATACCGACGAGCTAAGCCTGATATTCTATAAATACTGGACTTGTGATCACCTTTCCTCCACTAAACTCCCTTCCAACAAAGTAGATGGCCTGATTCTCGCCCACGACCCGCCCGCTGCTGGCGAGAGAAAAGTCGCCCTCCACTCGCCTTGGAAGCGACAAATCTGCCAAAGCCTCAATGGATACAAAGAGTTCCGCGCCGCCTTTGATTGGGAGTTGCTTCCCGCCAACACGGCTGGCTTCGGCTGCGGTTGCGAGCAGATTGAATTCCGGCTGCGGTTTATGCGGATTGCCGGCCAGGGCGTTGCCAACCTTGACGTATCCTCCTAGCAGCCCTGATATACTGATGGTAGAGGGCACCTTGGAGTCTGAGCGGAAGAAGATGTCCACGCCGTCAAAGTCGCCGCTTGTGTGCGTATTGAAGATGACTTGGGTCTCTGATCTCAACTCGACCACTTCTTCAGGATTGTCCAGAACGCCACCGAATGGCTGCACGTGGGAAATTGTAGCATCGGAGACGAGAATCGACCCTTGCCAGACAGCTTCTCGATACCTGTCGTAGAGACGCGCGCCTCCCCATTTCACACGCATCTTCCTCGGCGTCATAGGAGGTGCTGCTTCCGTTGCCTCTTGCTGGAGATTGCGATGGAAGATCTGCCCGCTGGCATCCCAAGCCTCTACTGAAGAGAAGCCGTTTGATCCATAAAAGCCGTAGTTTAGAGTGATGGTCTCGCCAATCTTTGTGATTATATCGTCGCCTTGGATCTGGCCGTCTTTGGTACGCACGAAGCCAACCAGTCGCTCTCCAGTTGTGGCGAATGTTCTCCTCGCTCGAAGTGCCGCTGCTACATCAGCCCGGTCCAAGTTTTCAGCAAAAACACCTGTCAACCCTCCCTTTGTGCCAAACACGGCTGTTCCCGGGACGCCTCCTCCGCATCGACCTCGGTGCTCATCTGAGTTGGCCGACACACCCATTTTCCATCCCCTTTGCACCGCGTCCCGAAGAAGCCACTCGAACAGCCCCCAGGCACTCCCGATTTCGAGTAGGCGTTCAAGTTTGGGATGGTGCCAGGCGAGGTTGCACCGACGGCCTCCGACGTGAGGAATCAAGAGGTGCTTCTCGGGGGCGTAGGCATACGTTGCGTAGACTTCGTCCAGTGGCCAAGCGCCTGGGGTCAGCTCTGCTGGGCCGTCCTCATTCCACTCAAAGCTTCGTGCAACGTTTCCATTCTTGTCAAGAGGAAACTCAGGCTTTGTGATGTTTGGGTCATCCAAGAAGACGACGTTGTGATCCCCACCGGCAGCAGAGTTGCCACACCACTCTGTGCCGGGAAACACAACAAACTCTCCCTGAGAGTTGATGTCCTTGATAATTTCGAGAGTCTTGTCCCATTTTTCCGCCGTGATGTTGAAGTCATTCGCTGTATAGCCCACGATATCGAGCCCGGCGACTTTTTGGGCATATGAAAAGTTGTAGGTGGTCGAATTGGTGCCCACTGTGTCATCGGAATGTACATGGAGATCTGCAAACAGAGTGCGACGAACGGGGAGCGTTGCATCGGCCGTGATGTGATCTGAAGTAGTATGGACTATGTCTCCGTTCCGATCAACTACTAAGACGGAGAGAATATAGTCGCCATCAGCAAGCAGAGAGGCAGTCGAATTTGCTACCGTCCACCCGCGACTTGGCAAGGGCAGCTTTTGTTCCCAATCCGTATAATTAGAGCCCTCTTTCGCAATACTGATCCGAGTCTCTAGTCCCTCGATGTTGGCTGTCGCGTTTCCCCAAGCATCCTCAGTATGAACGTGGATTGGGAAAGGCACACCCGCCCTGACAAGGCGAGGTGAAATGGCCTTGACCTTGGAAATGGCTCCAGGCTTGATGGCCAAAGCAATGTCTGGTTTGATGGGTGCAAACCTAGAGGTTCCCACTGGGTCAATATACCATCTCATGAGAAAGCTTTCCTCGACAAACGACTGAACGCGGGTGCCTCGTGCCCCCCATCGTCTATCCCCCAGACGGACCACAATCTTATCCCCAGGGTTCATATACCCGTCAACAATGTCAATGATGACAGCCTTCTGAAAAGGTCGTTCGTGACCTTTCTGGTCAAACCGGACCGCAAGAGACTGCACCGTTGCGGCGGTTTGGCCAGGATGGAGATCACCAGGGATGTACTCGGCCGAAACATAGTTGTCCTGTCTTGGATCTGACGTCTGAAACAGAGCCCAATCCGAGTAGAACTTGAAGGTGCCCTTGATCCAGGCTCCATCAGCTAGCCCACTTGCGCCAACTGTGTATTCGACAATAACTTCGGCCCATTGGCCGGCAGTGAGTGTTTCCGTATTGCATCGTAGTGTGCCAAGAAATGGAAGGCTTTTTGTGTATTGATATAATCCCGTTGGCGCAAAGTATTGGCCCGCGAGGGCGACGAGCTCATCGTCGGACAGTGTCTTCATTGTGAGCGCTGTGACGTTGCCGTAGGGCACGCGAATATCAACTGAAGTAAATTCACTCAAGGCGCGAGATTCTCCAGCATTATGAGACATCTCTCGGTGATTGTCGACTGGTGCTCTGCTATTGGTAGTGCCAGCTGCGGGGTGAAATACGACGAAATGTGGAATACAAATGACGTGATCCCTTGGTGATGGAGCCAAAGAGATGTGGCTGTTAACATACATAGCGCGACCGAAACCCGAGATCCACAATGCGACTACAATGGCAGCGATGAAGACGCAAATGATCCAGAAACTCTTAAGGCGTCAAAAAAAGGAAAAGAAAGAACATCTGCCGGGCCTGGAATTTAGTGACTACGACCTACGACCACTGAGCCTGTCAAGTTGGAATCTGTTAGAAATGGTACTGGGGTATTGAATCAAATCAACAAAAATTCACTCCCTGGTAATGGTCTAAAAAGAGTCTAACGAGCGCTGGCTATTATATTAAGGCCATGGAAGTAATCCTAATCCTAGCTATGCTGTGCCTGATTTTGGCTCCTCCGATGCATCAAGATTATCGAGAGCATTGAGCCGAACACCGAATTTTTGCAGGGGCCATATCTCAGCCTCTCGAACGAGTTCCCGTATAGCGAGGACAACGGTTTTTAGACAGTTGTTAGGTTGGCGTTCGTTAGCCACAGATAAGTTGCGAGCATCTAAAATGCCGAAGTTGGCTGGATCAATTTTTCTCTGCACTATGAGCCATGAACTGACTTACCTGTCGAATCTGTTCCTTAGCGTTTAAAGGTGCGACAGGAACTTAGGCCGTTCCGTACGTCCACTCATCCATTTCCCCCGGGGAGACAGACGAGTCCCTGGAAGACGATAACTGGGAAATATCGGTCAGTTAAAGCCTTGACATGAACATGCGCAATATACGTACCTCTTCCTTTTTCTGGTTCATTGACTCATTAATCAACGTCATGACATCGGAATTGGCTTTCCCAGGGCCTCATAATTCGATCCATAATCGATCCACTTAGTGAAGTATTTTCTCATCGATATAGTAAAAAGGCTGAAGGGAGAAATTTGGAACTGGGGCCTCCGGCATGTTGCTGCTAATGGAAGTCCCTGCGGAGACATTGCATTCAAGAGCCAGACAGTGATTACCATTATCATGGAAGTCAAACCGTCGGTGGGTACATCCATACCTAATAGTACAGACTCTTCTTCTTGGTCTGGCGTACTGTGCACTTGACGTTTCATCATGGCATAGTCTTTAGAGAAGAGAGCAATTATAAGATTCCCATGTCTACTAAAACTCGTATGTTCTTTCATGCTTTGAGAGATTTACCGTAGTACCTCATTGTTGTCTTTGATACCCGTTATTATCACAAGCATGAATAACTAATTACTTATCTCTTTCACGCCGGATGTTTAGGTGGACTCCACCGTGAACAACGTTTACCGAAGGGAAGTTCAGCACAGGAATTCTCGGCGAAATTTTCTGTTCAGGCTTTGGTTGGCCCATTGGCCGCATGGCCATAGCGACAGCCATTCCAGGCTGTATGAAATCCTCCCAGACTTCTGGCAATATGATTTTCCCATCTTTTTCTAATGCCGCATTAGGTCCTATTGCAGAGTGGGAGCCTATTATGTCGAAACGCCCCGCCATCACATGCGGCCCAACCACACCGACTTGGTGAAAGGCAGATTCGATCAGTGTTTTCAAGCCTGAAGTTAAATGGTAAGTAATTCATTGATCTACACTACATTTCAAAAGATTTCAGCTTACCTGATAGCTTTTAACGCGGTAAAATGGAAATGTATACCTGCGACCAACAGCGTCTTCAAAATAGATGAATTCTTTGGTCTTTTCCGATTCATTCGAAGTCTTGGCTTCTTCCTGCTCCGAACTTTGACTATCGCTCGTAACACTCTCGATTTCTTTTTCTGTAAGAACCGTCCAGTCAGCAAGCAGCTCTTTGACGAGCGAAGAGGCCGCCCCGGGGTTGTATAGAGCTATTTGCATCGCTGATGGGTCTCGTATCACTGCACTTTTGCCTGTGCTGCATTCGTTCGTGGAAGACTGTTCCTGGGGATCCTCGTCAATGTCCGACATTGTGGAGTTCGAGGGTAAGTTGGTCGAGTTCTGGTCACTGGGATCCACACATGACTGAGCGTAAGGCAAGAAGACAAGGTCAAAGAGCCAATCAGCCGTGTCATTAGACCTCTGCCTGGACACCTGAAGCTGGAGCTGAGAAATAGCTTCGTTCTTTTGGTCGGAACTAAGATGGTTTGGTTTCTCTGCATCGATATTGAGGTATTGATCTTGGGTCTCTGAAAGATCAACAAGTGATTGATGAGCTGTGAAAGCCAAATTCTCAGATTGCTGGACAAGCAGGTGAATGTCGGTTTTCTTATCTTGTCTATTATTTTACTTGCCGCCAGTCTGGACTTGTGGGTTTAATGGCCTAATAAAAGGGTTATACGTTAATACAAGCTAAGCGCGCGATGTTGCGAGACTTACTTTATTTCCTTTCTTGTCGTGATTGCAAGGACTAGAATATTTAGCATAATGTTAACCCCAGTTTTATGACTCTCAATCTGAATAAGCTTATAATAGACTTTAGATCGCTTCAACATCCACTTGAAATTTATGAGTCCTCGGATCCCGTCTATCAGTTGATGAATTTCGCCGTAAATCTACAAAATACGTCGTGCTACAGACTTAATACGCCGTAAGAATTTGCAGTTGCATAGCTCGGCGCCATCCCTCAGCACTCGACGAAGTTCTCTGAGTATTATCGACAAGTCAACAATGGTGTGTGCAATTTGTCCCATTTCCCTTGATGCTCCCCGGGTTGATGAAATGAACTGGTAGATGGCCTTCGACAGCGCAGTACCCGCGGTTGCGATGCCCGCAATGCTCGCGATGATGGAAACTGGATCCATGTTGGTGAAATTTCAGTCTCGACAGGTTGAAAATGATTTTGAAGGGGAAGAAATTTTTTCGAATGAGCATTTGGCGAAACAGGCTGTGTCTTCATAAATAATAGCGATGAGAAGAATGCCTTATTGGACGCCTTACCGCAATGATCCTGTAGCCTGACCGCATTGCTGCACGTTTGCCTTGCCATGGTCCGCGGCGCAGGCCGCTCAAAAGTGTAGATGTGCAAAAGAAAATCGCGCATTTTGCATCTTGGTCAATTCGTATGCAACATAGGCTGGACTATATTAGTTCACTGCGATACAGGTTTCTTTATTTATCCATCATTTCTTTCCCTCGATATTTAAGCCAATTAGCTACGTAGACAGACCTGAGTGTCGCAGAGAAGAGGTTCACAATCTTGAAACCTAGAATACACATATTTCGGGGGCATAGAGAAAGTCAGCTCAGCGTATTAGCCTCTACAAAAACATCCCCCTGCCGCTAGTTCAGTATCGGATTCAGGATTTGCAGCCAACGTACACTATACAGTACACTGGGGTTGGACAATTCATGCTAAATTGTGATGTGGATTCGCTTGACACGTTTGCTATACGGAATTGTATATCATTGTGGTAACCTTACAGACATATTACAAGTTGTATGGCTGTTTCTTGTACCCCATGTATTTAGATCAGCTACACAGGGAGGCGATGGCAGTCGCAAAGCATCAGCCGGAAATGAACAGTAACGGGGGGCCATCCCTGACTACTCATTTCAAAACCGGCAACATGTTAGATGCATTATAGACGTAAGCCTTTCAATCTCTCCGTACATGAAACATTTGGTTTATAACATTTTATTCTGTTTTTGCAATTTAATTGTCGGTGGTGCTTTTTAGGCCGTGAGACGGCTTGCGGGAATGATCGCCGGAGATGACATGTCAAGCACTATTGAGTAACCTTAATAAAACCACTTCCGAGGAGAAACCCACTCGCAAGATCTTATTCCGGATTCCGAGAGCTGAGATCTCACTGCCAGTGAGCTCTCGTGAAGGGATGACGAGCGAGACTGAAGCAAGGGTTTTGCACACAAGCCCTGCAGGGTTCCTGATAAAGGACAGGGCACCCTGGCTCGCACCCTGCAAAATGATTTGATTCCCAAGCGAAAACTCCACACTTTCGGTGGTTGAGCTCCTCAGGCAGCCTTATGATTATTCCGATCTGTCATTAACACAATTTTGCTTTCTAGGGGCTATCATTCTATCATTCGTTGCTTGTCTGGTGATCGATACGTAATCGAGAAAATGCCGGCAGCCTCATGCTTTCCCCTGAAACCAGCGCCCAGCCGGCGACTTCCAGATGAAGAAGAGCCGTCGGGTTAGGACTATGCCAAGAAAGCGGGCCTAATAAGTGTTGCAGGCTAAGGCTTAAAATGAAGGTTATTCGTACATCCCCAATCCTTTAGCTCCCTGCCCGCCGTGCTCCGCCTGGTATTCCTTGAGGCAGTGCTGAAGGCGCAGGGATATGCGCAGATACGAGAACAGGGATGAGCAGCTTATCTGATAGGCCACGCCGGCTAATTCGACGAAAAGGCAACTCGACCACCAAAAGAGTTGAACAGTTCCCTCTTCCGGAATGGTGGGGTGATACCAGGACTCTTGCATCAGGTCACTGGGCATAGAGCCTCCTTAGGTGACACCCCTTTTATGCTAGCTCAGCTTCCCCTCTAGGAATCACCTCAGGACTTGATGTGTTTTCTTCTCCAATGTTGAAGTTTGGGAACTCGATCCCGCGGCTTTCACGGTTCGCCCTTCGACACGTCGTCCTCATAGTCGTGGTTCTGTTCGTCTTCGCCAATGTCATCCTTTGGCACGATACCCAGTTCTGGGATGCACCCGCCCTCCGTCAACCCGTCGGCGGGTCCACGCACCCGATCCAGAAACTGATGCTCGACGCGAGGACGCGCCACGATGAGATCCTCAGCAAACGCATCACCGACCTCGAGACAGCTACCGCCGAATACCGCACCCGACGAGGGAGACACCCACCGCCTGGGTTCGATCGCTGGTTCCAGGCCGCGCTGGATACGAACGCTGTCGTGGTCGAAGACTACTTTGACAGGATATACAAGGACTTGACTCCGTACTAGGCTATCGAAGACTACACGCTTAAGAGGCGATCCAGCGCCTGGCACTTTGTGGTCAAGGTTCGAAATGGCACGGCGTCTGCGCAGGGCAACGCCGCTGGCCGAGTCCCTTGGCTCCAACTGTGGACAGACCTGGTCAAGGAGTTTGCGGAACACCTACCGGACCTCGATATGCCTATAAACTACATGGACGAGTCTCGAATTCTCGTGCCCTTTGACACGGTTGCAAAACTGGTCAAAAAAGAGGCGGAGCAGAGGAGGATGCCTGCAGTTGAAGAGGTTACGACCCAATTCGAGGGCCTGCAGAAGATCGACGAGGGCAAGACTGGCCCGTATGACCCTAAGTGGTTTGGTCATGACCAACAGTACTGGGACCTCGCCGTTCAAGCTTGCGGTCCGGACACTCCAGCGCACGGGGTTGAGCAGTTGAAGGATTACGCTGGGCCGGCCGAGTTTCCCCAAAATTACAGACCAAGCTACGCCTACAAAGGGTTCATCCAGAACAGGACCGCAGCAACAGACCCGTGTCTCCAGCCGCATGTCCGACAGCTACACGGCTCGTTCATGAAGCCCATCAGCCTCTCGACTACCCAGGAGCTGATACCCCTGTTTGGTGGTTCTAAGCTCCCTATAAACAACGAGATACTCATCCCTGGCGCCATGTACCTGAGCAAGAGCGAGTTCTATTCCGGAGGAGAGAGCCTAGGGCCGTCGTAGGCGCGGAAGAAGAACGGACTCATCTGGCGCGGTGATGGCTCGGGCGGCCATACTTGGGAGCATAGTTGGCATCATTTCCAACGGCATCGCTTGGTTGACATGCTCAACGGCACCTCCGTGTCTCGCGCCGAGGCCGAAGGCACCCGGGGGATGACCTTCGAGCTCCCTTCAAAAGAGATATACCCCAATCGCCGCATCAAGGACGGGCAGTTGGGCGCTTGGCTTAAAACGTTTGCCGACACCGCATTTGTTCACTTGTGTCCGCCCAAGCAGTGCGCTTGGTTCGGCAAGGCCTTCCAGCTTTCCAAAGAAATCCCGATGAAAAAGCAGTACTACTACAAGTTCCTGCCCGATGTCGACGGCAACTCCTTCAGCGCGCGGTTCCGCGGCTTTTTGCGTTCCACTAGCCTGCCACTGAAGGCCACCGTCTATACCGAGTGGCACGACGATCGTATTGTCCCTTGGTTACACTTCGTACCCCTCGACAACACATTCCAGGACCTTTATCCCGCGCTGGATTTCTTCGCTGATGGCGATGGACCAGGGGATGTCGCTGCGCGATTCATCGCCGAGCGCGGTAAGGAGTGGGCTGAGACAGCTCTGCGTAGGGAGGACATGCGGCTATACGTATGGCGGTTGCTACTCGAGTGGGCGAGAGTGTGCGACCCTAACCGCCACACGCTTGGCTTCGTCGATGATTTGAAGGGGAAGAAATGAGCAGGCAGGGAAGAGTTCAAAGCTGCAGCAGTCCATTACATCCAGTGGACGTATTGTGAATTGTGAGAGGGATTTTAAATGGAATACAGGTTTAGAAGTGTACGACCAGCAAATGGTCAACTGCGTACCTGCGAGCGGCTACCTTGAAACCCGATATCAAGGGCTGGATTGTAAGGTTTTAGAGGATCAGCCCAGGACCGATGGTATTGCTTTAGGTATGTATAATGACCCTTGGGAGGAAGCATAATTTGACAAACATCGCACTGATACGCATTTCAGAGTCCGTGAGCCGGCTGCATGCAAGGGCTCAAGACAGAGCTGGATGCACCACAACTTTATCATCTCGACATACGTTTCTCCTGCGATTAGTTGTGGCCTTGGCCGTGTATGTAACTGCATTGTTCCTACTACGCGTAGCTTGATCTATCTCAGTGTTATACCGTGGTTTTTAATCAAACCTGGTAAAATTAAACAAACAGAATACGTATTAACGATTGGTCGAATCGTGTTGAGCGAGCGCTCTCGGGCCAGTTGCACACCCGTTCGTCAGTATCGACAGTAAGTAGACCACTTTTGACGCACTCTGGATAGCAGATATTTTTTTAAGAGGATCCAGGAGGCAGTCCTCGTTCGCCGGCCAACTACTGTAATAACAATCCCTTTCAACTTCCCAGTCCTGATTCAGCACCAAAGTCAGACCTTCAGGGCTATGCCCTGCGGGGCACGTCCTTGAACTTAGGCTGGACGCAGCGCGCTCCGGAATAGTTGACGTTGCTGGATTTGCGTGCTGTGGCACTTTGGCGCGACTCGACTTCTCCCAGAAGCGTCGGCTGGTATATATATGGCCCTTCAGACGACCTGGTTTTACGTTAGTTCTTCCACCCACAGATATCGCTCCCTGTAATTCCATCTTCCTTTATCATACAGCTTGACAATACTTTTACGACATAGAAGTCTTTGATCGGCCACGTCTTTCCATTTTGGCAGACCACCTTCATCAAATTCCCACCGGGCATCGCAACAATCACCGTTGCCTTCAACACCATTAGCGAACACGCCACATGTACCGTCGTTTTATATTTGTCTTATGCGTCGTTTCCTGGATCTTCTCTTTCCCACGGACGATGAAATTTGATTCCATGTCTGGCATTCCAAAAGACATTAGCGTCCTTATTGCTGTCGGCATTGTTTTGATCAGTCTAGCTGTCGCCGGCCCTGCAAAGGCGCCGGCTGGGTGGGACCGGATGATTGAAATTGTTGGAAACCCAACCTTCAACGCGCGCCTCAGGATCGTCTACGCCTATGCCTCCAATTGTACCCTTGTTTCTTACAGGGCAGAAATGGTCAAACCGTCTTGGGATTTCAATTTCTCCCTCGCCGTCCTTGAGCTAAGTAGCATTGCGCTAAGTAGCATTTATGTCTTCTCTTGTGTAAACAACGCTGTTTTTTAGACTAGGACGCTACGCGCAGCGTTTAAGCTGCTCGATGGCCCAATAGAGTATCATATCAAAACAATCATCTGATCTTTCCGTTGCACCCCACGTTGTGCTAAACGAACGTTGCAGGACATTTTTCGCTAAGCCCAAGAAGTTCGCCAAAAGCCTGATGTGCCCACCCTCTTTCAAACTGGAACACACACGTCTTCGTATTTAATACTATCGAAACGAACAATATCGATGGCTATATTCAACAGATACCCCTGCAAATACGTCTGAATTTAAAACTGTCGGGGATCACCCAGAGCAGTCCATCTCAGAACCGTCACCACCCATACACCATTCTTGTCATCACCGAAGAGTCAAAGGTGACCACCCCTGCGGAGCAAAGTCGCCAATGCATGAATTTAGCTGCATGAGCAGGGGACCTTAAATGTCTGGCATGACTAACGGTGTCGTCAGCCAAGTGAATCTGCAATGTCATCATTAGACCATGGTTATTCACCGTCCTCATGGTTTCTTATACGGTGACGCCCCCGAAACTGAGGGGACCAAGAATCGCGACACCCAAGCTACAACATATCTACCAGCCGTCCTAACAGATCATCACCAAAAAAATCAACATGAAGCTCCTTCTGTTGCTTACCAGCTTTCTCCACGGGCTTCATGCTGCCTCATTGAAGCCCAACAAGACACCGCCGTGCTCAGAGACTGGCCTTGTCACAACGCAAGATGGCGTTTATCTGAACTACACGCAGAGCGGACCGCTTACCGGCCAGAAGATCCTCTTCATTCCTGGCTGGCGACAAACCGCAGCAGAATGGAAAAAGCAAGTTGCATACTTTTCATCGACTGGATACCGCGTCACTGCCTACGACATGCGCGGACACGGCGAGTCTGAGAAGCCGGATTTCGGGTACCGCATTAGTCGTTTCGCAGCCGACTTGAACGACTTGTTGAACCAGCTCGATCTCACAGAGGTCAGCATCGTTGCTCACTCGATGGGCTCTTCCATTTTATGGGCGTGGTGGGACCAGTACCCCGACGCTCGCGACCGCATCAGCCACTTTGTTTTTGTCGATCAATCCTCCATCCTGACTGCTGATCCTCACTGGACTGAAGAGCAAGCGAAGCAAGTATCAGCTCTCTTTGACCCGATCGGCGTGTATGATCTTGCCAACGACATGACCGCCCAGACACCACCCTTCGTCAGGAGCATGTTTACCGATTCTATCTCCGAGGCCGACTTCGAGTGGGTTCTCTCTGAGAACAAGAAGATCAGCGACAAGAACGCGGCTACTCTTGTCATTGACCACGCCTTCAGAGATTGGCGCGACGTCCTCCCCTTGATATATGTCCCCTCACTGGTCATTGCGGGAGAGGTCAGCGTGAATGCGGCGCCTGGTATCGCTTGGGTGGCGACTCAAATACCCGGTGGGAAGAGCTATACTTTTACGGCTGAGGAGAAAGGCAGTCACTTTATGTTCTGGGAGAACCCCGAGAGGTTCAACAGTATTGTTGAGGATTTCATCATGGCCTGAAGTATAACCCTAACCCTAACCCTAGGTATTCTTCTACCGAACTAAAATATGCTTGCCCCTGTTAGTAGCGTCTACACCGTCAATAATCATGACCCTCGTCATTAAACGTCGTATCCTGTCTGACGAACTTGCTCTAATGAGGTCGCAACCGATTTTTGCCACAATTTGCTGTAAAATTCGGGTATGGTCCGTCATTGATGCAACGTAACAGCTACATCAGCCACTGTACTACCAACATGGGTTCCCATGCGACTTCAAGAGCAAGAAACCTCTCACATCTCAGCCCCGACTAGGAATCCATGTGTGCCAGCTACTTAACTAGTGAGGAACACGGCCGGACTCGTAGAGGCGCATTCAGCATCCAATTCACAGCAGACACAAGGAGCGCTGACCCGTCTTGGAGCGTGTATTGGCGTGACACCAAAGTGCAATGCCTTGAATCGCAATTCCTACCTACATAGCCCAAGAGCAGCTAATCGTAATACACAGTACTTAGCATGCAAACTTCCCTTTTGTATGAATACCAACCCGTTGTCTATGGTGGTCGGTTTCCTCGAACGCAGCGTTGTCTTTACGTTGCCCAGCAGGGTCAATTTAACATGTAATCATTCACTGGTGGTGTACCGATTGTGTCGCAATCCCGCCACGGCAAAAGGGAATGATCACTTCTCTTGCCGGTAGCGTTATTGTAGTCCATATCTCCGTCTCACAGATTGTAGCCCAGTAGTGCTAGAGATGTATAATAGTTAACAGAAAACGAAATGTAAATTCGCTACCAATCCCAAATGACTATAGAAATGCCCTTTCTATGTAAACTCCTGTTTATTCCCCTTGATAGCCCCAGAGACGCTTGCGCTCTAAACCCCACCACCGCGCGATTGCCTCGGCTTCAATAACCCATTCCGAGGCGTCGCTATTATGTTTCCGCCTTGCAGACGACGCTAAACTCCCCACCGACCATTTTAATAGAGGATCCAACTCAAGGGGATCATTCTCAAGGTCGGTGAATGTGTACACCGACTTTGAGTCCAGGGGCATGACGAGCCTCCACGGCGCGTCTGCGGACGTCACAGAGAGCATGCGCCCTCCGGCATTGATGATGCCGAAATTCCATGCGCGTCGGCCGTTGTATGACGCTTTGTACTCTCGTAGAAAAGACTGGCCTTCGTAATCTTGCACGAGGTCGGATGCCGCAGCGGTGTCGTCCTCGTTGAGCGAGCCAGTGTTGATGAGGAGGTCGAGGATGGTGGGGAGGATGGACAACGATGTGGCGTTGGCGTTGTATTGGACTCGAGGGAGATGCGGATGCCTGAAGGTGATGGGAACACGGAAATTGCTTATATGCCCGTTCTCATATGTGCCCGTCTTGGAGACATCCTCCTTGAATGCCTGTCCGTGATCACCTACAAAGACAACGAGCGTCTCGTCAGAAATGCCGTGGTCTTCAAACATCTGCATCATCTCTCCCAGCCAAGCGTCGTTGAAGCGGACCGTGTTGAGATACTTATTAAAGTCCTTGTGCCATCTCATCGTCCCCTTGGTATCCATATACTTGGTGGACGGGAACCATTTGGGAAGCGCCCAAGGGTGATGAGTCGTGCTTGTAAAATGCGAGAAGAACATCCTCTTCCCCTCGGCCTTGGCCTCTTTGATGTAGTCCTCCATGTGTGATCTGAGGGTGGTTTCGGGATACCCAAAGTAGTTGATTGTCTCCAAGTCGTCGTCGTCGGTCGCATCGTTATCGATTCGCGTCTTGGTGACGATATTCTTGAAGCCAATCTTTTTATCAAACTTGGCCTGCCTGTCATACCCGTCGGTTACGGACTGGAAGAAGGCAGGATACCATTCTTGCTGTCGAAAGTCGCTGGTGGACTGGTTGTCTTTCATCCTGTTGAAGAGCTCCAGCACTTGGGGGAGACAGGGCTGGTAGCTCTCCGTCTCGGATTCCTCGAACTTGTCGACGGGCATGGGCCAAGCGCCACAATGGATGGCAGCTAGACTCTTGGTCGAGACAGAACTGGTGGTGAGCGCGCCGACGACATTAATTCCACCAAACCCAGGCGTCGTGGTGTCGTTCCATTCCGGCAAGTCTCGCTCGTAAGTCGAACCGTTGCTACTCATGAAGTTGCCAGGCTTGCCAGTGATTTTCTCAGCGTTCGGCGACATGCGGGATACTCGGGCATTGGCCTCGTCTCTTTCGTCTTCGTCGTTGGCCTCCATGATGAATCTGTGAATATCAGAGCCCTGCTGGATGGGGAAGAGTTCTTCTCGCAGACTCTCCATCATGATCAGGGCAACATGCTTGATTTTGACGCTATTGTTAGTGAGGGCTGTTTGCAAAACTTGCAGAATGTCACTGTCGAGATTTGTAATCTTCATCGGATCACCGACGGGGTTGTAGAAGGTGTCATTGATGACAGGAAAGTCGCATTCGAGAATCTTGTCGTCGTGGGCCGGGTGGCCGGATTGAACAAATTTGTTTGTGGCCGTGACATTCGAGGCAGCGCGGGTTTTGGATGAACGAGAAGCCCACTTGGAGAACCCAGGCGGAATCGGATCCGGTAGCCAATCTGGTTTCGATTTTCGATAGCGGTTGACGACCATATTGTTGGTCCCTGGCGCCCATCCTCTGGAGGTGTCGCTCGGGTATTCCCATTTCGACGTGTTGGTGAGTTCCGGAAAAGGCCATTCATTATCGTTCATGAGACCCTGTTCGGCGCAGGGGTCAGGCTTCGGCTGGAACATGTCTAATAGAGGAAACGGCAGTGTTGTAGATATATGGTTGTAGGGCATCGAAGGACGGATGAGGCTTGTAATGGCGAGGAAGATGAGGAAGCCGGCGATGAGCACCCAGGAACTTGTTTGGCGGAAGCAGTTTGGGCTGCGGCCAACCGCATCCATCCACTTTTCGCCATACACGAGAGCGACCGCTTCCCCGGAGTCGGTTTCGAAGTCGGAGTCGTAGTCGGTATAGTCTTCGGAGTCTTCGCTCCAGTCCGGCTGGCGCTCGATGCGCCGCCGCGGTCGAGAGTTCCGGCTTTGGGGACGTCGTAGGGCTGATCGCCAGACTGCAGGGCCATTAATACTGCTTCGTTCAGGATGGGAGGACGATCAACGTACCGAAGACAAGAGGTGCGCCTATACCGACCAACAACATGCCGACGGCTCGGTATAGGAACGCCTTTGCGAACCATGCAACCAGCAAGATGGCGGAGCCAGATGCCAGGACGGCAGTGAGCCCGCTCATCAATACCTTGATCCCTTCGGCATCGTGGGCAAAACTACCAGCGTCTTCCCATTCCACCTCGTTGCCGGTCTCGTAAAAGAAACCGAGTTGTGATGATGCTGCGCACAGAATAACGAGCCTAGATGTCGAGTATCAGTACCAGGGGATGGAGGAAGGGACTAAGAGGACTGCACATACGCCATTAAACACCCAGCGACGCATAGCGCAAGCGAGAGCCATCCCCGCTCTCGCCGGAACACCAGCCGTGCGGTAAAGATGACAAGTGCATCGGGGAGCAGGAAGGAAGGCAAATAGAGGATGAAGGAAGCTGTGGGAACGGTTGCGGCGTGGATATACAGGTGGACCAGCTTGGTAAATGCCAGCGAGACGACGATTACAGAGAAGCAGTAGGGAACGAAAGCGGCAGACATCCTATCGGGCTCCGGCAAAGATGAGAAAGAAGAACGGCGCTGCAGAGATCCATCGAGGACAGATCTGGACATGCGATTAAGTTTATTCTCGGCGTGATCCGAGCAGCAAAGGGGAAGCAAGGGGATCAAAGGGGATCACGGGAGAGAGCAAGGGGACCAGAACAACACCAAGCTAAAAAGGAGCACGCAGCGCATCATGGGGAGCATCGGAGAATAAAACAGGCAACATGTCGCGTGCCTGGGGGGGGGGGGGGGGCCAACTGGAGACCCGGGGCGCGCCAAAGTACGACACGGCCTGTCACCGGCCACGATTTTCGTCCCAGCTGTCACGGTGTCAGAAATCAAAAGTGCCAGCAGGGCTGAGCAAGACGGTGGCGGTCGCGGGTGTGTTGTAAGCTCGTATTCAGGGCCAGGTTTAGTGCGCTCTCGTGCGTCCTGTCCTGTTCTGTCGAGGGCGAAGCAGGCATAAGTTAAGGGGGTCGCTCTATATTACCCGTTCGTATACTCGGTACAGGACAAGCGAATGTGCGACACCAACGCCGCGATTCCCTGTTTAGCGAGACAGTCTCAGGGTTCCCCAAATTGCTGTACTGGCCTCAGAGGAGAAGGACTCGACGAGAACACGAGCTGAGCCCCCTGGGAAGAATCCACCGCCAGCCCGCCAGCCCGCCCGCGGTCATGGCCCGCTTCAGGCGTGGTGTCGGCGTAGCGAGGGAGGGTCAGAATTAGCTCAGGGAGGCGAGCAGACAAGCATTCGGAATTCGGATCACTCGAGTGGTTCCTGGCTCGCGCTTAAAGAGGGCTGGAGCCAGCTGTTGGCCAGGGCGGAGCGTCCATGATCTCATTGTTTCACGCCTGCATGACCGGGGAGGGATGAATGGGTCAAAGGATCAAGGATCAAGGATTAAGGATCAAGGATCAAGGCCTGGTGACAGCGAGCAGGATACTCGGGGTCCTCGGAAAAGCGGCTGCGGTGGCGTGGTCATCCTGAGCGCTTGTCCAACGTGTCTTGCATATTGGACTGCGAGGGGGCGGGAATTACGGAACAGGGCTGATTTGAGGAACCCTTCATCGCGTGCTCAGTTCAATACTGCACAAGAACAATAACTGCAAGCCGCCCGTCCACCCCACGCCATTTATTTCTACTCTCCCTCCCTCCTCGTCCGGATTGATTGCCGTCCGTCGCCACAAAGATCGTCGTTGCGGGGAATGCGACGCTACGTTCCGTGAAAGGGCCGCAGCCCGAGGCGCCCGGTGGCTGCAGGCCTATTCCATGACACTACAGGGGATCATTCCGGCCTCGGTTGGAGGCGGCCGAGAAGGATTCCATAAGGGCACAAGTGTCAAATAAGACGTGCTAAACTTACGTACAAGTAGTGAGCGGGCTCTCACCTCCCTGTCCTTCAGTGGGCGTCTGGCATTCGTCTCCTGAAAACATGTTTACAAATCAAACGCGCGCTGCTGTGACACTCTGCTACCTCCTTGTCTTGTTTTGCCTCACACATCAATCACAGTGCGTGTGGCAGGGATGGCCTCAAACAAGATGCCAAGCTCCCCGACAATGAGGAACGCCCATGGATTCAACGCATCCTGTGAGACCCTGCGTCAAGTCTGACTGCCGACGACGAACCAGCCCCGATGAGATCGGTCACTGTTCCATTCCACAGAGCTGTGTCAAATGTGATGGCTTGGCCCCCAGCATTCGCCCCGTAGCGATGCGTCTCGGTACGTAGCCACAAATACTCAGACACCATTTGGTCTCAGGGAGTTGGTCTCAGGGATGCATGCAAGGAAAGGTACCTGATCATCTTGAAACCTAGAGCGGTTGGATGCCCGCAGCTGTTGGATGTCCACAGCTAATAATACTCACCGCTTGCCTGTTGGCTCCAACTTAAGAAGGCCGCGCCCACTGTTTGTGAAACAGAACATTCCCAACACCTCTCTACGATCGCCATTAATTCGGTGCATGACAATACACCTTGGCAGCGCCCCGTTCAGCAATCGTAACAGCAGGCGATTCTCCATTTCTTCCCCCCGTGAGAGCACGCTCACAATTAGGTTAGTTTCTCGGGACCTTCGGCCACCTCCCTGGCCACAGAGGGCCCCAGGCTCAAATTAATTACGGGGCTGCCCGTTATCCCTTTGAGTGCGGTAAGGCAACACTTAGGTCACTAGCAGGGGGGTCCAGCCAACCAGAGTATAGCAAATTAAAGGTACATAGATCCCCACCTATTTTATATGGTGATAGAAGTCCCAGCAATTCCCCCCTCTACATAACGCTACATTACACTGCTGACAGCGATATCGCGATTTCTTTAGTCTCTGACCTCTGTTGCCGTTGACTGCCCGTAACGGCTGCGGCCGACCCTCTCCAAGCCGTATTCCTTTACAAGCTTGACATGCCGAGGGATTCTTATTCCGGACCCAATTGTGCTGTATAACAGGCGTAAATTCGTCTCCAGTCCGAAATCTCTGTCGGGCCTGACTGTCAGACTGATACTTTGCGATAAGGTCATTAACAATACGTTGGCGCTAATTGCCCTGTGATATCTCCGGCTTCTACTGTGGCTGCCCTCGCTGCTGTAAAATATAGCTGTTAATAAGGGCTATTTCTAGCAGGAAGTCCCAAGCTAGAGCCCTCCAGCCGCCCCTACGGGCACGCCGGGTAGGGCTCCAATATGACCGCATTTGGTCACCGCGATCTACAGCACCCATCTCGTCATTGTAAACAGCAGCGATGGATGGGATAGAAATCAGCTTGACAGCCTCGTCACCAAAAAATCGCTGTATTGGCCGTGCTTGCATTTGGTCTGTTGTCGGTCTCTTCCTTATGCGTTCGAGTCTCTCAGTGCCCTTGAACACAGTGGACAGGAATAGCACGAGGGCGTTATCTTTCCATGCGATCTGATTGACCTAGCTGAAGACAAATTAGTAGGGAAAATCAATACAATCCTGTCTCTCTGACTGACTTGGTTATCTGCTGTCGGGATAGCTTTGATATCATTGAATTGAAGGCTGCCGGCAGCTGTGTTATCTGCAGCTTTGAGCTTGACAAGAGGCTTGTAGATGCCACAGTTCCTGCGGGCTGTGCCTGTGGCGCCGTGGCCGCATTGCCGGAGCCGGCGAAAGAGGTCACAGGAAGAGAATAGGTTATCGAGAAATACATGGTATCTGGCTTCCGGCAGCAGATTTACTAGGGCAACAACCACAGCTTGGGTCGGGTTTAGATGGATTGTCTTCCTCTCTTGTCGCTGCTGCCGGGTCCGCCGCAGCTGTGACGGCAGGCGCCGGTAGCTCAGCCGGATACCAACAGGCCCGTATTTCCGGCCGGGCCGGTGCCAAATCCACCGCAGGAAATAGCCTTGTTGGGCTACAGCCCACACTTTGAAGCCTGTGGGGATAGGTTTATTAGGGACTGTTGTTGTCTCAATAGATCGTCCGAGAAAGCGGACCATACACTCATCTACAGCAATAGATGTGCCCGGAATATAGAATAACGTAGACGTATGTTGTATATGGTCAGACCAAGCCTTAATCCGGATAAAGGTGCGGCCGTAGAAGCTTATGTTAGGATCCTTATCGATGGTTGTAAAGTTAAAGATCTGAAGATATCGAGATAGCAGCTAGAATCGGTTATAAGGCATCCATTTAATTACTGGATGAATAGGGCGTAGATCCTTAGATCCAGAAGTCTTCCAATACAGCTTGATCTGCGGCTCGATATGTATTCTCATATATATCAAGATCGCAAGCCATATGTAGATTTCGGCAACAGAGGTCGGCTTCCAATCCAGCAGCCGAGACCGCGGCTTCAATCTGCAGCTGCCATCTTCATGCTGCTCAAGCCGGTGACTGACCCAGCTGTTGGTGTATTGGGCCCAGCCTTCTACTAGGGAAACAGGCAGGAATTGCTGGAATAGTGACAGCGGCTCCGGGGGTAGGGTTGTTATCTCAGGGACCCGGCTTGGAATGACCATCGGATCGAAGTTGTAACCGCGATCCGGAACCGGATCATATATCGGCCGGCAGGTGTTATCAGTCGGCTGCTCGCGACGGCTGTTATCAGTGCCAATGAAGCTATTGTCATCATACGCATTGACTGCCTGGCTGGAGAGCTGTTGGGAATCCATAAGTGCACACAGAATGAGTTGTACGGTGAATTGGGCGGGGTTGATTCTAGCGGTGCTTTAGGTCACTCTAGGTACCTCGGCTGTGGCAGGGGTGTGGTGGGTCCCGTGACCTAAGTGTTGCCTTACCGCACTCAAAGGGATAAACTGAATCCAGTCCGTGGGCTAAAAATACGAATAATCCAATGTCAAGCAATGCTAAATACGACTGGCGGGGATTCTTACCAGTCCGTCGTAGTGTTCTCCGCAACTTGATCGGCGACCGGACAAGACAGCGGCACAGCTAGTATCTTGCACTGCCATCAACGTCTCACGCTAGTATATCTTCACTGTTCTAGTAATAGCGACGCTCCTTAACACAGTCCCTGTCCTGTCCAATACGGCTGATCACATCCCTCGTCCGCTCCATGCTTTGCAACGCGTCACGGCTCATCTCCTGCTGGGCTCGTATGTACTCCAACTCGTTTGCTCGGCGCGTATCCTCCAACTCCCGTTCGTATCTCTGCTTGAGCTCCTCCAGTTCCTTGCACGCTTCTCGGACTTCCCAAGACTCCGAAGCCTCCGCCGATATCCGGTCGGACCCGTCTCTTCTCGACGCCGCGCTGGTGGCCTTGGCTGACCATACGGGAGGCTTTGCGGTTGTGCCGAGGGGCTTGGGTGTGGCCGTGGTGGTATTGAGGGGGTCATGTGCTTAGGTTGAGCGTTGGAGGCGTGGAGAACCTGGTATGAGATTCGCTGCTTGGGACACACCAATTGGGTTACCTATATCACCGCGCTCTCTCCAAATATCAGGCTGGTAGTGATGGACCATGATGTTTGCCTTCTAAGATACCATGTCCGGGTCAGCAAATGTATCGATTTTCCACAGCTTGATGAACCCTCTACGCGTGACCATCGGCATCTGGGGTTTGAGGCTGTCGACGAACTTTTCCTTGCGTAATGAACGTCAACGGGGTGGTGATGCATAAGAACGTAGTCAATCCAAATGTATCATTGACTCCTTGGAGAACTTTGTCGGCCTCGGTCTCCTTATCAAGACCCTTGCTTTGTGCAATGCATTCTTCCCTGGCCTCGTCAATTAAAGCTGCCGACTGGGCTATAACTACGCCCTTGACTCCCAGAAATCAACGTCCAGCGAGTAACCCCAAATATCCATGCAGGAGGAGTAAGCATCCGGGGAAGCCTGAGCCACATATGCCAGGACTGACTGTATCACTGATGTCAAACCCTGGCCACTTGTTCCGTGGAGAGTCGTTTGGTGGCTTGCTGAGTGAGATGCAGTCGCTACTTCAAGGATGGTACAATAAGCGCACAGGTCATACTTAATCATAGTAATATTGGCAACGCAGTCAGACTTTTTCGGGTAGTATGTTTTCGGCGCAGCCATTGCAGTTGTCCAGCGCCAGTTTACCAATGTTTCGACAAATTGAGGGTATCACCAAGCGGCCAAGATAGACAGCGCGATCAAAATATTTGTATCCTTTGTTCAAGTTCCCGAGTCGCCGAGTCTGCGTTAGCTGACGTGAGACTAACGCTATCAGATCAATAGCGCGCCACCGGACCAATCTTACACAAGCACTATTCCTAAAAGACCTGACAATTACTACATATAGATATATATAGCGACTATAGTCACCATCTGACTAACCCGTTTCGACAAGTCGCCTCGTCTTTCACAAGACGGCTAGCAATACCGGTAGTTCGGACTCAAGTATAGGGTAAATCCACACAATGCGGTTGAGATTTGGATCGAAGCTCATAACGTCCCCCATATCCTGTGTTCGCTACACTCAGGTAGGATACATATCAATATCCCTACCATATTGAGCTGCGCATTGTGGATACATGAGCTGCTCCTTTTTTGCTCTGAATAAGACTTGTTCATCACTGCATTCGGATCTCGGCTCGCATTCGCGCCGCACCTACCCTAGACTGACATGCAACTCCATCTTGAGTCGACCCTCTATGCATGAGCCTGTTTGCATGAAGCATAACGTCTTTCCATCCGCGCATCTCTTTTTAGACTCCAAGTCGTAGTTTTGAATAGCCAACTGCAATCGCCTCTTCAGAAATTCTCTCAAGTGCACTACCTCCTCAAACGAAGGGTCTCCGCTCCAGACTATCATTGTCGGACGCGCTGAGCACTCGATCTTTCCAGCTGAACCTAGCCATGCTCTGGAGGCAATTATGCCTGAAGAGCAAGTTGACCTATTCAGATCCAACAACCCTTTCTCGGAAGATCTTTTGGAAAGGCTCAGTGAGAGCTCGAAAACTTTGCCGTTGTTCTGGAGCAGCATGGCGTCCGTGTCTATCGCCCAAAAGAAGGACTGGCTCAAGGTCGGTAGTCACACAGGATCTATGCCTCGAGACGCTTTGATGACAGTCGGTAACACCCTCGTCGAGTCACCCTTCCCCTGGTGCTGTCGTCGCTATGAGATCCAGTTGGCCTACTAGGATATTCTTGACGAGCCCACTAGCAGCAGCTCAGCGAGGATTTGTCGAGCGCCTTTCATCGTTGGCAAAGATACCATTTATGATGGCGTGGGTGATGACGCCAAGCACGAAAGCAACAACAACGGAAATAGCAGCAAATGGGCCATCAATAATGGCCGTCCAGCATTCGATACAGCCGACTTTATGCGTTTCGAGAAGACTATCCTCGGGTAGATCCGCAATGTTACCAATGAAAAGAGAGTCTAGTATTTACAGGCCATCGTGCCGGAAGGCTACACCGTGGAGATCTTAGAGACAGTAGAGGAGCATGTTTCGATACACCACAATCCTCCCACTCCGCCAAGGACTCCTGGTATACTCCCCCGACCGTGTCACTGAGCAGGCTCTTCGCCGGCACGCTGTTTTTAAGGACTGGGAAATTCACGCCTACTCACTTACACCAAAGCCCGGAGGGCCACCAATCCGCCCGCATACATGTGTTCGTCGTAGTTAATGCTCAAAGTTTGGACGAGTAGCGCATCTTTGTCGATTAGCTTAACACTGAGTTTGAGGCGTAGGTTTAGGATAAATTTGGAATGGAGCCAATCTTGTTGCCCATCGGGCAAGTCGATTCGATTGGAGGATCCTTTCACTGGGCTGCCGTTGATCTGGTTCAGTCACCGTGAAGTAGGTAATGATCCAGTGACTCACAGTCTGACTACTTGCTCTCATCGATTTCTACTGACCACAGGGTGTTGAATGTGGCGACACGTTGATGGATTTCACATCACAACTTCAGCAAATGCCCATTTAGGCACGCAATGGGTGGTTTTCAGGGTTTAATTGTTAACATTGAAGACACACAATCTTGTCAACCAAAATGTAGCTAAGAAGTATATACCATCAAACCATCATTCATAACAACTTCCATCTCCGGAACCGGCACTCTGACCGTTTCCCCCCCTGTTCATGCCTCCATCGTGAGAGAAGAGGCTTAGCACGCGCCCGACGGGATCACAAAGCTCTCCGTGCGGCTGGTGCTGCTGTAAACGGCGCCGGAACCCAGACCTCGCTTGGCAAATGCTGTCCAGAGCGCGCATCGGTTGGCTCCGCCAGTGAGGGCGGTATCCGCATCAATGATGGCAGTTCGGGCTTGGACCATGTTGGGGTTGCAGGGTTGCCTATAACCTCGTTAGTTTTCTTGGTGCAATTCAACAGGTTCAACAGCTGATAGATGAATCAACTCACAGTGCCATGCCGTCAATAACAAGCTTCATCGTCAGGTACTTTCCATCGGTGGGAACACCGCTGGAGTTGAAAGTAGGCTCATCGCCGTCATTCTTTCCATACTTGTCGATCAAGTTCCACAGCACTTCATACAGCGCCGTGGCCCAGTATGTTCCGATGGCATGGACTCCAGAAAGGGAGTTGACACTCCTGTAGGTATAAGGGTTGGTCGTTAGGCTGGTGCTGTAAGGGTAAGCCCGAATACCGGCGTCGTTGTTGTAGACCCAAGCACCCATGACCTTGTTGGTAGAGCGAGTGTCACCAGACTTCAGGCTGATTGCCGTTGCCATGAAATCACTCCATCCCTCGCCCATGCCACCAGACTCAGTACCCGAGAGACAAGCAGAGTTGGCAGGGCCACCGGTCAGGCGGTTGGACACTGCGTCACCATCAGTATCAATATCAAAGTCAAAGTCAACGGCAAGCAACAAGAGTTTGGTTGAACTTACATCCATGGGTGTACTCGTGAATCACCACTCCAGCATCAAAGGAGCAGTCCCTCCTCGGGGTGCTGTAAGTCCAGAGGTACATTCTCATTCGGCCTGGGGACCCATCCGCAGGGGTAGCAAAGTTGGCGTTGTTGGTACCGCTGCCGTCTTGAGCATTCAAGATGACAAAATCGTTACCAGTACCGCCCTGGCCGTTGTTGTTGATCTCAAAGTTACCAGCCCTCTCAGTGAAGCCGAGAAGATAGAGCAAATCATGGTACTTGTTTGCGGTGTAAAACAGCTGGCTGATGGAAGCATCGCGATAGCTAGTCGGGTCGGTCATGCTCGTGGTGTAGGCGTACTCAAAAGCGAGGCTCGAGCTGGTGGGACGATAGTTGGTGAGGTATGCGGTTCCTCCAGAGGGGTTAACCTGAGCGATGCCGTTGTTGCCTCGGGTGGTGGTGTAGTTGGTTGAGCCATCAGACACCCAAGTGAATTCGGAGGTGACAATGTTCCAGGGGTCCTTGACGACAGAGCGAGAGCCCTCAGTAGGGTCCATGGTTCCCCAGGGACTAAAGTTGACGATGTCAGTCTTCAGCTCAACATTTAGAAATTCTAGGTTGCTTACTAGACCTGGTAGGTGGCGAGATCGGCAACATAGTCGACAACGCCAAAGACCTTCTCATTGGTCGAAGCGTCGATATAAGTCAGGAGCCAGTTGTCCATGACATCAGTCTCGACTCGCCAGGTGAGTACTAGGCTGCTATCAGGCTTGACGAGGTAGACGAGCTTGGCCTCTGGAGCAGAGACAGTGCCATCGGTGCCCGTGAAAGTGTAGTGCTCAGTGTCATCCTTGGGCTTTGCAGTCGCGTCGGCGGTGTCAACGGGAAGGGCGAGGACATCCACAGCGCCTTTGAGGGCATCAACAGGGTCCGAAACGTCGCGCTTGGCGAAAGGAGACGGCAGCTTTCCGGTGTAGAAGCTGTTACCGTAGGAGAAAACGGTGCCATCAGCAGCAACCTGGCATTACGTTAGCTTAATTCGCTCTTCTTCCTGCTCATGGAAATACTCACATTCACATTGAAGTCGGCATTATCGACATCAATGCCGTTGATAGTCTGCTTGAAGTTGACGTGAGCAATTCCGTTGGAGCTGACGTAGTGGTCCTCGACAAGGCGGAAGGTTGCGCCATCAGCAACAGACTTGACCAGGTCCTCGGCCGTCTCAACGTAGGTCTCTCGCTTGGAGATAGTCATGATTGGGTCTGCAACCACCTCTTCATTGGCGACATACTCGGAAAGCTCGGGGAGTCTGAAGGAATCCAGATCAATGCCTCGCTTTCCTAGTGCAGCACCCTGGGGTTGGCGTCTGGCCGGGTGAGCTTGGGCTTTGTTGATTGCTAGCCCAGCAAGGCCTAGCATGAGGAAAGATCGCATCATCGTGAAATGCTTCAAGGACGATGGGTTTATCTAGGGAATAGATGGTGATGAGGATTGTGGCAATGAGCTAGCCTGGTCTTCATCGTCATTGTAGGCCATCACATACCTTTAAATACTCAATATCAACAACCCATCTTCCTTGCTATCCCCATACTATCAGTCTGCTCTTCCACGATCCAATTGAGCTTCCCCATACGTTCGGAACTTTGTCAACTCACTCTCCTAGGGAAGGTCGGTGCCGGATACCAGATAGCCCGCCTCCATCGGCGGGGCTAGGAACTTCTGCTTCTGCGACTAGGATCTAGGGTCTCCCGCTCGGGAGGCGTGCGATCGAGACCAAAAGCCGATCACAAACCGGGATATAGCAGGCCTGGGCAATGAGGATCCCCCACCTGGCGGGTCACCAGTGCCGCTGAAGTAGGAAAGAGAAGTTCCAACCTTCCAAGACAGGCCACCTTTGCTGGTGACAAAGGTATCGTCCTATATCGAAATGCTATGAGCTAGGGAGCGCTCAGTTCTGATAAGGTTGTTAACGCCGATGACGATTGGGGCCGATCCATGCGCACCCGACTAGGTATGCGTGCTAAGAGTCCCTGTGATCTGAGGCAGTCCACTCATATCACAGAAGCATCGACTACAATGTGCCAAGACGACTACGCACTATTGTAGGCGGGGCATGTCGCAATCTTTGGTCCTTGGCGGTAGAGCTTAGGCCAAGCAGCACGCAATGTGATCAAGATGCGAAAGCCACGGGCCACTCTATCTATCTGACTCACGACTTGGTACTTTAATTACTAGGATTGATAGAGATACCCATATGCCAGAGCTATGGCCGGCCGTTCTCCATCAATAAAGCTCACAAATTAGCTCTCATATAGCCTTTAGGCTATGGTCGATCGTATGCTTGCTGTCCCGAAAGGGAAGCTGGCTGGTTCGGAGCAGCACCAATTAGCGGCGGCAACTTCGCAGAAAGACCCTTTAAGAAGCTCATAAGCGCCAAATCATCTGTTGATGACACGATATAAACTCTATTCGTCCACTTGCTTTATTTTCCCCGACCACGCCCCTGAAAAGGCGCATCTCGGCAGATACCACGTCAAGCGGGGGGAGACCCTAGACCTTCCTGATCGGGTTTCTACTCCCGGCCGTTGTAACCATGTTATCATTTAAGCAGGTGGAGAGATCTTGGCCACTCTATAGGTTGATTGTTGGTCAAGGGATCAACCGAGGTAGAAAAGCGACCGCTTGGATTGTCTTGGCGGTTGGGTTGGTGATGCCATCACCTCGAAAATGGTGAAGACACTACTGCACTTGATATTTGTGAATGCAAATAAACGAAGTCGGTAAGAAAAATAACTCCATTCTTAATACGTTTAAAGAAATGACGCTATGAAATGTTTGTCAATAATCTTGGTCATAGAACCGCTTCGTCACTCCCAACCGTGTTGGTCCGGCTGGTCATTCATTTTCTGTAGCCAACTGTCTTGGAAATTCTCTCTCCAAATGATACGCTCCAACAAAATACTCCATTCTTAAACAAGGTGATACTCATGCAGCATCTGTCCAATTTGCGACTCCTCCAGCTTGTGAATAAAATATTGACGAATGCGTTCCGGCAGCCACGCGGCAAGCTCCTTTCCGTCTCGCAAGTGGCAGGTGGCTTTGAGCAAATCCCGCACATCGTAAGTTGAAGCGAAGACTTCGGGCACGCCACGATCGACGCCAGCGAGCTGATACACCGACTCCATAGCGGTTCTGACCGAGTACTCGGTGGTGAAGATGGTGTCTCGCGTGGTCTCGGCAAACTGCCCAATGAAGGCAAAGTTCTTTGAGCCAGCTGGAACGACAGCTGGTCGATCGCCTGCCTTTCTAGGCATGAAGAAAGACGTGACGTACGGCATCATGACGGGGACGCACTTGGCTGCCTCTGCGGCGAGGATTGGGATGTCCGACTCAGGAACTCCCATATGATAGAGCCACTCCTGGGTGATCTCCTGCCCAGTACACTCTTGCATCGGCTTCTTGACGTAGTCGCCAGGCTGCTCAACGAGTAGGCCATACACCCACACGATAATTTGGTCCTTTGGCTGGTTCTTGAAATGAGGTTGGCGGTTGACAGTCCAGCTCATCAACCAGGCCGAATCGCGGACTGTGACGATACCGCCCGTCACCACCTTGCCGCTGAACGGGTCTCGCTTGCAGATTTTCTGGATATACTCGGGGATGCGCTTGTCCAGAGTGGTCACTGTAGCCGACTGCCATTTCGTCGCGGGTATGTTGCCGCCAAAGACATCCGGATGTCCAAACTCGTCGTGCTTGGATGAGATGCGGCGCCATAGATCCCACGCCGGTGCGTCGCCTTCGTGAAGCGCTGCAGCCGTATTCTGATCTCCCAAGCCAGAATTTTCGGTCAAAGATCCAATGGTCATGAATAGTAGATCATTGACTCCCAGATCCTTGTCAAACTTCTTGCCCGCCTTGATTCCGTGAATACGCGTGGCCTGCTTGTCGTCGCCCGTGATGTCAAAATCGACATCCTCAATCTCGGTGCTAAACTGAAACACGACGCCATGATCCTCCAGCCACTTGTGAAGAGGAAGAACTAAGGACTCGTACTGGTTGTACCTTGTGAATTTGAGGGTTGAGAAATCGGGCATGCCATGGATGTGGTTGACGAATCGGTGGAGGTACAGCTTCATCTCCAGCGCCGAGTGCCAGGTCTGGAAGGCAAACATGGTCTGCCAGTACAGCCAAAAGTTGCTCTTGAAGAAGTCTTCGGTAAAAACCTGATCAATGCGCTTGTTCTCGACGTCTTCTCTCGTGGCGAGGAACAGTTTGATCATTTCCTTTTGCGCCTTCTCGGTCAACGTGAAGGCCGTTCCGGTTTCGGCATCCTGGCCGCGCTTGATAGTAGCTCTCTGCAGGGAGTAGTTGGGATCTCGCTTGTTGAGCCAATAAAACTCATCCAAGACGCTGGCATCCTTCTCTTCGATGGAGGGAATGGAGCGAAACAGGTCCCAGAGACATTCGAAGTGCGATTCCATCTCCCGGCCGCCCCGGATGACGAATCCTTTTTCGGGTTCTTCAATTCCATCCAGGGCGCCGCCGGGGATGGCCAATTCCTCGAAGATGGTGATGTTTTTGCCAGGCATCTGGGCGTCTCGGATCAGAAATGCGGCAGTGGAGAGGCCGGCCAGGCCGGATCCGACAATCCACGCCGATTTCTCCTCGATTCCCTCGGGCTTGACAGGTCGAGCAAAGGCTTCATAGTTGCCTCGGCTATAGTACATTGTGAATGATTGATGGATTGAAACAATTGTAATTGATGAGTTGTGTGCTGATCCCGAGTACACTCGCGATGAAGAGAGGATATTTATAACGACGCATCTCCCCTCCATGACTCTACGAATAGCCCCATTACTCGTCATCACGGTCAGATCATTCAAGTCGGCAACGGAGTTTTACAGCTGCCGAGGAAGCAGTTGAGAGGCTTGATCACATGCGCCAAGTGGAGTGGCGAGACCTGCGTCGAAACACCGGCTTATCACGAAACTCCGAGCGGGACTAAAATTCTAAATTCAAGAAGGAGGATAGGGTGTTTTGGCATTGGATCTTTTAACAGCCTGTATTCTTGGGAATTAATTCGTTCGTTGTTACAGGAGGGTGTTGTTGAGACGTGAATGACTCTCATCGAGCTACAAGCGCTAATTTCGGTGCTTTTTCGTACAGAGACGTCACAAAACATCAATCCTCCAACTTAGGTCGGAAATAAATGACATCATGGTACCGGACCCAAAAAAAAAACTAAAAGCGCGTTGCGCATTCTCTGCGAGTCTCGTGGGATCCTGGCATCACTCCACGTGCTAAAGACGGTGTGGATGCCACAGCGCTAATATTCGAGCGAGCTGCCCATCACCATGTGACCATCAGGCGACGGAGCCGAAATCTGGTCGGACCCACAGATTCGTACAGCTCCGATTCCGAGGCATAGATGCATCCGGCGACTGAACGGCCATCGGGAGGCTCGGAATGACCGCACACAATCCCCCTATACGGTGCCGTCTCTCGTGAATGAGACAAAGTGTGATGCCAAACAAAGACGATGTGGGCGTGTTCAGGTAGGCGGCAGAACGAAGCTCCAGAACGGGTAACCTGGGACAATGCAACCGAGGAGGTTGTTTGTTGCACACTCTTTGGGAAGTATCCTGTTCTTCTAAACCAATCCGAAAGAAATTTCAATATATTTGGGGCCATAACGCGTCAAAATGGTCATGTAAACTCGCACGCGTTTCTGTATCGTTGGTCTCAGTCTCATCACCTTGACAAAAAAAGCCACTACATATTTCATAACAAAAGAACGAGATCACCCACATATAGAAGAATATTGGTCCGGTCATCAAAGATGCATCCCTATTTGTGGAACGAGATGCAGTTTCAAGCGATGTGCGACAAGGCATATGATGTAAGAGGTTATATGAACTCATTAGGATCTCACCATGAGCTGACATGACAATAGAAAGGTCCAGAACCTCTACCGTTTTACCATGCAATGCGTAAGGATCCCCGTAACCTTTTCTGCAGAGATCTAACTAGGTAGTAGCCCGAGAGGACCAAGTCAAAGTGGACAGGTTGTCGACTTTGCCAACTGAACTTCACCTCAGCATTTTTTCGTACCTTGATTCGATGGACGACATGAGGAATCTTGCAAATACATCACGATTGTTTTATATTTTATTCGACAAGGAATTGTACAAGGAGAGTGGTCGGCGCTTCAGTTGGCTTCCCCTGTTTATCGGGGCGCAGAAGGGCGACATCAAACTGCTAGAAAGATGTCAAAAAGCTGGCGCGCCGCTAGACACAACTTGGCAACTCACTAACACATACGTGGATATTGACTTCTCTCAACATTGTCGTCCAATTCATGTGGCTGTTCAATATAGGAAGCTCGTCGCTGTCAACTGGCTCCTTGAGCTGAAAAATAACAAGAATGGATATGACTATATAACGGAACGCGGCGACTTCAAGTCGCCGCTAGAGTGGGCGTTGCATTCATCTGGAATTGATGCCAAGATTGAGAAATGGTCTGTAGCGAGAAGACAAAAGGCGGGGTTGGTCAATACGAGGATCTTTGAGGCCCTGCTGGAAAAGTCTGCGCACCCAAAGGACAAAATCGCCGAGTACGGTCATCTTTTGCGCAGGGTTATGAGTGTTGACACTCGCGTTCGACATGGCATTCCGTTCTTGACGTTACTTGTTCAAAAGGGGGTCAACCTGAACGTACTCTGCGATTGTTGGGACCCCTGCGCTTTGAATCCTCTGCCGGGCCGGAAAGAACGATTGCAAGGCAAACATTTTCAAAACATCTTCCGCCCAGTCACCGCGATGGATATTATAAAACTCATCTGGAATAACAAACTTTGCCCTACTACTCTCAGCTATATGGACAGGATCTTTGATTCCATTGTGTATTGGAGCTTGGAGGCGACTGAGGAGACTCATTACAGGCGGCAGGATCCGGTAAGCAGGAGAATGGTTGATCTCTTATAGATTGGGACGTCAGGTGCATTTCACACAGCGCAATATACACAACAATATAGGCACCTTAAATTGGGCATAATTACGACCTTGATACTGTAGTTATAACTGATAGATTGACTGTATTGTTAATTATCTAAACTAGACCGGCAAGGGATTTCCCTTATCTTATTGCCTCTGAAACCAGAGCCAGCAGTACCTGCACCGCAGAAGGTGCAAGCGAGATCCGTCAGGCTTCCAGCGCCTGTAGCACCCATAGCGCCCTAAGCTTCCAGCAGCTATAGGATCTATATCTATAGCGCTATAAACTTCCAGCAGCTAGAAGCTTAGGGCTCTATAGGCGCTGTAGCTGGTGGAAGCTTAGAGTGCTGTAGGCTGCAGATGCTGGAAATTTAGGGCTCTATAGGCGCTATAGCTGCTGGAAGCTTAGACGGAGCTTGGTTGCACCCCCTGTAATGCCTGAGTCACGTGGTTAACACTTGCACTCCCGTGGTGCCGTGTTTCCTTACCTTAGTCATCTGGCCGGACCCTCAGCCTGATATAGCCTAACTGAAATAGGTATATCCTTATCTTATCTCCTGACCGCCTACTAAATTAGGAATAACTGATAACAGCAAGTACCAGCAGTAGACTTATACTCTTGTAGAGGCCCTTAAGGTTACTAGGCTGCTGCTGGAAGGCTGCTGCAATTAAATAACTCCCGGCTTAAAAGTGCTGCAGCTAGAAGGTCGCTCCTGTGGGCGTATTGCTATTGTAGCTAGGCTGGAGTGAGTAATTGCAGGTTGAGGCACTTACTAAGCGGCAGAAAGCCAGAATGGAAAAAGACAGAGCGTGCGTCACGTGGCTCACCGTTTCCAACCTGTAAGGCCCGGCTGCATGACTGGGACTATTTCCTCTGTGGCTGCTGTGCTGATGCTGGCCTACCTCCGCTGCCGCTGCCTCGCCCTTCTTTGGTTCATTGGTTCCTACCAATTGTCCGTGGTTGCAATCTCTGCGCCGACGGCTGTTGTGACCGCTGACTGCTCTGAGTCTCTTGCGCCTAAAATAATGTACGTACCTGTTTTCAAGTGCCGTTTTAGGTTACCCGTAGGCACCCGAGAAGTACAACATACACACCGGCTATTTCCTAATACAGGCAAAACTCACTTCTCCACCAATTAACGAGCTAGTCTACACCTTAAAATAATTTAACTATACTTGCCTAGGCTAGTCTGCTTAATACCTGGCTTTCTATCTCTATTTAAAGCCTTTTAATAGAGCAGTATTTATACTGGCGGATTGATAACTTAAATTGCCCCTCTGAAGAGAAGGCCTGAATTTTAGAACTAATTAAAGCGAGCTCCTGCGGTTAAGTGTACCGATGCTGAATAAATATTTGCTGGAATTAAATTTAACGCCAATACCTGGAAATGCTGTGCACAAAAAGTGGACTGTGGCAAAGGTGGCTAATGTGGCTAACATAGTGGCAATTATCTATTTTAATTGGTAAAGAGGAAAGAGACTTGACTAAATTAGGACTAGCGGTTGCATCCGTTTGACGGGAGCTGGAGCTTTGCTCCCTCTGACAAGCCACTGCAGTCCCAGCTGGGACGAGAGGACGGATGGGAACCTGCCCACTCACCAACGGAGGGATCTTCCCGATGCAACTGGTCAAGCTGTAGTTCAACACCATCACTCACTGATGGAAGTCACTTTGGTGCGAGGAGGAACCGATTTGCACGAGAAAAACTGGAAAATGGGTCGGAAATAATTGTGCCATGTGGTTTACAAAACATCATTCTCTGCCTCAATCTGCCCCAAACCGCCTGCCACACGACCCCGACGACACGTCGCCAATCTACAACCTAGCTCCTCCATCACTAAGCACCGTGGATAGAACTGCTGCCATGATTTCCAGCTGATGTAGGATCCTTCCATGTCCACTTGTCCGTCTGTCCGTTGTCCGATGCCCAGCAGACTCCTCCTCTGTCACAGCTCGAGTAATCGTACAGAATCGTGTAAACGTCAAACGCGTTCACGATTGCTTCGGGTGCAATAACGTACCACATCCGGGGCAGCGTGGAAAATCTCGAAATGAGCGCAGAAGCTCGTTGTAAGGTGTCCCTGTTGATGGCGGCGTCGCGGCGGCTCAACATATCCCAAAGGTCACGGTCGGGGTCTGGGGCATTGATCGAGTTTCTGGAGGCCGTGTAGATGGTGAATGCGACACGTATTGTGGCTGTGTCGCACTCAAGGTCGTCAGGTGCGGTGGCCTCCGTCTGCGGGATTTGCAGAATTCGTAAAGCGAAATCGGCCTTTGAAGGGCACTCACAGTAAGCATGGATCTCGCAGGGGGGTTGTTTGGGACGGGGAGGCATAATACCATTTGCTGTTGCTCATCCTGTGTGGGAGAAGGGAATTTGTGGTCCCTTGTTTGACGGCCACGCAGATGCCGTCGCAATCAGCTGCGCTGTGACTGGTCGTGTGCGCTTTCTGGTCGCTGGCGGGGGGTCATCCCGGAGGATGAAGAAATCCGGGGCGACCAGGCTAGTCAGCATGGTTGGTAAAAGTGCCGATGAATCCATGGTCGGTGTTGTTGAACAAGTGTGTGGTGTCTGAACAAGTGTGTGGTGTCAGATGAGAATGGGGAGCGAAGAGCAGGAATGGAGCAGTTATATACCTAGAGTCTGGCGCTGGATTCAGACAGCCAAACATGTTCATGCCAGCCACTCTGCAGGGAACCAGGGACAAGAAGAGAAACTTGTTGAGCGGCATGACTCCATTGGGGTGGAACGAAGAACGAGCAGGCAGTTGATTTAGGCCAGCAGTGGGATCTGGGCCCTCTCACCGCAACAACACCTGGCGCTCTGGAAGCCAATCCCTCATCCATTTTGCTATTGATCATAAAATGCTTGCCAGAAATAGAGCTAGCAGACGCCGGATGGCCACCGGAAGCGCCCAGACGGAGTGGCCAGTCTTGCAGAACAAAGAAGTTGCGCGTCGTCGGGGCGGGGCACCCATGCGGCGAGCTCGTCGTTTCAGTCGCAGTTGGATGGGAAATTTGGCACTGAGACAGAGAGGTTAGCAAGATTGTCAAAAGAGAAGAGCCATAGGTGATGGCAGAGCTGGAGATGGGTTGTCGGCGTTGACCTGATCGTGATCCTTGGTGCTCGCGAGAAACGAGACTCAGCAACACCAGGGAAGGAGGAACTGCACCCCGCCGGCACCGGATTAACTTTACGTGTTCCACGTGTAGACTTCTGGCAGTTCAGCCAGAAAACGGAGAATGTGTGGGAGGACAGGCCGTCAAGATTGCTGTCCCGTTAGCGCATCCCTGTACGACTGTGTCTGGGCCGGTGGTGATTAGCAGCAGGGGTGAAGCTGGCAGCTGCAGTTATAGCCCCTGCATGGGGATACCTGATGGCGCAACAGTGAAAGTGCAGCTGTGATTTTATGAGGCGAAAACTATTCAGGGGTCCCGGGGTCCGTAGGTTGATGCTGAACACCGGGGTGTGGCTGCCGTACAGAGAGCATCGAGAGCTGTAGATGAACTCCTAAGAAAAGTCTCTATTGGCAGCGTTTGAGGTGGCGCGTGATGTTTACCAGACATGGAACTCCAGCACTGAGAGGGAGTGAGGCCGGAGCCTGGCCGCCAGGTGCCTCGGTTTTCATTAGATTTGCTGATGCGTGGAGGTTCCTGCTCACCTGGGACCGACCCTTCACCACAATAACGAGGCCATTTGGAGTGCTGCGCTGCCGGACAACCCGCAACTTGGGCCTAGCAAGCAACCAACAGAGGCCATAGAACCAGACAAGCCAGAACTGTTTGGGCTGGGAGTGAGGTGAGATGGATGGGATAGACTGCGAGAATAGGATGAATCTGACTGATAGGGATTGTATTTTAAGTCACTAATGACTACAGTATTATCTTTCCAGAGCGCAAATACTAGAAGATACTGACGCTCTATTTTGTATAACAGAGCAAAATGCAGAGGCTCTATCAGATGTTCCGGCTGTGGCTGATGGAAGAGCCGGTCGCTCAAGCCGTGCAACATTATACCAGCCGGGCCAGAATAATCCACACAACTTGCCAATCTGACCAGGCAGATCAAGGAGAGGTTGTTGTATAAGCCTAGGAGCAAAACCTGGACAGTTGAGCCGCAGTATCGGGAACTGAACAGGCCTGGGCGAGTGAGAGCTGATACTGAAGAAGGGCAAGGTCATAAGCCTTCTGAGCATAGACAGCCGATATGACCCCCGTGACGAAGCTGATGATGGTTAAGATCCCAATGGCCGTCGCTATCCAGAAGGTGGCAAACTGGAGCGCGTTCTTCCCATCCCTTTTGAGCATAAACTGGTGTGCTCCGACTGGCACCTCGTCTAGCACTTTGCTGAGCGCCTCGACTCGTTCTCCCCAGAACGGGTATTTGCTTAGCTCCACCGTCCTGGATTGGCCGCAAGTTCCAAGGCCGCCAAAACTCTTTCCATGCTTTCGAAGTAGCGACTTGGTTGGATGGTGATGCCTGGGAAAGAGGAGGTTGAGCGTGTCGATGGCCTCTTCCGCGATCGCCAAGGGTAGAGCCGTGCTGTCGCTCGACCGGCGGTGATTCCGCAGGCAAATCTTGTGCTCATAGACCGTGAGAACTCTGCTGTCTCTGTCTAATTTGAGATGGTCGGCCAGGTTATGGGTCCAGAGTATTCTGAAATCATGGTTGCTGACGAGGTTTGCTACTGTCAAGCTGTTCTTGACAGATCCTTTCCTAACATCCTCCGTGGCAGAACCTGTTTGGAAAGAGGCGTTGACCAGAGAGATAATACTCTGATCGTCGGCCCAATGCAGCACCCCTGATAGTCCGGCCGGCGGGGACGATCGGATGTCTAGTGTCAACCACAAGCCGGCGGCTACATCGATTGCCTTTGAGAGTGAATCATCCGATGGGGTTTTAGGCGACAGACTCTTCTTGACCTCTCCCAATATCTCCGTCCTTGGCGACCTCTTCAGGCGTCTGACATCGTCGATAACCCTTAACAGATCTTCCGACGTGATCGGGTGGAGATCGCTGGAGTCACTGTCCACGACGTCGAGTTTGGCGTTGATGCGCTCCAAAAGGCTGGTGTACATGCCTACTTCGGCGCGGAATCCCTCGGGCGAGATTCCAGGCCACAAGGCTTGCGCCAACTGCCGATCGCTACGTGGATGCGCCACTCGAGGTTCATTGTAAGACGGCTTGAAACAACCGAGGGCCATTGCGGACTGCTTGGTGGTCGACTTGAGTTGTCCGAGCTGGCAGAGATGATTCGGGGAATCATATCCATCGTTCGAATTCCCCCTCCTAGGTTATTTCTTTGTCAAGCCGTAAGAAGTGCACATCTGCCGGTCACGGCCACCGCCACGGCGTTTTTCCGACGGCATGATAAGCAGCCCTGCTATTTGATTCGATAACCGCCCGTAGAGGAGCTGCAATGGAATTACAATGCGGAGTAGGTCACCCTGCGGCTCAGTGGTAGGAAGGAGTCGTGTGCTGCGCCTCCGCCATGTTTTCGACCTGCTTCTGTGACTGACCGCTCAGAGACGAAGACTCAAACTGAAAAGTTCTCCAAACTGTCGCTCGTCAGACAATCGCTCAACGATAGCCTTGAAATCTCTAACCAAGATTACCTTATTGAATCACTCTCTAGAGCCCATGACTGCTGCTGGGAAACGCCAGCCTTGAAACGCTGGCCATCCGACCCCGCTCCTCCACGCCGCCCCAATACAGGTATCCAAACGACGTCACTCTCGGCGGACGGATGCTTAGAGATCCTAAGCTATACATGGACTCCCGCGAATATCCTCTTCGTCGCCAGAGCGGGATTGGCGGCGGTGCCTTGGCCAGTCACGGTCACATCCACCAGCATGAACCCTTGACGTCTTCGCTTGCGATATCGCAGCATCCCATGCCATGTGGCCGAAGTCACCGGCTACCCTGGATCGTCACAAATGACGAAGACTCAGGATGCTTTCCTAGCTCTCTAACTCCTCCCTGCGACGACGCTGCGACATGTGATTCCATCGACCAGCCACCGGCTAGCTGCGAGCACGTCCAGGCGAACCACGATCTCATATCCTCGGAAACAGAGACACCCGAGCCGCTGACGCCGTCTGATGAAGAAATTCCGCTATTCGTGCCGTCTCAAACCCTTCAAGCATACACATATTACTCCCACAACACCCATTGTGCGCGTCCGTCCATGATCAAGCTGCCATCCGAGGCGCTCAAGAGCTGGAACGAAACGCTGCAGAGGGAATGGGACGTTGAGCTCAACTCCATCCGTTCTGTTGTGGTCCGCAAATGCGGCCGCAAGTCTCAAGGGGAGGCAAAAATCGAGAAGCCGGAATTGCGCCTGTCGGGCCGCGCCGCCACAGGGAGCAACGGGGTGAATCTCTCGTTGGCCGTTTGGATACTGTGCGGCAGTGGATGGTGCCGGGACAAGGTCAAGAAGAAGCTTAAGAAGCTGTCGTTGTTTCAAAGCTGCAATTGGCAGATCGAAGTGCAAGAGGGCGCGTCCGTATACGGCGCCATCCAAGATTCCGTGCCGCTGCAGAACCTCGACCTCGGGCACCCTATCCGGCTGCGAGAAGACACGGAGCTGTACCTCCACGTCGAAACTCCTGAGGATAACGAGTCGGCGTGCGGAAGACTTGTCTGCTCAACGATCATGACCCAGGGTGTTGTGGCTGAACAGCGTCTCTCGAGGCTCGGCGGCCGGATTAATATCGTAGACCACGAACTCGTCGTCACGACCGCCCACGGTATGCTGGAACACTTCATGGCTCTACCCCCGTCGTCTTCAAGTACCTCGGAGTCGTCTGGATCATTTAATAGCGACGAATTTGAAGAGTCAGATTCCGAGGACGAAGACTGCACGGAGGACAGTGGTGATGGTCAACAGGATGGCACCGAGACCTGCGAGCCTCACCGAGACAGACTTGGATACAAGAACCCCGAGCATATATCTTCTTGGACGCCAGTTAGGCTTGGGGGGCCGGTAAACTTCCTCGGGATGGGGAGCGACGCTTTGGGCTCTGATTCACGCGGAAGCTGGTCTCATCTGGCTGTAGCAGACACCGACTTTGCACTCTTGGAGGTGCCGGAGCTGAATACCGCGAAGAACATATACACCATGCATACTAACCAAGACTCTAGTCCAACGTGGGTGAGACACTTCCCGCATAACGAAGGCATGATGTCTGGCCCGGTCAAGGTTTTGGTTGACCATGACCAACCGGAGAACGGCTTCCTCCTCCCTCAGTCGTCGAGCATTTCCGTACAAGGAGTCACTATGGAAACCCAAAAGGTTGAGCTGAGAGAGCCGCTAGGTAAGCTGCCCACAATCTTTGGAACGCAGGCTACGGACTAGAAACTAATAGCTGTCGTAGCTAGGGGCACCTCAGGGTCCTGGGTTGTCCAAGGTGAAACGCTCTGCGGCATGATCATCGCCATTTACGACCACGAACCGTTCGTTCAGCTTATCACAGCAGAAAAGCTGTACATGGATATTCAGCGCTCGTATAAACACATCGTGGATGTCAGCCTGCCCGTCAGAGATGATTGGTCTCGCCTCGGCGAGAATCTCGATCCAACATCGGCTTCGGACTTGAGGGCCTATACCGAGAACGCTGACCTTTTAACCGGCGATTCAAGCTCATGTCCTGATCCGGATACAAGATCCGAGTCAGGCGATGTCAGCGCTGGGACGATCGCTGAGCCTGAACCTGACAAAGGCATAGAGAGGCCGAACCGCGGATATGAGCCTCGAAAATCCCCTGGAAAGCCTCTTCCTGCTCTCAGACCTGCGAAATCAAATGTCGACGGAATGCAAGATCATGGAAAGGTATTTGAAGGCAGAAGTGCGCTTGAGCTAGAGCTTGAGGCACGAAACTCCGAGATCAAGAGGCTCTGCGAACTTAAAGACAAGATCGTCAGGGAATTTTATAACTACAAGGCCCAGACCAATGCAAATAGCCAGGCTCTTATTGCAGAGTCCGAGTCAAGGCGCATAATTGATGAGACTAAAATTGCCCTCTTCGAAACCTTGGAGAAGCAGATTGCGGAGATCTGGGGTAAGCTGGGTGCCTACGAAGTCTCACAGAAAGCCAACGTTACCGAGATCGAGAAGCTCAAGCAGCAGCTCCAAGCTCATGATGCCAAAGCTGCTGTTGGTGGTCAGGCTATGTCGTTTGTGATGTTATATGTAAGTGACTAGTTGCATATCTTTGGAGCTTGCAGGGCTCTCACTCACCATTTCTAGATTTTCACACCCATCGCACTCGCAGCCAGTGTACTTTCAATGCAAGAAAAGGCCATTCCTAAGCATTTCGGACCTGATGGAACATCCTTCCTCATCTTAACTACTATATTTGTTATCTTGACATGGTTAGCTCTCACGATGCACCGGAAATGGATGCAAATTGAGGATGGTATAAGAGGCATGGTGAAGGCAGAATTGTCCGAGATGGATCTCGAAAATCAAGGAGAATGACGCGAAATTAAGTCACATAGTCGAGAAGACGGGAATATTATCTCACCACCTTTTAGTCGTTTCTTCAGATTTAATGGCATTTTTACTTTGATGGTGCTGAAAGGTCAGTAGGGTTTAATAACGCCAGGGCTAGCCTGACATACCAGCTCCGACTTAAAGTAACTGCATCTCCAAGTCATTGGAAGGGCATGCTTGTCCCTAATTCAACTCAAGCATACACAGAATTCATCACGAAACTATTGGAGCAGACAAGCTATAAAGAACTGAAAAGTTGGACGCGAAAGTAAACGCAATTACTGATTGAGCAACAATGTACAGGCCAAAGAAACGACAAGCCCAGGGCTAAATCAAACCTCCCCATCCTGATACAAGCCCTCCTCAAGCCCCTTGATCTGCAAAGCGAGCAGCCTGGAATAGTAGCGACACATGGCCAAGTTTCCACCGTGGAACCAGAAGCCGGGATGTCCACTCCGCTGCCAGATGGTCCGCATCTCTCCCTCATCGTTGAACCCCCACACATCGCCAACCTTGTCCGCCACCTCGTCACCAAACATGATGCGCGTTTGCGTTCGCATGTTCTGGTAGCCCGTGGCAAAGACGATCTCGTCGCCTTCGAGCTCGGAGCCGTCGGCAAATCGTAGCCCGTTGGGGAGAACTTCGGCGATTTCTTGCCCCTGCTTGACCTTGATCTTGCCGTCGGCGATGAGCTGGGAGGCGCCGACGTTGATGTAGTAGCCGCCGCCGCGCTGGAAGTACTTGAAGAAGAGACCGGCGCCGTCTGGGCCGCGGTCCACCTTGAAGCCGACCTTGTCCAGCCCCTCGAGGATTTCCTTGTCGCACTCGGCTTGGCGCTCTCCGACCTTGATCTGAATCGCCTTGAGGACGGGAGTGGGAAGGCCGTGGATCAGCATATCCGCATCATCAACAGGGGGTCCGTCTTCCGAGTAGATGCCCTTCAAGGCAATCTCCGTGATGGCCTTGGAGGACACGACGTGTGTGGTGGACCGCTGAACCATGGTAATGTCGTAGCCCTTCTCGAGGAAATCCTGTGCAATATCGTGGGCCGAATTGCAAGAGCCGATCACAATGGCCTTTTTGCCCTGGCTGTTCTCTCGAGCCCCCGGGAACTCGGACGAGTGGCATAGGCGATCGCCCTTGAAGTTCTCAATACCTTTGATGGATGGCTGGTTCTTCTTGCCCGAGTGGCCTGTTGCTTGGATGAGGTGACGGGGGTAGAATGTGCGGACTTCGCTGGTTCCATCTGCGGCTTTGCGGTTGACGATGACAGTCCAAAACTTCTTCGCGTCGTCCCATTTCGTGTAGACGAGCTCCGTTCGTGTCCATACGTTGAGTTCGAGGAGCGTGGCGTAGGACTCGAAGAAGTCGGCCAGTTTGTCTTTGGGCGTGAAAATGGGCCACTGGGCGGGGAAATTGAGGTATGGCATGTGGTCGTACCAGACTGGGTCGTGGAGGACCAGCTGGTGATAGCGCTTGCGCCAGTTATCGCCAACTCGCTCGTTTTGGTCGATGACAAGAGTCTCGACACCGAGCATCTTGAGGCGAGCAGCGGCAGTTAAGCCGGCTTGACCACCACCTAGGAATAGAAACGTTAGAATAGGAGAGAAATTCGTATCGGGTTAACTTACCAACGACTAAGACGGACGGGTCACTACCGTCGTTGAAGTTAGCTGCGAGGGCCCTCTTCTCGGCCCAGTTCTTTCGACCAGGCTTTCCACCGTGCTCAGCGCCCTTTACTCGTCGCTCGTTGATGATCTCTTCGTAACCGCGAAGCTCCTCGAGTCTCGTGTACAGGGTAAAGATCTTCCACTGACCACCCTGCTCGACAAGGCGCGCAAGGCCAACACCAGTACCGAGGACCGTCTCGACAGCGACGAAGAACTGGATACCGGAGACGTTTCCGGAGGCGTCGATGGGCACAATCTTGGGAGCGCGGACAGCTGTGGTGCCATCGACGGCAAGCTTCTTCAGCCGGAAGCCATCCTTGGAGCCGGCACAGCTTTGAAGAAACTCCTGGATGCGAGGCGGGCTCTTGACAGTGCGGAAGACCCAAGAAAGCGCGAGGTGGTCGCGCCAGTAGCCGTCATCGACAAAGAATTGCGAGATCGCGGCAAAGTCGCGCTTGGCGAGGATTTGGTTGAAGCTGTCGACCACTGAGGCGGCCACCTGGGCGGGATCGACGGCGGCGGCAATCTTGGGGGCAGAGGGGAACTTGGCGACGGGGATGTTGACGGATCCAGGGACGGTTCGCATATGTGAGGGGACGGATTGGACCGGCTGGACGTCTACTGTAGCCATGATGATGTTTCAATTGATGTAGGGGGAAAGGTGTCGATTGATAGAGGAGAGAATGTGTCAATTGATTGCTGATGGAGATGGTGATTGAGGAGATGAGATGATGAAGGATATGATGTCAAACTTGGCTGGATTTCTGCCTCATTAAGTACCAGGTGCTTAACTACTGACAAGATAAAGATGAGGCGCAAATCACCCTCGAAACTTGGAATATCGCCATCTCCGCCAAAGTATCTGTCGATTCCGCTCAACCTCCCCCGCGCCGTCATTACCCCATACCCCAGACTTCAACCCCGCACTCGACAGCATCGGAGTGGAGAGCGGAGCCGATTGAAGTTGGGCGGAGCCGACTGACATGTCTCAGTTCGCAGTCGGTGCCGATCGACAGAAGCCTCTAGTTCAGGCGGAGCCGACGCTAAGCTCGCTTGCATGGGTTGAGATGCGTTAGTAGCGTTACTAGGATGCAGACTGAGTGCCACGTGCGATTCTAGCAAGGATATGTGTCTGTAAGATGGATATGGAGAGAGATGGGGTGCAGGAGGTAATGCAGAATGCCTGGTGGTGACCGTCTGTTCGCATCTAACTCTGCAGCGAACTCATTGAATCACACAACAGCTGTAGCCTCTATGTTCTCTACCTAATTAAACAGAGAAACGTACCAAGCTGCTTTTCATCTCAATCAATACGGGTTGGGGATTGAAGACAGCTTCTTCCACGTTCCACGATAAACTTTGAACTACACTGAAGCCGACATAGGGTCCGCTAGCACTAAGCTCAACACGATGCCCGACAATGCGATACCCGACAATACGATGTTTCCGCTCCTTAATTCCTCCGATCAGGTACGCAGAGCCGCAGGTCATTCCACACCATGCGTCTGGGGAATCCGAGCCCTGCGGAATCAGCGTGAGATTACCACAACACCCATTGGTCTGTCATGTCCATCTGAATTGTCACGGGCTCCCAATCCCAGCCACCTGTCGATCAATGCCCTCGTAATGAGGCGTCCGTCCCCGGTACCCCAGACGCGTCCATTCGGATCAAGGGACGTCTGAGACAGTTGCCTGGGTAGCCCTTGATCACGGCAGTTCACCTGCACGTACATGCCTTGAATGTGGGGGAATTTACGAGTATATGTTTGGTCCTTCGCCTTCCATTATCTCCTTCTGCACATCGCATCTCGTCCTCCATCATTCCCTCAGATTCATCCTTATCCACCGACGCCATGTCCAGACAGTCCAGCGACAACAGCAAAATCCACAATGAGCATCGCGATGAGATGTTGCACAAGATCCAGACCGCCGCTAGCATCTCGCTATCGCCTGAGCTCTTTGAGCAGCTTTACCTAGCACCGCAAAACCAAGTCAAGGGTCAGCTCCGGCAGACGTTGGGCAACCCAACACCACTAGGTGAGATGGACCCTTTCTGTGTATACCACCGTTCTGACATGACAAAGCACTGGGGGGGTTCTTGCTCTGCACGACGCCCATCTCCATGGCGCTCCTGGAATGGCAGGGCGCTGGCGGGTTTGGAGCCGGCGCAAATGTGTACGTCCGGACATGAAAAATATCCCCCCCTCCGTTAGCTAATTCATCGCGATAGTGGCTCCTACTTTTACCTGGGCGGTCTCATGCTTGTACTGGGAGGACTTGGCGAATGGCTTCTCGGTAAAAACCAATTGCTCAGCTTGCTCACTCTGCATATTAACACCCAACCTAGGAAATACCTTTCCCGCCACTGTCTTCTGTCTCTTCGGCGGCTTCTGGCTCACCTTTGGCGCCACCATTGTTCCTGGATACGGGGCCTACGGCTTATACTCCACGACTGGATCTGCCGCAGACGGATTGAGTGAGCAGCAGTTCTACGCCACGTTTTCCTTCTTTCTGGTGTCCATGACAATTCTTTGTGCCATTTTTATGGTGGCGAGCATTCGCACCAACGTGGTGCTGTTTACCATCTTCCTGCTGCTTATTCCTACCTGTAAGTGGAGGCCTTTTTTTCATTCCATGCCAGGGAACCGGGCCAGGCTGACTTGGAGCGATGTGCAGTCGGGTGTCTGTCGGCATCATTCTTTGCCGTTTCGCACGATCTTGCCTCGAGCGCAAAGACGTTCCAACACGTCGGTGCCGGTCTTCTCCTTGCCGTATCCTTTTTGGGGTGGTACATTTTCCTCGCGCTCGTCTTGTTGTCTGTCGACTTCCCGTATATTCTGCCTCTGGGTGATTTGTCAACTGTAATTCCCGGGCGCACGGATCGAACTCGGGAGAGCTGTGACAAGGCGTAGGATGTTAGCATTCTAGGTGTCTTCCTCTAGGTAGATTTAGATGGGAATCTTAGGTGGAAAAAAGGCGGACTGTTTCGCATTCCCCGCTGGTCATGCAACGTGTCTTTGTTTGTGTCGGAGCAGATATTCCCAACGCCAAAAGCCATGACCGTGTATCTTTTCATTCGACTAGTAGTATAGTTTGTAATAAAAAGGTAGTAAGCTGAGATACAACTGAGAAGAGTCAGGATTCTCCCCGAAGCCGGCTGGAGTTCTTGTTCTACCCTCTCAATGATTCGACGTGAAGGGGTGAAGTAGACTTGATCACAAGACAAAGGCTGCATATAAGACTCAATCCAGTTCCTCCCCATCGTCCTTACCCCTATGACCCAGCACTCACGCGGACGCCCGTTCGTCTGCACTCCTCCAGCTTCCCCGCAGTGCAACCCCTTGAGTCGTGCTAGTGTTGACAGCCTCAACAAATCCAACCAATTGGACGCTCGCCAAAAGGTGAGGCCAAGATGCTCGCGGTGGAGTCGTAGCTCTAGCGTAGTGCGGGGAACATGGCGACTCGGCACAGCGGAATCGGATCATGATAAGTAGGGCCGACTGACTAGGATTCTCTCAACTCCTCTTTCTTCTCCTCTATCGTATCCTGACTGAAACCCACACGCATCGGCTCCGCGAGTTCCATTCCACTGCAACGGAACACTGCATGTCGAGACCCTCTCAGACAGTCGAGTGTGGATCAGCTTATCCGCTCGCAGGGGCATCGCCGCTTTGCTCGCTCCACTCAATGGCAGACACAAGGACCAGGCGGCAGAACCACTCTTGCGAGCAATGCAGGAGGTCCAAGAAGGCATGTGATGGCTTCCTACTCAATAGTATTGACCGACGCGCTTCCGATGCGGCGTCGATCGCGTCACCCGAGACCCCATGTAAGTATATCTCTCCTATAGGTATGCCATCCCGAGACATGCGATAAGCTAACAACCCTCTCCCCGTTGAAAGACTCTGACTCTGGCCTGCGCCCATGCTCCTACTGCCTCAAGACCAAGAAACTATGCACCTTAAACTCGCACTGGGGAAAGTCTCGGTCTCAAACCGGGCAATCTCCCTCCAGCGCCGCCGACTCTCGTGACGATGCAAGTTCTCAAGCCAAGCGACAGAGAACCGACCACCACAGCATGTCAGCCCCAACTGTGATTCCTAATAAGGGTCTCGATCTCAGCTCAGGCATATTGAGTCTACTCCAAACGCCCTCGCCAAGCCACCACTCGTTTCCTTGGGAAGCCACCATCCCTAGGTTGGAATGCCACGGAGGGTTGCCGATGAGCAGCTCAGTCGGCTCCCTCGGAATAGATCTAGGACAAGGTAGCGATGAGGGAAACTCTCAAACTGGGTCTCAAGATCTTGCCTTCGAAGCGCTCACTGGATCCAGCAGCCACGATCACCAAAGACTTGACAGCGTCTTCAATCCCACAGTCTACTCCGGCTCGCAGGAATCGGAACTCGACTTCCAGGTCTGGGACTTTGCTCAAAGCTGTTCCGAGCCTGGGTATTCATCCTTCTCCCCTCAACCCACACCCAACAGCAGCAATGGCGTCCGAAAAACCCGCAGAAGACGTCGACCGTCTGATGACTGGCCAGCACAGTCCAGAACCTCCGCTTCTCCACTCGATCCCGATTACACCATCATGACAGGTTCGAACAACCGCCTCATTACGGAAAGTTTGCTTCAGATATACCACGACGTGCTTGAGAACAACCTCGCCTGCTGGCTAGCCGAGGAAACGTGTCCGTATAATGTGGAACGGAGAAGACGCGGATTTCCTGGCATGGATCCGAGCTACGTCGCAGAGTTCATGCCTCGGAATGCAAATGCACGGCCTGGGCGAGGTACAAATTGGCCAAACCGAATTTACCAGCGCGTCTTACAACTTGACCGGGTCGCTCAATCCACCAAGATGATCCGCCTCACACGCGCCGAAAGCCACGCCGCCTCGAGAGCCCTTGATTTGGCTATCATGGCGTTTGCTACACAGTGGGCACAAGGCAGCCGCCGTCAAGAACAGTATTCGTCACAGCCTGTCGAGACTCCTGAAGATGAGCATGATGACTTGGCCAACGCAATGAACGAGGAATTCGAGCAAAATCTGCAACAATCAATATGGGAGCAAGCAAAAAAGGCCCTGCAAGATGTTTCCGAGTTGGAATCCTACAGGGTGATATATGCCGAGCTCGTGTTTGGTCTGACTCAGAGACCATGGGCAAGCGATGATCACTCATCCCACAACATCACTATTCCCCGCTCCACGGGTAGAACCAAAGGCATCAAGGATTCCCTCGTACCCCAGATTATGGAGATCATTTCACAAGAAGGACCGCCTGTGTACATGGAAAGGGCAACGCGGAAAATCCACGCTCTCAAATTCCGCCTGGATGCGAATGAGAGTGGCTTTCTCGAAACCAACCAAGGGTCCGCCAACAGACAAGATGCAGATGCCGTGCGCAGAATAAATTCCGACGAAAGACGTACAATTGGCCTCATTTACTGGCTCGCTGTCATGTTCGACACTGTGTCCTCGTCAATGGCCGAGCGGCCCGTGGCTCTTGCAGATGAAGACTGCCAGCATGAAGCCCAGTCCAAAGTCCCGCGAGCCACTGCATCTGTCTCTAAAAGCTACCTCGGCGCTCACCGTTGGAAACTCGACTTGTTTGTCCAAGACAACCCTGAGAAGCCATCTTTATCACTACATTGGCCTTGTCCTGCCGATGTTGCCGCCAAGGCCGTCGCCAGGTCAGCGCCGGTAAAGATATTGCTCTTCAGACACCTAGCGTATCTCCAGAACGCCTTACGGAAAAGAGACTACGGCCAGCCGATTGAGGACATCATCCGGAGTGTAACGTTGCTGTATCGATACTGGAACATGACTCACGGTGGTTTCTTCCGGGAGCTGGTCAAGAATTACCACTCGGTCCCACCGCGCATCAGGAGCTGGTTTGTCTGCATCGCCATTCCTTGGCACCTTGGCTCGCTCATGCTTGCCGACTTGCTTGATTTTGTGGACAGCAACGCTCTTGGAATGGAAGATGCCACTCTGAGGCGTCTTGATTCTGGCATGGCGTCAAGAATCAGGAAGGCGAGCGCGATGGATCTCTCCGATCTTGCCAGAGTGACGTCGCCGCCTATCGATGATGAATCTGGAGACACCCCCGAAGAGCAGCTACCAGACTTTCATTTTGCCGTGAATGAAGGGCCCCTTTTGACAGAGCCGTGGACAATCATCCTCATCAGGGCATTCACCAAGGCCTCTGTCTTTCACTTGAGCGTCGCAGATGATCTGAGGCAAAATGAATGGGGTATTTTAGGTCACGACAGTGAGGAGTTTCAAGACAGCTTGAGACGGTCTGAAAACTGCATACGGGCTCTTTGGTGTCTGGGTAAAAAGTCGGAAATGGCCAGGAACGTAACGAAGGTGCTATCTCAGGCGTTGCACACCCAGCGGACGGGTGATACCCAAACGTTGGATGAGTGATTATTTAGATGTTTTTATTGGATACCTCTGACAGAATAAATCTTAATTACTATTTCGGTCTCGCATTGTACTGATTGCATGACCTTACACTAGAATTGCCGAAACACGTCATGGCAAGTTCGGCAAGGCCAAGACTTGGCGGCCTTATGTCAACGAGCACCATTCTTTTTCTCAATTGGTTCACGGGATACGTGTATCGTATTGTGTTTCGATTCACCTTTAATTGGTAGTATCGTGTGAAACATGTGCAACCGAAGTGACTGTTTCGACACTAACCCTAGATAAGCAGGGCGTTACACTTCTCCAGACTGCAACTGTCGCAAGTCGTCTCCTGAAGTTTATTTTAAGACGCCTCCCCGACGAATTAACTCAATCCGATTACCTTTCTTCTTCTGAAGTGCTCGCTTCATATTTTTAGTCAATGGCAACCCCGCAGGCTACCGTGTATTGGGCGCTTGGCGTCTTGTCCTATGTGAAGGCTGGTCTGATATGACACGCCAAGGAAGTTGGCGCGCCGCTGGCCCTATGAACTTGATTCTCACGCGACGCGAGGGACTTACACCACACCCCAGCGACGAGAGTATCGTTTACGATCAGTTTGGAGCTTATTTTTTGACGTAAAGAAGCTACACGTTGGCCCCTGATTGTCTTGGCTCAAAGCCTGAGCCTCTTGGCTCTCTGGATAAGCGATAGCTTCATCATCAGACAGCTAATATTTAATCTCGTCAATTGTCTCCGTCCAGTACTGAATTATCACCAAATCATCTCCCAATTTCTGCATCAGAGTGTATCTTCAACTGTCCATTTGCACTTCTCTACAAAATGGCCAAGTCACGCAATACCCAAAGACGTCGCATCCGCCGTCGTCATCATGTCAACCCTCGTTGCATGGCACTCACAACCATATTCCTCCCTGCCCTTACCCTCGCTCAAGATGACGACGAGCCAACTTCTTCCCCATCACAATTTTCAGAACCATTTCAAGATCAAATAACCGGTCTGCCTATGGAGCGCTTCTTTGGTGCCCGTACATCGTTCGGATTCGCCTTTGCGCTCCCTGAAGTCCAAACTGCGCCGGCTGGCTCCTTTATTGGCCAGCTTTCCTTTCCACTTGTCAATGGAGAGGGTTGGGGCTCTTTTGGACTGACAGGCGACATGGAGGGCAATTTCATTCTTGCCGTCTGGCCGGATGGCAGTGGTGGCGTTATGGCCTCATTTCGGCAGGCTACCGACGAAGACAATCCACCAGAAGTTGCAGGAGATTTTCAAGTACGACCTCTTCCAGACGGAGTCTCTGTAAATGCAACATCCCTCACATACACCTTCCTCTGCGAGAATTGCCTGGACAGCACATTTGGTCTCGGCACAGACGCAGCTTCAGGCGATGCTGTCATGGGCTGGGCCCTTTCAGAACAGCCACCACTGGGTGATCCTTCAGACCCAGGGGCAAGATTGGGGTTTCATGAGCGTGGATTTGGTCCATTTACTGCGAGACTCGGGGCTGCAGCCACGGCGGAATTCGATGCGATTGCTGCGACAGCACTGGAACCTGTTCCAGCGTCCGCTAATGCAGTAGCGGCGGTAGCAGGAGCTTTTGGAGAGGGAAGTGGCGATGAAGATAGTGGAGATGAGGATAGTGGAGACGTTGGAGGAGATGAAGACGATGACGATGGCGATGGCGATGATGCTGGCGGAGGTGCTGTCGGCGGTGGTACTTCCGGCGGCGGTGCTGCTGGTGGTGGTGCTGCCGGTGGTGGAGGGGACGATGGTGACGATAGTGACAGTGATGATGACTAGAAAAATGGAATATTGTACGATCAAGACGGAGTTGTTAGGGAAGAGACTGTTATTAGTAGTCATTGATAAGTTATTACGCTCCTAGCATGTTCGACCTAGATTGAGGACTGTCAGATGTTGAGTCACGATTAGCCTCGTCGCATGCATCAAGATAAAAAATTTCTCTTAAGCAACCTTCAGAGATGATCCACGATGATGTAATGCTCCTAAAGGGTCCCATAGACAATATCCGAGACAAGTCCCATAGACAATATCCGAGACAAGACCACCGAGACTCGAAATCTAACTGATATCTCGACAGCCTTCCCTCAGCCGAGAGCTTGTGCTTGGCACATCTTACGGTACATGCTGCCCTGTGCGATCAACTCTCGATGCGATCCATTTGGTTGATCTTGCCCGCGTGAAACACGCAAATGCAATCTGCGTCCTTCACCGTGTTGGGGGTTATTAATCTGAAACACCACAAACTTACATGACGAATCGAAGGTAAGTTTTCGTTAGGCACAAAACTCAATTGTGAGTTTGCTCCTGTTGACGCAGGAAAAATGGATCAAAGAAGCAAAGGAAAAGGAAAAATCTGGTGCAGACTTGATTAACTTTTTCTACATTTCAGACAAGGTTCTACGCCTCTCTCTCCTGCTTGCTGGGGCTGCTGGTACCTGGCGACGGCTGACCCTGATGTCTGTATAGCCCATCCGGGTTGTTGATGCAAACCTATATATTCTCGCTCTCCCTCCCACCTTTCATTCTTTTTTTCCTTTCTTCCTCATCCAAGTGCAAGGGTGTTTTCCTGCTCCGTGATGCGATAAGCTGAGAGAGGAATTTTGCTAGTTGCGATCTATTGTCGACCGCTTCTTCTCATTGGGTTCGCCTGATGAGGGAATTTTTGTAATCTCATTCCTCTGGAATCACTTTCTTTCATTACGGTTGGTCCCTTGTGGTCCGGCGTGAAGAAGGAGTTTGCCATTTGGTGCATTCGTCAGTTATCATTCCCTTGCATGCCTGAAGCAGTCAAGGACTCGCCGCTCAAATATTAATCCCATAGGACCCTCCTCTTTGCTTCCTTCATCCCATTCATCCTCATACTCTGTCACGCAATTGAAACACAGGACTAAATGGATATTGCTCCCCTCTAAGATTTCGATGGCTGCATCAATTGGCGTCTTCGTCTCCAACCCCGCAGCAAAGGTTGCAGTTCATAAAATGCTGCTTGGTCGTCAATGGTACATATCACGAAGTTGGCTCCAACATCTCGGGTTAAATCAATCTTGTAATTCAATCTGCTTCTGATACGTCCTGTTCCTTCCAAATCACTCGACTTTTTTTTTGATAAGAACTTTTGGTTTCATTTGCCTCGCACCCCTTAAACCGTTGCCTCAATGGGCCGGATGAGTAAAGAATGTCCCATTCCCAAGTTCTCCTATCCGCTCTCGATTGATTGCAACTCTCGCGCTTGCGAAACTTGCATTCGATTCCGAGCACCATCGAAAGAGTGTCTGCCCGACAATTGCCAGGATAAATACCACTACAGAAAGAGACGACTGACCCACCACCACAGCATTGTCATGCTTAGTTCTTGTCGTTCTTGTCCTTGGCAACACCAAGAACGGCGAAGCAGTGCTTGAAGGCCTGGGCCTCAACGGCAAAGAGACCGCCGTGGTCGAGGAGGGCAGCGGGGTGCCACAAGTGAGGATCAACACGCTCGAGGAGTCCTGGGTAGCTGGTCAAGCCACTGGCCTCGGTAACACCCCATGGGTTGCGGAGGACAATGTACTGCTTCTCGCCGAGAACAGTGTAGCCAAGGACGGAGTAGGCGTGGTTGGCAACGATGTTGCTGCCCCTGTAGTTGCTGCCAGTGGCGTAGGTGTAGGCCGACATCGGGTTGATGGTCTTGAAGTTCATGCAGTTGGCGCGGACAAGGCCGAGCATGTCGTTGGCGGAGTGGTTCTCGGTCACGAAGTAGTGAGGCTCCTTGCCGTTGATCTGGGCCATGGCCTTGATGGGGTCACCACAGAAGGTCTTGGTGATGTCGGGGCGCTCCGAAGAGGTGCCAGTGATCCACTTGGCAAAGGCCTTCTCGTACAGCGAGGGCCAGATGTCAGCGCAGTCGCTGGCGCTGCAGTACATCGGCTCGTTGTTCGAGTTGTTGATCGGGATCTCGTAGTCCACCTCGACAGTCTCAGTCTTGGAGTTGTTGTCACCGCCCTTGTCGTGGAACTTGATTCTGAGGCGCTTCTTGTCGTCCTTGTTCATGTGGACGCGGGTGGCGCGGTTGATGCAGGAGGGGTCGGACCAGAAGACGGAGAACAGAGCAGCAATCAGCCAGCTGTTACCGACACATCCCTGGATGGGATCATCGAAGTTGTGCAGTGTCTTCTTCATCTGACCAATCTCAAACAGGTTGAGGTTGCCAATGAGGCGCTCGTTGACCCGCTGGAAGAAGTAGTCGTACATGTCGCGCCAGGCGCCGTTGGGAGGCGACCACTGGCCCTTCTCCATGCGGAATGGGCTGACCAGCTCGTTGATGCACTGGGAAACCTCGTAGTTCGACAGAGTTCGGCCGAGAGAGTGAGCCTGAAGCACGACATGAAGCTTGCCGTTCTGCATGCGAGCGCACTTGACTGGGACCTTCTCGATGTCCTTGAGGCCGATGTGCTCCAGGTCCTGAACTCGTCGGATCTCGGAAAGGTCAGGAGTCACGATATCGCGCTCGTTGAGGATCCTCATCTCCTTCTCAGACAGCTTCACGGCCTTCCTGTCCTTCTCGTGGAGCTTCAGGCCAGCGAAGAGGACCGAGTTGTGCTTCATGTCGAAGAGCTCGTCATAGTCGGTCTGGAGGACATTGCTCAGAATCTTCTCCGCGCTCATCGACTGTCTGTCGATCTTTCGGCCAATGAGAGCCTCAACGAGGGCATAGGGGTTGATGGCACCGACTCGGATATCCTTGGGGGGCGAGTCAGGGCGCAGGTGGTGTCCTCCACCAGAGGACCTCTCCGTCTCGAGTCCCATGTCGAGGTCGTCGTAGCCCATGTTGAGGCTCTCCGGGACGGAAGCAGCTGGCTTCTCGAGCTTCTGGCCGAGAAGAGCTTCGACGAGGGCGTAGGGGTCGATGTTGAGCACCTTGGCGTCGGAAGAGGCACCTCGCATGTCGCCCATGTTGGAAATGGTTGGAAGTTTTTGGAAAGTTGATAAAACGATTGAAGGAGCTTGCAAAGTTGGTTTGCAGGCTGATGATCGAATGTTTGCTGGTGTTGGAAAAAAGAAGAGAGAGGGGGCATCTTTGGGCTTCATATATACTACTTTTGGCCCTCGTATGACAAATATTGTTTGATATTCGTGCCGGCCATAGCCGTGAATGAGGAGAAGGTAGGAGTCGATCCGACCTTGTCCCTTCGATACTCTCACATGATGGTCGGCAGTTACCCTTCGAGGAGGAGAGTCTGCACTGAAACTGAGGTCCGGACTGTTCGGTTACAGGCGGTGATGTTGACTTTGTTGGGGAGTCTATTTCTCAAACGCCGATCACTGTGCTACAGCAGCAATGGCGTGGTTGGGACGTGTTCTAACATCTGACGGAACGACAGCATAGCTTCTACGCTAGACGAACTTTTCATGATCAAGGCTCATGATTGGACGCCTGTCGTACTTCATCCGGAGAGTACATAGATAGCACGGTGAACCCTTAAAGGATACATTGGATGAAACTTAGACAGGAGAATTCTACGCGTGGTCCGCTGCCACTAGTACCACCCTACATACTACCAACATTGCATCTACTTTGGTTCGTCTCACCAAATGATGACCACATGAGGCGCAATTCCGCCGGCAGATACGAACAAAGATGCAGTTTATCAAATATCAGGTCGTCATCTGGGGACAACTTGCAGCGTGTTGTTGGGAAACTGTAACCTCGGACGAAGTTGGCTTCACCGGCTCAGTTTGGGTGCAGGGATAGACCCAACCTGATAGGCAGGGAAAGGGCCAATTGTGTAACCTGAGGAGGGTGCGTGGAGAATAACTGACATAAGAAACGACAACTAGGCATCTCGTACCACGCAGCTGTTGCTGGACATACGAGTACATCTCAGACGCATGACGGCTTGGCCAATGGAGACGAAAAAACATATCATGTACGCCTCCGGCTCTGGATGAAGATCCCATTGGGCATTGAGTGCGGCTAAGGGTAACAACGGGGGGCGGGGAAGCTGAACTCTAAGGTGGCTTTGAGCGTGATGTTGACGATATTCAGGACTTTTGCGGGGTAATACCACGCAACGACGCAGCCAGCGTAGCATGGGCGTCCAGACAGGGACTTCCGGGCCATCACAAATTGCTCCGAGCCCTGAGTTAGCGGCTGTGTAAATTAGAGCACCCATCCCCTGGAGTACCTGATCTAGTGCCCGCTGCTCCGTGATGGAGACTAGATGAGGATGAGCCGGGAATGACGGATGTCGGATGTCGGATGTCCGGGTGGCTGGGTCGCTTTGACATTGCCCCAGGATAAGCAGCCATCGTGTCAGGTATTTCCACCCACGTAGGTCATGATGAATAACGTCGTCACGATATCATAATCATCTATTGCAGCGTCAATGTACAGCTGCAAACCCCGCTTTCTTTCTCTCAAATTGACTTTTTTTTCTCCACATGGAATGTTCAACAACAAATTGCCACGCCGTCGTATCCAGTCTCAATCACATGGAAAGGCCAAGTGCAGACACGGGATGAGCCGGCAGATGTATACCATCAAATCATGTGCGGTTTCTAGGGTAACTCCCCGAGAGCCCTAGGATCACAATTTGAAGCAGTGCAGGCGAGTTGGGTAATCCTGGAAGGTGATCTCCTAGAGTGAGGTACGCTTAGAAATCTCTAAATGGCGCAGACATACAGGCTGTATTTTTCATGGCATCATGAAGACATTTGGAGTCCAGAAAATCTAATCTCTGCTGTTCAAATCCCTTCTTACGTTTCCAGATTACCAAACTCTCGTTATCCATTCCGCTCGACCGTCTCTGCTGCCATCGTCCGTCGCCTACAAGGTTGAAGAGCGCGCGACCCCCACTAAGCCACGATGTCAGATTTTTCACTTGTATATTCCGAGTATATACCTCAATCCAGACCTAAAATTTGACATCAATACTCATCTCGATTGTTTTTCAACCGGCCGAGATCGGAGATGATCACATTCAACCAGGTTGTTCCGGGAAATGCAGATCAATCACATGCAAGCTCCTCTCTGTCACTATTACTTGAAATTCAGCTGCCAGCGAGTCTTTTTCTGCGAGACGTCCCATAGTTCCGCGTGACGTATGATCCATAGATAGCTTTTTGGTTGCACAATTATCCTTCTTTCGACCCTTCATCCTGGTCCTCTACCCACCGTACTTGTATCAATCATACTCAGTAGAGGCAACGAACCTACCCACTAAAGCTACTATTGGTGCCGGCATCACATGCAACGCTGATGGTGAATATTCATTCGTGGGGGGTGGTTACCCTCTAGTTGAAAAGACTTTCTAGCATCTCATGTGAATATTCTGTATGACACCGCGGCAACATGGAAATACGTGTCTCATTATACATTACTATTACTCTATGGGATGCGCGTCGATAAGAAACTTTTACGTATTACATGACTCTTTAGCCGAACGTTTGTTTCTCTCATGATCATCCGCAACATCGAACGTTAACTTTCAAAGCAGCCCTAACCAAGCCTCGTCGCCACCATGACATAAATCCCTGTTAGATAGATACTGTGTTTGTAATTTAGAGGTTTTGCGGACTTCAAGGGTCCAAGAGGCGAGAAAATCTGCCCACTGGTGTTTTTATTTTCCATTAGTGTAGGGTAGGCTAACGTACTTGTAAACTGCAAAAGTGGAACACCCCACTGGAGAGCTCCTGTTCGACGGTGCTCAGCTCAACCAACGCTCCAGTCAACTTAGGTATGTTCAAGATTATACCAATATGAGCCTTGAGTATCCAAGCTAATCTATTAGAATGCTCGCCATCATAAGAGCACCGCCTCGCTGATGACTGGTATCCAAACGCTATATAGACCCAGATAGAAATGATTCCGATAAAAGTTCCTCCAAGAAGGAGTCATGGAATCCCCCGAAGGGCATCTGAAAGAAGTTATCGGCAACACCGGAGTCAAGTGGCTGGTCTTCTTGAGATTCCGCCACAGGGTGAACAAACTTGGTTGTAATTTGTATTGTAGCGCTCGGAGACTCTGACGTTGATTGCAACATTGATGTGTCTCCTGGTATGGTTTTGGAGATGCTGGGATTCAGAAGTTCCCACAGCAACTCGGGATCAAACCGAATTGTTGTACTTTCGGTACTCGTATCTTGAAACATCTCGTCGACTCTACATTGGAGAGCTTGCAAGACCTTGAGCTAGGGAGCGAATTAGCATTTGAACATCTACCTTGAGTGTGTCAATATACCTTGTGCGCAATATGGGGCCACATTATAGACTGGCGTTTGAGAATTGTCTCGAATTTACACAGATTTTCTTTGGCCTGCGCAGCAACCTTTTCGTCTCGAGCAAATTGGAAGAGCCAAGGTACAGTTGCAGTCGCTGCGATCGCCTGTCCGATCAGCGGATCCTCAATCCAGAATGATAAATCTTCGCACATCTGCACCAAACGCGCAACCCAGCGAGAATTGAACAAAGCATGATCAACTGTCTGTTGAAGAAAAGAGCGGGGTAGAGAGACACCTTTGAGCCCACGAAGGGCAACAAGGTGGATGAATGGGTTGTTCAGGGCACATTGTGTTGCGTGTGACATTATTTGCATTGACAACCAAGGGGTCCAGTATTCTCGATAACTCGAGAGGTCAGATGGTGTTCGATCCGGGAACGAAACATTGCGGAGAAGGTGAAGGTGAGAAATCTTGCATTCAAGCTCGTATACCTTGACTGCAAGTTGGCTATGCGTTGAGGTCGACAACCAGGGACTGTGGGTGGTTCCTGACCGTATGTTATGGAGATACGAAATGATATCCCCCCAGAGAGATATAACTGGTAGAGAGTAGGCGTTGATTCCCAGATCTTGACTATTCGCTTCGTGGGCGTTAGAAAGGCCAGGACAATGACTCTTTCCGCTGGCGAAGGGCTCCAGGGACATAGGCCTCGAGGCACTCTTGGGATAGTCTGGGTGGTGTGGACTCTGCGTCAAGCATGTGAAGTTGGGAGTGAAGGCTTTTTCCAAGATCATGATGCTCCAGTGGCACCTGGAGATAGTGTCCGCAATAGGGGTGTCATCGGAGAAGGTGCGTGTAGATGAGAGTCGCAACGTCTCCAATCTCGAAACAGTTCCGATGGTCATCCAAGCTCGAGCGGGCTCGCCAGCTAAGATATGATGAGCGAGTCTGAAGTTTTGTTGAATAAACTCGCGTATACTTACCAATGATGTCATAAAGAGCCAGAAGGCAGATCGACTGCAGCACCTCGATTTCAGTTGCACCTTTCATAGACAAATCCATTGCAATGTTGCGAGAACCAGCCGTGTAAAATCCAATGGCCTCATATTCCATACCCAAGTAGAACGCATGATTGGAGTGGCGGAGTGCAAGGGCGAGGAATGCCCAACGGAGGTGATATGGGAATATTGCCAGTTCTTCTCGGAGACTACTCAAGTTGAATAGTGGTAGCGGCTGGAAGTACATCTTCTCACGATATATCTCGACAAAATGGTCCAGAACTTCTGGGGGCGGCTCGGGGGCTGCCGGTGACCTGGTGTGGATTAGCGTATGATTTAAAAGGAATCATTCATACGTGATTGGCTCACCATGAACTATTTGAATGGCTGGGTATATCCAGGGTGCCATCAACGGCTGGGCCTAGTCGGCTACTACTTGGCCGGTCTGCAGTAACATTGGGTGCCCTCCTGATCCCGGCCTTCGAGTTATATCGAGGAAGATATATGCAAGTTTGGTTAAGACGGCGGCAGAAAGAACAAATGGGCTGTTCTGCAGGACATTTCGTCTTCTTTTGCCTGAGGGTGTCACATTGATTGCATCAGCTCCCTGTCGGACTATGTCGCTCAGAATCCTTACCGACACGGCTCGCATGACCGCCTCACGCGAGCATTTCTGGAAGGCATTGCTTTCCTCATTCTGAGTGGAGTTCGTGTTGCACTTGTCAACGCCCCAGTTTTCGGAGTCCACATCCACGTTCAGATGTAGAATCAAAAACTCCGGGATCCGAAGTGGGGACGGAAAACATCAGAAAATCCGTGTTGACTCCGCCGCTAGCTGTACACGTGACCGGAAATGTTACACACCTGCAGTCTACACGGTGACTTGCTATCTATATCTTAGGCCGGTGAGGACGACAGGTACCTCAATTGGATTAAGATAACAATCGTTCGATAAATGAGTTACAATCACACCCAACGGTTTTCATCGGCTCCTATATCGCGTTCAACGTGTTTCTCGTTTGCCATGACGCGGTGGAGCTCGCTTGATTTTCCGTGCCCACCTCCCATCGTGACCATTGCAAATTCCGGCTGATGCGGTATGGGTATGGGATGAGTATATGTTCAAGGAAAGACCGAGAGAATTCAAAAATATTCCAATCATTATACTACTCTCTGAGTCTTGTTTTATCTTTGCAGTTGTAGTTGTGCCTTCAACACAGCTCTTCACGAACCACAATGCCTACTACCCCATCCAAAGATGCGCCACTGATCATTGTCGGTGCTGGCGTTTTTGGCCTCAGTCTTGCCTACGACCTCGTTGCAAACAGGAGCTACACCAATGTCACTGTTCTTGACCGTTACATGCCCCCGGTTCCAGATGGCAGCAGCGTTGATGTGTCGCGCATCATTCGCTCAGAATATGCAGACCCGTTCTACTCAGCCCTTGCTGTCGACGCCATGGCAGGGTGGCGAAGCCCTGATTGGGTCTCGCAATACCATGAATCCGGCTTCATGATGCTGTCCACTCGCAATAACCCCTATATGCAGGGATATCGTGGCATGCGCCAAGAGCAAAAGTCTCGGCAGCCGATGGAATTGTTCGAGGCTCATGAAGCTGACCAGCGAATTAAGAGCATCTACTCGGGTGTTCAAGCCGACCTCAAGGATGCAACGGTAATGCACAACAACATTGGCGGGTGGGCCGACGCTCACGGTGCTATCCGCGGGCTCGCTACTCGGTGCAGCTTGGTGGGCGTTTCATTCATCACTGGTGCACACGGCACCGTGGTCTCACTCGAAAGAGTCGGGTCTCGTGTGACTGGCGTCCAGACGGCTGCTGGAACCAAGATGTATGCAGATACGGTGGTCCTTGCTACCGGTGCTTGGACTAACGGTCTTGTTCAAGACATGAACCACAACCTCATGGCTGTTGGTCAGCCTGTAGGGTTTATTCAATTGAGCCCGGATGAAGCAAAGCGGATGAGTGCAATGCCCGTTATGATTAACATGGACACGGGTGTCTTTTGCTTCCCACCCACGCCAGATACGCATCAGCTGAAGCTTGCCCGCCATGGGTTTGGTTTTGCCACGCAGGTTCAAGTCGGACCGGGTCGCGTCATCTCGACACCAAAACTTCGAGGCAACAATGCTGCCACTGGTTACTTGCCCGATGATGCGGAGAAGGCGCTTCGAGAAGGGGCCAAGTTTTTCTTCCCCGAGGTTGGCGACCGCCCATGGGCCAATCTGAGAATGTGTTGGTACACAGACACTCCAAAGAGTGACTTTATGGTTGACTACCACCCAAGCATGGAGGGATTGTTCTTTGCTACAGGTGGTTCTGGACAGTGAGCCCTATGCTATGTCTCGTCCCATTCGTCTTTCCAGGATGCTAACAGTTCGCCTCAGTGCCTTCAAGTTCCTCCCGGTCCTGGGAAAACACATCGCCAACTGTTTTGAGCGCAAGGCCACACCGGAACTCCAAGCCAAATGGGCTGCTCGACGTAACGAAGGCGAGGATGCCAAGCCGGCGATGAGTGGAGATGGCAGTCGTGGCGGACCACAAATGCGGGTTTTGACAGGCAGGGAGCAGGCAAAGTTGTAAGAAAGATGAACTTTTACTGCATGATGTACTGCGATTCGGTTGGTTTGAAATTGCGCAATTTGATATTTGCGAACTAAGGTATTTCCACCAAATAATTCCATCTGGGTTGCGTAAGCGTGATTTGAGATGCAATGTTGCCTGGCGTACGCAGTGGCACAGCTTTTATGAGCAATTCTTATTATACCAACGCCAAGTACACTAAGTCAGACTTTTTTTCTCAAAGATGAGCTCCCCAATAGTAAACCTGAACAAAAGGACTCTTCCAGTTTGAGATCCAATCACAATCGTCGACCCAGAGACCTCAACACAGTCTGTGTGGGGTCGCAACGCTGGCGGTAACCAGAAAAATTTGGTGTCGTTCCACATTACCCAGGATCCGTCGCCACTAATTCCATAGCCCGATCTGCAGTCTGAACAACCGCTGCGCCAACCAGTCGCCATAGAGAGAGACCTGCCAATAGAGACCGAGCCAAAATTTGTAAGTAGATGTTCCCTGTCAGTATCGAAATCGAGACGGGACGGCATGAAGCCAAGGTTGATCTGTCGAATCCGTTCGCCACTTGAAACATCCCAGATCTCCACGACGTCGAAAGTGACCCAGAAGAGATACCTGGAATCATGGGTGAAGCTGAGACTGTATGTAAGCCGCATACCTAGTTCACAAACACAAACAGTCTTCCTAGTTTCCATCTGTAATACTCGAATTCGATAAAACTTATCTCCATCGCCAGGTTTGCAATACGTCGATATGGCGGCGACCAATTTGGAGTCTGGAGAGACGGCAAGAGTTCCAGCATTCCCTCCCAGGCCCTTGATTGTCCAAATCTGCCTGCCAGTATCCACACTCCAAACATTCAAGTCGAGATTGCCGCTCCCGTCGTCGGCCGGATAGGATAAAGCCGCCACAAGCGTAGAGTCAGAGGAATACACCTGTTTCAAAATGGGTCCTGATGCCTTGAATCGATGCTTGCAATGTAATGTATCTCCCCCCAGAAAAAGTAGGCGGTTTTTGTTTTGGATCAGCGTAATCCATTTCCCGTTCGGAGAAAAGGAGACGTGCTGCGAACCATCAATGCGAAGCTTGCGGATGCACTGGCCTGTGTCTACTCTCCATAGCCATAAGGTCTCTGAGTTCCAAGACCGTGCACATATGAGTTTGGAGTTTGAGTAGAAAGCAAGTGATCCAATCCTCTCATCGCCATGTTTGAGGTTTGGATGCAAACACTCGCCGGTATCCATCTTCCACACTCGCACCTTTCCTCTCGCAGAGTACGAAGCCACAAGAGTACGGTCTGGTGATACTACCACAGACCCAATAGAGTCATGGTTCTCTGACTGCTGATGGGAGTCGTCATCGGAATCTATTCGCCAGATCCGAACAGTACTGTCGTGCGCTCCCGACGCAATCAGGCTCATGTCTGGAGAAAAAGACATCGTTGTTGGGAAGGAAGAGTGACCGTTAAAAACGTGGAGGCACTCCCCTGTGGCCACTCTCCAGGTCCTGACTGAATCGTCCTGAGAGAACGACCCCAAAATCCTGCAATCTGGAGAAAACTCGGCTCCATGGACAGTAATCTCATGTCCCTTCAGTGATTGAATAACCTGGTTCGAGTCTACCCACCGGATCTGGATGATCCTGTCATCCTCACTCCGAGTACCTGCTACCATGAGTGAGGAGTCTCCAATGAAGGCAAATGATAGTCTTTTGAATGAGGAGTCTCGAGAACACCCCTCTGTGCTGGTGCATTTTCGAACACAATCACCAGTGTCAACCCTCCAGATCGCATAGGCGCCGGACCACCCTGCCACCGTCACAAGAGTCGTAGAGTCGGATGAGAAGATCAACGAGACAGATCTATCTCTTCTGTAAATTTCTGATTCTTGAAGCTCGGCTGTGCCCGTAGACAGGAAATCACCCGGTTTAATATCTTGAACGCATTCGAGCGTATCCAGATGCAAAACCCGTAGAGTTTCTCGTCTCGATATAAATGCAAGGAGTTTTGAGTCTGATGAAAACTGAAACTCCCCCGAATAGTTTGGTGAGCATGTCTGGAATGTCTTTATACGATCGCCCGTATCTCCTCTACATAGTTGAACAACTCCATTGAGACAGGCGAAGGCTATCAGTGATGAATCGGGGGAGAACTTGACGTTTTGAACTTTGACCATGTCCGCTTCGAGTTCTCTGATGCATTCACCGGTGTCCACCTGACAGATTCGAACAGTGTTGTCGCGGGATGTAGAGGCTATGAGCGAAGAGTCTGGAGAAAATGAAACGGCATTAACTCGCAATCGATGGCCTTCTATAACTTGTTGGCATTGGTCCCAGTTCTGTTTCGGTTCGGGAACAAGGGGTAGCCATTGAGGTGCTCTGTCCCAGAAAGTCGAACGTATCACACTGCTTTTCGGGGTAAAAACAAGGAGTGAGGAGTATAGCTGAAGAGGTGATGAGTCAATGACAGCAAAGTTTGTTTGAATGAAACGATAAGCTTCTCGCAGAAACTCGCTAAGCCTTCCACATTGGCTATTCTAGATCCTTATTAGCCTAAACCTTCCAACAATGAGTGCGGTAGTTTCTTACCTGCATAAGCGACCGTAAATGCTTTATGATTTGAAACCCTTCGGCAGATCGCCTGATCAGGCTGAGAACTTCCAACCAATGAAGAAAGTGTCGAGTTAAGAAGTCGAGGACCTCTTCGTCACTGCAAAAGCCTCGCTCGGAGTTTTCCAAATGATAAGCCCAGTGGCAGCAAGCATATTGTAATTCCAGTGGAATACAGGAGGCAATTTGCCTCGGTGGAACCGCTGTGGAAGCAATCCCTGGTACTATGAGGCCACATATGTCTTCTCTCAGGCATTTGTCCATAACCCGAAAGCAGTTTGCCGCAGTCTGTGCATGGGTTTGCTTCTTATCGACCCAGAATCTGTTCGTTCCAATCTTTTCTGGATCCAGAAGGAAATCTCGGAACGACAGATGGAGTAATCTGATGGGAGAATTCGAGTGTTTTGGAACATCTAAAACTGAATGAAGCATGTCCAATCTCACGTCGATTGTATCTCTCGAGATATCAAGAAGTTGGGCCAGAGCAGATGCTGAGAGCGGTTTTTCGAGGACAACAATGGTGCCAACAATGTGCCGGAACTCTTCCAGGACTCCATCCTGCTCGCGAACTGAAAGCCCTGTCAACTGTTGCTCCAGTGGGGGCAGGTATGTCGCCTCCAACTTGGATTCTTGACTCCTCGATTTGTACTCCAGCACCTTTTGTAATTGTTGATGTGGATTGCCACATTTTCGATCTGACAGAAAGCGACAAACCGTGGCTGCAAAAATGAACAGCGGTACCGACATCCGGACTAAAATCTTGTAGTCATTCAAATCAGGCCAACTTCCAGAAAGTTGTCTCTCCTCTGGAACCGATGCGTTATAGGAACGCCTGATTTCTGTAAGCCTCTCCTTGAAAAATACGGTAAGATCGTGTTCGATGATAGTCTCCGGTATTTCGTGAAGTATGATACTTTTGTAACTGCCGTGAATTGCGCTGAACCCTAGACGGATTGGTAACTCAGGTCGACTGGTTATCAGTACTCTGATTTTCAGGCTTTTGACTTGGCTGAAACGAGCAAAAAGGTCGATTAATCGCTTTATATCACTCTCTCCGTCGCATTCATCCAGAGCGTCGACAACAAGAACAAGCGTGTCCTTTTCACAGATTTGGGACGACAATAAAGGCTGGAGAATGAGTTTGTCAAACTGCTCTCCTGCTGCCTTTCCTGTAAGAGATGGATCGTCATCGATGGCGGATTTTATGTGCGGGGCGAGATCAGGCTTGAACCGAACAAGTTGAGAGGCAACAGTCGTGTAGAATCTGGATATGTTTCCTCGATCAGGCTCACCCCTTTTGAATAGGAAGCTGGCACCAAGAATGTTTCGTTTGGCTGAACTTGTCGCCACGGTGCGGGATACAGTCGATTTTCCAGTGCCAGCCATCCCACTCAACCAAAATATGGTCTGGGCTAGATGGCTATTCACCCAAGAATCGATTTCTTGAAGCAACTCGACTCGAGTATTCTCCAAGCATATGCTGTTATGCTCTTCCGCGTGAGAGTTGTACCATGCTCCCATGGCAATAGGTAACGTGTCCAGAACTCGCCGTTGATCCATGCTTTCCACAGTATTGACCACTTTGTCAGTCTTGGAATCAACGTCAAGTAGTATGCCACTTCAGTATATGTTAGCCAAATGGGTATTCGTTATTTGATCCAAATATGCATACGTTTGGTCCAGTTGTAGCGCGAGTCCAACCCGATGTGAGCATTGCCTGACGCTTTGAATGACGCGGTCCAGATCACTTTTCTGAAACGGCCATTTCAATGCCCTGATACCCATTCGCGTCATGGCTTTGGAAGTTGAAGAAGGTTGAAGAGTCTTTTCCAGCTGGGAAAGTAATCCGAAACTGGACTGAAGTGTTCGATCCAAATCTCGCGAGGTTTTGAGCCTTGAACCCAGCTGACTGTCGAGCTTTTTGGCATTTTCAACGACGCGTTGCAGCTCCTTCACCTCTTCGTGCAGCTCGTCAATGTCATTCTTCGCGTTTTTTACGTCCTTGGCGTATCGGAGACATAGTGATATGACTTTGAAGGACAACTCAATAATGGCAACAGCGCTGGCAGCCGCGTCAAGCCCCTCCATATTGAACGGGAGGGTGGGGGCGGAGGAAAAAAATCGATACTCTGTTGTTGGAATAATGATGATGAATGAGGGAAAAAAAAAATCTGGAGAGAAATCAGCCCCAGCTCTAATAGTGAATCATTTAGTAAAGCAGTAATATTCGCATATGCTATTAGACATATTTGGCATTTTGGAATTCACCTGGTACTTAGCCTGGTGGAAAGTGCATTTTCAAAGTATTCCACCCAATGACAAGAAACGGCGCAGCATCATGCAGCAGGCTGCATCTGTACGTCTCACTCCAAGGCATATTTCGGCAATTGCTCGGTTGATAGAGCTTTTTGGTGGAAGCGCCGCCTCTGTCGATTATAGCAAGGCTGCCCCTAGAGAACTGGACATTCAGACGACAGTTGGTCTGGTTAGTCACTCTTCAAGCGATTCGTAGTATCCTTCGGTGACGATTTGACGATAGTCAGGCCTGGTATTAAGCATTTCGCTGGAGAATCGTGGACCTAGGGATTGCCATATCTATCTACAGCCCTCAATATGTGAGAGATACGACTAGCTCTATCTTCAACCGATAAATTTTAGTTAGTAAACAAGAGCGAATCTGTCAAACGGCTGCAATTACTCCATATTCTCAAGATTATTATGGCCGCTGGCGAAAAAGTGCTATCCGAGACGGAGGTCACACGAATTGGGCCGGCTATATAACATCGGGACGGCTTAGGAATTGACCTTGGTTTGTCAAATGAACAACATATGGCGAGAACTCGGAACTTGCGAGCATTTGGCCTAGCGTTCAATTAAAATAGGGGTTTTCTGAGTTATACAACCATGGACGCGTTGCTGAGGGTCGTGCTGGCCATTGCTGCTTCAAGAGACAGCCTGCGGCGGGTATACGAAGAAGAAAAGAAGGTCGACAGCTGAAGTTCGCAGGTCAGGAAGGAAATGGGACTTTCCACATTACGGAGCTAATGATGTGCTTATTCACGATATTCATCCTGCCTTCCTTCTTCTTAGGTTCCCCACCCCCGGACCGGTCTATTTGATCATTGCCAAGCTTTCTCGGGAGATTTCAGGCATGATGATTAAGTGGCTTGACTATTTTTCGTGAGCGCGCCGGCTCTTGCAAGTTATACGTTGAAGAGGCTCACGGGCACACTTTGTGGTGTAGTCCCACTTGCGACCGACTTCAACGAGATTTCCAGCCACGTTTACCACAAATTCCCAAGACCATCAACACCATAAACGCCAGTAGCTACAGAGCCATATATGGTATTACTTCGTTCAAGGGGATATCTCATTGTATTCAGCCGAAAATACCAAGTTTGATGACCAAGAACTTCTGGTGCAAATGTTAGGGTTCTCCAAGGCCGGCATTTTTCATCAGTCGGATCTGATGGGCTATTGAGCTAACAACCGGTTCTAAGAAATTTCTAGAGTTTATGTTGGAGGAATATATATTAGGCGCGTCTGTATCCGCTAGAGAGACTAGCAAAAGAGTTTTTCTGACATGTTTGAGTGTAACAAGTCGTACTCCATTGACGATCCCGGACTGTCAGTCCGCCCTTCTGTCAAAGAATAAACAGATAGAATTATTGGCAAAGTGTTTGAAATCCATTTGGCAACAGTGTTGAACATTTTGGACGCAAAGGACACGGGGAGGAAATTTTCGTTGTCGCGTTGGCGGCCATGGTCTGTGTATTCGGCGGTGTGTTAATGTTCACGTCCCTCTCATAACATCGCACCCGAAGCTGCCTCAAGTCCACATCAATGTTTGGGCCATGTCTCTCCAGATTATTCCACCGTTCTGGGCCTGCTTTCTGCATTGCGCTTAATGAGAAACTAAGAGGAGAATTGTTTGTACGCGAATGGTTGAGTGAAATGACCCGTGGCGGTAGTATGGGATCTTGAAGAAGAAATCGACTAGAATGATACTTCGTCCAAGGCCTATAAGCTGAATAGATTAAAAAAAAGACAGCTCATAGATAATGGACTCGACCTCACACGACACGCCAAAAATGAAACGGTTCCTGCGCCCGTTTCGACGCTAGACAGCCCACAATGACATCAACCCCCGGTCCCTCGCTTGAATACCAGATCCTCCCAATGCAACGTACCACAATCACTAATGAGAGCTGCCCCATAAGGAAAAAGACCCCGAGAAGCCCATTGCGGCCCGACGCGATAGGACCTTGTGGGGGTCCGTGTCACTGTCGAAGGCGAAGAAATGGAGCATTATAAAGGGGAAGAAATTTTTCGTCCTTTTTTCCCTTTCTTAACGAGAAGTTCTCTTCGCAATCTGATCGACACGGATGAAAATGCCCTGCTAGCGCCCCTAAAGCCCTTCTTCTCTTGACCTCCAGACGTCGACGCTGACACACTTTCACGCCCTCGCTCCTACGGCCTGTCGTTGCGGATGGCCGTTCAGCCTGCTGACAATTTCAATGAAGTGCTCCCGGGCACAAAACGGCTCTTCACGGATGAATGGGCAAGTGTGTCGGGCGATAGCCAGCTTGAAAAACATGGCGACATCATCCTCGTGCCGCGGCCGACCAAGTCGCCCAACGACCCCCTGAACTGGAGCCTCGCGCGCAAGAGCTGGCACTCGGTTCTCGTCTGCTACATCGTGGCTCTGACGGCGGCCACGTCCAACGTCGCGGGCGCGGCGAGCGTGGGCGTTAATGAACAGTACGGCATTAGTTACGACGTCTTCAACACGGGCGCCGGCGTCCTGTTCATCGGCATCGGCTACTGGACGCTGCTGAGTTCGCCGGCGGTCCATCTGTACGGCCGCCGCATCTTGTATCTCGTGGGTACGACCTGGGGCCTCATCGGCAACATCTGGTTCGGGCTGCTGGACAACAAGGCCGACACCATCTGGTCGCAGCTCTTCGTCGGCGCGTCCGAGTCCGTGGCCGAGGCCGTCGTGCAGCTGTCTCTGCTGGACATTTGGTTTGAGCACCAGAACGGAACCTCGCTGGGCTTCTACACGCTGGCAACGTCGGTGGGCACGTATATCGGGCCCCTGATCGGAGGCCACGTCGCGAGCAGCAGCCTCGGGTGGCGATGGATTGGCTATCTGGGCGCCATCGCCTCTGGAGTGACGCTCATTCTCTTCTACTTTGGCCTTGAGGAGACGGCCTTTCAGCGCAATCGCTATCTAGATCGCAACACCAATCGCGAGCGCCAGGATGTCGACGTCGGTGACGCCGACACTAGTCGCAACGCAGCCAGCCCCCACGACGACTCGCCACTCGCAGATCGCGGTGAAGTCCGCGATGAGAAGTCATCTGCGACGACCCCTGCCGCTGAAGTCGGCGTCAGCATTGGCATCGACGAGGAGGCGCCGTACCACAGTGGCGATCTCGGGCGCCGCTTCTCCCTCTCGTACACGCGGCCCAAGACGTACTGGGAACGCATCGCCGTCATCACGCCGGCGCCCAACCTGCGCGGGCTGGGCTTCCAGCAGTACGTCAGTCGGCTGTGGCACACGCTGCGCATCTTCACCTTTCCCGCTGTTTGGTTCGCCGGCCTGCAGTGGGGGATGCAGAATGTCGCGCTGTCGTTTTACTTGACGGTTCAGGAGGACACCTGGAGTGGTCCGCCGTGGAACTACAGCGATGCAGCTGTTGGTAACATGAACTTGCCTTGTCTCATTGGCAGTGTCATCGGTTGTTTCTACGGCGGTTATTGCAGCGACCTGTTCCTGCTTTGGATGACTCGGCGCAACAGGGGAATCATGGAGGCTGAGTTCCGTCTCTACCTCATGTTTCTCTGCGTCGCCATCTTCCCCGCCGGCATGTTGCTCTTTGGCATTGGTTCTGCCAAAGGATGGGACTGGCCTGTGCCTTACCTCGGGTTAGGCTTCATCGGTTTTGGCTACGGCTGCGCAGGCGATTTAAGCATCACCTACCTGGCCGACAGCTACCCGGACATGGTGTTGGAGGGCATGGTGGGAGTTGCTGTCATCAACAACTCGCTAGCCATGGTTTTCACGTTTGTTGCCAGTTACTGGCTGGACACTGGTTTGCAGAACTGCTTCATCGAACTTGGCGTTTTGAGCTTTGTTGTCTTGATGCTCTCTCTGCCCATGATTCTCTGGGGAAAGCAATGGCGCCGCTGGACCAAGGATCAGTACATTACCTTCTTGAGGATTCGTGACGGAATGGATGACTAGTTGCGTGGACAGGGGATTCTCTGATGGGGTTCGCAGAACCTCTTGTGAATGTTTTCTATGTCTAGTCTACCGGCAGAACAATATTTCCAACTGTAAGGGTCTCTGAAACGAGCACCCTGTATGTACAACTGTATCATCTATTTGCAATCCCTTGAGGTGTTACATCTAAAATCTAAAACTTCAAAGTTTCCCTTTCTAAGGAGCTCCGGAACCAGAAGGAGGAGTCCCGCTGAATGTTCCGTTGCCTTCACCACCACTAGGAGCGCCACCAACGGAGCCGGAGGAAGCATGGCCACCGTCCTCATCAAGGTAACCGGCAATGTTGTAGTAGTCGTCAGTGGTATAGTCGACGGAGCCGTTAATGCCAATCTGGATCCAGGCAAACAGGCCGTCCTGCAGGTCATCGCCAAGGTACACAAATTGAGGGAAGGGGTCGTAGGAGTCGTCAGTTTGAACAATCGACCACATGTCTTCCTCGTTGGTGGTGATGGCCTGCTCGTTGGTGTTGTAGGGAGACAGCTCCTCCACGGCAGATCGGAGAGTCTCGGGCCAGAAGAGCTGGCCAATGTGAGATACCGGGGCATCCCACACGGAGATGGTGCCGTTAGACTGGACGGTTGCGTTCATGTGCGAGAGCAGATGCGTGTGAGTGGCACGACCCTCGTAGTGACCGGGGAAGATGGTCTCGAACTGGGCCACGCCGTCATTGTCCGTCAACTGGATGCCTCGGAGGTACGTGCTGTTGAGCCCATCGGCAGCGTAGTTGCCAGAGGTGCTGATTCCAGAGTAAATACCAGTGGCGTTGCAGTTCCAGATGTCGATAGCCACGGCAGGGATGGGCGAGCAGTTGCTGACGTCGACGTACTGCACCTCGAGGAACAAGGGAACTCCGTCGCACCACTCCGATTCAATGACATTGGAGCGCATCTTCTCGCCGACGATGTAGTACGGGCCATCCGTGACTTCGGGGGCCAGAATGCAGCTGGAGTTGGCGCCGAAGATGTCGTCGAGGGGAGTGAACATGTCGTACGAGACGGAACCCGTCATGTTGTGGTTGACATCCTCCCAAGTCTCAAGCGCCGCCAAGTCACGGCGGTATTTCTTAGACGCTTCACAAATTCAGTCAGTATGAGAAAGTATAAGGCTCGGGAGCAACTGACGCGTCTTGATGCCCATTCGCTTCCGCAGATCCCGCACCTTTTGCGCTCGGCGCTCAACAGCACGGCGCTTCATCGCCTTGGCACCGGTGCCATCCGAGCAGGTGTTTAGAGCGCGGCGTCCAACAGCAGCGGCATTGTCACGGGCGGCAATCTCGCGCTTCATGTGGTGATGGCTGTGGGATTCGCCTGGGTGCGCGGCGGCGAGGGTGGCGAGACCCAGACCGGTGAGGGAAAGGAGGTTGAGGCGGACCATGGTGGATGAGTGTGTAGTGTGAGTGAGTGTAGTTACAAGACTGTTGCTGTTTGATGGCGATTAATGTGTTTACTCACGCCGTCGGTGAGCCCTTTATACCATCTCAAGTTCTCAACCTCATGATCCTACCGAGGATGTCGTCAACGAGAGCACAAGTCACCGCCTCCTCCACTTACACGGCCGCGCATTCCATCCACCGTGCCCTTGGACGTGGAAGCCCGGGACTGCAGGAACGCACCAATCGCGAAAGATGTAAACGTAAGGCTTGCGTGTCTTTGGCGCTTTACGATCGCCGATGTAACTAAGCTTCCCTACATCCCATCTACATTAGATTAACGGCCCCGGTAACTGTCCGTGGGGTCCTCGAGCTTCAGAAATCTACGTCACGTCCCTGACCGTCAGTTTCGAAACCTACGCGCATAACAGCACCCATAGGGCCAATCTTGTTTCCGCAAGGCAGATTGCGGAGATGTCGACGGGGCGTATTCCTGTTTTCAACCTCTACGCGCCGCGAGCTGACGACGCCATCCCCACTTCTCTGTAACAGGGACGTGACGCAAGCCGGCAATCACAATTAGAAATGCCGGGGCCAGTGCGTGGCAAAGTCTTCGTGGACCAACTGCCATCATTTTATTACGAAGCCTTGGGCTCGTTCATTTGAAACGAGAAACACAATATCGAAAATGACTTACACCGCCTTAACTAAAGCCCAGCACCTTCTTCCCGAAATTCAAGGATTACGCCAGTTTCCTGGATAGCTTCAACGTCCTCCTGCGACAACTCATCTACCTCCTTTCCGATCTCTTCCATCCTCTCTGACCAATACCCGTAAAAGAATTCAACCAATGACTGACCCAACTCTTCAAACTTGGCGTCAAATTCCTCAACCAGGGAATCTAGCCGTGCTACCAAATGCTTATCTTCGTCTTGTATTTCTGCAATTTCGTCATCTTCGGTGATTTGAACGAGTTGAAATTCCCCGTCTATAATCGCATCGGCCGCGTGCCAGTACTCGTCCACGGAAACAGGATGGTCACCTTCTTCGCCATAGCATCTATGAATGTACCTGCAGCAGGTATGCTTCATTCCGAGGCGAGTGAAGGTACTGAGGCGAATTATCTCCGAAACAATGGGACCTGGCGTCTCGCGGGCTATGCCAAAAAATGGAAAATAGTCGACGCCGCTGCGAAAGCCTCCAATAATGTGAGAAGCCCAATTCTTGCGTGATCGCCATTCTTTTTCTTGCTCCCACATTCCACGAGCGAATACCGAGGCAGGTGAACATCCATCGCGTGCACAAAAACAATTACACGAATCCCGAACAGGATGATTTAGGATCTGCAATCCTTCCTGGAAGCACACCTGCTCATCCCGCAACGTCCGTGGGCTGTAAGCAATGTACCCTATCGCATATGACACAAGGTGTATCAATCTAAAGCCATGTGCCTTGAATTTCGATGAGGGTTGACGGTTGCAGGCAGAGTCAGGTATTGGATCATCCAAATTTGCTCCGTGGTTCACGAACCAATTAACCAGTTCTAGGGGAGATTCAACAGATTTCAACAGATTTGCTGTCATCAAAGGAGAAAACCCTAAATGATAGACATTCGTATGATCGAAGCCAGCCTGAAACAAAGACTCCGCTAGATTTACACTCATCCATTGATAGTGATAGATGGAGCCAGGACGAATCGTCTGTAAATAGTCGGGGATTTCAATGTGGCGCTTCTGCAAAGCGTGAGCGACGTCACAGGCTTCTTCCTGCAATAAGTGATGACGTCGTAGATTAAAGGTAGTCGCTTCCTCATTTGCCATCCACTCCAGGGCAATTGATAAGAGCTCCTTTCGCCTGCTTGCCAAAAGTTGGCACAAAAACGCAACAATACCATCCGAGTGTGGGGTGTACCAGCTTCGATTGGTTTCAATTTCCTCGGCATTTTCGACGTCGATCCAAGCATTCCCATCAAGGAGCAGCTGGGCCGATTCGTGGAGTTCCAGGTAGAGAGCATAGTCCAGGGGTGTGGCACCATCGGCATCCTCCGCATCTATGCCGGCTCGGATGGCGTCGCCGCCAAGTTCCAGGAGAAGATTAATACCACGAGGCCATGGCACAGCAAGGTGAAGGGGCGACTCTCCGCCCCTAGACTTCTCAAGAACACCAGACTTTGTTGTGGAAAGTATTCGGCGCACGTCAGGTTCCGATTCTTGGAGTATTGCCCGGGATAGATCACCATAACATAACGCTACAAGACAGTTAGTGGCTGTTGAGTAAGTACGCTGACCACTCACGAATAGACAATCCTATCATTGCACGCCGATGCAAGGGGAGACAGTTTATTCCGCCGAGGCCGTCCAGGGGTGATCCGCTGTCCTGTGGTAGCTCTGCACCCTGCTTTATGAGCTCTCTAGCTACCTCAGACAACCTAGATATATGTGCATTGCCATGAGGTGTACTAAAAAACCTTTTGGATCTAACACTTAGAAAGAGCAGGAGCGGGGTCCTAATAGCGTTAACCAAGGCGATCTTGTGCTTGAGATTAAAAGATGCATTATTAGGAAAATGACGCTCACATATCTCCATCGTTTATTGGAACGCCCAGATCTATGAGCTCCTTGAGGTATTGGCAGAAGATAACCTCCGTTTTGTCTGTAACGCTGATGTGCGCTTCAAGGCAAGCCGTCTGAGTTCCGTTTCAGCTGTATCCATGTCCACATGACGCTATTACGTACGTGCAGTAAATTCATCCCTGTGGTCGATATATCCGTAGGCCAAGCATGGCCATCCATAAACAATTGTCTGACCGAAATCAAAGAGTTACGGAGACTCTTTTTCACCTCGTCGGGGGTTGCTTTTTCAAGGTCAAGAGCCGTTCTCTCAAAGGCTGCAGATCCTGGGCGAATTGCACGAAGCGTGAAATTCGGAGAAATATGGAGGTCTCGATAAAACATATGCCGGCAGTATTGCACTGTGATTTTGCACTGGAGAAGAAAGTTGAAGAGCCGAGCTCGCCCAACAATAACTCGTCGTTTCCGGTTCTTCAACGAGTAAAAGCATGTCCTTGAGTGGGCTTGAAGATGATTCCTGGTGCAATGACAATTGAGATCTAAGAGTCTTTCTCCTGCCATGGAGAGAGGTTTCTCGTTGTTAGTAGTTTGTGTCAAATCAGAAATGGGTGATACTAGTGCACTCTGACTCTCTTCTGGAGAGTTCGAAGCTAGATAGCTATTAAACCCAACAGAGTCTTCGCTTGAAAATGTGCGACCAAGCGTTGTGTCTTGGGCTAGTAGCATCGCTTTGCCACTTGGCGTCCAATTTACCATCCGCTTTTCTAGCTCTGCAAGCTGATTCCGAAATAATTCTTCGTGCATTGCCATCCGTTGATCGAACATTTGGGTGATGGTTGGTCCTAAACCAGAGATCTCCTGTAGTATCTCTGTCCCTTGGACGGAAATGGCTGAAGACAGGTTTCTAGATTCAGAGATCGTAAGGCGATGTAGGTCATTTGTTAGGTCGCTAAAAAGTCAGCTCTCATTAAAATCTTGGTGTCACAAACACTTACAAGCTAAGCAACAAGACCTGTGCCGATAGCCTGGTATAAAACTCAGAGAACTGCCGTCTGAAGTCGTCAAACTTGGCTTTCTGAAAGGGATATTGAAGTCCCTTGACGATAGATTTTCCTTGGTTCTTCAAGCTGGGAGATGGCGATTGCTGGGATTGCTTGGCATGGAGCGTTTCGAATCCTTGCATACACAATTTGCATGCATCCAGACTGTCCTGAAGTGTCGATCTCAATGTCTCCGGTGTGGCTGTCGGCCCTGGCTGGCGTTCTTCAAGTAAGCGGAGGAATTTTTGCAGGCTTTCGGCTTCCTGGCTAAGCTGCAGAAGATCATCGCCTCTGGATTGGTAGCTGCGGCAGTAGGAGATCAATCCATCGCACAACGTGATCCCGAGGGAGGCCAGACCAGCGGCACCTGTGGTGATAGAGAAGGCGTCCATGATAGCAGTAAAAATGAGAAATGTAGATTTAATGATGGTCGTGCGTGTTTCCAAAAGGCTTGATTGTAAAACACCGCAGACTGCGTTATGTAGGAACGTGAGATCGGGGTAAGATTCTCAAAGTGAGGCTGGCGGTGAAAAGCAGGGCTGTATAATTATACGCCAAGCCACCATAAATGCATTTCCAGCTGATATTTGTGTAACCCGGTTAGGCAGACCTGCAGCATTGGGCTCGTAGGTAGATACGCAGCCGCGTAGTGCATTCTTCTGGTAGGGAAATATTCCTTGTAGGCCAGCAGCATCCGATACACGCCCACATGACTCCCTTACTAAATACCCCGATAGAATTCATTGTCTAAGCAAAGTCCGTCTCCCATTATTCCTTGGCTCTCCAATTTTCTGCAAATTATTGACGGCTGTGGCGCTCACATCGGTCCACCCTTCTGCGACGTCTGCCACAGTCGCGATATCAAAACGATGGCCGGCCCACTCTCCTTTCTGGCTCAAAAGCGTCGGGGAATCAGCGTCAAACCACAGTGCAAAGGTGACAATGACTTCCCCGAGGCTGTAGGCGTGGTCTGAATTGGCGATGACCTCATCTCGGATGTATTGCCTAGTAGTTAAGTTGCGGAGCACTGGTGAGCTGCTTGGATCCGTGATGCTGAGCATACGGCGCTGAAGCAGTCGCTTCACTATTCCTCTATCGTCGTCGGTTAGGCGATGTTCGACACGTCGCATGAGTGTACGCGGCCTCTCCCCCGCCCGTTCGTCTCCTTCGAACCGCATCTTTTCTGGAAGAATTGCGTCTGCTAAACGATACATTGCTTTTGCTCCGTGTCCCTCCCATTCGTGCTGTTCTTCATCGGTGGCTATGCCGTAAGGGTAGCTGGATACCTCAGCTCCCACATAGATGAGCCGATCGCCTGCCCAGGGTGCCGCGTCTCTAATCAAATGAGCCTGAGCCCATGAGGCGAGAAGTCGGAAGAAATAGGAGCACGAGAGGGACAGACAGAGAGTATCTTCATCGATACCAGTGTACGCAAGAGTGAGCACGATAGTGTCGATGATCTCCTGCGGCAATTTCAGTAATGGAGAGCTGGGACTTCGCCCAAGGTTAGCAAAGGTCCAGGAAAACGATATATATCTCACAGTACTTACCTTTTCAACTTGGAGGCCCTAATGTTGCCGCTTGGAATGTCGACCGGAAACCATTTCGGCACCTGGAGAAAGCCAACCAGCTGCTCGGCTGACCTGCCGACAAGATACTCAGCAAGGTTGAACTCACGACGGAAGAGCGCGCGTCGCTTGTCGATGTTTATGAGTCCCCCAATTTCTGCCATCGTGTTATATCGCCCAGTGCACTCTCAAAGATGGCGAAGGGAAAAGAGAGATGTCAACAATGAATTCGCAGCTGAGGCTGAGTATGTTCTCGAGTGGGGTTGGGCCAGGCAGCAAGGATACAGTTGGCGTGCAAAAGTTCCGACAATACGTCTAGTTCAATTACCTGACGATAAGGGAGTTTATAAATGAAAAATATAACTAATTAAATAAAACTAAAATCTTATTATTTATAAATTTAGAATTTATGGTAAAATAATTTTTATAGTTAGCAATTTTAAAGTTGTTGGCATTTTTGCACGTAGCTGTACTGTAGTAAACATCGAGACATGGATCTACGAATTAATTCCCCGCATTTACGCATCGCTGCCTAGAAGTCTCGTCGCAGTCAGGCGAACACTTAGTAGCTCGATACGGCAGCGAGATATAGACTGGTCAGTATGCTTAACGGCTTCAAACTATTGGTCTCTTATGATGCTATGCCAATTCGCTCAATCTGTTCCACTCGGGGAGACCTGTGATTCCCTTATATCTCGTCTTAAAACATATCTAATTCGGCCTCCTCAATCCCAGGCAATCCAAGAATGGCCCATCGTGACACGCGACGAGGTACGCCTTCTCACTGTCCGACTTGTTGAAGTGCTTAATCTTGGACCACGCAGGAACCGCAAAGGTATCGCGAGATATCCAGTTAAACACAACGGTCTGGCCAGACGGCGTTTGCACCTCGGTACGGCCCTTGCCCTGGTAGCAGTGGTAGATGTACGAGGTAGGCTCTTGTGATTCCACCGTCGTTCCCGGGTTGAGGCGCTCTGCTTGCACGCCGAGGATGTTGGAGAGGGGCTTGCCATCTTTTCCACGGTAGTGGTAGATGGCGTACTTGTCCTCAGTGGCGTTGAGGGCAGTCTCGACGGGACCCCAGGGGTGACGCCACTCGCAAGGGTCAGTAGCACTTGAGATTTGTTAGTAATTGCAGATACTCGGGGAAGTAGGCTGGTTAACGTACGTGCTGGGATATCTCGGGCTGGCGTAGCCCTCGGCAAAGTGGACCGGAGCATACCGGAAGAGCGGGAGGTTCAGCATATCCAACCAGATGACGGGGCTGCTACTCTCGTTTCCGTGATCATGCCAGTGCCATGGCGGCGTTACTACAACATCGCCACGGACGAGAGGCATCTTCTGGCCCTCCACAGCTGTGAATCCCTCTCCATCGATGATAAAGCGGCATGCAAAGGCAATGTGCCGGTGCGCTGGGGCTGTTTCGCCGGGATTGACTAGTTGCAAGCCACCGTAGATGGTGTCTGTGGTATATGGTGATGCTAGACCATGTGTTAGTAAACGCCGGACAATCTGAGCAACTGAGTACAAGGCAACTTACTCATGCTCGGGTTCACCAGCATCAACACTCGTCTCTCGGCCTTCTCCTCTGGTACCAGCCGACCCGCCGTTTGCAAGTAAGGCAATGCCTCTTCGTACTTCCACATGTGCGCCTTCGCAGTGGGGCTCGGGCTTTGCGGAACCATGACGTTCATTTGAGACCACAAGGGCTCTAGGTGCTTGGAGGGCAGGGCGCTGAGATACGACTTCATTTCTTCGGTCTCGACCTCTGCGGCGGGCGCGGCGTTCTCTGTGCTGACGTAGCCACCCATTTTGGACGATTGATTTCAAAGGCTGGATTCAAAGTAGCAGTGTGGGTGATTTGAGTGAGTATGGCTTGATCGGAGCAGGCGCATTCAAGGCGTTTGGCTTTATAGAATCGAGCGCCGATGAGCAAATGGCCGTGGCCGGGGATTGGAAGCAAAGTGACTCTGGGGTACAGTCGTCAATATTGGCACAGCCTGTGAGAGTGAGCTGATTAACCCGGATACAGCGGCGAGGTGTACTCAGTCTGAAAGTCCGAAGGGTAACAGTCCTTGAAGATCTCGGAAGGGATTCATTCGGGTCCGCATAACCCGGAAGCAGTCTCGGAACGCGGCTTAATATCGAGATTGCGGGCATCCTTCCGGTCGGAATAGCCTCTTATTGGCCCACCACTTCACCCGCTCCCCTCCGCACGCGTTGCACAATTGCATCAGATCTCGCAATCGGTTTTAGTCGTGGGATTTGCAGGATGTTTATAATCAGAAGCCAGACTCGACGAGAATCCCAAAATGCGCCTCCTCTCAAACAGAATACTATCTCTATCCCGCAACATGTCTTCCTCCGGCTGGTCCCGTCTTATCCGCTTCGTTGACGACAACGGCAACGAGACCTTTGGCGACCCCGTCGTCAAAGATGACAAGGAATTCGCCGATCGTCTTGCGCGAAATGACCTTTGGGCTGTTGAGTACAAAGGCGAGAGCCCTACGTCAGCGCTGAGCAAGGGTGAGAGCGTCCACGTCAAGGCCATCCGGGATATCCTCCGGCCAGCCGACGTGCCAATCATCCGCTGTATCGGCCTCAACTACATCAAGCATAGTATGTCTCCCATGTGTATGAGGAAAGTGGACAATAGTAACACTCAATTCTAGTCAAGGAGGGCGGCCGCACACCCCCGCCGTATCCTTCACTCTTCATCAAGCCCTCCACCTCGGTGACTGGCCATCTTGATGACGTACCCATCCCCAAGGTTGCCCAGGATGGCACGATAGATTATGAGGGCGAATTGGTAAGTAAAATATAGTATCTCAATTACCAATATTTCTAACCCCCTCAAGGCCGTTGTTATTGGAAAGACTGGCAAAGACATTCCCAAAGAAGCTGCCCTCTCCCACGTCGCTGGTTACCTCGCCTCTAACGACGTTTCCGCCCGTGCCTGGCAGCGCGACCCCAAGAAGGCCGGCGGCGTTCCTCAGTGGTGCTTTAGCAAGGGTTTCGACAAGTTCGCCCCTCTCGGACCGCTGCTTGTATCGCCTGCGATTGTCGGCAACGCCTCAGACCTCACCCTGAAGACTCTCGTCAACGGCGAGGAGAGGCAAAACACCAGCACCGGCGACCTTCTCTTCGGAGTGGAGGAGATTATCGCCTTCATCAGCCAGGGAACTACGCTGGAAGCTGGAACTGTTATTCTTACCGGCACGCCGTCTGGCGTTGCCATGGGCATGAAGGAGCCCAAGTACCTCAACGACGGAGATGTCGTCGAGGTCAGCATCACCGGGCTGGGTTATGTGAAAAACAAGATGGTGTTTGAGTAAAATATCTTCGAGTAGAAATTAGAATTCATTAGCCTATTAGACTTTTCCGTACACGAAATACGTTCATGCCCCATGATTACTGTCACAATCTACATAATACCGGCCCCATGCAGATTGCAGGTATTTTCATGCATTATATACTGCGACAATTACTCATTCAACAATTCCCAAGCTACCTGCATGTCAGTTAACCACGACAAGTCATTAACATCAAAGTTGAACTCGGCCAGATCATGTTGGTTCAGATCGGCAATTGGAGGCGCAAATTCATCTGCCAGCCGTTGCAGCAGGTCAGGTAGCTCCGGATCAGCTGAGGCATCGTACATCCCATCTGGTTGAACCTCCTCATTCACTCCCGGCGGCCCCTTCCGGTTAGCCATTGCCGATGTGATGGCACCGCTGGGGACAGCCTGGAGGATCTTGGACGAAAGGATATGCAAAGCTGCGACACATCTGCGGGCCGATTGGCCAAACTTCTCGTGAGCCTTGAGCACCGAGATTGCCTGGCCCCAAGAGCGCCCAATATCCGCAGCGAGGAACACTTCAGGCCGCAGCGTGGCCGCTATGAGAACGGTGGCGGCGGAGTAGACGTAGTACACCCGGTACCACCACGCAGGAAGAAGGCCGACGGTGCTGTTGAGGGTTTGGTGTTTGAGGAGAGCCGTGATTATGCTCTGCGCTGTCGAAACGCAGAAGAGCGCGCCTTGCTCAACGAAGCGGGCTTGTAGGGTATCGTCAATCTTGGCGTTTTCTGCGGGCGACTGTGCGAGACAAAACCGACAGAGAAGAGGTCTTAGTAACAAAATTCGGGCGTGAAGAAACCTGCAGCATGTTAGTCTCCGATGAAACAAGACTAACGAAGAGAGATTGGGGGACATACCGCATACGAAGAATGACAGCCTGGCGCTGAGAGATTTCATCTTGCGTGGTTTCCAACATATTCCACCTGAGATGGTTCGGTAGACGGTTCTCCCATCTGCTGAGAGACCTGTCTAATCGAACCACCTTGTCCAAGTCTTCGTCCTCGCCATCTAAATTCTCATGCTCTGTAGAATGAGATTCTTTTACCTTTGGTCGAGCACCAGAGCCTCCGTAAAAAGCTATCATCGTTTGATGGATGATCTCATATAGTCGAACGGACTCGACGAAAAATGACATATAGCCTGTGTCCTTCCTCGTTTCGACTCCCACAACGTTCATACCAGGAGGCGATGAAAGAGGCAGCGGCACCGCAGTTGCAAGGCATCCAGAAATCATCGCAGGGCGTCCATGGGTAACAGATACCATCCTATTCGCATTAGTGCATGTTACCAGGCAAGCAAGCCAAGACGTACCGATCCATCAGGACACATCCGTACCAGACCCTCCGAAGTAGTTCTCGCTCGCCGATATCTGGTCGCTCTGCTGAAGTTTCTGGCAAGTGAAGTCCCAAGCTTTGTGCCGTCCTAATCGCCGAGCCGACAAGCATCCAAGTCTGGTGCGGGTGATATGTGCTTTGCAGGTACTGGGTCGTAACCAACAGGCATTGCACCAACTCAAGAGATCCAGAATCCCAAGGACTCATAGGTAGTAAATCCTGCGCCCGTCGGAAGTAGTCGTTACTTGATTGTTCCCTCTGCTCTAGAGACTGAGACTCATGGAGCTGCGTGGAAAGAGCCAGGACGATATTGAGAGTGGCGACAAAGGTGCGCTCATCAAAGTCAATGGCCGTACCAGCGAATATGGCGTTGTACGCACCCGTCCACCGCTGCTTATCCAAGAAGGGGTAAAGAGGGTCTACATAGTACCAATACAACTCCATCAGGTGGTCTGCTTGCCTCCGCGGGGGAAGGACGTAGGAAACATCTGAAGCCATCATGTCGCCGGTCCTTGGAGCACCCATGACGGAATGAGAAGAAGCGACTACATGCCGAGTGCCGTGGGTCGACTTTCCAAGTCGAACATCTATGGCCTTTTTAATCTGTGAAGTAAAGGATCCAGCGCTGCTGATACCAAAGAATTCTCTAGTACCTGCTTCTTCATCAACCACAGCCGTCATGGAGTCGATCGCCGACGGGGTAACCGAGCGTACAGAGGCTCCAACTTGGTGTTGGCTCAGATTCTCATCCGTATGCCTGCTCCCAGGAGTAGTTCCCGCTGGAGATTGGTTCGACACGACATGTGGTCTAGGTCTTGCCTCCAACGGTGACTGTGATGCCGGGATGGCGTAGCTGATGGTTGGTCTGGGGCCCATATCCGCCATCAATGACCGGTATTGGGTATTGGGAACTGGGGGAGAGGAATAGTTGTCATCGCAAATGCTGTGATTGGTTTGGTCCTCCATAGTCTGACTGCGTACAACACTATTGCCGCTGTATTTGCAGTTGTCCCGCAAGCTGAGTTTCCTTGAACAGGAGCCACATGCTAGCCGTATGTCAGTGTATGTAATTTACTAATATTCGCCGCAGAAATACAAGTAAACGGTTATAACATACGGCAGATCGGGGCAAAACAAAACAACCAAATATGTCGTCATACGCGCCAATGCAACTACTTACTTGGACGGGCACCATCACATTTTATCTTCTTCGCCCGGCAATTCTCACAGGCGACGTCGATTTTGAGTCGCTTGGGTCTCGGCCCTTGGGCTCTAGAGTGTCCCGCTGCTCTCTGAGGAGGATCCATCAGCCGCCTCGCACCCACTCAGACGCAGCACGGGTTGAAAGATGCCCCTGGAGGACGCTGTGAACCTCGCAGATCGCGGGATGCAACTCCACTGGACTGCACTGTGGAGCTGGGCTTCGGATGCAATGGCATAAACGGAGTGGAGTGAATAAAGCAGTCGCTATGGCCGCAAGATAGCTGTCGCCGGAGACGTGGAAGGGGATGCTCGGAGGGACGCTCGGGAGGGAACTCGGAGGGGAATGTTCGGGGGCAACTTTCGGAGGGGATGCTTCAATCTTGCACAACCGGATAACTTCTGGCTCCGGATGATTGTCACGTCTTCATTTGTCCCGAACCAATCGGAACGCGTCTCGGTTATAGATTACTACTCCATGGATTGCGTCCCACATTCCCCGCATCCATTCTCCGCTAATCCATCTCCGTCCTTTTATGCGCCATTCAAGTTCATGTCATCTGCGTGCTTCCGTTACTTCCGCATCTCGTCGAACTGCGGAACGCCTTCCACGGCCTTGGCCCACGCGGGTCTGTTTTTGACGAAGATCTCGCTGCCGGGTTGGAGGCTGAGACTGCTCTAAGTCAGCGGTAGGTCCGGTCGAGTACAGGATAGTTGCGACATACCCTTCATCCAGGATTGATGTTCGAACGAGATGGTACACTCCTTTGGCTGCGCCGGGAATTGTCCAGAGAGTACATCCGCAGGTTCTGCAGAATGACTTGCCCTTGCGGTTGCCGCTTGATGTATCGGTGAAGCCGAATTCGCCAATCGCCTCCCCCTCGGCTGAGATTTCCATGTCTTTGGTCGCAAACTTGGCAATCTAGTAATTTGTGAGGTTTTCTTTTCCCGTGATTGAAGCTCTTAAAGACTCACTATCTGGTGTGTTCCTCCGGCTCCTTTGCTGCAGTGCTCGCAGAAGCACGAAAACACCGCCACCGGTTCCGATGCAATGCTAAACTTCACAGCGCCACAGAGGCACTTTCCGGTGTATGGAGCTGACATTCTGGTGCAGATTTCGGTCACTTTCTCTTACTTTGTCGTGATTTCCGTCGCAAGGTTCGTCTTAATCATCGAGTATTATATATATACATCATGCCAACATCCAGGTCTCAACCGCCCAACAACACTGGGAGGGGTGTATGCAGCCGGGATGCGTCGAGACCTTCCGAAATTGTGAGTCCGGACGGCTAGCTATGTACTTCGGAATGAAACGCAGGTATAGGGACACACCGCGAATTTCTTGACCTTGATTTCTTCCACGCCCCATCGATTCAAGCCCGAAGGGATTTTTTAGGGTCAGAGACTGGATGGCGTGGTCGGAACCAAGCAGGATTTGTTGATCCAAAATGTAGAATGTCTGCATTTACTCTCAGGCGTGTCGAGGAAAAGAAGTTATATATGAGAATGGTAGTTGAGCGGGAGAAATGGCGTCTAGATCTTACTCCAAATTTTGTAGGTGCTTAGTTTACTGTTTATGGCTTTAATTTAGTATCTATTCTAACGCAGTATCTAAATCTACCGGCCAAAGACAAACTTTTCCATCTGGACGCCAACAGACTGGAGGATCTCAGCGGCTGATAATCCATGTGAAAACAGGTACTCTCCTGCATCAACCACCCACTGCTTCAGCTCCTCGTCGTAATATGCCACATCTCTGACTTGAACAGACAATTGTACAGTCTTCTTTTCTCCTGGCTGGAGCTGAACCTTCTGGAAGGCGACGAGGGCCTTAACCGGGTGGTCAGCAGATGGCGTAGACCTGCCGGCATAAATTTGCACCAGAGTGCCACCTGCTACGCGACCCGTATTGGTCACATCGACGGTGACGGACAAGGCATTATCCGCTTGCTGCTTGGTCACGCTCATAACGCCATACTCAAATGACGTATAAGACAGACCGTGGCCGAATGGGAAGTTGACCTTGGCTCGGTCAAGGCGATCATAGTGTCGATATCCGACAAATACGCCTTCGGCATAGGTGACCTTCAGCTGACCATTAACATACTCGCCAGGGAAGTTTCCATACGCCGGCGCGTCCTCGATATTCTTGGGGAAGCTAACTGGCAGTCGACCCTCGGGGTTCACAGCGCCAGTGAGCACATCTGCGATCGAATGGCCGCACTCCTGGCCGGGGAACCAAGCCTGAACCACAGCCGCTACCTGGTCCAGCCAGGGCATGGCTATCGCAACACCAGTGGAGTTTACGACGACAGTCTTGGAGTTGGCTGCTGCAACGGCCGAGACGAGGGAATCCTGGGTGCCCTTTCGCGGCAGATGGAACGAATCTTGATCCCGGCCCTCGGTTTCCCACTGAGGGTCATGGCCGGTAAAGACGATGGCGAGATCTGCGTCTTGCGCGACTCGCACCGCCTCGCCCTCGAGATCGGCGTCGTGGTCTGATTCGAGCGAGAAGCCCACACGCACGCCACTGCGGCCCTCGAGGATCTTCAGACCAATCTTGGTCGGGGGATCGCTGCAGATGCGCAATCGGTAGGTCTTGTCGGCGGCGAACTTGTGGCGGAACTCTTCTTCGGGGGCGGCAAGGAACAGAGAACCCATGGGATCGGTGCAGTTGCTGGTTTGCTCAAAGACGAGCTCGTCATCGACGAATACTCGCGTTGGCCCAAGTCCAGAGCACGCGATGTAGTGGCTTCCCGACTCGGCCGGCGTGAAGTCTCCGACAATCTCCAGCCTCCTCCACAGTGACTCTTGCGAGCCCAGTGGCGAATATGCCGAGGTGAGTTGCCCATGGAGAATTGAAACTGGCTCAGTCTTTTCGCCCTCGAACAACAGGCGAGTGAAACCTGGCTGTCCATCGAGCGCAACAACCTTGGCACAGGTGCCGTCGCGGTAGATTGCAGGGAGAAGACGCTCTTTATGGGCGCCCTTGGCGTATGTGAATTCAACTACATCTCCAAGGGCTTCGTGCAGGCCATCCCAAGGTGTGACTTTGCGATAGGCATTGACGGATGCGCTGCCGCCACCGTGCGCCATGGCATCTTTAGAGAATCCGATCAGGGCAATTTTCTTCCCCTTGAGGTTGTCCTTCACCAACGGCAAGACGTTGTCCTGGTTTTTCAACAGCACCATTCCTCGCGCACCGGCATCTCGGATCATGCTTCGTAGCTCAGGGCTGTCGGTTGTCTGGCTAGTTGCGGCAGGGTCTTCCAGTGTCTTCAACTTGAGGGCAAACCGAATAACGGCGCGAGCACGGTCGTCGATGGTACTTTCCGAGACCTCACCGCGCTGAACGGCTTCGACGACTTCATCCGTCTTGCGGATTCGTGGCGGCCCAGGCATCTCCAAGTCCAGGCCAGCGTTGAGCGCCTCGGCCACAGAGTTGGTGCCACCCCAATCACTCATCACCAAGCCCTCCCAGCCCCAGTCACCGCGCAGAACATCCTGGAGCAGCCAGTTGTGCTGGTCGCAGTGCACGCCGTTGAGGTGGTTGTAGGCAGTCATAAGCGCCCAAGGCTTGGCCTCTTTAATAGCAATCTCAAACGGACGCAGGTAGATTTCGCGCAGCGCCCGCTCACTAACGGTCTCATCAACCGTCGTCCGCGCCGTCTCCTGCTCGTTGGCGACAAAGTGCTTGATGGTGGCCGACACTCCGGAGCTCTGAAGCCCCTGGATGACCTGCGAGCAGAGCTTCCCCGCGAGGAACGGGTCCTCGCTGAAGCTCTCGAAGTTGCGGCCTCCCAGCGGGTGGCGATGGATGCACACCGTCGGGCCTAGCATGCAGTGGACATTCTTGCCGCGAGCCTCTTTGGCGAGAGCGCGGCCGAAGCGGTTTGCAAGCTCGACGTCGAAGCTCGCTGCGAGGTTGCATGCAGCGGGAAAACACGCGGATTTGATGCTGACATCTGTGGCTGCTGAACGCACTCCATTCGGTCCGTCTGCAGTCTAGGGTTGTATCAGCATCCCTGTTGATAAACAAAGATGGTCTGCCTACCTTGATAGAGGGAATACCCTTTTCACTTATGCCGAGAGTCTCTGAGAAGTTCTTGCCAACAAGAAGAGATATCTGAGGTTTTCGTTAGCGTCACTGCCAATCTCGCGTGTCTCAGGTGTCCAACCTTTTCTTCCAGCGTCAACTTGCTAAGAATCGCCTCAGTTTCAGCCTTAAACTCCATCGTGACGGTTGTCTGAGAGATAATTTGGTCGTAAAGCAGTCGCAGGAAGCCCCTCACTTTCAAAGATCCAATGCCTTGTACTTGGCTCCAAAGTGAGCCGTAGTGTTCTTGGCCAATCATATGTCGTTCCGACTTTTCTCGGAACGAGTCTTCGGAGCTATTTCGGGGACCTGAAAGGGAGAGGCACTCCACAGCATCCTCGGATGTCAGAGTAGTCATGACTCGGACAGGATCTAGCGCATTGAACCCCGAGTTTTCTATTCAGGCTAAACATTGCGAGTTGGGGGCGGTCTGCGGGGTTTGTGGTGGAGTGATTGAGGAGTAATCCGCGCCCTCACGTTGGTGGCCGTGATCCGCAGGTAACCATCGCGTAATTTACTCCGGATCACAGACGTAGTGTTGCACTCTTGTATTATTATTGGGTACGATGTGAACCATGCGTGGCCCATTGGTGCAAGAAGCTATAAACAATCCACATCAACGTATATACAGCACAGTTAGGTAGAGTATGAAGGAGCGGAAGGAAATAAAACGAACCACCATGTATTCTATGATATGTTTGGCGTTTTATTTATGCAAGGTCGACCAACTACCTCTCCCTGTAAGGCCTTGCTTCGTCATGACGTATCGGGTTTCACAACTTTGAACATTCTGGACATCTAATTAAATGAGGACATCAAATATGACATTGAACTATTAATCCAGAGGGATATAAATTTAGCCAACATAGATGCGTCATAGGCCCTCGAGTATCGGCATACGGTGGCAATTCATGTTATACATGACGCACACCTAAGCATCCTCGACCTGGTCCACGTTTCCACCCTTCTTTCTGTTCTTCTCATCCACATCTCCTCCCTCAATATCCGCAAGCTTGCTGTTTCCATAGGCACGGAAGGAGCTGTCCTCGAAGACCTCTTGGATCTCCTCTAGGGTGTGGCCCTTGGTTTCGGGGAAAAGGAACCAGATGACGAAAAGAAGACAGCCAAGGATGCAGCAGAAGAGTATGTAGTACTTCCATCCAATCGCTTTCATCGCAATGGGGTTGACTTGGTTTCCAACAACCAATCCTGTGAATGTGGTGATGTACATGACGGACACACCACGGCTTCGGAGCGTGTACGGGTAAATCTCGACAATGTACGCCTGCAGCAGCGGCGCCCAGGCGATGGCGTAGAAGAAAAACGTGATGAAGATGAATGCAACAACAACCTTTCCAGTTGTCTGGTCGTGCGTATCGATGAAGTGCGCAGTGAGAGCCGTCCAAATAATATAGCTGATCATCATGCCACCCGTTGAGGCCAGGAAAAGCGTTCGGCGACCAAGCCGGTCAACCATCATCGCTCCAACAAATACGGCAGCGATCCAGTTGGACACTTGGAGCAATCCGTTGATGAGCGTTTGATCTTTGCCTTCGGTGATGCCAACCGTGTTGAGGACAAGGAATAGGTAGTATGAGCTATTCGTCGTAGTCAGCTTGGGCTCTTGGTTCGGATGGGACAGGAGCACTTACACAATAGAGATTCCATTCCACTGGGCAAACCATCCCACGATGACAGCGATAAGTGTACGCTTCCGGTTTGCGGGCGTGCGAACCAATTCGAGCCAAGAGTTTTGGGACATGGCATCGGCCTCGTGCGTAAGGGCGCCCTCGATTTCCGCCATCTCAAAGTTCACCAGGGCCGAGTTCTCGTCTCCTCCAGCATGGTATTTCACAAGGATCTTGCGGGCCTCGGCTCGGCGGCCGTGTGCGACGAGCCATCGGGGCGATTCGGGGAGGAAGAAAATGGCGAGAAGTTGGAGGGCGGGGAGGAGGCCTTGCAGCATGGATGGGATTCTCCAGCTCCAGTCTGTGTCGAGCTTGAAGGTACCGTAAGTGCACCAGGCAGCAATAATAGATCCCAGGTACTACTTCCGTATTAGTCTTGAAGTTTCTGTTTCCGTCCCAAGCCATCGACTCACAAAGGATGTGGCGTACAAAGCCGTCAGCTTGCCGCGGTGTGTGGGGTATGCAAGCTCTGTGATGAGGATAGGGCTAGGCTGAGCGAGGAAACTGGTGAAAAAGCCAAGAACTGCTCTGGTAGCGATAAACATGTTGATGTTCCTTGCCAGTCCTTGCATGATGGCGAATGCGACACAGGCAATTGAGCCAATCGCAATAGTCGGCTTTCGTCCGATTCGATCGCAGAGATAGGTAACCAGGAAGAGGGCAACGACCTTTCCGGCAGGGTAGACCGAGTTCATGGCACCGAGAAGAGCGCCCTCGGGGTGACCGAAGTATGTTTGCCACTGTGGGAGAGTCTGGAGGCCGTTCATCATCGATCCTAGGATTGTTAGTCGAGGCAATTACTCCAACGACCATGGAGACCTACCATCGTAGCCAATCGCACCGGAGGAGACGAGGGGGACGAGCAGGAGGAGGTTGAGCTTGATGAGATGCGGCGTACGATACCACGGGCGAGAATCATTGGGGAGGACCTGTAGAATTGGTGAGCCACTGTCGTGATGATGGGCATTGCCGCATTGGAGAATTGTCTCCAACGCCTTCCGACGGGCTTGACTTACTGCAGCGAGCTCATGGCCAACCACGGCGGCGGCCCCCTTCTTTTCGTTCCTGTTACGAAGACCCATTGCGACGGAGCCAGGGGAGATGACAGCTTGAGTCGACAAGAGAGTGTGACAGGTGTCTGATCGATGGCGATCTCATGAACCACGGGACGTAAGGGGAAGCTGGCCCTTTATGATGTTATGAGCTGTGTGACTGTGTCAAGATCAAGATTGGTCTGCAACTCTGCAACCCCACAAGCTCCTTGACCGACCCCACGGGGAATGGGTTCGTCGTCCACGTGCAGTGGAGTCCCCGGCCTCAGCTCCCGGAGCGGAAGGACCTGGCGTATCCCATGATCTCGAGAGTCTCCAGTGTGGAGATAATGCAGCAGGGACAGGGCGTAAGGATGGATCCCTTCACAACCTCGGAATAGGGCATTCGGATTGGGGTGAAAAGTTGTCTCCGGTTGTCCGTCCAATCGGAAGCCATGAATCTCGGAACGTCTTGGTGGGATTGTTGGGCTCCATCACACCCATTCGTCCCAAGCCAGGTTTAGTGTCTCTGTCTTCGTGAACCGCAACACCGGGACACCTCGACTACGCGTATCTCCCCCGTGCTAGACCAACTTTGCGATTTAGGCAGTAGATTTTACAGAGTTGTGGGGAACAAACCACACTACCGGTTGTTGACGGACTCATGATATCACGTAGTACGGAGAAGGCGTTCCCCGCTAAGGCCGGCTAAATTTGTAGCTCTCATGATCCTCCAACCTGTTTCTCCAACTGTAGCTCATGATTGCCCCCAGCTTTATGAAGAGCTTGTGGAGGTTCAGTTCACAAGCCGGGAAGTGGAGGCATGAAGTAGGGGTGCTCCGGAATTGTAGCGGAGGTCGCTGGGTAATACAGAGTTCCCTCAGGTGCTATAGGGTAGTTGAACTGATGGAGATGGCGGTGTCGTTTTGTGATTGCTGGTAACCATGTCAAGAGTGCTCTACTACATTAGTTTCAGGGTACATTAGGCAGAATAGCCTGGCTATGTAGGTGACAATTAATCCAAAGTAAAAACCGATCCGCAGGATAATAAGGTGGATATTACGAAGTCGGCACCATTACACATAATGTTACTACTCTCCGTCAACGCCAGACATTGAGATAACTTCCCGTCTCTCTCTACTGCTAGATCTAGGGTAGGCTGTTCTTGCTCGAGCCAGTCACGTGTGGTATCAGGTGATAGAAAAAACACCAGGTCATCGGCTCTATCCATCGGAAATGCTCCGAAATGCGGATCGCGGCCGAACTCCACCTGGAAGTCTTCGGCACGATGCCGCATTTTCCGGGCACCGAAGCGGCGGCCACGGCCTGCTGGACACCAAATCCATCGGTCCGCCTCCGAACCGCTCAGCGAAGACGGAATTACGATGAGTCAGAGCAGATTGGCCTTAGAGTTTTTTCCTCTCAATCCCCCGTTGAGTTGAGCTTGTCGTTCTGTAAATGCACCCGCAACCATGACGCGCCAGGAAGTTGTAAGAGCTGAACATGCTCTGCATGACCAGGCGAATCTGCTGCCGCGCCGCCAGCTGATCTTGGCTTTCGCTACGCTCTCCGTCAACATGCTCATTGTCGCGATTGACCAGAATGGGATCTCCGTCGCCCTCCCCACCATTGCCGCTGATCTCAACGCCGAGGCTACCATCTCGTGGGCCGGTACCGCAAGCCTGTTAGCCAACACGACGTTCCAGATGTTGTACGGCCGTCTGTCTGACATCTTTGGACGCAAGACCATCTTCCTTGCTGCCATCGCCATGTTGTCCATTGGGGACTTGCTGTGTGGATTGTCTCGCAGCGCCGTCATGTTCTACATATGCCGCGCCATTGCCGGCATCGGCGGCGGCGGCATCGTGAACCTCACAATGATCATCGTCTCGGACATTGTAACGCTGGAGCAGCGAGGCAAGTATCAGGGAATCAACGGTGCCATGGCTGGACTGGGCAACGCGGCGGGGCCCTTTCTCGCCGCGGCCTTGATCCAGAAGACGTCATGGCGCGTCTTTTTCTGGATGCTCTCGCCCCTTGGAGCTCTAACGGCTTCTCTGACGTATTTCTACCTGCCAAGCAAACCGCCGACGGCAGGCTTCAAAGAAAGCGTGAGGCGGGTGGACTGGATGGGTTCTTTTTCATCGTCAGTAGGAGTCATCCTTCTGCTCATTCCCATTACCGGAGGTCTGTCATATTCCCCTCTCTGATTACAATGTGTGGGTGAGACTAAACGGACAGGCGGCGCGTATTTCTCCTGGGATTCGCCTATGGTAATAAGCATGCTTATCGTTGGCTTTGTGGCTTTCTTGTCTTTTATCGCCTGGGAATGGAAGCTTGCAAGACTCCCTATGATGCCAGGCAAGTACATAACATCCTATCCGTCGCTTCCATTTGCTAAACAGAATTTAGTCGACATATTCAGTAACCCTGTGGTTGTTGTCATGTTCTTACAAAGCTTTCTCTTTGGATCTGTCTATCAAGCGTACTTGTATTACGTCCCATTGTACCTCCAGAATGCTCACCAGTTCTCCATCATGACCTCAGCTCTTGTTTATATACCTCTCGTTATAGCACAGAGCCTGATCTCAATTCTTTCTGGGCAGTACATTTCTCGTCGGAAGCGATACGGCGAGGTTATTGTCTTTGGGTTTGGCATCTGGACCCTGTAAGTCGTTTGAACGCCTGCCCTGTCATCCGCTAACTAGAAGATCCAGAGGAGCCGGCCTAGCGTTAATTTTCAACCGAATTACCACCCCCGGAACAATTGTCGTGGTTCTGCTTCTTGTTGGAACAGGAGTAGGCTGTGTTATGCAGCCTACTCTTGTGGGTCTGCAGGCCCACTCTCCGAAATATCGTCGTGCCGTCATCATATCGAATCGAAATTTCTTCCGCAGTGCCGGCGGCGCGTGTGGTCTAGCTATCTCGGCGGCGGTCCTTCAAGCTCGATTGCGGGCCACGCTGCCCCAGGAATACAAGTATATTTCCGACTCTACGTATGCATTGCCAGAGTCGGTGAAACACGTTCCTGGGGTGCTGGATGCGTATATGGCGGCGAGCCACGGTGTTTTTATCCTCCAGGTACCGTTGATCGCGATATGCTTCCTCTGCACAGGTTTTATCCGAGACCGAGGTTTGGAACCGCCAGAGGACCATGATAACTAAGAACAAGTTGTCTATCGAAACCGAATTGGTTCTTAAAAGCAAGGCAGAATTTGCCGAGGCTGTTGCTGAAGTAGACGGGGCACAAGGACGATTCTATCAGCATTTGTCTGCAGGCCTACGAGAAAAGACCCGAACGGTATTTCACATCAATGCTGTTGCCTGAAGGGGTGTATGGGAGCAAAACTTTTCCTCATACTGTACCGGAAGGTGGTTTGAGTATGCCGATGGGCTGTTGCGCAGCAATCGGCGATATTTGGAGGATCTTGGGTTCTCCAAATTCTTGGTGAGTAAAGTAAGTTTGGGAAACAACACCACGAGAAACGCACGAAGCGATATTCGTAAGATTGTTGTAGAAATTTAATTAGAATGGATGGGATACGAGAATGCTTAAAATAGACACTAGATTATTTGAGGATAAACTTTCTACTAGACAGATTGCTTTTGCCTTCTCCTCTCACCATGCTTGCCCCCATTTCACGCAACTTGGGATGGAACCTACGGTGGTCCTTTCTTTCTTTTCTATGGGAGCAGGCCAAAGCCATGGCCAATATCACGGACGCCCTACTTCCGTCGAAGCTTTTCGTTATTGATAAGTATTTGATCTTCTCATATTGGCCGCAATTCCTAAGCCCTAGATCCCTGCTTGCCCATATTGATCAGGGATGAGTCGTAACAGGCTGGATCAGCTCCCCACTATGCCCGTCTGGATTAGATGCCCAGCAGGCGTAAGAGAAGGGCCAGTGAGCAATATTTGGTTGTATTGGTCTGATTTCCTGGGTATGACCCTGTGAAAAAGTGAAAGTGGCTCGTAAAACCGGGTGATTTCCAATTCTTGTAGCAAATTTTGTTCCGTCCCGTGCCTCTTGACTTGGCACGAAAAGAGACTAGCAAGCAGACGCAACCCTCCACATTTAAAGTTTTCCCTTGTACAAGGCAATTAGGCCGTTGGGCGTATTTGCTCATGCGGCCGTGAATCGGACCACCTGTGGGGAGTTGGCCGCCCCCACGAACTCGTGGCTTTTCAAATTGCGTCTAGAAACCTTCTATGCGCCCATTTACGTGCCATTTTCTACTCTCCACAGCTTCCTTGGCGTCAGAAGCGTGATATTTGAGCTAATTATGTGGGGGTGAGGTTTTTAAAGGGTTTTTCTGACGGACATGGATCATCCTCCACCGCCAGATTTTACGCGATGTTGCATCACGCACCCTGATGATTAGATTGATAAGATAACATGGGTATCGTATTGTGACTTCCTCTAGTGGCTGGGCTTGTGTGTCAAAAGCTCGGTTGATCCGGCGGAATCTTTCCGCTTGTGCACCTCTAGCCGCATGAGGAGATACGAGATGAAAAGGAGCGTTTGTATTACGATACAAGAATCGTATTGAATCCACCCGATGTCGGCCAAGGGCGTACCAGGGTAGGATGGATATCTTCATTTGTGGAGTATCTTTCGTGCATTTGTGGCAGATAGCAGGTCTCTCAAAGAGTGCCTCGGGCTTGAAATAATACCATGCAGCCTCGTCAATATTGTCCATTCGACAACCGACAGAACTTCATCCATCACCGCCGCCATGAACTCGACCGGCATCCAAGCCGAGGCCGTTGACCGCAGCTCGAAAGAAGTGGCCACGGATGCCAAGATGGCGTCGTCTGATACCTCCGAGACGGCGCCGGCTGAGAAAGAGCTCCCCGGAGTGCTGCGCATGGAAGCACTAAACAACGAGCTGACATTTCCAGAACGATGCTGCTTGTTCGTCAGCATCTTCTTCGTCTCTTACGCCTACGTTATGGACGCGGTAACTCGAAGCACCTATCAAGGCTATGCGACTTCGAGCTATTCCCAGCACTCGCTGCTCTCGACAATCAACGTCATTAGGGGAGTCATCGCAGCCGTCATCCAGCCGTTGGTGGCCAAGCTTTCCGACTTGATTGGGCGCATGGAGTTGTTCCTGATCGTTACCGTCTTCTATATCGTGGGCACAATCATCGAAGCGAGCACTACGAACGTCCAGGGCTTCGCGGTCGGAGCCCTCTTCTACCAGATCGGCTACATCTCGACCATATCGATTTTCGAAATCATCATCGCCGACCTTACCTCGATGAGAAGCCGAGTCTTCTTCGTGTTCATTCCCAACATGCCATATATCATTAATACTTGGGTTGGTGGTCAGGTAGCAGGAGCTGTTTTGAGTGCGACTACTTGGAAATGGGGAATCGGCATGTGGTGCATTATTTATCCCTTTTGCACCATCCCGTTCGTCACCGTCATGCTGCTCGTTGGACGTCGTGCTGCCAAGAAGCAGCCACAAAAGACGAAGACGCAACTGGGATCACTCACAGACCTGTTCTGGCAACTCGATATTGTTGGAATCTTCCTTCTCACGGCTGTATTGTCGCTTACTCTCATCCCGCTCACCCTTGCTGGTGGTGAAGACAAGAAGTGGAAAACGGCAGGCATTTTAACACCAGTGATTCTCGGGATAGTCATCACGCCTTTGTTCCTGATATGGGAAACAAAAACAGCCCATCCGATGATGCCGTCCTACCTCATCCGGGAGCGTGGCATGTGGGCAGCAATGGGTCTAAGCACTTTTATGACCTTTTCCTGGTACACGCAGTCCGACTTCCTCTACACGGTCCTGTACGTCAGCTTTGACTTCAGTGTCGCCGCTGCTACACGCGTTGCATCCGTCTACAGTTTTTGCGCTGTCGTGGGCGGTGCATCTCTCGGTTTGGTGATTTTTAAAGTGCGCAGACTCAAGCCATTTATTCTTGGAGGTCTCGCTCTTTGGCTCGTCGCGTATGGAATCCTCATCCATTTCAGAGGAGGCACAGGAACAGGATCCCAAGCCGGAATAATTGCTGGCCAAGTGCTTTTGGGCCTGGCGGGCGGCTTCTTCCCTTATCCCAACTTAGCAGCGGCCCAAGCCTTGGCCAAACACGGGGACTTGGCCGTGGTCACCAGTCTCATCTTGACGATGAACAATGTGGGAATGGCCCTTGGAGGTTGTGTCTCGGGAGCCATCTGGACGCAGACGCTGTATGATCGACTTCAGAAAGACTTGGCGCCCAATGCAGAGTTGGCTGCTGCAGTCTATGCATCGCCTTTGTATGTCGTTCCCGAGTATCCCGTTGGGACAAACGAGCGCGCAGCAATCATCGAGAGCTATCGGTATATTCAGAGACTCCTGACGATTACCGGCATTTGTCTGACTGTCCCGATGATTGCGTTTGCCATGTGCTTGCGAAATACCAAGCTAGCCAAGCACAAGCACACGGCGGCTGAGTAGGTTGGCCAAATCATGGTCAGTCTTATAAATGAATTACATGGTGACAGCGTGGCCTGTTGGTCTTGTTGGGTGACCGTAATGTCTGTTGGTGTCAGAAGCTTCAGAAGTCCCGTGGACGGGCTGGTCTTCACCTAGAAGCTGGAAAAGCTAAATATATAGAGTCCAAGGAAGACGTGGTTCATTGAAAGGATCCGGCTGCAGCTGGAAGGTTGTTGCATAGTGTGATAGTCGAATCTTGGAGCTTGACATGAAATTTTCTTGCGTTGGACAATATTTCCCATCAGACCGAATACCAGCAACGTGAATTAAAGGCGTTCCGTATGCCTGATCCCCGTGATGAAGCGGTGGGCTGCACCAACCAATCAACACAAAGCGCCCAAGCCATACTTCAATACAGCCCACAAAGGTTACAAATGCTAGCTCATGCACAGCACACCGTCATCCAGAATAGCAAATACTCATAAGAGGCTCTCGAACGTCGAAAGATATCCTTATTCATCAGTCCTAGTAGATCAATACTCCCCAATTTGCCACGTTTTACATATCGAGGTACCTTACTTTGGGGTATGTCTGTACCAAATCTTATGTATCTCAACAAAACTAGAGTAAGTCTCGAACTAACATGTGTAACCCTTTTAGGTTGTAGCGAGCTGATGATATTTAGACGGCATGATTGGTTGCCTTCCTCCGCATCATGCAGCCTGGAGCCTGGAGCCAGGAGCTGAACTAAGCGGGGATGGACAAAGGATATTCTCCCTCGTCGTCACTCTGCCTCATCGTCACTATATATCACAGTTGGTTCCGCCACGAGGCATCTCTCCATCTCTCTTCATCTGACGTCGACGATACAAGGCTCGGATTTGACTGCTCGCAACATGTGCCACATTCCTACCCCAGGTGGAAGCCGCATACCGCCTTGGCGACTGCGTAAGGCGGCTGAACCTGTAACGAAGGCTCGTCGCAGCAATCGCATTGCCGTCCGGCGCCTCATCGCCAACCGCGTCGCAGATGATGCTGCTAATACTAACATCGGTATGTACCCGCTACCCAACGAGTTTCAGGGCATGTTGTGTCCTAACCTCCATCAACAGAGCACACGAGGCTGGAACACCAGCCGTCTGCACTGATAAGCAAACTGCCTGACGAGATTTTGCTCAACATCATGGGGCATCTCAGGGCACACGATGCTCAGAATCTCCTGCGCACATGTCGAAGATTCGGGCACGGCTTGAGAAACGAAGTGCTGAGGCGCGATATCAAAACCAAGACCTACAATTCTTTGCTTTGCGCATGCCAATTTGGCGACGCAGATCTTGCAAAAAGATGTCTCCTGGCAGGCGCTTCGCCAAATGCTGCCTTTTGCTCACATAGGCGACCTGAGAAGCGCGATCGCTATAGCAGACACTTGTCCTCGGCTTGCCACCTCAAACACGAGTGTCCGGTTGTGCCGACTGAGCCTTTCGAGGCGCCATGGTTGCCACGGTATGGGCAATCCTACTGTGCCCTTACCATGGCCATAGAACTCAACCAGATTGCCGTAATGAAAGTTCTTCTCGGCTTCTGGGACAATGAGTCCAAGGTGCCAGCTGAGAAGGCCAGCCTAGTTGAAAGACGTCCCAAAGGACCTCACCCATTGAAGCGTGACAATTTCAGCCCGAGTCGCTGGCTCCCACACCACCCGGTAGCTCTCAGCCATGTCCAATCCCTAGAGGCTGCACAGCTCTTGGTTGCTGCTGGAGAAGCAACAGGGGACACGCACATTAACGACACCGGAAATATGGTTTACACGCCCCTTGAAGTGATTCTTTATCGACGCAAACAAATGAAAAATTTCGAGCCACAGAAGAAAGCAGAAAAGGAGCTATTTTCTATCGTCAAATTTCTCCTAGACAATGGAGCGCATGCGAGACAAAGAAACGGGCCGTTGATGGGAATCAATACTCCACGTCCATTGTTGTCAGCAATTGAGACTGGCTGTCAGAGCGTCATTCAACTCATGCTCCAAAGCGGTCCATTGGATGTGCAAAATGCCGCAGGAGAATATGTCTACGGCTTTAGGCTTGCCATACAGGGCTTGAACTCCAATACATCCGATGTTATATCGCCAACCTTGGGCATACACCGAAAGGAAGATCGCGATAGACTACTGAATACCTTCCTGAAGGCTGGAGCATCGCCCAATGATCCTGTCGGAGGTGGTAAGCGACCACTGTCCCGGGCAATTTTGGGTGAATGCTACGTTTGTGTCAAGTCGCTTCTGCAGTGGAATGCCGATCCGAATTTCACCGATTCTGACACGCCATGTGCGCTTGTGCAGTCGCTGACTGGCTATCATTCATGCACAGAGACGGTTGCGAGTTTGTTTACTTTGTTGCTTGAATATGGGGCGAACGTCAATACGCCATCCCTAACTCCTCAAGGGTTTACACCTCTGATGTTTGCAACTTCACCTAGTGTCTTGCCATCAACTTTTGACGTTTTACTATGGCATGGGGCGGAGAGGGGAGCTACTGGCCAACTCTCACCAGGAGGCCCGAAACTCTCTGTTCTCCAGTGCCTCATATGGGGGTTCACGGAGGCTCGATCTGACGGTGATGTACAAGCTTTCCGCCGTATTCCCCTCATGATTACCTGCACAAGCTACCACAACCTAGAAAACCCTTATGAGCTTCCTCCAGACTTGGTATCCAAGTTCGACTCGTTCATTGCGCCATCTCTAGAAAGTTCGCACTTTCAGACTGACGACGGAAGACACATACTCAACTGGGCGATCGACAATTTGTACGGGGAAGCGTTGAGCTGGGCAATCAAGTTACTTGTTCCTTTTTACAAATCTACAAAGCTAGCGACTGACGAGGAAACCCCCCTCTCGACATTTTTCAGTCTAGCGAGAGCTCGAGGCTACTTGATGTTCGGATCCTTGCCAGCGGCATACGAAGCTCTCCACATAATGCTCGAGTGCAACTTGGACGCATTTGAAGGAGACCGACTTGGAACGATTCTTCACCAGATTTGCAAACTTCCCACCGTCCTTTTGGGAGAGTCGGATCCCGAATTGTGGAGTCAGGTATTGAACACTTGCGACGTTGGCCCGAACTACGAAACGGAGTTCCTGAGGAACGTCAAGGTTGATTGCGACAAAGAGGACCTGAAAGAATTTGGAAGGCATGGGACCGGGATGGTGTTCCTCTTTGGCATGAAAATCCGCAAGCAGGAGCTTGAGAAGTTTAAGAGGGGATATAAGCCGTGTCGGGCAGGCACAATTGCTCAGATGATCGTCCTTTTCCTTGAAAGAGGGGTGGACATTCATACCCAGGGACCTGACGGGGAGAGTGCATATGACCATTCGAAACGCAATGGCACTTGGAAATATGTGCCTAAAAAGTGGCGGGATGCGACAAATGAATGAGTGATCCCGTGTCACTGCGAGAGTGGTGACCAAGAGCTAAGCCATTCATGCGGATACTCCAGTGGCGAAGCATGACTGAGTTGATGGGAGGGCGTTAGGTAAGGTGGGATTTCACAGCTTCTTAGGATTGTCCCCTTCACGACGGATTGGACGCAGCGGGCTGCTGGGTGTTGATAGATCAGCTCATGGGTCGCACTTCAAAAGATCCATATGTCCACTAGATTGATGAATGAATGAGCTGATTTAATTGAATAACGTAAAAGACCTAAATGCCGGGAATGAATCTACTGTTTCTGATTTTCAGAGTTGCCAGCCAAGTGATTAAAACCCGATTTTTGTGTTATCTTTGAGACTACTCCTAGGTAGCTAAGACCTGGTTTGGGAAACTCACCATCTCCCAACTAATCGGTTCGCATATTCTCATGCCTCTCACTTACCGCCTTATTCAACAAGTTCTATAAAGTATGAAACAACAGTCAGCCGTGAGGGGTTTTTTTTTTTTTTTTTTTTTTTTTTTAAAAAGTTACTGAATAAAATACTTAATTAAATAGATATTATTGAATTCAGCTAACGTATATGATAAGCGAGTGCACAATACAAGCGAGTGCACAATTTTTCCTAACCTCTAAGATTCAAACCTCAATAAAACCACAACAATACAATCAATCAATTAAAACTAATCGCTATGCTCTTCCTCAGAGGTCTTAATTATAGTCTGACAGGTCCTTACATTATGACCGGCCTTTCCACAAGTTCCACAGCGCCTTTCCCTCGGTATCGCTGACCTCCCTCGACCACTACTTCTCAACGATTCAGCTGCTACCTGTGCATCAACGTCTCTCTGATCTATCTCACCCCTGCCCTCATCTAAAGTCATCTTCCCTCCTTTACATAGGCGGGTTTTCTTTGCTCTGCGCCGCTTGCTAAGAGTCTCATTTGCCTATCGAAGGATCTGGTTCTCAGCTTTCAATAGAGCATTCTGATGCATTATTGCCTTTGTTCCCTTTGAAAGTGACTTAAGCGCCTCGAGAATTGATGCTGGAGAGCTGCTCTGATGCCTTCTCATTCGTCTTTCAAGATATTCAGACTGCGAACTGGCCTCAAGCACTGTCTTTGGGGTCTTCGAGACCCAAGGGTCGGGGAGGCCGACCTCCTCTGCAGCCGGTGTTGGAGTCCGTAGCTGCACATCAAGCTTCGATATGACATTTTCTGGGTTTAGGGGAACAAGTCCAGCTCCTCGAAAACCTCCTTCAATATTACTCCTTGTCATAGCGGCTGCGTGGGCAGCGTAGAAGGCTGGGAAGAACTCGGTCTTCGAAACGTGGGTTATAGAGCATCTGATCAATTGCTCAATTGCTCGACCATAGGCTGTTTTAAGCGGCCCAAAGCACCCGACATCAAGAGGCTGAAGTAGGTGAGACGAATGAGGCGGCATACAAAGCGTAATAATCTGATTCTCCTCACAATATTTCTCAAAGTCGACGGAGTGGTGACTTTCGTGCCCATCGAGGATTAGAAGACGATAGCGACCGATCAATCGATCCTTTGTATGCTGATCAAAATGCTTAAGCCACTCAAGACCCGTCTTATTGTCAGTCCAGCCATTTTGAGTCGTTGCAATAGCCCAATCGCCCGGGAGGTTGCTTTCTTGGTACCAGTTAGCGAGGTGATATTGGCCTGCAACCACGATAAATGGCTGGATCGCCCAGCCTTCTGCATTAATCGCCTGAATGACCGTGACCCATTCCCGGTTTCCAGGCTGAACTGATTTCGGGTTTCCACGCCTTTCTGCGCCTGTAACAACCATTCCGCTTGCGATTATGCCTATCATAAAGCCGGTCTCATCAAAGTTGTAGATATCGGCTAGGTCGATATCATATTTCGCGATTGTATTCTCCACAAGCCGGAACCAATTGCGAATAATGGTTGGATCTTCGCATTTAGCCCTCTGATAGTCATATTTACGAAAAAAACGCATCTTAAGCTCTGGTTGTCGCCTGACGAAGTTAGAAGCCCAGCGCTTGCCGACAGGTAACGCGTCGCGGTCGGCGAGCAATCGGTTGGCCATTTCTTCCACACCGCTCAGTCGCGGGGGAAACCCTCGCGAATCTAGGTCAAGAATATACTCAAGAAGAGTCTGTTCCTCTAGATCAGATAGTTTACGCGAATTGGGCATAGTATTGCGTCGCGAAGTAATGCCGGCGCGTTGGCGTAGTAGAGTATGGCGAGAGATCTTATAGATCTTTGAGGCGCGGTAGGGAGTTAATTGAGGGTCTTTCTGAAGGGCTTGAAGGGCAAGATTGATATTTGCCTCATTGCTTATTGACGACATAATGCGTGGTTGAAAAAATGGAGTTAAAAGAGGGAAGAGGGCGGTTAGAAGAAAAATTGTGCACTCGCTTGTATTGTGCACTCGCTTATCATGTACGTTAACATATTTATTCTCTTTGTTTTAAAAAAAGCGGCCCGTTTCAAATTATATTAATTTTTAAGTATTACTATTCGCATACATTCAAAATGCTAATCGCATACAACACGACTTTTACGCCTAAGCCTAGTACAAGGCTTAAGGTATCTTATTCTGAAAATTATCCAGTTTCTCCCCTAAAATAAATTAAAAGATAAAATTTAAATAGTAAAATTTAGAAGATAAATACTTAGAATAAAATTTATTTAGTTTTCTTAGGTTTAACTTACTAACAGGTATATTGTTGAGACTTCTTAGTGAAATTAGCCTATATCCTTAAGTGTGCGAGTAGTATTTCGAGTGTGTGCGAATCTAATTTTTAAGTACTGAACACATAGCTTATAAAATCCGACTGATGATTAACCATAGCCAGGTACGAGCTTTATTCCATTAGTTCATCAATTACCCATTTATGGTACTCGCAGTTCGGATCCACTTGTGACCACGTATACTAACCAGATGACATTGCTGGCAATATGTAATTAAGAAATCATCTTGTATAGTTGGAGCTCGAGTTTCCATAATAAAGGACGCTGATTAGTCAGAGTAGCACAGAGGCAGAACTCTGAGTAGGTAAAATAGCTCAACCCCGCTCCCTTCGGTGTCAGAATGAAGGCCCGTTCGAAAAGCCAACCTTTCTGAGTCATTGTATCATTACTCATCGATTCGACATTCTCTTGGCTGCATATATTCCGCTGCAATATGCCTGAAACAACGGCTAAAGGAGCTGTGGCTGCCGAGAAGCTTTGCCAGCGCTGTCTGCTGCTCTCTTTTGATAACAGTGCAATAATCGATGCACCACCACCACAAAAATACCTGGGGCGCGACGACATGGATCTTGATGAATACGGCATCATACCTCTCAGTTTCACGCTGGACGATGTGTTGCCCGAATTACCTGAGCTCGGCAGATCCATCGCCGCTGGCTGTCGCATGTGTCTCTTCCTCAAAAAGGTCATACTAGCTGACGTGCGATCGACTCCAAATTTAGCCGAGAACACCGATAGCTTGCAACTCAAACTTACCGAATTCCATCCTGATCTAGGTACCGTTCAGTATGCAAACGGACGAGAAGATTGGCTGCCGTACCACATCGATGGAGAGTTGCGCATTGGGGCGACATCACGGACGATTAGTATTCAGGCCAAGCATAGAACAGATGGTTCGCTCTTGTATGCACAGCTCCTCAAACTTCTAATCTAATCAAAGCTATCTAGGCCTCTACACGGGATTTCCAGATCCCAATCCGTTATCTGATCAGTCGATCCGGAGGATAAAAACGTATCTCAATACTTGCACCCGAAACCATGACACGCAGCACTCGGAGTGTGTATACATGGGGAAAATCGCTGCTCCTCTGAGACTCCTGAACATTTCAGATAGTAAAATTGTTTGGCTGGAGGAGACAGACGGCAAGAATCTGCAATATGTCATTTTGAGCTACTGCTGGGGCCCCTCAAGAACCGTCTTCGATGCCCGAACTGTCATGGCAAACCTCCCAGACAGACTCAAAGGGTTCCCTATAATCACACTCCCCCAAACACTTCAGGACAGCATCGCTCTCGCCCGCCGGCTCGATGCCTCGCACATATGGATAGATGCGCTCTGCATCGTACAGGATTCGGGCGAGTGGATATATGAGAGCCAGCGAATGATGCAGTATTACGAAATGGCACTGTTCACCATTGTTCCGATCGATTGCAGCGGAGGAGAGCAAGGGTTTTTGAGGGATCGACCAGAATGGGTCTCAGACGTCATCGACTGGAAGGGTTCACCGAGCCACCTCCAGTTCAACTTCCCTTCGTTTACAGGGGTGAATGAGAACGGATCTGCAACCTCGTCCCCATGGGCAAGTCGTGGCTGGACATTTCAAGAGCGACTTTTGTCTTCGAGGCTGGTCTTTATCGGCCAGGATGAAGTAATATTTCGGTGTCGTGCTGGATATGGAAGACATGCTTCTCAGTCTCCCATCATGCTGGAGTCTCTTGGAAGTTACTTCGTTCCCTTGTCCCCTGCTCACGCATCAACATCCAAGGACTGGAATAGTGTTGAGATGATCCGAGACAAGTGGTATCAGCTTGTCAGCGAGTACTCACAGCGGAGTCTAACCCAGCAGAGTGACAAGCTCGTTGCATTGTCTGGCGTCGCATCCAAGATCAACCAGTTACTCGGTAGCCACGAAAAGTACGTGGACGGAATCTGGGAGTCGGATCTATGGCACGGTCTCACATGGAGGAGAGTGCCAGTACGAGGAAAGCCTTCTTGGCCAACAGTCAAATCAGACATCTTTCCGTCGTGGTCATGGTGTGGCATGAACCAACCATTGATCTGGCAAGATGGCACTGCTTCTGTCAACGATGTCAGGCTGATTGAGATTGTCCGAGACCCGACAGCGAAAGTGAAGATGATTGTCTTGGAGGGTTGGGTCTTTTCGGTTCGAGTGCTGGCGACGCAAACACCAAAGGACATCGAGATCGACTTCTATCTCGACCAGCTCTCCAGCTCGCCCGCTGATTTATTCGAACTTGCGGGCGTGCGAATTGTCCTGGTACAGGCATATCTAGATGGAGATGACAGAGACGAGTGGAAGCGTACTCCAGCAGCCAAACCACATGACGCGTGCGGACTGATCCTAAAGGCAACTGGAGAAAGCCACGGGGGCCATCCGGTTTACCAGCGACTAGGTGTTGTTGACATTCTCCTTGGGTTTGGCTCTGATCCGATGAGCGATGAAGAGTCTTGTGCGGGGGGCATTGAGAAGACAGTCGGGGGTTTGCTATACCAAGATATGTACTCTGGAAAAGAAGTAATTGTCTTGGCTTAATGGGATCAACTTATCAACCATCGCACCGAGAAATATGGCATCTACTCTCCAACAATACCCCAACGCACGGGTATACCAGGAAAGATTTCGAATCCTGGGAATGCCGCGCATGCTGGGAGAGCCCCAGAAATGCTCACGATAACTTCAGCGCTACGGACTATGGTAGGGTAATAACTCAACCGGGGAGGATTTGCGACCTCGATAAGAAACAAGTTTGCCTACCCTGGTCCTCAGGCAAAATCCAAACTGCGCCAGTGCTCACCGCTACACGAGTCTCGACCCTTGGTCGGGCAACATATCTACGGAGTAGGTATTCTCCATTATATCGTGAGCAAGGGGCGGCTATCTTTTCCCCTGTCCGGCAGCCCTCCCTATCAGACCGCGCTCTAGCCAGACCGCGCGCTTGTCGGACCGCGCTCTTGGATATGCGTACTACAATACGGAGTGCCCGTCACCGACTCTGCATTACCCCACGCTGTCAATTCAGCGCTATTGATTGTATCTGCATATGCAATGACGCACACATGGAGAGCCCGAGTATCTTATCTCAAAACAACTGAACTTGTACGTCATAGGCCGAACTCTGTGTCCCAAACAGGCAAAGAACAGCGGCGTTCCCCTTGACAAGGTTACATCTATACGACGTTGAGGATTGCTTTTATGGGGCGAAGTGGGGTAAATCAAGGGACAGAGAAGGGTTCTTCACCAATATCGAGCAAGGTAATCGTCTTCCACCTATCTGAAACTGGATTGTGAACCTTGGGAAGCATTGCCCTCTAACGCTGCGGCATTTCCCCCGCAGTGTGGCCCTGCCATTTCATTACTTTCGCCCAGTTGAATAGACTCGAAAAGACGTTTCAAGATAGATTCCCATGCTCCACGACATGCGAGACTAAGATAAAGTCGCCCGTATCCTGTCAAGATTCCTCTTGTCTGAACTACTCCCTCCATCTTGAGCCTTACAAATAGCACCCAACCTTGACTATGGGATGATGGTCGCGTGAGAGATTGCCTAATCAAGCCTAGCAATAGATAACTTAGCACGTAGCTTAGTCGTGTGGATCCACTGCGTTCATCAAGAGATAGCGGCCGCCAAGGCCTTATCCCAATTAAGGAGCTCCCGCGTTCCGCACGTTACGAACGGCTGGAGTTTAGTGTAATCCTGCTGAAGCAAGGGTTCCATGAAAAGCTTTGACGCTTAATTTCTTCTCACGTCTATGATATGGCCTATTACCACGCATATACAGACTCCACTTGCCGACGCTGGTCTTTATAGCCCAGCCTTTCTCCCCCATGATCCACGATTTTGGGATCACTCGTCGTGGGTGACTAGCCTTCTCTCTTGGTTGAACACTTTCCGCAGATTGAACGACAACTCAAACGCGTGGCAAAATGAAAGCGAGCATCAACACCTTTGCGGCGGCGTTTTGCCTGCTCGCAGCCTACCAGCCCGTCCAAGCTCTCCCCAAGAGCAAGCTTGCTGGCCCTGAGCTCAAGCACTGGCCTAAATCAGCCGCCAAGTCACTCAACACGATGATCGCCCGTAACGCGCACAAGGGCCGATATGCGGTGTTCGACATGGACAACACCAGCTACCAGTACGATGTGGAGGAGTCCTTGCTCCCGTTCCTCGAGAACAAGGGTGTGCTGACGCGGGACACGATGGATCAATCCCTCAAATTGATCCCCTTCAAGGACACGGCCAGTCACACAGAGAGCCTTTACAGCTACTACAACCGCCTGTGTGATATCGATCTCGCATTGTGCTACCCTTGGGCCGCGCAAATCTTCAGTGGCATTACTCTGAGCGACCTGAAGGTTTATGTGGACGAGCTCCTTGCCTTGAAGGGAACCATTCCGACGACGTACTACGACGGTGACGTGGTTGTGACAGAGGAAGTCAACCCTCCCAAGATCTTTGAAGGCCAAGTCGAGCTCTACAACAGGCTCATGGCCAACGGAATTGAGGTGTACGTCGTCAGCGCTTCATCGGAAGAGGTTGTTCGAATGGTCGCCTCCGACCCCAAGTATGGCTACAATGTCAAGCCTGAGAACGTCATCGGCGTCTCCCTTGTCCTGAAGAATTCAACCGGTGGCATCACCACAGCCAGGAAGCAAATCGAGGCCGGCACATACGACGAGAAAACCAACTTGGATTCGGTCATGACTCCTTACCTATGGGCTCCGGCTCCATGGAAGGCTGGCAAATGGGCTGCCATTCTCACTTACATCGACGAGTGGAAGAAGCCCATTCTTGTTGGTGGAGACACTCCCTTGAGTGATGGTCCCATGCTTTTCCATGGAGTCGACGTTGCGCGGGGAGGAATTCACTTGTGGATCAATCGCAAGGACGCATACCTGACCGACATCAAGAACATGATGCATGAGTTTGCGATTGACCAAAAGAAGGAGGGCGTTCCAGTCACAGCGAATAAGAACTGGGTCATCGTTAAGCCGGCGGATATTCACGCCTAGGTAGCCTTTTGACGATATTCAGTATTGGTATGGGATGGCTGTCCAATATTAGATCAAGGGTGTTGGTATTCGCATATCAGAATATTGCCATTCGCGCACAAGTACAAGTTTCTTCGCCAAACCTCACGGGAAACCAATGTATCGAACATTGGAATTCTCAGACAAGGGCTTAAATTTATGAATAATTTTGACTTAATCGAGTTTGCATGAAATGAAAAATACTCGAAACTACTCTTCTGAATAATTGACTCACACAAAGGATAATTAGTATCAAGATTGAATATGTAGTTATATGTTCGAGTAGCAATGTGCGTGTGTGTGAACAATAAATTAATGCTTGGAACGAAATGTCAACTGAAGATTTTCAGTATGATATTTCCTCTGGAGAAGACCGCGCCCCTTGCGCATCACATTGGAAATCCAATCCTTATGTGACACTAAGAACACGGACAAGAGGTTGAAGTGGTGTTTCAGGGGTCCATGTGCCACTGGTCGTGCCATCAGCCCTCAACAGCCAGTCCTTCCTCAAACTAGTTTGTGAGCTTGGAGATAGGGTTAGTTATGTGGTTTCGGAAGGTTCCATTCTTCTTCGGCACGCCCTCGGGCCATCCCTGCTCGATTTCCTTGAGTATACCCCAAGACTGCTCGCCGTCGATGTTATACGCAGGGCGGGAAGAGAACCCCGTTGTGTTGATAGACAGCATCAAAAACGGGCTAGTTTCGCTCGGGACATATGCGGGAATTGAGGTGAACTCGAGGCCATCTGGTCCGAATGCTGCAGCTCGGCCAACAGTAGCAACAAGCGTGTATGCGCCGCTATTGACAGCGTACAGGGAAGCGGCAGCCATGTTGACTTCCGCCGACTCCCAATACTGAGCGCTGATGTCCTTTGGATCGGGGGTATATGGCCAAGAAGCAATGTGAATAGCCTCAGCTTGCGCCTGCATAGGGAATGTCATGGCGGGGTGGAAATGCCTGTAGAGTAGTTAGTATCAGTCATAGGGAGGGAAATAAAGTGGCTGCCATACTCCCAACACTCGAGCAATCCCATTCTTCCGTATGGAGTATTGACTACCTTCAATCCATCCACCTTTCCATCGCTCCATATGCTGCGCTCTCCGCCCGAAGGTCGGAGCTTGTGTCGATGAATAAGGACCTTACCGCGGGGATCGATCAGGGCTTGAGCCATGTATATAGCATCATCCGCATCAACGCGCTCAGAGAAGCCTAAAGCGACATAGACGGAGTTCCGTTTCGCAGCAGCAACCAACTTCTTCCAGTTCCGATCCCCCTGCCTGATAGAATTCTCGATATAGTTATCGACCCATTTCTCAATCCAGGCAGCATCATTGCCTCGAGGGTAGCTAAAATGATACGAGATTAGTTCTGCGCTATTGACCAATGGAGATCTAGAACGACTTACCCCGGAAACCACAGCTCCGGGAATGCGACTAGATTGGCACCCTCGCGAGCAGCACGGTCAATGTACTTGACGCCCAGGTTGGTTGTTTCGTTGATGTCAACTCCATTGTAAACTCTGCTGGTGATTGGCTGGGTCCAAAGGGCTGGAGATGCTCGGATGAGGGCAGCAGTGAGTGACGTGGCTGAGGTGCTCCGCATCGCTAGCCCTTGAGACAATTGAAGGCATGATGCCAGTAAGACCAGAGCAGATTTGAACATTTTGAAGGCAGTCTCTCCAATTGCCGCTGTGAAATTGGAATGAGGGTGAGAGAGAATGTAACATCAAGTCTGTTCTCTTGCTTGGTTTATAAAGACGAGACATAGTGAAGAGCTAGCCTTGTCCAACTGCAAAAAATAGTATTATCAGGTAAATCAGCGGGTGCAAAATATCCGCAGATGATAGGATAACCGAGTCATGCTCTAGTTTAGGCACTATACATTAATGGTTCACTCACGGGTAGACGCAGGTACCGATGACACAATTACTAGGTATGAGAGTACACGAATAAATGATTTCAAATGGAATCAGTAATTACCAAGTTCTTATCTTCGATATTCCAGTAAAATTGTTATCACTTTATCATCGTGCTATGTATCAATTGGGAAAGCAGAACGTGGACAGGCACTCTGATATGGGGCGATTTGCGGATCTGAGATATCCGCATCTGATACCAGAGCAGACTAAACCTCAGTTTATCTAAACTCGACCAATCTCCGTCTAGACCTTATCGACGATAACGATCCACCATTCAAGCTAAACCTTTATGATTACACGGTATATCTACCTCCTCCCACCCACGTATTGAGAGTCTGGAGACAATCTTGATACCATTGTATTTATATTACCAAACCCTAGACTTCTTATCTAATGAAATCAAACGCCGAGACTTGCACGGTCCGAGTGGCCGCCGTCCAGGCTGAGCCGGCGTGGCTTGACCTCTCCGCGACCGTCAAGAAGACGTGCGAACTCATTTCCACTGCAGCCTCAAACGGTGCCAAGCTCATCGCGTTCCCTGAATGTTGGATCCCAGGGTATCCTTGTTGGATTTGGGCTCGTCCCGTCGACGCGACTTTAGGGGTTCGCTACATACAAAATTCGCTGCGTATCGACTCGCCCGAAATGGAGACCATTTGCGCCGCAGCGGCAGAGCACTGCATATCCGTGGTATTGGGCTTCTCCGAGAATGACGGCAATTCGCTTTACATCTCACAATGCACTATCTCTGGTGAAGATGGGAGTATTCTCATGAAGCGGAGGAAGTTGAAGCCTACACATATGGAACGGACGGTCTTCGGGGATGCGTCTGGCAGCAGCTTACTCAATGTTGTTGATCTTCCAGGTGTGGGCAAAGTCGGTGCTCTAGCTTGTTGGGAGCATATACAGCCACTCCTCAAGTATCATACATACCTTCAGCAAGAGGAGATACACGTCAGCGCATGGCCATCGCTTGATGCACACATCCCCGGAGGCCCCGGACTATGGGGCATGAGTCGCGAAGGGTGCATCGGACAGTCACAGCAGTATGCGGTCGAAGGCGGCGTATTCGTGATTCATAGTACGGCTGTGATATCAGAAAAGGGAATAAAGGAGATGGACACAACAGCGGCCCCCATTTTCAACAAGCCAGGCGGGGGCAGTTCCGCAATCTTTGGGCCAGATGGGAGGCGACTGACTGAGGAGCTGCCTGAGACTGAAGAGGGCTTGGTATATGCAGATCTTGATATGACAAAGATTCTCGCCGTGAGGATGTTTGTTGATGCGGTTGGCCACTACAGTCGGCCTGATATGCTCTGGCTTGGTGCAGATGTTAGAGAGCGCAAGCATTTGGAAAGCCCGGAACATTGATCGTTGACTTTATGTTACTGTCTGCATTTCTTTTCATTGGGGCCGAAAGCAGATGTACAATAATTAGAAGCAAACTTGTCCTTTTACATGTCCTCGTTGAATTGAGCCATGCCAGAGAATTCCAGCTCGCTCAGAAATCCCCCGGTCCCGCCATCCCATCCATCCAGGTTCCAGGAAGGGCGCTCTGTGGGTTGAGGGATTTCCATGTGATGAGATACCCATGATTGTTCGTCAATTTGAGCAGATTCTCCCTCGATATTGGACAAATGCAACGGTAGATTACTGAGATGCATTGGTAGCACCCAAGTAACTTTCCATCGACAGGCTAGTTCGCGGATGAGGCTAACAACCTGCAATACACGCGTTGGCCAACTTTTTGCCATATCCTCGAGAGCGTCTAGACAAACCGTAAGGTCTGGTGAAGGTTTCTTGCAGACTGGCTTTTCTGCAGCAGATGCCGCGAGGAGATGTGCGAGTGCTGCGCGGAGTATATGGTAGACGACGAATGGAGGGGCCTTGGCAAAGTCAAACGTTTTCCGGTAGAGGCGGATAACACGCGAGATGCAAGTCGCCGACGATATCATGGTTTGGAGCGCTAGACCTGAAGATGATTCTGATGCGTTGGAAAGGAGAGGCCGGTGAATGGCGACGATGGATACGTGGTATGACATTTGAAAGATCAGAATGCCAGGTGAGACGGCGGTAGTGTTCGCATATTTCAACTGCTGACAGTTGGCGTTGTAGAATTCGAGGAGTGCTCTGCGTGCTTCCATCAGGACCCAGTCTTTGTCTTGTCCAGGGAGGTCTCGGAATTTGACGGAAATCCTGGTTAATGTTAGCTACATCGCTTATGTATGATGATGCTATTCACATTTCGTCCATGTAGTGGTCATGGATCTTCCATAGCTGGCTGATTTTATCGAAGATCCTCTGCTCTTCTGTCAGACTATCAGAGGAAAAAGCCTTTTCAAAGGCTGGGATGTGGACTCGATGAGTGGGATCAATCGAGCTCCTGCCTAGAATTGCGACCGCCAAACTGCATTATCGCCGTGTCAGTGGGAGAGCGATCACAGTCCATTGAGGTCCGGACCAAAGGCTAGGGAATCGCACCGATCAACAAAATAGAAAGACCAAAAAGTCTCAATCCCAGCTTGCACTGTTCGATCAGCCGAGCCGACCACGACAACCGCATTCGATCCAATGGCTGGGATTCCGAGCTGTACAATAAGCCCAGCGGCAAGACCTAACTTATCAGCCGTGTTTAATAAATTCCAAAGTATTACATACTCAGATGCATCCACCCAACGTTGTTGTTCCCTATTGACAACTCTCTCAAAGCCAGCATGGTCAGACTTCGTGCGAGATTGTGATCTGGCCGCGTCCGGTAGCATTTAAAAATAAGCTGCTCGACATGGAGGCCAAACGCAGCTCCAATCTCGCGAGCGTCGTTCCTGGCAGAATAGCAAGCTCCAAGAGCGAATGCGGCACTGTAGAAGATCTGCAGATCAATGCTGGCGTTGGTGTATTGAAATGATCGTTCGAAGGCACCTCGTTCGATAAATTGATAGCACGGGTTCACGTAGTCCAAAAAGTTGGCGGCAAGTTCATGTTGAAGTTGTTGATCATGTGCATGCTTCCAGAAATCTCGTAGCTGAGAGTCAAGTTGGTTCCTTGAATCCGCCTCCTCCGTGTTGAAGTCTGGTGAGTTCGCAAAGAAGGAGAAAAAGCCGCCAGGGCCAATAATGGAGGGGCTGCCACCGGAGTCGAGGGCCATTTTCCACATCGTCGCGGCCAGGTCCTCTGTTGCTTCTGGGCCGAGGGGTTTGGACGGCACAGATTTGGCCATTGTGTTCTCAACTGGGCCCTCTTCAGCCATTGATGTCGATGGCAATGTGCCCGAGCTGCTGGAGCGTAATTCTTGGACGACGGAAGTTAAGGCTGCAACTTGTTCTTCAAGGGACTTTACATATTCCTTGTCCCAAACCTTTTGCCTACGCAAATAATGAGAAACTATACAGTGTTGAAAAGCAGATCGACTGTATCGCTGACCTTGGTCTTGTCCGTTCTGTCCGGAAGATGCATTCTCGGCCATGCGCCTTGCATTCGGAACAAACGGGTCTGGCCCAATCACACTTCCTTTTACCCTTGCGGCATTGCTCGCATGCAATCAAGCTTCGCTTCCGGGATGAGTCGCTGGACATGGCCGTATAAGGGCATCAAAGGGGATAATAGAACTGGGCAATTATCCCGGTGACAAGTCAGAGGTCGGAGACCAAATCACGAGACAATCAGTGAGAGATATCGGACGCTACTTCGAGGGGCTGGTCCACTTTCTTATCTCAGTGGCGAGCTACACGCTAGCCAGAGATAGACACTCATGACACACTGTAGAAAATACATTCCGTAAGTACAGGGTACATCCAGAATCTCATCGCTGCCGTTAGTTTTGAGTGGTTTATGCCATTTGACAGTGCCCCGCAGCACCAAGTAGCAGGAAGCTTCCCGTTATATTATCGGTGCAACAAGACTTTCGGGCGATCAGAGCTAGAATCACATTGATTCAGCAAGGTCTTGTTTAGGGATGAGGGGTGATTTTTAGCCTATGCCTAGCCTATGTTGGTACACTATGCAATCTCGACCCGCAAATCACTGTCGAAACCCGGGGTTGATCTGACAAACTCTTCAAACGTCCTGAGAGGTTGATCGAGGATCTTGAAAAAACACCATTGTCAATACCAGACAACTTCTGCATTTGGAGTATGCTTACCTTATGGCTCGAGTCCAAAGACGCGCCCCCATAGTACCCAAATTGTCGCAGGAACTGATACATACTTAATCGTTCCATCTCTCTTTCCTGAGCGTCAGTTCCCGAATGCGGCTTCGAGCCAAGAAATTCTTCATCAGAGAGCTCTTTCACGTAGCACCTCTGTCCAGCCGAGGGCTCTAAGCCATTCACAATATCCGCTATCTGATTGAGGGTGTAATAGTCCTCGGCAGCGTAGACATTTGCCCCTAGTAAAGAGTCTCTTTTGAGCATCGCAGAGATGACAAATTTGCCAAAATCTCTTGGTGTGTCAATAAGAGGAAATTGAGAATTCTCCGCGGAAACTGGCAGCTCCAGCTTCAAGTTCCCTTCCACCTCGCGGGAGCGGGTGAGGTATTGGCCTGGCTCAAAGAGACTCATATAGAACCCTGCGAAGACGAATGTAGCGGGGATATCGAGGTTGCGAATGTGCTCCTCTATCTTGGCTTTCGAGTCAAACTCGTTGGCGCCTCGGATGCTGTCAGAAGTGTCTAATTGAGAATCAGTGGTATGTCTGAGATGCATGAGATTGAGCTGGAATGGCTTGCACGTACACTCTGAAACTGAAAACAAGGAACTGAAAATTAGATGGTGAACTCCAATATCCTAGTCACTCACTTCAGCTCTTGTGACTGTGTATGGAGGTGGATTGGCAGTACCTTTGCAACGTCGGCAACCACCTTCCCTTGCTGAAACTCGAGGCGGGGATCACACGCATTTCCATTGTAATCAGTGACCAGGAAGATTACCTGCGCTCCCGACAGGGCAACTCTTATTTCGGGTTCGAATGATAGGTTTGCCTAGTTCAAGCAGCGTATTAGCAGTTGATAGCGTATGTCTCAAGATACTTGACAGTCGTCGCTGTTCGAGAAAACACCCACCGATACTACTTCCACCCCTTTCACTTTGAGCAGTTCAGCTGCAGGCTTACTCGTATCCCTACACACGGCCCGGATGCGGTACTGAGAGCAAAGCCGGTCACAGTCCAAGAACGCGCTGACTACCGAGCCTCCCTGAGCACCCGTTGCCCCAAACACAACAAAGATCGGCTTGTCTTGCATGATGAATCGCTGTAAACCACCGAAATAAGGTTACCGCGGCTGGATGGGTTGTAACTGGAAGTCAACTTAGATTTTGTTTTACGCTGAATGTTCGGAGCCTACGTTGGGCTGCATAAAGACTCTAGGCATCAGCCCACGACTCACGTAACGCTTACTAAAGAGTCACCCCAGGTCGGATTGCGGTATGGACTTAGATGCATAAAATATCATGATTTGTAGTGGTGCACTACATTTTTGGCCTGACGGTATAATCTAACAGCCTGCAGCAATCCATCCTTAAATTCACTGCTCACAACTTCATGCTCAAGACGTCTTGGGTCTATCTCATACTGGTATCCCCAACCTAGACCAGCTTCGGCTTGGCGTGGGGAATTTCGTACTCAAGTAATTCGAGTTCGCGTCCCGGAACGAATCCAACCGTCCCCCCTTGAGCATTGTGGTTGGCAGGTACTCGCTCCCATTAATAATGCTGCCATTTGGTATGTAATTCAAGCAAAAAATAGTATTCACTAAAACGCCATAAAGAAAGCTTCATTCTTTCCGTTACATGGAACATTAAGTATGTAAAAATACTAACAAACCTACACATGACATATAGTTAACTCATATATAGAGTCGTCTCTTCCCTGAGATACAGTCACATTAAAAGCCGATGTATAGCTCTTACAGTCTGAGAATCGCTTTTAAGAAGTACCTGCTCCCCATCTCAGCTTCTTATTGACCTATCTCCCACTCTACGGTTTTAATTTGGGATATCTTTTTAGAGTACTATTATTAGTATAACCCTAAATCTCCAATAGTAAAACCTAAAAAATTATATTACTATAACTTTACAAACTAATAAGTAAATAAGATTGCAAGATAATATAAACTCTAGTCTAGTAATTATTTAGACCGTTATATATTACTGCAACTTAATAGCAGTATTACTATTACTACTAAACTAATTGCTTTTTTTAGTAGTATTATATTGTAGTATCTTATTATTTAATTTATAAAGCGGCTTTATAGTTTCTATAACAACCTATAGAACTACTTTATATTAATTTATAATTAATTAAGAGTCTATTCTATACTACTATTAAGTCAGATCGTTGCTATATTAGCTGCAGCAGCTGAATAGGATACCTGACGAAGGTTATGCAATTAGAGATCTGGGGTTGTGCGAATAGTAATACTTTTTTTTAATTCAAAGAGGGCATGCTAGGGGATAAAGTACCGTTCATTTTGTGCAACATTTTTGGGATATTTGTATATTGCATTGACTTCTACACATCGACTTTGACATTAGTATTTGTTCAAAATTGACAAAGAGAGAACTAGTTCAATTACCCACTATCTCTCGCACTTGAAGAATTGACAACAAATATCTCATGCCTCTTTACACACTCATTACTGACAAAAAAGGCCAGTAAGAACACAGAGTTTCAAAAGGCTCGCAAAGTTCATTTCTATAACCCTCCTCTTTCAGTCCGAACGATGTGCACTGATGTAGCTCTGCCACTTCCAATGTTCCCAGCCGCTGAAGAAATGTTATTAAGCTCTCCATAAAATCTTCGGTCTCTATCGCTTCAGTGAACGATCGATGGTGCATTGAGACCTCCCCTTTGCACCTTTCTAGGCCACCAATCACCTGTAGTAGATAATACAAGTGATCAACTTTAACTCGAAAAATCTCAGGAAACATAACTTTCAAGTCCGCCAGACTGTTTGCAAGAAGCGCCGACCCATTGTCAACGAACTCCAACGCAGTCAAAAGCTTGGTAACATTACAACTTTTGGCAAAATTTAATCGCAGCTTCTCTTTCGCGACCCCATCAGAACAGTATTCCTGGAATTTGAGGGCGGTCTCGGCGTGTGGCAGATACTTTACCCACAAGTCCTGGTTCTCTGCTCTTGGAGGTGGATACACCTTGGCCAGATGTTGAATCATAGATGTGACGTAAAACACCTTACTACCTTCGTGTTCAATCCAATTGCGTGTCGCCCGTCGAACCAACCGATGAATATCGTAAATATCCGGCTCTTCTCGTGCCGTAATGAAAGCATAGGCCTTGAGCGTACCAATCGCCTCGACCGCGCCTTTAGGTCGGTGGAATGCGGCAAGACAGATTTTGGAATAGCCTTCTTTGACAGGAAGCTCATGTACTTGAGATATTTGGCAGCTAACAGATCTCGCTCTTCAATTTGCCGAAACGAGATCAACCACGTTGTTGCAATCGGGTTTGCAATGGACTTGTAACGATGCGAGTCCTCAAAGTGCCTGCTTATCAATCATATTTTCATCGCTGCGTCGGCAAAGTTCCAAGTACTCTGCCACCGTTATTTGCTTCTTGATCATGAACGCCGAGGCTTTTCTGATTGCCAGGGGGAGATTTTGAAGCTTCTTAAGTAGTTTAGTAGTCATTACCGGGTCGCCGGTTTGTTTCTCTGTCAATCCCATTTCCAGGAGCGTAATGCCTTCGGTTTTGCTCATTTCTTCAATAGTGACCCTATGGTCAGTCGAACCAAGTAGGTCCACTGCAGCTTCATGATTCCTTGTGGTAAATAGAATGGATCCGATAGGACTGAAGGGAAGGTATTGGTCCAGGGATGAGGCCGGAGGTGATTCGTTCGTCTCGCCAGGTTTGCCGAAGAACAATTCTTGATCATCAGCATCATCAACTATCAAGAGCCAGTCTCCAGGTCCCCCTCGGCTGAGAACGGCTTTTACAAGGGATTTGACGTCCGTGTCGTTATAGTCCATTGCAATTTTTCAGTTTCCGAGCAATTTCTTGAAAAGCACTTTCGAAACTCGTGCCATCCATAGCTGGAACTCAGAAAATCGAGCAGTTTCGATACAGCTCTTGAATACGAAATGCGACTTCGAGAGCAACTTGGGTCTTTCCGACTCCTCCCAATCCCACTATGGCGGTTCTTTGGCACTGTCGATCCGTCTTTCTAGGCTGGACCCCCTCAAGAAGGTCCTGAAGGATCAACTCGCGTCCAACGAAGCCTGCGTTTCGGTGGAACGGGACCATAAAATGGCCTTTATTGCTCGCTGGTAAGCTGGGACTCTCATGTAAGGAAATGTCTCGCCACTTCACTATTGCATACCACAGGCCAATAGCGACGGTCAGAAGCATCAGAATCTTAGCAATGGTGGCATAAGATACTTGGCTGGGGCCCAACAAGGGGAGAAATCTGAATAGACCGAACCCTTCACCAAACAATTATATTAGCCATAGACTATGAATATGTTTGGGCCATCACTGACCCTGTGGGGTAGGATCCTGCTTGGGGGAACTAAGAAGATCCACTCTGTCCTCGAACTGGACATTGTCCATGCCTGAAACCATTACGGTTTCCTTCAATCCTTTCATGACTAGAACGTTGATTTGATCCCATAGATCCTGGAACCGACTATCGGATGGGCTAGCAAACTTGGACAATTCCACATGATTGCACGACATGGCCAGATTCAAAGCCTTATCGCCGAAGAGCTTCGCCGATCCCTCGATAACAATCTATAATGATTGTTAGAGAAAACTTAGCTGTCTGAATCACACTTTTGTCATTAACTTACCAGCTCCCGCTTAACCCCTTTTCGAAGGGATGGAATCATCATGGGCTTGGTCTCGAAGAAGCTGACAAGAGACAGTTTGCTCGACGGTGCTCCCATAAAGCTCTCGTTGATCTCAAGAACTGTCGTTGAATATGTTCGCATTTCTTCGGTGATGACGTTGGGGCCTTCGCGTGTGAAGAAGCCGACAACGTTGTGCACAGTGCTGAGAACGGCGGCGTGGTCAGAGCCGTTGTGCGGCGTCCCCAAGAAGACAATTCCGGTTATGGAGTTCTTAATGTCTTGAAATCGTGTGCTATCCTGGGACAAAAGAACAGCCTATGAGGCGTTCATCGTGATTAGCTCAATCAAAATGGAGTTATTATCCTCCAACAATTACCTTTTTAACCACCAGGCCTCCAAGACTGTCAGTCACGAAAATAATCGGCCGACCCTACTTCAGCCCACACACGTTATAATTAGCGCACTTAAAATATAGGTAAGTGGCCACTTTCCTCTGCGCCTAGACACTTGATCAGGAGCTTCTCGAGCAAGTCTTTAGAATGAATGGCGATTCGCACAGGGTTAACGTTCAACATTACGTTCGTCGTATTGTAGCCAAGTGTTAGAACCCTGACATCACTCTCCCAGGTTTGCAGGAATTCTGGGTCGGAAATCCATTGCTTTCCAGATTCTTTGTCAGACCATGTCTTGAGGTTGTCACCGCCAAGCCCATGAACGAAGATAATGCTGTTGTCAGCTGCGCCCCGTCTCGACTTCCGGGATATTCGCAAGGCTGTTGATAGGGGAGCAACATGCCAAGTGAATCTCTCGAAAGTAGAGGATGGGTGCATTGAGTGTCAGAACCGTCCAGTCATCCGTTCGGCTTTCATTACTTACTCAATCCGCGGCTTCGACCCTGTTTCCCCTGGTGGCGGATACACGACATCGAGCGTATACCGGGGCGTTTCTGCCTTCATAAACCCGGATTTAGCTAGTAAACTAAGTAATAATGAGTATCACTAACCATATCCTTAGAGCCAAAGATTTGACACAGGGACCAATCGGGCTTATGCCTGTTGAACGGTTGTTCGATGCAGGGCTGTGGGGGGAAAAGTTCCAACGAGGTAACAGTCGTGTGAGAAAAGTTTTGAGAACGAAGTTTCTGCAAATGAAATTTCTGGGGCGGAGGCCAATTATATGTGAATGGGTAATCAACGTGCTGCTGCCTTCAGTCCGACTTGGCGAAGACCAGGCGACCAATAGACTTGCAGCCAAGGCCGAGCTGAAGTGGTGGCTGTATGCACTCCTGCTAGCCGCCGGGCTTTCTCCACGTTCTCTCCAATAGGACCATCTCATCTCGAATCAGTACCGAGATATGGGCCCAGTAGACGCCTTGATTTCCAATCCTCGTAAGGTAGCGGCAAAGCCCAGGGTAAATGCCGCTGGCACAGCAAGGTTGTAAAGTGTGGCTTTGCGTCTGGAAGTAGCCGAACTCAAGTCATCAGTCAATTGTCCTTTTCTTTTAGTGGAGACACAAGTTGGATTTCCTATTACTAAGACTTGACATATCGTTTATTTAACTTGAATCTCGGTTTAACCGAAGTCTATATAGGCTCTTTCTTCTGAGTCACAGCCTGAAAACGCAACAGGAGGCAAACTCAACTCACCCCGCCGTTGTAAAACTCTAACATCAGACGTTCTAGGCTCAATAGGGTCATCATTACAGTTTTGATTACCTAACCTAGTTCTACACCTGACGGCCATAACTCCACAAACCCCAAAGTCCTTCTCTTTGTCTTTTCAACCACTCTTAAGACGAAAACCCCCAACTCCTCCTACATACACTTACGAAATGGCAGGCCTATATCGAGCATCACTGTGAAGGCGAGTTCCCTGGTACCGCAGCAGTTCCATTATCGACCCTGAAAGCGACGACGATGGCGGCCGACTTCTTGCACGAATCGATCCATGGACCGCCAATTACCCGCTTGGAAGCACCTCAGGTTATGAGCCTCCATATTCCCTGTGCAGTAACTTCGAGCTGTGGGTTAACGGAGCTATATCTATGGCGCCGCCTTCATCAGAGCTTCATGCAGATGATGCTACATACACTTGCGCCTCGACCCTCAGCTTGGATCCTGCCTCTTCGCCTGAACAATCACCAACTGATCGTCGCTTTGCCAAGTATTGCGAACCGTGTCAGAAGTCTCAGGCATCTCCTGGTTTTGGGGATCGTATCGCCGATCTTCTAGACCCGTTGTATTGCGCAGGATGCCAAACTCAACACCCCAGCATACTATTCTCCTCCACCTCGCGTAGGACTGAGTCGGCGAGGCGGATTTGCATTGGTCGCCAAGGCTATTACACCGCCAGCCCTCATCTAGCGTTCACGCTAGCCGACGTTGAGGCTTGGATAAAAAAGGGCGAAGGCTTCAAGATCTGCTGCCCCGAATCCGGATGCCCGCCTATCAGTGTCACCGTCGGTAGGGTATGTGGTATGGATTATATCGCCATACAATGGAATACAGCACTTGATGACGCCTCAAGATCGAGCACTTTCGAGGATCGCTGTTTTGCACGGCTACATGCAATGCATCGATCATTTCCGGCACTATTTTGTCCTCACTTACAAACTACACCAGGGAGTTTATCCTATCATCGAACACGCGACCACAAAAACATGGATGGAAAATGGGCCTGGTATTGCGCGACGTGCTTTACTCGCATTACGTGTGACTCGAGCGCTGAGGATGCCAAACAAATTTCTTCATGTTGTATTATGCAACTACCATACGATGATGAAAAAAAGATGTCGACATGGGTCAGAGCACTCGACCCAGAGAGCTATGGTCACTTCAGCGATCAAGACACTAAGCATATTACATGGTGCGATGATCGCTTCTGTATCACAACGCGTGAACTGCGGCAATTTTCAGAATTAATATCACCGACAATGAAGAATCTCTGGCCGCCCTTCCGAGATGGAAGTGGAAGGGCGATACGATTTCTGGAGACGCATGTTACTCAAAGTATTGCTCGGGGTAATTCGATACTTGAGATATTATGAATGAATAAAGTGTATATAATAGTGAGACAATAAAGTGTTCAGGAATGAATAAATAATGAATGAAAATAAAAAGTGATATGCAACAGAGTATAATTTTGTCGATGTTTTATGGTGTCAAAGTCGGCTTTCATAACTCGATTTGTTACTGCCAATGAATGGGTCCGGCCCAAACTTCCGGAAGTGGATTATCTCTGACAAGTTCGATACTGTGAGGGTGTCAGGACATCGATTGCACGTCCCTAAACTGCTTGATTCAGCTACCTGGGGCTTTGTTGGTGGTACTAGTCAATATGTTATTCACAGTCAGCTATATTCCGGAAGCTACTTTGACGCTACGTGGCTAGGCTATACTCCCTTTAGAGATTTCTTCTCAGGCCCAGGACGGCAAAAATGTCAGCAGGGTCTCATGGATTACCAGAGACTATGGGGGTATCTCAGTCGGATGTAATATATCTTCCCCAGTGGCATTGCCAAGCAAGGGTTTGTCATTTTCAATGAAGAGTCCGCAAAGAGTCTTGAAACTATTTGCGAGGGGACTAAAGTACTCTCAGAAGGGACTGCGATTACACTGCCACTTGAACTGAACTCTTGTGATTCGACTCTTCAGAGTGGTCGTTCAATTACATCTCGCCAGACAACCTTCAACTCAAGCAAGCCAACGTTAAGAATGGAGTGCTTGCGCCTGATGGTCCTGCTTGAAAGGCTTTTGTCGTGGAAAGCTCCCAAAACTTCACCCTCGACGCCATGAAATCGCCGGCCACCTTTGCTGGTGCTGGTCTGCCCGTCATCATCAGTGGCGGGATTCCAAACCAGTATTTCACAGGCGTGGATCTGATATTGCCAAATTTACAAACGAACTCTCAAAGCTGATCAAACTGAGGAATGACCACACTATTGCATCTGAAAATGTTGCCACGAAATACTTAAACTGTTTTCACCTTTCCTCGTATATTGAAACATACTATTCCTGGCAACCGGAGACTTAAGAAGACAGAATATTAGGTCCACATGCATATGCAGATAAGATTTGCCCACCAATTAAATATCATTACAGTGAATGAGCAACCTAGAGCTGATTCAAACAATGTCACTCCCTTTTGGCCCCCTAACTATCACCATGCTGCAGCCTGGGTTGTCTGGTGTCTCAAGGATTTCCGGTTATTTTGTCAAGTTTTGAGGCAGCCTGGTCCACTACGAAATTGTCAACTGCCTCAACAAGTGGTGATAATAGGATATTGTTTGCTGTCCAATATCAGGTTCGAGTACCGAATATGAATTTTCAACAGGGCAATCCAGAGTTATGTGAATTTCTAGAGTAATGTTAAACGAAAATATATGCTTCTCAGTTGCAGTAAGTAGTTACCATCATTTTAATGATATCAAGTGCTAGAAGTTTATTTTTCAGTACTGTACATACCAAAATATAAATACTACCTTTGAATGCAATATAAACAAAGTATTTATCAAGCCGTAGATATAATACCACTATTTTAATCAACGAAATAACCTATCCGCTAGATATTCTTACAAAGGGCGATTTACGCCTACTATCCAGTATCGCCACACCTGTAGCGCCCAGTCAAGGTCAACCTATCTCTATATCTAATGAGGGCATCCAACAGATAATTACAGACTTGAGAACTGCAGCAAAAAATACTACTTCAGCAAGATTTAACTGTATTAAGATCTATAGCGCCACTACTTGCCTTCTTAAGCAGTTCCTATCAGATACCTGCAATATGCGTATTAGTAAATACGGTGGCGGTCTCTCAAATTGGGCTTTGCCGGTCGAGCATTGGAAGGCACCACGGAATATTTCTAACAGCGGACACATGATTACAGATAACCCGACGCATGAACTAATTGAACCCAGCTCGTGGAGTAACTATCGCCAGCGTATCCGGTTCGGATATTATACTGCAGTATTTCAGTGGCCGTTAGAGAATGCTCATACCAAAACTGGACCCTGTATCTCCTTCTTAAGGGTGGTCAATGCAGTTTTGTTCGTATCAACAGTCACAAATCCTTTCATTAGACCCTACGAATGCAGTTGTTGACATAAGCGCATATCTGAAAGAAGGCAAGAACATAATCGGTGTCATTGTACCTGCCGGTGGTGCTTCAAGCGTATGGTATCCCATCACATCTTGTATGGAGGCTAGAATGATTGGAATAGTCAGTATCACACGTTACATGACTATTGACCGCTAGATACAAGAACAGTAAGTTCATCATGCCAGATAATTTACTTGGAGTTTGAGAGATCCGACCATCTCTAAACTGTAACCACAATCATTCTGCTATGACGGACAACCAGTATCTCTCCAGGATATTGGTTGGGGGGGGGGGGGGTTAAATGACAACTCTAATGTCGACAAGGCAATATTCCTTGGCTGCGAGCTGGATAGTGTAATTGCTACGACTCTATTGTACATCCGCGTGCTATCGTTCAATCTCTTCTACTCGTACCTTTGTCTGGACTAACTCTAATTGACTACCATTCCTTAGGCTTCCTGTTCCCTCTTCTGATGGGCCGCAATCTATTTCATTCAACGTAAGACTCTCAGAACGCATATTCTTCCTCGAGTACGGATCCATTTTTACTCCTGCATGCGATGGCATCGATTTAACGTCACTGTTTGACTTGGCTCCATAGCCTTGGTCCTTATTGCCAAAGTATGGTCTCAAGGAAGGTAGACATGCAACAATGATGCCAATGTGGGAGTCGAGAGCGCTCCACATGACTATTACAGTTAGCTATTCAGGCCCACGGACGACTACAAGCTCCCAGAGGAGGAGCATTTCACTCACAAACTAAGCCGAGAGGGGTCGAGTCGCGTATGTCTGCTTTCTCGATCGTTATGAAGCGGAGCAGGGTAAATAAAATGTCGATAAGACCAAGGAGGAATGTGAAATAGATGCCGATCTTCAGTGACCTCCTAACGTTTAAAGTGGGCACGATAAGCCAAGGGAGAGCGAAAACTACCAAAGTTAGTGTCCTTTGTCTCGTGGCTACCAATCTCTCAAGTTCATTAGGCTCAACTCACTCACAAGATCTCCGAAGAAGTGGAGACTCCAATTGATCTCGAAAGCAAGTTTAGTTCTTGATGTGGGACATGTTGATTGGGGATCCATGTCCCTATTTCACGCATCAGTGAGAGTTGCTTTATTAGGAGGACGGTTAATATTCTTACCAATTCGTCTCAAAGGGTATGCAGATACAAAATATCAACAAGATTGTCGTCACATACGCCATGGCAACATAAGTAATTACTGCCCATAAGAAGATTCTCCGCTTGCGCATAAACTCTGGGAATATTTGCAAGTACATGGAAAGAAGCGCCGCCTTGGAAAGGTACAGTGTTGTACAGAGCGGTATATTTGCTAACCAGAATGTCTTAGGTTAATCATGTCAGCTGTCATGCCATCAACCAAATATCCAGCGAAATCACAGCTCTCACCTTGAAAATTTTAGGGATATTTTCTGGGTCTCCACGAAAGCTCTCCATTGTTGTCGTCACGTTAGGGTCAAGTGCGCCTAACGTGTTGAACCTGATCAAGAACCATATAGAGGTAAGGCCAACAAGCAACGTTAGCACCATGATTATGTCGCTAACCAGTAATTTTCGCTTCTGGATCCTGAGGCGGAGATTCAAACGAGCGACGATGACCCCAGCGGCGATGACAAGGGGCGTGAACCCGGTCGCCTACAGCGAGTCAGTATTTGAGTAGTGACGGCGCAAATGCTTCGTAGGGAGATCAAACCATCACCACCGCCGGCGTCGGGCCGTGACGGACCATAGCTGCCGGCATGAACTAGTCCAATCGATAAAATAGTAGATCCAGTGACTAGACGCCCTACGGGTTCGTGTAGGGCCTAAGTCGAGGCGACGTCATCGATCGTTTCTCGTGAGGGGATGATGGAGCGATGTTGGAGATGGGCCGTGGAAGGCGACCGGGGAAAGCGACCGTGGGACGCAGCAGTGGGAGGGACCGGGCAGAAGACATGTGAAATACAAGGTTCTCCATTCCTTAAATGCTCTGACTCAAGGCTGAGACACGCAGCTGTCTGCGGGAAGGTCGGAGCAACAATGGCTTGCGTAGGGTTCAAGCTAGCTCGCTCAAATAGGCATGGCACATTCTCACCAGATGTCAGCAGAACGCCCAGGAGGCATCTTCAAATTAGATCCATGCTAGATTTGGCTGAGGCTTCAAGAGGAATCTTGATAAGTAATCATTCCGTGCTGGCCATCGATCTGAAACTTGGCAGATTCCCATGAAACTTTGGGCCGAGACGTTGTTAGTTGCTCCACTGAAGATGTGGCAGCATGCCCGCCATCTTGGCTCCTGGGATGGTTTCGCTGGAAAAGGAAAAAGATACATTATTTTGAAGCTAAAACACGCCATTCGCGCCATCGCGCCCCCCTTAATGGTCGGAAAGAACTCAGATGACCACCATAACAAATGCCCTAGAAATGGGGTGCTCGAATGTTGCCCGATTGCCATGCGTAGTGGTCAATCTAGCATTTATCTTATCACGTGGAGTTCGTGTGGTTGAGAAATGACACATACAATATAGAAGCATGTTCCCGTCCCGTCATCTACCCTCTACACACCAAGACGCGTGATGAAGCAATCGCCATTTTCACCATATAATCCCCAGATGGTCTACTTCGAATTGTCCATGGTGGGGACCTACTCGACGACCTCGCTGACGTCCTTCGAGATCCACTTGTCGCCCTCGCCCAGGGAGTGGAGAGTTGACACGTTGAGCGACCAGGCGGATTGGCGACCATCTCCATCAGCGCAGATGAATTCAATCGTGTCGACGTACACAGGCTCATCAGGCTTTTCCTCGACGCGCCCAGTTCTGACTCCGGCCACCACAAGGTCGGAGCACACTCCACACTCTCATACCAAGTTGTCAAAGTCTCCGTGTTTGGTCTGTTCGCCGTTGGTGTGAATTTCCCAGCTTCTTGAACTTGCTGGTGGTCTCTTGTAGGTCGGGGCTCAGGCCGAAGTAGTTCTTTCATAGGGGCGCCGAGATGCTGTGTTCGGGAGTGGGACGAAGACTTCCTTGCCCCAGACAACACCAAGGGTGCATGGAATCATGGCCACGCCGGCTTCCTTCGCGACCTTGAAACTGAAGAAACCTCGCAAACTCGAGCGGCCATCTTCGGAACGCGTCCATGTGTATGTCTTGAGGTACTTGGACATCGCGACCAACTTGGCCGCGGCTACTTTGGAGTCGGCGTCGGCTGGCTTAGTCTCACCAGCTGTAGCAGCCTCCTCCTTGCTCTGCTTGACAGCGGTGTCCCAGGCATTGCAGTCGGGAGTTGAAAGTGGATGAATAGTTTCTTAATCCCATTAAGAGTCTTGAAACCCTCGCGCACAACGACCTCAGTAATAATCTCGGAGACGTCGGCGGCGAAGCTCCAGATGCAGCTGGCTTCGCCACTGCAAGTGCCGTCAGACTTTTTCTCACTCTTGGACTAACTCATTTGGATGCCATGAACGACTTGATGGACAGAGCAGGCGGGGATTTAGAAAAGGCGGAACGTGGCATCGAGCGACTCGAAATCGTTGTCCACTGTGCAAACAAGGGCACCTAAGCCTCCGAGTAGAGGCTGGCGTAGCCATGCATCAAGTCATCTTGGGCCTTTGTGACCACCCGCGCAGTGGAAACTTGCAGCCGCAAGGCGTATTCTGATATCGGGTAGTCCAGCCTCAACACAGGAGGCAGAACGTCGGGGAGCTCGACTGGCGGGACATATCTCAGCAACAAACCAGCATTGGGGTCCTTAACTCAGCGTCTGACATTCTCTAGTGACGACGGAACGACCTAGCCGGGAAAGGTATGCAGTTCAAATGAGTCCGAGAGATACGCGAGTACAATTGACATACCAGAAGCCCTTGTTCAAAGACCAGCAGGTTTATAAAGTAGGCATCATGGATCACATCATTTGAGAACAGTGGGCGAGTGAGCTTTTTACTAGACTGGCCGACCCGGTGGATGAAGCCAAAGAGGAACAAGCCCTAAAAATTACAATCCTCTTCTCAGGCAGGTGGCAGACTCGGGTGTCAAGAAGCACCTCTCTTTTGGTGGCATTCCGCACATGGAGTCCCAGGCATATGATATCGATTGGACTTCAATACCCGGTAAGAGTGTACTACAATACTATGTGCTAGGTGTAGCGGGGATATGTCATATATCATCATCTAGGTTCTATTTGCAAGAGTACGCGTATGAATTGCTGGAAATGGAAGTGATCTACACAGGGTTCCAGTAGCAAGTGCACAACGCTCCAGTGGCGTCGCGGGGCAAAAGCTCCTCCCGGTTCATTGTGTCCACTAAATGAAGCCCATTTGCACGCCCGGCACGTTTTTGCCGAATTTCTGCTCCTTTGCCAGGGAAGCTCAAGTCTATGACGTCGCGACAACGGCCAAACAGAACTTCCTCGCAAGAAGGCGCACAACAGCGCAGTGCCACAAAGGGAATTTGCTATTTTGCATCTGGCGATCTAGGAAAAGTGATAGTGGAAATGGGGCTTCTATGACGCTGGTGACGGGGTGACGTCAAGCATTGTCCAGCCATGTTTTGAATCGCGATCGCGTCAGGGACCTTCATATAGATATAGAGCCGCGGGTGTCTCCCGTTGTTTAAAATAATTCTCTATTGACAATAAGCTTATCCATCCCGCCAACGTCAAACTCTACTGATAGCGGTTAATTTTGTAGGCTGCCTTTGCCTCATCCCATCACCACCAAGATGGGCTTCTTCAACCGCAACCGCGAGACGACGACTCGCGATCACAGACTGGCTGGCAAGTCGCATTCTCGCCGCCATGAGCCGTACAGCATGTCTACACGACCAACCTTTGGTCAGTGGTTGAAGCATACTTGGCTGGATATCCTCACCATGGCCATCATGGGCGCCATTGGACTCGGCGTAAGTCATGCCAGCCATCAAACGTCACTGAACCAATGCTGACCTCATTCCCTCGCAGGTTTACATGGCGCACCCAGCACCTTCAAGATCCTTTGCCGTCACATTTTCCGATGGCGAGATCGTGTACCCCGAGTTTGCGTATCCTCTGAGAGATGAAATCATCCCCATCTGGGCCGCCGCCCTGCTGGCGAGCTTGGTCCCCATCCTCATCTTTCTCCTGATGCAGATCCGAATTCGCTCCTTCTGGGACCTCAACAATGCTGTTATTGGTCTCCTTTACTCTCTCATCTCGGCCGCCGTTTTCCAGGTCTTCGTCAAGTGGCTTATCGGAGGCTTGCGTCCACACTTCCTGGATGTCTGCAAGCCAGATGTCAGCCTGGCCAATGACCAGGGTTACAACAAGAAAGGCTACTTGCAACTGTACTATACCAAGGAAATTTGCACGGGCGACCCAGACCAGATTGACGACAGCCTTGAGGCTTTCCCAAGTGGCCACACGACTGCGGCATTCGCAGGTTTCATCTACCTCTACCTGTATCTCAACGCCAAGCTCAAGGTCTTCTCCAACTATCACCCTGCTATGTGGAAGCTCATCGCCATCTACGCTCCTGTTCTCGGCGCTGTCTTAATCGGAGGTGCGCTCACCATTGACAAGTTCCACAACTGGTATGATGTCGTGGCCGGCGCCATCATCGGTACAATGATGGCATTTTCCGCCTACAGAATGACATACGCCGCTGTGTGGGACTGGCGATTCAATCACATTCCCCTTAACCGAGGCTCCCCCTTTATGTATGCTATCGAAGGTGGCGAGTTGACCGATGCTGTCTTCACGAGGAAAGCTGGCTGGGGAGGGTATGGCGGAAGTATTACGGGAGATAAGCATCGTCACAACGGTGGACTAGATGGACACCATACGACGCCCACAATTCCTCGGAGAGCCGTGGGAAGTGGTCGAAGAGCCCAAGAGGATCTGGTCTAATAGCGACTGGTTCGGTTTCGGACATGTTTCCTTAGTTGGATACCCCATTCTTTTCTGTAGCCAAGATTTCAGATTACTTACATCATTTGCGATCCTTGTCCTTATCTTCCATGCTGCTGTGGATACAATTTGCCCTTTTTCAGTATCCTTGCTATCGGGGTACGATGATTCCAGGGTCAATAGTCAATAGGCTAAAGACGGGAGAATTGTCCGCAGAACACAACAGCCATCCTGCGATTTCGCAAGTGCGCTAGCGTGCTGCTTTAGTTCGAATTTATTTACGCTTGAATTGATAACGTAGGTAAGTTCGGTGTTGACCAACCAGCATCCAACTATCTTTCGGATCGTAGAGCAGGGGCAAACCAACAGTCCGGACATACGAACACAACCCCTGTGAACCTGTTGGCACCTCCCAGATTAGATAGATGGCATCATTTTACCCCGCTTCTCCAATCCTACAAATGGTGAAAAATGTCCTCAATTTCCTCCATGTGTCATTATCCGCACTCCTATTGCATCCGCTTTGTCCCTTGTCAACATGTCAGAACCTAAATCTTCAGAGAAAGTTGCCAGGGATGCTGAACCCGGAGGCAATCCTCCACCTTCCAGCAGTGCCAATTTGGAGCAAAACACCCCTTCGCCGGCGGCACCGGTGGCAGAAACCACCGATGGCCTCCTCCCGGGCCAACACTGGACCCAACTGGCCGAGGTATGTCACTCTGACATGATAAATATCTGGAGCAGAACTTGTACAGAACTAAGACATGGGACTTCAACAGCCTGAGACAGATGATGACGACCAAGACTCAACTCTAGGCGACAATGCCAACTCTACCGCATCGATTTCCTCATCTATACTGCAGTATAGAACGATCAATGGACGAAGATTTCACAGCGAGCAAGGAAATGCCCAGTACTGGTTCGTAGGATCCCGTCCGTTCTGCTCCACAATCGAAATGAACCAGGAGCACTGACCCGCACTACAGGGTCACCAACGATGATCAGTCGAACGAGGCGTTGGATATCAAGTGAGTTTCACACTTATTGGGCGGACGTACCATGTACATTGTGAATTTGGGCACCACTCACACACCTCATAGCCACCATGTCATCACTCTGTTGTTTGGTGGTAAACTTCACATGGCCCCATTGAATAAGGATAATATACATGTGCGTCTACTCCATATTGGTGGGAGGCACTGGGATGCTAATGGGTTTGGCGGCACAGAAAGCCGTCGACATTGGAACAGGAACAGGTAAGATTCCATGGATTCATTAATCTATCTCCGACAGTAGATTCGAATCGCTAACCATAGTAAACATCAATCAGGCATCTGGGCAATGTACAGACTTCTCACGTCTCACCTAACACCGAGCTGCCACGCTGACCAATCCCAATAGGGACTTTGCAGATGAATACCCTAATGCAAAAGTAGTTGGCACCGACATCTCGCCCATTCAGCCAAGTTGGGTTCCGGCCAACCTCGAATTGTGAGAAAGAACCGTCCTCATCCGAGATCCTCACTGACGACCTGGTCCCTACCTCTCTTCAGTCAAATCGATGATTGTACCCAGGAATGGACATTCGAAGAGGAGTCACTCAACTATGTTCACATTCGTTTCTTAGTCGGAAGCGTCGTTGACTGGCCGGCCCTCTTTAAACAAGCTTACAGATGCCTGAAACCCGGTGGGTACATCGAGAGCTACGAAGGTTCGCCGAACATTGGCAGCGACGATGGTACTGTAACCAAGACTAGTGCCATGGGCCAATGGGGAGAGATCTTTGTCGAAGGAGGGCGCAAGCTTGGGCGGTCTTTCTCACTCCTGGAGGATGAGGAACAGAGAAAAGGAATCGAAGCTGCAGGATTTGTGGACATTGAGGAGTCAAATTTCAAGGTGAGCTCTACAGTCTCTACTCTGTAACACTAAAACGTCATCTTGCACAAGATTGACTGTTCCATAGGTTCCTATCGGCACATGGTCCAAGGACCCTGTCCTAAAAGAAGCAGGCCAATACTTCCAAGCCGCCATTCTACAGGACATCGAAGGTACTTTGCTATTCATTGCACACCTGTTGGGCTGGTCGAAGGAAGAAATCGGCGTCTTTGGCGCTCACTACCGGCGCGAAATCCGATCCAAGTCAATCCACGCCTACTTCAAGCAAAAGGTCGTCTGGGCCCGAAAGCCCCTTGTGTGATGGGATTTAAAGGACGAGAATATACAGACTGTAGCTTTTCCGATTAGATTGAGATCTTTATTCTTAAGACCTTACTTTTCCAGTGAGATTTATTAGGTTATTTATTTATTAAGATATACTATTATATTTATATTTAGGCCTACGGAATTTTTATAATTAATTTAATAAGAAAAAACCTAAAAGCTATTTTAGCTTTAAAATAAAAATCTTATTATAATTTTACTTTATCAAGAGGTTAGGGTGGCCCAGTACACACATACCCAGAGGGGGGACTAGAAGCTTAACAGTAATAAAAAAACACTAACAATAGTATCAACAATACAGACCATATACCCAGTCCATTCAAAGATCAACAATACACTCAGACAGACTAAGGTTTCTAGTCCAACTGGTTACCTTTCCCAATACCTTTATGAGCTGCAGGTAACAGCTGTGTCTATAATTTTACTTTATTATTTTATTTATTTTATATTTTTAGTACAGTATCTATATTAATCTCCTAGTAGAAGTAGAATGTTAGAGGCTACCGTTCTCTTCTCTGCCTCCGATATACCTGGTTTATAGTGACTTGCGCCTTGCCTGGATGCTTCTGTTTTGCCTACGGTTTGTTTTCTCTGCGGCCTCTTGGCGGTCTTCCCGACGGTGGCTAATTCTCCACAGGTTTATTCATTGAGTTACCCAAAAGTATGTTACCCATCAACTGGCCGTCAATATTTTGACATCTTCCTCAAGTCTCGCCACCACTTCCACATAAAAGTTCTGGCTTACGTTCTCATTCTCCAATCCACCAGTGCTGAAGACGGTATTCAGACACCAGTCAACAACAGTCGTGTAGTTCATTCCGCCGCTCTCTAGAATCTGACCATTGAAACTCTTCCCAGCCTGATTCATCGCAAGAATTGCATCCAGGTCCATGCACTCGGTCATGTCTAGAGTTTCGATGGCCTTTCCAATGATGACTTGGATGAGTAACACGCCGAGGGATAAAACCATCAGGTTTATCGGTCGCTGTTGGGTAAATGTGTCTTGCTGGGACTGGCCAACATGGCTTTGGTTCGCCTCCGAAATACTCTTAGCCACGAATGGTTGGGACAATGACTGCACATTCGAGAGTGAGACGTCTTCTTTTCCCCGAAAGAAAAGAACATCGTCCAGTGTGATCATTTTCGTAAGCCATGCCGTGTTGTAGAGGTGCAAAATGCTGGTTGAAATTGCCAGAGCAATTTCGAGCTTTCTGATGTAGCCCACCTGGGAATCCGACAAATGTCCCTCAAGCAACTGGCGAAGTGTAATCGTCGTGTGTGACTCCAGCTGATTTTCTTGAGGGTATAGTCCAAACTTGCGGTGGATGTCGGCAACATATCCATAACAAGACACCGCTGGTCCTTTACGCCATCTCGGGATAACTTGGCATAAATTCGACACTCTTGGTAGCTCGTATTTCGTTGCCAACTCTGGGTGAAGAGCCGAACTCTTGGACACCTCTACTAATGTCTTTGTGGCCGATGCCTTCCCTTCTGTCGACGGCCTTAGTGAAGCAGGCCACCTAACCATTCGTTTAGGCTTTTGGTCGTTTAGTGTCGGCGCCAACGAAACTGGAGTCGTTGCGGGTTCATGGTCGGGCTCTTCAAGCTGAAGAGAAAAACACGCCCAGCGCGCAGGCGGATCTGAAAGTACCATCTCTCCAGTCTCGTTGTTTTGAGAGGGGATGGAGCCACCGAACGACCCTAGAACTGCGTGGAAATTAAAATTCCTCGCAATTTGCTCCTCAACGTCGTTCGGCACCAGAACCGCCTTCCTGTGGACCAGTTCCAGGCATATGCGGTGGGACTTTGCGCAGCAACACGTGGTCGCGTTTTGTAGAGCGTTAAAGATGCTCTGAGATAGCCCTCTGATAAGGTTGATGACTCGAGCTTGAGAGCGGCGCCGTCTGTTTGGCTCGAGTCTGCAGTTCTGGCCAGCCAGTTCGTGAAGAACCGCGTTTCCGGTCTTGATCCTTGATATGATATTCTCGTAGTCCTTTCTCTTTAGGGTGAAAGATGTTCCGCGTTTTAGTTCTTGGAGAATCGTAACTCTGTCGGTTATTATCTTCTTAGGGAAATAAAGTGTTAGAGTAGTGAGGAATTATGGTGCAGATGGTTTAGGCTTACCCCCTTGCCAGCCGCTTGAATAGATAGATTATTCTTCAACTCCTCGGCTGCCTTCTGCATCTCGGCCACCTGCTCCTCAAACTTCCCAGATGATGTCCAGAGCCGGAGCCGTAGTTGATGGTCGTATGGCTCCCATTGCGGTCCAAACGGTTTTTCGAGCAATGTGTCTATCATTGAAAGTGGCACGATGCCCTCAAGGAGAACCTCGCATGTTGTTCGGAGCCGGACTTGCTCGGTTTCGAGATCTTGAATCAAGGCCTTCAGACTCCGCTCCACGTTCTTCATCGACGAAAGAGTGGACTTGTACGTCTTGAGGGCCTCTATCGCGAGTGGCAGAACACCGAGGACTACCCCAACCACTTCGAACCCAGACATTTTGCAGTTAACCGGCTCGGGGTTTGACAAGTCGAGAGTCGTCGTGAAATGCCGAGTTGTAAATATGAGGCTGCGAGGTAAACCCCACACTGCCGAGACTGCGGAGTACGCCCAATGGTCTGTCGGGCAGCATATATGGCTGCATACATGACTCAGCAGGTTATTGAGAGAATATTTCTGTCGTCTCACCACAGCCTCGTCAGCTCCTCGAGCGGGGCAACGGCGATTATCCCAGATCCGCCGTCCACGATTGTGCCACTCCGTGGGACGCGCGACGCTATCCGGTCACTATCTACTCTAGCACACTCTATCAAGAATGGCAGATCCAAGTCAGAACCAACCCCAGTCACAGATTGCTTCTCTTGTTTCTCACGCTCTTTCATCCTTCAACACTCTCATTTCAGCTCTCGAAGACCGCCGAGTGCAAGCCTCAGCTTCGTCTAACCTTTCAAGGTTCAAATTATGGGCTGGAAACCTCGGGGCTCATCGTCCATCAGGAAGTCGATCGTTGGAGTATCGCCTGCGAGACGCATCATTTATTCGAAATCACCTTATCTCGCTTCTCGACGATCTATGTATCTCAGTCAATGATAGTACGTTCCCAGAGCACAAGAGACCCTATATTCCGCTCACTTCATCTAGCGATATCAACAGTAATCAAGGACAGTCCTTTCGCTGAATCCCAACCGCATGACTCCGTCACAGATGAGTTGGCCGAGTATTTTCAAGAGGATGAAGTCTCGGATGAGTCAGAGATTGAGCAAAGCCTCCACTATATAGGTCATGTCGTCGACTGCCTCCTCAGACTGTCTATGACAATAGCCAATCCAACGCCACATGATCAGTTTAAGTCCAAAGCTGGAATGGATGCTGTTCAATACTACGAGCAATGGAATTTGCAGCATGTCGGAGAGAAATTCCCAAGTGCTGCGCACATCGTTGCCAAGCGGCTAGCCAAAGCAATGGCCCAAAGGCGCCAGTACTTCACGTATCGAGAGGAACATGCCAACCGACTTTCCGAAGGGTTGGACGGGACTGAGGCTGGAGAGCATTCAACAACAATCGCCTCCTCTCTTCCTGAGCATCTAAAGGATGGCAGTAATGTCACCACGAATGATCTTTCTGGTCTGGATGATGGTCGATCCGAAACTTCTGGAACGTCTTACACACCGTCAAGTCCCGACTCACACCATCCTCGAGTCCCACCAATACCGAAGGAATACGCTGATGGGCCATTCAAATGTCCATTCTGTCACACGATTATCGCGGTAGACACTAGGAGCGCTTGGAAGTATGTATTCTCCTATGCACTATTGATAAGCATCACTCTGACAGACCTGCCAAATAGAAAACATATATTCAGGGATCTTCGGCCATAGGTCTGTCTCGAAAGTGCCTGCTCAACGTCTAGCCAGCTGTACTTGCGCCGCCATGAATGGATGCAGCACATGATACAGGAACACTGGAAAACCTGGTACTGTTCATTTGGATGTTCCGAGACCTTTCAGAGCTCCAAAAGCTTTCGATCCCATACCACTCATGCTCATGGACAGCGTGTGAACCACAGTCACCTGGACACCTTGGAGAGTCTGAGCAGCAGCCACAACCCCGACAAATCGCAGGGGACATGCCCTCTTTGTTTTGACTTTGATGTCAAATCACCCAAGCAGTACAGCAATCATGTCGGAGAGCACCTTGAGCATCTCGCACTGTTTTCACTGCCCCGCATTGAAAACGAGGAAACCGAGCAAGACGAAGCGAGCGATGGCGGTAACTTTACCATCAAGGTCTCTGACGGCTCTGTTGTAAGCCCGCAAGGATCTGAGACGGCAGGCGATGAGGGGGGCGACATCACAGTTTCCGCGCCGACTGGATCCGGTAGACACAATGAGGATTTAACCTCGGAGGAGGCAAAAGACACGCTCGAGAGCAAAGTATCGCGCAAACAGGGCCGCCGTGTGTACTCTGTTAGAGGTGTGAGGTGCGCAAAGTGTATGTCCACGGGTATAGACGTCTGGGTTATACCTGGGCGTAATTGCGCAGCCTGTGGAACTCCCGTCGACTAATTTGAGACGCAGTTTTCCAGGTTCGGCCTCGAGATAGGATAATTAGACAGCTCTGAACAAATATATGCAATTTCAGCCAGGGTAACGTGTCCAAGAAATCATGTGGTGGTACTCTAGCTGCAACAGTCGGCCTAGGCGACCAGGGGCTTTGCAGTGTTTTATTCTTGGCAGAACACCCCCTGTAGCGATGTTGGACGGTTTTCCAAGGAAAATACGTAGGCCTCTCCACATGGCGCTCAATCGTTTGGCTGTGCGAAAGCAGGATTGCCGTTCCGGGGCAAGGATTGCGGCCAATGGAGCAGGATGGCGCTTTACGTTCACTTTTAGAAGTACCGCTGATCATTCATGGACAAAAGCCAGAGTGAGATCTGCGGTACTTGCAAGGGTAAGGGCAATTGTGGATGCGGTACGAAAATCCTACCCTGGCACGCCCAAAGGGCACTGGATTTAGCTAGATTTAGCGCGATGTGGTATTGGGGGCACGCACTTGTTCCCCCGGGGGGCGAAAACCCTCTGGTGTGATGAGATTGAGGCGAGGATGATCAGTATGGGGTTAGGGCGAGGCTCAGAGATGAGGGAGGTGTGCCACAAGCTCGGGTAGCTGAGGAGGTGAATGTTCCAGGCCTGGCTGTGGCTGTAGATGTAGCTGGCTGCGGATATTGTTTACTACATACCTAATAAATGCTTCATTCACTGCCCGTTGAACCAATGAATTGCTGAAATGCGCCACCAACAGTCGGTGTGACGGCTGCCCAGCGCCTCACCTGAAGCACTGTTGATGGACGTCTTGTCTTGGAATGTCGCTCCACCCAAGTCCACCCAAGTCCACCGTGCCAGCATCATCAACAAGAGGCCCACCAACGGGGTAAATAGCCCCGATCGATCCCCGGCTGCGCGAGCCAATCATGGGACGCCTGAAAGGGGCCAGCAGGGCGTCCGGGATACGTAGCCATGGCGAGCGTGCGTAACAAGATGACGCTGACGAGGCGCTGGCTTTACATAAAAACGCCTGCGTCCGCAGTGATGAGCGACCCTTTGGTTCTACTCCTCTGCATCCCCTCGCCTTCAGCCTTTTTTCTTTCGAGCCTTTCGCACATTCGTTAATTTATTGAGCATTCGCTTTTAATCACTCGTTCCAACAAAAACCGCCAACATGAAGTTCTCCGCTGCTACCCTTGCCGCCATCCTGGCCGTGGCTAACGTATGTTGTCCTTGTAAAGGATTGATGCATCACCAACTAACACTCCTCTCCCCAGGCCGCCTCCGACACCGTCAGCTACGTCCTGGACACCACGGCGCTCCGCATTGCCTCGTCCAACAACGCCTACGCTTCCTCCAAGGAGGCCATCGCCAACGCCGCGTGGAGCAGCGCCGCCGCCCACAACTCGGCCGCCGCTGAGAGCATCGCCGCCGCCAACTCTGCTGCCGCCGTTGCTGCCACTGCCACCGGCGCCGATGCCACCGTCGTCGAGACCACCCTGAGCACCAAGGCCGCTGCCGGTACCAAGTCGGCCACCAAGACTGCTGCCACCACCGAGGCGGCCAAGACCACCGGCGCCTCCAAGTCGGATAGCACCGCAGCCGCTGAGACGACCGGCACCGAGTCCGGGTCTGCCTCGGAGTCTGCCTCTGGATCTTCCTCTGGCACTGCCTCTGGCGCCGCCCAGAGCACCTCCAGCGACGGAGCTGGTGCCATGCCCACTGCGGCCATCGCCATGGGCGCCCTCATGGGTGGTGCCGCCCTCTTCGCCAACCTGTAAACGCCTCCTCCATCGCGTGTTGCAAGTTGTCGCCGTCGGCAAATGAGGACACCGCGCGTCCAATACCCCACCGGACAACGGCGTCCTAGTGCGAATCAGAGTCAAATGAGATCAGGAATGTGGAGTGTCCGCTCCGACGCGGTGCCTGGCAGCCCCCTGCAATTGGCGCCGTCGCGTCGGATGTGGAGATTCGGGACTTAATGCGGGACATGGGAGACATGGGGCAAGCCAGCTAGTGGCCTTGGGCCCTGGAGGAATGGTGAATATGGGGGCCGTTGACTCTAGCATCTGTTCTGTCTAGCCTCTGGAGTGGTACTGACGCTTGCGTGATCCGGCTTTGATCAGACATGGTCCTGTCATCATTCTGCCATCATCTGCCGTGATCAGCGCGGCTGCCGCTGAGGAACAAGTATTTTAAACCATGCTGTGTCAATCGATAGCTGCTAGTAAATGACAAGTACAATCAACGGCAACACACAGCCCTCGACACAGCCCTCGCTGGCTTCCAGCACATGTTTTGTTACAGGTCGTACAAAGTCTCCTATTCTCGTATTTCCTCACCCATGATCCATCCATCAGGTGAACTGGGCTGACTTGGCCTACTGGGTTCATGTCTGTGTACCCATGCCGATCTTCCGCCAGGCCCACATATTTCCCGTATTATTTCCTGTCACAACAATCCACAATCCCGTCATCTTGCACAAAAATAGCAACCACAATACGAGCGGGCGACAGGCTTACGACACCACTACCCCCAGAGAACAACCCCGGAGACCCCAGGAAATATCAACACTATGAGAGGATGCTGTTCATTCTACGCGTCTCCTTTTTTCTCTTGTACTTTTCTGTGTTTTATCCACCCACTTGTCACTCGTAACTATCGTTGCTACCCTACAGTAGTCGTCATGCCAGCGTCGATCTTTTTTTACCGACGGAATTCAATATCCGTCATGTTGTACATGCCAATTTTAATCCTACTGAACCGTTTTAAATAAAGGGATTGTTTTTGACATAACAGTGGCACCGTTCGGTGTCTCAACTTAATTAAACATCTGTGAACTGTTTGATTGACCTTGCTGTGCTTGTTTTTTCTCGCCTATTTTGGGAGTAATCTCGAAGATTTTGTGTTGCACTATTCAAAGAATTTAAGTGTTTAATTAGTCTTTGATGATGATGCTACATACGATGCGGGTAATTATGAGTGAGTGGCTCATTATTATCTGATGTTTGAATTAACGCCTCTCTCTCGGGATCTGAATTTGTGTCGGAATGATCAATGTTGCTTTTATCTGGCAGATAAAGCGATGCAATCACGGCTAGGAAAAAGAACCCCTGTTTTACGTTAGAAGAAGACAAACAGGAGAGGCGAGGGTTGCAAACCGCTAGAGCAACGAACGGCAATACTAGCCACTGTGATCCCATCCCCACGGCAGCCGCCCAGATCATTTCGATCAAAGGACTACCCACCACATGGGCAAGGGCCTCAATCACAGACATGAGCGTGTACAGTTGGGCCATGTTTTTAGCACCATCGATATAACTGGCCAACGCGACGAGGATCGGGACGCGAGTGTTGAACCCAGCAGAAAGCACGATCAAACCTAAAAGTTCTATTAGCTAGGACAATACATTACGCACCAGAGATCATTTCTTACCGACGATAAGCCCGCCAATGCTTGGTAGGGTGAATATAGTGACGGTTCCAGCGACGAGGGCAACACAACTCAGTCGCGTGACTGTCAAATTGATCTTAGACACAGAACATTGCCGTGTCCGAAGATATTCTGTTAGAGACGGTAGAGTCAAATATATGACCAAACTTATGCCAGGGATGATAGAGAGAAGTCTCGTAGTCTTGCCCATTGTCAGTCGACAGAACACAGCTTGGTTTCGTGACTCACCTGCGCGATGGTCCAACCGAATCGAACCGATGCATACGGAGGCAATATTTGGAGAGCATTGTATCTCATCTGCACCAAGAAAGCCGTAGCAAGCCCCGGAATGACTCCTGGTGTTTTGAGAATACCTTTGTACGCGTGTAAACGCCTCGGATGAACGACTTGTAGTAGCTGGCCATAATCTACTGTTGTTTGATGTGGAAGGGATTCCGACATGATCTTGACTATTGGCAGCGTCGCGAGCAGGGCCAAGCCACCAAGGAGATAGGGCAGCCAAAGCGAGTGAAGCAGAAGAAGTGAGGCCAACTGGGGAACCAAGAGTTCGACAGCAAGCTTGGAACAGAACAAGTAATACATAACTTGCCCCCTAAAGAGCATCGTTAGCCAAACAGAGCTTCAAGCGACCGGATGAGAGGATGTACCTTGTGTCGTCGTCGCATAAATCGGCAGCTATAGTTGCATGCAGAGTGATTGCCATGTAGGGTCCACCTCCGATAATGCGTAGCAGGCCTGCAAGCCATACCAACTCAGTTGGAATTGAGGACCAGAAGGCGCCTCACTACGGTTAGTGGCGAGGTTTCCAGAGTGCACAATCCGTCGGCTCACTCACAGACAACGTATACCCAGGCTATGCATGCGGCTATCCCTACGGTGACAAGGCCCAAAACAAAGCGGCGACCAATGGTGTCGGTCAAGTGGCCGAATGCAGGTCCCAAGACGAGCACTTGCAGCAAGATGATGAGCAGAGGTCTTGAGTGAAATGGCTACGAAAACATACCGGGGAGCATCCCCAAGGCGCTGTACCAGCCCCTAACCATGGCGAGGTGCTGTTGGACAGGACCGATCTTGCAGAGAGCCTCGCCCACGGGCAGGTCGACACGCCCCAGCTCGGCATAGTAGCGCTGGCAGACGGAGTTTTCGAGCAGTCGAATGGTGGTAGGGAATTGAAGTTGCTCCTGAAACTCGAAGAGAAGGACGATGAGGGCGATGTAGATGAAGGGAGCTGCGGGGTGAGGGTGGTCCATTCTGACTGAGGAGGGAGCTTGATACATAGCAGCTCAATTTTGAGCGAAGTACCGCCCGAACTGTGCCCGTTCGCTGGGTATCTGTTATCTCAGCGACTGAGACAACCACGTGACTATCTTTCTAAGTATTGCTATTGTCACACAAGTACAAGCGCCTTAAGTTAAGCCTCAGGCAGACTCATATACCAAGTATACGCAGTGAAGGGGTATATTTCTAAGCCTTGGGCCTATTGTTATTAATAAAATAAATTTAATAAATCCAATAAATATAATTACTAGAGAATAAATACTAATCTTGAGCATTATAAAGAAATATTTCCCAGACTGCTTTATTGGAATAATAGATACGACTTGATTGAAGCATGTAATTATGTGTGCGAATAGCAATAGTCAAAATGGCGAGTCTCTTGCCGAAAATTTGTCGAAAATTGAAGCACATTTAAATGTGAAATGCATTTGAGATTCAATGACGCCTCGGTCTCTAATTCATAAAAAGCTGGATCCAGGATATCCGATTCCAAAGTCCCCTCCGATGTTGGAAGGCATCATGATGTTCTCAAGGCCGGCCTCCCAGTTCTCGAGCAAAGGCGTGACTCCAAACTCATCAAAGTCGTCCACCCAACCAAGAGCAACTCCTTCTTCGTCACCTCTGTCATCCATCTCACTAACCCGATTTCTAGATTGTGGGTGCACAGAGTGTGGAATGGTATCGGCGTTTGTAGTCTGGCGGTGCTGAGACGCTGACGTAGGTTGCCTGGATTGTTCGCGAGTAGCTGCAGTAAAAGAAGGATATCAGCATTTCTCAGTATCGCTTACCTTGGGTCTTGATACTTACTACTATACGTTGATAGAGCGCGCTCTCGTAAAAGCTTGAGCGATTGTATATAGCCTTGAGCTCGGGAATGACTGTCACCCATGTGTTTCAAGGTCCTAAGACAGCTCTCCCACGCTGCGTCTAGTTGTGCTTGGTCAAAGTGTGGTTTATTTGACTGTATGCACTCCGCCAGAATAAGGATGGTCCCGGACGTTATGAGATCTATGCACTTGTCAGTGAAAGTATTAATCATGGAACGGGAGATGTACAGAATAAGCCGAACCACCATGCGGCAGTGGCATCTTCACTTTTGGCACGTTCCAGCAATCTGACAAGATCACAGGCTGCGTCAACGCAGGCCACGGCGCATGGAGCTAGCAAGGCCATTGCTAACTTGCTTTCCTTTGGACGACCCGGGGTTGCATTGGATGAGTCGACGTGCTCACGCCTTTGCAGTTCCGAGCGCGTCGACGAGCAGAACCAGGAGAAGTTTGGGCGGTAAAGAAGGATCTTTAAGTGGAGATATCTATCATGAAACCGTCAAGTACGATAACATAAAAGCCTGAGGTGTACTTACCGTGCGTGGAGAACATTGGACTGGCGTTTTATAACCAATGAGGTTTCTGTAGACATTTCTGCGACACGATCCCAGTGTATCTCATCAGGTAGTGAGTTTTTGAAATCCTCCAGCAAGGTATCAAGGTGCATCACTGTGCTTAGGTCTTGATGATTTGGATGCGAGACCGGGTGGCTTCTGAATGAAGGCTCTGTCGACGCTGGGTGGTATATCTGGTCCAGGATGATGGCAAGGATCTTTGCAAGTTTGATGTTTTCAACGGTAAAGAGATTGACGGAATAGGGCCCTTCTGGCTGATGGCTTCCATTTCCATGGAGGGGGAGATGCGCGTCGTCGATGGGACTGGGGAGCGGCACATCGTTGATAATGCGCATTGACGGTGGACGACCCAGAGTCATACTTACAGTCCTGTGAAGGTCAGTAAACATCGTTGAAAAGGAGTTCGTACTTACATTTCCATCTGTAGACAGCCGTACCATACTCGACGCCGGATCTCAATCTCGGTGAATGAGTGACGTTCGGAACATTTATTCGCATGGAGTCCAAGGCCGACAGCCATGCGACATGCAAGCCCGATAATGTTGTAGCAGCGAGTTGGGTACTGGGTGCAAAGCAAGTAATGGCCCGCCAGAAGCAAGGCCTGCACATGAGAGACGGTGCCATTATCGAGAAGTTCAATGTGCAGGAGATCTTTCATTCTGCCATAGAACGTGGCACATGCCCCGTCCTTTTCCTCCGGCGACAGATCCGAGAACTGGCACCCCAGCGCAAGCATGGCATTGAGAGCGCAGAAAAACACAGGCCGTGGGCATCCACTACTTCCGAGGCCAATGTCGGGGCCGTCATCAGTTTGCGGATCTTGATATCCGCTTCGAGTCCAGAGCGCTTCATATCGACTCTGGAAACCCAGGGAATGGATCAATGGGTAAAGTACGTGTACGTGCGAGAAGTAGAGGAGCATGAGATTGTCCGCAATCTCGCGGGGTGGTAGTGCATATTGTGATTGCAGCATCGCGCCCAAACTGCTCCCAGCTGAGCGAATACCGGAGGAGTGTCCTCTAGGTGTATTCGGTTGACGCTCAGCTGGATTAGCTTGGGCATGTTGACCTGTGTGTTGGCCCTCTGACTGGGGAATCTCTCGCAGCAGGGACAAGACAGATGATTGCCCATAAAACTCATTTCCTCTTGAAATGAGTGGCTCGGTCTGGACGGCGATGGTAGCTCCCATGGCACTGATAGGGCTGGGACCACTTGGCTCCTTGCCTGCATCTAGCGTTGGAGGGAATGTATGATGTTCTGGCCTGAGGGGTGGATTGTCATCATTCGCTAATGAACTTTGCCCGTGTGAAATGGTATCCCCAGCCGATGATGTAGTGGCTGGCCCTTGGTCGTCATGATTAATGCCTTCAGATGTTCGGTTCCCTGCAGCTGGATTGGTGGCGTGACCCAGGCCTTGGCTACTGCAGGCTGCCCCTGAATGTTGTCTTAGGTCGGTAATGACCTGCTGTAGGTCTCGCACCTGAGACTGGAGAGATTCAATGTATCTGTTGATCAGTCAGTCAAATACAAACTGGACTCAATAAAGCCATTTACTCTTGCTCGCTGACCCGCTTGGCGCTGTTTGCGAGGACCGTGTAGCTACAGTTCGAGGCATCTTCGCCCCGCTTGCCACACGGCCCACAGAGCGGCTTGCTTCCGTCGCACCGGACTTTGCGCTCTCTACAGCTGTGGCATGCTAGTGCGATCCTCTTCCGCTTTGCAGGCCTGTAATTGTCCTCGGGAGAGGCAGCCTCGTCGTGTTCTGCGTCTGACGGCATTGGGCTGAGCGTAGAGAGTGTCGGGATCAATTGCAGCCGTGTTGTCCGGATACTTTCCGTGGAATCGTCGGCAAGCACGTGACCTCTAGCCTTCCGCGGCAAAGTCATTGTACTGAGCCGAGTGTGAGAACTGCCGAGCCTTCGGGAACCACCCGAAATGCGCTACGGGGTTGGAGATCCGGGAACTTCCCGGACATGTCCCTACGATATCAGCGTCGGACTCACTGGGCCACCTTTGCGATTGAAACCATTCACGCGTTTTGGAAACCAACTTCAAGATTGATAAATTTCTTACACCATGTTCGTGAAGGTTGGACGCTTTGCCGGTTTGATCGCCGCCAGGCCTAGTTACGCATCCGCTCCCCGAAATACATGGACGCGCAGTGCGAATACCTGTCTTAGATGGGAATCTCGGCGCAGCTATGCGACCTCCAAAGGAGGGGTAACACTGCAAAGCCCATCGCCTCAAAATGGATCTACCCTACGCACACTGCTATTGCTGCTATCAGCTACAACGACTGGCCTTGTCGGATGGATGATGGGCCGAAATGGACAGTCTGTTCAAGACCAAAAAATCACACGTAACTCTCAGCCGGTGTACGCGACGAGGGCTGAAATGGAACGCGTAAGTTTATCCCCGTCACAACCAAGCCTCAGCCTAGCGGTTTGTCCTATTTCTACCCTGCAACGCAACAAATATTAACTTGCACGGTGATAGGCTGTTGACGAGCTTCGAAACCTTCTCGGAGAGGACAGCATCAGCACAGAAGATGAGATTCTAAAGGCTCATGGATATTCAGAATGGTCTAGTATCAACATCGACAGTCTGCCGGTAGCAGTGGTTTTTCCAACTTCAACAGAGCAAGTGTCAGTAATTGCTAAAATCTGCACCAAATACCGCGTTCCAATGAGTGAGTCTTTCCAATACCCGGCTGTAGTCACGAGATTGTTGAGTTTCCATTCGATTTAATATTAAACTAGTCCCTTATTCTGGCGGATCCAGTGTGGAAGGCCATTTCTCAGCTCCCTTTGGGGGAATCAGTATCGACTTTATGGAAATGAACAAGATATTGGAGTTTCAAAGAGAAGAGTAGGCGAATACGACCACAGGTTCTCATAACATTCATGATTTAACGCGGCTTAGCATGAATATTCAAGTCCAGCCCTCCGTGCCTTGGGCCGAGTTGAACGAAAAGATCAAGGACAGTGGCCTTTTCTTCCCCATGGACCCAGGACCGTCGGTAAGAGCGAGAGTCTTGCAATTCCAAAGATTGTACTAATATAAGACAGGCGCAAATTGGGGGCATGGTAGGAACAAATTGCAGGTATGTTTCTTGCGTTAGTAACGTATGGTTGGCTGACTTCAAAGTGGAACAAATGCTGTGCGGTATGGCACCATGAAAGACTGGGTGGTTAACCTCACAGTTGTGTTGAGTGATGGAACGATTCTCAAAACCCGTAGAAGACCTAGGCAAGTGCGCAGGGAGAATTATGTGGGAATATTCGTTTGATTGGTGCTAACAAACAACAGAAAGTCCTCTGCAGGCTACAATCTCAATTCGCTCTTCGTCGGCTCTGAAGGGACGTTAGGGTTGGTTACGGAAGCAACCCTGAAACTCGCCACCATTCCTGAAGAAAACGGAGTAGCAGTCATCGCCTTCCAGACGATCAAGGATGCTGCCAGCATGGCCGTTGATGTCATTCACAAGGGCATCATGGTGGGTGCAGTGGAGATTTTGGATGACGTCCAGATGAACGTCATCAACCGAGCAGGTGCCACAGGGAGGAAGTGGACCGAAAAACCGACGCTGTTTTTCAAATTCAGTGGCACAAAAGCCGGCGTAGCAGACAATATTCACCAAGTGCAGCAAATCGCAAAGGGATATGACATTGTGGACTTCCAGTTTGAGAATGATCCAGAAAAGCAGAAACGCCTCTGGTCTGCAAGAAAAGAAGCACTCTGGAGTATGCTTGCGCTTAGAGAGTCCGGCGGCGAAGCATGGTCGACAGATGTCGCTGTGCCACTGTCCCGAGTTGCCGAACTAATTGGTAAGTGCTCAACTTTTTCATGACAAGATTTCATCAAATTAACCTTCCCCTAGAAATGTCAAAAATAGATCTTGATGGACTCGGACTGTTTGGAAGTATTCTTGGACACGTTGGCGATGGAAACTTCCACGAAACCATATTATTCGATGGCGCGAAAGAGCGCGCCAGTGTTGAGAAGTGTGTCCACAAGATGGTGGATCGAGCTCTTGAGATGGAGGGAACATGCACAGTAAGACCACAGCCCGGTTGGAGTTGCCGGAAACTGACTAAAGATGATGATAGGGTGAACATGGTGTTGGCCTTGGAAAGAAGGACTGCCTTCAGAAGGAACTGGGAGACGCACCCATCCAAGTCATGAGGGCTATCAAGAAGAGTCTAGACCCGCACTGGTTGATGAATCCAGGCAAGATCTTCGACCCGGAGGTTAAATCGTCGTGAGATGTTGAGTCTTATACGCGATTCTATCATGGAGATGCTACGAATGTCGTTGGGGACTGCGTACGAAATTACTGTCGTTAGCTAGATACGCAAGCAATAGGATTTGCCTTGGATTATTGAACGTTGGTTTCTATCCTTGAGACGTAGGTGTCGTGAAATTTTGTAACATGCTCTCGTAGGCTTGATATACCATCTTCTACTCTAGACATTGTGCGAGTATATGGGATTGGGCTGTGAGGATGTAACAAGTGAGCCTTGCCTACCACATCACGAACAAACATTTCATAATACACAATGCAAAATGGACACAATAAAGAAATATTCGATTTCCAATTTCACCGCTGGCATGATTTCGTGGCTGTGATTGATTCCTGTCATTAGCTCTGGCGTGATTGGAGGCTAGCTCTTGAGACGCTTGCCGACTTGATTTGCCATTTCGCAAGTGACAACTCGGGAAATTCCCAGACCCACTGACATCGTCGACTCCACTTCGGGTCACTTCCGGGCTCAATACACGCCACGATAGATTGACCGTCATGTAATTCGTTAGACAACAGTTCATTCCCCTCTTATTTCTGGATGAGTTCGGTAATGTCCCGGGATCAATTGACTATAAGATAATATGCGTTATACGGCTCATGCTCTTAGGAGGTTAGACACCACTCCCGCATACTCATCCTCCCGAAATCACAGCCATGTGCGTAAATTTGCTGAGGCTCCTGAGGTAACGCGTTTGCTAATTATGATAGGTACACCACGTCGTTTGCCTTTTTCGAGGCCTTGATAGAGGTCGGTGCATTCCGCCCCTGTCGAACATTCTTCCATTGACACCGTGTAGGCAGGAGTCAAGAACTGCTTCGTCAACCTTGGCTCTGACCACCCGAGCATCCTGGAGGCCATGGTCAAGGGTCGTGACACGCCAAACTTCCCCCGTATCATCACATGCCCCAATGAAATGGTGGCTCTGTCCATGGCCGATGGATATGCTCGAAAAAGCAACGAGGCCCAATGCGTCATTGTGCACGTAGATGTGGGCACGTCAGGAATGGCTGCTGCTATTCACAACGCGTGCATGGGAAGAGCGCCTGTGCTGATTTTTGCCGGGCTCTCGCCATACACTATAGAGGGAGAAATGACTGGCTCTCGTACAGAGTTCATGTGAGATGTCAATTCACCTTCTGATGTACCGGGGCTGATTCGAGCATAGCCACTGGATGCAAGACGTTCCAGACCAAAAGCAGATCGTCGCCCAGTACTGCCGGTATGTTGGCGAGATCAAGACTGGTAAGAACGTCAAACAAATGGTCCGAAGGGCTTTGCAATTTGCCACGAGTGATCCGAAAGGACCAGTGTACTTGATGGGTGCCCGCGAAGTCATGGAGGAAATTATCCAACCATACAGCATCAACCCTGCACACTGGCACGGTATCGGGCCCTCGGCCCTCCCTCCAAATGCTGTCGCCGAAATTGCCCAGGCACTGGTGGAAGCTCAAGAACCTCTTGTGGTGACGGGCTACAGCGGCAGAAATCATGCTGCCGTGGCGGCTCTGCTAGACCTTGCTAATACCGTGAAAGGCCTGCGTGTGCTGGACACAGGGGGTTCCGACATGTGTTTCCCAGCAGACCACCCGGGGTGGCTTGGGATGAAGTACGGAGCTGATGACAGTATACGAACGGCAGATGTACTGCTGGTGGTCGACTGCGACGTCCCATGGATAAACACGCAGTGTTTGCCTAAGTCTTCCGCCAAGGTCTTCCACTTGGATGTCGATCCTCTGAAGCAGACTATGCTTGTTTCATACATCAGCGCGGAGACGAGATATCGTGCAGATGCTGGCACTGCGTTGGCCCAAATTGTTGCGTACCTGAAGTCTTCCTCCGAATTGGCGAAGCGTTTGGCTGATTCAGAATTCGAAAACCGATGGGTCTTCTTGCAGCAATCTCATTCAAAATTGATCAAGTCGCTTGACGCTAAGCCCGAGGCAACTGAAACCGGTTCAATGAACACTGCTTATGTTTGTTCAATGCTGCGCAAGATGCTGCCGCAGAACACAATATTTGCCGTGGAGGCTGTCACAAACACCATCACCGTTGCGGAGCAAATTCGTGCTATACAACCTGGACAGTGGATCAATTGCGGTGGCGGCGGTTTGGGCTGGAGTGGTGGTGGTGCACTTGGAATCAAGCTTGCCGTCGATGCTGAAGACGCTGCCCTGCCACAAAACGAGAAGAGAATCGTAGTACAAATTGTGGGCGACGGCAGCTTTCTTTTCAGTGTTCCCGCCAGTGTGTACTGGATCTCAAGCAGATACAAGATTCCTGTCCTCACAGTGGTCTTGAATAACACAGGTATTTGGAGATTCGCCTCAATGAGCTTTTCAGTTCATTCCATTTGTATGCCGTTTGACTGACTTGGCTGCCTACAGGATGGAATGCTCCCCGAAGATCAATGCTGCTGGTTCACCCTGACGGCCCAGCGTCCAAGGTTTCGAACTCTGAGCTGAACATATCCTTCGATCCCTCACCGAATTACTCCGAGATTGCAAAGGCAGCAACAGATGGCCAAATATTTGGAGCCAGGGTCAAACTTGCGGACCAGCTGCAGTCTTCGCTTGAAGAGGCGATTCGATCAGTCCAATCGGGGACCTCGGCAGTTATTGATATTGCTGTCAGTGTTCCGTAAGCCAGATTCCTTAGGTAGCTTACGAATAAGATGCTTTACTGGAAGATGTAGAATTTTATATGAGCGCTTGCAAGGGACAGCAAAGTGGATGCATGTTTGCTTTTCGTAGCAACTTCGGATCGGGATAATCCCTTGATGGTCAACGAGGCAATACGATAAATGAGTTCAATTGTTTCACTCCAATATAAATATTTAGAGATTAAACCCCGATAATGTTGCGGCGCGTGTATATTGTTGTCCTGGGATAGCTCACAAGCATAGGCAATGGCTCAAGATATTAGAGACGCGAAGAATCGCCACCCTGACGCTTTAATTAATAGTATTAATATATTTACTCACGGTTCAGTATAAACACTTTTAGCTGTAGCCTGATATCTACACAGCCATTCTCTGTGGCAATCCTGAGATGATAACTGAGACACACCCAAGCATCCTTATTGCTCTGTTCATTATTTACCTCTCAACCAGAGGTCCATTATACTCCTTCCTGGCCCACAACACGTAATAGAGGACGCTAAAGATAACGAGACCACCCGTCACCACAACGCTGTAGTTCATCATGTCGACGGATGGGTTTAGAACTGGAGGCCAGAAGCTGAAGAAGCCAACGGTAATCAGGTAGCAAATGGTGAGGACATTGTTTGCAATACCAAAAATACCAGGAAGGTGGAATGGACCCCAGACAAGTTCGGCACCAGCAGTATTGGCGAGGGCTGGCAGATCTGAATCAGGAAGAGCGAAGCCCTTGGTCATTCGACGGTAAAGGAGAAGTACCGCGGCAATGAGGTATGAAGCGTAAAGGCAGGAAATGGAGAGTGAAGTGACGTTTTGGAAGGCGACGGGAGAACCAATGTTGATGAACGACAGAAGAATTGCAATGACGGAGGTGAAGGCAATAGCCCAGACGGGAACCGTAGTGCGGCCGTCGACCCTTGAGAGGACCCCCCAGAAAGGAAGACCACGGTCACGGGCAAATGACCAGAAAACCCGGGAAGTTGAGGCAAGCATGCCGACAGTCGCACAAGCACCCAGAATCATGATGATGGCAGCCATGACGGTAGCACCGCCAGTCGAGTTGGTGGCCTGCTGGAAGATGTACATATGAGGGAATCCCAGAGCACCCGGAGCGGAGGCAGCAGCGTCGTCGAAGTTGCCCATACAAAATACCATGGCGATAAGCATGGCGAAACCGCAAGTGCCGTTGATGATGAGACTCAGTAGGATCGATCGGGGGACCACAACACTGGGGTTGACGGTTTCCTCGGACATCTGCCATTGTGTGAGCAAGTACCAATTCAGAGTGCAGAGGGAAAACTTACGTGGAATGCGGCATCGGTACCGACAAACGCAAAAGCGTTGCCCATCATGCCGACCATGAAGGATATTCCTTGAGTCGACCAGCCACCATTGTTGACCCATGTCGTAAAGATCTCCTTGGCGTCGCCGTGCGGCCCGAGAGTAACGAGAGGAATGAGAATGGCGAAGAAGCCAAGAATGTGTAGGATCAGGATGAGGCCTTCGAACTTGGGCAGCGCAGAGCTGACAAGAGTGTTGATGAAGACGGCGAATAGAAGGATGACCCAAAAGAGCAGAGTGCCCTGCCACAGCTTCGGCTCAAAGCTAGCGTTGTTCATTGTAGCCATACCAAGAATCATGTTGCCAGTGAGGAGAGCACTGGACGAGACAGAGCCTTGCCAGCCGCCGACAGTCAACCATCCAGTAACATAGCTCAAGAACTTGGCGCAAGATCGAGGCGCCAGCATCGCGACCCAGTGGTATTGTCCGCCGGACGTGGGCGCCATGGAGACCAGCTCGCTCATGGTGGTGAAGACGCTGAAGTTGCCGAACCAGACGAAGAGGAAGCTGTAGAGGACACCTGCAGTGCCGCCGTTGTTGAGACCTTGGGCGAAGAGCACCGTGACGGCTTCCCAAGTGATAAGAATGGTGCAGCTGAAACCGAGAATCGACATGAAGCCAAAGTTGCGCTGCGAGATGTGTCAGTGAGGCGCGCCGGAAATCGTCATGTATTCTGACTTACCCTAAGGACTTGCTTCTTTCCCAATCGCGCCAGTTGATCTTTGTCACCATGGTCGCTGTCAGAGCCGCCTTCGGAATGGGGTCCAACCTCGGCCACGACGCGAGACTCATTGCCCTTGGCCGCGGGCACGTTGCCCATCTCATGGCTGCTGGTGAAGCTACTCATTGTCACAGCCCAGACAGAAGAGCTAAGGGGAGACTGTCAATGACAAGACAAGTGCGGAGCAAAGAGTGACAGAAGGGGATGCACGGTTTAAACGGCAAAGCAAGTTCAAGCAGAAAGTCACTGGATCTGCAGAGACGCATGCATGATTAGGTGCAGGAAGAGCAACGAAAGGGGACCACGTTTCCCGCAATCCTTTTAAGACCAACAGTTCTCAAAGGAGTACTCCGTATGGGGTGTAGTACTACAGAGTACATACTGACGGGCGGAATGTAACTGTCCTCGCCCGTTGATTCGGTTAGCGGACCGACCGCCCCTCCCCCGGCATATCCACACCCTCCCTGCTCCCTCCCCTGCACGTTCTGCATGTTGGCCATGGCACACATGTTCGACGGAGGCAGAGTTCGGGTCTTTTTGGTCTTGGCCGCTTGCTAGGACCAAGGGGAGCTGCCGGCTTCCAGCCACCCGGTCGAGATGGTGGTGAGGTGATTCCCGGGCTTGTTGGCCTCCAGGGATAGGGACGCGGAATGAGGGAGCGTTGAGATAACGAGTTGTATCCCGAGTAGTCTTTATCTTGAGTCGTCCTGCCGGTCCCTGTTCGAATGCTGACAAGACCGGGCTGTCGCCAGTACACCTTACAACGAGGATGCTCATCCAGGTCAACAGGCCCAGGGACAACTTACGACCACCTCAGCAAAAGCAAAGAAGCTGCCGTCACAGTTACCTCGCCGTTACAGCACAGGAATTCATGCATGGCCCCTTCCATCTACCAGGTGTGCCTCGACCAGAAACACACTACCGGGAGCAGATTGCCTACTACGTAGTACACGCGTCCGTATCGACCAACAGCCCTGGCTCGGTTACCATCGCCACAACATCATCGGTCGTGCTTTTGGCTGTTGGTCATGGTCATAAATGACAGTGCAAAGGAACCTTGGTCCCTGTCGCGCCATTTCGAATGGGGCCGAGTACGCGGATCACCCCAGCTCTTGCAAGGATCCATTCCGGGGGGTGCCGAGAACCTCTCGTTCCCCCACTTCTTTTCTCTTTTCTTGTCTATTTTATTTATTCTGTACTTTTATTCATGAGACACTAGCCCTTCTTGTACTCGTAGCGTGTAACCACTGCATTCATGCAAAGGGACAGATGCGTGTACATCTTTTGTCCGCAGTGACTCGATAATCACAACGTGTCTATGTTCCAGATAACTAACGCCGCAAATTGAGATGACAAGGAAGCAGAACACAACAGATTCTCAATATTATATTTCCTCCCGAGGGACTTTGCTGCCGTGCATGCTCTGAACGTCTACTTGCCACGTTTGGTGCACCAGGATTGTTTGACTTGAGTGACTTTGGTGACTTTGACTGTCCCAAGACTTCTTTTGCCCATCGGTTGTCAGGGCGACTCCCCGTTTCGTGGACTTGCTCATGTCAACCAGTTCATGCACATTGCTGTGCTGACTATGCTGCGAGATCGTGGTAATGGGTTCGTCGATCGTATCATGCGGCCGTGACCTGGAGCCAAGACCGCTATGCTGTGCCGACTTGTATCCGGAATGGGCTCCTGGCCTATACGTTGGGTAGCCGTTGCTGCTAGATTTGCCTTGCCGACGCAAATCATCAATGCGGATCTGGCCTGACTCGAGGCTGTCGAGGAATGGCTTGAGGTTGGGAACGCAAACGGTAAAGATGGCGAGACACTGTACCAGCTGAATGGTAATGGAGGCTTCCCACAGGGAGAAGGAGAGATCGTCGGACGCAAAGGCCTTGTTGGAGTAATAGATTTGAACGGCGACGGCGGGCACAACGCTGTCCATGTTGGTTAGCTCTCAAGCCCACGCGATGAACAAACTGCTGGATGGTAATGTAATAATAGTTACGTACAAAATGCGGCTGCCAAAGACACAAATGACCAGAATTCTCTTGGACCACGAGGTCTGAATTCTTCGAGCGTTGTCGGTCATGATGGCGACAATGGCAATATCAGTAACGATGTTTGCGACGGAATAGTACGTCCAGAAGGAAGTGAAGTTGATGCATCGAGTGCTGTCAGAATAATCCCATGGCCTCGGTAGTTGGCACTGGAAGAAGCTGACGACGAACGCACTCAGTCCCCAGAGACCGACGATGATCTCGAACACCAAGAGGGGCCTCTCTTGACCGCGCCGACTCATCATGCGAAGCCCCATGGTGCCTGACAGTTTGGAACAGAGCAGAGAGGCGATGAACATGGCGTTGGCGGCATACTGGCTCTACAGTCACATCGCATACTGAATCAGCGTTCCTGTCCACGAGTGTACAGCTTACTGTTGAAGTGACATACCTTGAAGAAAGTCTCCTTTTTGCTCGAGCTCAGTGTACTAAAAGGCGTTCCCAATCCATGTTCGCAAGCTATAAACACAGCGATGGACTGGCCGATGGAAAAGACCTACACGGCGGTATGAGTCAAGGGACGTCGGGTACAAGTCAAATTGTGCTGGCGTTGTTCACAACTTACCGCGGCGGCAACTGCCAGAATATCATCAATTTTGAGGGCTTTCACCATGTGAATCTTCGTTCCTGAGCGGACGAAGCAGGCAAGGACAGAAATGACGAGGAACATCATTGACAAGACCTCGACCAGTGGGGCCTTGTCAGTATCTGTGATGATCCTCTGCGGGGAGCTCATGATGGGCAACGTGGCGATCGGCACGGCTGCAGTGACATACTGCGACGAGGAACCGTCGAAAAAGCTGAAAGATGTGTTTGACGAGCTCGCGCGGCGTGCTGGGGAAGAAAGGAAAATGAAGACAGATAGCCGACTTACTTGGACCAGGTTGTGTGGTTACCGTCAATCACCCTGAGACATTTTCGCTCTCCGTTCCCGAATCCCCAAGAGAGGGTTCCCGGGCATGTTGTCTCCTGCTTACAGGTATCGAGAATTGCTTTGGCCCAGTCGATGGGTTGCGCCATTACGGCCCGTCACAGGAAGTACTTCGTACACCTATATCATAAACCTGGTCGTGTTGCATGGCCGTTTTGCATGGCCGAGTTGCCCTTGTCAACCAACAGCCACCTGCTCATTTGAGACACGCGGCCCCACGGGTTCTTGATATTCACTCGCTTGCTGGGCCATCCAACGAGGTGTGAAGATAAAAGGATTCGGGTGTTGGCACAGCCCATGTGAGGATTAGTTCGCTAGTGGAAAAATACGAATAAACCTACACTGGCGAGAGGGTTGCTCCCGATCCTTCCGAGGCCAATCGTCCCCCCTGCAGCATGCAGGAGAAAATGCAACCCCACCTCTTGGCTGTTGGTTGACAACGAAGATTAATGGTGTGATATGACACTGTGGCTTGCAGGATTTTCTAGACGAGAGAAACGACGTTACAGACCTCCCCTTCCACACATATTGCCAAACCAAGATCAAAACACCACAGCCGTTAAAGCTCGTCCTAGATCTATAAAAAGCAGGTCGGTCAGTTCGATGATCCTATTCAATATGCTGCATAGAGACTTCGCGGTAATACGCAGCACGTGGTTGATTTAGGGATTGCTGGCTTTGTCATTATGTAACTCTTTGTGATATATCACTTCCATAAGGTGCTTCATGCACATATCCCAGCAGCTATCATTTTTTCTGTTGCCAACCCTTTCGAAGGATTCTCTGCCCCGGCCTGAGACCGTCCAGCATTCCTGCGGCGTGGCGTCCGCGTATGACCCCCGTACCTTGCAGCCGCCGTGCCAGGGAGAAAACGGTTGTCAGAGGCTTGTATGGATTACAATGACTTTGTCGGAGATTTCAAGAGTGGTGACAAGGTCAACCGGTTCCGCGGGGACCGAACGGGGCCGTTCCGCGGCGGCTGATGGATGTGATTGTCACAGTCCTCCGTGGTGAGTACCGTAACCCGATACGGACATGGCAAGACCTGTGCAAGCACACCTCAGCATGCATAAAGACCACATACGAACTGTACATGTTAATGAATTCTGACGACACACTAATGTACTGCTCACTCCCAAGGCTTCACAGTCTTTCCCTCCTCGTAGTGCCCGCCGATAGGCCGCCACATATCCCAAAAGGTGATGGGCTGCAGCTCCTGCTCAATCTTCTTCCACGCCTCTCCCGGGGTCTCTTTGGTGGGTTGCAGTTTGTTCTCGTTGACGACAACGAAACCATGTTTCTTGTAAACTGGAACGCCATATTCGGTGGCGTCCAGCCACATCTCGACGCCCATCTCATCGGCTTTTCGCTTCCCCCATGTCAACATCATATCCGCCACACCTTGGCGCCGGTAGTCGGGGTGTGTGAAGATGATGTTAAGGACTTGCAGCATTAGCATATTCCATCCGCAACGGCTGAGGTCCAATCATGCTTCCGTCGTTGACTTACAAACCTGCGGCCTCGCCCCCATCCTCTCCCTTGGCGCCTCCATTGCCTCTAAGCACTTGCTGACGTACTCGCGCGCCTCCCCTTCCGGATACCAGTAAATCTCGGAATGGTCATCGGGCTTCTCAAACGGGTTGGCTGGGTAAATCTTCCACAGGCAAGCTCCTACAATCGTGCCGTTGTCATCAACAACCTTGCGCCAGTAGCTCGCTGGATCCGATTCGTGCTCCCCCCACATGCGGCTGGCAGACTCCCTGAGAGAATCAATACGGGCTGAAGGTCCGTCACCGCGGATGGGACAAAACATGCGGAAGAAGCTTTGGGCAGGATTCTCGTAGGAGATCCACAGGCATTCCATGACGTCGAGAAAGTCGGTAGCCGAAGCTACCTCAACCAATGTGAACGGCATGACGAGAAAAGACGAATGTTGATGGCGAAAGTGGTAGGAAAGCTTGAACCAGACTCATCAACTCGGGAGAGGCCGAGAGAAAGAGAAATAGCAGTGGCTGTAATGGCGCACTGGGAATGCCTGCTCTTGGCGCAGCTCCACCCACTTTAATGCATGGGATCCAACCAATTTGAGGCCTAGTTCGCCATCCTTCACAAAGATCCAGTTATGTGAGAGTTTGGCACCCATGTGCAAGTCAACCTAATCAGTGTTGGCGGGACAAGGGCGCAGGTTACATCGTCCCATCCCATACAGGGATGCTTTCGCAAATATCTACCTAACGGGCGGGCGAGCAAGGGCAAAATGTCGCCATCTTCGGCGCCGGGGAAGCGATCCGAGGCCTAATCGAATCCACATTGTATTCAGCCGGTTAACGCGGCCTTGTCCCTCGCAAACTTGTCAAGGATAATTCCTCCGTACGTCAGGTTGGGGATAGCGACTAGACTAACCGGGATGTGGTCAATTCTTATCCCCGAGGATAGCATCAGCTAAACATTTGCTTTTTATCGAGCGTTGTACAGTTCAGCGGACATGCAAAAACGCCGGCATCCCGGTTGGCGACTGATTTACGCGAGTTCCGTACATGCGATGATATTCTCTGTCACGAACCATCTCCACCCAGTACTCAGGGGTGGCAGGAGCCAGTCCTGGGCCTGACGGGACCCGGAGGGACATGATAGGATCTGAGATGGGTGACGGCTTACCCTTGCATTTGGGTCCTCGGATCGTGTACGGATACCGGGAAATCGAAGGAGCACGTTCAGAAAGAATCGACACGCTCCACAATGAGAACGGTCCCACCAGGAAGGATACCCTATACAACATCGACAGCGAGAGCTCAGCTGCCAATACTACGCTCTGCTACTGCCAGGAAGAGACCTCCGATACTCACCACAAATTCCGTAATCTCGTTTGTTATCAGACGTAATTGCGGCCCTTTGACCCAGCGAGGTAGCAGTTCATCGTCACATGCACTGTCAACGCAGCATTGACTGAATAAAGCTGCTTTTCAACAGCCAGGACGTTACAATTTAGAACAAGATGTTAATACCACGTAAAGTTAATGGCAATACTTGACGGTTGTAAACAGGGTTAAAATTCGCATGCTGATCCCATACCACGATAATATGTGAACAAGAGTGTAAGGGGCCTAAAACTAGGCTCTCGGGACATATCTAACGTTGAAGCGCGGCTTTGCCCACAAAAACTGAGTCTTGCAATCCCTAGCCCAGTCGACTTCCCGTCCTGGCCCAAGACTTTGCATTGCCTCCCAGTTAAACAGAAATACCAACTTCGCCAGGATAATTCGCATCTCCATGTAGGCGAGGTTCTTTCCTAAGCAAGTGCGTGGCCCGATGAGGAACGGCTGGGATGCTTTGAGCGTGTCACTGGCGTAACGGGGGTTGTACAGACTGTGGTCAGTAGGGAGCCAACGCTCGGGGTGGAAACCCTCTGGGTCGGCAAAGTAGCGTGAGCTGTGTCCTAGAGTAAATTGGTGTCCAGATACGATGGTCTATGGTAATACGATACTCAGTTACTCCATCCTACGTCCAAGAAGCAAGGAAAACATACCCCTTTGGGAATATAATTGCCATCGACGACAGCGCCTGGGCTGACGCGGGGAACGTTGATAGGAAGCGGGATAAAAATCCTGAGGCCTTCTTTCACGATGGCGCCGAGATATGGAAGGTCGCGGGTGCTGACGTGGTCAATTTCCTCGATGCTCTTGAATGCCGTTCTGACCTCCTGCTGAAGGGCACGCAGGCACTCCGGTCTTTCCAAAACAAAATACGTCACGCCCGCGAGAGTCGTCGCGGTTGTTTCCGAACCGGCAATGAGCAGCGAGCTGGCGTTTGTTCGCAGGAACTCTTCGGAAGGCTGCTTCTCGTTGCTGGTCAGCAGATGGCCGAAGAAGTCGGCACGGTTGTTGCCCTTCTCAATGCGCTTTCGCATGAGCGTCCGTGAGAATTCGATGTGTTCTTCTCGCTCCTTCTTAAGCTTTGAGATGGGCAGCATAAATGGCGCGAGAGGTAACAGGTAAGGCATGCGGCGGAAGATGCTGAACAGTGAGCCGGTGTACAGAATGTTGACAAGCATGGTGATTTGTGGGTTTGTTTTGGCTGCCGACTTGGTTAGTTTGCTGTAACACTCACTGGGGAGACTGACCTGTCTCGACGGCATGGAAAGATTCGCCAAACGCAAGATCTCCGATAATGTCGAAAGTTAACCAATTGAACCACTAATTGATGTCAGATACTCAGTCCCAATTTATTAAGAACAGTCTCGGCGTTTACCTCATCAACATCAATGCCTTCCTTTTGATGACCATATTTCCCAACCTGCTTCATGAACAAGTTGATATGCTCTTGAATCATGGTCACCTGCTCCGAAAGGGCAGTCTCGCTAAAGGAATGAGCAAGCAGCTTCCTGGTCTCACTATGCCTCACGGCATCTCGCTCCGCACCGAGAGGTGACATCTCGTCAGGGTTGTCGTAGAACTCGGACTTGAGAAAGACCTTTCTGCCTCTCTTGTTGTTTGCGTGGCCATACAAGTCCTCGAACGCCTCGACAGTAGTGAAGAGGAGCTCGTTGGGGGCGATCCGGATAACATCTCCATACTTCTTGGACAGATCGAGCAAGTCATAGGCCCACCTTCCTCCCATCCTGACGGCATGTTAGCTAGTGGGGTTTAATAGGTACGAGATATTTTACCAATGCTTCGCGTGCCATAGCTGCGAAACGGCTGCGAGTTTGGGACCCGGGTACTTGGCTAGAGGATGGAAGTAGTAGTTGTAGACCACATAGAAGCAGATGTATGCCGTGAGCTGTATGGTTAGTTTAATCACATCCTAAAAAGTTACCAGCAACAAATACTCACGAGGCCAATGGAAGATACTGATATGACCCCTAACTTCTGGGCTGTGGATAAATTGCTGGGAATCTTGTCCATCATTGTCACGATTGGATGGGAGTAAATGGTTCTTTCAAAAACCAGGACGAGAAGACAATTGTCCACAGTCATATACGAATATGATTCCAGGCATGTCAATGGGCTCAAATATTACTGCTATCTACAAAGAGGCTGGTGATGCATGGGACGATTACACGATATTACGGAGAAAGCCATTACAAAGAAAGCCATGACAGATACGGTGCGTGATTGGAAAAGAAGTCTATTTGTATGGATAGCATTGTTCCGGTGAACGCCCAACCCCATACCCCGCAAACAGAGAGTGCGGGGATGGCACTGGGGGATCCGGAAGTGAATTCTCCGACTAATGATATCGTAGAAGTGACAGAAGTCTGGGGAAGTCTAGATCTAGATCATCACACCATCAGACCGGCTAATTTCCCTCCTCGTCTCAGCTAAGGCCGAGGTCAGCGTCTACCCTCGGGTATATAAAGTCGTAACGTCGCACTGCGATCTAATTGTAGATGCCCGCACATTCCTCGAGTCACATGTCTCGCGTCTATTGTTATTTGTCAATATGCCCTCCCTTACCCTCAGCCAAGAAGCTGCGACGCCGTTGCATAAGACACTTTATCGTATGTCGAGATGACTACAACGAGCATCATTAACTTCCATCATGCGAGAGCCAACATCGACGCAAGGCGTTTGAGAAGAATGTACTTACCAGACGAGCAATCCAAGATAGGCCACTTCCATGCAAACTCCTTGCTCAGCTTCCATGTGCGCATATGATAAATCCCCGGGTGTGATATGCCGCGCTGCTTGATTTGGTCATGTCTCTCCTCGCCAATTTTTGACGACCGGTCGGCTGGTTTAGATGATGTCCCTGCGTCGGGCTGCGTCAAACTGGCGCCTTGTACGCGATTCGTGAGCTCTTGCACAATCAGATCCTCGGCCGGATCAAAACCCATAGAAAAGGCCAGGTCCACCGGGACATTGATATACGTCCAGTTCGTTTCCTCAAGACACGTTGCGGCCGAACCAGATGCGGACTGTTTCTCCTGCACGTTCATTGCGTTCTGCACGTAGTCATAGACGCCAACTGCAATTTCCTTCTCGGGTATCTCAATAACGGCATGCAGGGTTAGCTCTTGGCACAGCAAGTCCAGGTCGAGGCTGTCCTGGTGCAGGATCATCTGGTCGCGTATCGACGGCCACGTTATGAAGTCGATGATGATAGGGTGGGACGTCGAGGCGTCCTGTAGCGGAGTGGGCCGAAACGGCTCCGGGATGGCCATGCGGAACTCTGTCGTGTTACATAGCCTCCACTGCAGGATGCGTTCTAGACACCGGAAGAAATTCTAAAGAAGTCGGTTACCGTTGAAACTTAGAGGTATATCCTGGGCAGGTATTCAAACTAACCGAGCCATATATGTACGTTGTAAGGCCAGAAAACGACGCTATCACATTGACACCCGCCGACGCAATCTGTTGAATAAGTTGGGCTTGGTCGAAGTTACTTCTAGTGGCCAACTGACCTGCCGAGGCCTGACTGTTGGCTTGGGCAATTTCAGAAATGTACCGTTTGCAACCCGCTTCAACTTTACTGGCAAATGACGTCTTTGAAGATATCGGCGCGAAATCGACGGATAGGAAGAAGGGGTCAGTCAAGGGGTGAATGGCATCAAACGTTTCTGCTCCTCCAGCAACGGAGGGAAGCTTTGGTAAGTGGCCGTAGAAGCCAGTTGGAAGCATTGCTTGGGTGCTAGGCATCGAGAGCGGTTCTTTGCCTTGGGAATCGGGTGCGCTCGAGGTTCGCACAGCTTCGTACATGGTATATCCCGCAGATGTCGCAGGGACGAGATGTGGTCTGTTCTGCACGACAACTGCAGCGGTGGGATCATGTCTCGGTTCAACCTGGTTCTGCGGCGGTGATACAGCAGAACCGCGTTCACTCCCGTGGTCTTTCAACAACGCATCAAAGACACTGTCCTCTGAGACGAATCCATCAGCCAAAGCTCACTCAAAAACATCACAGCTCCAGGGGAAACTTGAGCTTACCAGCAGCGGCCGAGGCACTTTGGCCAATGTACGTGAGCTTCTGCCGGAGCCCGATCAGGTTGTCCTTCAGTTGGCGATTTTCCTCGAGCAGCTCCAGGTGGCTGCGCAACAGCTTGTCGTAGCGCGCGTCCTCATCCTGGGTGGCCTGGCCCGACTTGATGGCCTCGACGAACGACTCCAGGTACTGTAGCCGGCTCTGCTGCTTTTCGCGGAAGCTCTTCTGCGCAACGCGGTTCTGCGCACGCTTCTTGTCGTCTTCCGCGGCCGCCACCGCGGTTTTGCGCTTGCGTGTCCGGGTCGAGGGCAGCCGTTCGTTTGCAGATGCAGAATCCATCGATAAAAAGAGGGACTGTCAGTGGGAGAGCATTGAAGTGAAGGCCGAGGTTACACTGCTGTCGTTTCGCCTATGGACGGTTTGGCTGCATTGGGTTCTGAATATGCGGTGACAGGTTATCTAAATAATTTACCAGGTACGCTTAAGTTACCCCGCATTTATTTTCTGCTTCCAGGATTGTACATGAGTCCAGCGAATTGGAGACGCGAATGGCGTGCGGCGCAGTCCGGGAGTTAGACGAACCCGATCCGGTGGCCGATGCAACTGTAGTATCATCATGAAACTTGTTGTTGAGTCAATGTCAGTAACCGAAAATTCGTTCCGATTTATCTTGGAAAAATACTGTCATTCATATATACTGCCATTGGAGCCCTCCATTGACTCTGCAATTTTCCTCATTCCACTATGAGCTTTCCACGTTAATATTAGCGAACGCACAGTGTGCTGATTCATCCGCCATTTGCACACAAGCACACGTTCTCGAGCTCGATTTTCCACAGCAATACATACCTAAACTAGATCATTTGATTCTAATTATCTCATCTAAATACTATCTAGCCTCCATAATTTTCAGAAACTGCTGGCTAGACTGATAGTCAACGTACCCTTTCCGTAATTTAGGAGTAGAAATACGTCCGCTCGTACTTCGCCAGCCCGACGCCCGACTTGATCCGGAAGATGAGATCGGGGTTGGCAACAAATTATCTGCCAAACACGATAGCCACGTCATAATTCTGGTACACCTCATCCACAGCCGTCCTAGCCGAGTCTGCTTTGAAGTCTCCCGCGATCAGTACCGGGCTGGCGTTATCCCACACCTCGACTACTCGCGTATTTTTGCAACTTTTTCCATCTGCCCATATACTTCCAGTCCATTCTCAAATACTCTGCATTGGATTCTGGCGCCCTTATTCTTCCCATTGTCATTACCACGTCGCTCAATTCTATTTTATTAGGGCAGTACATGAGCCGTGCTGGTCTTTTTTTGCTGTGCATTCTCGTCGGTTTTATCCTCTGGGCCGTCGGAAATGGGTTCACATTTATTTTCGACAAAAATACGGGCCTCGGGCCACTAATTGGTATCCTCATCGTCGAGGGTGCCAGCATTGGTCTCACCCTACAGCAAACTCTGGTGGGGATGTATGCCAACAGTCTCAGCGAGGATCGAGCTGTGACGACGGGACTGCGAAATTTCATCCGCACCATTGCTGGAACATTTGGCCTGGTTATTTCAGGAGTCATTCTGTCAAACACTCTAAGTAAGGGTTTGTCAAGTAACCCATCAATGACGGATACCATGATTGCCCAATTGACCTCGTCTACCTACGCACTGGACGAATGATGTTTCAGAGCAGGAGAAAAAAGACATCCTCAAAAATACATGGATGGTCTGCATTACATCTTCATGTTATTTACTCTTTGCTCAGGTTTGAGTGGGTTATTGACCGCTCTGGTTGGGAATACGAATCTCAACCGTCAAAAACCATTAACTGGTGTAGTAAACGATGGTGAAACCACTGCCCATGAAGAACTGGTGGAAAGACCAGGGGATGAAGAGATGGCGTTAGAGAACCGAAGCGGTAGACATGGCGTTTAGGCAACCACCAAGCCAGGTGGCTTGAGGCAGCATTTTAAAATTGATTAGGGTGCTAGATGAAGTGAGCAAAGAGCATTGCAACACGGCGATTCGCATTTGGCAGAGGAAAAGCACATAAAATTGCATATTGTTATTTATCCATGGTTAATGTTTATTAATTCCTACTTTGGATTTTTATTCAGTTCTGGTTGTGTACGATGTTATGCTCTCGCAATCTACCCGACAGAAAATTAAAACCGCAGTGCTCATTCCCTCATTAGTGAGCATGATGATTAGTGCATTTCCGGGTTGCCTGTTGAGTACATAATCAACACACTGCATGCTGATAGGCCATCTCTGCAATTTGTGGCGGAGCAGCCACTTCTTCAGCTGAAAAACCCCTGTCGTATCTTCGTTCTGGCTCTACCACACTTAGGCATCAATGTTTGGGACATATAACCTCCGTCGCCAACTCTCACTTATAATTCAGTCTCTTCTCGCTTGGGCTTTTTAATCTCGCTACTCTCCATTAATTCATTGGAAATCAAGATCTTCATCAGCATCATGGACCGTGAAGCCGAGAAAGTTGCCGAGAAGCCGGAGGACATTTCTTCCCCCGTGTCCAACACGGAGATAGATGGGCCACAGGAGCAAGACCGCACCTCTCAGGTGATCAATTTCCCTGACACCGACCGCAAAATCGGCTTCGCAGAGTATGGATCTAAATCTGGAACTCCCGTCGTCTATCTCCACGGCCTCCCAGGATCGCGGTTTGAAGCTTCATTATGGGAGGCAAATGCCACAGCTCTCGACGTGCGCCTCATCGGACTCGACCGACCTGGCATGGGTCTCTCAACACGCGATTCAGCCCGCACAATGACGGCATATGCGGGTGATGTTGCAACGGTGGCACAGCACCTGAAGCTCGACAAATATTTCATCCTGGCTGTTTCTGGAGGTGGCGGATATGCATTGGCATGCGCCGCGCAGAAAGACAAACTCCCGGGGCTCCAGGGCGTTGGAGTCGTGGGCGGTCTTGGCCCACGCAACATGACGCAGCAGGGCATGGGCTTGATTCAAAGACTTAGCTTCCACGCAATGGACTGGGTCCCTAATGGCGTCGTGGGATGGATGTGGGATGCAATGATTGGGAAATCAGCAAGGAACCCCGATCCAACAGTACTGGAGAAGGCAGTCAAGAAGCTCTTGGCAACAGAAGTAAAGGGCGCTGATACCGATATCGCCAAGGATGAGAATAATATGCGGATTTTGACAGATTCGCTACGCGGCGCGTTCATTCAGGGAAGTCATGGGTATGTACACGAAGCAAGTCTAGTCGTGAAGCCTTGGGGATTTGATCTGGAGGATATCAAGGGCATTCAGGTCAGGCTATGGTATGGAGAGAAGGATAATCTCGCCCCACCGGCTGCGGGCAAAGCGATGGCCGACAAGATTCCCAATGCCGTTTTCACGAGATACGAAGGGGAAAGCCATACATCATCAGTCATGAGGCATCAGAAGGAAATCTTGACAGCGCTGTGCGGGTTGAGTATAGATCCCGAGTCTTAATCCAACACAAGTTGGTATGTTTTGAAGTTTCGCAATAATTACCTAGATTTAGAAACACTACTTTATTTACTAAATCTCCACTCCCCCTCTTTGCTGACCGCAAACATATCCCATACCGTCGGCAAGTCTGGAGCTGGCCGGAAACCATGGACCGATTGCGCTTCGACTCATCACCTTGGCAAGTGGGACGCGATAAGACGCTCAATTCCTACGACATTTGCGACGAGATAATGGGAGCTTATCAGAGCCCCTCACAATGCGCCGCAGACTGAAAGATTGCGATCCAACTTCCGTACCGGCCTCTTTCTGCTAACGGACGAAAAGCGAAGGAATTCGCCGATGGCGCCGCTGTTGAGGATTCGATCCACTTGTCAACCATAAATACACATCATTGACAACTCTTTAGTGCGGTCTCTAAGCGTGAATCTTCCTCAATTGTCTCCCAACTTCAATCGTCCAATAAGATCATCATCATGCCTGAAATCTACGCCTCTCATCCCGACTACGGCTTTGCGCGTGACTTCAAGGGTTATGGTGAAAAAGGACTGGAAGGCTTGAAATGGCCCAACAAAGCCAAAATCGCCATTTTGTTTGTCATCAACTACGAAGAGGCAAGTTTAGCTCTGCTTAGGAACAAGCCCCATTTACTCATTCACACCGGGCGGCGAGCGCTCCGTCCTCAGCGGCGACGGCGTCGCAGAGACAAACCTCCCTGAACACCCTGAAGAGGGCCGCCAGAACGAGCGCAACTACGACGCCGAGGCTGAGTACGAATACGGCTTGCGCATCGGCTTCTGGCGTCTCTTCAAGGTCTTCAACTCGCACAAGATAAGTTCACCCTCTATGCTGTCGCGAAGGCCGTCGAGCAGCAGCCCGAGGCCGTCACGCGTTGTGTCGAGGAGGGCCACGACATCGCCTCACACGCTTGTCGCTGGGTTGACCACCACGACTGGTCAATCGAGAGGGAGAAGGCGTACATCCGCAAGGGTATCACCAGCCTCAAGGGCCTGACCGGGCACGCGCCTAGGGACTGGTACTATGGCCGCCCGTCACCACACAGCCGCAGCTTGATCCCCCAAGTGTGCCAGACGGGGCCCCAACAGGTGTCGAATCAACTGGCAGTGCAGCATTTAACGGCATGTGGACGGTAAGTCCTCGTCCAGCGTTCTAAACTTGTTGCAATTTCTAACCTATTCTACAGGCGCTTCATACACCTGTCGTGAATCTTCCAGGCTTAGCGATTGGTTTATCCTTAGTTGCACCAAGGTACCATGAAAGGCATTTGCTAGCAGTTAGTCAGAAGTTTGGGGAGACTTTTGAAGCAGAAGGTGGCTGGAAGCCTAGGAATTAGAACTGGAAATAACAATCCTTGCGTGCCATTTCGAACGGATAGAGTGCGAACAGATACCTTCAAGGTGCATGTTCTTTGATCAAAATGTGCTATCATTAAGTTTCTGGCTCTAGATGAGTAACCGGGATGACGAAACTACCCAGAGTAGGCCACCGATCATATCATTAACTAGGCTATCACCAGTTACCTTTAGGCATGACCGTCGAACCCAACATTTCAGACCACGCGTGCTGAGACGACCTTGATGCATGGTTTCGGAATAAAGGCATCAACCAATCACCACTATCGTTCATTTATATTCTCTGGAGCATAGTTCGCAGAATCATGTGGTTTTTCTATTCGCGCACTTCATTGACCAAGCTGCTGCTTGAGGGCATCAGACGACGTGCTCGTATGCCAAGTCGAGCATGCAAGAACCTCGGACCTTTCAATTCGCCATTTCAGGAAATATTTGAGGGGTACATAGCATCATAGCTTCCCAAAAAAGTTCTTTCCCCGGCACTATGAAGGCTTTCCTTGCCCAACTTGCCGAGGTCCCCGCAGGCCAAGACGTCCTCGACAAGCGCTCGAATCACAACCATCTCCCCGCAAGTCCCTCTCTTTCCGACTTCGGAAAAGTATGGCTACGACAGGGGTACAGTCGAAGTTAACTTAAAAGGTTAACAGCCGGTCCATTGACAAGAGTGCGCTTATTTCTGCCTCTCACATGCCGTATGATGTTATTGTGGGGAGCCAGTGGCAACAACATTCAATTGTCACGATCCCTGGACGTGGGGTTAGGCTTATGCGGGGGTGGAACTCAACTCAACATTACTAGTGAAGGATGATCTCGGTCCCAAATGGGCTCGGAGGACCGGGGCATCTCCCTTTTACGACGTATATAAAAACACGCATGCCGCCTTTACAACATGAGAAATAAGGCTCTTTCCCACTCAGTGATACTACTCAACCTTACCTGATCATAAACTCGACTTTGAGCGCGGTCCAGGAATATCGAACATGCGCGTTCAATCTTTCCTCGTTGGAGGACTCCTCGGCCTTCTTCAGGTTGCCTCTTGTTCTCCAACGCCGAAGACTCTTCCGCAGCCTCCGAGCCCTGTTGAGAAGCGAACTGTTCCCACGTCGACCTTTTCCAACAATGTCCTATTCTCTCCACCCGCCAATGCTGGCTGGACTGATCCTAGAGTTCTTTACTCGCGTGTTATAGAGCTCTCGGATGGGTCTCTTATCGCCACATGGGAGAACTATTCCCCCGAGCCTCCGCTGGTGTACTTTCCCATTTATAAGTCTCTCGATGGCGGCGTGACCTGGGCCGAAGTAGGAAAGGTTGAGGATCAGGTGAACAGCTGGGGCCTGCGCTACCAACCATTCCTCTATGAGCTCCCACAAGCTATTGGAGATTATCGGGCTGGAACCATTCTTCTCGCGGGAAACAGCATCCCGACGGACCTCAGCCAAACCAAGATTGATGTGTATGCCAGCACAGATGGTGGCGAGAACTGGGATTTTGTGAGCTCGATTGCCAGTGGTGGCGAGGCACGGCCGAATAATGGACTCACCCCAGTCTGGGAGCCATTTTTGATGTGAGAAATATTTTTTTAATAATATGACGAACGGTGACTAACTGGGACCCAGGGTTTACAACAACCAGCTGGTCTGCTATTACGCTGATCAGCGTGATGCCAACTATGGCCAGAAGCTCTCCCATCAGACAACTTCAGATCTTCTGACCTGGTCTTCTGTTGTCGACGACGTCCATGACAACAACAACTACGTAGCCCGCCCTGGCATGCCAGTTCTGGCCTTGTTGCCCAACGGTAACTATATTTACGTCTACGAGGTCTGCGGCACAGATGGTTGCCGGCTCCATTACCGCCTCACCTCCAACCCACTCAACATCCTCAGCGCTACGGCATATTCGTTGGTATCGACATCAGGAACGCGGCCTGTCAGCTCTCCTTCTGTGGTCTGGAGTTCTGTGGGCGGGGCTTCGGGTAGCATTATCGTCAGCTCTGGAAGTCAGTCGAACATCTTCGTCAACAAGAATCTGGGCGCAGCAGATTCATGGGTCGAGTACACCGTCCCTCAGCCAAAGGCCTATTCTAGAAATCTCATGCTCTTTCGAGAGGATGACAATTTGTTGGCTATTATTGGTGGAGGACATTTGCCTCCAAGCAGTGTCAATCAAGTTAGTATCAGTGTGGTTGACTTGACTGCGATTGGAGTGTAAAAAGCTAGAATACTAGACCTGAAGTCGCAGTTTAATATATGTACATAAAAGTGTATTTACTCCGAGTTCCTCCGAGTTCCGTCAATCTTTCTCCCTGGTCTTATGGTCCGTCCACTTCTACATCGCCATGCACTAAACCGCAAGAGCGATTGCAACTACGCAGAAAACCCCAGCCATACCAAACCTTTCCACTGTTCTTCCTGCTACACTCGTGCTATGAGTCGGGGCGGATGGCGAAGAGTCAGGTGTGCCGGTGGCCGACGCGCCCACAGTTCCAACACTCTTGGTAGGGGCAGAGGAGCCCGTGGAGTTTGAAGGGCATTCCGTCTTTGATGGCCAAGGGACATTGTAAGCTCCAAGTTTAGCCCAGATTGCATCCCAGAACTGGCACTCGGTGAAGTCAAGAGACGTAGACTTGAAACCATCCTGGATGTAAAGACCCGTGTCCTGGCATTTGCCAAATCGAGGCCAATGCTGGCGCACAGTCGATGGGTTTCCTTTCGCAGCCATAGCGGTCCAAGCCTCTATCAAGGTACGACTCATTTCCCTCTCGACGGTGGTGCCATTCGCAGTGCCATTACCCCAAGGCTGGTCGTCAAGATTGCCAAAGACGAAGGGCAATTCTGACGTATGAGTAGCCCCGAAATATTTGGCATATTTTCCGGGGAATGCAGTGCCGTTGATCCATAACCAAGGGAAGGAAGGGGTGTGATCAAACCGATAGGCAAAAGTTGGCGTGCCTGCAGCAACGGCAGCTCGAAGGGCTCGGTATGTTTGACAGCCGTAGCTAGAAACAGTGGCAATGTGGGTGATCGCCGCCATCACGGCCTCTTCTGTCGAGCCCGAGGCATTGAAGAGCGAGAGGGGGTACTCTTTACCAATAACAGGACCCAGGGAGCCCCATCGCGCCAGAAACTCCGTGTAATTAGCTTCTGTTATGGGCTCGCCGGTTCCCAGAAAAACTGGAAGGACGAAGAGTGAAGAGTCTAACTCGGCTACGTTGGAGTTAGCACAATAGTTCTTGAGAAAGACTGCACACATACCGGATCCTCCAATAATAGGCACTTGAGATCCAACCTTCAGAGGCTCTTCCTTGATGATCTCCCCATCCAGAATTGCAGAATTCAGATTCGTGATGTTCGGCAAGTTAAAGCCATAGATTGCCGCAAGGTTGTCGCCATTCAGGCTGGGATCGAGAAGTGCCGGGGTAGTCGTAAACGCTTCCCTGAGTTCCGCAACCGACTTTGACTGCAAGCAGCTCAACTGACTTTTTATTAGTGATCCAGTGTATTATTCCAACTTCATTTACTTACATCATGAATACTGCAATTCAGCGTCGTAGCATAACTCTCTCCACAGTACTGGGCAAGAGACTTTGATGTTAAGTCCTGGCCTCCTCCAGACTCTAGAATCGCAGCAGAGATGAGTGACTTCGCCTCTGGCAGGGTTGAAACTGTAAATGTATCGTCGCCACCAGCGCTTTGACCAAACAGTACAACAGTTGAGGAATCACCGCCAAACGCAGCGATGTTAGACTTGACCCATCGAAGTGCAGCTAGGTAGTCTTGAATAGCCATGTTTCCTTTGATCCCGGCGGTCTCGAGGCCAAGAAAGCCTAGAGAACCTAGTCGGTAGTTGAAGGTTACGACAATGGCATCTTGTGCCAGGTTGCAGGAATTGTAGAGCGGGTAGGAAAGCGAACCAGCCTCATTAGCGCCTCCATATCCCCAGACCTTGACGGGCAGCGCTGAGTTAGAGGTGGCATTGGAGGGAACATAGACATCCAAGTACAGACTGTCAAGATGGGTCAGATTAAGATTCATCCTCATCAAAATATGAAATAGTAGAAAGGTATTGACTTACCAATCTTCAGAAGCCGGCTGGTCGGTTACATCGAGGCTTGAAGGAAACTGAATGCAAATTGGAGGGGCCTTTGTAGCATCCAGAGATCCTCCGTCGTATGAATCTTTGAGTGGTTGTGGCGGCATGAACCTCAACTTCCCGACGGGAGGTTGAGCATATGGGATGCCCTCGAACAAATTTGTCTGCCCATTGGAGCATTTTCCTCCGTGAACGGTACCGGCGGAGAGTTTCACAACGGGGCCTGAGTTCCCCAGGACAGAGGACACGGCAAGGTGTAAGGTCGCTAGAACCCGATGAGTTCTCATTTTTGCAGTTTTGAATTAAGAAGTAGATCAAGGAGTCTGATGTCTTTGCAGTATTCGAACGATGAGAGCGGGAACAGATTCAGCTTTATGTATTGCATGTTGCTTTATGCGATCGGCGTTGGGCAGTGAAAGCTTCATCCTCTTGGATATGCACGGTTCTTTCCTAAAATGGAATTCCATTCGAGAACAACAGGCGCGTAGCCGGATTAATTGTTGAAGCTGACGCCCCGCTGATCCTTCACAGCATCAATTTTGCCGTGTAGCCGCGATGCCGCATTGCCGTATCCGCTAGGATCCACGCGACTCAGCCCTGTGTCTAGCGCTGTCAGACGCCAACATAAACGAGAACGAGCTGTTTCGAGTCTATTGCATCACAGCTGATGAGTCGACTTGATAGGCTAAATGAAATAGCTCAGCATTTAGTCTAGCATTAAACAAATGAACAAGATTGTATGCTGCAAAGCCGTGCTGATTAGTGGGTGGCGGGCTCCCGTGGCTTTCGATCTTGTAGGCGCCATTGCGTCATGCCACATAAACAAAGAGTCCTACTGACGGTGACCTCTCCATCTCAAGGCGCCTACACTGTTGTTTCTATTAGCTCTTATAATGGGATTACTGGAAATTAGGCAAAAGGATTTTGACGGATCTGCGCTTGTCTCTGATTTAACAATGTGAAAATTATTTTAGCAAGCTGTGCAATACACGAAACCCTTGTTCTTGTGACGACATTTAGACTAGAATTTACTCGAGACTGGTGCATACAATGCCTTCTGGCGCTGGACCACGACAGGATGCAGAATAGCACCGGGTTTGAGCTTGCTAAAGTCTAGGTCAACTCCTTCCACAATATCGGGGAACGGACCCATCGGGGTGATGGCGAGTGGGTTGATTTTGAAGTGGCTCTTGGTGTACTATATGTATAGTTAGTGGCTGGAGAAGCAAATGTTGCAACTGCAAACTCACATTCTCTTTGATGTGCCTAAAGTCCGTTGTCTCCCGGAATCCCTTGACATTCCAGTAAAGGTTCTTCAACCACTCGTGGATGACAGGGTAGTCCGCGCGGATAGTTCCCAGGTTGCACTTGAAGTGCTGGACGTAGACCGCGTCAAATCGAACAATGGTCGCGTACGCTCTAATGTCGAGTTCGGTGAGATCCTTGCCAAGAATGTATGGTCCGCCGTTCTGATGAATGAGCGCCTCCAAGTGGTTCAAAGCCGCAAATACCGTCGGCACGTTTTCGTCGTATCCCTCCTGCGTTGTCGCAAAGCCGGCCTTGTAGACCCCCGTGTTGAGATCTCGTTGCATCCAAAGGCTTATCTCATCGATGGCACCTTTTAGGTGCTCGGGATAGAGATTCAGCTCACTGTTAGGGCTGCCATCGGGCAGAACTGTGTTGAAGGCTGTCGGCAGCCACCGCAGCATCTCTGCGCTTTCATTGTTCACGATCTTTCCCTGTTTCTTCTCCCACAACAGAGGAACGCTATATCTTCCTTTGTACTCGGGGTCATCCTTGAAATATATCTCATGCATGAACTTGGATTTGAACAAATGATCCTCTGTCGCTCCGTCATAAGGATCATCAGGCAGGGTTGGAAACTGCCATCCAGGCCAGCCTTTGTCGTCTCCCTTCGGATATGGTTTGACAATGGAGATGTCAATAAGGGACTCGAGCCCCTTGATATGGCGAACCAAATTGGCGCGATGGGCAAATGGACAGAACAAGCCAATATAAAGGTGGTATCGTCCAGCCTCGGGAGGGAATTGCCCGCCATCGGCCACAACCCCATGCCAGGAATCCTCAGGACCAGCGTGTATCGACATGGTTCCGGCTTTCGAATAATCTGACAATGATGTTCAATAAATTTAATCAAATCGTGTCGATTCTTGCCTGACTACTTCTTTGTAGCTCGTAGATAGGAATGAAGGTTGGCGAGAGGGGATGCTTCAAGTAACCCCGCTCGGAAGCGCGGAAATGCGGAAGTACGGAATAGCTAGCCTCAAGCACGTCAGAGTTTATTTAGCATGAGACGAAGGCCATTCCGAATTCCAAGTCATAGGAGCCTATCTTGGTGCTTGATTCCTATATTCGTAGCTCGGACTTGCCATGATTAAAATCCCGCATGCGGACAAGTTTGGTCTCGTCCGGCTCACTATATTCTACCACGTATGAGAAGCTGTAGGGCCGCGACTCTTATCACCTCTATTCCTTGACTCGCATGCTCTTTTAATTTCATAATTGATATCGGATCGTTGGGATGTGTCCGAGAGCCGGGGAGCAGTCGGACAATGGCAACGCGGAGGGAGGGCATGCAGACGCAGATGTCGATCACCTTCTTCCTCCAGCTCAACTTAAGGAATATGAGCTGGGATAAGGGAATGGACAGCATCCAAAAGTCGATGGCAATGCTGACGGTAGCGTTTGACCAAGTAACGCGTTTAAGGTCAACACAATAGCTTTGATGTTGGCCATCCCACTGGTCCTAGAAATGGTCAAAAAGACGGCACTGTAATATAGCCACAAAAGCAAACACCATGCTGAAATTGCATCGAACATGATGGTTCCCAGTAAAACCCGGTGAGCAACTGTTCCCGGGAAAATAAGCAGGCAGAAGAAGAACAGCATCATCTTCACCAGCGTCATCTAAGTAAAATAAAGAACGGCCATAATATGAAGCCGAGGTTGGTAATGCAGTCACGGGGAACGGTCTAAGTGGCTCGGCTCAAGCGGTTGGCCGTAAGCCATATTGGTGACAATGTCGCTTGGAATGCCTGTAAAACTGGCGATTAGAATGCACCAGTCATCGATCTCGAGCCCGAGATTCCACCAAAACTTGAATATGATGCGCTTGGAAATGCGGACACAGGCGATGATCCCGACGGTGCTGGACAGGATGATGTGCTGGGTACCTAGATATGTCGCGGACTGGGGCGTCACAGTTTGTCATGGTCACGTTTTTTGTCGTTTTGGGGCGGCAGGGTAAGCTACAGTCACAAAATGGACCAGTGTTTAACTAATGCAACTCACTTAGAGGCTCTCTGATAGTGCAGTTCATCTGCGTAGAGCTTGTCATGTCCATTTCGATGCCTTCATCGGCCCAGGTGCACATCTTGTTAGTGGGCAAACACGGCGAATTCGCAACCGCGACAGCCAAACAAGTCAGCTTGAAAGCGTCAATTTAAGACGGCCTGGAAGCAGTATTGATTAAGAGGGTATGGAGAACTTACTGCGCACTCAGGCATCTGGGCCATCAGGGCATCTTCGGGAGACACTGCCTCGGCCAAGGACGCTGCCAAGCTTCCACATAGCTTTCATAGTGACGCACGAAGGCTGACACGACGAAGTCGTTTCAACGCCTCCAAATTAGGGAAGGACGAGGGTATTCACTTAATTAATGGGTGAACAGGATGCGGGGGATCGGGACGAGGGAGCTAATGGACGATCAGTCCATCGCGGTCAAAGCACAGAACTAACTCGAGTAGCACTGAGAACATGCTTCGGCTAACCGTGCCCCTTGTCACACTACTGAAGGGTGAAATCTGCCGCATGGTCCCAGTAGAGAGGGACTAGATCTGAACCGTCCGACACTCTTGTTGTTCAGATGATGAAGGCATTCCAACAATTGCGATGGCTGCTATGCGGCGTTGCAGCAGATGGGAGACGGCAAATGACGAAATAGCATCACCGACCAAAGGCCGAAAGATTTGAGGTTTTCCTGTGCAAGTGCATCCACTGGAGCAAAACATCTATGCTTGATATTTAAATTAACCTAAGATCAATTTCCAACAGAATTGGCATTGGTGAGATCCCGGCTTTTGTTCAAAGGTGGTTTGTCAGATGGTGCTGGTCGGGTTCCCGGTTGCCTTCTTCCAGGCGAGGGAATTTTATGTACATTCATGCACATCCGATTCAAAAAGTTAAACCCAGCATTTAATAATACCTAAGGGCGGTATTCTCTGGCATAACTGCCAATGGAGCGAAGTCGGCTCCCCTCCCGGTTGCAATCCCGAGGGGCACAGCACGTAACGGGAACCACCACTATCGAATTGGTCGGCGGCTCTAGAGAGGAAGTGCTCGTACATAATGAGCAGAGTGTCTCGCGAGCTTGCGCCAGCATATATATTATGGCTCATAGTTGCAGCTGCTGATCAATCCAGCACAGACCAAACCATCTTGCTGCACAAGTACGGATACCTCATTTCTTAATAGCGATAATACGCTACTCAAAGCTTTGTTAATTATTGAAGTAGTCAATATCTAATCCTCCGACACATAGCACGATTTATCTCCTTCTGCGTGTGATGTCTTCGGTATATCCAAGTTGAGAGCACGAGGCGAAGCAGAGCAAGATCTGTAAATGAGAGTTTCTCTAGATTTATTTACAGTGGTATTTTCTTTTGCCAATTGTTTAAAGCTGAATCAATAGATTATTCTCAGTCACTCATGATCGATATTTCTACCTCGGATGCATCTCTATCCTTGATCGGCATCTTAGGCCATCTCCGTCGTTGCTAGGCGTCGCCAGGTCCTTCGGGTGCTACATTGCCACGCACCCGCAGTATGATGAAATGGGGGTGAATGACCTAGAGTTATGAAATTACATGAACACTTTCCACTGAGGGAAATGGCACAGGCTCCCATGACCCAGTGGGACGTACTACTGTGCTCCCACAGTGTCCTTCACAACATCCTAGCTTACGCCACTTGGGTGAATTATTATAGCTCCACTCTCTCAAACTCTCTGTGAAGCCAGAAGTGCAAATGTCACTGGCCCGCGTCCCGTCATCATTCCATGCTAGGATGCTATGACTAGGTACGTTGCATTGAAGCTTCAATCAGGTCGTATAAGTGGGGCAGAACCTGTTCCTGATGTTTCATGCTCGTTTTAGGGGCCAAAACACAGGGAAGAGGAATGGCTCATTACGGACGCTGTGATATGACAGCACGGCAATTACGGCAATTCTCGAATTACTTATGGACTGAGTCCCCACTTGCCGCCACCCGAACTTCCTAACTTGATGCCGCCGTTCACGTTCATGTGCCGAAACAGGGAACACGACAGGGAGTTAATAGGCGGAAATTTGAATGCCAGCCTTTTAGATAAAACCACAGCATGCTGAAAAGTTCCATACTGATAGTGGAAAAATAAATTCCGTTGAACATCAGAGAATATAAATACACGATTCTCTCCAAATAGGGAGGAAGGAAATCAGAATCAACAGTTTAAAGCAGAGTCCTCTACCAAGCTGAACCAAAATGCGTCTATCCGCCCCTTTGAGCCTTCTGGCTTTGTTTCAAGTGGCCAACTGCCAGGACATTGTTAGCTTTGGTCCTGCCTTCTCGCTTGGCCCAACGAAGTCGTGGATTCGTGAATCCACTACGACACTGGTGCTACCTAAAGTTCCGAGCCCTCAAAAAGATCGACTGGCTCTGTGGGCTGGCATGGGTACCAGTGGCGGCGATTTGATCCAAGCACTCGCTGTTGCCTTTTCCGATCCCAAAGGGTATGTGGCTCGAGGGCAGAATTAGTATGCTCAGAATACTGACTCGCGAATAGTAATTGCGGCGCCAGCAATGGTCAATGGTGTACATGGGCCAGTACTCTAGAAGGTATTACCGTCACACCCGGCTTCAAAGAGTAGAGTAGAGGCTAACTAAAGCAGATACGCAGCTTGGAGGTACAGAGGTTCCTGCCTCAACTGGCGACAATTTGACATTCCACTGTAAGTCTAGTTCCAGCGCCTGGTCTCCCATATTGCATTCGCGCTGATCATCTATCTAGATAAATACAACGACTCTACCAGGAAATACGACCAGACTGTAGCAATCAACGGCAAAATTGTATCCTCTCTCTCAACCTGTGAGTATTTAGGTAAAAGCGTCTTGCCAATTTAGCTAACTAATATCGCAGCATCCGGATTTGCAGAAGGATGGGGTACCGCGGTAGAATGCCAAGACGATGCATGCGTTGGGACTACAGCTGCTCACAGTAAGTTTTCTCCTTCACTGCCAGTATAGAATCTAACCGCCATAGAATACCTTTCCACTACTATCATCCTGAATGCAACTGATGCAACATTCGGAGATACTCTGGGTCTCAATAAGGCTACTTCATCTGGTCTGTCTACAACAGATGGTGGGAAGACTTGGAAGGTGGCTACAATCAACATCCAATCCCATACCTTCGACGTGACCAGTTAAGCCTCGACCTGGAAATACAGTACCGAGGTGTATATAATTCATATATATTATGTCTAAACAGCACCAAATATGATCAATATTCCTTGGGTTCAGTGCAAGAACTTCGAGCCCATTGCCAACTTCCCCTTTGCTTTTCTCTTCTGTTAGCATTGCGCCGCCGGCCGGAGTAAGCGGATCCGGGACCGGCGCCCGATTCTAGTGCGGATAAATTACCAAAATTGGTTGTTCCAAATCATGCCCCATTTAAAACAACTTTGCGCCGAGTGGAAGGTAAACTCCAAGCGTCAAGATCCAGGTCCACCAATTGTACGTAATGGCGTCACGGGCGACCGCCGCCACTCGCCGGCGGGCGGAATCAGCTTTGCCGTTTTGTATATTAAGACACCGCATCGCATCTTTTTATCACAGTTAAATTCTTCAACTATTCAAACCTGATACATTCAACTCCAAAATGAAGGGACAAGCTGTTGAACGCATTAGCATCCGGTGGCTGCCGGATCCAGCCTTCGAGGATACGCGGACCGTTGCCCTCAATGTTGGCGGTTATTTTATCGACTTGCGCACCACCAAAGAAGAGCCATCCATCCAATGGAGCCACGCTGGCGAGCTGACTATTCTCAAGGAGGAGCCATGTAAGTTTCTCTTTCTTTTAAAAAGCCGGACATCACTGACTCAATATCTAAGTTACGTGTCGATGGACACACATCATCGACTCGCTCGGTTTCACTGATCCGGACGAGGCATCTTTCACCAAGTTGCCCAATGGTGATGAGCTCGAAGTCGGCGAGACCAAATGCCCCCACAAGAATGACGCCATGACGGCATATGAGGAAGTGTGGCGAGATGTAACCGCTCACGAGAAGCCAGAGGAGCCATCGTGGATCCTACGAAGTAGCGAGGGAAATACTTTCATTGGAAGGGTTGGAAACATCTATCAGGCCAACAGCCTGGATGCCAATGGGTTTTCTGCGAGGAGAGAAGATTTTGTCAAGAATGCAGGAGAATGGAACATTTCCTTTGCTGCTGGCAATGCCGTTTCCATCCCGAGAGTGGCTGATGTGTTGAAAGAGCTCAGCTCGAAGCCTAAGTGGTCAATTGGCGAGAAGGTCACAGTTAGTGGTCACGAATTCTCAGTCATCGCTATCGAGGAGAACTAGACGTTATTTACCGTTCGCCACGGGTCGATGCGTATTATGTATTTAGTCAATACCGGTTCAATCTGTCCTTACAAAGTCCCGCCAAGCATTTACTCCCCGGTGACTTACGAAGGAATATCTAACACATTTATAGGACTTGATCTTTCAATGACTGCTAACAAACCGAGCGGTGAAGGCAGTTGCCAGCTCGAAAACGGCGTGGTTCTCGTCCTGGTCTCCCTGTCAATCAGTATCCTAGACTCAGTGGCAAATAGAGTGGATGATAGCAATGTCGGACGGATTTGCCCACGGAGCAATTATCGAATATCAGTTTGCAGTTAATCTTCGAGGGAGTAGCGGGAAATAAATCCAATGGTAGGTCTAGTTGTTTCGGCCAGAGTCATTGAGCAGCGCTGACCCCATCAATAAGTAGGTTAGGGTATGGCATTTACTCCAGATGCAAGAACGTACAAGGCACAGTTTCAGACTCTAGAGAAACATGCATACAATTAAACAGGAAATAAACCTAATAACCATGATTGGGGACCATTGGAAGTCCCGTGAACTTGCTGATCTTACCTAGTTTTCACCGAACGTATTATCGCCTATGATTGGGAGCACATAGAAAATGTAGGTTCCGGCCATAAATAAAGGCATTAGGTGGATAAGATAAAGATTTAAGTTTTGGTTAAATGGTATTGAACTTATTAGGCCCCCCAGTGTATTGTAAATGACAAATGCCGTGTTGTTAGATATAAAGTACTCCGGACGCCCCGCTCCCATACAATGAGCCCCAACCTCTATACTCCGTCTAAAAGTGTGTAATCAAGTTGAGACATGCATATGATCAGCTTGCTTTCCTCTCTGGATCTTGTAGTCTCGCCAGTTCTAACAGTAACCGGTATGTATAGATGGTCATGTCGACTTCTCGAAAGGCCTTCGAGAACCATTCCCTACCCTGCTCCGCAATCTCTTTCGCCCTCCGCTGCCCAGGCACGGTTGAAGTGAGATAAAACACAAGCTCAGGAACCTCCTTCATGCCTTGGCTGATGGGTATATAATGGACCCACGGGACGAGACGATCATCATGCCATTCTCGGAACAATGTCTGTTTTAGTGGCAGGGACTTTGAAGCTAAGAGTTTGTAGTAGCGACCGCTCATACCATTGCCATCAAGATCAAACACCAACTGTGATCGAAGTGCTCGGTCCTTGTGTGCCCAAACCTTTGTGTTGAAGTATGCCTTTTGTTCTCTGCAGTACTTGGTCTGGCATGCAAATATCCTGGAAAAGACAACGTCGAAGCTTCTGCCGTTTAGAAAGGAGGATTCCACCCGGTTTATTGTGTGACCTCTCTGTCGGAGATAATAATGCTTCTGACCTCCCAGATTTTGCCCTAACTCCACAAATCGTTGTCGGTGGAAGTTTCGCCATTGGTCGTCTGAAGCAAAGCCACCAGTAGTAGAGCCAGCCCAGTAGAGATTGTTCTTCTTCTTATCCCAGTCGACGTCATGGGCCTCGTCATATTTAAAGCCTTCTTCCAGGTAGGCCGGGCTGGGAAACAATATATCGCCCATTGTTGAAGGCGCACCCGTTGACAGGATTGGCACTAACCCTTCAATCAGGCGGAAGGAGGACGGGCTGATGAAGAGGCCATGCATATGGCTATACTGGCGATGTTGGCATAGATCCATGGCCGATGGGAGATCCGTGATAAAAGGTAGGCCAAAAGTTTCCACTTTGCGCTTTGTCTTGGTAGCACTGGGGTTTGACTGAGGCGGACAAAATTTTGTAACGGCATTCCAAACAGGCCCATGTGACATGTCCGTCAGGTTGAATTGTGTCTTAATGTGATTCCCTTCTCTTAATGCTGGTGGTGGAATCAACACCCTTGGTTCATCGAGGTGATTTAGCAGGAAGCTGATGTCGGGAATTGCCCCACGCAGATCTTTGGATAGCGTGTTGAATAGAAATTCGAAATTTCTGTCGATACTGCGCTGAGGATGGCTGCAGTTTGTCTGGGCGGTGTCACCAGAGAAAGCACAATGCCAAAGCTCGCCACCTTGCGCATGTCGAGCATCATGTATTATTCTACGGACGTCTTTGCCACTCAGTTTCCAGAATGGTGAGATGGCGTCGTATATTACATCGAAGTCGTCGATGATCGGTGACTGGTGCGATGACGCAAACACATACCAAGCCTCGAACCCGCGCGGCGGCTCTGCGTTGTATCTGCGTCGATATTCGGCGTAAGCCTCGGGGTATGTTTGGGATTGCTTTTGCGACAGACGTTCGAAATCGATCTTGGCCTTCTGAATCAGAGAGTCAACCGGATGCTGGCGAGACCAGTTGAAACTAGGCGCGGAAGATTGTTCGAGACTGAGCTCGTATATGTTCGCGAGGTATGGGACGAGAGGGAGCAGGAAAAGGGCCCAGAGGGCGGATCGGGTTTTCGTATGCTTTGGAAGCATGTATATGATCTGGCCAAGTGCGAGGAACGAAGCGACGACGTGCGATAAGGCATGGGTGTCAGATGAATACGTGAATGGATTGCGGGTGGACGTAATGCTAAATGTGACGATCGCTGTGACAGTGTACCAGGAAGCATGTTGAGCCTGCAAACTGGTGAGCATGGTTGTAACATTTCGGCAGAGAAAATTACGTACGGTTCGCATGATAAAATACCAAGACAGCGCTTTGGATAAACCTAATAGCACGGTAGGCGCATTGTAGCTTTTAGGGAAGCCGAATGAGAAAGTTTGCACGCAGAGCGCAACCACCAGGACAACCACAACTCGCAGTGAAAGAGGGACGATGGCATCCTGAATATCCACAAGCGGAATAATTCGAGAGCTCTTGCTGGTTCTCGGTAACAGAGTGATAAAGACGGCTAGCAGAGCAACAGCCGGGACAATGGCTAGGGCGGATCCCCAGAGATCCCAGTTTAGCAGTGTCAGGGTAGCAAAGCATCCAGCCAAGCCTGTCCCCCAGATGGTGTCGACGAGAGGGGAGAAGAACCAAGCCTCAGAGGCAGTCGAGGCAGATAGCTTTGACCCAAGGTGTTTTTGGGCTACCAGAAGCAAAGGGGTCAACGCCGGCTGGTGGCTTTTAGCTTGAAGTCGCCGTTTTGCGTCGCACATGGTGGCTTACCAGGTATCCGACGACATTATCCTCTGCCCTGCAAAGACAGGATGTCGCAATACCAGCAGCAACTATCCATAACGATCTTTTATATGTAGAACTCGATGTGTGGTTGTTGGAAGGAATCGCTTTCGGGATCGTGTGGACGTCGGGTGGTCTCGTAAACGTGAACAGAATCGGTAGGAATGTCCAACCCAGCGCCTCAGAGCACACCTCGGACCGTCTGGAGGATAGGTATTGCGTCAAGACTGTGCACAAAACAGCTGCTCCTGCTGATCCGGTGACTGGGTCAACGTCGACAAGTCGTCGCCTCCACATGGTCGGACTGGAGGTGCTGATTGATATCCCTAGACATGCTACAGACGGGGGAGTTTGGCAGATAAGACACAGTTGCATTTGGCGCAGCAACGGCTGCCCTCGTTTCAAGCTTTGCAGCCACCCCCTTGAATCGGCTCCTATCTCGTATCATATGCTACCTAATACCAAGAGCCAAATGCGCCGCTAGCTTTCTTGGCTGTTGGCTGTTGGCTCTTGGTATTAGATGTCACCTGGAATGCCAAGTGTCCAACCGCTAACACCCGCAGCGTGGCTGTGGGATCGCATAATTGCGGAGAGTGCTGTGACAGCTAAGCGAGAAGTCCATGGGGGCGACCAATCGGCTCGTTGAGAGCGACGCTGTTGACATATGAGCGGGGAGGAAATACGAGATCTGTTGGTGATCACCCGTTTTAGCCACTTTTTAAGAGTGCTTTGAGACGACCAAGCATTGCAAAAACTCCACTTTCAGGGCAGGGCAAAACTCCACGGGCTCTTGTGTGGCCCAAGCCCTTCAAGCAGAGCTCCCGGCTGTTTCTTCTTTCGTGTGAAGGATCACTCACAGCCCCCTTGGCCTCTTTGGTGGTGGCTGGCGCTAATACTCAGGCCAGAATGAAACGGGTTGACGTAACCTTGCTCGCATCAAGTCTAGCCGGACAGTGTCGGTGTGATAGCGCAAGATTTCTCGGAAGATAAACGCGATGAGCCGGATAATCGGCTCGGCAAGCAATCATCTTCAATAGGAATCGGCAATTGAATGCTTTACTTAGAAGAGAGGAACTTGGACACAAGTGAAATCACCTTCGGATAGAGCCGGAAACAAGCATGAATGTACAGGGTGTTCTGCAGCGAGTCCCACCGGAACGTAACGGAAAATCCAATTTCCCAAGACGCAATAGCCGAAACTACTTCTTGGCTGGAAGCTTGGCTAGCAGCTTGGCTTCTACATGCCAATCCAGACGTGATGCCGTTCCCTGTATCTACATCGTTTGGCGACTCACCGTGAACTCGAGTCTCGGCATCCCAAGACAAACCCCGCAATCTGCTTGATGGCCGTCTCTCTTCATCACTAGTTGGCCACGTTTGGCCACAGCCTCCTCACCTCCGACCCGGCATGTTGCTACAACATGCGCGATACTGCACCCTCCGAATACGAACCGTCGCACGCCGAAACCTCTCCGTCCTCCGATATATCCTCTTCGCCTTCGTCGCCTGGACCCTCGTCGATGCCTTCCTCGTCCACCGTCGTCTAGATACCGCGAGCCGAGAACATGGCGCGAAGGGGAAGCTCCGTAAGCCCGTCCGGGTGTACATCGCGAGCTTGCACTGGAACAACGAGGGCATCCTCCGCGCGTCTTGGAACAAAGGCGTCCTTGACCTGGTCCAGGCTCTCGGCCCGGAGAATGTCTTCGTGAGCGTCTTCGAGAGCGGCAGCAGGGACCGCTCCAAAGATGCCCTCCGCGATCTCGACAGGGCGCTCGACCTGGTCGGCGCTGGACGCAATGTCACGCTGGACGAGAGGACGCACGCCGACGAAATAGCATCAACGCCCGCGGAGCCTGGGAATGGCTGGGTCAAGACGGCGCGCGATCGGATAGAGCTTCGCAGGATCCCGTATCTTGCCCGACTGCGGAATGCCTCGCTGCAACCTTTGATCAGGATGGCAGAACAGGGCACAACGTTTGACTACGTCCTCTTTCTGAATGACGTTGTCTTCTCGGTGACCGACGTGATCGCCTTGCTCAACACAAACAATGGCAACTACGCCGCCGCGTGTTCGCTAGATTTCAGCAAGCCGCCGCTATATTACGACACGTTTGCGCTCAGGGACGTCGAAGGCCATGAGCATGCGACGCAGACCTGGCCCTACTTCCGATCATCGCAGTCTCGAAGCGCCATGAAGCGGAGCCAACCTGTTCCGGTCACCAGCTGTTGGAATGGCATGGGTAAGCCCTCCATCTTGCCCTCCATTGCACATATCAGAGCTTAATCCTTGATCAGTTTTCATGCCTGCGGCAGCGTTCACTGGCGAAAAGCCCATCGCCTTCCGGGGTGTCGACGACACCTTTGCCGAGTCGCATGTCGAGGGCTCAGAATGCTGCTTGATCCACATCGATAATCCAGCGTCAGCAACGAAGGGCGTGTACCTAAATCCCAATGTCCGCGTTGGTTATCACGGCCAAGCCTACAAGCTGGTTCATCCAAGCGGATCATGGATCACCTACTTCGATATCCTGACGGGATTATGGAAGAATAGATTAGTTAGATGGTTCACAACACCATGGTTTAAGGAGTTGGTGATACGCAGACGGCAGCGCTCCTGGGAAATGCAACATCCTGGACGAAAAGAACCCGGAACGGCATGCTTGATTAACGAGATGCAGGTCCTCATTGCAAACGGATGGGCTCACGTATGAATGGCGTTCCATTTAGATACCAATTAAGTAGAGGATTTAGAGTCACTCTATCCTCATTGAGATAGACACCCGCTTCAATCAGTCAAAGGTCGATCCTCAAGCCCAGAGTGTTGTCAAAGGTGACGGTGCCCCAGAATGGCTCCATGCCCGCATTACCAACGTTGACATAGGTACTCTTGTCATAGACACCTTGATCAGCAAGTGCAATCAGCCAGTCCTTGATGTCGCCTTCAAACGTCCCTCCAACGCCATCGCCAAACTGATCATTCTCGGGGACCAGAAGCGAGCTAACAGTGATGCCTGTGTCGGTGTTCAGGCCTTGGTACAACTTCCATCCGTCCTTTCCGTACAGGCCGTCAATGGTGGCGACCGCGCCCTTGTCGTAACCAAGGGGGATCTGCCCGCCTTCGTACCGAATCCAGAGCATGAGCTCTTGCGCCGCACTGGATGTTTCATCACCCTTAGTGTCGGAAGTCATGAAATCGTAAACCACGTTGCCTTGCGATGAATATGTGAGCAAGTCGAAGTAGCAGAGAAAAAATGAAGTGGCCCTAACCTTTGTAGGCGGTGGAATTGGAGACGGTCCATGTGTACGTGCTGGGGATACTTGCGATCGCGTTCAATCGCGTCTGCAAGTTCTGAGTCAAGCCAATGAACGAATATCCCTTGACCAAATTCGGATTGACGGTCGCATCAATGTCCCAGATGCTGCTCCAATGGACGCGCTGCGCATCGCCAGATCCAGATGTCGAGTAGAGCCCGGTGCAGCAAGATCCCTCGATCGACTGGTAATTGTAGTTCATGGAGAAGATGATCCAAGGCGTTCCAGAAAGGACCTCATATTGGTTAGGGGCACCGCAATACGTTGAAGTGAGCGTGTCTCTTTTCAACCCGGCCGCAAATGAGGGGAGGGCAGCAGCCTCCAGGGCCAGCAAAGCAAAAAGTGAAAGGATACGCATGGCGATGCAGTTGCTGAAGAAAAATGAACGACGAAAAGAATGTCAATGATGCATGTCCGTAAAACCCAATGGGGATTTGGACGATTAAAGTATTTGCAGCTCAAATCGCGTGGTCCTAGTCAGGAGAGGCTCAAATTAATGAAGTCCGTTTCAGATACATTCATGAAGTGGGTAGAAGCTGGGGTTTGGAGATTTTTCCGTCACTATCAGGTTAGGCCTCTCAATTTAAAACAAACCGTCTATTCAACAAGAGCACAATCTTCCACATCGCTTAGAGAACAGTCTGTGGTAGATTGGTGGTACAAGAAATGAGCACGCGACCTGTCGACAGCGGGTCAATCAACAACAAATGCATTCCTGGCAGGTTCTCTATTTATGGTGCGCCGATAGACGCTTTGCTTTCTAATCGAGCTCTTATATTATCACCGTCTCCCTAATCTACCATCAATCTGCCACTCTTAAATACCTCTCCGTGCTTCATCCAAACTAACAAACATATCGAAAGTTTTTCTTCTCGAAATTCGTGACATCATCGGTGTTGTCGTCCATGGTGAACTCACCAGCCGTTCTTGTAACCTCCCCATACAGCCGATCCCTCTTCTTGTTCTCCCACTTCACTCCAATGCAGTACATGGCCATCAGCGCTACGGCAGAGCACTCAAAGCCCAAGATGCAGTTGTACCCGGTTCTGTAGTGCGGCGCCTCTGAGCTTCTAAAGGTTTGCGGGGCAATAATGTTTGCGACACAGTATGCCAGGAACACCATGGCATTCACAGTCACTTTCTTCATATGCCCACTGGTGTTTGCCATGGGCAAGCTGAGCGCCAAGGCGTAAGGTCCCCAGAAGAAGTAGAAGAAGTAGTAGGCTGTCAGAAGGCCACCTCGGTTGGAGTCTGGCAGCTTTCGGATGACAATGGAGCAGACCAAGGGCACAACACAGCACACTGCCGCGGAGAGGCAACGTGTGTCCTTGATGTATCGCGGAGGCAGTGTCGCCAGGATGGAAGCAAGAGCCTGGATCACACCGGTGGGCATACCAAGCAGGACGGTGTTCAGAGGAGTAAAGCCGAATCCGGAGACAATCTGGGCGGCAAACGTGTTAAGACCGCCGTTGGAGACGTTCATGCACAGGAAGAAGAAGGTGATGACCCAAGACTTGCAGTCCCGAAGGGCCTCAAAGACCTGGTACCACTTGAATTGCTATTAACGGAGTTGGTTGAGTAGCTGGCGATTGTTTGGGGAAAATACCACCTACCTCATTCAACGTTCCTAAACTTGCGGTATAAAATTCCCCGATTTAGTTAGCGTCCAAATGCCGGAAGCAGTAGGGTCTAGAATCCCTGTCGGCGCCTAGGTTGATGCCCTGAAATCCTTCAGGATACACCATCGGGAGTCCCCGAGGGCCGGCCTAGGGCCACATTCCAATCAGGGTAGGGAATCAACCGACGACTTCCACGGTATTGATCAATATATTGACTTCAATCTACGTCAACGTCAATCCACAAGACCTGTTGTTTTGTAATCAATCCATCCACGGTTGGGGGCTCGTGGGTTGCGATGTAGATTGGCCTGGACGCTAGTCGGGGGTATGGGCGTCCTGATATATTTCGTTAATATTTGCTATGTATTTCTGCGCAAACACTAATGCATCTAATCAGATAATACTTCGGTCGCGTTCTGACACGTTGTGACGCGTTGTGACGCCTGAACCCAAAGTTCTCCCTATTTACTCGATTCATACAGTTGGTGAACCTTCAATCTCGAGATGGCGGACTTACCTCTTGACCCTAAACTACCGACCAACAACGAGGAGCATGCCGAGCTCCCTCGGCCTGTTCTGGATCCGGACCCCGAAGTCCTCCAACCTTCTACTTGGGTACCAACAAGTGATGAGAATCACCGTCCAAAGGCAATGCCCAAGTGATCGGAAATATACTGAATTGGCTCTGCACGGTATGTGTCGGGAATGGGAAACGCAAGATCGGTCGTGTTCGCATCAAAGGCCATAATCTGTGGATTCTCGAGAGAATAAGAGGGCCATTGATGGGGGCCAACTGTAAATATTGAGTCAATTTAGAGGAAGGAAATGGTTTACAAAAAAGTTTTGATAAAGCAGACAGCACCTCTGAATAGAGGTATGGGAACTTACCTTCAGAGCTGTTCGGATCACCATCGACAATGAAGTTGACCCAGTACCGCGAAATGATATCTGCAACATCCTTATAACTTTGTGGCGTTCCCTCAAAAGGCGAGTCAGGATATCCAAGCCCAAGAAGGTTGTAGAACACGAACGCCACCTCGGTGAAATGGGTTGCGCCCGTTGTCGGAGGAATACCGTTGGGAATAACATTGAACTCGTAACTCCAACTGCTGACATTGTTTCGGGCCAAGATTTGATCAGTTAGGCGGCGAGGCGCGTGCCATACAAGATCACCGACGAAAGCAGATATGCGTTTGTACTGAAGGCCGAGTGATGCTGGTGGTCGACCTTCAAGTGTCGGCGGAATGCCAATCTCGGGAATATCAGGGTACAGTGCCGCGATCTCGAGCGCAGTTGCGTTGTCAGGGCCCCGACTTCTAATATTGGCCAAGAATTGCTCGTCTGTGTCAATGCCCCTCACTGTGAGAGCGGTCCCTTCATCGTGATTTTGGCCTTGTAACACAGGCACCTTGATGAATTGTCCTGAAAGAAGTGCCTCGCGTGCATTCCCTTGAATGAAGTCACCATCAACTTCCATACCCCAAGATGGAATTGAGGCCGTCACATTACTGGCGAAAATCGAGTTGAGAGCCTCGGAAGGCACGGTGCGAAGGCAAGCAAGAGTGTCGATTGCTGAACTGCAATTGGCGGCACGAGTAATGGCGTTGTAGTACACGTCCCATTCAGCTGGACTGTTGTATCGAAATGGATTGATCGGACCAGCGCTTTCCATAATGGCTCCCCTGAAGAGACCTTGGTCACGGCCGCCATAGGATATGATATGAGCTCCGACACTTTCACCCCCTCCGCTTTCACCCCAGATTGTAACCTTTGAAGCATCTCCGCCAAAGGCAGCGATGTTCTCGTGGAGCCAACGAAGCGCCAAGTGTTGATCTTTGTAGCCAAGATTGCCGATAGCTGACTCCACGACGGCCGATCCGTACATAAATCCAAAAAGTTGCAGGCGATAGTTAAGATTGACTCCGATGAACGGTTTACCAGCGGCGACGGATTGCTCAACGATAAAGGACATGTTGTACATTGGGTCCCGATTTGAGCCCTGAATATGGGCACCACCATGTATCCAAACACCCACAGGTAGGTTGGCGCCTAACTCGGTGCCGCTTGGTCGTATGATATTGAGGGCCAGGCAGTCCTCGGAGAATGCAGTTGTAGCCGACGTTGCAGGGCCGCCGTAATTGTAGCATGCCGACGAGAATTGGGTGGCGTAGGCACTTCCTTCCCATGTGGTGTTGAGAGACACTGGATTGCGGAAGCGGAGATCTCCCACCGGAGGCTGAGCAAAAGGAATCCCAAGAAAGAAGTCTTGGTCATACTCTGAGCTGTAGACGCCAATGTATGTTCCGTTCTTGACGGTGGCTGTCGGTGCTGCATCTTGTCTGACTTTCAGTGGGCTCGCAGAAGCCAGATTGTGGAGTACAGTGATGAGGAGCCCAACCCGTAGAGTAAACAACACCATCATGGAGTTCGGTGTCGTTGCTAAAGCTGTTATACCTGGATCGATTGATTCAAATTGGTCTTAACGACGGAAGAAGGGGAGTTCTTGCCAGTAGTCCGCAGACTTGCGGTTTTTGTCGCGGCGGCACGGAGGTAGTCCATTATATACCGTACGGACGAATCGCCTTGGCTGTCACATTGGAGAAATTTGGGAAGATCCGTGGCGAAGCTGGACATACTACCAGCATCAGGGAATAACGGCCCGATTAGGTGGCACAAGACATATCAGGAAACTTCTGCAGCATGTACCCGCGTTTCTGAATGCGGAAGCATGGCAGATGGGCCGGCAGTGGCAGATCCTGTTTATGGAGGAGACTGATGACGATAATGCTTCATTGAGGCAGTTGTGTTTATTCTGAATTTCTGATATTTCAATATGGTTTATTTGAAAAGCGTAGATTTATAGACGGAAAATTATACTGACTTGAACGTCAATTTCCTCAATCACGGGTAATAAGGATCCCCATTCGATCACCTAGTCCCATAGTGAAGAGTGATTACTGTACAACGTCTCTTCCTAAGATCTTACACATTTCCGATCAAAGAAGTACAGTAGGTGATCCCAGAATATGTCCCAGAACAAGGCTCCAACGAGCTAGGTAGGCTCTGCGAACGAGCGTGGGGAGAATTTCGGCACGATGCGAGCAATACCAGAGCGAGAACTGCCTGCATGACAGCTTCGAGTGGCTTGCGACTTGCGTAAGCATGTTGCATAACTCTACTTGACGGAGGCGACAGGAGACCCTATATTTCGGCCTCAAGGTGTTTGTATACGTCATTGCCAATCAAACGTACGCGCCTCCGATAGCGCTAGCTCAAGTGGTGAGACTGCGCCACGATGTCATTATCAACAATCGTCAGTGAATTAGAAGAATCCCTGGTCTCAATGTCACACCAGGTTGCAGAGAGAGCTAGGATCCTCTCCGCATTTACGACCCAGGATGGGACGGTGAATGTGCTGGCTAGGACAAGGCTGCCCATGGAGTGAACCCCTGCCCCCTTCTTTTGACCACCTAGCCAGGTCTGGGTGCAAGGATACGCAAAGCTATTTCATGAGGTCGATATACGCAGAGGCTGGGAGGTTGAGATGTTGACCTCGCCCCGTTGGGTATGTGAAATGCTTGCTGTCCTTAGCTTTAGAAATTGCGGAAAATACGAAACGGTCTTACCCGGAGCTTGCAAAATCATACCGAGAGCATATAGGATCAACAAAACGTCAAGATCATGGGACCCCTTGTAGCGGCGGAGGTGCGTGGTTCATCAGGACAGAGAGTTTCCATGGCAATAAATGCAGGGTTGCGAGGGTGTGCGGCATCGGACAGGCGCATAAAAATCCAATATGAATTTCTAAGTACTATTAATATGCTAGAGATCCCGATCCTTGCTTTATGGGTTCTCGTGGTATTAACGGTAGGTACGTATCACAGAGGTCCGCCAACTACTTAACCCTTGATCATGACCTTTTGGCGCCATAGCAGCTATATAATTTTCAACTTCGTACTCCATACGGAGTAGAGACGGCGACATTCATGAACCTTCCAAACAAAGACGATGCAAGTGTGTTACAAGAGGGGCTTAAGCGCAAAAAGCTCAGTAATAACTTCGCAGAATCGCGGGCCGCGGAGGGCGGACGCTTTGGGGCGGCTAATAAATGCTACCCGTGCCCTGCTTCGTAAAGCTTCGTCCCAGCTTCCCACCGATTCTATGCAGATGACAAATTCTCGATGTGCTGCAAAAGGCCGACGAATGGTCAAGAAGTAAATTTTCGATTCGTTTCTAGGAGCCCTGCACACCCTCCGCGTTCACCTTTACCTCCTTGTGTGAGCGTTGCCGTAACAGGTATGAAGCTGCACCAGTTGCTGTGAGCCTCACAATCATCGTCTTCCCTGTCTATGTAACCATAAGCAGGCTGCATTAGCGTTTGAGCTAACTATGCCGAATTCAGGAATCGTGTCGCTTGCAGTGGGATGCGCATACAAGTGCCTGAAACGCACGCGACTAGCGTTGCTGCAAACAGCAGGCTACTCCGTAATGGAAGTGGATGACAGATGCATAAATAGCCGAGCAAGGTGGGGCATCATGATATCTACAGTATAGCAGGGGAAATGTTAGTTCTGACCCACCCGCAACAGTGGGTCAGGTTGGTTACTTTTTGTGCTACGATGTATCCAAGTCAGCTAGAAAATTAATTATCTAGTATTTTGTATATAGTCCCTTTACATCAATTACAGCTTGACATCCTTTTGACAAGAGGCTAGTAAGTCTTTAAGATAAGATTCTGGCACAGCCTCCCAGGCCTCTAAGGGCCAGTTAACATGTTCCTCTGCAAAAGCAAGCCGGAGCTGTTGCGTTTTCTCACTAATAGGAGGTTTTTGACGTGCAATATATCTCTTATATCCAGCCCTTCGAAGGGCGCCTCGGGTAGCCTCAACCAAGCAGTTCCAGCCAAGGGCTTGAGGGATCTGTATGAGACGCATCTGTCGGCTTATTTTGGAAGAGCCGATAAATTCGATGAGCTCCTCCACCGGCAGCTGTGTAAGCATAGCCGGCCGGCCTGACCTGCGGCGAGGAGTTGCTTGCGTTGTTACAGCTAAGGGCAGACCGCCTTGTGTGTTGCGGTTGTGGCGAGGGTGTTTGAGGGATTTGTTGCTACAGCTGTTGCTGCTGTTGCTGCTGTTGTTCAAGGAGCCGTTGGGTCAGTTCAAGTTGCTGCTGCTGGTGTTGCTGCTGGGCTTGCAAAAGCTGCTCGATCTGTTCCAGGTGCTTTTCCAGTTGCTGAGACCTATCCATCTTCAAGATTGTGGCCAGAATCGCGCGTCCGAGGTCGCGTTATTGTGAATTGGTACATCGCGAGCGCGAAAAGTGACCGACCTGACCCCCTGTTGCGGGTGGGTCAGAGCTAGCATTACTTTCCCATGCTATACTGTACGCTCTGCGGACTCGTTTGGGAAGTGCCAATGGGAGCGGACGAGCCGACCCTTGCGTCATTCTAATCCGGCTATCGATTAGTGACTATTACCAGGTACTATGTTCCGTCACTCGCTCCGGGATGGATCAGAAATCAAGAGCTAGTTTCTAAGACCTGATTTCTAAGGATTTAAACTCAGTTTATTAGACTACTTAGAAATCAGACATCCGATTTATAATTATCCTTTAAGAATGATTTGAAATCAAACAATAACCCTGCAGTTACTAATAGTACTGCACCGGTACATCTATAATAGCTAATAGCAGTATTCCACGCAACTCCATATCTACATAAGGCGCCCAATTCCACTCAACCCAACCTTCTTTCTCACCCTTCCTTGCCATTACACCTTCCAACCAATTACCCCTCGCATATAACCGATCTTCCCATAAGAGCAGCCCCCTCTGTCCCACGTCCGCGTAATAGGACAAACGGACCCCGGACCGCACGAAGTAGACACGCCTCTCCCACACGCCTCCCACACCACCAAGGCGAAGAAGGTTAACGATGCCGAAGGTAGCGAGGTTCCATCAGCTGGGCGGGCCAGAGGTCCTGCAAATCGACGAGATTGCGTTCGAGGACCCGGCAGCCGGTGAACTGCTGTTGAAGGTCAGCGCCATTGGGATAAACCGTATGGAAATTTTCTTCCGCTCAGGTGGCTTCGGCCAGCCCAAGACTTTCCCTGCCGTTCTAGGATCGGAATGTGCTGGGGCGGTTCTAGCAATCGGTCAAGGCGTAACTGGGTTTGCGATTGGGGATCGCGTGGCGACCATCCCTGGGTTTACAACCGTTCCGGGTTTCTCCACCGAGGTGAAAGGCCACTAATATGCGGTATACAGCAAGCAGGCTTATGTGCCAGCGGAGATAACGGTAAAGCTGCCTGACGGCATATCATTCGTTAATAGCGCTTCATTATAGATACAGTATAGCACCGCCTAGAATAGCATGGTCGATACTGTCTAGTTATAAAGGGGCAAATATGTACTGCTAATAGTAGTAATATCTTTAGTAGGAATTACTACAGCCCAGATTGCTAAATCTCAGGATGCCATTCCGATCTATATAACCTGAAGTTAGTTAAAAGTAGTAGTATTAAAGTCGCTAGGTATTGAATATATTATTATAACAGACAAGCAGGATATTACAACAGAAGTAGCTCGCATAACTGGGGGTGTCGGTTGCCGCGTGATCTACAACCCGGTTGCTGGGAAAGGCATCAGCAAACTACTTAATATACTTGCAGTAGATAGAGTGATTCTTATCTACGGCATTCTAGACCTAGCTCCGGCCTCGATTGACCCGGTAAAGGGATTGGCGAAGTTTGCAACGATTAAGTTTACAGCAGTATTTAGGATGCTATTGAATCCGGAGAAGCGTGCGATGATAACGGAGTTCGTGCTCAAGGGTGTTGCCGACGGCGTGCTGAAGCCTATTATTGACAAGAAGTTTTCATTTAAGGATATTGCTGAGGCACATCGCTATGTTGAGAGTAATCAGCATGTGGGGAAGGTTGTTGTCACAGTTTAAGGCGTCGGCGTCGATGAGTTGGTCGGGTCGGGGATGTAGGACCAGGCGAGCCTGTGGTACGTGGACAACGGTATCCACGGATTCACGAAAACTACGATGTCAACAGAATACATTCAGCGGAACTTCCGAGTCTCCCTGTCACACCATTCCCACAGCTCTTCTGCCTCTCCGGTGCCTCCGTTATCCTTCAATTCTGCTGCTTTGAGCACGTCAGCCCTTAAGCTATCTGTACCGATTCTACCCCAAGGGCAGACGTAAGCACCATTGTCCTTCAGCGATATGTCTTTAGACCAACCAGCGTACAGTTCCGTGTATGCTCCGAATTCGGTAGGAAAGAGCAGCATACTGAGCAACATCCGTACAAAGGCACCTGAGAATCCGTCAACGTCTCGTTGTAAGTCGGATCGGACGTTGCCTGGATTCCAAGCAAGGCTGAGGATACCGTGCTCTCCGTATCTGCGAGCGAATTCGGAAGCCAAGAACCAATTCCCTGCCTTGGATGCGCCATAGTTTACAAACGGGCCCTGATCCCGAGGGCTGCCATTGTCATCGAATTCGATTCCATGAGCGGGCGCGGCGAACATTGTAGCGAGGGATGATGCCCAAGTTACTCGAACTGATCCCGGCGACGATCCCGCTGCTGTTCTGACCAGGACTGGTAGGACGAGTTCCGAGAAGAGGAATGGGCCAAGACAATTTGTACCAAAATGAATTTCGTGCCCTTCCGCGTCTTGCTGGTTTGCTTTCGTGACCATGACGCCCGCATTGTTCGTCAAAACATCCAGTCTTGACTCCTTGGACATGAACTCTTCGGCAGACGCTTTAATGGAGCTTGGATCCGAAAGATCAAGCTGGAGAAACTCCAATCGACCGAGCGATTCTGGGAAATCTCGCTTGATGGAATCAATGGCACTCCGAGCTTTATCCGGGCTTCGGCCAGCGATGTAGATGGTGGCATGTTTCTGGTACAGGATCCTGCTCAGTTGCAAGCCGCATCCAGAATAGCCGCCCGTGACAATGTGTACTCTGCCAGTTTGGTCAGGTAGATTTTGCTGGGTGAGTGGAGGTCGAGCAAGAAAGAAACATTGGCGAAAGATTGATGCCATAACTGCCAGGGGCTGAAGACCTAGGTGTAGCTGGCTCAATTCCAGACCAATATTTCAAGACGTGATGAGTATGAGAAGGCCCATTTTGCTCTCGGAGTCAGTCGATGTGGATTATTTATTACACTCTGCAGCCCAAGACGTAGCAGACGCATCGAGCTTGGGGTCGAGCCCGACAGGGTTCAAATCCACTCAACTTCAGGCCTCATTTAAGAGGATTCAGGGGTTGCACGTGGCACAAAAGGGCTCCTGCACTCGTGCACGCATCACTATATGATCGTAAATCCACGGGAAGCTCGTGGAGCCCGAGCCGGACATTCTTGCGCGAAACTCGGAGTTTATGCTCGCTGTCCCCTAAATCCGGGATCCTAGCGAAAACCGTTCCCGAAGCCCCTCCCTTCCACTGAGCGCCCTCTGTTCTCCTTCCGCCTGTTGTCTTTTTGAAAAGAATGAGAGATAATTTCTCCATAACATTTGCTCAATCGTTTACTTCGTTCCATCTTCGGACCGCAATGTTAATTGTGTTTGAAAGTTACAGGAGCAAGCAGCGCTGTTAATAAGTTAAATTAAACTGGATTTATACGTATTTAAGCTGAAGAGGTTAGATTTAAAGTATTAGGCTTAGACTTGCTTTAATTTAGTTAACTTAATTAAGTTAGAAAATAACTATATATTTAGTATATATAAAGAATCCCTTAGCAGAATTAATAGTATATTTAATAGCTAACTTTCTAGCTTTTTAAGTATTATAATACTTTTAAAAAAAATAATTTAAATTATACTATTAACTTTTATAGTTAAGCTTTATATAGCTAAATATATATTTATATTCTACCTCGATCTTAGTCTAAATTGTAGAGCACCTGCTGATGATATTTGGCGCTAATTCAAGAGCAAGAATGTGGAAGATAATTGGATTTATCACTACCCAGACCTTTGTGGTGTCTCTCTTCCTGGCGCGTGTCCTCAGAAAGTGTCCGAGGCAGTGCTGCGGAGGATCGTCGGTTGGTTCTTCTCTCCTAGTCCCCCCCCCTCCCCGAAGTTTTTGTATCTACATATGTTTTTAATTGATCAATACGATGCTGGTCCTTTGTTTTACCGATATATAATAAAACAACCCATCACCATGGCCGGTAATCCACATTCGCTCAATCGGCAATCAGATGAAACTCTAGCCTCGCCACAAGCAGGTCGAGCTCTCTAAACCCCAAGGCGTATATCTTCTCAATCCAGCCATCGTAACCTGTACATAATATACCATGGAGATTTCTTACATCATATCTGTCCAGAGATAGATACAAGAAAGAGCGTATAGAAGACTACGAAGCCATTGGGCGGGATCGCTTAGCACACACTATAAGGACATCTCCTTAGCTACTGCGAACGGTTGTTTCAAGAGCGACGCCAACGCCATGTGGACGGACAGACGCATTTGACCTGGTCGCCACTGTCCACCACGACCACAACAGTATGCCTAGGAGGAAACCTGACCCGTCTCATAACCCTTCGAAATTGGACCTAAGAGACTCTTCCAGGGAAGTCCAACCAAATCTACCCATTTCCCTCAGCAAATCCCCACCCCGCTCGTTCGATATCACCGACAGATCCCTGACATTTCCGTCCGTGAAATCGTCAATCCAGTCATGATCAGGCTTGATTCTCCGAAGAATCATCATCACGTCGCTAAACAAAGCTTAGACACTTCCCGTGAACAGATGACGGACGGGAGAAGCTAACTTACTTCCACGTGTAATGCTCAGAATAAGCCAGGATTCGCTCTTCTCTCACAGTCAAGTCGGTGAGGGCTGCTACGTGGAGACGTGCTGAGTCCTGCACATCCACAAACCATTCTAGAGTTCTTGTCAGTACGTCCCAACATAGTCAATACTAGTCCTGCGCGAACCCCAACAAATACACAAAGGGGCCAGTAGGTCCACAAACGGCAGTAAGGAGGCTTGCCCGACAAGACCAATTTGGGGGGGCACCCGCACCGGGGGGTGGTTGATTGTCGAAAGGGAGGAACCTACGATATGCGAGTTGCTTGGCTCTTTCAGGTTTACCAAGTAAAAGCTCCTTGACGAAATCTCCCGAACTTGCCGGGATAGACCAATCCAAGACCTTGCCGAAGTTGACGCCAAGGACGATGGACTTGACTGCGAAATGTGGCTTCTTCTCCTCGGCGTATGTGAAGAGAGCCCGCTCGGCCTCAACTTTGCTTGCTGCATAGACCGACATCGCACGTTCCAGGCCGTATGGTGGAGGGGCCCAGGCTTTCTCGATGTCCTCTTCGTTGAACGTTGCCGCGGTGATCCGCCGTGCCACACCAGGCATAGGAGGGGCCAAAGCCGCGGCTGATGACGTGTAGACGAAGCTCTCCACTGTCGAAGACTTGGCAGCCGAATCCAATATGGAATGAAGACTAGATACGGCTCCTGGTATAACGAGGTTCGGGTCCGGGTCGAAGCTCACATTACTTGCGACATGAGCAATGCCAGAAACACCTATGATTGGATCAATATTCTTGCTTGATGCCATACAAAAAGGGTCGACCGGGGGGGTTCCAGCTACCTTCAACAGCCGAATCAAATGCTTCGGGGACCGTTATGTCTTTTACAATGACCAATTCGATTCGGCCTCGGCCGAATTTGGTTTCCCACCGCTCCACCAGCCCGGCTGCTTTCTGAACATCTCGAACAGTCCCCCGAACATTGAAACCCGACTCCAATAACTGATCCGCAACATGGGAGGCGATGTAGCCATTTACACCTGTGACCAGGACGATGGACCCTGGAGCAATTGTTGACGTCATTTCGGGGGGGATTGGAACTTGGCGGAAAATGTTGGGGAGGATAGGAAAGACAGGCAGGCACTTCACACGGGGCTGAGGATGCTGAATATGTGCTAGAGGGGACGAAGGCTTGCGCAAGTAAGAGTGGCTGGCATCTCTTGCTTTGAAATCAGACATTTGCGTTACCAATCCATTTCTGATTGTATCAAGGACATGTCGGGGTGGTGGATGTTGTGGATTGGTACTAACTAATCAGCCAGAGGTATCTTCTGTAGATTCAGCTTCCAGAGATCCGAACGAGACGCCCCGCCCGGATGGATGCGGCGAAGATGGACCTGCAAGGAATGGCAGAGAACTAGATAGAGGGGTTGCTAAGATTCGTAATGGCATAATGATGACAAATTCTGAATTCCGGCATTCCATTCACCGAAACCGTCAAAGGGGGAAACCGACAATGAGCTTTGATTGCCAGCAAGTTCACGGAGCTTAGGTGTGGGTCTGACTTTCAGCTTCATGGGCGACCATGGAAGCATTGTACGAAACGAAACTAGCTTAGCGCAAGGGCCCTCTGGGGTGTGTCCCCGGCGCAAAATGAAACCCTTACTATGTAAGTTACCTTAGCTTTCAGTTTCCACTATCAGCATCCCCAACCCCGGAAGGCAGGGAGGGTAAGCAGGTTGCATATAGCTCCAGGACCCACCCACCATTCCCCAACATCACTCCAACTACGGATACCCAGTCTTTTGTCCCGTCCGTCTTTACACCAACTTTCGTCATGTCATGATCCGCCGCTGCGCAAGATGCCTCCGACCGTGACTCTGGAACTGATGCCCCGGCAATTGGAGGCCAAGGCTTTCGGCGATGATTGGACTGGCGTGACGAGCACGGCCGAGAGACGAAAGCGCCAAAATCGACTCCATCAAAGGGCGTACCGTATGTCTCGAACCCCTTCACTTTCTTTACCGGTTGCACGTTACCGGTTGCACACCGCTAACAAGTTGATTGCGCGGCGTAGGAAAGAGGAGACGTACTCGTCCTACCGGCGTGCCAATCTCGGACCACTACTCATCGTATATTGCATGTACCGCAAGTGACGCCGCGGATAGCAACCGTCGGATCAGGACAGTGGGAGATGGAGTGGGCGATGACAGGAGGCTTTCCGCCGGTCATCCTCCCCCTCCTCCTCCACCACCACCAGAGGGATGCCTCCTCCTACCCACCCCTAAATCACGCACAGAGATCGACAACTTCGCGCAAAGAGCGCACCAAGATTACAGTCACGGCACGCTGCGGCTGGAACACCTCCACACTCTCATACGGCTCAATGTCCTGAATGCAATCTCACACAACGCAGCGCTGCTTCGTTTTAGATTCCAAGGGCTTTGTCGGCCCGAGCTCGTATCACCATTCTACCTGGACGCCCGCCATCTCCCTAACACGGCCCCAACGGCAGCGCACACTTGTCCGGAGTGGCTTCGTCCGACAGTGTTACAGGTTGCAGTGAGGCATCATCCCTGGATTGATCTGATTCCCTTCCCCCGCATGCGGGACAATATCCTGCGCGCGTTGGCGGCTGGCCTCCTCGACAATAAGGAGTTGGGTTTCGACATTCTCGACGTGGCAGTAGCAAACGATCGCCGTAACACGGCCTCTCTTATCGTCTGGGGCGAGGCATGGGACCCCCGAGGGTGGGAGGCCAGCGTCCCTTTCCTTCAGAAATGGGGTTGGCTGCTGGAGGGCTGCCCAGTAATCCTGGAGGCGACAAACTACTGGCGCCAAAAGAGGGGGGAGGGGAAGCTAATTCTCTAACATGGGTGCTGGGATAACCGTTTCAGCTCCATTTACTTCTTTCATTGAGGCAGAGGCAGATTGTGCGTAATTGTGTGGTTGATTTTGGAATACCGAACGTGGCGGCATCTTGGTTACCCTTCATACCTGTGGTGAATAAAACGCACCTTCAAAAACCCAACCCAATGAATCAACACGGTTGCTGCAATATCTCACCACTTGCTTGCCGCTGGCCATGAGGGAAACGGTGCGGGAAAGAGCAGCGTCTAGGAGGGAAGCATTAGAGAAGCCGGGGTGGGCAGCGGAAATCCGGAAATGGGGTATATCGGCAGTACATGTTCACAGGGATGACCGATAACAACAGCGGTGAAGAAGCGTCCGTCCAATGGCCGAATGGATGAGGACATGTCTAAGAGATGTGGTCTCCCGGGGACACTTGTGACACTTGTCTATGTTGGTTATGATGTTGTCATGCCTGCCCTCATTGATTCACTAACCCCCACCCCTAGGTTTCCCTTCAAGGCTCTTCGTGGATCCTCGTGGATCCTCGTGGACCACCATGACAAATGTGCATTTATCAAGCCCCTTAAACCTACAGCTGGATTAATAATACAATCCGCGATAAATGGCATGCAGAGCAAACGGTGATGTCATGTGAGGAGGCCACCAGTTATAGTTGTTTTAGTTCGGTGGATATGGCTGCAGGCGAGAGATACTTAACTTCTTCTCCCCCGGGCCACAAACCGCGATTTTAAGCCAACATTAGTTCTTCTTTCATCAAAGATTCCAAAAATCAATCATATCTTCTAACGCTTGGCGAATATGAAAGTTGCAATTGTCGGTGCGACGGGCCAAACAGGCTCTGTCATTGTGGAGGCTCTCTTGAAATCAACGACAACCCACTTTGTCAGTTATTCCTATCGGTTCTATTGTGATAATTTAGCTGATAATAGGATCCTTTCAGGACGTTGCGGCCCTGACCAGACCCTCTTCCCTGCAGAAGCCGGCAGTGGTCGAGCTGAAAAGGAAGGGAGCGACAATAGTCGCGGCCGACCTGAATGGGCCCAAGGCCGCTCTGGTAGAGGTTCTGGCAGGAATGGACGTGGTCATCTCTACCATCTACGGCGGCAGCGTGCTGGATGAGATTCCTCTGATCAACGCTTGCAAGGACGCAGGTGTGAAGCGATACTTGCCTTGCTTCTTCGCCACGGTGGCTGCCCCCAAGGGCGCACTTCTACTGAGAGACATGGTATTTCATCTGACTTTTTGGGGTAGCTCCGCTGAGAGTGAGATTGGGAAGAAGCGCTGACCTTTCGATCTTTAGAAAGAGGACGTGCTGAACCACATTAAAAAAGTCCACCTTCCCTACACCGTCGTAGACGTTGGTTGGTGGTATCAAGTCAACTTGCCGAAGCTCCCCTCGGGTCGCATTGATTACGCCGCTATGGAGACATCTGATGGCATTGCCGGAGATGGCAACATACCTTTTGCTTTGACGGATCTACGAAATATCGGGAACTACGTTGCTCGAATCATTGCCGATCCCCGGACCCTAAACCGAATGGTTCTCGCGTATAACGAGGTCTACACCCAAAACCAAGTCTATGACTTGCTGGAAAAGCTCAGTGGGGAGAAGCTCGAGCGCAAATACGTGCGTGAAGACGAAATTTCGATTCAATTTTCTCTCTCCGGAGGCATAGGCTAAGTCGACGACAGGTTCCTGCCGAGGCTATTGCTGCCAGCATAGCCGAGATCGAGGCGACGCAGCCTGCTCCAGACTCTGTCGAGTTTGTGACGCTAGCTCAGTACCAATACTGGTATTCATGTGGTGTTCGCGGAGACAATACTCCTGAGTACGCGGCGTACTTAGGATATCTTAACACGCATGAGCTGTATTCAGATTTTGAGTGGATAAGATTCGAGTCTTACGTGCAAGAAGTCCTGGATGGGAAGGGGAAGAGGGTTTACGAGCACTTGAAGGATTTGCCGACTGCCAGTACCGACAGGAAGGCTTCAGCAGTCACTTCAGAGTGAGCTTTGGTCTGGCCGGAGCTGCGCAACTGTGCGAAATGTAGTGGCCGATTTGATAATAGAGCCGTGATCTCGCTTGCTCGATAGGCACCCGCAGATGCGGTTAAGCTAGCTCCGCAACGGCCGATGCCGCTTAACTAATATAACTTCTGTCTGCTCCCTCAAGGTGAGCAAGTTGCCGGCACAAGATCAAGAAAACACAGTTTTATCTACAATTCAAGCATTTGCTACCCAATGCTGCCACGATGACCAAATATCAAGCTTTTCAACTTGGAAAAGTTAAACCTGTATGAATATATAAGTAGTCGGCTCAAGAAGCTGAGCCCTGATTCTTTCCCTCCTTCACACATCATCTTCTCTGGTCGAAGGTTGACAGGGAAAGTTTTGGTGGGGCCGAAGGTTGTTATACATCAAGGTTATCTTACTCTAATTCACTTTGTTAAGCAACACAATGCTCAGGGGGATGCTCAGGGGATACTCAGGGGATACTCGGGAGGTCTTACGCACTAAGCAGGAGGCCAACCTAGCAAGGGAATTTTGCACCGCAAGTTTGGGAATATACTATATACTGTTATCTCTCAAGGAAAGCGTAGCTACTCACCCCGTGAGATGTCCGACACGGATTCTTCGCCTCCGTAAGACCCAAGCCAGCCGCAAACGGCGTCAATATCGACTGAAAAACAGCAAAGAGCTTTGGGTGCCATTATGATTAGAATGTATGGCGGAGATTCGGTGGATGAACGTAACGAGTCGGAAGTATGTTCTGTTTCTCGTAGGAAACGGCTATTTAAGTGAGCACACTAAGGTAATCTCCAAAAAATATGGAGGTTTTTATCTTAGTCGGACTCATTGATCAATGTCTTCGGTTGATTGGTCGTGCGTCGACTCATGCGCGAATCCGTAGCGGACTTTGCCTCCATTGTCCGAAACGTCTCTATCGCATCACACCCCGACCCACATGCTCCAGGTGACCTGAGCCCCGGTTTATAAAGATGTAGATTTCTAGAGATATTTTAAAAGAAATATCACGAATAAATTATTGCATGTTGATTTCTGCTACAGAGCTTGCTGCTTTTTTCGTTACTTGCACTTTTTTGTGTACTATGGTAGCACTACTCTCGATAAACCTCCGACCAAATGCACCCAAAGGTTTAACACACTAGCAGATGGCAAGAAACTCCCGTATCACGCGGGACCCGCTTGACTGAGAATGCAATCATGAAGAAGCCCATGACTAGAGTGATAGGACGCCAAGGTAAGGGACCCAGTCAGTGATTTTTCCCGACTAAAACGTGCCAGCATCAGGATCAAGCTATTAGAAATGTTAATATGGGGCCTCGGAAAGGACAAAAATGGATACCATCATAAAATCATCAATTATTTTCAACTACGCCTGAGAATATGTGATTTCGTTCCCGTTAAAGAACTAGATAGATGCGGTATTGAATGGAAGATGTCTCGTCTCATGTCGTCAGATAGAACTATCCGCGAAACGTCCTGTATGGATATATCTCAGTTTAAGTTAAGTGTGGTATCAGATCCTCTGGAATTCGAGTGGAAGTTTCCACGTGACCTCATTACAGGGGTTACGAGGGTATTTTACCAGTATTCCTTCCCCTCCCACCTCCCACCTCCTACGAGCGACTTTCTTTTTCCCCTCCCGACAGCCACATTCCCACTCAACCCTGGCAGCATTCTTGAGCTGATACCATTCTGAGGCTTACATCGTTACGAAACACATTTGTTGTAATATGTCCTCGCCGGCAGATGAACCGCCGGCAACTGAACCAACTGCTACTGAACCGCCGGTCGCTCAGACAGCGGTTGACTTTATTGAAGCTGTCAGACTACCCCCCCTTGCCCCGCAACTGTTTAGCCAGTTATATTCGAGTTTGTTGTAGCTAACCGAAATGTCTCGTAACTATAGGACACCGATGCTGACTCTACTTATTCCGCATCGTAAGTCAAAATGAAGAATGCAGTTACTGTTAGATGTTGCTAATGTAATATAGAACTCAAATCACCGATACAGAATCGCTTCGGTCTTCCATCTTGAATTATAAATGGGAAAATGGCAGGCGATATCATGCATACGGGGATGGCTCTTACTGGTAAGTGTTTTAACTTCGAAGAAGTCGCCTATACGTTCTGACCCTGTCAATAGGGGACCAAATGATGAGCGTCAACAGGAAGCCGAAGACCTGATGCAAGTTTTGTCCAGCTCATACGCTTGAGGCTCCATCTAACTTGGCGTTAGGCATGAGGTTTTTCGGATTGTTCTAGACGGCGACATTTACAAGGCACCAATTGGCAACAACCCACAGGTCTGTTCCCGTATTGCCTTGCTCTATTTCATCATAACTTACGGAAAACTAGACTGTGTTAGATATCGGCTGCGGTACGGGCATCTGGGCGATGTGAGTCCTTGGCTTGACTTGTAAATCCCAAGTCAGACGTTATTAACACTATCTAGCGAATTCGCAGATTTGCACCCATCGGCTGATGTTGTTGGCATCGACCTTTCCCCAATCCAGCCAAGCTTCGTCCCGCCTAACTGCAGGTTTGAGGTGGACGATATTAACAAGGAATGGACGTTCGAAGAGAATACGTTTGACTTTATCCATATTCGATATATGACAGGCACTGTTCCAGACTGGCCTGAACTTCTCAGAAAAGCGCAAAGGTTAGCCCCCATCTGCACAAGGTCCCAACGCCTCCTTGCTAGAGTATTCTGACTCCCTGCATAGGCACCTCAAATCCGGTGGTTGGATTGAGCATGTTGAGCTATGGGGAGATGCGAGGTGCGACGATGGCACTCTTCGCTCCGACTCTCCTCTTGTGACATGGGTGGGACTCTTCAAAGAGGTCGGCAAAATACTAGGCAAGCCATTCTTTTGGAACTCGGCCAACGCCTTCAGAAAGGCTGGTCTCGAGAATGTCACCGAGCATGTGGTCAAAGTACCAATTGGCACATGGCCCAAGGACAAGGATCTCAAGCAGTGGGGTGCATGGAATCGCCAATACTTATTGCAAGGTCTTGAAGGTTTCGGCCTCCGTGCCTTGACAGAACTTTTAGGAGTAAGTGCAGCACTAATCCTGCTCTAGTCACCATATTGGACACTTGGCTAATAGGATGATCTATAGTGGGAGTATGAAAAGGCACAAGTCTTTCTTGCCAATTTGCGCAAGGAAATTTTGGACCCCAAGCTTCATTCGTATGTTCTGGTGTAAGTGCATTGTGCGTTTCTGATATGCCTGAGCTGAAAGTGCTGACTATATTTATTTGTAGAACTGCTGTATATGCACAGAAACCCGTGGTATAAGTAACCTTTAGTATTTTGGCATACCGTCATGAGAGGCAAGGAGCAGATTGATGTGTCTATTATCATTATTGGCTACTATCTACAGTATCAGACAAAGGATGGATTGGATAAGACAGCTTTAGTGACGATGGAATTGCTTGATTTCTCTATCTATCGAAGGGCTAGGGATCGGTCTTTATAGATGAGGATGAGGTCGGCCTCCGGGGGCCTCCGGGGGCCTCCGGGCCCGAGGTCCGGAGGTCTGAGGCCGGAAGACCTACCTGCCGGAGCCCTGGGACTTGGTCCAGACCGGATTCCTAGCAGCCGGGCCCTGAGACCTGGTCCAGACCAGATTCCTAGCAGCCGGGCCCTGAGACCTGGTCCAGACCGGATTCCTAGCAGCCGGCCTGGAAGCCGTTCCAGATATCGTAAGATCGTCAGTTATATAACAGGTCAGATTCCAACAGTCCCTATCAGGCTGTCTGACATACAGAATACCCAATTAATAGTATTTGTGGCCCATTCATACAGCCTTCCTTTATGAATCATTTGATCAGATGATGCCCGTAGTGGTATTCCTATTGTCTTGTCTCTTTTAGTCATTTCTATCATCTTCAAGCCCAGCCTTCTAAGCTATTGAAGACGCATCGCCACCACAGCCTTCATCCGCCTTTTGGGCGGGCAGCAGGTCGAGCCCGATCTGCCGACGCGTGGCCCTGGGAGCTGCCGTGCCTCGTCGGAGATTATCCAAGAAGGCATCGGCCGCGTCCCGTTTGCCAGCGGTGAAGGGGTGGGCAAGGCCATCCCCTCGGCCCGTCGGTATACTCGGGTGTTTTGGGCTTCAATCATACAAGATGGCTCCAACTTTCATGTATAATTCATTTCGGCAATTATCTAAAAACAGTTACATATTCTAGACTACCATACATCCGTCTAACTCAGAGCTTTGACACTGTTGAGGCACCCTTTTCAAGGGATTCTATCAACAACTTAACACCATGCTCGGCCATTCCCCTAGAAAATTGTTAGCCTGTTTGTTTCCCAGATGCCAAATGTCATCAACTCACCATGAGGCTTGGTACCCAGCTCCCGAAGCACCGTAGTTGTGCACGACGAATCCTTTCTGTCTCTTTTCGATCTCAATCCTTGGGCCTCCCTTTCTGTTCGGCCTCAAACCAACGCCATGCTTGATCACCTTGAGATCCTCAGGTCTCCCCAATTCTGGAGCAAGTGCGCAGCATCGTTTCATGATGTCTTTGGCGAAATCCGGATTGGCTTTTCCGTCCCAGTTCCCGTCCTCTCGACACCCGCCAAGTACAATGCCACCGGCAAGGGGCCTTTGAAAGACGTATGTAGTATCGTTGTCAACTCGACGTGGTGACCGGAAGTACATTCTCTTCAGGGGTTGGATGGGCTGCTCAACGAGAACTGTCTGTCCCCGCGTGGGATACATCTCTTTGTCATTTACACCGCCAAGACTGTATGAACCCAGACCAGTACAGTTGAATACGGCCGTGACTTGCGATGAAAGGAAAGCTTGGTCAACAGCATCGACGGCTTGGCGGACGAGTTGAACATCAGCATTTCGGCATTTGGCCAATAACCTGTGGGAGGTTAGAAACAAGGTGATTGAGAAAAATATGTGTTGATTTCATACCATTGCAAGTAAACCTGCGTGTTGATGACGAAAGTGGACGGGACATCCAATCCAAATACTGCACCGTGCGGCAACTCGTCGCCACCGACGGGAACCAAGCCTCCAGCGAGCTCGTCGTACCAAACCTTTCCAGTGCCTTTGCTCAGAATCTCGGCATCTTCAATCTTCTGATCAAAGATCATTCTCAACGGCGAAGCCTGAATGCCAGCCTCTGGGTGCTGCTCAGAAATGGTCTGGAATCTCCCAAAGGTAACTCGGTCAAATGACTCCAGGAGCCCATTGTCATTCGCCGACGAGCACCAATTTCCCCCTGCCCACGGCGAGCAATATTCCACATTGTAATCTCCTGGAAAATACTTCGCGACGATGACAATCTTGGATGATGGGAATTTGTCACGAATCGTCAATGCCGTTGACAGGCCAATGACACCAGCCCCGAGGACGACGAGGGAAGGCGACTGTGACTCCGTGGAAGCCATAATTAGTAAAGCCAGTATCTTAGACGGCTAAATGCTGTAGTGGATAAATAAACGTGTATCCAGTCTGTGCAGTCCCAGGACAGGTCTGTGGCTTGGGCGATGGTGCCGTCGTCTGGCGGGGTGAGCGATAAACGTCCTACAATGATGCAATATGTAACCGGAGCGGTTTCGGACTCACCGGTCTTTGTCCAACCAGCCTATCAAGCGTCAAGATCCATGTGGGCCAATCTGGCGGCCAAAGGGCAGAAAGTCCACGCGACGTCCACCTCTTTGGGAGAAGTGACGATAACGCTAATGCAAGTCAGCAGCGTGAACCCAAGGATCAAGATAGAATGCTGAGGTGAGAATTGCAAAACACTGTGAGGAAGTTGCTTAAAAACTACAATGCACACAATCGCGGGATAGTTGTTACAACAAGACATCTAGCGTGTACCAATTGAGGATAATTTACCTCATATTTCGTCCTCGCCCTCTGTAGCATCAATTACGCTGAAACAAATGCCCTTCTCCATTCATCTCATGAGTCGGCATACGCGGATATGTCCACAGAATCGAGGAACACAGGTTTAACAATAAGATACTTACGCAAGTACCTAGGTGCCTACAAGGTTTTCCTTTCCGTTTCTCCTTTGTTGTACAAAATGCAATTAGCATCACACACGTCACAGCAGTGGCTTGTTGTCTTGTGCGCGACCCATCTCTTCCAATAGGTGTGGAGTACGAAGACACATCTTAATAGTTACAAAGCGTATAAGAAACACAAGCCTACCTGTCACCGTCGTACCGCCGCCTTACCGCCGGCAATTTTGAATTGCTCTTCATTTCAATTGGTTTGTCCGGCAAAGACGGGAAGCAAGGGGGCTTGATCCGATGACTTGATATGCATGTATCACCGATTAGACATTCAAAAGATCCATTGTCCGTTCTCTCGACCGTAACCAAGTCACCACAACAGGAATGTCAAATAACAGTATATTACCTCAGCTTCCTAGTAAAATCCAGCATTTCTGCTTCCGCTCACCCTGTAATCGTCAAACTTCATTTCAGAAATCGTCCAACATGGCAACCCAAGCAGAAAAGTCGCAGCTGAGGATTGTCCCAGCAGACATAAAACAGCAACACAAGGAAGCATACGACATTATCGCCGAAAAGTACAATGCCTGGACAACACAATACGATCACAGGCGACTCTCGAACCTTGCCGAGCTCTACGTCAAGGTTCCTGAGCTTGCAACTAGCGAGGGTTCAGTCAGAGTTCTAGAACTCGGCTGCGGAAGCGGATTTCCAGTCATGGACAAACTCCTTGCAGACAACCCAAATCTCACCGCCATAGCGAATGACATGTCGTCAAAGCAATTAGATCTCTCTCAACAAAACCTCGCGCCCTACGCTCCACGCGTGGAATTCGCACCAGGGGACATGGCCAACCTCACATTCCCGCCAGATTCCTTGGACGCGGTCATTGCACTGTACAGCCTTTTGCATCTGCCGTTGGACGAACAGGCTACGATGATTGCCAAAATACAAAAATGGCTTCGCCCTGGAGGTTGCTTGCTAGCGAATTTTCCCAAGGACGACGTCGCTTGGAAGGTATGGGACCTGTGGCTGGATGAAGGAATCGCGATATGGCACACGGGCTTGGGAGTGGAGGGAACGGTGAAGATGGTGACGGAGAAGGGGTTGGAAGTTGAGAAGGCTGAGGTGGAGGGTGATGGGACACAGATATTCCTGTGGGTTATTGCAAGAAAGAAGTAGCTTAAGTAAGAGATTCTATTCTATTTTAAACCAAGAAACAAAGGCTTCAATACATGCCGAGTTCTCATCTGTGCGTATTCTGAATGCTCGGACATGCTCGGAGATGGCTGTAGGGTAGCCGTTGTGATTCATAATAGTCGCATGATTTATTGTGGGCCGGAAGTCCCGCTTCCGGCGTCAACAAAAACACACTCTCCGAGCGTTCCGTCGACGGATTCCAGCTTCCTCCTTTTCTGTTGGGATGGCCTGAGGCAGAAAGAAAGAAAGACCCTTGGCTGCATGTCGTATTCGTTCTGCCTCGTGCTCGCATCTCGATACCCGCTTAAGGGGCAGAGATGAACCAATCAACGCAGCTCTGCGCCGTCTAGAGCTGTATCGGGCATGGCCGGGAGGCAATTGGCGCCTCCTATTGGATGCGGATATTAGCTGTGGGGAAGCAAATGACATATTTCGTACTCGGGTCCAGTTTTTCGGCTTGAATGTTAAGATTGCGACGTGGTTATCAATCGATATCCCTTCCTTTGGAGCTTCAGAGGTATGTCTTTCAAAACTCTTCCCGCCGTTTTCGACCTCATGAGCCAGTCGTAGATTGAAGCCAATTGCGCCCCGCCGACTTCTATTCCTCTTTAGGGTCAGATCTCACCATGGACGCCATTCTGGAGATCGCAGACTACTTTGTCTTTGACAAGGCCTACGCGAGCGTCTTCCCTGCGCCTGTCTTCACCGACAATGCTACCATTTCATCGTCATCGTCGCCCGATTCTCTCTTCCCCGCGTCCATCGCATCTGCGATCCCCCGCGATGACATCTACCGCCAATGTTTCTCTCTCTTCCTGATTGCCAGTTTCGGCGCTGCCTCTATTTACGTCGTGTCCGCGACCCTGTCATACTACCTCATCTTTGACCGGCGCTTGGAACATCATCCGCGTTTCCTCAAGAACCAGATCCGCATGGAGGTCAATTCCTCCTTCTTTGCGATCCCCATCATTGCCGTTCTCACTATCCCCTTCTTCCTCGCCGAGGTGCGCGGCAAGAGCCTGCTCTACACGAGAATAGACGAGTATGGCTGGACCTGGGTTTTTGTCTCGACCCTGTTGTACGCCATCTTCAACGACATCGGCATTTACTGGATTCATCGCCTGGAGCATCACCCGAGCATTTACAAATATGTTCATAAACCCCATCACAAATGGATTAGTGCGTCATGTCATTTTTATCCATCCTCGTATGACCAGCGAGCTAACCAGACCAACAGTCCCAACGCCCTGGGCCGCCATTGCGTTCCATCCCCTTGATGGTTACGTCCAATCCCTGCCGTATCAGTGAGTACTCATTTGACATGTGATTAATCGAGCATTTTTGCTAACCAGTTCACAGTGTCTTCGTCTTCATCTGCCCCATGCAGAAGTATCTGTACATGGTGCTCTTTGCTTTGGTCCAAATCTGGACCATCCTCATTCATGACGGTGACATGATCACTGGACACTGGCTGGAAAAGTTCATCAACAGCCCAGCTCACCACACCCTCCACCACATGTACTTTACGTGCAACTACGGACAGTACTTTACCTGGGCCGACAACTACTGGGACTCTCACAAGGCTCCTCGCCCCGACCTGGACCCTATCCACGAAGCCCTGAGGGTCATGCGAGAGAAGGGGTTGGTGGATGAGAACGATCAACCCATTGCGAAGCCAAAGACCCTGTAGACGTCCTTTTACGACAGGTTTATCCTGTATCGACCTAACGACTCGGGTGCTTCCAAAGAAGCACGCATGGGCTCTATGCCCGCTAATTTGAATCGAACGTGTTTGGGACAAGGCACTAGATCACCGAGGTGGACAGGTCAGACGCTGTCCCGGATGCTCCAAGTTGGTTGCATTGCGTTACGCTAGACGAACTGGTTAGCATGGTTAGGAGTATTTGGCATTATCAGAGAAATTTTCTTCACTGAATGCGGCGAAAAGCGGATGTTTCCAGCTGGGAATTTGGCTGGATTTCGTTGGGTCCATCCATGACGATGTCCGCAACGATAGGAAGGTGGGATTGATTGGCGGGCTCGAGTCATCCGGTGTGACGCAAGTCGTCTGACCGCCTTCCTCTTTAGGTCTTGCATCTGGACCTTTGTATATACAAAGCATGTTAGTTCTGTACATAAATTCGTTGTTTCAACCTTACAATAAAATTTTAATGACAGAAAGCTACTCTGGTGCCAACATGAGCGCTCCAAAGATTCGACAGGCGACTCTCGCCGACAAGGACGCCATTTTCCAGGTTCACTACCAGGCCTTGATGCAGCACCATGAGTTTTACGGTGCTCTTTTCAAAACACACCCTAGGGAGCTGTTGCCTATGTTGACCGAGAGGGCGCTGAAGAACCCCACCTTTGTGTATCTGGCTGCAGAGTTGGAAGGATCTATCGTCGGTTTCATACGCTATAGTATTGTCGAGGCACAGGATCCGGATGCAGCAGAGACGAAGGCGGAGGACAAAAACATTGCCCAGGAAAAGGATAATCAAAAGCCCCCTCGACCCCCGCTTATTTCTCCAAAGGACCATCTCAACGAGATATGGGATCGGTTCAATAAGAGAGACGAGGAGATGGACGCATGCAAACAAGAGGCAGTGAAGGGACAGCGGCATTACTGTAGGTCTCACCTAAAGTCTTGCCACCTATTTGATCTATATGGCCAATACTCACACCCTTAGACATTTGGCATCTCATGATCCATCCAGACTATCAAAGAAAAGGCATCGGCGCGAAACTTCTTCAAGCTGTGACAGAAAAGGCCGATGCTGACGGTCTGCCGACGCTCATTGTTTCTTCTGAGATGTCTCATGGACTCTATTTGAAGGCAGGGTTTGAGGAACTCGGGGTCTGGACCATTGATACTGAGTACTGGGCGCAGGAGATTGTGCAGCGCAATATGAGCTTGGGGATCAAAGAGGATGAAGACCTGGCACGCCAATTCGAGGGGGTGAAGGAGGTTGAAGGTTGTTTGATTCGGCGCCCTAGAAATAGAGGTTAGAGGAAACTCATATCACGACGGCTGCTGATGGTTTACCGTCTTATGTCGACGGCTATAGATAGCTCAATATAACTGGTCAATGTCAGTGTAGTACGACTTCTCCCCACCTGAGGCGTCGGGACCCCTTCGGCTCCCTCGCTTGCATTCCAATACCCCACAGTTGTCTGGGGTTATCCGCGGCACACTACGATCCAGAGACTGGCTAGGGTGTCATGTAAGGGATCGTAAAGATCGGCGTCACGGCGGCGAGCCGACGGCAGATCAACCGATCCGGTGGGATTTAAACGGCACCAGGGCAAAACGCGCATACGGTAATTACAGGGAAGAACAGGGCAAATCACAACTCATGTATATAACGTGATGAATTTTCGTAGCTATATTTGGCTTGAAATCGAATTATTACGTAGCTAATTGGTCGCATGATATACAAGACTTTTTTCCTACTGGGAAGGAGAAATTAAAACGCAACAGGCGTGCTGAGCGTCAGGGTGACGGGCTCGCCGCTGAGCGTCACCCACTGGATCGGGGGCTCAGTTCCGACCACATCCGAAGAAACCGATCCTCCGGAGGCAGAAGCAGACCCGGAGGGAATGGTCACGGGAATAGGCTTGCCGCAAGTGTTACCGTCGGCGGTGACGGTCACAGACTTGATGGATGTGCCGTCCTCGGTGAAGGCGTAGGACAGCTTGGGGTTGCAGAGATCCACAGTCTTGCGGTCAAGGAAGTAATGAGCCATGTCGTCCTGGGTGATACTCTTGATGGGCCAGTTGGTCAGAGCCATGAGCTGCTGAACAACAGTCTCAGTCCAGGCCCGCACAAGGGACATGCTGCCGGTCTGGTCTCCAATGGTCAAAGGCTCCTCATTCATGTACATGTTGGCCTGGTGGAACATGTAGGGATCGGACTGGAGCATCAGAAGGTTGCGGATGACCGACTCCTTCTCAACCTTCAAGAGGTTATAGAAATCGCCAGTGCCGGCAGAGGTGACAATCCACTCCTCGAGGTTACACGCAGGCGTGTGGCAGTTGTAGTAGATGCGGGTGGCGAATCTGGGGATAACAACAACACCGTCGTACCCGTTGGCCTCGGTCGTGGTGATTAGAGGCCAGTAGGGGTTGTCAGTGTATCGGGTCTGGGGGCGAGTGTTGTCGCCGACAACATAGAGGATGTCGTTATCCAACCAGGCCTTGAGGGCATCGCCGTTGAACAGACCAGTGATCTGGGGAGGGATGATGCCGTTGGGAGAGTAGCGGATGCCCTGGTCAATGCCCAGCTGCTTCATCCACGCCTGGTTGAACCGGATCTCACGAGCGGTATCCTTGTAAGTGGCGTTGTTCAGGTTAAGATGGGTAAAGGTGTGGGAAATGTGACCGAACTGATCGCGGTTCTCAGGGACCATAAACCAAGCGGCAAAGTCATCCAGAGCTGCACATTCCTCGGTCCAAGAGTACTCGGCGAATGAGGCAGGCCACTGGTCCTCGCCGGATCCGATGGGCTTGAGCCACTCATGAGGGGGGTCGGGAAGGTACTCGTAGTCAACAGCCTCAGGAGGGTTGCAAATATCCTCGGCACCTTCGACGGCCGTAGCGTCAATGAGATCACCGTTGCCGTTGTGTCCCAGCTCGAGCCAGAACTCGGAGCCGGCAGGGAGACGGCCAGCAAGGTCATTCTGCCACAGGATGTGAGCCTCGAGATCGTCGGTGGTGATCTTGACGTCTTCGAGGCCGGCGGGGAAGTAAGGCTCAGTAGACAGCTGCACGTCGTCAATCTGAACGCCCAGGTGGATCTTGCGTTTGCCGAGGAAGAGGCCGCGGGTCATCCAGTGGATGTGCGAGTGCTCGAGGAAAGCAGAGGTCAATGACCAAGCGGGGGCCCAGCTCATAAACCAAACGAACTGCTCGCGGCCGTTGAAGTTGTTGATAACAGCAGCCACAGTCTCCGAATCGAAGCCAACAGCAGTGCCAAACTTGGCGACGGCCTTGGTGGTTGAATCATCCGTGATGGTTGCAGGGACGTGGTAGAGACCGGTGGTGCCGACCTCGGCTTTACTAAGAGACCGTTAGCCATGAAGATGGGAACTTGACAATATTATGAACTTACGCCTTGATGTTGGCAGTAGGGAAGTCGCTGACGTCGGAGAAGAAGACGCTCTGCTCGTTGCCCGCGTCACAGCATCCGCCGGCAACGGGAACGGTACCGGAGTTAACGCCAGGGTAGTCGTTGATGCGGACCATACGGACGCTGAAGTCAGCCTGGTACGCATGGATAACAGTCCACTGGGCATCGTCGAGAGCGCTGCGCCAGCCGGTAGAGCCGTAGTCGTACGAGACGGAGTCCAAGACGACTATGCCGCCGTAGTTTCCAGCAGTGCGGCTGGAGTTCAGCACAGGCAGCTCCACGCCGGCCTGGGGAACGATGAGGTACTCGTACGGAATGCCGTAGGCCAGGAGGCCGAGGCTTCCGATGGCGGCGGTGGAGTCGTCGCGGGCGATGATGAGGATGGTGCTGTCGATGGTGGCGGAGGGAAGGCTGGAGGTGGTGCTGCTGGAGGTGCTGCTGGGAGTAGTGCTCGCAATGCTGCTGGAGGTGGTTCCAGGGGTGGTGGTAGGGGTGTTGTTCGCACTGAGGCTGGCGGAGCTGCTGGAAGTGGTGCCGGGGGTGGTGGTGGTGGGTGTGTTGTTGATAGTGACACTGGACGAACTGTCGCTGGCAGAGGTGCTGGACGTACCAGGAGTGGTGGTAGGAGTGTTGACAGTGACGCTGGACGAGCTGCTGGAGGTGGTTCCAGGAGTGGTGCTAGCACTGTCGCTTGAAGCGGGACCGGATGAGCTGCTGGAGGCGGTTCCAGGAGTAGTGCTGGGGGTGTTGTTCACAGTGACACTAGATGAGCTGCTGGAAGTGGTGCCAGGAGTAGTGGTAGGAGTGTTGTTGGCAGTGACACTGGACGAACTGTCGCTGGAAGAGGCACCCGGAGTGGTGCTAGGGGTGTTGCTAGCACTGTCGCTTGAAGCGGTGCCGGAAGAGGTACCGGCAGTGCTGCCAGGAGTCGTCGAGGCGTCAGAGCTGGGGGAATCAGAAGCGGTTGAGGCACCAGGGGTGCTGGAAACATCAGTCGAGCTTGAGGCGCCGGGAGTGGTGGAGGCGTAGGAGCTTGAAGCATCGGAGCTTGAAGCACTAGGGGTGCTAGTAGCATCAGCAGAGCTGGATGCCCCAGGGGTGGTGGAGACATCGGAGCTTGAGGCTCCAGGAGTGCTAGAAGCGTCAGTCGAGGCACCAGAAGTGCTGGAGGCATCAGTTGAGGCTCCGGGAGTGCTGGAAACATCGGAACTTGAGGCTCCCGGAGTACTGGAGACATCAGCTGAGCTCGACGCTCCGGGGGTGCTAGAAGCGTCAGAGCTCGAGGCACCGGGAGTGCTCGAGGTGTCAATCGAGCTGGAGGCATCGGAGCTTGTGGCACCAAGAGTGCTAGACGCGTCCGAGGATGAAGCACCGGGGGTGCTAGAAGCATCAGTCGAGGCACCAGAAGTGCTGGAAGCATCTGAGCTTGAGGCTCCGGAAGTGCTGGAAACATCGGAGCTCGAGGCCCCAGGAGTGGTCTCAGCACTGGCGGTGGAGGAAGCGGAAGCGGCGGACTGCGAGGCTGAGACATCTGTGGACTGAGAAGATGAGACATCGGTGGACAGGGAGGATGAGACATCCGTAGACTCAGTTGAAGAGACACCGGCAGACTCAGTCGAGGAGACAGCGCTGGAGACAACTGAGCTGGAAGTGGAGCTGGCGATGGTCGAAGAAGAGCTGGTAACAAGAGTGCCGCGAGTCACAGTGAGACTATCGACGTACACACTGACGTAGCCTCGGAACTGGCAGGTAAGGCTGATCTTCAAAACTCCGCTGGATGAGGTGGGGTTAATGGTGCCAGAAAGCGGAACCCAGGATGAGCCCGCCGAGCCGAATCGCTCCGAGGTTGCGAAGTTGTTGCCGTTGAAGGAGGCCTGGAGTCGGCAGCTGTTGGCAGGTCGAGCAACGCGGACGTAGTAGTAGAACTTGATCGTGTACGTAGTACGGGGAGTGAGACGCCTGACAATGGTGCTGATGGATGAGCCGCCGCTGGACTGGCGCTTCTCGAGAGCACTCTCATCCTCCTCTCCGTCCTCGAGTTGACAAGCACCATCGCCGGCGCCGTCCTGACCGTCCTCAACCCACTGGGCCTTTCCTTCGATCTCGTACTCCTCCAGGTCAACAGCGAAGTTGGGGTTGCCGATCACAGGGGGCGCGTAGGGAGTAGATGTGGGAGTGGCCGCATTGGTGCTTAAACCGGTCGTGTCGGGCTTGCACCGACTGGCCTCGCCAACCCTCAGCAGGCCGAGGGCGGCGACGGCGATGCTGAGAAGGCGCATCGCGGGAGTGGAGCGAGTCTCAGGCGGACTCTGGGGACGAACGAATGACTTGAGAAGGGCGCAAAAAACGAAAGTGGTGGCGACTCAAGACGAGCCTCCGGATGTCTCAAAGACGATTCAAACGAGTGAATGAGTGACGGGTGGGAATGTGAGGAGCAAAAGAGAGACCCGACGACGACATTATTAAAGGAGGAGTCTTCAAACCCCCCTCGGGCCTCAGCTGGTCCCAGCACATCAGTCGGCCGCGAATTGTCACCACTATTGATGTGGCCAAGCCCTTGGCACCAGCTTGGCCTTCGTCTCTGCGGGCCTCGTCACAGAATCGTCTAGCTGCGTAGTATTCATGGGATCGCCGTGGTGGAGACGTCTGGATGGCCCTGCTCTCGCCGGGATCCGTGGTAATCAGGCCCCTATTGATTGCTCGTGAGGCTCTCGCCGCAGGGATGCCGGTCCGGGGCTGAATGCCATTTGGCTTTTCCATCGGCTGTCGTCCGCATCTTCCCACTCCTCTTCTTCATGTTGGTGGATCGTGGCAGGAGATTGGTGGCGGCTGGGCGTCTTGGCAGGGGCCCATCTTGTGCTGGTTCGTATAGACTATTGACAGGTGCAGATTCAATTCACCCACCGCCAAGCACACGGAGTGGTATCAGGACCAGTTGCTGACCACGACGAGGTGGGGAGACAAGATTTAGGAGGCTGCAAGCGGCTTGGCCATGTGCTGGGCGCTCCATTATTGCATCAACGCCTTGCCGCCGCGAGCCACGTCGATGGCGTTCCCCCTGGCACACTTCGTATCGCCGGATTCAAACCCAACCGGCTAGCCGCGATCTCTAGGCTTATTCTTAAGCTTAACGCAAGCTTGGCATACCCGCCAGGCGGGCGCGCCACGCCTATTCAGCATGCAGCCATGGGGCAATGTGGTGCGAAGTAGGTCGTCTTGGCTACGGTGTGGCCGGGGTCCGGGTTTCAGCTCTCGCTCGTCATGGGCCAGTTCTTTTTTTCATTCTTCCGTCAGGCAAAAACCTAGACGCGGAAACTCGTAACTCCACTGCGTGATACGAGACTTGTTCTTGGCTGCGGGTCGACTTCAGGCAATGGAAATAGCTCGTCAAGGGGGTTTTACCACTGGCCAATGATCGACACCGGGAATCCCCCTGTCTAGTAGACGGTTCTCGCAGCGCCAACACCGTTCAGTGTCCACTCGCTCCCCAACGGGGCGAGGAGAGAACAGAGGAAGGCCGGGGGGAACCCAGAGCTGCCTGCAATTCTCTCGGTAAATCCAAGCGTGCCCGTTCTAGCGTGAGGTGTCATGCAACAGGGCCAATTCCCCGGCTCGGGATCTTTAAATACTGGCTGGTTTACGGAAAAGGACACACACAGACACGCACACACACACACACACACACACACACTCACCCCCCTTGCACCTGGGCCACGCGTAAGCAAGGTACTACTCATGGATGGGCGGGAGGAAGTACGCGGAAGGAGAAAAAAAAAGAGTAGCGCGTTAAAATAGGCTTAGTTTATGGTTATTTGTTAAGCAAGCCCCTGTTCCACAATAGCAAAAATCCGAATCATACCCCTGGCCGTCAAACGCTGGGGATGACTCGTACGCGCGTGAACAGGCAGCGCCCAGAACGCCAGCTTTTGCTTCTGCATATGAACTGCGTGAGGCTTGCAGAATTATTGGAAGTGCAATCTGCACGCTGTGTCAGCCATGTCTTGGCTTACACGTCAAGTGGTGAGGGAAATATCCAGAGCAGAAGCCTCTCCACTGCCCATCCTATTGTGGTTGATCACATCATGTTGCATCCTGGGTCCTCTTGCAGGTAAGAAATTTCCACATGCAGGGTAGAACAGGTCATAAGTTGCATATGCATAGGGGTTGGGAAAAGAAGCTGGAGCCGAAGAAGCAGCCAGTACAGGCCGAGCCAAGAGTAAATACTCGCTCAATCCCTGCCGTCAGCTGCTACGTAGTATTCCAAGCACGTTCAGCTAGCCACAAGCAGGACCGGGCAGGCGGAGATAATCTCATCACCTGGGTATTGCGGAGTTCGTCCCCGTGTGTAGGGCTTAAGACGACCTACGCCACGAGTGTGATTACAGGGGTTGATCCACCGGTTCATCTGGGCGGGCACGAGGAGAAGTTTTGAACGAAATGCATGTTATGCTACCCAAGTCTAATGATCAAAGTTCTACCTTCAAGTGATGCTCAGTGTGTCGAGCCTGTCTAATCCAAATGCGCTGTCCCGTTCCCTTGGTATCTTGCGTAATGAATGTCATGATGATAGATCCGTCCGTTGTCACGGGGTAGTCGTGAAATGTGCCGAAAACGCCACGCATGTTGCTGATGCAATGATGATGCGAAAATGCGAAAATGCGAAAATGCGAAAATGTCCCTAAGCCAGAAATGGAAGTGGAAGTAGAAGAGAAGAAGAGGTAGAAGTGGCCCAAGTTGTCGATGTATATCCGTAGACCACTCAGAGGACAGCGCTCTTCTGAGTGATGGGAGCCTTGACGGTCTTCTTGTCGCAGCTAACACGGCCGTTGGTCCCCTGGCAGCTGAGGTTGAGCTTCGTCTTGCCCGAGGCTTCATAGCGACCGCCCTCGGACGCGCAAGCCCAGGCCTGGTTGATGGCGAGCGTGCCGCTCTTGTGGTCGAAGCGGAACGAGGCAGAGTCGCGGCTGGAGCCCGACTGGCACTTGTAGGTGACGCCGCCGACGAAGAAGTTCTTGCCCGTCGACGTGGCCTTGCACTTGGCCCGGTAGGAGAGGGCCTTGTTCTCAAGCGAGAAGCTGACGGTGCCCCTGTTGGTCTTGGCGCCGGCCTTGGTGGTGCTGTAGTCCAGGTCGAAGTCGTGGACGGTCCAGCTGGAGACCTTGGCGCCCTTGGCCATGCATGAGTCGCTTCGGGAGACGAGCGGTGCGGTGGGGGCGGCGATGGCGGAGGAGGCGGCGAGGAGAAGAGTGATGAAGGAGAACTGCATGTTGGCGGTGATTGGTGGTTGCTTGATTTTGGGAGTAAAGAGGAAACAAGAGATGTTGGAGTTTAGAGTCGTGAAGATGTTGTAGTGTTGTGACTGTGTTGCTGTCTGTTTGGGAGTTGATCTGAAGGGCAGTCTTACGCTTCTTTAAATAATACCCTCATGTCATATCCAACCCTCCTCTTGCAGCAGTATTTGCAACTCCATGCCGACATCCAGTCCACAACGCACAAGATGAGGCTGGTGAGGATCCTTCGAAGCCCAGCCTCGGAAGAATGATGGAGTCGTCGACTGACGTAGCACACCAAAAGTCGTATTTCTCCGAGTTCTCTCCCAGGCCGGTCCCGGCAAGTGGAGCAGCACGCCGCCTCGTGATTCGGCACCCAGCAGCTGCGCGCTGAAAATAGCAAATACGGGGGACTGGACTGGGGCTGTGAGGGAGCTGCCAGCGCAGAGGAGGCACGGGGGCTTGGCGGATTATTATGGAAATGCGGTTGGTTCTTGGTTTGCCATGGAATGGATGGAGTGCATGGAGGCGATATTGGCATCGTGTTTGGGAGCCATTGAGGCGATAGCGGAGTCGTAGGGCGATTTGGCGCTGGAAGGAGACTTTTTAGTGCTACACGAGCCAAATCTATAGCGCGTGGGTGGTTCTGCTTTCAGTGGACCGACAGAATGAAGTCCAGCGTTGCGCTTCAACGACACCTCAGCGACAGCGCATGAATCGAGACTCTCGCCATTCGACATAAAGACCTGTTGGTCATCATGGTCAGACTCGTGGAGCGGTGCATTAGTCGCGACAACACGCGGCTTCTTGCCACGCCTCCAATGCGCGGATTTGCGCGACCAACATTCGGCACAGCGACCAACACCACAGTGCTCTATTTCCAGTGCTCTATTTCCAGTGCTCTGTCTCCATCTACAGTGGGTATCAGCCTGAAGCTTCGGGAACTCGGCCAGAGAATCGGCAGTGGAGCGGGGAAACGGTGCAAGCACTCAAGAATCCAGGCCGTCGGTCAGGGTCCAGGTCACTTTCAATTGCAGCAGTATTTCGTATCTTGACTGTTGGCAGTTGGAACAAAGCGTGAATGTTGGGCATAGCCACCATGTCGGTCAAGAATAGGACTGCGCTGTCCCGCAATTGCCTCATGTGCTGCTTCAGGGTAGCCGCTGGTCGCGGAATCCCAGAGCTACCTGATGGACGACAAGTCATCACACGGAGTCTAGCTTGTTTTAAACTCTCATCCTAAATGCAAAGCCGAATAGTTGCTCCGCGAGGATGACTCTCTGGTAGAGCGGCTCGATGAATTTGGGTCAGACGTGCTATTCCCCAGCCAAGCGGCAGTCCGCATTCAATAGCGAATGGTAAACAAGAGACATCGTTTCTTTAATTCTACCAACCTAATTTGGTTCCAATTCTTCAGGCCGAGTTTCTAATAGTCTAATCAAACCCCTTTTCATAGGTATACCTAAACTTGAGCAACTCTTGCTCGCCGTGAAGCGGCCCCACAAACTGCACCGACAAGGGGAGCAAGGTCTCTGGGTATTTCCCACTCATGTCTGGTGCGCGGCCCGTCGGGATTACCATCGCAGGGTGACTGGTCAAGTTGAACTGCATCGTGTTCAGCGTCTGGCCAAATGTTGATGAGATCTTCTTCATTGAGGAGGCTGTGTCTCTGTCGAATAACGGCGGGGCAGTGAAGGGCACGCTGGGCATTAGAAGCACATTGAATGTCCGAAAGATGTCCTCGTATTCGTTGGTAACTATACTCATAATCAGCCGAGCCCCTTCAACTTTGGACCCCTTGCGGATATTTACCCTTAATAGTCAAGTTCATGCATTTTTGGTAGAGCGAAGGGTACTTATCCGCCTCGTATGCCCCGTTGATAAACTCATTGCGCATCCCTGCTGGTAGCTTGTCCCACTTACTCTGCGTCCAGGGGATGAGAGTCTGCTGGAACCCGGAGGACACCATGTTCGACGGCCATGCGGGTTCCCCAATGCCGTGCTTGTGAGTGATTGTCGACACACTCCCATCCACAGCGACCTGGCTGTCGCATGACTAGGCATGGAAATCTGCTCGACGGAGGCACCCAGCTGCTCTAGCTGGCCTGCCACGGCTCTCACTTCATCCTCCATCGCTGCGGTAACGAATGGGGCATCGATGGTTTCGGTGAGAATGGCCACTTTGAGACCGGACAGCTGTTTTGACCCGTGCAGTTTTGTAGCCTCGTTGTACCAGGTGTCGAGGTTGGTAGAATAAGGGACCTCCCCTACGTCATGGGCCCCCGATTGACGGTCATCAAGCCCATCTCGTCCTGCGATTGCCTCAAGGAGAAGAGCCGTGTCCCACACAGTCTTACATATCGGCCCAACGTGATCGAGAACAGGTTCACAGCTAATGACTCCTGTGTAGGGAATCAGTCCGTGGGTGGCTTTCAGACCGACCAGGCCACAGAACGCAGCAGGGACTCTGATTGAGCCGCCTTGATCTGCGCCCATGCCCATGTCGACATCAATACGTTCGCCCTTGTCCTCAATGAATTTGCGACGTCCAACAAGACCCGCAACGCCAGATGAAGAGCCTCCAGCGGAGTAGCCCTTGGCCTATGGGTTGTGTATGGGCCCAGTAGCAGCAGTATTGCTGACTGTCGCACAACTTAACGCCTCACACGTCGCAGTGCCAACGATTCTACCGCCGCACTCGAGAATCCTTGTTACCACTGTTGCATCTGATTCAGGTACCCAGGAGGGAAGTGCATCGGTCCCATTTTGTTGGCGTATATCGGCCACACAAATATTGTCCTTTACAACAATGTTCTTCCCGGAGAGGAGAGACGACCTTGGCAGGGCAGTACTAGCCGTTGAGCATCCTTCATCTTCAATGGTGAAGCAATATGACCATGGGGAGCCAAGATGTTCCGTCGGTGAGCCAGGTTGGATGTTTCGACGAGGAAAATCGCTGTCGATCAAGAGGTGGATTGTAGTCTTCTAGTTTCGAGAGCTCCTTAAAGGTATCATGGGCAGCGGTGAGAAGTAATCGTAGTGGCTCTACCTCGGCGTCCTCGACATGGAAGCCCAGTTTTGCTGCGATATTCCGCACATCGCTGTCTGTTATGGGATTGAATCTTCAAATTGAAGCCGTGGTCAGCACCTCAGCCTCATTCCCTCTAGGGCACTTACGGAGAAACTTCACTTGAAACAACTGACATGATGAAAATATTACTTTGCCCTGCGCGTGTCTGAATGTCATCCTCGGTGTACAGTGACCTGCATCTTCACTTGGTCCAGGATCTGGCCTGGGTGGGTCTACAAGTCCGTTATCAAGTGGGTAATTTTGGTAGGATCGCGCCCCCTCGTCTGACGGCGGACTTTTTGTCCAATGTCCGACGATGCGATTGTTACCTCGAGAGATTAGTAACGTTCGCCTAAAGGTGGAAATTTCTACTATTATGTAGTAATTAATGTGCCGCCTGTTTGTGTACCTGAAAGCGGAGGGAACCCGAGTCGATCGGGCGGACTTCCACCAACGCCACTGCTACCCACGCAGCTTTAAAAGATATTGCTTTCAGATAGTTCTAGCTGACGCATCTCACTCCCCAAACCGATCTTACCATTCAGCCACCATGATTTCCAAAATCTCACCGCCTCTGGAGCACATCAACCTACAGGGAGGATGGCCTACTCCAAATCTTCACCCATCCAAGGCCATGGGTGCGGCAGTCTCGGCAGTCTTTCGCCAAAAAGACATCGACATGCAACTGCGGTACGGCCCTGAATGCGGCAGTGGCTCGTTTCGGGAAAACATTGGCAAATGGCTTACTGAGATGTATGCCCCGGCAGTAGGGGCCGTTCCTGCGGAGCGCATCATCATCACCAACGGCGCGTCTAACGGGCTTGCAACTGTCCTGCAGAAGTTTGCGGATCCCAAATACACACGCGCTGTATGGATGGTCGAGCCCACGTATTTTCTTGCGTGCCCTATCTTTAGGGACGCTGGTCTTGCTGGAAAAATCCATGGCGTTCCTGAGGGAGATGACGGAGTTGACCTGGATTTCTTGCGAAATGCGCTCCAGGAGGCGGATGACAAAAGTGATCCCTTGTTAACCCCCAGCAAGACCCCCGAGGGAGGGTACGGCAAAGTGTATCGACACACCATTTACATGATTCCCACCTTTTCAAACCCGAGTGGAAAAACCATGACCTTAGATACTCCACGGGAGTTGATTCGCTTAGCTAGACTTCACGACGCACTGGTAGTATCAGACGACGTTTACGACATGCTGAGGTGGCCAACTGCGGAAGATGCCTCATTGGATAGCGCGTTTCCTTGCCCACCCAGGCTCGTAGATGTGGACAGGGAGATGGAGGGAGCCTCGGCATTTGGCAACTCTGTGAGCAACGGTTCTTTTTCGAAGATTGTTGCGCCAGGCGTGAGGGTTGGGTGGCTGGAAGCAACGCCCGCATTCATCTCAGCCATGGGAACTGTGTAAGTCTTTCTCCGACTAATAATTGGCAAAGCTAACCTCTACGTAAGGGGTGCCACCGTGTCTGGAGGAAGCCAAGGTCACCTCGCATCGCTGATTGTTGAGAAGCTCTTAGCAGATGGAGTGCTCGCCAGCCACATCAAGGACACTCTCATCCCCACGTACCAGAAGCGGTGGTACAGCATGACCAGAGCCATAAGGAACATTTGCACCCACTAGGGGTCCAGATTATCTCAACCGGAGACTATAAAGTTGCTGGCGGCTTCTTTCTCTACATATCCTTTGCGGGCTGTACGTCGCCTGGGTCTAAAATCGCCCAAGTTGCTCTTGAGGAGTTTAACCTCAAGATAGCACCCGGAGCCATCTTTTCAGTGCCTGATGACCCAAACAGTACGGAAAGAGGGGATAACTCGTATGGGAATGGCGCCAAATTGTGTTGGGCCTGGAATGAAGAAGAAGCTCTCGTTGACGGGATCAAGCGGCTGGGTGAGGCAATAAGCCAGGCGGGGAGAAGTTCGTGATGATATTCCTACTGTCATAGTACATAGATCTAGATAGTCAACCTACGGTCTGCTTAACCCAGCCGAATTTACAACCGTTCATATCAAAGAAATAATATTAGACAAAATCGACCATAGCTCACCACGGCAACTCTGCACAGGTGACTTGTGATTTGGAAACTGGATTTAGTCCACCATATTCCGACTGCCGGTTCCGATATCTTCCAAGAAACTCAGTATCAGCGTAAATTCACCATCCTCCTACCGAGTCATGGTGACGTTAAGCATGTCGTTCGAGACCGCACATTTCCTTCCCCAATGCTGCTCTAAGTTAATAGTCTAGAGGACTCTCGACATGGAATCCGTTTTTGGCCCCTGCTAGGGCTAAATGATGCCCCCCAGGCGGGGCGGACATTTCTGGGGTTGTCTGAATAGATAGTTATCCCCTGTATCACCTCGTCCGATGCCGCCAATTGGCGACGCCAGAGTAGGGGCACGATGATAACGGGACTGATAACAAGTGGCCTGCTATCACTAAGGAATTGACCAGTCATGGGGAGGCCATGGTTCCAACGCCGATTGCCAGGAATCTCAGGGATCCGGCGTGTTATCGAAGACCTTCAAGTTATATTACAAGCGTCTGTCGCCAGTTCGATTTATCCACAATCACTGACATTGATTCCACCCATCACCCCGACGTGCCCTGACCCGTAATATCTGCTATAAATCTCACATCATGGGTCTCGCTGGAATGTCCTGCCAGGATCTCAAGAAAAGACTTGAAGTTCCAAAGGGCCAAAACACAGTGACAGACCTCGACCAAGATCCCCACGGACATGTCTGGACCAACGAGGATCTTGAGCCCACCAAGCCATCGTTCCGCACCTGGACGTAGGTACACTACACGTCTTTCTGGTTGGCTTCGTCGTTTGCCACGGGAACATGGACCACCGGCAGTGCAATGATTGCGCTGGGGATGCCGTGGTACGCTGCATGGCTTGCCGTTGTCGTCTCCCATATTATCGGAGCCGTTTTACTCGTTGCGAACGGCCGAGGACCTGCAGCGTATCATATTGGTTTCCCCGTGTATGCACGCGCGAGCTTTGGAATGTGGGGGAGTTACTTTGCCATCACGTCGCGATGCATTGTGGTGAGTATTTTTCCGGATTGACTGCCCTGGACATTTATAGAGATATTAACTATCAACAGGCAGCCATCTGGTTCGCTGTCAATGCTTTCTATGGCGCCAACTTTGTCTCCATCTGCCTGCGGTGCATCTGGCCATCATGCAATTCCGTCACCAACACTATCCCGACCAGCCAGGGCATCACCACTCAGCTTATGGTGGCCCTCTTTATTTTCTGGGCCCTCTCCATGCCCTTCATCTTTATCCACCCCCGAAACTTGAACTGGTACTTTGTCGCAAAGTCCTGCTTGGTTGGCCCTGCTTGCTTCGCAGTGCTGATCTGGGCCGTTGTTCTGAACGGTGGCTCAATTGGCCTTAGTTTCTAAGTCTCTCCCGAAATCAAGAGCCCGAACTACTACGGTTGGCTGTGGATGAGCGCGCTCAACTCTGGATTCGGCGGTTGTTCCGCCCTGATAGTTGCGCAGGCTGATATCGCGCGATATGCGAGGAAGCCCAGCGATCAATCTTGGTCGCAGCTCATCACATACCCTCTATTCAGCGCATTGCCAGCTCTCTTTGGTATCCTTGTCGCGAGTGCAACCTCCAACTTCTGGGGCCAGGCATACTGGAATTTGTGGGATGTTTTGAGTGCTGCGCTTGACTACTATGAGATGTCCCCGGCGTCGCGTGGCCTGGTCTTCCTGGCGTCGTTTGCATTTGCCGTTGCAATCCTGGGCACCAACGTGGCCGCCAATTCACTCCCTTTTGGTAGCGATATTGCTGGTCTTTTCCCACGATGGATTAACATCCGCCGTGGCCAGGTCCTCTGCGCGGTGTTGGTCTTTCCTCTCGTCCCGTGGAAAATCATCAAGAGTGCAAAGTCGCTTCTCACATTTTTGTCCGGCTACTCTATCCTCATGGGTCCTTTTGCTGCTATCTGCATTACGGATTACTTCATTGTGGCAAAAGGAAACTTCTCCATCTGAGAGCTGTATCTCGGTAACTCGCAATCCAGATACTGGTATTGGAAGGGATGGAACATACGCGCTGTTGCTTCTTGGGTAATTGGTGTCGTTCTACCGTTTCCCGGGTTTGTGGCTACTTTTGGCACCGTCACGATCAATAGCGGAGCTACTCATATGTGGAACATGGGATACCTTCTAAGCATTGTCATGAGCGGAACAGTATACTATCTCCTCAGTATTTATATTCCGGTGTCGACAATTGACATGTCGCTCAAATTTGATCAGATGGCGATTGAATTGGATTCCATCATGGAGGCCGAGATACTTCATGAACAAGGCAAGATGGACATGGGTTTGATGGATAAAGAGACGGTTTAGAGTACTGCTGGTAGAATCTGTTAACAAGCAATCTGCATTAATAATATCCATATGCCATCTAAGATACATTTTAAGTACCTGCTCCGTTAGATTATGGACTCTGGGTAACGATATATTGATCTAAAAAACGAGGATATCACGACTTGCAGCTGTACAGACATCAAGACAGCACTTCAAACAAGCGTCAAAACGCACGACCACACCATCATAGGCGAATCGTTTATCACCTAGAAAGTGGAATCGTACGTCATTGGCACCGTCCAAAGCAACAACACGTATCCCGCTCCTTTGACCTACTTGGAGAGATAGTGGTGAATCGTAGAAATAGGGTGGATCTGCGTGCTGTAATTCGGTGTCTCGATCATGGGGACATCTTTCAACAAAAAGGCAGCTTCCTAGGTTCTGAATGATGTTGAAAGGACTGTGTACAATCTCCAGGGAAGGCCCGTCGAGACATAAACCCAGCTCAAGAGCGCTCTCTGTTGCGCGAACTCTCCAGCTTATGGTGTAATCGGGGGTCAAGTTGAGTGGCCTGGATGTCGATGGGATGGTGCAATCTATTGACGGTGGGGACTCTTCCGACTCCGCATGGGATTTGACCATTTCGTACGTTTCGCCATCAAACTCCAAGACACCGCGCACCCAAGATAGCGCGAGATACCCCTTTCGTGTGATGCGGCAGGTGTCAAAAATGGTTGGGTAGACAGCCTGCCCCTTGAAGCATGACATTGCCCAGTCTGATCCGGCGACCTTGTCTCTGGCGGTCACCGCGCTGTGCCCCAATATCTCTAAAGTCCAATCGACAAGATATTTAATATGGCAATTCAACATTTCCTCATGGTGGAGGGGAGCCGCTCGTGTAAAAACAGATCGGACAGCGTCGTAGAAATCGTCATAGTATGGGCCGCTGGCCCATGGTCTGTCATTGTCGATGCGAACGAGCAGATCCTCTGAGCAGTGGAACAGGGACAAGGCAAGAATGTCGCAAATGAAAAAAGCAATCTTGTCGATAAAACTCTCTTTTCGGCATTTGCCCTTCATCACACCGCCGACACACTTATCGCAGCCACATGCATTCTCGGGCGAGGTGAGATATGACTGTAATAACGGCAGCTCATTGACGGAACAACCTTCAGCAAGCTTCTTTAGCTCCACGGTTGTTTCAATATTCAGCATACGGGACAAGATCTTCGCGACTGAGTGGTCACCACGAAAAGGCGTTGTACGAAGCTCGGCTTCCCCTTCGAGCCCAGTTGCCCATATGTGGACACACATCGAACTAGGGCAGAATATGAACTGGTCTAAACATGCCTTTGCTGCGTAGGGAAGGATTACTTGGAGAACATGGAGGTCTTTTTCACGACTGAGGCTGTACTCCTGAAGCATCCACTGACCGCATCTCTCGATTGTTACCATGCCGGTCCATGATTTGGTGCTGGCCTGGGCAATAAGTTCCTCCGGGTTTCCGATGCTATGATGGATCGTGATGACGAACTTATCATGTATCGGAGACAAGGTGTCGGCAACAATGGTTACGCTGGAGCCTGGTTGATCGAGTACCGGTGTGCCATCTTCTAAGAAAACTGACGGGAGGGCCCCGAGGCACCACTTAGTGAATGCGACAACCCATGGCGCGCTGGATGTGACCTGGATAGTAACTTTCGCAACCGTGGATTCCCCAATTCTACCGAGTTGGCGAAAAGCATCAACGAGTTTCTCGATTGCTTCAGTAGAAGGGTATGATTTGGCGCGTTCGAGGATGTTCCTGCGGTCGGCATCGATGCCCTGGGTTTGACACAGCATCCACGTGTGCCAACCAACGATAGAGTCGGCAAAGTTGGAACGGGTTAATCTTCCGTCTAAGCTCGATAGCAAGTCCCTCAGTTGTCTGACTGTCGGAAGCAGGGTCTTATCAGTAGTGGTATTTTTCAGCATCCGTGAGATGGCCGTTGCAGCGTCGAATGGGCCAAAAGTCGCGAGGGCTGCTGCAAGACCAAGGAACTGGATACCGGCCAAAGAAGTGCCTAGATGACTTGCGGAGTCATTTCGAGAATACCCTACGGTGCTCCGGATGAATTTGATGACGGCTGGCTGAGGGGTTGGGAGAACCAAGGTTTCGATTTTGAGACATGTCTCCTGGCACATGGCACTTGTGTTGCCAAACCTTTCGCAGGCAATCAAGGCTATCGGCTGCACATTGTCCGTCGTGGCGGCCTGTATGAGCCCTCGAGAAAACGAGAGACCCCCGTTTGCGGTGGTCTCCAGCCCCCACTGCAGCGCAACGGCCATGGCGGCCGATGACGAGCACAAGGCTAGGCCTGAGGTAAGTTAGGACCGATAGGACCGACAATTGTCTGTAGAGAGACTGATTGATACGCACGCTAAATATGAAGGCAAGAGGAAACCTTGGTCTGCGAGAAGTTTGCAGGAGAGGATTGTTGGCGCCGCTTAGTGTGCCCACCATGCTCCGTCAAGGAACACGATTGACAAGGCGGGAGCAAAACGTGTCTTTTCTTTGAACTGCTACGTCTTGTTGCACAGCGTGAGGCTCCACGCTCAGCCGAAGGTCAGCAGGTGGGCGAAGTCGGCATACATGACGTCGCCTCATGCCGACTACATTCGTGGAGCGACTGGATTGGACACAGGGCCTGCTACCTTGAAACACTTCTCTCTTTCAAGTCGAAGAGGGGGATACCAGTTTCCGAGCGAGCCAATAGTCAAGTTCATATTGAGTGTCACTCAGACATTTGTTGGTCCCTCATGCACATCCATGATTCAGCTGTCCAATCTGTCGACCTTGATCACGGGCGAAGGCTTGGGCTATGCCTAGCCCAAATTCTGACTGCATATGCAAATTGCAAATTAGCTTGCAACGAAGACTCAGGATGGGATCAAAGGCAGCGGATTGGTTAACTTTCGGGGCTTGTGACTGACCTTTACGGCGCCACAGTAGGACAAGGAATGCATGGGGTAATTGGATCCAAAGGACCAAGTCTGGCTGAGCTGGCGGTGGAACCAACAAGGCATTTATCTGGTGCGCATAGCGTCAGCGAACACTAGATATGGAATTAAAGAAGCTGGCTCCTAGTTCCACACATCGTCGGGCACGCTGCGGAGAGATGGTCTTCGATATGCAGCCTTGGAGTCGTCTTCCAGCCCATTAGCTTGTTGGGCAGTGAACAACTTGGCCAGTTTCTCAGACTTTATGGCGCTTGTCTCAGTCCCTATCGCTTTGTAGAGTAAAATAATTTCAAGATATAGTATCTATAAGCAAGATATTTAAATAATTCTTATATATTTTATTGGATGTGTCCGTCTTCGGAAATCTGTTATCGGAAGAAATTGACTCGTCCCTATGGCGCCAACAACAGATGAATATCCTCACCCTCCAGATTAGTGACGAGCTAGGATTTCAGTTATTCTGGGATGATATTGTATCACAGCTTGGACGCCAATTACCCGAGCCCAGTGAGGATACCCCACAAGTGTCTTGGAACCCCCCTGAATCCCGATCTAAATACGACATCAAGCTGCAATTTGCAAGGCGGTATGAGCCATTCTACCCTGGGTCTGTAGGATACAACCCTGTTATAAATGCTTTTCTAGCCCCTTAACGGGAAAATCGCCGTGAGCCACAAATCACCGCTTGCGGCGCAAGTTGTACGAAACACCTAAGTAGGTACGACGACTGTGAGGTGTAGAAACTCTGAATCACCTGCTGATCCGCCACCCATAGAAAGGACGGCTAGGGAAGACCTGGTGCAATCCGCCTGAAACTTGGATACTAGTAAGTGAGAAAGAATCGTTCCCATCCACCTGAGCCTGATTGACACTTCCTACTTTTCGGGTTCTTTGTTATTCTGGGCCTAATGATGTGCTGTTCTTGGATCCTCAGGTAGCATTGCGCACGCTGGCCCGTCCCATGGGTTTATTGAGCTAATGCTGAATTGAGACTATTCCCAAAAACCACTGTGTTCCCGCCTTCGCAAACGTGGTAACCTGGAGAAACCTGCTGCTAGTCGCAAACGCAGTTCTTTGCCAGATTCAACCTAAGGAACAACAATGTTGAAGTTGGGGTTTGGAGGTTCCATATAGGACATGATCAAAGCCACAATCTGAGTGGCTTCTGTCCGCTGGCCTTCGATATCCTTTGGCAAAACACCAGACACAACCATGGTTAACAGGTCTTGCTTGGTCATGGAACAGACGCCAACATGCCCCTGGCCCGAGGTGTCAGAAGTAATATCCCTGCAAATCAAAGCTCCATTGCTCAGAGAGACTCGATGAGTCTCCTTGCAGTCAATCACACGCAAATCAACCACGCAACTCTCGCTCTGGGCTTTCCTGCCATTGATCCGAACAGACAAAGCCGTGAGGATCTGCCCCACCGAGGCCGCCTTGAGGATGCCGGACCCATGGGAAACAGGGCTGTAATCTGGAACGCCCTCACGCAGCTCGAGAGCAGCTGTGAGGAAGCTATCCCTCCAGGGCCCGCAAATACAGGTCCACGCCAGCGTCTCGTAAACTTCTGCGAGATCGCTCTTGGCCTTGACGTTCGTTGGCTCTGCGAAGACGGCGTGGTTCAGCAGCGTCACTGCGAACCGAAGATCGCCATCAGCAACGAACTGGGCGGCCTTGCGGATAACTTCGTCGATGCCACCCATACATCTGACATATCGTGCTCCTGCCTCGGCTGGCGGATGTTCCCAAAGATGAGCCGGATTCCCGTCATACCAACCCAAGTACTGCTGGTATATACACTTGACGTTATGGGTGAGAGAACCGTAGAAACTTTGAGCATGCCAGACATTCTTGAGTCCGTCGGGGAGCTCAAAGTTCTCGGCAATTTCTAGGCCCGTGAGACCTTGGCTCATCAAGAAGACTGTTTGATCATGAAGAAATGCGTAGAGATCGCGCTGCTGACCCAAAAAAGTCTTGATCTCATCATTCCCCCAAGTTGGCCAGTTGTGACCTCCGAAGCACACATCGACGTTGTCGGTAAAACGTGCTATCGTCTCGTCCAAGAAACTCGACCAAGCCTTGGTGTCGCGAACCATAGCTCCCCGGAGCGGAGTAACGTTGTGCAGACTCTGACTGGCATTCTCTGCCACGCAAAGCGCTCGTCGATCCGGGATAACGAAATTCATTTCTGCTGGGGCCTCTGTCCCCGGAGTCATCTGAAAGACAAATCTGATGCCGTCGATTTTCTCCGTCTGTCCAGTTTTCTTGATACTTGCGGTTGGGAGAATGAATCCACGAGATCCATCCGACGCAGCAAGACACGTGCCACAAGCAACATGTCCATGTGCACCTCGAGGTAAACGGGTGCCGAACTGAAAATCTGCACGTCGATTCATCGGTGCTCCAGCAACAACGTTCTCGTTGATGGCGTGAAACATGAAATCTTCAGGCGCCAGAACGGGAATGTCAGGCTCTTGGTTGCTGACGCCCAGGGCCCCAGCAAAATGGTCGCCGTGAGGATGAGTGTATATGAGTCCCGCCACTTCCCGATGGCCGCGATACTCACGGTAAAGCCGGAGTCCCTCTGCCGCAGTTTCAGTGGACATCAGGGGGTCAACCACAACGATACCAGTGTCGCCTTCCACGATGGTCATGTTGGCCGCATCCAGGCCACGGACTTGGTAGATGCCGTCCGTGACTAAGAACAGTCCATTGAGCGAACAGAGCTGGGCCTGACGCCATAGCATTGGAGCAACAGTTTCGGGGCATTTGCTTTCCCCCAGAAACTCATAGTCCTCAAAACTCCAAGCAACCTGGCCAGTCGGGGTTTGAATGGTTTTGGACGGGCAGGAACTTATGTGACCTCGATGGGCATTGCGGATAGTATCCGCCTGAGGCTCAAGTTCGGAGGGCATGATGATGGTGTGGCTGAAGAGAAAGAGAAATGAACGTAAGCGTCTTCAGTTTAACTCAAAGGTGAAGAGCCCAAAAGTGGCATCCACATCCCTCCTTTCCTTAAAGGGTTCACCGTATCCGCTTCATTGTTGGGGGTAGGCGTCATGGCAGGAAAAGATGCGTAGGGGTTATTCCCTCACGAATACTCCGTATACACCTCCTAATATTCCCCTCTCACAATTCCCCTCCCGCCATTCCCCGCCCAAAATCCCCCCTCCCTACGTCCCGACGTTCCCCTGCCGATGTTCTCTTCCCCAACTAGTTCTCGCTTAGAAATTCTCTAGAGCGCCCCGCCAGTAACGAAGCAGGTGAGGTTAGAAGTAAACCGAGTCATTGGAGGGTTCAGAGCTATGGAGCACATACTCGTAGCCACCACAACCTTGATGAGTAGCGCCTGGCATTTGCAATAGACGAAGCCCAATCACAAAGCTCCAAGCAGAACCATCGCCAGACGGCGTAACCAGCGCTCATATATCAGTTTGGAAGTTCCCGACTTGACATGCCACACTGCGTTGAAAGGTTGGGTACTAACCCTAGTGAGCAATCTCACATCAGTCCTGGCATTCAGCCATTACAATACTGTGAACACTTGCCAGCATCCACTAAAATAAAGATTTCACATCTACATGGTGCTCTAACAGCCTGGAAGCTTTCCAAGGACGCTCATTTCAGCGCCTTCTGGCTCCTCATCATTACTTCTCAAAACCCCACGGTTTACCTCTCGCCATTGCAGGCCCGCGACCAAGAGTTGAATTTAGCTTAAACAAATATCTCAATACTAGATAATTATGACACTAATAACCCTGCATACCTAATAACTACCTTGGAGAAGGCAGGATATCGTAGAAGGTCCTTGGCTATCCTTTTCTTCTGTCGCTGGTTCTTATATGATATATTTTCAATTATTAGAAACTCTTTCGATAAATAATAATAGTTAGGCCTGACTGGAATTATCTGCTTCTTCATAGATACTACGAAGAAGTCTCGTTAGCCTCTCAAGATCAATGGCTTCTTTTCCCCAAAAGTCGACTATACCAATTGCCATCTCAATACAGTGACGCCAATCTTGGCGCATAACAATACTACCACTCCTCGAAGCCGCAATAATACAAAGGGCGCAGCGAAACGTCCCTCGGGCAATGAGCCAGCTCCCATGATGGCGGTGCTGTATGTCAAAAAGGTAGATAAGGTCGTAACATGCTTGTAAACACCGCTGCGCATAGTCGTGAACTACCAGCGGTAGGGGCGCTGTGGAATGAATCGCGAGAAAGAGAAAAGGTTGGAATAGCATCCCCCGCACGAACAGTGCCCGGCTGTGTAGGACCCAAGGTATCTCGCGGTCATCAGCCTCTCCACGAAACCGAAGCCAATCTGGAAGAGTGGATGCTGCGAGAAGCTCGTGTTGTTCTAGCTCGGACGCTATTTGGATTTTTGGTGGCAGAGGGAGTCGCAACAGCTCGGTGTCGTCACTGACAGCATAAAATGTGTCTATGATCCGATCGACGGTATGCTTCTGGGAGATCTCCGAGAGGTAATAGTACCAGCTTTCTTGTACTGGAAACTCCTCGGGCGTTTGAGCATCGTCATTGGGGGGGCTCGGGAAGTTGGCAGAGGTTGGCAATCCAGAACTTCGCATAGGAAACAGGTCAATCTCCATGCGGAGTTCGCTGCGGCCACAATGAATAACAAACGTCAGCTTTCTCTTCATCAAGAACTCGAGGGACGCTGCGAATTATTACATTTCCGACTTTGAGCAGGACCAATATAATCGTTCCTCCAAGTCTTTTGTCTCGGTAGAAATCATGTCTGGGTTTCTCGTTCGGAAGTACAGCTGCATCAAATTGCATGCGGAGTCGAATGAGTGCCATGCGTCCAGTGGGCGAAGCCTGTACATCTCGTAGACGCCTGAGAGGAAGTTGCACTGAAGGCACAGCAGCGAATCGTTGCGTAGAAGACCAATTCGCTTTCGTGCCCCTGTGTAGTAGATATCAGCCAAGGCCAGATTGGACTCTGCGCTGCGGGGCTGTGACGTTGGGATTCGCCGGAAAGACTCAGAAGCTATTCCCAAGGCAGACGCTATCAACTGCAGTTGTTGTCAACGATCTTTCAGTGGCACGCTATCGCCTACGCGAAGTATACATACTACCATGCAGCTGGGGCCGTCCCATGCAAGACCGTTCTCTGCAGCGTCTCGTGCATATTGAACCAAGGTTTTGTGATCCACAACCGGGTTTTTGGTGTGGACGTTGGCAAGAAAGCTGCGAATGTGAGATGGGAGATCTTCTTCTATTATTCCATGTTGACGCAAGCTACTTTTTGCCGCCGTACCAGTCCCTGGCACAAAGAGTGACTTGAGCGACGTGCTCCATTCATCCTCACCAAATATCGGCCATCGAAGAATGCGACATGTTACACTCCACGGGGGTATAGACTGACGATTCTCCGATGCGCCGTTGATATCAGGGTCGGTTAGTCGCTCAAGTGTCGAACTTTGGCATTGTCCCAAGGCAGACGTGGGGTGAAAGTTATACCCAGTGGAATTGTTGCTTTTGGCCTCCAAGAGCGACACGACGTAGTTGATACGCTCCAAAAGAATGTGGTTACCAGCGTCGTACCTTGGAACAGTCAGCCTTCGGCGAGAATATCATAGGAAGGTTGACTCTTACGAAGATAACGCTTGACTAGTTGATTCGTACGTACAAGCGGCGCCAACACTGGCGCAGAATCCGCACTTTGGCTGGGCATTGTCGCACTTACTCTTTCTGCGTCGGCAAACCTGGCAAGCATACAATGCCCTTTTCCTGGGGTACGAAGCATTGGCCGCGGTTGGGGCACATCTCTTTGCTCCCCGACTTGCCGATACCGAGCTGCCGTCGATCCCCGTTTGGGCTGAAGTGGATATATCCGATACATGATCAGGTAGTTGTCGACCGGGTGGTGAAGGCGGGGATGGCTGCGGCATTACCACGTCTGTTGAATTGTTGAGGCGTGCGAGATGTCCACATAATGGGATGAACACGGAACCAAGTTCAGGCCGGGGGTGAAGGGATTTGGGCTAGTTATCACGGGGAACGTCGGGGAGGCAAGTTGGCAACCCTGTCACCGTATGTGGTTTAGTTTTCGGGGGGGAAGTCGGCAAAGAAGCAGGCCTCTCCCCATATCCGATGTCTGACCAAGCTAGCAAGGGGCATGTCAAGGAAGCAAGGTGACAACCCTGTCACCGTATGTGGTTTAGTCTCGGGGGGGTTGTCGGCAAGCCTCGCCCCGTATCCGATGTCTGACCAGGCCAGCAGGGGGAATGAGATCGGCAACTCGGGATCCATGGATACCCTACCTAGCCGCTTCTAGCAAAGCGTGTACTGTGTAAGTTAGCTTAGTACGTGTCCCTGACAGCCAGCACCCGTACGGAGAAAGCTCCCATGCACGTCTACCTCCTGCCTGTAACCCCGTCTCTAATCACCAGCCCAGTTCAAAGAAGAAGCAGAAATTCAAGACATTCAAGTCAATTTGCGGCGTCTGTTTATTTCCAAATGTCTACCATGAGAGCCGCCGTCATTCACGCTCCTGGTCGTGCGGAAGTGCTCCGGCTTGAAGAAATCCCAATCCCGGTAGCAAACCAAGGTCAAGTCCTTATCCGGATCCAGGCGTTTGGGCTGAACCGCTCCGAGCTTTTCACCCGCCAGGGCCACTCTCCTGGCGTTCGGTTTCCCCGTGTGCTGGGCATCGAGGCTGTCGGAACAATAGCAGCAGCGCCGGGCGGAGAGTTCCAGGAGGGTGATATTGTTGCAACCGCTATGGGAGGTCTTGGACGGGCTTTTGATGGCGGATACGCGGAATACACCTGCGTGCCAGCAGAGAACGTCCAGGCCATTCCCCCGGAGGTGGCGGACGGGCTTAGCTGGGACACCCTTGGCGCAATGCCAGAGATGCTGCAAACTGCGTGGGGATCATTATTCAAGTCACTGAGGCTGAGCGAAGGCGACAAACTCCTGATCCGCGGGGGGACGACCAGCGTTGGCCTCGCCGCCGCTTCTCTCGCCGCCGATCACGGGGCAACGGTCATGGCTACAACACGAAGAACCAGCGAGGACGTCGCTGACCTCATGAGACGATATGGTGCAGGAGAGGTAGTCGTCGACACTGGGAGAATTGCAGTGGAAGTGCGTAAGATCTGGCCTGGAGGCGCTGACAAGGTCTTGGAACTTGTTGGAACGACGACCTTGGATGACTCGATGCTGTGTGCGAAGGAAGGTGGCATCGTCTGCATGTCTGGCATAGTGGGAAACGAGTGGATGTTAAATAACTGGAACCCGATGGAGTCTATTCCCTCGGGAGTCTACTTGACTGCATACAGTGGTGGACGGGAGGAGTTCATGGAGACACCATTGAGCGATCTGGCGCGGAAGATCAAAGATGGTAAGCTCAAGTTGCGAATTGGCAAGACTTTCACCTTGGACGACATTGTAGACGCGCATAGGTCTTTGGAGGAGAACAAAGCCTTGGGTAAAATCGTGGTACTGGTATAGATGGAGGGGATGTGGTGCAGGCGTAGCCAGTGTAACGAAGTGTCATTAAGAGGGCTAGTCTACAAAGGTAGGCGTGAGTCTAATGCTGTTCGGTCTCTTCCCAGAAGCCTAGCAAGAGCGGCAAAAGGAACCGAAAAAAAAGAAGAAAAAAGAGAAGGTGAGGCTGTACACGGACGTGGGTCTGAGAGAACTGCAAGGAGTGCGACCGCTCTATGGTTCGTTCTGGTAATCTTCTCATACCGGAGTAGGGTCATCCCTGTATTGACCTAGCTACACACTCACGCTATTCCCAACCAAGTTTGATCTATGTTTCGCGGAAGCTCCGCGAACATGCTACGTAGTAAGCGTTACTTGATTCGCGTGGCTTGTCATTAGGCGAAATGTCCCGAACCAATAACAATAACGAGAACGAGAACGAGAACGAGACAGGGGGCTCCTCTACGTGAGCAAGCTCCAACATGATTAATAATTCAGAGGCATTAATGAAATAATATAATATGGCAGAATTATTGAGTCGCCGGCTCATCTTAAATCGAGCTTGTGACGCAAGATCAAGATGCTGAATCCTTCTGACACGAGATCCATTAGCACGGTACGGCTCTAAGAATACCGTGCGATATATGTTACGTCCAGCTCTCTAGGCAAGCATTGTACCTCAAAACAATGCCATCCTCATTTGACTATGGTTTCACGCTGGCTGACGGGAGCAAAATCATCCATGGCGAGGGCGTGTTGGTGAAGGACGCCTATCCTCCCGAGTTGAACATCCCAGGCCAGCTGCAGGTTTTCAACCCAGGCCACAGGGCAGATCCCACAACACCAACGTTCTGCGGGCCACACGGCATCTTCTCCTTCGATGTCAATTTCAGGATGCCTCGCCATGTCCATATGGCTCCAAAAGCATCCGGAGACGGCAATCGATACATTGTGGAGAAACTCCTGGTCCTAAATGGTGTTGCTCTCGCCGAACTCAGCGGCGAGATTTACGTGATTCCGCCCAACACCATGGTTCTTATCGGCGCCGGTGTGCCTCACACATGGACGGCCTGCCCCCCCGGACTCGACCTCCAGGAACTAGGGGTGTCCAAGGATGAAAGAATTGTGTCCGAGGGCAAGTTCACCGCGGTCTACGAGTACGAGGAGCCAACGACCTTCTACCCGACGGCGCAGACGGAGGTGTTGAAGGACGAGAGTGCCTATGTGAGATGCGACGATCTTCAAGGAATCAAGGTCCCGGCATTCACGCTTGAGCAGCTGAAGAAGGATGCGTGGTTTGTGTGGGGGAGGGGAGCGCGGAAACTGATGACGGTCGGGACATGAAGAATGAGACGGGAGCCCTCTTAATTGGGAACGACTGGCAACGGCGGCGGAAGGCTTTTTTGCTACATATGGAAATGCACCTAACTTAACCATACGATACAACATATATTCCTGGAAACCATACTAAAAGGCCTCTTCGTCTAATGCAGCTTATGCGTCAATGTCAAGCACCTGTATCCCTTCCAAGACAGGCCCCAGCCCCCCACCCAAAGCCAGGTGCGCAGGATCCGACTTGGCATAGTAGTCGCGATGCTCGGCGGTTTCGAACACAGTGATAATCATATGGGTGAAGCCGTTCTATGAATTTCCAGCGCGTCAGCCCCATCCAGGAAAAGTCGCATGTTCGTTGCACGTACTTGCAATCCCTCGATGGAATTGTCCACCCCGGCGGTGATGGACTTGATGTATGGCTCTGGGGTGTCGGGAAGAACACACTTATCCTTGAGCGATTTCAGACCAGCAATCACCTGGTTAGTGTTAGTGATGGTGTCTCTTGTCATAATGGAGAGAAAGACAGACATGGTCGATCTTGTCCTTGTCGACGCCTTGCTTGAATCGAAGCTGCACAACGTGGATGATTCCTCCCATTGTAAACAAGTCGCAGACAGTATGAAGCTACTTCAGAGAGGTATCCGGGTAGATGCGTACTATAACAGCTGAAGGATTGGTGTCAACCGGCTCGACGCCTCCCATCAAGCTCTTATAACAGGATCCCCAACGCTCTCGAATCTTCCGGCCAGCTGCATTAGTCAATGGCGATGTCTGGTTGAACGCTATCCGACCACCTTCGGGCCGACTAAGTGTCAATAGGCATGACAACCCACAGCGGCTCCGTAGGCCTTTGGCCGACCATCTGGATTGATCAGCGGCTAATTATTCACTCACTGACTTTGTCATCCTTCCTGGTGCGATGTATGACATATCCCGAACGCAGAGCGGATACCGGGTGCGATAGAACACGTCGCATTGGCGTCATGTCACAGATATAACGTTATACTCAATCTTCAGCCGCCAGAACCTAGGTAAGGCACCCTTGGTCAATTACTGGACGTGGATGCTATGTTAATCAGCATACGCTCAGCATGCCTATTCACCTGATGGATGGTTGCTCTATAAATGTGTGCCTGATGCGCCCATCATCCTGCAATCACGGCCAAGTCCATCACACATCTTCCCTCAGTTTCACTATCCCAGCATCTTTACATCAGGCATGGCGACCAAAGGCTCCGTTTTCCTCATCGGCCCCGGCTTCATTGGGCTCCAGATCCTGGGAGAGCTCCTGGCAGACGGCTACCAGGTAACCACATTAGTTCGAAGGGAGGAGGCCAAGGCGAGCCTCGAGAAACTCGGGTGCAAGACCATCCTCGGCTCGCTTAATGATGGCGACGTCATCCGCACAGCTACTGCTGCTGCCGACATCGTGATCCATACCGCCACGGCCGACCATCTACCATCCGCTGCCTCGGTCTTGGATGGCATCGCTGAGCGCGCCAAGACCGGCAAGAGCACCATCTACATCCACACCAGCGGCTGCAGTGCACTCACAGAGGAGTCAAATGGCGACCTCGCAAGCGACACGGTATATCAAGATGACAAGCCAGAAACCATCGACAGTATCGCCGACGACGCCCCGCATCGAGCCATCGACCTTGCTATCCTGAAGTCTCGTAGCGAACTCGGCGCCAAGGCAAAGATATCGATTGTGCTCCCCCCCGTTATCTACGGGCTTGGCAAGGGAAACCGCCTCTCCATCCAGGTCCCGACTATGGCTCGGTTCGCCGTCAAGCATGGCTATGCCGGCTATGTTGGAGGCGGCAAGGCAGTCTGGGGCCAAATCCACGTCGCGGATCTGGCACGAGGATACTTAGCCATACTGCGCCATATGGAGTCCACCCCTGGCGACAAGTTCCTTGAAAACCCGTACTTCTTCATCGAGAACGGAGAGGAATGTTCGTGGGAGAGGTGCGCCGAGGAGATTGGCAAGGCGCTTCACAAGGCAGGGAAAATTCAGGATCCGACTCCTCGCCAGATCCCGAGCGACCTCTACAATGACCTCTTTGGAGACTGGACTCTGGCAGTCATTGGTCGGAACGCCAGGAATCGTGCCAACAGATTGCGCGCTCTCGGCTGGAAGCCCCAGGAGAAGTCAACCTTTGATTCCTTGCTGACGGACGAGTTGCCCATCATTCTCGCTGAAACGTCCGACTTCCAGGGCTACAGCGCCAAAGTAGCTTCCTAGGCGGGGGCTCATAGACTGATAGCAATTAAGACGCATTTTGTTGTCTACTTTTTAATAGTTGACATGTTATCCCTCTGACCTTGTGTCCTCCACCGCCTTTGTTTTGTGTATGTGACTGTGACCTCTTTTGCCTTGTCAGAGTCCAGGCCAAGGGCAAAAACTTTTTGACTTGTCGTGCAGATATAATGTGCATTCAAGCTTAGCAGTATGGTCTACAAGAGGAAAGCCACCTGGTGCTTCAGCTTCGCTAGCACTGGTGTGATTTCTTCAACCAGGCTACGTACGGGACACGGTCCAAACGCCATTGTGACGTTCTTGGAGTACAAAGTAAACCCGGGAAAACTGATCTGTTCGTTGTGAACTCCAACGCTAGGGATGTTGCCGAATGGCCGGATCAAGTCAAAAGCGAGCTCAGAATCTGCACGGTCGACAACCTCCATCACAACATCTGCATCGCGGCCAGACGACTCGTCCCTAACTTTCTGGACAGGATCATCCGAGAGGTTGATGGGCACATATGAGACGACCCTGTACGCCCATCCTTGCTTATTGGATGCGTCGATCGGAAGCCGGGTATGTGTGTGGGGAAGCTAAGTTCCCAGCTTGATGCCAGGGGCTTTCCGGAACCTCCCCGGTTTCGCTGACAAATCCCATCCAGAACAAATCACAATTGGATGCATACGAGAATGGCTCCAACGGGTGGCGATCAATACTGGGGCCGGAGCCGTTCTCAAGGCCAGTTTGGAAGGTTTCCGCGCGGGTCCCGCAAGACGTTTAAGTTCCCCTGGAAGAGCGGAGCATTCCCCGATGGCTCGGCTCAACACCAACGGGTAGACAGTGGCGATTATTGCGGGCAGCCTCGTCGTTTGAGGGGCCGGTCATGGTAACTAGGGCGATTCTATCTTCTGTGGCTGTCGCTCTGGTGGATGAAGGGCGGTCTGCTCCAGTCCAGTTGCAGAGCAGAGGCATCATGTCTCACTCCTTAAATCTGAGAAGCATCAGTATTGCTTCTTGTTGTTCTCGGGTAGAGCTACGAAAAATCGCCAGCTCTTCCGACTCGAAAGCTGAGGCCCGGTTGCCGTACGCTGAAGCCGCGAGCTTGCTCTTATCGGCCCGTTTCGACGAGGAGAACCGCGCCGCATGAGCTACTTCCGGCAGGCGGAAATGTCCTTGTGAGTGTCGGGGACTACGGTCCGGACCACGGGCGGATCCTGGAGACCCTCTCGCATCGTAGGTGGAATTGCGGATATCCGCGAAGAGCAAGAGAGCACGGCCACGAGCATGGTTGCCAACGAATAGAATCGACGGCGCTCCGAGCAATCGTTAGGGTTCTCGATTCAACTGGCTTACGCGAATTAAGCTTGTAAATCAGGCTTGCGCTCGTTTACCATGTAAAAGAGGGTATAAATGGGTCGGCTCAAGCCACTAGTATCAAGTCATAGCATGCCAGAATGAAGATTCAACACCTTCTTACCCTTCAGTCCTTTTACGCCATTGTCTCACTTGGTTCTCCAACTCCCCCTGCTTGCGAGACCATGGGCCATCTTGTCAAAGGGACCCACGAGCCGGCCTTCAGCGGCCTCCGCGACCTGCTGACCAAACATATCTTTGAGGGGGATGAAGTCGGCGCCTCAATCGTCGTCAATATAGATGGCCAGAATGTAGTCGACATCTGGGGCGGCTACTTCGACGAAAGTGGCACCCACAGCTGGGAAAGAGACACTATCGTCAACGTCTTCTCTACCACCAAGTGCATCACCAGTCTTGCTGCACTCGTTCTTATCGATAGAGGCATTATCAGCCCCTACGAGAAAGTGGCCATCTATTGGCCCGAGTTTGCTATAAATGGGAAGAAAGATATTGAGATTAGGCACATTATCTCTCATACATCTGGTATTCCAGGATGGGAGCAGCCGGTCACGCTAGCTGACGTCTGCAACTTCGACAAGGCAGTCTCCCTGCTCGCCGCCCAGGCGCCCTGGTGGACTCCTGGAACTGCATCTGGCTACCATTCCTTCACCCATGGGTTTTTGATTGGTCAAGTCATTCGCAAGGTCACAGGAAAGACCCTCAAAGATTTCATTCGAGATGAAATAGCCGGACCGCTGGGTGCTGATTTCCAGCTTGGGGCTGTTGAGTCCGACTTGTGCCACGTCTCCGACGTTATTCCCTGGATCGCAACCCCAAGCAATAATTCTGCTTCCGATTCTGACTCCATCGCTGCAAGGGTGAACACGAACCCTGAGTTCACACCCGCCATGGCTAACACCGCCTTGTGGCGAAATGCTGAACTAGGGGCCGCAAATGGCCATGGCAATGCACGGTCTATTGCAAAGATTCTCTCGGCGGTTTCTCTTGGGGGGTTTGTCGACGGGAAACGCCTCCTCAAGCCGGAGACCATTGACTTGATTTTTCAGCAGATGTCAAATGGAACAGATCTGGTGGCCAACATGCCGATTCGATTTGGAATTGGCTACGGCATAAGGGGCGAAGGAGTCGTCCCTACTTGGCTGCCTGAGGGAAGGATATGCTTTTGGGGCGGGTTGGGGGGATCGGTCGCTATTATGGACTTGGACAGGAAGATGACAATTGTGTACGCTATGAATAAGCTGTACCCTGTCGGCCTAGGGTCTAACCTGACGATTGAGTATGTGAAGGACATTTATAGGGCGGTGGGAGTCTCCGGGCTTGAGTGAAGCAAGGATGGTACGTTTTAAACCGAACTAGCTGGTCTCGTTACGGCGAACCAAGGAGAAATGTGTGGAAGAGCCCAGCATGGTAGACTTGATAGCGATATTCATTGCAAGGAGCAAGGCCTTGCCAGTAACACACACCAATTTTCTTTTAACTCCGAATGCTCAGCACCGATATAATCATTTTGGTTGGACGAATGGATTTTATTGATCTTGCCTGCCTCACACCTGGAGCTCAGTTAGCCTGAAGGTATACCAGACTATCAAGAGGTTAGGGTGCCCTAGTACACACATACCCAGAGGGGGGACTAGAAGCTCAACAGTAAAAAAAAACACCAACAATAGTATCAACAATAGTATACCAGACTATATATATAAGATCAGAAGGATCCAAGGTATATATCTTCTAGTAGAAAAATACCTTGGTTGATAGAATATCATGTAGATTGCAGGAAATTCCGCTAGTAGGGCTTTAATAGAGCCTGCAGCAGCCCGATATCTGAGGGAGGTGGAAGATAGTAATCGAACAAGGGTTGTATTGTCAGTTAAAATAGACTCAAATAAATCTCTTGAAAATTAAAATAACAAATTAACAGACCTCTATAGCTGCCTCGAGTCCTTTCGGCCTCTCTGACTACTTGGAAGAATCTCAATCGAAAGAAAAATACGATGCCCCTCCCCTCTGTCTACTCGACCTCCCCTTTTTAACCTCCGAGACATCCCTGCTAGCGACCGGCTAGCCCGAGAGTCCTTGACCGCCTGTCACAGCACATGCAGTGACTTTACCTATCTCTAAAGAGACAGCTTGCCATCAACATCCGCCTAAATAGGACCTAGCTACATATCATCGATGAGAGGGCTCAAGCCTTGAGCAGTTCCAATAATATCCTCAAAAAACAACTTCAACCTCTCAACACGAACTCGGTCACTCATGAACCGCTCAAACTCAACAGGATTCGTAGAAGTAACATCCATAATATCAGGATACCCGGCTGGAGCAGGAACATCCTTCAGCACACTCCAACTGCCTGTGCTGTTTTGGTGCTCGTGGCTCAACATGAAGTTGTGGAGCAACTTCGCTCCTTCAGGGTGAGGGGCATCTTTGAAGATAGCTGCACGCTGTGCCCAAGTGACGAAAGACCCCTGCGTGGGAATAGTGACGTTCAAGGATCCCGATGATGAGAGACCAATACCCGCAGTAAATGTTGCAGCGACAGTGCTGTTGGCGCTGTTCAACAGCGTCACTGGAGTTCCTGTTCCACGGACCCATCGAGGGTTCTGCGCAAGCAACTTTTCGAACCATTCGTAGCCGAATTCTTGCATACTGTATTTAGCACGTTAGCATCAGCTCAAAAGCTGCAAGAGGGAGGCATATGGTAAGAGTGACTTACATCAAATCAAACGCATAGAGCACCGCATCGTCATCATTTGGGTATGTTAAAACCAGCTTGTCCTTGAACTCGGGCTTGAGGAAATCCGCAAATTCTCGAGGTCCTTCGCTGAGTCTGTCGGTGTTGTAGATAAAGGTCCAGGCAAAAATCGAAACTCCATACCAGGCGGCCCTGATGTCTCGGAAGGCGGGATGGATTTTGTCAAAGTTCAAAGGTGCGTAATGAAGCAGCGCGTCCTCGTGGTCCCATCTAGGATAGTCGTGAAGCGTCTGTAGTATAATGCTGTCCACATATAGGCTCCCGGTGGACAACTGGCGGTCAATCTTGCCGTCATGGAATTTCGAGACATCTACAGTGATGTTCAGGGTCATGCCGGGGAAACGGGTTTCAAACGCCTCCTTCAAGCCATCCTGCTGGTTGGTTTCATCACCACCATGCCAGCAGGTGACTGTTCCGCCCTCTGCCAAAGCAGCTTGGTAAATCTCTTCGATTGTTCGATTTTCTCTAAGCGGTGCTCCGTCGAATTTGAGAAGCATATCGTAGGCATGCGAGCCGGCGATCAGCAGCGCCGCGGAAAAGATAGTTCGAAACATGATATCGAGCTTCAATAAAGAGTATAGGAGAGGTGAACAGATGAGAGAGCAATTGTTGTCTTAGTCCCGTAGATGTCGGATGTCAGCCTTTATACAACACTACAAAGCGGACCTGCTGAGGAATCGGTTGTCGGCACTACATCGACAATATCCATGTTCACGACCTGGAAAGGACCAAAATCAATCAAGTCGGTGATCAGTGGGATAAACCTAAACAAACTTTTGCTTGAACAAGGCCAGCCAATACGGACGTCTTTGGTGAAGACGGCCCTTTCCGAGGTTTCGTTTTCGGTTCCTTGTTTGATTGGAAATATTGGCAATATTTTCCGAAGATGGCTGATTGGTCACGATGCTTAATCGGTTAGAAATCCTGACCAAGCAAGCGCAAAGTGATGCAATGCTGTGGGTCCCTGACAAGGAAGGTAGATTAGGTAGCATACAATGAACGGTGGGATTTTTTTAAATTGATCCGTGCCGCGCGCTTCCCACAATTTTCTCCGAGGCATTGTTTGTAATGACGGCCGCTAAAGGATGGGGCAATTTTGAGCTCCCCGAGTAGTGGCATCACTGACTCCGCAAGCAACAATGGGCCTCGGGGAATAACGGCCTGAAAGCTTGACTCGAATAACGGTGTGATGACTGACTGGCGAGCTAAGGGCGCCGAGAGGTGCGTCGGAATCTGGCTCACCGATGTCGCTCGTTGCGGAGCATCTCAGGCAAAAATTGGGACGCTTCGGATCACACATCGGACACCCAGACCCACCAAACAGGGTCTGATGAGACGCATCGTTGTGAAGCTATCGTGGAGACTCTGGAATAAGTAACGGGGTGGTAGTTACGGCAACGGGTAGGATGAATTGAAGGGAGATGGGAAGCAGCCAGTTGATTGCGGTTGTTTTGTGAACAATTCCGTTGACCAATGTCGCATGATAACGAGTGTTGCACTGTGAACGAAGTAGAATTTGTATTGAACCCGCAAACAGGCGTAAAGTGCCCTCCACCGAAATACATTGATGTTCTGAACGAGATTGCAGTTGGATAAAAGAGTACCTCCGAGGGAAGCGGGAGAGCATTCAGTGACGCAGACGCCGACCACGGCGATGGCGATACCGACAGACAAGTTAAGAATAACCACCGGCGATGAGAACCCAGTAGTTACGACCAACGGTCGAGACGGCTCGGAGAATGGTTCCTACGATACCGAGGATAGAGAAGAAGAAGAAGAAACACTTTTTGCGGCCGTACTTCTTTGTTGATCCAGGGGGCTACCTGTTATATAAGACGTCAACAGGGTGAATTCGAGTACTGGACTCTTCTTGACTGAGAATGTTTCCAAGCGCGATATTAGCTTGACCAAGACCAGCCCCAGCAGACTGCTCCGATGCAGAGAGCGAGCTGGTAACAACACCATCCCCGGATGTGGCTACTAACGAACCGAATCGACCACTGAATTAGGGCGCACCCTGCGGATGGGTTCATGTGTTACTGATATGCTACCTGTTTGGCCTGCAGAACACCACGCTTACTTCCCTACATCTCTACTGTAATAGTTATTCCGCCGCCCGATATTTCCGTCCTTTCCCATATTGGCAGATCATCGGGGAAGCTCCCGATAGCCTTGCATGGGATCATCCGATACTCCCCGGTAGGCAGTGGGTCCGATACAGAGTGGTCCTGTCCGCCAATGTTCACCTTGCAAGCTCTGACTTCGTACTGGAGTGGATGATGTTTGTCCTACGAGCTCGGCTGTAATTTCCGCAGTAAGGGCTCGTCTCCCTGGCTCTTTGCGAGGCGGAAATGAGTGAACCGTCAATTGCATAACTGTGCCTGTCCTCTGATGGTCATTGCATTTGTTCCCATTCCGGAAGGCCTTTTTGCACCTTGGTGAGACGCAGACAATTTGACTGGTTGTTGAGAAGAATTGTCTACAAGCTGGTGGGATGAGGAGCGATCAAAATGAATCTCTGAGAAGGGTCGGTGTCAGGTTTCGGTACGGGTACCGGTGAGGAGGAGCTGCGTGGCGAGTTTGAGGTTGAAAAGATGAGGTTCTGGGTTGGTCTGTAGTAGGATGTGGATGTTTTCTGTATGGGATGGTGCCATCAAGATCGATGCTGCGTAGAAAGGCCTTCAACAGGTTGGCTTGGCATTTCGGTACTTCACGACTTCATTTGTGAGTATTGCATGCATGGGAAGACTATCAGGTTCACACATGGGTCGGTAATTACCCATGGTGTAACTGGAAATATAGTAGCTAGGCACCTGCTCCCTGGCAATAATATCACTATAATGAAGACTTTGAGACTTCATTCGGCTCGCTCATCGTGTATAATTGTCTATACCAAAGACCCGCCAGTTCCTATCAAACCCACTTCAGCACAGCTTTGATAACCTTGCCATCCTTCATATCTTTAAATGCCTGGGCGTAGTCGTCGATGTTATAGTAAGTCACTATTTTCTCCAACGGGTAGAGACCCTTTTGATGTTGCTCAATCAGAAAGGGAATCATCTGTTCTTGTCAGTTAAGGTGCTTATTGATTTGACCTGGCCTAAGCAAGTGAGGCAAGTGACAGGCAAAAGACTCACTTCTTTTGCAACGCTATCACCCTGATGAGAACCCCTATACTCACGGCCATGGCTCAAGTGAGAAAACAACTCCACACCAACTCGCTTTCCTGGCGCCGACGCGCCAACGCTAACAGCCCTGCCGCGTGTTGCGAGCGAGTCAATCAGCTTGCTGATGACCAAAGTCACCCCTGAGCAGTCCAGGGCAGATTGAACTCCATTAGATGGCTGGCAAATTTCCCGCACACGCTCGGCAAGATGTTCGTCAGAGCCGAGTAGAGTATGAGTAGCTCCAAGGGCCTCAGCCAACTCCAGACGCTCGGTGTTAATGTCGATGGCGATAATGATGGCTGCTTGCCGGAACTTGGCAGCCATAATTGCGCTCAGCCCGACAGACCCGACTCCCGAAATGGCAACGGAGCTGCCTGGTTGGACATTGAGGACATTGATGATGGACCCAGCCCCAGTCTGGAAACCGCAGCCAAGGGGTGCATAGAGTTCAAGGGGAGTTTCCTGCGGCACAGTGACCAAAGACGACTGGCTTACGACGGCAAGGCGACAGAATGAACTCTGGCCAAAGAAGTTGGAGAAGATCTCAATGCCGTCTTCAAGGGACAAGGGGCGGCTGCCATCAAGCCTTCGGCCGCCAAAGTTGAGCTGGAACATTTTATCACAGTAAGCAGGAGTGTTGGACCTGCATGCGCTGCACGCTTGGCAAAAGTTATAGCTCAGTAGCACCTTGTCGCCTACTTTAACATGGTCTACTCTGTCCCCAATTTGGCGGACCACGCCGGCGCCTATTATGTGTGATCGAGGTTTACATCAGGGAAAGTTGGCGGGAGAGAGAGAATGAAAATGAGAAAGTAAGAAGGGTGAAAAGAGACGCCATCTGAAGCCAAATCAAAAAGAAAAATTACAAGGAAAAAAGGTTAAGAGAAAGAAAGAATACCTTCATGACCTAAGACATTGGGAAATTCTGCTGGCAATTTGCCAGCCATGCATGCGAGGTCTGTATTGCAAATGCCGGCAGCATGCATTTGTACCAGTACCTCCGTCGGTTTGATAGGGCTGAGGATAACAGTTGTCAATTTCGGGAGCGTGCCAACAGAGGAAACCACCAAAGCGTCTGTAGTGTGTGCCATTGTGAAGGGAGGCGTGTTTCCGTGTTTGCGGTTACAGAAGCTCTCTCGGGAGGTGATCAGGTTGCCAGTTCTCTGTCGAAGCGAAGCAATAAGTAAAGCTAGTGCTCAACAGCTTTACAAATGCAGGATGGTTATCGGTTTGTGATGGATCCGTTACGGTCAAAGTGATCAATGGAATAGTGTTCAAATTGATGATGATGATCGTGATGATCCTTTCTTCCAGACTTCCGGACCGGTCGGAAGAGGGGTTATCTGGACCCCCCTTCTGACTAGGGTCCGGACATGAATCTATTGAAGGATTCGTAATACAGGGTCTCTATCCAGCAGTTTGCTTTAGGCTGGCAGCGAGGGTTTGATGCGGTTAGGCTGGTGTGTACATGAAGGAGCGGACTTCACTCCGCCCCGGAGGCCGAACCTCAGAGGGCCTTCCCCGCGTAGTTCGCTTCGGTTTGGCGGGGATTTAGGGCCGTGTGGGTGGGCGCGGAGTGTCGGTAGTCCAATGTCTGGGGAAAAGTCTCATGTCAGATGATCGGGAAGGGACCGATGACCAGGGTAATACCGGTAATGGTTCAAGTGGGGACGCAAATGCGAAAATAGACGGTTTCCCAACGGGTCGGATATCGTTGTAAAGTTCTGGACCCAGGTCTTCGAGTCTTGTCAAGTTTACATGGGGTCCAACCTGCCGACTCCACCGATAGCGTCGCCGCATTCGCCTCTGGGTAAGCCCGACAGTTCCGTAGCTAACGGCGAATGGCAAATGTTCCGATAACACACCGATCGGTAAGTCTTGCGGGTGTGATGGATTCGGTTGTGCCGTCTAGTATCCGGTGCGGATATCAGGTACGGGGGACTGGCCCTGACATACAGGCCTCGAAGAGGACGAGGGCATCAATCGTCGATCCAATATGACCTTCGAAAGTGGGACTTAGAGGGTTCCATAGGCCACCCGTCGTCAAAAAGCCGCTTCGAGGGCCCGAAATTAGGCCGTTCATGCCGCTTATCGCCCCCGACGTCTTCTGGCCAAGTGTTGGACCCGATCGCACGCCTAGGAGATTCATGGACAAGCTCAGCGGAATGCCTCTCTCGACGCTGTTGTGGATGATGTGGCCATAGAGCCCATGAGGAGAAATCTGCTCAACTTCGACCCCGGAGGCAGCTATTTTATGCATTTCTTCAAGGCCGCCCAGAGACTCCAAGCAGCCTTTGTCTCGACTCAACATGGTGTAGAATTTATCAGACATACCAACGTACTTATCAGCTCGGGGATCGAGACCGCTGATCCAGGAAATCGATGTTGAATCTGTTCAATACTAGCGTAGGAGCTGATGTAACTTCACCAATGGGGTTCGAGCCAACAACATGACCGTAAATGGTATTGGCTGTGGCATCGACCACAATCGAGCCAGAGTTGCCACTTTTCAATAATGCGAAGGGAAGATGGATTGAATTCGTTCAGGTTACTCCCGCAGAGATGACGTTCGGATACTAGGGCGGCCGTCTATCGGCTCCGCACGATGTTGCAAAACGATCTCCACCAGTGAATGTTGTAGTTGTCTGGTTTGAGAGGCATACATCAGAGAGGAATGTCCTAACTGCAGCTATTGTGGGCCGATTTTGTCCGTGCTATTTGGATTATTATCCCTCATTTTTGGTTTATTTCAATTTATTTTGGCCCGGATAGCCTATAGGCACCCTCCAGCTACAACTCCATGAATCATCAGAGCAGTTGAAGTTTTGAGTTTCGGTCTAGAAATCGTGAATGATGCAGTTAAGTCTGCTCTCCTAGAATAGCAACTAAAATGAAGTGAGATTTAAAGTGTGACGTGATTTTCGTCCATCAGGCTAGCCTGACAGTTATTAAATTCCACTGGGCTCAGCATCATAGTACGAGTTTCGAAAACATAATAAGCTGCAGCTTCTAGTTGTCAGAGCGCAAATCCAAGATTTTAGCCGACTGCTCCAAGAAAGCCTGGAGCATGAGTAAACACGTATATGCTAACCCTTGCCTCAACTAACACGAGCCAGTCGGTTCCCAACTTAATCAATTTAAAATGCCCACTCCAAATTCAATGGCCCAGATCCGTAATGTTTAACAACAAGAGGAAGTCTGACTTGAGAAGACTGTAGTAAGACTTGATGGAAGAAACGAGTACGTTGGTTATGTGTTGATAGATGGGGATTTTCTAGACCAAAATCCGTCACATTTAGCTGTCATCTTGAGACGAGTTTGACCTATTTCCTGTTTCCCTCGATACCCTGCTTTCCTTACGATATTGTCATGTCTCACGACACCCCGGTCCCAGACACCGAGGCTGACTCGTCGTAATATTAATCCGGTCCGGACCCGCTCATCAAACGAGCCCCTTAACCAAACAATTCACGATCTTGTCTGGTGAATGGACACGCTGCCTAAAACCACAAGTTGCACCACACTAGAATTCAATCACGACTCATCTCCCTCGAACAATATTCTCTTTGCTCGCTCTGCGACCTACCACTGAAACGAGTACTTATTATGTACCTTCCACCAGAAATCAGGTCTGAGATTGCCTCTCGATTTTTGTTGTTGGAACTTGACCCTTGGTTTTACTCGGATTTTGGGTCCGCATATAACGAATTCATGAGACGACCAGCAAAGGAAAATCCGTTCAACAGATTTTCTCTCTTCCGCCCTAACCTTCAGGTTTGGGTTTTGCTTAAGTTGCGGCTCGTCTCGCGCGACTGGTACCAGACAGCCACAATCTTGCTGCAGGAACATTTTTGGTGGCCTCTCAAGTTTGATTTCAAGTCGTCTTTGGAAAGAGCAGTATCTTGCTGTCTTCCGAGTGGGGAGAGCTCGTCCACCGCTACCCCTTGGGCATTGCCGAAGCAGTTTGTTACAAAACTAAACATAACTGAAATGGGGGATGTTTTGACATTCCGGCGATGCTACTTCTATGACAATGACCTGGTTCAGCGAGTGGGTGATGATGCACCGTACGCTGAATGTCATACGTTCAAAGATGAGCCGCTAAGACGTCAGGACAGAACTCAAATGGAGCTCCATTACGACAAATCTAGTGAGCATGAGCTTTTGCGTAATCTGTTCAACGCCCTTGAAACGATCGAAGCATTCAGTATCTCTTTCCCGAGAGCTGAATTTGACAAGGGGTACGACTATGACGAGGCCATGTGTTACGATATGCAAGCAATTCACGAAATGGCCGTAACCTTCCAACATGGACTGAACTCGCCGGCCTTTCAGCATCTTGTTGACCTGCGCCTCGATCTTCCATGTACGAAAGATGTTGAACTCATGACAAAGGGCATGTCAAAGGATGCGCGTGATCGACTGAAGCACCTACGCATATGGATCATGGACGAGACTGGCCGAGATGGAAATGACGGGGCTGAAAACACGGGCGACACGGAAGAAGAAGGTGTTGCTGATGGAAACTCGGCATGGGATGGAATACCCCCGAGTAATTTGCAGGCGGAATTTCCGAATAAAAGACACCAGAGCGCTGTTTGGGACTTTGTGGGATCTTGCCCAAACCTTGAGTCTCTTTCCATATCAGGGACGCATTTCCTCGACTTAGACCAGCTCAACTGGATCAAGTCATCTGGCTCTAGAGGTCTTCGCCTTCTGTCACTCCATCGAATCTGGACAAGCATTTCCTCGATCATAGAGCTGCTACGGGCTCACCCAAAATTCGATGGCCCCCCACAGTTGCGAGGTATCACCTTATGCAAGGTCAAGGTCCATGCCAATGGTGGAAACTGGTCCAGCTTGTTTGCCTACTTGAAAGAGAGCTGTTCCGACCTCAACTTCAGCAGGATGGATCAGCTCACCTATTTTGAAAACCATGAGAACTTTAGCTTTAACAACAGGATTTGGGAGAACTATAACGCCATCTGGACTGAAAACGAGGAAGATTGGGATGAGTTGCGAAGTTTAACGCGACATCTCATCCGAAGGGCGGGCGGGAAAGAATATTATCCCGAAGAGCTTTCGGAAATGATACTCGAGGATGACGAGGAAGATTAAATGATATGAGACAGCCTTTGCGTGCCTCAATTGGGCCCAACATATGTGAAAAGGTGTGGGATGACTAGCCCTCTCAGCCGCTCTTAGAGGAGAGGGTGTGCACTCCCTGTGGATTCTAGCAGCTAACTCAGCTAATATGTTCTGATTTGAGCGTTCCTAGTTCCGTGCAGTGAATGCGCACCGCAGGGGTCTAACTCGCACAGGCTGATGCGGATCCAAAGGTCACGCTCCGTTAAGCAGCAGGCTGCAAGCCACTCTTCTTCCTCTCCTATCACAATATGCGGTGAAACGGTGAGACAGGCGGTAAAGGACTTTTGGGCTAGCTGGTCGCTATCCGGGTGGTGACAGGGATAAGTAGGCGAGGAAGCCACAAACAGAGAGAGGAGAGGAATCGTGGCATCTTCCAGAGAGACCTTTTCTTTCAATCACAGAGACAGCAGTCTCGACTGTTTTATTCTTGCCAAAGTTAATAAAGACGTTTGCAGCCATTTTGAGAGACTTTTATGAGACATGTTACGAGAGCCTTCACGATCCTTGTCCGACCTCAGTCTTCTACATGGACAGTTGGCCGGCTGCCGCAGGCATCCTCGAAGCCTTACCACTATCTTTTCATGTGGCCGATCCGATAAAGCATCTAATTAGATGGTTCTCTATTAAATTCCCAAGTCGCAGGTTTGTCTGGCCATATACGCGTAGTCCGGTGCGGCTTCGGGCCGACCTTGTAAGACACCTGTACGACGCTTTTCTATGCATCCCTCTGAAGAGGGCTGTTAAGTTAGGCATTAACTATGGGCCCTTTCCACCGCTAAAAATGCGATACTTAATCTACATAAGGCACCAAGCACTCGGCTCAGATCAAAGCCCGTTCCAGCTGCAAACGCACCATCTCCTTATTCTCCCCGCCTTCTCTCTCTCACTTCTCCCTTGCCTTCTCCATCATCGACTTCAGCATCCCGCACCATATAAATCTACAGCCGCCCTAGGTCTGAGTAATACACGGTTTAGGATGGATCCTATGACAGCGCTTACGGTGGCAACTAGCGTCATTGCCTTCGTCGAGTTTGGTGGAAAATTGATCGGGCGGTATTTTGAAGTTCGAGAGACAACGAAATGACAGCCTCCAGATCTACTCCGTCTGAAAGAAGCCACCCAAGAGCTCAAGATCGTCGCGTCTGACGCCCAGAAAAATCTCAAGGAACTAAACTCAAGTCAATCCAAGAACTCCGGCTCCTTCGACAGTATCTTACACGATTGTATCGATGCGGAAAAATATCTAAATGCATCTTTAGAAAAGCTGACAGCAAGCCCAAATAGTCGGCTGGCCTACCGAGGATCACAGGCTATAGTTGCGATCAAGAGCCTGTGGTCAGAAAGCGACACCAAGAAATGGAATGACAGGCTCAACAGAATAAAGCAGTGAGTCAAAATGAACGTGTTGATGTGTCTATGGCAAGTCCAGGCTCTATCTTGAAAACTATCTACGATGGGAAAGCTAACCACTAGCTAGGGACGAGGCGAGGCAGACTGATGAGCTCGCAGTGGGTATTGAGGAGGGAGTTGGCCATGTCCTCGAATCTGTGAGGTACATCGAAACCACTATGAATGCCTTGCAGGGAGATTTCAAGAAGAATACGACAGGCAGGAGGTTGGCCGATTCTTCGGAGGAGGAGAGACTCGCTGATGCCATTTGGGCTTCGACCTCCCTTCTGGACCTAAAGAGGCCTAGAGGAAAGCCAGCGCCGCCTGAAAATTCTCACCATATTTCAGTGGATCACGACCCTGAGATATATGAGAATCCAATCTTTCAGAAGGTTTTGAAGAGTCTCAAGTTCAATGGGATGTCTGAGCGCGTTGACAGGATCACAAACGCGCACCCCAAAACTTTCGATTGGCTATTCACGACGCAAACTAATCAGGATGAGCTGGGGAATCTACAGTTGGATGCAAAATCTATGGACTTTGTGCAGTGGCTTCGATCACAGAACGATACCATTTTCTGGATAACGGGCAAACCAGCTTCAGGGAAGAGCACTCTGATGAAATTCATCTCAACACACGGCTCTCTGTACGAGCATCTTCGTGTATGGGCTGGCGAAGCCAAACTGGTAGTCGCGAGCTTTTACTTCTGGGGGCCGGGATCGAAAATCCAGAAGTCACGGGTGGGCCTACTCAGATCACTCTTGTACCAACTCCTTGTCCAGCAACCTGAGCTATGCGAAGTGGTGACTCCCAGACGTTGGGCATTCTTCTCCCAGGTCGGCATCGATGCCAAGTCTCCGGATTGGGAATGGACTAAGTTGCGGAGGTGCCTCGAGCGCTTCGCCAGCCAGATTAAAAACACATCACGGCTCGCTTTGTTCATCGACGGACTCGACGAATATGACGAGATAGGGGAAAAGGAGTGGCCCCAAGGCGAGGACGAGGATGCCTCTCAGGCCCAAAATCATGCTCAAGAAGAGATGATAAGCTTTCTCAAAGCGCTGCACGAGGATTACAATCCCAAAATATGCGTCTCGAGTAGGACATGGCCCATCTTCTCGGATGCTTTCTCGCAGAACCCTTCCTTGAAAATGGAAGCGCTCACTCAGCCTGATATTGAGATTTACGTCGACGACCATTTCAACAAGAGTCGTGCAATCCAAGATCTCCGGCTATCCGAACCGAAAATAATCGAAAAGTTGACAGAGGAAATTAAAAATGAGGCTGAAGGTGTATTCCTTTGGGTCGTCCTGGTGGTCGAACAACTCGTCATCACAGCTCGTAACTGCCCTTTGCCATCTGCACTGAGAAAAAAAGTTCAGCGAGTTGCCCAAGGGGCTAGAAAGGCTGTACCAGAGTATACAATCCAATATCAAAGGTACTGAGAAGAGCAATGCATCCAGGTTGTATCAACTTATCATCGAGTGGAAGTCGACAGGGAACAGCCAAATTGAGGCCGGCTTTCTATGGCAGTCCCTTGAGTGTGCGGACCCAACGAGGAAGATGGTATACCGGGGGGTCTCTGAGGACGAACGCATAATCCAGCCACTCAAGCGGCTACTTGCCGGGTGCACACAAGGGCTTCTACAAGCTTCGGCTTCACATTACAGTGAGTACAAGCGCTGGAAAATTGATTTCCTCCATCGCACAGTCTTTAACTAGCTACGTAAGAAAGACAACTGGGCCACCATCTGCAGCGACGGCCCTTCCGATTTCAACCCCATCCTTACACTCATCGCCATCCTAGCCTGCCAGTTGCGCGAGTCAATGCAGCCGGCTAACAGAGCAGCATCCGCCGCTCTACGCTTCATTCTGAAGAGGGATCTGATCCTTCGGATCCTGAGGCTCTCGAGCAAGATCGAGAACACGCCGGAGAATAGGGGCAAACTTGTCACCATCCTCAATCAAGTGGCCACGGAATGGCTCCTGCCTGTTGATACCACCCAGTGGTTCGAGGAGACGATGGTAGAGACTGGGAACCGTTTACTGGTGAACGGTCGCGCCACCACTTTGGCAGCCGCCTGGTGCTGTCTGCCGCTCCTCAGGGCGCAGGTGGAGGCCGATCCGACCATATTGCGCAAAAGGAACCCGCTGCGTAATATCAAGGTGGTTCTCTTCAACAGACCCAGACCCATCTCTCTCCTTGAGGCGTCAGCTTTGAGCTGGGTTTCGAAAAGCATGTTAAGTCTGCCCGAGTGGGATAATCCGTCGCGTAAAAGGGGCTATGGTCCAGCACGGATGCTTACCAAGTGGAACATTTACCTGCGGCTGGAAACGATTAAGTTCCTGCTCCAGAATAATGCCAAGCCGGATAGCTCGTTCAAGAAACGAGTAAAGACGTATGTGCAGCGCAGCCAGGGCACTGCGCCGCTTGAACATATATGTTGGTCGTTAGTGGACGAATTGTTCGACAACAAATCCGATTTGGCCTCTTATGATGTTAGGCAAAGGCTATTGCTGGAAATCGATGAACTTCCTCCCAAAAACTTTCCGGAGCTTGAGATTATGTTCGAATTTATGGCATTGAGCCATTGACAACTACGGCAAAAACGGAAAACAATCCGCTATGCGTAGAGTAACTAAGGCATATATTAAATGAGACAGAATTACCCTGCGCATCCCACCTCCACGAAACCGGGATAAATCACTTGGGATATTGCTCGCGTAACTGAATGTAGCCTGCAGCACCAATGAATGTGCCGGCGTGGGAGACTAGCCTGCGTTTAAAAATGATGCCCAAATTGAGAACAAAGGCGGTAAGTATCCCCTGAGTGGTTTTTTAGTATTCTGTGAGTAGTAGCATTGAGATACTGTTACTTTGAAGTTTTGACGTGGAACGATGTTTTTTGCGCCACGCAAAATTCTAGAGGTGTCTAAAAACTCAATAAAAATAGTATCTTTTCGGTATCAGTGTATATAAATGCCGCGGTAACCAGATTCCGATATTAGCAATTGCTGAAAGGCGAGGCATGTACACCAAAATCCGCACGAGCTCAGTAAGGGTATCCGTACTTGCATGATGGGGATTGTGGTTAAACTGCAATGATGCGGTACAGGTTAGCATCAGCCGCATGGCGTAATACCTAAGCTAAATTACTACCTAAATTACTAGTCTAGAAGCGATCTAGATTACCAGCATTGTGTCCGACTCACATCTCGATTTAAAACTTAGCAATGGAGCCCCAGATAGTTCCAGATCGTTAAAAATAGAAAGCGATGCAAATGCAGAGGGCCAGAACCTCTGGTAAATATGCGGGAAAAGAAGCTCATCAGATACATGTTCCAGCATCCCGATTGACGTCAAGCAAGTATGCATTGCTCGATCTGACTTCTGCCACAGCCCCACGCTTCAAACGTCACATACGGGTACTGCCGAGAAATTGGCGGCGCATCTAACAGCCTAAACGGTCATGCGAGGCCTGCGTGAGAGCCAGGGCAAGGTGTGGACCAGGTGTGTCTGGATGTTCAAGATAGGTTAAAAGGGTCTTTTGTGCTCGCTTATTTGTCGCCGTGAGATGCTGACCCCGAGCAGCCCGAGCAGAACCAGATCTGATATCCGGTGCCCCACCGCTCAAGCCAGACCTTTACAAGCATGCTGCCAACAGGCCATTTCTTATTAGACGGGTCTTTTCCATTGGAGCTTTTGACGCCTTCCTTACTGGCTACATCTCTCAACTCAATCCCGAAGGCTACTACTGTCTATTGCGCCCCTTGATCTCCTAAATCTGGCCCTCTATGTTCCAGATGGACCAACTTTTACACAAAAAGTGGTCATGTACAACATTATTACCGCAAGCGTTGGGATACTGATTCATGTCAGGGTTGCAGTTTCGAAAACGTCCGTCCCAAACAAGTTCTAGGCGCGTAAACGACACGGTGTCCCATCTTGCCGAATAAACCTGGGCCGGAGATTACCAGTTCGAGAGCCACCCTGACTGTGACTGTGCAACCCCAATTGCTTTGCCAAGAACCTCGCCGCAGATATACGTCCGAGTCTAATTAGCGCAGAGGAGCAAATGGCGCCGGCATCACGCCGTGGCTGAGCCCAGGACAGCACATCGTCGCTCGCGCAAAGAGAAGATGCCCCTTCGGTGGACGGAGTATTCAATTCCCACTGTGGATAACTTTGTCTTCGACGTTGCGTGGCATAAATGACGCGTGTAACCGTAGTGACACGCGTCCCCAATGCTGGGTGTTTCTAGTTAGCCTACTATCTCTGGCTAAGCGGTAACCTTAAATGGCAAGTTGCTATGATTGGCGAAGAGCAAATATGTGACCATCGTTTCCCTGTTAACAAGCATTACAAATGCGCCAAGCTGGGCTGTGCAATGTATATTTAGCCTTCTCCATCACAGTCGGTACGCTCCGACGATAAGGTCTTGCCAAGCTACGCACTACCCAACTTTGGGGCTTCGGGATTACCTGAAACGTCTGAAATATTCTTCAGAGGTTGTATTGCACTTGGCCGCATCAGTCGTTGGGTTGCGATCCTGGTTACACCAGCCGATAAGACTGGCTGGTTTGTGTTCGCAAAGCATGCTCAAATAACGAAATCAGAGTTTTCATCTTATTCTTCATCTTATTTTTCATCACTCAATGTGACGCCAGCCGGCACTGCAAATGATGTCTTTACCATTATGGTTAATATAGGCTTCAGAAGTCGACCCTGGGTTTCCTCAAATTTTAGTAGTCGAGGAATCAGGATATCCTTAGCTAGCTTCCCCGTAAAACCATCGCCCAAGTTTGGCCCCGTAAACCAGTCTTGGCATGTCTCAGAAACATCTTTATCTTGACTCCAGACTGCTTCAATGGATGCTCAAACAGCCGGCAGTGCTCGTGGTGCGCTAACTATCGGAAAGGAAGTAGCCGACGCGCGTCACCGACAAAAAGGCGGGGAGAGGGTCAACAGCCATCTCAGTGGGAATCGCTCGCCTAGAGAGGCGAAGCATTGGTGGGTAATGACGTGTTCCACAGCTGTTTTGTCGTCTGTCGCTTGCAGATGTAGCGTAGTGCCAAGATGACTTAAAGCAACTACTAAGATGGACATGGGGCCTGAGTCAATTCTACCATCACACACACCAGCCATCTCTTTTATATACAGGCAATCCCTAAAATGCAGTCGCCCGGTTGCGTGCAACAACACTCCCCGTAGATTTTATGTTTGCGCTCGTCGCGAAATCTAATCAGCCTGGCCTGATGCCAAGCGGACGGTGGTTGTTGGATATGATTGACCGCGTGAGGTCCCAATTTTCTACACACTTGCAAGGAGATACTAACACCTCTCTTTTGACAGCGGCGATCGTATGCCCTTGTGCCCAACAATAAAGCCTTAGATGATGACACCCCTATCGACAGTCGGGTTCACAAGACGTTCCTATTCCCCGTCCGTCCAAAACGCCGAGTCCAATGCTTGATTGCTGTCACCGCCTTGGTGTTCCTCACCATTCTAGCCCATCAAACCACCATTTGGAAGGATTTCTCAACAAGTGAGCCTTTTGAACCTCTCGACGCTACTTATTTGGACCACTTGGCTGCCCCTCTCACCGGCAAACGAGTCAGCAACAGCAAGAATGAAACAACTTTCATTGTTGGTAACCATCACGAAGTCTCGGGTAATTACCCAAAGAACTACCAATGGATCGACCCGTACTCCAGACAACCGTTCGCAGAGGTCATGTATAAGAATGGCATGAATAACAACGCGATGGGAAGGATGCCGAAAGGCAGCCAATACGATGTATTGGTCGTAGCAAGAGGACGGAATGACCAGTACATGGACCCAACTGAGGGCATCAAATATGTCAACCTCACCATTGTTGGGTAACTACTCACCATCGCCGCCGTAATAGGGATCGCTAACCAGTGCGATTCTTGGACAGCTTCTTTGCCAATTTCGATGCGACAACAGGGCAGTGGCGGCGAGCAGGACCGGAGCCGTATGTTCTCGACCTCCCTGTCTGGAGACAGTTTCCTCGCCCTTGTTCGAACCTCGTCAATGGCGGCGCCGCAGACCCGCGATTCATTTGGTCCGACGCAGGCGAGCCCCTCGCAGTAATCGGGACGAGCTCGAGAGTTCCGGGTGTGTGCAAGGCCGTCGGGCTGGTCGATCTGCGCGCTGCCTGGCCCGACCTGAAAGAACACCTCGAGGAGATTGGCTACGGCGACATTCCGATTCGATTCGACACATTTACCGAGATTGGCAAGGCGGGTAAGAAGGAGCGCTATGAGAAGAATTGGGCGCCGTTCTTTCCTGGTCCCAAGCCTTCCACACCAGACCTATTGACGTTCTCGCGGTTCCTCAGTTCACGGCAGAAACATCTTGCACCGTCGACATGGCCTTACTTCGCCTCTCAGATTGCGAAACGATCTATTCTCAAAGTTGACAGCACTCTTGACACGAGCGAGAGATCGCCAGATTCCTACGTCTTAGCCAAAGAAATCGACCTCTCTGTACAAGATAGTAGCAAGCCCTCGGTTGCAGATTCGGCCTGTCTGATCGATTCGCTTCCGCATTCATGGAAACCAAATGCCCTCCATCAGGCAACACCATTCTACCGCGTGACATTCTGTCCGCGCGGGACATGTCTTCCAAGTCAGCGAAATACAGTCCTTCTGGGTCTTATTCACTACAAGATGGGACGCAGAAGTTATCGCCGGTAAGTGACATATCCTACTACATGTGTGAGACAGTCTGGTTGACGCAATGATGCTTGAAGAATGTTTGTCACAATGAGCACCGTTGCACCTTTCAAGATTTTATCTGTGTCGCCCCCACTCCACTTTGGTAAGCATTCCTCTCTACATGTACGGAGCTGGAGCTGACCCTTCGCCCTTTGCAGGTTCTGTCGAAATCGACAAAAACGTCGTCTTTTCCGTCTCTATGGCCTTTATGCCCACCAAGAGTATGGAGGAGATAGGAGAAGGGGAGTCCCCTTTCAGAGAATCGCAGGACTCCCCGGGTGGATATCTTAGCCACGGATGGCTGGACGATACGCTTGTTGTTGGTGCGGGACTCCGTGATGAAGCGTATGATAGCATTCACTTGAATGTTACTACTGCGCTCCGTGGCCACACGTTATGCGTGGATAGAACGTGAGAGGCACGGGAATAATGATTGTATATTACAGGCGAGGAGTCAAAGGCTTGCTTGGGTGCCGGACGAAACCTGGCCCTGTTTAATGGGAAAAGATGATTTGTGATGATGTAATACCACGATAGAACAATTGCGAACATTTTCTTTTATTAAAACTAGAGACCGAGGGCACGTTGTGGTGAGAAAAATGAGAGTATCGCAAGCAGGCTGGGTAGACAGAGAACAGTACGCCGGGTTAAATCACACCTCGGCCCACTGCATGCCAACGCAATCTGTACTTTCTCTCATTCTCGAATTCAACATGTGCCAGGGGTTAAGTAATTCAGGGTACAATAAACTGAGTATCAGCCCGCGTTTCTGATTAATGCAGCATCTCGTAAACCGAAGAAAAAACCGAACCCAACTAATTGCATCACGACGATTGCGGGGCGGCGCTACCGGCGGCATGGGCCCGAGAGCCTAACGATCGTCATGAGACAAGTGGTGACGGTTTAGCACGTCAGTTAGCTGCATGTCTTGGCTCATGCATGTCTCAAGGGAAAGCCGAGAATGTTCGAGTATGTTCAAGACCGCTGGATCAGGTCGAGTGCCATGACCCTTCTCCTCCAGAGCGAGCACGATGCCATTTCACCGATGTACGGAATGAACCGGATAATATATATGCACCATGCCGTGGATAGCACCATTCGGACAATACATTGGTCTAGATGTTGCTATTGGCTCCACCGTACCCGAAATCCTTGCTCACATCCACGGCCTGTTTCAGCAGCCCAAGCCTCCGTCGCAGCTCCGCCTCGGTCAGCCATGAGATGCTCCGCGTGCACCTCACGTGTCTTGCCAGAGCCCAAAGAATGTTTAGCCCGAGCTCCAGCCCGCGCACGACAGCCTCGTTGTAGAAGCCGGAATCACCTTCGAAGGGAATCTTGTCGTGCTTGTCTCGCATGAACTCGACCGACCAGAAGAGGCTGCGGCCTCGGATATCGCCAACAAGTTCTAGCAGCCCGAGCTCGAGCTCCTGTGGGTTTACCTAGCTTGCGACCCATGGCTGGTACATTTTCTGGCAGCTTTTCCTTCTTGACAATCTCCTGGACTGCAATCGCAGCGGTGCAGGCAGTTGGATTGGCCTGAATATCGCTAGTATTAACCCAGACTAATGTTGCTCGTCTCATACCTGGAATGTGTGACCGTGAAGCAGTCCGCCCGACGCAGAAGCTAGGGTGTCAAAGATGTGTTCACACAACAGATAGTTCTCCACTCGTCGTGGCCTGACACACAGAGGATGCGGATGGGTCTCCATGATAGCTTTGTTTGCGTGCAATGATGTGCTTGTTCTGGGACTGGCTCTATTCACTCTAGTACTGAGTGGCAAGTTTGATGGCAGCATCAGTGGCTTCGTTTCTAGAGTCGACAAAAATAGCTTTGGACAACCTCCGGGGCAGTCCTTCAGTAGAAGAGACGCAAGGTCCTTAGAAGCATCGCAAGTGAATCGAGCGCCAGAGTACAGATACACAATCTTGTTGACTTGCTGGCGATTGCCTCAGCAATCTTGGGTCTGCCCTGTCCGATGCATGAGACGGCAGGTCCAGCAGATCCGTCGAGGATGACCTTTCCGGATTTAAGAATAATAGAGATGCCTGAAGCTCGCAAGACTCGTTCTGGTCAAGCTTTGAATGATCCATGAAGGATGCGGGGGTTTGTAGCAAACTAGTCGGCGGCCACGGTTCCCGATCTCGGATAGGCTTCCCGCTTTTCCTGTTCGTCACTGGGCACACTGAAAGAATGAGCGGCACAGCTTATGACATCAGGGGTAGTTACTACATAGAAGATAAAAAATCATGGAGGAATTGGTTCCTTTAATGGGCGGGTACAATCTTTGCCCATATCTCGACTCAAGTCGATCCTTGATAAGCCCATTGAATAGCCTGTGTCTCCTCCCCACCTATTTTGATCCCTCGGCTTCTCTTGCCGGTCTAGTTCAGTTTAAGAATCCTTCTCCAGCGCGCCGTTAGCGCCCGCCAATCGAGTCGGCGCTGTCGGAATCCTCCCGGCAGCGGCCGTCACTCGTCTGACGTTGCGGGGAAGCTACATTATCCGTCGATGCCGAGCGAGAGTGAGCGACATAATCGGCAATATTCCGACCCAAGGACACGCGTGGCAAAGTGCAAGGGACTGTCGATCAAGACAGACGAGAAAAACACGAGACGAGTGAATGTAGAGACGATATTGGTTGAGAGCTTCTTTTGTGCCGGGTTGCAGTGCCGAGGTCCTTGCGTAGTATCTTGCGGACCTGTAGCTAAAGTACTACCCGACGGTTCTAAATCTCAACTGGTTTGTAGCGCAGTGCCATTGCGATGGTTAAGCTACGGAGCCAGAGGTCGTCAGAGTATCGTCCAAGATGCTCACGCCATCCTCGGATTCCTCCATCGGAATGCCACCGCTCCCCGAGCTCTGCGCGTCCTCCCAGTTGGAGCCGGGCGCGACCGCAGGGACGACGCGTTCCATTTCGAAATCGCCCAGGCACATGTTCTGCGGGAAGCGGCACGGGGCCTTGCCGCCTCGGCGCCGGCAGTCCATCTTCTGGCAGACGTGGCCGGCGATGCAGTTGGGCTTCCGGCAGGCGCCGCGCTTAGGGCACGGCATAGTGCGCGACATGAGCTCGAGGATGGGCATCAGGTCGGCGGGGACCGGACTATGGTCGTATTCGCAGTGCTCGTCGTAGCAGGCGTCGATGAGGTGCTTTTTGTTGCAAAGCTTCGTAGGGCCCGAGATTGCCTTGAATCGCTTAAGGGCGTTGGTTGATGGCGAGGGGATGTAAGGGTCGAGGCGGTCTCCGTTTCTGTTAATCGCCACAAAGCCGGCCGGGATATCTTCGTGCTTGGGCAATGTGGACGTGTCTTTTTTCGTGTAATACGAGTCGGGGTCGCGATCCGCGGGCTTGTCCCTCCAGCTGTCGCTCATATGCGACGTTGGTTGGCCATTATAGTTGGTCTTTGAGAGGTGCCGCTTGGTATCGACGTGGGAGAATTTGCAGTTATTGCCGTTTCTGCATTTACCGGCGGCATAGAAGGTGCAGCGCGTGCCGTTATCGTTCGCCGAGATGGGTTGCAGAGCGTTGGTAGGTAGGTCGGCATTCCGCATAGCCAGAGGCGTAAATTTCGAGTTCTGGATGGGGCCGGGGGAGTAGGAGACAAGGCTATTTTGGCGGAAGACTCCGTGGAGCTCCTCGGTGCTCATGCCGAGCTTGTCGAACTCGGGATGGAATCGCACGCTTGGTGTGCGGATCAAGGTAAACAAGTCCGCGTTACCCCTATAGGGAGTAAGGTCGGCGACATAGCCCACGTCGTGGCATGCGGCGAAATAGATGTGCTTGCATTGGGCGTTCTCGGCGTACAGCCGCAACATGGCCTTCATTTTGTGGTCAGCATTCTCTTTAAGCTCGCCCGCATCGACGAAGTCGGTCAGGCCGTAAGACCTGTTGAAGCCCGCGGTAAACGACGAGAGCGACCGCTTCTCGGCGCCGCAGAGCCCGTTCTTGTTTAGATGCTTGGACAGGCCGACGAGGTTTGCGTATACGCGAACCATGATCTCGCATCCGTCGATGCCTTTGCGACGAAGGCTGTCCTTGATGGTATCGTTGAGCTGTTTGGCTGCTCTGATACCTCCCTCCTCCCCCTCCCGGATAAAGGCCTCGTCGAAGACGTAGCCATCGCCATCCACCACGACCAGCGCAAATGGGTTGCGTTCATGGCGGCGCGCCCGCTGCTTGTACCGCTCTCGTAGCTCGCGCTCCTCCTCGTAGTCGCTCTTCAGGCGCTTGTAGCTTTCGATGAGGGTGGAGTATTGCTCCAGGATTTCCGAGAGGTCATCTTTGCTGCGATACACGGCGAGCCTCTCGGTCGCCAGATCCAGCGTTTCATCGCCCAGTGTCACCATTTTTCTGTTCCTAGCACGTGCCTCTGTGAGGCCGGCCCCGCATCGCAGGTTGATGCGTGGCCAAAATCGACGTTGTTTGCGAGCCCTGTTGATGGACGGGCGAGCTGGACTTGTGGCGGAGAAGGCAGAAAATAGAGGGGAAATCACACGTCAGCAATGATGTTGATGAGGGGAGCTTTGTTGTGATGAGCGAAAAAAAGGGGAGAAAAGGTAACACAGGTTTCGTGTGCTAATCAGAGCTAATCAGAGCGGGGTCACTAAATTCACTGGCTCTAGCCGGGGCAACACACACCCTGGGAGGATGCTATGCTACGTATTCAGCGCAGAGTGGCTGTGCTGTAACCGAATGACGACGCTTTCTGAGCTCGTATTGATGCATCTCAAGCCGAGTTCTTGTTCGGATAACCCAATACTGTAACAGTCTACAGTTCAAATATCATGTTCCGTTATACCTGCAGCATGCGCTGGCATTCATTACTCCCATAAAGTTTAGGCTACCAGAAATGACACCCCTGGCAACATGATTAAGCCCGTTGCGAAATGGATAAACTTTCTCCAGAAATTGAATTCAAACTGTTTTCGGTCATGTCTATTCAAGAACCATAAACCTCAATAGTCAGTCGATTTATCAAGACTACTATTCCTGCCCTCGTCGGCTACTAATCGTCCTGTCCTTTATCATCGATATCCTCGATTAAGCGAACTCCTTGGGCGGTATTTTGTCTAGCAATAACCACGTCACCGCTCATCATCAGACGGATAATGAACCCGTCATCGGTGCACACTAAGGGAACTTCGGGCCTAGGGTACATGGCATTCCGGGCGTTCGGAATTTCTCAACTCCCTAGCGTCTTCATGGTGTTTCGCCCCAGCTTGACTTGTTCTCTTCACGTTCAAATCTAGCTGGAAAATGTCAGGGTTCACTGCATTTATCGCATCGATAAATATGACCGTTTTCTCCCCCACTCTCAACTGTAGGACGGTAGGTACGGTAGAAACTGACTGTCAAAGTTTAACCCTCTCCTGGGCAACAAAGTTTGCCCATCTGAGAAGGATTTCCAAGAACCCACAGACTGGAGACAGTTCAGCCCGACATCATGCTCATCAGCCCAACCACGTGGTGCGCCACACGACGCAGTCCAACGTGTTCGATGGCAGGGTTTTGGGCTGGAATGGCTTTTTTCTTGGGTGGAAGAAGTATATTCAATCGCTCAGATTCCCCCTCGACAAAGCACGTAGAGGCTTATCAACAGTCGGATTGGAAGTACACTTAGCTCTCTCAACTGGATCTAGGCTGGGTCCCAGGACGTAAGGCATACTAATTTTTTCAATTTCCTTTTAGCTTTACCCAGTATCCTAGATAGTAATGCATACTATTCCATCGCAAACCACCGCCCATTTTTATTAACATTCGCCGTACCGTGGATCTAATCGCACTGGTGGTGCTGACATAAACAAAACCCAAGACAGCCGCCCCCACTTGGGCGGTTCGGGCGATGGGCATCCATCATCCCTAAGTTAGTTCTGCTTCCTTCACCGTCCACTCATTCTCACCGGTTCCAAGCACAACTCCTTCAAAATTTCTAGCGAAAATATTTCTGTCATCAACTTGCTCTTCATTCTGGCATGAGGGACTATGCCTGCGCCTTGTGTGGGTGGTTCATCCCCCATCGAACTGACTCCGTTTCCTGGTACAATGAGTTCCGTGGTCGTACGTGACAGGTTGGGTCTCGGTGACAAGCATATCCTAACTGATAACAGTCTGTTCTGGTCCTGAGGGCATTATCCTCACAGGTGTGGGTCTGTACGAAGATCCATTCGAGCAAGGCGAGCCTTTAGTCGCTCCCATAGATCGTGATGGTCGGTGGGATGATTCGGACTATAACAGCCCCCCCGACCACCAGTTCGCCGCCATGGGAGAGGACGACCAAGGCCTGGGTCGCTATGGATTCTTATTTCACGAAGCTTGTTGGTCTCTCCTGGAGACTGTCTTCCTCCCTGGGGCCGTACCGTGCGAGCGGCTATTCAACATTTGCAGGTCATTTCCCCTTGTTCGATACCACGAGGGCTGCATCAGCTGGGGCCATGATTATGCTGGTGCGATTCAAACAAACGACTTGAACATCTTTCCGTGGGAGCACAACCACGAGGAACTCGCAGAATTCGAACCTGACTCAATCTTCAGTACTGATCCCTACCATGGCGGAGAAGTCAAGTGGCTTCTTACAACCATCCCTAAACAACCGCCCGGGGAGCTCCCGCCATCTTCAAACACGACGTACCATCAAAAGGACTGCTTCAGCTCGCTCCCAATAGAACTCCTCTCGGCTATCGCAGTGAGGATGTCAACGTGTGATTTTTTGAACGTGCGGCTGGCATCAAGATCGTTCTGGCCAATATTTGACGACTACCATTTCTGGGCGTCAAGATTCAAGCCTGGGTCCGAGCGTTCATGGATCTTCGAGAGACGGGATGATGATAAACGCCATAATTGGCGGTGGATATATCGTCAAACCCAAACCGCCCTTCTGAGCCATTCTCTCGAAAACAGGAAACGGATTTGGGGACTTGCTCACAAGCTCCTAGACATTGTTCAGCTCCGCTGGACTGAGCTCCCTGGATCACCCCCGATGCTCTCTCCGGACCAAAAAATGACTTCACGTGCATCTGGATATTTGTGGAAGGACAACCAAGACAATCCCTGCTATTCTCTTGGGGAAGGCTGTCGAATCCTTCATCGTCAGTCCGTCCCCATTTCACCAACCACAGCACTCTTCTCCATCTTCTCTGTACACCTTGGGGACAGGGTGTACATTTGCGGAATCACAATCACGTCTGTCGAAGGAGTCGTCATTAACCTAGGCTACCAATCCGAGAACACAAGCTCCGTCGAGATATCCGGCGAAATCACAGGATTCGTGCTTGCAATAGGATATAGAGGTATCCAAGCCATTCAATGTGTCGTGAGCGGCAATCAGAAGATCGCATGGCTAGGATGCCCTGAAGAAGTGCCTCATACACAGTGTCTCGTCATGTCGAGCCGTATTACTGCAATCGAAGCCGGCTTTGATGTACGGTCTATCCCGTCAAGGTCGATGCTTAGCTAATCTCATTTAACAGGCATGCAAGCTCGTCAGCTTGGCTGTGTGTCCAGAGCTACCCCTCCCAATAAAAGAAGTTGTTAATGACGAACAATTAAGAACGTCGGGGCTGTGGTATCCCGAAGCACCGGGCCCATCTCTCTGTCTTAACGTCCCAACAATAACACAAATCCGCGACTACATCAACTTCAGCGGGTACAAGCCATTTCTCTGGACGCTATTCGGCGGGCCTGGTGGCATCTATCTTCCACACCTGACCCATATGTCAGCCGACACCGCCGTCGGTCGAATCAATTTCTTTTACGACCAGGATGTCCCACCACAGTTCAAATCTCTAGGCCGCTGCACCTATTCAGATGGAGTTTCCAAATTTCCTATTGACGGCAAAGGTGGCGAGCGCATCACCGGAGTGGAGGTGTATCGTCTCAATCTCAGGTCTCCGAATACCCCTGCGGGAGGGGAAGGAACCTTTCTTGGGTTCAAGGTGAGTGATTTTATTCTGACGTCGACATCTGACTTGGCCACAAATTTAACCCCGCAATAGGTCTACACGAACCGTCAAAGGTCCTGTCTCTTTTTCTATGAGCCGAGGTGGTTGCAAATGCCTGGTGTCTCGTCGACACTTACCAAAACACCGGGACAGACAATTACGGGCTTCTACGTTTGCCAGGTACCTCCAAAATCTCTTCATCGAATTGACCTAGACTAACCGTGCTGTTTAAGGCGGAAAAATCAACGTTCCGTGATCTAGGCGTCATCTCGGAGACGGTGGGTAATGAATGAGTGCGGATACAATACAATCGCACGATGAAAACATGAAATGCATGAAACAGAGCAGAAATCTGCCTGTGACGGAAATCGAAAGGGCGAAACGAAGGCGAAAAGAGTAGTTCTAACGGTATGGACCGGTTGAAACTATAATCGGGTCGAGTTTCACTGCGTTTGAGCGAGTCACCCGCACCAAAATAGCTGAGACAACTCATACGCCTGCCAGGGCTTGAGAAATCATTGCATAAATGATGGAGACAAACGAAGCCCACGTATGCAATTTTCAGCAATCTAATATCGTCGCATGCATACGAATATTATTAGCCGTTTCCTTCCTTTATGCACCGCACATGTACAGTGGCGGAAATTCGGATTCGGGTGCAGGGTAGTGGAGCGCAACCCTACCTACATCACTTTACTCTTTTATTCCTGAGCTAGCTGTCTTTCTGATGGAATTCTCATGAACTAAATGGGTTATTCCTGTTAAATTTGTTCCGAAACACATTGCGTCTAGGACAATGAGATCCATTTCGGTAATTAACGGCTGTATCAATCTTGGCTGTCTCAATTCTCAATGGCGTACATCGACCTCCTGCATCCTTAACCACTCGTCCTGGGGTTGCATCGAGTCTGAGTGTTCTTCAGGCTCTAGAAATCCATACTCACTGGCCGACCTGGCCGAGGTAAGTCCTTTCCCGCGCTGTGACTTGCGACGTAACGCCAGCACTGTACCAGCAAGGTACACAATGGCAATAATCCCACTCGCGACAGAGTACACAACTATGTACTTCACCGGGGCACTCGCGAGCTGTAACCCTAATCCTCCGTTTATAATCCCAAGACCCATGAGAACTCGACCGTACCAAATATGGGCGTGGCTGACGAGTCCTCGTTGTTGGTGTTTGAGGTAGTGCCTGTGATGTGCCCACCCTAGGATGGGCTGGATGCTCAACAATGCACAGACGATGACACCGAGTATCGTGTGACTCTCGTGTCCCCACTGGAAATATTTGTCAGAAAATGCTGGACGTATTGTGGGTAAATGTAGTATGGGGCCACTTACGGAACCATCATGTCGAGAAATTACGAAGCCAATACCGAAGCCAGCCCACATGGCCAAGAAGGCAAGACTCTGCCAGGTGGCATGAACGAGCCATTTTCCGAGGAGGGGCATAAGGAGAGCCCCAACCGGGTATGCAATGACGAACACGATCGCCATTATAACTCCATGAGCACTCGCGAGGCGGTCGTCGTTCCCGCTCGACCCTGAATCAACCGCGTTGCCAGATCCATTGCTACTGGCCGAGTTCGTAAAGGGGTTTCCGGTCGAGCTGAAAGTCGCTTGTGCAAAGTTTACGTCGAAAATGTTATAGTCGTCGTGTTGTTGGATGATTTCTGAGAGGCTCGTCGAGTCGAGTGCACTACCCTCCTTCCAAGCCGCGATCCAAGAATTGGAACCAGAGAGGTCCAGCCCAGTACAGTCACCACACCTGATGTTAGCTATCATCGTTTTGTTGGCAACGCCCGATCCATCGATGAGCGTCACTCCGCTTCTTTTTGTATATTGCGGCATGGAATGCCCCGAGGTTGTCCTTGTGCTCAGTGTCACATTTCCCTTGCCATCCTGGTAAACCAAGAACATCTCGGCCCCCGCCATTCTTGAGCCGATCCCGAGCGCCACCCACTGGTAGGTGGTTGGAGCCTGGATCTGGAAGTATACATCTCCAGAGCCTGACGCTGCGGCTGCTTCCGGCACTCCCCAGCGGAAACATACATTTTGGCTTTTTGGACAGTACGGAGAAGTCGTTGCCGATGTAACATGGGAGTCTGTGGGGTTGAAATCAGTACGTGAAAAAGCCCGCTTGAGAAAATTCCAATGCCTGGGGTGTGGGAGAGAGGGCGCTGTCGCAGGGGATTTTCTTACACGATACTAGAAGTATAGCCACTGCAGTGACAAATGCCGACTTCATTGTGTACCTAGAGGTAATAGAAGGTTTGTTGTGAATGAAAGGGAATACAGACCACGAAAAAGGCCATTCGTGTGATCATATGTACACAGATTGAATCCGTTAACGCATGAGCTAGAACAGCCCTAAGCCATGGCCTCGTTGTAAGCCCTCTTTGCTTTTTCAGGACCTCCGTGGCTTATGAACGCCATCGTCAGCCATGCCCAACACCGCCTCTCAGCCCATCCCAACAAAAAAAAGCCAGTGTAGGATTTCAGATTGCGTGTCCGCCACGCTGTTGCATCGCTGGCATCTAGCCAAGGCGACAGCAAGGTGTGGCTTCTCGGATGTGTGTGTTCCTTAGGCTAATAAATAACATAAGCTCAGCCTTGAAATAACTGCAAATCACACCTCGCGATGCCGGTCCCATCATCGCCGGGGTAGCACAGCCCCAACGCCAAATGCTTGTTATTCACTAGCTCTTCCCTAATAAGCGGCTTCTTTTGCTCCGCCTTGTGATCAGCGGGTAAGTCGGCAATCCGGGATTTAGTCACCCGCCGGCTGTCATTCGTCCTAGAAATTCCGGTCGCGGAATCTCCAATCATGAAGCGGGACATTGTCAGGACTCGGTCTAGACCGCGCCAACTTGAGATATACATACCGCCTCAAAAGCCTTACTCCACGCCCCATCACGGCTGGACCCTTCCCGGCACGGTACCCCAAGCTGGATTGGCTTGAGCTACTCGACTAACACGAGGACGGCACTTGCAAGTAGACTTCCCAGGAACGCCACTAGGTCATGGCCCACAAGGCCACCCACAGGCCGCCCTCAACGCCTATCGCTCACAATCTGTATTCTTTCCCCTTCTTTTTCAGCCGTTATTTGGGTGATCAGATCACTAACGTTGGCCCATGGCTTGGTTTTACATGCCATTCAATCGTCGCAACACTTCCCTTGTCGGCTCCGCCACACGCTGGCGGTTGTTTTAAATGATGGCTCTCGGCAACTTTGGTAGCTACGTTGTCCTCGTAACCCGTGATGCTCTTGCATTTGAGTGGAGGCAATGTTGACACAGACTTCAAAATGCACGCCACAGTCATCTTTTCTAATGGTCTCAACGCTAAGTTAAGTGACACCAGTCAGAATTGGTATGTCATCCCGCTGATGGGCACTGGATAACATTTATTTACGCAGTGCAATGTACCATTTAACCCGGCCCTGGCAGACGTATCTACGCATTTAGTCTCAGAGGTCCAGCTTTTGCACCTTTCTCATTTGCCCACTTATGAGCGAGAAATTACTTACACTTCCCCATAGGGCCATCCTTGCCATTATTCAGTCCCATTCACCATTGGCAGCCTCGACTACAGCCTTGATACATGCCTCAATGCGATAGCGACTCGTGAAGTTCATGGAGGTGAACAGGTCATATAGCGAAACTGTTAGCTGTAGTTCCAGTTGTATTCTTTGATCGAGGTGAATGCACATGGGAACCGTAAAAGACTCTACCGGTACTAGATGATCGCAAGTCGACCAGCTCGTGACGATAGAAATTTGCAAACTAGGGTCTATGTACTCCAAAATCGAGGCGATTCTTCATTCCTATTGGTGAGATGGCCGAGTTGGTTATGGCGCCAGGTTAAGGTTAACCTTAACAACTAAATTTCCTGGTGGAGCAATCCTCCTGGGTTCGAGTCCCAGTCTCATCATTTCTTTTTGTCTTTTCTTCTATTTTTATTTTTGCAGCATTCGATTTGGCGAATCTTGTGCGCGAGTGCAACGGTTCACGCGCCTTGGAAGAAGGTCATCGCTAGTAATGACCGGAATTCTAAAGCTGCATTTCGGGATTCGGTATCATCAAGAAAATAACCAGGACTGCATAAGAGCGGAAAGTGACATTGGCAGTTATGTATACAGACTTGTCCGACGCAGGAGCCTAGATATAATACTCTAAACCTGGCGGCCTAAACCCGGTGGTCCGAAGGCAGTATAATTTTGCCTCAAAGTTCACCAAGTGAAATGGCTACTTACACGTTTGAAACCACTTGAGCACTTGTATTTTCCCGTTTGCCTAAGTCACCATGGCCGTCGGTTATCACAACTAATACCCTCCAAGATTATGGTTCAACCCGTCTTATTCAACCTTCTTCGCTCTTTTCACTAGTGACTTAATATTCGGCTCATCTTCTTGGTCTCTTGGACTTCTCTTACTTTTCCGTCTACTGATTTCCTTTTCCACTGTGGAGTTACTCTCTGCAGGTGGCAGTTCAATATCGACCAGCCAAGGAAGTTGCATTAGCTGAACATCAGCATCTCTACGCGAATGCGAAACAGAATGCACTATCGTAAGAACTCTTTGCTGGTACTGATCAGAACCTCACAACTCGTTTTTAGAATGAATGAAAGCTACGATAATGGCCCAGGACTCGAAAAGAGTAGAAAGGGGAACCACTTGCCTTTCGTATAGTATTGTTTAACCCAGCAGCCTCAACGCACCAGTATAGTTATGCGGCCCCAAAAGAGCAACCAAAACCCAGCGACCCAAAATCGACAAACACGACTCACCCGCACGAACAACACATTCCAACTCTTCTTGGTCCATCTCAGGGAGGACTTGACCAGCTTTCGCCACTTCTAGCAACAGCTAGGAAAGGTCGAGAACATCACCATCACTTCCTCGATCAACCACCGTCACGGCCCTCAATCTCAGCAAGTCCAACTTGGACGCAACGGAACCATCGAATAGGGGCTCAGTCACGTGGATCTTGTCGATACATCCGCTGCCTATTTGTATAAGGTCGACTCGGACTAGGAACCCTTGCGGTGCGTTAAATGAGATCATGCCGTCGGGTTCAATTGCAAAATTAGGGGCGCCGGCCGAGATAACCTCCAGGATTTCCACGATAGGACCTTGAGGTGCCGCAACATCCATATCTTCGGTCGTCTAAACTGAGCCATGGGCAATGCTGGCTGCGCCGCCAACTAGTACTAGTTGATGCCATAGTTCTGGTCGGACAAGGTAGGTAGTTGCGCGGAAGCACTCTAAAAGTGCTTCACGAATTGTCGAGGAAATAATGGTACGTCTCGGCATGGCTACTTTGGGGGCTGGGAGTAGAACTAATGGCAGAGTACCTATAAACAGTATTAGTTTGGTAGTAAAAGGAACCCATTCCCATGTGTCGTAATCGCATCAACGCTCCAAAGGTAGAGTATAACTAGACTGAGCACTTACGCGATAATGTGTAGAAGGCCAGAGAGGCTTGAAACAAATTCGAGCACTGAAGGATACCAAAAGAGAACTGCCACAAAATCTCTATGGCATTCGATACCTGAAGAGAGAAGACATTGGGAGGAAGTGGAGGGCTACGGCAGATATTGTTTTATGTCGCGAATCGACGGTATGGAAGGTACTACTTTTACTAGCCGAGCAACCACCCCTACCTCATATTAGTCGACAGAGAAGCAGGCAAGATGTCGTGATGGACTTGCTTCAAAAAGTTGACCATGTGAAACGGTTGCGTGCATGAATGGGCCACTCGAGAACATATATTTTGCCATTGCGTTGTCTCAATGTCTTCTCTTCTAGAGCACCGCCACCACCCATCACCAAACCAATACCCTCTCAACCTTTTGTGCCATCTATTTTTATTCCACCTTCTTGGCTTTTTTCTCAATTGGCCTTGCATCATCGTCTTCATCGACTGTTGCTTTTCTCTTCTCGCCCTTCCGTTCGCTGGTTTCATTTTCCACCGTCAAGTCTTTACGGGCAGGTGATAGTTCAATATCCACCAGCCAAGGAAGTTGCATTGGCTGATCGCTCCCATCTGCTTTGATTGAAGCATTCACAAATAGAGTCTCTTTCCCTCTGGTGAGGGGGGTGTCGTCGCCGGTGCAGTGGCTTGTGCGGCAGCATCCGTCCTCGATGCATGCTTTAGCCTTGTTTGCCTTCTCCAAAGCCGTGCCGTCATCGTCAAACTTTGATCGCCTAAAACTCGAGAGATTTTCGATAAGAACAGACTTGTCGTTGTCAATGTCGGTGAAGTGCGACGGAATCTCGCTGGTATTTTCCCTCCAGCTCACCAACTTTCCTCCCCATCCCTCATGGATGTGACCAAAGCAATGTAGCGCCGGGCGTTTTCTGGCGACGGCAGCGAAGAGGTCCGGGCAGCCAACACGTTTCCTTGATTCCGCCATGTCCATAACCCCCCTGGGAGGGCCATGTGTAATGACAACATCTGTGCCATCTTGTATAGGGTAGTTGTGGCCATCACGGGGATCATATTGAAACCCCCAATCATTGAGTGAAGGTGTGAAGGGACTTGCAAATACCCTCAATGATGCCCCATTCTCCAACTTGAACTCATGCGTCCCTTCGTTCAAGAAAATGATGCCTTCTTTCTTGGCCTCTTCAAACAGCTGACTCACTTCTCCCCAGCTACCATACTCCTTCGTCACCAGCTCTGGTTCTAATGGAGGGCGGACTTCGGCCACCTTTTTCTTGAACATAGGTATGTCTAGTGTAAAATCGTGATTACCAGGGATGAGGAGCTTCAATGGGGCATCGAGGTTTCGAAGAAGTTCCAGCGATGTTCGGAACTCAGCCAGTTTGGACTCTTCTGTGAGATCCCCGCAGTGGATTGCGACATCAGCATGATGGTCGGGGTGACGTTCAGATGAAAAATTCATCCCATGAGTGTCTGAAATGATGAGAAATCGAGTCTTGATGGACGTCATCGTGTCTTGCTTCACTCGTGTAGGTGGAATATGTCGGATCGCGGCCTTGTTCGGCAGAGAATGCAGAAAATGATGAATCCCACTTCAAAATCATGACAAGTTGAGGGACAGGAGGGGTATTTATTTCCTCTTGCCTCGGGCAGCAAGGTTGTCATCCCGGGTTATTTAGGTTGGAGACAGAAGGGTTGAATTAAAACTCAAGTAAAAGTAAGTGTGCAACAACCTGGCTGTTTGAGCTACTGTATCTTCTGGCACTGGGTGTATGCTTAACGTCTGCGCCATTGTTTGCAACTATTGTATCGCTTTGATCAATCTGGTGACATAGAGCAAAGTTATGTAAACCGAATTTACTTGTTCTCAAAATCGTTCCGTGAATATAACTCCACCGCGGGCGGCTTCGTCAACCATCAGGGTCTGAGGTGGGCTACAGTGCTGGCCAGAAAGGATGGGTCCATGTATGGACACGCATGACATGAGTCATGTATTACCAGCTATAAAAGATGTGATTCCTCAAATTCGGTTCAAATAATGCGCTGTGGCGATGCTCTACCTCTTGCCCTCGCTTCAACAACCTCAGACGGGATGCTTAGGACGCTCTCTTAAGCCTTGCCTCCACACACCCGCCCGGAACCCCAGCCGCACGCCACGTCTGCACAAGTTCAAGCCCCGCCGCTTCGAACATCTTCTGGAAACCTGCTTCGGTGCGCTCCTTGCCGCCCATGGTCATAACAGCCTGGTCGAGAACCGCAGAAGCAAAGTCGGCCTCACCTACACGTGGGGCCAAGACCATCTCGCAGATAAGAACACGAGACTCAGACGACATTGCCTCGGTGAGACGCTTCAAAATCTCGATGCCGACGGGGTCGGCATAATCGTGGAGAATCATGCGCATGAAGTAGGCTTTGGCTCCTGGATCGTTTAGTTAGCATTAGTCTGAACAAAGCCGAGACAAATCGGCGTATACCCTTAATAGGCTGCTCGGTCATGAAATCGTGGTCAAGGAGCTGGAACTCAGGAGTCTGTGATTTGGCCAGCTGAATCATCTCGGGCCTTTCCTGGAGCACGCAGTTCTTCGGCGATAGCTCTGGGTGGGCTGACAGAATCTTGTTGAGCACGACGCCCTCGCCGCCACCAACGTCTACCAGTTCTACGATATCCTTGTCGTTGTCTTCGGGGCTGTTTTTGAGGGTGCTGAAGTCGAAATGGCCGGTGACTGGAATTGCGACATCGATACCTGCCATGCCAGTTTGGAATGTCTGCAATTTCCCCGGGTTCTGCATCATGATGCTCCATACCGGCGTGCCCTCCTGCTTGTGGTAGGCAGTATACGGGTTCCTCAGTGGATCATCGGGCTCAGTATACTTGCCGCTGGAAATGAGATACTCGTCAAAGTTGTGCATGTTCTTAAACCACTCATCGTACCTATGCAGGGTAAGAATGACATTTCAGACGAGATAACGAGCCATTTCACAGGGCAAAGGACCTCTTACATGGCAAGGAACAAATGACCGGGTGCGGGCTTGTCTAAGATGTAGGCAAGAGAAAATTTGGTGTGCTTGTATTCTCCGCCATCAGGTTCTGTCTGGTCGAGGAAGCCGGAGGCGACTGTGTTTGTGATGAGCTGATGTCAAAGATCCGACTATTAGTAAAGTGAGACGGGTTGACTCACCTAATACACGGCCCATTCGTTCTGACAAATACAATATTAGCTGCTTTCTGGTACTAGTGGCCGCAAAGAGCGCTGTGCGCACCGAGAAGCGAGTCTTGAACGCCGGTGGCCTTGGAGAGATCCTCTAGAGATATGGACCCAGTGGCTGGGATAGCATCGAGGACTTTGAGTCTCATAAATGTCCTCACAGCAACGAGCTCCGCCATCTACGGCACAAAATAGTGTAAGCAATCGGCCGGACTGCATGCGACATCCCATGGGTAGACTAAGGGATGCCATCCTAAAGCACCCAATACAGAATCATGGACTCACATTGAGGCCATGATAATTAGGCTTCTGGTCGGGCGTGATCAGTGCTTGAGTCAGTTCCTTTGCCTTGGCAAGGATCTGCACGCGCGACATGTATCCGTCCAGGTCAGGGGAATCGGAGTAAGCCTCTGCGATCTGGTTGAGGCTGCTGACGAGATCCTGAACCTCTTTCTTGGTGGGGAGAGCCATGATTCAGATGTAAGTGTACATAGAGGTGTGGCAGTGTTGAATGATACGGAGCAAAGCTGAGGATCGATTAAAGTGATACTTAACAGAGCAGTATGCTCATAGACAGCGTTGAAATGTGTGAGAGATCCGTGGCTATGGTACGGGAATTTGGAGAGCTGGTCGTTTGGGTGTGGGCTGGTACTCGGAGATTCGGCCGTTCACAGCCACCCTGGTCAAGTATCCCTACGCAGCAATAGGACCCGCGGAACACGCCACTCTGACAGCAAACTATTCCAGTTACGGCTTACCTTCCGTGATGGCGTGAGGAGATTCAGTCCTCTCCACTTGCCGCGGTTAGCCCATCCCTTAGCGAGTTGTCGAGCTCCAGACTATCAACATGATCGGCGCCGGCGCCCCTCTCCCCACTCTATGGCTTTTGAATGTCCGATTGAACTCTAATTTCGACGCTGGGAGGGATTCCAGCAGTCTGGGACTTCAATAGTGCAATTGTGTTGCTGCTAACTCTGCTCTGCCGGCCTCGCCCATCATGTCCGCGCCGTCTTCCCCCCCGACGTCCGCGGAGTTGCACCACCGCAATCTCCAGGACGTAGGGGCTGCCGAGGGACGTTCGGGTGGCGTCATATCTGAGCAGAATCCTGAAAACCTGGAACCAATTGCGCTATCACGGACCTCTTCGACAGCGCCGTCGAGCCATATCGAGCCCGATGTTTGGACCGACGACGACGAAGCATACGCCGAATCGTCAAACACGAGCTATTTATCCTCTATCGCATCCGATGTCAGGCGGGGCATCACCGAGAATGGACGCACGTATGGCGTCTACGGCATTCACAAGTCCTGGATTCCAAGCGATGACCTGGAAGTGGGTATTTCCCGTCATTGCAACGAAGATTTGAAGATGTATTGACTGGTGATCGTCCAACCAGATGGAGAGAAATGATCTCCAGCACTGCAAGTTCACCATGCTCATGAACGACGAGCTTTATTTAGCACCCATGCCGGACTTTCCGCAGAAGATCCTGGATCTTGGAACCGGCTCGGGCATTTGGGCCATGGACATTGCGGACCAGTACCCATCGGCGAAGGTCATTGGAGTCGACAAAGCTCCGGTGCAGCCAACGATGATCCCTAACAACCTGACGTTTGAGGTACGTGGTGGCTGCTTTCTCCAATGGCCAACCCTCTTGACAGCCGAAGTTGACTAACACGATGTGTAGCTCGACGACATTGAGGACGACTGGCTCTGGGGAGAATCCAGCTTCGACTTTATCCACGGCCGCGAGCTCATCATGGCCATCCAAGACTGGCCGCGCCTGATCCGCCAAGCGCACGACCACCTCAAGCCCGGCGCGTACCTACAACTTGGGGGATCGATCCCAGACTTCCGGTCCGACGACGACACGCTGCCGCAAGACTCGGCGTACATGGAAATGGGCCGCATATACTTGGAAATGTCGGAGCGCGTCAGCCTATCGGGCTGGGAGCCGACGAAGTGGAAGCGCTACTTGGAAGAGGCGGGCTTCGAGGATGTGGAGGAGCGTATACTGAAGATTCCCACCAACCCCTGGCCTCGCGATCCCTACTTGAAGAAGATTGGCGCCTTCGAGTTGCATCATTTCCGCGAGAGCATCGCCAACGTCTTTGCGCGTGGCTACGAGCAGATATTGGGCGGTGACCCGACGTACTTCCAGGTCTTGCTGGCCAAGGCTCGACGGGAAGTATCCAACCCCAACATGCACAGCTGGGTGCCTTTGTAAGTGTGACCTGACGATATGTCAATACCACAGAGCTGACCTTGTCTATAGCTACGTCGTTTATGGACGGAGACCTAGAAGTTCGTCAACGTCGATGCCGACCCAGAATGAAAAGTCCCCGTCGCCTCCCCAGGCTTAGCGCCATATCTCGATTGACGCGGGGACGAGGCGTTTTGGCGTGTCAAATTTGGGACACTTGGATGAAGGAGAAAGAAGACACGTGAGTACATTTGGCTGGAAGCGAGTCATGTCCATTAGAGAGTGGAGATGTAGAATATGTTCAATGATTGCCTTTGTTGTTAATCTGCTTTGTCCACACACGAGAGTCTTAGCTCGTTTAATTATCAGACGTACCGCGATTGAGGCCGTCCTAGTGACATAGAGCGAACAAATATATCTAATCAAAACGGGTTTATGGGATCGAAAAAATGCCAATAAGCCCATTACTCCATCGCGGATGACCTCTCTCTCCTTTCATGTCGCTCACTTGTCGGTGATTTCCTTGCGGCGGATGCCTATCCTACCGCGCCTGTTACGATGCATTGATTCACGCAAGCGAATCGGATACCACAGCTCCGCATGTAAATGTGACTCTGATAAAGTAAAGAGTATGAATTTACAAAGCACGATGGTCTGATTGAACAGTTGAATAAGACGCAGGTCGGCTTTGTCGACCCTGCGCCGAGACACAATGAGACTTGTTCATGCCTTTGACAGCACTGTCAAAGGGATCTCGCAACAAAGTAGGTAACAAGTTAGTGCATTGAAACCAGTGAAACAGTATGCATGGATCAAACTCAAAAGGGAATTATGGGTGTGTGTTCCTCTAAGGACTGCCTGGGCTCCAAGTACAAAAGGTGGTCACATCTCCCCCAGTTCGGATAATATTTCTCATCTAGATCCTCCTTACGACTTGGATTTCTTCCCTACATCCTATCACCATTGCGAACATGACGGAAATCAAATCCAACGGTCTAAATGGCCTTTACACACAGGAGCAGCAACAGATCTTAGATGCCATTGACTCGCTCGCCTCGCTGGGCATCGACCACCACATCTCGGTTCCCAAAATCGTTGTCTGCGGCGATCGATCTTCTGGAAAGAGCTCCGTCCTCGAAGCAATCTCTGGAGTTCCTTTCCCCGTCGGCATCATTCCCTCTCCTCGTTTCCCCACGGAAGTTGTCCTCCGCAAGACCACCACTTCTGGTGCGAAGGTCTATTTTACCCCACATGACTCCAAAGACGAGTTCGCTCATTTGAGTCTCTCTGAATTCCTCAAGGAACCAGAATGCTTGGAGAATCTTCCACTGGTGATTGAGGAAGCGCGGACTTTGATGGGCTTATTGATCCCAGAGAAAGAAATTTCGATGTACGTTCTTCGCATCGAGATTAGCGGACCCAACTGTCCCCTCCTTACCATGGTGGACCTGCCTGGTCTCACTCGGTCCGACGACAGAACCCAGCCTGCTTCAGACGCTTATTTAACCTGCGCTCAGCGCTACATGAGCGATCCTGATAACATAATCCTAGCCGTTGTCTCCGCGAAGCATGATTTTGCTAGTCAAGCGGTCTTAAATTTGGCCCGGAAGTCTGACCCAAGGGGCCACCGCACTATTGGGGTCATTACAAAACCAGACAAACTTCACCCAGGTTCTACCCGTGAGAATGAATACATTTCCTTGGCTAGAAACAAGGAGATATACTTCAAGCTAGGCTGGTATGTTCTAAGGAATGCTGATTCCAAGGTCAAGTTGAGGGGGCTACCACGACGCGATGAAGAAGAGGCCCGATTCCTTTCCAAAGGGGCTTGGTGTAACCTTTCTCAGTCTGCATTGGGAGTAGAGACGTTGCGCAACAGGCTGAGAAACGTACTCTTTCGTCCTATCACGGCCGAACTACCGGGTTTGATAGAAGAGATCCAGTCTGAGTCTGAGCTTTGTCAAGACCTGTTGAACAAGTGTGTTCAACCTCGCAACTCCGTTGACAACCAACGGATGCATCTGTTACAGGTCAGCCGGTCATTTCAGGCTTTGACCAAAGCCGCCATTGACGGTACATACAATGATCGCTTCTTCGAAAATGTCATCAATCCGGAAGGCGATCAGAGACGATTCCTTGCTGTTGTCCAAAATCTCAATGATAAGTTTGCAGCAGAGCTAATTAGTCACGGTCAGCGTTATTGGGTTGTTCTGAACACCGAGCTCCTCAACCTAGGATCACACCCTATCTTCATCACTCGAGACCAGTTCATTAGCAAGATTAGCAGAAAGATGGAGGGTAGGGGAGGTCTGGATCCGCCAGAATTGTTCGATTCCGAGAGTCTCTTCGAATTCATGAAGGAGAAAATGACCCCATGGGAAGATATCACAAGAAAGCACGTCAAAAAGGTTTGGACGGCTGCTCGAAGATTTCTCGGAGACTTGACTAAACATGCTGATCCATCAATGTTCTATGTGATGTTGGACACCGTGGTGGAGCCTAAGATGGAAGCTCTGCTCGTATCTCTCGAGGCAAGGATGGCAGGGCTTCTCAAGGAGCACCAAGAATACCGTGCAATCACAAATAACCTTCTCCTAGATGATACACCTCAGAAAGTCCAATTTGAGAGGGACATGTCAGAAATGACCTACAAAATGGAAAGATTTCTTCACCGGATCCTTCAGTCTGGACTAAGAGGATCTGAACTTGTGGCTATGAGAAGGTTAAAGAATGCCGTTTTGAAACAGAGTAGACCAGACATATGGCGCAATATTGCATCGTCAGCGCTTAACTACTTTGACGTATGCTTTGAGGTAAGCTTTTCCAAGATTTCAAAGAGAATTACGTCTGACAAACATAAACAACAGGTTGCTCAGAAACACTTCATCGACGATGTTGCGGTCGAGGTTATCGACAAGATCCTAGTATCTGGGCTTGGTGACATTCTTACGCCCGATACTGTTGCTATAATGCCAGATAGCAAAGTCACCCAAATTGCTGGCGAGACAAATGAGAGTCGCACATTTCGTGAGAGTTTACAGAAGGATCTTGAAACTCTGGACTCGGGGTTGAAGACATGCAAAAAACATTTGGGATTGCAGTTCTCAGGTAAGATCGTGTCAATGGAATTACGAGATATTGACTGACCAAATCAAACAGACATGGGTGAGGATGGTGAGCAAGCCCTTTCTATCACCTCTGAAGTACGATCATTCGATCGTCACAAGGGAGTACCTTCATCGCCGCTAGAGGAGCAGTGTGGGGCATTTCGGACACGGGAAATCAAGCCAGAACCAACCCAAGAGGAGCCACTGGCAGAGCCCGCAGCGTCAACTGAGTATGGCGCCCTGGTAGCAAGAGTGAAGCAGGTGATGCAGATGAAAGAAGAAAGAAGAAAGAAGAATTCGGAACCTTGAATTATGTCGACTATTGGGAGTTGAACAAAACCAGAAAGACTAGCGCCTACATTTTGATGAGATAGTGGGATAAAGATAAGTCTAGTTACGGGTTTCACTGTGCGACTTGGCTGCTTGGTGGCGATTGGGTTCGCCAGGAAGGTGATATGCAGGAGGTTATTTGGGGTTCTAGAATTTCGAGGGACATGGAGTTCAAAAGAGCGGGAGAAGAAGGCTGCTTTCGGCCGGAAGCTTATCGGGTGGTTTGATATAGATTTCTTCGATCGGAGCTACAGTAGTTCAATTATTCATCTTGCCTTGTTTGAGAGTTGGAGAGGATCCGTTATCAAAGTTGCTTTCGTCGCTCGTATCCACGGGTCTTGTAAATTGTAGCAGACTCGATCTTACGTCCCATATTACGAGAATAGATGTTCACCTTGTTTGAGCAAGTTTTTGGGGATTTAACGAGGAGCTGTCCAGCACGTATTCTAGTTGGGTATGTCTAGTAGTAGTGGCTGAGTCCAAGTCATTGGAATGGAAAGGTTTTCAATTTCAACTATTCAAGTACCGCTTGTGCCTTGATCTTTATTCCTAGAGCAAAGCCGACACCGTAGCGCCTGTGTTTATTCCCCCTTTTTCACAGCAGGGCGATTTCAAACTTAATGTATTCAGTCTTCTGAAGTGTCCAATTTGAGCTCATCATCTACGATATCAATCTAACATGGCATGAATGACTTTTCCGGTGCTGTCTGCTAGCATGATGTTGGAGCTATGGACGGTTAGGCGAGTGAGCATGCCTTTTCTGTCATTCAACTTAACTGCTGAGTCTTCAAGGCTCTTGAGATCATCTCAAGCTGTAGTCTGACGAATAAGAACCATGACGCCTCAGCTTTATTGTTATTCACTTGATTAGGTTGAATATTGTATACTCATCTGGCACCACCAGCCCCAACACGGGAAAATGACGCAGGCTAATTTCTTCCAGCCTGGAGGGGGTCATTCGCACCCCCAGAGTCCCTCTCACCCACAATTTCTGTGATTTTCAATCAAGAAACTGGGGATATTCCTATGACAGATCTTATATTTGCTTCGCTTGCGATGACATCAAGGCCGAGTTACCATTCCATCTCTTCATGACTCTATCAGGTGAGTAAGTAGCATCCTCAGCCAGGCTGAAAGGTGCAGCAACATGATTTGTGCACAAGGGACGCCGCAATAAGACACCTTGGTCAGGTGGCGTCTAAAGCTGGCATCCATCTCAGAAATTGGAAAAACAGCCACGCCTTTGCCGCTCTAAAACAGGTTGTCATACGAGGCATGATTATCAAGAGCATTTCTATAATGCCACTGTAAAAACATACCCGAGGGCTAATATTATCGCCAATAATTAGATTTCTATATTTCGCTATGGTCCCTTGATGAGGGCGCCTAATGTTTGAACTGATTGGACTTTTCTTGTGCACGCCACAGTTGCCGAGGTCAACGTTTGGGTTTCAAGCTCATTCCTTTCCATCTGCCGGAATCCTGTCTAACATTTTGTCAAGCTGTAACCCTTCTAATATTTACGCATCATCTCAAGGCTGTTACCTACAGACAGCAAAGTCATTGACTACAGACAGCAGGGCCGAAGATAGAAGAGTCGAGTTAAAGCTTACAGCAAGGACCAGTGAGCAGCAACTTTATTGTAAAGCTATCTTTTCTGGATGTGGGTGCATTGCCGAATATGTCTCGATCGGTTACAGATAATGGATGGATTTGATCTATCTGATAATATTGAGAAAAGCTAATAAAACCAAATATTCTGCTACAGTAATAAAAGGAGATAATAAAGTACGTGTAATTAGCTGAATGTCAAGAGTCAGAGGTTGAGAATCTACTAGATCAGGTATTAAAAGTAAGCAATACCAAGCTGCTGCAGCTGCAAACAATTTATCTTGTTTCGCCCTCACCGCTGAGGGTTTTGGCCGGTCTGTCATGATCACAGGAGCCCAGCTGATTGTGTGTTAATCGTTAGTCTGATTGGTGACACCCTTCCTTGAACTTGGCACAGCCCTAGTTGCAGACAACTCGGCATTAAAGTCTCGGCATGGTCACTAAGTACAATTTAGATGACGTTTTATCCCGGTAGCTTGACTGCTTGGCTACCTAAGCTCAATTCTAGTACCTCGCAGTGTGGTTGCATCGGAGAAGGATAATAGCCCTTCAAGTGCTTCTCCGCGCATTATCCCTGGGAGAACAATATGCCCAACAACTGTAAAACACCCCTGCTTTCCAGCTTCCGGACGAAGAACCATAGGAACGCGACATCCAAATAAGACCCAAATCTGATCCCCAGACCTTACTGGGCATGTCAGTCCCATAGATCCTAGTCGGCCTCCATCTGTACCGATCAAATTCATGTTGCCTACTGTTGTGTACATCGACATAGTTGCTTCCCTATCTTCTCTCGATAACACATCAACTGGAGTATATCCTCCACATATGATTTTACGGAGAGTAAGCCCCTCTTCATCCACCATATCTGCTGCGGCGTTGAGACTGCGAATTAAGTTGATTCTCTCGGCTTGGGTTGGCATTTCCGACTTCCACATCTGTTTGTATCGATGTTTTCCCAACAGAGGAAAGAAGAGGGAGGTTACATCGTCCCTCTCATACAATGGACCCTCAGTTGTCTTGGCCCAAAGCCGTTCGCAAAACCTTTCGACTCGCGCTAGGAACTCCACAATAGGCACCGCCGTTAGATCCTCTCTGTCGCTGACGAATGATATCTTGTCCACTAGCAATCCTTCAGCGGACAAGATGAAGGTGTCGGGTTGGATTGAAACATGATTCGCCTCAACCCTCCCGCAGGCGCGGCTAGCATTCAGAGGCCCCCACTGGAGATTTTCATGTGGCATCCAGGTCGGAAAATTGTCTCTAGACGTGGGTGACTTCTCGTCTCGCTTGTAGCATAAGAAGCTCAGGCTTTTATACTTGTCCACAAACTGTTGGAACACCTTTGTATACACGCCAACAACGGACAAGTTGTAATCAACGCCGAATACGCTTTCATCGACGTCTACAGCAAGTCCAAGAACTCCATAAACTCGGTCTCTTGGATCCGTGAAATTTAGACCCGCGGTCTTAATAAAAAGTTGAAGCAGGGATGATCCCAGTGCTCTCCTGGTTATCTTCATGGCGGTACCCTCGTCAGTTTGTTCGCTATGCGTCTCCCGCCCAAGGATCAAGTTCTCTTTGGCTCTGAGAATGTCACCAGAAAGAAAGTCGGGTGATGGGCCCGTTTGGCCCACTGGATCATTGGTGATGTACGCGGAAAGATGGCGTTCAGGACCTTGTACGTTTACCACTTGATATTTGACAACGTTGACTTGGTGTTGAAATTCCAGGAGTTGTTGGCCATTGAAGACATGGCGCCGACAGTACATGTCAATCTTGGTGGCGAGTATCAACTCCTGTTGTACCCAGAGTCGCCTCCAGTACGGATCTCGAAATATATCGGCAACGGGGTACCAATATGAAGGGTCGACAAAATCTCCAATAGCAACCCCTTTTCCAAGGTTCTCAAGGTCTTCAAACACAGCCCCGATGGGTTGTACGTTGTGGTCGATCCAAGCACAAACGGTGTGCGCACCTGCATAAATCGCTCGCATTAACTGGATCTGGAATTCCTTCTCGGCGATATCCAGCTGGTTGATGCAGATGGCATCTGTCCAAATAACGCGAGGCTCATCTGGTAGGCGAAGGTCATCTAGAGCCTTTCTTAAATTGCGACGCACGATAAATGAGCTGCCTTCATCAATTGAAATCGTATAAGTTGGTCGTGGCGGTCCCCACATGTAGCTCAATGCATCATAACGGGGGTTGTCGTCTAGGGAGACGTGAATAAGCCTAGCGGAGATTCGACTGCCTGGTTTTCCTGGAGACAGCTCCAATAGCCTTATTTGTCGCTTGGAATGATCAAGGGGTTGGTATTGGAATGGCGACGCTTTTTTGGTTGTCTTTCTGGGAGATGCCCATGGACGATGGATAGTCGTAGAGCGGGTCCTCATCGGGTTTGTTTAAAAGAGTCTCGTCTTTAACGGAGGTAATTGGCCCACATGTGAAGAAAGCATTCGCTCAAAGATCAGGCCTAGGTCAGGCTTGAACTGAATTGGGTTGATCGCTGAGCACCGAGAATTTGAGGCTGGTGCAAATTAGGTAGCTATCCGGCGACAACAATGCATTGTAGCCTCAGGCATTATTGCAGATAGATGGAATTGTTAAACCGCCAGTGGAACGAATACGACGACGCGATCACGATGGGGATCTCTCGAGCTTGTATGCTCCAGGGTTAGATTAAGCTCCAATGAACTCGGTCTTTTATTGCATGGAATATTTTAGAGTATCCGCCCAATTTACCCTGTTTCCTAAAATTCTAGCCTGCCTTCGGTTGTTTGACTTGGGATGAGTGTAAACATAGGCACTCGGGACTGGATTATTGGGGAACCTTTCTTCGTCCTCGCCGTTGAATAGCTCAACTTGGTTACATATAACGGCAATTCCATCAGCAAGACCTCCTCGCTTCGTTGGATGGGTATATTTAGCGGCATTGGTTAGTTCGCGTTGCAGATGCCGTGATATTACCTCACTCCCGGCTACGACAGAGATGGCTCTAATGTCCGAGCACTTGACCCTTCGATCAATTAATGTTCAAATCATCGTTATTATTTTGTACAATAATACTTGGTACCTCTATTCGCCGGAGGGTCACTATAGCGCCGCCATTCTCAAAGTATTGGGCACAATTTTAGGGAGAGCCTTAGCTGGTGGATAATGCAGGTAAGCAAATTGATCGGTGTTATGGGATGGCCAAGAAGTTACTGCCGGGCTATTTCCTGATACAGCTAGCGTTTATCTGTCTACATTGGTCCCCCGGCCAGTTTCCTCTTTCGCAAATGTAATTGAGCCCGACACCGGCATATTGCCGGCTGTAGCTGAGGCACAGTTGGGCTTTGAGATCCGTCCTTGTTGGTTAATAGACATGCTACACAGTCAACGATGAATCCTTTTTGACAGCATCTATAAATATGAGCCCCGTGGACAATGTCAGTGGCCCCTTTCCCTCAATCTCTACACTCGGGACATTTTTCTATTCAAGAAAGCATGGCTTCGCAATCTTCTATCACCTCGTCCTCCGGAGACTGGGAAATCTGGGGGGGGGGGGGGGGGTGATAAACGTGCCAGTTGCCAGAAGGCTATACCAGAAGCGTGGATTCTCCCATCGTCGCTTCTTGAAACTTTGCCGGACCGATCGGAGTTGTCCAAGACCAAGACCAACCTGATGCCGTTGGAAATACCCCGCCGCTCAGGTATATTGACAGAGAGGGAGCTTCAGATCACCGAGAGTCGTACACTATGTTGAAATTACTTGAGAGTCTTGCGTCGGGCAAGTTGACATCTGTTGAGGTTACGTTGGCTTTCTCCAAAGAGCTGCAATTGCCCGGCAACTGGTAAGCACATGAGGCTGGGTCTCATCCTGTAGTTGGATTCCGGTTTGCTGACTGCTTAAACAGACAGGTTGCTTGACGAAAACCTTCTTCCAACAAGCGCAAGAGAGAGCACAATACCTGGACGACTTGCGCAGTAAGGGTAAGCTGCTAGGCCCCCTTCACGGGCTCCCGGTTAGCATCAAAGACACATACCATATCAAAGGTACACAGGTGACCATCGGTGTGGTTGCGTTCCTAAACCGGACTTCGAAGGAAAATTCCGCCTTGGTAGACATACTACTTGGCCCTAGGCGCGGTCCACGTCAAGACCAATGTGTTGCAGATGTTGATGGTATGTTCGTAGTGCAAATCTTCGTACGGGAAAGACCTCTAACAGCTTGAAGTCGGCGGGTTCAGACAACAACATCTTTGGTCGTGTGTTGAACCCTTGGAATACGATGCTTGGGGCCGGGGGATCGAGCGGTGAAGAGGGCGTCCTCGTTGCATCCCGGGGATCGCCGCTTGGCGTTGGCACGGATCTTGCGGGTAGGTACACTTTGAAAGAGGCCTCTATACTCTGGCACACAGTAACTGACTTCTAAATCTAGGGTCCATTCGGATTCCGTCCTTGTGCTGCGGAACAGACGGGTTCAAACCATCAGCTGGTAGAATTACGGCAATTTCCTTCGGAGGTCAACAAAGCGCACCCATCGTTGCGGCAATTTTGACACGTATCTTGTACGACCGTGGCTGCTGGCTGTGTAACTCTTCCTGGATGTTGGTTGGTGGCCTGGTTGCAGCCTCATCTGCTGACTTGGCCAAATTCCATCACCGCTTCAAATCCCACTCCGACTTCATCAAACAGCAACGAGAGCAAAAGTTTTCCTGGAGGCGCGACGCCCCGATGAGTTCTCCCCTGGATCTCTGGGCGGAGGCCTTCAAGGCTCTGGAGCCGGAAACGCAGTCGCGGCTGAGCGAACTGGGCACCAGCCCGTTGAAGACGACTGAGGGAATTCAACAAATCATCGACTCTGCCCGACAAAAAGAGACTGACTGCCGGAACAAGTTTGGGGTGTTCAAGATCGGCAAACGTAAATTGGAGCTCGGGATTTGCTTCCACAATATTGTCAGTTGGCTCAACATGTTCAAGGAGGTTGGCGACACTATCGTGCAATATGACCCGGGTCATGCCGCACTGCCATGGGCTTTGTTCCGCTTCATCTTACAGGTAATTAATATCCTTTCCTATGATATATATACAGATACAGATCACATGGCCGAGGACCTTCTGACATTCGATAGGCTGCGACCGTTCACCTGGCAGATATGGACAATATCCTAGAAATCCTCGAGACGACTTCTCGTCTAATCTACCACGGCCATGTGCTTGAATTCACCTATTCCCCAACCACTATGGACGTACAACATCCACTAGCACAGCAATCGCTTGATCTGCTCAACAAAGCTCTGGTCACACTGTACACGGTTATCCTAAGAAATCTCGACTATTGCTGCTCGAAATCGAAACAAAACGCAATTCGCCGCAGCTTCACGGGCACCCTCAAGCCCAAAGAAACTCAAGACCTCCTTGATGAACTTGAGAAACAAGAACGCCTTGTGCTCCTTCGGGCAGAGGCCTGCAGGGGGTTGCTAGGTCACCAGGCTTCAGCTCATTTACTGTCTCGCCTCGATGACCTCTTGTCTTTCTGTCAGGATCTGGATCGAAAGGTCGTTGGACTCGTTGCGGTAGCCGCCGAATTCGACCGGATGCTTGTATCTGTTGGTAAACAAGAAAAGCGTGAGACGCTCGAGTATATCTCAGACATTCGATACCAATCACACCACAGCGACGTTAGCATTGAAAGAACAGAGGAGACCTGTGAGTGGATTTTACGAAAGAAGAGATTCATGGAATGGTGTGATGGACAGTCTTCATCGGTAATATTACTAAATGGATATGGTAAGTCAACGCACGCAAGCCGGATGCGAATACTATTACTAATAAGATTAAGGCGGTGCCGGAAAGACATTCCTTGCTTCCAAAGTGATTGACCACGTCAACAAGGTGACGCAATCTGGCCAGGCCATGGCCTATTTCTATTGCAAACGGGACGAAAAAACACGACGAAATCCCCTAGGAATTCTCCGCAGCCCCATTCGACAGATCGCATCGATATCGCACGACAATGACATGATCCATGGGGCAGTCCAAGAGCTTCGGAATAAGCTGGAAAAAGACCAGTGCAGATGTTAGGACATTCCTACATGTCAGGGCATATTGACCACGCTCATTCGCTCATATACGTCAACGACCTTCATCTTGGACGCTCTAGATGAATGCGATGATGAACCATGTGCGGAATTGATGACGACTCTGCAAACTTTGATGGCACAGTGCAGCAATCTCAAACTCTTCATCTCGAGCCGGCCCGACAGAGACATCCAACGCTATTTCGGATCACAGCCTCTCATTCAAATCCAGGCAACAGACAACCAGAATGATATCGGAAAATATGTCCAACACAAGCTATCTACTGATCGTCGCTGGGAGGATGTGTCTCTGGAACTTCAGGAAGAGATTCAAAGAGAATTACTTCAGCGAAGCAACGGCATGTTCCAGTGGGCTGCTCTTCAAATGTCCCAGCTCTCGCAACTGAAGATAAAAACCGAAGAAAGCATCCGACAACGGCTGTGTCATCTTCCGGATGGTCTCACAGCTACCTACGACCAAATATGGGAGGCCATCGACAGCTTGGATCCCTACAATCGGCGGGTTGCGTATCGCGCATGTCAATGGGTATCATGCGCCATGAGACCGCTGAGTACCGAAGAGCTTGCCGCAGCAATCTTACTTGACCCGGAAAGTGACGAAAGAGATAAAATCAACCCCGTGCTCAAGAAGGAGGATATTCTCGATCTCTGCGAGAATCTCCTGACTCTGCAAAAATGGGAGTCAGGCCGTGCCAAGGGATATGCATGGGCTTTCTGCCACTTGTCCGCGAGAGAGGACTTCGAAAAAAGAAAATTCAATGAGCTTCAATCGCATAGATTTGTGGCAATGGCATGTTTGAAATACCTCACGACGATAGACTGCGATGAAGTTGACATGAAGATGCCACATCGAGATTGGCCAATCGCAACTTATATCAGAATTGCCGGTCTTCAACACGTTGTGACACAAGAAAAGATTCATGCATTAGAGAGTGACAGATTCATGGTCCTTTTGAAACGCTTTTTTGGATCTATGCAGAGTGGGAGTCACGCATACCAGGCCTGGGCCTCCAAGTTGGACTTTGGGCAAAACAAGAGATTGTCCTCTCCCGTCTTTGCACTGTGTGCATTCGGATTTTACAATCTTCTATCCGACTGGCGTAAGGATCCTGAATTTGATCTCAATGGTTGCAATGGCTGTGGGGAATGCCTCTTGTCGTTCGCCATCGATTCCAGAGCGGAACCCATTTGGCGCTTCTTGCTTTCCAAGAACGTCAACCTCGAGAATGGTTACCTCCGGCCTTTACATTGTGCCATTGAGTCCAATGACCTGGAACCCTTTGACGCTCTCATTGCGGCCGGGGCTGATGTTGACGTTGTCGGGGTTGGCGGTCGATCTGCACTCATGTTGGCTGTAGGGCTCGTCGCTCGTAGACCTAGACCTACAACGCCCCTGGATCTAACCTTTGTGAAACGCTTGTTGGACGAAGGGGCTAATCCAAACTTGGAAACCGTCGGTGGAAACGCCCTTAAGTATGCCATGTTGATAAGAGGAAGCGATCTTATCGAGATGCTCTTGGAGGCGGGCGCGAAACCTCCTCGAATACTGTGCGCGTTGTTTGAAGCCGTCCGAGACGATAATGCTCCTTTGGTCCGACTTTGGATTAGGAAAGGTGGCACTGCGAAGTATCTCAACCGTATCAGTCAGATCTCAGAAGTAACACGGATCTCTTGGTCTTCCTCAGGCATCACGCCATTCCGTTTGAGCAACGACAGACCTGAGGCCAGCCTCACTTTACTGCAGGAGGCTGCAGAGTTTTCCTCAATGGACGTGGTTAAATTTTTGCTGGATGCTGGCGCTGAAGTGAACATGGTGGTAGATTCCAGATGGGGTACGGCTTTAGCAGCGGCAGTGACCAAATCTTTCCGCGATCGCCATGACAACTTGAAGCTTCTGCTGGCGGCTGGCGCTGATGCGAACCTGAACGATGGGCTACGCAGCCCCCTAACCTTGGCAGTGGCCAATGGTGATATAAAGGCTGCCCAGATATTACTAGATGCCGGGGCGAAGCCTAACCAGGTTTTCCCCGGTTGGATGGATGCGAAAATCACCACTCCCGCGGACTTTCGTCTCAGTCAGCTGCGTACCAAAGTGGCTCCGACGGCTCTTTGTGGTGCTGTAGCCAGCAGTATCGATGCTCTCGTTGAGTTGCTCTTGAAGGCTGGGGCGGACCCCAACCTGGGCCCTCACCGCGACTGCACCGAATCCTCGAGCCCGTATTTCAGGTATTCTTGGCGAGGTTCTGTGCAAACTTCTAGTCCATGGGTCAAAATGGGAGAAAGAAATCAATGGCTAAGTCCCCCCCTCATCGCCACCAAGAACAATGATATTGGTCTTTCCAAGATTCTCTTGCGCGCCGGGGCTGACCCGAACGCCATCCCTGGGGGTAATTCCTCTATCAGCCCACTCGCTGTGGCTGCATTCAACGGGTTTTTGGACCATTGCAAGCTCTTGATCGATGCTGGGGCCAATCTCAACCTACCACCCCATGCATGCTTTCGAAACGTGTTGTTTGCCGCCACCTCTGGATGCGAACACTTCAAGGCACGTAAGCGAAAGTCAGTCAGAACATACTTTCCCAATGACAAATCAACTTATGTTGCAGGGTCGATTTCACATTGGACATATGATGCTGAATACAATCTTTCCCCTGAGTTCAGATTCAGCGAAGCAGCGTATGCCGCGGCGATTTTACTGTTTATGCAGAAGGGCATGGAACTCCCAATGCCGATTTACTCGAGCATTCGCACTGTGGCCTTTGGTTACTATCGGAGAGCAGGAGAATCCTTCCACGCGGGGTCGATTTGTGCATTCCACCCGAGCGGCCAGTTCGACCAGTTCAAAAGTCTAGCTCCTGAATGGTTTCGTATTCTATGGGCTCTCGAGACGAGTCCCTCGCCCCGACTTCCTCTCCGCTCAAGACTTGAGCGGTGTGGATTTCCCCGACCTCTCCCTCGTTCTTTGCTTCTCGTCCTGAGGTTCAGATCTCCCGCGAAGCAGCGGATTGCGTGGGCCGCAACCATCGCGATCAACGGCGAGTGTTCGACTTCTGGATTTGGAAAGTATAGAGTTCAGCTACGCCAAAGATAGGGCCTGTGACCGACAAATGGAAGATCATCGTGCCAAGCAACCCAGGTTCTCCCGATAGGGCTTCATCGACAATACTGGAGGTGACAGAACTGGAGAGTTCTAAATGAGCTCTGGCAGAAAGGTCGAATGGGGATAGAGGAACGGCGATATGAGGATCATTTTAATCCCAGCCAGGGAGATCCTTGGTTGCTAGCTGCCCTAGTTGCGCTCGTCGTGGGTATGGATGTCATGTAGTGTGATGGTGCTGACCGGCGCTCCGGAGTTTAATGATAGCAGGTCTAGCCTACTGGACTAGATACTACTTAAAGGAACAGCTCTATCTCTAGTTGGAAGGGCATCCTTTTTCCCTTCTTCAATTGAAACTTTTAGAGACAGTCTTTATTGTTGATGTGCCACTTGACTAGCTGTCGCCGCAGCTCTCATCCTTTCTTCCTTGCTCTTTTCCACCTTATCCATACAGAAGCACCTGGTCAAGTGCTTGACTTTCCCTTTGCCTAACTCCCTCAGCTGGCCTTAGCTGCAAGACCTTCTCTCAGCCCGAACTATAAGGCATCTCAAACCCTTGCGGTCGCCGGCCCCGTCTGCACTAAGTGCATCTCCCACCAACAAATTAGCTTGATTCTACAGTTGGGAGATGTTGTTAGTGTTCAGCCGTGTGAGATCTCTAACACATTTTTACCATCCTTGAAGATTTCAACTGCTTTTACCAACTAGACCCTCTATAGACCCCCTTGCCACCATGCTCAATATGGGGAGACGGACATAGCTTCCGTTTGATTGGCTGACGTGAGCATCCGGCTGCTTCCGTTCCTCCGCCGTCTCGGCGGAAGAGAAAAAGCGGGGGCCGCATCGAACGTCTTCCGGGACCTGGATATCGCTAACAAGGCAACCTCCCATCATCATGGCCTAAAGTACACACTCCGTCAAGCGGCGCGCTTTCGACCGCATCGGAACTTTCTCTCACCTCTCTACGCATATTTTCGGGCCACTCAGCAACCGGACGAAGAGTTGCCGATCAAGTCCGTAGCCGGGCGGGGCAGCATCCCGAGCTTACCACCGAAGGAGTTTACTACGCAGCAACTCCCAGTATGGAGGCCGTTCCGGATACGGCGGTTGAGTCTCCGGCCTCGGGCTTTGGCGCCGATACGGATGCCAAGCGGCGCAGGATCCGCAAGGGCACCCGCAGCTGCTGGGAATGCAAGCGCCGCAAAGTCCGCTGCTCGTACTCGACGCCGTCAGCATCGGTGTGCATCGGATGTGACCGACGAGGTTCCAGTTGCGTTAGCCAGGCATATCCCGAGGAGGCGGCTCCAGCTACTTCGGCAGGAGGCCGGGGCCGGCAGATGGGCGACCGGATTGTGCGCGTCGAGGCCCTGATTGAGCAGTTGGTCAGGCGAGTTGGCGATCAGAGCAATGCCTCGACTGCAAGGACTGACTCTGCAGCACTGATTGAGGAAGATCCGAGTGAGTGTGACGGTCCTAACACGGTTTTCTTCATTCCTGGGTCGAGCAATGGAGTGGAAGCGACCCGCGTCTTGACCGTCCGTGAGCCTCCAACAGTATGTCAATCCCTGTTTACTCGTGCCCTAGAACGCCCATTAACTCGTCGTAGCTAGACGTGAGACTAGAAACCAGTCATCTAGAAGGGTCGTACTCGTCGCCCGTCCTACCAACACCCCAGTCTATCACGCCTCTAAAACGGAGCACTCTTTCCAGAGAACCTCTGTACGGGGACATTTCAGCCGCTCTGCACGCCGCCCTCCCGCCCCGCAAAGACATCGACCTGATGATCAAAGCAGGCCTCAACATCTCGTTCGACAAACTCATGATGCAGCCCCACGCCGTGTTGGCCCAGAAGCCCGGCGGCGGGAGGGCGGACCTCGAGGAGATGCCCGAAACAACAGCCCACCCAGCTCTAATCGCCAAGTATCTGCTCGTCCTAGCCACCTGCTTTCAGTATGTAAATCCAGAACTTCACGCCGACGAGATTCGCTGCCTATCGGAACCGCCGCACCAACTCATGCATCGACTGGCGGACACGGCGTATGCCCTAGTCATCAACAACGACGACTTCTTGGGCTCCGTCGAGTTTCTCGAGTGTGTCATGCTCGAGGCCTTTTTTCAGGCCAACAGCGGCAACCTACGACGCGCTTGGTTTGGCTGCCGACGCGGCATGGTGGTTGCGCAGATGATGGGCCTTCATCGGAGCGGCAGTCGGCAAACATTGAAGGTCGTCGGCCCAACTCAACCTCTCTATCCCAATTACATCTGGTTCCGCATCGTTTGGGCAGATCGCCAACTCTGCTTGATGCTGGGTCTGCCACAGGGCTCCCTGGACGTCTCAATAGCATCTGAAGTCGCCCTTGCAGGTGACACCGCTTCAGACCAGTTTGAGCGCAAGCAGTCCGTCATTGCCTCGCGCATCATCGAGCGAAACGAATCATCCGATCCTGCCGTCATGGAAGACTTCGCAGCCCTACAAGAGCTTGACGCCGAACTCCAAAAGACGGCAAACGAAATGGGGAGCAAGTGGTGGCTGCCTCCCATTCTTGCTAACATACACGACCCCGAGGAGGCGTTTTGGGAGACGCTGCGCCTGCTCGAGCAGATGATCTACTTCAATCTGCTCAACATGCTACATCTACCTTATATGCTACGATCAAGCGCGCCCAGTGAGAGCACCACCGGTTATAACCTCGAGTATAGCAAGCTATCAAGCGTCAATTCATCACGCGAGCTACTAACGCGCTTCATCATGTTCCGCTCCTTCAACCGCGTGGCTTTTTGCAGTCGATCAACCGACTTCCATGCACTTATAGCCGCCATGACTCTGGTCATCGCGCACCTCGACGGGCATCGCAAGCAGCGGCAGGGAGCTGGCATGGCGGGAATCAACTTGCTAGCGCACCAGAGAAACAGCGACCGGGCGATGATGGACCAAGTTCTTGAGAGCATGGAGGGCGTCGCAAAGCTGAGCACCGATGTGCTGAGCGAGCGCAGTTCCAGCTTATTGAAGAGCCTACTAGCCCTCGAGGCCGATGCTGCCAAGGGAAAGTTCGACAACGCTGCGGCGGTCATGACAGAACTACACCCTGACTCGGCGACAGACGATGGGCATTCACTCCGGATCAGCATCCCCTACTTTGGCACTATCCAGATCAGCCGTGAGGGTGTCCTCTCAATAGAAGCACCGCGGTGCACTACACCACCTTCGCCTTTACCACAGCGGCATCCCAACGCCAAAGCAGCCAATTTATTACCGGCAACACGCGCTTCTGACGCCGGCTACACCGCCGACCCGACCCCGTCCTCATTCAACGACGCGACATCGCGGATGTCTCCTAATACGCAGCAAAGGCATCAAACTGCCCAAATACCTCCCGCCGCACCTCAGACACAACAGCCATTTGCACCGCAGTTCTCGAGCGCCATCAATGATGCCCTGCAGCGGCAGTACACGTACCCGGGATTGACTGCGGGAGTTGATGACTGGGCATTCCAGGGAGTAGACATGACATTTTTCGACAGCTTGATGAGGGGGTCAGAAGCGGAAAATGTGGCTGATGATGACGGTTTGGCGAGATGGGACGATGCCCCATAGGACTGTGGATACGAGATGCCTTCGCGATTGTCTAATAATGGCAAATTCAATATCGATGGCGATATATAGTTTTGATGATGCGGTCAAATGGCGGCCTGCATATCCGTAGATGATGAAACCGCAAACCTCGACTTGGCGGTGGATCATCTGTTCACATGAACATCTCTCCTCCGATTTTCAGACGAATAAGTCAGACGACACACACACTCAACTCTAAATTAATATTCACATGATCGAGTGTCCGCTAGAAGACTCAAATAAGATGCGTCGTACCATATTTGAAGACATACAGACCCTCATGCCCAACGCCCAATGTGGTAATATCCGACGAGCGGGCCACATCGTGCGGCGGAGGCAGGCCGACACAAATGGCGGAAGATGATCACAGAAATTTGACTGCCTAGTGGGAATTAATTAATGTTGCAGGGTACTTATTTGCAATACAGGGCTTCGGCTTACGCGGCAATGTCGCTGTCATCGGCCATAAGATCAGCTTTGCAACTAGGTAGGCAACGCCTCATCTAGATCTTCCGCCGAAAACTCGGGCGAATGATGCGCGGCTCAGGAGGCGCACCACCAAGACGGTATATAATCCTGAAGCCCGTAGCTTCCGGATTAAATATTTCTAATGCAGGCTACCTTCTAATCTTTCCTTAAAGTATCATTTCTTGCCACTCTTCTTTCATCTCCTGGGTCACATTATCGGCTCCTGTCCTTGTCGCATCACGACGCCACCACCTCTGGTGCCACCAGCATGGACGTAGCGAACGACCAGGACGGCGTCGAGCTGAAACAGCGAAATTCCACAGTCCATGACCTTGCACACCAAGGCACGCATTACTCGACCGTTAATGTCGACGGCCCTGCAGCTATTTTCGGGAGCACCGATCCAAGTTCTCCTCTCAACCCGCGTGGCGACAACTTCAATGCGCGCACTTGGGCCAAAACCCTTGCCAAAGTCACGACCGAGAGCGGCCAGGGTTTTCGTCAGGTCGGCCTATGTTTCCAAAACTTGAATGTCTTCGGGTACGGCACACCGACCGACTTCCAGAAGGATGTCGGCAACATCTGGCTTGCTCTGCCAGACATGGCGCGTCGCTTTTTCTCCCGGACGGCCGGCCAGACGCGAATCAACATTTTGCGCCATTTCGATGGGCTCATCCACCCTGGCGAGATGTGTGTGGTCTTGGGTCCACCTGGCTCCGGGTGTTCGACGTTCCTCAAGACCATCTCCGGAGAGACGAACGGCATATACATCAACGAGGATGCCTACTTCAACTACCAGGGCATCTCAGCCGGCGAGATGCACACTGCACATCGGGGTGACACCATCTACACTGCCGAGGTCGACGTTCACTTCCCTCAGTTGTCAGTTGGCGAGACATTGACCTTTGCAGCGCGCGCAAGCTGCCAGAGGGAACTGCCGTCGGGTATCAGTCGCAACCAGTATGTTACTTCACTCTCTCCCGTTTCTTCACCACCACTGACAGGTCTGGTGATAGGTACTGCGAGCACCTACGAGACGTCGTCATGGCCATGTATGGTATCGGTCATACCATCGACACCAAGGTGGGAAACGAGTTCACAAGGGGAGTTTCGGGGGGTGAACGCAAGCGCGTAACCATTGCGGAGGCAACGCTTGCAAACGCACCATTTCAGTGTTGGGACAAGTAAGAATCCTCTGCGTGTCATCTCGCTTGTCTCCAAGTTCTCTTTATGCTCTTGATCAGCACAGACTAACCCCAAGTTCCAGTTCAACCCGCGGTCTCGACTCCGCCAACGCAATCGAGTTCTGCAAGACTCTACGGCTGCAGTCTCAGATCTTCGGCCAAACTTGCGCCGTATCCATCTACCAGGCGCCCCAGAGCGCATATGACCTGTTCGATAAGGCCTTGGTCATCTACGAAGGGCAACAGATCTACTTTGGCCCGGCATCCAAGGCCAAGGAGTACTTCACCAACCTGGGATTTGACTGTCCGCCGCGTCAGACAACGCCTGACTTCCTCACTTCTATGACCTCACCAGTAGAGCGCTTTCCCCGGCCCGGCTCCAACCCCCCGCGTACTCCCGACGAGTTTGCAGCCATTTGGAAAAGCAGCCCTGAATACAAGGCACTGCAGGCTGAGATCGACGAGTACAAGATACAACATCCGCTTGGTGGCCCCGATGCCGCGGCCTTCCGACAGCTCAAGAAGTCGCGTCAAGCCAAGGGACAGCGCCTCAACTCGCCATACACACTTACGTATTCCCAGCAGGTCCAGCTTTGTCTTTGGCGCGGGATCAGACAACTCATTGCGGATCCTTGGCTGTCCGTCTCTATGGTGATTGCGAATGCGTGCTTCGCCCTCATCGTATCGTCCTTGTTCTACAACCTGGATACGAGTACGAGCTCCTTTTTCAGCCGAGGTTGCGTTCTCTTCGTGGCGATCCTGTTCAATGCTTTTGCTTCGGCTCTCGAAATTACGACGCTCTATGACCAGCGGCCCATCGTGGAGAAACAATCCCGATACGCCTTTTATCACCCGTCAGCCGAGGCATTTGCATCCGTCCTAGTGGATCTACCATACAAGATCGTCAACACTATTATCTTCAACTTGGTCTTTTACTTTATGACCAACTTGAACCGCGAGCCAGGTGCCTTCTTCTTCTATCTCCTTGTGGTCTTTCTTATCACGATGGCTATGTCAGGGGTCTTCAGATCTATGTAAGTTGTCGAGATCATGCAAGTCAGGGAGAGCAAATACTAACAAGTCCTTAGTGCCTCACTATCGCGGACTTTATACCAGGCCATGATCCCATCTACGATCCTAATGCTTGCCTTGCTCATCTTCACTGGCTTTGTCATTCCGGTTGACTACATGCTTGGATGGTGCCGTTGGATAAACCATCTGAACCCGGTGGCCTATGGCTTCGAGTCGCTCATGGTCAACGAATTCCACAACCGCAATTTTGAGTGCTCTGCCTACGTCCCCGACTATGCAGATGCCAGTGCAGACAATGTGGCTTGCAACGCTGTTGGAGCCCTTCCCGGACAGCCCTATGTAAATGGGGATGACTTCATCAACACGGCATACAGTTACTACCACGGTCACGAATGGCGCAACGTCGGTATCATAATCGCGATGGCAATTTTCAATCACTTTGTGTATTTCATTGCCACCGAATACATCACGGCCAAAAAGTCCAAGGGCGAAGTCCTCGTTTTCCGCCGCGGTTTTGTTCCGCACCCTTCCACCAACCGAGGCGACGATGTCGAGAAGCTGCTCTCCGGTCCCGTACCGGTTGTGCAGAGACCTGACGGGTACACTTCCAGCACCGAGGGAGCCATCCAGGTCTCTACAAGTGTGTTCCACTGGAACAAGGTGTGCTATGATATCAAGATCAAGGGCAACACTCGGCGCATCCTAGACAATATCGATGGCTGGGTCAAGCCTGGCACCCTCACGGCGTTGATGGGCGTTTCAGGCGCGGGCAAGACGAGCCTGCTTGATTGCTTGGCTGACCGCGTGGGCATGGGTGTGATTACGGGTGAGATGTTGGTCGATGGAAAGATTCGTCATCAGAGCTTTCAGCGGAATACCGGCTATGTTCAGCAGCAAGACCTTCATCTTGAGACCAGTACCGTCCGAGAGGTAAATCCCCTCCACACCTATTTCATTTCCGGTTCGGTTTAACGTGCACTCTTCTGCACCATCCACGCCCCTGATCAACATTTGCTAACTTCATATCACAGGCTTTGGAGTTCTCGGCTCTTCTCCGTCAGCCAGCCAGTACGCCAAGAGCTGAAAAGTTGGCCTATGTAGACGAGGTCGTCAAGTTGCTAGACCTAGAAGAGTATGCCGATGCTGTTATCGGTGTGCTCGGCGAAGGTCTCAACATTGAGCAACGCAAACGCTTGACAATCGGCGTCGAACTAGCAGCCAAGCCACCGCTCCTGCTCTTTGTCGACGAGCCCACATCAGGCCTTGACTCCCAAACTAGTTGGGCCATCTTAGACTTGTTGGAGAAGCTCTCCAAGGCCGGTCAATCTATTCTCTGCACCATCCATCAACCCTCTGCGATCCTGTTCGAACGATTTGATCGCCTACTATTTCTCTCCAAGGAAGGCCATTCGGTGTATTTTGGTCGGTCTTCCGTTTTCCCTGCCCATTTTCTTCTCTCGTACGGTGCATCACTCTACAGTCGTGCTAATCATATATTCTACAGGTGACATTGGAAAGAACTCCAAGATCATTACGAACTACTTCGAGCGCAATGGGGCGCCGGCTTGTCCGTCTGGTGCCAACCCTGCCGAGTGGATGTTCAAGGCCATTGGAGATGCTCCCGGCAGCGTATCCGAGGTCGACTGGGACAAAGTGTGGTATTCCAGTCCAGAGTACCTATCCATTCAGAACGAGTTGGCTCGTCTCAAAGCACTAGGCTCAGGTCAGTCCCTCTCGGACGAAACAGACGACACCGCCTCATACCGTGAATTCGCTACACCACTCTGGGAGCAATTTCTTGTCGTTACAAAGAGAGTGTTTCAGCAGCACTGGCGAACACCCTCGTATATTTACTCGAAATTCATCCTTTGTATTTCTATCAGTTTGTTCATCGGTCTGGTCTTCCTCAACGCACCTCTTACCGTCCAGGGTCTTCAAAACCAGATGTTTGCCATCTTCGAATTTTGCACCATCTTTGGGCAGCTAGCGCAGCAGCAAATGCCTCATTTCGTTACACAGCGTTCCTTATATGAGGTCCGCGAACGGCCTTCTAAGACATACTCTTGGAAAATCTTCATGCTTAGCCAGATTCTCGCCGAGATCCCCTGGAGCACCCTCGCCTCAGTTTTCATGTGGGCGTTGATCTACTACCCTGTTGGTTTCTATAAAAACGCAAATGCCGATCCATCTGGAGACGGAACGGAGAGAGGCTTTTTAATGTGGCTTCTTTTCTGGCAATTTCTTCTCTTCACTTGCACCTTGGCACATGCCTGTATTTCCTTTGCCGATTCAGCGGAGGCGGGGAGCAGTTTCTCTAACTTGCTCTTCATGTTGACATTCTTCTTCTGTGGTGTGTTGGCTTCGCCGAATTCGATGCCTGGCTTTTGGATCTTCCTGTATCGGGTCTCGCCATTGTCATACTGGATCTCAGCGGTCCTCTCCACCGGGTTAGCTAACGTCGAGGTGACATGTGCAAGCAATGAATACACCAACGTCAGTCCACCGGTAGGCCAGCGATGCGGCCAATACATGGCTGACTACGTCTCGAGGGTGGGTGGCTATCTGCTAAACCCAGAGGCAACGAGCGAGTGCAGTTACTGCAGGATGAAGGATACAAACGTATTCTTGTCGGGTATCAGCTCCGAATACAGTACCAGATGGCGCGATTTCGGCTTCATGTGGGTATACATTGTCTTCAACATCGTCGCAGCGTTAGCTCTGTACTACCTGGTTCGCATGCCAAAGGGCAAGAAGAAGCTGTGAGTGGATCGTCGATCATTGGAGGGCGGGATAAGTGAAGAGGGAGGGGTGATGGAGATTTCACTTTTCGAATCATAATATCCTACTTGACACACCCTTGTATTTTTAGTTTCTTTCGCAGTGATCTGCATTTTAGATACAGATACCGGTTGTAGATTGAGCGATCTCCACTCATATTAATTCGAAACTTACATTTAACATGGTACTATTATAGCATTCTATGGAACAAGGGAGCTTGAGCTCCATCTATAGGTCTTGGCAATTATACCCGTCGCTAGCTATGGTCCCTGCATATGAAAGCTACCATTTTTATCAAGATGTAGACTAACCTGCTTGTTCACGATAATTTAGTTATCGCCAGTCGATATTCCAGTCTTAGGTCTTGTTTGCAGGAGATTTTTATGGTATATGTCATACTGACGTGCTAATATATGTCGATGTCCTATCAAGGGAGGCTATTGAGAAAGTTTAGGGGCATCACAGCTAGATCCAGCGTCGGAAAATGTCGACGGCACAGTGGGGTAACAAAGTGCTTTCCATCGTGCGATATTGCGTTGCCATTGAGATTTAAGGCTCACAGGATCATTTCAAACCTCTATGCAATTTTTGGGTCAATATACTTTACGTAGTAGGGCATGGGAGTACGTTGAGGCTAGAGATCGAACAACGAAGTAGCGGCATCTAGGGTAGGGAGTGTGAAGGATCAAAGGGAAGGCAGGTTCTCATGCTACAGCTCAGGCACCACTCTTCTCAACCAATTCAATCAACTCGGGGCAATCATGTAATTTTACCTAGAGTGACATCATACGGCGAATCAGTTTGCGGTATCCTTTCTTATCCACTATTGGTGCTTGCCGCAGTTGGTTAAGCTGCTTAAGTGTGTCTTGGCGGATTCCGTACATGCCGGTAGGTGGTATCCTCACCACAAACAAACCAGGATCAGCCGGCTGAACCAGCCTTCCGTATGAAGTAATAATTTGTAAGTGGGAGACTTGGGGACAAGGAGACTATGTGGTTGGTGGACTTAATGAGAGGGGTGAAATACCATACCGCTTAGAGAATGACTACCCTCTCAACGAGATGTTGTAGGCAAAAAACCACGCACCTAGAAGCGTATCATTAGCCCTGTATCCCACATTTGGCTTCGGATCAAGCCGGATATAATGGGCTGAAGTGGGACCAACGACTCAATTATTTATCAGATGATCAGATAACTCTATTTTACAGTTTGTCACCAGACTAGTAACAATTAGCGGCGGATAGAGGCCCAGGAACAGCTTCGCTTGCTGCCAAGTATCCACCAAAACCCTTGTCGCTTGTGCCTCGTGGTTGTGAACCAGGGGATGAGATGCGCTAGGGCCTGTCTTTAATCTCTGCGTCTTCCCGATGTCGGCTTCGAGCCAGTAGTTCGAGCCAACAGCTCGTGGTATTCTACGGGAAGGTCTGAAGGTTGAATATCTGGAATCGGGTGTCCCTCATTCTTATGCGGCAACTCTCTAGCATCACCTATGATATAGATCTGAAAGAGTATAAATACCTTCCTCAACTGGATGCTACACCGGCGTTTGGTGGACTCATCCCTTCTCAGTGTTGTATTCCGCCAATGGCATTTCCCACTTTTCTCACTTATCGCGCCTTGGCAGGCCTGATCAGATAAGGTAAGAACAATAGTTCCTTGCATAAATCGCATCCCATCATCCTGGTAATACGAGGCATATCCCCTGTCGTTCATCCGAATCTTCCTTGGCGGGCCTAAAGTTGTTCACCAACGATTAGCTCGTCCGTATCGGCTGTTCACCGCACTTGAACTCCAACGGCGGCACTTAGTTCAGGTTGAGCGCTTTTTTGCTGTGTAAATGGCGTGCAGATGTGACTGGGGCCTTAGGAAGCTCAGAGCTGAGCCGGCGGTTAAGTCGTTATATATGGCTTCTTGCAGCGCCAGTGATTGGAATCCAGTGCATGCCGCCTCACTCGCTCTTTATCCGCCTGCATCGCTCAATTTAAGCCGGTTAGGCGAGACTTTATCTCTCTCTTATTCCGTCTTTTATGACGCAACACCGGCGCCATGGTTAACTGGATCCCGAGTCTCCAGACCATCGCCATTGGTCTGGCACTGATCCCAGGAAGCTCCGCCTGGGATCGTGATTCCGTTGCTGCCTCTCGAAAGGAGGCCAGTCCCTTGACATCTGGAATAATTCCAGGGCGTTACATCGTGGAACTCAATGGCGATAGCGCGTTGGGTCAACGTGACGTCCGTCGTCGTGCCGAGACTGTTGTCGGCGACTTGGAATCGGCTGGCTATGAGGTCAACATCAAAGAGGACTACTCGTCCATATCTGGCCGCTTCCAGGGTGTCTCTATTGAGATATCAAACGATCAAGAGGGAACCCTAGATGAACTCAAGGACCTCTCCGGCGTCGCAGATGCCTGGCCGGTCGAGATCATCACGCTGGATGTCGACTTTGACACCAGCGATCCCAGCCCCAAGTGGAACCCCCACGTGGCAACCCGTGTCGATGAACTACACAAGAGAGGGTTGAAGGGCGAAGGCCAGCGCGTTTGTGTCGTTGACAGTGGTGCTGATTCGTCTCACCCGGCCCTGTCTGGCCGCATTGCCGGCGGTAAGAACATGTTCGACGACAGCACCAACTTGGAAGACTGCAACGGCCACGGCACTTTTGTGTCGTCGATGATTGTCGGAAAGAACAAAGACTTTTCTGGAGTTGCTCCAGAGGCCGAAGTCTTCATGTACAAGGTCTTCGGCTGTGAATCCAGCACTTCCAACGACATCATCCTCAAAGCTCTCCTGGCAGCAGACGCCGACGACTGCGATATTGTGTCCCTATCCCTTGGTGGCGACAACGGATACCATGGTTCTCTCATGTCGCGAGTCGCAAGCCAGGTTGCCGAAGATCGACTGGTCATCATCGCGGCCGGAAACGCTGGCGAGATGGGACCCTTCTATGCCAGTTCCCCAGCCTCGGGTCGAGGTGTTGTCGCTGTTGCTTCAGTCAACTCCAAGCAAATCCTTGGTTGGCCGGCTGTGATCCTCTCCTCCAGTGGAGAGAGCTTCAACCTGAGCTATGTCACTCCAGATGGGTCGAAGCTCAATGAGTCAATCAGTGTCCCCCTTACTTTTGACACAGGCGACTCCTGCAACGCAAAGGAATATGGAGAAGAGAGCGAGGCTGTTGTCATCAAGCGGGGTATCTGCTTTGGCAATGGGCAATTCAACACCATGTCCTTCACCGGCTTTGGATATATCCTCATTTTCGACTCCTACAACCAAGGCGTCTCCTACATGTCAGAAGCCAGCAACACAAGCCCTTCCGTGCACTTGTTTGCCGTTACCCAGGCCGCTGTGGGTGATTGGGTCAAGGAGCAGACTTCTGGCAGCCATACCTTGACCTTTGTCGTCGAGGCCGACGCTGATACGGCTGCAGAAATGACAGACTTCCCAGCCAGTGGGCAGATGTCATCCTTCTCTTCTTGGGGACCAACTTTTGAGAACGACTTTATCCCGACTATTGCGGCTCCTGGTGGTGCTGTATATGGTGCATTCCCCGATAACACCTTTGCCATTGCGTCGGGTACATCGTTTGCCACCCCGTACATGGCGGGCATCGCGGCCCTTTTCTTTGCCCACGTCAAGAAGGATGCCGCAGAATTTGCTCGACGAATTTCATCCACTGCCGCGTTACTTCCCTCTTATTCCGCATCTGAAGCGAGTGTTATCAGCGACATTGCTCCTCTGGCCCAGCAGGGTGCCGGTCTGGTGGATGCTGTCAAGGTCTTTGACTACGAGACTGTTTTGTTGTCCGAGTCGCACATCTCGCTCAACGATACGGACAACCGCGTTAGCACACACACCATTCAGTTGAAGAACACCGGCTCATCTCAGGTCACATTCCAAATTTCTCATGTGGCCGCTTCATCCGTTCAGGGTCGGGATGAATACTGGTATCCCTACTTGTACTACCCACCACTCCTTGACGCGGCGGGTTCTATCGATGCCCCAGAAAGCGTTAGCATCGCTGCTGGTGCAACCCAGGAGGTCCAAGTGACCATCAACGCCCCTGCGGATCTGGCTCCCAACAGTGGTGTGATATGGAGTGGAAAGATTGTCTTTGAGGGCAGCAACGGCGAGTTTCTTACGGTCCCATACATGGGTGTCGAGGCGTCAACATACAACTGGACACCACTCGAGGGTTCCCCTCTTGTCTTCCGTTATGACTCCGACTCCGGCTATCTCTATCCTGTCGATTGGCAGGGCAAAGCCTATAAACCTGCGGAACTGGACTCGCCGGAAATCTACTTCGCGCTTAGATACGGTACCTACGAGTTCTCTCTTGACTTGGTCGGCGAGGACTGGACGAAGGAAGACTTTTCCTATCCCCTCTCAGCTGGATCCGGATCAAAGCAGTGGCGTGGCTCTGTGCGATCACAGCCTGACGCGTTCGGCTCTTACTCCAATTTCCCATTGCAGCACCCATTGCGCTTTAACAATGTGGGCTTCAATAGGTTCCAATGCTTTGCGAATGGCACCGACATTCCAACCGGAAAATACAGAGTCTTGAGTAGGGCTCTTCGCATGTTTGGAAATCCAACAGAACCCAGCGATTGGCAGCTTTTCTTGTCAGATGCTTTCACTATTCAACTTGGTGACGATGCTCTCACTAGCTCGACAAGCACTGTCACTTCAACGACTGAGATGTCGACACCTACGATTGCCAGTGTCTCCACGACAACAAACGATCCTACAACAACAGACGAGGCTACAACGACAGACGCTCCAACATCCACAACTGAAACTGCTCTGGCAACGTCCACAGCTGTGCCTGGAATCACCACTACCCTGCGTGCCAAGTCCAGCCCAACTGGTATTGCCAATGCCTTTGCCGACATTTCCATCCAACGACAAGGCACCACTTCCAATGACATGTACGATCCGAGCGAGTGGATGCAGCTTCACGTTCAGATGAAAATCCCAACCCGGCTGGTAGCCGGGTCTGTCGCAAGCTTTGCACTTCCACCACAGATTGTTGACGTGGCTCAGAATAACTACGTCTCAGCTAGTGGAAGTTATGTTGGCGCCGCAGCATTTGACAATGTCACCAGTATCTACACCATCACCTTTGGTGATTGGGTCGACTGGCACAGCGACATAACGGGGGACTTCTATCTCTATTGCCGATTGGACCCGGAATTCCAAGTTGGTCTTGAAGCCGGAACCTATTTCATGGAGATTGAGACTGTGGGAAAGACATTCTACCCGCCTGTCTATTATCGTGCCGTGGACAGGTCAAGAGTGTATGAGCGAAAGCATGTGGAGATGCTGGATGACCAACAGGTCTTCTACTTCAACATCGAGGTTCCTGGTCAATTGGGACCCTGGAAATCAGTCACTTTTGTTAGCAGCCAAGCGTCGGGGGATGACGGATACTTGTGCGCCAAGACGACTGTGGAGATTGGGACTGAATTCGACACTGGAAACCAGATCACTGAATCCCGGGATGTTAGCACAGATGCCATCCAACGTTGCGAGGTCAAAACATTCAAGGCAGTCTACTCCAGCGAGATTGCGGAAGACGAAGTTTTGGCATTCAATGTTGCCAACATTCTCGGCAACTGGGACTCTTGGACAATCACCTTTGCTTACAGCCTGGCAATCGAGCTCACGAATGGAACCACGGTTGGCTACGATCTTCGGACTTTGTCATATGACAGGTACGCTCGAAGCACCCCCGATAACTGGTTCGAAGGTGTCCGCGACACGACAGGTCCGATTATTGGTGGCCCTACCAGCACTACATCAACTGCGCTGCCTTCATCCACTTTGACGCTGTCCACAAGTATCCTGACTACTCCCATTGCCAACACCACAGTAGTCACGACGAGCGCAACCACTTCTTTGATTTCGGATTCAACCACGGATACCTTGACTCCTACTCAATACAGCACAACAACCACGCCCCAGACCTATGCGACGTCGACTGTCCTATCTTCATCAAGCACTTCATCCACGTCAGTTGACTCGACGACCACGGAGGTGTCGTCGGAAACGACTCTTTCTACTTCTACAACCTCGTCCTCGGCATTCTCAACCTCAGTCACCACCTCTGCTGGCTCCTCAACCGACCTGGCCACTAGTCTCACCAGAGAATCCACTGTTACGAGCACTACCTCGACGCACATTTCAGACTGCTCGACTTGCACAAAGCCGACTAGCTCATCAGCTTCTGGGTCAAACTCTGTGACAGCAAGCCTGACTTCAACTTCCACTCCTGGAGGAGTTGACACAAAGACGGATTCGCTGCCAGTGACTTCCACTACCGGAAAAGTTAACACAGAGACGTACTTGCCGCCAGGGACCTCCACTCCCGGAGGCGTTAACACGGAGACGTACCTGCTGCCAGAGACTTCCACCGCCGTGTCAACCACTGAACTGTCACAAGAAACCCAACTTTCTACCGCTGAGACCGAAATCTCCGGTTCAAGCTCCGCTGTTGTGTCCAGTGTGACGAAACATTCTAGTGGTACCACGATTACTCAAAGCGTAACGATCATTACTTCGGTCTGTTCCGAGCCTGGATGGACAGCGCCGGTAACTGTCACTGTCACCGTCCCATGTGCCTCTTCTGCCGAGACAGATTTCACGACAGTCACTTCGGTGTGCACGCGTTGTGCGGCACACCCAGTCACCATCACGTACACGCAACCTGTCCAGACATACACACAGCCCGTCCAAACATATACACAACCCGCCCAAGCATACACGCAACCTGCCCTGACCGCTTCGCCCTCCAACGATATCGTCATCTCAAGTGGCCGCTTCTCTGTCGGAAGTACCCGCCCTACTACGGTGTCCCAAGTGCCAAACCAAGTGCCCTCTGTGACTATCCCCTCTGTGGATAATTACGGGGCACCGACGATCAGCACTCGACGACAAGAAGAGAACACCACACTCATTTCTCATACGCTGAGTAGGCCTACCACTGTGGTGGAGGAACCAGTTGTCAGTGAAGGTAACAGTGCAACCGCTGTCGGTGAAGCAACCACTGCAACCGGCGAGAATAATGAAGGTGTGATCCCCACGTCGGAGGCTGTGGATACTCTGGCACCCTCAACCACTGTGGTAACGGGACTTGGCACGCAACAGTCGTTCGACCGGATCACATATATTTCGTTAGCTGCTATTGCAGCTCTTATTTTGACTTTGTAATATGTTGTTGTATTTATTCTAAGAAGGGTGGGGACCAGTCTGTTAGTTATGTAGAACTGAGCGTATCTTAATTTTTATCTTGCCATGCCCTATGTTCGTGTTCATTGAAAGACCAACGGGTTTTTTAACGATCGACATGCTTCATCATGGCAGAATTAGCTTCCTAGTCAGTGATACATTGTTGGTGCAGCCAAACCCTTGATTTAGATAATCAAATACCCAAGAAACAAGCTTAAGTCAATCACCCATAGACCACCTTATCAAACAACCAACTCTCGCTACAAACACCCGCTATCCAGCTAGCACACCTATTGCAATTTTCAGTAAAGAATTTCGAGCAATTTCTGTGGCCCAATCTTTCTCATCGAGAGAGTTACGGGAGATGGCATAGTCAACCTTATCTCGAGCTTGCACTCATAAACGCATTCCACTCATATGCCACGCCATTGGCAACAGCGTGCCAGTTGATTGCACCTGATTCGCCATCCGTGATCATGTGAACCATGGTCAGATCAAACTTCCCAGGTTGGACTCGCCCGTACTGGAACTCCATGCTCCATATAACGATCCAAAAGAGCTCGCTCGTGCTGATTTGACGCAAATTGCTCCAGAAATTCCTCAACCCCTCCACCCAGAGTCAGAATGAATCGTCTCATTGCTGAGCGAATACCCTCCTTTTCTGGGCCATAATTGCTGATTTGATGATGAAGGGGGTTCTGATCTCCAGGGTCACAGAAAGCGGTGCCACCCGGTATCCGAATCTGAGGGTATCTCCTAGACCAATGCTCGTCCCACTGGTAAGGCAGAAAGAGTTCCAACGTGATCAACCAAGCAATCCAGAATACTTCGAAATCACCCGAGTAAGTGTCGAGAATGTCCAAGTACAACTCTAAGTATGCATCAAGGATGGTTTTTAGTTCGCTATCCTCGTCTTGAAGTTCCTGTCGTTCTTCTGAGTCTGATGAGCGGTATTGAAAACAATCGTAGTCTTGCTCATATTTGCCACAGGTATGAGCCATTCCCAGCCGATCAAATATTTCCAGTCTGCAAATGTCTTCGAAAATCTGTTGTGTGAGTTGCAGCCGCATAGAGCTATACCGGGGTAGATAGAAAAGCAATCGCCGGCGTCGCATCAGATTGTTTGTGGATGAAGCGTCAGTGCCGATGCGGCAACCTTTAAGAACGAGGGCGACTGGGGTGCAACCTGTAGAGCTGCACCAACATGAGCACTCGTCTGTACCCTGGAGACAACTGACATCGTAAAGCTTTCCAAAGACGCCAATTGCGTTGCAGCCGCCCCAAGCATCACGATCCCAAACTTCCAGTGTCAAGAAGTTTGTTGCGAAACACGAAAAGAAATGAAGAAGGTTGGGCCCTTCTGGTATTTTTCGGCACGGATCAGCTCCTTTTCTCAGATACCAGAGCAACAGGCGAAACCCATCACGGTGTAAACCATCGCTGATTCGTTTCGTCATTGGTGTTCGTCCCGTTTCGTCAGGTATGTCGATATCATGAAACCCAGCCTGGTAAAACGTACACGCTGTAGAATGTGTCATCCCGTGGCTGTGATAGACTGTGACTTCGGTGCCGGGATATAAGTTCTGAATTCTGTCCATGCCAATCTGATGCAACTGCTGGAATATCATATCCGCCCGATAATCCAGCAGAGAACCTATACTTTCTCGTTTTCCAATTATACTTTGCAGCCAAGCTTCAGGCAAGTTCTCTAACGCCACCCTGAAGAGCTCTCGTCTTCTTTCTGCCATGCTTTCAGTAAGAATCGAAATTATAGGAACTGAGCTCCCCGTATCCATCGCATATTCGATGAGGCTATAGGGCTCGTCATCGCTCTGTCCCTGAAAAAAGATTGGGCATCCATAATCTAGAAGTAGCTCCACGCTTTGAACGTCTTCTTGAGTTATTGCCGCTTCAATGGCTGCTGATGGTTGTATCCCGGATTCAAGTAGAATCGCAAGTCCAGCAGGCCAACCGATAGCAAGGGCGAGTGGATGAGGGGTGACAGTTTCCAAATCTTCCGCGCTGGCGGGAATTAGGATGCGAAGGTCGTCTTCGGACCTCCTAGCCACAGCCGATAGAATACGACTGTTTCCAACATCTACATTCTGTTAGTTCAAAGTATTGAATTTGTAAAACTTATTTCCGAACTCACCCAGGATGAGGTCCTCATTGCGAAGGAAAAATCCTGCTGCCTCGGGTTCCTTCGCCAAACGGAATTCTTCGGAAATAGTGCCGTTGTACTTCTTAAGAATCTCGTCAAGTCTAAGTTGCTTCAGAGCGGTTGGCGAATAGAAAATGCATGAAAGACGATCGAAAACAAGGCAAAATGGGGATATGCTGTAAAGGTTAGGCCATCGGCCATCAATGTCAGAATATATACCATCGTAGAACCAAATATCTGTCAACAAGATCGTCATACCCATTTATAGAGGCATTTGGGTCCGCACCACCATTAATTAGAAGTCCGATGATTTTATCGAGAACAAAATATAGGTCTTCTTGCATAGCAAGAGCAGTCATGCTAAGTGCGATGACCTCCTAAGTAATCATTAGCAACTGTGTCGGCGGTAAAGATATTTATCTGGGCTGGATGTTTTATTTACGTGAAGGATAGTAGCTCCATCCTTAGTTTGGTCCCTTGGAGAGCTTTTCCCGGACTCAAATGCAATAGCCAGTCTCTCATAGAGAAGCTCGAAAACCTTCTTTATGTCTTCCTGGAGGTCTGGGTTGGCCTGTAAACAGACTGTCACTATCTCAAACATGCCACCGCACTTGGTAACTGATGGTCTGCTATAGCGAATCCAACCCTGGTTTGAAAACATAGAATGAGAGGTTCCGATTTCCAGTTCTGGTCGATAAGAAGAATCCCCGATGAATATCCCAGGCAGGAGACACTGAATGTTCTGGCGTGCCTTCCAAACAGCACGAAAAGCTGGTGATTCAGGCTCATTGACAATATTATGAGGGGAAATCCTTGCGCTCAGGGAGAAGGTTGCCACACCTAGGGCCATGTTGAAAATGATCTGAATCCTTGGTGCGAGGGCGCGTACACCGAGTCCCCACGATGTAGAAGATGCTTCTTCTCCTGGACAATGCTGTGAATGTCGCCGTTTGGAAAGGAAAAACTGAAGAGGGTAAAATGAAACCGATGTCACATTACTTGTAGGCAGGCAGCGACAAATTGGCCTCGGTCTCCGTTGCCTATGTTGCTCGAGTGCGGGTGGGAGTCCTTGAAGCTCGGGGCTCCGTAGCTGTGCTGAAATGTCTCTATTTGAGATGAATTTTGTGTTGCACTAATGAAAATTGAGGGTCAGATAATGTCAGGGAACGAATCTTGTGTCCATATTACCTGAGACTCGAGCGAACGCACAACCGATGTCAGGAGTTGTTGGGAGTTCGCAAGTTGTGCCCTAATATTTTTAGCTAGTTGTTCCGTTAAATATTCAGAAAACGAACATTTGAGCTTCCAGTCTCAGTTGGTTATGATGCTGATACCAGATTTGCAACGAGGATTTAAGCGACTCGATGCGCTGAGATCTCTCTGCGATTTCCGTTTGCTTCTTCACACTCACTACTGCCGCCCATGCACGCTTTACCGCATTTGATTTCGGTATCGACAGAGATTCTAACAAGAAAGCTAGATCTCTGGATTCTGCGATGGCATCGAGGATAATACATGCCGGTTGCGTCGTTGTTGAGGTGGGTGGCAATCCATTCGAAGCGTACACAGCGACGCTGATCGTGTGAAGTAAGTCGATGAACTGCTGCGTGTTTCTTCTCACGGTTTCGATTTCTCCAGGCACATTCTTCAACTTTTCATAGAGGCGAGATGACGAGAGCAGGACGCGACTACTGAGGTCGAGCAGTTGCACGATGCCAGCAGCGATCCCAAGAGCTTCGGCCATGGTCAATTTGCGGGAGCAGGGGAGAAAAGAACGTGTAGAATGGAGGAAAAATCAAATGGAGGCAGACATGGGCTGGGTGAGACTTTTGTGCTGGCACAGCCAGACGGCTTGCGCCTTGATATGCAGTGTGATTCGTCGCCGACTTCAGGGCCTGCACATTCTTTTATGTAGACCAGTTGAATTCTGTGATCGTAGTCCGCCTTATGCAGCCCGTCAGCCCAAACATGCAAATATGTGGTCCGCATTAGGCCGCAATTGCGCGTCCAGATTGTCGACATTTTCACTTGGGCTACATGTACACTCATAACTTATCACGATAATCAAGTGGTAAATTCTCATACTCTTCACGTTTCGGTTTACTGAGGCGCCCCCATGCTCAAAACATCCAGTCCTTGCTGGAACTGGCTCTTGGATGGCATCTTGCCCAAGCGCATGAGTTCTGCGCTCTGCGCCATAACGGGATCCATTCCCATGCTGGCCGTTGCTACCACTGTGTCTCCCTTGCAGTAATAAGCAGCAAACTTGCTCGCCGCCGGGTCGCCCTGTACGACAATATCATCCCATCCATTGGCAGTATTGCCACAGTATCGTAGCTGAGCTCCGAGGGCCGACCAGAAGACCGGGACAAAGTGTTCAGGGTCCACTGAGGGATTCACAATGTGGCTCGCGACAACACGTCCTGACTGTTGAGCCACGTTCCAGTGCTCGATGCGAACGAACTTGCCTTCGCCGCCGGGCCCGTGGTAGGGAAACGTGGCAATATCGCCAATTGCGTAAACACCCTTGAGACCGACGACGTTGTAGCTCTCGTCTGTCTTGATGGAGCCATCTCTTTCGAGTTGAATGGTCTTGTTGTCTCTCAAATATTCGGTCGCGGGCGCCACGCCAACACCGAGGATGACAAGATCGGCAGGGAGCTTGGTGCCATCTTTGAGGAAGACGGCGCCCACCTTCGAAGGGTCTGATTCAGAGGGCTCTGCCTTGTCGACGCTGGCGCCCATGTAGAATTTGATGCCTTTGCCCTCCAGCGACTTCTGAATGCCTGCGCCGACCTTTTCACTCAGAACTCGCTCGAGAGGAGCCTGTTCCATACCCACAACGGTAACAGAGTTGCCGGCGAGGGCCGCATTGGCGACTTCCATGCCGATGAAGGACGAGCCGATAATGACAATGTTCTTTCCCTTGTCGCCAATAGCTTCAACAATCTTCTTCGTGTCGTGGACGTTGCGCAGAGTGAAGATGTTGTCGAGGACCTTGAAGCCTTCCAATGGCAGCCGCCTTGGTGTTCCTCCGGTTGCGAGGACAAGTTTAGTATACGCGATCTTTTTCCCGGCCTTTGTCGAGACGGTGCGGTCTGAGAAGTTGACGTCATTGACCTCGTCTTCGACCCATTCTACAGAACCGCTGTCGAACCAAGCCTTGTCGCGCCAAGCAACCTTGCTGGGATCCGTCAACAGCGCCTTGCTCAGCTTGGGACGATCAATGGGGAGGTATCCCTCGTTGGATATCACCGTCAGCGGACCAGCGTAACCCTTCTCGCGCAGGCCCTCGATGACGCCCATGGCGCCGGAACCACCACCAATGACGACAATCTTGTCTTCCTGAGCACCTGCGGCGACTGCGCACTTGAAGTTGGGCTTTCTGCGAGACCCTTTGATGGCAGATTCTTCGCCGGTCAGGTAGACGGCTCCGTCTCGCTCGGCGACATTGAAGATGGGGATTGAATCGAGGGCTGGAGCGTCTTCGACATCGCCCGTCTTCGCGTTGAAGCAAGCTATTGTACGGATTAGCGATTGATCTTGACCGAAAGACAAAACTGAAGCCAACCTCCATGCCACGGGCAGGTAAGACGCCCAGCTGCGGTCAAGACGCCCTTGGCAAGAGGAGCGCCGTAGTGGGTGCACTTGGCGCCGACGGCTTGGATCGTACCACCGGCATTGACCAGCAAGACCTTTCCGCCGTCGATGCCTTCGACCTCGACCTCGTGTTTATCGCCGGGGGCGAGGGCCAGGGAGGAGACGCCCTTGAGTTTGTATTCCTGGGCCATTCGAGCGGTGACGAGATGGATTTGACGAGTGCGGGGGAGCTTCTGGAGGAGAGCTCTTGAGGACCGAGGGGTGCTTTGGGTGATGACGAGTGCAGCAGGTTGTCGTAAAAGGTGCATGTATGGACGGGCAGGATGCTGGATTTAAATGAACCACAATACCAGCAGGACAGCTGATGAAGACGTTGGGCAGGAGGATTACAAAACCACGAAGAGCAGCTATCTTACGAGGCGGGGAGAAAACACCAGCACGCTGCAGCCTCAATCAGCATAGCAGCGGTCATCCGCAACAAGTGCCGACGCACCCATGGCCTCAATGGAAGCACGGTGAGACGCGGGTGTAAGTGGGGGATGACAATATGCGCACGCTTACTGGTGGAGCGCAGCAGGGAGCCAGAGCTAATGACGGCATGCAGAAGATACGAGCTCCGAAGCTTAATGGCGTGGGATTGCACCAGCAGGCCGGCTGTGCTGCAGCCGGCTGTGGCTTATGGTCCAGAACACGCTGGCCGCGTCACGGTTGGTTGGTAAGCATCGTGGCTCTCGTAGTGGGATGCGGAGGGATGAGGAGGGATGAGGCTATCTACAACTTGAGCCGAGAGCGGATTCCGAATAGTCTCTGAGGGTTAACTCTATCAATCCAACAAGGTCGCATGTTTTACCAGTAAAATTCAATCACAGTCACACCGTAAAAGCTAATTTAATGTGCTTGAACAATGGCCATGGCATAATAACAGACGTAGAGCCAGTCCTTCTTACAGCATCTATCTTCTCGTTGCATACTACCTAAGCATTCATCTACCCATCATGGCCGCATACATGAACAAGGAAATCCTCGCACGCTGCCCCCTTCCCCGCCACGAGATCCTCCACTAACTTCGCACCGAGATAGAATCGGCGCAACGCGACCAGGAATGGAACAGTGCCGGCTTTCGCATGTACGAACCTTGCACGCGACTGCTCTAGGACCCTCAGGCGGAAGACACCTGCCACAACGGACGGCGGTGTAGCAACAACAGGATATCCGAAATGAACCTGGGCATGGCAAATCGGCTTTGCAATAAAATGGTGCCCCTCTACCTCATAGATCTGCCTGGCGCGTTGCTATCTCCACCAATGGTGCTCCGCGCCGCGCTAAACCGGTGGCTGTATCGCACTTGGTTCCAGTCCTACAAGAGCGAGGTCGAATACGGACGGTTCATAGCCAGTGTCATAGCACCTGCACATATCCCGCAAGATATCGACTTTAGCGGGCTCGTCAAGGTTCTGAGTTCGCTGAGTGCAGCGCTCTGCGCTCAGATCGAACAGGTGCACCAAAAGAAGAAAGACTTCAAACAGGCTCAAAGGCGATACGGACCCGAAACCTTTGACGAGGCCACGAGGAGAATCAAGACAACTACATAATACAGCCTCTTTTTCGCGCCATGGCCATCGTTTTGCTTACTGGGAATTTCGACATGGAAGTCTCCGACATGGGTCAGGTCCCAGTTCTTGTCGTCCTGACGGGCGTCGAGGATGGCTTGAGCGCCCCGATCTCGTTTGAACAAATAGCGCACCAGGCCGAGGCCTACATCTACAACAGCGCGATCCAAGTCTCGCTAGAAACGGCGGTTACTTTTGTCATGGATCTCAAAAATCGCGAAATCGCTGCTTTTGGTCGCCGTCCAGACCCTGTCGAATCGACCTCCGGCAATCAGGCCTTCGCATGTCATATGAGGTTTCCATTCCCGGGGCTCCTGGCAATGCTAGGCTGGGGCTACGAGCCTCCCAATGGCCCTAGTTCGAGCTGGGTTGACTTGGAAAAGCATCCTGAGTGGGTGGTCGACAGCGCCTCATACGATACGGGTTTGGACTACACTTATCGGTGGGAATCAACGATGCGCAGGAGCCATTATAGACTCGCTTCAGGACTTGACTTGTGCATGCCCACCCCTAGTCCACTTGTGCTCCCTTCTCCAAGGCATAGCCCAATGTGGAGGGTAGACAACTAGATGTGGACTACCCGGGTTTGGAAGACTCCTTGAAAGTCTTTGGTCTAAGGATATAGCTCTGGATTTACACATTGATTCTTTTCATTATCCTCATATTTCGTATATTTTATTACTCTATATCGGCCAGTACAGGTTATTAAACCTGTCTTCAATTTCGCATTCCGTATTTCCCCCATACGATAGTGTCCTCTCGGCTACTACGGGCTCCACGTCCACATTGGTGAATCCAGTATGGGTCAACATAACCTTGGCTTTGCAGCAGATAGGAGTTCTCCCACAATCTGACCTTCTCAGGGGTCAGCCTAAGGTTCGAGAAACCAGGGGTCGATTCGTATCATGGAGTTACAGGACGACTTGGTTCCTAGTGGCTAGGGCCGGCAGAGCATCCTGCCCAAGACGTGGCACTTAAGAAAACAAGATGCTCAGATCGGTGAAGTGGTTGCGATTATTAGGGACAAGTCACTATATCGGCGGACGAGCGGCTTGAAGGCAGAAGTATGTTTCTCAGGGTTGTGCCTGGACCACTGGGCGGCTGTCTTCTCGGATGTAGAGTCACCCATGCCGATTTGGGTGTTTTCTTCCCCAGGTCATTATAATTACACCAGTCCTGTGCCGGGGGGCTGGTGAGAATCTTAACGACGGTCCAAGTCGCAAGGCGAGTCGGCGGTCGGCTCGGCAGTCAGCCTACGGTAATTGCCTTCTGGCCAAACATTCTAGGGTTCACTACTAGCATCCTGGCCGGTCCTGAACCCTTGAAGAGTCCCAAGAAGAGCATAAGCCTGGGTCTTAGTATCTTATTTATAATTATCCTCTTGTTTTGTTCTCTGTGTGTTTATTTGTTTCCCTCACAGTTTATCCTCTTTTGCCATAATTGCAAGTCAATCCAGCCCTCTGCAGTTTCTCCCCTCGCAGTCCCGGCTTTGCAACCAGGCCTGGCGGGAGAGATGACAACGACTTTGAGGATTTCCGAGATGGTTCCATCTATCCCACGACTGATTTTGCACGACTCAGACTCTCCATCCAAAGAGGATATTCAGGGGTCAATCCACATTCAAGACACGGGTGTCAAATGCAAGGGACCCGCGACAAGAACTAGCCAAGTAAGAGCACACATGCTAGTTGTCGCATTGTGGTTGGTTATTGGTTAAATTATGTCTCAAAATCCCGAAGCAAAAAGAAACGGCCCGAGATGAGATCTCACAGATCCAAGACACAACAAGCGAGCGGTAGGCGAGACTAATGGCCAAATGCGAGGCGACCTACCCTACACTCCGGTGGCGATTTCGCAAGGCGCACTTGTTGGAGGGTTTGCACGGGGTGGCTCTTAACTTGTTTATGGCTGGGCGATGTAACAGTGTTTTCGTGCTCATCTTAAAATGATAACGCCATTCCAAGGTTGGACCCCTGCGGAGAGGAGAAGATGGTGTGCATCTACTGTACCTCAAACGACGGAGGAGATTTTCGCCAGTGGGATGAACCATCCGCGAGTTTAGGTGAACAACGAGATGGAAATTACACGAAAACTCCTGCATTAGTTCGGGTCCATTGTCTTCATTACAAAGCATCTCGGATTTGGCGAATTTCACGCGTCGTCTGCATCTGCATCGTCATGACCGCCTCTGGCACACGCATCCATCTGGACATGGGCAGCATCTTGGCGGACCCCAAACTGGGCGAAATGGGGAGGTTGGCCCGAGGCGGTGTCGTCATGTTCCCAATCGGGCGACAGATAAGCAGCGGCCCAGGCACCGCCAGCCAATCAGCCGCCGTCAGCACCGCGACACTGCGACCCAGGCTGCGGTGTGCTGGCCGCTGGTGCGCTGGCCCAGGCGCTGGAACACTGCGAGCCCACAACGGCACAAACCCACTGATGCGGCCATGCCCAAGCGCCCCGCGCCCAGCGGATGAACCACTGAGGGTGCGCCGTTCGGGGGGGGCCTAGGCCGCTGTGGGATCCCTGGCAAACGCCACGCTGCAGCCGGGGCGCGCCACGAACCCAACCGGACCCGTACACATGACACGGCGGTCGAGATGAACTGTTTGTTAGCCCATGCCTGCTTTTTCTCATCTGCTCCTAATCCTGCGAGGGCTTTTTCTTTTTAAACCGCCGTCCCTCACTTCCTCCGTTTGCCAGCTGTGAAGAACAATCCTCCTCCGAGGTCGAGGGACCTGACTCCCTTCGTCACCGTCCGGGCCGCCTGGACCGCAGCTAATCAGCCGGAACCCCACCACTCAATTACGCTCCGGTAGACGCGCGCCACAGGCATTCCAAGCCACACGCTTCCGGGGGCCGGCCTGGTGCCCTCAACACCAGACCCGGGCCATTCCAGGCGCGTTGCTGCGTTTCCCTCCATCAACGACTCCGTCTCGTTTGCCACTCATGGACGACGCACCGCTTTCCTAGATATCCTCGGCGCCCTCTCTCTCTCGCAGTCTCCTCCTTTGGCCGCCTGTTCTATCATGTTTCCCGCCGTCTCCCGCCGACTCTCCGCCCCGCTTCGATAAGCTCCCGTGCGGCCTCTCCCACTCCGCCGTGTTGCAGCCGCCGCCATGGAGAGGCCTGATGTCGCTTGTCCCGACCACCACTCGTCCCAGCTGCAGTGCTGCTGCGGCCGCGTCGATTGCCCCCTGCTCAGGAGGAACTCGACCGTCCTCGAATCCGTCGAGAAGGATGTCCACACAGCTGCTCAGCTGGGCCAGGTACGTTACGCGCTCGTCTCATGCATTCCTTGCTTTGTCTCTCCGCTTCCTCGCCTTCAATGTCTCTCCACCTCCTCCACCCTCACTGGAGCCGCATGCCACACAAAGCCACCGCGTATTGCTTTTGACGCAAAGCACGCGACTCACAACATGGACCCCTCACTGACTTTTTTTTCCTCCTGATCTAGGCCCTTCTGGCAAGACACGAAGCATACATGGCCGATGCCGAACGGGATCGCCTCGACTTGACCACCCGCATAGAACGCCTTGAGATGGACAAGCAAGAACTCGAGGCCGAGAATGCCGTCCAGATCGAGGAGAACCGGGTCTTGCTCGACCAGCTCGAGGCCCTCAACAATACCGTCTGCGAGTCCGACACCAGGATCAAGGCCCTCGAAGCCAGTCTTTTGTCCTCCCAGCAGGCCGTACGCCGCCTCGAGACCACCGCATTCCGTGCCTCCGACACCGAGCGATACCTCGCCGTCCTCGAGCAGGAGCAGGAGGAACTCCACCAGCAGCTGCAGTCCACCGAGGAAGATGCCCGCTCCCACGCCCAGCGCTTCAAGGAAGCCCAGCGGGGCATCATGGACATGCAGGACCAGCTGGAGAGGATGGAGGCCGAGGCCCGTCAAGAGCGTGAGCGCCATGCCGAAGTCGTCGGGAGGATGGAACGCCAACGCGAGGTCGAGAAGCATCTCGACACGGCTGCCGGCCGTCTCAAAGGTGCTGCGGCGTCCAAGTCGATGCAAAACGCCAAGAACGGGAACACGGTGGTTAACCATTTCGTGCGAGACCTGCTTCAGGACAACGCCAACCTGCAACTGGGCATGGCCGAGCTCCGCGAGTTACTGCTCAACTCCAACGACGAGATCCAGTCCCTGCGCGACCAGATGCTCCACCACCAACCCATCGAGTACGACGCTGCCGCCTCGACGCTCAAGGCCGAGCTCGAGGGCCCCGACATCGACGGCCCGGCCACTCCTCGCGTCTCGCAGGAGTTGCACATCCACCATCACTACCACGTCGCCTCAAAGGTCACGCCAAAGCCGGACAACCGCAAGCTGAGGCGCAAGCGTCACGGCCTCATCCCCGGCACCTTTACTCCGCCGACCTACTCGGGCCACTCGACGCCCAACACCTCTGGGCAATGGCGCCTCACTCCTTCGACCGGAGCCCCCGCGCTGCTCTCCCTCACCACCAAGGAACCCAGTTCGGTCGTGGGCATGCCGCGTCAACGGTGGTCCGCAGACCAGTTCTCCGAGTTTGCGTCGTCGGTTCCCAGCTCTCCGCAATCCAACCAGCGCAACTCCATGTTCGACCCCAACATGACCGACAGCGACTATCCCATGTCGCCCGCCACCAGCTTCGGTACCATGTCTCCCACCTGGAGGGCCTCACATCGCAAGGGGCCCTCTGAAATCTCAACCCTCAGTTTCCAGGCCCCTCCGCCTCCCCTGCACGTCGATCCTGGAACTCCCCCCACTCCCCAGGCAAATCGCCAGCACCATGTCATCCACGAAGAGGACGAGGAGGACGAAGAACAGGACAACGACATTCTTCGCCTGGAGACGCCAGACTTGGTCGGAACTGCGCCATCCATCGATGAAAATTCGACCATTGGGGACTCTGACGTCTCCAAGGATGAGTTTGTGCCTCGTCCTCGCATCCACCGCGCACTCTCGCACGAGTCCATCATGTCGCTTGCCGGCGGACTCGACATTCATACCCTCAAGGCCCGGCCCAGCCAGCTGACTCTGCGTCCCCTGGGTGGCGCGGAAGCCGTCGTGACGGATATCACGGCTCAGCCCACCCTCTCTCGAGGCATGCCCAGGCGAAGTGCCGTGGCTCTCCGAGACAGCTTCATGGGCCTGCCCGCTCCAAGATCAGTGTCCGGGCCTATGAGCCGGTCCGTCCGGTCACTTTCTCCAAACCCCGAGACGCCTCATGGAAGTCCCGGAGGCGGAGCGTTGGGCAAGTGGGTTGGCTGGCGGCCGTGGGGAAGCTCAACCCCCAACACGGCGGTCAAGGTTCCCAGACCCATCATGGAGATCGAGTCGGACCTGAATCGAGCACCCGGCATCAACCAGCCTGGTGCCATCCCCGGCTTCCAGAAGTACTGGGCAGCTCAGCGACGAAAGGGCGCGCCGTCAAAGGTGCTGCCCGAGACGGTCGACAGCGATGCTCTGCAGGAAGGGTTGCAGGAGGGATGAGTCCTGCGGCATCGGGAGCGTCGACACTTTATCATGCAGCGTCCTGCCCCTGACACAATCATTCATCGGAACCCCGGAGTTTTGTTTCACGGATTGTTTTACTGGAGTTTGTTGGTTCAAGCATCATCCACACACGCTTGGAGACGGAAATACCCTGGCCGTGCAAGGCCCCCTGTTCATTTATTCCTGTTAACTATGCGAGACCCAGTCCGCACATATGCATTCGTTATCGGTGTTGCATGGAGGTTTCTTTATTATATACAGTTTAACGTGGCTATACGTCCAATATTCCTAATCTACATCAAATTATATATCACCACCTTGTCCTGTTATGTTGCTGTTCAGCATGGACCAATACGTCGTGTCCACTCCTTGAAGCGCCCAGTCCTCTAGATCTGCGGTGAAGCACGGCCACTCGGTGAAGTTTGCGGCTGCGTTTGCGGGACACTCGGTGCCCACGCCGCTGTCCATGGATATATACGGGCACGGCTGGTCGAAGGGCAGGCAGGACTGCAAGATGCCACCCCCGTCTGCGGATGGATGCCCGGCCGGAGTTGAGCCCGTCGACGGCAGCAGAGTCGCAGGAGGACTCGGGCCAGGGTGGATGTTGACCGTCCCTAGGAACGGGATGTTCAAGTGCACAGTTCGGTCATCGCCGCTGCCTCCGAGCGCCGGTGTCTGCACGATGGGGAGCAGTTGGCGGATGGTGTCGGCCGACTCGAGACACAGCCGGTCGTTGTTCAGCGAGCCCATCTCGTGCATCTTCTGCTGCACCGTCTCGGCCGTGGCGCGGTCCTGCGCGCGCTGGGCCTCGTAGCCGGGCATCGACGACGCGGCCGGCCCCAGATATCCCAGCAGCAGCGTCATGGCCCCGATCAGCGCCGAGTAGTCGACGTGGCGCCCCGACACGGCCTGCGTGTACGTGCCGCGGAACTCGAGGAAGCGCGCCAGCACGTCGCGGCTGGCCTGCATGCACGTCGCGCGGTTGTACTCGTAGCGGCGCTGGCCCGGCGGCTGGACGAGGTACGGCAGATGCAGCAGGATGAGGAGGGAGAAGTGGCGGACTTGGATCTTGACGACCGACATTTCGTCGATGAATGTGTCGGACGAGCTGCAGCAGATGGCCATGTCCGGCAGCTTCCACCACATGGAGTCCATCATCTTGGCCGCCTTCTCGATGTCCATGTCGATGGCCTGCGTCATGACGTACGCCTCGCTGCCCGTGAGGTGGTTGCGGTCCGCGATCTTGCCGGCGATGATTGAGTACAGTTTGCCGAGCTTGTCGCTGGGCGGCTCGGGCAGCGCGCTCTCGCCGAAGAGCAGCTCGTCGTCGCGCGAGCCGATGGCCAGGCCCAGGACCAGCGAGAGGTAGCGGTCGGAGCAGTTGATGCGGAACCACAGCACCGGCGGCGAGGGCTGGCGCTTGGGATCGAAGGCTGGGTCGCACGAGCGGATCGACTTGGTCGTCTTGCGGTCGATGGCCATGAGCTGCGCCATGTTGAGCGCGCGACGCGAGGTCATCCACGCCTTGCGCAGGTGCCCGGCGTCGCTCTGGAAGAAGCTCTGCAGGATGAGACACTCGAGGCCTTCGAGGGAGCCGACGAGGTCGTCGTCCGACGTCACCAGCCTGCCGACCATGGCCACCCATTCCTCCATCGTCTCCGCGGGCGACTTGCCCAGCCTCAGCCCGCTGCTGTCAAAGTACGGCGGCAGCTGCTGCAGACATATCGCCAGCTGCAGCAGGCGCTTGGCCAGGATGGCGGGATGGCTGGTCACGTCGGGCACCTGCGCCAGCGACGAGATGGGCTCGGGCTTGCCGTCGATCTGGTCCTGCTGCGAGTAGAAGGCCGCCAGGACGTACTTGGCGCCGGGGCTCTGCTGCGAGATGGCGTAGAGGGTTTGTTGCGGCGGAAACAGGGCGTGGAGCTGCTTCGAGATGCTCTGGTACCGAGCTGCGCGCGCGGTGCCTCGCACGCAGAAGGCCCGGGGACTCGGGAGGCTGACGCTGCTCAGGGGTGTTTCTCCCGCGGTGAAGGAGGCGATTTGATGGGCGTTTCCTACGGCTGAGTTGTTGAATATGTCCCCAGAGTCCTCGGTGAGACCGGTGTAGGGACCTGTAGCTGGCGACTCCGAGGGAGAGGGTATGCGTTGCGGTGCTGGATCCTCGGCTGCTGTATTATTGACCAACTTCTCCATAAGCTCTTCCAGCCGGCCGAGACGCTGAGCCAGTCGTCGGTCCGGAGCGGGAACAGGCTCCGTGGCCTCTTCTTGGGACACGCATCTCGACTCCCTCGCGATGCAGCCCACGCAGACCGGGTCTTCATCGCTGGCGAACTCGCACTTGATCTTGCGGCGACGGCCTGACACAATGAGCGAAAGAGCCGATATATGAAAAGGGCGACTTACACTCCCAGCAACTGCGGGTTCCCTTGCGGACCTTGCGCCGCTTCGACGCCGGCTCGCTCATGGTTGTAAGTCTGGGGTTGGCGGATCCCGTCACTCAAGAGCCGCAAGTGGCTTCGGCCGAGTCATGGACGATGCTGCGCATTGGCAGCGACGGAGGCGCGGGGAGAGATGGATTCCCGACAGAAAGGGCTCTGCACATGTACGACGGGCGAGTAATTTCTGGCTCTGGGTGCTTTGTGAGCGTGTCTGGGATGCGGACGAAACACGGACGAAGAGATATGGGATGTGGTGGAGATGCTTCGATTGAGACGGAACCAGCGCTTCTTACTGGCTGTTTCGTCCGTTTCGGCCGCCGAGCGGACAAGTGACTCAGCTTCTCCGCTGCTTGCATTACAAATGCGCTCCCTCCGCCCTGGAGCGCCGTGGAGTTCCACGGCGTGTTCCCAAAGGGGTAATGGCCAGGGCATCGGGGAGGATTCGCAGGGGTAGGGGTATTTTGGGACGTGGATCGCGCCATCTCGACCGCCATGGAGATGGCGAGGAACCTGGCGATGGATCCTGTTCGCGTCGCGGAGTGGGTTTGTAAGGGACGCGTTTGCTCCACGGGGATGGCTTCGGGGTTGGGAGGGTATAAGTAATGGAGGAGAGAGATGGGAATTGGACAAGACAGAATACAGCATTCAGAGCATTTACAGCAAACACGGCACATCAGAGAACATCTTCTATTTCTTTCAGCAACTACAACCTTACAATGTCTTCGCAACGCTACACCTCCGATCCCGTGAGTACTGAGCCTCTAGCCCAGCCGCTTCAGTTCCAGCCCTCGGGGCGAATTGCCAAGAACCGCTTCCTCAAGAGCCCCATGGCCGAAGCACTCGCAACCTGGAGCCCCAGGGTCCCCTCCGAGAGAGGCATTCCCACGGATGAGCTTGCCGAGCTCTACGGCCAGTGAGTTGATTGCGAAAATGTGAGAGATGGATCCTAATATCTGGTAGTTGGGGCAAGGGCAAGAACAGCTGGGGTGTCATCATCACTGGAAACGTCGACATTGAGTTTGACTCTCTAGATGGCCTCGCCGACATGGTCATCACTCCTGAATGCCCTCCGAAAGGCGAGCGCTTCGAAGCATTCAAGAAGGTTGCCGCCGCAGCCAAGGTCGACGGTAGCCTCATCCTCGCCCAGGTCACTCACCCCGGCCGCCAAGTGCAGGCCCGCGTCAACCCAATTGCCATTTCAGCGTCTGATGTGCAGCTCGGTATGTCTATTGACACTAATATATCCACTGCCAAGACTGACGCTGCGTCCCAGAACCCAAGATGGGAATGACCTTTGGCAAACCCCATGCCGCGACCAAAGACGAACTCGCCAGGGTCGTCGAGGGCTTCGCGCACGCCGCCGAGTACCTGTCCAAGGCCGGATTCGACGGCATCGAGCTGCACGCCGCCCACGGCTACCTGCTCTCGCAGTTCCTCTCGCGCACCACCAACAAGCGCACCGACGAGTACGGCCCGCAGACGATCGAGTCGCGGCTGCGCCTCATTTCAGAAATCGCCACGGCCATCAAGGCGCGCGTGCCGGCCGACTTCGTCGTCGCCGCCAAGCTCAACAGCGTCGAGTTCCAGGACGGCGGCGTCACGCCCGCCGACGCCAAGGAGCTGTGCGAGACGCTCGAGGCCCACGGGTTTGACTTTGTCGAGCTCAGCGGGGGCACGTATGAGCAGCTGGGCTTGAGCTACGAGAAGGCGTCGACCAAGAAGCGAGAGGGTTTCTTCATCGAGTGGGCTGAGACTGTTACCAAGTCGCTGGCGGCCGATCACAAGATGAAGACTTACATCGTGGGCGGCCTGCGATCTGTCGGAGCCATGGTCAAGGCTCTCGATGTAGTCGACGGCATCGCCATGGGCCGACCAGCCGCTGCTGAGCCGCGTCTCCCCATTGACATCATCGAGGGCCGCGTGCAGGGCGCACTGAAGCCGCTGGACGCCGTCGAGGAGGACTTTGGCATGGGAATGGGCGTGGCGCTGGCGCAGATTTCGCAAAGCGCCAAGGGCAAGGAACCATTGAAGCACAGTGATCCGGAGGTCATCCAGACGTTTGGGCAGGATATGGGTGCGTGGTACCAGAAGGTTGTTCAAGACGGAGACAAGATGGAGTATATCCGCGCCATTGAGTACTCTGGACCTCTGGCGGAGTATGGCACTGTTTCGACTAAGTGAGCGAGATAGATTCGGCATGATTTGGTAGATGGTGGATAGAACATTTTAGACATAGTATAAACTGGAATAGACCATTGCGATTCCTTCTACAACTACCTCTACGCCTATGGCATTGCATGGTGATTTCTACTGGGTAGAGTGTTTAGACATGGCATGAACGGGATAGACAAGTGTGAGTCTTTTTACCACTAAGCTCATGGCTTCTGCACGGCGATTACTGTTTCTGGTCTCTCATTTTTACTAACAGTCCCTCGTGCCATGTGCATCGCAAAATTGACGTCAAAGTATCTTTATCCTTGGTGGTCAATTCGTCAGTGGAGGCGTCTCACATCAGAACGCGTCCTACAGCCCTATCTCGTTGTGGCTAGAGTGGGATTTGTAATCATTCATTTGGTGGTAAGCCTCGACGTCTTGGCGTCTTCAACTCCATTTGGCTTCTACATTACAATTGACTTGATGCGACCGCCTGCTTCTCATCTAGGAATATTCCAATAGCGTCGAAGATACCATATCTCTTCATAATGACGACGATGTATACTCCACCTGAGGAGGCAGAGGCAGCCCGATCTAACCGCCGCAAAGGTACATCCCCTTGACCCAGCACACAAACACACTGACACTCGATAGTCTGCGACTTGTGCTTTACGAAAAAGATCAAATGTGACATGCTCAAGCCCGTGTGTTCCAACTGTATCCTCTACAAGGCAGACTGCAAGACCAGTATTATCCGGCGGAAAGCAAACCCACCCAAGGCCAAACCAGCACCTCCCGGCCAAGCTGATGGGCGTGTTGAAACTCTCGAGGCTCGCTTGGCCAGGATTGAAAACCAGCTTCAGCAAGTTCTCGATGCGGCGCGAGATGTCCACAGACCTGCGGGCAACACAGACTCGTTGCCGCAGAGGGATCCTGGAAGACGGGATGAGGTTGATCAAGTCGACCTGTTGGCGGATCCAATCATCCAAGACACGATTCCAGAAGAGACGGGAGGCCAAAATCCGTGGAGATTCGATCCCATTGAGCCGCGGCTCTACCAAGGCCCCGAACCAGATGTCTTTGTCCTGCCGCCGTTGGACGAGATCCTCCCCACCATCGACCACTACTTTGCAGCCTTTAACCAGATCATTCCTCTCTTCCACCAAAACACCTTCATGAAGATGTTGCATTCCTGGTACAACGACCCCACGCCTCGCGACAGAGGCGCCTGGGCGGCCGTGCAAATCGTCATGGCCCTCGGGTACCGCATGCCCCGACTCACAGCGACGGACACCGTCTCGGTGCAAATCGACAAGGCCGACCGCTGTCTCAAGAGTGCGCAGGCTGTCATATCGGAGCTGGTGACCAGAGACGAAGATTTGCTGGGAGTCCAGATCTTGCTTGGCATAGTCATGCTGTTCCAGAACAGTCGCGATCCGAAACCCGCCAGCGTCATTATCGGCACGGCGGTGAGGCTCGCCCACAAGCTGGGACTGCACTCTGCAGAGGCGTCGAAACTATTCAGCGTTGAGGAAGCTGAGCAGAGATCTCGCGTGTTATGGATCGCGTACTCCCTCGACAAGGTAAGTGCACGCGTTAAGGGTCATCTCGTGCATGAACTCACCGTAGTAGGATATATCTCTCAGAGCCTACACTCCGTCAATAATGTCTGACGATGACATCGACGTTCCACTTCCCGTAATGGCACCCGCCGATAGTTCTGGATTCATCTGGACGCAAAACGGCCAGGCTCACTTCAACTACCACAGACGACGTGTTGAGCTTGCCCACATCGAAGGCAAAGTGTACGACCTGCTCTACTCCAACAGAGCTGCCAAGGTCAAGGGCGCGCTACGCCACCAGCGCGTTGCGAGGTTGCAAGCAATGCTCGACCAGTGGTATGAGCGCGTCCCCTCCGTCTTCCACATCGAGAACGTCGCAGCAAACGTCGGACCAGGCCAGCTTGTCCAGTTGACCAAAATGCACCACGCATATCTCATGGCCGAGGTTATGACGCATGGCATCTATAGCCACAATGCCGATTGGGTAAAGAGGATCAGCTCTTTTAGTCGGTCGGCCATATATAACATGCAGAGCATTCCTAATAAGTTTAGAAATCTCAACTGCATGAGCAACAAGGAGCAAGCAGCTCCGTTGCCCGAAGGGTGGAGCAAGTGCGTTGAGGTCAGCCGAGGGTGTATGGATCTGTTCCAAGGAGCAACGCCGACGGAATGTCTCATTTGGTAGGTCGCCTCCGTTGTCTGGTAACTCGACTGACACGAAAAAGGCAATGCAGTTGTGCCCACTTCTCTGGGCTTATCATTCTCCTTGCAAACATGTCTCTGGACCCAGGACATGAACTAGTTGCTTTCGACCAACACCTGGCTCTTCGCGCCATTAACCTATTCGACAAGCTCCTAGATATCATCGACGACGAAGGCTTCAAGGCCCTGCGCCTGGTAATAGGCGAGCTGAGCCAGAAGGCAAATTTAGCCGTCGAGACGCACCGACTAGAAAATGCTCAGTCAGGCAACGCCGTGTTCGAAAGCCTGTGCCCAGATGCAGGCGCGCTTCAACCTATAGAACTCGAGTACCTGCCACAGGACACGGAATTTGGAGAGGTTAATGGTTCTTTTGCGGAATTCGACGTGAATGAGTTTCAAGACTCTGTTTTTGGGCAAACATATAACGCTACGGATTTGAGAGGGATTCCAGCAATCGCAGATCTGGAAGACTTTTTGAGATGATTTTACTCTGTGGTTAGGCGGGGGATTATTTGGCGTGACTAAGTGGTTAATAGCGCTCTACGGGTATAGAAGTCTGAGAAATTAAGTGTTGGTATGAAATCTAGACGGCGAGGGGGTTCTGCAAGCCATGTATGAAATGCACGAAATCATCTTTCAGTGCAATGCACTGCGGCTCTGCCAAGCGACCACATTTTAATCTGCCACTCCAGGGACTTGCTTCCACAGAACAAGACATTCGTAAACGCCTCGGTCAGAAACGGGTCTAAGTCTTTCTGTGACATTCTTCCCAGGCAAAACTCAAGTGGTCCTGGGAACTGTTGTCGCAGGCTCCCGAAATGCGCTTGCCACCAATGTGCAGGTTTCCCAGCAGTCAACCCATCAACATCGTCTCCAGACGTTATGAACAGTCGGACGCAAGACCAATCGTGGGGGTTCAGAATCTGCTTCTCAAGGAAGAAGTCGATAATTTGGAAGTCGTCGCCGCGGATACTGCAGATGAGCGTGGACTTCATCCCTTGACTTGTATCTTGCCGGCTGCGTCCAGACACGAGAGATAAGAAGCAAGCAATACCGGTACCACCAGCAACGTACACCTTTACATCGTTCAACGCCAGAACGTCATCAGGAAACCCATTGCCGACATCAACAAGGCGCGCGGTAAGCTGTCCTTGCGGCCGGGGAAGACCTATCAACCCGGCGACCCTGCCATTGCTCGCCAGAAAAGCAAAAGAGCACAAGTTTCCAGATGCGTCGTGCTCAAAGCGGCACGGAGTAAAGTCCAAGCGACGGTCCTCTTCACCGAGACTATGGGAGCCTGCAATGGGGTCGAGATCCGGGGGGAACTGCAGGGAGACCTTTCCCGAAGGGCGAATGTTGGTGTTGCGTCCCAGCTGGCCGGACCTTGCAAAGGTGTGGAGGCTAACGCGTGGGGTCAAGCGGTGTGATGATTGCAGAGTCCAGATGAACTCGTAGTCGTGCGGAGCTGCCATGGAAATGGCCTTTGGAGTTGTATCACGCCACTTTCTCAGTCTCGTCCATCTGCCTACCTTGTCTCTCAATATATGCCGGAACAGCCTACACGACTAGACAGCTCAGACGGCCGTGTGACGAGGTTTATACCGACACGGAACCTCCGCAATTGGGAATCCGTTTAGCTACGGCGGTTCCGCGTCCAGGATTCTTCCCCACAACCCCATGTCGTGCGCACCATTCCCCGTTGAACGGTAGTTCGCCAACCCCACAGCGCGGAATTCTTCCACTCGACGAGGAACCGGGGCAAGCAGTCGATGCAGGTTTAGGGACTCAAACAATGCAGACGGCGGCGTCGTATTAATATTCGACTCCTGCCCCGGATCTTTGCGACTGTGGGGTTAACAGTCAGTTCTCAATCTTACACTCACCTTATCTCAGAGACTTGAATCCAGAGTGAAATATGGCCGCGACATCAGGCCAGGGAAAATTCGGGATGACTCCGTGGCTGCTCTTCAGCTGCTCGGTCATCTCGATGGGGGCCATCTTCTGGGGGTAAGCTCTATCGCGCTGGTTATCGACTTCAACTAATGTATTGCAGATATGACATTGGCATCCTGAGCACAATCTACGTTTCCCCAGGGTTCAAAAAGGCGCTTGACAATCCCTCCTCGAGCGACAAGGGCCTCATCACTGCCATCTTCTACGCCGGACAATTCATTGGATTTGCATTTCTCGCCGGGCCGACCAACAATCGGTTTGGACGCCGCTGGGCTGGATTCATCGGCGTCGTTGTTCTCTGCATCGGAGCCGTGTTCCAAACCGCAGCAACCCACCTTGCGATGATGGTCGTTGGCCGGATCATTGCAGGTCTGGGAACCGGTGTCGTTTCTACCTCTGTGCCTTTGTATCTCAGTGAAGTCGCCCCGGCGCAGCACAGAGGTCTGTACGTTGCCGGTAATCAGGTCGGCATCGTCTTTGGGTGGGTTCTGATAAAAGTTGATGTGCGAGTATCTTGGCTGACGAAGCTTAGCATTTCAATGGCTTTCTGGGTCGGATATGGATATTCTTTCTGGGATTATGGCAATGGCATCAACCTAGAGTGGCGTCTTTCAGTGGCTATGCAATACGTTCCCGCCTTGCTATTCCTCGCCGGAGTGCCGTTGTTGCCCGAAAGGTATGTATCCCATTGCATTTGCAGGGAAGCTTGGTTCTGACACACCCAGCCCTCGATGGCTTCTGGAGCATGATCGCACAGAAGATGCCGCAGTCTCCCTGGCCAAACTGCGAGGAGCGTCCAACATTGCTGACATACAGGTCGAGCTGGACGAAATCCACGCCAACATTCTCTGGCACAAAAAGAACTCAATCACCTCTGCCATGGTTTTCATCAAGGAAAAGCCTCTGTGGTCCCGCCTCTGGCGAGCCTGGGCCCTGTCGTTCCTCCAGCAGATGAGCGGCGCCGCTGGAATCAGATACTATCTTCCCACCAACTTCATCGCTGCGGGCACGTCGGAGAGCTTGAGCTTGCTGGCGTCGGGAATTGACGGCACGGTCCAGGTTGGGTGCACTATCGCTGCCATGTTCTTCATCGATAAGCTTGGACGCAGACATTCGCTGGGTATTGGTGCTATCATCATGGCATTCTGTCTGATGGTGAGTTGTAAGCCGATGAACGGGATCGAAAGTCTTACTAACTTGGTCAGATCAACGGCGCTTTGCAACTCGCGTACCCCAATCAGACCAACAGTCACGCAAACTACTGCAACATATTTTTCATATTCTTCTTCACAGTCGGATGTAAGACGAACACCGGACCAAATTTTGCACTTGTGCTAATACGTTATAATAGACAGCATGGGATTTGGCCCTTGTGCCTGGATTTACTCTTCTGAGATTTTTCCAGCAAACTGCCGTTCCAAGGGGCTTGGCCTTTCTGCCTCCGGTGCTTCTCTTGGTTCCATCATCGTTGGCCAGGTCTGGCCTATCGCTGTAGCTAATATCGGGCCACGCGTTTACTTCATCTTCATGTCGTTCAATGTCTTTGCCGCTATCTTGGTGTACTCCTGCTACCCAGAGACCAAGAGAAAGACTCTCGAGGAGCTTGACTCGCACTTTGGGAAGCTTAATGTTCACTCGGAGACTGAAGCTACCCCGAAGCAGATGTTGGGTGAGGGCCATGAGCATCTTGAGGAGACTGGCTCGAAGGCATAATTGTATACATTCATCCTGTAGCCATAGGCTATACCTTTAGTAAATGATATAGCAGCTGCTGTATTTTTAGCAGGCTCAATCAACCAATGAGTGTTGTATTTAGGACACCTCGTAACTTAATCGACAGGTCCAGCGAAGACTTAAGCTGATTGATCTCCTCACGTTTACTGTGATCTGCTCTCCTTGACAAAACGTTTCAGGCTACCGATCGTCTCATTTGACGTCCGTGCTCCTCGAGACAAGTGCCTCGAAAACTTCAGCATGCCTCGCTTGAGAACCAATTACTTAATGGTGGAGATTTGGTACTAGAAGCAGCTGTATCAGGACCCATATTTCCTGTTTGAGCCCAGTCTCGTATGTCTCGAACAGAGACACGGGCGTTATATTCTTCAGAAGGACGAGGATGATTGCGCAGGACTGATTGCGTGTTCTTACTAGCCACATAGGTATAATGGGTCTAAGGCGGTCTGATGAGACTTAATTTAATTACTCGCCGATTATTATGATCGGATGATAAAGTTGGTCTAAAAGGTCGGAGACCTGTAAACAATACCACTCATCTGCTACCAACTTCCCTCGACAGTCTGGCAGTCCGCATACCAGGACAGTTTTCACTTCCATATTTTTTAGGACACATCTTAAAATTACTGAAATGCTAGGCCCGATTTTCTTCATGTCATTTACTGAGAAATCAAGGCACCTAGGCTTTGCCATGTCACAAATCCACATATTTAACCCCGTGGACTGCCACACTGCGCTAAATGGCCCCTGTCGTCTGTTTATTACCCCGCATTCCGCGGTCCCATGGGCGTCTGGTCACTGGGCTGCTTAAAAGCTCGCGTTGCCCGCAGACATTCTGAGTGTCCAACGGCGCCACCGAAATGTTGGCCGGATCCCCCGATGACGGACTTCAGGCATGGAACCGCCTTTTTTCGTGAGTAAAAATGCTGTTGATACGATAGTGTGTTGATAGGCACTAACAATTCAAGACAATCAATGCTTGCAACCGCTGCAGGAAACGCAAGGCGCGATGTGACACAGGTACGACGCCCCGGAGCGAGGTGTGCGTAATGCAACCAGCTCCTCCATGCAGGACGCTGTAAGTAACACTCGTCAAGGCATCCCGGCTTGTGGTCCATGTCGGAATTCTGGCTCGACTTGCGAGTACACAGACGCACGCTCGAAGAAGACGTATCCGCGAGAATTCATCCAAGTTCTCGAGGATCAGTTGGCAAGCCTCGAGAGAGAGGTTGCAGAAGCGAAATCCCAGGATTCTATCAAGGGCGACCATTCAGACCATGGCCAGAAACTGCCCGCGGTTGCTGCGAGTGGCAGCAAGGACAGTCAGGCTCATCCAGACTTGATCCGCCTTGAAGCAGGAGGCGATGCTCATTTTCTCGGTGTTTCTAGTGGTGGGTACCATGTCCATATCCGATATTAATGTTGGTACTAATTGAACCAGGCATGCACATGGCTCGCTCAGTCCTGGAGTCTGCCCAGCGGAACAACGCCAATCTCGAATCACAGCCGAAGGACGATTCCTTTTCGTCTCCATCTCACTCATCCCAGAGCCATACTCATCACCGATCGCCACACCCGGCGCTCCCCTCCCACGAGACCGCAATGAATCTCCTCGATGTATTTTTCAGCCAATATCAAATCCAGTATCCCATCCTAGTCGAGGACGATTTTACGACTCTGATCTCCTCATACTATTCAGAGATTGAGATGGGCACGCACCGTAAAGATCCATGGCTAAAGTTTATGCTCAACATGTCGTTTGCTAGTGCGCTGGTATTTCTTTCTCAAGAGAACAGAGACGCATTGACGCTCGCACAGGAGTTTAGCTCAAATGCCATGGCTGAATTCAGCAGCATAATGCAGATCAAAAGCCTCCACACATTGCAATGCTTGCTTTTGCTATTGCTGTATTCAGTTCTCAGTTCTTCGTCAGCGCCTATCTGGTACATATCTGGGCTGTGTTCTAGAATGTGCGTGGATCTGGGACTCCATTCCGAGAGAACAATCGCGGTATCTGGGAAGGGGGAAGCGACTGAAGATGAGATCGACACCAAGAGGCGTCTATTTTGGGTCACCTATACCTTTGAAAGGACACTCAGCATAATGCTAGGCCGACCATTCACCCTCGAAGATTCCACAATTGACGTCAAATTCCCCACGACGTCTCTACCAACCAGCAAGCGAAGCCAGATACTCCACTGGCTGAAACTCCAACGACTGCAGAGCGAGATTGTCTCTCGGCTATACATCAGCCGAGACGAAGCGTCCCGGACCCAAGAGGACGTTTCAAAATGGGTCACGGAGATGAATCAGCAATTGGCGACTTGGAATGACCAAGCTCTTTTGCTGTCAGATTCGACAAGCTTCAACACAGATTGGTGGAGGTACTGGTACCAAAATGCCTTGCTAATCCTTCATCGGCCGTCACCTACCATTTCTCGGCCTGACCCTCAGACACTGCATACGTGTTACAACGCCGCGAAGAGTCTTATCCAACTCTCCTTCATCCGTGTCAACAAAGGGCTGACAGATTTTACCTGGCTAGAATTGCACTACCAGGTCATGAGCGGCATCACGCTGTTGTTCCTGGTATGGAATAGCCCCGACACAAGAACAGCAGCAAAGAACGAATGGATCACGTTTAAAAGTTGCCTGTCCCAGTGGGGATTCGTCTTGGATCGCCTGACGGAGCGCTGGGACCGAATGGCGAGACCTAAGCAAGTTCTTGTCAAGTTGGCAGATGCCACAGTGGAAGCTGTGGAGCGAGACTTTGTCAACTCTTCATCAAGAAGTGACGAGGGGCAAAGACAAAAGAGAGTGCAGGATCAAGATCGCAGACGCTCAATAATGGAGCAACTGGGGTCTCCAGGAGTGCTGCTGGGAGATTCGGGCACCAACAGGAGAGGTTTTGACTTTTCACAAATCACAAGGGCGGAAGATGCATTTGGCATAGGAAATTCGGTCCAAGGGGTTTCTCCAACCTCCAGCAATAGCGGGCTGGTGCAAAACTCGACGTTCCAAGCGTTCAATATTTCCAACACCGTCCACCAGCCGACTGAAGGAGTACCGGAACTATCATGGACAGTCCCGCACCCATCCAACGAGTCGACTCAACACCAGCAGCCATTTGATGTAGTTGACCCGTCGATGACGGCTGATGTATCCGCGATGCTTGCCGATGAGATATGGCCCTGTCTTGGGCCCTACGATAATACTGGCATGCTTGGGGGTTTCGGGCTCTTTGAGTATTTCCCAATGCCAATGGCGGGAGTGGAAGACACCGAAATGCAAGGACAAGGCATGTCTTCGAGAATCGAGGGAGTCGTTACGGATAGCGTTCTCAACTTTCGTGAAAGCTGGGAGGAGGGGGAAGGTACGGGTAATAGTGCCTAATAACTATAAGTACTCTTTCACTCACAGGCTCATTGTGTACTGAGGTAGCTACTGTGTAATTATGTTATTCTTGGTACATGGAGGTGAATCCACGTGTGGTTGTCTATAGTGCCGTGGTAGTAATGGGTCAATGATGGTCTTGTTATTTTATTTCGGCATATCTATTCTATTCCATTGAACGATACTATTATAAATATGTCTACTCACTCACGCTACACTATCCACGCGCTGCTGTTGTTTGCGTAACCTCTTTGCTATGGAGCTGGAGATGCACGCACAAAGCATCAATACTCCAAGTCTAGAAGTAAGTCAGTACTGAGTATTCACTGCAACAAATATCATTTTAGGAAAGGGGCATCGCACATTCCGAAGACTCTGTACACCCCAATTGCTCGGATGAGGCCATCGCCGACCCGGCACTGGGCGCTTCCAGAACCGCTTTTGCAGGGAGATGAATCCACTGCAGCCCAAACACAACTGCCTGTAATTATCGGATCCAAAATGAGAAAGTAGATCCATATATTAAATATTTTCTTGCCGATTTCCCTGGTTCGTGCGCTGGGGTGGAAGCATGGGGAGTCGGTCTCTGAAGTGGCGTGAACAATTGGTAGGAGGATCATGCTGCCAATCTCGACGGTGCTCGCGATGATGCTTATCATGCTAAATGAGGATAAGTAGTGTATCAAGGAAGCGGGAATCCGTACTCACACTTCAGTGGTGGCCTCGTGCAGGCTAATCTTCGTGATGGGCATCCATGATAGTATCAGACTAATGGTCCACGGCGTGAAGAATACCACGATCCAGCAAATAGATTCAACGTCCTTCCGCCAGCCTTTGAGCTGTATATTCGCAGGCGGATCGTTCTGCTCTGGAGGAGCGGGGATTGTTACGACGTTCTCGTTCTCGTTCTCGTTCTGGGGGATCGAAGCACGACGAGGAGTAGGGTCTGCAACGTTGGTGATGGTGGCATTGCGAATAGGCTCTTCGCGCGGGTATGGTGCATCGGCGAAGCCTATCACGTCGCTATCGTCGTCGGCATCGTCGCTATGTGGCGGCGGCTTTGGTGTCTCGGTGCTCATGGTAGCTGGATCTATGGATGGCGACAATAGCAAGAATATTCTTCACGCGGAGATGTACCAAGAGGAAAATAATCGAGCCATCTCGGCCAGAAGATGCCTGCAAAAGCATGTCAGCCTTACATTCCAGTCGGGCGTAGGCAGAATGCGTGTGCCTCACGTTGCGTGCCGAAGGAGCTGATGCATTGCCCCGCTACCAAATGGACGGGATCAATTGGGTGTAGACGACGCCAATGTCTTTCAGCTGGTCGTGTTATGAATCTGGTGATTGGACAAAGGTTCTAGGCATCCCCCGCCCAAAAACGCCTCACCATCCGTGCAAGGCATATTTCATTCTAGATACGTATAATCGAGCAACAAGACTGATGTCCTAAGACGATCCCTTGATTTAATTTAATTAAAAAGTGAGCTTCGAGATACATTGTTCGCATATTCTATCTTTTAAACATGCCTGATCAATCGCATACAGAATGTGGTCCCATGTATAAATTGCCCCATCAGACTTGGCTATCCCTCTGCTGTCGTCGGAACTGCAAGACCCGCGTTACAAAGTCATTGACAGCCCAAGAAAAGCCGAGGACTACGAATCTGAAGGCCGTTAGCGAAAGTTTCTTAATGTAGAGTTTCACAGGGTGGAAGAATCTCACGTCCCAAGGGCTCTGTATATCCCAATCATTACAAAGAGGCCTTGCCCAACCTTGCAATCAGCACTTGTGGAGTCGCTTTCGCACTCAAGTGACATTCCGTGCGTAAATATATAGCAACCCATGGCTACCGGTTCTAGCGCGATAAGAATAAACCAAAATCCGAAGATTCCAGGCCTTGTGGCGGCCGCGAGTGGCGGATATAGGATGCTCAAATAACGGTAAGCGGCCCCAAGGAGCAAGATGCCGCCTAACTCGATAGAGCTGGGAATGAGGCTGGCTAGGCTATAGAAAGGGTAAGTAGTGTTCAGTAGATTGGATGTCGGGTATACTTGCACTGCGGCAGATGCCTCGTCGAGACTGATCTTGGTGAGAGGCAGCCACGAGAGAATCATTCCAATGATCCAAGGCAAGCAAACTAACACACCCTTGAAAGCGAACTCGGCGGATCCCATCAGCTTTTCAGAATTATCTTCTCGTAGCGTGCTAATTTGCACAGGAGGACGGTTTGCAGTCAATGCCGACGCATCGGCGAATCCCGTCGTGAGCCCATTGCCACAGTCGATAGTGTCACTTCGTGCTGGTAGTTTTGGTATCATGGTGTTCAGGATAACTGGTGTAATCGACTTTGTGTGTGAGTGAGGGTGTATACTAGAAACTACCCTTGAAACGGCGAACCGAGAAGGTATATATATAGCAAATTGGATTACAGGAAACCTCACAAGGTAACAAGGCGTCGTGCATAATGTGGATAGGCCCAGTAAGGTCAACGAGTAATACCTTGAGATACTAGTTCTATGAAGTTCTTGATTGGACACGGCATGATCCGATGGATTAATCTCTAGGTTTGTCCTGCCGGTGGCGCCTCACCTGACTATGATGGGCCATTCCTCACGCGTGACGCAATATAGTCATATCTATAATCAAGACTGTGTGGCTCACGGCGCTAACAGTGTTTACATAGCCTCAAATTACTCCGGGGCGATAGAACTTAATGGACGATTGCACATTGTTTATGAATTCCACTGATCTCACTAATGTTTAAGCTTCGTCTGTACGTATCTCTGAACCGCGTGATCACACTTAGGTTTTGCATCCCTACGATTTGCCCAGTGGCTTAGTAAAAGGTTTACAGCTGCACCCAGCCATTCTGGGGATGGGAGTTCAGACGGGTCGCAACACCGGTTGTACTTAAGTAGCTTGTACGTGACATGCCCAATATTGCTGCGATCTATCCAAGCATATTTAACGAGCAAGTTGACCTCTAACTAGCCTAAGCTGAGAAATTACATTGAATCTAACGCCAACGACCTAGAGAGTTCTCTTATTCATATGCACGAACCTCAAAGATACCTCCGAGTACATGCTCTCCTCCATTCAGCTCCAGAATCTCGACCCCGATCTTACTAACGAAGACATCAGATTCCAAGAGCGCTTCGCGTCGCGACAGGTAGTTGTTGTCCTCCAAGAAGAGCTCCGTCTCTGCGCCCTGGTGCGAGAGGTCAACGATTCGCCACTTTTTCACGCAGAAAGGGATATTTCGCTCCGGATGGCCACGTTGGACTGACTCTAGAGCATGGTCGTAGTCTGTATCGAAGTGCACCACAACCTTGCTCAATTTGACAGGCGAATCCCAAGAGACTGTTAGTATCGCTTTATCGCCTTGATCTGCTGGTACCCAGCAGTTGGTTCGCTTCGTTGGACGCGGCACTCCATTCCGGATATTCTCAGCCGACCAGGCTTGTAGTGGAGGCTCGACTGTCAACGCGAGGTTGTGACCCATGGGCCTGCGGACTGGTGTCCACCGCTCGAACAAATCCACCCCGACGTCTTCATCCATGTGTTGATCACACTCGTGTTCGACAGTCATAAGCGCCGAGACACGCTTTAGAGTAGTCGAGATAGCCACCAAGTCATTCTGCATAAAGCAGAGGAATACATATTGCGCCTGCGGGTTCGAGACATCCAGCTCGATAGAGATCTGATTTGATCCCGCTTTTAGATCAAATTGCTTCTCTGCGAGGATAACCTCCGGGGTGTAATTGTAGGGCTTCTGCGAGCCGCGAAGCTGGACTTCAAGAGTCGTGTCTTCCACTGCGAGGACCGTCACAGAGAACTTCGGCACAGGCCCCGCGGGTAACGGCAGCATCTGTGCCAAGCTTCGGACCAGAACCTTTGCGGGTCCATCTGCTGGGAGCGTGGAAAGCTCAAATGTAGACGAGCCTTGAATAGAGCTGGCCTGACGCACGAGGTCTTCAGGGTCGGTTAGTTTATATCCCGGAATAAACTGGCCAAATCTCATAAGCTCAAGCTGAAGATTCTTCATATTATCTTTGGCCAAGAGTTGAATGGGATCGACGGATAACTTCTTGCATAGGGATGCAGCGACACCCAGGGCATTGGAATTGGCACCACACGTCGCCATGACTCGAGTCGAGGCAAAAGCCACATGGCTCGCGGAGATGGTACGACCTCCGTACATTAAGTTCGGGATCTCGGAACAGACCATTGAGGAGAAGGGAATCTGGTAGACACCTGGAATAGGAAGTTAGAGACTTGGTTTGAAAGCACGAATCATAACGGACCCTTGGAGTGAAGCTGGGTACAGCCGTCAACTTCAGAAAAGACTCCATCAGCAGGATGTAAATCAAGCGACCAGCCTCCAAAGGAGACGGCATCGGAGTGGAAGCGTTGTTCCACAATATCATGTTGTTTCATGATAGTTGGACCGACTGGTCTCGTGTTAAACTTCTTCCCTTTCAGACATCTCGACAAACTCACTGAACCGCCGGCTTTCTCGCTTGCCTGGAATTGTCCCTACCCACTCAAGAGTGAGGTTTTCGGCCTCCGGAAAGCGCCCCGAGTTTTTAAAGTAGTCCCAGACGCCGTACACGACCTTCCAGAGCTCCCATTTGATTTCCTCAGTGTCATGCACGGTGTCCAATCTCCCACCGTACTCGATCCACCAGAGCCGGCATCCCATCTCTTTGGTGCTGAAGCTCTTGAATCTTGGGATTTCGGACTCGACATCCTTTAGGGCGTAAGACGGAGCAACGAATTTGGTGGGCCGCCCGGCATCCTTGGAGTAGAAGTAGATGGAATGCCCGAGCAAGTGGCCGTACTCGGAGGACGGGGCAAACTTCTCGCCGAATTCGTCGCGCTGCTCTGCGCCCACGCGGAAGGGGGCCCCGGCTAAGAATGACAACGCGCCATCGCCTGTACAGTCGATGTATTGAGGTGCCTTTACCGTGAACATCAACGACGTCTGGGATGAGAATGCCTTGATGGTGTCGATCCGGTCGTCGGCCTTGTCACATGCGACCAACGCCGTGTTCAGATACAGCTTAATGCCGGGCTCGCTGCGGACCTTGTCGAGAAGGACTGTATCAAGAAGAACGGGGTTTCCTTCAGGGTTGCGATGCAAGTTCTCGAGCAGGATCTCGTCAAGCAACCCGCCCTCTCGCGCATATCGATTGTTATTGAACATGTGTGACGTCGCGCCCAAGATCCACAAGCGGACTTCACTGGACGCATTTCCTCCCAGTACTGGCCTGTCTTGGATCAAGATCACCGAGAGGCCTTGGCGAGCGGCTGTGATGGCGGCGATGGTTCCGGATAGACCGCCGCCACAGACGCACAAGTCGGCCTGTACGTGGCGATCTTCATACTGGCGAGACGACGCGGCGGGTTCGCGGCGGAGGACGGGGTCATGGACGATGCGAGCGGGGGCCATGATAGAATGCAGTACAGAGAGGGAGTTGTAAATGAGGCTACGACAGACTCGGGATGCTAGGTCTAGGGAATGGCTATCTATGATATATGTTCGCAAATCACCCTCCGCAGCGTCCCACACATGGAGGCGTGGCAAATCATCAGAACCAGCTCGTCAAAGGGCCCGATTGCACAACACGAAGTGACGCGATGCACTCTCTAAGCAGCGAGAATCTTTCCGCCGTCATATCGCGGAACGCCCGACGGCCTCATGTTGACCCCGAGACCCATGCAACCGGCGGTTCCGTCTGTCCCCGCACGCTGCAGCGCCAACACCTCGACTAACTGCATCGTGACGACAGGGAATCGCGGGATAAAGCCGCTTGAGACCAGGATCAATCGATAGTGCAGTTGATCAGCTGCGGGGGTCTGCGGGGAAGCTCCACGTTCAGAACCTGCTTGTGGCCTCGGTTCTGAATCTCAGAGAAAGACACAATCTCGCAAGTAATTGCGGTTCTTTCTTCAGTTCGACAGATGAGACATTGATTACGGATACTCGAGATTGGGTCGTTTAATTACTCCCTGAGGTTTCACGTCATTGTACTCGACGAGGAAATCAATGCCTGAGGACAGGAAACCTGTTGGTACGGAACATTCCTTCTCAACACCAAGGTGATGACAGCGTCCACGAATGAAACCGGGCAGGATCTAAGTGGTTGTCTAACTCATAATAATTGATTCATTCTCCTAGAGTATCATATTAACCAGCCGGAATGAGTCAACCCCCCACTCCATTAGAAGGACGGCGGCGCCGTGATGTTCTATTGCGCATCTCGCAGGTCTTCTCCGCGTGCTCCTTTTGCAAGACGCGCAAGATAAAGGTAATCCCATTGCCCTTTACATCGCGCTACCAACTGACAATCTTTTGGCAGTGCGATGGCATAGCACCAATATGCGGCGGTTGCACCAAGTTCGGCCGAGGATCGACTTGCTCTCTGTCGAAATCATCGCATGGTCGTGATTATCCCACCCACCTACAGACCAAGATCCAACGTCTCCAAGCCGAGCTGCAACGCCGCCAAAATAATTCCTCACCTCCTCTTGATTTTGATGCGCCCGACGACCAAGGCCACCAAACGTCCATGATTGACAATTTGATTGCAGAAATCGGTGCCCTTCCCATCTTAGCCTCATCCTACGCTTCAACATTTGACGGGCCATCACTTTCCACAGTGGTGCTCGCAGCAGCAAGCAAAAGCCCCCTTTCGTCTCTATCCAGTCTGGAATTGTCTCAGAATCCCAGAGAATTTTTGCCCAAACAGAACACGGCGCTGAAACTGGTTCAACACTATATCACACACATATATCCCCGGCTGCCATTCTTTTCCATCCAGGGATTCTGGGCTCAGTTCAACCACGTCTACGCGACAACTTCTGTTCCCTTGGCCAGTGGCATGATTCAGTCGCCAACGTATGAGACGGCGAACGGATTACTGGACGAAACTCCGGAAATCAGAAGGGTCCGACTTAGCGAGGGCACCAGTTTCTTCACAGTCCTCCTCGTCCTCGCCATTTCCACCTCAAGCCTGTCTCGGAGCACTGCAGATCCAGCAAAGCGTCTTTTCCATGCGGCAATGATGTTTCGTGAGGCTGCAATACTGCCCAACACGATCGGAGGGGTCCAGTCCATCTTGTTTCTCATACAATTTGCCACCTTGAACCCTTCGATCCTTGATGCTTGGTATCTTATTGGCGTCGGAATGCGGAACTGTGTGGACCTGGGACTTCACCAAGATCCGTCGGAACCAATCAGTCCAAGCCTTCTCGAAACTCGCCGCCGACTTTGGTGGAGCATGTACTCGTTCGACCGCTCCATGAGTCTCGGTTGTGGGCGACCGACCGAGATTGCCGATGCCGTAATCAATGCTCACTTGCCAACATTCAAGATCGAGTCAAGCGCAACGGAGATTGAGGTGGAGGGATACCTACAGCGCTATCGGGTGCTTCAGATTCAGTCTCTCATCTACGATCGCCTAAACAGCATGCCTGACACAGAGAAAGACGGCAACATTGATATTGTGGCGGAATTAAGAACGAAATTAACCACATGGAGGCAGGATAACTCGCCATTACACAGCCAAACACTGGTTGACAGCGAATGGCTCATGGGAAAGATCTTGCTGCTTCGGCCATGCCGTCGAATCCCAGACCGAAGCTGCTGCGATTTGGCAGAGCTTTGGGAGTCAGCGCTTGGGTTTGTAGCCCTATACCGACAGCTGGTCGAGTCTAATTCAATATTTTACGTCCAAATCGCCTCGGAAAAGGTATACTGGATAGGATTAGCAATGCTGTACAGCTACTGGAGACTTCGCGAAGAGACAGCCGACGGCGAACCCAAGACCCCAGCGATTCGGCCGGTAGATCTGTGGATGGCAATCCAGGACGTGGCGTTCATCCTTCGGACATTGAGCGAGCGCTGGGAGGATGGGAAGACACTGGCAAGCGAGTTCGAGGCTACAAGTGGACGCGTGGTGGCAATTATGGAAGCGGGTGGCGATGCAGACAATCTGGCCACAAAGTTGCCCGTCGAGGTTGTCAACTTCCAGGACTATGCAAGCTTGACAAGCATTCGCATATCTGCAACAGGGGCGCGCATGTGCGGGATGGGGATGGCTGAAGCTGATGACGAGCTGCAGGGGCTGATATTAGAGATGATTTCTAGGTGACAGGATGTCGCTTTAGATTACTTGAAATGGTTGTCTTAATTGTTGGCATTGAATCACAATATCTTAAACTTTGTTTCTCGTCGACAGAGGGCGTGAGGATGGTGTCGTACCACCCCACAATCTGGTCAAACTTTGGCCGAAGCGGTGCGATGTTGTCCAGAGCATGGAGTTGGTCATGTCTATAAAGATTTTCCACCACGTCAGCTACGTGGTAGTTGAGTCCTTCCTGGCCACCAAGGTATTCGAGGCGGAACGCAGCTTGACCATCGCTGGACATGACGACATTTTCCACCATGGTTCAAAAGGGCAAGGAGCTCCGATAATGATTTCTTGCACAACGGGTATCCCGGGATACCAACGCTGCACTTGATCTGATAAAGGAGCAGATAATCAATTTTCGATGTCGCTGTGGGGCAATCTGATTACCGTAATCTGATGGAGACGATCAGGTGCCAGAAGATCAGGGCATATTTATTAGTTGCCTGTGGATACCCCTACCTTGTAAGAATGATGGACGCGAATACCACGGTCCCTTGCGCCGGATATTAAATCCCACTGGCCAAGAAAGCCAGCTGTCTCCCAAATCTCACCTCTCACCAGCACCGCAGAACCATGACGCAACTAACCATTGAGCTTGAGCAGGGCCACCTTCCAAACACGTGCCAGTACACGGCGCGTACGAGGAGAGGCGACTATCTGGTCCAGGTGGCGTGGCCTCAGTGCTGGAACGAGAACCGCGCGCAACCAGCAGACGACGCTCCCGTCTCCACCATGTGAGTAATAAAAGGCCTCATTCAACGCCCGTGGATCCGCATGATCTGACCGCGATGCCGCTTGTGCAGCTATCTTGTCGACGGAAATGCCTACTTCTTCACAGCTGTCGATTTTGCGCGACGCCTGGAGAGCGTGAGTGGCACCAGGACCGTCATTGTCGGGGTTGGCTATCCCGTAACGAATTCCGTCTTCGATCGCCGCAGAGGCTCAGATCTCACTCCGCCGTCTGAAGACGGAAAGTATGCAACTGTAATTGCCAAGGATGGAACTCCGATGACCGGAATCAATTACGGAGGCGCTTCCGATTTTCTAGACGTTATTCTCGGCGACATCATGCCATACGTTGAAGGAGCCTTGTTCCCAGATGCTCCACTACAGACGAGTCGCAAGGCCCTCTACGGCCACTCATACGGCGGCCTCTTCACCCTGAACGCGCTCTTCACCAAACCGACGCATTTCGATACCTTCATCGCTGCCAGTCCGTCCATTTGGTTCAACCACTGTTCCATTGTCAAAGGCCAGGAAACCCATTTCCGCGAGCGCAAGCATCCCGCCAACCCAGCGCCCCGGTTGCTTGTCACCTGGGGATCGGAGGAGCAGTTATTGGTGCAAAAGACTGGCGAGTCGGAGGCGCAGTTCGCAATGAGGCTGCGATACACAAGGCCCATGAAAATGAAGGACAATGCACTTGCCATGGTAGCGCGGTTGGAAGACTGCCCGAGCATTCGAGATATTTACAAGTGGGAATTTGCGGGCGAGGACCACGGGAGTGCCGCGGCAGTCGCCCTGCAAAGAGGAGTCATGAAGTTCTTGTTGGAGGATGTGTAGCTTGCATGGACAAGGCGAAAGAGTTGCAGATGTCAAGAGTGCACTGATCATGAGACACTTTGTGTCTTGGGCTAGGAGGGGAGAAAAGCGAACCCGCAAGTGGACCTAACTATTATACCGGAAATTGAGGGTTTTGACATGAAAAATAAGAGGATTGAATATATAAACTTGCATTGATTTCTTTTTGAGACGTCCCTGGGAAGATTTGCTCTCTTCCGCGACTCTAGTCGGCTTTCCAATGATACTGTGCTGCAGGGTGGTCAGCAGGTGGTCTTGCGACTCCCTCCTTCGCATAAAGGTTCTCTCGGTAAGTGCCTCCATCAACAGCGTAGTCATCCCAGAATAGACCACGAGCCTTCAGAACTGGAAGCAAGTCCGAGATGACTTCCTCGAACGAAGCAGGCATGAGTGCATATGCCAGGTTGAAGCCATCCACGTCAGCTTCAGCAACCCATCTCTCCATCTCATCTGCGATATGATCTGGTGTTCCCACAACGGTAGCTCCCAAACCACCCACTTTGATATGGTTTCCAACCGTGTGCTTGGTCCACTTCGGTACTCCTGGCAAGGACTTGGACCAGGCCTCCACGGCAGAGCGGATTGCGTTGGATTCGACATGGCGGAGCTCCTCATCGTCGCCATACTTGGCAAGGTCTATTCCGGTCCAGCCTCCGAACAATGCCAGAGCTCCATCCTCGGACCCGTAGCTGACAAGCTCTTCGTATTTAGCCTGCGCCTCTTCCTGCGTCTTTCCAATAATTGGGCACAGCAGGGCCAGGAATTTGATGCTGCTTGGGTCTCGGTTAAATTGCTCCTTGGCCAGGGCACGAATCTCGGCGACGTTCTTTGCAACGACCGCGGGGCTGTGCCCGGCGACAAAGATAGCTTCAGCATGCTTTGCGGCAAAGTTCTTGCCAGCTCTGGAGGTACCTGCTTGCAAGATGACCGGAGTGCGCTGGCGAGATGGTTGACAGATGTGTGGTCCCGGGACGTTGTAATACTTTCCTGTGTGGTTGATCAAACGCACAAGAGCAGGGTCAGTGTAGATGCCCTTCTCACGGTCCAGCTTCACAGCATCATCTCTCCAAGACGATTGCCTAAATTCAATTAGTCAAGAACGAACCATTCGATTACGAACAACACACCATAGCTTGTATGTAACATCAACATACTCCTCCGCAATGGCATATCTCTCATCGTGACTTGGCTGCTCCGTATGGCCTAGGTTTCTCGCAGCTGAGTCCAAGTAGCCAGTCACAATGTTCCAGCCAACTCTCCCGTCAGTAAGATGATCCACGGTGCTGAGACGACGGGCAAGGTGGTACGGCTGCTCGTAAGTTGTCGCCACTGTAACACCAAAGCCAATGTTTTTCGTCGCAGCTGCCATTGCAGGGACGACTGCGAGAGGCTCATTGACGGGCCATTGTGCACCGGACACGATCGCCGGATCTGGGTTTTGAGGTCCCTTGTAGACATCGTAGGAGCCCTTTCTTGTTAGAACATGGTAAAAAATCAAGTTGGCATGTTTACTTACAAGAACATCTGCAATGAAAATGCCATGGAATTTCCCCTTCTCGAGGAGCTGTGCAAGGTTCACCCAATGCTTGACATTGTTGAAATCCCAGGACCGATCCTGAGGGTGCCGCCACAGTCCGGGCGATTGATGCCCGCTGCAAGACTCTACAAAAGCATTGATAATAAGCTGTTTCTTGGGCTTTTCAGCCGTTTCCGGCGCGGTGGAGGCCATGGTGGTGTTGGAGTCTCGGCTTTGTTGAATGAGAGGGTGAACTGCCGAGAACTGCAGGGGCTCGGGCCAGCTTTACGCAAAATGACGGGACTTGGCTAAACCCATCAGGGTCGACTCGATATCTCATTAGGTCGTGTCTAGATGATGTGCAAGATTGCGCAATTCCTTGACTCTTGACGACATCATTTCGCGCATGTCCGGGTTGCACAATACAACCATCAGAATCGCGTGCTCGTGGGTGGGTCCCATATTTCCCCGCGTTCTTGATAGCTCGCTATCGTTCAGATAATGGGGAAGCCAATCAAGGGAAGTGCATGTGAGATGATTATTTTCAATACTGTCATGATCGTCTACGCCAGCGTAGTTTCTGCGATGGCGAGCTCCCTAGCAGTCACTGGTTTGATCTCCATGAACGGACACTGAGAAGCGAGCTACTGAGTATATCTAAAGACTCATAACGTCTTACTATGAAGTAAATTGAGAGTGTTAATACTGATTGGTTTTGAGAATAGACTTGGCCAACATGCGCAATTCCCCTCACGCTTCCTCATACAGGCATCATCTGTAGCATTGTATTGTACTATCGCCTTTTCGATTTCATAAGTCATCCGTTGAAACTACATCGCCTTTCTCGAGTGAGATGCCATAATTACAGTAAGAGTGAGTTGTGGCCCAACACCAAGTTGTATTGCTGCCATATGCATCACGCATCTACCAGTGACCTTTGTCCACTCTTCAAGGGCTAGGTCATTTGTGCATGTTCTCTTAATTTTACATGCCTCCACCAGTTGCACAACCGCCACAACGCCAATTCACAAAGCAAGGAAGGAAACGCGTGTGGTTCCAAAGTATGGAAAAATACAATGTCAAACCGGTCATCAGATTGCTAGTCTCTCAGTTGTTTAAACTGTGCAACCTATAGCACATCCTCGACAAGCCAGCTCCGACTTCTGGCACATTAGCCCTCGAGCCCTCTGTCCATAGGCCATTGCCCGTCAAAGAGTTATAGAAGAACATTCCACCCGTGTCCAGAGATACATTCATCAATTTTCCAGCGACAAGGCTGTTTTGTCAAATTTCTGCTGGCTTTTACAGAATCAATGACATCGCACTTTTACTTTCTCAAGCTCGCCTGCTCATATCTGATTTTCCCATGCGTTCATCGAGCTCGGCGCGTACTGGATTAGGATAAGTGCACCTCAATCCCTCCAATCGTCAGAAAACTGGCTTCTGGTTATCTTGAAACGAACTATCGTTGGAATGGCAAGGATGGAGCATAAAGCGTCAAAAACTGTCACATCAGTTCGCCGCGTCGACCATTTGTAGAAAGGGGAGAGGACTGGGACGTCGATTGTGTCGTTGATACCAAACACCAATCAGCTTAAAAGCGAATAGGCTGCTGTGCCGAGGATGCGTTTGGTGACGAAAACTCCGAGAGCGTCCTCAAACAGGTCTTGGCCCAGCTTAAGCAGGACATCGCTAATATTCTATAGGTAGCAGATGATAGATCAAGAGTATTACCTCCCAGCCGTTGGAAGAGTTGCTTGACTTTGTCCAAACTCTGCCGACACACAGCTAGGAGGACTTCGGGGTTAGTGTTGTCGTTTTTGGGGGCTTGCTCTTTTATCCGGGCGCTTCAGAGCGCGCTTTATCTTTGATTTCTTGAGTTACAGATCTATTGGCAATAAATAAGATACATTGAGTAGTCATGCGTCTGAGAATATTCTTGACGGCAAGGACATATCCCGAGTAAGATTAAGAAGCAATATCTCAAGTCTAGTAAATAATAATTTAAACTTTTATAGAGTCGTCAAGGGGCCAACTTCCCTTCCAACAATCATCCCACCTCAACATCTTTTATTATATCGACCACCATACGCAAAGCTCTTATCGAGAATAACCCTATATGTCAGGAATACAAAACCCGATTCCGCCACAACACTGGATTCCCTTGGAATCTAGAAGACGAAACAGAAAGAGGCAAGCTAAATGCTCATCTAAAATTCCTTTAGGAAAATAGCCTGTTCAGCCTCTGACCCTACCATCCAGAATGCCTGGATAAAAGCCAACGGATCGCGTTGGCTATTTTGGGATGCAGTTTATTTCTTAAAGGAATTTTAGAAAGGCATTTAGCTTGCGTCTTTCTGTTTCGTCTTTTAGATTCCAAAGGAATCCAATGTTGTGGCGGAATCGGGTTGTATATCCCTGATATATAGAGTTATTCTTGACAAGAGCTTTGCGAATGATAGTTAATATAAAAGTCATTAAGATGAAAGTTATTGGGATGATGATTGTTTGAAGGGAAGTTGGTCCCTTGACGATGTGGGAGAGATCAGTCTCTCTTATATCTTATTGCTCGGAATAAGGTTCCTATCTCAAGGTTCTTGGCGGCAGACAATAGGGTTGTTAACTGACCCTATTGTCTACAGACAGCAGGGTTGAAGTCAAAGGGGTTGAATTCAAGGCTTAGGCAGAGGCCGAATCTAACTTCTGTCTGCTCCCTCAAAGTGAGCAAGGTACCAGCACAAGGTCAAAAAACACAGTTTTATCCACAATTCAAGCATTTTCTACCCAATGCTACCGCAATAACCAAATATTTTAGGCAGAGACCAGTATGCAACAACCTTATTATTCAGCTACTGTTTCTTCCGGTGCTGGGTCTAGCACTTAAGTATTGTTTATCTCTACTGTTTGAGAATTCTGCCTGGCTTTGATCTATCTGATGATATTGAGTAGAGCTTAAAATAAAAACCAAATGCAGTCAAAAGAGCATGCCTATTGAACTCACTTCTATTACTCTAGACCCTATTTGTACGACGAAGACTCATCGCGAATCTAACAGCTGCCTTTGCTCGACGCCACGCTTTCTATGACGGGATGCAGATGTAACGTCGACGCTATGAAGACGTAACGTCGAAGTCATGACCCAATGCATACCTTGAATGGTCAAGAAGATGTCGTAGCCTCAATATGTGGGGAGGCAAATCTAGGTGATCCCGGATGATGGACCTGTTGAGCATTTACTTGGACCGGTAAAGAACAAACTCTGCAGGTAAATGCTAAAGATAAACTCCACGGGAAAATAACTCTCTCAAAACCGGGTTAAGAAAATCCTTGCATCCGGATCAGCTCTCAGTTCCAAGAGCTTCGCTACAAAGCGGAGTAGGCCAGTACGTGAATATTCTTCAAGGTGGCTTAATATTTCGTGGCCGAATTTAATCTCTATGTAATATGATCTCTCTTACATATTCGACCTAGGATCAACAAATCGAGGTGGATCTAGTACCTTGCAGCGCCAAACCCTCGGTAATCTTCGTCTTGCTCAACAAGTCTCGCACCATCGTGCCACGGCTCCGCGTTGCTCTGCCTTAGGTCCTGAACGTGAAGCGGCGCTCTTAATATGCCGGCTGCTGGCGCGCTGTGTTCACGAATATGTATCGGCTGCTTGCATATTCAGGAACTCGCTCCGTCATCTATGGCAGGCACTGCTTCTTGCCTGGGAAATTGTGCCAGCTTTGCGAACAACCAAACCGAAACGGTTTGCTACTATCTCTAGGTCAATGATATCCTAGATGTAGTAGCTCGTTCGGTTGGGATAAAACGGGTTTGAACCGCGCTAGATGTCGTTCTTTCGGGGAAAACAGCAGTCTTAGAGCTCGAATTTGAACCTTTCCATGCTTCTCAACTACTATCACGGGAATCCGATTTCCATGCCCTGATGGCTCAAGAACTCAAGCGCCGGGGCGACTTCCGCGATGTCGATAACCTCTCCGATTTTGAATTTAACTATGTATATCTGGATGTTATACCTGTATCACTCGACCGCGGGGACGACACGGCTCCCAAGATGTCCACAACACCGGCCTTTCGCCACCCAACAGCTCAGTCCTAACTTCCTTCGGCCACGAATTTATAGTTCACAGTCTGCAGCCTAGACACATTTCGTTCAGGAGATTGGACCACTTAGGCGAGCTCCTGTCCCTAAAATTGCAACCTGGAGTTTATGGCTCTCTCGTCTTGGAGCTGCAGATCGTGCCTCCGCCGCCCTTGCCCATTTAAGGAATATGTTTGGCGAAGAGCCTCATGAACTGGTGGTAATGTTTCAAGAACTCCGCCAAGAATCACTAGTAGCCGTCCTCGAAGACGGCTGGGCTCGGCAAAACTTTGTCCTCTCTGATACGGAGCTTCCAGCTTGGTTTGGTGGAGGCAACGAATCCCTTAGGTCTGGTAGATATTTCACTGCGATAATGGTTTCCAAGCCTTTGCCGATATCGAACTGCTTCCGCGACCCCTTCGTCTCTAAAATGCGGAGAGACGCCCTCGTGGTTGATACTCCCATATCTGGGGATCATGGACCCATTGAATCAAAAGAATTGTTTGGCCTATGCACAACGCACCTCGAATCACTTTACGCAGGAAAAGAGTTTCATTTTCGCCAACTTGCTGTAATCTCGGCGTTACTCAAAAGCGACATAGCGCAGGGACAGTGTGACAGGGCCAACAGTCCACCTGGAGTTTAATTACAGTAGAGGCCAGCAGCTAGCTTAGACTGGCCCTGCTTAAGGCATTAAGTCCGCTTGCAAATAAGACAGCATGCTGTTTCTCTTCTCTAGTTAACATGACACCATTAGTCTCAGTAAGCTCATAACACGAAAGTTGTTACAGCAGCTTTTGTCGATATTTCCCTTCTTTTCTTCTTAGAGGTATCCAAAAGCAATAGATCAACTGATCTCTGTATCTTCTGCCCTCAGGAGACTGTTTTCCTGATGTCTTCTCGTATCTCTTATCCCTCTCTAGCTCCTACCCTACGGACGGGTGTGGTCTGCACTAAACCCCCCCCCAACAAAACAGCGAATTTGTAGCAGGGTGGTTGACGGCGACATGAATTCAGTTAATACAATTGAGCATAGCAATCACTGAGCCCCCGAGGTGGATCTTAAGGACGTTTGGGAGCAAAAGCCGGTACTGACGCCGATGTTCATGTGGAAGCTACACATGACACGATGCGCATGCATGACCGCTAAAGAGATTTGGTGGCACCAGTTGGCTTTGCACTGGAGAGGAATCTGCGTTCCGCTCGAGTTTGCTGCTGCCTACACACATCTCAGTAGCTATACCACCTTTGGCGAAGAAATTTGATAAATATTGTCCTATAAGCACCGAACCATCACCTTCGCCACGAACTAATTTAACTTCTGTCTGCTCCCTCAAGGTGAGCAAGTTGCCGGCACAAGGTCCAAAAAACACAACTTTATCCACAATTCAAGCATTTTCTACCCAATGCTACCGCAATGACCAAATATCAAGCTTTTTTTGACTGCCGAATCGATCATACAACTTGGCCAGATTGTAACTGTAGTCGTAGACCAGATAGCGCTCCGCGTAGCGACTGGATCTCGGATTGATGCATCATTCGACACTTCAATGTCGTGATAGCAACTAACAATTTGTCCTAGTAGTCATCGAGGGGGGTCATTGGATCTGAGGTAGAAATGGAAGATTGGTGCCTTTTCTTGAGCATAGACGGTGGCTTCGTTTTCATCATCGTCAGCCCAGATGCAATCAGGCACAACACCGAGAGCTAGAAGAAGCTGTGCCCCACTCATGATGGGCGAAGACCGAGGTAGGCAGATATGGAGGACGGATAAAGATTTATACCGGCTAAGTTGAGTTTAGTGGAAGTTGGCACATTGCACGTTGGTTGAGTGTGGCAAGTCAAATGTAAGGCCACTCCTTAAGCCACAGAGGGGCTGATGAACAACCGAGCCGAAGCTGAACCCCAGGAATCACGCGATCTACAATAGAACCCCATGTTTTGTGACCCGCGGAGTCCCGTTGTGCGCTGGTAGGCGACCGTAAATTCAGTGGAGCGAGCTAGGCTCCCGTTTAATAAAGAGGCCTGACTGGCTGTGCCGGATGTAATGATGAGGCCTAGGGTAAAGAACTGGACCAGAAGGAAGCCTAACCCACTTCATTAGGCAAATCGAAATGTTGGCTAGATATTGATCGGCTGATGCCGTAATGGTTCCGAGAAGGAGCTCTTCCCACCGACAACGGCCGAGTGGGATGCCTCACTAGCTACGGTCCTGTGCGCATCGGCAACATGACCCGAAAATAGCTTCCAAATGCGGACTCGTTCAGCCAACAGCGGCCACAGCATGAACAAGGCTGGCGACCCTTGGCTGCCGAATTCCGAGCAAAAGGTGAGACCAAGATTTAAGGCTGCCGAATTCCGAACGAAAGAGAGTTCAAGATTTACGCTGCCGAATTCCGAACGAAGACGAGTTCAAGATTCAGGCTGCCGTTCGACTGTGAAAAAGCGCCTACGACCAGATGCATCCGAATATGGCAATCTCTCCATCAGTGCTTTAGCGACGGGGATCTGCCAAGGCCTCGGGGAGTCCAGACCCCATAGACCCCTTTGTACCCCCGTATCTTATGACTCGATACGGTAAACGAAAAACAGCATCTGTTTTTATCCGAGTGGCGCAGCGGATAGCGCATCCGGTAGCGTCGTTGGTGACATACATCCCTTTAAATGCACAGCAGCAGCAGCTGCTGCAGCCTGGTCCGGGGATGTTGGTTCCACCAGTTAAAGGAGAATGGCGGTAGCTGTCTGGGACACCAGCACGCGCAGATCCCATCAATCGCAGATCTTGAGAACACGGCGCGTCGAGTAGCTCATAGCCGCTGCCACACCCGCTCCTCTCCCCGAATCAAGGCGAGTCAGGGCTGTGTGGGGGACATTTCCGGCCTGGAGATGCCGCATATTTAGCGGGATACGAGAAATCCATTGAGGGGTACGACGGATCCAATAAGGAAAACCACACGCGACCCCGTCACAGAAAGACCAAGGTGCCTTGTGGAACTGCTAGCAACCCCCCTTATACCCATGCAACCAACCGACCCACTAGTCATCTCAACGACAGTACGAAGGGCCCTTTCAAAAGTCTTGTTCAAACACTAGCAGCGCCACATCCTGTTATCCCTGCCCGGCTACCTCACATACAGCACCGAGGAAATAAGGTCGCAACAGTCTCGGCAAGTCATCCGCTACGGCCTCGGTAACCTCAGGGGCAATGGGCGCAGCTGACCAGGGCCTAGCGGGTATTGGTGAGCGTTAGTCTGCCGCCTCTCAGCCCTCCTTACGGGGACCCTTCAGCCCATACGCCAGACGGGGGGGCACCTCTCAGCCCTCACGGGGAGCAGGACGTGCCTAGTGTATTTGCCCTCGCAATGATTGGGTGCCTCGGCAATGTTGCTTTTTCGTGTATGCTCTTGAAACAGCCCTGTGCTCGTAGTTGATGCTGGCAGGCCTTGCTAGCGTTGAGCTGCGCGCGAGAGGCGAAGAAAACTGTCAAGGAAATGCACTCTCCCCCCCCTAAACGCGCAGCCAGGCCTAGCTCATCAAGCCCAAAGTCCCCTCGTCAAGCCCAAAGTACCCCTAAGCGTTAGTCGATACCTCTTTCTATAAGGCCTAACGCGGGGCGGAGCATGCCGCATTTGGATTCGAGCCTTTCGTTGTGTACACGGGGCGTACCAGGCTCTGGGGGGGCAGCGTTATTTATCGCGAGCAAGTGCCCAGCATTTCTACTGCTTTACAGTCCTCGGAATCCGGCCAAAGTCTATTTCTCAAGCTCTAGTGCAATGGGGGAGTTTTGTTAGCAGCCGAGTATCTCAGTGCTCACGCGACCCGTCGCCTTCTTGCGAGGATAGTCGCAGCCAATCAGAACGAATTCGCAGCCTCCCAACATCTTCGACGGCCTCATCTAGCAAGATGAGCCGAAAACTCCCAGGGCTCGCGCTTGTTGGCTCACGCCTCGCCAACCGACGATTCATCTTCACTCTCATCGCCTTGGCAGTCTGCGGCGCCAAGGGTGCACACCTTCACAACCACCGATTTTCAGTAGCCCCGAAGCGAATGCTGCTATTCTTCTTTTCCTTCTTTACCCAGGACATACTGCTTCTCCTTTTCATCAGGCTTCTCCTGAGCCACTGGTTGCCCAGTGTCCCGGGCAAGCTACGCGCTCTCGTCACAACCATCACCGGCTGTTTAATATCCTACAATGTCGTTCTCGGTATTGTATCCGTTTCCTTCTACATCGTCGCCGGATCAGAGATCCATTGGCGGAACATAGGCTTTGTCGCCGACCCGACGTCGAGAGCCATTCTTCTCTCCGGGCTCATGACCTTTATCGTGGTCGTGTGCGTTGCTCTTTTTTTAAGCGGGCTACTCCAATGCGCCTGCTACGGGCTGTTTGGACTAGGTGCAGACATTGTCAATTGGCCCATCGCCTTTGTTGGACGTACACTGGATCCCTACGTAAGCTTTCGAAATAGCTACCGCGACATCCCCGAACGATACGTCAGGTACCAGTCAAGGTACCAGTTCGCCAAGGATGACGACGATCTGAGCTATGGAACCTACCTCGAATACGACGAGAAACCAAAATTCTCATCGCTCTCCTCGCCGCTTCTATCAAGTGAATATGATACACGCGAAACTCCAACGTGGCCATCAACCAAGCGAGCCCTGCACGCTTTGCCGCACGTCGTGGTCACCATTCTGCTCACTGCTCTCTTCATCCTGTCATTTTTACGGCCGAAGGACTCTTCCTTGATTTTTCTCTCGTGGACCAGCGGACTTTTGCCATTTATCGACTTTGCTTCGACATCACCATTTCTCGATGACTTGCCTTCTTACTTCGGAAACGGCATCCAGCGTGGTTGGGACGAGCGATCAGCCCTCACCCGACCGACGTCTTATAGCTGGATGCCAAGGGACACACCACTTGCAGGGTTTGAGGATTGGTATACGAATCAGACGCACTATGACGCCGCCGCGGACCCGATGAAGATTTCTAACCTCGATGAGCCCTTGCTGCAATCATTGCGCGGCAAGCTGAAAGACATTTCAGTCCGACACGTTGTCATCTTTCTGCTCGAAAGCACCAGAAACGACGTGTTCCCTATCAAAAAGGACAGCCTGATCTGGAACCGCTTCGCCGAGACATTTCCTAACCACCAACTTCCTCAGGAGGTCCAAGACAAGCTGGCCAATCTGACTCCGACCGCCAACTTCATTACGGGCGACTATGATGATGGATTTGAACATGACGAAAAGAAAAAGCGCGGTGGAGTCCGCTTCACCAACGCCCACAGCGCCGGAACGTATACACTCAAGAGCATGGTTGGCGCAGTCTGCGGCGTGGCGCCATTGGTTGGTGACTTCAACCTTGAACACAGTCATCACATCTACCAACCGTGTCTGCCCCACGTTCTCGAAGCCATGAACAATGTGGAAGGGGCCCAGACGGAGACAGCCGACCGGGAGTCAAATTGGAAGTCGTATTATTACCAGGCGGCGACGCTTGACTACGACAACCAGAACAACCTGATGGCGGCGATGGGCTTCCCGAAAGAAAACACAATCGGTCGAGAGTACCTTCGAAGCTCAGCCGCAAAACACGGCCCTGTCACGCTGGCAAACATTAACGAATTCGCCTTCGAGGAGGACCCGCTTGAAGACTACATCAATGATATTTTTGCTGATGCCAACGACAACAACGATCGAGTGTTCCTTACACATCTCACGAGCACCACGCACCACCGCTTTCACATGCCTGCAAAAGAGCCATACGTGCCAATGGCCAGGGGCCTTGATATGATGTCTCGTTATATCAACACGGAGGGTTACGGCGATAAATGGATTCGCAAGGTTCTCAACGTCCTAGACAAGCAAGGCGTCGCCAACGAGACCTTGGTCATCTTTCTCGGAGACCATGGCGTCTCCCTACCCGAAAACAACTTCGCCTCTCCATACTACAACCCTAGTATCGGCGTCGATCACGTCCCGCTGGTTCTTTCACACCCTCAACTACCGGCCTTTGACGCCCACGACGCTGTCCACTCTTCCCAAGTCCTGCCTACGATTCTTGACCTCCTTCTCGAGACCGGATCCTTGAGCAAGGCGAGCCGGCAAGCTGCGATTGATCTGATCCATACCTACGAAGGCCAATCTCTTCTGCGACCGCTGAATGTGGCCAATAACGAAACCGGCCAAGGACAATGGCAATTCACCGTTACAAACCCGGGCCGAGCTATGCTAACCGTCCGCGACGCCCGATATCCCGAACGACACCTTGTCGTCCCTGTTATCGAGAACGTCGACTGGCGGCTGAGCAATCTCACCGCCGACCCTCACGAACACCATTCAGTACAGAGCTTGGACTTTGTGACATTCTTGCAGGGCGTGGAGGAGCGGTACGGCCGCGAGGTGGCGGAGTGGGCCGAGGAGGGCGCGTTTATCACCCGTTGGTTTGTTAAGGAGAATAGCAAGCGCTGGCGTTTTGATCACAAGGGGTAATGCATCTAACAGCGGGCGACCTGGATTGTTTTTGGTTATAGATTTAATGCATCAACGAGTTCTTTTTTTCCTTTTCAAGCGCGCGGGAGAGGGCTGTATTATACATAAATTAGACACTGCTCTATAGAAATTTACGTATCATGGCATCAGCTTCATAATTGCGCAACGTCGAAGTAACTCATCATCTTTGCGTGGTGTTGTCGATTGGTGAGCCTCGAGAACTGGCGCCAGTAGTGACCAGTAGGCCTACATTTTGCCCAACGACACTTATCCTGCGACGTGGGTCGGACAAAAAAGGGACAGCAAAAACAGCGATTGTAAAGACCGACAAAGACCGCCGCTAGTTGTCGCATTTATTTTGACGTGGTGTCTCTACACAGCCGAACAATGCCGAAAAGCGCATCATCATGGTGCCAAAAGGCGTCACATCAATCGTGGACAGCTCGAAGCCAATCAGCATCGCCACACTCAAACACAGTTCAGCGAGCAATCAAGATGGCATCGCGTCGAATCATCGTCCGAATGCTGAAGTTGACCTGCATCCGACTAACTCGTGCTGTTCTCGATGACACCATCGGCTGAACAAGCTCGTCATGGATGCGCAACCTCACTGGATCCCCAATCCGAGCAAGCGCGTGCTGTCCAACATGTCGCAGGTCGATTTCATCCCCTCATCCGATAACGAGATTCTGGCGTTGATGAACGCAATAGATTGAGCGTATTAGCCTACTATCTCAGTTGGCAATAGTTCGTGATATAAAGCCTACCTGTTCTCCTCAACAGCGATATCCTGAATAATTTATTTTGACGACAGTCAATCACACAGCACCGTCAGATAGCGAAGCAGCGAGAACCTGCTCGTGTTCAATTGTCAATATTTACGTACTCGAGCTAAGCTGCAGCTGTCTTCCCCAATGGCTACAAGCGCCCACCCCAGCACCGACCCTGCGGTATACCAGGAGTATGAGGCAAAATGGTCAGCTCTACCCAAGGGCGAGAAGGAGTGGATCCAACGGGCCATCGACGTCGCCGAGGTGCTTGCCAAGGACGCTGCCGTTCGGGATAAAGAAAACAAATCTCCCAAGGCGGAAATTGCTCTGCTGAAGCATTCGGGGCTGCTGAAGATTCTCGGCCCGGCCAAGTACGGTGGCGGTGCGGAGCCGTGGACTGTTGGGTTCAGGACGATCAGAGAGGTCGCCAAAGGGGATGGGTAAGTCTCTTCAATTTTTGACGTCGCGAGTAGCTCCAGTGCTGATGACGTTTCAAGATCCATCGGAATGCTTCTCGCATACCATCTGATTTGGTCGACCATTGCGAACGTGGTCGGTTCTGCAGAGCAAGCCGACCGCGTCCAGAAAGAGATCATCTCGAACAACTACTTCGTGGGAGGCGCCGTCAACCCCCGTGACAACGACCTTACCATCAAGTCCGACGACAAGGGCCTTATCTTCAACGGCTTCAAGAACTTTAGCACCGGCGGCGTGATTTCAGATCTTACCGTCCTCGAGGGCGTCTACGAGGAAACCGGCGAGCACATCTTCGCCGTCGCGCCCACGCAGCAGGCCGGCATCCAGTTCAAGCACAACTGGGATAACGTTGGCTTGCGTCTGACGGAGTCTGGAGGCGTCAAAATCGAAAACGTATCGCTCCCGTGGGCGGATGCGCTGGGCTGGGACCCGGAGACAAAGAGGCCTGATCCTGCTATCCTGGGAGTTCCATTCGGAAGCATCTTTCTCCCGACGTAAGCAAAAGCCCTAGCATTTTTCAAAGACGACAATAAAGCTGACCGCTTAATAGTATCCAGCTTGCGTTTAGCAACTTCTATATTGGCATTGCCTGGGGTGCTCTCCACTTTGCCTCAGATTACACTCGCAAGAACACAAGGGCCTGGCCATATGGCGGTGATGTACGCTCCCATTCATTATCCCTTCAACATCTCGTCGCTAACCAGTCAAAAGAACAAAGAGGCTGCCTCAGACGAGTTCTACGTCCTGTCCACGTACGGAAACCTCTTCGCCCACCTCCGCGCAGCTACAGCATTGGCTGAAAAGGCCAACGCAGAAGCCACGGCCCTCTACGAGAAGTACTCGAACAACCGAGCAGAGTTTACGGCCAAGGAACGTGGTGAATTTGCCGAGTGGGTTGCAAGCACCAAAGTGGTGGCTACAGATACCAGCTTGCGGGTAACAGCCGGTGTCTTTGAGGTGACGGGTTCTCGATCTACAGCCAGCAAGGTTGGCCTGGATCGGTTCTGGAGGGATGTTAGGACCCATACTCTGCATGATCCAGTCGCATATAAGAATCGCGAGCAGGGTAGCTACTATCTCTTGGGCGAAGCCCCGGAGCCTACTTGGTACACCTAGGGCGGAGCGGTTAGGAGAGCATAGTATCTAATTTCAGACACCCCCAAGCGACGCTCAATTTTAACACTTGAATAACATGTCTCATTATACGTAAACTTCTATTATTATCGTATTGAAGTCGGCTCACTGAATCGCGCACTCATTACTGGATAAATCCACGTCCTCCACCTTCCGATCCCAGTCAAAGTCTGGTGGTACGCTGGCTTCATGTTCTAAGATCCGCAGGTGAGCCTCCTTGAACTTGGCCTTCCACCAATTCGCTGTCTCGACCCAGTCCGTTGTTACAAAGTCCTGCTGATACTCCAGAAGCATAGTCATTGTCGAGGTCCGCAGCTCGGCGACGTCGGTTGCCGCCCATGCAATCGAGAGGCCAATCGGGATGTATCTGGATCCTAATGGTCTAAGGCAAACGGATTCCTCCGCTATATGGAGCAGCTCGTTGATGCATGAAACAGACTCCCTGACCAGAGTGCTGTCGAGAGGGTCAAAACCTTGGAGAATCATGTTGAGCATCAGTGCCAGAGAGGCTGCCATTGCGTAGGCTACTCGGTAGCCGTGATTCAGTCGCATTGCCGAAATTGCTTCCTCGGGTGTCATGTCCCCGACGGGAGCCTTCGACCTCAGATGCAGCTTCCGGCAGTCAAACCGTAGCATGTGGTAGGTGGATAGAATATCCAGGTGATGCAGCTCGGGCTCTCGCAAGAAGTCTGGGAATCTAGCGAGGTTTCGCAGCCTGAGGCTGGGGAACACGTTGGCATTTTCCCGCTCCTTCTTCGCCTGGTCCGGGGGCTCAGGGCCAAAAGGTTCGGGGATTCTGAAATTGTCCATGAGATGGCTAAGCCAGGGTTGGAGCTTTATTCTAGGGTTCACCATACCCTCGATGATCTACACGGAGGGGTTAGTCGTGCGTGTGAGTGTTACAGGGAAGACGGTCATACTACGGGGACACACATGGTGACGATGATCTCGGTTTCGAATGCGCCTCGCCAGTTCCGAGTGGATGCCGCCTGGAGCAAATGCGACAGCCCTTCAGCGTGGGTGCTCGTGTTTGGATCTGTTTTGGCTATCCAACCCTGCAGACAGTGTCAGTTGTTTTCTCCCTGGTGGGTGCTAGCCGACGTACTTGAACAACCATGATCAGGTAGATTGCGCACATGGTATCTATCGTCGTCGACTGCACGGGGTCGTTGAGAGAGTTTTGAAGGGCATTCAAAGCACTTCCGTATTTGGACAGCGCCCATAGCTCATTCCCATCCGTGTGGAGGGTTGTGAGGGCGGTAGAGAAGGCATCGACCGACGCATCGAGGGCCTTGTTCTTCCCGAGGCGTTCTGGGAGGCGTTGGAGGAAGGTTCCGTAGCAGTTGATATCATAGCGCACGTCGGTGACCTGCAGCTTGGAAATAAAGACGGCAGCTATCGTACTGGTCCGGTTTCTCGGGACCAGAGCGAGCGGGTTCACCTGGACGCAGGTCTCTTTGGCTACAAGCGCCGTGGAACCCTGCTGCTCCAAGACCTGGACCTTGAACTTGTATCGCTGCTTGCCACCACCTACGCAGGGAATGCTCAAGCGCGTACATCTCGCGCAGGATGGCTTGGCCTGGTCGCACTGTGGCGGCGTTAGAGTGAGAGCGGGCGGGTGGATGGGTGAGGGTGAAGGTGAGGGATTGAGGTCTAACCTTCTTCTTCTGCTTACGACAGCCGTCACAACCTCGACCTGATGGCACTCCAGGCATCGTGGAAGCGCTCGATTTTACCTAAAGCAGTCAACTCACGTGCTCTGGCCGAAGTTGGATCACGGAGGGTTGTCTGATGCAGTGATGCGATGCCAACGCGGCCGGCTTTACAGCGTGGGGGCCCCGCAGCCTTTATTGAAACTCGCGAGGCTTCATTCCGCACCCCTGCTGACGCTCGGCCGACGTAGAGGGCTGAGCATGAGAGGGAATTGATTGGTGAACTCGCTGCGTATGACCCACTGGGGATAGCATCACAGCGGCACATCGAGCCTCCTTCGGCCTAGTGCGTGACGCCCGGTGTGGCCGATGAGGATGAGCACAAGGCTGGATCGATATCTAAGCCTTGCTTGTGCGACACGCTGATTGCTTCATCCAAACACTCGACGATCAATAAGCAAACCCGACGCTTATAATATCTTCGCTCGTCCAACGACATCCAAAAAGCACTCCTCGATGTTGCACATGCCGCCAAGCATGAGGCGGGGGCTGTGTAAATTGCGCTGTGTCAACGCCACCTGTCGCGACAATGCTCCCTAAACGGGAAAAATAAGTGCACGTCACCTCATAAGCAATCAGCCTCACATATTTTCTCACGCAACATGGCATCACTTGTCGAAGAAAAATACGCAGTACATAGGAGTATTTAATCGTGGCTTCGGGCCAGTTTTCGCAATCGTCTGAACTCATCTTTTTTTGTAAATTACGGCATCCCATCGCACCAAGACCAGCGCCTCACGCAAGCACCTCCTATCTCTCACAACCGAAATGTCTACCCCAGGGTCTCAAGTCTTTCTCCTCCGCAAATCACCAAATGACCCCAAACTCCTCGTCATACATCCCGACGGGTATCCCATGAGCGCGCCACCTCTCTATTCCGTCAGGGTCACGTCTAAAAAGCCCAACGTCACGCTCTCCAGGGGGTACATGAGTCCGGAGAACATCATCGGCTATGCAACTGTTCACGCCTTTTCAAGCACCAACGAGTTATCTCTTCGCGGCCAACCCATGTCCATGAAACAATCCATGTTTGGGGATAAATACTCCTTCACCGTACCGCATATGGGAAACTTCAAATGGAAACCGAGCATGTTTTCAGGATCCCACGAGCTGTATGATGGCTCGGGACAGAAACTGGCGAAATTGGGCTCCGGAGGCTTATTTTCATCTGAGAAGAAGCTGGAGCTTATGGTTCCAGGCGACGATTTTTTTATGGATCTTGTGGTTCTCACAGCCATCGCCGCCAAGGAGATAACGAAATTGGGAGAAAAGGTTGGAGAAGCCGGTGCAGAAGTTGCCGGAGCAGTGGTAGCTGCGACTTAGAGGGAGACGCGACGTCTGAGGAATGACCATAACTCGCAAAATAATTCAATGTCTTGCTATAGTGTACAGCTATTGGGCCCAAACTTATATAGAATTAGTGTTCCATGGGGTTTCGATACTGAATTTGGTGATTGTATTGATATAAGATGCCTCTATCACCCCCCTCTTTTCTTAAGAGGAGTTCTACGCAGTTTCCTGTTGCTGGCAATCTTGATAAGATCATCTGCGATAATTTCCGTTGTTGGCTTGTAGTCCACGCAGGTTCTATTGCATTGAGTTTCCTACATCGGCTAGTAGTCAAGATAACATAGCTTAGTCTGCAGCGATGAAATTCCGTGTGGAGGAGCCGCATAGACTGCTGGCTGTCAGTGAATCTGATCCTCTTCCAGCTTGACCACCAGCTCTGTGATCAATCGGGTGAATCGGAGATTAATGTAACGATCGCGTCCATTGCACAGCCTATGTAGCTTATTGTTGCCAAAGTATATTCCATTAAAAGGTTAATAAATTCCATTATTGAGAATTTTCAACGTGTTGATAAGACTTGTACTGAATACATTGAGGTTCTGTTTCTCTACATGACTAAACCAAAGCTCTTATATAAGAGTTATATTAACATAGGTATCAATAAGTCCAACCAGCTAATTTCGGAGCCTCGAAAATTCCGTCTTACTATCAATTACGTATATTAGCAATTGCTTTATAAATCAGATGTATATCAGAACGCCGCATAGACTTAGCTGTAACACGACCTTTGCTACAATAAGAGCAATACTGGCATAGTGATAAGTCTGACTAGCTAATCTATAGGCAGCGAAAAGTCTGGCTTGATGGGGATCACCGGCGTCGGTGGTTGTCTTACAAATTAGATGTAGATCAGGACGCTAGTTGAACTCGGCGGTGCCATCGGTCAGGTCACACCTTCTAACATCCTTCAATAGTTACTCCCTAGGTGGAGTGATCCAAGGTCACACCGCTTATTTGATTTTAGCCTATATAGTTACCATGCGGGGTATTGCGGTTCTTACTAAATTTCTAGTTAGAACATGAGTGAGTTTTAGTGTCTGTTCCTGGGTGCCTCGGTCCTCGGCTTGCATTAAGTATTTCTTATGTGTCAAGGAGCGAGATACATAAAGGCAATATTAGATGCTAGAATTTTACGACCTTTCAAGAACAACAGAGAGTAACCTAGCATCTGACCACTCCGCCAAAGAAGTCTTCTTCTTTAAGATATTATCTGCTCTCGATGGAGAAATTAAATCAAATTCTGAATAACTTCATGGCAGATGGAGACAGCACCAAGGACAAGGTTCTTGGCGCGTCGTTCATTGTAACCGATAAGAATAGTCTGCAAGCACATTTATGAAAACCTCGGAAGCCTCATTGCTGATATTAATTTAGAGATCTTGTATGAAGGAGTGGCTGGCCGAATAGGCAACGCTGTAGACTCGCCATCATTCAGTTCGGAATCTTCCGGCTGGATTGCCTCGATGACCAAAATCGTCACCGCTACGAGTCTGATGCAACTCTTTGAGAGGGGATTGATACATCTGGATGACGATGCCCGGTCGTTGGTTCCTGAGCTGGCCAACGTGCAGATTCTTCGAGGATTCAATGACGAAGACAAGCCCGTTCTGGAGAACAACACCGACCCGATCACACTTCGGTGAGCTACGCTGAACAAATCCCTTCCTTTCTGGTGCTGACAGAGGGGAATTCAAGGCAACTCCTATGCCACACGAGCGGAATGGGCTACGACGCCATTGACGCAGATCTTCAGAAATGGTCGTCCGCCACGGGACGGACTGCGGGTACACTGGACCAGACACGCGAGGGATGGAATACACCACTGAAATTCCGACCTGGTGAGTCTTGGCAATATGGCAGTAGCTTGGACTGGGCGGGTCAAGTGCTTGAGAAAATCACCGGCCAAAGCCTCGGGGAGTACATGTCGGAAAACATTTTCAAGCCGCTGGGCATGACCGATACAACTTTTCGTCGTCAAAAGATTGCAGAGAAAGTCTCCGGCCGCATCATTGAGAGTACCTACAGAATTCCAGACGGGACGCTCATTCCGGGCCCTCTTCCAGTGTCGGAGGATCCTCCACTTGACGGTGGTGGCGCGGGACTCTTCTCAACAGCCCAGGACTATATCAAATTCCTGCAGGCTGTTGTTGCAGCTGGCGAGGGCCAGGGTACTCTTCTGCGCAAGGAAACCGTCGATGAGATGTTTCGACCACAGCTCAGTAAAGCTCAACGGCAGAAACTGCAGACATTTCTGAAGGATGCCATGCCATTTCCTCCCGATACGCCAATGGACCACGGAATCAGCGGTGCCATCAACACGGCTGATCTGGAGGGGAAACGAAAAAAGGGGACATTGACTTGGGGTGGAATGAGCAACGGTCAATGGGTTAGTGACTCCGCCTGGCATGCCGTCTGCCGCCGCATAGATGCCTTTATTGACATTCTCCCAGTGGATCGATCGCGAAATTGGGATAGCTGCTGTGCTCTTCGTTAGCCTCCTTCCCCCGTATGACGAGTCTGTCAAGAGGTTGTATGATGAGCTAGAGAGGGTCGTGTATGGAGATCTACTTCCTCGCTCCTAAAATGCCGGCACGGATTTACCTTCCGAACCCGTCAATGATGACATTCTCTCCTGTTTTAGGTGCTACTATATTCAAGCTGGTCTGAAATCCCCATGCGTAAGACAATGTCTGGATATATCACTGACCTCTGGATTGGCTGAACTAACTGAAAGATTCTTTACTCTCTGTAATTCCTGCCCATTTGGTAAAGTTATACTAGTATTGCATCAATTGATTAAACCCTTCCCAATATTAATTCTTTCGTAAGGGAATTTATATTTTCTTTATATTTTAGTATTTGCTATTTTGTAACCATGCACACTGGAAGTTGAATAGCGCACGAAACGGAATTGCAACAAGCGCACAATTCCGGGCTGGGGAGGGGATTTGTATTTGGAAGGCAAAGGGAGCAAAAGGAGAGTTGACTAAGATAATAATGTTTCAATAGATGGCTTGAATTTTAATTAAAGATATATTTTACGAGTATAGTGGCTAAGCAAAATCCAACTCCTAGTTGTGCCAAATGTTTCCTGGTGAAGGCATCTGAAAACTGAACCGAAACACAACAACCTGCTCACTATTGCACCTGCTCATGAGCAATTCCTTCATTCACGCACACCGTACCTTCCGGCACGTCCTGAGGAAGAGCCCACCCACTATTGCAGATACCAAACTTCTTGGGCGTGAAGCAGATAAGCGCCCCGGAGGTCGGGCAGGGATCCATGCCTACAGCCCAGTAAGGCCTACCACTACTGGACGGCGCAGCGGAGGGTACCTGGTTGGAAGGAACAGCAGTAGTAGATGGCTTGCTTGACATCGGGGCAGAAGTCACCTTACTGGGGGGCTCGGCAGAGCACTCCTCGCTGGAGGGTGCGGCAGAAGTCACCTTGCTAGATGGGTCGGCGTGAGAGGTCTTTGTATATGCCGTGGTGTAGAATGTATCGGCAGCTGGGCACTTCGCCTGATCGCTGGCGGGAGGTTGCTGTCCCAGGGTCGCTGTTGGAGACGCGACAGCGGAAGTGATGAGGGTGCTGACTGACATAGAAGCAGCCGGTGAATTCACAGATGAAGGTACAGCAGAGGGTGTCCCGACCGATCCCGGCGTCGTGGGAGAGGGTGTAGAAGGGGAACCTGGCTGGGAAGCGCCGCCACCAGCAGGATCCTTAAAGACAGGCTCAACTCCAACCTCACACCCACCGTTGCTTCCTGGAGTGACCGCATCATGGACTACGCCATAGTCTCCGGGGTCTGGGAAGCCAAGGACACCATTATCCGTGGTGCACTGGCCGGCGATGTTGGCGCGGAAGATGGGGGGTAGCTTGTCCACGAACGATTGATCATCTGTGCCGCCAACGACCTTGATCGGGGCGCACACCATATACATCTCTCGGTTGCCGATCTTGTTGAACCAGGTCCAGGCGAAGATTGCATTGCCGTTCTTCATTTGCTTGGGGATCGGGATGTTGAACTGCCGGGTGCACTCCGTGCCTGAGTCGTTGCCGCATTGCGGGCCGTTCTCACGACCATGGGGATCCGTTTCCGTGGTGGGGATATTTCCCACGGCCTCCGCCGGGCATCCTCCTATCATGCTGTAGATGGTGTGCCAGGCGGTAGGCTCTGAAGGGGGAGTATCGCCGTAGGCAATGCTGAACTGGCAAGATCCACCGCCGTGGACGGCGCTGCCCCAGAACCGGACCAACTGAGTCGTCCCTGCGGTCACAGTCGTAACCTCCTCGATGCCGCTCATGCCTTGGCAAGGCCATGGAAACTGCGCAGTCAGAGGTCCGACTTGTGCGAGAGGCGGGGTGTCGAGGTTGTAGGGGTGAGGCTCGATCATAACGACATGGGCGCTTGTTTGTCCGACGAGGGCCAGAGCGGCCACCAAAGAAATTGAAGTCCGCATTTTCGTAGTTTGAGGGTTCGGAAAATCGATCCTTGATAGAATTCGTGTATTATATTCGACTGCTGATGATGGTTAACTTTGCTGGTTGTGTGAATTGTTGTGGTGGTTGTGGTTGCGTTGAGTTGATGGTGATACAGAAAAACTTGGCAGAGGCAGCCATGGCCAGATACTTATACCACGTCCCCGGCGTCAAATCAGGTAATCACCATGGTGCAAGGAGTTTGCTCTTTGTTTTACCACATTCATTATCCGGATACAGCATTGTGATGCTTTGTTCAATGGCTCATGAGAGAACAGGGTTGACTGAACAATCAAACAAACGACACAGCTCTAGGTAACAAGGAAAAGTGGGCGGGAACATCGTTTGCGCAAACAACATGTTTTTATGTGCCACCAGGTTCCTTCATTGGTTGTGATTGTTTGTATCACACCGGTAGTGACTTTGACGTTCCGTACGAAGCAGCAGTCCATCTTTGCTCACTAATCAATCAACCAACAAAGCCAAGCCTAGTCACTATTGTAGCAACATTCCACGCTGTTCCCCGTATCTTTCAAGCTCTTTTGGCAATTTACCAACTATTAATGATCTAAAATTCTATTCACGTGCGGAGAGATTTGACCGCATTGTATTGCTCGCCAAGTCCAGGTTTGATAGTGAGTCCCATCCCTTGATCCCATACCTCATCATATTCTACACTAACGGTGTATTCAAAGTTGCATCAACGCCGTACGTCCACGAGTATACTTGATTCTGTGTCCGCCCAACTCGGATGGTCCCGTTCTTCCCGCACCCGGAAAACGGTTTGAACCCAAATACGGAAAACAAGGTTGCTTCTCGAAGGTTCGTTGTTCCCTTCTCCTGCAGCTCGCTAACCCCCCGCATCACGTCGTGCCAGGTGTATTCATCCCGGTGCGGATGGATACTGCAATACTCGATCCGCAAAATCTCGAGCGTGGTGGCGTGGCGGCGGATGAAACTAGCCAACTTCTCCGGATCAATGTGGCCGCAGCTGAACTCGACGTGACGCAAGCGCACGAACCTCAAGTCGTCGGGAATAGCGGCTACAGTGGACATTCCGTGTGCCTCGAAAACAAGCTGCTCCAGCCGAGGCATGCTGGCGAGAACGAGGCCGAAGTGCCCTCCTTCGATCACATCGTCGCGCTCCCAGGGCATGCACTCGTCATTGATAGAGAGGTGTAAACGGGTCAGGTTGGAGGCGAGTCCTAGCTGGGCGGCGAGTGTGTCCGGAAAGGGAGAGACACTGTCGAACAATCTGATGGGCAGTCCGGGTTGGCAATTCTCTTGAATTATGTCCTGTGAAGCATCGACCCGGAATTCTCTGAGCTGGGACCGAATTCCTGGATTCTCAAGAGCTGCCAGGGCAACAAGAAGACCCCGGGCCTCACGCGCGATGGAGCGCACCTCAGGAAAATGAAGGTATTCCCCAGGGACCACTTCGCCATGACTGACCAAACCTTCCCAGTACTATGCGTCGATCAGACCTGGATTAGCCATCACTTCTCAAAGGTCGTGTGTAAGCCCTAGAATTGACTCACAAGTACCGGTTCATTCTCCTCCGTCCCAACTTCGTGCCCATAGGGAGGACCAGATTGCCGAATATTCCGCTCCAATTCATCGTCCAGCCAATCCAACGTCAACATGTTCTCATACGTACGGGGCATTGGGCTCCCCCATGCTGCCCACCAGTCGCATCGGGGAGGAAATGGCGGGCGCTCTTTGCGCTCGGTACCGAAGCGTCGCCACATGCGAACTGTCGGGCTGGACGAGTCCTGGCTCTGGGCACCAGACGCGGGGGCTTCGTCGGCGGTCCGGTTTGTGAGTACCAGGCTATGAAGCCCATTCATCCGCGGCAGCGCATTTTTGAGCGCTGTGAGGTCGGCGTGTGTCCTTCGGTTGTGGTGATGGAGCTTGAACACGGACATGAACAGCTCATGCAGCGCCGGGTCCGGAGCCGGGGCCCACCTGCGACCGGGAATATCGAACGGCGCTTCTCCGGGGAAGTACGGCTTTCGCCGGTCAGGCCAGAGCACTTCTTCCGTTGAGGCCGCGGCCTGGAAAACTTTCCATTCGGACAAGGATGGCGCCAGTGTTGTATCGTCAATGACCAGCTCGCGGACGCCGCCCAGGAGGAGTTGGTTTGCCGCGACAAGCTGGAAGACGTCCAAGTCGAGTGGATGGCAAGACAGATAGAGGACTGGGAAAAGCAACGGTGAAGCGGCTTGGTTGAGTCCCCTGCAGCTTGCTCGTAGCGATTGAAGGGCCTGGCCAGGCAGCATGGAGAGAATCCCGCCGAGGATCTCCGGCGGCAGGTCGAAAATATTTGCCATATTTGAACCTTTAGGGGGAAAACAGTCTTACGGTCCAGCAATCGACATACTTTCAACAGCGAAATCCAATCCGTTGATGCTTGAGAGAGGTAACCGGAGAGAGATGGCACGCAACGGCATTGCCAGAGATCCGAATGATGATATCTCGGAGTCGCCGTTAGGCATCGTCAGCTATGACGCCACAGTGGGGTGCGAAAAGGGGTGAACTAAAAACGATGGCAATAGACTTTCTCTACAAGAATGTAACCATTGTTAGCTATCATGAAAGGGACGGTGACCAAAATCACGATTATTTTGGAGAAAAGTGAGGCTATTCAGACAAGTGACACAGGGTGAGACAGGGAAGTGGTGGGTGGGGGTGTGCTATACTTATAATGGACATCACTGCCAAAGTGGGGAAAGCTTGTTTTCCATCTTTGGTTTCTTATCAGTCACTCTCCACATTTGTTACGGCCCATACAATTCATGAGGTGCCCTATACTTCCCTCGGCGAGATCAGCTGCTTCTGTAGCGTTTTATCGTACATTTCACCATTGACGAGAGTCTGGTACTAGAGCCCGAACATCCAGCAGAAGGGTTGTCGAGAGGGGTAGGAGCCAAGTTAAATGCGTCACAATTATGTCATGTTAGTTAGTGTGTTTCTAGGACAGGTGTGCCACTACATACACGATCCTGTTTCTTCTTATCTTGATTTATCAGGATATTGAGAGAGCTTATCCATGATGCCAACGAAAGCCGAAACCCAAAACGAGCAACTTTACCCTCCGTTCATCTCCAACATATGGTGAAATCCAGGATCCAAATTTAACCATATGTTGGACAAGCAGCCTGAGCTGAGAGTATAGGGTACCCCAAATATGATTGCAGCCAGGGTTAATTAGGTCCGTAATCCAACACCATACAAAATTCTTCGCCGCGGCTGCGGTTAGCGGTATGAGAGGGCCCACCTCCGGTTGGACAGACATAAGCTACCTGCATTAGCGTGTAAGCATCGTCAAAGTTTCTGCCCAGCAGTCTCATGTTATGGTTTAACTAATTCCTAAAGCCGAACAAGATTGAAACGATGTGGCAAGAGTATTATTACGTCATGAAAAAACATGGGAGTTAAACATATAAAGCCCGGCAGCTTTGCCAGTTTGCTTTAGCATGTCTTCTCGCAATCACACCTCTCCAGCACCGCGATCTTGAGTCTTCTTGGCTACTATCAATTCACTTTATACTAAAAAACACACTGCACAATATGGCTGATCGCTACGTTGCCGTCCACGAAACCGCCAGCGGGCCTGGTGATGCCCGCCCTACCGCCATCCAGATCATCAAGGATGAGAACCTCGAGGGCAAACTTGTTGGTCAAGTTGCCCTCATCACCGGCTGCTCCTCTGGCATCGGCACCGAAAGCGCCAAGGCTCTCTATCTCGCAGGAGCTACTCTCTATCTTACCGCTCGCAACCTCGCCAAGGCTCGAACTGCGCTTGGTGAGTTGGCCGATAGTGACCGCGTCCATCTCCTCCAACTTGATCTCGAATCCTTCGACAGCGTCCGCTCTTGCGCAGCCGAATTCCTGTCCAAGTCTTCTACGCTGAATATTGCAATCCTCAACGCGGGTGTAATGGCGACTCCCGAGGGACGTACAAAGGATGGCTTCGAGACGCAGTTCGGCACAAACCACTTGGCCCACTTCCTACTCTTCAACCTTCTCCAGCCCGCACTACTAGCTGGTGCTACCCCCCAGACACCCTCTCGTGTAGTCGTCCTGAGCTCCGTCGCACACCGTTTTGGCGAGGTTAACTTCGACGACGTCAACTTCGAGGGGCATTACGATGCGATGGCCACCTACGCGCAGAGCAAAACAGCAAATCTCTGGACTGCCAACGAGATTGAACGTCGTTACGGCGCCCAGGGCATTCACGCATGGAGCGTCCAGCCCGGCGCCGTGCAGACAGACTTGATGCGGCATACGTCCTCGGACGCGCAAAAGGGACTAGAAACCGACGACTATCTAAGCAAAATCATGAAGAACCCTCAGCAAGGCGCCGCCACAAGCATTTGGGCTGCTACTGCTGCGGCATTGGAGGGTAAGGGGGGAAAGTATCTGGAGAACTGCCAGATTGTGCCTGAATGGGAGCCATCGTTCGGTCAATGGGGTCCGGGATACGCACCACATGCGTATGACACGGACAAGGCGAAGAAATTGTGGGAGAAGTCTGTTGAGTGGGTGGGCTTGTAAATATTAGTCGGTTTCTCCATAAGACGTTATGTTCACCAAGTACCAAAATCAGCTATATGAAGCGTCGTTTTGTTTGTTCTGGCTCGTGACTTACTGTTCTGAACGTTAGATCGCCGTGGTGCTCATTGTCCGTTTGTGTAAGGCCTGGGGACCTGAGCTGAGACGCTACTGATTGGGTAACGATAAAACTTCTGTCCTTCCCATAGACGATGTGAGGAGTAAATATATCATAACCTCTATAAGTTTCATGCACGATTTACTCAACAGGTCATCTTCTAAACGTAGAACAAACTTCATTAATTAGTCATTCTGTAAACTCTGTCAACAGCCTGGTCTGGCCTCTTTTCAACCGCCAGTAGTTTGTAGCTACAAGAATCTCAGGGCATCCCCTAACGAGCCTTCCCCATTTTCGCAGAAATGCTTCGTTGATTTCCCAACCCCTCGGGTCCCATGCTTCCGTCCACACGATGAGAGAAGGTTGCTCGCCAGGGCCGGTGCTGTCAAATCCAAGAAGGTCATAACATAGATCATCGTCGTCAAACATGCCTTCTTGCATGCCTCGGAGGACGTTGTCTCGAAATATTGGAAAAGGGAAGAGATCAATCCATGGGTGATGTGGTACCGTCCTCTGCATGTGGGTAGGCCATAAGCTGCCTGGACAGTTATGTAAGGGCACAGGTAGGTTCCCTAGATTCGGACCGATCTGGCCGAAGGGCGAGATGAACTCATCGCGGCAGAAAGCTTCTTTCGGAAATCCAATCAAGGTGGCGTTGTCTGCTATTGCGTTGAGGACGTTGAGCCGAATGGTGATGTGTAAGCTCGAGGGGCGTGAGGAGTGAAGAGAATAATCCTCGAGGGCCTGTTTCATCAGATTCAGGATGCGCTCGGCTTCGCCGGGGTAGTGCAGAAGGAGGAGACCTCCATCGCCAAACACGGCCTGCCGGGCGAATAGGGCCCCTGGACCATTGAGATTTGGGCAAAGATTTGCCGGAGGGTTAGTTGAAGTGGAAGAAGCTAGGTTGCTCGACCCGGCTATGGCGGCGGCTTTCCTCCTGCCTATGGAGAACAAGTATGAGGAGTTAGCCTGTCTACGTTGGGTATAGAGCGTAAGCCAATTGCAGAGTACTTACGCCACGCTCTCTGGTTCAGACGATTTTGTCGTTTCTTTCTCTCTTGTGTGCCCGTAACCCCTGTCCAATCGTCGACTTCAGTCCTCAGCTCTGGCAAAGGGCGGACTCGCTGCACGCCGTCGAAAACGTTCACGGCAGTGGAATCCGACGCTTGATCTTGATCCATGGATAATTGGGCCACCGGCACAGAATAGCTGACGATCAGGAACGTGGGGAAATGAAGTCACAGACCCGGTGAAGTTGAAGGGCGATGATGTTGGATGGGAAACAATGGGGCGGAGTCGGTCGAGATGACGTCCCTTAAGTTATCCCATGCAAGGTAAAGTGGGCAGCCACTTAGCGGCCCTCTCAAAACGAGCTAATGCAACTGGATTATGCTTTAGACCCATTCGAGTAAGTCCAAGCTCGATCCCGAGGATGGCAGGACAGCTCAACAAATATACGTCGTACACGACACCTGAGTAAATACGATTTGTAGGTACGATGTGCATCACAGATCGTATTGTGGCTGGTTTTTCGGCTCCCGCGGATTCCGTGGATAGTTCCGGATCTAAACACTATTAGTAAAATCTCATGGGGAGGGAGTCAATCTGATGAGAATATGACATGACGTAAAACGGAGACAAATTGCGGTGTATGGATTGATCTTGATATATTCCCCTCCCTCTCAACACAGTACAAGACCCAGGTCGATATATGTAGTAAAACATATACCGTGCTCGGCAACGACGAAGCTCCGGCTCAGGACCGTTATAAGGCTTCGCAACGAACTCAAATGCTCTCTTGTAGTCCTGAAAGCCTTAGCCACACGGACGTCCAAATAAAGGAACTAAAGGAGAATTCAAGACCCAGATTTAAGCCTCCACCCAACGAGAAATTCTACGTGTCAAACGTATCATCGCTCGAGAGTCGCATCTTGACCTCCAATCGTGTCAATGACAGCGGTTTACTCATGTCTGTTACATTTTATTGCCTATCAGTATGGTGTAATCATTGTCCATTGGGGTCTCGGAGATGTTACCGTTGATTCTCTATCGATTGGTGCCTAGCCACCCTCGCGTCCGAGTCGCTTCCCGCATGTAGTCAACTCCACATTGTAGTCCGCATCTTTTATCCCGGTATCTTGAGTTAAGGTAGTGAAAGTGAAAGTGAAGTCTGCACACCTGCAAAGTCCGCTGAAACCTAATCTGTGGGATAATGTAAAGAGACAACTGCAGAAGAGCGCCCAGAAAATACACCAGAAATTATACAGTTTGGGACAGATCGATTCCCCAGTCCTCCCTCTCAATCTCTGTAATCAACTCCGCAAGCTCGGCGTTAAACCCTTCCCTTGGGCGGCCGCGTAAACGCTCCCAGTTCAGACTAGGACCTACAACCGGAATTCCTGTAGTGAGCATGGGCACCATTTCACCCATTCTGTCCGCTATTGACAACGTACAGACCTTCCAGCGGCCCAGGTCTATCATTGACCGGACACACTTGCTAACGTCGGCAAAACTTACTCCTGAGAATTCCGGGGAGTTTTCTCCTGGGTTATGGCGCGTCAGCCACCTATCGTTCTCCAATGCCAGGTATCCAAAAGAGAGAGAGGAGGTCATGATTTGTATCAAATATGGCCGAGATGGATAATAATCGGAGTCAAGTACTCGTGTGGTAGCCTCTAAGTAGTTCTGTCGATGCGACTCCATCTCGGAATTCATCGTATCCCAGACTCTTGACAAGACCGCCATACGCCTTTGATCAAGTAGATCTGCCCTAAGATTTAGCTTAAGTTGTGACTTCAGTCAGATTCAATAAGCATACCTAAGATTCGCTCTGGGAACTGAAGGTGATAGGTATTTCCAGGTCCGTCTTGCCAATATGAAATTGGAGTCCGTGTTTGGCGTTGGATGATCGATGATAGTTTCTTGAATTCCGATCTCATCTGCAATTTCCATAGGACCCAGAGCCATGGTATAGCATCTTCTTTGAAGGACTTGGGAGGCGCGAAGAATGATACCCAGACTTTTGCCTGCTCAATAGGTTTCTCTCCCAAATTCTGGCCGTATTGGTGAACCCAGACCAAGAACTGCACAAGCACACTCCATTCGACCTTGGACGGAATTTGGGATGTGTTGTCGAGCATTACATGCATCAACAAGCTCGATACGCCTTCATCATTTGGACTGGGATCAGTTGACAACCCGGAAGTTGACGTAGCTGGTTCCTGGTTTTGACCGTATTCAGTCTCATGGATGTCGTCTTCAGCTTCAGAAGTGCCACGTTCTCTGCTCGTGTCTGAGTCGTCCATTATAGATTGGATCGCGGAAGGCGAGGCGCGGAGTCTAGCCGGCAAAGCACACTGACCCCGGTTGTTGACAGCATCATCAACCACAGTGTGACGACAACGGCGCTGGCGACGGCATGCGGCGAACGATAAAAGCGCGGTGCTCTGCTGACCAGACGAGTGGTCTTGGTCATCACCATAGGAGTCCCTGCAATTGATTGAGGCTAGTCGTATTCCGTACGGCAATTGTGACAGGAAGACCGGTCCATCCGTAACCTCGACAGTGACATGCTTGCACGCAGGGCGGCCGTGTGGAGTAGAGCAAGGCTCAATCACACAGAGAGTCTGTCCATCATTTGTAACAGACACTCGGTAAACGCAAAACTTGAGACTCTCCGAGTCTGAGTCTCTACATGACGCCAAATTCACTGTCTCAGCGACGAACACACTTGTCTGGAGCTGAAAGTCGATCGTGATCGGCGAGTCGTCCGTCATCATTTCCACATCCGATGGGTAAGTGGAACAGTAAGCCGAGGTCAGGAACCCCATGAACTCTTCAGTCGGCAGTTGCGTTGCTGCGTCCCATTCCTCATCAGACATAGACTCAATGACCTCGATGGCTCGGATGATAGGTGAGGGATTCTGGGGGCGATCAGCGTTGTCGGGATTCATAGACACGCTTACTACCGGTCTATCATTCACAGAATCGGTGGGCTTGGGGACTTGGAGTAGCTGTCCGTTTTCGAAAATGAGATCGTATTCGCGCCCATGTGTGCTAGTGGTGCACAACTCCCGAGATTCAACGGTTTCGGTGGCTTGGAGTGATTGATCATCGTCGTCAGAGGAGTCAGTGTGCGCGTCATAATAGCCCTCAGATGAAGCGCAGGCCTGGCCTACACCAGCAGGCTCGAGCGAGTGGATAGCCTTTCTAGGGATCAGTCGACGAGTAGACTGCCACGCTCTCCTTAGAGTTGAGGGGCCATCTTGTCGACTATTGCAGTCCAAAACTGTGGGTTCGAAAGAGGTTTTGGAAGGTTCCCTTGATGTCAAAGCACTCTGACTCTTCTTTTCAACACTATGTCGCCCAATGCTTAGGATTGAACTCGTCTCAACCTCGAATGTGGCTTGTTGTAGCCTGCTGCCTTCTAGTCTCTCAAGGGTCTGGCCATGTTTCAACATGTCCTTCCTGATGAGGTCAAGAAGTTTGTGCGCTTCCGATTGCCTTTTGTGAGTTCGCATTAGTTCAGATGTGGCCATCTTTGGAAAATCGTGGAGGATAATTCTTGCCATGATTCAGACGTTTGTACGGATGCTAAAGTCAGTGCCAGATGAAGGTGGGCTTGAGCGTGTTCAACATCTTTGATCAAGCCTCCAATTTGCTCCTTGCTAAGGTAGAAGCCAAGAGAGTTCTTTGACCGTGAAAACAGTTTCCGAAGACGACTAGAACTCGTTTGACGTAACGCATCATGTCTGTCCAACAGGGTAGATGCATCATTTCTCACTCGAGACAGCTTGGTATTGATATACTCAACAAACGGGTACTCCTTATCATCGTCTTCAATGGGGATGCTATGGATGCGAGGGGACTGTTCCAGGGTATCGACGAGCACTTTCTGAAACTAAAATCACATATGAGCCAAATCTTCTGTTAGCTAAAGGGGACACATACGCAGGCCACTCCATGTAAACCGTCGCAATATCGCTGCCAGTCTTCTGGGGCATGTTTGACCGCATTGCGAAATCTGATAATTTTTTGTGTGAATTCCCATATTGTGAGGATACTGGCGGCTGCGCCAATTGCCTCGGCCATGGTGTTGATGATAGAGCCACGTGTGGGGCCCGTAAGTGAAGACTTCATCCTGAAGATAACACCCAATATATAGGCAGCAATGCCTTAACCCGACGAATCAATACCGAGACATTGGCAAGCTTCTGCGCCGTCTTATGAATGCCAGCGAATTTGCCTTCTAGTTCGCCTCACCACAACGTCATCCAAGCGGGCCATTCCGGGTTACAGATGTCACCCCCTCTCGGCTGCATGGCCACGTAAACAGCGTGACTAGTGGAAGTCGTGAGGTACCAACCTACAGTGGGTTGAAAAAGCCATGTTTTCTACCAACCATATCCTACATGCTCACAACAAATGGGATGACCCCGCTTCTATCGTGGCTCAGTTATCGTGGCTCAGTTGGCCAAAGCCGCATTCTGCCCTCAGTCGGGCGGAAACAGGAGACCGGCCCCCTTGCGGGACCGACGAGGCATTGAGGAACGGATTAGAGTTGGGCATGAGCCGGCGGGCAGCAGGTATCAACGATAAAATCCTGATGTAAGCCCTGTGTCACATCGTCACGCAGAAATCCCGTGTATAGAGGCCCCCCTCGTTCACAACGTGAAGACTTTCTGAACCTGTTCGTAAATTTACTTTAGTACAGCCACTTTACTAAACTCAAGAAGATTTGGCAAAATTGTATAGCTTCCATCGATTACTCGAAATGGAACAATATAGACACCGATTCCAGGCCAGAAAAATTGGCCCAGCCAGCGCTCACGCCCAAATGAACCCTGCCGCCCGCGCACGCCTCCGCACGGTCGACTGCATCTTGCAATATTCCTATCCATTTGAGTATAAATAGGGCTTCTATAACCCTGAATTAATGGATGAACAGCCTTCCCAATTCACATCATTTTGACCAGTAACTCCTGCTATTGAATATAGCAAATTGCGCATCCGAAGAGGTCACTTAAAGTTTTCGGATAGGAGTTTAGATCTGACTGCGAAAATCAAACACAGTTTAGTTTTGACCGATAAATTCTGTTCAAATACAGCGATGACAGTGTACGAAAAGTAGTTAATGATCAATGGGATGGGTTAAAAGGCTCTGATATGTAATTTGAGCTTGTTTAAAATAATCTTCATTTGTTTTGGTTCTCACGGACTGTCGGGACTTTTCCGTGTGCGTATCCAGATTTTTCAACTTTACTATAAGACGATATCGCCAATTGAAGCCCAATAAATAAAATAAGTATATTACTATGAAGCTATGCATCTAATCAAATTAAGGTTTGAACCTGCAAGGTGTGGTCCGAGTTGATGAAAGGAAATAGGCCAGAGCCCCCTTCGTTCCTCAAGGCTTCTTTGCGCAAACCGCGACCAGTTTGCCTCTCTTGTTAGATGTAAGCCTAGAATAGACGGTCGGCTAACTCCGTCGTATTATAAAGTATGTTAACGACATCCTAGAAGTAGTCGGCTGAAGGCGAGGCTCGGCTTGGCTGAGGGTAGTGCCAGCTATGATCAGCGGATGCAGCTGCAATTCAGCATTGGCCTTTTCATACTCTACACTTCCTTCGATGGGAGCCTGATACTACTTATCGTGTTTGATTGTTTATTTCACTATTAGCAAGCGTCTCAATCAGGACCAGAATGGTCGAACACACAGGGGCTGAAGGGGGGATGAGTGAGGGTAAAGCTTAGGAGAGTTGACGTTCCATTCTCACATGACTTTTGTTTTAAAATGTTTATATGGGATTTCTACTCGAAACAGTTTCGGTACACTGTGCAAAGACATCCATTACCATTCCCCAACAAGCTGGCCGCTTTTTCAATTGGAGACCAATCTTTCGAGTCGAGAAAATATTATCCCTACGACGACTGAATAGTAGCAGAAAATCAAATCAAAGTAGCGTCACGTTGATATGACTAACCAAGAGGCTTTCCGACGTTTCGCACGTTCAGTCAGCCAAGCGCGGCTCTTAACCCAGCCCAGTTGAGTATTGAGTACCCGGGCCAGTCAGTGAGAATGGACGCTCTATTCAGATTCGTCTGTTGTTTGCAGTGTTATTGGTGTCACGAGCGGTCTGTCGAAGCAGAGACGCCTATCCGGGAGTGGACTTTCCATCATCTCTCATATTGAAAAGTCATCATGCCAGCAACAAGAACTATCGTCGGCTCGATTGACGCTACGAGCCCGGCAGCAATCCCATACGCAACCCAATATCCGATCTCAACCGCATCGGATTATTGCCTCAGCCTTAAGTGCTGATAGGAGACTCTGAGGAAGGCTGAGGCAATAATCCGGTGTGGTTGAAATCGGATATTGGGTGGCGTATGAGATTACTGTCGGGCTTGTAGCATCAATCGGGTCGAGGACAATTCTTGTTGCTGGCATGATGACCTTTCAATATGAGAGATAAATAAGAAGATGATGTGTAAAGGAGGAAAAAGAGTCAGGGCTCAGCTTCTTGAGCCAACTGCTTATATATTCATACGAGGTTTAACTTTTTCAAGTAGAAAAGCCTGATATTTGGTCATTGAGGTAGAAATACTTGAATTGTGGATAAAACTGTATTTTTTGAACCTTATGCCGGCAACTTGCTCACCTTGAGGGAGCAGACAGAAGTTAGATTAATTGGTGGGAATGAACAGATTCTTTTGGGACACATCCCTCCTGAATAGGAAGACGAGAGAGCAAACAGATTCACGTGTGTTGCTATGAGTGGACTATGATCGGTGTGCCACGGACTGATTGGGCGTGTGTCAAAGCTCGGGGGACCTTGTCTTGTGGTGACTGCCTTGACAGGTTGACATGACCACTCACGGTGGAGTGGAGGCCGCCAAATCTGATCTGCAATTGAATTGTAGTTAATCTTAAGCAAGCAGAGAACCCAATTGCTGGGTGGGAGGGGTAAGATGTCTCCGGGACATTCTGGGTTGGAAGTGCCTGTCCTAGGTCGGGCACGTGGACGGATTGAAGACGCCCCGCGGCACTCTCTACGGACACTGTTCTATAACGAGTAAACGGGCACGATGATCTTGAGGGTTGCTCTTGACCGTAGAGAGTGGCCCGGATCTCTCCCCGGCTTGGCCCTTGATGTGGTTCGTCAAATCATCGGCATACGACACAATCACGGCCGAAGACACTGGGATACCTGGGTCGCCCGCTCTTCACACTTCGTGCAATGCAGCCAAGCAAATCTCGGTATACAAGAGAAGCTAAAAATTGAGACGTGGCGGTGATTCTCAACCTTGATTGGTGTGTGTCGCTGGAGGTGGCCTGTACCGCCAAGAACAACGGCCTTGGCCGCGAGGACATCGGTGGCGAAGCTGGCGTGGGTCGGGATGCATGTGCATTTAAGAATGCCTTGGTCCTTTCAGGTTGAGCGAAAGCTGCTCGGCTCTATCCAGATTGGTCTGTTGTTTCCAGTGTTGTTGGTGTCACGAGTGGTCTCGAAGCAGAGACGCCTTATCCGGGAGTGGGTGACGGAACGGGGCTGAGAGCTGCATACCTTAGGTGAGAGCTGCATGCCCGAAATACGCCTGGTTCCGTCCATTTTCTAGAAGTGCAGACGGATCCACTCAGCCACGGACGGGGAAGCATGATATCGATGCCGGAAAGCATGATGGCAAAGAGGCAAAGGGTCATGCGCGATGCCACAACTGCCAGTCGGAATCTTAACCACCATCACCGTCGACTCACAGCACATACGACCATAGCTCTTAGAAAATACGGGATCCCGTCCGCTCTCCCCTAGTCAAACTGAGAAGCGGCGAATTAGTACTCGGGTCGGTGACGACCGGGGAATCCTCGCTGTTGTATGTTTTTGCCCATTTGGATTTATCTTTTTGGTGTTTCTGTGTGGTTAGTGGAAGCAATGAGTAATGCCGAGAATGAGAGTGAGAAGCTAGAACGGGAGGCCCAACCGGCCAGTGAAATCATACCATGTAATTGGTGCACATAGCAGAGTACGCTACGGCTGGCCTGGCCTGAACTACTGACCCTGGACTCGCGTCGCTGTTTCGGGCGACCGAGATCGACGGCGAAAAGCTGATGGTCGCAACTGGTATTTCTTGCACTCTCGAAAGCGTCAACTCATCTGCAGCCGCACAACAGCGCCGCCAACGTGGGCTGAGCGACGCCTCGGGCTGGCTTGCGGCTGGTCGGGGAGGCAGACTTGGCAAAGATGGCCAAGAGAATAACGACAATGCCAAGAGCGGTGGGAGGAGACGGTGCTGAGTATGCCGGACAGGACTGAATTCGACTCCATTCGACGCACCACGTCGGGCCAATGCCTCAGAAAACGGCGACCCGGAGGATGAGCGATTGCCTCCAGGGAGAGAAGCGAGGGTCACTCCCAGGCGAGAGCCAAGATGCCAAGGCCTTATTTATCAAGCTGGGCTGGCCCGCGGGAGCAAATGAGTATCTTTGGCGGCCTGATGTCGCGAATTATCTGATATCTGACCGGGGTCGTTTGTAAGGGGTTGAGGACGAACCGACAACTCCACGTGGGGCCATGGCCGATCTCATTGGTCTACTCTACCCCGGTCGTCCACGGCTCCGGAGGCTCTCCGTGCGACATCTCGACGACATGTCATCGACCCCGGCGAGCTCACTGAAGACTCGACCTTGGCAAGGCAAAATCAACGCGCACGTGCGTAGGCTTTAGCATACAACACGGCCGAGAGAACACTGTCTTTCTTCCATGGTGCGTTTTTCGTACCCCGTACACGTACAAGCTGCTCCGCATGGAGAAGCCTCGCCGGAATTGGCATCCAGCATGCCCGTGCCGTTGCTACCACCTTTTGTGTTGCACCGGGCTTGATCCACCTTGGTTCGTCGTTGGACTCGTTCGTTAATCTTACTCTGACTGCACGCGGCCGGCGGCCACCGTGGTGTTGACGACGCCGGGACACGCGTTGTTGGCTGTGAGTCTGAGGCCCAGGCCTGCCCCGGATCATCACACTCCCCTTTTCCCCCGCTGAAACAAATTCAACCACTGCTATCTCTCATGTCCTCGAATGGCGCAATTAGTATCCCTCCCGGTGGCATCCTCGGGTCATCTCATCCACGCCCAACCCGTAGTCTACACGCGCATCCAACACACCTCCGCGCACAGCCCAGTCGCTGTCGTGTGAGCACTGTCGATCTCCACGCCAAGGCGCCTTTCAACCTGCCTGCTCCCGAGACTCTACTGCTTCTAGAGACAATATGTCAGGCTTCCGTCGTCCACTGGACCCCTTCCTGTTGGGTGGGAACTGGCGCCCCGTCCAACAGGCTTGCGCCATGCGAGCACGAGCGATGCCCTGTGTGCCGCAAGAGGTGCCAAGGGGTCGATCTTGGCGATCCATCTCTGTGCCCTCTATTCCCTATGTCGTCCGAATGGGTTCACCGAGCCCGAACGCCTCTTCCTCAAGGCTCCTTGGCTCTGGGCTTACGCCTACTAGGATGGACTGGGAACGATCCCAGCAGGTGCGCCAAGCCCGTCTGCTACCAATGACATCCCCTGGGTCATCTACACTTCGGGATGCAGCCACAAAGTGACCCCAGAAGCATAATGATAAGCTTGTTTGCCAAGACTCTATTCTCCACCTGCAACGCCGCTCTGTGGCCGCCCGTTCATATAAGGTCCTGGCTTCATCGTGCCGTTGCAACAGCTTCTCCTTTCGAAAGCAAGCACTCCCCCTTCCCTTCATTACCTTCCTTTCCAGAAGCCTCTGGTTTCCATCCGAGGACCACGTATAATAATCTCTGCTGGGACGCCCTGCAGCACCCGCTATAATGGTCGTCCTCCACCAGTACGACTACATCTTTGCCATCGGCACCATCTTCGCGTTCCTGGACGCGTGGAACATTGGTACGTACCCACATAGAACGCCTGCATCCCGCTGCCGGACGCCACACGCCGGCTTTCCTCAATGGTTATCTGCTATTCGCTCTACAACTGCTATATGCCACTTACATGCATCAACTTCGTGAGCCATCACCCGCTAACCACCAGTCTTGATCTACAGGTGCCAACGATGTCGCCAACTCCTGGTCCACGTCGGTCTCGTCCCGATCCCTGTCCTACATCCAGGCCATGACGCTCGGTTCGATTCTCGAATTCGCAGGATCCGTCGGTGTCGGTGCCCGAGTCGCCGACACCATCCGAACCAAGGTCGTCGACATCGACCAGTTCGAGTCCGATCCCGCTCTTCTCATGCTTGGCATGATGTGTGCCGTTGTTGCTTCCTCCATCTACCTCACCATCTGCACCCGAATTGGTCTTCCCGTCTCCACCACCCACTCCATCATGGGCGGTGTCATCGGCATGGGCATCGCTCTTGTTGGCGCTGACGGCATTCACTGGGCCGAGTTGGACAAGGGAATCAGCTCCGGTGTCGTCTCCGTATTCCTCGCCTGGATCATAGCACCCGGTCTGGCCGGTGCCTTCGCCGCCATCATCTTCCTCATCACCAAGTACGGCGTCATGCTCCGAAGCCAGCCCGTCTGGAAGGGTCTCTTCCTGGTCCCCATCTACTTCGGCATCACCGCCTCGCTCCTCACCATGCTTATCGTCTGGAAGGGTGGTTCCATCAAGATCAGCTTCACTGACGCCGAGACCGCTGGTATGATTGTTGGTGTCGGTGCCGCCTGGGCCTTGGTCATCGCCACCTTCCTCGTCCCCTGGCTATACCGCCTCGTCATCAAGGATGACTGGCAACTCCGCTGGTACCACATCCCCCTGGGACCCCTGCTGCTCAAGCGCCCCGAGCCCCCTGCCCAGCCTGAGGGCGCCGAGGGCGGTATCCAGAACTTCTACGAGGGCCACCTTACTCGCGAGGAGCTCAACGAGCTCCGACGTGCCGGCCGCAACGGCAGCGACGAGTTCGAGCGCGCCGACGACGAGAACAACACCAACACTGAGACCAAGCAGGCCTCTCGCGACGACTCTGCCGAGCACACTGATCCCGAGCCCGTCGAGCGCAAGGAGAAGAAGAGCATTGTCGGCCCCAAGCCCGACGGCCCCGTCTACAGCCCCGCCGTGCTCTTCTGGTACCTCAAGTTTGTCTTCCTCCAGGGTGTCGACCAGGACATTGTCCACCTGCAGAACTCCAAGGGTGTCCTGAGCGGCGATCTCGAGGAGATCCACGCCAACGTTCCCCACTACGACAACCGCACCGAGTACCTCTACACCTTCCTCCAAGTCATGACTGCTGCCACTGCCTCCTTCACCCATGGAGCCAACGATGTGTCCAACGCCATCGGCCCCTATGCCACCATCTTCCAGATCTGGCACACTGGTGTCCTCAAGGACAGCAAGTCTGATGTCCCTGTATGGATTCTGTAAGCAAGCCATAGCCTCTAACCAGCATCTCACGAGTCAATTGCTAACGTTCCGCCACAGCTGCTTCGGTGGTGCCGCTATCGCTCTTGGTATCTGGACTTATGGTTACAACATCATGCGCAACTTGGGTAACCGCCTGACTCTCCACTCTCCCTCTCGAGGTTTCTCTATGGAATTGGGATCCGCCGTCACTGTCATCCTCGCTACCCGTCTTAGTATGTCCCCCACAGCAATTCCAGTCAAAGCAAAACTTGCTAACACTCTCGCCCAGAGCTCCCCGTCTCCACCACCCAGTGTATCACCGGTGCTACCGTCGGTGTCGGTCTATGCTCCGGCACCTGGCGCGCTATCAACTGGCGCATGGTCGCTTGGATTTACATGGGCTGGTTCATCACCCTGCCCGTCGCCGGTATCATCTCCGGCTGCCTCTGCGGTATCATTGTCAACGCTCCCCGCTGGGGTTATGAGGGTTAAGCTTCTCCCTCGGAGTTTGAGCACTTGTATCGTGACTATAGTAGAGGGGACGGTAGGACCTAGATTGGTTACACAAACCTGAATATTTCATTTTTACTATTACGCAGAGATCATGGCTCACGAGCTAACTCATGTTTTTAAATGTCTCTAATGAGGCGCCTAATGAAAATTATACTAGTGCTCATGTCTCTGGTGCCATTCTCTCTCGTGTGACGCTATGTCGGAACTTTTGACATTGTAAAATATTATGTGGCTCTTTTTCTTTCATACATATACATTCTATTGTTGATACTATTGTTGGTGTTTTTCTTTGTTTAACTGTTGAGCTTCTAGTCCCCCCTCTGGGTATGTGTGTACTAGGACACCCTAACCTCTTGAAACACATACATTCATTGACTCGACATGTCACTCGGACTACTTGCATTGAATGTACAAGACACTGGGGCCAAACTCATCAGTCGCATAAGTTGACGTGGTGAAATCCCTTCACCCACCGTTGGCAGCCCCACCATTCCTCTATCGAAACCCGACGGTGTCAAACAAATTTGAAGATGTATCTGGAAAAACTTTCCCTCTTTTTTAATTTTCTGATGAATGCTTGTCGCAAGATGTGTCGGGTCATTACATAGGTCTTCTTGGATTTCTCTACAGCCTCATTCAATAACTACATTCCCCGTTGTCAAGGCCAGCCTCTCTTAGCTAATACATCAGTAGCCGTTGCATTGGAACTAGATTAAACCCTACACGTATGAGACTTGACGGAAGAGTGATCTTCATATGTAATTCCCATATCCTTGCGAATCTATTACATGCCATATTTGCCACTGTGTCATTCTCGTAGGTATCCTCCTCCTTCGTTTTAAGATAATCTAAACATCCTCATCAACCCAAGATCCCGGCATCCTCCTCACGAGCTTGAGATTCTTAACACCCTCGGCTTTGCAAAGCTTTTTCACAATCCGTCGCTCAAACCTACTCTCTATGAGATCGCATGCATACTGGAACGCTTTTGAACGTACCCGACAGCTCTCATGTTCCTCGGACCCCATCCATGGCCCCCCGAAGAGAGCACGTTCAACAACCAAATCCGAATGGTGTCGGCTCGGTACGAGAAGGAAAGGAAATTCAACCCCCAGACCAGCGGCCTTCCAGGTTTTATGACCTTCTGCTGGTTGTGCCTCGAAGCGGTATAGGTCTAACCAGTCGTCAGATGCGCTACCGTAGGTCAAATGAGGGAACTCGGCCATGAGGTCAGGAGTAGAGCATGACTGATCACACGTCATGACCCAACATGGGAGTTTCCGGCCCTGGAATTCTTGGACGGCAAACTGTGGTGTATATAAGCCGGAAGAGTTGAAGTCAACAACTTCGGCCCAAATCGAAGTGCAATGAGCTATCTCGATCGTGAGATATCGCTCAATGTTGACGCCGCACTGCTCCAGTAGATTTACCCAAGACTCAACCATCCACAGGCTATCGCATGGATTTTCTGGACACTTCATGATACCTTGAAGTGCCGTCAGTCCGTTCCAAGGATCATTTATTCCAGCCCATGCTTTGGAGTGAATATCAAATCCATGCCCAACAAGCTCTGTAACAAGGTACACAGATGTCTTTGTATCGAATTGTATTTCTTCGATGTCAACCGATGTGATGAAATGCATGACGACGTTGTTCCATACATCGTTTCCAAACAGTATCCAGTTGTCCGAGAAATATCTTTTATAAGCCTCGATACAGTGGTTTGTGTAATCTGGATGCTCATTGGTCTTTAATAAATAACGGAACTCTGAGGCCGTGAGGGAATCTTTCTGAAAGTCGATATAAACGGGTGCAGCGCACTTCCGCATAAAACCACCATATATACGAATGGAGGATATAGTTTCCGGGAGATGATTTCCATTTCTTATGCCTTATATCAGTTTAAGGAAGCGTTATGCAGGAGTAGAATATACGAACCTTTCGAGTACAACCGAATAATGCGGCATCAAGAAACCGGCAATATCGTAGGAATCAAGTACGATAGCAAGCTACCGCCATATTTAGTTCGGTTCGTACAAATCAATCATCTCAGTGCAACTAACTCCAAGTAGAGATATCCCATCCCCTGGGTAAAGGAGAGGAGATGCTAGCCTCGTAGCAGGGGTCAGCGGCCCTTCAGTTAGAAGGGCCTGGAATGCCACAAGATCGTTTCGATTCATGATCCGCTCAAGTTCCACCTTAAGGCCTCTGAAATCTTCAAGAAGCAGAACGTGGGGGAACTGAATAGAGAATGTTAGGGGGTTGAGAAATCCTCGTTGTATAGACAATTTGATGTAAAGGCGGAGTAAAGGCGAGCTAATTAGCAACGTCGATTCTTCCTGGACCGCATTGGTGGATTGATTCGACGATTTCTTCCGTTTGGTAACATGTTCGAGATAATATACGGAACCCCATGAGTGCCTCCAAGACTTAACTTCCATGTCTGAAATATTCCTAATTCTCCGAGGCTGTATTATTTGCGGGTCAGACGTACTCTCAATCGTATTCTCCTCGTTAGAAGCGTCGATGATGGGAGTGGGAGTGGAGTTCAGCTTCCGTTTCGGAGAAGTCATAAGCATGACACTTTGAATTATCAGGTTAATGTATTTCCTTACTGGGAGCCATACTTACAGAATATTCCCAGTCATATTGGAGTGTAGCGACGCGAGTGATTGGTCCAGTTCGTTACTACACTTGCGCAAAGCCCCTCTGTGCTGTAGGAAAAGGGCCCCCAGAGCACCAAAGGGTTTAATTCTTCTCGTTTGGCTAGCAAATATCATGTTGATCATACCGTGAAGACGCAAAACTTTATCGCTGCAGTCGCGCATGATTTTATACAACTGTCTGAGGAGAACAACATCCCACGGCCTGGACGATTCCTCGTAGCCATTGAAAGCGACCTCTAGAGAGTGAAATATCACTTCGATGTTCTCTAGCTTCTCGGAAAGACTGGATAGCTCTTGTGCTGCGGACTTGTAGGCGTTGATCTTCTCACGGATGCTTGTCGTCATCTGCACCAGCTGCAACCCCAGGCCGACAACGGCGAGGGCGAGTGAAGCGGGATCCATTTCGAGAAGGCGTTTGATAGAAGACTCACGTTAAAGAGATGGTGAGTGGAAAGAGCAGATGCAAACGGTAGATTGAGTCATATCTAAGAGGCTTTGAAGGCGCAGCCTGGTCGTCGATTTCCCCGCAGATTCAGAAGTCATACGTCAGTGTTATGTGAGGTCATCCAACTGTCTCATTTTGTGTCGAGGGTTTTTGGGAAACAGCCAATCGAGGCCTCTAGAACCTGCACTTTCAGCATGTACGGAGTGGCTTCGCGACGTGGCCCTCAAGCGTAGTTAGTAACTCAACGCCATTGGACACCAGTTGTTAGCCAGCCTCAATTGTTGACGAATAAACCGCGATTTTCAAGTACCTTCTGCAGGTGAGCGAGATAGATTGATTTTTGGAGTATCTCACTGGTGGCGGAAGGATATTGACAGCGTGGCCCATTATGCCTTGCAACCCAATGCTACACAACGCTGCGGGCTGCGCCCACAACTTCGCCTCACGTTGTTATGAGGCTGCCAGCAGAAAAGCCATTGGGCTACTTTGTAGATTATACTAGCTATTGGGTAAGGCTCTCAGAGGTAAGTACAGTAAGTATTCCTTCAGGTGTGGCAATTAAGCCTTTAGTACGGTTTCTTTGATTTCGCCGCTGTTAAAGAACTGGGAATTGGCCGAACTTCTGGAGTCACCTAATCTGGGTGGGCGGTAGTGCACCTCTCATCTGTTATTTCTTGGCTGAGGGAACATCCCACTGTGAGCGTACTGGAGGCCTATCATATTTGGGGGAACAAGTTTAGTCTCCGCTGGACCCCCCCTTTGAGTATTCGTCCTCGTAGCCAAACTATCGTGGCTCATGGTAGCTCTGAAGCGGGGACTGGTCAGGATTCCGCGGGGAATCTCATGGTTCCACAAGCATCGGGTTTGATGGCGTCATTGGACTGCGAGCTCGTTGATGCATGATCCCAGATGCTCCAAGACAGAATTCTCGGGATCCAATGGCGGAAGAAACACGGAGAAGAATCCGTGATAATATCCTCTAACGATCCCTCACGTAGATGTGCCCCCAATGCAGGCTTGTCTCCACCGAAGTCGGGGTCGAGACAGAACTGGATCTGCTTCTCCAACGCGATATCTCCACTATCCAACATCAAATGCCCCCCAATCTGCCTCCGTCCCTCCGCATTTTGCCCCCACGGTGGAGTCCTCCGGCGTCGGGCTGGTCATGAGTACAAAAAGCCTTGGGCGCAATTGGTCTCTTTGGGTCGCGGTCTTCTCTCCGGCGTTTGGCATCGGCAATGGCTTTCGTTTTCAATAGCCGATGGTTTGCAGCCCGGCGTCTTATATCCCGAGCGTGGCCCTCGTCGGATTGCGCCAAACCGCTGCCACGATCTCTCTCGACTCTCTCCCGGTATATTCACTCACCGTCCGCGACCATGAAGCTGCTCTACCCCACCTCGCTCAAGCTCGACGTCGCGAGCATCGACGGCTTCTCCGTCGCGCTGCAGCCCTACGACGTCAAGGCGCCGATCCCCGAGGAGCACATTGACGCCGAGGTGCTCGTGACGTGGACCAACAGCGCCGACAACCTCAAGGATGCCGCCGCGCGCATGACGAAGCTGCGCTGGATCCAGTCGCTGGCCGCCGGGCCCAACGACGTGCTCGCCGCGGGCTTCGACACGGCCAAGATCACAGTTACGACGGGCTCCGGCCTGCACGACCACACCGTCGCCGAGCACACGCTGGGCCTCCTGCTCACGGCCGCGCGCCGCTTCTACGAGATGCGCGATTATCAGCTGCAGGCCAAGTGGCCCGCCCACCTCGGCGGCCCGCAGCCCGACCGCCCGGCCGGCGCCTTCACCACGCTCCGCGACGCCCGCGTGCTCGTCTGGGGCTTCGGCAACATCGCAAAGGCCCTCACCCCGCACCTGATCGGGCTCGGCGCCGACGTCCGCGGCGTGGCTCGCGCGGCCGGCGTGCGCAACGGTATCCAGATCTACGGCGAGGACAGCCTCGCCGAGCTGCTCCCGCAGACCGACGCCCTCGTCATGATCCTGCCCGGCTCCGACGCGACGCGCCACGCCCTCAACGCCGAGCGCCTGAAGCAGCTGCCCAAGCACGCCTGGGTCGTCAACGTCGGCCGCGGGACCGCCATCGACGAGGCCGCCCTCACCAGCGCCCTGGAGAAGCGCGAGATTGGCGGCGCCGCCCTCGACGTCTTCGAGGTCGAGCCGCTGGCCGAGTCGAGCGGGCTCTGGAAGGCCCCCAACGTCGTCATTTCGCCCCACGCTGCGGGAGGTCGTCCCCAGGGCTCCGAGGCCTTGATTGCCGATAACCTGAGGCGGTTTATGTCTTCGCAACAATTGAAGAATGTAATCTAAATAAAAAATAATTAGATGAGCACCCAAAAAAAATAGACAAACATGCAACCCAAGTCGAGACTTGAAATATTCCCAACCTTTGTATCATCTGGAGCTTCCTGGTTGCGACTGAGCACTCTCATTCCCCGCCCCCACCTTGACGAACGGCTATTGAAGGCGGTCGTTGTGTGGGTGACACCCGAGCTAAGACACGCAGGATACAAATTCATGCAAAGAAATCGAAGAGGGAGGATGTCTGCTTGAAATGTTCAGTAATTGTAATATATACTCTATAAATCGTCCAATGACTTCGTGAATCATGCAAATCAGAGCTACATGATGGCAAACATGGCTGACACAACACCAACCACCACGGAAATGACACTCAGGCCAACCCGTCCGGCGCTATTCTCGCCGTCACCCTTATTCGCATCCGAGGAATCAGCGGAAGTGCCGTCGGCATTATTCCCCTTCCCATCAACGCCCTTTGCGTTCCTGACGTCGTCCCGGCTCTGGTTGAAGCACGGCGACCACACCTCCCACGCCTTGAGGAACAGTTCCACGCCCTGCTCGAGAGGCGTGACGTCCTCGATGCTGCCTCGCTGGAACGGCCGTATTGACAGATCCTCCACGTGTGCTGCGCCGGCGTACACAAGTCCGAAAACATCCGTTCCGTTGGTGAGCTGGTTGCACGCGGGAACCTTCTTGGTCACGGCTCGACTGGGCATTCCTGCTCCCTCCTCTTGGCTCGACACCGAGAACGACCGCCAGGGGTCGAACTCGCCGTTGGTGAACATGACGTTGCTAGCGTTCATGTCCCAGCCGCCCATCTCGAGTAAATAGCTGTTGTTGAGCCGCGACGGGAAGCTGGAGTCCTTGATGCCCGGGAAGGTCTCCTGCTCGAGCAGAATGTCCCGGAAGGCCGTCACGTTGTAGTAGTCGCTGATGACCTGGTACTCGTTGCTGGCGTTTGAGCCCTGGTAGTAGCCCATCTCGTTGAGCGTTTGCCACGACCAGCTGAGGCTGTCGACGGCGTCGGTAAAGGTTGAGCTGCTGCCCAGCGGCTGGTCGTTGATCCACGACATGAAGGACGCCTTGCCGTTGTAGATGCCGAAGAGCATTGCCGCAAACGCAAGCTGGCCGCCGTCGTTTCCGTTGGCCGCAGCAATTCCGTTCTTGGACGGAGGAGCATCTCCACTGTTATTGAAGAGCACCGACAGCAAGTCCGCAACAGTCTCGGCCGCGGATGCATCGTTGATGTACTCCTCGACGTCGAAACTCTCCATCCAGTCGCAAAAGTACTGCACAGTGTGCATGGCGCCGAAACTCTGGTAATAACCCGCGAATGAGAGGGCGTAGGTCAAGCTGGAGCCAATGTCAAAGGGCGTGTATGAAAAGGCATTATCGAGATTGTCAAAGGTCGCATCGTCGTCGGTGGCAAGATAGGTACCTGCGTAGATGATCTGAGAAGCACTGTCGTTGGAGCCGGAGCTGAAGGTTTCATCCACGTATTGGATGGCGGCCTCGAGGTCGTTGGTGCAGTTCTTGGAGATGGCCCGCACGATGGGGTTGTAGTAAATAGATCCATCGGCCTGCGTCTCGACCGGCGCGCTGGAAGACCAGGCGGCGTAGAAGATTTCCGGGTGCATCAGGCGAGCCCAGGCGGCGCGCATGCCGGGATAGGATCCGCCCATGAAGATCCACGGCGTGTGGTACGGGTCCAGCTTCTCGGTGCTTTTGACGACCTTGTTGAGAGACAGCTTGGTCTTGTTGAAGTTGTTGGCAAAGTACGCCACGTCCTCGATTGCTTGATCTGCAGTCAAGTACTGGTAGCCCGAGGCGCCGGAGAGCGGAAGGCCGGTCTCATCGTCCATGGGAACAGGCCTACTGTAGCCGTAGTAACGATGCTCCCAGCCAACGACCAACCCGTTGAGCTTCGCAGCGAGCCGCAACGGAGCGCTCACCATGTCGGACTCGGCGATGAAGCCCGCCGCCGAGTCGGGCGAAATGCCACCCTCGCCAAAGTCAAACAGGATGACGGGTCCGCCCGTCTGGTAGTAGGTGTCATTGACGAAAAATCGGTTGGGGTACGTTTCCTCGTTGGATTTGTCGAAGTGGTCGACGGGGATGCTGATGTTGTAGTTGGGCACCTCCGGCAGCGCGGCCGAGTCGCTCTGGCGCTTCCCCAGCGCTCGCCGCCAGTTGACGTTGATTCCCAGCGCCGTGTGCGCCAGGAACACTGTGGAGGCCCACGCCGAGAGCTTCATTGTTTCTGTCGCTGAAACACCAAACAAGGCAAGCCAAAGTCAATGTAAGTGATCCAAGAGACGATTGCCAAGGAATGCAACCAAAACAACGGCCGCTTTCACAAGAAGACAACGGGGACACGGAGGGCCAAGCCATTTAGCACCGGGGAGCACCAGGATTAATAAAGGGCTGGTGCTACGCGAGCGGTCAGCTCTCAGCCCCGGAGCACCCGCCGGCGTCCTCTTTAGGCTGGTCCATGGCCAGTTGTTGGTTGGTTGCTCGACGCCTGGACAGGGCTGATGGGCAGCGGAACGGGCAGGTTTCAAATTGGGTGCTAATTTTAAAATTGGGCTGAAAAGCCACATGGACGGACTGCTCGTGCAGGGAGCCATTATGCTTACATTGTATGGACGCGCTCCTGGATACACGCAGCCAGCGCTGAAGTTCCCTACCCACCTGAGAGTGCCTCGCAATTAGCTCTTTAGCAGCAGCATTAGGGGACGCCCTTGAAGCTTTAGTGCCGTAGATGGGATCGTCTCTCATCTAGCTCCCAATTAACCCCGGACGCGATGCACCGGAGGCCTTTGGCGGCGCCCGCGCACAGCCGCCTGAGATCGAGAACCAAAGATCATACTCCAGACCCTTCAAACAGCCTAGCAGCTCGCGGTACAACTTGGACGGTTGGCCATGGCTGCAACCTGGAGCCGTCAGCGCTAACGCGAGATTTCTTCCGCCGAGTCGCATGACCTGATTGTTAGTGTAGTGGCGGAGCATCGCGCGAGCCAATATTTCGCCTGTGGCCGGGCCAGCGCAGCAGAATCGCCTCACGACCCCTGCGCAGCGTCGATCCGTCGGGAACCGGCAGCCAAGACCGGCCTGCCTTAATTGCAGCCCTGGGGGGTCTAGTGTAGGCAGATTCGAGGCATTAGCGCAGGTCGTACAGCGCGCCTGGGTCCCGAAAACTTGATTGTGGCCAAGGCAGTGCTGCGTTGGGGAGAGAATGGAAGTGGCCGAGAGGCGGTAAAGTTCCCGGACTTTGGAGACGATTGGCCCTTATCCTGCCACTCATAATGATGCGCAATGTGCCCGAGCCTGGCATTTTTAGAGAGTCTACGACGGAGATGCATCCAATGATGTTGGTAGGGTCGGGCTTAGGAAGAATCCTGATCTGCGAGTGCCTTGCACATGAATCGACATTTTGCGAAGGATTCGACGGAGGATGCGTTGGTCAATGCGGACACTAATAACATCGCCATTTGTGGGGAAACGCCACAGCCGAGGTCTCACCTCTTTGCATGCGACTTGCAGGATCCTTCGGGATAATGTGTCAGATATACAATTGAGACAATATTTCTGACTTGGAAAATGCGTTAGAAAGTGATCCGAAAAAGAAAAATGCTGAGCCCACTTCAGGTGACGTAGTACTGGGTGATCAGTCACAAATCATATGCCGTTGCCGCGCTGTGTCTTGCAAGACCACATGGAAGACCGCGATGTTGCTACTCAGGTGCGGATTTTACAAATAAAGCAGACGAAAATATTGACCTTCAGCCTTATGCACGAGCGAGAAGGGATATAAGGACACTGCGCGGATGGTCAGGGTTAGGGTTAGGGTTAGTGGTGATCATCCTATTAGGGTTATCTTAACACATCGATGAAAGAAACCGATGCTGATAAGCTCAGCTGATAAGCTCATTTTCAATCCGCAACAAAATTCCGTCCAAGTTGAATCACCTCAATAGATTTGAGAGTTGTAGTGTGTAGGTTGAATGCGGAGACGAAAGTCTGACATCCACTGGTGGCCGCTGACGGTAGGGACGTTCGATTGAGTAGCCAATTTGTCTCGGAAGAGTTTAATACAGAGCGATATTGCGCAAACATTATCAATTTATCGTATTATACTCTAAGTAGCCTTTGGGGATTGTGGGTCAGATTCTGGCCTCTTGTGTTCACTCAAGCAGGCAGAGTCCACAGGCTTGATGGTGGTTACGAGCACGTAGTTTTCAGTCACATTGCGTACTACTACGGTTTCGATTTAATTTGAAATTCTGACTGTCCGGTTCATCTTGTCAACACTCGCCCTTGTGGGCTATGCCCCAGCACCATCGATTAACACCACTGTGGAAGGAGAGATCCCCGGAATTCAAGCAAAAGGTTGGGCCGGTACTACCTTCTCTTATTTCCCACTAATTAGAAATCCCCTTTCAACTACTTGGATGGCTCTTTCGATTTGTTTCATTAAAAACAAGATGCTTGCAGCCATTAGGGCTAGGATTGGTGGATTCCTTCAACAGGAAATGCCGTACCGGGCAGGACCAGTAGCCAGACCTATTGGGGCCATAAATTGGGAAGGTCCCGGACAGGACCTTCAGGACAGCATCATCCTTCTAGCATCTCATTCAATTGACAGTCTTTTGACCTATCCTTTGGAGACCTATCAGAGATCTATTTGATCAAACGGTATCAGCTGAAAAAGCTATCTATTTTACCCAGCTGTCCGACTTATCCGGACCCCAAAACCCGACCCTATCCGACCTTTCCGTCACAACACTATCGCGGTCATCACAGCTCTGCCTCTGGGTGGGTTGTGTGTTCTTAGTGTCCTCTGCTCACTCCCTCGCTCACTAGCGACTCCGCCTCTGCTTTCTGTGTACAGGCCAGATCAGGCCTCTCTCGGCGTTTGCTCAGCGGGGTGTGTAATGAGAGGAAAATGTGCCTAGATAATATAAATAAGACTCTAGCAAAGTTATCAAAAATTGGAAAATTGTACAAATATGTAGTGGAACGTTTGGGCGATTAGGAAGGTTCCTATACAACAAGATGAGGATACCTCATGAGCCTTCTTCATCAGACGCGTATTTAATCTATCTCTAATTTTCCGTTACAAATAATTCACATACGCCGCAAGGAATGTTCTATGTTTTAGCTGCAAGGCTCAATTCACTCGGTTCAGGTCAGCGCTACGGCCCAGCGATCTCCAGGAACAAAAGGCAGATACATGATGAATTGTTGATTGGTGCCGATCTCACCTCCACTCAACCGGCAGTATGTTGTGCAAGGGTTCGGGTAAAAAGAAATCCACAATGGTCGCACAGTGAGATGGGAGAGATCGGATCTCCGCATGAAGCCGATGGCTTGCAGTGGATTGGACATTGAGAGAGCCGATGTCACCCACCCAGCTCGTAACTAAAAATATACACATCATGTTGTGAAACCAACGACTGCATCGACACAACTGTGATGAAAATATTTCATGACAGTGAATGTCAACGGCGGGAGTTCAATCAACTTCATGCGCTCATCAGGCGTCGTCTTGAAGCGCTGTTCTATGCTAGTTCAATGCAGCCCACATGTAATCACTGGTTAAAACGCCTCAAATTTGACCCCAAACGAGGTATAATCCCAGGTGGTTGAGAGTTTCCCGATTCAGATCTTCAAATAAATACGGAGAAAATGGAGGCAGAGGAGAGTACTTTGAGAAAGTTGTTCAAGAATCTATCAACATCGGCTTCAACTACCGCCTCTATTTGGAAAAATCCCATTAATGCCTTAGAAGCCGTATGAGCTTGAAAAGACGCCAAACCCGCTGTCTAGAACCATGGGGTATAGTGCTGGTCTAATAATTCATCATCTAATGCGCCAAACCACGTCTATCGCCTTCATTCCTGCTCCTCTATTAAACGCAAGACTTGGAGTTCTTCTCTGAACCTCCTCATCGTCACCCTTTAAACATTTGTCGCCTTGGGCCTCCACATACACCAGGCAACCGCAATGCACGTCTTGAGAAACGTGGCGATCCACAGAGCACCGGCGAAGCCAACCCAGGACTTGGACAAGAAACCTCCACCGATGGCTCCCGCAAGCAACAGCACGGCGCCGACGGACCGTCGGCTTCGGTCGGCGTTCTCAGCAAGCGGGGCCGTGAATAGCTTGGCGTCGCTCATGAGGTCGCAGTAGAGACTGGTCAGCACAACCGTCGGCATGCTGTTGTACTTGAGGACTCTGCTGGCGACGATCTGGCCGGCGCTCTGGAATGCGAGGAGGGTGATGGGCGCGTAGTCGGACCAGGGGAACGCGTCCTCGACGGTCTCGATGATGAGGCCATCCCGGTGGATCGTGGTCCGCCCCGTCGGCGTGTTGTGGACAGCTCCCGTGGTGGCGAGGATAGCGACGATGCCCGTGATAAGCGCCTGCAGCAGGAAAGACGCCGCGAGGACCCAGCGCTTCTGGGGGCCGAAATAGCGGTGGAAGCTCGAGAAGAAGAGCGCTCCGATGGCGAAGCAGACAATGGCGAGAAGACAGCGGGACCACGCCTTGCCGGGCAGGTTCTCGGGCTGGCCGCTAACGCCCAAGCCGACGAAGATGGTGTTTCCTGGGATGCTTATCAGCGCGGAACGGCCAATGTCGATATCGCACAGATAGACTCACCGGTCTGCATACTGACGAAGCAGCCGTACATGTTGAAGGCGGCGCTGTCGACCAGGCCCGCGACGAGGAAACACACCAGGAGCAGCAGGTCGCCCCATCGCGTGTCGACGTCGCCGGTCCATCGTTGCGACGACCCGATGGCGCGGGCCTGTTCCTTGGCCGTAGCCTCGGGGCTTTCGCTGGGGGGGACAGAGGAGTCGGCCATGGTGGCGGTGAAGATATAGGTACCTAGGCAATGGAATTGCAGCTACGAGAACGGGTGAAGTTCAAAAAGCAGGGTGAGGTGAGCCAGCGCCACAGCAATATAATTTTCTCACCGGGCTCCTGGCACAGGGCACGGGCAAAATGACTCAATCTCTTTACTGATATTTTTCCCAAGGGACCGCCGAGCAAATGCGCAACGCGCCCTCGTGAGAGGAATTGCGTGCTCGGCGTGGCGGGCCAACTAGTGGCCCATACCCGGCTCACAGTGCCGTCTTATCCAGTTGTCATCAAAAAAGGACGTGTTCGGCGGTCTCCAGTGGCTTTCAGTGGCCTTCAGTGGTCTCGCCAAGGCTTAGCACGCTTGGCTCTGGCGTCCGAGAGACGGCTTTTGATGAGCAGGCCGCAAATGCAACATCGCACCACAGCAGTTTCACCTAGAGGTACGTAACATGTGCGACTCTACGGAGTACACAATACATTTATTCCTACACGCTGCTTCCCTCCCCAGGATCCAGTGCACGAGCCGTTCCAAATGACTCCATCGCCATAATTAAATCCACAGGCATTTTTTCGTAAAATCGTCTCTGCTCAGGTGACGGCAAAATGCCAAGGGTGACGCAATGCCAAGGCAGCCCGTGGCGTCGGGTATAACTCCTTCACAGCATCGCTCACCCCGAAAACGTTAAAAACCCTCATTGCTATACGTCACAAACCACTTAGCTTCAATGACGTGGGTGGACAACTCCGTATATCGGCGTCTCAAAGAAAACGGCCACCAAGGGCATTCTACAGCTTGAATCCGATAAGGACTTTCTAGCTACGGCAAATCACAAAGCCAGAGGGTTCATTGAATGGCAATCAAGAGGAAGTAAACGCGGAATCAGCAATGATTTAGCTCTTATCTATGGCTTCAATGCATAATCATTACGCGCCAGCAGCCTGCCGCCAACCAAGGGAGCCCCTCCCTGATCGGTCCTGACAAGGTGCCCTCCCGCTGCTTTGAAAAGAGCCCAGAATTGAATCTTCGACCTACACACGTTGGCTTCCATTGATAATTTTCTAATCTTCTTAAGCGAGACTATCGACCTTGTCACGCCGCTATCATCCGCGTCAAAGTCGTCAAAGTCGTCAAAGTCGTCAAAGTCGTCAAAGTCGTCAAAGTCGTCCGGGCTAACGTGTGCGTTCAAAGCCAGCGCGCTATCTGGGCTAGGAACCATTTTACGCCAACTCTCGGCCCAAAAACTCAGCCTAACCAAGGAAATTCGTGACCCTTGGAGGTCGATTCAAGATCGCCTAATCACACGATGCAGCCATTTACGACATACGCACAGATAATAAAGAAACATCGCCATTCAACTTGATTTAAAGGATATTTAACCCAAGACAAGAGAGATGTCTTCCTTCTGAAGCCCTTCCCATACACTCCTCTTGACTCTACCGACCCCTTTGCGGTATGCAATGCCGTCTTCCCACACGACCCAGAGGACATTATAAAACGACCAAGTTTCCCGCTCAACAGGCTGAGGATCCGGATAGTGCAGACCGCGGGAGACTGCCACGATGTCACACAAAACCCCACTTTGCTCAACCTCATAGATCTGTTCAAGGTCCTCTCTAGAATCAACACTCAACTCGCCAACCTCGTCCCCCTCTTCATTTCTGAACACGGCCGTGACGCCAAGGGAGATTCCAAACATGGGTACCACGAACATGTTGGGATATTGGTAGGAGAGTGCCCTGTCAAGAGTAGTGTTGTATCGAGGCTTGAAGCCCCACAATTTGGCCCGTTGTGTCTGGGTGCAGAGATATCTCCAGTACGAGGGGGGTCGTTTAGAGGTGTCTGTTGGCTTAGAGTCGATGCCAAGAGGCACTGGATGCCAGAATTTGATATTGGGGCAGGATGGGTGTTCATAGTAGTAGGTCGTCTGGAGTTGCTGGTACGAAACCTCACACTCTGGGTCGTCAACCCATCTGCGATAGCGGCCTCGAGTTTCCAATATCTCCGCAATTCTCTTGGCCTCCGCCTCGGCGTCTTCTCTTCTGAACACCCACCCATCTGGGAGGTCGACTTCTTTCCCCATGTACCGACGCTTGTAGTCATACCATTTATTCTGGAACGGAAGAGGGAGCTGCGGCCCGTCCTTTGAATTTCGTGTGTACCATGTGAGCATTGGAATCGCCTGGTACGGTTCCCAATGCGATGTGCTCCATTGAAAAGGCCCGTTCTTCATATAACACGCCGAGGTAAAAGCGTGCATTTCCAGATAGCCTTGCCAACCCGCCCACGTCCAACTCGGGGGACACAGGACACCCGCATTTGATGACACTCGCTGCACAAGGCGATTTCCACGGGAGCGCCATAGCAGCGCTGCATCGAAAAACGCGGCAGGCAGTCCGTATACAAAGCCGTGCGGAAAAGCGACGCTCATCGACGAGAATGTGCTGGCAAAGGCTGATATCACGTCTTCGTCAAAGGTAAGCTTGCGTTGGGTGTAGAGATATATGAGATTGCAGAAAACCGATAAATCTGGAACATCGAGAGAGAGGTCGAACGGGGATAAGCTGTGGAGGGCTTCACCGCCGTCGATTCGTACGAGTTTCGAATCAAGATCGTGCGGTGTGTCGATGTCTTCGTAATATGTATTCGACCGGCAGATCCACCGCACCGAGTTCTTAAAGAAGACGAGCTTTCTTCGCGAGAATATCTGTTCTTGCATTGTCCAACCCCGGGTTGTCAGGGGCCCTCTGCGGAGTTGATCCTCCATCCGAGCAGTGATGCTCAGATTCTCCGTCAATTTCAAGATGGGAGGCAGCGTCCTCGGTTTTGACACATTCCTCAAACCTGGCAGGCCAGCTGATGCGTCTTTCCCGTCTGCTGCAATAATTGCAAGTGATGCATACTCGTAAATCGATGCCATTTGGGTGATGTGTCGGCGTAAGGAGTCCTCGTCGTCTTGAACAATGCAGAGAGAATCCACCCAGAGGTAGCGTTCGCCCAGCATTGGAACCAGTCTCATGGCATCACGAATGGTGGCTGCAATTTCCCCCTCCAGGCGATTGAAAATGCCTTTTTCTTGCAACTTCTCCAGGTTGTCCCTCTTGGCCTTGAGCGTGGGCACTTGGCCCCAGACATAACTGAGGGCAACATAACTTGCGGCTTCTGGGGCTGGAACTAGACACATGTCCACACAGTCGATGAGGTATTTCAGGGAGCTTTGCATCTTGAGAAGTTTCGCCGAGCACTTGGTTCCATGGTGTTCTGCGCAATCCGCGATCCACTGCTGCACCAAACGCGGATCGATGTAGTCGCGATCCAAGCTCCTCCCCATGCTAATACCTTGGCGGCCTGAGTTTTCGAGTAGTAGAAATTGAGCCGGCTGGTTGACCCAGGGAGTATCGTCTTCAAGATACTCCATATCGAGGCTCAGCCTGCCTCGATATATGCTCAGATCCAGCCTAGAGAAGGTTTCCCTGGCTCCGTTGCGAACGCAGGCTGCAAGGAGAGGCTGGTGCTCTTTGCACTCGGACTCATTGAGAATCTGTGTTCGGGTTCCAAGTGGAAACTGCAAAGATTCGAAGGACGGAGACGTGACACCTTCGATAAGCTCGCCTTCATTATCGAAGATTTTCATGCGCGTCACAGCCTCGAGGAAGCTATTGCATACACTGCATGACAGTGCAGGGCTTCGAGGAGACATCATGGAGTCTTCCATTGCGGTGGATTTGGGTAATGCTCCCGTTCAAGTTGGTGTGGGTGTTCGCTGTGCTTACCTCGAATGATGGGTTTGGATATTGAGCGATTTAGGCACCCGTCTGACATTCAATCACGGTAAAGTCATGTGACTTGGGTTTACACATATTATCCTGAGTAGGGGGGGCTTCAGCCATATGTGTAAAGAATTGCTATTCGCGCAAATGCCATTTGTTAGTTGCGTGTAGGTACAAATCTTGGCATTTGAGCCCCAGCTGAATGAATGTGCCCAGCCCATGTCCTGTGAAAGTAAAGTAAAGTCATGAGAGAATGGCTTACCCAAACTAGTCAATGTAATGAATAAAGCGTAAAATTACCTATTTATTAGGTGGGATATTTGGTCTATCTACGCCTGAGTAAATGGTTACGAGGCGCGGTGTGCGGTGTAAGCAACCCCCAACCCCCCAAGATCACGTTCTATCTGCAGGCGCAATAGCAGGATACACATGTGCGAAGAGCATTATCCAGTACATGCTATTGAATACATGTGCTTAATTATCCAGGGACAGTCTCTGAACATGATTTCTTCCGTATCATGTCAGTTAATGGAGCTATTGAAAGACAGGCAGACCATACACATTATTACTCCTCCAACATCGGCCATTCAGACCTCAAGCATGGCTCGTCCGGATTTCGATCTGAACGTAGTACCGCTGAAAATAGTTCAATTGGCTTCAGTAGTAGAAACTCTCATCCAGAGCTCAGACTGTGAGAAGATGCCACAGTTGAACACCTTCCACGGGTTAGTAGGATCGCAAAGCGAGAAGTCAAATCTTCGAAGTAGCTATAGAATAAAAATCAGTGAAATTCCCATGTCCAAGGACATGAAGTCCCCCACGAACAACGCAGGACAGAAGCTCGACGTACCTCCACGTAGACCTTGTTCAGCTCCATGAGAGCAACAGGCCGTCCCAGGCATTGCCATTTGCCGTAGCTGAAGATCAGATCCAGAGCACTCTCCATCTCCTTGAGCTTATCGGGAGACGAATCAAGCCATCGCTCTGGGCGGAACTCGCCCGCGTCCTTACCCCAAAGGTCCTCACGGCGGAAGATGCCCCAAGCGTCGTAACCAATACGCGTGCCGCCGGGGATGACTACGCCCTTCCAAATGTCGCCCTGGGGTGGCGCCTCCTTTGCCATGAGGCCAGCAACCGGGGGGAAGATGCGGAGACCTTCCTTGATGACTGCTTGGAGATACGGCAAATCGCGGGCGATGGATTCGGGAATGATTTCACTGGAGTATTGCGTGGTTGCGGCTTCTGCCCGGAGTCTGTTGTAGGCCCGAGGATTTGCTACAACATGCAGCATGGTGGAACGAATAACTGTTGCTGTGGTGTCGGATCCAGCAACGCTGTGAACAAATGGTCAGAATGTTTGGTGTCTGGCCAATATGCCCCTACACCTCTGGGTTGGCAGATTGAGGTATCCGGGAACTTACATTTGCAAGAGAATTTCAGACCCGGCTTCTTTCTGAGTAAGCCCGTGGGCCACGAATGATCCGAGCATGTCCTTCTGGATCTTCTTGTCTGGGCCAAATCTCTCAGCGGCAACATCCTTGGCGATTCTGTGCAATGGGATAATTAGCAAGATATCTTTCGTGAAGCGCCGTGGTGACGATGGAGAATCTGAAACGCACCCCATAATTCTGCCAAAACCCAACCGATCCTTTTCCGACGGCAACAATCGCTTGAAGAGAGGATGGCTCAAAATCTTAACCAAAACGGGGACTACCGTCGTTACCATCACCATTGGCAGAGTTTCTTCCGTCGTTCCAATGTATTCGTAGACATCCGAATCCGTCTCAAGGAAGCCAAACGGCTTCCCGAAAGCCAGATCGGAAATGACATCGAGAGTAAAGAACTGGGCTTTGCGGCCAAAGTCGACAGCTTTCTTTTCTGTGGCGTAATTTTTCAGGAGGGCGATGAAGGCGAGAACATTTTTGTCAATCTTAGGCTCAAGATTTTCGACTTCTCGGCCCCCATACTAGAAATGCGAGAACCGGCATGTCAGCATTCAGGGGCTTCAAGAAACAGCCACAGTGTTCGAGATGGAACAGTTACGGCGCAGCGTGGCGAAGCTACGTACCCCGGCAGCCATCTTGGACCGTAGTTTGAAGTGCTCATCCTCGTCCCGCCATGACAGGATGTTGTTGTTGGCAGGATCAAACCGCATTCCATCGTACCAATCTGAACGGCGATACTCGGTCCTCACGCCAAGGATGTGCTTCATGAAATCGGGATCCGACGTAATCAGGTCATTGGGGCCAACACGGGCAATGGAGCCTATTGGCAGACAGTGTCAATTGACTCGTGCTTTGAAGCAAAACCCGGCACTTGCTCGGGGAAATGACTGGTCATATATGTATGAGGAGAGAGGGGATGTCTCGAACAGGGTTCAAACAGAGACACCGATGGAACCCGCCGAAAAAGAAAGGAAACTGAAGCTGGGGATGACACTGACCATACTTCTTGTTGATTTCCCAGAAGTCGAGATAAGCCCTGCCATTTCCCACCGTCTTGATGAGCCACCACTTGGACAGTGAGGCGAGCAACGGCCCCTTGAAGTGACTTAGGCGACTGTACTGTCTCCAGGTCGAGAATACGGTCCAGACAAAAAGGACACCCACCACGGCCACGGCAATTTTGACCGAGGGGCGACTGTCGGTGAAGACGCCAGAGACGCTGGCAAACGCTAAGCTCATTGTTCCCGCCGTGGAATTTCCTGCTGCGCTGACCATGGCGCTCTGCAGAGACGAGGATCACTGAAGATGACCTGCACCGTGGGCTGCTGCGTGTTGCTGCGAGGTGACGAACAGCCAGAAAGCTGGGGAAACAGCACGGCCCGATGGATTGTTTCAGCTCCCTGAGATAAGAACGCGAGGGGCATCCATTACGACCCGAGAGCGCGGATCGGCTGGGATAATCAATGATCCTCCGTCTCGCTTGGCCGCTGTCCATTGCTCTGCCTCTCGCTTCTAGCGTCCCATCCATTCGTCGCGCCCGAAGCGGATTCCTGGAATTCCACGACGCTGACTAGACGTCCTAGCGCGGGCTGGACGAGCCTGGCGAGCCTGGACATCATTCCATCGTCACCAGGCGGGCGGTCTTGGATCACTAACCCACGCCTCCCGATAGGTGGCTGGCAAAAGCAGCACTACTACAGGCTGTTCCGGATCGCAATGGGGCTCTTGGAGGCTGGACCGCTGGGAACTTGAGTCGAGGCCGTGAAGACGGAACTCACGGGGAGCCGGCGCGTGCCGCCCAGGGATTGTTAGCGTAACCACTAGAACGGGCTCACAGGGCCGGTTCACAAGTCGCCAATCCGACTGGTGGAGCAGACGTCTTTTCTCTTCTCTCGTCCGTTAGCCGCGGGGGGATTCTCCAAGAGTACATATGCACCGAGCATGGCACGTATGGCACTGGTTGGAGGCTGGATGCTTGCCTGCAGGAGACACTCGCAGGTGACAGAAGGGGGCCGCGACGTTGCAGGATGGAGGGAACAGTGGAAGATGGAGGGAACAGTGCAAGATGGAGGAAACAGTGCAAGATGGAGGGTGTAAGACAGGAGGAGTGCTAACTCACCATGGAAGGCAAGACGCCTTCTCAACACGCAACTGGTCCATCTCGAGCCCTGAATCAACTTCCAAGCCTCAACAAGCGCCCCGTTCCCACTGTCCTATGGCCCGTCCCCCACTCCGGTCCGCTCCCTGTCGCCCGTCCCCTGCAACTTCTCTCACGCTAGAGACCATTGTGGCAGCCAGTACGTGCCGCAAGTTCCCTGTCCCCTGCGTCTTCACACTCGCTCGCAGGGTCTCATCCATCACCTCATTCTGCAAGCGTGGCCTGGCTGGCCGTGGCAGGGCAGAGTCCTGCGGCCACGGTGGACACGTCACCAAGCCACTGGTCCATCGCGTGGTAATGGGGATTTATTGGGTACTCCGCAGCTGTACTGTCTTGGTCGTACGTTGGCCAGGGAGTGGACAGTGAGCAGTGGGTGGGCTTGTCACAGGCTTGTCGACAGGGAACAGATTCTCTCTGGAGCCACCTTATGACAATAGCGAGGTTTTGGCTGGCATCTCGGCCGAGCATTTTGCTTCGTATCATCTATCCGTTGCATACAGCGTCACCGCGCATGCCTTTTTCTGTGTAGGCCAATCCTTGAACCTTGGATTCTCGACTCTTGCGCCTTGAGATTGCCCTCCCGTCGAGTCAGCCTTTTGTCCTGGCTCCCGCTGTAGCAGCAACACTCACATCGCTATGGCCGATGACAAAGTAACAACCCCGGACGCTCCCGTATCTCCTCCGGTTGCGGTCGAGACGAAGGCATCCAGGAGTCCCAGCCCGGCCAAGAAGGCGTCCAGAAGCCCCAGTCCACTCGTGGCCCCGGAGTCGGAGCTACTCACCGCGGAGGTGAGGACAATCACGACGCGCAAACCCGCGAAACTACTCAATATTGACGCCCCATAGACCACGGAAGACGACGTTGCCGATGACGACTCGGCTATTGGAGTAAGTCGCGCTTTGTCTCTTGTTCTTTCAGCCCCTCAAACATCAAATCCAACGCCCGGCTAACGTGATGTGTGCCTTTTCCCCCACCCGCAGGACGATGCCGCAAGCTCCACAGCATCAATGCGCTCAAGCATCATGCAGTACCGTCAAGAGAACGGCCGAACTTATCACTCATACAAGGAGTCTAGTAAGTGCCTCTCAATTACCTCAATTGTCACAGTAAGAATCGCTCGAGTCTCAAATGTACTGATCCCGTTTAACCACAGTTGGATACGTGCTCCCGAATGATGCGGTAAGCCGCTTCCAGCTGTCACACCCATGTCACTCGAGGACTCCCCTGCGCAAATAGCGCTTGCTAACGTCTTGGCTCCCTTTTCCTAGTCTGAACAAGAACGCCTGGGTAAGTGAATCTTTTCGAGATATGCATACGCGTTTATGTCCAGGAGCACAACCTGCAGCGCATGCACACTCACGGAGAAAGCATTAGTAGCACAAACACACGCTAATCTGAATAGACCTACAACATCACTTGTTCGCTCTCACCTTTAATGGAAGTCTATTCCACTGCCCGGTTGGCAAGGATAAGCCCATCGGTCGCGTCCTCGACGTTGGCACTGGCACTGGTGTTTGGGCAATTGATTTTGGTATGCAAATATCCACCGGCTCCAGTCAATGTCATGATGCTAATATCTCGCAACAGCCGACGAACATCCCGAGGCAGAGGTATAATGACTACTGCCCAAACTGGTGCAAACCTGTCGCTAACCACTCATCAAAGGTCATTGGAATTGACATCAGCCCCATTCAACCGTCATTGTACGTTTCCCTGCATCTCGACACCACCTATCTAGTCACTCAACTTGACAAACCACCTCATCCAGCATGGCAAATACCAGCCAGTCCCAGGGCCCAAATACTAACATGTTGACAGCGTTCCCGCCAACTTGTCATTCCAGGTTGACGACCTCGAGGATGAGTGGACCTTCAGCTACAAGTTCGACATGGTTTTCGCCCGCATGATGACGGGCTCTGTAGGCGACTGGCCCAAGTTCTTCAACCAGAGTTTCGTAGGCCTAAATCCTGGAGGTTGGATTGAGTGCCAGGATATCTGCTTCCCTCTGAAGTGTGACGACGGCACCGTAAAGGACGACTCATATATCAAGCAGTGGTCCGACCTAATGATCAAGTCGACTACCATTTTCGGCAGGACAGGCGAGAGCGCGTCAATGTACAAGCAGCAGATGATCGACGCGGGCTTTGTGAACGTCACCGAAGTGATTTACAAGTGGCCCACAAACCGATGGCCCGTGGATCCCTACTACAAGGATCTTGGTATGTGTTTCTTGTGGACGAGCAGCCCTAGAGAATCAAATAAGTTGACATTAAAATAGGCTTCTGGTGCTTCCACAATATTGCAGGTGGCCTTTCCGGCCTAAGCATGGCCCTGTTCACCCGTGCCTTGGGATGGAGCTCTGAGGAGGTCGAGGTCTTCCTCGCCAATGTGCGAAAAGACATGAAGGATAAGTCAATCCACGCCTGGTGGCCCATGTAAGCTCGCGTTTGCATTCCAGATTGAGATCCCGCATGGAGACTCGTGCTGACTGAAGCCTGTTGCAGACATGTGGTGTATGGCCAGAAGCCAGAAGCCGGATGAACGATCACCTGAAGCCAACTGCATGATATTCTTTCCCTTCTCATTTCCTTCATGTTAATGGTTGGTATCTTGAATTTCTACATGCCAATTCATTTTGCGGTCGAGTCGAATGGTGGTACTATTGAATCTGCTTCGGGTCAAAATGACGCATCCAGCATACACGGAAGGTTTGTTCAGAACTTGGGGAAAGCCATTGGGCTGATGGCGTATTTCCATAGACTTAAATCAGCATTTTGAAAGTTCAAATATTCTATCCTCTTGTTTATCATCCCTTGCGGTCCCAAGCTAAACCTGAGATGAGTAGCATTTAACCAAAATTTATCAACGCCGATTTATGGAAGCGCCACACTTGACATCTTACGAGCATGAATCGTATCACATGCTGCCGGCCGATTGATAGAGTGCTGCCATGCTCATACAGGCCATACTCTCGTTAATTCCTGCCCTATCAGCTGCAACAGCACTGTCACGACCGCAGCAAAGGATGAAAGTCTGCCTTTAGGGTTAACCTTGTTCATCTCTCTGCAGCTACGATACGTCGACATCACAGTGGACTTCAACTTCTGCAGGCTACTCGGATACTTTTATGCTGTTCACATGATGAGGAGGACGCGAGGGAAATGAAGGGCTTCCTTGGTGGCAGTGGCGTTGATCTCCGTCTAGTAGCTTCGCCGAATACCTTCATTGATGTGGCGATAAACTCCACTAAAGCAGTGATTAAGTACAGCAACAAGCGCGAGAGATGTCGGAATCGAACGAGAAGGTAAATGTTTTTTTTATAGAATATATCAGCGATTCATACCAGTATGGTTCAAGTAGTAACGACGGGGATGTAGCTTCGAATGGTTTGGAAAGGACGCAAAGTCAGTGGAGGAGAATTCTCTTTGAATTGGATGAAGGATGAGAAGTGCTTAAACATATTACTCACCTTGCACGTATTATGGACTCCTCTAACAGAAGGCCGGGTGGCTAGAACGTGGTCATACAACTATAAAAGCATCTCGGTGGCTAAATATCTTGCAATAAAAATAAGCTCAGAGTCGAGGAGACCAAGATATGTCGTTGAGAGTAGGTTTGCTTGCTCCAATTTGAATGATTGACAGAGCACAAATAAGGAAACGAGGCCGTCATTCCACTTTTGGCGAAACTAGTTCGCGACATTCCTTTCTGGGACTCTGCCGCGGCATGTTTGTACAACCCTGGTCCCTCCGAGCGTTACAGCACATGCATGCGGCCATTCACGGGGGAATAATAGTTCTCCCCGGACCCCTGGCTTCTGCATCTCCGCTGAACCATAACCCCGCTTCAACGTGGTGTGAAGACGCTGGGTTTCTCCCGCGCGGCACACCGCAACGCAAATCTTTCAACCTTGTTTAGTCGAGACTTTGAGTTCTTCAATTGCCAGGATAAGCATATAATGACGGGTCCTACATCTCCAGAGGGCAGTGCCCCCCAGCCGACCGCTAAGCCTGTGGCACCACTTACAGGAACCGTGACGCCGCCTCTGGCACTCCCTAACCTCGGGGTTATCGAGGCCGACGACTTTCAAGTGGACAATACCGACTCTTTTCTCGGCGATGACGCTGCCAGTTCAACGGCCTCAATCGGTAGCAGTATTCTACGCTACCGTGAAGAAAACGGGCGCACTTATCACGCATACAAAGACGGGCAGTACTTGCTGCCAAATGATACCCGCGAGCAAGACCGTCTAGATCTACAGCACCATCTTTTCCTACTTACATTCGACAATAAAATGCACCTTTCGCCCGCCGGGAGTGACGGGAAGAAACTACGCAATGTACTAGATGTCGGCACCGGAACTGGCGCGTGGGCTCTCGACTTCGCCGATGAACATCCCGAGACGCAGGTGATTGGCGTTGATCTGAGCCCTATTCAGGGCGACTTCGCCCCGCCCAACTTGAACTTCCAAGTGGATGATCTGGAGGAACCGTGGACCTTCCACGTCAAATTCGACTTTATCTACAGCCGAATGATGACTGCAGGGCTTGCCGATTGGCCTCGGTTCTTCGAGCAGGCGTTCGAAAACTTGACGCCTGGCGGGTGGCTTGAGCTGGCCGACATCTGTCCCATCACCTGCGATGATGGAACCATGAAGCCAGACGCTGCTGTGTGTAGGTGGGTCAATACACTCTTAGATGGGACCAAAATCGTCAACCGACCCTTTGATGGCGCCTATCAATACAAAGAGCAGATGGAAGCTGCAGGTTTCACAAATTTGACCCAAGTTGTCTACAAATGGCCACAGAACAGGTGGCCCAAGGATCAAAGGCTCAAGGAACTCGGTACGCAGAGCTTTTCTTGCCTTCCTCCTCAAACTCTCCGTTGCTCGTTTTCAAGTTGAGCGAGGCTTTTCGGCATCGTCTCGCAACCCCCAAGTCGCAATTCACCAAGAATATACCTCCCACTAATCAATATTCATAGGTGCGTGGACTCTCGAAAATATTTCTTCGGGTCTTGAAGGACTGAGCGCGGCGGTATATACGCGAGTTTTGGGCTGGAGCAAGGAAGAGATGGATGTTCTCCTTGCTGAAGTCCGGAATGACTTGAAAAATCCCGCTATCCATTCGTATTGGCCAATGTAAGTGAATTGCGTACCTTGCCTTGCTAAGCTAACTCGGTTGCAGTGTGGTTGTATACGGACAGAAGCCAGAGTAAGCATTACTTCTTTGCCTTCGTTGTTCTTCTCTTCTCGAGATTTTTATATTTAGACAAACGGACAAATATGCAGTTGTGTAGCGGATCTATACGTCATGAACTCCGCATTTTTTTCAGATCGCCCTTCTACGTTGTCACCAGTGAATTATATGTTTCACACCTCTCTACTTTTCATCACATTACGTAGCCCAGATTCCAGAGCCCCTCCCCCCCAACTCTTCTGAATATACTTCAGTCTAATATGGTGTTCGCATTCAAGACTTTCCTACTTCTGAATATGCTTTCTTCCACCTTACCCGAATTTTATGCTCTTCCAAGTCTACTAAAGTATAGTCAGCTTAATAAGGCTCGCGCTTTCAATCCACGCTATAGGGTAAAGGACAAGTCACGAGATGCGCTTTCACAACTTTGGCTACTTTATTGATTATTCCCCAGCATAGATTGAACTCCAAATCATGTGTTATCCGAAAATCCTTCTTGCTTATAGGGTCTACGTATTACGATTTAATATGTCTCTTTTGCCTATGTTTGGCGTGGGTACGAAATTCAATAAGAGTTAATGCTCTGCAATGAGTAGGAGACCATCAACAGTACAAGTTATGGTGACGTTGCATTTCCGTAAATTTTCGATTTCATATATATTAAACACTCTCAGGGTCATTCGCGTAGAGAAAATTTCACTCCACGGTAGTAAAATTAGTGTAAGAACGGGCTTGACTTTGATTGTCCCGTACACTTCAGCATTGGTGCTACAAAAACCGGCAAGGGCTTGCCCTATAGCCACGGGAAGGAAGGATCGGGTAGAAGTAGTGTGTTATCTTTAATATATTGTAACAGAGAGTGTGATTTATTCATCATTTTGATTTGATCAAGGATGTGAATACTCGAAATGGTTGGATCAATGAAATGAACGGGTTGACCAGTGCTCGAACTGTTCTTACTGTGTATTTCACCATCAACTGGGCAAGATTACACTTAACCACGAACGGGGAGGTTACCCCGGCATTCTCTACCGGGTATGATGCACTGTAATGTAAAGGTACCCGCGTCTTTAAGACGTCGTAGCGAGGTGGTTCTCAAGCCTTATGATAATTCTCACTAGGAGTTGCAATATGCTTTGTAAATGAATACAGCCCAAGTGCTGCCCTTTGGTTTGCCGTACAGCCACTTTGACTCATTTCTGGGTTTGCTCCGGTTTGTGTTGACTGAATCCGAACAGCCTGGCTCGCTTGAGAAAATGCATTTTAGAGGTATAGAACCCCTCCCAACATTGAGGGGTCGTTCCGGCTGAATCAGTGAATATGATGTGACTCTGACATGCCGGAGCGATGTCACCCCTCGGAGCCGGGTTTTCGGCTTCCGGTGTACGAGGAACGAATATCTCGGACCTGTCGCGGACACCGCTTGAAGAAATTAGCCGGATGGAGAACCCGAGCGTCGAAGGAATGCAATGCTCAAGTGGCGGGATCGAGAGATGCCTCATGGGGCCCAAACAGGTGATTTTGCACGCAATATTCGCATTCCGGCGTCACCAGATGGTCGCAAGCTCCTTGCCAAAGCTCGTGGTCACGCCTCCCTCGTGGCGCCACTCTCGTTAAATCGTGACGTTAGGTTTCGATCGCCAAGCGGCAAAATGGTCACCAGGCCAGGGTGGCCTGTAGTTGACGGCGAGATCGTCTAGTGATTGGCTCACACTTTAGCCATGATGCCAAACCCACCACATCAGTCCGAGAACCCACCACATTTCTCCGAAATTAGCATGGGCACAAGGGCTCCAGGGCGGTTCAGATCTCTCCGAAGAGCCCTTGATCCCCCAGAAAAAAGCAGTCTTCGAATTCCGGTCTCCCTTGGGTTGACCCCGAAATCCGGTGCCAATATTCAGCCCAAACCTGGTTGTTGCGCCAGGTCCCACTCAAATACGCACACTTCCCATCAAACAGAACAAAGAGCTTGGAATCTGAGCAACTTTCTTTCCTGGTAGAAAGACGCATTAAGCTATGTATATACATCTGACCCCGATCCCCGCAGTTACCCAACCGTTGCCCGACGTCATCGCCGTTGATGTTCGTTAATTGGAAGCTTTGAAATCGTGACCAGTATTTTGGAGGGTATCGTCAAGCCAAGGAGACAAAAAAGTAAATAGAAAACACCTTGGTAGAAGTCGGAGGTAGTACATGATTGAACATCCCCTGCAGTCCTTTTTGCATTTGTGAAGGTCGCGGCTGGATATCTTGCGTATTTGGTCTGGTGGAGTGTCGAGGCATGTCGACCTTGGACTCACAGCTGCTCGTATCTGTATCTTATGCGACTCTGCAGGTTGGTAAATGGCGAATAAAATAGAATGGGCATTCCTAGACTCTGGTTGTAAAGAGTCTACATTGCGTATCGATAGGTTCATGCGCGGCGCAGACAAAGCAAGCATCATTTGGGCGATGCCTCATCAGAGGTCGGACTTGACGTTCGTTCTGCTTCAGGCGAGTCGTTCGAAGCCACCGATGACTGCTCGGAGTGGGTGTCTTGTGTTAACGGAGGCCGGATGCAGGTGCAATGCCTCAACAAGGCCTCGCATCGCGCCAATCTTTCAAGTAGCTCTTGGTTTGGACGCCGCCGCTTGCGTGGAGGAGCGGGCGTACTGGGGATGCAAACGGCTTTCAACTGCAGCACGAACGTAAGCGTCTGTCTGCATGTATTTGATATCTCGGCTTTCCATCATGACACTTACTTTGATGCAATTTGAACATGGGCTGCTGCGATCGCACTTCTTCTTTCGTTGCTGGCACAAGACGCAGGCCAGCACCCTCATGGTCTTCTTAGGCTGCCGCAAGGCGAGTGACGATGGCTTCGTAGATCCCCGTAGGGACTGGTCCATCTCATGAGAACTTGTGTTGTTCATTTTGGAATAGTAAGCGGCCGGGATTGATCATGGCGCCGTGGAGGGTGTGGTTTTTAAATGGCATCAGCCGTAAAAGAGCACTCCCCGCACAGATGATCTTCAAGGCCGTCGTCACGGGAGAGAGCCTCTAAGATCGCGCCTCGATATCATGTAATCATGCACCAGCCTAGCGGATGGCTTAGGCCGGGGTGCAGCGACCCTTGTCGAACGGAATGCCGTGATGTGAGGGACGTACTCCAAAGCCGGAGAGTCGGACCTGAGCCATTCCCCGAGGGTCCCACCCCATCGCTCCATCAGGGAATCCCTCGGGGATTGCGGACTAAGCTTCACGAATTGACGGACCGTTAACAGACGCCGTCATACCGCTTAGTTTTCCTTGGAGTTCCGCTCCCCCCGGGACTTTGATGGCGTGTGGGCGGGTTGTCGGTTTACTCATATACTCCACGATGTCCTCCAGTTTAGTCCGAGAGCCACCATAATGGTTATCTCATCAGTAGCGTATCTTTCTATAAGATCTTTTCCACGAGCCTGCATCAATTGTCACGCGACTTCGGGTGAGACTGTTGGTTCGAATCTTCACACCATCAGTCCACTCCAAGGGGATCCTTCATGTATTAAGCCTCGGCTGCCACATCGACTTAAACTCAAACCCTTCGCAATCAAGTAGCTATATCGGGTCACGTGTACTCCCTAGGGCTGAATCATTGCTGGTTGTACGGGCGCACTAGGGGATTGTACGGCCTATACCCACGAAATGGCTCAACCGATCGACGCTACTCTCCCTAAAGCACATAAGGGGGTGGAAACCCACCAACCGGGAACCTTAAATAAAGACACCGAAGCTCTAGCCACCGACAGAGTGGATTCGACAGCCCGGGGGTCCGCTGTTTCAACCTCCGACGGCTCCGTAACCGCAGATGAGGGAAAGAAGGGGAAGGGCTCTACTGGCCAGGAGAGTGCCCTGGTAGATGACGATTCCGAGCATGTCCGGCGTGCTAGTATTGTGCGAGACTTGGCCCGTCAGTACACGAACCAAAGCCACTACTCCATGGCCGAGGGGAACCCCTTCACGGCAGACAAGAACAGCCCGCTGAACCCGAAGAATGAGCATTTCAGGGCCATCGCATGGGCCAAGTCCATCGTGCGTCTCCTTTCAGATTCTGGACTGTCCGCTCGCAAGGCCGGTGTCTGCTATCAAAACCTCAATGTTTTTGGATACGGGCAGCCCACCGACTACCAGAAGGATGTCGCCAACGTTTGGCTGGAGATAGCAGGGATTCCCCGACAGCTTCTTGGATACGGACACACGAGGATCGATATTATACGTGACTTTGACGGCCTTGTTCGAAATGGAGAGATGCTGGTGGTTCTGGGTCCGCCTGGATCTGGCTGTTCCACTTTCCTCAAGACCATTGCGGGAGAGACTAGCGGTATCTATGTCAACGACGATGCTTACTTCAACTACCAAGGTAAGACTGGAGATGCCGTAGGGTTTAACAGCAAGAGTTATTCCCTATTTCGAATAGAAGGCTGACGGCCTTTTCTAGGCATAACGGCAGAAGAAATGCATTCGCAGCACAGGGGAGAGGCCATCTACACAGCCGAAGTGGATGTTCACTTCCCTCAGCTCACTGTCGGTGACACCCTCACCTTTGCTGCCAGCGCAAGGGCTCCCCGTGATATTCCAGGAGGTATTGACAAGGCAACTTTTGTTGCACACCTTCGCGATGTGGTTATGGCCATGTTTGGAATCACTCATACTATCAACACCCGAGTAGGGAATGAATACGTGCGGGGAGTCTCCGGCGGCGAACGCAAGCGTGTCACCATCGCGGAAGCCTCATTGAGCGGTGCCCCGTTGCAGTGCTGGGATAACAGCACGCGAGGCCTCGACTCCGCAAACGCAGTGGAGTTCTGCAAAACCCTTCGCCTTCAAACGGAACTGTTCGACACTTCTGCTTTCGTCTCCATCTATCAGGCCCCTCAGGCGGCATATGATGTATTCGACAAGGTCTTGGTTCTTTACGAAGGTCGTCAGATTTTCTTTGGCCAGACAACGGCCGCGAAGAAATATTTCACCAAGCTTGGTTTCGACTGCCCTGACCGACAGACTACACCAGATTTCCTCACCTCAATGACGAGTCCACAGGAGAGAATTGTTCGTCCAGGCTTCGAAGGACGTGCCCCTCGAACGCCGGATGAGTTTGCCGCCAGATGGAAGGCTTCCACTGCCTTTGCGGAACTCCAACGCGAGATTGAAGAGTACAAGACAGAAAACCCGATCAATGGACCTGGCGCAGAGACTTTCAGGGCTATCAAGCGAGCGACACAAGCTAAAGCCCAGCGCGCGAAGAGTCCGTATACCATGAGTTACTGGCAGCAGATCAGGCTGTGCATGTGGCGAGGATTCAAACGGTTGGTGTCAGACCCTACCCTAACACTTTCCATGCTATTCGGCAACTTCGGCATGGCTTTGATCGTGGGAAGTGTGTTTTTCAATCTCGCGCAGACGACAGGGAGTTTCTACCAGAGAGGTGCCTTGCTCTTCTTAGCTTGCTTGTCTAATGCTTTCTCAAGCGCTCTTGAGGCAAGATAAATTCCAAATAACCATTATGACAGCCGCAAGCTAACTGGAACTTAGATTCTCACGCTCTATGCCCAGCGCCCAATCGTGGAAAAACACAACCGGTATGCTCTATATCACCCATCCGCCGAGGCCATTGCTTCCATGCTTTGCGACATGCCCTACAAGATTCTCAATGCCTTTACCTATAACCTCACCCTGTACTTCATGACGAACTTGCGTCGCGAACCTGGAGCCTTCTTTTATTTCCTCCTCCTCACATTTATCACAACGCTATGCATGTCGATGATTTTCCGAACGATTGCTTCAGCTTCCAGGACCCTGTCACAAGCTATGGTTCCTGCTTCGCTCCTCATCCTGGCTTTGGTTATATTCACTGGCTTCGTTATCCCCATTGACTACATGTTGGGATGGTGCCGCTGGATCAATTATGTCAACCCACTGGCTTATGCGTTCGAGTCCCTTATGGTCAACGAGTTTCACGGCAGGGAATTCGAATGCACGCAGTTCATTCCAAGCCCGGCAATCCCAGCATATGCCAACGTGGACTCCGTTAACCGTGTCTGCTCTAGTGTTGGTTCGGTTCAGGGCAACTTAATGGTCAGCGGCGACGCATACATCAACTCAGCCTTCAAATATTATCACGCACACAAGTGGCGCAATGTCGGCATTGTCATCGCCTTCGTCCTTCTTTTCCTTTCGACTTACATGGGATTTGCGGAAATCGTCAGCGCCAAGAAATCTAAAGGAGAAGTGCTGGTCTTCCGCCGTGGACACAAAGCGGCTCAAGTCAAGAGCAAGTCTTCCACCGACGACATCGAGTCGAATGAAGCGGTTGCTGGGCGCCTGGCCGTAACCGAAAAGCCCGGCTCCTCTAGCAGCCAAATTGCAAACATTCAAAAGTCCACCAGTGTCTTTCATTGGAACAACGTCTGCTACGATGTCAAGATTAAAACTGAGACGAGACGTATTCTGGACAACGTTGCAGGTTGGGTCAAGCCCGGTACGATGACGGCGTTGATGGTAAGTCTTTGTAAAAACACCTGTAAAACGAAGGCTGACAAACTCGTCTAGGGAGTTTCTGGAGCAGGCAAAACGACTTTGCTAGACTGTCTGGCCGATCGTACGAGCATGGGGGTGATCACAGGCGAGATTCTTGTCGACGATAAACTCCGAGATGCTTCCTTCCAACGAAAGACTGGTTACGTTCAACAGCAAGATTTGCACTTGTCCACAACTACGGTTCGGGAGGCACTCAACTTTTCAGCCGTCATGCGCCAGCCAGGAAATATCCCCCACAAAGAAAAGATAGCGTATGTCGACGAAGTCATCAAGATGCTCGATATGCAGGACTATTCGGAAGCAGTCATTGGCATCCTCGGCGAAGGTCTCAACGTTGAACAGCGCAAACGCCTAACCATAGGTGTCGAACTGGCCGCAAAGCCCCCAGTTCTGCTGTTTGTCGATGAACCTACATCGGGGTTGGACTCGCAAACCTCCTGGGCAATCTTGGACCTGCTTGAAAAACTGGCCCGCAATGGCCAAGCTATCCTGTGTACAATCCATCAACCTTCAGCTATTCTATTCCAGCGGTTTGATCGCCTGTTGTTCCTCGCAAGTGGCGGCAAGACGGTCTATTTTGGCGATATCGGCGACAATTCAAAATGCATGACCGACTACTTCGAAAACAACGGCGCTCATCCTTGTCCACCAGGTGCTAATCCCGCAGAGTGGATGCTCGAAGTCATTGGAGCCGCACCTGGATCTTCAACAGACGAGGACTGGCCGCAAATTTGGCGTGACTCGCCCGAGTCAGCCCAAACCCAGGCGGAACTGCAACGTCTTACGGATCAGCCAGAAGACCCAAGTGCTCCTGAAGACGATCCGAACTCTTTCGATGAGTTTGCGGCGCCTTTTTTTGTGCAGCTTTCCAATGTTACCCGTCGTGTTTTCGAACAGTACTGGCGCACGCCGTCGTACATCTATTCCAAGGCTACCTTGTGTACCCTCATCGGTTTATTCGTCGGCTTCGTTTTCTACCAGGCCCCGAACACAATCCAAGGGCTCCAAAATCAAATGTTTGCCATCTTCCAAGTCCTTACAGTCTTTGGTCAAATGGTGCAGCAAACTATGCCGCACTTTGTCATCCAGCGAGATCTGTACGAGGTACGCGAGCGCCCATCAAAGACATACAGCTGGAAGGTCTTCATTCTGAGCCAGATCATCGTGGAATTGCCTTGGAATACTCTGATGGCTGCTTCTATATACTTCTGCTGGTACTATCCAATTGGGTTGTATCGCAATGCTGAGGCAACGGACGCGGTTGCGGAACGAGGACTACTCATGTTCCTCCTCATCCTGACATTCATGCTGTTTACCTGCACCTTTACCGATTTCATCATTGCGGGCTGCGAATCGGCCGACAACGGCGGCAACATTGCGAATCTGTTGTTCATGATGTGTCTTATCTTCTGTGGCGTGCTTGCCACACCCTCAAGCATGCCGAGATTTTGGATCTTCATGTACCGCGTGAGCCCGTTTTCATACCTGGTCTCTGCGATGCTCTCTACGGCAATAGCGAATACAAACGTCGTTTGTGCCGCAAACGAGTTCATCCGCTTCCCCCCGCCATCCGGACAGACCTGCAAAGACTACATGGAGCTTTACATCGAGGCTGCTGGTGGCTATTTGACCGATCCTGACAACAACAGCACCTGCACATTTTGCTCGATTGGAGACACCAATGCTTACCTTGCTGGTCTTCAATCCAACTATGGTGATAGATGGAGGAACTTTGGAATAATGTGGGTGTACATTATCTTCAACGTTTTTGGGGCTTTGGGGCTGTACTGGCTGGTTAGGGTTCCAAAGAAGGGCAAGGCGAAGACGAAGAAGGAGTAGGAATCACTGGGGTAAGAGAGGTGTCATAGTTTCTTTGTCATATGTGTGACTTGATATTGTTGGACGTTCTATTTAGGGCCTAGCTAATAAATTTCCTTCGTCATTAAACCAAGAGCTTAGTGGTGCCTTTGCAGCTTCTTGGCAACATTGTTGCCCAGAAACTTTTCCATATTCGGTACAAAAAATGCCATTAAAAACAGAATGACAGAGAATGGGATAGTGGTGTAGAAAACAATCTTGTAAGATCCGATGTAGGCGTCTTTCATAGCCGCGGCTACGCTGCTGATGATGGAATCCGTAATCCCTGGGACCGTTGAGAAATCCCCAGTGCTTGTCCCTGCTAACAACTGATCCATCGATGATTCTGGAAGGCCGGCGGCTTTGGCAGCAGGAATGACGTGCTCTGGGATCTTCTTGACCAACTGATTGTTCAGTACCGAGACGTAAAGTGACTGGGCGATGGCACCGCCAAATCCGCGAATGGATCCCAACACTCCTGTTGCAAGACCGATATCTTGGGGCTCCCAGATCAGAGTAACACCGGGGAAGGAGATGTTCTCGACAAAGCCAATAGAAGTGCATGTGAGAACGCCAAGAGCGATAGTTGCAGCCCAACGATCAATCGATATCGTTGTCAAAGACGTCATAAAAGCAAAGGCGAGGCCTGACGCAATGATGCATTGGTATTTCACCTTGGGCACGTAGGAAATGCAGAAGCCCGCAATGCTCTGGCCAAGGAGGATACCGCCACCCACGACCGAGCTCTGCCAGCCAACGTCGGTCACATTTGTCGTGTACACCGTGCTGATGATTGTGGGCCAGAGAACTGTGAGGGAGTAATAGACCATTGCGCCGAGAGTGGCAATGGTGGTGATTGCGACAAACCCGATGTTCTTGAACATGCGAGGCGGCATCAGCGGCTGAGTTTTGCAGAAGAAACCCTCTGAATGATGGTCAGTAGTTGTGCTTGTTTCAGAAAGATTCCACGTACCGTATACCACGAACGAGGCAAGCAAGGCGACGCCGATCAGCAGTGTGCACAGAGTCTCGGCACTATCCCAGGGATATTGCGTTCCGCCCCATGACAGACCGATGAGGAATAGCACGCAACCGGAAATGTACAGAAAGATTCCGATGAAATCCAGATCTTTGGTCATCTGCCACTTGCTCTTTCCGTTGACGTGGAGCTGGTTGTAGTCCGGGGGGTGATAGAAGAACCAGTACAAGACAAGAGACATGGCTCCAAGAATGTCGCCGATAAAATAGCTCCATCGCCACCGGGACGATGTATTTTCGAAGAAAGCTCGCGCAATTACAGGTCCAAAGACAGCGAAGGGCAACGAAGAAAGGAACACGAGAGTGGTAATCGGTCCTCGCCACTTGTTAGGGACAAGTTCTCCCAGGACAATGCCAAACGAGAGCTGGCCGGCGGCTGCGATGCCGTTGCAAACATTTGCGGCGATGAGCATCTCAACGCTCTGTGCGCATGAACCGATAATGCAGCCGATGAGGCCGAGGACGGTACATCCCAGCACCATGTATTTTCGGCCGTACATGTCGGAGAGTCGGCCGAACAGGAGGAATCCTATCGAGCTTCCCATAGTCCACATTGTCGCCACCCAGTTGATGTTCGCCGAAGGACCGATGTCTTGGTTAATGAGGGTTCTAGGAAGTTTGTTAGGGGCATGTTTGAGTCATTCTTGGTGGGTGACGAACAGAGTATTGGCCGGCAAGACCCAGCCTAGATAGGCGCAAATACTTCCCAGGCATTGGGCCTAGGGTAAAGGGGTCAGTATTTCCTGATGACATTTGGTTGGAATTCTGATTCTAACAACGTACCGTGACTGTACCAATGAATTGGGCGCTCAGGAAGTAGCCCTTGGGCATCTCATCGACATCGCCTCCAACAGCCTTGGCATCTAGATAATCGATAGTGCCATCCGCATGGACAACCTTTTCAGTTTGTTCGACTCCCTTACTCAGGGCAGCATCGCCGGCCTCAAGGTGCGTGGCCTGCAGGTCCTTTTCGTCAGGGCCAGAATCAGGCGACATGGTGGCTGGTTGTCCTTGGGTCGATCGCTTGGGTGAGGTGATCTTGGACGTATTTGGAATGATAAATCAAAACAAAACGATTGAAATTGGGCGCGAGCCACGTCTCTTATGAGTCCTGCGAGTGAGATACTGGTCACCAGGTTTCGGAGTGAGATATGGAAAGTGGGGATGATGGAATATGTTACCCCGGAATACGGCCCCTGCGGACCTCACGGACCAGATTCTGGGGACAGGCATGGAGGAGTGTGGGGAGGGTCAGTCTGACTCGGTAGATATGCTGCCGTCACAAAGGATTAACCCTGGCGACTGGACTAGGAGCTGGCCGAGACATGGCGCTACGCTACGGATGGTTCCAGACCCTGGGCGATTTTCATATGCATAGCTATCCCAGGATTGCAGCACGGTTCTAAAATCAGGGTTGAAAGGATCACCACGCATTGTTTTCTCCCATTGCTTTCAATCGTTGCTTTCTCCCCTTGTGGTGGGATTTAGAACCCGTCTTGGCAGGGCTACGAGGCGTGAACGGTGAAGTCATAGCTAGTCGCTATCACCATGCAGGAAGGGTCTAGAACTCGGTCTAGCAAAGCAATGTCAAAAGCAACACGAGACGTGAGTACTGAACTGCCAGTATCACAAGCGATGTCACCAGCAGACGGCTGAGACCAAGGTACCTTGCATATGCTGGCAGAATGCATCCGGCCGTGTCCAACAATTGAAGCCCGCTAGAGGAAAACCTCTTCCGCGAGATGTCCTGCCCCTTTCCCCGCTTCGCAGGGCCAAGCTCCCGGTATCTCATCATGTGATGACCCCAAAAACGTGCTCGGAAAGCAATAACCGATCAAATTGGTCAATGCAGGGTCGTTAGGTGAGACTGATGAGGACCTATGCACATCAATCTAGTGTTACAGGTGCTGTCAGGATTTAAATGCTTGCACTTGCGAAGCATGAGGACAATGAGGCGTTCTCCCAGGAAGGACGGAAGTTCCCGTGCATTGCATCGAATAGACTTTATGAAGCTTGAAGCAAGATCTTTTAACGAGCACAAAGACAATTCTAGATTCGGGATATCCGGTGTGCTGGTACCTACCTCTACATCGCCAAGCTACCTGGACATGCAGCTGATCGGACAGGGGAGGAAGAACTCTCCCAGTCATATCTCCGAAATCTCAAATCTCAATCATTATTGCGCAAATGTCGGCCTCTCTAGCTCATTTGTACCGGTTTCCTCTACCCGTTGCCCGGCTTCCCCGCGTCCTTGCATGTGGGGATGACCATTTCCATGATCCAAAGCCTAGAACGGTCCATTCAGTCCGCCACTTCTGTGGCAGAACTCAAGCACTTGAGGTTGCATTCTAGAAAAAATTGACGATAGTAGCTGTTCGCGCTCATACCTAATGCTGTTTGTACGAATCAGATATGCGCTTCTTTCTAGCCAGATCGTATGAAAGAGCTTACTATGCGCTCATTCGTACGCTTCAGCTTCCCAGCTTGACATATTATTCTCATGCAGTAGGAAGAAAAAAGAATTCTAAGAAAAATAAAAGGAAGTAACAATATCATTAGGCTTCTCAATAAACGGCGTGGGCTTGATTTTATGCTAGGCTCTCGTCATTGATGGCCCTCTCGGTACGATTGCGCGGCTTGTAATTGCTGCCATATAGCACCCGTCCATTTTTCTCCTGCGCCATTGACGCTGATGACAAGCGGCCAGGGGATTTAGCCAAGGTCGAACAGGGAATTTAGTTCGAAGAATCTCATATTATCACGCCAATGTAGGTGCGGTGCACAGTAATGCATGTAGCTTGATGAAAATGGAGATATAAAAAGGTGGCCTAATTAGTGTTCTATTTTATAATGGATATCATGATTGAGCTGCTCATATCTATTTCATGCGTACACAGTCCCTTCTTCAACAGCCTAGCCAACAATTCGTGCATGGCTCCTCCCCATCATCCGTCCCACCTCCACTATTCTCATCACCGACTCTGCACTCTCTCGAGTCAACCTCTCGGCCTCATTGACAGCATCATCAAGCGTCATGGGCCGTTGGATGATGCACGTAAACGCATCAATCCCAATGTCGTAATTGACTCTTGCACCAGGGCCAATCGTTCCTGCGATGGCAATCACTGGAAGGTTGTGCTTCTTCGCTAGCCTGGCCACTTCGGCAGGGATCTTGCCTCGGGGCGTTTGGTCATCGATGCCACCCTCGGCGGTGAGGACAAGATCGCAATCTTCGAAAATACCAACCAAGTTGACATACTGCATCACAATCTCGTACCTCGGTCGGAGTCGCGCTCCAACTAGGCGAAGGCCTGTTCCGAGTCCCCCGGACGCACCGCCTCCAGGGTTAAGCCGAACACCATCGTCGCCAAGTATCTGACCAGAAATGTCTGCAAAAGTGTCCATGGCGAGTGAGAGCAGCCGTGTCTGCTCTGGAGTGGCTCCCTTCTGTGGGCCGAAGATGTTGGCAACGCCGCCTGGCCCGCAGAGGACGTTATGCCAATTGACGGCGACATCTATCTCAGTCTTCTTGACTCGGTCGTCGACAGCAGATAAGTCGATGGAAGCGAGGTTCAGAAGCGAGTTGCCGCCTCCAGCAACCGAAAGGGGCACTCCGTCTGCATCAAGAAGGCGTCCACCCAATGCCTGAAGCATTCCCGCACCGCCATCACAAGTCCCAGAGTCCCCACATCCCACCAATATCCGGCTTGCACCAGCATCTAGGGCGGCGAGGATGAGCTCGCCCACGCCAAAGGTCGTCGTAGACCCGGGATCTCGCTGGTTGGAGGGCACCAAACTAAGTCCCGCGGCGGCCGCCATCTCGATGACAGCAGTACAGGGTTCGCCACGGTTGCGACCCAGGATGCCGAAGAAAGACACAATGGGCTCGCCCACCGGGCCTGTGACAGGAACTTTGTGGATTGTCCCACCTGTCGATGCAACGAGGGCGTGGGTAAAGCCCTCGCCTCCGTCCACGAGTGGCACTTTGCGGACGATGGCACGAGGCTCAACGGCTAGAATGCCAGCCTCGATGCAGTCGGCTGCTGTCCCGGGCTGCAGGCTGCCCTTGAAGCCGGAAGGGCAGACAAGGATCCGCAAGGTTGGTGTGTCGACGGAGTTGCCCATGTCTAAGGTTCAAACTTTTGAAACGAAGGTAAAAGTTGAAGCTTAAGCGAACGTGTATAATAGGTTTTGTTTGTAGCGAATGCAGTGACTTCTTTGAAAGCGAGAGAAGAAGCGAATGTTGGGTTGATGGTCATGGAATACAGCAGGACACATACGGGGCTAGAAGGGTCAATTTATCTATGAAAATACAAGGCTTCTAGAAACACAGTAAATGTTCCTATTTCCGGCACTCGCACTTCGTCATGTTTCGGTATCTCCAACCAAAGGCGCTTGTCTTCTCGCAATCAGTCCACCGATATGAAAACGAGAATGTTGACCCAGCCCTTACCTCTGAAACACAGCCTCTCCTCTGGTCCAGCTGCCAAGATGAGGCACTGTAGTGAAATAAGGCCAAATTCCGCGTACGAGAATAGCAACAAGTCGCATGCTAAACTTCTGCTCGCGGACGGTTGGATCCTTCGGCAACATTCCTGACATCCTCATAGATCACGCGACAGTCGGCTAGGGCTGGAGGGAGCCCCAGGCCGCGTCATTCCGTGTGCCTTGCTGCAGGGCTTGGCCATGACGATCAGGACAATTTCCTGCTCTCGCCAAGATTCGGAGGGCTATAGACTGGGCAAGCTTGGCTCTAATACTCGGTGGAGTGCAGCCGGGGTTTGTGTCGGAGTAAATGGGATCATCGCCACTTACGAAATGCTTGGCAAGAAGTCTATCCTGACAGCAATCAATACGGACCTAGCACTGCCAATCAAGGCTGTACACGCGACACAGAGTGTTCGCTTTTAGAACAAGACACGGCTGAAGGAGGGCCAAGATAAACTACTCTGTATGCATCAACCTTAATTGCGTTGTACCTCTTGGCGATCTGATTTCACGAGTAAAACCGGGCGGGCCTACGATGAATGAGGCTTAGGCGACTGCTTCAGCCACCACCTTGACGAATTCTCTCCGGTTTAACCCAGCGTGCCCCAATGAGACGCAACAGGTGACATGCAAAGCCGTCGAGTAAGGTACGGCCGTCGATCTTGACACCCCGGCTTGTATCTCACCGTCACTGCCCACGTGCCGCCCTCGTGTTGCGCCGTCGCCTCTGAAACACGCTGTTCTGCCGTTTGAATGGTGGAGGGTCGTCGGAGACTGGGCATTGGGCAGTGCAAGGAGTACTGCCACTGTCCGCGGATAGTTGATGATGTGGACTCATGCAGGAGCAATCACGCCGTTGATGAAGCCTGCGTGCGTCACCTTGCGCCCATAGCCTTGGAATCTCAGCCACTGGACGATGGCAAACTACCATCATAGTCCTCAGCCGCTCAGGTCCCATATCAATCAGACAAGAGATAAATGAAGCCACAACGTTCCATATTGGCTTCCATCTCTAGCCACGGGCATCACCTATTCATTCGTTAGCATTTTCCTGTTCATAAATCACCATCTCTCGTTTATTCAGTCGTTCCTACGAGGCATGAATCTATCGTTATCCTTCAGCCATTCACACTAGCGACATGCCCAAGACTCCAACCCTTTCTCGGGTCAATTCCAGGTCCTCCCTCTGGCGGACTTGGAGCCCGATGCTCGACCCCCTTGCCAACTACGACAAGTCTCGGCACCATTATCCATGGCTCGTGGGGAATGATGAGCATGGCGCTCTCGACACCACTCTACGCCGCGCAACACCCCTACCCTCGCTTATCGAGATCCCGGACAATACTCACCAACCCGGCCGCGGTCAAGACTTCTGTGACTCTAATCGGGACTTGGAGAACTCGGACCCAGAGCCTCTGCTTGAGATCACGGAAAATGACCCCAACTTGGTAATTCCTCGCCTTACACAATTCTCGCATTACAGGGCTGACCTGCTTGTTCCTCAAGGTGACCTGGGATGGCCCATGCGACCCTATGAACCCTCACAACTGGACCCGTAACAAGAAATGGGTCTCTACAGTGCTCGTCTCTTGCTTCACCTTCATTTCGCCCGTCTCCTCCACTATGCTGGCACCGGCCCTCCCCGACCTAGCAGCCGAGTTCAACATCACATCAGACTTTGAGACATATCTCATCATGTCGATATTCCTTCTCGCATACGCCATCGGGCCGTTCGTCCTCGCGCCGTTATCAGAGATGTACGGGCGCGTGGTTGTGCTTCAATCAGCCAACATGATCTATCTCATCTTTAATACCGTCTGCGGATTTTCTCAAAGCAAAACCCAAATTCTTGTGTTTCGATTCTTGAGCGGCCTGGGAGGAAGTGCCCCACAAGCAGTATGCCATCTGTCTGACACAACCATCTCGGTTGTTACGTGTCTACCTTGCTAACAACCCCTGCCGTCAGCTTGGAGGAGGCGTTCTAAGTGACTGTTGGAGAGCCGAAGAACGCGGCACAGCCATAGCTATTTACAGCCTTGCCCCTTTCCTTGGCCCTGCTGTAGGGCCCATCGGTATGTCACCTTGTCAAGATTGAGACGCAAGCTAACGAGAGGCAGCTGGAGGATATCTCACTCAATACATGAACTGGCGCTGGATCTTCTGGATTGTCTCAGCGGCAGACGCCCTTGTGCAAGTCCTTGCGTTTCTCTTTCTGCAGGAAACTTATCCGCCCAAAATCCTCAAGGTCAAGGCCAAGAAACTTCGGAAGGAGACGGGGAACAAGTCCTTGCGTACGGAATATGAACGGCCTGACCAGACATTTTCTCAGTCCCTGAGGAAAAACCTGATGCGACCTTTCATCATGCTCTTCACACAACCAGCCATACAGATCACTGCCCTTTACCGGGCGTATCTGTACGGGCTGATGTATCTGGTGTATGTGGACCCTATCCCCGTCAGTTGCCTGTTGCTCACCATATCCACAGCCTGGCCTCATTTCCTCTGGTTTGGGAGGAGCAGTACAACCAGGAGCCTGGTCGAGCAAGTCTCAACTACTTATCACTCGGAGTTGGATTCGTCCTCGGGCTCCAGGTATCTGGCCCCTTGATAGACAAGGTAACCCCCACCCACCCACTCAACGCCATGCAGGGAGCCGTCGAATGGGCTAACCTCTTTCCAGGTCTACACCTCCCTAAAGATACGGCATTCTCATCCGGGGCGACCCGAATTCCGGGTTCCATTAATGTTCCCTACTGCTTTGATTACACCAGCAGGACTGGTGCTATACGGCGTATCGGCCCATCTCCAGCTCCACTGGATCATCCCCAACGTGGGAGCAGGCATCTTTGCGGCAGGGTTAATTCTTTCCTTCCAGTGCGCACAGACGTACATTGTAGATGCGTACGAACGGTACGCGGCCAGCGCCACGGGAGCTGCGGCTTTTGTTCGCACAATGGCTGGTTTCAGTTTCCCGCTATTCGCACCCGACATGTACAAGGCGCTTGGCATCGCTTGGGGGAATGCAGTACTCGCAGGTACTGCCATGGTCCTGTGTCTCGTGGCGCCGTTGGTACTCTGGCGATGGGGTGAGTGGATTCGGAAGAAGAGCCCGTACTGCGCTGGTTGACCAGACGATTATGAGAACCACCCCATCGATAATGATAGTCACGTTAGATAAGATAATAGAGAGCAGTATAGACATGTCAGCATTTGTGGACACGGCTGACACACAAATTAACAATCACTTCATGCAAAACGGCCCGGCTTGTTTGTCGTCGTACTATTAGCGGACACTGCTAATGGCGTTCACATCTAAGCTATTGAGGCTATACATTAAATCTATCCACATGATGGGGTATTATACAACAAGTCATTAGGGTCGGTCCTGTGTCGTGGGAATTATATAGAACCTAAACGCACTGCCTTCTCATGGGCATCATCTGGCTCTTAAACTCCATGGAACACTTTTACGACACCGGCCGCAGATCTTTCCGAGCCTGTTTCCTCGTCCCGCGATCCGCTATGTAAGCTCATGTCCTTGCCGGCGACCAATTCGCTGGGGATGCAACCCGGCGGCGAGCGGCGCTCCTCGGGAGTCGCCTCCTCGGTTCTGATTTCGACGTCGTGGCGTTGGTAAATCTTCAACGGCATCGAATACGTCGTGTTGATTTGCTCCTCGCTGTCCAAGCGGTGTATCGTCGTATCGCCAGCCCTTACGGCGGATCGGGGGCCGTGGCTGAAGTTGGATTGGAAGCGGGTTGAAGGGTTCGTCGATCGCTTGTTGGAATATCCGGCAAACGACTTGAGGTTGAAGATTCTGCGAAGCAGGGTCCAGATGTAGGGCAGGTTGGCCGTGATCAAAGCGGTCGATGACTCTCGGATGTACCAGAATGTCCAGTTGGAGCCGAAGGGCTCGTTGAAACTGTAAAACTTGTTGAGGATCGCAGAGAGAATCTACAGGCAAAGGTCAGTGTTGTCACAGTTCATATTTCGGTATCGACATACGGTAAAGGCACCCAGCGCAAATACACCGATGAGCACTGCCTTTCTCTTTCCGGGCAACTGAGACTTGAGGAAGATCGGCATCGGGATAGCGATGATCATAATATCCGAGGAGATGTTGAGAACGGCGTTAGTGATGAGATGGTTCGTGGCAGCGGAGCATTGAACTAGGGAATCCAAAGTTAGTGACGTTGTCCACTGGTGGGAAGCCTTCAAGGCTCGGTTCCAACATACCACTATCCGGAGGGACGGCCCAGTATTCGGTAAAGGGCCGGCACCAAACTCCGAGGTAAAGGATCTCCATCAGAACGAGGCCGAACGCAGCATATCCGGCGACGATCTTGACGGCCAAATTTTGCTTCAAACTCATGCTGTCGGGATGTCAGAAGCCGCATTTCTCAATAAGCCTTCAAGCGGGGGGGCGGGACAACGAACGTCAATCGGTTGTACATGAGCAGCAGGCAGGACTTGGTGGTCCAGATGGTGATGATCTGCATCTGCTCGACAACCAGCACCCATTTAGAGCCGTAGATTCGTTCGCGGATGTTTTCGGCGGTGAGTTCGGTGTGGTCGTTGGGGTCGATCAGGTTGCTGCTGGTGTGTGAGATGATGCTCATGCCGACCATTAACACCGTATCAGACATCTAGAGCAGGTTAGGCATGGTTTGGGGTCATTAGTGGAATCGCTGGGACGGACCATGGCGAGCAACATCAGGTAATCCTCGAGTTGTAGTTTCTTGAGGGAGCCCAGCAGCATGTATCGTGATACCCTAGAGGCGAGTAAGTACACGGCGGGTAGAGATCTGGAGGGTAACACGGCGGCACGTACATCCTGGCGATGACAATCATCCACGTCAACGCATACCACGTCCATATTTCTGCTATAAAGGCCGTCATGGCTGCGGTAGGAGGAACCTCGGTTTAGCGGCGGGGGATTCACCAGCACCCAGGCCAAGGTGTCAGTCGCTGGCGTTGGTGAGGCGGAGGCCGGGCAAGGGAATGATGTGCGCCAGAGCCACTCGCGCGCATTGCCTCGACGGAGATTTGTTTCTGGGGAGCGTGGAACACAGCAAAAAAAGCAAATGGACAGGACAGCGGAGAAGAGAGATCGCGGGGGCGAGGATGGCAGCATTGCTTTTATTTAGGACGCGACCTAGGACCTGGGGGGGGGGGCGGCTTAGAGCGTCCGCAAAGGTGGGAGATGTGGATGCTGTGGATGCCGTGGATATCATGGGATGACGGCACCGGGACCTCAGCGACGCTCTATTAGTTCTCCTAGTTCTCTTGGCTCTCAATGCCTTCAGGGGCATCCCAGAGTTGGGGCTCCGGGCTGTTCATCGCGCATCAACCTTCCATTCTAGTGTTGAAGGCCCGGTATTTTTGTGACACATAGCACTATGCAGTCGGCGTCTGGTGCGTCTTGGCCGCTAGAGTGGCCAAGAAGGGACAACCAAAGACAACCAAGGACATCCTGGCACACCAAAGAACACCCATGACGCCCTCCTCGTTGATAGATAGGGGGCGTGGAGACGGCGTGGGGCAAGTCTCGAGTCAGCCCATGTCTGTCTAGGGTCTCGAGTCAGTTAAATGGCTCCGCAGCCCCATCGCAGCTCCATCCAGAAGCCCATCCCATCTGCGTGGCATCCTGCATCGGGCCAACGAGACACACCGGTGGCGAGTCGAATATTCTTCTGCAGGGAAGCCCGGGGGAACACGCCACAGCCGGACCTCTCGTTGCACGCAGGCCCAGGAACCAGCTCGAGGGGCCCCCTGGACGCTGGCTTCTTAGCCTGGGCCCTAGGTGAGCGTCTCCCATACCGCGGGCATTTTATCGACCTGGGACCTGGGGCAGGGAGCATATCACGTCACCTATTGGGGCAACGTGCATTGGCAACCCTGTCGCTTGGAATCTGTCGACGTCGGAGCCGGAGTGTGCCGACTCCTGCGTTTGTTCCAGGTGAGAACGACGAACCAAACTTAACAAGCGACGCAGGACGGACAAAGCCAAAGCGCACGCAAGCGAAGGGACGCAACGGCAGAACTGACAAGGCACACAAAACACAACGACCGGGGACGGGACGCGGCCAATTGATGCACCAGCCCGGCGCACTGGGCCGTTGGAATCGCCGTTGGCCGTCCAAGGGGGGGGCCCTGTGGCGTTGTTGCGCGCGCTGAACTGGCAGATATCGCAGATACATCGTACATTATACCTTCTCCCCTCTAGTGCGTGCTCCACCGCTGCTGATGCGTGCTAGGGAGGCTGGCCGCTGGAGAATATTCATCGAAAACGTGGCTCGATAGCGTGACGGCGAGTCGGCGACGTCGCGACCGCAACCGATTGGCAAAGGGGCAGGTGGCAGGGGATGACAGTCGCACCGGCGCGTTTCCTGCAGACGCCTCCGACTGCGACTGTGTATGTGTGGTATCCAATGTATGGCGTCCAATGTGTCTTCCCAGTCACAGTCTTATGGAACCTCGACGGTGGCGGGCCGGTGGTACGCGCCGGCAACGAGCATCGGCTCTTCGTCTCGGCGGCTTTCCAACGGCGCCAGACGCCATCTGGCCGTTGTTCTTATGCCCTCATATTCGACGGCTGAACTTATCCCAAGAGCCAGTTTCCAAATTGTGCAAGCAATCTCAAGTTCTCAACAACTCTCCTCCTCCTGGGCCTGCGTGCCTCGGCCCTCCTGCCCCGAGCCACCCATGTGAGGATCACCCTGGGACCGTCGGATGTGGGAATACCGTCGGAGTTCCAGCACCTTGCTGCCCCATCGACTCTCCCCCTGTTCCCACGCGGCGGGAGATACGCACACCTCGCTATCTGCGCTGCATCTCCTCTTAGTGTCGGAGAAAGAGAAAGAGCTTGCGTTCTGCGGGCGCACGTCTGGATTCTCGGCTGCATGCTTCTCTGCAGCTGCGGGCTGGCTTCAGCCTTCAGGAACCACTGCAGACCACGCGCCACCACCACACTCCTCCTGACTCCTGGTTCGCATCGCCATCCCGTCTTAGCCCCCGGTGCTAGGCTACGCGTAGCGGGCGGTTGTCCGTGTTGGAAGAATCATTTCGCGACCCAGACTGTTTTGGATGGCCTGCCGAGCCGCTATTTTGCTACCGACGTCTAACGGCTCAACTAGCTGTAACGAAGCCCAACGTCCGCGTGTCCCGGCTACCGATCAACGCCAGTGGCTTGGTCCTGGATTCACGGGAGAAAGTCCGATCGAGTAACTAGTCTCAGCAGGCATTCCTTGCACGTGTATGCTACCGTAGCACATCGCATTCTTGGTAGGCTAAATAAACATCTCCGCTCCCCCCTCGTTTAACCAGTGCCACATTGACGGGTCCCTACCACACTATCAGCGGAGCCAAATCCGCCTTCAGTTGAAGTGGACCGAAGTCGCAAGCTGAGCCCTTCAACCGCGAGTCATCCAGTCCGGGCCACTCTCCGGATTTCCTGGCCCATTATACAAGCACGAGGGGCTGTGGGTGTGTGTGTCACCAGAGGGAGAGTGGCCTCTCTCACCTGCGACGCTGTCCCACCGGATTGGGCTACGTAGCATCGTGATGGAGTTGCTGCCCACAGCTGCCCACAGCTGCCCATCGATCGTCTGGCTTCGTACGGAGTATTGTACGGATAACGGAGCCGATCACGCAGCGGATCCGGGGGCTAGCTCAGGTGGCGATCCGCGGATGGACGTGATACCACACAGATGCGACATCATTCACACGGCTTCCCGTGCGCACGAGCATCGAGCTATCGACCAACAGCTCCGGTTCGGCACAGCTCCCTATCAATCGCTTCATCACCAACTCCACTACGTACCTGACAGTGCACGCACTCGAAGCAGATTGCCATGGGAGCTAGCCCAGCCAACCCCGAGATGAACCCGAACTGACCAAAGCCACAACTAGCCGAATGCGCCAGACTAGGCGCTTCTCGATGATGTGGCGAATCACTAAATACGGGCTCCCGCTGATTCCAACGATGGCGTCTTTACTGCGGGTTCTAGAATATCATCCCTTATCGCAAATGCAGAAGCCGTTGCTTTTGGCACTACCCGAGCAATCGCATTCTCAATGCTTGGTCACAGATGAAAGCTGGCTTAAGTAACACGGGAAAGCACAGCCACCAACTCCATGTGGCGCAGCTTACCTCATCTATCGTCATCGCTGATTTCAGCACGTAATAACGGAAATTGCTAACAAAAGGGAAAATAGCGCAATATCACGTGACGATTAGATTTCCAATCCGCTCCCTCGGATTCTATCAGAATCCGTACAGAGGGGAACAGAAAGGCATCGTAGACGGCGTATATTCCTTATTAAAGTGCACGTCTGCAACAGCTTCTGGAAATCCACATCTTCTCCACAACATCTCTGTGTGTCCTGACTTCAGAATTGCAAGAAATACCAAAGGCAACTCCACTCTTCAACATCAACTCCCAGTCAAGCTCAGTCCCAACTATCGCCACACTCGCCACAATGGTCCAGCACGTTTCTTCCTCTGCCGAGCTCCAGGCACTCTTCGATTCGACCACTTACGTTGCCGTCGACTTCTTCGCCGATTGGTGCCCGCCTTGCAAGCAGATTGCGCCCATCTACGAGACCCTCGCCGACAAGCACAGCGTCCCAAACACGCTGGCATTCGCAAAGGTCAACGTCGACCACGCCCAGGACATCGCTCGCACCTACCGCGTCACCGCCATGCCCACCTTCATGTTCTTCAAGGACGGCAAGCAAGTCGCCGTCAACGGCCAGGCCATGATCCAGGGCGCTGATCCCCGCACCCTTGGCGCCGCTGCCGAGAAGCTGGGTGGCCTCGCCAAGAAGCGTGCTGAGGCAGCTCTCTGATTCGATAGATTCGTGGCCAAATGACCAATATTTTCTTTGAATCGCCGATTATTATGTCGGAGAAAGTCATGAGATTACGATGTGCTGGGGAAACTTGATTATTATCGGAAATAGGAGTTGAGACGACATTATGATCATTAGAAAGGCGTTTAAAATATGCTCCGCTGATTCCAATTGCTTTGTATATACCCTCACAATCAACATGAATTTGATGAATATTTCTTCAGTATCCCAAAGTTCCTGAGAACTCTAGGGTAGGGTTCCTTCAGATTGGACCTCTTGTAAATATGACTGTTTGCCGTTTGCATTGTGATTGTCGTAATACTCAACGAATAGGAAATTTATGTCCCTGTAGAATGGATAAAATTATCCTATAACCTCAATCGTATTCTCGGCCTCTGCTCGTTTGACGCAGGTCAGTCGTCGATGCAAACTTACGCCTCGCCGAGATTAGTTCTACAGCGAGAAAATGACGAATGCAAGCACTCAAAAACCCCATCAGCACATGTCCGTAGAGGTCGCGTTCGAATCACCCCGATATCTATCATTGAGATCATGAAAAACGATGGTTTTCCTCGGAGGTTTCTAGGCTGAGCTAGATAGAAAATGACGTAAAGAACATAACGAGGCACAATCTAAGCAGAGTCACGTATGTTAGGGTTAGCAATAGCCTGGACTTACCCGTAGCACGGGATACCTGGAGTATCGTGATGGCTGTTGAGGAAAATCAAGTTGGAGGTAATGATGCAATTAAGTTTATAGTTGACTGGAGCGGTGTTTTGTCGTATCGAAGAATGTACATTCAGTGGATTATGTCGGAATATAGCAGTTCCATACTGGTGATATTGCCGTTGCGATTGCAGAAGCAGCACAAGGAGATTTGCACAACATGTTACGGCCAAATCACATTTTAAACCGAAGGTGCAATACACATAGGGTGTCACGTAATAGGGTAACTGGTCAAGCCCAGGAAGAGACGTGTAAATAATGAACCAATATTCCAAAATTGATGGAGAGATATATTCAAACTCGGATCCAGACTCGAGAAATGTACAAATATATACTGAGGCGAAAGATCCGCTATGAAGGCGGGGCGCCAACGTAAATGGTCAAGTTGTCGACGTTTCCAGACGAAACAGTGCCCGAGGCGTTCTCGTTGCCGTCCGGGTTGACGTCGTCGTATGGGAATGAATATCCCTTACCTTCCACCTCGTAATTGTGAATGATACGGCTGTAGTGGTTGGTCGGATCCACCGTGTAGTATGAATCGCTGTTGAGGCTTGGTTGCGCGTTGCCTCCGTCGAGCAGAAGCGTGGACCGGACAAATGCAGCGCAGAGACGCGGCACCACTGCCTTGTGAATGGCATTGTCGTCACCTAGGATAGCAAACGGTCCGGTGTTGCAGCCCCAGATGTCGTCGGCGCTGGGCTTTGCGTAGCCACGGTTGTCGCCGTTACAGACCAATTCCTCGCCCGAAACCTGGCAGCTCACAGGCCCGGAATCCGTCTGCGTGTTGATAGTCAAGGCCTCAGTGGTATACTGGCTCCAGACTTCGTCAACATAGCTAGTCCAGTAGTTTCCAAAGACGTCGGCGTTGATGGCGTGGAAGTTGCCAGGCGATAAGATTCGGACGGGAATTCCTGAAGTATTGGCAAGGCACATGGAGCTCCACGGGAATCCATCCGCATCTCTCTGCGTAACCAAGTCATTGCAGATGTTGGTGACGCTGTCAGCCTGGAGCCCGGCCGCGCTCTGAGTGGTGCCATCAGTGACAGATAGCAACATGCCTAGACCCATGCCAACAAAGTCAACATAGCTGATGTTGGCATATATGACCCCGCCAGTGTAAGTGAACTCGACAAATCCCCATTTAATGTTGGCGCTCGCATCCTGAAGGTTGGTAACGGATGGCTGAACCAAGCCGTCGCCTGTGCCAATGTTGACCATGTAGAATAACAATTCACCTTCCGCAAAGTAAATGCGCCCAGAGCTCATCTCAATCGGTAAGACGAATTCAAGCGTGTCACCATATGAGCTGATGGGAATCGCAATGTTGTCACTGATTTGAACCGGGACCGTGGAGCCACCCGAGGAAGGGTAGATCAAGGACCCGTCGGCACCTAGAAACACGACGACGCCGTTTGAGTCCAAGCCCGAGATGTAGGCATTTACTGAGCCGCCGCTGAAATTGTTGACAAACTTGAGAGGGAGAGTAGCGCCAACCGGGTCCCGCCGGGCAATGGTGCTAGTGCTGTTGTCGAAGGAGGTGCTGTTAAGAGTGTTTCCATCTGTGACCTCGACCTCATCGATTCCTCCTGGGTGGATTTTGGTAAACCCCTCGGGGGTGAGATTGTCTCTGGTGCATTTGTGAGTGGGACGGCAAGTAGCTACGCCGAGAAAGGCGGCAATGAAAAAGAATGGACGCATTTGAGCGGAATGAATGAGTGGACTGGATAAATAAAGAGAGACTGAAAGAACACCAATCAAAGAACGACTAAACAACCAACCAAGCACTTGAAGAGAACTACGAAGGGCCCGAGACACTCGGGACATGTCAGGGCAATATATACATACAATAGATTGCATTCCATGCATTCCAGTTGGCCCCAAAATCGTACCAACAGAGTCCGATACAAGAAGAAGGATCCATGCTACGAAACATGACTGACAGTGATGTGACAAAGTCGGGATGAACGAGATTATGCGGGACGTTGTATGCGGTGCTGATTCGGGGGTTTCTCAGGCTGTGACCACTCTAAGTGAAAAGAAGGATCAAACAATGGCGATGTTGAGTTGGATGTTCCGACTCTTGGGCCAGTCTTGGGCCCGTCATTGGCTGGGACACGACATGGTCTGGCATGGGCCTTGTCTGATTGTGGGGATATTGATCGACGAGAATCCCTGTCGATTCGTCGCCTTTACATGGGTGCTGCTCCTCTGCCTCGGATTTGGCATTTTCCCATCATCTCCAGCTCGGCGCCGCACCACGGGAATAGCTTCTTATTAGGCTATTGGCTGACGGATTGTGGGGGGACGTCCTCCGTACCCAAGTCCCAATTACATATCCCATGCAGGGTGACAGATGAAGATGCCTCGACTGGTGATGGAGTAGGCCCGATTTTGTTTCTTCACACACTAGCTCGCAGCCTTGCCAGCGTCCCGTTTCAGAAACCACCTTCTGTTTTAGATCGCTCCCCTGAGACATGTAAGCGGCTTTCTGTTTCGAGGGCTCCTTTGTGCCAATTACCTGCAGCAGCCGCCCTGGGATATGAACAAATCATGCATTCTTCATGCAGCGCGGTTCCTGGCTCGTGCACTGCCACAGCCCATAGCCTCAATACTGAGGAGCAACTGAGAAGCAGCAAGGGGGGTTTCATTCACCCTTGGACGCCACATGGAGGAGCTTTGAATAGAGTAGAGCAGTATCGGGGCCTGTGAGCCCCTCTTTCACCATACATTACGTATAGATCTTACCGTATTGCGAGGGATCGAAAAGAGAATTGTAGGTGAAAGTAATCTCGGCCATTCCATGATCCAGGCTGAGGCAAGGCTCTTTGGTTCAACTGGGAGGGGTAGTATCCCTGGGCCAATGTGTCTAGTGTTCATCAATATTAAAAACGGCCTTTATGTTCGCCGTTTCGCCGCCGGAGCAACAAGAACAGCCATGTTCTCGTATCGGAGCTCCGATTGATGTATCGCCCTATGTCAGCCTAGCGGTGACACGAACCTCTGGGTTTTACGTACCCGTTCGGTAGCTGCCAATAGCTAAATTATCCCATGAATCGTCACGTTCGTTCAAGCTGATTCAACGCATGCTAGTGAAAGCTGGGGGGGAGAGGTCTGGGCAAATCAATGATCAGCGATCAACGCAACTCTAATAGATAAATACGATAAACTAAAATTCCATCCAGTCTCAATCGGCACTACTAGCCCAAATTCCCATCTTCCACTCTGTCAAAACACTCTACTCTTCAACATTAGATAGGCTCAAGGGTGGATACTACTTGATTATATAGCGGGGAATAGGCCTTTGGGGGGTCCCAGCAAACTTGACGGGTACAACGTCTTGTATCTCCTTGAAAATCACTTCGAAGTCGAATTGCCTAGTCTTTTTCAGATCTTGAAACTTGTCGGCAATCTTGGCCATGAAGAATGGCGGCTTGCTCCATCTGTCAAGGGGCCCAGGGAGCTCAGGCCGCGTTAACGCCCCACGGCAGCTAGTATTGTCCTTCCTTTCCTTCACATGCACGACGTATACGCCCCCGCTAGGACAGCCGCTGGGGTCAAGCTGAATGACAACAACGTAGTCAGTCCAGTCCCATCGATCGATGCTCGGGCTCAAGCTAGGATCGGGGTTAGTGTTGGCTACTCCTCCCTTGCTGATATCTTTCCAAGTATTGCCGCTGCAGCACATGAGCTGACCGATCTCCCAGAAGCAGAATGGGTCGCGATCTAAAAAGTCGGTGATATCGGTGCCTCGGGTGAAACTGCCCAAGTCCTTTGTAGAGTAGCGATACCGGTTGTTGTTCAAGTCGATTGAACAAATCCGGTGGTATAGAGGGTCCGGATCGTCATCGACTTGGAAGTTTGCAAGCAGGCAGGAGCCGCCCACGTCCACAATGTACCCAGTCAACGCTCCACCAAAACTGCTCTCTCCTAGCTTGATGGCATTAGTATCACAACAGAACTGTACCTCCTTCGCTTTATCATATTGTTCGTGATTATTACATGGCATTGAGCAAATAAGATCAATGTAATCATCCTCGGAGATTGCGTAACTCGTGCCATATTTGCGATGTGTGCGGCAGATCCACTTATCATAGAAAATCATCCACTTCTCATACGCATTTTCAACGTTGGGCCAGGCTTTCTGAGCCCAGTCTCGGCTGGAAAGATCCAGACCAGGCGTCCTATCGGTCACGTACCATCTATGAAACTCAACTTCTTGGGGGGTAAAGGTTTCAATGGTCTCCTGATCTGTAGGCGTCTCACGCATGAGTTTCGCGAATTCTGATGGGCTTAACATGGCGGATTATATGCTGCAGTTGCAGAATGGACGATGATGTTGAGACTCGGTTGCGGATGCTCGAAGGGTGGGGGATGGGAGGTTTTATACTCGCACACGATCCAAAGCTGAGAGGCAACCGTCGAACATGGGGAGACCATCCAATCTGTTCTAGATACAAGCGTTCGTGAGACATGCACAAGGCTCTTTGTGGCTGGTTCATGCCAGACAGGGATCTCGGTTCAAAACTCAAGGCCGCCAGGAGACCAGTATTGGAGGGAGCACATGGGGGTGGGGAAGTCATGCATCTACTACCCGAGTGATAGGTATAGTGGCTTTACAACAATGAACTAGCTAGGTGGACGGACCACGCGGTAGAAGAGGGTGTGAAGGTTGATAGAAGGGAGTGTTGGTGCGGTGGTGGCTTGGCAAACGGTTGGATGAAGACGAACACCCCCGCTCGAGGCCGGATCAATAGCCAGCACGGCCGCACAGAGAGCCAGAACAATGCCCCATTCATCCTCAGGAGAATGAATGGGTGTGTAGGCTGGCCATGGTGGATTTGGCGTAGTGGCTATTGTTGTTGTAAGATGTGTGGACGTGCGAGATGCGGGGTTGAGCCCAGCTGAGTAGAACCGCTCGCATGGAGAAGAGCCAACGCATTGGAACTTGGGCTGCACATCCGTTTCGCTTTGGCCATGTCAATGAGTATCCCCTCACTTTCATGACCCTGACAAGAGTCTCGCAGTCACGCAGGAAATGGCTTTGTTTCAATCCCAACCTAATGCCCGAGCTCGAAGATCACAGAGCACCACGACTCGCACTCAATGATGCTATTCCATCACCTCCCAAACTAACCAGCAACATAGGGATACGCCCTGTTTCTAGAGAGGCTCATATCTTGTCTTGTAGTAGGATCTTCTAATTACGTCTACCATCCCGTTGCATGCCGGCCTATCGATCCAAAGTATAATAGAGGAAATGCTTAGCTTGTTTACTTCCTTTGCAGTTTGAGCGAGAGGCACCTGCCTCTTCATTCCACGCCTAGGTCTCGTCGGTTGAGAAAGCTATTTGCAGCCAGCTAAAACAGGAGAGGCGTGCGAAAGTTATGCGAATACAATGATACCCATGTGCTCTGACGAAACACTTGCACGTCCTCTGACGAATCAGGACCAAGAGTTAAGGGAGCTTAGGGATAAACTTTCGTTCCTCAAATCGCATTCCTCAATGTGTACCAATAACGGATACTGTGTTTCCTTTCCAGTACATAAGGGGTTTATGAGTAAGAATGCAGTCCTTAATAACCTCAGTTAAAAGCACAAAACCTTCAGCCTAGTCTACAACACTCCATTGCTGAGGGCCACTACTAGTGGTCAAATGCGACTCACTGCTAATATAGGCACTCTGGTAGTCCTAGTTCTAGGGTATTACCCCTCCTGCGATACCGTGGTTCTTCGCAGACGGCCTCTATAGACTAATTGCGTGCGGTATTACTTGTCTGGAGTACGGCGATACACGATCTGGAACTTGCTTATTGAATCAACTCCTGTTTAACCAATGTCTGAAGGATTGAGTGATAGACATTTATCTATTTATTCACTTGAAACGAGCGATTACAGCCAGCGAGAAGTAGGAACAAGAATGCAAAGTAAACCATATCTATTCACTCTATCAGGTAAAACGATTGCCTCACAAGCTATTCAGCTTACAATAAACACTTGCTGGTACCTCACAACAAGAGTGAGGACTTATCTTCTCTTCCTTCTGCCCAGCCCGGAACTTCAATACCCTTTTGGGATTCCTCTCCTGGATTTCGTCATAGCCGAAAAGTTGTTTGCATTGGTAGCAGCTATCAACCGGGCCATAACTGTTCCGGTCTTGAGCGTCCTGCTTGAAGGCCTGCCCGAGATGACTCTTGCAGGATCGAATCGAGTTCTTCGTCCACGACTCGGCAATTGCGCTCTGTTCCGGCGCTAGGCTGCTCATATCGCCGGTCATTACTTTGAACCGCAAGACTTCCTTTTCAGTATTGCTCATGCCACACTCCAGTCGTTTACGACTTTCGTTTCGATCGTGACATGCTTTGATCAGGGACTCGCCAATTTTGGCATCCCGAGCGTTCTTGCGCTGGATGCAAAACTCGGGCCAATGATTGAGGCGCTCCTGCGTAGCACCAACATGAACCCATGGATGCAGCATCTTCCCAATCTTGTCTATACCAAGGCATGTAAAAAACATGTATGGGATTGGGAGCCATATTTTAGGCTCACCCTGAAAGGGGTTGTGTGAGAGGGGAAGTTGTATCACCCCGCGTAGCAAACTAATCAGAGTTTCAGGATTGCCGTGAGAACTCTTGATTTTGTTATGCATATCTCTCGTATTTAGTTGACACCAAATCCGCGCTTCTCGAGGTGAAATATTAACAACTTGGTCCGAATCCAGCTCCTCAGTATGACCCGACTCGTGATATAAGGTATCAAACTCTGTCTTGAGCGTTCTAAACTCCTTCTTACCCTTTTCAAGAGAAATATCGGCTATGTTGCATAAACCAAGAAGAGTCGTGGTTTTATCAAGGCCCTTCATGCAAAGCTTAGCACGATCATATAATTTGGCATTGTAGACGGCTGCTTTCATCTGTTTATGAGCTTTATCACAGATGACCCAAAGATAGGACTCAACCAGGATGATAAATTGCGCGGGGCCGTACGGCAGGGTTTCTGACGCCATATCCGTCCAACACTTAGACTCGTTGAACGATACGATGTCGTCGTGTACAGTCTCCAATAGGAGAGTCATTGTGATCAGTCTCTTTGCGAGACTGTCACGGATCTCACGATCGTTTTTCCCAAGGTCGGCTTCATTTAGGAGTTGATGGGTGCTGAGAGGAAATGTCGAATGAACCGAATGCCTCCGGGACGTGGGAAGAGATTCTAACATCACGAATGTCAGAGATGCAGCCCTCCCGGTTGTTGATGTATTGCTGTTGTAATGTCAGAGGTGTGTAATGTGCAATTTATGAGATGAAAGTTGCTCTAGATATAATGAGAATAAAACCAAGTAAAGTAGCAAGCAAGGTGACAAGCAAAGTAACAAGCAAAGTAACAAGCAAAGTAACAAGCAAAGTAACAAGCAAAGTGACAAGCAAATAGTTATACATTCCATATTAATATACCAAGAGTTCAAAGAGAGTGACAGTGCTTTGTGTTCAAGAACATGTTTTACCATCTCGCATGATGTTCTGACCTATTAACAATACCTCATACGGTGTTCTCAGCCACCAAGAGCACATGGTGTCTTGTTCTTATCAAATAAGAACAACTCTAACAGCGCAGTTACCTGTCATGAACAAATGGCATGGCAATATTATTTACTGAAAGCTTCATCTACTAAGATTACGTATTATTCGACAAGAAGCTGCTTGCACCGCAAATCGCGCTATCGTTTACTGTACTGGACCAGAGTCCCAGCCCCAAGAAGTGAACATGTCGAATTGTTCTTTCTTCTGGCCATCTTATTGATTTGGAACATATTTCAGCAAGAAAAACATCCAGGCATTGTTCTCGCATAGAAATGTACGGCACCGGGTAACTACGTATGCTTGTTGTTCTGCGCGGCCCGAAGTTGAGGAATAAGAGCGGAAGTGAATATTATTTGATCTTGATGATACAACTCCAGGAATAGTGTAATTTCTCACGTCCCAAGGCGCCGTTAATTTAGTAGTGGTTGTTCATGAGTATCGGGACTTTCGGTGTGGTCGTTCACATGGTCTAGATAACTTGCATTATGTTCCTTTGTACTAAGAACACTCGCCTCAAGTACAATGGCGTGCAATGCCAAAAGCCGGCTTCAAGTTTGCTTTTACTTCTTAAAGGGCCATCAAGTGCAATTTGTTCCATTTAGGCAACCAAGACTCTTGAATTTGAAGTCTCTACGAAATGCTGTCGACTTGTTCTCCGCATGAACGGTTCCCGCTCGGTGAGGCGCGGTGAGTCTCGGTAAGCCCCACCGCACTGGCCAGGCACAGCACTCACCGACGCTTTATCGCCCACCCCGCAACCGCAAAGTAAACAAACGTAGCACCACCATCATCACCGAAAGAACAGCACCTGCGCCGCCCTGAACCATCACATCGCCAAACCACCCGCTACCGCCGCAATGTCGTCAAAGGAATCATCCAAGTCCAAGGATAAATCTAAGGTCCACAAGCTCTCCCTCAAGGGCAGCGCCCGCCTGGTGGCCGAATTCGTAAGTTCTTCCACTCTATCCAGCCTGTCCTCGGCGCTGTCGCAGAAGCTAACTACGGACTTCCAATGCTCCTTAGTTCCAATACTCCATCCACAGCATCCTGTACGAACCCGTCTCGCTCCGACTCCATTGATACACTGCCGACTGACACATCCCCCAGGTTCCAGCGAGGTGTCTACCCAGCGGAAGACTTTACAGCGTTCGTCGTCTCCGACCCAACATCAAACCCAACACGTCACTAACAAACTACATAGCGTCAAGAAATATGGTTTGAACATGCTGGTCTCGGCCGATGACCAGGTCAAGGCATACATCAAGAAGATCATGTCCCAGTTGGACAAGTGGATGGTTGGTGGCAAGATCTCCAAGCTTGTCATTGTCATCACGGACAAAGACACAGGCGAGCATGTTGAGCGATGGCAATTCGATGTACGTCTTCTATCTCTTTGTTCTAACCAGTACTCCTTGTCTTGGCCAATGCTCCCTAGTCCACCAATCCTCCGTTCCCAGAACACCCAGCCTGTTCAACATGAGATCCTAACTAACCACACCCTCCCCCAGGTCCAAATCTTCCAAACGACAAAGTCCAAGTCCAAGTCCAAGTCCAAACCTAGCGACCAAGAAAATGTCGCCGGCGCCACCCCGGCCGCACCCGCCGAGAAGACGGAGCCCGAAATCCAGGCCGAGATCGCCGCCATCTTCCGCCAGATCACCGCCTCCGTCACCTTCCTGCCCCAGCTCAGCGGCGACTGCACCTTCAACGTCCTCGTCTACGCCGACGCCGACAGCGAGGTCCCCGTCGAATGGGGCGACTCCACCGCAAAGGAGATCGAGAACGGCGAGAGGGTCCAGCTGCGTGGCTTCAGCACCGCCAGCCACCGCGTCGACACCCTGGTGAGCTACCGGCTGGCGGAGTAATGGTGGCGATAGAACAAGACACGCAGACATACAGGAGGCGGAGGAACGAGAGTCGCAGGTTCGGAACCAGATTCACTCCTACGACAAGGCATACATAATGAACAAAGAACGGCCAAGACGGCCGGGATGGCGTTGGGCGGCGTGAGGGTTTTTTTGTCTTGATTCACATTACTTCAACATGGTGTTGACAGAACTGTACGATATTTGGTATCTATTCGGCACCCGGTGCCTGTCTTTGCAACTTCTATGAGAAGAAACCATGTACTAGGTTTTGCCTGGTCTCTCGCGCCATGTCCCCAATCTACATTCATCAAACCACCCCAGAGTAAACCATCTACGCCTCATCACCGTTTCTCATAATCTTGGCTCAAACTCTCTTGAAAAAGTACACATACGCAAACTTGCGCATCTCGTCCACATCATGCGCCTCCACAACCTTCTCGTCGTTGAAGAGCACCCAGGTGGCCGAGCTTTCCAGCTGCTTGCGGATGAAGGCAACGTAGTGACTAAAGCTTTGTTAACTGATAATCTTGACCACCCTAGTCAAATAAACTTACCCTGCGTGAATGCTCGTTCCCTTGTGGCAGACAATTGACCGGAGTTCAAAGTTAGCTGGGAGAACCGCACTTCCGGCTGGCTCACTGGGCGCCGCCGTAGCACCATCTGTCGGGGCATCATCATCAAAGGTCCCTTGATCATCAGGATGACTGAAGAGCCACTCCACAGCTCGCTCGACGTCGCCGCCCGTCTCCTTGAGAGCCTTCTTTGCCTGAGGAGCACCGAAGCCCATGGCACCGAGCATCTCAATCTTCTCGGGGTCGGCAGTGCTTGCGGCAGCCGATGACTGTCCTCCCAGGTCAAGAGGGGCATCAATGTCAGCGTCTTCCATGTGCGCAAACAACCATTCCATGGCCGAGTTGGCATCAGAGTTGCCAGTGGCATGCAGGGCTCGCTCGCAACGGTTACGAGGGAATCCCATCCCCTCCAACTGGGCCACTGCCTCAGCATCGGGGATAAACGCAGGGGCGGTTGCCTCTGGTTCATCAGGTAGCTTCTCCTCTGATGGTTGCAGTCCTTGGGACAGGTAGGTGTCCAAGGGGAATGGACCATCCGGCACAAGTACGGGAACATCAACCTTGATAGGAACCCAGTTGACCACCGTCATCTTCCTGGCATTGACAACCAGGACATCAGGGAAGGTCTTGAAAAGCGACCGCTTGGTGAATCCGTCCTTGCTTCCACATGCCGAGCAGGTCAGCTCGACCCTTTCGGTAGCGGTAAAGTTGTCGAGACATTCCTTGAGAGTAACTGGCTTGTATGTATCTGCACTTGCTTCCGCTCCCTCTTCGGCCGGGATCTTCTCCAGAGGAACGTCAATGAAGATGTTGTCCTGCTCATTAGTGCTGTACCTGACCTTCTTGCAACCCAGGCACTGCAGGCGTTGTTCCAGAGCGAATCGGAACTGCGCAGTGGGATCCTTCAGGTCACCAGGATGCTGAGACCGAGTGATGAGCTTGAACAGGTGCTGGAGCAGCTCAAGAGCATCCTGCTGCCGCATCGTGGAGAACTCCTCATGTCCTCGGCCGATGAGATGCTTGAGCATGGCGGGTGGGAGGCCCTTCTGGTGAGCAATAGCAGACTCCGCAGCAATATCGGTGTCAGGCTTAGAATATCTTCCAGACCAAAGACCGTCTGCGACCTTTCGCAGCTGGGTTTCCAGGTCAGAGGCCGGCTCTTGAACAATAGGCAGGTCATCGTTGGGTCGGAAGTATCTGTCTTGGAAAGAGGGCATATCGAAGAGGCACTGGAGAATACTGGCGAGGTAGCAGCTGTTGCCCAGGTTTTTCAAGCCAGTGAGGCCGGGTCCGAACAGGGGCTTCAGCTCCTTGCCATCTTCAGTAGTCATGCTAAAGTCCCACTTGAGGTTTTGCTCAATTTGCATCTCTGTCAGACTCTTCTCAGTCTTCTGCCTCTCAGCAAGGATAATTCCCCAGTGCGCCAAGTGCTCGCCTAGGCCGTCGTCGATGCGCTCCTCGTCGCACTTATAACAGTAGACATCGGCCGTTCCTTCGGGGGTGATTGATCCAAGCTTGACAGCCACACCATGGCCGGACGCGTCAGAATGAGCTAGGGCATGCGAGTTGCCATCGACACCACCCATCTGCTTGCGACCGCATCCCAAGTTACCACACTCCAAGCAGAGCCAGAGGTTCTCGGCAAGGTCGCAAGCTGAGCAGTGCCCAAGAGCACCCTGCTCAATCTTTCTAGAAGGGTGCTGTTGCATAAGCAGGATGTGCTCGCAGCTCGTCAGCTCCTGCTCCCAAGCCTTGACTTCTTCCTTTCGGGAGAAGGTGTTGGCCTTCATGATGCTGTCAACGAGGGGAGCAAGCTTGGGACCTGTCTTGTCCAGTTCAATATTGCAGTCAAGGCACTTCACAGCCAGGGCGGTATCGTATCGGTCCTCTTCGGTCTCAGCGGCGATGGACAACTTGGACATCTTGGCAGGGGGCTCATCTCGAACGATCATCTTCCGAGTTCGACGGATGTTGAGGGCGAGAGGGTGGCTCGTGAGAACGTGGTGGAGCTTGTTGTGAAGTCTATCGTTGGCACAACCGCCGTTGAAGCACTGAAGACACACATCGAGGCCAGCAGGATCGTCCTAGGTTAAGGGAAGGGTCAGCAAGGCCGTAGGAGCTTGCGGTTTCGAGAGGGCGGTGGAAGCTCACAATGGAGTCGAAGCATTGCGTGCAGTCTTCGCGGTAGACGGATTGGAAGGGAGTTGGAGGCGTGAGCCCTGGAAGATGAGAAAATGGTTAGCTTCACGTTCTGTTCCGTGGTGATCCAAGCAGAGCCGAAGCGATCATGCTCGAAGCTCAAGCATCAAGCTCCAAGGAGGGACGGTTAGTTGGCGGGGTCGACTTTACCGATCGACTCCAAATGCGGGCAAGCCATGGTTATCCGGTACAACTGGTTTCTTTGGTCTTTTCTCTGTAGTTCAAAATGGAGTCAAGTATGAAGGATCAAGATGGCTGCAAGATAATACAGATGTTGCTCACCACTGAAGCTTCGTCAGCTTCAGAGAAAGATGTACGACACACGTCACTGGAGCCTGCTTGGTTGACCGGGGAAGACAAAGAAGGCGGGGCACTCTCTGCCACAAATCCGCCACAGCGAGGTAGGCACTAGCCACAGTGAATTTTTGGTACTTCTGGCGGGGAAGCGGTGCGGGATCGGATGTGGCGCATGGCTCGCTCATGTGGCGTGTGTGGCTCATCAGATCTGATGCGTGCGTACCGCGTCGATCTCACACTCACACACCTGTTCTCCTCATTTGGGACATCCATGCTGCCATCCAGCAGTAGCGGGGTTTACGAGGATCAGCATCATCATATGGTTGAGAATTCCAAATGTTCGCCTCCACTCGCTAACCCTGCAGGGACTGTAGGTCCGCTGTCAAGTCCTGACAGTCGTTTGCATGGTATGCATTTGTCATTCACTCGCCTCCAGAGGGCCATGGCCGCAAACAAAATCCAGGCACCAAGGCATCAAAAACCCAAGCGACCCGAAATTCGCTAGACTGCTGCCCCGACGCTACGGTTGGAATGTTTGCGCCCACCCGGGTGACCAGGTTGGTGCAGTCAAAAAGTCGGGGAAATCAGCCGGGCTCGGCGGTAGTAATGATGGCCGGCGGTACCGACGGTGTTTGGTACCGCCGTCCGAATCAGAGCCGCTATCTGGTGACGGCCAACAGGACATAACCAGTCAACCAGTCAGTGAAGAGTCAGAAGCATGGGTGAGTGCCACGGAATCAAGGGCTGAAGCATGCCCCGAGAGACCGGACCAGGAACTGAGGGCATGGGACGCGGCGGACTGGGATGGTGGCGTCGGTTTTCATCATCACCGAGACGGAGACGACTTATCCCCGAACTGTGAATTTTTCCCGGTCGGTGCTGGTATTTTCTACCTTACATCCGGTGATATTGTACATCGGCGAATTGGATAATGTTCCCACGGTGATTCCAGGTGAAGGATGACGAGTGCATACGCCAACCTGCCACACCTCGCTGATGCTGGTGGTGGTTGTTCGGCTATGCGTCCGAGGCAGATCGGAGGCGGTCATTCAGTCGATTCACCGTGCATTGCCCGCCGGTAATTTCTGATCGAGCTGGGGCCCCTTCTGCACCTCAACCTCATCCTGGTCAGCGTGCTCATCGAGTCCCACTCCGCGGCCGCGGAAGTCAGAGCCGTGGGAATGCCGCAAGATATTGCACGGAGTGTTGGGAGCTACGATAAGATACTGCGGTAGATGGATCATGGATGTCCGCGGCGACGTAACGCATGCCGCCCCTTGATTAATTGAGGGGTAGCTTAGTTGGCGGGCGTCATGGAGTCACATGACGCCTACGGGGAGCAGCAACACAGTGGGGAGACAGGGACGTTTGCAGTGTTTGCAAATCTGCTTGGAGTCGCGGATCTGAAGTTTTTTTGTTCTGTCGTGTTAATTAGGCTCGGGCTGAAAACGTTGGCAGGGAAGACAGGACCCTCAACGTCCCCTACCTGAACATGATATTATTAATTGTGCATTCACGAGCATCTTATCAGATGCGTTTGCCCCAGGAAGTCAAAGTCCAGCAGTCCACATCGGCCCCCCATCTTTCCATCGGACGCACCCAATAACAATCCGGCTCGCCTGGAAAAACGGCAAAGAAAGAGGGGCCAGAGCATTCACTCGCTGAGGCAGTTTAGACGCAGCGCTATCCCCTTTCGGGCGACCATCTTCTTCTCCGAGGACCGAGCTAGCAAAGACGTAATGGCCGAGCAATCGGAGCTCGCTGATTGGCCGGTGCGGGATCCGGTGATGCACTGGCCGAAATCGCCATCTTTCCGCGGGCAAGTCCCGCATCTTTTTTGTGCAAGCCCGCATCGCCGCCCATCCCAGCCTTTTGGAGCACGCAGACCTATCTAGCCTCCACACGCCGCCTGTGAATTTCCATCTTCCCTTCTGCATCTCCGTCACCATTTCTGGCCTCTCGACAACCCTCTATCAACCTGCATTCGTCCGATCCTCCGCCATCGTCGACCTGCACTCTCGATCCTGTCCAGCCAACCCCTAACGGAACCGAACTATCTCCTTCGCCTCCGTCCACCTCGGCCTCCGCTACCGCCACCGGCTCAACTCACACTTCACTCACCCACATCCACATTCACAATGTTCTCCCGAGGACTCCGCGTCATCTCGCGGCGAGCCGCTCTCGCCGCCCCCCTCGCCCGGCCCTCGCTCGTCTCTGCGCGACAGCTCGCTCCCGCTGTCGCCATCAACGCCTCGCGCGCCTACCACGAGAAGGTGCTGGACCACTACTCGCGGCCTCGCAATGTCGGGTCCATGAACAAGAAGGACCTCGATGTCGGTACCGGCCTCGTCGGCGCCCCGGCCTGCGGCGATGTCATGAAGCTGCAGATCCGTGTCGACCCGGAGACCAACAAAATCTCCGAGGTCAAGTTCAAGACCTTCGGCTGTGGCTCCGCCATCGCTTCCAGCAGCTACCTCACCGAGCTTGTCCGCGGCATGAGCCTCGATGATGCCGGCAAGGTCAAGAACACCGAGATCGCTAAGGAGCTCTGCCTGCCTCCCGTCAAGCGTATGTCCCTCATCTCTCATTTGCTTGCGCAATTGCCGCGGCCCCGATATTTCATATGAAAATGTGACTAATCATGACTTTCTCACCCGTATAGTTCACTGCTCAATGCTGGCTGAGGATGCCATCAAGTCCGCCATCTCAGACTACTACACCAAGAACCCCAAGGCCAAGGCCACCAGCCTGGACGGTACCGGCATGAAGATGCCCGCTGTCGAGGCCACTCCCGCTGCCGCTACTGCGTAAAGAGCACTAAACCCGCTCACCCACATTTTACACAGCACACCAACAAACTACATCCATCATCACATCACAACACACAACTGGGATACATGACGGGAACGATACCCTTATTGGGGCTGGCGATGAAAAAAGAAAGTCGACGGGGAGAGACGGATAGGAAATCACCTATGGAATCATCAGATTGGGTGAAGCGTGCTGGCCAATTGCCATTGCACGGACTCGACGTCATGGATGGTTATTTTTCTCATGTCTTGCAGACGGGAAACTTTGGGAGTAAGGGGTTTTTATTGTCTTTGCTTGAAATCACAACGGGTGGTTTTTCAGAGAGGAAACTGGGGTAGGGGGTGGTCACGGAAAGAAGAAGGGGACGGGGTGTTTGAATGAACTGTAACCATTAGGTACGCACTGAATGAGAAGTGTTTTGTCCCAAGCAGTCGATGATGAGGTGTCCATTGCTCGTGTCATCTACGAGTGTCAAATTATGACCCGGTTGAGGCTACATTTGGATGAGAGCACAGTTGGCTCAAGAGGAAACAAACATCGTATCAACGCTGTTTCTACATGCCGCCGATGATGCCGTGTAAATCCCAACAAGCATAAGATGCCGATTTCCGGGCAGTAACGCGACACACCGTCTCTTCCTCGCCACCCCCTCCCCCGGCCCATGTGAGCCGTTCATGCACGGCCGTGTCGTCACAGCCACTGATTGATATGGCGCGTTATCAATCAGCTCAGCCAGCCGGGACCACCAGCGGGATTGCTCCCCCGCCTGGGCGACAGGCCCGCCACAGGCCATTTACCCTGGGTGAAGCACGTTGTTGTCTGGAGATACATCATGACACCGGGGTGGATGACGACATGATGCTCGTCCTCTTTCACCGAGGCCGGACGAACCGAGCCCAACCAAGTGGCAGTCTTCCAGTCGCCACTTCGATCCTCAGGCGTCGTCGTTCCCAAAAGGGGCGCCGCCGCCAATCAGATCCCCTCTGCGTACCATCACCGCCATCCCATCCCCCATGCCGCTCTGGCGATTCCACGTCTTATCAATCACCCCACAGCAGCAGCAAGGCTCCCCGGCCTGCCATACATACCTACAGCTTCTACCCTTTCTAGGTCGTTCTCCTTTTCGTACTAACACGTAGTTTAAGCTTCACTCCGGGGTCTTTGCCATCCCTGGAGAAGGCGGGAGAATGGCATCACGCATCAGGCCATTTTTTGGGTCCACCGTTGCATTTCGCGGAGTACCTTGCGGCCGCCGTGCCGTGCCCGTGCCGCTGCTGCACTTCCCCCCAGGTTCCGGCATCTTGGGAATTAGCAAGATCGGATCGAGTTTTGCGGGGGTGGCTTTTTTTTTTTTTTTCCCTCCGTGGATTGCGTGCCCGTTTGTGTCTTGCTTGTATGAGGCTCTGTTCTGTTAAGTGCGGACGCTGGGCTGGTGGGTTGCAAAACTTCAGAAATGGTACGATATATTCCCCACCTGAGCCTAGCTCGACCCAAGCTGTCAAGCCATGATCATGTTCATCTCGAGTTTGACTAAAAAAATAGATTGGTTAAATTGTTACTTGGGTGGTCGCTTGCTTTATGCCTTGAAGTCGTTATCATCATCATCACAAGCGGTCGTGAAATTGTTGAAAGGTTGCTCCCCCATCCCGTCCATCACCCCCTACCCATGCCCAAGATATCTGTCACTCATTCCTTTCTCCTCACTGTCCGTCCGTACATATACAAATGTGGTATCGCAGCATAGTCTCTCTCTCCATCACGAAGGCAAGGGAACATGTGCCCCATGAAACCCCATGGCAATCGCAAACTCCGCCTCCGCCCTCCCCACCTCCTCCATCGTCCGCGCATCCAGACACATCAGATACGCCTTCGAAGACACACTATCCACAACAACACTCAACACCACGCCGTCATCCTCATCGGTCCCGTCCGGCCGCGGCACAAAGATTGGCTCTCCGGGCATGTGTCCCTCTGGGCCAGCCCACAGCAGCGCCTCCTGCGTCCCCACGTCCGTCTTGACCAGCGCGTCCACCAGCGTACTGAGCCCCCGGTTCGACGTGCTGTACACGTACCGGTACGGTTTGCACCGGCGGGCCGGGTGGATCGTCGGCAGGTCACCGGCGTGCGGGTTCCGGATCGTCAGGAGCTTTTCGGCCGTGGCTGTGTAGGTCACGTCCGGGGCGGTGCCGAGCTGAGGCATGGTGAATTTGTATCTGACGAAGTGCGGAGTTGCTGTCTTGAACCGGTCTCCTTTGGTCCAGAACTTCTTGGTCGCCTCATTGCGGTCGAGAATGACGTCGTAATAGAATCCCTTGATGACATCGAGGCTGTCGTACTCGACATAGTCCAGCACAAGGGCGGTCCGCTCCTCACCCTTTTCGTCCTTGAATGTCTCCTCAAACGAATTCACGCTGTGAAAGAAGAAGCCAGCCGGTGTTGAAAACCGCGCCACGACTCCCTTGCCATTTCGCCTATCAACCACAATCCATCGGCAACGCTTCGATGCGTTGAACGGCTCCATAGCATCAACGATGTTGCGCTGCCACACTATCCCGAGCCCGTGCCACCGAATATGGGACGACGGCAGGCACAGCACGACAAAGTTCTGCGTTAGGAAGAAGCTGTGCATGTACACGGCGGGCAGGCCCGGCTCGTTGATGGTGGCGAGGATGTCCGTCTTGCCGGACGCGGTGTTGACGCGGAACACACGGTACGTCGGCGTCCGGCCAAACTCCAGGTTGTAGTTGAACAAGTCTCCCGTCTCCGGATCTCGCTGGGCGTGCGCACTAGACATCGGCCCTTTGAGATCCGGGTGGAAGACGGCCTGCGTGGCCGGTCCCAGTGGTTCCAGCGACGTCGGGTCGATGCGCTGGAAGGCGGCTACGTCGGTGCCAACGTAGAGGTTCGTGACGCCCGCGCGGTGGCCAGACTTTCCAACAGGCATGCCGGGGACGTTGGGTTGCACAGTGACGTTGTACGTGGTCAGCTTCGGCTCGAAGACGCTCATGAACTTGGCGAAGAGGCCCACGCAGGGATCGGCCTTTTGGCCAAATGAGATGCCTGAGCGCCAGCCCTTCTTCTTGACTCGAGCTACATAGTCGTCGGACTGGCGGCGGGACGAGTAGGTCACGGTCGTCTTTTCTCCTGGCGCGCTGGGGGCGTTGATGTCGAAGCGGTGAGTATGCGCGAAGCCGTCAAACCAGTGGCTGACGTAGTGCGTCCCCTTTGGCGTCTTGTCGACGCGGCTCTGGCCTGGACCTGTGCGGTAGAGGGCTCCGGCAGCCCATGCTGGTATCTCTCCTGTGACCTTCAGGGGGAGGGGGCCGCGATGTTCCTCGAGGTTGTCAAACTATATTGGTTGTTTGTCAGGATCAGCAAGAGTCGCACAAACAGGGTGGCACAGTGCCGGGTGCAACACTAACAGCAGCTTCATTGGGCCAATGTCTCCAGGACTCGGCGAGAACATTCCGGGATAAGTTGTCGACGTCCTCGTCCTCGTCGTGGCGAGTGCGGTGGAAAGTGCCAGTGCCGTTGACGGCCATCAGGGAGGTTGCTGGTTTGCGATGCTTAGGCAGGAAGCACTTCGGTGAGAGTCGAGTTGAGCGGGTATTATATGTTGTTGCAGAGGTTGTGAGTGATTTGTCCTCTCCTAGTAGAAAGGACCTCGAGTGAATTACAGGTCGAGGTGACACCGGTCAAGAAAAGGCTGTTCGGCTGGCTGACGACCGGGAAAGGGGAGGATGGATATAAACACAATCAAGTCGAAGACGAGGCGAGAAACTGAGATGGCTCGAGGTGATTCACCGCAAAAGGGCAGAAAGACGGACGGGAAGTGTGTCTTTTTTGAGCTCCAGCTCCCAGGTCCAGCTCCAGTTCCCGCTTCAGCCTCCGGTTCCACGTCCCTTGTTCTCGGCCCTCGTTCTCGTCAACTTGCAAAGAGGCCCGCCACGTGTGGATAGGGTCGGAGAGTGCCGCGTGTGGAGGCAATTTTCTGCCTGATCCGCAGAATGGGCTTGTTTCTCGTATGCGCATTCTGACGTTGTGGCCGTGTGTGGTGGTAGTGCTGATTCTGCTGGTGGTGGTCATGGTGGTGGTGGTGCGTGGTGCGTGGTCCATTGACATTCTCGTCGTGCTTGCGGGTTCCTTGGCTGGCGGAGACGCTTGTGCCTTGGCGAATTGCGTGGTGTTGTGGACTCTTTTCGGCCGTTGGAGGCTTGCAGGCTTGCAGGCTTGCAGGCTCTCGGAGCAGCCAATTCGTCGAGAAAGCGAGGTGCGGTGCAGGGTGCTTCGCAGGGTGCTTATTAGTTGGCTTCTGTTATTAAACCGGCTTCCATCCAAACCTGGTACCGGTGAAATCCGGGGTAACCTCCGCGCGGAGTCGGCATCACGAGGCCGGAGCGGCGTGGCCCTTATATTCAGCCTTATTACACATGCAATGCAACACGACGCAACACAATCGCGACTGCATCTCCAACCAAAAGGGCCCTCTGAAGGGGGTTTGCTTCGCCGTCTCACCGCAGCCCACGCATTATTCTCCCTGTGGCCGCCATCCCGGCACCCAAGCGGATCCGAGTGCGAAGCCATGCACCCTGGAGCAGACTAAGGCGCCATGGCGAACAATTCCTCGCTATGGCGGCGTCGGGATTGGACAGCGCTCGCTGGGGTCGTTTGGGGGACGACACCGGCCCAGCGCCACGAATCAACCGCACTGCTGGTGGCTGACGGCCTGGCGTCATGGATCTTGGCTTCATCCCGAGAGATTGGTTCATTACCTGTTAGGACCGCCGCTATGGAGTACCCGTGGACGGAGCACGCGGAGACCCTAATTCCCATTCAGACGCCTGTCAGCGGGAGAAGCTGTATTCAACCTCCACGCCGATCACTAAACCCGGTATTGTCCGGTCTGTACTACGGAGCAGTCAAGCGAATGCGATGTTGCCCTCCCTCCCATTCAACAATGGGCAGGTGTCATTCCGTCAGCCGGTCTAGGGTAGGCCGCGCGGAATGAGGCTCAGAATGGTAAAATTCATTTCAACGTATTATTAAATATTTATCCTGTATTGAATCTGCTTAGGTATCTTGGTTGGTGAGCTTTATACCAAGATTAGTGCATGTTCTTAGGATGTGCGGTGCGTTTTCTCAATTCCCTTTTTACGACTCCATCCCAAACCGCTTCAAATGACCCAACTTCCACCATCTCCTCTATATAGATGAGAATTTCCGTCCTCCCCTCATTCTGCCACAAGTACGACTACACACTCCTTAGAGCTAGTTCAAATCGCTTAATTATGAACACATAACATTCTATCCTACACTGCTGTTGAGAAACTCCTTCCCTAGAGATGCCCTCCACCACAACCGTTCATCGCTCCCATATCCCGCCCTCGTGAAAAGCTTCACCTGATAAATCTCCATTCCTGTAGATCCATCATCCCCTCACTTCGGAACTCTTCTTCCTACATTTGCCCGTATTGCTCGTTCCTCAACACTTCTACTCATCCCTCACTCCCGGCCTGCACCACTCATAAGCCGCGGAAATGGATATCCGCAAATCGTCACTGGTCACAGGTCGCCAACCGATGGCGGGGAACGCCCGTCTTTCCACTTACAGGTCCTCTAATAGCGGGTCTCCGTCTCTAGTGTGCAGGTCAGCACACCTGGATACTATTATTTCAGCGCGAGCGAAGCCATGATTCCGTCTTTTGAACCCTATCCTATTCTCTACCTCAGTGGCACTAGTTTGCCGTGGCAGTGACAAGGATTAAGCAATCAACAATGGGTGCTGTCGAGTACATTTTTACAAACCTTGGCACTGTTGCCTTGGGTTGTCTGGCTTCGGTACATGATTCCCATTGTTCTGGCATGAGTCGGAGATGTGTTGGGCCTTGGCTAACTAGCACCCTAGTTCGTTGTATATCTGGTTGCTGTATCTGTCTACAACCTTTACTTCCACCCCCTGGCAAAGTACCCCGGGCCATTCTTTGCCCGCATCTCACCAGTCAGTCTCTCCATCTGCTCCACGGTACGCCACATAACCCATTTGCTAACACGTCCATTAGATCTACAGCATCTGGGGTCTCTTCCGCGGACGATGGCCCTTCGACGTGCACCAACTTCATCTGAAATATGGCCCTATCGTGCGAACCATGCCCAATGAGCTTACGTTCACCGACCCGCAAGCCTGGAAAGACATCTATGGTCACCGACAGGGTCATCCCCAATTCCACAAGGATCGTAAGTCTCATCACATCACCAACTCAACCAGCCAATGCTAACTCCTACACAAAGCCATCCAGTAACCACCCCCACATCCCTTTGCCACTCCATGAGGATACCACTAACGCCAATTTGCTAGTGTTGGCTCCGTGCAAGACATCCCAGGGTCCACGACCCTGACCATGGCAGGCGACTCCGATCACTCTCGCCAGCGTCGTGCCCTTTCCCATGCCTTTAGCCAAAAGGCTCTTCTAGAGCAGGAGAGCATCATTAGGGGTTATGTTGATCTCCTTATCGAAAAGATGAAGCCGTTCGCGGCTACTGGAAAATCCGCAAATATGTGCGATTGGTTCAGTAAGTCCCCCGCCCTTTGCGCATCTACGACTGGTTGACTGTCTTCGTAGATTTCACCACATTTGACATCATCGGCGATATGGCCTTTGGCGAGCCTTTCGGCTGCCTTAGGGATGGTGTCTTCCACGCGTGGGTCTCTCTCATCACACAGACCATCAAGGCTGGCGCCTTTGAGCAGGCTACTCGTCGCATGTTTAAGACCGGTGGCATGATGCAGAAACTACTGTGCACCTTGATACCATCCGACCTCCGTTTGAAGCGCTTTCAGCACCTGGAGATGAGCAAGGAGAAGTGTCTCAAGTATGAATGCCCTTCCGTGATTTGAGGGGGTGGAAGCTGACCCTCAAATAGGCGTATCGAAGAAGGCTTACGAAGAGAACATCGTGACTTTCTTTACTATATCCTCCGACAGAACGAGAAGGGCGGTGTCTCACAGGATGAAATTATCCTCAACTCGGCCCTCTTTATTGTTGCTGGATCCGAGACTACCGCCTCGCTTCTCTCTGGTCTCCTCATGTGGCTCCTTCGCACTCCTCACGCTTACAAGAAACTGACAGAGGAAATTCGCTCGGCTTTCGAATCAGCAGATGAGATGAACTCGCAGGGCCTGCAGAATCTACCGTACATGAATTCTTGCATTGACGAGGCCCTGCGCATCTTCCCCCCTGTACCTACTGGTCTCACCCGGACAGTTCCTGAAAACGGCGATACTGTCGCAGGCGAGTTCCTCCCCGGTGGTGTCACTGTCTCCTGCCATAGCTGGGCTGCCACGCATTCGCCGCACAACTTCCGCAGGCCTGACGAGTTTATCCCTGAGCGGTGGACCGACGCTGCGTACGCAGATGAGAACAGGGAGGCTAGCCAGCCATTTTCTCTGGGACCCCGTGGATGTATTGGAAAACACATGAGCTACCTGGAACTAAGACTCATTCTAGGGAGCCTGCTGTGGCATTATGACGTTGAGAGAGCTGATCTGGATGACCCGAATGCCGTGGATGTTTGGGATCCTAGTGGCGATCTGCAGCATGTTAAGGCATTCAATACGTGGGCTAAACCTACGCTTTACGTTAGAATTAAGGCAGTTCAGCGATAAATATATATGACGATTCTTAGAGCCGAGGTGGTGGTTTTGTTTTCGTGGTGCGAGTCGCGACGTTCTAGTGATCTCTGCATTGTGTGGTTGCACTCTTAATAGCGTATGGACACCAGTACAGAAATTAGAGTAACAAGTAAATCTTTCGGAAGCATGACCCATGTAACCTCAGGCAGTAAATCCTCTACTGTTGCAAAGGTTACGTGGGTAGAGCTGTGTTGGCCTTGTTTCTTTCTTGTCCTAAACCAAAAGGCATCAGAGACGGCGGGAACCTTCAAGGGGGTAGGTCCATTCGATCCCTGACTGGCTTCAGGACTACCCAGATCTGCCATATTTTTTAATAATTCCGCAAGTCAAGGGATTGGATGACGCGGCGGAGAGGTGGAAGAGGTCGACCACGTCAAGCCTCGTCCCGTAGTCTTGCAACTACACGCCGAACTCGAGGACGGCGCATTTCTAGTGCTCCCTCCCTGCCTTCAGCGCCCAGTTAGCGCCGATGCAGTCACCAGAATATTTGGTCACGTACTTGACGACTTACGTAGAGCCTTAGTTCGTCTTTGTCTTAAGGGCGCGCCTCGAGCTCTGGGATGCTCGTAGAGCAGGTAACGATCTTACAAAACGTACCAGATACCCTATTTCTTTTCGTCATGGGCCGAGTTAAAAAGGTGAGCCCTAAGCTGTCACTTTTGGTAAAGCAAGTCTGGCAGCTTCGTGACTGTCTCTGAAGTCCTCAGTCCAAGGAATAACCATGTGTTTCAAGTGTCCTTTTTATGCAGCTTTCCTTTGAGCCTTAGTTTCACTATAAGTTTTACTTTCCCCGGTCCTCGTCTGTAATTGGAGGCTTCCGATTCTCGTTGCGGAAGCATACATGGTCAGATGGAGTTGCACACTGGCGACAACTTGAGTTTGGCAAATGCAATGAGTTTTAGTAGATGGAGCTTAGTATTGAGTTTTATAATGGGCCAAGTATTTAGTTCAGGCTTAGGATATGCGCTTAACATATTCATGCAATTGTGTAAGTGGCTTTGTGTATATACTTGGATGCCATTTACTCCCGTCACCTCCATCATCCCGATGAAATTGCCCACAAAGCGCTAGACCACCAATGACAACAAAACTCCTTGCTATATGCGATATCCAAAACAATTATTGAATTTCATTTACCTCTCAAGAAGGTCCTCGTTACAACCATCCCCGACTGTTGCTCAACCTTTTGTAGCTGCCATGCCTCGCCTGCGGAAGCTCGCGGCCCGTACACACAGTCTCAGTCGCGAATTTCCCACTCGGTAACCCGCTATTCGCCTCCTCGAAGAAGAAGTGATTCGCGCTGTGTGCATATGCAACACGCCAAGGCACTTCGAGATGCTTCTTCTCCGGACCGCCGCCGCAGCTGCCGTTAAACTGCGCGCTGGGCGGGCTATTGATGGCCAGGGCAAAAATGTTCTGTGGCTCGGTGAAGTCTGTCACCAAGCCGGAGCGCACGATGAACCATCCCAGGCAGAGCAAGTTGATGGCGAAGACGAGGACGAGGATGACGTAGAATAGGTTCTGCCAGGTGTCGATGTGGCCGGACGTGTACTGCTGGGTGATGAGGGACGCGTTGAAGGCCTGTCGGTGACCAGACCCGCTCGTGACGACGTTGTTGGGGTCGTCGTAGTCCCAATAGTGGCGGAAGGGCGTGTCGATGGAGGCAATGACGACGAGGGAGCTGGCGTAGACGGCGAAGGCCTCGGCCATAGATGGTAGAGATGTGGGGAGCTTGGGCTCTTGGAGGGCGAGCTGTGTAAGGACGCGTGCGTTTGATGCATTGTTGTTGATGGAGCCGCCGTTGAGATCCATGGACAATCGCCACTGGTCAGCGAGCCACTAATGAAGTTAGTACGTGTAGACGTCTAGATGGTAAATAGGTGGCATCATACCCTCCAGTCCAGCGAGGGCGCAGACCATCCCTGGTCGGCGTCAAAGGATCGCAGGTAACTATCCCTATCGTTCGGGTCCTCGCAATGAGCCGTCAGACTCGCACCAGCAGTTCCAGAAATATTGAACTGGGTGGAGCAGTTGGGAGATGTCCAGGAGCGCAGTTGGCAGAGGGTGTAGTTGTTAAAGTCGGCCGTCTTGCCCAGCATGTAGATGGCGTCTGATCCCGTCACGGTGGCATTGGCCAGCAGGTTGAAGTCGTAGGGGTACTTGAGAGAAGCTGTTAGCGCATGTTGCAACACGGGTCGTCGAGCAACTTACGAGCTGAAAGACCGGGGGTCTTCGCTTGTACTTTGGCCCCCATTGGAATATGTCGTCGACGTCAGTTCGGTTGAGGTAGTTTTCCTTGTTCTTCTTGTCAACTGGCTGCGGAACCTCGCCCTCCCAACCGCTCCACCCCTTGATTTGATCGCTGACGCCGGTCTTGTCATTCTGCGCGTTGGGCCACTCGGTGTAGACCAGAGGAGCCAGCTCGTCCGCGTCCATGTTAGCGCAGAGGACGTTGATGGCTGGGGAAACGACGCCGGCTCGGACGGCGTACTCGCCAACTCCAGAAAGATCGTCGGGCTGGAGAATGCCGTTGATATTGGACGTGGAAGCAGCGTATACGCCGGGATGGGGCATGGCGAGAGTGACGTTGTTGATGATCCTGCCCGTCTCTGCGTACTGTGCCGTCACATTGCTGTGCTCAGTTTCGATCCACTGGGAGTACATTGTGGTATTATCGTACAGTAGCATGGTACTACGGGGTCGCTTGTCCAAGTCGTTTTGTATAATGGTGCCGTTTTTGTTGATGTTTGTCCATGTAGTCATGAAATTAAGTAGATTCCGGTATGAATGGCCCGAGAACTGAATATTCTCACAAGACTCACTAGCCGAGGGATCGTCTTTTAAATTAAGAAGATAGGCACAGTCGGACGCGACGTATTGTGTGTTGGCGTACGAGGCGCGGACGAAGCCAGTCATTTCCTTGTTCTCCCACTTGCCGGATTTGAGTTTGGGCGAGACCATGGCATCGGAAGCAGTGGTGTAGAAAGCAGAAGCAAAGGTGGCAGTCAGGCATAACATGCCGAGAATAGTCATGGCGGAGGAGGGCAGCGTCTCGAAGTGGGTGATGAGAGATCCCGGCTGGATGACCCAATTGCGCATCGTCATCTCGGCGAGGGACATGCCCTGGGCCTTGCGGATGAAGGCTCTCCGGGTGAGAACTTGGCCGATGAAGGAGACAAATACCGTTACAAAAGACATTTCAATGGTCTTTGCAAAAAGCGCGGACAAGGTGGTGGCCGTGGAGGGTAACAGGCCGTGTTTGGAGGAGATCTGTCGGCCCCATCTGGGTTGGAGGATTGCAGTGACGAGCCAGATGCCGCTCGCGACGGTAGAATAAACGGACAGGACGTAAATTGTAACAGAGAGCCAACTAGTTCGCTTCTGGTGGATATCTTGATTGGACCAACAGTTGCTCGGCGGCTCCTGGAACTTCCTATAGAAGGTGTCGTCGTCAAAGTCATCGTCCGGCACCTCACCTCTAGGTTCGAAGCCTTCAGGCACTCCCACGGGACCGTGTCCGGATGAGAGCAATCCGCGAGAACCGGGCTCAGGCACTGGTATCTTGGCGTCCATGGATTCAGTATCGGGATCATTGTGAGAGTGGCGGCTGGAGGAAGGCATAGCGGGAGTCCAGATGCTGTCCGGGCCGCTCATGGATGCAGACATGGCAGGCGGGCGGGAGACGTCCGGACTCAAATATGTCGGAGGAGGGTATCCCGAAGACGGATTGGGAGACAGCCCGATAGCAGGCGAGGCGACGGAGGAGGTATTGTCGAGAAGGCCCTGGTTGGAATGCGGAGTTTCCGGCGGGCTCCCACCGGCCGGGACGCGGCCGGAGTTGCGGGTCATGGAGATGCCGAGCCCGCGGGAGTTGCCCCTCCCGGCGTCGGAGCCGTCGGCCGCAATCGTGTTGCTGTTTGTGTCGTCGAATTCGGACAACTCGTGGCCGTCGTGCATCTGCCGGTAGCCGCTGTTCCTGCTGGGGCTGCGGAAGATGCCCGCGCCGGCGAAGGGATTCGACGAGAGCGGCCGCGGGGAGTGGTTTGCGCTGCGCCGGGTTGCGGACGACGGCGAGGATGAGAGCACGGAGACGCCGTCTGTGTTGTCGTGAGGGGCGTAGACGGGGTTGAGGTTCAGAGGGAGGGCGGATGAACCAGCCATGATGAAGGAGTAGGTGTGAGTGTCCAGTATCCCGCCGTGGAGGGTTCTAGCAAGACAGTCGGGTGCGGCGAGATTGGGACAATAGCCCCATGGCAATCCAGGCGAGTGCGTCCCACTCAAGTACCGGAGAGGAAACAATGGAAGCTTCGCGACAATTGAGCGCTGAATCAGGTCAATTGGTCGCGGGAAGCAGATCGTCGAGCAGGATGCGACGGAGGGGCGGCAGTGAGTGGCGGAGGTGCGTGAGACGGATGTCAGCCAAAGCAACTCTACGACCAAGCAGCGAGGAATGGAGAGTGAATCAAGGCCGGCAGAGTCAAGATTCTTCGCACGTGTCGCAATAATTAGAAAGAAAAAAATGAGGAAGAATGATTGTTGTGACGATGCGCCGGCAGCGGAAGAACCGTTGGTCGTACCGCGTACGTGCGCGCGCCAAGGATCGGATCAATTACAAGCACAAGACCCGTCTCGGAAAAGAAACAGATGTCCACACCAGGCGGACACATCCCTCAGAGGCTCAGAGGCTCAGCGCACGAGGCTCAATCTGGCACGCGGGATGATTATCAGGGACGCAGTTGAGGGGCTAGGGGGGGCGTCCCGGAGTGGGAGAACCAGGGGAGCAATTGGCCTGGATGGACTTATGGAGAGCTAAGGGGGGTTACAGGGCTGGGGTGTGTGCTGTGGGTTTTGAGTGTTGGGCTCCTGGGAGTAAGGCTGAGTGAGTGAGTGCTGAGAGAGGCAGTACGTATATCAACCGTTGATCCCAGGCTGATGGGGAAAAGACTATCGATTAAATGTATTAAAAATAGACAGCATCTTCTTGTTTCTTGACTATCTAACTAAAGAAGCCACAAGGAGCCGCCCCCTAGTGCCACGAGTTGGGCTTGTCGCTCATCGCGCCGCATCGTCCGCCACCCGAACTAGCCGAACTTCCCACCATGGCGCGACTCAGACTCTCATAGACAGAGTGAATCTACATCTAGCCTCATCAGGCTGAAGTGCATAGCTCACATACCATAGCCGTCGGAATCACCATGTCCCACGCTGGCTGCCACAGCGTTCCAAGAAGCGTGGTGGATCCCCGCTTACACCCATGGCGACTGCATCGTCCCATCCCCACACTGCAACGAGGGTGGTGGCCTTGGTGATACCGCAGCCCTGGCACTCTGCAGATCCTAGTTCATTTCCTCTGCTGACGGGCCAAGCTCCCAGGCCAAGCTCCCAGGCCAAGCTCCCAGGCGTCATCGTCTGATTGATCGTCTGTACATCAAGCTCCTCTGTCGCGGGAGTGGTTCACTAGACTTTGCCAGAGCGGCGACACCAGCGCCGATTACGATATCGCGCCGTCCATCTTGCCCGAAATCAACAACGGCTGGCTTCCTGAGCCAATCTCATTTCTTAAACCCATACCCCGGTTGCCACTATTGTCCTGAGCTTGTCGACCAAGGCTAGTAATGAACCAGCCTCGTCAGAGGTTGCTGCGCCCAGTTGACTATTCTGTAGATCCTCGCTGTACGTGTGGCGCAGACTTGCGACGACTGACCAAACCCAGCTGTACAGTAATCACTAATAAATCCTCCCACGTAGCCACCATTTTGCAGCTCCGTCCCATCCGTCAAACATCGTCATCACTTTGCTATCCGTCTTACCCCTCGACGGCCCCCAACTGCTGCGAATATCTCCCAGACACGACCCCAGCAAGGCATTCTTCCTCATCCATCATCACGTTGGGCTTCAATGGCCAGGCACTTCAATGTTTATCCGTCTCCAAGAAGCTTCAGCCTTCTCTGCTTTCATGTATGATTTGTAACAGCCTGCCTACACAAGATTTAAATAACCACCAACGAATTGGTAACCAACACGATCCGGGTACGGCCCCAGTCACATCACATCCACGAAGTTGAACAAACACAGCGCTTAGGTTCGCATTACCACGTAGTACATTCCTCAAGCAGCTGCATGCAACCATGTCCATGTGCCTAACTAGATAAAACTCTTCTACAGTTGGATATCCATCATCAACCATGCATCATCCCATCTCCGTGTTCGTTCGTTACCAAGCACCTCACATCAAATGCCTTCCGGATCATCTTCAAGCAAAGAAATACCCTTCGCCACGCCGCCCCCAAATATCATTAAACTATTCCCTGCCACGCCGCTCCTAGCTCGTTAAACATGACAAGAATTGCCTAAAATGAAAGCCCAGCGTCTCCAATCAGCTCGCCACCGCCGTTTGACGCCTCTGGCTGTTGCCTCCGCCTCTCTTCTGGCTACCTGGCCGCGCAAGCGTGTACTTGGCGAACGCTCTCGCTAGCGCCTTTTTGCAGCTCACCTTCTGGCTGCCTACGAAGCTGTCGACCGTCACCGCAATGGCTCGGTCAATGTCCTGCGTCGAGCAGTATTCCGACAGTCGCATTCGGCAGAATGCCTCGCTAATTCGGATGATAGCCTCCAAATGACGGACCTACTTCCCGTTAATATCTCGCCTTGCGTCACACAAACAAATCTCCACATACCGTAATTGGGTAGGCTCCCGTAGCCAGAGACTCTCGTCTCATGTCGGCGAACAACCGTGCAATCTTGTCCTCATCCACGTGATACAGCTTCGGCTTGCACCGTTCTCGGGCGTACAGAATGTACTTTCGCAGAAGCTCTTGCGGGATCTCGCCCTCGTGCTTCAAAGATGTCGATGTACCCTGAGTCTCCATCTGCGCCGAATCGTGCTCAACCTCCATCGAGTCTTGCTGTGCCAAGGGGTGGCTACGGCTGTGTGAGCCCACAATGAACCTGGCAAGGCGCTCGTCTTCCTCTGGCTCAACCGTATCGCGGACCACGCAGAGGATATCGAAACGTGACAGGATAGGCTCTGTCAGCTCAACGTTTGAGGAGAATGGAATTGTAGAGTTGTATCGGCCACCGATGGGATTGGCTGCGGCAATAACACCACATCGAGCCTGCAGTGTTGTCACGATACCGGCCTTGGAGATGGAAATGGTCTGCTGCTCCATGGCTTCGTGGATGGATGTTCGATCTTGATCGTTCATCTTGTCAAACTCGTCAATCAGGCAGGTTCCTCGGTCAGCAAGCACCAAAGCACCGCCCTCCAATGTCCACTCGCTCGTCAGAGGATCTCGACGGACACTAGCCGTCAGACCGACTGCACTGGCACCCTGACCAGTGGCAAACACAGCACGGTGTGCCGTCTTCTCAACGTACTTGAGCACTTGGGACTTGGCAGTACCGGGATCACCAAGGAGGAGCACGTTGATGTCTCCTCGCAGGTGATGCATGCCCTTGGTAACCTTGGACACTCCGCCTAGCAGGGAAAGAGCCACGGCTGTCTTGATGTCTGTGTGTCCGTAGATGCTAGGGGCAATCGAGTTGATGACCCTGTCGATGATGTTGGGGTCTCGGGCTAGCTTGCGAATCTCATGCTCGTCTTCCTCCGTCATCCGGAAACCAGCCAGCTGGTCATGGGACTTGACAACGTTGTTGGCCTCGAGAATGGTAGCAAACACGGGGAAACCGTTGCGGTTGTTGAGCTGAGCATCGTAGTTGTTGCGGTAGATTCCCGTCACTTCAATCTCCTCTCCAGGCTTTGCCTTGTCAATGAGATCCCAGAGAAGAATGACCTCTCGGTGGCGGGGCAATCGACCAGCGGGGACAGTGCCAGGCGACTCTTGGAGAGTGAGTTTCTGGTAGTTTCGGTAGACCGTCTTCTCAGAGTTGAGGGTGAAGGGACCACGAGACTGGCAGCTCTGGCAGTAGCTGATCTTGACCTCGACATTGGACTCCTGCTGGAAGGGTCCCAGGGTCTCGCCACACTTGGAGCAGTCAAACTTGACATACTTGAGCTGGGGGAAAACGCCGGATCGTCGAGTAACGACACCACTGACTCGTACCAAGCAGTTTAAATGAGATTGACGAAGCTGACGGAGGGTGTAGTGGACAGGGAGATCGAAGATGCGCACGTGAATCTCCGAGTGAATGCGCTCGTAATCGGGATAATGGAGGAGGACGACGTCCATGGCGACGTCGTCAAAGAGCTTGAGCATCTCGGCGGGGGCATTGGCCAAGAAGTAAGCAAGAATGGCCTTGCTTTCCGAAAGGTGCTCGTATGAGACCTCTAGGGACTCGGCATTGACCTCACCGAGGGTTCGGATGCGGTTACCGTAGACAGACGATCCAGACGTGTCGGTGTACGATGTCAAGAAGGCTTTGAACTCTCGCTTGATGGTTCGCTGGACGGACGGTTGCAACACCCACTCGGTCAAGCTCGCAGCCTTTACATCACCGAGAGCCTCGAGAGACAACTCCTCGGCCATGATATCGGTGTCCATGACATCGTCAGGGTCCTCGTCGTAATGGTGGCGTCGGCGGCGGGGTTGGGCAGTCAGATCAATATCGCCTTCATCGTCGTCGCCGGGGAGGAAAGCTGCGGGGATTCGCTGTCGGCGGGCTACCTCTCGGTCTCTTCGGTTGAGTTGGGACTCCAGCTGTCGTCGGGCACCTAGATCCATGTCGGCGTAGTCTGCCTCATCGAGGTCGATGCCTTCGTAGGTGTCGTTTTCTCGATCTCGGTAATCGGCCTCGAAGCCCTCACGGAACAAGTCGACATCGTCCTCGGCCATCTCATCGAGTTCATCCAGGTCATCTTGGATCTGAGCCTCCTCGTCAATATCGTCATCGTCGTCACCGCCGTGGGCAATGTTGAACTCGGCGGGAGGGGACGAGGGCATAGGGCTGGAGCCCAGGCCAACGGATGAGGCGCCATCATCACCACCGCGCGATCGTTTGCGACTTGATCGGGGATCGGATCGCCGGTTGGCGGACCCTGGGTTATTTCGTAGCGGGGAACTGGCGGGTTGTTAGAGACTGAAGAAAAAGGGGAGGGGTTGATGCAGGCTGGCTCACCTCATGATTGTCCGTCCCTATCGACAAATTGACACCTGAAATATGTGTGAAGATGTCCAAGTTGAGGGGGCAACGGCAAAGTGGCGGGTGCAGGGGATGGGGATGGAGGGGTTGTGCTGTTGTGTCGTCAAAAAGAGGCCAGAGGGAGGATACAGGCGAGATCAAGCGAAAGTGGAGGCGGGCGAGAAGGAGAAGCGCAATTTCGCGTGTCGAGACGCGATTCCGACGCGTAAAGTGACGGCGCTAATTCGGGCTGGCATTAACGCGTAAAGTGGTTGACCACAGGGACCACAGCGCACCAAGGTACCTGGAGCACGGTCTCTAAGCCCAAGACAAAATATTAGCCACATATGCTGAGATATCTACGCCACACAGTGTTCGCGGTATTCTGTCACCTATCCCTCACGCTTCTTATCGAGGCTGACTCTCCTCACTTCCCACCAGCATCATCGTCACTGCGACCGTGGAGCTTGGCTGCATTCCTCGTCATCGGAACACCATCTTTCCATCGCCCACTGCGCCTCATCCCTTTCGAATTCCCCCTTTTAATTCCATCCCCATTCCATCATGTCGACGGATGCTGATTCCTCGGCGCCTGCTCTGGCCGTGGACCAACCCGCGCAAACCGGCATCGCGCGCAAAGACAGCTTCTCTGGCAGGTCGCATGCCTCCAACGACTCCCAGACGGCAGCCGAGTAAGCATCAATCCCGCTTCTTGAATGCGCTCTTCTAACAGCTCTAGGTTCATCCGCAGCCAAGAACTCCTTGAGGCTGATGCCCGCGAAGCCCTTCCTTACGTACGGCCATTACCCTCCCATACCCATCGACCTACCTACTTACCTTCCCTAGAGCATTGAGCACTGCACCAAGATCCTCGGTCCATTGCGGCAAAATGTCTTTGCTTGCTTGACCTGCAATCCTCCGCCTGCAAAGGCTGGCGGTGCTTGGAACCCCGCTGGTGTCTGCTACGCCTGTTCCGTCCAGTGCCATGGCGAACATACCCTCGTCGAGATTTTCCAGAAGAGAAACTTCACCTGCGATTGCGGCACGACTCGAATCCCAGCGACTAGCCCATGCGCCTTGCGCACCAACGAGACTACCAACACCCGCGGTGGAGTCCACTCGGAGGAGCCTGATGCCAACAACAAATACAACCACAATTTCCGTAACCGATTTTGTGGTTGCGAATGCGATTACGACCCCTTTCAGCAAAAGGGCACCATGTTCCAGTGCCTTGGTCTGGGGACACAGGAAACTGGTGGATGTGGTGAAGATTGGTATCACCCAGGCTGCCTAGTGGGCATGGGGCCCAATTGGTTCGAGAAAATGGAGAAGAAGCAAAACAAGCCGTCCCAGGAAGGCGCCGATGGTGCGAAGCAGCTGACCACCATTTCCGAGGGCAACGAAGAGCAAAAAGAGTCTAGTGAGAAACCAGCTGAAGAGACGGCCAATGAGACGGCCGTCGTTGAGGAGGAGGATGACGACGACGAGGTGCCCATGCCCCCAGGATTCCCAGAGGAAGAGGATTTCGAGGGATTCCTTTGCTACAAGTGCGTCGAAGCAAACCCTTGGGTAAAGCGTTACGCTGGCACCTCTGGGTTCCTCCCTGCTGTTTTTGTAGACCAGGCTAAGTCTACTCTTGAAGGCAGGCCGGTGGAGGAGACCAAGTCGGTTGAGGTTCAACCAGTAGAGCAGGCCAAGCCAGCAGAGGAAGCCAAACCGATGGAAGAAGCCAAGCCGGCGGAGGAAGCCAAGCCAGAAGAGGAGGCCAAACCGGTGGAGCAAACATTGGTGTCCCGCAAGCGCAAGGCCGATGATGATGACGAAGAGAGCACAGAGGCTAAGCGTCTGAAGAGTGAGGCTGGCTCCGACACCAACGAAACCCCCGCCGTTCTAGCTGCGCCGTCCGAGGAAGTATCATCCACCAAGGAGGACTCCGACTGCAAGCTCCGCAACCTCTCACCCGCACCCAAGGGACAGTTCTCCCTCTTCTTCAAGGAGGACTTCCGGGAAAAGTTCTGCCGCTGCTCCTCGTGCTTCCAGAGCCTGAACGCCCACCCGCAGTTGACGGAGGAGGAGGATGTTTACGAGCCGCCCATGTCCGAGGAGGGCGCCTCGCAGCACGGCGGCTCCACAAACGGCAGCGGCAGCCTCCTCGAACGTGGCGAGAGCGCCCTGCGCAACGTCGACCGCGTCAAGGCCATTGAGGGTGTCATGGCCTACAACCACCTCAAGGAGCGCCTCAAGCCCTTCTTCCAGCAGTTTGCCGACAGCGGCGAGGCCATTGGCGCCGAGGACATCAAGGCCTACTTTGCCAAACTGCGCGGCGACGAGCAAGGCATTAAGGAAGCCGGCGAGGCGGCCGCGTCGTCATCTAAGGAGGGAGGTGGGGAGGGGGAGGGAAAGGACGGCGGCCGCAAGGAACAGAGCGGATACTGATGCAAGGCGTATGAGGGTTGAGATTTTGGGAATTTACTGGGTATGGCAGGATTCTAGTCCTGTGTAATCATATGAGATGTACTATTATGACGAGGCGCGTGGCTCTGGGGAACAAATTGCACACCAACGTATCGAGGATAAGCGACAGGATTCGGATGGGGCAACATCAAGTGCCTAAACGTAGATGCTTGAAGATGCAAAATCTAACCTCCTTTCTAACAGCCGACTACAAAAGCCCAACCATCATCCCTGAGTTCCCTCCCAAATTGTACAAATACAAAACACCGTCCTGGGCCCTTGTGCCCTTCTTTGCCCTTTATTCATTACAGTTGGGTATCGCTGAATCAAAAACGCAGCCCCTTTCATCCCATCTTGTCCGCGGTGAGTCCAGACGCACATCAAGCCAACCCCCCCCCCCCTCTTCATTGCCCCGTCGAGCCTGTACTCGACGCCGCGCTCAGGGGTCGCGGTGGCAGCGCAGGCTGGCCGCCCGCCGAGTCCTCGCGCTGCATGGCGATGCCGCCCATCATGCTCATCGGCATCCCCATTGCCATGCCCATGCCCATGACGTGCATCTGCTGTCCCGACTGGCCGCCGCCGTCGCTGTCCTCAGCCTGGCTGTCCATCTGCTCCTGCGCGGCCTTGAGATCGAGTTCGTGGAGTCGCTTCTTCTCGGCGGGGTCGATGATGTCGTCGTCATCGCTCCAGTAGAAGTCGTCATCCTCGAGCTCGGGCATGGCCATGCGCTTCCAAAAGCGCAGCTCCTGGCGAGCGGCCTTGTCGTCAACGCGGCGGTCCCAGCGGGCTTCGTCCTCGTCGTACTTGCGGCGGAAGTCGCGCAGGCTGTCGTTGGCCTTGCCGGCGTGGTGCTGCATGGTCCAGATCTGCTCGCGCAGGCGGGCGTTCTCGTCGCGGGCATCGGCGAGCTGCTTGCGGTAGGAGCGGTGCCAGGATGCTACATCGGTGACATGTTTGGTCTTGTATTCGTGGAACTGGCGCAGCATGAGGGCCATGGCGTTTGCGTACTGGGATAGGAGGTTGGCGTTGGCGTCGCGGCTAAACTTGGCCTTTTCGAGGGACTCGGAGAGGAGAGAAATGAGGGCGTCCAAGTTTTGCTCTTGGCCTGGTGGGGGAGACATGTTAGCAGTGAGCCTTGTCAAGTCGCGTGTTGCCTTTGAAATCGGGGGTGAACGTACTACCGAGGTCCTCCGCAGCGCCGTCTATCACCTCGTCATTGCCCAAGGCATGCGTCCTGGCGCGATTCCGTACGCGACCCAGCCCGCTGACAATGTCCTCAGTGACGCGACGATTCTCCGCGAGCTGGCGGCTCAGCTCCTCGACCATGCCGTAGATATAGTTGAGCTCGGCCTGGTGGCCGGCGGGAGTGGGCACGGGCATGCCGGCGGCCATGTTTGTGCCGTTCATGCCGTTCATCATGTTTGCGTGGTGTTGCGGGTGCTGCTGGTGCTGCGCCTGTTGCTGGCTTTGCAGCTGCTGTTGATGGAGCTGGAGCTGTTGTTGGCCCTGCAGAGTGCCGACGCCAGCGCCTCCACCGCCGCTGTTGGTGCCGTTGCTGTTGCTGAGGTGTTGCTGCGCAAGTTGCTGTGCGAGCTGCTGTTGAGGTGATATCTGCGGGTGAAGAGGGAGTTGTTGTTGTTGTTGTTGTTGTTGTTGGTGTCGAGCCGCAAGCGGGGATGGGGACGGAGACGGATCGTGGGGGTTTGGAGGCGTCGGAAAGTTCATGTCTTGCTGGCTAGGGCCGTCTTGGGTCGTCTTTATTAGAGGTTTGTCTTGTCTTGTCTTGGGCTAGCCCCGGATAGTCAAGTGGAGTTTTGTACTTATCAGGTGTCTATGATATCTCTATACAGGGGTTACATTGAACATCATCACCAACACACCTTGGCATGAGATATATCCAGTGCCATTGCTTTCTGTTGAGAAAGCATTGAAGCACTAGCATCTCGCAAAAAAAGTTCACGTGGTTGATTCGTCGGGCATATAAAAAGTCATTTCATCCGGCACTACGCTTCAATTCGTTCTTTAGCTATCGTCGGCACATCACACAATCCAGATTTCTTCTCCTTTTTCCCCGTTACTTTTTTGCTCTGCTCTTTTCTCTCACTCTCTCATACAAATATACGTCGACACATTCGTCATTGCTTCATGACATGTGCACTCTCAGAGCATGTTAAACACAAAACGCCTGGTCATAACGTGTCAGCATCCACGCGTGGACATCATCGCCATGTAGCGAGCGATCCATCCTCCAAACTAAGAAATATATCATGTCATGTACGTCGTTTCATCGTTGTCGCGAGTTCGCCAATCGTCGTTTCCTGAGGGCGAATAGGAAAAAAAAAACCTGGGTCCAGTCAATTCCTCCTTTTGTGTCAGCCGGCTTAGGTCGCATCAACCTCCATTCTGTCCTCTGTAGGTTTAGCTTCAATTGTCGACTTCTCCTCGGATTCTGAGTTCTCCACCAATGACACAGTGGTAGGGTCTTTATGATCCAACACTGTTGGTCCAACTCCGTTCCCGGTTCCTCCTCCATTTCCTGTGCACAGCCGATACTCGCCATCTGCTTTGGGTTCGATGATGTTCTCATCCAACGCCCATTTTGCGAGAAGCCGGTCAACACCTAACCTCTGACCTTCTCCCTTTTCCATATGGCGCCCAACGTGCTCAGTCCACTCATCCCATGACGTAGGGCCCTCAAAGACCGTCTGGCAGTCAGCCTTGGGGCATGCTGACCGCTGAGGGGGGTGGCGTCGTTGAACGAGGCAAGACACCTGCATTTCTTTGACGTGGGTCTCCCACTCAGTTTGAAGTTTGCTGTCTCCTTTTGCAATCGCCCTCTTGATCTGGAAAGGAGCATGCATCCGCCGCAGGTGCTGCGTAAACAAGTCCTTTCTGTTGAATTCGTTGCCCCTGCCTTCCGTGGTGCTTTGTGTACAAGCAGAGCAACGGTAGTACTGCAGGCAGAGATGTTGCGAGGCAATGTGCCGCTTCCATTCGTTCTTGGACCCAAACGTACTTGTGCAGCCAGCGAACGAGAATGCACAAGGGAACGGCCGAGTGTGGGCAGCAGCGATGTGCTTCCGCAGGGAAGACGAATCCTTGAAAGGGGTATGACTGCAATGATTGCATCGTGTGTCCTGTTTCGGGAGTGACCGTCTCGGGGCCTTCGATCTCGAATTCGGTGTCATTTTGAAATCCGTCGATGCCAGGGAGTCATCTGCACCAGATTCAGTTGCATCATGCGAGTTCGTTTCTTCAGTCCTAACCTCAGGCAAGCCATCGGGTAAGATCGTTCGGGGTCTGTCCACTCCCTTAGGGGTCTCATCGCTTCGGTGGCGAACATGGCTGAGGGCCTTCAGCTGCTCTGCTGCTTCCTGCATCTCTGCCGAATCTTCCCCCTCATCCTTTGGTTTGACGTGGATGCTCGCAGCATTGATGGGTACGAAGGAACTGGTTGTAGGACTGGTCTGGGGGACATAATCGGGTCGATCAACGGGAGTGGGTCCATCTCTCGAGGCAGAGGAGTGGAATGTGTGTTCATGGCCATCCCCTTCACGGCGTATGCGTGCAGGAGTTCCTACGGCATGTTCCCTGGCCTCCAGGAGGATGCGGCCGTCCTCCACTTCCTTGGCCGATGGCTTGATTCCAGAAGAGCCAACCAACCTTTGATACAGGTGGATCATGTTATGCGAGCTGATATATCCCAGGAAGCAGCAGACTTTATCATGCTGAACCACGTTCCAAATGGAGTGCGGCATAGAAATGAGGAGCATTGTGGGGGGACCCAAAAACATACCCTCGACAGCAATCTTAGCCCCGAGAGGAGGCGTGTTGTGCAGCCATTGAGAGAAGAATGACATGTCAGGGCTTGCATCACCAACAAATGTGGTACAGACGAGGATCCGAGGTTCATCAAACCTGAGATCAACAACGGATTCGGGATCGATGAGCTGGTCTTCACGATCCCTCGCACCCTGGCCATCCGCATCCGTGCCATTTTGCAAACCCGTCTGTGTCCGGGCCGGCAACGGTGCGAGACTAAGACTCTGCCCCTTTCCGGGTGTGAGAGTGAAGAAGATGGGGGTTTGGGCAGCAGGCGGCGGGTTTCCAGTGGCTCCATTAGTTGTACGGGAAACCTGCGTGTGCTGCTGCTTCTGAGCAAAGACCTCCTCATGCAGTCTCTGGGCGCTGAAAGGTCTCCCAGAGCCAAGTTTATGCAATGCTTCCACCATGTTAGATGTGAAGGAACGTTCTGAGCTATCTGGTTGGTTGCGATCCGGGGAACAGGCAGCAATGGCCTGTTTTACTCCATGGCTGCCAGCTGTAGGGGGATCTGGTACTGAGCATGTATCAAGCAGTAAGAGGATGTCTGATTGAGCATCCTCGAACAGGCAGCGAACGCCGTCCCACTTTAGCTTTGCAGCGTCTTCCCGAGCATTGCTATGAAGGTGGTCAGACACGGGAGTCGGATCTGGTCAAATAACAGCCTACTCACCACGCCCAAAAGAGCTGGCCATCGGCACCTGCGTATCCGTGACCAGCATAATAAATAATGAGGAGGTGATTGGCTCTGGCATGTTCAAGAAATGAGGCCATCTGAACGCCCAGTTTGATGCTGGGATTAGGGACCGTGGGAATATGCCATCGTTCGGTGCGGAAGTTGTACTGTTTCTGAAAGACCTGCTCTAATGCAACGAGATCCTCGTCAACCGATTCGTCTTCTTCCCACCTCAACAGCAGAACGGAGACATCAGTGTATGGTGGGCGCTCCGTCTGGCGCTGGATGAGCATGGCAGCATCTTGGAGGTGGCGGGCAAAGGACTCAAAGTCATGACGTTCGGTAATGGGAGCTTCTTGCACGGGGTAGTGCTGCTGAGGCTGTTGAACGAGCTCAAGTTAGCACAAATGGTGACTGGACATTCGGGGTGGTTCGAGGGCGGAGGGGCTGACCGATTCGTGGGGGTACGGGGCAGGCTGAGGCTTGGGAGTTGTAGCATTGACCTTGGGAGCCAGCTTCCGCTTTTTGCTGGAGGGTTCCATGGACGAGAGGCGGTGGTCGACGGTTCGGAGGAGGGATTGTCGTGGCTATTGGTAGGGGACCATTGATTGGCGGACGGGTAAAACAGCGGGTGGACGATGACCAGGAGCAGGTGATGGAGGAGAGGGGCCAAGATTGACGGAGATGAGGGCTCGAGGCTGAACGCTGGCAGTAGGAGAGTCGAGGGCGCGTGGACGAAGTGCCGAGAGGCTGAGAAGAAGAGGTGGAGAGGGGGCAAGGCCACACCGCGAGCTGGAGAGAGATTGACCGATAGACTGAAGAGATTCCGGGAGATACCGAGGGACACTGGGAGGGGGGAGGGAAAGAGACGGGGGTTTACGAGGGAAAACAAAATAGGGACAGGAGGCCCAGAAGGAAGGCAGAGAAACGGAGAGGGGCCTAAGAGAGTGAGCAAGAGAGGAGGAAGCGGGTGAGAGGGAGCGAAGACCGAGACCCGTGAGAGCGAGAGAGAAGAGAAGAGGGAATAAGGCTGGCGTAGGCTGGAATTGGGGGATCGAGGCTCGCGCAAGGCTGTCGTGTCTCTGGAGCCCAATGTGGAAATGTGGGGGAGTATTGGCCTGTGATTGGCTGGTAGGCGAAGCGCAAAGGACCCGCGGACAGTGCAGAAATGGGGCTTTTTGCGTCGACGCCTCGACGGGACAAACGGGGTGGGGACAGGGAGAAGGCAGGAGCGACCCAGCAGCACCCGGCAGGGCCAGCAGCAGGCGGGAGAGGGCAACAAAGCAAGCCGAGAGGGGCGGGCTCCGCCTTCCCGTCAGCCTCTCACCTCTGGGCTCTCACCTCACACATGCTCTCACACACTCACTCACTCACACCACACAGCTCCCACCGTACAAAGCAACCCGGCTACGTACGCAAAGTTCGGGCTGTCACAAACCCGGACATGCCGTTTCTCCTGGTGTTTTGTACGTCAGCCCAGAAAACAAGACAATTTCATCCTCCAAAGGCCAAGGATCACTCTTGACAAGGTTGCAAGGGCGGGTGGCGGGCAGCGGATGACAGATACGGCGTAGAGAGAGGGGAACAACGTGGGAAAACCCGCTTGATTGAGCATGTACGGTCTGCGGGGAGAAGGCGGAAAGAGAACCCAGCAGGCCTATAACGGGGGTTCAGCGGGCCAGCCAAGCAGAGAAGCAGGAATTACCTGCAGCATCTCCAGTCTTCAGACCTACCTTACACCACACACAGTCCGCCGAGTCCACAGATTCCATACAGTCCACACAGTCCACACAGTCCGCACTACTCCGTTATACTCGCAGCCTCCTCCGCTCGGCCTACACTGCTACACTCTACACACTACAAACCATCTACCTCCACGCTACACGATACTGCAGACACGCGGCCGGCTGATTCTGGTGCATCTGCAGCCAATGGCGCGCTCTGTTTACACCCGTCCCCCTCACTCTATTTCCCTCTTCCGCTAATTATTTTTTGCATGTGTGTGTGTGCAGCTCCCACTGCACCCGGTATACGGTCTACCCTCCTTGAACATTCAAGATTAACAGCCCCATTCCCAAAGTCCCAACAGCTCCATCGACTTGCTCCCCTCGTCTGTCCGTTGCACGGATGAGGCACATGCCCTACCTAACCGGTCTCATCTGGCACCTGACTGAGACCCGCCTCCTAACACCAATGTCAGCAAGCAGAGACCTGCCTGCCTGTATGACTTTACCACTCCAGCTAGCACCTCCCCACCCTAGCTACCCGACGATGCGGCCGCGGCCTCCGTCGAGTGGAGTAATGGCGCACCCTCCCCTCTTCCACCCCGGCCGGCGACTGTCAATGGTGGGCGACCAGAAGTGTCCGAGTATCGGTGCATGATTTGCGGACGAAGCGGACGGAGTGGCCAAGAGACAATCTCGGAATGGGCAGTGAGAGGTCGCCCGGAGGACAACAGAGAGGGCCGCGAGTGGATGAGACGGCCGAGAGGGCTACGCTACAGTAGCACCGGCAGCAAGAGGCACAGCTCGCATCATCATGATAGGCTCAGCCCCCTCCCAAGTCCCAGCCGGGTCCAGCAGGAACGCAGCCCAGCAAGCAGCCCAGTCCAGCCTGGCTGCCGCCCAGTTCGATACCGGCAGTCGTGGACATACCATTGTCCAGCACATCATCCATCCACACACCCATTCATCCATGCCGAAGGCAGGGCTGTCTCGTTGTCTCGCCCGTTCACTCATGCTTCACCGCCGAGCCGACGAGACGGCCAAAGCGGCACAGGGTCGGTGACCTCCTCTCCAAGTTCCCCGAGGTAAGTCGGAGTTTGTCTTACTTGACATTGGCGGGTATTGGAAAAAGGTAGGTTCCCAAGGTCCATGTCCATCAAAATACCGGCCACCATAGACTGCAACCATGGAAAGGTGAAAGTCAGCCGGGTGAGGAGATGAGGCCGTGCTTTCGTCCCGTTGGCCGCTGTGATGGCTGCATATGTGAGGTTGCTGTTTGTTATGATCCAAAGTGGGGTGCTTCGTACATATTCGTACATGCCAGGCCGGGTTGGCTTTGTCCTTTTGGCCGCCTCAGTCTGAGGAGCCAGCCTCAACTCACTCGCCATCACCGTAGACAAATACTCGACTTCGTACCCCCACTTTGGCGCACTGATTAACACGAAAAGACAAGCAAGGGCCGCCACGGCCTGTTTGTCTCTCATACTGACTGTCCAGGGAATCGTGAGGGTAGACTGTCAACTCAATTCCAATCCGGAGCTGCGTCGTCAGCCATTGAGGCAGGGTTCCAGGTTGCATGGTGCTCCCTGGGATAATGGGCGTTGGAGGACGGGTGACGGGATCATAGATGGATGTCCCAACGCAAGATCCCTTCCCCTCCTCTCCCTCGATGGAAACCCCTCTTCCGCACTTTGTTCGTCCCCAACATTGTTGTGTTGTCAAGCCGAATGGGTGCAAGCCTGGATTGTCCGCCTGGTGCCACAGGGCAGATGATTCGACAGCTTCATGGTGCATTCTTAGGCGGTGGCTTCTTTCCGAGTAGGCTGCATTTTCAGCAGCAGGACTGTGGAACTTGATTGGACTCGAGGTATCAGTTAGTGTTGGCAGTTCGAGTCTAGAGTCTTGGAGTCTGATGTTTGGAAGTTTGGGCGTGCATGCATCTGTCCGCCCTGCAGCTTCTGCCGAGTTGATGTGACTGGTTTCATGCCTTTTTGGTGTGAGGCCACACACCCACCACGGCGTGAGCGGGCATGGATAGGCATGGGAAGCACATGGGCTATCAGCCTCGTCTGCAATTCTTACTAGTGCCAAGAGCGAGGTAGCCTCGACGCCGTTGCAATCACATCACAGCAGAGTTGTAGGGGAGACAGAGGTGCATTGGGAAACCCGACCAGTCACCCAATGCCCAATTTACTTTAAAGCTGCGTCTCCGAAGCGTCTAATTGGTTCGTTGCATTCGCCGAACTCCCTCCACCTTTTCTTCCACATGTATGAATTCATACACGGCTTGCTGCTGTGTCTCGGGTGTGGTGGGCTCCCTCTTAGTGGTCCGGCTCGCCACCCATTCAAGATAGTGGTGAATCGCTTCTAAAAAGGGACGCAAATCTGTTCTGTTTATAGCGGCTTGAAACAGACATATGCCTGCTTTGATGCGGTATCCGAGGGTACCCCAGGAATGTCCGGGCTTTAGATGGCCGTAAGTGGTGGATTGGAGCGACCGACTGGGAGAGGGAGGGGCATGAGAGCTGAAGATGACGACGAGAGAAGGCTCGAGTGTGGCGAAGCACAGCCACTCCGTCTCCATAATTCAACCGTCGAATTGAACCTTGGCAGACAGTGCACAGCGCGCACACAAGCACAGCCCAAGGTGGACGCCAAATTGCCCATCGCAAACCAATTGCGTTGCTCATAGTTGGCGAGTCACAGTTTCAGTAAATTCCTAGATACATACTGTAGAACTTGCGATTACACAGTAGGTACCAGTTTGTATAATACCAAGTGCAGGATCTTGGCTTGGCGAACGCAGCCTTGGATCACCCGGCAGCTGGCCACCAGTCAAACCAACAGAAACGACGGAAACAGCGGAAACGACTGGAACCAGAATGGTCACCGGGCTCGAGTGGGCTTACCCACCCCTTGGAAGCACCCTGGAAGCACCCTGGAACGATCGATCCGGATTCTCGTCCCCATGCGACGGCCCCGGCGGAGGCTGAGACTTCACTGGCCGGCGGAAGGAATACGGACACAGCATATGTTGTAACCGAGAGCGAGACGAGGCGAGGAGGCGAGGAGGGAGGAAGAGGCGAAGTCCAGCAAAGACCAAGAGCCCCCTTCGTCTACGCAACAAAGTCCGCTGCGCAGATTATAATAAAAGACCTCCCACTCTAAATCCGAGAGCCAAGACCGAGGGCCGCTGCACAGCCACTCCCACCTTGTAGTGACTGGTTCCACCAAGCAATGACGAAGGGTTAGATGGCAGCCTGGCAGAAGTACCTCAGTACCAATGGTACTTTTCGTAATCCGTCGCACGTAGAATTGTCTGCCCCGTCGCCTTTACGATCAAGAAGTTGATGTGGATTCCGCCTTGCAAGTTGCCCATCTCTCAACCTTGAACTGCATGCATAGGATTACCTACAGGCAGGGCACCCGGGCACCTCCCGTGGCGCCCGGCGTCTCTAGCTCGCTGCTGTTCTTCGCACCCTGTCTCCCGCCAGTTCGTCCCCGCCGCAGTGCCGTAGCAGCGTGGCCTTCTGCCCTGTTAGTGGGCGTGCGGCCACTGGAAGCTGTCCACCGATCCCCTGGAATTGGCGAGGCGACCCCGCTGAAAGAGGCGGGAGCTCAGGCGCTCGGGCTGCCCGCTCGTGCCGGGTTCTTGCGTGCTTGCGCCTGTTGCGTCACACTGACAGGGCCTCAGCGCTGTGAGCACCGGGCAGCCTGCCCTACTCAGCGGCCCTAAGCTGTAAGCGGGTACCGTTACGTAGGTAGGTACTTCGCGCCGTCCCGCCATCTTTCCAAGATCCATGCTGCCCAACGCCGATTTTGCTGCGCTGCATGTCAACCTGTAACCTGTGACCAACAAGCATCCAGCTACCAGCAGTCAGCTCGTACCTATTACCTGACAGGACGCTTTCTTTTTACCCCGTCATACCTACCTACATACCTACATACATCCTTCTCCATCGCATTGCAACGACGGATTGCGACTCTGCATTTCACTCCTCAACAACCCACCCAGCGACTCGAATCCGATCGTCGCTACTCCAGGAACACGCAACATCTTCAATCACAAGTCAAACACATTCCAGCAGGGCGAATCCAGCCCAGACATACCCCGCGCCCATGGACTCTTATGGAGTCAGGAGGAAGGACACCACAAAGGGACCGCCCCTCCGTGTCCTGTCGCTAGGTAAGCGCCCGCTCATTTTATTGCGAGCCTCGAAATGTCGGCTGAAGCCCTTGTTAACTTGCCCTGCCAGATGGAGGAGGTGTCCGCGGCTACTCCATCTTCATCATCATCCAGGAGTTGATGCACCGAACCTTTGTCGAAACCGAAGGCCGCGCTCCCCGCCGACACGAGATCCCCAAGCCATGCGAACACTTCGACCTCATCGTGGGCACCGGCACCGGCGGTCTGATCGCCCTCATGCTCGGTCGCCTGCGCCTGGACATCGAGACTTGCAAGGAGCTCTACGTCCGCCTCACCCGCATGGTGTTTGAGACGGACAAGACCATCGCCGGTATTCCCTACCGATCCACCCTGTTCAAGGCCAGCAAGCTTGAGGAGGCCATCAAGCAGTGTGTCCAGGAACACACTGCCAACGACAAGGAGGGCAACGACGGGTCCGAGCCTGATCTCTTCAGCCCCCTCAACCCCGCCCTCTATTCGAGCGCCGCGCCAAGGCGCCATGCCAGCAACGCCAGTGTCGTCAGCTTCAGCGCTCGCAGCCCTGCCGCCCAAATGTCCCGCCCGTCCATGAGCTCGAGGCATGGCGACCCCAACGCCAGGTTGTACGACTCCCGAGAGAACCGCACCAAGACGTAAGTTTCCAGCCATACCAGCCCAGACTGCCCCAAATTGTAGATGGTGTTACTAACGACCGCATCAGCGCTGTCACTGCTGTGTACAAGGGATCTCCTCGAGGCTCGCCGCCCGCCGTTCTCCGATCCTACGACTCCCGACGCGAGCCACCCCCCGAATTCGACTGCAAGATTTGGCAGGCTGGTCGCGCAACCTGCGCGATTGGCCTCGCTTTCAAGCCCATTCAGATCGGTCAGTCGGTCTTCCATGACGATGGTGTCGGCACTTTCAACCCCAGTCCCGAAGCCTTGGACGAGGCCGTGGTGAATGAGTGGCCGGGACGGGAAGTAGGCGTTTTCGTCAGTATCGGTACCGGACGACGCCCCAGAGGCAGCGATGCGAACTCGCAGATGTGGTATGAAGGATTTCTCGGCGACTTCGCCGAGGCACGACGGAGGCTGATCTCCAAGATCGAGGGGTGCGAGAAGATTCACGAGTACATGGTCCGGGAACATCTTTCGAAGCGTGGAGTCAACGTCGAGAACTACTACCGCCTGAACGTCGAGATTGGTGTGGGCGAGTTTGGCATGAACGAGTGGAACCGTCTGGGAGATATCAGCACGGGAACTCGGCGATACATGGCCAAAGATGCCGAGCAGAAGATGATCCGAGGCGTCACGACCAAGCTGGCCAAGATTTATCGAGCCAAGATGCGCTTCGAGCGAGCAGCCCGAGGAGTCCCTGAACTGGTCAAGTCAACCTCAACCACCTTTGAGTCTCCGCTCGCAGTTGAGCTCCCTGGTGACTTCCCAATGACGGTGCCGCTGCCACACAGTCCACCCAGCCGGTCGTCGTTCGAGTCTGGATCGGATAGTCTCCATATCCACAACGGCTATGCCTCCCCTCGCAGCTCCAATGAGCGCATCCGTCCCAGCACAGGGAACTCGGGGGGTTCTCCTCCTCCGGGCCAACGACCAAGGCCATCGGCGCCAAGTGCAAGCGCCCCATCACTCCAACACAATGGCCCGGATCACCTCACGGTGTCAGCTCCCACCCCATCACAGTACTGGGACGGTTCAGGGTCTGACTTGATATCCATCACGAGCCCAGATGAGCAACCGCGGCCGTCCTCATCATCGAAGCAGGCAGGTCCGCCTCCGACACGAATCGAGCCACCGCCGCTCCCACCCAAGACACCGCTCCCCGAGAGCCAGCAGGGAGGCAGACGGCCACCACCCGCCATCACGCCTCCGTATCCTCTGGACGACGAGGAGCCGCCGCCAGTGAACATGGCCCGAAAGCCTGATTACCGAGGCAGGAAATGAACAAGGTCATAAAAATGTAGAAGGGCATTAGGGAATAGGGGGACTAGGTTTTTGTTTCACGATTTGGTTCCCCGTCGCTATGACAGTTCCAAGCTGGGGATGATGTTCCGGTGCCAGCTCACCCGTCCCGGGAAAGGGACCCGGGATGTCTGAAGGCAGGGATGGCGTTGGGGATATTTCTTTTTGGGTTGATGATTGTTTGTTTCCTATGTTTGTTCTAACATATCTAGATACCACCGGGAAAGGAATACATACTCCAAGATTTGGCTTTTTTTTTTATCAGTTGGAGGACGCTGGAGGAGAAGAGCGAGTATGTGGACGTGTAAGGGATTCTTACTAGAACTTAGGTACACTGAACTGAACCAAACTGAATGGAAAGGATGCTTGAATGACTCGCACAAGAGGGACCCAAAACGATGGGTAAAAGCAATGGCCGTCTCTAGAGTGAAGTGGAATATAATAGAGCGATGCGATTGGGATGGTAGTGATGGCGAGGTGTTGCGACAAAGAAGTGGAATGAGAGTGACGCTGACAAGGCAGCCAATCAAGCGAACGAGGCGGCCTCGCATTGAAATTGCAGTTGACGGGGCAGAGGATGTGGCGGGGACTCTGGAAGCCTGGAAGGGTCTAGAGGCCCGGTTTCTGTCACTAACAACACACGTGTGAATGATCGTGGTGCTACGTAGGTAGTTTGGTAGCCCATTGGTATGGGCAGAGTCGAGTCAAGTGAATGGCCGCATCTGGGGTAGGCGCGCAAGGACCACGAGGCTTTACATTAGACGCCCCAGCTTCTTGAGCTGTCTGGTGAGGGTATGGATTGGTAAGTGGCCGAGTGTCCCATTGTGTGTCAGCTAGACGAATAGAGATGAATCAAGACAATCAGATGAGGTGCGCTAGTCAGGGACAGTGCCAGTGTCAGTGTCGTCAGTGTCAGTGTCAGTGCCAGTGTCAGTTGAATACTAATGCAGATACGATATGCTCCACGCCTACTTTCTGCCCTGGATCTCGCTACGGCTCGACGGATACGACGCAACTCATTAGCACGGTAGCATTATCTCATTCTCATTCCGGGGCTATCCAAAGGGCCCCGGGAGGTGTGGCGAGTGGTCCGACAAAGGCCCTGTGGCGGGCGATCCTCGAACGTTGAGCAATTGCCATCAATAATGGTCATCTTCCCAATTCCCCCCTTCAACTCGCTAACTCTACCGTGACGTGATAGCGGGTTTGTCAGTGCTGACGGTGTTAGTGTGAAATCACGGATGATTCCGTCAACAACGTGCTCGCCCTCTCCACGCACGGAAACTATGGGCTGTACGAGTAATACTAAGATCTTCATCCGAGGATCCCGTGCCGCAAACACGCCAGCGGAAGGCCCGTGGGAAGGCTATCCCATCCTACATGGCGCAGGGGACCTGTCCGGGGGCTGGGTTACAGGGGGCAACAGTGTTGCAGTAGAGGTCAACAGTGGCTACAGTGGGTGGCCCGTATCAGGGCAAACTCCGTGAGCACGGCTTGTGGCTGCACTGGAGGCCACAGTAGGGTGACGCCAGGCACTAACTAATTCGTGCCGACAGGCCTACAGGGGACGGAGAGACCCGCTCGCCGGCAGAATCGCGCTCTGGCATGCGGGTGAAGAAAGACATGGCTGTTGCTAAGACCTAGGACGTCGCAAGTTGCTGCCAATAGTAGGGGAGATATTGGCGCAAATCGGAAACGATCAACGTCGAAAACACGCTCGCCGGTCTCAGACGGCCATGGCTTCTCTGACTGTAATTTAACAACGTGCTATCTTCACTCGACTGGATGTGAGAGGGGTGGTCAGCCATGTACAGACTTCTTCTCACACTGGGACGGGGGTCCACTATGACATCCGCGGGCTAGCCTGGGGCCGGGGGGCGGGTGTATGTCCACCATATCTGTTAGCGCAAGGGCTGTCGGGGCGGATTGATGCCCCCGAGTCCGTCCTCTGGGATCTGCGTTACGGGATTCAAGAACAGGAAAAAGGTGCACACACTTGGCCGTTCTCTTCGAGACCCAAGGGCGGGGAGTGGATAGAGCGGATGGATCGATCGTGGTTGAAACGGGCATGTGAGCGGCCGAGATACGGAGTAGACAACGTAGAGAGACCGCCCAGCAGATGCTCCTAGGACCAGCCTCTTGTACCCCTCAACAAGAGGGGCCAGCAGCGTTTCTGCTGTACGAAGCCATGCAAAGGTACGAAGGCACCAAGACTTGGGAACCTTGCCCTCTTGCTTGACTCCATCTTGCATTTGCTTCTTCCTCTGTATGAGCCACATCAAAGTGGAGCGGATGTGCGGCACTAACACTCCCGTATGAGCTCAGGGCAACTATCCAGGTACCGCCAGCCTCGGCATCCAGCTCTCAGTCCCCGTACAGCGTACCCAGGCAGCGTATCCGAATGCACCACGCACGCATCTTCCAATTGCGCCATGACAAAAGTCCATCTGAAGCAGCTGCTCAACGCCAAAATCCCTCGCGGCCCTGCTATAATGCTTCCTTTTTCTTTTTTCCTTTCCGTTCCCGGCGTTATCCAGTCAGCCCCGGCCGAAGTGCGACGGGCCTCGCCCCCCGGTGGTCCAAGCCGGCCGGGCAAGGTACCGACGGGTAATTAATTTAGCTGGGTTAAGGTGGTGTCGCTGTCACCCACCCACACACACTGACACACTGACACTCAACGCGCACCCACCTCCTCGCTCGCAAAGGAGCTCCAGTTCAAGCTCTCCTAGAGCTCGTGAATACGCGGTAAGGTATTAGTTCGCGCGGCGCGGAAATCAGAAAGAAAGAAAAGGAAACCCACCCTCCAGCCTAACACCAAACAGGCTGGTACAGACAGTGTAGTGTACATGTCACCCACCCACCACTGGCTGTGTGTACCAGCCCTTCCCCCATCCAACTACTATTCCCCATCACTTTTCAAGACGCCATATCATATCCTCTACGCACCAGCCAGCCATATCAGCCCATGGAAGCCACAGTGCCTGCGTCTCACCCATCCTCTCATCCTCCTCCGCCTCCGCCTCTTTCTCCTCCCCTTGCCCTCCGCAAATCGAAATCCGGGCCAACTCGCTGGGCCTGTGGTAGTAGATTCGAACTGCCGTGCGAGGCTTGCCAACCTTACCTCCCCTTGGTCCTCGCCGGTAGTGCTGTGCCTAACTACCTGCCTTCCCAGCTAGCTCGAACGATGGGAAGTGGACTAGTCGGCTCCAGACCTCCCCTAGAGTAAGGCGCAGGGCACCTGCAAGCACGGAAGTACAGACGGTCCTGGACTCCTGGCAGGTTTAAGGCAGGCACCATCTCCGTCTCCGTCTTCTGTCGTGGTCCTGGCCCGCCCTGACGAAGCCATTCCTCTTTCTTGGGTCCTCTTTCTTTGGTCCCTCCAGTTTTCCCCCCTTGGCCTGTTTTTGATCACGGGGTTCCCGGGGTTTTTTTTTTTTTTGGACGGTCGACACATATTACCGTCCGTGTGCCCTTGCGATCGAGGCCTTTGACAGAAAGCTGCAGAGCAGTGACATCGGTTAACCTGCCCACGCGACATCACGACGCTCACTGGCTTGCCACATCCGTCCTCCCAACTCGACCACGTGGGACATCTTGTGCGCTGCGCCAACTGCGGCTGTGACTCCGATTCGCGACTTGTGGTTTGCGACTGCCAGTTGCGCCTGCGCCAGCGACTACCGCTGCGGCTTACGACTACGCCTGCAGGACTACTACGCCTGCAACGCCGACCAACGCCTACAACGCCGACTCCGACTTGCGACTCTGCCAGGGACTACGGCTTCGACTACGTCAACGTCTACGACTAGCAACTCCGACTCCTCTTCCACTTCGTTGTCTCGCCTTCACCCCATCGGCTTTGGCGCAGTGCTTCTACCAATTTTTGCCTTTCCACCTTTCGCCACCTTTGTGCTTGTTTTGGCCTCGCCTAAACGAGGCTGTTTGGACTCACTCTGCCCCTCCCATCTTCTCCTCTCATTTCTCAGTCATTTTCCTCCATACTTCCGCGCGAGGCGCCAGGCTTGTCTCTTTGGTGGGGATACGCACGAGATACGACTAGAGCGTGAGAGTCATGACCAAGGCGCGCGACAGACTTGATTGAAGACACTCACTCGTTTGCTCCATTGCTCACTTTTTGCGACTGAGCCGCAACGAACCAGGGGTCGTCTTTTTTTCTCACCACAAAAACCACACCAACCACCTCCGTAGCTTTTTTTCAAGCATTGCAGACGGGCATCAGCACGAGCTTCCCCGGTGTCCAGTGTTACCCGAGACTCCAGCTGCGGGACATACACACCGGACTGCTGCACGCCTAGATCTGCGGCTGTGCAACCAACAAGATCGAGATCCAACCCGGCCACGCCAACCAACAAACAAACCCAAGACACACCAAGCCGGCAGACAACCAGCCCAGCAAGCACCGCGACGCCACCCCCGGTGCATCTCGTGCCCTCTCCACACCGGCATCCAATCCAGCATTTCCCCTTCCTCTAACTTGCATTCAACTCATCGCCTTTGGGAGCTAGCCGTTGCTGCCGCAGCCTGAATTCATCTCCAACGCCCCAAACTCCTCTATCCTCCTACATCTCACCTGGTCTCCCCCTCTCCTCACCGTCTCACCGCACCCCCTCGTTTCTCTCTGCATTCTATCAACTCTCATCACCTTACCCCCATTTTATCACGTCGCCGAACCGTGCGGATGGGTCGCCCGCCTCCTCTCGCTTCCCCCCCTCGACTAAGCAGAGACACCGAGATTCAACATCGCCCGCTTTGACCCTAGTCTTCAACTGCCGGCCCGCTTCCCCAACCAACACTCCGGGGCCGGCCCGCCCCCTGTCGCAACCACCTCCGCTCCGACTGTGCCCCGGTTGGACTAACGGAGGAGCTTCGGGCCCGTCAGGTGGAGGTTGGTTCCAAGCTTGACGCCCCAGCCGGCGCCTTAGCCTACCCCCTCCGTGCCACTCCCGAGTCCGCATCCGCGTCCGTGTTGGCCGTCACCCTACCTGTCGTCCTACCATCCCGTGCTGTCGAATCCCCGACGGACAACACCATGCCGGGTTCCGAGGCCTTACAGACACAGGCCGCTCGTCGCCGTGCCGAGCGCCAGACGTCGTCATGTACCGAGTGCCGTCGTCGCAAGCAAAAGGTAAGCTCCCTTCTCAGTTCCGACTCTCTTCATATCCTGCTCCCATTCTGCCGGTGTTCGGCTCACCTTTCTCGCTACTACCCCTCTCCTTTAACGCATCCGTGGCGATAGTCAGTAGTTGACACTCGTCTGGATGTCATGGCAAATCCTTGATGTTAACACGACTCGTCGCAGTGTTCCCAAGGCCAGCCGTGTACCAACTGTATCCGTCGATTTCCCCAACCCATCTGCGAATACAAGGCCAAGAGCCCCAAAAGGTGAGTTATCCTCAAGATGTCACCACCCGAGACACTCCCCGCTTCGGGATGCACAGACATTGACACCCATAACTGTAGGCATCCACATGCGGGAGCGGCCGAGCGGCCGCCCATGGCGGTGGCAGTCAGAAACGGCCCCTACGGTCACCTCAACCCTGCTGCGATCCACGATGCTATCCTCCAGGTAGACGAGTCCTCGCATGCGATGCTGGGTGATTCTCCCGACTCCAACCACTCCTCATCCTCATCAGACCACAGCTCTGATCAAACCTCACCCACTGAGACAACAGCAACCCCCTGGGTCCCTTTCAAAGTAACCTTCGACGAGGAGAATGACCCCGAGACCATGCTTGAAAACCTTCGTGTGATTTTCGAACGTCGTCTCAGTATCGCCAACCGTATCCCGGAGAAAGAATGGACAGATGACGACGCAAAGGCCCTCATAACGGCAGAAGACGCCCGCCGACCCCTAGCTCTTCCCGTCGAGGGCGCGATGGAACAGCTCCGCTTTTTGCCCATGGCTCCAACCAAGATGAACAAGGAGCTTGTGCGGATACGTAGGTGTTGCACAAGACCCTCTATGTTGAACCTCGCTGACTGCTGATGGGTTCACAGATCTACAATTGCTGTGCCGCTTCAAAGTGTCCGTGGACGGAAATCCGGATCCTAACAATGCCTTCATGAAGCACTGGGTTCCATGTTGCGTACAAGACCCTCTCCTCTTACAAATTGTTTTGTTTACATCTGCTTGTTTCTTTTCTGAAACGGGTCATATCCCCAAGACATTGGCCATGATGCACAAGGGCAGGGTGTACCACATGCTTAACGAGCAGCTTCAACACGAAGCCACTATGACTAGCGACACCTCCATCCTTGGTGTTGCCCAGATGGTCATCGATTCCTGGTACTGGGGAGCCACGGCTGATCTGAAAGCGCACATTCGAGGTCTCAAACAGATGATCAGACTGAGAGGTGGTTTGGGCAAGTTGGGGCTACACGGCTTCCTGAGCAAGACAGTGATCATGTGCGTTCTCCCTTTCACATCTTCAGAGATGGTGACTTGGATTCATCATTGGTTTTTAACACAATCGAAACTAATTGGCTTATAGTCATGACGTCGTTATGGCCCTCGCCCATGAAATCGATCCTTTAATATATGGTCATCCAGGTTTCGAGTTCAACGATCCTATCATGATACCATTTCATACCGCGTTGAATTCTCCCCTCATTTTCGGGTGGCCGACATTCACAGCCTGCGCCAACTCCTTGCAGCTGCATCCCAGCACGGCCATGATTCTAGACGACATACGATACCTCATCGAAACTGTTCTTATGTTGCCTGAGCAGGCCACCGTTGAGGAGCTTCAGAAGGTTGTAACAGCTGCCGGTTGGGTTCTTGACCGCATTTCCGAGCTACCAGAGGACACGCCTGCTAGAGAAAATCCCAACTCCCGGGGCAGTTCCGCGGCCACCAGTCCAAAGGCTGCGCAAGATGCACAAAGCCCTGAGTCCAATAGGTCTGATAAATCTTCTCCGTCTGTTGAACTGCCAGACTGGATGTATCGCTGTGTCCGCAAGACTGCATTGATCTATTGTCGCGCGATCCTGAACCGCACACCAACCAGCGACATTTGCTCCGAAATCGATTTTCTCATGATCTGGCAATCGGTGTGGGCAGTCACCCTGCCGACCTGGAAAGCGACAATAGGCATCTTTGTCTGGGTCATGTTGGCAATTGTGCCTAGCTGTCACAACTCAGGGCCCGCCCGCTTCATAAAGACGCTCATGGTTGCCGGGTTCATGACAATTGGGGTTGACAACTGGCACCTTGTCATGGATGTGACAAGAACGAGCTTTGCACTACAGAAATGGCTTGCGGGGGGAAGACATGGCTACGAAAATGGAATCGTGAAGGGTCTTAGCGGGGGGGAGAGCGTCGTGGAGAAGTACGGGTTTACTCTCAAGGACGTTCTGCCAGAGATAAGCCTCCCGGTTGATGATGTATGATGTTCGGCCTGACTTGTCTCATTCTCCCGTTGGCGCGGACCACGACACTTGCAAAGTCACATGCGGCCCGACGGCTCCCGAAGCCCCGCTGCCACGTATTACGACATATCTCACTCAGCCTGTCGATCCAGCGACCAACACAACCAGTTGGATCCACCACGGCACATTGTGAAACTTTCAGTTGGTATGAAAAGCCCGCCGTGTCCAGGTCATGATCCGGGTGCCTATCTCGTAAATTTGCTCCCTTCCGGGCAAGTTGATCATCAGAGCCACGGCAACGCCGCATCACATAATCGACATTATCCATGATGTGCGACTTCAATCAACTACGGACTGGTATACCAGATGGACAAGTCCTCCTCCCCCAAGATGCAGGCTACGAGGCGGCCTTGCGGCGATGGAGCGCTGCCTGCGAAAGGAGAGCTGTATGCGATACCTTTGATGTTGATGTTTGACGTCACTAACCGCCATTTAGGCTGTTGTCGTCAAGCCAACATGCGCAATGGAGGTATCTGCAGCTATCAAGTTTGCTGTTGCGACCAAGATACCTTTGACAGTTTGCGGTGGTGGTCACTCCTCGAGTGGAACATCCTCATCTGACGGCATGGTCATCGATATGAGCAACATGAGGAATGTAGATGTCAATCCCGCAGAAATGTCGGTCACTTTCGGCGGCGGTTGTCTGTGGGAGGATGTAGACACGGCTCTCGAGCGCTACGGCCTCGCGACTGTCGGCGGCGTTGTCAACCATACTGGTGTCGGTGGACTGATATTAGGTGGAGGCCATGGCTATCTCACGCCGCTTCATGGTCTCACCATTGACAATCTCATTTGGGCAGAGGTTGTCCTTGCGGATGGCACAATTTCCGAAGTGTCCGAGGAGAAGAATCCCGACCTCTTCTGGGCCATCCGCGGTGCCGGTGCAAACTTCTGCGTCGCTACAGCATTTATGAGTAGGGTCTTCAAACAAGGAAAGGTCTGGAGCGGCACGTTGGCTTATTCATCTGACAAGCTATCTGAACTTGTGGGTGTTGCCAACCAGCTGCACGACCGGCACAATTCACATGGCCATTGCCTCGCTCTTGGCATAGGTTACGGCCCAGATGGCGTAACCCACGTTATCTCTGCGATCCCTTGCTTTCAAGGCTCGGAAGAAGACGGCAAGGACTACTTTTCAAAGCTTCTAGCCGTCGAGGCGATTGCGAACAACACTGCAATGATGTCGACGGCGCAGATGAACACGCTGCTGAACCCCATTTTCGAGCATGGCATTAGGCGTCTAATGGGATCTGGGAACGTGACAATGCCTCTTGATGCCCAGGCCTTGTTACAGACTGCCGAGATGTTCTGGGAGTTCTGTGACGCTCGGAAGGGGATGGACAAGTCGGTCATCGCGATAGAGATCTTTCCGACTGACAAGATCCGGGCCGTTGCCCAGAATACGACTGCTTATGCCAACCGAGGCGACTACTACGACGCAGTGACAGCATTTGGCTGGGAGGACGAGTCTCTTGATGGCGACGTTCGACAATTCAACCGAGAGATGTGTGCGCAGATTCGTGAGTCCAACGGATATCGTGCTCGTCCCAGCGAGGAAGGATCCAAGGAACCCGTGGGCAGATACATCAATATCGAAGCCGATTACATCTCACCACGAGACGCGTACGGTGTCAACTTCCCTCGTCTCCGAGAGCTCAAGGTGAAATATGATCCGCAAAACGTATTTCACAAGTGGCACGGGATTGTCGAGAGATCTTAGTGACGATGGAACCGTCCTTGAATAGTAGCCTGGTTGTGCTTTTGAGGTATTCCCTCTAATGATTTAGTACCAAGATGAATTTAGTAAGATGATGTATTGCTCGTCATTTAATACAATAATTTTCAATTCAGATTGGTCTCCTCTCATCTGGGTTGGTTTGAGTGAACATGCTGAACTCGGCAAAGCTAACGTGAAGAGACCTAACAATATACATTCTAAGGATTTGACAACAATGCTCGAATCCATTTCTAATCCAAACATGACTCTTTACCTTTCTCGAAATAGAACATGGGTTGAAGACAGGGAAAATTAGCGAAATATAGGCCTGGGTATAGGGTAGCAAATATCAATATTGAGATGGGGGATCGACCTCAAACTGGATAATCGAAACTGTTTGAGGCTGAATTGTTTGACTGTCCAATGTTGACTTGGTACTAAGTAGGCAATAGCTCGGCGGTGCAATCCTACCATGCTACAAAGCTGCTCCCTCGGTGAGGATATCAATCAGCAATTATCAATCTAGGTGGAAGACACCATCAGGCCCGTTGACACGACCCATAGACGCTCCTTGCTGAGAATTGAGCTCATAACGGTGATTACCATGATCTTGACCATTAGGAACACAGCCAGAGTAGTATTCTCGTACAAGTCGCCAATGTCGTCCCCTCGTTGGCCTCCCCGGTCCAGCCACCCTTCCATCGGTTGTCGCCTGTCGCCTGTCGCCTGTCACTGAGTTAGCCGACATGCGTCAGGGTTTTGACCGGGGACTGCCCAGGCCAAGTAGCAGCTGACGACGAGCTGTAGGGTGTGCAGTCCCGATATGGGAAAAGGCGACGCCCTCAGCTTGACGACCCTGCTTCCCTTCCGTCCGCAACCCTCGTTAATTTGGGTTGCAAATGCTACATGCTACTGTCCTCGAGGGCGGAGGAGATGCCCAGTCAACGTAGTCAATGGCGCTAGGGAAGAAACACGCTGTGCCCCCGGGCTCCGCATCCACCTTGTTTTGGTGTGGCGCTCGACATGGGACCGGGCAGCGGGCAGTAGAGGATATCGTGGGATAATGAGTGGAGAGAGAGGGGAGAACGGTGGGCGGCTTTTGTTGGGGGGTGAGGGGATAGAGCCACAGGATTGCAGCACTAACATGGAGAATGGTACGTCTGGTACATGAAGAGGTCTGAGAGGCGTGCAGTCTGTGGCTTCGGTGAGGGTTAGGGGAGTGAGTGCGTGAGAGAGTGAGACGCCCGAGGCGATGGAAATTCCGAAGGAGGGAGTGAGCGAGTGGGCGAGTGAGTGAGGGTGGGATGGCATGGCCGGGGGTTGCCACAGAGGGGATTGAGTGATTGGGTGAAGGTATCGCATGGTTGGGCATCGTATGGCAAGGCTTGCGAGACATGGGTAGAGATGGATCAATGGAAGTGCGTCTCGTCTCGGTGGCATGATACGATGGATACAAGACACTACATAGTACACACCACGGACCGTCAGCCCCCATCTCAGTCTGCAGCACTGGGCCCTCGGAGTGCAGCATCTGCGACGGGATCTGGATCTGGATCTGTCCGATAGGTATGGAGGAATAGGTTGACATGCACAGAAGAATTAACTACGGGGCCGGCCATCCGGGGGGAGACCAGGAACCCCCGAGTTTGTCCAAGAAGATGGTGGTCGACACACCCGTCACCGAATGCGGATTTCCAGCGGGCGTCGTGATTGAATAGAAAATCCCTCGGCCGAGTTGGACGGCGGCAGCGGCGGCGGCGGCGGCGGCATCGATGAATCACTGCAGGGTCGGAGCGGCTATGCAGGCCATGTCGTTGTGACGGGCGGAAACAATATGTGAGGCTGTGATAAATACAAAAGGCGCGCAGTAGTGCCGCTCGCACGGTTGTCTCGTGCCTCTTTTTTTTGAGCCCGCGGGCCCGTATATGCACGATGCAGTGGCGGAGGAGCAGCAGTAGTTAAAACGCGGCAAGGGAGGATAGCTACAAGAAGGTACATTAATTAGTTGTAGCGAGTTTAGCTGGAAAAATACCCAGCGGCTTTCTGAGTCCTATTCACCTCAAGGTGCTTGGCCTGGGGTTAGTTACCGAGACTGCTGTTGGTGGATGGTCCCAACCTGGGGGCATTCCACGTTACCTGAGACATCTGGGCAACTGAACAGGGGCCAACACGCGTGTAGATCCCACCCAAGTGATATCTCCCTTTAACCCTGGTCAACGGGTTTTTTGCCACCTGGATTTTGCCCAGTCTTGGCTCGTTGTGTCTGCCATGTCATTTGAGTGACATGCATCATGTGCGAGAACAAGGACGACTTCGTCCGGGAGAAAACCATTAATTAAGATGTTGCGCAGTTGTCTGTCTCGTCCTCGAATATAACCCCGGATATGCCGTGGAGATGTATACTACCATGAAAGATGGATATGATGTCTTCCATTGCTTGAGTCATTAGTCGGTATAAGAGTCCCTTTCGACAGTATTCAGTTGGAAACACACCTCTGCCCACGCTATGCCCTCGTAGACCAGAGCAAGTAATGTCTAGTTCCCTGCAACTGCCATGACTTGGATCCTAAAGTCAACAGAAAATTCTCGAGCTTCTCTATAGGCACATGGTAAACATCTTTCTACACTTGCCCACCCTAGAGTTTTCTCGAATTGGGTCTCTCCACCCGCCAGCTATTTAGGCGGCTCGCATCTAACCGGCAACTTGCATTTGGGTTTGAAGCTAACGAGAACTGTGACAGTAGCTCCATGTTTCGACTATTCTCCGAGGATCGACGCCCATCGAATGCCTTGATTGACGAGGACCTGCATATGTTTTGCCTACGCCGCACCTTTCTTTTGGCCCACCGCTGTGGGCCATCTTGACAGCCCCAGAATACTACAAAGGTGAGTGTCTTTCCCGGGTGGAAGCATACGAGCACCACCCGGAAACGTTCTTCTTCCTATTGAAAGGCGAAGTTTGAAGCGAGCTGGCTCCGCATTCGCCATAAACATGGTAAATCTGTCCCGTCGCGTAACTGGAAAGTGCTTCGTTTGAAGTGGAGGCATCAGAGCTAGGAGACCCTGAACCGGATAATCAACTACGCGGCTAGGACGACCTGGTTGTTTGATTTCATACTCGGGAGCCTCCTGAATTCCAGGTATTTCGCTCCCAGAGAGGTAGCTGATTACTAGTAGGGGCTCGTCTCTTTTAGTGTTAAGGAAGTGGATGCCATGGGGCCTTCGCCAAGAAGAAGATAAAGGAGAAGGATAACAGACTTAGTGAAATTGGACTACGACAGGGCAATATGCCTAGATCATGACCTGAGACGATCGAGGCTCCGGAAGAGATCCTTGGCACAGTTGAGATTCTAGTCAAAGTATCGTGAATGGTTGAACTAGAAGATCCGTGGAGCGACACGTGGAGAAGGATAGGGGGAATTGCGTCAACTGTGGGTTTCGGCGCAGGGGCATCAGACGAAGCTAGGGGAGGGCGTCGTGCTATCAGACAGAAGGTGCTATGTACGTATCAAGCTCGATCTGAAGGCCACAGGTCCGTCACGGGCAGAAATGTTGGCCTGGATGGACATGGAGCGCGCACAAATGCGGACGCATGTTTGGCTTACTTCCCCTTTGGCCTTCTCCCGTATATGCACGATGCGGAAGAGCTGGAGTAAGAGGAGGAGGAAGCAAGGCATGCTCATACCTACAGTAGTGACACGGACTCTCATAGGTACATGGTGTACCAGAGCTAAGCAAGCAAGAAGAGGACAAGGCGAACATCCCCTGCTTCTCACATGGCCCCCAACCCCGCAAGGATCCTCCGATGCCACCCCCATCACATCACAACCATGCCCACGACGTGACATGCCCATACCCCTCCATCACTGGCACGTGGCATGTTGCCGGAACACCTCCGCGCGTGCAGAGGAAAAGAGGGCCGGGGGGCTCTGGGGCTAATGTGCGTCTTGGAGGGGGTCCGCAGGCATTGGCGCGGTCCGGCGCAGGATCAATCAAGGCTGAGGCAAGGGCGCGCAGGGCGGGCGCAATGCGCGCAGAGAGGGGTTCGGCGGATATCTGAGGCTGTCCGGGGTGGGTGGTTGGCTCCCATGTTGGCGCAGCATGCGATGTACATTGTGGTATTTCTCCGCGAAGATGGGGGGGGATGCGAGAGATGAGATGAGCAGAGCACCGCACGATCGGTCGGCGGAGACCGGAGCGCGGGGAGCGGGTGGGCCGCGGGGTGTCTCGCCCGACCCGAGACGCTTTGTCAGCTCCGGGCCGGGACGGTGGGGATCGGAGGGTTGGCCGTGTTCGGCCCCGAGAGGGCTTCTCAACCTCGCTTGGTTCGCCGCGGGTTGCACGAGCGGACGTGCCTCAACAGGATGCGCCGCTTCGTCTGCCATGACGTGTGTCGTCGCCGCTGTGATTTAGTGGAGTTGGGCTGGAGCCGGGCCGAGCAAGCCCCGCGTTTGCATCTTGGAGGAGGACCTGAACTTGATATGCCATTGAAAATCGCCATTTTATCATCTAGCCTCTCTCACTTACACCTTGAAATCAGCGACAGAACCTAACGGATATTATCACCACTCTTACCTTGCTTCTCAGCGACAATGGCTCCCCTCGGCGTAGCCCTCATCGGCGGTGGCATTTTTGCCAAGCAAGAGCACATGGTGCGTACAGCATCACCGGATATGCTTAGTGAAATACCGCAGAAATGGATGCTTACAGAATTTCACGATTTACCAGCCCGCCATTATGAAATGTGAATCCCTATCGCTCAAGGCCATCTACTCTCGCTCCCTCAAGTCCGCCCAAGACACCGCCGCTCTCTATACGAAGGGCGAAGCCGCCCCGGGCCTGTACTCGGCCGACGCGGACAAGGGAAACGACTACGCCAGCCTGCTCCTCCGAAAGGACGTCTACGCCGTCATCATCGCATTGCCCATCGTTAGCCAGCCCGAGTTCATCAAAGCCGCCCTCGCTGCCGGCAAGCACGTGCTGGCCGAGAAGCCACTCGCGCCGGACGTCAAGACGGGCCGGGAGCTCATCGACTACTACCGCAGCGTCTCGCAGGAGAACAAGGTCACCTTTTCCATCGCGGAGAACTATCGCTTCGTGCCGAGCTTTGTCTACGCTGCCGAGGAGGCAAGGAAACTGGGCAAGGTGAACCACTTTAGCGTCAAGAGCTTCCATCTCATGCGCCAGGACACCAAGTGGTACGGCACCGAGTGGCGGCGCAAGCCCGAGTATCAGGGCGGTTTCCTGCTGGACGGCGGCGTTCACCAGGCGGCAGCCACACGACTGCTGCTGGGCAGCGACGCGAAGCCGCAGGTGGTGCGAGCCGTGACCAGCCTGGTGCAGGCACACCTGCCACCCATCGACACGGTCAGCGCCATCATCAAGACGGCGTCCGGCGCCAACGGCACGTTTCAGCTGTCGTGCGGCTCGCAGCTGAGCGCGTTCGAGTGGGATCTGGGCTTCGAGGACGGCAGCGTCACGGTGCGCGGGGAGACGGTAACGGTCAAGCGCGTCGACGGCGAGGCGAGTGTCCGCGAGTTTGAGCGCACGAGCGGCGTGAGCGCCGAGGTCACGGCGTGGGCGGCGGGGCTGGTGCGCGGGACGCCCGACGAGCTGCAGGCGCCGGAGCAGGCGTTGGCGGACCTGGAGTTTTTGGAGAAGATGTTTGTCAGTGGCGAGCAGGACGGCGCGCCGCAGACGTATGAGCTGCAGTTGTAGACGAGGATGAGAGCATGGACGTCGTATAGGACGGGGGACTATATAATGATAATAAAATACACATGGTGTGCGGCTCAAAGGGTGCTTTTAGTTTCGTGTCTGATTCATAGCTTGGCCGGCCTTTTCTCCACCAGAGCTTTACCTTGGCCTGCATCGACACACAGCTTCTCAAGCCCCTGCCTCAAGGCATCTCCCATGCCGCTCTGCGCAGGCCTCCCTGTGGCACGGTCGACAAAGACGTGGACAAACTCACCCACGGCGCAGACGGCATCGACGCCACGCTCAAAGACGGCCACCTCGTAGGTGACGCTGGAGCGACCGAGCTTGTTGACGCGGAGGGCCAACTCCGCTACGGCCGGGTAGGCGATGGAGGCGAAGTAATCGGTGTGGGCGTGGACGGCTAGGCCGTACTGCGGCGAGGTTGGGGGGTCTAGGTTGCAGTGGGCAATGAGGTAGGAATTGACGACGGAGTCAAATCTGGCACGTCTGAGCTGGAGAGTTTCTTCTCGGGGTGCGCGGGAGTCTATTGTGTGACCCCGAGGATGCCCTCGAGCGTCCGACTTACAGAAAGCTATACACAGAGTTGTTCATGTGGTCATACATGTCATTGTCGTTCCTGCGGGGCAGTTAGAATGATTACAATTGCGGCTCCGTCGCCATCGTCACTATGATGATTGAATTCGTTAATCCGCAGTGCGGCGGTGACTTGGTGATACCAACAGCCAAGGGAGGCCAGAGGCTCGAACCTTACTGTCATCCAAAAGTCGGAGGGAGGGACGGAGGAACGGAAATAGGGCAATTCCGGCCCGGGGAGGCGGAAACTTACCATCGTGTGCGATAGTCCAGCAGGAAGCGATAATCTTGTCGCGTGCGGGCCTTGAGATCCTTGGTGGATGCCATCTCGGTTACAGGGACCAATTCGTCCAAATGTGATATTGGCCAACGCGCGTATCTCAGGCTTGCCTTCCTTGGGACGCGGTCTCGATCTGGGACCTGGGATCTGGATCTAGAGACAAGTCTTGCCAAGACGTTGGATGGCCAGAAATGGGCAGTGCAATTGGGTTGTTCGTTTGATTGTGCCGCTTTGGGAAAGTTTCCGCTCCCGGCAGCTCGGTTGAGGCCGTAATGAGATGCGATGAGTGAGATGTGACGGGTGATGAGTGGATGACGGGATGATGGACGAGGGGTGAGGATATCCAGAGAAGTATATGCTGTAGTTGTGTGGACCAGCTGGAGCTGGCTGGGTCGGACAAGATGAATAGCGGGGTTAGAGTTCCATTGATTTGCCTGCCCGGAAGCAAGAAGGAGGCACCACAAACACAAACATTGTGAGACGGCGGGATTTGTCTTTGAAGGGAATGAGACGGCTCTGGACGGGAATTCCGAGGTTCTGGATGCGGCCAGATCTTGGCTTGCCGAGGCTTCGCTTGGCCAAAGGCTGGCGGCTTCTCATTCGGGGGGTCCGTCTCCGCGCGTGCGGGGCTTGAAGGGGAGCAATAGGCGCACGCTTAGGGAGCTGTCAGGCGCCGTAGGGCTTGCGTCGTGCTGGAGGGCGCTGTGGCTTCTCCGCTGTGGAGGGTTAGCGGGCCCTGCTCCAGTGGAGGGCTGGGCAGTTAGGGGGTTTCAGGTTGCGAGATGCGAGATGCGAAAGGTACAGAACAGCCCTGGGATCTTGGCTGGGGCGCCCAAGGCGGGGTGTCGGTTCTTCCCGCCGAGGTGAGGTCGAGGCCAAGGGAAATTTCGCTTTCTGCCGCGCGCCACCGCCTGGATTTTGGCATCCCACTTCACACATCCCACATCCCACCATATTCGCACTCCCACAAGGGCGACGCTTGGCATCAACCACTTTTGTTTGCATGCCTTTCGGCCTCCCCAGAGCTTCTCGCGTCTGCTTTGGTTTGGGCCTAGGCTGCACCGTCTAGACTTGGTTCCTTTCCTTTGACTTCCGCCCAAGGGCCGCCGTGCTTTCCCTTCTGTCTCAGGCCCCGAGGAATGAGGGCTGCTGCTCGTCGCCTCGGCCCGTCCACGCCCATTCTCCACCGATCGAGATCTGTCCCGCGATTGAACCCTCTTTCTCGCACCAACTACAATAGTCGCAGCAACAGTTGCACTCGGACGATCGCCATGGCGTCGCCTCTTCTCGTAAGCTCGCCGTCCGCGCCCGAGGACGCTGCGATGGCTGAGTTCCAGGGCCTCGACGTTACGATTTTGGACCAGGCCGAGGGCAAAGGCGAGGGCCGTGCCAAACAAGAAGTTACCAAAGAGGAACGAGACATCAAGAGAACGGCCAGGCAAATGAACAAGCAAAACAAGAAGCAGAAATACCAGTATCCGCCGTCCGTCTCAGACCCCAATGTCCCGCTCATCACACCTATCGGCGACCCTTGGCCGCGACCATACCTCATCGAGGACGGACTGCGACGACTTGCTCCGTACCATTTCACCTACAATACCTTTTGCAAGGAACGATGGCGCAACCGGCCCCTGATAGACATATTCGAGGCTGAATTCCGCGACCGACCCCTCGCCTACTACCGCGATTCGATGGAGAAGGGCAGTATCTATGTCAACGGCAAGGCCGTCGGCCCTGACTATATTGTCCGGAACGGAGATCTCATCTCACACACCTTGCATCGTCATGAACCCCCCGTCTCGGCCGACCCCGTCGGAGTGATTCACGAGGACGACGACATGATTGTGATAAACAAGCCTGCCGGCGTACCGGTCCACCCTGCCGGCCGTTACAAGTTCAACTCAGTCATTGAGATCATGAAGGCGGAGAGGGGCCCACAGTTCCTGCCGTACCCTTGCAACCGCCTGGACCGTCTTACAAGCGGCATCATGTTCATCGCAAAGAATGTGCCCGCTGCTGAGGCCCTGGGTGTCAAGATCTTCCAGCGTACCGTCAGGAAGGAATACCTTGCCCGGGTTATGGGTAGGTTCCCAGATGGTGAGGTTGTGTGCAACCAACCTATCTTGCAAATATCCCCCAAGCTGGGGCTGAACCGGGTCCGTGCCAACGGCAAATCAGCCCGGACGGTTTTCAAGCGCTTGGCTTACTATCCACCCCCGGAAGACTCCGTCGCCGGTGAAGACGGACGTCCTAGAACGCCGGAGGAGCTCAAGGACGAGAAACACAGGCCCTGGGTGAAGAAGAGGGGTTATTCCATCGTCCGGTGTATGCCCGTCACCGGTCGGACTCATCAGTTGCGGGTGCATCTTCAGTACCTCGGTCACCCCATCCAAAACGACCCCATTTACGCCAACGGCCGGGTATGGGGCTTTGATCTCGGCGAAGACGATGCCGATGGGACCCAAAACACCGATGAGGACATCATTAGTCGGTTATCTCGGATGGGCAAGGAAGACGTAGCAGATGCCGTAGCGTATTACGACGATATGGTGGACAAGTATGAGAAGAGGAGGGCCGAGAAAATGACGGGCGAGCTCTGCGACGTTTGCGAGACGCCGCTGTACTCAGATCCCGGCGACCACGAGCTTTCGCTGTGGCTGCACAGCCTACGCTACGAGGATGCAGGCGGCAGCTGGGCCTATGTTAGTCCATTGCCGCAGTGGGCGCTCCCGCCAAAAGGCATGAGCGGGCCAACATCGGTTGGCGGGATGGAGGAGTTGGTGGAGGCGGTAAAGGACGAAAACCCGGAGATATCATGAAGTATTGCATCGCCGCCTGCAGCAGCGCCGTTGCCCTGCAGCGCCAACCACCCCACGAACCTGAACACCTGAGCTCGACCATGTCCTGTCCCGTCAAGAACCGCTCAACTGAAAAGCTTGCCGTATTTCGCTTGAAGCGTACCATGGAAACCGTTATCCAGGCCACCCAGTCCATCCTGTAATTACGCCATGGGTTACCTCTGAATGCCAATCCCCTGTAGGTATCGCGCATGCGAGGCAGGTGACGATTGTCCCATGGCCAAGTTGGTTAGCTGCGAAACGCACTTAGCAGTATTATCTCCTTGATGTCCTGGCCTCCCATCTCCCTTGCCCCATGTCGAGTCCAAGCAACAGTCAGCTGACTGGGGGACATGGTGGTGCGGACAAACGGCGGTTGTTCTGCAGTCCTAGACCGCGAATGGAGTTGAGCGGGTAATTGTGGCGTTGAATCCCACATCCCGCACGCGCGGTAATCTCGACATGCAGAAATACAGTTGACCAAGCCATGCTAGGGATGAAGCACGTACGCAGTATGCAGCGCCAGATGGAGTAGCGGAAGAGCCGTGAATGGCCGTTATGGAGCATTGGAACTGGGGAATGGGCTGCACGGGCTTCCTAGTCAACGACCGTGTCCCGCATGTTCCAAGCAAGGGCCGCATGCTTCCAAGGTTCTGAGGTTCCAAGGTTCCAAGGGCCGCATGTTCTAGGACGGCTCCGAAGAGGCGCATCAAGGCGCCTTGTCCGCGGCCAACACAAAGTAACGGTGTCCCAACTGAGCCCACGAATCTGCGACAAAGGCGACAAGAGGCAAGGAGGCGTCGCGCTTCGCGGACACGGGATCAGCCTCCGGGAACACATTTCCCACTGTCCCAGGCACTGGGGCCAGAACCGCACCCTCCAGGCGATGGGCGGTCCACGATCCAGTCTAGAACGGGTCTCGCGCGGCGGCGAAGCATTCCATCCCAAAGCACCAGGGGCGCGGCCCGACCGTGGAGCGGAGGACGGATCACGATGGACTGGGATGGGCCCAAAAGACGGACTCGCGATGGACCAGGAAAGCAGGAGACCAAGATACGAAAAAGGCCTGGAGCGGTGGACCACCCGAGAACCGGACGTGTTTACGGCGGCGGTCGACTGCCTTGGCCATGTGTGTTGTTGGCTGTTAGTTGTTTGAAGGCTCGAGACGGGACGCTCTAGACTGTCCGGATAAACCAAGTGCACCCGTCTTGCTCAGCACTTGTTATCTCGAAGGCAGGGCCTGCATTGGCGCGAATTGGTCATGGCCTGCTCTGACATTGCATGGCCTCAGCATCTCAAGAAGGAATTGTTGCGAGTGACATGGGTAGAGGGTGGCCTTTGTCGGCATGTTAATTCTCTCATAGGCGGATTCTCACATCAATCACATCACAGCACAGAAGCTCACAGACCCCCAAATTTCAAGATGCAAGAACGGGCATCCAGAGGAGAGGAGAGGAGAGGAGAGCCATGGGTGTACGTACGTAAACACGGGCAGGGGGAGAGGATGAGGGGCAGGCAGGGGGAATGGAATTGTGGCGGGCGATCATGAGCTCCGCGGAGCAGGCGCCTGGTAGGTTTTTTTTCCTGGGGTAGTTCAGTTGGTTTTGCTTTTTCCTTCCCTCTTCCCACTTCGGCTCCACGGAACACGCCCCCATGCTTCCTCGTCAACGGCAGCCATCTCAGAGGTGTTACCAACTCCCTGGGACAACCTTCTGTTCACATGCCGCAGCGGGACGGCACAGCGCAGCAGAGCAGCCAGCGGCAGTGGCAGGGGCAGTGGCAGTTGACCCACGGCACAGCAGCAGACTACCTCCCTCCCTCCCGTCTTTTCTCCCCCTCTCTCCCTTATCAGTTGGCTGTGCGGGAACGGGAGAAAGGGAAGAAGCAGACGTGGAACCCATCCATCCATCGCATCCCACCTCCGATCGCATCCCCCGTCCTCCATCCTCCATCCTCCCCCCATCTACGTAGTTACCCCCGCGAACGACTAGGGACGGGGAACAAGACGGAGCACGACGCCCAGCTCGAGGGTCGCATTGAGATGGGCATGGGCATTAACCACGTGTGGAGCACCGGCAGCCATGCGAGCGGAGCGGAGCAGGCGAGACCGGAGGAGGCGAGAGCAGAGCGGGATACCGTAACAGAAGCAGGAGCAGCATTAGCAATCACCGAAGCCAAACCAGAAGCCGAAGCCGAAGCCGATGCACAGAAGCCGAACGTGGCAGTGGAAGCCGACGTGGAAGTGGAAGAAGAAGAGAAGCAGAAACAGTAGCTCGCCCCCAAGGCAAGCCTCGTTCGCTGGGCTTGTTTCTGGGTGCGGCGAGGCTTTCCTCCATCTCCTCACTGGACCGGTGACGCCATCACCCACCATCGCCCACGCGCCGAAGGAAGCCTGCGTGGAAGACTACAGATTGTCCATAGATTGTCCACAGATTGTCCACAGATTGTCCGGACACTACAACTCTATTAGCCCGAGACCATGAGCTATTGCGTGCGGTGCCGCACGATGCCGGCCGCACGATGCTCAGACCCAGTTGCCACGCGCGGGCGGCTGGTCCATCCATCGACTCCGGATTCGTCGGCTGCATGTCGCTGACCGCGCGATCGTTATCAGCACCGCAAGTGACAAGTAGCGGACTGCACAGCGGGCGGCGAAGGCATCGGCGCGCACGACAGACGGAGCATCATCGCGCGGCCATGTTGACCATGGCGAGCGGAGGGTTCCAGGGGTGTGCCTGGATCTAGAGAATACCACCAGAGCCACCAGAGAGGTAGGTCGATACGATGCGGGCTGGATGTATCAGCAATTGGGCCTTGCTGCCTGGTTCTGAGTTGCTCGCTCGTCTGGCGGGACATCCGAAGACGGGATGCCATGGGATTCCGCATGAGAACGAGCGACATGTATGATGATGTATGCTGTATGCTGTATGCTGTATGCGACAACATGAACATGTGCTGCCATTGTCCGGGCGTCGGGTTGGAGACCGAAGTCCGGCCAAGAACCCTTCGATTCGTAGGATCTGGCTCCGACACTCACACTCAATCTCGTTGCCTGCCTCATCTCTCCCGCAGTTCGGTCACATCGCCATGGCTACTGGACGTAGTATGCTCTCAGAGGGTTGTCCTCTACTAGCTGGCTCGCTGCAGCCCCTCCCCTTGTCCCTGGCGTGCGCGCCCCCCCGTCGTCTTCTCCCTTCACTCCTCCACTCCCTCACGCCCACGCCAGCCAAGCGTCTTCGCAGCTAGTCGATGCAGAAGCCACCACTGCAGCCACGGTCCCTCAAGGCAACATGCGCGCCGGATATCGGCTAGTCATACTGCAAGCGGCAAAAGGTCAAAGTTTATTCTTGCAGGCGGAAGGGATCAAGGGTCACTGGAACAAAATCCGAGCTTCTGCCTCTCCCCCAGCTGGACTTTTCCGTTCGGGGCGCCTGTTGGGAGGTGAGAGGAGGGTTGACATGGATTGCCCAGGGCTAGGCTGAGGCGCGCACCCAGGGTGTCCCTTCGTACATAGCACGTCCTGGGCGTGTGCGTCGGTCCAGGGCCAGGCCGCATCTGAGACATGCACGCCCCGGGAGGTGGCTCGAGGGAGGGGAGGAGGAGAAAGGACACCAGGCGACGGGCATAGCAGAAGGGACGCCATTGCCCGTGCCCCTGCTCCACCACTGACATGTGCCATCTGATGCGGGCCCAGGAGGCAAAAGACGCGGCGAGAACGAGAGGGAAGGAAAGGGGTCGAGCGAGAGCGAGAGGAGAAGGTGGAGGACGCTGAGGTCGCATAGTGGCCGCAGAGGAGGAGGAGGAAGAGGAGGAGAATAATATGGTGTTGGCTACCCACCCGCCAACCTGCATATCACCGCTCGTCGGTGACAGCAACAGGAACACGACAGGACAAGACCTCGTCCGGCAACAGCAGAAACAAAGGTCCGTGGACTGTGGGCCGCAGGGTCCTGCTCTGCTCTGCTCTACTCTGCTCTGCTTCTGGGGGTCATAGACACTCCATTGGGGATGCTATGCTGATTGCCCATTGCTATCCATACGTCCAGATGTCCTAGACGTCCAGGCCGTACGCCCTTCAATCGCCATACGCCCATGCGTCCGTCCATCCATCCATCATCCACCCCATCCATGCCCGGAATACGCCAGCCAGCAGGACGCCGGCCAGCAATACGCCAACCCACGACGGGGGCATGGCAATGGTACCTCGCGCGCTCTCTCTCTCTCTCTCTCTCGCTGGGGGCAAGGCGGCAGGGGGAGTGCCGCCATCTTAGTCCGTCTTTGCCTGTCGCTTCGTCCGCCGGGCTTGATCCGGGAAACAGGATGAGGAATCCACTCAAGCCACCCCCGAACCTTGCACGCATGGGATGCGAGGATGGGAGGGTCTCCTTCTGGGGGGTCTTCTAGACTAGCCTACAACGTACTCCGACGTAGTCTCGACGTCTCGTCCGCCAGTACCTCCAAGTACCCACGCCTTACCCTGGCGCCCCTCCCCCCCTCCCACCCCGGTTGGCGGCGCATCCAGGGCTTCCAGGGTCCCTCTCGCTGCCAGAGCAAGTCTTCGATGGACCATGTCCCAGATGGTCCAAGAGGGTCCAAGGAGGGTCGCGGTCGAGGCTCCGAAATGCTATATCTTGGACGCACCCCGGTCTGCCCAGCGTAGCCCGTCGATCAGCTAGACAAGCCGATCGCCATGCAACTCTTGCTTTGAACGACTGAAAGACTGCTCCACCCTCGCCGTGTACCCTGCCTGCATCTATATACATACTGCTGCTTGGGACGACGACCCTGACCATCAACGTCCCTCCACCTTTGCATTGTCGACCGACCACAGACCTGACCTCCAGACTCCTTCGAATCACACATCCACAGCATTCATGATGGTGCGATCATCTTCAGCGGAGCCTGCCAAGGCTACCAAGCGAAAGGGTAAGTCGTTGCTTTTCCTCTCTTACATTGTGCAATGGACCCTGTGCCATTGTCTTTGCTTTTTTACCTGTCATTCTGCAGGCTGGCCGATCCCGGGCTTGCCTCATCCGGCAATGTCATGATGGGGTCAATTTTTTTTTTCTAACATCTCTCAACGCAACAGGCACCCGCAGTGTCTCTACCCTTACTCCTTCACAGCTCGCGCGCAAGCGGGCCAACGACCGAGAGGCGCAGAGGGCAATCCGGGCCCGGACCAAGGAGCACATTGAGCGACTGGAGCGCGAGTTGGAGGACCTCAAGAGCAAGCAGAGCCGCGACCAGACCGTCCAGGAGCTGCTGCGACGCAACAAGGCCCTCGAGGATGAGCTGTCGCGGCTGAAGGAGAACATGGGCGTCTCGATGACCTCGTCGCCCTACTCCACACCAGGTATTTACAGCCGCCCAACAGCTGGTGCCTTACAGACGTTGACCATGGTGCGAACAGTCTATGATGATAGCCTCAGCACCGGCAGCGGCGCTATGCCCAGTCCCAGGGCATCGCCGTTCCCCTCTGGCGACTACGGCTCGCTCCCCGACTATGGCCAGCAATACGTTCCCCTCCCCAACAACTGTGAATCGTGGGCCAACACCGTCCCCGTGCCGTCCAACGTCTCCAGCCCTTCCTCGTCGGCCGACACTGACGGCTACGGCGCGGGCTACATCCCTACCAGCGTGCCGACGTCGATGCTCCCCTCTAACAACACCAGCACCAGCAGCATTAGCGCGGTGGGCCACAAGGACATTAAGATGGAGTACGAGGATGTGGATCACCACGGTATGAAGCCCCGCGGCGTGGGAGAGAGCCGGAAGCCCCAGGACGAGGCTAACTTTGACTACGCAGACGCTGGATTCCGCCTCGCCAACCAGTCCATGCAGGGCGCGCCCAATCCTTACATGGCGCAGCAGCAGCAGCAGCAGCAGCAGCAGCAGCCGGCGTGGAACATGTACCCGGCCGTCTACTACCCGCAGGCGCAGTCCTCGGTCCATTGAAGCCAGGCGTAGGCGGCTCGTCATCCTGGCAAGCGCTCGTCATGAGGACAGCGTCTGCGAGCCGCATTGACGAGCCGCCTGTCGGCTTTATAGGACTGGCGCCGACTCTCACACACAGAGTCGATTCACCAGATATCAAGCCCTATCCGGATTCACGCCCGGATAACCCCTAAGACGGCAGCTATGAGGACGACTCGGCCACCCCTTTCTGGATTTCCTGGATACTGAGGAATGGGGCGCATTGCAGCGTATGCGCCGTTACAGACGCGCGGCCGGTTGGTGCAACTGCATGCGCTCCTCGCGGCAGCTCACGACTATACGACCTGCATCTCCAAGGGGTCGACCTCGTCCAATGGAGCTGCCACACACACCATTTCCAACTCCCAGACTTCTACGCCACATACGAGTATCCGGCGGGTCTGCTCGGAAGGGCTGCGGCTCGTCTTGACTGGCCCGGCGCGACTCCTCCGCTGGCGTTGGCGCGCCGCCTGACGGGCTGTCGATAGACCACCGCGGACCGGTCACAGACCATCCGGACTATGGTCGGGTATACCAAGTGGCCTTGCTGTTTCTTTGGAGCAGACCACTTGGCACTCGTGGCTTCAAGTGATGGACGCCTGAGCGCGGCGCTACCCCGAACTTCGTGGTCTGGTGGATCTCCAAGTCCAAGATTAATCTCGATCCTGGATGGGGCCTACCAACACCCAAGAGCTACTCTCGCTTCCCCATGTCCTGACTCCATACTACTACAGCCCACGCAAGGATGAATCTTCTCCCTCCCTCAGCCCTGGACCACGCTACTCTACTGCCACGCTACTCTCCTCCACCTACTGCCACTACTACTACCACTACTACTACCACCACCACCACCACTACCTACCACTACTACTATCACTACTACCGCCACACTACCATCGCTCCTCCTCTTGTCACATACTGGCCTGCCCTACTGGATAATAACGGACTGACTTACCTTCGCCGTCGAGACTTTGTGGGAGAACACGGCACCACACTGTCGTCCAAGGAGGCAGGACCTTCAACCTCCATAACTTTTTAACTCGTATGATACATGGATACATATTGGGGAGACACACGATATACCCTAACCTTTCAAAAACACGCCCAAAAAAACACGATGCTTAACTGAAGCACCATCAAACAAAACTCCCGAAAAATAGGACCTGCTGGGACACGAACGAATCATTAGACGGGCAACGTTTCTTCACAGCGTCACTACATAGTATTTGCTTCACATGTTGTCTTTGGTATTCTGGAGTTCTTTTGATGACTGGCGCGGTTTCCGGCGGTGGGAGGGAACTTGGGAAGGGCTACCGGGAAACGGGGTGGGAAATTGGCGACAAACGGGGGTTTAGAGAAATGAAACGAAATCTACCTACCTACCTTACGGCTGCTGTATGTCTAGACACATCTTTTGTTTTCGGTTTGGCCTATTTTGATAGTTGGAGCACGGAATGAATGACTTCTACAAATGACATGACTGGATTAGAACCAATAGACTGTGCTGTGATTACAATTTCCACTCCTTGTCAAAAGACTGTCACTGTCTGACACTTCCAATTCCATGTCGATGGTCGTCTGTCGACTAGACCGGGGTGGGCATTGTGTTGTTGTCGTCCTGACTCCACTGATTCGCAAGACCCCTTCGCCCCATGTTCCTTGCCCCTTGTGCCCCATACCTACCCATGTTCCATGTTCCATGCTCCATTGCTCCACGCTCCACGCGCAATGCTCCTTGCTCCACGCGCTGTAGCTCCATCCATACCGGAGTGGATCGAAGACGTTGGGGGAAGAGCGGTTTGAGCGTCCTCGGGCCCCCCCCTCCAAGGCTCCAACCCACTCACACGCCTCCGTGTTGACCATTGTCAACTCGCTGATCCTCGCCGCCTGCATCCCAGACGTCGCCGGGCCCAGCGCCGGCGCGGCTTCGCCACGCGTGGCACCAACCCAGCGTGCCTGGTAGCGTGACTAGGTGCGGGCCAGGGTCATCAAGAGGAGGAGTTGAGAGTCCCGCTTGGGCCCAAAGGGCTTTGGCGTTGCCCTTGCGCACACGGCTTCCGGCAGGAAACGGGCAAAAGACTGAAGAGCGTGAGAGTGTGAGAGAGACAGCGTGCGACGTCCTGCGAGTGCCTGAGCGTGTCTGGCCGTATTGCGTGACGGATGGGTTGAACCGGCGCCGGCACGCCGTTTCCCGTCTTTACGTCGTTACGTGAGAGCATGGCAGAGGCTATCTCGAACGAGCTAAGCTGGCAACTAAGCTTACAGCATCCTGTCCCGGGAGGTCTAGGGAGCGCAAAGATCGGAGACTGGACCGGGTACGTGGGAGAGAGATGGCAGCGACAGCGGCCTCACACGCACCCTTTGGGGGAGGGACAGCAACCTCTTCCATAGCGTGCCTAGACTTTGAGAAACAGGGGGGGATGAGCACGCGACGAGCACGAGGACGAGCTGAACCTGCGCGTGGCAACGGGCCAAGAGGCGATGGGGACTTGGGGAGGTGGAAACGATGACGACCGTTTGCGTGATCTGGCTGCGAGCCAAGGAGCCAAGGAGCCAAAGCATCACCACAAACCACAGACCACAGACCACAGACCTCTTCAGCTCATACCGCTTGGGCCGGAGTTAAAGAGCTAGCCGTCCAGATTGCCAGATTACACTGCAGTACATGGCTACAAACTTGGACGATTGGACGACTGAACAACCCAGGCAAATAAAAAATCAAGGTTGCAACATAATCATAATCTACAAGGGCGCAATGGCCGCCGGCTTGCTTGCCAATGTCCAGCAAAAGTCCGCCGTCTTGGCGCGCATTTTCCACATTTTCCTACTGCGCACGACGAGGCCATGTGGGCCGGCAGGCAAAAGGCGAGCGCTGAATCATGGTACGTAATGTGTGCAGAAGTGTCACTGTGTGGGTTGACCGTTTTTCCAGTGACATTTCGCCCCGCGTGGTTGCAGGGCCAGGCCCAGATGGAGGCCAGAGAGAGTCCATACAGAGTAGAGAGTCCAGAGAGGGTCCAGCATGAGGTTGAGCTAGGGATGGAGTGTGTGTGAGTGAGTGTGTGAGCTCTCCCTGTGTGTCTGTGTGTCTGCGTCTGTCTACCCACGACGCCGCAGCTTCTGTGTACGAATATGACATGTCTTGACCGACGATTCATTGTCTCAACACTGACCGCATCTTTGTCTTTTTGAGAACTCCGTAGCTTCGGTGTTGGCTCCGTAGCGGCCGCCCGAAACGGCCAAGGATGCAGCCATCCGGAACGGGCGAGATAGCCGGACTGCGGGCATCGAGTGAAAGATAGATGGGCGTACGGCGAGAGGTGCTTTTTGCGAACCCGACGATGTTCTGCCCGTCGGTCCGTCTGCGATCTTGAAGAAGGCAGGATACGCGCCGTTAGAGTGTAGGGCTAAGGCAGGATGAAGGGGGTAGAGAGGACACTCGCACATAGGCTCACAGTCACTCACTGGCTCACATGTGCGTACGAGGGTTGAGCGACTTTCGGCTTCGGGTGTGTGCATGTGTGAGTGAGAGTGTGTGTGAGGCATAACCACCTACTAGAAGCCTTCCACTGGGAGCAAAAAACGTGGCTTGCAGGAGCGCACGCGCAAGCCATCAGGTACACCGCACATCACGGGCGGCTCTCGTCCAGGGCTAGGAAAGCTAGAAAGATACTGGAAGAGTTAGAGAAGAGCGGCCCAATGCAAGAATGCAGAATGCAGGCCCGGCTGCTGCAGTGTGGCTGTCATGGCCAGCGACTACGGTGCACTCAAACGCTCGACTCTGTTTTAGTGTGTATGCGTGTGTGTCTCCGCGCGTGTTACCGTTGCAAGTCGAACCTTACAGAGGGGGGGCGTGGTGGATGTTTTGTTCAGCGCGGTCCGGTCTCAGTGGTGCATGTGCGAGGCAAAAGTGTGTGTGGGAGAGAGTGTGTGTGTATATAGATAGAAGGAGAAGGTGTCTGGGCAGCAGGATGAGAGTTTGGCGCTAGAAGGTTGGCGATGCTTCTGTCACTTCCACGACGACGTCGTGCATGAGGCCATCGACCCCGGAGCATGAGAGCATGAGGCTTGCGAGATGCTGTTGGTCGCTGGGGGCGGTGACGTGCGCGACACTGAGACACTGAGACACTGAGCCGCTGCGAACGCTGAGACACGGGGAGCGAGCGTGGTTTTTCCTGCGTCGTCCATGCCGGTCCAAGCCGCCATACCGCCATGCCGCCAACTCCGAGAGATGGTCGGTCCCTGGACGGGCCAAGTAACGCCATGGTATCGGGTGTGCATGTGTCGCGTGTAACGAATGTATCCAATGTATGCCAATGTATCGAAAGTATGCTCAAGTATTGTCTCTATTACCACCACACTTTACTAAACTCCTCTCTATCGGTCTCTCCCACACACACACGCAAATCCCGGAATCCCGACATCCACGCGTAATTGAAGGCACACAGACGCACACTCTCTTCGCCCCCGTCCCCCGTCTTGACATCACAGCTCCGATGCAAGCAAGTTCTTTCGGCCCTTTGCCCTTTTTGCCCGACGTCAACGTGGACGACACGTTGGGCCGAAGCTCGGGAAGAAAAAGAAAAAAGAAAGGAAAAAAGGTGGTTGGGGTGGGCCCGGAACGGAAGGGGGGAGTGTGCATCATCTCGCACTTACATGGCCATGGCATGCAGCGAAGCCAACGCCCCCAGTATGAGTTGTAAGACAAGTAGGAACACGCAGGACACGCAGGACACGCAGGGAGCAACAAAAAGACCGCCAAATGTCGATCATCGGGCGGACCTAGTGATGATGATGCTGATGATGATGATAATGGGCCCTAAGTCCAAGGGAAGCAAAGGATAAGTACTGCGTAGGACCAGAAACTACCACAAGGGGCGCTCCATCGCTGCGCAGGATCGAAGATGGGATCTGCTACAAGGAACGACTTGGGATGATCCCTGGGATGCACAGCAGGGGAGCGGGGACCCTGACGGGGATGACGCCCCAGGGCGGGTTAGCCGGTTTCTTCAGCGAGCTGCCACAGACGGCGCAAGGCGTGGCTTGCAGGGATGTCTACCGGGGATGCGGTCGATCAGCGCGCTAGCAAGGCCCCTGGGGATTGGAGCAGAAAGGCGGAAATCCCTTGATCCTGGAGCGTTGGAGCGCTGGAGGCTGCCTTTGTTCCAACCTCCAGGGCCTTTCTTCCAGGGCCCTTCTTCCAGGCCCCTCCAGCGCCGCCCCAGGTCGGTGAGGTGGCGTCCCTTAGGGGGGGACCCTGTGGCCCAGCGGTGGCCAGCCCCTAGAGCCAGCCCCAAAGTCGGTCGGTCGGTCGCCATGCTCTCTCTCTCCCCCAGTCGCCGAACCGTCCGCAATCAGTTGGCTTCCTTCGCCCCCAATCTCGCAGGCCCTCTCTTTCAGCCATCGGAGCCAGGGGAGCCCGCCAGCCCGGGGGGGCTCCCCTACGCCGGCAGGCATTCTTTTTCAGCTGCAAGCCCGTGCCAGGGCCGACGTTGCTGGATCTGGACGAAGACACGGCACACGCGTGACGGTGGCGGCCATACAGATCCCGATTCTGCCATGTCAAATGTTCGGTGACCAGCGCCCCCCCCCCCCCTTGGCCTCTTTCGGGACGCTGCCGAATGGGGAAACAAAATAGACAACATCGCAGAGATAGCGAATGCTGTGTGGAAGCCGTGGAAGCTGTGTGGACGACGCACTGCTGGAGGCGGGCGCCGGGGAACTCAGCGTAGGCGGCCGACGGCATGGCATGGGGGAACAAGGCGAGAGGAGCCAAGACACGACCCGAGTTCCCAAATGCCGGGGGCCCAAGACGCTTCCCCGAGAAGCATGGCAGATGCATGGCCGTCATCCATCCATCGCGTCGCCTCGTGGGGCCACTGACGGATGGCGACAGCGTGGAGAATTCCGTTCGTCTGTCATGGATATTGGCAATGACATCGGCAGCCCCCCCAACCCTCCCTACGCTTCCAACTTCCCCCTCCTCCAATCCGTCTCCCCTCCCCCCGAACCCCCTGGAACCTTGACATTGGACCTAGAAGCCCTTGACCTTGCACCTTGGACCCTCAGAAACGCAATACCTGTAACGTAAAGACACCCAAATTTGACTTTCCAGCCCAGCTCCAGCTTCCCATGGCGATCCGCACACGCCCTCCCATCGGGCACGTGGCGGATGGGCCGCTGCTGCAAGCCACCGAGCAGCGAGATTCGCCAGAACAATCGACGGCCCTCGAACTAGAAGAACCGCGCTTCCCTGTCTCGCCTCGAGCGGATTGCCATGTGGATGACACGCACACATACACACCTTCGCAAGTCCCCTCATCCCTACTAATGCCTCTGGGCTTGGGTTGCAAGCAAGATGCAAGCAGAGCACGCGGCGGCGACGCACGAGAGCGGCGGTCAGAGCTTTGGCCTCAATTCCCTCGTGCTCACCCCATCCATCCATTCGTCCATCGTCACATCGCCATTGGGGAAGGGGAAAAGATGTTCGCAAGGGCCAAGCACCAACCTGTGACGTTTCGGTGGGCGGGAGAGACACCGAACTGACGCACATGCATGCGCGTGTCTCGGCGCTGAGGGTTGAGGCGAGAAGGCGGTCGGTCGAACCAAAGAAGAAGGAAAAGAAGGGTGTGTCGGCAGTGGATGTGCCCGAGTATATCTGATGTATCACAAAGTCGCTTCGCTCGCTTCCAGAGCCGCTCGATACTTGTTCCAATGCGACCATACCCGGCTCCGCGTAGTCACTGGTTTTGTGGCTTGCCCGCACATTGCTTCCACGCCTTCTTCCATAGTTAACCGCAAATGTAACCCCAAGGATCTCCAACGGGGCAAAGGCGACACACAACGATGTCATTCCCAAGAACCACGCCGCTGGTTCTTGTGCAACCGTCCTTTTTCCCCCCCGTTCGTGCCCACCCCCTCTTTCAGCCGCCCCGCGGCCGCCAACCTTCCTTGGCCAGCGGTCCACGTTGACGGGTCCCCCTCTCCGAAGCCACGTTCGGGGTGTCGGGCTTACCTGCGAGGGACGATCCAGGGGGGCGAGAAGGGAGGGGGGATGGATGGCTGTGGTGTTTTTCTCGTGTTGTTGTTGGAGTTGGAGTTCTATGCGTACATCGTGGGCCCTTGGGGTAAAAAACCTCCAAGTCGAAAAAGCACACCACCCTAATAGCCCTAAAACTCCAAATAACCTCCAACGCGGACGGAAGCAATCTGACCCGGCTCTGCCTTGTGGGACGTGCCAAGGTGGAAATCAGATTCCGGAAAGCCGGGAAGGGAACTGGGTTGCCAGACCAAAGATCCATCCACCCATCAATGGAATCCTCCGAGCGCTTGCTTCGCGAGCGTCCAGTGCGGAGTCTCGTGGAGGAGACACTCCCAAGGCTAGGTTGGGTCCATGGCAGCTAGCCCTTCGACAGACCAGGCGGACCGCATGGTTTCGCTCGTGGAACGGCGGTCATCAACCCCCCCAAGTCGTCGTCGATCAATCAAGTCCGGTCAACGTCTGGCCGTGGACGTTGCCGCCGCCGCTATTCGCTGCGCATGCATGTCACTTCAGCTCCAAAACGCCTTAGGAGTTCTGTTAGCGTTTGAGGAGAGTCGTCGATGGGTTGTACGGACGGAGTCCTCCGTTCACGTAGCATTGCGTAGGTAGCATCATAATAGCATGAGGACGCAGTCAGGCAGGCCGCAGTCAGGCAGACAGCTGGCCGCTCTTCGAGACGTCGTTAGCATCAGGGACAAGGGTTCCGTCGTCCCAGCCCCTCCGAACACGGGACACGGCGCAGCATGTTGTGGCGCCTAGGCCACCGCCGTCGTGGTTTGGAATGAGACAGCGCAGGGCCAGTCGGAATGCCGTTTGTGCTGGAAGGGTAATTTCTTTATCCTTGGTTTCTGCACTTGCATATTGTTAATGACAGCACGGGAGGCTTGGCAATGCCGCCTGGTTTAGCAGCGGAAATCGGACGGCGCCGCAGACGACACAACACAATCGACACATAATCGACACAGACGATGTCTGCCGCGGCCTTCTTGTCTAGGCCTAGCCCCGTCTCGCCGTGTCTCATCCCCCGCGAGGACGGACGGCTGAGGTGGTGGGAAGCTGGGCGGACGCCCGCGGCCGGCATCCCCATCCCGGGCTCCAGGGCGGTTCTGTCTGGCCCTCTGGCTTGGTCCCCTGGACCTGAAGCCTGCCTGGCCCTAGGCATCATCATGGCAAAGTATGGGCGGTGTAGTTGGGCGGTACTGCGCAGCACGGGCTGCGTGCGTATGGTTGCATCACACACGCTTCTATGCAGCCTAATCCGGGTCGGCACAAAGTATGTCATCGCATCTGCTCGGACATCTCTCCCGCGGTTCGAGAACCGTCAGGCCACGCGCTCTCGTTACATCTTCGGAAATGCATCGGAAACCCGGGTGTCGGTCATCATGGCCTCATCCAACAAGGTTTCAACATTGTCGAATAGGTCGGATCGGATTTAACATTGCGCATGTCGTTGGCCTCCCACCACCGAGATCGTCCTGAGGCCGCCCCCCTCCCCCTCTTTGCCACGAATCCCGGTTGCATCATCTCGTAACTTTGCTTTTTTGGCCCGCTCGTGGGCGATGCAATGTCTCCGTTGCTCCCTTGCTCCCTTGCCCGCCCACTTCCCGCATGAACTGGTGGGACCACAACGCTCGGCGTCTTCACCGCAGCCCCGTAGGTAGCCCGCGCGTAGCCCGCACGTCACCCGCGCCCAAGCCGCGAGCGCAAGTGGGGTTTTTGCGGCCGCTGCGTCTCGGGACCGGAACCGCCCCCCACCCACAAGTAGCCGGTCGCCGGGATCGTCCACCTGGAATGCTCCCGATCCGAAAGTCGTGGCGGTTTGCCAAGCATCCCCCAGACGCCCCTCCACGCGCCTCGCAGGTTTGCCTACTGTACCCTCATCCTTCTCCGCCACGGCACGGCCCCAGTTCCACGACACCGGTCACTTCTCCGAGCTTGGCACTGAGCCGTGTTCCGCTGCACCAACCAGCATCGGCCAGCGCCAGCCAGCACCCAGCATCCTAGCACCCAGCCAGCACCCAGCCAGCACACACACGAGATGGGTGCGCGAGCTAGTCTTGCCCCCGGCAGACGAGGCAAAGCCGAACCGGTGAGGCTCGGCATTCATGTAACCTAATGTTGGCTGGGATCTAGAAAGTTCCTATGTCTGACCTTATTTTGGTTCATCTGCACATGGCACAGACTGCGCGATAGTCGATCTGCTGGAAGCCCATGACAAAGTCAATCGTTAGTTTGTCCCTTGTGATATGCAGCAACCCTCCATTTCATTCCTTACCGCCGTTTCCTGCCATGTGGTCGTCGTCTACCGCGGTTCCAGAATATGTGTGGTTGGTTTAGGTGTTGCTGTTGCTGCGCCCATTGCTACCCCCAACTTGTACACGTCAGTCACTGCATCAATTGCTCAAATCACTCACTCACAGTCACTCGATCTCTACGTCATTCGCTGATTGCTCATCGTTCATCGCTCATCGCTCAGTTATTCGGTTCCTCAGCCCTAAGTCACTGACTCCGGGACTCCGCGTCCCTCCATCAGTCATTTCGCCAGCAGCAAGCTACTCGCTAAGCCACCAGCGAACCCGGTCTCCAACCCAAAGAAACCCAAAACTCCAGCTCCGAGGATTTTCCTCAACAAAGTGTCAGACTGTCGTAACTTCCCCATCCCAATTGCCCCGTGACTTCCCCAGATTCACCAGTCCCAGGCTCTCATCTCCACAAATTCCATTGCTGGCGGAACCTCGTCCCGATGAACCGAAAGCGTGTAAAATTTCGCGAGTAATGATTGGTCAGGGCCGCGGAAAGCCGGAAGGGTAAACACCGGTTGATCGGCTAAACGTCGCTTCTCCGGTTAATCCCCCTCTAGAACGCCCGATATGCGCATTCGTGGGGCAATCATCATCATGTGTCTAGGATCAGGAAGGGGAAATGGGCAATTGATCAATTAACTTGCTTTCCTCGTCGTGCAAGCTCCTCACGATGAGTGGAATCATGTGTCCTATTCAAGATTGTGCGCGCAAGATTGAGGGGTTGTCTGGGATATTTAACCAGACGCTCCCAGCCCGTCTCTGTGCTGTTCTGCTCGTTCCTGTGAAACCAGATATCCAACCGTGAGCTTGCTTCCGGAGATCCGTCCTTGTCTCATTTCGCTGTTGAAGTAGACCGTGAAGATATTTGAAAGCGTTGCGGTTCGTTTATAGTCCACAATGGCCGATATCAACGTTGAGGAGACGCTCAAGAAGCTCTCCCTCGGCGAGAAGGTGTCTCTGCTCGCAGGTTGGTGCCCATATACACGTGAATTCATCCCGCAAGTTCAACTTCATCTCACATGGATCTTCAGGTGTCGACTTCTGGCACACAAAGGCCCTGCCTGACCATGGCGTCCCCTCGCTTCGCCTCACAGACGGCCCCAACGGCGTGAGAGGAACCAAGTTCTTCAACGGCATTCCCGCGGCCTGCTTCCCCTGTGGAACGGCTCTGGGAGCCACCTTCAACAAGGACCTCCTCGAGGAGGCTGGCAAGAAGATGGGCGAGGAGGCCATTGCCAAGAACGCCCATGTCATCCTCGGTCCTACCATCAACATGCAGCGCTCCCCCCTGGGCGGTCGAGGCTTCGAATCCATCGGCGAGGACCCCTTTCTGTCCGGCCTCGGCGCCGCCGCCCTCATTCGAGGTATCCAGAGCACTGGTGTACAGGCTACCATCAAGCACTTCCTCTGCAACGACCACGAGCACAAGCGGCAAAACGTCCAGGCCATTGTCAGCGAGCGTGCGCTCCGTGAGATCTACGCCCTTCCCTTCCAGCTCACCGTGCGGGACGCTCAACCTGGAGCCTTCATGACTGGTTACAATGGAATAAACGGCACCTTCTGTAGCGAGAACCCAAAGGTATTGGACGACATGCTGCGCAAGGAGTGGGGTTGGGACGGTATGGTCATGAGTGACTGGTTCGGCACTTACACCACCTCTGCGGCCGTCAAGGCTGGCCTGGATCTCGAGATGCCTGGGCCTACCAAGTTCCGAGGCGACCTCCTCAAGTTTAATGTCAATACTGGCAAGGTCTGGGGCCATGAAATTGATAACCGAGCCCGCGAGGTGCTCAAGCTTGTCAAGAAATGTGCTGCCACTGGAATCAAGGAGACTGGACCTGATGCCCCTGAGCGCACCCTCGACACCCCTGAGACGGCAGCCCTGCTTCGCAAGATTGGAGATGAGAGCATTGTCCTCCTCAAGAACGACAACAACGTCCTTCCCCTCGCCAAGGAGAAGAAGACGCTCGTCATCGGCCCCAACGCCAAGGTGGCCACCTACCACGGCGGCGGTTCCGCCTCCCTGGCAGCCTACTACGCCGTCACTCCATACGATGGCATTGCCGAGAAGCTAGGCTCACAGCCCCAGTACTCCATCGGCGCATACACCCACAAGCTGCTCCCGCTTCTCGGCCCCCAGACGCAGGTGCCCAGTGGCAAGCCAGGCATGACCTGGAACGTCTATGCGACCGCTCCCGGCACCCCAGGGCGGGAATCCGTTGACCAGCTTGAATTGACCAAGACGGAGATGCACCTCGTTGACTTCTACAACCCCAAGGTTGAGGATCTCTGGTATGCGGACCTGGAGGGCACCCTCGTTGCGGAGGAGGATGGACCTTATGAGTTCAGTCTTATTGTCTCCGGAACGGCTAACCTCTACGTCAACGGCGACCTCGTCATCGACAACTCTACCAAGCAAGTTGCCGGCGACGCCTTCTTCGGCTGTGCCACTCAGGAAGAGCGTGGCATCGTCAACCTCAAAAAGGGCGAGTCTTACAAGGTCAAGGTCGAATTCGCCTCGGCCCCGTCCTTCACCCTCGCGCTGGAGAACACCGTCGTCGGCCACGGCTCGCTCCGTGTCGGTGGCTGCAAGGTCATCGACGACCAAGCCGAGATCAAGAAGTCAGTCCAGCTCGCCAAGGAGCACGACCAGGTCATCATCTGCGCCGGCCTCAACGCCGACTGGGAGACTGAGGCCACGGACCGCGCCAGCATGAAGCTCCCCGGCGTGCTGGACCAGCTCATCGCCGAAGTCGCCGCCGCGAACCCCAACACTACCGTCGTCATGCAGACCGGCACGCCCGAAGAGATGCCCTGGCTCGACCAGGTTTCCGCCGTCATCCAGGCCTGGTACGGTGGCAACGAGACCGGTAACTGCATCGCCGACGTCCTGTTTGGTGACTACAATCCCTCGGGCAAGCTGTCGCTCAGCTTCCCCAAGCGCCTACAGGACGTCCCGGCCTTCCTCAACTTCCGCACCGAGGCCGGTCGCGTCCTCTACGGCGAAGACATCTACATCGGCTACCGCTACTACGAGTTCGCCGAGAGGGAGGTTAATTACCCCTTCGGCCACGGTCTCTCCTACACCACCTTTGAGTTCTCCGACCTCGCGGTGGCTTCCAAGGAAGGCAAGCTGTCCGTGTCCTTGAAGATCAAGAACACGGGCTCCATCAAGGGCGCCGAGGTCGCCCAGCTCTACATCCAGCCCAAGCAGGCCGCCAAGGTGAACCGACCTGTCAAGGAGCTCAAGGGCTTCGCCAAGGCGGAGCTGGAGGCTGGCCAGACCAAGACGGTGACTATTGAGGAGTTGGAAAAATATGCTGCGTCCTACTTTGACGAGGAGCGCAACCAGTGGTGCGTGGAGGCTGGCGAGTACGAGGTTGTTGTCAGTGATAGCAGCGCCGCCAAGGAGGGCAAGACGCTGAAGGGCTCCTTCAAGGTTGCTGAGAGCTACTGGTGGTCTGGCCTGTAATGGGATCAAAGATGAAGTGTACGAGTTGCATACTAAGCGATGTTTAAAACATTACTATTCAACAACCATTCCTATTGCAATTATTGAATGTGTATTAATGGTCCCTCATTGAACCTCGTTCAATATCCTAATTACCATCTTGAACAATCTGCGGCTACCCAAGTTCAGGCATCATTGAGTACGATGCTCCTCCCTAATCGCGGTCCATCTCAGGCGATGCTTGTCTGCAAACCGAGCCGCCATCATCGGCACACGCCCAAGGTTCCGCATCTCCCAGCCTCTGGGCCGTCAGGCCAGCGTTGCCTGGATTCTTCATGCCTGCCTCAAGTTGTCGCTGATAAGAGACGCGGCGGAGTCTCTCTGCTTCGGCGGGCGTCAAACGCAGGTAGAGCTCGACAGCGATGCAGTGGATTGCGAGGGCGAGCCAAGCGCTGGCTCCGAAGGTTACATTGAGCCCCGATGCTTTCTGGTCTGGCCTAGGGGCGTTGAAATCCCCCTTGATGAGAATGCGCTGATCAAGAGCCTCGCCGGTGTAGAAACTTGCACAATTGGGGTACAGGGCTTCGACGATGGTTTTGTTATGGGAGTACATGTAGTCCACAACAGCGCAAGACCCGACAGAGTAGTAGGGGCTCATGGAGCTAGTAATCCTGGACATGATTATAGCGATGATTCTCATAGTGATGACGAAGCCGACCTAATCAAGTAAGTATGCCATCCTAGGTAAGTGATATTGTTGACGTACAATAACCCAGCCTCGCAGCATCCAAGCACGATGCTGCTCAATCTGGAGCTTCTTTATGTTGTAGTAGCCTAAGCCCTGGCAAACCAGAAAAGCGATGCTGGCTGTTCCCGTAGCAGCCTGCATATCAAGAGTCCCGCCGAATGTACTTTTGGCGATCATCAAGACACCGACAATGCTGAGAATGGAGAGTAAAAGGATGATGTAGCCGTTGATACGGTGGAAGATAAGAAACCTATGACGAATAGCCGGGAGAAACTGGAAGATGACGAGAATAGCGGCCGGTAGGATGCCAGCCAGGTGCATAATGATCCCAGCTCGGCCAGTGGTATTCTCAAAGTAGTAGCACTCGCCTGGAACTGCTCCTCCAGGCCCCTTTGGCAGAGGGTTTGGGCACAAGACGCGGAAGTCGAGGTATTTGAGGCGCGCAAAGGAGAATCCCATAAGTGCACCGCCCAAGATGAACCAAAGCGCAAAGTTGTAGCCTCTCGAGAAGCCTATGGGCCGATACACACGGCGAAGCCAAGCGATGAGGCGGTTTGGTGAAGGCTTTGATGCGTTGTCCATGTTTGCAGAATGCGGAGGGTGTATTGTTGAAAATAGTAAGAAAAGACCGAATTACAGAGTTGCGCGCCGGAAAGAAGAAGATTGGAAAAGAATCGGCGGCTTCTAAATAGTTCACGAGTTGAGCCGTGGCGTCACAGTGAAGACCAATATATGTGCCCAGGCTGAAGGTTACAAGGGCTGACTCTAGAGAAGCGGCGCAACGATCGAAGATTTAAATAGCAATGAATCACGAATCAATCGACCAACAATACCATGTTAGATGGAGTATCTGGGCATGATACTCAGCTCCTTGGCGCCCGAGGCTTTCTCGAGAAGTCGTGGCATCTAAACACTTGATAGCTGCCGGGATGGGGATGGCGACAAAATCTTCGTATCCGGGGACTACTACTGCGGTTACCCTCTGCAGTGCGAAATGCTTTGGGTGCGGCGTCGTCACACAGCACGAGCCTATCCCAGACTCGATTCAAACCCGGCGTCTCTGATTGGGAACACCCTGGCCATGCGTGCAAGCTGCGGTTCCACGGATCTATGGGCCATGGCCGGGTGGCGGCGGTAGCCTTGAGGACACTTGCTATGCATACGTTTACTCCACATCGATTCGATAACAGGGTGATGATATCGACGAATGGGTCTTCGGGTGGTCCGAGAGTAAACAGGTTGCATGAGCTGTTGGGGATATCACCACAGCGGTAGCGGTTCCTCAGTGTGCAAGGTGAGAATGTGTGACTGTGTAAGGACGGGTTAGCATGTATTTGATCAAGAGAGCCATGTATCAGTTGTATCAATTGTATCAGTTGTATCATGGGGACGTATTCGCGTCCTCCCACTCCTCGTTACTTTCCTCGCGGGCCGTTCCGTTGACATGAAATTCGTGGATGTTAATATTGCGCCGTCACTGTTCGGTCTGGTACATGGGTCTGAATCACTTGTGTCTTGATCCCACAGCCCCCAGACGAAGATATCCGAGGCTAGACTGAACCCGCTTAAGCAGAGTCATATTGCCATATGCAGAGATTAGCTGTTACCCAATAAATTGAGTTGACCAGGCGCTTGTACATCTGGGCGTGCTGGCGACGTACCCTTTTCGGTGTGGATGATTATCTCCGTGTGTTCGGGTTAGATATTGTTAGTGATGCTGAAGATGACGTCGGAAGCTTCGCTTACCGTTGACGACGAGTGGTCTATCACCAAGGTGGCTTCGATAGTGCAATGCCAGCGAGCACGAGTGGTGCCTTCCATTTCCCGGAATAAACCCCGCGACAGGCCTACTTACGGACTGCAGTGCTCCTTCGCCTATGGAACACGGCAGAGCGCTGTGGCTTCAGTGCGGGGTACCCGCTGACGTCCACTGAACCACCAGCTTTAGTGAATGGCGGGGCACTCACTCACCGAGCTGCTCGCCAAGCTGCAGCTCACGTCACCAAACCGGAATGCTTCACGGAGGTGCACACAACAACGCCTGAAATTCTACACAACATCCACACCACCAGCGATACTCATTCGAGGCCCAATCATGTCCAGCACAACTGCCCCGACGATCCCGTCGCTGAAGCAAGCCTTCCTCACAACCCAAACCACGCTCCTCGCGCAGCCTTTGACGCCATCTCGCTCTTGGCAAGCGGCCAACGACGCGTCGGATGAGCCTCTGCCAGAACGCGCCGTCGACGATGCCCTCTTCGCCCTCAACCACACCATCCAGCAGCACTGTCGCCGTGTGTACGCGCCTCAGGCCACCCGCAATTATGCTGAGCAAATCAACAAAATCTACACCGAGGATGCCGAGCGCAGATTAGGGCCAGCCTTCAATGACCCTGGTGAGGGAGCGCTCGGAAAAGAGATGGATCTCACCGACCATGACACAATCGAGGCTCTCCCGGAAACTTGGATATCGGAAAAGGACATCAATGGCTACCCCATGGAAGCCAAGCTCTACGCCGACGCCGTCCGCCGACTATCAGAACTCAACGAGCAGCGCAACCAACTTAAAGACCAGGTAGCTAGGCTGAACCGCCTCAAGTCCATCGTCCAGCCGCTGCAAACCGGAGAAAGTGGCGCCGGAGTTCAGGAGAACCTCCTCACCCGGGATGGCCCGGTAGAGAAAGAGCTCGAGCGGATGCGCTTCTTACTTGCCAGAGTTGGTGGACGTGTCAACACGCTACCCGACGGTGGTGGATCGGGTGCAACGTCCCAAGCGATCCCCGTAACATCTTCGGACAGCCTTAGTCTAGCCCGCAAGAGGCGGATTGACCAGTTCCTTGCAGACGAAAAGGTCTTTCCAGCCTGAGCCACGGTATCCTTCACGCTTGGGATCAAGCTCGGAGCTCAACCTTGACGGTTGTGAATCCGTTTTGCCGCATTTTCTGCCTCGGCCGATTTGCTGCATATTTGACCAGGATACACAACCAAGACCAAGAATTCAACTCGACCCAAATCCCAACAGCGTTGTTCCAGAGATTATACCCGAGAAGGTGCTGGCAGTCTCACCAAGAATCAGCAGCCCGATCATCCAACTCCAGAACAGGTCTAATAAGCCAGGATCCCTTCAGCTCAAACCATTATCGCTGGACTGCCTTAATTATGTCCTGTAACGCAGGTTTGTCAGTTGAGATTGTAACCAGGGGTGCGTGGATGAAATGCCGGGGAGATCCCACGTACAACAAAGCTGGGCCATCGGGCCGTATGATACCAACTTGGCCATCGCTTGTCTCGACGTGTATTAGTCACAGGAAGTCATAGAGCTAGGTGGTTTGGGCCGAATTCGAGATGGTCCGCTGTCCAGCTCTAGAATTTGTGCTACTAAACGCAACCTCGCTTCTCCTACAGGGGCTATGTCAACTTCAGCCTGAGTGCTCTTCTGTGGTCGGTGACTCTCGCCGTAGCGACAGGGTCGCCTCCGGAGTAGTTGCCATACCACATCGCGTCACTCCGTCCCACTCAAATCGATTACTACAAGCTTTTAATTGGCGCTGTCGACTTTCTTCCATCGGTTTTTCAGTCCCGGATACAGGGCCTGCGTTTGATTACCGATCAATCTCTTGTCAAGACATCACGTCGTCGGATAGGGAGTATATCTGGCTGCAGATTATGTAGATTATCTAGCGAAATAGTATTAGTTCATGAATCACAATACTTGGGGGCAAACTTGACTTGTCGGATCGAGGGAGGGGAACAAGAGGGACCAGTGACGATGATGCTGCTATAGATAGATGGCGGCCCGCGCCCCGTCATTCCAAAAGGAAAGCAAATATCGCTGCTGAAAAAAGAAAAGAACGTTCAAAGCCCGAAAATAAAGGCTTCGCCAAAAATATCACAATACACAGGAGAGAATACCGGGAGACCGGCTCAGTGTTGGACTTCTTCGTTGGCCATGCTAGCAGCACATCAGTGTCATGGCTCCTCCGTCTCAGATGGCATATTCACGCCAAGCGCTGTAGAAACTCCCAGCTGCTAGCACCCGGCAAAGTATTCTAATCGGTCCTGGGTAATTACGACTCCCAGCATTGCTGGCGTCTTTGGAATTAAACTATCACGCCACGTCCCGCTCACTTCGCTCCTCTTTTCACCTCCTTCACCAACCTACTCTTCGCGCGAAACGTTACTGTTTGCATTCACGACATTCCCTTAGTGTTCGGGTATCGTGACAGACTTCGGGTTTGCCTTGCGTGTCTGTTTCTTGGGGGTTGACTTGGAGGCTCTATCTGAGAGCACGCATTTGCAGCGCTCATCGTGGAATTGATCCCTTGTGGCCGGTACTCTCGGGGGTCCGGTACGAAATTGACTCCGGTCTATTTCAAATCCCCGAGGATGCGGGCGCGTAGAGTTGTGGTAGACAAGGCCAAGACGAGAGTAGAAAACTGTCATGTCTCCATCAACAGACAAGGTGGCCTCAGGCGAGAGCTCAGCAAGCGCAGCCAAAGTCACATACTCGACCTATACCAAGGGCTGTTGGGCTCTGTGCGCCAGCCCTTACTGCAACCTCACTGACGGTTGAAGACGGGGACACTCTAGGACTTCAAAAAGTTCAAGGACAATGCGAACCGCCAAGGGTCACCAGTTTGGGCCGGCATATATGTAAGCTGACGGCAATTTTTACTTGTGGCCTAAGTCCAAGCTAACACATACTGTGTTAATACATCTTAAGCTGATACATCCTAGGCTATAACAACAATGAATCACATATGATTGCCGTGGGCCAGGCCAACATTCAGGACCTCATGTGGCTTGATGAAGAGGAGACAAACGCATTTATTTCTAGATTTCAACTCGTTTCTAAGTCTTTCCAGACCAAATTCCCGGCTTACTATGCCCGCCCCACCTCCGATGCTGTCGCCGATGCCAACCGTCTCTGCTTCACAAGAACAACTATAGCACATGCGAAGTGGAATCTTTACAATGTCCAGATACCAGCATCTACAGTCCCCATGCCACGCTCAGTAAGATGGTCCTCCTGGCTTAAGTGGTTTCAGTCTCAATAATGTGGGGGGCAATCATTCGTATTACCTTTGTATAATAAACCCTACATTTCCATCTTAAAAAAGTCTCAGCAGCAAACGTCCTCTTAGTGCCTCTATATTGTAATTTTCTGCAGGTCAGTTGGGGCCTATGAAGCAGTAAAACACAGTCATACATAAAACATTTCGTCTTTCTATCATCAAGTTGAGTAACGAAACAGTTGCAGTAAATGTAGTATAGAATCGTCACTCGGAGTTATTGGGTGGTCGTGATGACTACGTCGCCCAGCAGAATTCCGCTGATATTTAAATATTAAAGCGATGGTTCAACTTGAAGTCACTATATAAATCGCCAGTTTTGAAGTCAGCTTCCCGCCAGCAGTCGGCGGTTTTGAGGTCCTTGAGGTGCTCAATCTGGTTGCACCTAACCTAACATTTACCGACTTCCAAGTGAAGAGACAGATGAGTAAGTAATAAACTGCTTGATATATGTTCGTATCAACACTAATCTGGTTCCCTTTCCTCCCATCAGGTTTCATTTTTCACAAATAAAACTACAAGTAGCACCAACGTTACAGTGATCCCTAAGCACTCTCGGAGTGCTTCTCCTCCTGGTGCGTGATGTCATGTTCACCATCTTGAGCCGTCTTGTCAGCCGGCTGGGTCATGCTCTGGCGACGCTCCCAAGAAGTCGACGGCTTCCATTTGACCGACTTGCGAGCCACAGAAACCTCCTCATACAATTGGTCAACCTCCTCCAGGCTGAGGCCCTTGGTCTCGTAGATCATAAAATAAACAAAGGCGATGCACAGGAAGCAGCATCCAAACCAAATGAAGAAGATCTTGGACTGCAGGTTGGCATAACCATGACCATAGTTGACAAGATATGGGGTCGAGTAGGCGATAGCCCAGTTGAACAGCCAGTTCGTGGCGGTAGTCATACTGAGAGACTTGGCACGGGTCTTCAGGGGGAAAATCTCGCCAGTAACGACCCAAGCAAGAGGACCCCAGGTAGATGCGAAGAAGAAAATGTAGATGCAAACGAATGACACGGCGGCCTTCTGCCCGGCGAGGTTCTTGACATAGATTTCGCCGGTATCGCGCTGGCCAGTCGAGAAGGTTCCGCACATGGCAACGATGAACTGCGAAACGCACATTCCGATAGCGCCATATAGAAGAAGAGGTCGGCGACCCCATTTATCGATCGCATACATTCCGGGGACCGTGGAGCAAACGTTGATTGCAGAGGTGATCATGGAAATGACAAATCCGCTTGAGACGCCCGAGTTCTGGAAGTACTTTGTACCGTAGTAAAAGATGAAGTTGATTCCTATTTAGTTAGTTAGTGGCTGTAAATCCAATGGCTTCTAGAGGTGCTCTTACCTGTTAATTGCTGAAGTGCCTGCAAAAAGATACCAGTAAGTTGGCGCTTCAGAATGGGTGGGCGGAAGCAATCAAGGTACGATGCCTTGCCCATGCTAGTCTCGAAGTCATGGTTGGCCTTGATTTCGGCGAGCTCAGTCTGGATGGCAGGGTGGTCGTGGGCTAGGCGGCGAATGCGACCCAGGGAGCGGGCAGCATCTTCGTATCGGCTCCTCTTGATGAGGTAGCGAGGTGTCTCGGGGAGCACAAGCATGCCGAAGAAGAGGATGAGGGACCAAGCGAACTGAACAGCAATTGGAATTCGGTAACATCCCGTGTCGTTGCGCTTAGCCGTAGCATTATTAACGACGGCAGCGAGGAGAAGACCAATAGTGATAGCCCACTGGTAGGCGCCGACAATCGCGCCACGGATCCACTTGGGAGCAGTCTCAGATTGATAGAGGGGGACTGAAGGCTGAGTTAGTGGGACGGGCTCTTTTTATGTACTATATCGATGTGCCGGGAACTTACTCATGGCAGAGATGAGACCAACGCCAAATCCAGCAAAGAAACGGCCGGCAAGGAAGATGGGAATTGCTTTGGCGATAGTCTGGAGCACAACACCAAGGTTGAAGACCCATGTCGAGATGAGAAGGCCAGGGCGTCGACCGAGGTAGTCAGTTAGGAAGGGTGAGAAAAGGGCGCCAAAGAAGGTTCCGGCAGATAGGATGGAAACGATGGAAGACTCCTGCGCCGTGGAGATGTTGGGGTTGCCATCGGTGTCGATGTATCCGGTGCTGAAGAGCCGCTGCCAGTAAGGCATGGCAAGGATGCCGCTGATAGTGCCGGTATCATAACTGCAAGATTGGAGACATGGTTAGTTACCCATTTTCGTCAAACAAGCAATGAGTCTTTGTGGGGGAATTGGGTAACCAGGTGTAAGTGAGTGAGCAAACGTACCCGAAGAGGACACCACCGAAAGCAACGAAGAAGCCCATGGCAATGGCGGGCCATGCCTTGCCCGCCTCCTCGGGCTTCGACAAAGAAGCTCTGCGAATAGCGTTCATATTGACGGAGTGTGTGATAATTCTTTAAGAAATCGCCCCTAGTTGTGGGGGGGTGGTTGAATTGAGTGCTCTCTCTCCTTGATATGAGTGAGAGAAGTTGGGACAGCTGTGTAAGAGCCAGAGAGCTCAGGGAGGCAATGAGAAGCTTATAAGTTCATAGTCTGGAGCAAAAGTGATTCAATTGAAGAGGGAGCAGCGTCCCCTTTTAAACCTATAGCCCACCCGCCGTTACGAACCCCAAAGCTACCAAGTGCAGTTGTAAACCGGTCACGAGCTCCAACAAAATATCCACTTGGGAGCTGATCCCCAACCAGGCTACGACTCTGGATACCCTAACTATCCCCGCCGGGGATGAGGGGGTTTCATTGTGGAGAGCTGGAGGTGCTAGTCCGGGGGAGGAGGTAAACAGCAACGTAAGGTGTAGGCTTTAGGTCTGGCCGATAGGTAGCTGCCGGGTTGCCCGACGGGGGTGGAAGGGAATGGGGGGCCTGGAGAGGTGGTGGAGGTGGTGGAGGTGGAGATGGAGAATCCAGGATGGAGGATGGAGGACGGGGCAGCCGCACCACCACCGCATCATCATGCGGAGTGAAAGGCATGTTAGAGGGGATCGCAGTTTGACCTAACCTGAGGAAGCTAGGACTTGGAGCTCGTCAGTCTGGGGATCGCCACCAACGACTGGATGGAGGCCGGGGATGGGGCTGGGCTGAGGTGGCAACGGGGATGGGCATGAGGTGACACTGCATGGGGCTCCCGGGCTCCCAGGAGTCTCCGCCAGTACGCGAGTCGACCGAGGACATAAGCTTGAGCACTCATTGTCACTCCTCAACTGCCAGTCGACAGTGACAGGTGGCGGTGTTGCGCCCATCGTATTACGCCGAGCACGGCAGTCGACGATGGGTTAGGGGGGATGAATGGTGGCGTTGGTGGGAGAGCGGCTCGTGACATCGTCGGTTTCAATGATTGGGAGGCGCTATGTCGGCCATTGACTAACTTGGAGGGTAAGAAATGGGATCATGGAGGGAATATCAGCGTGTAATACGACTAGCAGGCACCTGAGCTAGCCGCGTTGCCGAACGATCGATCAACGTGTTGGCCCATGTTCTTTGTGACATACTACAACGAAAGATGATGACTATTTGGGGTTGGTCGGCAGAAGAAAAAACGGCTGCATACCAACGTTTCCATTGCTGGTGTCATGGATCATCAACTTTATCTCTGCTCCGAAGGAATGATTCCTTCCAACCGCCCACACCATCTCCATTTACCCCGTGTCGCATTGCATCTCTCAGACAATAAGTTTGAGAACGGCCATGATTGCTAGGATAAAACAGGCACCATGTCTGACGATCAACATCTCCCCTCTCATCAACTAGCCACCCAAGTACCGAGCATGAAAGTGGAGTAGAGTGCCCGGAGCTGTAGGGTAAGGCCCGAGCCAAGCCGGGAGCGCGGCCGCCAGACTACCGCATCGGGTAAGCAGCTTTTACTCTCCCACACTCAAGAACCTGGGGAAGAAAGTCGCCACCGAAATGGAATGCGTGCAGGCACCAGAGAGAAGAAAACCTCTCGGAAGTATCCAAAGACAGTGTTTGCTCACTTGTTTCATGTCCATTGTGAGGCCTTTTCCTCTGGTCAATGTAGAGTACGTCAGCGCGAGGGCCACCGACTGCCCATTTCCCTCCATTTCGGCCCTATTGCGGGAGTTTCGATGCACCCTCAGTGCAGCATAAAATATCAATTAGTTTTTGCGAAATCAATTAGCTCGCTGTCTGGATGGTTCGATAGATGTCAATGGCTCCAGAGAGGTGAATGAACGGTCACCGGCTCCCCCGGCCGAAAGCCTTCGGAGTCGAGTCTAGAGCGTGGGACTTGCCCGCACTATTTCCTTCACGTGGTCCGTCGTCAATCTACAACATTCCTGGGGCTCGTCTATGTGAGCTTCGCGGCGTGAGGGGTTGGAGGTCAAGATGGGGCATTGGCTTTTCTCTTTCGCGCACGTTTTGACAATGTGACCCCAATAACCGCGGGCGTCAACTAGCCACTGAGTCCGTCGTCTTTCTCCGCAACCTTAACCTTGACTAGAACGCGTGGTGTCTTGGTACCACACTGTGGCGGCACCAGACGAGCTTCACCTCTCTCTCACCGGTGACTCCATCCTCGTCACCGTACCATTTACAGTTTCAACCCACGCTTTGGCGCCGACTCCCCATCCTAAGCAGTAATCCTAACTGCGAGTTCTCACTGAAACGAGAACGACCCCAGCTTCACTCGTCGTCATGACCGGACCGACTTCAACCAACGGCACACCGGCTGTCGTAGCGTCCGGTAGATGGGAGATCGACATGGAGTGCCAGCGGCACAGCTAACCCCCCAATCCAACCCCCCCATCCAACCATCCAACTTTTGCCCTGCAAATTCTTGGCACGATCTTGCCCCCTGCTGCAGTTTGCAGCTGCACGTTCCGCGGCTCGAAGCGAGGTGAAGGCGTCAGCGGCGGTACAGTCAATCCCTGGCGTCCTTCTCATTTGACGCTTGCCGGCCCGACGAGTTTTCGTCAACGCCCGTTTTTCTCGCTAGATCCGATCCAAGTCCCCGACGCCAAAGCCACAGATCTGTAGCTAGGTGTAGCCACATGTCATGTCTCGTGGTGCCTCTGGTCCAGAGTGGTGGAGGTTGTACTTTGCTGACCACTGGATTGCTTGTTGAGATTGCTGGCCGTGTACGAGCGGGCGAACTGCAAAGCTTCTTCTTTGTCGGGACCGAGGAGTCGGAGCCCTATTATTTCCGGTACAAAATGTAACTGTGATTTTTGACATCTCTCCCTGTTCTGTATCTCTTGTTGCGTTTGGTTTTTTTTTCAGGAGTCCCCTCACTACTATTCCCAACCACCGCCGGCACATCATCTCCGCAGCCATTCTCTCAAGAAAATAAGTAAATAACCCTGGCGTCTTACTTCAATCCTTCAGGCGTTCATCTTTAGGTCCCAATCGTATTGATACGATCGCACACCCCCTTGAACGGCCCGTCCGCCTTCCGCCACTCGGCCACATTGTGGGCCCGGCATGGCCGCATCTCCGTCTAGCCCGGCAGGTTGATCAGCGCCCGCGGAGTGCCGTCGTACCGGCGCACTAGCTACTGACATAGAGAGGATAATTCGCGACGGAGAGAATGTGTATGTGTAGTTGATGACGAGAGTTTCTCTCTGCATGGACGAGTCGAGCCATTTGTGCCACTGTCACCTCACTGAACGCATCGCAGTCGGACCACGCACGCCTCAACAAACCCTTACGCAAATGAAAGCACTCATCTCTTCAGCAGCGTGACCAACAACACCAAGCTAAGCTTTCAGCTCCAGCGGAGCCTCACATTTATCGGGCCAAATGCTCCTGGACCTCGGCGCTGCTTCGGACGTGCTCCTCTCTGTCGCGTCAGGCAGCTCGTAGACCCCAGCCTAGACCTCAACGCATTACACTCACTTGAAGAATGTGGAGGTGGAGATAATCTCGAACGCAGAGCATGCAATTCTCCTCCATTTTGTTTTGAGAACCGCTGTCCCTGTCATCACCGCGAGACTCGCCGAAGCAGGCTGCAGTCCTCGTACCCCTGACTTTCCGTAGCATCATCTGTACCCATGCCATCCAGGAGCGAGACAACCATGTCCCTGGTTTTCTAAACGAACTGAGCCATTTACCGTCCTGCCCGCAGCTCAATCTTGCTCAGCAAGTCTACCCTGGCGCTCCAGGTTGGATACCCCAACATCCACGCATGATGGAGTGTGTTATGGATCGGCCCCGGGTTCAAGGCTCAATCGCGATTTCCCCGGTTCACCGAGCAAATAAACCGCGGCAAAGTTCTCAAGGGATCACTTAATCAAAGGGTATCTGAACCGGTGAGTACTGTATATTTCTTCGAGTACCAAACATAACATGGACTGGGAATTAGAGAAGATAGAGCTATAAGGAGGGAACCTCTCCTGGACTAAAAGGTCTCTGCCGTGGGTATAATGGAATTGGGTATAGATTCCTGGCTGCTGTTTTTACTGACCTTGATACTGAGGTGGGCTTCATTAAGACGATTGGCCTGTACCATCTTGTGGTTGAGACATAACCAAGGGGTCCATGCTCGCCGCCCCCGAACGGTGGGTTGAGAAGGCATACAAAAGCTCCCCTGGAACCGCTTGTGTTCTTGTGGCAGGGACCCCAGTGTTTGGAAAACCCAAGGGTAGCAACATGCTAACGACGAAGGAACCAGCCAGTCGACGCAAACTGTTAAAAATGAGGACAAGTTAAGAAAATTCAGGACGACTCGCTGCACTGTGAGGGATACTGACTGATAACATCCAACTGAAACAGACGATAAGCAAGCAGCAGGAATTATTTTGTACTAATACCCTTTGTTTTTACAGCATCGACTCTACAGTCCACATCCCCGCTGTCGTCACGATGTTGATGATAGTGACTTGACCAGTCCTACGCCCTGGACTATGGACATTGGCCGTGGAAAAAGTATATCGCCGCCGCCGCCGCCTAGATATTGTTAAGCACTACGTACTGAGGTTTCTTGCGCTGGAGTCGAGAATCCTAACGTTAGAGGCGAGGAGGCGATGACGACAAACTGAGTAGCGTCGACACCTTGGACTTTATGAAGTCGACAGCAAAGTACGGGTGATTTTGGCCAGGTCGCAGCACCATCCACTGTGAAGACGTCCGAGCTTTGGCAGTGCACAAGTCTGGCTTCGATTTGCTTGCCAGTGCTGGCGTCATCTCGACATTAACGGAACGGTTGATAAAGTTGCCCATCATATTTTTGTTGGGGCTAGCCAGAAGGTCAGGAGGGAGCTGCTTTGGATCACCTGTAAGGAAACAAGGTAGGAGAGGCTTAAGTCAAACGCAGTATGAGTTAACACGCGGTTAATTCTGGGTGCCCAGTCGACGGACCGCGAGCTTCTTGATATTCTTGCTGGCGGCTGGAGTCGTGCAAATAGTATTCGTGGTGTCAAAGATGGAGAGAAACAAACCATTGACCGGACCCAAGACGATAGGGCTGGTGCAACAACATACCATCAACGAAGAGTAATCCACTAGCCTGGTCCCTTGCCTGGTCCCTTGCACTTCGTACATGGTGTCACCAGCGCTAGCGCATTTCCCAGCCGACCGCCAAGAAATCTCAAGATGGCTAGCATGCTATTTCCCACGAGCAGAAGCGCTCCGACAGCGCTTAAATGCCAATACAAGCTCTTGGCGTTTGCGTTTATTTGCATAGTTGATGTAGTTTGTGCACTCGTAAGACAGAGCAATGTCATCATGAAATCACAAGTCGTATTGAAAGTAATCGGAAATAGGATGAGAGTGATTCCAACCTGTGACAATGACCGAATCCGCCTTAGCTATGTCAATTTACCTGCCTTAGAGAGTACCTCGTCCCGCGGAACCTGGCTTACGACCATCTCCCAAAATACTCTTCTTCTTATCCTTGGCATCTCCGTCCAAGGTGGCATCCTTGGCGCTATCATCCACATCCAGGCCCGTGGTCTTGCAATCTGTGCCCTCCTTGTTCTCGGCGTCGTCATCGTCGTCGTCGTAGTGGATTGGGCGAATGACCTTGAGCTTGACCGCCTCCTCATCATCGTTTTCGGTCGTGACCTTGTGGTAGACTCGCAGACTGACGACTACAACAGCGTTCCATGGGTCCTTTTCAAACTCATCTGGCTCTTCTTCCAACACCTCAGGGGTTTCGGCCGGAGCTGGCGGCTCACGGGCGGTGATAGCGATCTCCAATTCGCGCTCAGAGAGATCAGACAGAGCGCCAACACTGCTGATGTCGTCATCGTCGCTTTCTGGTTCGCTTTCTTCTTCCTCTTCTTCCTCATCTTTGTCTTCCTCTTCCGTCTCCTCTGCCTTCTTTTCTACGGCGTCATTCTCTGCCTTAGCATCTTCAGACTTCTCCTTGGTCGCCTCCTCGGAGTCGACGGCATCCTCGTCTGTGTTGGACGCGGGGGTCAGAGGCCCCGCCTCTGTGGTGGTCGTCTGCTCTGCCACAGTCGCAACCTTTGCTTGATCATCGGTGACCTTTACGGTCTCCTCAGTGGTTTCCGGTGTTTTCTCGGCGTCCTTTTGTTCTTCAGACTCCGCGGCCTTAGCCTTGGCAGCAGCCTTTTCGGCCTTTGCCTTTGCTTTACTAGCCTTCTTTTCGGCCAACTTTGCCCGTTGCTTCTCCTTCTTCTGAAGATGCTTCTTGAGATACCTCTGATGCCTCTTTGTGGCGAGATAATGGCTCTCTTCTCGCGATTCCAGAAATTTCTTCCTGATTTCACCCCTGGCCTTGTCCTTGACCTTCTTCTCGTGAGCCTCCCTGGCTGCCTTCTCCTCGTCTGTCTCGATGATTCTTCCCTTGCTATGAGCGAGATCATATGCTAGCCCGATTCGGACCAGCTTTTCACGGCGTTCTTTGGCATTCTTCTTGATGACTTCGTCGACGGGTAGTAGATGCTCATAACGGGTGGCATCAACCTTGACGCGAACTTCGTACTCGCCAGCCTCCAACTCCAGCTCTACGTTGACTGATCGCGTCATACGTAGGGGAGTCTGGCTCCGGACCAGATAATCCTCATGGCCTGCCTTGTGAATCCGGAAGGCGAGACTGAAGGCATACTGGCCTTCGAGACCGCGGAAGTAGCGGTCATCCAGTTGAGATAGAACGACGACCACAGGGCCGGACTTTGATATGCTAAACTTCCAGTGTGTGTCTTGATAGTCGAGTTTCCAGGGGACAGTCAGTGTGGTCCAGGACTGGCACACGCGCCATTCAGGGCCAAAGAGTCGTGTCCGCTCAAAGGCCTGGTACTTGCGAAGGAGGTCCTTGTATGAGATCCAGAAGTCTCCATCATCGCCGAAGCGGTGGTCAAGCTTCGTAAGCCACTCAGCGGTCCATTCCTTTGAACCGTCACCTGGTCAGGTTGTAAGTAAAACAATATCCGATGTCCAATGGGTTATGACTTACTCCAAGCACCTGTCCACTCTCCCTTGCCCCAGGGGTTCTTGAGACGAAGCAGACGCTCGCCATCAATCTCAACAGCCTTTTGGATGGAATAGGCGTGGAGCTCGTAAATTCCCTTTCTGTCTCCCCAACCATTTCCCCAGATACCAGTGCTGCAGCCAAAGAGGAATTCCTCATTGACTTTCATCAACTCCTCCTTCCAGAAGCGTTCCTACCGGAGCATTAGATAAAAGCTGGGGCCGGTAACAGATAGCGAACCAACCTTGTCAAGGATATCTGTGGTCCAGAGCTCGGAGGTGATGCCTCCAGTTAGATCCTCAATACCCTCGCCGCCAAAGCCGCCTTCAATACAGGCGTAGTCTCCATGCGCCTTGGCATAGCACTTCTCAAGAAGAGGAAGCCATGTTTCCTGCGGATGGGCACATTGGGCAAAGTAGAGGGCACCACTGTTGGACTGGTAAACTCTGCGGTATGCCTCGTCTGAGTTGACGCGTTCAACATCGTCAAACAAGATTCGGTCAAAGAACCCTTCGTCGTAGTCAGGCTTGATGAGGTATAGCTGTGGTCAATGTCAGCTTTATGGTTATCAAGAATTGAGATCGGGGCAAGAGTCATACGAAGTCATCGACAATCTCTGAGATCCACTCGCCGTCACGATAGAAAACAAAACCGTAGACACCAACAGCCTCGTCACGGGCAACACAGAGTTTCTCAATGAGGCCCTTTTTGTTGCTTAGAGTGCAGAGAGCGGCCATTAACCAACAGTCTCCATCACGTCCCTGCCTCACATCGTTCGCAGTTGGGCCGTCGATGTAAAAACAAGGGTTGTCGAAAATGTCCTCAACTCTCTTGACACTCTGCGGCTGGAGGTCGTTCCCACAGTCATCATCATCCTTGACGTTGGAAAGCGCCTGGAGACAATCGCGGGAGCCACCCTTGAGGTCGGCCTCGATGTCGAAATGGGGCGTGTCCCGATATTTTTTGTTAATGCGGCGGCACTCTTTGACAATCTTCTCGACCTTGGCACGGCACATGGCCGCGGCATCTTCGTAGGAGGCCTGGGTGTTTTTGGCCTCAATCTTCTTGTTCTTCTTGGCAACGATGTCGGTATAGTTGTTGGCAGGAATGACGGTCGTGGCTTTAGAGTTGTTGATCAGCCAGCTAGAAAGACAATTGATCCGCAAAAGTATGGAGACAGAGAAAACATACCTTTGCCAGGCTTCTTGGTTGTAAATTTGGACCAAAACTCGTCAATGGTCTCCTGCGGCGTCTGCTTGTTCCGCTTCACGGGCTTGGCCGCCTCCGCTTCCGGTGGCGGTGGGGGAGGCCTGGAGGAGGAGCGGGATGAGGCGACGGACATTTTGGCCGGTGATGGGGGTTATTGAGATTTGAAAATATGGCTGAATTGTGTCTTTGTGAAATCGAACGTCGGAATGGCGAATAATCCAATCGGATATGCCAAGCTCAATGCGTCCCTGCGGTGGGTGAGAAGCAAGGTATCAAGCTTCCTGGGAGAGACACTGGTCAGCTTCCGCTGTGACAGTTCGAGGCAAGAAGCGCACCACTTAATTTGATGTATTCTTTTCGCTGGACGATACTCACTTTGAGGCAATTGACTGATGTCCCACCGTTGCACGACGGGACATAAGCAAGTAGGTAGACGGGAGAGGAACTGGACGGCAGGAATGGGGAAGAAGTGGGAGGGAGGAGTATCCGCAGCTCGAGCGGCTGGGCTCACCGGTGCCTTTTATCACATCACACGCGCGAGCTACAGACTACGAAGCATGCACGTAAGCTTGGCTGCCAGCTCATCACCATGAGCTCTCTCCCCAGCCCCGTCTGCAGTCGCCCATGCCTCCCTGCACCAAGCTCCGCTTCTCCCCATGCTGAACCGCCACCGTAAGCTCCCCTGCAAGCCAAACGCCACGCACTGGGCGAGAACTGGCAAGCCAAGCCAAAAAGCAAACACATCCGCGTCACCAGACGCCGCCGTCCGTAGCTACGTACAGCGGCGCCTCCGGGAGGAAACAAAAGTTCATGCGATGGGACGCCCCTCGCCTGAAACCCCCTCCCGTACTATGTATGCTGTGTATCTTCCTCCGAGGTTGGGTGTAGCTCTCGTACCAATTGACGAGGGGCATCCAGCAGGGGGTCATGTCCGAGACCCTGCAAGCGTCAGCCCACTTGGCTTTACCTGTGCGTATCCCCCGCGTAGGGCTGGGCGCTCAGCCCTGTAGAGTGATAGTCCTGTAACAAACAGAACTTTGGTGTTTGTAGTGGGAGTAGCTCGTAGGATTCTGCAGCAACGCGGCCCGAGACGATGCGGAGAAGCGGGCCATCCGAGTGTCATCCGGGTGATGCTCAGACTTGCTGGTTGGTGACCGTCGTCGTCACGCTGTTGGGCGGCTACAACGGCTGACGTGCTCCCTGCGTTACAACACGGTCTTGGCTGCATGCGCTGAGCACTGGGGCATATCTCTTACACCGGGGGGGATGATCCCTTATTATAGAGACCTGGGCTACCCAGGGCTGACGATGCTGACGATGCTGACGATGCTGACGCTGCATACCCCGAACAAGCAGGTCGTCGGAGGCTTTCAGAGGGCGGCGGCACCTACGCAATCTTGGCGTGCATTATGAAGGTGCAAATTGCACTCGACGGCACGGCTCTTCCGAGCTCCGCTCAAAGTCTCCGTCCGTATCCTTCGTACAAATATGGGCCAGTGGCCGGCCGAGTGAATGGCTGGGCCCTGTTTGTCCATGGGCGTATTGATCGAGGTGACGTTGGGAGTCTGGCCTCAGTTATGCAGCGCTCGCTCAAGCCTGACGAGAATTCGGCCCCCATCATCATCCGACACCATCTCATGGCAAAACTTCAACGGTGGCTTAATGCCACTTCCCTTCCATCTTGTGTTGTTGGGGGTTTCTTTTTCTGAATCAATTCATTTACACCTCTGCCCATTGCATCGCCTCTGTCCACACTTCAGCTCCCCTCCGATCCAGCAACCACAACAACAGCCATCCGAAAGAGGGCCCTCCTACGCACCAGGCCCTCCCTTCTTCTCTTCTCTTCTCCTCTTTTCTCTTCTCTTGCCTCCTCTGCCGTTCCGTGGGACGTCCTCTGCACCACGCAGTCCCCAATTGCGATTAGAGCCGCAAGGGCCGTTGTCGTCCATCGGAAACCAGAACAACATCATCTCCCCATCGCCATCGATCAATCTCTCCTTCAGCCCACCACTCTCGCGCACGCGTCCACTGATCCTTGCCGCCAGGCGGCACACAAGCTTCCCGAGCCTCAACCATCCCCACACCCAGGCGGGAAATGGCCTCTCTGGTCAAAGCCTGCGACTCAGCGCGTTTCCAAGCTCAACAACACATCAGCCTCGCGGGGTATATCCTTCGCAGGTTGCCGTAGAATTCTCAAGTCGTTAAGAGCCATGTGACAGCGTCTGTCGTTCAAAAGGTAGTTGAGTGAATGATCCAAGGGAAGGTGTCATAATGCGGAGATCCGCCCAGAGACCCTGTAGTAACCAAGGATCCGCACAAACAAGTCTAGGTGAAAAGATATAAAAAAAAGGAAAATTGTTGGTAGATGTCGTCCCCTGCTTCGCCGCCCCACATGTCTTCGTCATTACCCGCAAGGCTCCCAATGCTTCAGGGGCCTTCCGGAAGAGCAGTCCGTCACTGTCGCCGTTGATGTATCTCGAAACGACAGGACTCGAGGCTTTTTCCAGGTAAAAGAAAGAGGTGCAAGATGAATCGAGTTGGACCGAAGACGCCGTGCAAAGCCGATGCCGGAGAAATATTGCGAGCCATTGCATGATTCGGAACAAAATAAACATGAACTTGAACGTAGAAATAGTGTGAGTGTAAAGGTCGAGTTGGAATATGTTCACGTGTCGGCATCAAAAAAGAACAGCAATGTCAAAAGATACGAAACACATCCGGCGGCCAACTCAGATCGTTCCCACCACGTAGGTTCCGATCTCGTTGGCCTCTATCAAGCCGGTCCCATCTCTGGGCCGGGCTTGATAGCATGTCCTGGATGTGTTTTAAGCCACAGGGGCGATGGGAGCGATGGGAGCAACGGCGGGGGCGGGCACGCTTCCCAAGTCGACGACCTCAGGGGGAATCTCGCCCCCGGCGTGAGGGTGGGGGATGGCGTTCTTCTGAGCGCAGTCCCGGGAGATGTGGCCAGCCTCGCCACACTGGTAGCAGGTCTTTCCAGCAGTGTTGAGAGGACCGCCGTTGGGGGCGGTGCAGTCGCGCGAGATGTGGCCCAGCTTGCCGCAGGCGTAGCACTTCATGGCCTGAGCCTGGCAGTCGCGGGCAAAGTGGTTAGGACCACCGCACTTGTAGCAAGTAGCGGGACGGGGACCGCCGGCGAAGCCACCACGGCCGTAGCCACCAGTGTAGCCACCACGGCCCATGGGGGCGCCACGGCCCATAGAGGGACCGACGGGGTTGGGGCAAGCGCGCTGTTAAATCCATGTTAGTCTATCCATAACGGTGAAGAAACGGCCTTGGGAGGCATACGGCGAGGTGGCCGGGCTGACCACAGTTGTAGCAGCGGCCGCTGGTCCCGGTGCCGCTCAGGCGGAGGGTAGGGCAGTCAGCCTGGACGTGGCCCAGTCCCTGGCAGTGATAGCACTGCTTGGCCTCGGTGGTACGGGGGAGAGGGCAGCCGTTAGACTCATGGCCTGTTCGTGGTACCGTCAGTATTGGTGGTGGTAACGTGTAAGGCTGGTAGGGCCATACCGGGCTGCTTGCCTGTGAAAGGAGAGTTAGCGTCAAGAACAAGTGAGAGGCATAGGACGAGGACGCATACAGTTGTAGCAAAGGCGCTCGGCGGATGAGCAAACCTCAGCGTAGTGGCCAACATTGCCACACTTGTAGCACGCACGTCGAGAGAGGGAAGACATGATTATGGTAGGTGCCTAGAGGTTGCTTTGTCAGTAAGTATATTCACGTTAGACGCATCGTGTATCGGTCATGTTGTCGCCGGCATAGTTTCGGCGCCCAAGCCCGTCCCGTTGGGGTCGCATCGGAGTCCAGTGAGGCCAAATACTGGCAGCATTGTATCGCTGGGTATTGTTGAACTCGGCGCAAGAGGGAATGGCGTCAGTGGTTGTTGGTGCAGGACTCGAGGAAGCTGTTGGTGCCGGGGTCGTTGTGGATGGGGCGATAATTCGCGGCGCATGAGAAATGCCGGGCTGCCACGCCAGAAAACGCGCAAAAGCGACGAGGCTGCCCGGAATCGCATCGCATAGCGCTGTTGACTGCGGGATCCCCTCCCAAGCGATATGAAGGCTTATAAAGGTAGATACTGTTGTGTGAAGTCGGCGAAACTTGTAATATCGATCGCGAGGAGTGGCGGCGACGTTCGGGAGTGACCCCGCATCCGATTCTTGGCTTCGGAATGGTGGTATGCCGGTCTGCAGGTCGCATATCGCAAGGCCTTCGGGTCGCAATGCGTCGCAGTCGGGCTCTGGCCTTCGGTGGTTGCACCGGGCTTCGGGTCGCACACGGAGGTCAAACGGCGCGGACCGGGTCGAGGTTCGGACGAGGAGTCGGAAGAGGAGCGAATGCGGTCTTGGAGTATGCGACGTCGACGGCCCACACTCGGATACCAAAAGCGACGACGAGGTCAAAACGCGCAGACGAGAAGCGACAATATCGAGTTGTTGAAACGTGCGACAGGATCGGGCGTCGGCGACCAGACCATGGGACGGAGGGGGAATAGAGCGCCCAAACACACAAAACGAACAAGCCACGCTTCCACTCACCTTTAAAGACTTGAGGTTATTTGAGGATAAAATCGACGACGGTGTTTTCTACACAGCGAGTATGACAGATGGTACTTTGAGCAGACAAGCGTCACCAACTTTCTTCCAGACGTGTTTAAAAATTTTCGCGCGAGGGAAAGATGAGGGGAGGAGGACGGAAGGAGGAAGGGAGTGAGGGATACTACGATTGTGGGGAGGGGGAGGGCTGCTGCTGCGGCGCGCGCCTTGCTGCTTCTGCTTTGCCTGCTGGGGAAAACGGTGCGACGGGTGCGAGTGCGTGTGGGCAGGCGGCGCGACGGCGGGTGGGTAGGTGGATGGCACCTTCCCGTCGCTTCCACTGGCTGTCGGCCCAGAGGTAATTAACCATGAATGATTACTGGCGCTTATTACACTGGCCGCGGGACGCCAGACGCTGGGGACGAAATGGGGTCCACTCCTCGGGACCGCGCTCGGAGCATTGCGCGCTAGGCGAACTGTGGTGTTTTGGCAAGGGGAGGATGGATGTTTCCACATGCTATGTTGTACCTACCTACCTATGTGAGGCCTGGCGAAATGTGAGTGATGTAACGACGGGCGGCGGAACGGCAAGCAGCAAGGCGGCGGAAAGGACAAAGATGGCGAGAGGGTGCGACGGAGCATCCGCTGGCCTGGAACGAGTTATTGCCTCCTAAATTCGCTCGTCCAGCCGTTGGCGACCTTTCCCGGTTGGAAGATGGTGCCTGGCCAGATTGGGAAAGTAACACACTCACGACCCCTCCTTCCATTCCCATTCCCCCGTTGGATCCACAGGAATGGACCGTTCAATGCAGGGACTGACAGGACCATCGGCTTATTCCTTCCAACCGCCAACCGTGAGAAATGTGCTTCCAGGTTGATAGAGACAGCGTCTTCACGTGATCCACGTCTAATGTCAATATCAAATCCAACGATAAACAAGATTTACTCTCATGCTCCGGGGAAACCCCTCCTCTCTCTCGCACCTTTGCCAATCAACGCAACGAACACACACTGGTGCCCTCCTCGGACGGACAGCTCGATCAATCATAGGCTGCTAAGCCTGTCCAGGCGATGATGCCCGGCCAGCGGACAGGCTGCCCGCGCACCCGTTGCCGTCCAAGGGAACCGCGTGACATGCAACATGCCGCGTCGCCCCCATGTGTCGTCGTCAAGCTGGATCCTTCCGAGGCAGCTGCCCTTCGTCAGTCAGCCAGCCAGTAAAGATGGGTCCTGGTTTGGGCTTCTACGATGATTTGAACTGGTCGCCTCGGATTGGGTCACAGACCAAGTAAGGTTCACCGACACGGTGGCCTGTGTCCTTGGTCTCCATGATGCCCAATCGACGTCAAACCGGGTGCCATGCATTTGGAAGCCGGACCAATCTTTGCGCTCGACAGTCGTGACACAACGCGAACATGGCCATTGTATGGGAGCTAGTTCGGGGACCTAGTCTTCTTCTCTCCTGATTTGCGTACTACGTAGATAGACTGATCATGATACGGCGTGTATTTCGTGGGCGTTACCTAGGCTGTCGGTAATTGCCTACTCAGTTTGGCAAGGTGAGGCAAGGTGAGCTAGGATGTCTACTTCTTCGGCTATTCTTCACACAGCCTACATCTGCTCAATGCCAACCTCGCCATGCGTAGGGTCGAGTTGACCGCTAACATGTGTTAATAACTGTCGGGCAATCCTGACTGGACACGGCGCATCTCTGGCCATCGTCCAATTCCTCCTCATTCGAATTCCTTGCCAGGTCATGCATGGTTGATGAAAGTCCCGACATTATTAGGAGCCCTCTGCCTCAATCACATCATCGAATATCTTCACCTGGGAATGATCCGCTTCGCCAACTCCAGCGTCCAGCGCTGGCAATGTGAGCGGCGATATCCTCCCTCATAGGTGAGCTCAATTAAACCTTTACAATGCTATACTCAACCAAAGCACTCACGCCTCACGATCTTGGCATACGTGCCACGCGCCCCATCTCCGAGGGGTGCGTTGGAAGAGGAACATCCACTGTGGGTGCTGTGGACCGAGGTGCTGCCTCTACCACATATGATACACCATCGTCCGAGGCATATGAAGGTGGCCGAGGTCCCGAACGTGTGGTTGGTCGTAGCTGTGCTTCATCCGCGGCCTCGTTGCGTTGCCAGAATAGGCGATTAGGGTCGACTCGCTGTGGCCTCGTGTTAGCTCTATTGCCAGGGAAAGGTTCAATCTCGTGACTTACCACGCTCTCTCGCCATAGTCCATATGCTGGTGGCTTCGACTTCCCCGCTTCGCTTTCCACTCCAGCCGCCTCCTCATCCCGAGCGAGAACAACTTGGATCGGACGGTTTGGCACCGCGTATCCCCGAGGTCCATATATTTGCGTCTCCGGCAAGCTTGTTCGTCCAGAAGCGACACGCTTCCTCTTGAAGATCATAATAACAAGTCGGAGAAGGCCGTGGAAAAAGAAGACGGTGGCGATGAGAATGACGAGTATCAACATGATAGTCATCTCGCTAGTTTGAACCTTTTGCGAAACGGAGAGGGCCAGATCTAGGGTTGAGGATTAGTACCATCACTGATAGAGATGACCGAAGGACTGAAGGTTATTTGCAAGATGACTTACAGACAATGATGAGCAATAACATGATCAAACCCGAGACTAAGGTACGGAGAATCTGCGCCCGCAAATGCTTCGATTTTACCCATGGGATACAGAACAAGAAGCGCTTTGGGTGACGGGAGCGATGATGTCGTCGGCGGGGGCTACGTTGGTCGCTACTCGGACTTCGCCCATGTTCCTGCCGTCCCGGATCACTCACAGTCTCAGCGACCCGTGATTCTAGCGTATCGTTTTGGTATGAGGTGTCGCTATAGGCTAGAGGAGGTGGCCTCGGTGACGGTGTTGCTCTTGACGATGGCTCGGTCGATGACTCGGTGGAAGATATCGCGGCCTGGTTGCCTCCTGGATGTGGCTCGCCTGAGGGCTGATGTTGATTGGACCTCGCGGTCCATGGTCTGGCGAAATTTGGAAACTGAAATGATCTTGAGGGCGCATCTGGTACTCCTTGTTCGAGATCTGGTGACTTGGGGCTTTCGACGGCTACGCGATAGGGCTCCTCCGTTTGTGGTGGCGGTTGGCCCCGTCGAAAGAGTCGCAGGAACGGGCGATGGGATGTTGGCTGTGTCGGTTGCATTTCTTGCATGTTTAATTCGCCATGGCGTTCAATACGAGCACGTCTGATAAGATCGGCGCGGATCCTCTCCATGGCAGCAGGATCCTCCTCCATTGTGTACGCCTAGTCTGGGTCAAGATCTGGGATCAAGTCTATCGGCCTTGACGGGATTGGAATTGGCAACAAAGATAGACTGCGATCGTCGGGATCGTGTGAATGGACTCTCGTCGGGGAATGTGTCGTCGAGAATATGTCGTCGAGGATATATATCGCTCTCGTGGTAATTCGTGTGTCAGAGTCGTCGGAGAAGAGCCGTCTTTGAGAAAGAGGTACGGATGTCTACGAGTTTCCGCGGTCGTGTTTCGGAGGAAGAAGATAAAGAACAAAGATATGGTTGTATGGAAAGAAAATTCGAAAGATAGAATGAAAGGCGTAACGATAAATGAATCAATGAGAGGAAGCTGGTTGCGGCATCAAGGAAATTATTGGGACATGGTGCAACTCCAAGAGACACTGACAAAAGCGGAAGTGTCGCCTTCAACCGAGGCCGTACCAGGACGCGTTCGTCTAAGACCTTTGAGATGCGGTGCACCAAAAGAAGCGGGAAAACAGAAAAACAAAGAGAAAGAGAGAATACGAGGGGATGAGAAGAGTGTATACGATTCCCACCACTACGTACTGCGACCGAGGTCACGTCGATACCGGCCTGAACCACGGCGGCCAACGAACCAAGTCACGAAACCAGGGGAGACGATGGGGGGATGAGGGGGCGGCAGGGGCCCGCAATGGACCAGACACTACGGGCCATGGTGAACCCATGCTGTGACAGCGGGCGTGTTGCAAAAGGAACAAGGCACACGGCAGCCTCTCATCTCTGGGTCGGCACACGGGCGGAGGCGTTGGAGGCGGCGAAGGAGGACCGGCAGGGGGAGGCCCGTTCGTCAGTGCGGCCGGGGTTGGCAAGCTGAGAGGACGGGATCCTGTGGTTTCAGCGGTTTTGGGACGCCGTCATTTGGAGATGAGTGAGACACGCCATGCAGCCACGATGGCTTGGGGCCCGATCCGGCGGTGGGAATGCCCGGTGGCGCAAGGCAAGCTGTACGTGGATCCGTTGCCTGAAGCAGCAGCCGTCCGTGTCAATGCTTCACTGGGTGCTTCACTGGATGCTTCACTGGATGCTTCACTGGATGCTTCAGGTGTTCTGAGCCGGAGGCCATAAGGGGACTGCTCCCCGGGGGGAGGCATGGAGTGGCCGTAAATCCTCCCCCAGCAGAGCTCAAGTTGGGAAGTCGGGGCGCTGTGGCGTAGCCGTTCTTGGACGCTCGTTTGATACCTCCACAACTGGCCAACCACGCGTCGCCTTGGACAGGCACCTGAAACCCCTGACAGCCCTTGTCAGTACGACACCCCAAGCCATCAATTTGGACAAATCCATTGGGTGGTAATGAAAGGACTAACGAGGAGCGTGTTATGCGAGACTGGTATCCTTTTTGTTCCTCTTTCATTTTTCATTGTATTTCTTCTTCTATTTGGGGGAGATTGCTCCCAGTCTACTAAGTTAGGTGCCCGGCTCACTTTTGCTCGTCCCTCCCAGAATGTCTAGGCTGTGGTCATATACTGTACATGTAACACGACATTTCCAAGACCCTCTTCTCCAAAGCACAGTCAAGGTATTGGCACCTCCATCTTGATCGACACCCCGGATTTCTCCCAATGATATTTATAGATGCCCGCCGTGACTTCTTCGTGTCATCTGCCTCCTCTGCTCCATTGAAATCTGTTCCCCTTTGCTATGCGCAGCCCACTCAATAGGTGGGTGAATCGACCACTGTAAACCCATCACCCGCCGTTTTCATTATATCATCATCCACGCGACAAATTCACACCCTGTATGATCTGCTGTTGTAATCCCCCGAGGCAGCCACATGTCCCCGAAGGTCAAGTAGAACAATGTGCTCACAGGGCAGGACTGGTTGCTAAGGTTCTACCTCCATAAACCGGGTGGCTCCTTGGTTAGAAACTGACGGTGATTCTGAAGTTATGGCAACCATAAGTAGCTATGAGGTTGTTGTTTCAACTTCCATTGCCTGCACTCATTTCAGCTCGCCCAAGAGCATTGTGCGATCGGAAGACGCGGAGAGTACTATATCTTGTAAGCCAACCGGAATTGAATCGGTCTTGAAAGGTCGATACTTACGAATAGGCTCCTTGCCGGGAGCAAACTCGGCGCAGTTAACCGTACCCTTGTGCCCGGGAAGCTTGTAGCTGAGTTTGCCCGTTTCGCTCGACCACACCATCACCGTGCCGTCGCCTGATGCTGCCGCAATCTTCTTGCCCTCCGAGTCCCAACTAGCTCCCATCAGGTTTTTCTCCAGGCCCATAGTCGCGCCGTCAAAGGTTCGGATGTGTCTCTCGGTTGGTGCAAATGGTCGGATGTCCCATGTCCTGACGGTGGCATCCATAGCGTAAGAAACAAGCGACTGCGAGTCCGGCGAGACCTTCAGAGACATGATTGTGTCCGAGTGTCCCAACATAGAGTAGACAACCGACTTCTTTCTCAGGTCCCACACGCGAATATCGTTGTCGATGCCACCAGCGTAAATCTCATTGCCCGCCTCCGAAATCGCCACAGCGGTAATGGGGAATTCGGTCTGGATATAGTCAACCGCATTCTTTGATCGGGGATCCCAAATGCCAATCGTCGAATCGTCGCTACCGCTGATAAGCAAGTCCTCTCCTCGCCTGCTGATATCCATCGAGTTGATTATTTCCTCGTGTCCGACGTATCGACGTATCCGCGTTCCCGATGTCAAGTCCCAGCTTGCAAGGTGCGTGTCGGCCGATGCCGAGTACAAAATCTCCGAGTCGCGCGACCACTGTAGGTCGAGAATCGCACCTCGGTGTCCGCTCAACACACCATAGTTTTCGCAGTCGCCGTAGGTTCTCCAGAGCACTAGCCAGCATTAGCCACGAGATTCCCTCCTCTTGAAAAGAGCCCGGTGGGACCTACTAATGGACCTATCCATCGATCCTGACGCGATCAGGTTGCCGGTCGGGTCAAACTTGGCCGCAAAAATCTCCCCCGAGTGTCCTGAGAGCTCCATTACAGGCGCCTGCAACCCGCTCGTTCTTGGAGCCTGCAAACAGTCAGCTACTACGCATGGCATTGGTCAAGAAATACATACGCTCTGCACCAGGGCATTGCCCGACGCATTGAGGCGCGCGAGTGCGCCAGTCGAGGAGCTAACATTCTGTCGCTTGACGAGCGACTGGGACATGCCCGGGTCATCGTCAGCGGGACGCTTCTCTGCCGACATTGTGAGATGTGAAAAATCGCGGGGTATCAACAGAAACAAAGTGCGACCCAGAAATCACTGACGCGCTCTCCACTGAACGATTTCGCGAAAGCTATCGACAAGCTGCTTGGTCGTTGAGGAGGCCGTGGTGAACTTTCGTCCAATGCAAATGCAGAACCGCGTCTGATTGGTGCCCGGGCCGAGAGTTGTTCCTACGTCGGTGATCCAGAACCTCCGTGCACCGACTGCGCCAGGGTGACGTTGATGTCCGGCTCGCCTAGCTCATGGCATCACTTCCCCTGGCTTGGATCAAGATACAGCTCCCCAAGCCCGCCGACATTCTCCAGTGCTCATCCTGTGCTATCAGACACAAATTACTGCCATTGCTGCCCCCGTTTGCACCGCTCCCCTAGCCGCCAGTGCCCAACCCGTGCCACCAAAAGCTGGCTGCGAGCCCCACCTTGGTCACCGTCCCCAACCAGCACAATGTCGGCCAGCAAGGCATCTCGTGTGGGCGAAGAGTACGTAAACAAGAAGCCTCCTCCAGATGAAGATTTTCCAAAGCTAACATGTCCTTAGAATCTGGAAGTATGCTCATGTTCAATTCGCAACCCAGGAGGATAGAGAATCTGACGTCGAATAGAACCCGAATTGACAAGGTCAATGCCGAGCTCGTAACCCTGACCTACGGTACGATTGTTGCGCAACTATGCAAAGACTACGAGAGCGACTATGTCGAGGTGAACAAGCAGTTGGATAAGATGGGGTACAATATTGGACTCCGTCTCATCGAAGACTACCTCGCCAAGTCCAATACCATGAAGCGATGCGCCAACTTCCGCGAGACAGCCGAAATGATTGCTCGGGTAGGAACCCTTTTCTTTTTAGGCAGCCGTACATTGGCTAACATAGGAGAACAGGTTGGGTTCAAGATCTTCCTCAACATCACCCCGCAGGTGACAAACTGGACGAGTGATAATAATCAATTCTCACTGGTATTTGACGAAAACCCGTTGGCAGACTTTGTCGAGCTGCCCGATGATGGCCGAGCGCAAGACCAGCTCTGGTACTCCAACGTACTCTGCGGCGTGCTCCGAGGAGCTTTGGAGATGGTTCAGATGCAGGTGGAGGCTCACTTTATCAGTGACATCCTTCGGGGAAACGACAGCACAGAGATGAGGGTTTCGCTGATACGGTATATTGACGATGAGCTGCCACCGGAGGATGACTGAGAAGCGGTATGCAAGTGACAGAGAAAGCAATGGCGAGAACAACCCAACCGCGGCTGCATTCGTCCCGTCAGGGACCTGACACGAGGACCATAAGGTGGAAGAGATACTACGAGAGTACTCGTTGATGAGAGCAGATGCGAGGGCAATACTGATGGACCAAGCTTGCACGCTCGGAATCTCGAACTGGGAGCGGATGGCACCCATTCGAACACGAGAGAATCCTGGTCCAATGAGTGTCACAAGGGTTCAGGGGTAGAGCCATGGAGCTCGGCATATGATGTTTCAAGCATATAGACGACCCGGCAGAGGACAGGCAGACAGACGAACGATGAGAAAGAGACGATTCATCTGAAGCCAAGACCAGATGCAGTTCTACAATATTTCCGAATCGGCTAATTACTAAATTAGGCCATGATGGATCTGGGGAACCTGGTAGGGCGATAGTATGAGAGTCTACTATGTGGAGGGTTGTGAGAGGTCCCTATCTCCGATAGCTATCGTCGAAGGCAAAAGCCTTCAAATTCTCCACAGCGGTTCGGCGGGTTTTATTCGCAAAGGTGGGTAAGGAGCAATGCTCAGCCAACAAGGGAGGCGAAGAGGGCGAGACTGGCGACTGGTAATAAGACAGTGGTCCGTGGGAGCGCGTGAGAGCGCGTGAGAGGCCTGTGAGAGCATGATGAGGGAGGCGAAGTGGGCACTCAGGCCAGAATGACGGCAAGATCCCTGCCTGAGGCACGGGGGCCATCTAGGATAGTGCCTCAGGTGCCGACGTGATTGTGGTGCAGTCCTAGGAATACGCAGTGCTGGTTTGAGATTTACGTACCGAAAATATTGCAGCCGGTTGCCAACGGGACGCCTCCTGAGCGGCAGAGCACCAGAACCTCAGGGTGGTCATCCACTGTAAACTAGCGCGCTGCAGCCCTGTGAATCAAGCCTATGCACATCCCCAAGTTATAGCGGACGGTCCCTAAATTTACCCACCAGTCTGGAGTCTGTCCCCGAATTTTAGGGCTTCGATCCACTGACAGCTCCAAACCGCCGTGCTGGGAGCTGAAGGGCCCGCGGAAGCTTCCAGCCACCTTCCGCCTTCCTTCCTTCCAGCCGTCCGCCACACGTTGGTTGCGGAACCTGCATCCAACTTCGGGTTTATGCATAAACGGGCGCGTGAGGAAGATGAGGCACCTTATACGAAGGACATGCCACCACCTGGATTTCAGTCTGATCAGGCTGCCAGCGTTGAAAAAGTTCAAGAAATGTTTGGCGCAATCTGCATGTTTCCAATGCGCGAATATGGCAGCAAATTATCTCTTCTGCCGTGTAAAAGTAAATGTTTGTTGAGAAGGCGCAGTTTGCGATGGAGTTTGCCTGCACACGCATATGTGCATGTCTCTCCACTTTCTCGATAAACCCCCGTTAGAACCATTGACAGGCGCGCTGTCCCCCCTGGATTTCATGTAGCGATGGTCTTTTCCACTGCGAGCCCGGAGCCGTGCCGTGCAAGTCGAAGTGGCAGTGATTGTGACGGAGTCCAGCCTTGCCTGCATTTCAGACAATCACTTGTGCTTGGGGACTTGGTTGTTCCCTCGGTTTGTGTGTTTGCCTCTTGGGCTTTCTCTCAGCCTGGTCCTGGAGCCGAAAGCACAGCGTGCGCAGAACAGCGCATCCGGAGCTGCGAGTGAGTGAGCCTGAAGAGCGAGCACCCTTCAAACGGGATCCGGAAACCCTCCACCGCCAAACAACGAACCACGTTTTTCCCTTCCCCTCACACACACACACACTCCCTCTCTTTTCTCTCTTTTTCCTCCTCTCATATTCGCTCTACTATTCTCCATCTTGGAACCAGCCCAACGTCCCGTCGAGTGTTGCCGGCCACTGCTGCCCCAGCGCGCGCCGCCCGCTCTACGTCCAAGCCCACCCCCCCGGTTGGTGCTTCTGGTGCTGGGTACCTGCGCCACGCCTGCACAGTGCTACAACACGAGGTACCCCCTACCGACGGGCCTATTCATTTATCTGCGTGCTCTGGCTCTGGGGCTCCCCCGGTACAGTAAAAAACCACCCCCGTCCTCCCGTCGCTCTCTCTCTTTTCCCGTCAAGTCGGTCGTCTCCATCCCATCCCAGGCGGCCAGCGCCCACCTCCACCAAAAACCAACCAACCACACCATCATCGCGACACCAACGCCCGTCGCCCATCGCCTATCGCCCATCCGCGCCATCGCCATCGGCCTCGCTGCGGCTCTCTCCTCCTCGCCGCCCTCTCTCCCGACTGCTTCCATCGACGACGCCCTCAATTAAGCCCCCTCCCGCGCGACTTGCACCGCGTCCCCGCCTCCTGGGATCGCCGCCCGTCACGCCCACGCCGGTCGGCTGTCCAGCGCCAGCGCCAGCGCTCCGCGTGGTGGCACGTCCTGGTGGCTAACCCAGCAAACTTTTTGGCCTCATCGCCTCCCTCCCCCATCCCCATCACATCATGGCCATGAATCCAAACATCAACATGGCCGCCATGAACCAAATGGGCGGTCCTGTTGGCGGCGCTCCTATGCCCATGATGAATAATGGCGCCGTCAACCCTCAGGCTGCCGCCCAGGCTGCTGCCGCCGCCGCTGCCCGACAGCAGCAGATGAACGACAGCCAGCGCGGTGTGCTCAACACGTACATCTACGAGTACTTTATTCGATACGGCATGTACGACTGCGCTCGCTCCCTCCTCAGCAGCGATCAACAGGTCAACGTCCTCAAGGAAGGCGCGAACCGTCGTCGCGACGAGAACGGCAACGTAATCAATGGCGCCGGCGACGATCCCATGGATACCGATTCCAAGGACGATATTGACGCCAAGTTACCCGACGGTCTCCCTCCTCCCAAGCTACCCATGCCTGCCTCCGACACCTCCTTCCTCTACGAGTGGTTCTGTCTGTTCTGGGACATTTACAACGCGCAACGCGCCAAGGGCGGCAACGGCAACGTCAACCAATATGTGGCACACACCCAGGTATGTCTCGTGGTTCTCCCATCATCTCCATATGCCCTCTTCTACGCTCGTCGCGGTCCTCTACCCCTGTTGACTGCCTGCGGGCTTTCCTCATCAATCCCTAAATGCCGCCGATGGCGGTGATTCTTGATAAACGTTGACCCCTTACAGCAACAATCTCGAATGAAACAGAACCAGCAACAGGAACTCTTGCGCCAGATGCGGCCCGAGATGACTCCACAGCAATTCCAAATGATGCGTAACATGCAAAATGGCGGCATGGCCATGAACATGAAGCAGGGCAACCTCGCTCGCGCCGCTATGGCCAATAACCAGAACAAGTAAGCCTTCCCCCGTCTCACAAGCACGACATCCCTCTGTAACCCCGAACCCATCATCTAACACACTGTCTAGTCCCCAGATGCAAATGCTCCAACAGCAGGCCAAGCAAAACCAGATGCAGAGGGATCCCTCTGGCATGGACGCCAACCGCGAAAGACCCTCCTCCCCCGCCTCCGGCGAGAACGCCCCTTCACCTTCCAAACGACAACGCATTGACGGTGCTCCCTTCAACCCCAACCAGCCCGGTGGTATGATGCCCAACGGCCGCCCGGTTCAGGGCATGCCTGGTCAACAGATGCCTGGTGGCGGTACCGCCGCCGCTCACCAGATGCTCGCCGCCAGCGGCATCAACCCGAACAATCTGAACCCCCAGCAGTTCCAGAACTTTGCCAACGCCCCGCCAGCCGCTCAGCAGAAGTCCATCGCAACATACGCTCAGAATCTCCAGCAGCACCACGGGAACCAGATGGGGAACAAGCAGATGCCTGGTGCAGGTGGTCCTCAGGGCCAGGGATCTCCGATGCTCCCTCAAGGTCCGGATGGCACTACCTTAAGCGCTTTCTACAACCCCAACGAAATGGGTGGTCCCGGTGGCATCCGGCCAGGACCCGGGGGCCCTCAGGCCGCCGGTAGCAGCAACCACGCGCTCCAGGACTACCAGATGCAGCTGATGCTCCTTGAGCAACAAAACAAGAAACGACTCATGATGGCCCGTCAAGAACAAGACACTATCGGCGGTGCACCTGGTGGTCCTGGTGGTCCCCCTGGGCCCAACGGACAGCCATTCCCTGACGCCTCCCCTCAGGCCATGCGAACAGGTGCTTCCCCTAACCCTGCAGATCAGATGAAGCGCGGCACCCCCCAGATGAACAATGCTGGTATTCCTTCGCCAGTCCCCGAGGGCGGCCAGTCCCGTGGCTCTCCCAACCCCGCCATGAACTTCATGGGCAACCATGTTGATCCCAACATGGGTCCTCACTTCTTCAAGGGCATGGATGGTAACATGGCTACCCAACAACAGATGAACGGCATGAGGCCTCCTAGCTCGCACCCTGGCCAGCCATTCAACGGACAGATGAACCCGCAGCAGATGATGGCTGCTCGACAGCAGCAGGCACAGCAGCAGGCAGCACAGCAGCAGCAGCAGCAGGGCCAGCCAGGGCAGCAGCCCCAGGGTCAAGGTACCCCTCAGCAATGGCAACCTGGACCTAACGGACAGATGATGCCCCAGGGTATGCAACAGCAAAGTCCGCAGATTCAGGGAACGCCACAGCAGCGATCTATGCCACCCCCCTCGGCTCCTGCTGCCGCCGGCAATGCGAACAACCGGACAACTGCATCTCCCCAACAAGCTGCAGCAGCTCCTCCTACGCCTAACCAGGGCAACAAGCCGGCCCCCAAGAAGAAGGAGAGCAAGAGCGCCAAGGACAAGGTGAGCATTCTTTCGTATTTGATTTGGACATGAAGATTAACAAGCTTTCAAGCGCGCCGCCTCCCAGAAGAAGTCTAATCAGAATCTTAACAACGCGGGAGCGACCCCTGCTGGCGAGAACAGCGGCGAGCAAGACACGCCTGCACCTGCGACACCTATTACCCCGGCCACTGCAAACTTCAAGAATGGCCAGAACGCCAACGCTGGTCAGAACGGACAACTCACCAGTGGTCCCGCTGCTGCTCCGGCCCCTGCAGCTGTGGCCACGGTCACCACCGCTCCTCCCGTCCCTGCAGTTGCGCCTCAGGGTCATGGAGACCCCAACCAAAACGGAAGCCTTATGGACAACTTTGGTAACATGGTATGTTGGCCCCTTCCCATGTATACCTTTGAACTTGAGTGCTAACTATACCTTTGCAGGACTTTGGAACCATGGAATTGGCTAACCCCTTGCAATCGGGCGATGTGCTCAACGACTTTGACTTTGACTCGTTCCTCCACGATGGTGATGCGGATAACCAGCCGTTTGATTTCAACGGGGCGTTCTCTGGGATTGAGAGCGGCGAGATTGGGGCAGAGTGAAGGCGGCGGCAAACGCGTTGGGTCGGCATTAACATCTTGGGTCAAACTAATTCTGGCATCATTCGTCATGGCGTTTTTATGTGGAAATTATATCATGGTCATGCGGCGATCAGGTCCCAGGGGGGTTATTGCTCCTCTGTGGTGGCTTATGGGGAAAAGAGTTCTTGTGCTTTACTTGTCAGATGTTTTCGTTGCTCTTTATACTCTTGTGGAACTTGGCTTACAGCTCTCTTTTCCTTCTCCTTGTCTTCCCTTTTCTTTTTTTTTCTTTTTTCTTTGTTTGTCCAGTGTCATTCCGGCCGTTGACGGTTTTCAAAGCAAAGAAAGATATGGTGGGGAACGGCGGAGCGAACCCATCTCCTGTAAAGTGCTATTCGGTGTACTCTGATGCTACTTGCGAAAATCACATACCATCCTATTTTTTTTTATGTATCATCGAAGAAGAAAAGGCCGAGATTTCTTGTTCGACTTAAGTGCAGCGCAGACTGTCGTTGTTTCCGCGTGTCATTTGACAGTGATTGTAATGAAGTATGATTGACGAGGCGTCTCAACTCTCACCTACTCCAGCGGAATCGAGGAATGCGATCCACGCATGACAAGGAAATACCCTCTCGACGAGGACTCTCCTTCTCCTTGGAGGTATCTCAGCGTCGGGATCGCCAGTTAATGTCTTTCGTATGCACGCAGCCGTCGTTCATCTATTCATTCTTTGGCTCCAAGTCCATAGAGCTGTCCGTTACGAAAAGGCAAACACGTATTCTTAATGGCTACCGGGAAACTCGAAATGTATGAACAAACTCCTTTTCTATGGTTTCTCATTGCGCCATAGCTTAATCTAGGGTATCTAAAGGGTTCTAGAAAGAATAATACATTTCAACAAATAACAGCAGAAAACAAACACAACACAGTCAGCGGTCCCGTTGCCTCACAGGGCAACAAATGACCTTCTCTGTGTCATCTTGAGCACATCAACGTCTAAAATAACGAGGGCGACTGGTTGGTTTGTCCTCACTAACCGCGGGTCAATGGGTTGAAGAAGCGAAAAGGTGCCTCCAGACTGCACGCAGCTGGGGCAAAGACAAAGACGCGCTGCGGCTTGTCTAAGCTGACTCATAAACGGCAACATACATGACTTCCATCATGTTGGCGTATCCAGATTCGGTGGCCTCATCGGGGTAACCCTAGCGAGTAGAGTTAGTTGTGAGTTTCTCAGCCTAAGTTGGGAATAGGGGTATACTTACAGGCCAGTTACCACCCACAGCAACGTTGAGGAGAATATACATGGGAGAGTGGGCGAGAGTTCCCCACGTGCCCTCGTCACCCAAGTCGCTGCCGACGAGGCTGTGGAAGGGGGCGCCGTCGAACAACCAGGTGATAGTCTCTGTCTGCCAGTTGCCCGATGTACGATCAATGACGATAGCCCAGAAGTGGAGGTTGTTGTCTGGGATGGCGACCGCCTTGCCGAGGCCATTGGGTTCGTCACAGACGCCGCCACCGAGTTGGCCGCAATGGACAGTGCCGTAACCGGTCAGGTCGCCATTGACACGCTCAAAGATGTCGAGCTCGCCGCATGTGGGCCACTCGGTGCCGTGGCGGATAGCATCGCCGAGCATCCAGAAGGCGGGCCACATGCCCTGCTTGCTCAGGGCATCGCCAGTGCGCAGTTGGGCCTCAACGCGCATGATGCGGCCGGGCTGGGCCATCCATGTCTTCTTGGACTCGATGCGGCCCGAGGTCCACTGGCCATTGTCAGACTTGCAGGGGACGAGCTGGAGAGAATCGCCGCCGGAGAGTTGGATGTTGGAGTTGGACTCTGTGTATTCCTGCAGCTCGTTGTTGACAGAGACATCGAGGGCGACGTTCCACGTGTCGAGGTCGACTGAGCAGCCCTGGCAGCCGGAGAAGGCATCTTGCCATACAATATTGAAACCGTTGATGTTGGGGGCCTGGATGGCAGCTGCCAAGGCAGGGAGAGAGGCGTAGAGGGCGGTAGAGAAGCGCATTTTTTTGAGGACGGCGGTGTAAGTGACTTGATATATAGAGTATAAATGTTGTCTCCGATGCGGACTTGGAAAGGTAAGGACAGAAGTAGGTGTGTTTGGTTGTTTCTATGCGCGTTGACAAAAACAAGAAGCTCGTTGAAGGACTGAACTAGCAACAGATGACGATGGCGAGCCAGAGAGAGGCTGGAGAGTATGTTGAGAATGAGGGTGGCCTCCGGGGCAAATGAATGAAAGCTGGGAGACAAGGCGTAGTATCAAATGAAAGACTTGGCCCACGGTGGAGACGAGAAGAAACGACAGAAGGAGAACAATGAACGGGAACGCTTGGTTCGTGAGGCGGAGAGGGGAGTAAGAGAAAGAAGAATGGGGGTGGGAGGGAGAGAGACAGAGGGTGGGTGGTTGCGATGGTATGTGCGTGTCTATTCATATATAATACACATATAGTATATACAGTGGGTGAGTGGGGGGATGAGAAGACTCGATGAGTCGACGGGGTCCTATCTAGTCTTGGCTGGGCTTGGCCGGTCTAGGCTGTATGCAGGTACGCTCGTAGACGGGTCGTATGTATGGAGGCATGGCGCATGGATGAGATGGCGCATGGCGTGGGACATGGGATGGGACATGGCGCATAAGAGAGGTGGGGGGTGATAGTGGTTGAGTACTACCGGGGAGCACTCGATACAACCGGGAGCGCGGTTTCAATCAAGCACGACGATGGTCTAACTATGAGCGGAGGACGGCACCGCAACAACGGCGAACAGACCCAAGCTCTCGGGCGCCAACGACGGGAGATGTGCCAGGAGGCGTTATTAGGGAACACGCGAAGGGGCGCGGGGAGGACGATCATCCAAGCGACTACCACCCTCAAGTCGGGAGCCAAGATGGAGAGCCAGACTTGCTTGGTTCCCGGGGGCCTCAATAAGAAATCCAGGGGTCAATGCTCGGGCTTGGCTCAATGCCTGGAGTCGGCCGGGGGGGTTATCGGGGATCGTTGAGGTCTAGGGTGCCGGAGGTTTAGCCATTGGCAGTGGCAGTGCCATGTGTGAGCATCGTGGGTGTGGCGGGCTTCCATTGGACACAAAGGGAGATGTTCAGGGCACATGAAACCACGATGCCAAGGGGTCTAGCCAGCTGGCTGCCAAGGGCTCCATGTGGGTGGGATGAGAGGGGGACCTGGCGATGCGATGAGGTTGGAGTCTTGGGCCTCCTGGTTGGCCAGCCTTGTAGTGGCCCGAGATGAAAAAGAGAGCCCTCTCATATCAACATGGCCACAGTTGGTTTCCCTAGCGGTTAGCCAAGAAACAGAGTCGGCGCCTAACTGGGCGCTTGACAATTGACAGTGACAATGATGGAAGGCCTCCCTCTGGCTTGGATGTTAAAGAAGGTGTGTGTCTCAAGTGTCAAGTGTCAACCCAGTCTAAGCCTAGGCCGGCCGCCTCTGTCGACCCGTTTGGCGCCAAGAAACAAGACAAGGCGACCGGAATGTTCACGAGGGGGGGCCACATCGACAAACACACAATGGGAACAAGGCTGCATTTGGTCTGGGCTGCAATTGCCACATGTCCAGAAAGAGGACAACCGCCTCAATGCCAAGACACGAGACAGCCGGCAACGCAGCTAGTGAGGCTCAACCTGGCGATACAGAGGCCGTGCTTGCCATGCTGCTAGTCCGCCATGAAACGTGCCAATAGCTCTCATCAATCGCTCTAATGTCTCCCTCGCTTATTACACCGAGTAATAGCAGCGAAACTAATTCTTCAAAAAAAAAAAAAAAAAAAAAAAAAAAAGCAAACGGGAGGCTCAGGATCCATCCAATCCCCAATAGCCACGCTCAAGCGACACCGACCAACAACGAGCCAAGGCATTAAATTCACTCATACAATCAATTCCATCTCGGCACGTTCCCTCCATTGTCCGTGTCCCTGTCCATGTCCGTGCCGCCGTCGCCGCATTGAGGTCCATCTCCCCGATCACCCTAAATTAACCTGCCCCCTCTGCATTTTGATCCAGTTTGGGGACTGGGCCGGTTCGGTTTTAGACACAGGTATTGTGGTTATTTTTGGCAGCCGAACATGAAGATCCCCCCAAAAGGAGAGTCGGCCATCTGACAAGCATGACACTTGCGGTTTTTCGTATCGCTCCCTCTCAGCCGAAGTGCGTGCATGCAATCGCAGCAGCAAACCTCGTAAACCCGTCGACAAATTGCTACTTTTGGCTGTGGGCTTGCAGGGGGCTTAGCCTTAGCCTTACCCTGTACTGGACTGGACTACGTATTTTATTTCCGTGCCTGAGCACCTCACGACCCAACGTCATGCATGCATGCATGTACATGTATCTCTGATACTAGCTCCCATGCCTCTCTATCTCACCGTCGTCTTGTCCTTGCTACGCTTGCTCTCCTCCACTGATATCGTGCGCCTTGTGCGTGATGGATCACGTAGCCCTCTCTACGTGTCAAAGTGTGTTGGTGTAAGTGTGTGCGGAGATATATTTCTTTCTTCTCACTCAATTTTCCATCATTTTCACACGGGTTGTTTTTTTATCCAGTAAAATCGCTCACATGTGTTTCACCTTATCGTCTTCGCATGCCTCGTGGTGTCTTTACTGTTCTTCATTACAGCGGTGTAGCAGTTGACAGATTTCACCCGCTCTACTGCATCCATCTAAAACATGAGTTGGCTGATGCGCTGGCAGACATCGAGGGTCCACCACCACCATGTCCAATCCACCCTGTACGAGTAGATTACTTGCCCTACAGTTTATTCTACTCTCACCGTAAGAGTCTCCTCGAGTATTTTTTTCATTATTTCCCCCCTTTTTTCTCTTGAACGAATCCAGCTGCCAACGTGACTGCCCACGTTTTGGGTCCGGCCTTCTGGTTCCGCAGCCAAGCCACCGCGAACCCAACTTTGGTTTGTTCTGCAGATTCGTGTATCCAATGATTTATCCTAGCCATGCCTAATGACCTGCAGTATCTTGCGGGCCCTGCCTATGTGGGCCCTTAGATACTGTCTGGAACCCTGTATTCGTTTCTAAATCCTGTTTCGTGCAGTAACGACTCGGCCATGGATCTGGCCCGTTCGTGACCATTTGCCAGACCGCTTCAGTACTTGCTTGCCTGTTCCTAGAGTTGGCCGCTGCAAAAGCCCGCTGCAAGGGATTGCTCATGTCATGTCATGTTGTGTTCGTCAGTAGCCCTTCATGAGTCGCTCATGGCCATCGAGACGTCTGCGGCAGTGGTGGTGGTTCCACTTCCAAGTGAGTCTCCCATCCGCTCGTTTAGGTGCACAATGGTATTCTCGTAGACGCGCGCAGCGTCTAGATGTAGCTGTTCTTCCTCTTCGTCCACCTCGCCGTCCCACGTACTCGGCCCTAGGCCATCGGTGTCGGTGTCCATTTCTCCATCTGTGTCGTTTTCCGTCTCACTCTCTTCATCATCTGGGTCGCCGCTGCTCATCACCTCTACCATCAGGACTCGACTTTGTTCGACAAGACTCCTACATCGGACCATGTCGGTAATTGTCATTCCGGCACGTAGCCCGTTCTGGAACCCGGGCAGTGTCTCGCGGGTATTAAGGTCCTGGCCGCAAAGTAGACTGGCGAAACAGTGATCGAGCTTACGCAGCAGCGCAAAGGATGCTTTAGGTGAGGGCGGGAATGATCGAACATATTGCGTAAAATCGCTAGCGAGTCGTAGTAGGAAGGGAATCTGGAGCATGGCTACGGAGAGTGTTAGTTAACAGTGACTCATAGAAACGAGCAGTTGGGGGTGCACTTACGGGTTCCGGAGAGCCACAGCGCATTGATAACCTTATCCAGATCTTTACAGACTTCACTGAAGCTCTTGTAACCCACTACCTTGTCACCAGGCTCGGGGTTCCCGAACTTTTTGACGTAACGGCGCGAGGTCTCCATGAGCCGCTCCTCAACATACGTCCTGACTAAGCTCTCTTTGCTGGAGCCTGGCTGTAAAGACTTGCTTCGGGGATGGGGGAGGCCCGACGATGTGACAGACGACGCGGTTGAGGGCGCAGGAGATGGGAGCCCACCTACAGGGTGGAAGAAGCCGCCAGGGCCGGGAGAGTTGTTGTCGGCCATTGTTGTTTCGGATTGATAGTATAAATGTGTTCGTGGTTGGGGCGAGCTGAAGGGAGTGAGAATGAGAGAATTGAAAATGTAGGATCAATGGCCTTTTTATAGGAGAGCGAGCAACCTTGTTGACGTTCTTTGTTAGTGATTTTGTTTGCCGCTCGGGTGCTTGCCGCACGCGCTCATTGGGCGGGGAAATAACTTAGGGATATGAGAAGAATCTAGAAAATCACGCGACGGGAGAGGACAAAGAGGACAGTTTTTTCAAGCTCTGGCTGCAAAGGTTGAACTGACGGTATCTCAAGGTCGGCATCCCAAAGCCACCGCGGGGTTGCTGGCTTAGTGATGCTGAGGCCGATGATGACGGCGGGACCAGTACGTACTGTGACCCCGCCAAACCGAAGCAGACCAATCATCAGCTTGGTTTTCAGCGCGCGAACCTCTGTAAACGCGCATCATGTGATTCAGCCGCTATCGCTCTTTATCGGTGATTGAAGCTTCATGGCTTCTGGCTCCGCCGTACCGAAAATTTCCCCAGTTAAACCGCCAAATTCAAGCCAACCCGTCGTCATCAGCACGAATCTGCCCATCAACGCCTGCCCTCCCCTCGCATTCCGACCGTCGACACAAGTATACAATGGCTCCCAAGCGCATCGCCATCGAGAGGTCCTCCCGCCGCGCCCCCAAGGGTTTCCTCGGCGCTACCTACGACGCCCTTACCTCGTCCGACAACGCCGCTGTTGTCCGCAGCATTGGCATCTTTGGAGTGAGTCTAGTTCCCTGAGGCGTATAACAATGGCCAAGATCTGGATGCTAATATCGGGTAAAAAGATCGCTGTGACGTTCCTCGCTAGCTCCTGGGGCGAGATTCTTCTGCCTCCGTAAGTCCCTCGCTGTGTCATGAACTCCGAACACAGCTGACACTGAAGCAGTCAGTAAATAAAAACCGAATCAAACCGCGACGCATTCCTTGGTGGAGCCGGCGACATGGCACAGACTATCTCGCACACCAATATCGAAGCAATATAATACCTTGTACAATAAAAAAGAGTCTGGTGTACGTTTAGCGGGACTGGATCCGGTCGAAATCCCAGAGGGAGCCACAGTCATGATGGATGGGCGTTGAGCCGAAATGAACACCGCTACACGTGGGTGATTGCCATGCCTTTTTGTTTCCCCATACTCATTGATGTGTCTCGTCGTTTTCAGCCAGTGCGATCGGCTCGATGCGGAGTATGAGCTCCCTGAGCCTTGACCTATGTGTGTTGGGTTGTCATTGCGGTTGATGTGAAGCATGAGAAGGAAGAGGAAGGGGGAGAGGAAGAGAGACCTTAGGGTCCCCTCTAATCCTCCCATTTCAACCTGCTCCCTCACGTCAATTACTCGCACTTGCCTTTTCTATGTAACCAGCCTTCCGTTCCCACGTGCCTACCTCGATCAGTTCAACAACGTTACTTCCATGAGTTAGTTGCGGGAGAGCGATCTCAAGCCAAACTGTGGGTTATTTCTAGTTGGTCACAACCCACCAAGTGACTCCATATCACCATTTCTGTTCAGTGATATCAACTGGCGACGCCCTCATTTTTAGCTACGCACTACTCAAGTCATCGCCGTCTCATCACTGGCTCTCGGTATTTTTGGACTGATACTGCCGCGCCGTCTCTCATGTCTTGGAAGGGGCAGCGCCATGACGCCCCAGCCAACCGGCCCCGACTCGCTGGCGGCAATGTTGCCCAGCTACTGTCCCGGTTCGAAATGCCGGATGCTCAGCTCCATACAAGCCAGTCCCGGGATATAAATGGTACATCCGATTTGACCCCTAGCCTCTCGCGGCGCTGCCTGCCCGATGGAACAAATACGGCCGGTTCCACGAGTGGTGCCTCATGTAGAGACGGCAACTCTCGGAACAAGAGCTCAAGTGGCTCAAGCTGCATTTCACCAGGGCAGCTTACTCCCCATGGGAAACCACCGCCGAGCCTTCACCGATCTCAGACTCTGAAGGCCACACAATCCACCACGTTCACCGACGGGCATGGACTTGGGCCAAGGCACAAGTCAGTGGCAGAGAGGAGGAGGGTGTTTGAAGTTGGTGAAAGTGGTGCTGGTAATCTTAACGACCTTTGGTCGTGACTAAGGCATCTAACATACATACAGGGGCCTCGATGACAAAAAGATCATGTATATCTGCTCCCTCCCCGTCCAAGACCGTCCATTCTACGAATTCGCAGACGGTGCAGCCCAAACCATCGGCCCAGAGACAGTCCATGAACACGACACACTCGCTACCGCTCTCTCCGACCTCGTCCCTGAGCCAAGAGCCACAGACTCCGGCATATGCCTTTCAGCGCCAGACTATATCACAAACAAATGAATTATCCTCACCGCGCTCCTGGAAGCCGGTGAGAGACCTTGCTCTTGGAACCAAGGTCACATCCAAGCCCCATCGACATCGCGTACGGCTTTGCCCCAAGCACCAAGACGCTGATACGACGGGCAACATCAGAAACACAACCAAGTCCCAAGATACATCTCGGGGACCCTACACATCAACGCTTGCAGCGAGTAGTAAGTCCATGATTTCAAGCAGTCCAAAATATCGCCTTGCTGGGGACAAGTCGACATCACCCAGCGCAACTCGGCATCAAACTTGGATGGAGAATGCCCAGAAGATGGCCTCCTCACTGTCACTATCAGCTTCAACTTCGGAAAGAGAGTCAAGCCCTCAATTTGTCACACGCCAGCGGCAAGAATATTCCTACCCGAGACCCAAAAATCTGGCGAGGCCTACAGTTGCCGAAATGAACTTAACAATAGGTCCAGTTGTATCTCGTTCCAAGATATCGAGCCTCCGACAAAGATTTGACCTCCCCAAAAGCTCAACGATGCCATCTTTGTCTTTTACCTCGAAGAAAAGACGAGAGACCACGCCTATCAAAGCCACCACGTATGATTCGATCCCCCGACTACATAAGTCCGCGACGACTACAGACCTTGACAACATGAGCCCTTCCAAGCAGAAACCCCGAGGCTGTGATGTAGAAAAGCGAGGAAGCCATGGATCGAAGAAATCGGAATCGATACTGAGGGGATGGAGCAGCGGAAAAAGCGGCTCGCCCTTGAAGGACAAGATTGGCCTTTTCGAGTCACTGGATCGGAAAAGTGGACTGAGCACGTCCAAAGGGGATTTCAGGAAACCACGGGCAGTTCTCTCAGGGTTAGGTCACGCCCGAGGCATGAAGGGAACATTCCGTCGCCTCTCTGCGTCGTGGAAAAAAAGCTCTTCCGAATGGAGCACTACAAGCCCCCAAGACCCGTTTATTTCAAGCCATAGCGGCTTGGATGGCGAGAGCTCGACAGCGAGAGATGATGAACGGGGAGTGGCACCTGAAAGTCCTAGCTCAAGGAGTGTACGCACATCTTTGCATCAAGACTGTGCTTCGGTGAACAAATATATGACGCCACGTGGATCATTGGTACGCCTTGAGTTCAATATCGATGGCGAAGGAGGATTGCACCCCTCATCGACGATGTCACCCTCCGCGCCCTCGCTACCGTGCTCGGGATCTCGTCATCGAATGTCTCCTCTGGCCCTTACAGGCCGTCAGAGATCAATCATAGACTCAACCACAACCGCGAAAGAACAGGACGGTCCCCGTTATCGGGTCCGTCGGATCATCTCTCGCAGCAGCGGCCCCTTTGCGTCAAGGTCGTATTGTACGCTGGAGCAGCCAAAGCCCGTTCGTGCGAATGAACTCAGAAGGTTGGTCAGTCTCTGCAAGGAGAAGGTGGCGAGGCGGATATCTAGCGGGTATGGTGAGTGATTAGAAGGCGATGGTGTTTTGAGGTAGCAGATATGGCTGGGCCTGAAGTACTTTGGAGACGGCACGTTGTAACGTTTCTTGCAGCTCATACTTGGCATATCCAAATGATTCGTGGCTTTACTCATTAGTCTTTGTTGCGGTTTCATTGAGGTGATTGCTTCTAATAATAACATCTATACCCTTTGCTCATGAAGGACTCATCGAAATACACGTTTGTGATCATGGCATGCTTGAGATTAGGAACGATACGAAGATGCATGGAAATGCTCAGAATTGTATTCTGCGCCTGAGCGCAGTAATGTTTGTATTAAAAGTGACAAGATAAAGGGGTGCCTCTGAAAAGATTTCCGTGGCTAAAATGAATGATACGATACCAAAACTTAAACCAAAACGACGACTATAGGGGTCGCCCAATGACTGCATAGAAAGTAAAACAAAGCTACCAAGTTCCAAATCCTTAGGTCTCAGACAGACCTGCCGATACTCCACGCTGCATCGCTTCTGGACTGCGCCCAACTCCTAAAGCTAAAGTGAATATTGGTGGGATGACCGTGGCCATTTGGAGAGCTCTAGACTCTCTCTTCAAGTTGCACCAAGTTTCGGTGAACCCGAACCTTGCTGCCACCGAACTCAGCTTCCTCTGAGAGTTTGGCGAGTTCCACGCCCCCCGAGTTGGACCGAGCGTGGGACATCATGCCCGATTCGCACCGCGAGAGGATTGAAACTTGCGCGGTGGTACCTGTGTGGTTGGTGGAGAAGCTGGCTCTCTTGATGGGGTGCGTGGAGCTCCCGGTTCCAGGGGTAGGAGGGTAACGGCCGCTTGAGTCGGCAGAGGCGTAGGCGGAGTGATTCGTTGACGCCATGCGCTGCGCAGCTAGCGTTCCCAATGGTAGGATGATGGCGACCGACGTCAAGGTCAGGGAGGCCGACTCGAAGTTGGTGAAATGGCCCCATTCAAGACCAGCAAAGATAACTATCTAGGGTCAGCAAATGCCCAAGGAGGCGGTAATTGGTCGCAACCAAAGGAGGGAACATACCAGGAACAATCATCAACATTCCATTCGTAGTGATGAGGACCTCCATCGGAGTCATAGTCTTGTAGGATGGTAAAACACCACGGTTGGATATTAAGTGGATGATGAGCTTGATGTTGAAAATGGCACAAAACCAGCAGATGGAAGCGGCGTTTGTGATAACCATCAAGTGGATCAACCATCTCATGTTTTCCGGTGGAATCAAGCTCAGAACGGCCTTGTTCTGGATGACGGTGAAGGCGAGGCGCCACCCGATGGTGAACAGAGTGATGAAGGCGGAGAGAGCTGACAGGGAGTATTTCCAGAAGTTTGGCCAGAGCTTCACCATTGTCCACGCTTGGTGCATGAGAGCAGCCTCAATGGCAATGACGAGGAGGAGGGAGAAGGTGTTGGCCACGATGCTGATGACGAAATCCTGCACGGGCACATGGGAGTAATCACCCGCCCAGTAAGCGTAGAAGTCGTTGAACGGGGATGGAAAGTAGGCACTCAGAAGAGCCATGCGGATGATGCAGAGTGTAAGACCAGTGATGTGCAGAATGCTCGAAGGCCTCCGAAATTTGGACGAAGGCGTCATGACGAGAATGACAGCCAGCATGATAACGCAGGCACCCAACTGGGCGCCATAGTTGATACAAACGCTGACGGACTCAGTATGAAAGGCGTCAATCATACTCATTGGGACCGAGAGGGGCGTCTTGCCATCGCCGGCGACAAAGGAGACGTTCTGAGTGTAGGGATCGAAGTCGCCCATCGTGATGGTTTTGAGTAAAGAGCGGAAAGATGATGGGGAACTGACACTCGAACCGAAGAGGTGGTCACTGCGGGACAAGGAGAAGCAGGTGTTATGTATTGTAGATGTGAGAGACGGAGTCACAAGCCGGCTTGTGTCAAGGGGCACAAGGTTCAAAGTATGAAGAGGAGAGGGGGAGGGAGATAGGAGGTGACAGACTTCGCGGCATCTTGACTGACGGATCACAAAGCCAAACTCTGTGGACAGCTTGTTTCTGAGCCGCGGGCGAGCGAATGTATTGTTGTCGGCAGGGGAATGCAAGTATATCATACGAAAGATCACAAAATATGAGCGAGACATGCGGTGGGGCTGAGTCTGGCGTTGATATTGTTCTCCATTTTGGTGGCGTCGGCTCTTCGTATTGTTCTCGCAACGAGGCTGGAAGACCAGGAGCGCCACTGAGCTTATTATCAAACCCGACTGATCCCGGCCTCGTTACTTTGCACGGGCCCCGTAGCTATTAATGTTAACCACAGTACGGAGTGCGAAGTAATGAAGAGCAATCCAGCCAAGTCTTGCCCCAATGCGGACAGCAAACCCGGGGAGCCGGAACCGTGCCTGCGCGATGCGAGAGTCTTTGCCAGAGTCTTTGCTAGCCATTTGTAAGCCATTTGAAAGTCGTGGTGAGACTGAGACCTCTTCGAGGCCTAATCTGTGTCGGCTCCCGGCAGCTCTCCGCCACGCCCAGGATATCCATGTTAATGATGGCCACCTGACTTGGTGGCTGGACTCAAGGCCAAAACCCGGACGGAGCCAGAGCTAGACAACAATATCAAGAACCTCTCAGCCAGGAAACTTCCGTGATGACAGATCATTATACTCTTCACCGCGTCACGATGCCAATCCCATTCCTTGCCCAATCTTACGCACCAGGGCCTTCTTCAAATACCATTCGCGAGCGAGAGACCTTGTCATTTTAGCAAAAACGGCAGGCGAAATGCGGCCTCGCTCCACTGCACGTCCAAGCATGAAGATCGCATCTCCCAACGCTCTCTCCTCTGCCACCAACGTATAAAGCTGGTTGGCCACCACGGTTGGCGCCACTAGTAGCTCATCCACGTCGGGGAGTGGGTGATTTCTCGATCCTTCAATTACACCATCTGCCTGGTGTAGTGCGTCATGTAGAATATTCGAGTTTGACGTGAGGATGCTTGAAAGTTGCGCTAATTGTCCCGCCTCCGAGTGCAAGACTGGCATGGCTGACAACATGGCCGTTCGCTGCGCTTGTAGACCTGCCATACTGGAGTCGTTTTGCTGTCGAGCGCGTACTCGTATTGTGCACAGCGTTTGAGCTAGCTGGTGAAGTAGAGCATCCTTTTCAGGGTTAGGAGGAATAGGCGGAGCAGGAATGGTTGAGGCGGTCGGGACGTTTAGAGCTAGGGGCTCGTCGAGTAGATCAGGAGGGGGAGGGGGCTTCGCCTGGGCTTGGGGTGGTGGAGGCGCCTGGCTCCACGTTTGCGGCTGCTGCGGCGTCTGCCATTGCCGCTGAGTGACTGGTGTTTGCGATTGGGCAGGATTGAAGTAATGGGGTTGCATAGCCCTTGCGTGCTCTGGGGCTGGCGCATGACTTGCTTGATGATGTACGGGAGGCCGGGCAAATCTAGGGTCTAAAGACTCTCCACTGCTGGCCTGAGGTGGCAAAGGAGGAGCGGAATCGTAACGCGATGGCCGGTGAGAGTCGGCAGGAGAGCCCTGGGGAAGTGGAGAGAGAGGTGGTCCAGCTGGGATTGGGCTCTGCGGATTGGATGGTATGCTCTGAGGACCCTTAGGGGGTGGCGGAGGCGGACGTTGTTGCTCAGCGGCGGGCTGGTCTTGTGTAGTCGGGCGTGGAGCCATGCCCGGAGGCAGGGGCGGGACCGGAGGTGGAGTCGGCCCCGGCTGAGGAACCTGGGCCGAGTTTACTTGCTGTCGGGAGATGACGGGAGGTTCTTTGGCAAAGATATCGGTCACGATTCCCAACAAGTCTTGTAGATTCGATTTCTATGCGCAGGAGTCAGCGACCTACCAGAGAAGGGGCTGGCCAGGGTCGACATACATGCCAGAACTCAGCCCACCGAACGAGGTACGGGTGATACACGAGGCCCTGGGGATCGACGTGCTGGCCTGGGCGGATCATCATGTTCTCTGTGGGCACAACATAGACCATAGGTGGCTCTCGTGGGTATGCGTGAGGGACCCATATCGAGACTGGGAATCGGTAGGTGGTGCCGCGGAAGTTGACGGGGAGGGTGCCAATGAGGTGGAGGAGCAAAGCATTGGCGCCATTCGAGAAGGCTAGCAGAGTCAGTCTTGCCGCGATTTGTCGCCTGGGGAGTAAAGGAGGCAATTACTATGCACATCTGTTCGCGGCGTGAGGGAGGGATACTGGGTGAGCGCCTGGGCGACGTCGTTGTATGCGCGGTTCACATCGTGGTATTCCTGTTGCAGTCGGGGTTAGCGCGCACGAGCATCGGGAGCGGGCACAAGAAGGAGAGAGAGGGACGGACGCTGGTGAGGACGCTGTACAGCCAGTTCAAGACATGCTGCTGGACGGGCATCGTGATGATGCTCGAGCTAGCCGGCGTTGGAGAGGGAGAGGGAGAGGCAGAGGGAGGATCAAGACGTCAGTACCCGCGCACCTGCCTGGCCTGGCCAGCTTGGCGGGATGACGGTAAGTCCTCTGTCGCACCGACGACGGCCCTTGGTGCGTGCCCACCTCCAGTACGTACCTTCGAGACGAATAGTGGGGGGTGGGGGAGTTCATTGCGGAGCGTCTGCAAGACAACAGCAGCATTACCAATTGGTGATTCCATCCTATGCGTGCGCAAATAGGTATGTGTACAACATAGTAATAGGTAGGCGCTTGGTTGATAAATGCAACGCTGAGAAGTGCGAAGACAGGATACTTGCACAAGTCAGGCATAATAATTCTCGCGCAACCTAAGAAGGAGACCTTGTCGACGCGTCAGTATTGGATTTCTCGTCATGTTCTGCAACAGCATCTGGACTGGAAACTTGCCTGTCTTTGCATGGACCAGTTGCGTGACTGGTCACCTTTGGTGTTTTGCCCCTCGAAACAAGACTTGCTAGGACTCAAAATCTGCATCCTGTAGTATCCAATAGGCATCTCCTCTCCCCTCAGCCGAAAACGGAGCCGGTACGCCGTCCTCGCTCTCGGCCTCCTCCGGCTGCCCACCCCCGATCTCAACGTAATAAGTCAGCTAATGATTAATCTGTTTTGTGACGCGAGCACGAGGTTGGCTTCTATCCTAACGGAAGCCCGGACTGTCAGGGTCCACCCACACACACAGTTCCATTTTTCTTTCGCTCTCTGACGATTCCCCCTCGGCCGGTCGGCCAATCCCGGTCGTCCTTGAACCGTTGCGCCGTCGTCCACAACTCTGAGAGCGACTTTTGCTCCTCTTTCTTCCTATACCTCCATCCCTCTCCCGTCTTCCCCCCGCCGCCTCTTTTTTCTTCTTCTCTTCGCCTCCTCTTTCTTTCCCACTCTTCACTGACCTCCCTCAACAGCCAGACTAGTACCTGGATAACTGACTCGAGTTAACTTTTTACTCAAGTCCGCAACCAGCCCCACTTCAACCTCCGTTCCCGTTCCCGGATCTCCGGGCCTTGGTCACCCTTCTTCCACCTCCGAATAGAGCCAGAAACTGGTGCGAACCAGATTACTTCGACCAAAAACTACGCATTGGGTGCCATAAAGCATACCTATCATGTTGCCTCCTATCCCAGCCCTCGCCGACTACGGCCTCTCTCCCACCCATGGGTTCCTCCCTGACGTCCTACCCTTGACCCGTCTGCCGGACCCATACTATAACAAATGGGAGGCCATCGCCGCCAACCTCCAGGCCCTTATTCTCAGCCGTCGTCTTCGCGGCGTCATTGATCGCCTACCGGTTCTATCAACCATCGGCCTCGAGCACGATGCTGAGTGGCGCCGCGCCTATTCTCTTCTCGGTTTCATGGCTCACGGCTACATCTGGGGTGGTGACTCACCCTCTGACCGACTCCCTGCATCCATTTCTGTTCCCCTGCTCCAGATATCCGAACACCTACAGGTGCTTCCTGTCGCCACATACGCGGCTGTATGTCTCTGGAATTTTAAGCCGCTCTTCGTGGACGAGGATATCGACAACCTCGAAAACCTCGCCACCCTCAACACCTTCACTGGCTCTCTCGACGAGTCCTGGTTTTACCTCGTCTCTGTTGCTATTGAAGCCCGTGGCGCCCCCATAATCTCCCTCATGCTAACTGCCATTGCCGCTGCGAGGCATGGCGATGCCGCCACAGTTACCCGTTGCCTTCGCACCTTCGCAGAGCGACTTACTGATCTGACAACGATCTTGCAGAGAATGCATGAAAGCTGTGATCCTACTATTTTCTATAACCGTATTCGTCCTTTCCTTGCTGGGAGCAAGAACATGGCCGAGGCTGGTCTTCCACAAGGTGTCTTGTATGAAGATGGTTCCGGAACTGAGACGTACCGACAGTACAGTGGCGGCAGTAACGCTCAAAGTAGCTTGATACAGTTCTTCGACATCGCACTTGGCATTCAGCACCGTCCTACGGGAGAGTCTCGTGATCACGCATCTGATTCGGATAGAGGCGGGCGCTCATCCAACCGACACAACTTCATCATGGAGATGCGCCGCTATATGCCAGGGCAACATGCCCAGTTCCTCAACGATGTGTCAATTGTTGCCAACATCCGCGAGTTCATCGAGGATAACCAAGGAAATACTCAACTATGCGTCGCATACGATGCTTGCTTGGCTATGTTAAGTGCCTTCCGCGACAAGCACATCGGCATCGTAACGCGCTACATCATCACTCCCTCCAAGCAGGTCCGGGCTCGAAGTAGGTCGCGAAGTCCTGAGGTCACCCGACAGCGGCTTAACCTGGCGGTTGCGTCCCGAAAAAACCAGCAGAACCAGAAGGGCACTGGCGGCACTGCGTTGATACCCTTCCTGAAGCAAGCGAGAGATGAGACTGGAGAGCCTGCCGTCGAGGAGTGGACTAAGCGTTTCATGAAAAGACAAATCAAAACGGAGGGCAAGGGTGACTTTTTTCTTGGCAAACCAGATTATGGTGCTCCTCTGGAGACCGAAGATGTTGAGGTAAAAGGTTTGGCCGGGTCATGGACCATGGATGATGATATGGGCGGAATTTGCTTATCCTAGCTTAAGACAGTGAGTGTTCGACATTTAGTGCTTAGGCACATATGGGGCGTTTGGGTCTGGAGATTTTTGTGCAAGCATGCCGAGGTCTTTTGTAGCCAGCTGGTGCTGGCATCGAGAAACTACAAAATATATACAGAAATGAGAAATATATGTACAGCAAGGCCGAACACCGGGTTCAGGGTGCCATGCTCTACAATAGCTCAGCCTGCTTGTTGAGAAATGACCCCCACCCGTTTCGCCACCCCCCCTTGGTCACCAGGATATACTTAATTAGGCTGACACTGCGAGTAGTAGTCGTTCGAGTAAACACAGGTACTGCCCTTGGCACAAGCCAGAGCGCCGTTGGGAAACTGATCGGCGGCGCCGTTACACTGGTGGTAGATGGCAACGGTCGAGGTGGAAGCCGAGGCAGCAGACACTGCAGTGGCTGAAGCCCCCAGAGTAGCAGTGTAGCTCTTGGCGGAACATCCGGCCTTGGTCTTGGTCTTGGTCTTGGTCTGCTTAGAGGTGGAAGCCTTAGGCTTATCAGCGACAGGGGCCTTGGTCTCAGCGGAAGTTACAGGCTTCTGGGCAGCCTGAGACGCAGCTTTCGCAGTAGTTGTGGTCTTCTCGGCAGCGGCAGTCTCGGACTTCTGGGCGGAGGTCTTGGTCTTCTCGCCGGCCTGAACGGAGGACGAAGTGGAAGCCTTAGACGCCACAGCAGCGGCCGACGAGGTCTTAGCCGAGGATGCGGCAGCGGCAGCAGAAGAAGAAGATGAGCCCTTTGACGAACCGGCTCCGCTGAAGACAGGGTAGTCACCGTCGTCATCTCGGGTGCATCCAGAGACATTGGTGATCTCGGTGGGGCACTGGACCTGCTCAAAGGTCAAGCTCGGGTTATCCGAGTTACCGAACCAGTCGAATCGCCAGTTGCAACCGTCCTGGAGGATGGCTGGGTAGCTGTCGCATTGACTCTGTGAAGAGATACCGCCGTACTGCGCTCCAGCGAGACTGGTGCCAAACTCAGAGGTGCAGCCGTCAAAGATACCAACGCCACCACCGGGCATCAGGAGATCAAAGTGGTTGTTGCCCAGGTCACTTCCAGTGTTGGTGGACTGAACCACCATTGTCTTGCCCTTGACAGCGCCGGATGTGAAAGTGAGACTAAAAGACAACCTCTGTTAGTATCATGGATAGATGAACAGGTTCGAACTTGGGGTATAACTCACGCATAGCAGGCACAGCACCAGGATGACTCGGAGCCTCCCTCGATAGCAGTCGCGGCAAAGCCGTAGGCAACGGTGTCACTGACAGCCCAGGGGGAATAGCTACTGCAGGTATAGGAAGTGCCACCGTTGCAGCCGGAGACAGCATTGGAATCAGAAATCGGGTTGTCGTTGGCATCGCAAGTAAGGGCGGGAGCGCTGACGGACGCCTTGCCACCCCAAGCGCAAGACGGCTTGCAGCAGTCCCAGTATCTCGTGGATTGGCCGGTTCCTGAAGCGGCGCGGACAGCGATGGGGCCAGCCAAGGCGAGGTAAAGAGCCGAGGATCGCATTTTGGCAAAGAATAATAATGCTAATGACAAATGTCGAGTTGAAAGGGATTGATTGCTTAAGAACCGAAAGAAGGCACACACAAAGACCTGGTAAAGAGGAAGTGTTCTATTGCGAGGGAGACGCATCCCTCCTCTTATACGAGCGCAACAGCCATACTCTATCGACGCCCAGAACAGAATCATGACTGCTGGAGTCATGGCATGTTGACCCATGATCCATGGACTGCAGGGGTTCCATGGGCTGCTGTCAAGAGATGCCAAGGAGCATAGAACAAGAGTCGAAGAGGTGATGGTGCTATGAGATCGTGAGTGGGCCAATTGGGGCGTGCCATAGTCTCGGGTTAAGATCATCCACTAATAGGGAAGCACGGAGCTGGTGTGAGGGGCCAGGGTGGCCTGGGATCAACCGGCCGAGAGAGAAATGAAGGTCACCAAGCTTTGGTTTCAGGAACAGTTGTGGGGTGGATGGCAACTTTCTCGGTGCAGGTAGCCGAAATTGTAACCCAATCAGCAAGGGTTGGACGCGCAGATTAGAAGCTGTACTAGCTGGCTGTGGTGCTCGGTACGGAGGAGATGACTGAAGATGCTGGGGGTTGCTGCAAGAACCTGCACGATGCAGGTGGGAGGAAGTTTTTAGCGCCATCTTCTGTGGACTTTGATGAGACGGGATGAACGTGTATTTACTTGATCCCTTGTAGGTTGTCGGGCTGTCGCTCGGTTAGGCTGCCAGCTTCATCTCTCCGTTCTTAGCGCTGCATCTCGTATATTATTCCCTCGTCAAGAGTATTTCTAGGACGGGTGTTCGGCATGATCAGACACAAAACTCAAATTCATCAACATTGCAGAGGGAGAAAGAGTGGATGGAATCCGAAGTATGCGATCGGCCGGTAGAGTCGCTAGGCATTGGCAAAACGCAATGGCGTCGAATCTGAGACGACGGGTGTGGTGGTGGAAGCGAACGGCCTGGTCTGTTGCTCCATGTTGATGAAGATGATGACTTCATCATTCAGGCACAACTCTCCCTATCTCGCCTCCCTAATAAGGTTCTGGGGAGAGATGAGGCGGTGTATCGTCTGATTCCATCCCTCGAGCGAGCCCTGACACCTCGCGTGGTGTGTTAGTGGGATGGCACACCGAAATGGGCGATGCTTGTTCCTGACAGTGATGCCTTAGAGACAAGGCAGCAATATCCAACTTTACGCCACAGGGTTCCGGAAGCCGCCACCCACCCGCCACAGATGATTTGGAGCTTATTCAGCACACCGCGTCGCGCAGGAGTTCAAGGTTGCTTCTGAAATAGACTATGCCCCTTATAGCCTAGCTCCACTTGCAACTGATCGCGTTTCGATTACTACTGGCGCCTCAAGGCTTCGTCAAAGGCTTTTGAGATTCCCCCATCAACCAAATTCAGCGACACTGGCCCGCCACTCCCACATCCTGCGCATCTCAAGACCCTCTTCTGTCTTCTCAATAGAGTCGTTGCAGTTCTGCTGAAGCTGTCACCGGATGCTCACGGGGTGCTCCAGGCGCCAGGTCCCGTACTGACCGCCCTGACTTTGCCGTCGCCGCTGGATCATTCAGCTCGGTTCTTCAACCTCGAGGCAGCCGTCGCTCCGAACGAGACCCCATCTGAAACGCGCAAATACCCAGGTGGCTTCCACCAGCACCTCCACAAACCATTTCCGACATCCATCACCGCCCAACAGACATCATGGCCGATTACGAAGACGAGTCCGACTACGATAATTATGGTGACGAGGAGGAGGGCATCACCCCCGAGGACTGCTGGACCGTCATCTCGTCCTTCTTCGAGACCAAGGGACTAGCATCGCAGCAAACCGACTCCTTTGACGAGTTTACCCAAACAACCATACAGGATCTCGTGAACGAGTACTCCGTCATATCTCTAGACCAACCTAACCCCCCCTCGCCACCGGGCCAGACCATCGCTTTGCGCCGATATGAGATCAAATTCGGCAGCGTCATGGTCTCGCGACCAACAATCAGCGAGACGGACGGAACTGTTACATCGCTGCTGCCATACGAGTGCCGTGATCGCAACCTCACATACGCCAGTCCCCTTTACATAAAGATCACAAAGAAGGTTTCTGTTGCTGTCGAGAAGGAGGTTCCTCTACATGAGATGGACGACGCTCAGCGTGCCGAGTATGCCAAAACTGGTGATAACCCTACCAAGCTGGTGTGGGAGCTGGAAGAGTCTGGTGACGATGATTCTGGCAAGACCGGCGACGACTGGAAGGATATGGTTTTCGTCGGCAAGCTGCCCATCATGGTCAAGTCGAAGATTTGCCACTTGAGCCGCGAGCATGACGACAACCTCTTCCTCGTCAATGAGTGTCCTTATGATCAGGGCGGTTACTTCGTCATCAACGGCAGCGAGAAGGTCCTCATCGCCCAGGAGCGATCTGCTGCCAACATTGTCCAGGTCTTCAAAAAGGCCCAGCCCAGTCCTTACACCTACACTGCTGAGATCAGGAGTGCCCTCGAAAAGGGTTCTCGCCTCATCTCTAGTCTCATGCTGAAGCTGTATGGCAAGGGAGACTCAGCTCGAGGAGGGTTTGGACAGACCATCCACACCTCTCTCCCCTTCGTCAAGTCAGATCTTCCTGTTGCCATCGTCTTCCGTGCGTTGGGGGTTGTTTCTGATGAGGACATTCTCAACCACATCTGCTATGACCGCAAGGACAGCCAAATGCTCGAAATGCTGCGCCCTTGTATCGAGGAAGCTTTTTGTGTGCAAGATCGAGAGGTCGCCCTTGACTTCATTGGCAAGCGAGGAAACCGTGACCAGGCAGGTCTCGGCCGTGAGAAGCGTGTGCGCGTTGCCAAGGACATCCTTCAAAAGGAGACGTTGCCGCACATTTCTCAGTCGGAGGGCAGCGAGACCAGGAAGGCCTTCTTCTTGGGTTATATGGTTCACAAACTTCTACAGTGCGCTCTTGGACGGCGTGAACCTGACGATCGCGATCATTTTGGCAAGAAGCGCCTGGATCTCGCTGGCCCTCTTCTGGCCAAGCTATTTCGTGGCATCATGCGTAGGGTGAACACTGAACTTTCCAACTACCTGAAGCGATGCGTTGAGGGCAACCGACACTTCAACTTGGCCGTCGGAATCAAGCCGGGCACCTTGTCCAACGGCTTGAAGTACTCCCTAGCAACGGGCAACTGGGGAGACCAGAAAAAGGCCGCGAGCTCGACCGCTGGTGTCTCTCAGGTGTTGAACCGCTACACCTTTGCCTCCACTTTGTCCCATCTCCGACGAACCAACACCCCTATCGGACGAGATGGTAAGCTGGCCAAGCCACGCCAGTTGCACAATACCCATTGGGGCTTGGTCTGTCCCGCAGAGACACCTGAGGGTCAGGCTTGTGGTCTGGTCAAGAATTTGTCGTTGATGTGCTACGTCAGTGTCGGTTCCCCATCCGAGCCTTTGATTGAATTTATGATCAACCGAGGCATGGAAGTGGTTGAGGAGTACGAGCCATTGAGATACCCGCACGCTACCAAAATTTTCGTCAATGGAACCTGGGTTGGCGTTCACCAGGACCCGAAGCACCTTGTCAGTCAGGTGTTGGACACGCGTCGAAAGTCGTATTTGCAGTATGAGGTATCGCTTGTCCGGGATATCCGCGACCGAGAGTTCAAGGTTTTCTCCGATGCTGGGCGAGTAATGAGACCCGTCTTCACGGTGCAGCAAGAGGACGACCATGACACAGGCATTGCAAAGGGATCGCTGGTGCTGACCAAGGAGCTTGTCAACAAGCTCGCCAAGGAGCAAGCCGAACCATCGGATGATCCTGCATCCAAGATTGGTTGGGAGGGGCTTATCCGAGCGGGAGCCATCGAGTATTTGGATGCCGAAGAAGAAGAGACAGCCATGATCTGCATGACACCTGAGGATCTTGATCTCTACCGTCTACAAAAGGCAGGCATTGCTATGGAAGATGATATGGGCGACAATCCAAACGGAAGATTGAAGACAAAAACGAACCCAACGACTCACATGTACACCCACTGTGAGATTCATCCCAGCATGATTCTTGGTATTTGCGCCAGCATCATTCCCTTTCCCGATCACAATCAGGTACATCAATTCCTATGTTTCCCATGTTGGTCGATGAGTACTAACCGTATACCCTAGTCACCTCGTAACACATACCAATCTGCCATGGGTAAACAAGCCATGGGCTTTTTCCTAACGAACTACTCTCGGCGTATGGATACCATGGCCAACATTCTTTACTATCCCCAGAAGCCCTTGGCGACGACACGATCCATGGAGTTCCTCAAGTTCCGTGAGCTTCCCGCCGGTCAGAATGCCATTGTAGCCATTGCTTGCTACTCGGGTTACAACCAGGAAGATTCCGTCATTATGAACCAGAGCAGTATCGATCGTGGCCTGTTCCGCAGTCTGTTCTTCCGATCATACTCGGACCAAGAGAAGAAGGTCGGTTTGAATTACACTGAAGTGTTCGAAAAACCGTTCCAGCAGTCGACACTTCGCATGAAGCACGGAACCTATGACAAGCTCGACGAGGACGGTATTGTGGCGCCAGGTGTTCGAGTGTCTGGTGAGGACATCATCATTGGCAAGACGGCGCCAATTGATCAGGAAAACCAGGATTTGGGCACGCGTACCACTGTCCATCAACGGCGAGACATTTCAACACCGCTGAGGAGCACTGAGAACGGCATTGTGGACCAGGTCATCATGACGGTTAATGCTGACAACGTCAAATATGTCAAGGTTCGAGTGAGAACGACCAAGATTCCCCAGATTGGTGACAAGTTTGCCTCTCGCCATGGACAGAAGGGTACCATTGGTGTGACATACCGACAGGAGGACATGCCGTTTTCACGAGAAGGCGTGACGCCCGATATCATCATCAACCCTCACGCCATTCCTTCCCGAATGACAATTGCTCATTTGATCGAATGCTTGCTGAGCAAGGTTTCAACCCTCGAGGGCATGGAGGGCGACGCGACTCCGTTCACGGACGTTACAGTTGACTCGGTGTCGGAGTTGCTCCGAAAGCACGGCTACCAGTCGCGCGGTTTCGAAATTATGTACAACGGACATACCGGCCGCAAACTCCGAGCGCAGTGTTTCTTCGGCCCTACTTACTACCAGCGACTGCGTCACATGGTCGACGACAAGATCCACGCGCGAGCGAGAGGACCTGTGCAGATTATGACGAGACAGCCTGTGGAGGGTCGTGCTCGAGATGGTGGTCTGCGGTTCGGAGAAATGGAGCGTGATTGCATGATTGCTCACGGAGCGGCGGCGTTCCTGAAGGAGCGTTTGTTCGAAGTATCTGACGCTTTCCGAGTCCACGTCTGCGAGATTTGTGGACTCATGACGCCAATTGCGTAAGTATCCCCAGCCCACAACATTTGCCATGCATTGCAAGGGCCGTACTCCTTGAGTGCATGCTAACATCAAATTCTAGAAACTTGTCCAAGCAGTCATTCGAATGCCGGCCATGCAAGAACAAGACTAAGATTGCGCAAATCCATATCCCCTATGCCGCGAAGCTTCTGTTCCAGGAGTTGCAGGCCATGAATATCGCGGCAAGAATGTTTACGAGCCGGTCGGGCGTTTCGATTCGGTAGACGTGATTGGAAGGGACGTATGGGTAGCGTTGAATCGGAGCAGTGGGAGGAAAAGATGAGACAAGGAGATGATATGGCAATCAGGCGAGGGCCAGGGACAAAAAGAGGAGCCACTCGAGGCCTGGCCGTTGTGGTTGTAATGTAGAGCAAGGGGGCAAGATTGGCGTGTACAAAATCGGCACAGCGGCGGGAGTAGGATAGTAGAACATGAAATGCATTTACGAACTCATAGTCGCAAGTGGTGGAGCGGTATCTTTTTGTTTTACATCTTATACACGTTGGATCGGTTTCTGATGGCCATCCGGGAGTGCCACCCGAGATCAAGGTCATCTGTTTGGGGTTGCTTTGTCTGCTGCAGCTATCGAATCGTGGACGGACTGGTCGCGTTTGTATTCCTCCTCAATGGCTTTTTGCATGTCGAAGTCGAGTTGTCGCTCCCGCTTGACACGTTGTTGCTCCATGTCGCGGACGACACCTTCATGCATAGCCTATGTCCAAAGTCAAGGTTAGCCTCGGAACTGGTCTCACGGTGCTGGCCGTCCACTGGGAATATTGTTCTTCTTTTTTCCTTTCTTTGGATGAATATGGGGGTTTCAAATGTAAATATTTACCTCTTTCTCAAACTTTTGCTGGTAATGGACGAGGATGACGGTGCTGGCGGCGAACAGGGACGTGGCCGCTAGGGTGAGCTTGGAGGCACGAGACATGGTTCGGTTCGGATTCGACAGCGGGCACCTAGGGGAGGATGCGGTTGGCGCGGTGTGAATGAATTCGGGTAACACGATGGATGTAGAGTTGAATTGAGTCGCAGGGAGGGTGTGTGGAGGCGATTGGGAGGCGGGAGAATCCGCGGTTATGGAGCTTCTCGAGGTTTCAGAGACAAAGTGAAGCGACACCACCGAGCCATGACGTGAAAATGCGCTTCAGCCGGGCTGCTCCAGTGGCGGCTCGGTGGTCCAATAGATGGGCCCTGGACCTGTACCAGGGGCCCCCACAGAGAGCTCTGCACTGTGCTCTGGCGGTACCTGCTAGCGCTTGTTCGTCACAGCTTGGAAGTACCGGCCCCAAGGCACCAGCGAGAGTGTCCACTGAGAGGTACCTCGGGCCTTCAGGCGTTGCGCCTACCGCCAGAGAGCCTTGCAGCGCCCCGCCAGATAATCGCCAATCAACGGCCACGCCCCTACCTACGCTAGAGGTCCTCCATTGTTGGTACCTACCGACCTACCCTTACCTCATACCTTACCCCCATTAACCTCAACTTCGACCTTCGAGACTCCACCAACGCACCAAGGAACCACCACCTTGTCCTCCCATCACAGCTCCCATCGAATCGACCGCCGCCATCGCTCCGCTGCCGAACGCATCGTCGCATCCGCGCTCTCCTCCTAATTTATCCCGATCCCTCTCCGGCATCATCTCTTCTCCCCGCCGCCATATCCTCCTCCATTATCACCATGGTAAGCACCGAGCCCCCATCGCCTTCAGCCACAAGCGATCTTCTCACCTAACCCGCCTCCCAGTCCGCCCAAAACTCGGCCGGTATCCAGACTCTTCTCGACGTACGTGCCGCCTCACCGACCGACTACGATTGCCCAACTAATAAACCACCAGGCTGAACGAGACGCTTCCAAGATTGTCCAGAAAGGTTAGTTCTAACTCTGACGTCCTTTATCTCGCTACATAATACTAACATCCTTATTCCCACAGCTCGGGAATGTAAGTTCCTCCGACCCTTCCACCCCTTCAGACGAACACGCCCAGTAACCACCTGTCTCTGCAGTCCGCACCAAGCGTGTCAGGGAAGCCCGTGATGAGGCCAAGCAAGAGATAGCCGATTACAAGTCCTCCAAGGAGGACGAGTACAAGCAGTTCGAGTCCGAGGTACGCCTTCTTTCCGCATACCTGGGCCACATTGGACGGTTCCCCATATCGCTGACCTGGTCATCATTCGTATAGCATAGCAAGGGCAACCAGGAGGCTGAGGCCGAGGCCAACCGAGAGGCTGAGGAGCAGATCAAGGAGATCCAGGCGGCCGGGAAGAAGAGCCAGGCCCAGGTTGTCAAGAACCTGCTCACCGCTGTCTTTGACGTCAAGCCCGTCCCCCCCTCTGCTGCTTGAGCGCAATCTACAAACAAATTCCCCGAGAGCCTAGCCGAAGCTCAGCTTCCGCCAGTGATAAACCAATCCCCGCGGCTCACCAATTCGACCCGATGAGGGTGGACAATGGAGGAAGAGGAGGAACGTGTGGAGACGGAAGACTCGCGCCAAACATGACCAATCCTCATGCGTCCCATCCAAGGCGCAGCTTTTTAATACAAGTCTACTGAACGAAATCGACTAGAGTACCCAGCATATCCTTTGTGTCCTGGTTTTCCTCGGCCGTGTCTAATGCCTCTAGCTGTTCCCTCAGCGTCGTGCCAATCACTCCCAACTCCTCATCGCGCTCGGCGAGCAACTGCTTGATCTTCTTTTTAGCTCCATTATCCTCAGCTACCAACCAGGCTAAGACCTGATCAATCGTCTGCAGGATGAACAGCCCGGAGTCGATTCTCCTCGACAGCCATTCCAGTTCCGCAGCTTCCCTGTCTTCTGTCCAGAGAACCTTCCTCTCGGCCTCATTCTGCTGCTCAGCCCTTGCAACCCGTCCGCTGTAATCTCTCCGGAGCTTGATAAGTTTCGAAATCTTCTCGTAGTCCTTTTCCACGAATTTGGCCAGGGTCCGTATCCTCTCTGCTGAGTTGGCGGGCAGGAATCGGAGCATAGAGGCAAAGATACCAACCAGATGCTCCAGAATGCGGTGGTCATGGGTCTTCATGAAAAGGGTGAACATGGTTTTGAGGCCGCCCGCCTCGACCACTTTCTGGCATACCTCAGTGCCGGTGTCGCCACCAATGGCATGGTCCAGGAGGCGCAGCGCAGGCGGCTTGCTCCTCTTGCCCTCTTTTAACATGATAAGGCACAGTTCCACTCCCTCAGCCTCGGTGAGCTTAGCCTTGCCTGAGGCCTCGTCTGCAAGACAAGTCAAAGCCTCAAAGAGGTTCTCCATGTACTCTTCCTCCTCGCCGCCCTTTTCCGGATCTCGTCTCCGGTAGGGGGCAACCAGTTGCAGCAGAATATCGACAGCATTGAGGGATGTGAGTTGGGCACGGTTGGTGGGGGATGCCTGGGTCAGAATAGCCAGTATCTCTGCAGCATACTGTTTGTTTTGCGTCACCGAGTCCTCTTTTCGCTGGATGCGTTGCAGGAGCCATTCCAGCAGCTTGTCATCTTCTCCAACACGCTCAGCGGCAGATGGGCGAGAGCACAAGTTCTCTATCACGCCGAGAGCATGATAGATGCCACTCCGATCCGACTCGTCGTCTTCGTTGAGCCGAGAGAAGTTGGACACCAAAAGCCCCAGCAGGTCCGAATCCATCATGGCATCTACCAGGTTGTTCCACTGGGTTTCATCGGCCGGGACATCCTCATCAGTCAACTCGCCCATAATCTCGATGGCATCAATGGCAATGTCTGTATTTTCGTGCGCTAGCAAACTAACCAGACTTGCGACGCATCCAGTCTTAACAAAGTCTGGGTAGAGGTCCGGGTGCTGGGACAATAGCGAGAGACCCTTGATGTCGGCATCCAGGTCGGCCTCGCTGCCGATGAACTTCTGCGGATCGTCTTCGAACTTGGCACGGAGCTCGGCGTTCTTGGTGATGCGCTTTTCAAAGTTGAGGGCGGTTTTGCGCAACCACGCTGCATCGATCTTTTCTGGCGCGACTCCGGCGTCAGCGTCGTCGACGTAGTCGAGGATCTCTGATTCTTGCTTGGTGATTCCTCCACCAAAGAAGCGGTCTTCGTCATCGTCGGGGGGTAGATCAGGGCCGAAGTCGTCGTTCTCATCGTTGTCGGGGGGCGGCGCAGGACCAGCTTCAATATCATCCTCGCCGGGTTCTGCGCCGTCAACTTGGGCGCGACGGTTGGAGCCGCTGGCGCTCAGCTTGGCCGACTTGTATATTTCATCTAGATTCAGTGGTGCGGTTAGCAATTGTTGGGCTTGACCGGTGTGAGATTCGAGGTGGACGTACTTGGATCTCGGACGGGATTCAGCTTGCGCTTGGAGGAGATGCCCGAGTTCTGTAAGCTTGTTAGAGTGACGATTCATGATATCAAAGTCAAAGACAAGCGAACGAACCTTAAAGATGTCGTCTACACTCGCCATTTTATTTGCGGACCGACTGGACGTCGCATGGAAGGGTTCCTCCGTTAGCCAAAATAGACGACGTGAGAGGTTGACGGCAAGCACGCGCCGCGAGGCGAGTATCAGAGGTACCTTCCTGTGGCTGACTCCCTCCAGAAAGCTCCAAGGCTGCCAGCCCTGGTCCCCCGTTTGATGCATGGCTCCCCTTCTTGTGGCTGAGCTTTAGCAATGCAATGTAGACAGTGCAGAGTTCGAGAGGCGCTAGGCTTGACCTGATAGACGCACGGTGCAACCCACTGTACGTTGTAGTGCGTGCACGAACACGTGTGGCCCACAGCATGTACCCCTTTGACTGACACCACTATCGGCCACCACAGAGTCCCTACAGCGCGTCTGAGACGCCACTGCTCACTGGCGCCACTTAAATTCTGGATCCACCAAGGTGAAGCTGCATACCTAGGTACCTACCTAGGCTAGGTAGGTAGGTTCCCTGGGGGGCGCATGGCAACTCTCACACCAGGCCCCAATCCTAACCGGGACTGGGTCCTGTGTCCTCTGGGAGAAGTGGTAATGGAAGTGGAAGGGAAGGCACGTTCCGCCGTTGCCAACTACCAACCAAACGGATGCAGGTACCACTCGGTCCATCCCCTGACATGGGCATCCAGCCTGCCAGCCTGCCCTCTCACCCAGTCTTAGTCCTTGGGTCGTCTCGTCTCGGATTCTCTATCCATGTGTTTCACTGAATCGTAGACTCGTCACCACCACCCAAAAGGCCGCCCATTCCAGCATTCCTTCTCTTCTGCATTGAGCAAAGCGAACGACTGATCCAGCGCGCGAACCGTAATGCGCTGCGCTGCGGTCTACCTCTGCACCTTAACGCGCCACAGTCCGCAAGCGCTGTCCCACGTTGTACCTACTGTGCTGTGCACTCCGTGGCCTTGTCGAAAGCGGGCCATTAGCCCACACCCAGAACGACCAAACTCCACGAGCCACCAGTGAGCATCGCTAGCAGCAACCCTCCAGCACACCGACCACCAGACTTGGCCCGATTGATAGTGTCTCGTCGACTGGAAAGGGGGGGATTGTCCACTTTGGTTTGGTTTGACTCGCACCGTACCGCACCGCACTGCACCGGATCCGACTCGACTCGACTCGACCCGACTTGCGGCGTAGACAGAGGATGCCGGAGGCTCGTCTCTCCTCTTCCCACGACCTGATCGCGTCCTCCTCCTCCTCCTCTGTCGCCGTTCCCGTCTCCGTCGAACTCCCGTGGACCCTCTCCGCCTCTGCGTCCACTAACTCGCACGTCCTTCAACAACAACACCACTACCAACATCACCACCACCACCAGCACCCAAATCCCGACCCCTCGAGACCAGCGAACCCGCCTTCGCTGTCCTTCTACCATCCAACCTCGCCAAACCCCGACTCCTTTGCTGGTCGCGCCGCCGCTCGCCCTCCTCGGAGTTCTTCCTTGCTACCACCACCGCATATCGCGCCGGCCTTGCAACCCAGCTCTCTCGGAGCTTCGCGCCAGCAGTCGCCCATCGCCGGTCACCGCTTGCACCCTCAAACTCCTCCTCGATCCTCCCACAGCACCGCCGCTTCCCGTTCGCCCACCAACAACCCCGCTGAGGTCTCTTGGCTTCTAAACCGCTGGTCAACTTCTACCACTGGGTCCAACCGCACCTCCCAGGTGCCCCAGCGCGCGACTCATTCCCGCTTTGGTTCTCGTGGGAGCGTCGATGCGACCAGTCTTCTCAACCAATCTCCACCGACCACGAGACCGTCACCCAGAAAACTCCAAAAGAATCGACGACCCAGCGTTTCTTCCAGCTCGAGACCGCACGACCTCCCAGCGCCTGCACCATCATCGGAGGAAAGTCAACCCCCGCGGACACTACCCCCGATCGCCTCATTATCCCCATTGGAGCCTCCCAACCTCAGCGAATATCTCCAAGTCGGAGTAGAAGGGGCTGGCCCTGGTGTGACTGAGCGCCGACTACTAAGTGTCGCCCGCCAGGAGAGTCAGTCCCTCATTCCACCAGGTACCACCGAATCGACAGACCAAATCACCACAGCTGCGTTTGCACGCCCCGGCTCTGCTGCGGTTCACCAATCTACAATGCCTTACGATTACGAAGTAGAGGCACATATGCCTCGGGGTCATTCCCGGAGTCGTTCGGGAAAGGGGAGTCACGAGAAGAGCCGTGGTACCAAGCCTGCATCCCAGAAAGCCATGCTCTCCAGAGCCTTGCAAAAAGCCAACACGGCAGTTCAGCTTGACAATGCCCAAAATTTTGAGGGCGCACGAGAGGCCTATGCCGAGGCGTGCGAGCTTCTTCGGCAGGTGCTTCAGAAGACGACGGGCGACGAAGATAAGCGAAAGCTAGAAGCAATTGTAAGTTGGATCTCCTGATCTTAGCTTGAACCTCATTAATCCATCATCCCCTCACAGCGACGCACATACACCAGCCGAATCGAGGAACTTGATCAAATAGCGCCTTGGCTGGATGAGGACACAAAGGCGCTTCCGTCACGCCCCGATAGCGAGTTCCGTCACCCAGACTCTGAGTCCATGCTCCACCTCGACGACGAAGAAGCTGAGGAAGTCGCGGTTTTTGAGACAGCAACCATCACGAGAGTAATCAGGGACGACAGTCGAAGCCCCCAGCCGCCACATGTGGCCCCCTCTCCATCACGGCGAGCAAATAAACCGAAACCGATCGTTACTACCCTAACCCCAGAACCTGGCCTTCTCCAATCTTCATTCTCACGGTCACCCATTCACCTTAGGTCACCCGATCCTTTCTTACTACAGAGACCCTCTGAATATCCCTACATGCCGGCACCTTTGTCACCACGCCGGCCGCCATCTCCGCCAAGAGCCAAAGAAGATATGGACGCTCTAGTTCCGTCTGATTTCGCCGTGGCTACAGCTCACCCCGTCGAGCCCAAAGACGCTCCGCACCATGGACGAGAAGACAGCCTGAATTCTTGGCTAGATCCCATTGATGAGTCGGGCGGCTCGACATCCTCCTCAGTTCACTCGCGCACGTCATCTCTCGGTTTCAGAAGGAAGCATATCCGGGCTGCCAGCGGTAATACTGAAGCCGAATTCGATACAGCGCTTGATGCTGCGATTGAAGCCGCGTACGACGAAGGCTATGAACCAATGAGTCCGACTGATGGTTATCGACCGAACAACATGGGCGAGCCCAACGAGGAAGCTGTAGCCAACGCCCTACGGAAGGTTGAGATCGCCCGCGAGCGGGTGAGGCAAACCGAACAAGAAGCCTTTGATATTGTTACCGAAATGGAGAGACAACGGCAGCCCCAACATCCATTTCCACAAGACGGCCACAATGGTCCTGAGGATTTCTTTGATGACAACTCATCGGACGAGGAAGAGAGGATCCTAGAGGAGATGGCGCGCGACTACGGCATTGAGCAATTCGCCATGGATCCCATGCAGAGGCCATCAATTCCCCGCGAATCGGATTCGAGTGGCCGAACTATGCGGACTTGGCATAGCTCATCGGGCTCGAATCCTCCCACAACAGCAACCTCACTCTCCACCGTAACGGAGATGCCCCCACCCTTCTCGGGGATGCCAACGGCCCCAGCTGCTCCACCACCGACGGGATCGCTGCCAGAGCTACCTCCACCGCGGTCATCGTCATCGGCGCAATCTGTACGAAACCGTCGGCTGTCGGGACAAAACCCGAAACAGCTCAAGATTGAAACAGCGAAGCTCGGTCCTCCTCTGACCCAACATTCAGAAGATATTACACCAGCAAAATCTGCCGCTACAGATGTACAGGACACTACTATTTCAGCTAGCGTGGGCTCACGGTCGGCGACTGGCTTCCGCAGGCCGTCATCACCACCACTCTGGGAAGCAAGCCCATCTGACGACCTCCAGCCTCCAGCCTCGCCATTTAGGCATCTGGGGCCCGTTGACGAGGATGACAATACTGCAGGACGTTCTTCGTCGCCAAACGTGTCAAGATTGAGGAAGAACTTTTCATCATCAAGTTTAAGGAGCATGAAGAGTCGCAACATGTCAATCACGAATCTGGATGATAACTCAGATATGTCCCCGGGGACTCCATCAAGTAATACGCCGTTTGGGACTTCGCGGACACCAGCTGTCCCAGCACTCCCCACTCCCTTGGCAGCTGCTTTCCGAGATAGGCTAGATACAGCCGCAGCTGGCCTCTCTCTCTTTGACGACAACTTCCACTCCCCAACCATTCCTGGATCACCCAACTCAATTACTCCGGATGTGCCTGTGCCTCTGGAGCCCTGTCCGACTGACTTCATGCTGAGGCCATTTTGGCTCATGCGATGCCTATATCAGACCCTAGCACACCCCCGGGGAGGCTACCTGAGTAGCAAGCTGTTCGTGCCGAGGGAGGTTTGGCGAGTCAAAGGTGTGAAGCTGAAGAACATTGAAGACAAAGTTGCCAACTGCGACTTCCTTACTGCTGCCCTCCTCAAGATTGCCAAAGTCGACACGTTTGATGCAGACGCTGTTCTAGTGGAGATGCAATCTCTAGAGGGCGTCCTTGAGCAAGTTCAGTCGGCACTAACCCGCAAGCTAGGGAATGAGGTCGGAGTTCAGGGCTCAGCAACGCTCTTCAAGGACGCATCAATTAGCGCGGATGGGGATGCCGGGACTGGCATGCCACGTTCCTCTAGTGTGTCGGGCAAGTCGGCATTTTCATGGCGACGCCTACGTTCCAAGAACTCTGCCGTTGGCCTGGGAGGGTCTTACAACAGCAAGTCCGTAGGGCCAGATGCTAGCAATATCCCAGGCATCCCTAGTCTGCCCATGACAGGGCACCCGACAAGCCGGCCTGCGAAACGGGATCTAACACAGGCACAGTTTACGGGTCCGAATGCAATGTATATGAGCTCGCTTGCGCGCCTCTTTGATGCTGCCCAAGCCATTGGTAAGTCCTGGGTCATTGCAACGGTGTACAAGTGTCTAGTCATTCTAATGCAATTCATTTAGATCAAATCGCAAGGCAGGTGGAAGACCCTGGACTGCGTCATGCCGACAAGACGCAGGTCGGTCTGGAACTATGCACGCGGCACGCGGCGGAGTTCTTTGGGTTCTACGTGTGCCGGTTCGTGCTATCGGACTTAGCGATGCTCTTGGACAAATTCATCAAGCGCGGAAGCGAATGGGTTCTGACATGATACGAATGAGATGGATGGATGGATGAGTTTTAAACGATATGATGGGAGGCTGGAGTGAGTGGACATGTTTGGGTCAAGCGACGGAGACGCCTTGTATCTCAAGCCAGACAGCGTGAGCGGAGAGAGTCGATACCCCAGTGACGTTTTATTCTGTTTCTAGTACCTAGGGGCAAGGGTGATAATAACCTCCCAATTGGACACTCAGTCCGTATATACCATTCTTTATGAGCCTAGAGTGTTGTAAATGGTCCGTTGTGTAATAAATCAACATGCATTGAACTAAATTGTTTCCGACCTTGCGCGTCGGCCTAGTTAGGTCGTAAATTAATCCTTCATATTCTCATTAAACAACCCCGATTGTAGCCTCATAGGTCAGCAAGAACCACAGATTAAGCAGTTGTAGTCAAGAAGAGTCAGCAACGCGCCTAGGCCTAAATTAGTTTGAACTTAACTTATTCATGTCTGAGTACGGATGGATCGAGACAAAGACAGAGCGCCAAGTCCCATTGATCCAAGTGAACCAACCGCATATAGATAAGCGTTAGTCACGATGGAGCCTCAATGTCTGGGGTATGTACCTTACCGGTACTCAAATCGGACCTTTGGAGACGTCTCGGTACGTCTCGTTCATTGGATGGATCCCGACCCCAAATTCTCGGCTTCGAGGATTGAGAGACAGATTTTGATGCTTCATCATCCGACATCCTACAACCCGCCAATCTGACTTCCTAGTCCCCAAACCGACTTCGGATGCGCCTCCAAATGCACCTCTCCAACAACAAAGTCTAGGCCTCAATGAGCCTGGCTTGGAGCGCTGGGCGAGCCTGGACGCGGCAATGTCTCCCGCAAGCTCGACAATGGTCGAGCTGCCGCCGTGCCGTCGCTCTGCTTACCCTTCCCTCACGATTCCCACCTCGACGCGCATTCGCTACCAAATCGGTGCCAAAACCGACGCCCTCTGAACTCGAGGCTCGCATCTCCGCCATCCCGATTGACCGATATCGGAACTTCTGCATCGTCGCCCACATCGACCATGGCAAGAGCACGCTGAGCGATCGTCTGCTGGAACACACGGGCACCATATCGGCCAGCGACAGCAACAAGCAGATCCTGGTGCGCATATCCCATTGGGCTCCCATTTTCACCTCGGATACGGCTACATACAAAAACAGAGACACGGCAAAACTGACACACTTGCTGGTAGGACAAACTTGACGTCGAGCGGGAGCGTGGCATCACCGTCAAGGCTCAGACATGCACCATGATATATAACCACCACGGCCAAGACTACCTCCTCCATCTCGTCGATACGCCAGGCCACGTCGACTTCCGCGCTGAGGTCACTCGCTCCTATGCTAGCTGCGGTGGTGCCCTGCTGCTTGTGGATGCAACCCAGGGCATCCAGGCGCAGACGGTGTCCAACTTCCACCTCGCCTTCGCCCAGGATCTTGACCTGGTCCCCGTCGTCAACAAGATCGATATGCCTGCAGCTGATGTGCCGCGGGTCCTGGAACAGATGGAGAACACATTCGAGCTGGACCCCAAGGACGCCATTCTGCTGAGCGCAAAGACAGGCAAGGGTGTCCCTGCCGTGCTACCAGCTGTCATTGAGCGCATCCCTCCTCCTGAAGGCGACGAAAAGAAGCCGCTGAAAATGCTTTTAGTGGACTCATGGTACGACAATTTCCGCGGCGTGGTACTCCTCGTCAGGGTCTTTGACGGCGTGATCAGTGCTGGCGACAACGTTGTCTCGCTCGGCACTGGCATGAAGTACACCGTGGGCCAGGTTGGCATACAATATCCGCATGCGACGCCGCAACAGGTTCTGCGCGCTGGCCAGGTAGGCTACGTCTATTTTAACCCAGGCATGAAGAGGATCCAGGATGCGAAGCTCGGCGACACATTCACCACCCTCAACGCCGAGGACGAGGTCGAGCCACTTCCAGGCTTCGAAGAACCCAAACCCATGGTATTCGTCGCAGCCTTTCCCACCGACCAAAGCGACTATGGCCGACTGGCAGACAGCATCACTCAGCTTGTGCTCAACGATCGCAGCGTCACGTTGCAAAAGGACCACTCTGAGGCTTTGGGGGCGGGCTGGCGATTAGGCTTCCTCGGAAGCTTGCACTGCTCTGTCTTTCAGGATCGTCTAAGACAGGAACACGGGCGCAGCGTTATCCTTACGGAACCCAGTGTGCCGACTAAAATTGTTTGGGCTGATGGGTCCGAGGAGGTCGTGCAGAACCCGGCTCTGTTCCCCGACCAGAGCCATCCACGTATCCGCGGCGCCCAGCTCTATGAGCCGTAAGTGTTGATTCATCTCTTCACCCATGTTACTTTTGTTCATCCTTAATGCCTATCCCAGGTACGTCAAGTGTACAGTTACGCTGCCAGAAGAGTACCTTGGGAGGGTCATCGAGCTTTGCGAGGCCAATCGAGGAGAGCAGCAAAGCATTGAGTTCTTCAACACGACGCAAGTTATTCTGGTATACGATATACCCTCGGCCCAGATGGTTGATGATCTCTTTGGGAAATTGAAGAGTGCTACGTACGTACCCTCGCCCCACGGTGGTAACTAGGCATCTTATCGCTGATATATCACGTACAGCAAGGGGTATGCCACGTTGGATTACGAAGACTCGGGATGGCGACAGAGCCACCTAGTCAAGCTTCAGCTGTTAGTCAATCGGCAACCAGTTGATGCGATCAGTCGCGTTGTGCACAGCACGCAGGTCGACCGTCTTGGGCGCCACTGGGTGACCAAGTTCAAGCAGCATGTCGACCGCCAGATGTTTGGTAAGTTATAACCATTGGCAACATTGCCTGCATCGCTAACGCCTATACTAGAGGTCGTGATTCAGGCAACAGTCGGAAGCCGAATCGTGGCGCGCGAGACCATCAAACCTTTCCGCAAGGACGTGCTTGCAAAGCTTCACGCTGCTGACGTTTCGAGGCGACGGAAACTATTGGAGAAACAAAAGGAGGGAAGGAAGCGATTGAGGGCCGTTGGAAACGTTATCATTGACCAGTCAGCCTTTCAGAGCTTTTTGTCAAAGTGATTGCTAGCTTTATCTCCTGGGGGAAAATGAGGGAATGTGACAAGATTAGAGTGTTTAAAAGCAATAGATACCCAGTTCAGTGTCCATTTCTCTCTCCCGTGTGCAGGTGCTCAGTCTATTCTAAACCTTACATGGCTTCGTCTAATGATTTCATCATGTGCCGGTAGCTGGAAGGAAGCAGAGAGGCAAGGACGTGTCCTATTTATGTCGTCGTAGCATGTGTGGGTTCGTCCTCGCCCGGAAGCTCCGATCCCAGAGCGACAGGTTCGGTCCAGGACAAGCCCATGCCTCCTGCGAGGGTACTCTCGTGCTGCTTCAGGTTCAGGCCTCCAGCCTCCTGATCAAAGTCAAAGATGCGGTAGTCACTGTTGAAGAACCAGTAGCCGGCGACGCCCACCCGCAAGAAGCCCGCGTGCGACACGACGAATATGAGTTTCTCTGGCCGCTGGCTCAGGGTCTTGAGGCCGAACTGTCCGCGGGAGAGGATGTCACGCCTAGTATGGGCGTAGCGGCGAGCAGCGGGAGACGTCTTGTCGGGCCATACGGGGTCGACGTTGCTGAAATTGACGCGGGGAAAGTCGCCCGTCAGCGACGAGACGGGGCTTCCTGTGTCGCAGGGCTTGTCCGAGTTCTCTAGACGAGACCAAGAGAGTCAGCGGCCATGATGCTCGTTCAGTCACCTACTCAACTCGGGGTGATTGAGTCACCCACCTTGCCAGTCCGCGCTGGCCTCGACCTTGACGCCCCGGTCAATCAGCCAGTCTAAAGATAACATGGCCGTCTGCATTGTGCGCCGCATCGGGCTCACGACGACGGCAACATGATCAACGTTGGCGGTTGCGTCAGTAAAGGCGGATTGAAGCTGCTTGCGAAGGGCACCACATTGTTCGACACCGAGCTCCGACAGCGGGGGATCGTGGATGGAGTAGTCCTGTGGAGAAAGGGCGGGATTGTTAGTTCGCGACGGTAAGGCAACGCAGAATAAGGAGGTACTTATTATCGACATTATGAAGAGCTTGGGCGTGGCGAATAAGGACGATTGTAGGAGCCATCTTAAAATGCTGTTTTAGTTAAGAGGTAATGTTTGTTAATAGATACTTTATAAGTAACTAGCCTGCTGGGTTTTTATTTTACTACTAAAAAGATATTAATATACAATATAATATATATATATTAAAATTATATTTAAAATTAAAAAAAATTAAAAAAATTAAAAATATAAGAATTTATATATATATATATATATATATATATTTTAATAAGAAAATTTAAAATTTAAAAATTTATGGAAAATATTAATAAATTACTATAAAAATTAATTAATTAAAACTTTATATAAAAAATTAAAATTATTAAGATTTTAGCAGTCTTTTATTTAAAATCTAATTTAATATTAGATTTAAAATTAATATTAAAATTTATTTAAATAATAATATTATAATAGTAGCTATAAAATACTATTAAAATAAAAAAGCTAATA